TCCCCTCCGCGGACACAAGCTCCCAGTTGAGACGGTAGTCCGGCGCAAGTTGTCAATCAACAAGAAAAGCAAAAAAGAGGAGACACTACCCTGTCACGTCACCTGGGAAGAATAACCGCTGTGGTTGGAGAGCAAAAGCAGACACAACGCTCAAAGGCAAAAAGAGCCACCCACTCAACTGCTACATAGAACAGGGGATGATCCTGGGGCCAAAGGCAAAACCTATCAGAACCTCCCCGATTCTTTGCAAGAGTTTGGCCCGTCTGCCCTTTGATCGCGAATTCTTTATTAGTCCTTAAGGGCCCGCACCAGCTCGAGGCAGTAACGGCTACTCTTCATTCAGTTCAAGCTTGCAACTAGCGCAGTGAGGATCGTGCTAAAGCCCTCTTTTCCGACCCATCTTCGCCCCTCGGCTCGAACGATACGTTGAGCTGCCCCTGGTCAAGATCAACCCGTCCCTTTTGTGTTCTCGAGCGCTGGCAGCAGCAGCACCGATCTGGTGCCCGTTCTCTCCTGCAAAAAGGCGCTTGTCGCTCCCGACCCAACCCCATCTAAGACGACTTGTTACAACCTGCTCTCCACCGCGGCCGGTTGAGGTTTGGCCGCTTTCTTGGGCACTCTCGTCTAGAAAGCCTTCAAAATAAAGAATACGCCGGTCTGTGGCCTAAGGATTGCTTCAGTCGTATCGTCGCCTGTCCGTCCAACGTGTGGACTGGTCCTTTACTTTTGAGCGACCAACTGTCATCCACAACCTTTCTCTCGGGTCAGTCACATTATACGCCAGTGACTTTCCTACCACATCATTCACCACCTTACCTACCAACCGCGCTCCTTCACGTGGGCGGAAGGCAACGAGCAACACCTTTGATGGACAGGGGTGGATCAGAGTACGCGCAGTCAGGTTAGCAGTCAACGAACCATCATCTTTTCCAGGAGCAAGCTCTGAGAAGAACTCTGTGTCAATAGATCAGTCGTCTGTCGCGACCTACGCCACGCAAGACCCGCGCTCAGCTACTATCTCGAGCAACAACACACCACAGTCGGATTACGGTCTGACTCCGTCGTCGGCGCGTTCGTCGGGATTCCCTCCAGAGCATCTGCGCTACAGCCAGTACCCTCAGGCGCCGCACCATCCAGGTGCTGTTGGAACAATGGCACAACCAACAAGTCCGTCAAAGTCCCTGCCAGAAGGAGCGCCCAATGGCAATCCAACCACAAGCTCCCACCATGTGAGGTCTAACTCGGATGTGCCTATAGATCCCTCGATTTCGCAAGCCAGCCCGACCTACCCTCCCTATTCGCCTTATCCGCCAGGACAGGATATGCAACATGCGTACCAGCCTCAGCACCCGCCTTACATGCCGCAGCGACCACCGCACGAGCAATGGGGCGGTTATCCACCACAACATGGCATGCCGGCACCGTATCCTCATCCTGGACCAGGTGTCCAAGGGCCGCCTCAAACTTCGGCTGCATCGCGTTCGGGCCAGGTACGTTGTGTACCACCTCTATATCCTCTTGTGGCCCCTGAGATGGGATAAATTGTTTTTTTAACAAAGTGGCGCGCACAGGTTTACTCCTTTGTCCCTATCCCCGGTGCGCAGCAGCATAAGCGACCGCGCCGTAGGTATGAAGAAATTGAGCGAATGTACAAATGCGGTTGGAATGGGTGCGAAAAGGCGTATGGAACACTCAACCACCTGAATGCCCACGTGACGATGCAGTCGCATGGAACCAAGAGAACTCCAGAAGGTGAGTTCCGCGCTGACAATCCCTGTTCTTCCTACCATATTTTCAATAAGACCATAATGGTGTTGATTGGCTCGACTGATCCTTTTCGCACAGAGTTCAAAGAAATCCGCAAGGAGTGGAAGGCCCGTAAGAAGGAAGAGGAAAACGCGCGCAAGGCAGAAGAAGAGCGTCAAAGAGTTGCTGCCCAAGCTAATCAGGTTGACGGTCCACCGGGCGAGGCCCATGCCGTCCCGGGTCAAGGCTATCAGCAGAATGGAACTCGACCCTCGCTCCCACCCATCGGCTATCAATCCGCAGATGGACATGCTCAAGGACAATACGGACAGCCGCAAGCCGGTATGGTCTATCCGCAAGGCAGCACGCAGATGAACAGCTATCCCAATTACCCGAATTCGCCTTATGCGCAGCAAGGCCAGGTTTACCAGCAACGTCAATACTAGAACACGTCCATGACCAAGCAGCTTGGCTTCTTGACTTGTGGTGCGTCCTCGGCACGAAGTGATCACTCAGCTTTGCTAGTGCGCGGCACAAGCATGTAATGCCAGGAGCTGCAAGCGCACTCATGGGATGATGCAGCACCTCATTTTTACCCGAGATACCCTAGGTGGGAGTGGAGGAGATAATGGAAGAGTAAACGCGGATCACGCCAAAAGTATCGTGATGAAGAGCATGCTGGGAGGAGTTTGTCACATTGGCTGGCGCGTTCCGACACTCATGAGTTTCCTTCTCTCTGTTCTCGTTTTCCTGTTTCTTTTTCACCCGTTTGAGGGTTTATCACCATTTGCACAGCAAAACGCGTCTTTTTCAGGGTGATGAACGTTATGATCGATTGGCCGACTGCATGCATTTTTGAAGAGGACCAGTGCATTTATGAGAGCAGGGGAATTTTTCTCTCTTTACAGGCTACACCAACTTCGAAGGGCTTTTGCAAGGAGGAAGCCGAAGGAAACACAGTCAACAGCATGGATTGTCGATGCGTGCGAGAATCCAACAAGGTAGAGCAAGGGAATTTGTCCAATTGCTGTTGGGTTTGGAAGTCTGGTACCTTGAGCCCCCGTTCCTGTACATTGATGGTACCCAGGGTCAGACAGGATATGACTTGCGCTCCGGTCAGTTGGTGCTGCGGCCGGAACTCGTTATTAGAACAAGGGGTTGGTCTTGCTGCTTATGCTTAAACAGAAGGCAGACCAGAGATCCATTTGAGAACAAGTGATTATGGCGAATAAACAGTGATTTCGTTTTGGCAATAGTCCTTTGGTTCAGTATATTGTCCGAAATGATCTTTTTTCTTTCCGTTGGTTCCTTCGAACAAAAAATCACGATCCTCTGGAAGATGCGTGCAAACATTGTTGATACAACAACTCGAAATCAGAAGAGACACTTGTGCAAGTGTCGTGAGAATTAAGTTGGGCCAGGGATTCAGGTGGTGTTGTTGGCGCGATCTTAGGCTGTCCTACCAACTGGTGGATTTTCCAAAGCGTGGGCAAAAGAACACATGGCAAAAAGAGGACAAAACCTGGGGAATTCCCTGGTTCGAATTTTAGTATGCAGTCACATTGTTACACAGCATTGCGGATCAACTACTGCGAGGGAACTAAGATGGCGTCCGAAATGGGCTGGCCGTTGAAGTCTAGGCTGAGGCCGACAGCATGCACGAAATTCACTGGTGTAAGCGTTGCGTAACCACCGAAGTCTCTGCGCTTTCCAAGCACCGGCGTGACCGCCAACGCCCGCGACGGCGCCTGTACTAGGGCTCAGAAGCTTCAGAGCTGGGGCCCAGGGGGGCGGAAATGGGGGGTGTCGAGGGGAGCGAGGGGGACCTGCTTTAGGCCTTGAGGGGCCTAATGTTGTTCGCTCGGGGAGCTAGCTGAATGGTCAATGGCCAACACACTACTGCTAGTTTCCTGGGCCTTGACAATGTCACAGGCGTGCCTGCGTCGTCCTATCCAACAAACCTCATCCAATCCATTACTACATCCAGATTCCGACACTGTGGTTCACCTCCATCCAAATCCCAAAGGCCTTGTTCCACGCTAGGTGTTAGCACTGCACAATGAACACTTAAGGGTGCCCTAGCTCCTGCCAGCCTGAACCAGAAAATCCCTTTGCCGCCTTCGCAATGGACATCTGATTGTCTAACCCACTTAACTCTAGGGTCTTCAACCCAGACCGTGGCAAAGAACGTCTTCTGTTCGGCATTTTCTTCCATGGGAATTGAGCCTGGAAACGTTCGGTGCAACAGAACCGAGGCTTTCTCCGTCAATTGACGCCGCCCTTTCAGCTGAACCGTTATCGTTACGGCTGATATCCTCACTCTTTGTTCTCGGGATACTCGGAATTCGGCCTCTTGCCCGGACGAGGAAGAGATTCATGAGGCGCAAAGGCACAGGAGTAATATGACACAAATTCCGGGTTACAGAAGACTGGGCTGAGTGACCGGCCATGCACGGAATCCAACTCCGTGGTGTGCATGAACAAAGTTCCCACTGGTGTGGGTGAATGGCAGATACCCTACAAACTTTAACTGGATTTCCCCCTCAGCGAGAGGAGCTGAGCGAAGCAGGGTACAGCGTTCGAGCAAAGTACCCTCTCCAGAGACCGGCTATTCCTCCTGCATGGCGCCTGGTTGGCGTAATGCCACGTTGTCTGACCAAGACCATGAAACGGTGTGACGCTGACAGATTCGGAGAGGCAGACCAAAGGTACCTAGTACTCATAGATCGAACCCCAGACGTCAGCCCTACCAAGATCTACCGTGGTGGAAGGCTAGAAGAATACGAGGGAATCGTGAAGTGTGCGCCCTCAGATGGAGACCACGCGCCTGGCTTATTATCTCCTCCTTTCCGAAGTCGGTTCAAGGCGGATTGCTTCGGAGGCATTGCTGGGATTCATTTACCCCTGTCGCCCACATGCCTTGATATGGAGAGCTGGCCCGTGACCGCTATGTCTGAATCGTGTTGGGTCTACGCCTGAGGGATTCAAGGTACTGGGTACATACAAAACGAGATATTACCCAATTTTGACAAAGACTCTCCATATTCCTTTGAGGTACGTCCTCCTATGACGTATTGTATTGTCATCGGCTAAGTTTCCCGACTTGAAATTTTTCGAAACTCTGTCCAAGGGCACTTGGCACTTGATTCCCATGCGCAGTCTCCATGGATACTCCGTCGTAATTGAGGACAGCATTCGCTCTTTTCTCTTGTTTTTGGTTCTCTCGTCGTCGCCCCCTTTGGCTCTTTCTTCTGATGTTTACCTGCGATGCCTGTCTCCGTCGGGCACTTTTCTCGCTCGGAAGCAGCGCCGCTCCCTCTGCACACTTCCCATCTCCATTGTCTGGGCAGTCGTTCGAACTCGCGATCAATTCCACGGTCGCCTTCTCTCGCACTCATGCAACTCTACAATCCCTCAGGAAGGGCCATCACCGCAACGAGCTCTTCAAAGCCCTGAAAGAAGAACGCAAAAATCCACCGATCAAGGCCAAGCCGTCGAACGCTCGTGCAAAGCTCTTGGCTAAAGATGCTCAAGCACGGGAACGTAACTGGTTACAGCGTCTGGAACCCTCTGATCGGGAAACATATCTGAAGAAGGCTATGGAAAAAGAAGCCAGATATTTGGTGGATCCCCTGAAACTGGCTCAAGGCGTCGTCGAAAAACTCCGGGACCATAATCTGCAGGCTGCTCTAGAGTTGGTCCGTGCTAGTGAAAGGACTCAAAACGGCAAGGGGGTGGACAATGTTGTCAGTTGGAACCATATCATAGACTGGCTGATGGGTCAGGAGTCTCCAGGTGAGGCGTGGAAGGTCTACAATGAGGTAGGGCTCGGCTCCCCGCCACAATGCTGCTCTTGACTGACTTGCTTCGTTCCCGCAGATGAAAAAGCGTGGCCATAAACCCGACTCTCATACCTACACGATTATGCTGAGAGGCTATCGTGACAACGTCAGAAAGCCGAACGCTGTTCAGCAGGCGTTGACTGTATATGACTCCATCTCCGCTGCCAACTCGGCTGTCACTCCGACGACCATCCATACGAATGCTATCATCAGCGTATGCGCACGCGCGTACGACATTGATGCTATATGGAGAATTGCTGGGAGGCTTCCTGAACGTGGACCCGGCGCTCCAGACCACGTTACTTTCACTACCATACTGCAGGCCCTGAATAGCGAAGCCCAAAAAAGAGCTATAGATCGAGGGGGTAGAGAGGGGCCTGGTTTTGATCCCCAGCCAATCTTTGACCAGGTGATTGATGACGCTCGGAAGCTGTGGTTCGATATCACCGCACGATGGAGAAGAGGGGATCTTCACCTAGACGAGGCTTTGGTCTGTGCCATGGGAAGACTGTTGATGCTCTCAAGCAACCGGAATGCTCACTTGGATGTCCTAAATCTTGTACAACAAGCCATGAACATAGGGGAAATGCCCGAGGCTTCAAGCACCGAGGCGGCAGATGGGACGGAGGAAGGGGAGGGATCGGAAACCACAGCTGAGCACGATCCGCCGGCCTTCCTCGATGTTCCAGCAACGAAAGAAATCCGCTCGCACACGTCCTCAAGGCAGCCCAGCACGGCGATCTCATCTGTGTATGCCACCCCTGGTAACAATACCCTCTCAATGCTCATGGAGACAACTACCGCGCTTCGGAAGCTGAAGCTGGGCAAATACTATTGGGAATTGCTCACATCTGCAGATGGCCCGTACCAAATCGTGCCTGATCACCAGAACATTATGGCTTTCCTCCGCCTGCTTCGGGTTTCCCGTGCAAGTCGAGCGGCCTTAGATCTTCTTCGAGCACCACGACCCGATGATGTGCGAGACAAACTTATGGTTCGGGGGACATTCGTCATCGCCATGAGCACTTGTCTCCGAGACAAGAAGAATCCGAACGTGTTCGAGACGGCTAGCCGGATCATGGATTTGATGCAAGAAAGCACCCAAAACTTGACAGATGACCCGACAGGAGAGCCTCAAGGTCAGAAGCTCAGGTTCTCCCCCAAAGTCCTCCGGATGTATTTGGAAGTTGCCATGGCGACCACCAAAGGCATTGGCGCGGGCCCGCTCGAGAAGACCAGGAACGGAGACTTGGATTTCGAGCGAGATCCCAGTAAAAACCACACGTTGAGAGCGCTGCGACGCCTTGGCCCCGACGTGGTCAATGTCAGGCAACTAATCAAATCCCACTTGGTGGAATTGGAACAACAAGCTGCCATGAAAGGACGTACGATCAGAGTCAAGAAGTTACTCGAGAAGCGCCAGATTACGCCGTATAGCGTGACTGAAAACATTGGCGAACTGGTCGAGTTGTTGCGTACCATGATCAGTGCGATTGACAAGATCATTATGGTCAACGAGCGATTGGAGGATAACGGAATGGGGCCTTTGGATAAGACCGTTCTGGATCAGTGCTGGCTGCAGAAACGCAAGTTGTCGGCCTTTGTATCCAGGGTTGCGAATGTGGTTGCGGATCCCAGAGGACCCGGGGAGCTGAAGGCACGGCGTGTAAACGAAAGGGGTCGTCCGTTCATCAGCAGAAATAGAGACAAGCACGAGGAAGACACTGATACCCTGGCCGAGGACCCTGAGGTGGCAGGCAATGAGGTCGCGGATGAGGACTTTGACGACGCTGGCATGGCTCCCACCAGTCCACGCTCCAAACTCATGAACGACATCAAGGCTGCCCACGCCAAATCCGTCAAGTCCCAGGAAGAACGGGGCCTCTCGCGACGGCAGAAACTGGAACTGATCAAAGAAGAACAAATCCGCGCACAGTTCCCCAGCAGCGTGCTGAGGGAGCAGCGGCAGCAGAGCGAGCGGACGCGACGGAGAAAGGACCCCGCGTCGACGGGATCTTCGCGAAAGGCGCCGGTGTGGAAGACGAGGCAAATGGAGATCAAGGAGATGAGACGGGAGAAAAGGGAAGCCAGAGCTCAGGAAGCCAGGGAGAGGAGCAAAGAGCGCGAGATGTACAGGGGCTGGGGAGGCGGGTTTGAGGACATGTTGAAAGAGCAGGGCAGATCTGAAAGGGCCGGCATGGTGGAGTTGGGACCCTAGCTGTTCACACTTGCACACTCACTGTATCCTTTTATGTACGATATATATACCTGTCAGAGCTCTAGAGAGGCAGGGCGAGGTGGTGCTGTCGCAGCGACAAGGGCGTGGGAGGTAAATGATTGCTGCTGCACACCCAGATATCCTATGGTTGGATGATGGGAAAAGGCGCAACCTCAGAACAGAGGCAGGATATTGGCATGCGGATAAGAATCTCTCCTCCCACTCCCCCCTTTTTTTAGATATATAGAACTGTACTCGTATACTCACCCATACCGAGGAGGAATGGGACATCTGAAATGGTGCCCCCAAAAACCCACCAGATTTGCCTTGTGCTTTTGGTTTTTTGCTTCTTCGTTCTAAGGACTCCCGCCATGCCAGCCATTGTTGTTGTTGTTGTTGTTAAAGCGAACACTGCCAAGCAAAGGCAACGGGGATAGTCTCACCACAGTTTTGCATTCAACGACCATTTGCACGCTTCGTCGCTGTCGAATTGGGCGTATTCGAAAGCCACCTGTCCTCCACCTCCCCGGCCCAGATGTCAAGCTTTGAATTGTTCACGAAGGCGAGGTCGCTAGAGTTGGCGATGCCGGTGGTCAACCACGACGACAGGGCTTTCAGCATGCCCGTCCTGGACGTGGCGCCCGCCATCATCATCATCTCGACGAATTCGAAGACCTCTTCGACGTGGAAGACCGTGTGCGCGCCCGCGGCTTCTTCAGGCCAACCTCCGACTACGTCAGCGGCGGCAGCAGCATTGTGCGCGATCATCAGGATCAAGAGCAGGGACGGGAGCTTGGCGCCACCGGCGCGAAGGGCGAGATTGGATGGCGCACTCATCTCCACGGCGGTGGTCAAGCCGTCCAGGTAGGCGATGGTGGTTCGATCGCTGTCTTGGAACGCCCAGAGCGCGGTGTTGATGGCGAAGAGAGCGCCCAGGTAGAACCTGCACGGTGCATCGTCCAGTTCGCCTGCTGGCAGATCGACGTAGTCGAACAAGGCGGTCTTGGGGGCGAAGGCACGAGCACGCCGGCTCAAGGCGTCGGTGCTTGAGGCCTCGTTCTCATCCGCATCAGGATCAAAGTCCGACTTCAAGTGTTGATTGTGCGCTTGACGGAAGGGGTTTGACGAGTTGGATCTAAGATTGAAGTTCCAAAGCTGGACATCTCGTAGCCACTGCGATATCCTGGTCAGCTGCTTTTGGAGGTCAGAGTGAGTCTTCCAAAGCCCGTCGACGCCATTCTCTACAAAGACGTTGACAACCATCAGTCCCAACGGATAGGTGATGCGTCGGACAGACTGTACGCCACCTCTCAGGTTTAGGAGTTTTCTTGCTGCCCTGACGTGATACTGTGCGCTTTTGGCGTTTCCCATTCGATGCTCACAGCCCCCTGCTATGGCGACTGCCAGGACGTAGTCGTCCATGAGCGAGCTCTCCTGTTTGGTCAGTCGAGCATGCATCAACCTGTACACCAAGGACCTCCGCGTCAGAATCGACAGCTGCCTGTCTTTCTTCGTCGGCTGGAAGCTCACGATCTGGGACTCGATGACGAGCAGCAGCCACAAGACCACTATTTCGTTCGTGGCCACCACCTCGACAGTGCTATGTCGGGCAGTGCTCGCCACGATGCCCGTGGTCGACCCATATATCTGGTCTGGAACCGTGGTCAAGTCTGTGGTTCGGGTCAGTCCAGGGTCTTTAGAAGAGTCGTCTCTGGGAGCGTATTATCGACCACAAGGAGAATTCACGACGTACACAAATGCAGCAGATGCTGATCTGGGACAGAGAGCTCGAGTGCTGCACGCGCAAAGGGATCTAGAGAGCTTTTGCTGATGTCCTTGGGCAGTTTAATGGGAACCGAAGCCGCTCTAGTCCTCCTCTTTGCGTCCTCAATGTCCTCATTGTCATCGTCGCCTTGCTCAGGATCTGGAGGCAAGAGCGGATGCTGGTTTCTGCCCGTGCTGATGTTCAACCTGAACTTTAGAAGAGGTAATGTGGAGGGAGAGGCACGTCTGTCGGTGTTTTCGAGCCCGATCTCGATCTTTCCCACCGATGATGATCCAGGACTGGATTCAGTGTCATGGGTTTCGGAGGACTCTGATGAGGTAGAGCTAGCGACGACGCCCCCAACCCCAGATCCACCTCTCAATGGCTTAGGAGGCCGGACTCTGCGAACAAGGGGCCTAGAATCTTTAGATGAGTGGGAAATACGAGCAGCATGAGATCGAGCCTCGCTTTTCGCAGCGTCCCGAGCCTTCTGATCTGCTGAGGTATTGCCTCCCAAGGCCGAGACGGTGGCGTTGGGGAAGAGGAAGTGAACTTGATACCGACGGTCACTCATGGTTGCAGGTGTTATTTATGTTCATTTTCAGCCGTCACCCTGAGTCACTGGATGGTTGGGAAGAGAGGATTTCTCTATCATCAGACTGGTGGCATATAACCAGGGCGCCCGCCGTGTAAGATATCTCCGCTTCACGCCCTTGGTGCTCCATCCATGCAGGATCATTGCTCAGCCGTGATCGAGTCGGTGGAAATTCGAGGATGCCATAGCACATCCAATGCCGGCCGAGACATCAGGTGATGGAATCAGACGCGTGGACATGTACTCCGGATTCGGTGAATGGGCAGCTGTTGTGCCTGCTGGTGTTCCAAGTACTGGCATGTCCCACGTACAGTAGGTACGGATGGAGTCCTGTGTGTACGGAGGTGTCCGGCGACAGCTGCAGGGGGCCTTAGCGCCCATTGTCGCTGGCTCCAAAGGGTTTAAGGGCTAATGCAGGCTAGGCAGGCTAGGCTAGTACAATAGCTATGCAATAGGCACAGTGCCAAGGTGGAAGACGCCTGGAGAAAGATTGCCGAAAGATCTTCAAGCCGTTGGCTAATTAGTGAGGCTCCATTGGAGAAACGCCAAAAAGAAAAATGTACTCGGTACGAGGCAGACACTCACAAAGCACCACCGTTAACTCACCCTTTCACCTGTTCGACATCTCTACCCGAGCCTCTCTGGACACTCGTCATGCGACATGGAGGCTCCCGTCAACTTCGATTCGACCGATTGAGCTCTCGTCCATCCTTGTCCTTCCTTCGCCAATGCACTTCTAGCCTGCGACCACCACATCCCTCTCTCAGCAATACCTACTGTAGAGCTGCTTCGACTACTCGGCGCTTCAGCCATGCCTCGACAAAGGCCGATCAGAACCCTCCCCCGGTGCCTGCACGGAAGTGGTCGACCCCCCTGGCAAAGACGATTGCACAGGCGATTGAGGTAAAGGATTTCTGCCACTCCGTCATCAGACATGTTTCGTTTTCGCTAACTCAAGGCTGTGCAACCTAGGTGACGGGTCCCATTTCGATCGCCTCTTATATGCGCCAGTGCCTAACCAACCCGGACGGAGGGTACTACACTACAAGTCGTCCATCCGCGGAAGATGCAGACCAGTTTGGCGCAGCCGGCGACTTTATTACCTCTCCCGAGATATCTCAAGTCTTTGGCGAACTCGTCGGAATATGGTTTATGACGGAATGGATGGCGCAAGGGCGCCCGTCCCAGGGTGTGCAGTTCATTGAGATGGGACCTGGTCGCGGGACACTTATGAGTGACATTTTGCGCACGATCGGACAGTTCAAGACATTCGCAAAAGCTATATCGGCAGTGTGGCTGGTAGAAGCCGGAGAGGGACTGCGGAGGAAACAAAAAGACCTCCTCTGCGGTGAAGACGCGGACATGAGGGAGGTTGCCGATGAAACGGGAAAGAATGTCTGGTGGGAAGCCACCAGCACTCAGGGAATACCCGTCAGGTGGGTGGAAGACATTGTACTGCTGCCGCACCAAAGTCACGGCGAGGGTGATGGGATGCCCTTCATCATCGCCCATGAGTTCTTCGACGCTCTCCCTATCCACGCCTTTGAGTCTGTCGCCCCCAACCCCGAAGAGACACGACAGGAAGATGCCAGGTCCCAGCTTCTCACCGAAAGTGGCCAACCGGTCGCGAAACCCAGCATAGCCAGTAAGCTCCCACAATGGCGAGAACTACTCGTTGCGCCGACGACACCGAAGCTTACGGCGCTTCTCGCCTCCGAAACCGAGACTTCATCAAGTCACAAGGAACCTGAGCCGGACTTCCAACTCACCCTGGCAAAGGCGAGCACTCCTTCGTCACTCGTCATCCCCGAACGACCTCGCTATCGATCGCTCAAATCTCAAGTGGCTTCGCGAATCGAGGTATCACCAGAGAGCGCTCGATATATACAAGACTTCGCCCGCCGCATTGGCGGCAGCGCGGTCCCTTCCGCCATCTCCAAGGGTAAATCCAAGCATGCTCAGGCAGAAGTGCCGCCACGAAGACCCGCCGGGGCAGCACTAGTGATCGACTACGGGCCCCTGGACACGGTGCCGGTCAACTCGCTGCGCGCGATTCGCAAACACAAGATCATCTCCCCTTTCGTCTACGCCGGCGACGCCGATATCAGTGCGGACGTGGACTTTGGCGCTCTTGCAGATGCGGCTTTAGAAGCCAGTCCGGGCGTGGAAGTTCATGGGCCGGTCGAGCAAGGGGCGTGGTTGATGCAGTTGGGGATCAAGGAGAGGGCAGAGAGGCTTCTGAGAGAGTTGGACCGGAACCCGGACACGGGTGAGGAGGCGGAGAAAAGAAGGCAGGAGGCTGACATGGGGTGGAGGAGACTGGTCGAAGGCGGACCCAAGGGCATGGGCAAGGCGTACAAAGTCATGACGATCCTGCCCGAGAACGGCGGGAGAAGGAGACCTGTCGGCTTTGGAGGGGATGTAATTGCTGGATGATTGTGATCTCGCCCGGTCGATATCAACAATCGTCTCTCCCCCTGTCCAACAGATAAGGGTGAACTTTGTACTCTATATAGACTGTACCATCATCACACGGTGCCACTACCACCATCACAAGGGCAAGAAGCCTTCTACGATTGCGGCCGCGCCCGCTCAGAGACTGTCTGTGTGATCATTCCTAGTCAGGGTGCGCGTCAAAGTCCCAAAACCGGACTTCCATCTCCGTCGACCGCACGAAGATGTCGATGAGCTCCTCTATCCGCGAGGGCGATTGCTTGACGATGTGTTCTTCGATAAGTTCTGCTCCACACCCGGAGTCGAGTCGGGGGGGTTAGCATACGAGTGTTCGAGACTAGTGAGAGAGGGATGGACTTCCCGGCAGCGGAGAGACAACGCGGTCGGGAAGAAAGATACTGGGGGGTACACAAGTAAAAGGAAAAAGAAAAAGAAACTCACCTCGACCAACCCTCACCGCCTCCCGGTAGTCGTCGGCGACATAGTTCTCGACCCACCGCCAGTAGCGATTGCCCTTGTCGGTGGGCAGGCTCTCGGGCTCGCGGAACAGCCGGGCGGCAGTGACACCGTAGCCGATGAGACACGGGGCCAGGGACATCTGCAGGGCGAGCCAGTCCTGGCTGGCGCCGACGTCGAGGCAGTAGCGGCTGTAGGCGACGCAGGCAGCGGACTCCTTGGTGCGGGTAGGATCCTCGAGCTGGGCGCGCGTGATGCCGAACTCGTCGGCGCAGTACGACAGGTGCAGGGCCATCTCGCGCTGGACGTGCAGCACGATGTGGGCGCTGGCCCCGATGGCGGCCATGGTCTGCGACTTGTAGGCCGCCAGCGCGTGCGCCCGCGCAAAGTGCGTCAGGTACAGGTAGTCCTGCACCAGGTAGTTCTTGAACAGGGCCTCGGGCAGCGTGCCTCGCGCCATGGCCGTCGCGAACGGGTGGTGCGTGTAGGCTTGCCAGCTGCGGACCACGCGCGGGTGCGTCAGCAGGTACGAGTCGATGAAGTGGCCCGCCGAGAACGGCAGGACCTGCACGTTATGGAAGTGGTTGATCGGACCCGACCCGTTGCCTATCAGCGAGTCAGCCTTCTTGATCCCCGTCGTCACATAGTGCACGGCGAGCCGGGTGGCGGTGGCCAGGGAGGGGGAGGTCTGCGATTGGGACTTTTGGAGTGCTATGTTGGCGGCGATGGCGCTGGCCAGCGAGCAGCCCGTCCCGTGGGTGTTTTTAGACGTCAGGTACTGCGATTCGATCACGGTGTAGCCGGAGCCGTCGTACAGGACGTCGACGGTGAGGGCCTTGTCTTCGTCACGCGTGGCTTTGACGTAGTCCTTGGTCAGGGGCATATGGCCTCCCTTGACCAGCACGGCCTGCGGACCAAGTTCGTAGACCATCTTGGCCAGGGCCTTCAAGTCGTCCAGATCCATAGGGGACTTGTAGCGGACGTCGGCGTCGCGCAAGAGCAGCGTGGCTTCGGGGATGTTGGGCGTGACCAGCGTCGACATCGGCAGCAGTCTTTTGCGCAGGTTTTTCACCGCGTCTCCCGGAAGCAGTTGTGCGCCGCTGGTGGCGACCATGACCTGCGTCAAAGCATGAGACCCGAATTTCTGGTTAATGAAACGGTGGTCGGAGCAGATCGTACAGGATCGACAATAATGGTAGAGACCTTGTTGCGTTGAAGGGCTTCGGTGACCACCTGAATGGTTTCGGCCGAGGCGAGCATGCCTTTTTTTCCCCATTGAGCAAATCTCAGCGACTCGGTTCTGCAGAGCGTGGTCGGCCCAATGCGTCTGAGAAGGGCACCTACCGATCTTGACAGCATCACACCCGATATCGGTCAAACAAGCATCGATCTGTTTGCCCACAAAGGCCGGTGGCGTGATGTGGATGTCCACAACTCCTAACGTGTTCTGAGCCGTCAGAGCTGTCGTGGCTGTCATTGCATAGCATCCATGAGCCGCAAGGACCTTCTGGTCTGCTTCGAGCCCGCTGAGACGGGAGGTCTTTGTGTTAGAGAAAGGTGCACAGAGAGAGAAGAGGAAAATACTCACGCCCCACCAGAGCTGTCAGAGCCTGCGATGACCAGAACTCGGGGAGTAGTCATCTTGAACGAGGGATTCCTATCATCCGGCAAGTGGTAGAGAAATGGGTAGACAAAAAAGGTCTTCCAGGCTGAATACAATCCGACAGATGAAGTTGGTTTGGCAGCCAGACCAAGTTATGAGTCGAGTATGATTGAGAATGTCGTTCACCTGGAGCCAATAAAAGAACACGGAACAATAGCCGTATCTCCACCGTTGCTGAGGTCATTTGGCTCCGGAATAGATGCCGCGTATATTGGGCGATAGACTCGCTCACTTGCTGCTGGTGCCGCTATGCCTCAGATTCCTCGAATCACGCTTTGTGTCGGTAATTATGGTGGATTGTCGTATCTCATCTATTCAACGAATGAACGTCCTCCAAAGCCCCGTATCCCAACATCACTTCAGAGCGAAGCTGAACAGCGTATCCATTTCCACCCACTGTCGCCCACATTTCCTCAAATATCCATCCACGACAGCCTTGATCGCCTCAAATGCTTCTTTGTTCGTCTCCGCGAGCACCATGATCCGATCCTTTTTCTCCGCATATTCCTTCTCTGACCGCGCCTTGTTTTTGGCCTTTTCAACATCAAACAAGGCCGCAAAGTACAACATCTGGTTGTATAGCTTCTTCTCAGAATATTCATACGACATCCGTCCAAGACAGCCCTCAGCGCGCCCACTTGGGCCCAGACAGCGGTGTCCATAGACTGACATCTGCCGGGTTCGGTTGCCACAAGAGGGGTCGTCACAGACCAGCCAGCCTTCGTAGTAGGCACAGGTCTGCGCCCGGATTTGCGACTCCAGTTGCATAACAATTCTCAATCGTGGAATGACTTTCCTGCACTCGACGTTGCCGCACAAGATACCCTCGGGTGTGCATGAATCGGTTGAATCACAAAGTCCCTCGAATACCGTTGCCTGCATACATTCTCTGCACCTCAGACTGAGTCTCACGGCATCCTGGAAGCGGACACTGTCCGGAATCTGTGATTCGAGAGGGAAAATCTCGGTACTTCGTTGACTGCCGCCGTTCGAAGTGTTGATTTGATATTTACGCACGTCCAGGCCTAAGCATTCGGCGAGTCTGACCGAGTCAGTCCCGGGGATGGGTGCGCACAGCCTTTCAATCGGCGGGAAGATCTGTTTATGGAGGTAGTATTCAACGTCCGGGACAAGACCAGAATCTGGTTTTTGAACGTCCTGGGGCGTATAAGATCGTTTCGGCGCAGGGAGACCCTTTGTCTGTTCGTCTCCCATGGTCACAATGTATGACATGACGTCGTTGACCCGGACGGTTTTGCCTCGACTGATCTCACGGAGAGCAACCTGTACCTGAGGCATCGAATCTGCGTTGGGGTATTCTGTTGGATTCTTGCCAAGTTTCTGGACGAATTAGCAATGCCTCGTAAGGGGTCACCGAAAACTTACCGTGTAGATGACATATTTCTGAACGGGGATGGCGTTCTCCCTCATTTTGCCTGACAGCTCCCGGAGATATTCGTGGATCTTCTCGAGGACAACCTCTGAATCTTCGCCCGAAAGGATTTCGTTCAACAGCTTCTGAGACGCCTCCTTGGACAAAGCGCAGTATTCTCTTCTTTTCATGTCAAGACCTTTGACTTCAAGCTTCTCAACATACTTGCCATCGATCTCCGCCATGTTGATGGCGGCATACTTCTTTTTGGCATGTAGCAGCAAGCGTCGAAAAATGTTGTCGATATCAATCTCCAGTAGCCTGTATCTCTCGTTGACTGAGCGCTTGAACTCGAGCCCAACACTTAGCGCCTGTGCTATATTGTCTGCATTGGTGTTGATCATGACGGAATCGGTGTCGCCATAGATGACCTGGAGTTGGTTGCTTTCTGCAAGCTCCTTGGTGCTTCTTAGAATCTCTCTACCTTTGAAGGTGGTGAGCATGGCTAGCGGCCGTGCGTAGAAGCGGGATTGGGTATAACCGAGGCACCCGTACATGGAGTTGGCTGTAAGTTTCAACGCCATTTGTTTGGTATCCCAGAGTGCCTGTTGCTCTGCAGAGGCTCGTTTGTCCTTCATCAGCTTCTTGACTTCCCGACGGCGCGTGACAAGGTTGGCGATAAGCTTCGGCAAAATGCCCTGTGGTTGATCGATTGGGACCTCTGGCACCTTCTCCTCGTTCTCATTTGCGGCAGTGGCTGAGCGATCAACAGTCGTGAAGCAGATGTTGTATTCTTGGATGATGCTGGGGTACAAACTGTTGAAATCCATAACGAGGATGAACTTGTCGTAGAGACCCTTCTCTGGCTCAAAGACGAGGCCACCTTTGTACTTGTCCTTCTTTTTGGTGTCAGCTCCATCGTCTTCGTCTTCATTTTCCTGCGCTTGTTTCGCACGACCTTTACCGAATTCCTTATCGGGACAGATGTATTTGTTGCGGTAGAACTCGTGTAGTAGAATATACTCATTCCGTTCGGCTCGTGTGCCGCTCAGGGTACGAGCCCACGAGTTCCCAGCAAGTTCTGTGAGAACTTTGGTCAGTGGCAGCATTTGCAGTTTCAAAGCAAGCGCCGCAATGAAGAAAGTGTCGGCGTGGCAGTGGGTAACGTAGTTGAGTAAGCCGTCACGAGTGGTGGCCCAGGTCTTCAAGGCTGCTTCATTGTCCAGCTCACGGCGACGGTTGTCCGGTCCGAGATACAGATCGCACATCTCTGTCAAGCTCCATTGTTGACACCTGGTCATCAAAGACTTGCCCATGTCGTTTGCCAGGTCGCACATGAGCCGCCCTGCCAGGAGCTGTCTCTCAGCACAGAATGTGGCACCTCTGCCAAAGGACTTGGGCCATTCTCCTCGCTTCAATCTACCGATCCGGTGCCACCCTGGGGTTTTCTTCTCTTTCAAGCGGCTGAGTAAAATGCTGTAGTCGACTTCTTGAAGTTGGTGGCCAATCAAGACATCAGGGTCCACCCTTTCGAAAAGTGCAAGGAACTTGCTAAGGAGAAATTGTTCCGTCTTCTCAAGCATAACCGTGTCGTTCCTTTTTTTGGTTTCTGTTTCAAAGCCAACGGGATAAGCAGATCCGGATGGTCGCATCACTGTGAATGTCCGAGATGGCATTTCTTCGGGAGGAGTCGTGTCGGTCAGGGAGACATTCTCGTAGATTCGAGCACTCGCGATCAAGATTTCCTGTTTATTCTCCTTGACATTGAGTTGAGTCCGGAATGCCAGGGACATCAATGTAAGACGTGGAGCTTCAAGGTTCTCAGAGTTGCTCAAGACGGTAATGTTGGCCGGTTTGGTGACAGCACATTCCAACTTGCACCAAGAGGCATTATTGACAGCGCTGAAGTCGGCATCTTCAATGTTCAACCAGCACGGGCCCATGATGTTCTTCCATAGCACGAACTGTTCGAACAAAGCCGTGTTCGCGCCAAATACACGGGAAAATGTCTCTCCCTGTAGGTCCATCGGAAGCGCATTCTTGTCGTAGGGATAGAGAAGCTTGAGATATTCGGCCTCCTTCGGGACATCAGGGAGCTCAAATGCGTACTTCCGTGTACATGGCTTGACCTTTCTGGTAGAAACCTTCATTTTGGACATCAACGAATCGACTTCGCCGTACACATCATCCATCTCGACTTCCTCGCTAGTTTCCCTGCCGTTGACAACCCTGTACTTCCTTGGAAGGAAGAAGAGCTTGCGGAGAACGTTGTCGACCTTGACGAATGCGCTACGATACTGCCCGCTCGTCTTGTCCTTAACCTTTCCAAAAAGACAGAGACTGCCATTGACTTCGGTATAGTCGAGCCAGAACATGCGCAGGCTGCCGTCCTCTTCAACAGCATCTTGAGGCTTCATTTTACCGAAGGTACGCATCTCCGAAGACGGACTGCTCTGGATATTCAACTTGCTAGTGATCTTGTTCCATGAAGAAGCATCCACCTCGGTGACTGGAGGCAACGGTGGGGAAGAGCTCTGGGGTGATGGAAGCTGTGGATGAGCCTTGATCTTTGGTGGCGGTCTGCTGCCAGTCATATTGATACTTGTTGATTGGGCAGCTTCGTGCCCAACAACTTGGGCAACATCCATGATATCTTCATCCTCGTCCTCCTCTTTGATCTGAACCTTCGCCTTGCGCTCTACAGCCTTGACGACCGGCGAGGAAGGAAGAGGATCGCTCATGATATTGTCGTCATCAAACGTTGCCATATGGTCATCCTCTTGTACAGACTGCGGAGGTGGAGTGTCAACCAGCTCGGTGGTCGGCGCTTGGTACTTCTGTCGAGGTTGCTCGCGGGAAAGTGGAGGAGAGAGCACCCTGACCTTGCGTCGATTCTCGGATTTGACTGGTTTTGCTGTGTATTTCCGGGTCGAGAGGATATTGGCGTCGACTTCCCCCAGGAGATCGGCCATGAACGCTTCGTCTTCGGCAGTAGTTTGGATCTAGAATAATCAGAATCGACCAGATATATTTGAGCAAGAGATGTACCTTGGGCTTAGGAGCCGCTGCCACAGGGCCATTGTTGAAGTAGTTTAGGATCTTGTGGTTGGTGCGGTCTTCTTTCTCACGATCTTCTTCGCGTTTTCGCTTTGCGGCTTTCCCTTTTAGTGGAAGCTCCTCGCCATCGTCACTACTATATTCTTGTCGTTCATTTTGCCATTCTTCTCGACCGTCGTCTGCGTAGCCTTCCCCATTGTCGTCGACAACAAAGTCGTCTTTGTCAAGGCGACTTCGCACAACTTTCTTGTAACCATCTTCGTCGACTTCGTCGTAAATGGCACCTTGGTCTTCGACCTGGTAGGAATCGAGCCGTGTCTTGCCGGAAGCTCGCTGAGCTCGAAGCTGAGCAAGTGCTGAACGGTGCGACATTGTGCAAGCTCCGACAGCTGCAACAATGGCAGTACAAAGATTGAGAGGTAGTTAACTGGACATATAGAGGAAGAATAGTGGTGGCTTGAAGGTGAGTGGGCTAATTGAAAGAACCTCGCGTCCTGTCACGTCGCGTACAAGACGCGTGGTGAGCGGGACTCCGCGAAGTAGCTCCACCTTCGCGCTCGTGTTCTCGTGACGGATGAATATTGTTCCGAGTTAGCCCTACTCGCCGGTAAGTCACAACCTCACTCACCCCTTACGATTTCCAGCCTCGCCAGCCAACACCCAGCTATGCTCTGCTGGGTGGAGTTGATCAGCACTTTGTGCATTCAGATGTATCCATCAAACATTCCATGCTACTTATCAAAGGAGCCAAGAAAACTCAAGAAAACTTGTGGAAGGCATGTTGTCCAACCCTGTGAGCTGACAAGCCATGTTTGCTGAACAACCGGCAACCGACGGAAAATGTAATGTATAAAGTATCTTCACAACCTATTCAGACAAAAAACCTAGGGAGCACAGAAAATACCGCCAAGCAAAGAATATCACAGACGGCACTAGGAAACTAGCTGCCGCTTTATATGAGATGAATCTATCTAAGAAGTGTTTTCCTACAGCTCTTGCTCCATCATGGACTTCTCACTCTCCAACTGTGGACAGCTCACAATCACGACAACTGTGGAAGGCAAAACCAAACAAGAATTCCTTGAACATCAAAAATGTCTGCGTCGGAGGAAAATCTCGCGCCCGAGATCCAGTACATGGTCGTGGGAGTGTTGGTGGCAGAATTTGAGAGGTTGAGCAACCCAATCTGGTCGCGAGAACACAAGGCCGACATGTGAGTGTGGCTATAGCGCTAAGACCGAAACTTGAGCTGACTTTGAAACAGATACTGTGTTCTCTCTACGCTGTTGTCCGTAAGGCTAACTTGCCGAGGCTTCAGCCAGGCCGGCATCATCAAGGCGGCCGTGTTTAAGGAGGTCACGCTGCAGGCCACGCGACTTAGCTTCAACTGCCTTCGGCCCTCCAGCCTCTTGTCCATCGCGCCCTTTGTGAGAAAGACCAGTTTTCTCCCGACACCATTTTCCACCAGCCTCGACCTCAAGGGTTTCACTAGAGCGCTTGAGATCCTGTCGCAGCATGAATCCGACCTGCCTGTTCGAGGCCGCAAGCACGTGGAAGGACACTGGGGCGCCATCCCGACAACGGAATCTGAAGTTGCGGCGGCTTTCGGAAACCACCGTGGAAAAGCACGCGTGGATGAATATATTATGAATAGCGGCGAGCTGTAAGGACTCTGGACTGCGGCGCTTCGGACGTTCAAGCATGCGACCGATGTTGAACTGCTTTCGATGTTCGGCAGACACCCTCTCGATCCAAGCGAAGATTCGGGTACGAGTCATTGCCGGCCTTGCCACCAGTCCAGGTGCACGCTGTACGACCGCACAGGTGCCGGTGACGGCCAGATGTTCACGACGGCAATACAGTGTCTTGAATCTTCCTGCATGGACATCAACGCTATTTTCATCCACCGAACCCTCGCGCAGCACTTCAGCATCACGCCGCCGCCTTCGTGGAACCTGCTGGATCTCAGCAGACTCGAGACACTCAAATTCCCGGACCTGGTAATCGAGGAGCACGACAACGAGTACGACCTCATGGAACGAGACGCAGCGGCCGAATTTTGCTTGACCTCGCTCCTTCAAAAGCCTCTCCCGAACCTAAGAGAGTTGAGTGTTGACCGCTACGTGCCATTTCCTCGCTTGACATTGCCGTCTCTGTCGCCGATTACACTCCCGCGACTTCGCACTCTCACCCTCGGGGGCATCCTGCTCGGTATTGAACACCTCACAGATATCGTCACAAGCTGCACTGCGCTGCGAGAGGTGTCACTGAGAGACTGCCATCCTCAGGGCCCTGACGGACTTCGGCTGGAGGATCCGACGAATGAGGAGTGGCAGCCGCTATTCAACGCCTTGTCTCATCATCCGACATTGAGGCGTTTCACAATTGCCGAGAGGTGGGATGCAAGGAACAACGAAGGCGAGATCGTTTCGCCTTACATGCTCAACAACGTCGGCGTCGAAACCTATCGGGTCATGCTCCAGACTGGGATGTCGGCCGGATGGGACGAAGACGCTGGGGGAATATGGGATGCGGCTCTGCAGGTCTACCTTGCGCAACAGCAGTGAGGTCCGTTGTCGTCGGTTCATCGTCTCTTCTGAAGGATGCAAGAGGCTATGAAGGGAGTCTAGGTGAAATCCGTTCCTGACGTCCCCGAACGAGTATCGAGAGGGCTATTGACAAGATCATTGTTCCTTGTGGAAGAGATAGATTACGGTTGCATGCAGAAGAGACTGATGGAATGATATGATAAAGTCAAGACCGCACAAATGAGCGCTGCCCTCTTCGTACCTCGTAGAAGCCATGATCTGAGCCCAGCTCCAGGGACAAGCTAGTTTTGCCTATTTTACGATCAAGTCAAGGCTATTCGTGGCGTGCAAGCTGCCTGAACTAAGGGATCCTTGTTTGTAGAGGAGGAGAGATTTTTCCACTCATAATGAACCAAGGCAAGGTTCGCTCCATGACATCTGTTGAGCTCGCCCCTGTCCATCCGTCCCCATCAGTTGTGACCCGTTGCGTTCTTCGATTTACACAGGACCACACGGCCAGGGCACATCCTTGACGCCCGCACCCCAGTTGTCATTCCGCCCGTCGACATAGCGCATCTTGAACGTGCTGAGATCGAGGCCGTCCTGGGGCTGATCGAGGGTGACGGCGTTGATAGAGAAAAACTCGTGCATGGTGCCCGGGGGGTACTCGAACTTGCCCTCGCCGCAGACGTGGACGCCGCACGTGCCGCAGAAGTACTTGTGGATGTCTGGCGAGCGGAACTGGTAGTCGCGCGCCTCGGACAGCGACGCCGGCGAGAGCAGCGTGAAGTCCTCGCGCGGGAGCCGGATGCCTGTGAAGCCCTGTTTCACGCAGATGGTGCAGTTGCAGCGGCCGGCCGTGGGCGGGTCGGTCAGGGCCAGGGCGACTTTGTACTTGATGAAGCCGCAGTGGCAGGAACCAGTGAAGGTCTTCTTCTCTCCGGTTGGGGTGCTCATGTTTTCAGCCATGGGACTCTCGGAAGAAGAACAAAGGTGCCGAAGAGGAATGTGGATTCTGGTGAGATGAAGTAAGTACCTCAAGTCGAGAGAAGAAAATGTGAAGCTGGGGAAAGGCGAAAGTCCTTCTCACAACCACACAGGGTTGCAGAGGAATAAATAGCTTCCAATGCATATTCGGTTTGGACGTCTATCTGTCCTAGGTCGGGTCTAGTACAAGGCAGACAAACTCTGGATGCATTGGTGCCTGAGAGCTTGACTTGAAGCAGTAATGTCGACGAGATAGTTTACGAATACGAGTAACTCCGCACTACCTGGATGTCAGTCTTCGCTACCCTTCGCCTGTGTCGCCAGTATTAAGCGAAAATGATTAACTATTTTCGGACAGTCCAAAGTCTCTCTGACTATCTATCAGTTAAGACCAACAGGTTCTCCAGGGTCTGGTGACCTTGTGTGATCCTTAGTTGCCTTTGCCGAGAACAGCTCCAATACCATCCAGAGGTGGATAAAGCTCAATATCAAACACAACGGTGGATGCAAATGTAGGTATTGATGTGAAGATCCAGGGTATCGAGTTGTTGAAACATCCATCCACATAGGAAGATGCGAAAAACAGCATTTACCTCCTTGGATAGAGCCTCCTGCCTCTTTCCAGCCAGGGCTTCAACGTGAAACCAAATGTCTGCCACCTACAGGCACTCTGGGAACGAACTTCACATATCAAGACATTGTGTCTGTTGGCGACATGCCATCTCCTAAAGATTGACTTCCGGACATGTTAGTCATGTACACGAGTAGGGCATTACAGGGTTCGTCTCCCTTTGCTTCAAATATACCAAACGAGGAACAGAGCACGTCGGCGGAAATTCATCTCATCTCATTTTCACTAGCATCCCTCAATGATGGAGCCGCTTTTGCGTTGACATTGAATGACTTGCACCCGGACCCCTTTTCATTCATCGAACCATTGGTGCTCCGAAGCCTATTTGCTTCTGCCCCGGGTCGCTACTTAAGAAATCGGACTGTGGCCACATCTCCAAGCTGACCTGTCAATTCTAGTTCATCTGCTTGATGAGCGCATTGATAGCTTCCTCCCGGTTACCGAGATCGCCACCTTCGATGTAATGCTTGAATTTCCTGGCACGGAAACCACCGTTGGGGTTGGACAGTTTGAAGGGCCACAGGAAGTTGCTTGCTTGCTTGAAGTTGGGTCCAACAGTGAAGATCTCGTGGATCAAGTCCTCCATGCACACAATGCCGTACTTGCCCAGATTGTCCTCGATGAGTTGGTTGTCAGTGAGAGCGATGCGCTGTTTGTCGATCTTGCCATATCCACGCTTGTAGATGAGCTCGCGAACAGTCTTGAGGTTGGGATAACCGTAGGCAATGTAGGGGTTGACGATAGTGAGCATCTCTTGAGTGGCTTTGGTCAACCTGACGAAGACGCCGTTATTGATCTGGAGGAGACGGAGGAGCTGGAGAATTTTGCGAGGCTTGGGAGCAATCTTGTTGATACTAAACGACAATTAGCGGTTGCTAAGCCAAGGTATGATCGAAACAGAGACTCACCCCTTGATTCTGACGACGAAAACCAGCTTGGGTTGCTCATCAACGAAGAAGTTGCCCTGTTGTCTGCTCAGGCGAGCGAGTCTGATTTTCTCGCGCTCAGCATCGCGGTACTCCTTGACGTATGTCTCAGCACGCTTGAAGATGACACCGCGCTTTTCCTTGTTGGCCTAAGATGAAATGTTAGCCGACATTCGGTACTCCCAAGTGATCAACCATTGTGAAGGCGGCAAGAATGTTCAGCCCCGAAAGATGGTATAACAAAGCGACAACATTGACCTGAGGTCTAGCCGCGCAGTGGAATTTATCATCACCACATTTATTTTCCCATGCAAACTTGGACGGTGTACTGACCTTCTTTCTCTTCTCGAGCGTGGCAGCACGCTGCTCTCTGGCCTTCTCCTGGCTCTTTCTCTTCTTCAACAAGGTCTCGGGCACGAGGACCTGGTCCTGCGTCGGCACGGATCTGTACGGGAGGAAATCGAATCAGTATAGTCCGCGGGTGAAATGATCGCCGAGTCGGAACTGCAGCTATGGCGCGGCATTCTCAAACTGGTGATTGGGCGTAAACTCGACGAAATAGATTTAATCAGTGAGAAAAAGACTGAATGGACGCCAGTAGTCACACATGGTCCTTTCGAATCTTAGAACTCTCAACTGACAACACCCTGTTCAGAGATCAGGAAAGCTTTTGACTCCATGACAGGTGCTCAAGTCTTGCGACAAAGCGAGCAAGTCATACGAGCTCAATGTATTTCGAGGAAGAAGCGTCAACTCCTCTAACCTCAACGCCCCGGCTTTTGTTTCCCAAACGATGATTTCTCATATGTCTTCGGGGTAGAGCCATTGGGATGATCGAGCTGGAACGGCGGCAGCGAAACCAGCGAAAAGGGAGCGGACCATATCTGAAGATACCAACTGTCAGCAGGATGGTAAGAGATACTTACGACTTCACAATTGGCTTGGTCATCTTGTCTGATGATGTTGTTGAGCGCCGGCCAAGGTTGAAGAAGTGAGGAATATCAAAAAGTTTCAACTGCGCCGGGATTAAATTCGAGTTGTGGGCGGCTTGGAGTCTAAACCTAAAACGGAAAGGCTGACTTCTGATTTCTTGGCACATGCATTAGGCGTTTTCTGTCTGACAATGTCACAGCCAAGTTCACCAACTCATTGTTCCTTTCTGATGTTCGTCCTTATGTTTATCTATCCTAAAATACAGGAATGTCGACCAGGAGAGGCGTTGGCTTGGGCGCCTTCTCAAATAGAAATGCCACGGCCCAGTCCTACGCCGCTCACGGCTCAAACTTGAAATCCGCCAATGCTGCCTCGCTCCAGGCACAGCTGGAGGTTTTCCAGTCTCTCCTACATAACTTCGCACTCGAACATGCGGCGACCATCAAATCCAACCCGACGTTCCGCGCCGAGTTCGCGCGCATGTGCAATGCTATCGGTGTTGACCCGTTGGCGGGCTCTAACATCAAAGGTAAAAAAGCGGATTCGCTCTGGGCGAAAGTCTTGGGCCACGATGTTAACGACTTTTATTTTTCGGTCGCGGTGAGGGTGGTCGAGTTGTGTCAAGCGACGAGGGCGGAAAATGGTGGATTAATTGGATTGAAGGAATGCTGTGAGAGCGTGGCCAGGGGAAGAGCCATCGGTGGTGGTCTGCAAGTGTCAGAAGATGACATCGAGAGGGCTGTTAAATCACTGGAACCCCTGGGGTCGGGATTTGTCATTCTCACAATCGCGAACAAACGGTTCATACGATCGGTCCCAAAGGAGTTCAACACGGATCAATCCACCGTGCTGGAGGTTCTACAGCTCCTCGGCAGTGTGACAGTGTCCCTCCTACAGCTCAACCTAGGATGGGAGCGGGCTCGTGCCGAGACTGTCATCCAAGATCTACTGGCTGATTCTCTGGTGTGGGTGGACTATCAGTGTCCAGAACCTGAATATTGGTCACCCCAGGGACTCCTAGACGAGAGTGACTAATGGAGTCCACGAAAGGGAACTCGACAATTCTTTGAAATGGGCGATCTTGTCGTTCTATCAATTGTGGCCTGGCTCGAGTCGCGGAGGACATCATCCATTTACTTCTTATATTCGTCCTTGAGCACCCATCGCCCACGACCCCGGCTCCCCTTCTCCAGCCTGGCGATCAACTTCAAGGTCTCCTTGAACTCCAGAGTCGCTCGAGGAGTAGTGCAGAAGCGATTGAAATGGTCGATCAGCATCTGAGTGTATACACTTCCTCCGTGGGTGGTGAGGTAGTCACGTATCAGTTTACCAAAGTCCTTGCCTTGAGGCAAGGTTGGTGTTGCATCTCTGGAAATCGAAGCTGTCGAGTCTGTGGATCTAGCAGGACTGGCTGTTCTTGGAGTACCATCTCGGCTCGGTGCAAGTCCGCCCTGCCGCTGCTGCAGGTTTGTCAGGAGACTAGACGACTGAATCCCACCACCTCTGTTTCGGGAATTGGAGCTGAATGCCCTCTGTGCTGTTGTCTCCTGAGGCCGGCCAGAGATACCAAACTGTCCCGTCCAAGTGGGCGTGCCGATTGGAACAGTGCGAGCAACTTCACCTGCACGTCGCAGTTCTCTAGCCGCTTCAGCAGCCACTTTTCGCGCCTCTTGTTCAACCAGAGCCGGATCAGCTGCGACCTTCTTTCCAGCTTTTCCGTCAATAATCGTATCATGCTCGACCGCGGAGTGAATACCGGCGCGCGAAAAGATGCCTTCCATCATCCTGTCCTCGGAATTGTTGGTGCCGCCCTTGTTCGCCTGCTCCTCTTCTTCGATCTCTCCGGCAAATTGCTCCATGGATGATATTCCTGGTAGGTCGCCAATCGTTGTGTCCCCTGCGACGCTCGTCGATTTTTTTTCGGCATTGATTCTGGTGGCCTCGGGAGCTTTCGCTGACTTAGAAGGACGCTTAACCTGCGCATCCTGAAATAATATGCTCGTTTCGGTCGGCTCTCCTTCGTTTCCTAGACTGAATAGATCGTGCAGATCATTCAGGTGGAATGTCTGCCGCTGTTTTGGATCCTTGAGAATCTTGTTCGTCAAGAATTGCTTGAATATCTGGCGATGGTAGATCTTCTCTTCAATGGTGCCAGCAGTCATCAGACGGTATATGGCTACCTCGCGCTTCTGCCCTAATCGCCAGGCCCTTTCTCTAGCTTGCAGGTCGGTCGAAGGGTTCCAATCAGGGTCGTAGATGATCACTCTGTCGGCACCCGTCAGATTGATACCGAGCCCGCCAACCTTGGTCGTCAGGAGGAAAACATGGAGGTCTGGGTCGGTGTTGAATTCATCAACCATACTCTGTCGCAATTGGATGGGCGTGTTTCCGTCCATGCGTCTGTACTTGAAACCCGAAAGCGACCTGACATACTTCTCCAAGATGTCAAGCATGATACGATGCTGGGCAAATAAAAGTGTCTTGTGGCCGGTTTCCTTCCATAGTTCTAGAAGTGAACCAACAACCTGCATCTTGCCGGACTTCGACGGGTCGCCATAGTTGTATCCTGCTTTGATTGATAACCGTTTGTGATCTGTCAGATCTGGGTGGTTGCAAATCTTGCGCAGTATATCGACCCCATAGAGAACTTGACGCTTGCCATTGATGATTGCGTCCATCTCACCCGAGCCGATGAATCTCTTGTATTCTTCGCGCTGCAGATGCGTTAACTTGCAAAACAAAACTTGCTCGCTTTTCTTGGGTAAATCTGAGGCAACATCGATCTTGAAGCGTTGCAGCAAGTACGGGCTGATGGCCTCTTTAAGCGTTTCTGCACATTTGAAAGCAGTCTGAACTTGCAAATTCGACGCATTTGCGTATCCCCCTTGTCGAATCGGTATCTCGAACTGATTGCGAAAATTGACCAGCGTGCCCAAGCGCATGGGGAAAACAAAGTCGAAGAGAGACCACAGTTCAATGAGATTGTTCTGCATAGGGGTTCCAGAAAGAATGATTCGGTTCGGAGTGCGTAGCTCTTTGCAGTAGATAGTGATGGCGGTGTTTGGATTTCGAATCTTGTGTCCTTCGTCGAGGATAGCATATTGCCAGTCGACCGGGATTAACAGAGGCGCGTAAGTTTGTAGCCCAGAGTAAGTTGTCACGAGCACACCTCCTTGCTCTAGAATAGGCCGTAGGACCTTTCGAGCAGCCTTCTGTGCTCCAGTCAGCGGTTGCTGTCTCTGAGTCGGATCCCATTCCAGATCAAGTAGCTTATCTTCTTTGCTGGATTCGTTTCGCAAATTGACCATCCCGCTACCGGAAGAATGCAAAATGGTGACTCGAAAAGGTGGCCACCAGCGGTGAAATTCGTTGACCCATTGTTTCATAACCGTAGCCGGGCAGACTACAATGATAGGCTTATCCAGTTTCCTGCTGTAATGCAAGCCGGCCAGAAAAGCGATGATCTGGATTGTCTTGCCCAAGCCCATCTCATCGCCAATAATTCCCCCGACTTGTTGCGTGTAGAGCTCATAGAGCCATTGCACTCCAGTTTTCTGATAATCGAACAGGCTGGGAAAGATGTCTCCGGGTAGCTTGTAGCCATCATCGAAGAGAGTGTCTGGAATTTCGGGATGTGGCAGATATGCTTCTTCTGCGACATTCTCTGAATCTTCCTCTTTTGTTCCATTCTGTTCTTGTTCCTCACCCGTCAGATTCCGCGCTGCATATTTTCTGGCTCTCTGTCTCCGCAAAGCCCATTTTTTCAACCTGGATTTATAGACAGTTTCATTGCCATCGTCAACGCCACGGAAGTCTTCAATCTCATTCTCGACTTGGGCTGCCGCTTTCCGACCTTTTCTCGGTTTTTTCCCCGATGTAGTTGGCATTTCGTCATCGAGATCATCCTCGGATTCTGAAACGGATTGGTCTCCGACGTCGCCTTCGTCATATGATGATGAGTCTTCGTCCTTTATGGGCAACTGATTCATGAGACGTCTGCGCTTTCGGGGTTGGTCGGCTTGAATCTCGTCTTCCGCGCTCGAATCAGTGAAGCCAGTGGAAAAGCCGGGCTGTCTCAGATTCCGGTGGGACATGGACTTTGCACCTTCTGCGCGAGGCTCGACATCAGGGAGTTCTGGTTCTTCCTCGGCGTCAAAAAGGGCTCCCTGTAAAGTCGTCGAAGATTCTCCATGCGATGTCAGACCAAATTTGGAGAAAGGAGTGATTTTGCCAGTCCTGATCAAATAGTCACGCTGACTTTCGTTCGGTAAGCGTCCAGTAGCTGCGGCGTCGGGTTGACCTGCCATCCCTGCCGTATCTTCTCGTTCTCTCATTCTTTCCTCAATCTCAGCAATATCATTGTCCAATTCCTGGATTTGACCTTGCATGCGATCGATATCGAGGCGCAGACGCGCTCGTTGAGTAGTTCCAATGGGGCGAAGCATGTCATCTCGTGTCTTTTTGATCTGGTTTTGAAGTTTCTCCTTTTGTGTCTTGGATTTTTCGAGTCGCTGTTGGTCCCGCTGATGGGCTTGCTCAAATAAGAGCCGATCTGCCTCCCGCCCAATATCTCGTTCCAAGTCATCCTGATCCCGCACTTGGGCATCGAGGCCTCGAAGACGAAGGGCTTCAGCAGACTGGCCGGTCGGAAATTTGGTCATCTTATCGTCCCCAACTGTTGAAAGATGGCTGCTGCCCTCCTCCCCTTCACTATCCATAATCACAAACGTCAAAGAGTTAGCAGTGAATTGTGTGGAGAATGTATGTCGTCATGACCAAGAGGATAAAGATCCTGCTTGCTTCTAGGCTCTTTATGCCGATAACTTTGCGTTAAGATAATAGCGGGAGGATAAGAAAAGACATGCAAGGCTTCAGTGAAGTTCGAGTGTTATATTTCTTCAAAGCGTTGAGCGCCACTCTGAGGTACCAAGAGTGGCAATCTGAGATGCGATAGATATGAAGAGGGTGTGGTAACTAAGCCGGTAGAAAGAAGATCGTCGTGCGCAAATCTTTGACTCTGGGTAGAGAAGCAAGTGCAGTACAGTCTCTCTACACAGCGACAGCGGGAATTAGAAGTCGAAATAATATTTATCGGACCGGGAATGAATGCCTTTTCACTTGTCATTCAGGCTGCCATACGAGTACTTGGTACGTTGTTGCACCTCACAACGCCACTGCGGCCCCGTAAATTTTTTAGGGCGTTAGAACTGTCGGCCTACCTGCCCAATCCTGCACGCATCTGCCACTGCCTACTGCTCAGTCCGGGAACTCCCAATGCCCCCCCCAAGCAAGTTTCAGTTCCAGGCTGAGCAATAATGGATGGGTGCCCAATAATGAGCGGTAATAGCCGCCAGCATCTCAGTCCTGGCCATGCACACCAGACCAGGCACTAAACTCGACAACCGACTCTGCTTTCTTACAACGCCAAACATTCTCAAGACTTCCTCCTTACAATCCAATCCATTCATAGTCGTGATATTAGACTGAGATACCTAGACAGCTTGTCTCGTCTCACATTAGCCTGTCGTTCTCACCATTGTTCTGCTAGGGCATTTCTATCCTCATTGTCGGGCCGACCTAATTCCTCGAGTCTCTGCCAGCTCAGCACTTCCCACGTCCCTCGCCTCCACTCGACAGTCAGAGAAGAACGCCCGCACTTGTGAAGCGACCGATTCTCAACGCCATGGCCCTATGTTGAGCCTCTTACCCTCTCTTACCATGCGTCGAATATCGCCCTGGGTCCACCAGTCTCTCTTGACTGCGCTTACCATCGTCACTCCGCCACTCTGCCAACCCCTCTGAAGGCTCAAACGCACCCTGCCGATCTCACTTCACTTCACATCACATTGCAGAGAGGGTGTTTGCCTGGGTTTGAATACTTGCATCCATCGTGTGTGCTTGATGTATGCGTCGACGGTGTGATTGCTGCAGGACAAGCAAAATCACTGTGGCCCAGCTTTCAGCCCCATCGCGGCACGGAACTCTCTTAAATACGCAGTGTCCTGATTACAGTTGACAGACACACAACAGGAAGTCCGAGCAGCCATGTCCGCCAACACAACGCCTCAGACTCAGTCGCATCCCTATGAGCACAACGGCGAGGTCGATGTGCCTATGGAAGATGCAGATCCTTATAACCGAACCAAATATCCTCCGCGACCGACTCATCAACACCGCCTGTCTACCCAGTATATTCCCGAGATCTCAACAGCTGCACAGCGCTACTCCCCAATGAATGCTCAATCTACGGGTGCTGGGTACGTCGCCAGTCCCAAAACACAGAATCCTACCTCTTTCTCCTACCTCAACCAGGCCCAGCCTACGCGACAGTCTCCCCCTCGTCAAGGTAGCTACAATGCCGAGCGCTACACTGAAGCTCCGACCCCAACGAGATACCCGTCCGATTATGGTTCTGCCCTTCAGAGCTCCACGTTGAGCCCCGATTCCTTTTATTCGACCTCTGCAGGCAACGCACGCCCTGCTCCTCTGTCAAGACAACAATCACAGCATCAAGGACTGGGACCTGTGCCGAAGTTCAGAAACGTCAAAACCATGCAAGATCTCAACCCCAAAGTCAACTCACAACCACCTTATCGCCGGGCGAATCCAGAAGGCGGGTTTATCAGCCCGTTGCAAGCGCTTACCACCTACCTCCCAGCGACGTACCGCATATGTAATCCTAGCTTCAAATACGAGTCATCCCGAAATCCGAGGCGGGTTTTGACAAAACCGAGCAAAGGAACAAAGAATGATGGCTACGATAACGACGATAGCGACTACATTCTCTACGTCAACGATATTCTGGGCAGTGAAGAGGCAGGCCACAAGAATAGATACTTGATTTTGGATGTCCTAGGTCAGGGCACTTTTGGTCAAGTGGTGAAGTGTCAAAATTTGAGAACCCAAGAAGTTGTTGCGGTCAAGGTCATCAAAAATCGCACGGCTTACTTCAATCAAAGTATGATGGAAGTCTCAGTCCTCGATCTGCTGAACCAGAAACTCGACAAGAATGACGACCATCATCTTCTGCGACTCAAAGACACGTTCATACATCGGCAACATCTGTGTCTTGTTTTCGAACTCCTCAGTGTCAACTTATATGAATTGATCAAACAGAATCAATTCCGAGGTCTCAGCACGACACTTGTCCGTGTCTTTGCGCAACAGTTGCTTAACGGGTTGACCTTGTTGAACAAGGCGCGGCTGATCCACTGTGATCTGAAACCAGAGAATATACTCTTGAAGAACCTGGAAAGTCCGATCATCAAAATTATCGACTTCGGATCTGCCTGCGACGAAAGGCAGACTGTCTACACTTACATACAATCTCGATTTTACAGATCGCCTGAAGTTTTGCTGGGACTCCCTTATTCGTCTGCTATTGATATGTGGTCTCTTGGATGCATTGTTGTGGAGTTATTTCTGGGTTTGCCGCTCTTCCCTGGTTCATCTGAGTATAACCAAGTGTCCCGAATTGTCGAAATGCTGGGAATGCCGCCGACGTGGATGTTGGAGATGGGGAAGCAGTCGGGAGAATTCTTTGAAAAGACGACGGACGAGTTCGGTCGTCGTACATATCGACTCAAAAGCATGGAGCAATACTCTCGCGAGCACAACGTCAAAGAGCAACCTAGCAAAAAGTACTTTCAAGCAACCACACTCCCCGAGATCATTCGGAGCTATTCTATGCCCCGCAAGAATATGAAACAAGCCGAAGTGGAAAGAGGTAAGTTCACAAAGAAGTTCCCCACGAATGTAGTTGCTGACTCAAGCAGAAATGAACAACCGCATCGCCTTTACCGACTTTGTTCGCGGATTGCTCACCATCAACCCCCTAGAACGCTGGTCGCCCCAGCAAGCCAAGCTACATCCTTTTATCACGCAGTCAAAGTTTACGCAACCATTTGTTCCCCCTATGAATCTGAAGTCTCCGTCTAGCAAGACCCCGGCACCCGGTGTGCAGCAGCAGCAACAAGCTGAAGCACTCAGCAAACAACGGGCTGCTCAAGCCGCTCAGGCTCAGGCACAAGCAGCACAAGCGGCTCATGCGCAAGCCCAGGCGCAATCAGCGGCTCAGAACGTCTACACGATGCAGATGACTCCTTATCCACAATCTCAACCGCCACCAATGTACAGCAATATGTACCCGGCCCATCCACAAGGTGCACCGCCGCCTTATCCAACTCACTCGTCAAACTATCCTGCACAAATGGGTATGATGCAGCAAACTCCGCAGATGAATCCGAGTCACTACAACCACCAGCAGAGTCTGTACGCGCAGGCCACGCAAAGGGCCGGCCGTCAACGTGCTTCAACCATGGATCAACAACAGGCGGGCATCCCTGCAGCCATCCAACGTGTTGCTAGTCATCTTGATCCGAACCAACCAATTCGACTTCAACCGAGTCCTGCGTATTATCCACCTCCAGCAGATGGATATGTCGATTCGCCATCGACCGCCAGAAGACGTGGGAGTCGAAACCAAAGAAATCGCGATTTCATCCGGACCCTGGAAGATGGCGCGATGGGTGACAGCTTTATGAGCAAGGCGCAGTGGCATTGAGCTGGGTACCATGCGGACCCGGGATAGTTGAGATCAGGCTTGTTCGCCGAAGATCAACGTCCTGCAAATACATCCTTTGCGGATTGGTAAGAGAATGCCGTTGATGAACAAGCTCGAAAGCCTTGGCGTGCGCGGGCGGAAAAGAAGTTCTGCCACAAAATGCCATGGGGAACAACAAGCACCGAAGCTCTGACTGTGAAAGTGAGGTCGGAACGGGTCTTGGACCGAAGAGAGGGGTTCTGAGTCTTTTCTCTGGAACAAATTACTGCACCATCCTCCATTCGGTCGTGATGAATCAGATACAGCAGGCTGGGGTGGGACCAATGTTCTCAGAGATACAAACACTCGATTCTCAACTCCTCAGGATGCTTCTCAGGTTTGCAATGATAAATGAGAGATGACTTTAGGTGATGAAGTGAGCACAGTGTTGACATCAGAGAATCATGGTAGTCATTGAATGCAGAAAGCTGCGGATGCCGTACAGGACGGGACAGACAAGGAGGGAATGTTGGTATTGTATTTTTGTCATCTACCCAATGATGCCAGGTGGAGGTCAATGCAGATTGACAAGTCGAGGGGATCAGTGAGCCCTTCGCGAGGTAGCAGCATGCTCATATCCAGACATGGGAGACTCGCAAGCGTGAAGTGTACCGCTAGAAATCCGTTCGGCCATGTGATCTTGTCTGTACATATTTTGTAGGGTTTCCTCATGTCATTCCATTCGCTGCAATGATCGGGTAGGCTTGCGCCTTTACCAAGGATACGGATCCTCAGTGACTCATAGACCTACAATGACTCGCGGTACCCAGGCGGTGAGGACAGAACACATTGTGACAGTCAGTATTTGAGGGTACGATGAGTCAGATAGAGTGATGAGCAGTTGACGTCAGACATAGCCAAGTCGTTGTTATGGCTAGTGGTGCTAGTGGTATATAACAGCTATAATCCCCGGTCATTTCAACTGGCTTGGCAGCCTTGGCACTCAACCAGAATTTTGGATTCTTTCCCTCAACTGCGGATTTGCACAGTCGAACCCGGAGCGTTTCGACCATCACACCAGTACAGCCTCAGTTGCTGCGTCGACATAACCGTCTTGTTTGACACTTCAGTACTGAATTCGATCAAAATGTCGTCGCGGTTCTTTCACGGAGGCGACTCCGATAGCGAGAGCAGTTCCTCGGAAGAGGAAGAACTCTACAGTGATCGCGAGGAAGAATCTGAAGAAGAATCCGCAGAAGAAGAAGAGGAAGAGGAGTCAGAGGAAGAGTCCAGCGAAGATGAAGGTCGTGGTATGGGTGCGAGCCGCTTCCTGAAGCCTTCAGGACCTGGCGGCGACGAATCCGACGAGAGCGAAGACGAGGATCGTGAGAGAGTGGTCAAGAGTGCGAAGGATAAGAGATTTGAAGAATTGGAGAACACGATCAGGACAATTGAGAATGCTGAGAAGATCAACGACTGGGCTGTCGTGTCTTCAGGTTCGTATTCGTGTCTCGATCTGCTTGATGGAACTGCTCTAACGCGCGCATAGAGTTTGACAAAATGAACCGACAAGTTGTCAAAGTCACTCAACAAGGTGCCACTCCGAAACTCTACATTAAGATGATTGCCGATCTCGAGGACTTGATCAATGAAACGAACGACAAGCAGAAATCCGGTGCAAAGAAGATGAATCCCATCAATGCAAAGGGGTTCAATGCCATGAAACAAAAGATCCGGAAGAACAACAAAGAGTACATTACTGAGATCGAGAAATACCGAGCAAACAAGGAGGAATTCATGGAGTCGGATGAGGAAGAGCCCCTGGAAGTGGAACAGAGGACACGCAAGAACAAGGTTCAGAGACTCGACGCTATTGAAGCTGCCATAGATGAAGAAGGCTTTGCAACGGTCGGCAGAGGTGGCAAGGCTCTCGTCTACACACCGGAGAGTATCTTGAAACATCTCCGCACAATCATCGAGTCACGGGGAAAGAAGAACACGGACCGGTCTGAGCAGATCCGCATCATGGAGAGACTTTTGGACGTTGCCAGCACACCATATCAACGGATACGGGTTCTCTTGACCTTGATCTCGACAAGGTTTGATGTCACCACATCCTCGGTCCAGGCCTACATGTCCCAAGAGTCGTGGCGATCCGCAGAACGTGAATTTTCAACTTTACTGCAAACGCTGGAAGATGAGCCTCAGTACATGGTGACTGAGGTCGCCGAAGAATGGGAAGATGATGAGAAACAACCCAACCCTGCCGCAGGCGAGATTTTCAAGATTCCTGGCAGCGTTGTATCCCTCGTCGAGCGACTGGATGACGAATTGACACGCTCCCTCCAACAAACTGACCCTCACACAGCCGAATACATCGAGAGACTTAGCGATGAGCAGCTCTTGTACACCGACATTGTGCGTACGCTCATTTATATCGAAACCATCAACAAGAAACTGGACAAGTCCGAGGGCAAGCAAGACAACATCAACCGCACGACCATCCGACGGCTGGAGCACATCTACTTCAAACCCACGCAGGTGGTCAAGATCCTGGAAGAGAAGACCTGGGGCGCCATTCCGTCTTCCCTAAACTCCGAACTCACTCCACGAGGCAAATTTACCGAAGTTGCCACGCTTGTGCAGACGCTCTGCAACCATCTGTTCGAGCACAGCGAGGGCATCATTCGTGCGCGTGCCATGCTCTGCGAGATCTACTTCCTGGCCCTCCAAGATGACTACTACCGCGCCCGTGACCTTGCGCTGATGAGCCACTTGACTGAGAATATTTCTTCCTTCGACGTGTCGACACAAATCCTCTTCAACCGTACTCTAGTTCAAATCGGTCTCTGCGCCTTCCGTGCAGGTCTTTGCTACGAAGCGCAAGGTGTCCTACAGGAGATCTGCGGCTCTGGACGGCAGAAAGAACTCCTCGCTCAGGGTGTCATCATGCAACGCTACTCAACTGTCACGCCGGAGCAAGAACGCCTGGAGCGACAGCGTCAACTTCCTTTCCACATGCATATCAACCTGGAGTTGCTTGAATGTGTCTACCTGACCTGCAGCATGCTGTTGGAAATTCCGTTGCTGGCTCAGACCGGCTCATCACCGGACGTTCGCAAGCGTGTCATCTCCAAAACGTTCCGTCGCATGCTCGAATACACGGAGCGACAGGTGTTTCAGGGCCCGCCGGAAAACACACGAGACCATGTCATGCAAGCTGCCAAGGCTCTTGCCCAGGGTGATTGGAAGAAATGTCAGGACCTGATCAGCAAAATTGGCATCTGGGACCTCCTTGGCCTCGAAAATAAAGAAAAGGTCAAGAAGATGCTGGCAGAACAAATCCAAGAAGAAGGCCTCAGGACATATTTGTTCACTTACGCTCCATATTACGACACCCTGTCCATCACCACTCTCTCCGGTATGTTCGAACTCGACTCGAAGAAGATCTCGGCGGTCGTGTCCAAGATGATTTCCCACGAAGAACTCGCCGCTGCTCTCGATCAGGTCAAAGATGCAATTGTCTTCCGCAAGGGCGTGGAACTTTCGCGCCTGCAAAGCCAAGTCATCACCCTCAGCGAAAAGGCGATGGGTATTCTGGAGTCGAACGAGAAGGTGCTCGAGACGAGAACCGCGGGTATGGCCAATGCGTTCTCAGCCCAAGGACAGAGAGGAGCAGGCCGCGGTGGAAGAACCGGAGGCAGGACCGGGTTGCCGGGTCTCCCGAGACAGGGACAGCAAGGAGCGCGGAGGCCCGGCGGGCAACAATTCAGCGGAGGGGCGCTGGGCGGGGCGATCAAGGCTTGAAGAACTTGAATCTTTGTTACTCGGGAAACCAGAAATGCTTGAAAACTGCACCGGGTGCACGCATGGAGACGAGACATGGTCACGCACACAAGATGATCTTATGAGTCCGATGAGGCTGTTTCCCTGGCATCTCTCTCTCTCTCCATTTCTGCGGGGAGGGTCATTTACAAGTGATAGACTGACTGCTTATGATGAAAAAAAGGTCCCGGAGAGGCCACATGCTGGAGGTCTATGCATGCATATCGCAATACAGCCCCCTTGCTACCTGCCAGATAGGACGGGTCTCTCTCTGCGCACGTGTATCATCTATCTATCTTAAAGTTGATTGATGGGCGATTGACGCATGGCCGGGGCCACGGGTTTGGCATAGCCTGTACCCCAATCAATGTCTTACTCGAATGAGAGAAAAATGGTAGTTCCAAGGACTATTTTATCCCTCATACCCATGTTCTGTCTAGGATGCGCCGTTGTTTCTTGTCTTCCCTCTGTCCAGCTACGCCCCCGAGGTATTTTTCCGTCTGTATTCCTTCTTGCACTCGTCGTCCTGGACTTGCGCTGGGAACCTTGGCGGAGAGTTCCACGGAATCTTCGCTTCCTCGCTCGGTATTGGGATTTGTCCTGCCTAGGGAGGGTAAAGCGATCTACGGTGCTCGCATTGGAGAGAGGGCGGCAGTAGTGTTAGAAGACAATAGATGATTTGATACATATATATCACAGCCCTCTATACATGGCATATACATTGCTAAGTCGCTTTTGGCTTTCCCCCTAGGGCCTGCTTCACCCTATGGTCTTCTCTGACAATGAGAAGCTCCCCTCTCCAGATTTTTAGCAAGGTGAAGGCCGCGTTGACGAAGAAGACCAGGATCAAGAAGACGACCTGGATGACGGTGACGATCTTGAAGAAGGCTGACTCCAGCTCGGTGCCCAGCAGCAGCGTCGCGGTGGTGAGCGTGCCCGTGGGGAAGATGATGGCGTTCCACGTCGGTGCCCACGTCAACTCGCGGCGGACGAGCCGGAGGAGCATGGCGACGAGGGCGAAGCCCAGCCACACCGCGCCGAGACCCGTCATCAACAGCGCCAGGAAGGTGCAGGTTACCTGCATCGACGCGGCAGCCGACGCGGTCAGGAAGATCCCTCGGTTGTAGGCTCCGAAGTGTCCGTGAGTGTTGGCCGCCGACCCCAGCAGTTGCAGCGCCGCGGCCGACTGTCCCATGGGTCCCACGAGGATGAACAGAGTGGCGGTCATAGGGGGAGCTGGCCACCCTTTCGCCAGCAGCTGGTAGAGCAGGAAGGTGTACAGAATCAGGCCGAGGAAGATTCCCGCCCCGACGGCGCACAGTGACATGATGATGACAGGGACGGCGAGTCCCGGAGACACCTTGTGCGCAAAGCACGCGAAGATGCCCCCGACTGCCGCCAACGTGGCCACTCCAACGGCGGGGATGATGATGAGAGTCGGGAGATAGGGGTCCATGATGGTGTGCTGCTGGATCAGGTTGGAGAAGACGAAAAGCAAGAGGCCGAAACTCCAGACCGCTGCTATCCACCACATAACACACGCGACGATGGTGAACGCATGGCCGCCCCACGAGGCCTCGCTCACGGTCAGGGTGACGAACGACACCAGCGTCATGAAGGCAATGGACCAGCACGGGAACAGACACAAGTCCAACACGTTGTCGACGAGTTCCTGGTACGCCCGTCGTTTGTAGATGACGAAGTGCAGGATGAAGAGGACCGAGAAGACCACATAGAGGACGAGGTCAATGGTCAATGCTATCGTCGAGAGCACACGAAGCCCCGGGAACTGGTATGGGAGCTGGTGGAGGAGAGTCCCAATGGCGCCAGCATTCATACACCATGTGAACCTGTCATACCTCTGTCAGAGACTTTCTTAAAAGTACACAGAGAGAGAAAAGACTCGTGCGAATGGCTATGGTATAGAACCCATGTGATATAGCGCGCAGGACATACCAAATCGGACTGAAATCTTGCACCAGTGCCCGAAAAGCGCTTCGAATTAGTGGCCCACGGTAGATATCGACAGCATTTTGCTCCTCGTCGTCGTAGTTGGTATTGAGCTGGGGTTGGTCGTCGTCGTCGTCCCCATCGCCCTTTGGCGGCATCTCCAGCATCTTGCAGCTCGTGGTTCCCTTCTTCTCAGAAAGGTCCGGATCTGGATGGGCCCAACCACAACAATATTAGATGCCATGGTTCATAAAGGTTTTTACCTTGAACTCCCCTCAAGTCGGCGTGGAGATCCGGTGTTTGTCAGTTGGGTGGCCGGGTACAACACCGGCCGGGTAGTGGCCGCCTATGAAGTGCCCGTAAGCAGACGGCGAGTCTAACATAATAACGGTGATGGCGATGATCCTTTCTTGGGGATTTCCCCTCCAGCACTTGCATCAGCAGGATTAGCAACGGGCTCACTAGGCCCGATGGCAATCCCCCCAATGGCTGGTGGGTTGATGGCGCAATGCTGGAAATAGCCAAGTTGCCCTTTTTGTGACTAGGACTTTGGGGATTCGGCATCTCTCCAACGGGGGAATATTGCTAGATCGCCCCATACTTACCTAGGTCATAGGCTTGATTAGCAAAAAGAAAAAAGGGGGAAGCCTAATGCCAGAAGTTGCCTTAGACTAATAGGGGGGAAATATTATAACTGGCCGTACCGAGTAGAGCTAGAAAATATCCGCCCTGCCATTGTCAGCCATATGTACACATGGACCATCAGCCACGAACCCAACACATAAAGAACATCACTGATATTTCGTCGGAGCATGCCCACTCTTCTCTGTGTTATTTCCCGCAGACATCAGGATCGTCATGAGAGCTCTGAACAAGTTGCGTGGTTGCGTGTCGCCTCTGTCGCCAAGTTGGTCGCCTCCACCAGGTTGTGACCCTGGCCTGTTTCAGAGCTCTGGCAGTCTGATACACGCTGCGGCCTTTTCCACAGTCTTGACGCGTGAGCCAAGGCCGTCCCAGACTCACCGCTGCTCTGCTCCGTGCCTGTGGTGACGACCGAGGTGGGGATTTGGTGAACGTCGTACGCGGAACAAGACTTCATCGGCTCAACCTGCGACTCTCGGGCCCCTCGTCCTGTGCACCGCTTATACGGGGCTGGATCGAATACTGTGCAAGTTCATGCCGCATGGTGCCTCATATTCTGCATCATCATGACTTCCGGCCATGCCCTGGAGCCATGTCGGTAAGCTACGGTAAGCTATTATACAACAGGGGGCCATTTGATAGACGACTTGACTCCTCTCATCGTCCTCTTTCTCGCTTTCTTTCTCTTCGTATCGTCTATCGCTGGTCGAGTTCGATTCCTTGTCCTTTGGTTTCCTGTTTGGGTATTTGTCGAACGCTGAGGCTGGTTCCTCTGACATATTCAATTCGTGGTCTCCTTGCTTCTCGTCAATGCTTGTCTTGTTATATCTCCTTGGCCACATAACCATTGGGAAGTTGTTCGACGGCCGTTGCCGTTCAAGATGCCTGCTACCGACCTGAAAAGACGGTTTGACAGGTCTAAAATCGCTCCATTGAAGGCAGAACGGAGTGAAGGCTCATACGGACACGAAAAACCAGAGCTCGTCGAGAGACAAGGTGAGAGCGCGTCGCTGATTCCCAATGCCTGCCGTCTCTGGTGTCGACATCCTTCTTTCCCTCCTAAACGCCATGGCTCCCGTCTCCCTCGAAGCTAACGACTCGGTCAGTTCTACCGGAGAACAACTTCGTTCCTTCGGATCAGATATCTAGTGATGAAGACAGCGGGAGCGAGGATGAGGGGGCTGATAATTCCTCGGACGAAGAGGAAGACCTCAACAATCCAAATCCCTTTGAACCAATGACATCCACGGCCTCGCGAGACCAGACATCCATCAGCACGTCTACAACGACGCACAAGCACCCATTCCCGACCCGTTCGTTGACAAGCAGCTCTGCCACGTCCACCTACGTCTCAGCATACCCACCGACATCGACGGAAACGGGCACCACCCCCTCGCAGGGACATCTTTCCACCAGCTCGACGTTCCCCGGCTCCTTCACTACAAGCTCACCTCCCACCACTGTCGTCCCCCTGGCCACATCAGTGTCGACCAGCCCAATTGCTGCCAGTGAGGGTGTCAGTGCCTCAAACCACCCGATTGCGAAAGCGGCGATTATAGTCCCATCCCTGCTGGGCGCCGTGGCCGCTGTTGTGGCAGCCTACCTTCTCTTCCGCTATTGCACTTCGCTCAAGACTAGATGGGCAGTCTACCGAGCACGGAGAGGTCAGAGGCTACCCGGCGAGGAAGAAGACGGGCCGGCTCCCCAAGTAGCTCCGCCCATGTCTGAGTCGTATACCACGCGGACGACAGAGCTCACACTCCCTCCACCCCTATACACGGCTTCAACAGCGACTCCCCCAACGCCGTCGGTCGCTGGAGACCCAGACATCGCAGTTCCCGTCACGACCAGACGCGCTCCTCCACCACTGCTGGTTCGCACTGGGTCGAAGAGCACGACTCCTGCCAACGCCGCGGTTGCCGACCAACATACTCGCTCTCACAGCGGAACACGAAGCCTGCACAACGACACGACACTGCCGCCAGCGTACACGTTGGGTGGCCACGGAACTCACACTTTCCAAGTCCACGTCGAGGAGGACACCGGAGCTCGAAACGGGGAGGAAGCACCATTCAGACATCCCAACGGCCTCGCCAACAACCCCCCAACTCCCGTTGCGCGGAAGCACCCTTTGACACCGTCGATCCGGGGACACGAACCCACAAGTCCTGTGCCCAGCATGCCTTCTCCCACCTGCCTCTCAGTCGGTAGTCGCCTCAGCATGGACTTCCCCATGCCACCGACGGCGCCGTCGGCGGCGCACTTCTCGACACCCTCTTCTCCGCCGGGATCCACCTTCAGTCCTCCGCGACGGCTGCGCAAGTCCATCACCCCTTCCGAGAGCATCTCCAACGTGCCCGACTCGCCCTTCCCGTTCTCGCCCGCGCTCCGGCCGCCCATGCCGCCGCCGGCCTGGACTTCGCGCTGGAGCCACAATTCCTCGAGCATCCACGGGCGCATAGCAACAGTCCTGGCCGAGGAAAGATGCCCTGCGCCGCTGCGCCACAGCGCAGGCCCGGGTCTCGTGGACACGAGGCTATCCCCACTGCGGTCTCCGGCTCCGAAAAAGATATCGAGTTACTCGCTTGTGGCACCCCCATCTTAAGCGTGACGCTTTGGTGGGAAAGGGGGAGCATTTAGCAGTGCATTCACCACCCTGGGACACCGGCGTAAGCTTGTCAAGGGGCATCGTTGATTCCGATAGGAGACACATACTATCACGGACATCCAAACCCGGCTATATCTTGGAGCCAATAGTGCCGGCTGTTTAAGTGGAGTGTCAATCGATACCAGTCAAGCTGAGGACTTATTTACAAGGGTGTGAAGCACGAGAAGGAGAAGGAGAAGGAAAAAGAAAAGAAAAGAACCACCTTGAGGAAGCTGGCTGGCTGGCCCGCCCATGTGAATTTTATGTACCGAGTACGGTTGTATCATCTGATGATGGTGGCACGAATCTGAGTTGGAAACCTCAAAAGACTATATAGAAAAAGAGGCAGCAGAGAAATAGATTTTAAACCCCCTTAGCAAAAGGGACAAGAAGAGTCACTGTCCTTCCTCCCCCGCCCCACCCAACTCTCTTGCTTCGATACATCGGGAACATGTAAGGGTAGGAGGCGAGCACACAGCCCGCGATGGAAGATATGATAAACAAATGGTAGGCTGGTTCTGGAATGACATCGAGCAAAGTGCTCCCTTTCACACCTTGGATCCATCACCTAGGCCGCCGTCAGCAGCAGATGAGAAAGCCTAGCCCAGTTTGTTCCTGCAACGCAACTCCCTAGTTCAACGAATGCCGCCACTTGCAGCTGAGTCTACCGGCTGCCCACCGGTTCATTATTATTCCACCTCCTCAGCTGGCGAACCAGTTCCAGGTGGTTCTCGTGAACGGCGACACGACGATGGTGGGCGGCTTCCTGCGGCAGTTGGCGCAGCATTTATCCTCGCAGCACTTCTTCTTCTTTTTCTTCAGCTCGTCCTCCAACGTCTGCGCGTCCTCCTTGTACGTCTCCGCCTGGCCCTTCTCGTACGACGCCTTGTAATGCTCGGTGAGGGCCTCCTGGAACTCGCGCTCGGACCTGTCCCTGTTCTCCATCGACTCTCTCCTCAACAGTCGACAGGCGGGCGTGTTGAAAAACCGGGCGGGCAGGACCTCGGACGACGCCTCGAGCGCCGTGTCGATCTCGTTGGCGACGTCGGCGCATTTCTGTGACGCGTGTTCGTGCTTTTGGACCTCGACCATGTCTTTCCATGCTTCTTCGTATTTCTTGATGGATTTAGTCCGGAGGACGTCGACGAGGTCGGTCACGGGCTGTGGAGGCGGCTGTTTTGGTTGTTGAGATGGCGGGCGAGTTCCCGGTGTGTAATGTCGTTGGACTTCCCAGTACGGAGCACCACTTGGTCGCTCGAGCACCATCCAAGAATCGGAAGCCATCTGCAGTAGTTGCTATTGTATTGTGGCTGTGGCTGATATGTAAGTGTCTCTGTCGGATTGTATCTTGATTGAGAGGCTCCTAAGGGTAGGTTGCGGGCTCGTGGCACACTGTTTCTTGTATTTGGGCAGATTGATTATTGACAAGACCATGACTACCGGTCCGGCTCTGGCTGCCTAGACATATTTAAATGGAAACTATCAGTAGGTAGGGAGGCTCGTGACCCAATCAGGAGACGCTCGTATTCTCGAACGATCAGACGTGAGTCGACCAAGGCCGAGCCTTCGTTTTGAGGCTTTCGCGGTCGGGGACGAAAAGAACGTTCGTATTATTCTCTGCAGGACATATAGCGAATGCTCGGCATCATCTGAGCCCTGAATTGTCATATCATACGTCCAGAGGGCAAGCAACCTTTGTTTCCTATAGGTCAATATGGCAACCGGAGAACAAGAGAGAACAAGACAACCGGCCGTCAGGTGGCTTGGTCGAGAATCGAAGGTGCCAATTTCTAGACACGAGCAACGTACGATACCAAGACTCCCAAGTCTGCAGGTCATAGCTGGTCACAAGACAAACCTATCTTGGCCCAGAAACTGGGGAGAGTGGTATGGTGGAGCGAGAGAGCCTCCAGGACCGTTGAATGAATGCGGCTCTTACCAAAAAAAATAGATCTCCATCAGTTTAAAGCAGCTCGGCAGCCAGAGTAAAGCGACCCATTTCCTGAAGTTGATCGTTGAAGGGGAGCGAAGCTAGACACCGACGACGCTCGTGAAGCATAGCCTCCTCGATCTCACTTCTCTAGCCTGTACATCGGCGAACAATATTTGACACAAACGGATCCCGGGCATTGTGCAATTGCTGCAGAAGGCGGCGGGTACGGGGAGTATCACCAGTACTCTCCAGAGGCTGGCGTGACTGCTTGGCGCCTTGGTAGGAATTGAAGACGAGGAATGAAGTTGGAAGAAACACGAAGGTTCAAAACGAGTTTAGGCGAAAGCCGGAAGTCCAAATCCGGCGATCCGCAACCTGCAATGATTGGCCAGTCACTCCATTGAGCTAGCCCTATTAGGAAGCCCCTATCTCTCTATCTTTCCATCCTCCACAAGTCACGTCACATTCTCATTGTTGAAATGTGGCTGGAACTCCACAGTATCTGACAAGAACCATCCATCCGGCCTCTTTGATATATATGCAGAAGAGGTGAGCAGATTGTGGGTTTGGAGGCGCCTTACGGTTGAGGGATCGAGGAGGATGTACGTCGTGCAAGTCATCATTGTTCAAATATTCATTACAAGTAATGAGAGTGACGATTTATTGTAAGAAGAAAATCCAGCGAGTCGTAGAAGTCGTCGAGAAACAGCCAGTCAAGCCAGCCAGCCCGCCAAAGAAGTCATGTATTCTGTACGTGAAAACCGTGTATTTGCGCCTCATTTCTTGATCCAGCGATCGTGCTCGATTCATTCGCATTCATTCACAAGACACCTTCAGATGAGAAGCACCCCGAGTGCGTGCCAGAATCTGATACAAATCACATCATTGCCTCTCCAGCATTCTTTCCCATGGCCTCGATCCCCAGGTTCATGGCGTACAGTCCCGGACCCGGATCATCGCTTTTTAACTTCACACGCCCATCCTTCAATCCCTTCGCCCTTGGATCCCACAGGGACATCGACATTGATATTCTCCATGCCCTTGACGCCCTTCAGGAACTCTGAATTCGACATCCCACCCGCATTGGCACGCGCTTCCGGAGGTAATTCGAGCATCGGGGTCAAAAAATCACTGATCCGCTTGGCCTCCTCCACCGAGAAATGATATTTCTCTCGCAACACATCAGGTAGAGCCCAATGTCGTAGTCGATGGATATTACGCAGCTCGCCTTTTCGGTTGAAGATCTCTTGTGACCATTTCCCCGACAGGCACAAAGATTTCGGGAATGGGCCGAGCAGTTCAATAATCTGTGCAATATGATCGTCGTCTTTACCGTATTTGGTTCCTGATTGGGGATCGAAGAGGTAGTCGCCTGTTATCAGTTCAAATACCTGGAGATTGTCAGTGTGCGCGCCAGAATTTCATTGATTACCACGTACCATGCATGCCATGCTCCACACATCGGTGCTGGCGCCCCATTTGGCACCCAGAATCACCTCTGGCGACCGATATTGTCGAGTCTGGATATCGTTCGTGAAATGATGGCCCACCCAGCAAGCATTACCCAAGTCTGCGATTTTGACGGAGATAATCTCACCCAGGGGCTCGTCCTCATTCTTGGCTGCCTTCAACACTTTGTCGACATCCGACGACTTCTTATTGTCAAGGGAGACTCCAGCCAAGTCCTTTTCTAAAGGATCCGTTGTCCCTTCTCTCGCCTTCTCGCCAGTAGACGGCTCCTCATTCGCCTTGTTCTCTTTTGCCTTCAGCTTCAGCTGTTCGAGCATGGAGAGGCCGTCTGTCGACTTGTTTGCAACAGAATCATTAATTACCTGATTCAGGCTACTGGGGGCGTGGTGGTGTGCCCCAATTTTGTCCAAGTTTGTGAAGCTGGCGTTAAGCGGACTGGGGAGGGGCTGACTTCCGGTGATCAGAGTCCGTCTCCGTCTCCGTCCATTTCTGTTGTCGTCTTTTGTGGATTCTTTCTCTTCCTTGACAAATGCTTTGACAATCTGTTCGACATCACCGATCTCAATCAGAACATTTTCAGGCTTCAGGTCAGTGTGAATGATGCCGCATTCACGATGTAGGTAGTCCAGACCCAAAAGAACTTGTTTGGTGATTTGTTTCACCAGTGGCATTGGAATGCCGCGATGGTTCCATCTCTTGATGAGACCCAGCAGGTTTTCTCCCAACACCTCAAAGACCATACAAACATGGACACCATTCGGACCCTTGTGCTCGAAAGAATCGAGGAGGCTGACGACATATCTTCGACCCGGGTGGTTGGGGTTCGCTTGCACGACCTTGTTTAATAATTTGATTTCGTCAATGGCTGTTTCTGTGTAGTGCGCCGCCGATCTAACGACCTTGAGGGCGACGTGTTTGCCCGTTGTTGTGTCTCTTGAAAGCCAGACAGTGGAGAAATGACCCCAACCCAACTTCCGCACCACCACGTATTTACCGTTGTTGTATGTTTCGCCAACATGGACGGGATGATATCCGCCCTTGCAGTAATCCTCGGAGTCTTCTTCGTCCGCAGTGGTCTCGGCAGGGTCGTCTTCGGAGGTGGAAGAGGACGGGGATCTGTCAATATGTGAGTTATTTACAGGGACCTTCGCGTGAGGCAGAGGCGAATCCATGGCGCTGAGGAAGGACGATCAGTTTGAGGGCAGATTTAGTCGGAAAAGAGGACAACACATTGCATCTGCGATCAATCACGACAGCATGGGTGTAAAGGGATGACAAAGCGCGTGAACGTGAACGAGGAATTGCAGGTGACAAGGTGAGGAGTGACTTGGAGCAAGTGACTTACTCTGGGTCTGCTGGAGTGGGGCTATCGTGAAGACTCGACGCAGTCGCGTTTTCGCTGGTTATGATGGGCTTGAGGTTGTCGCCTTTCCGCCGTTTCTTTTGGCCATTTCCGTTTGCTGCCAGGGCGGCCGTTGTCGCAACCTTCTTGGCCTGGCTGATGGCGGCTTTCTTGAGGTCGGTGCCATTCATCATGGCAAACACGGCAGCGTTGGCGGCCAACAGGTTATGGGAATATTGAGAGCCTGGTCCCTTTGCAGGGCCAGCGGCCGATAATGGAGGAATTGTGGAAGATATTTCGAGGTTGCAGTCGAGATTAGAAGGGGATGGCCTTTTGGGCGCAGTTGGGCCACGAGGGTTAAGCCCGAGCTGGCCTGGTGTGTGATCGTGACAGGATCTGCGAGCGTCAGAGGATTGACGCAGTGGCAGTGGCAGTGGCCGTGGCAGTGGTTACGGCGGCGTGCAGTGACCAGCCGTTGTTCCCAGATGACCGGTGGATCTCAGGCTATTCAGGGCCGGGGGGGTTCGAATCTTCGCTTGGGGGGGTCGGACCACGCCCTGTCATGTAAGAAAGAATGATGACGGCGCAGGCCGGGATGATATGATGTCTAAACCGTGTGTTTTGTCTTCTTTGAGACTTGTCAGTTTTTTCCTGCCAGCCTCAAAAGTGCGCGGCTGCGGCGGCCTCACTCGTTTGAACGAGTCGGAGCGGCGGCAACGATGGGACAAATGTGCGCTCGAAAGCTGCGTGCTGCGTGCTGCGGGTTGGCGGATGTGATTCGTGGGCTGGACGGCAGGGCACCCAACCACGCGCCTGGCGGTTACTCGACAAAGGACATCGAAAGCGAGAGCGAGAGCGACAGTTGAGGATCGGGGAACATGGAGGGACAATTTGATTGTTGCCAGCCTCCCAGAGGATATCGAAGCTTTTTGAGGTTGGCTATCGAACGGAGTCCCAAGAATGAGCGAACGCTGGAGAACTGTGATCGAATCGAGTCGGAGGACAAGGAACGAATGAGGAGCTGGGCAGACAATTGCTGTATGAGCCGGAGATGGCGGCGATGGTGATATCTACTTCGAGTTTGGTGGGACCTGCCAATGACGATTGATCCCGTCGCCTGTTGAGCAGGAGAGTTATGTGATAATCACAGGGAGGTAACAGCAGTGGTGGGGTCTCTTCGGGAGGTTTGTTTGTGCGTGGGATTGTTTGCGTTTGATATCGATATCGATCAAGGCCAAAGGAGGGTGACGGTAGCGGCTAGAGATGAGTGACAGTGCTCAAACGAAGCCCTTTTGTAGATTTTCTATGCTATGCTGCTATCCATGCCATGACTAAGGAGGAGGATTCGAGTGGACGTTGTCCCTTCCAGTGATTCCGAGCTCAGACCTGATTAATGGACTCGGTACTGGCTATTCGTTTGAACATTTGAGCTGGCAAGCCACCTGCGCCATGTGGAAACTCAACCACCTCTGTTTCTATCCGTGATTTCCACAACGCAGACATTGGGACACGGCGGGCCCAAGAGATCCGGTAAAGAGTGTCTCCAGGTCCTCACCCTAGACGTTTAGACCTTTCTTTCTATCTAACCTCGGAGAAGTTGAGTTTTTTGACAAACGCACGACATGGACTCACGAGCCACCGCCCACAGCAGCCACCTTTGTCCCTGAAACAGTCTGAGTGACCGGAGACGAGCTCGTGCCCGCCTTTCGACTCAAGCCATCTACATACAAGATGAGCATCTTCTCGCCTCCCGACTCCCCTCACGCACCTCCCTCATTCCTCTACCAGCTCATATACCACCCTCTGACCACCTGTTTTACCTTCTTCCACCACATCCTCCTCTATCTCCGCGGTCCCCCCTACATCACGCCCAAAAACAAAATCCCTATCCGCGTCGTCTGCCTCTCCGACACCCACAGTCAGATCCCACGCACTGCCATCCCCAAGGGCGACCTGCTCATCCACTCCGGTGACCTGACAAACAACGGCACGCTCTCCTCCATCCAGCAGACGATAGACTGGCTCAAAACACTCCAAAAGCCATGGCCGGGTTCGTCAGACGGATTTCGCCATATCGTGGTGGTGGCGGGAAACCACGATAGCTATTTTGACGAGCGCAGCCGTGGTGCGCAGGACAAGAGCCGTTCCTACCGCAAGCTTGACTGGGGGAAAATCCACTACCTACAGCATTCGTCCGTTACACTCCATTTCCCTGGTCCTCGCTCCCTGAATGTCTACGGTGCTCCGCAGATCCCTCAGTGCGGTGGCAAGGAGATGGCCTTTCAGTATAGCAGAGGCCAGGATGCGTGGAGCGGTACCATCCCCGAAGATGTGGACGTTCTAGTCACGCATAACCCGCCGAAATGGCACCTTGACCTGCCTACCAGTGGAGGGCTGGGTGACGAGTTCGAGCTGAAGGAAGTCTGGCGCGTCAAACCGACGCTGCATGCTTTTGGGCATATCCATTCTGGCCACGGCGTTGATCCCGTCTGGTGGGACGAAAGCCAGCGTGCTTTTGAAGAGTTTCTGGCCGCGGCGTATAATAAGCCCGCAGAGACTCCCGCGAGTCATCGCATGCCCCTGGCCGAGCTGCTGGATTTGCCGCTGTGGGCGAAAGGGTTCCAATGCACGATTGCAGATGTAAGAGGTCTTCTGTGGACACGGCTGTGGGGAGGAGCACGACAGGGAGGATACATGGTGAACGGCTCACTGGCGCATCAGACGACGACCCGGTTGCTGAATAAACCCCGAGTTGTGAATCTGTAGACATACTGCATCAAGAGACTTCGATGTTTTCCATGCAAAGATGAACGAAGAAATGGTCAACGGTCGATAATGTGACGAGTTCCTCACCCATCTCCAGCCACCATCGGCCATCGAATCAGAGAGTTACAGGATAGATCAGGATGGTCTTACGGGCTCAGGCTCATTCTACAAAAGAGAATCACGAGAAAAGCAAAAAGCGGTAAACAAAAGGAAAAGAAAGCATGTATGCTGGACTATGCTTTATCATTAATCGTATTTTTCTCCCTATGGCTCCCTTTATGACAAAGTAAGTTTCCAAGCGTTGCGTGCGCTCCAAGACCTACCTACCTAACTCCCGAGATGTTTTGGGGCCATCATGTATGTATGGTCATCAACGGCTCTGGCCAAATTTCCCGCTTCCCCAAAACGATCGTATACAAGGGACATGATGATCCAATTGACCTCTGTCTCGGCGAGAAAGAAATGGTTGACCAAGTTTCGTGTTCCCTCCCAGCTCGTACAAGATCCAAGCACTTAATCACCAAATGAGTCGACATGGCCTGGATTCTGTTCATCACAAGTATTGACGACCACCTCTGATGAAATTCTGCGTTTTCCTCTCGTGATCATCGTCGTCGTCGTCGCTGTCGCTAGATCCCTTCTCGGAAGACGCTTTTCCTCGTGCTAATCGGACTCGAGTTGCCGTCTCCACTGCCCTGGGTGTCCAAGCTCTGATTTCCTTTCGTATGTCCCTTTGCAGTGATGCTGTCCGAGTCTGGTCTGGGGCTCACGCTCCTCAGCCTCGGCGCCTCATGCTGGTCGCCGAACGGATTGTCTCTGGAAGAACTGCCCGGGCGACCTCGTCCGCTGACATCCACGTCGGAATACCCTGCGCTTCCGGCAGCACCCAAGTAGTCGCCGCCTGCACCACCACGGGCCCCGCTACCATAGGGTTCATTCTGCAGTCCGGGTGTCGGGGCTAAACCAAGTTCCTGTTCTTCGTACCCGGAATAGCCCGCTCCTGGCCCGTAGAGATCTTCATTCCCGACACGCGTATCCCATGCATCGTCTTCCACGCCTCTGCCTCCCCTGCCTCTGCCTCCGCCGGGCACCAGTCCATCAGCGCCGCTGCCGGCTTCTTCGTAGGCCCCTCTGGCCGTGCGTCTTCTGGTCAGCTTGGCGAACTGATCTCTGGCCCATTCTAGTGGTCCCGCATGCCGGGGGGCAGGGTAATTTGAGGAAGCTTGACGCTTAAGAAATGGGATGTAGGTTTTCCATGACTTGAGGGATGGGGCAGGGAGCCCTTCTTTACGGGCACTGTATTGTGCGTAGACCACCCATCCGACGACCGGTAGGATGACAAGGAGGAAAAAGAGGAAGAAGAAGAGACCTGGATTAGAGATTTCAGTCAGTAAGGGAACCTGTCCTGCGGAAGTAGATGCGACTTACCCCAACCGTGCATGTTTGCGACAGCGGGTTATTGTTCGGCTGCTGTGTTTCAAGAGTTGGTTGAGTGAATGATTCACCCGTCGACGCCAACAGCGCCTCTGTTCAACAAAAATGTATCGGCGTCTTGATGAAAGCGGCTGACTGTGGTCTCACTAGAAGGTTCAGCTAGAGATATTAGGCGGGCATTGCTGCTTGTTTCCCACAGCCACGCTGTAATCCGACTGGGCCGTGAGAAGAATGGATTGAATGAAGAGGGAGCGTTCTCAACACTAGTAGTGCGATTGATGACAAGTCTGTGGTCAGGTTGGTTAATATTATTTGAGCGCCGGCTGACGAGGGAAGCCTGCTTGGTCTTGCTGCCGATGCGAAGCCAGACCAATATCAATCGGAACGTGAGCGCAATGGGCGGATACTCGGCTCCTCCGTCCCAAGAAGGTAAAGCGCGGGATGAGCTGCTGATGTACACTTGCCATCACGTGCTTCTAACGTCCCCGCCCCCTTTCTTCGACCGTTATGAAGCGGCGTGGTGGTTGTCATGCAATTCATTTCCATCCACCTGAAATGATATACTCTAGAGTTAATCAGAGCTCGGATTGTCACACAAGCGTACGGGTTGTGTAGGTAGCCCAACCAGTTAGCACACTCGCGTCAAACATCATATCTAGCCTCCTTCCCCTAGCACACCAATTCGACGACTCTCCTCGCGTCTATACCCGTAGCTGGGATTCTTGTAACTTCAATCCAGCCGCCTTGGTTCGCTACGACGATCTTCCCATCAACGCAAACCATCCTCCAATGTTCGTCTTCCTCGTCGAACTCTATTCTCAATGCCTCGATATCTTCATATGTAACCTTCGGGTCTGTGACGTGCTTTCCAGATTGATAGGCTAGATGCAATATTCGCATGATTTCAGTGGCGGGTTCGGCACCAATAGCAACGAGTCGCAGGCTCCCGTCGAGTGGTTTCGTGGCAGGTGAGATCTGGAAATGCTCCTCCAGGTTGGACACCATGGTAGCTAGGATGTAAGAGTGCTGCATTCCAGGCAGGTCTTTCCATTCGCCGTCTGATTTCCGCCATTTGACCTTCCCTCTGTACTGGTGGGTGTCTTTCAATAGCTGTTCTGCAGCCATTTGGAACCGTGCGAGACCATGCTTGCGATATTCTGTCGTATCGCTCATTGCCACCAGACTTGCATGAAGCCCCCAACTGGCCACCACTGCACCATACATGATCAGCCCATTCTCATCCTCGTCGGCTATGAGCTCCCGGTCTTTGCCCTCATTAACGACTAGCTCTGCGCCGCGACTGAAACAAACCTTGAACGAGGGCAATGACTTCGGCCTTCCTTGCATCAGTGTCTTCAGAGGGTCTTGAGCAACGCCAGAACTCCATGCCAAAGCATTCGCCGTTCCCTGGGGTATCAGAACAATGGCAGGCTTGAGGAATATTGAAGGGGCTCGAAAGTCATCATTCCGCCGATTCAGCAGGGTTGTGAACGTGTTGACGATATCAACAATGCCACCATCTCCTGACAGCAAAATGATTGTTTGCTTGACACCTTGTCGCGCGTTCACAATGAAAAGCTTCTCCGTTAACTCGATGATTGTCTTGGTCGATTTGGTTTCGTGTGTGAAGTAGACGATCTCATGGCTGTCGAGTAACGGCTTGATCGATTCTTCGTAGTATTCTTTTGCTTTGTGACGACCGGAAAGAATGGAAATGACCACGTGAATCTCACGGTCGGGGAGCAAATGTGCAGGCAGTAACTGTTGAGGCGGTAACGACATCTTGTTCGGCCCTGGGCTCTATCACCGAGGTGGCGAAGGTAATCCGGTCTTCAGCGTTGGTGTCTCTGCCGGCCTCTGGTGTTCAGTTCATTCTTCCCCAAAGACTTTGGCCAATCAAGGGCTGACCGGGTATGTAAATGGGTACACTTTGCGAGTGGCGGGAGGAGAACTGTCGGCAGAGATGTTGAGATGCTGGCTCGCAGAGTCTTCAAAGTCACCAATAAGCCCTACAAAATAGGGTTAGTGGCTTCACACCCTCTTCCAGCAACTGGAATTTTGGTGGACAGCAGGAGCATAAGAAGACGCTATAGCTGCGTAAGCGGCGCCGCAGTGTTTGGGGTCCAAATGTGTATGAAGGGTCACGGGTGAAGCAACCCCGGGTGGCCGTTGCCTTCTGTGTGGAGGCAGAGATTTGCGGACGGATCAAGCTCAGTTTGGAGACGGTCGACAGCTGATTGGATTGCGTAGTGCAGTCGTCTTCGAGTAGCAGAGAGCTGGCGAAAGAAAGAAAGAAATAACGGGAATGTCTCCGGACTGCGTTTTCGCTTAATGTTCGGCAGAATCTAATTAACCACACCAAGTTTGTATTGGGGTTATTTCTGCTAGCCATACGAGTAAAATTATGAATAAATATTGAAATTGACGTCGTCGCCGCCTATTTTGTATAGATAGCCTTGGTGTTGATATCGTCTTTCTCGGTGTAATAACCGAGGACCCTTTAGCCTCGCCGCCCCGGCGTGCTAGACGAGGCTATCCTGACCACCACCTTCGTGGTCCGCTTGAGAACGGCTGCTAATGCCTAGTCTACGAGGTACTCTATGTCGTAATGTACCTCGCGATGGTTATTAGGTACTTGACACCGCGAAACAGTTCTATCACCACCTCCTTGCCTGTTCCCTTTTCCAGGGCTTGTCCGAATGACAAAGCAGACCCCGAGTCTCACGTGAGAATGTAAACAATACTATTAAGCCTCTTCCTCATCGTTTCTCCATATCGCTTACGCTCCACAGCTGCACTAATTCTGACCAGCAAACTATGGCGGCAAAGCTACGTGTCGGTGGGGAGGAGTTATCCTATTCAGAAGCACAGGATAGAGAGATCAACATCCTCCATAGACTGGGCTACCTCAAAAAGCAGACAAAACTTTACCAGCGGCTATACAAAAACCAAGGTCTCATCACGAAGCGTGTCGCGCATCACCTTGGCTTGAGGTCTGCGTCTCTTTGTCGCGTTGAAGAACCGATAAAGTGGCTCAAAGGGAGCTTCAATGTCTGTGTTCCAGTCTCTATCGATGGGTCTACACGTGTTGTCATGAGGTCCCCATTGGATCATCGCATTGGCGATGAATTCCGGCCGGGCAATGGCGACGAAAAGGTTTGTTGCGAAGCTGGGGCATATGCCTGGGCACAACGCGAATGTCCTGACATCCCAATTCCTAAGCTATATGAGTTTTCTCTATCGTCAGGACAATGTGTAAGCGGCCCCTCGATCAACTGTTCCGCCTGCTGACTGTCGTGGTTCACTTCCGTCGGCTACCTCCCCACTTTCCGACGTATTTTGGATCGCTTGCATCGTGTGTTTCTTTCAATCCTCGGTCGTCCTCTTCCCTCGTCCCTCGTTCCTCATGGATGTACTCTTTGGACCACCCTGGGCCCTTATCTACTTCTCGAATATGTTGAAGATGGAGAAATGCTTTTAACAACTTTGAAAGAGCATTACGACAAGGATGAAAGGCGACAAACCAATCTATTTCGCGGCATCTCACAGGTTATTCCCTCACTCTCTCGAACCCCTCTACCCTTGATTGGCCCTTTTATTGTGGATGATGATGGCTTTTTGCAACTTGCAAATCGACCGTTAACTATGCAGCTTCATGAATTGGAAAATGAAGGTATTCCTCTGAATATTCCAAGATACCAAACATACCCAACCGTGGACTCCTACGTTAAGACACTACTCTCAAACCACGATGCTTACCTCAGACATGGACCAAATGCCGTCCACGATGAACCTGATTGTCTGGCTCAACTTTCATCCTTGGTCATTGCTAGGTCTGTGGCATCTCAATTCTTTGACTCCAAGCTCAATACTGGTCCGTTCTTGTTTAGTCTGACCGACTTGCATGCAAGCAATATGTTTATGGACGAGGACTGGAACATTCGAAGAATTAATTGACTTAGAATGGGCATCATCGCTACCACTTGAATCTGTGCGACCTCCTTCTTGGCTTACAATGCAAGCGCATGATGTGATCGACTCCGAGACTTACAATGTCTATCGAGCCGGATTCATGAATATTTTCCAAGAGGAAGAGTTAAAATTGCACCCAGACAGAGAACTCGTCCAGACGACCATTATGCAGGAGGGTTGGCACCGTGGGACATTCTGCTATACTCTCGCTCCGGAAAGTATCGCATGCTTCAATACGCTTTTCTACACCAGAATCAGCCGATATTCTCGACAAGTCACCTCAAAAAATTTTCTACTTGATTGCCCATCGGTACTGGTCTTCAAATGTTCAAGATTTTATCAACAAAAAGCTCGGAGACAAGGAGAAATATGACGAAGATCTCAAGAATGCCTACGAAAGTAAACCTTGAGACATAATCGGTCATTTCTCTTCAGTCTTATTGACCCCTTGGTTATCAGCACTCCCTGCCAATTCGAATGTTCCATCGTCCTTGGCCTCCTGAACTGCCTCTGTAAGGGCCATTTCCCGCGGCTTGAAGCCTCTTATGTTGTGCAGCTTCCCCCGAAGAAGTAAGCTGAATCAACGTTTTGAGATCGACCTTGGCTGCATTTTCGATAACCGGATTAATGTAGTCTTCGGAGGAGATTGACTCTCTGTTTGCCCTTGCGGAGCTGTTGATAAAGCTAGAGAGACTGTTAGAAGGATGATTTCCTAGGACATATTACTCACATAGATCACTGGCGTGGCTTTCGAAAGAGAGTTGATTGTCAATGTCGATTGTGTGAGATTGAGTATGAGAGTCAGGGCTTAGACAAGGCTTTTAGAGCGCATCTATGTAATATCTTCCCCAATCTTTCACATTTCCTCGAATCTGTAGGTCGGACTCGAATGTCTAGGTCGTTGCAGGTCATGGAGCACAGCCAAGTGCTTGCAAGGCCTTGGCCTGGTTATTCATGAATCTGCCAGCCAGGATGTCATCTGCAGCTCCGCTCTCCCAGCTCTGGACTTGGGAGCACCCCATTGAAAGCATGGCTGAGAAGGAAAAACCAGTCATCGAAAGCTTGCAGCGTCTTCCTTTGACACGACAACCAGTAGTCGACAAGAAGAAGCAGAGAGGGTCTTGAATTTGTCGAAGAAAGCAGGCAAGGAGAACATGTAGGGATTAGGACCAGGCTTGGAAGCCATTTCTTTCGTTCGTTCCCAGAATTGGAAATGTAATTCCAGCAAAGAAAGCATGCGGCATCTGTCAGGGCTGGGACGGCTGGGGATCCATGGAGGTCGTGTAGCACAACTCACGGAATGCTAGCATTGTCATGGCTCGCTTATCTATGTACCCAATGATACTGTGACACGGAATCAGTCCTACATACTTTTTCAACCCAACTGCTTTCCAACTCAACCGTCTTCCAACCTAACTACCTCTAAGACGAGCAGGTATTCGCATTAATTAGCTTTGAAGAAAGGCGCCTCAAAACGATACTCGATTTATTCGAGGCCTCCGACATCAAGAAGTATGTCGAATCAAACACGTATTGTCGAGATGCAAGGGAAGCAGATTTGACGATATATACGGCTGTGCTCCAACTAATTATATAGATACACAATACTATGTCCTCACTTTACCACTTGATACGATACTGTGCTATACACGGATCTCCTCTCAAGTCATTCAGCGCGTACGATGTTGTACCGTGGGTGGCGGATTTCTGGCTCAGCTACTGTCCTGAGGAATACGAAAACGTCTTAACAAAGCAGTCGATTTGATGCTCCACCAATAAGGTTTTCCGAGGAACAAGATACCTCATGCCACAAAGGGTAGGTCGTGTCGACTTCCCCGCTTTGACCCTGCAGACTTTTGGCCCGATCCTCTTGTTGCTCGTAGAGCACTTGAGAGTGTGGAGGGTGAGTCCTCTCTTTACCGGAGTCATAGCGGCGGCGGAGGCGCCGCCGGCAGTGTGGCTGCGGCGCTGAGTTTCTGGATCTGGTTGCATGTCTTTGCCATATGCAGTTACCCACTGCTGAAACATTTGAGCTGATGTGGGAAGGAAATCGGAACATACCGAGGGCTGGAACATTGGGGTCAATGGCCCAAGCTTCTTTCCGTATGACATTACTGGCTGACTTGGTTTCTTACAGAAGTATTTTGGACATCAACCCTGGCCTCTGATGGTGGGTTCGATACGAGCTGATCCTTCTCTTGGTATTTTCACAGGCCGAGAACCCAGCCGCCCCTGCAGCTCGGAATTTGGAATGTTGTTGAGACCATGTATTGCTACCCCTGTCCTGGAAATGCCACCATTGTTGGATACGGGGTACCTGCTTGCTCGTAAGCAAGGGTCAGAAATTAAGTATATAACTGTTGCTCATGCCCCCCTCCTTCAGAACCTTCCCTGTGTCTCAACCCCACGCACGGCCCAGTATATCAGCCACCCAGAATACAGATTCTAGATTGCATCGAGTTCGAATTTGAAGACATGGCGGCCGTCAATGGAGCCAATGGCACACAGAAGTCAGCCCTCGTCACTATTGATGAGTTTATTGGGCAAGACTACGACTATCTCATCTGTGGTGGTGGTACAGCTGGACTGGTCATCGCTGCCCGCTTAACAGAGAATCCCAATGTCACAGTCGGAGTGATCGAAGCTGGTAAGAGTCGACTCGGTGACCCCCTCGTTGATATCCCAGCATTTTTTACACAGATGCTGGGCAACAGGGAGTACGATTGGGCTTGGGAAACCATTCCTCAGGTAAAAAATCAAAGCCCTTGTTCTTTAAGATAACCTGACATATTGCACAGCCAGGAAACAAGAACAAGGTCCACCAGGTTGTCCGGGGCAAAGCACTAGGCGGCTCGAGTGCAATCAATTACATGATGTGAGTTCTCCACCCTGGTGCCGGCCAGCCTTCCGGTCTAACTTCAACAAAGGTATGTTCGAGGATCAGACCAAGACTACGATGACTGGGCCGAGCTAGTAAATGACCCATCGTGGTCGTCCGCCAATATGAAACAATACATGCGGAAGCACCAAACATTGGAGCCTATTGACGAGCGAATCACCGAGCGTTCCACCATGCCATTCGTTGGGGAGAACCATGGCACAAGCGGTCCGGTGCGAACCAGCTTCAACGACTTTAGACTCCCGGTTGAGGACGACGTGATCAAGGCCGCAGACCATGCCACTGGATTTGATAAGAAGCCGCTCGACCCATGGAGCGGAGACCATATTGGATTCTACAACACTCTGGGTGCTGTGGTACGCACGGGTGCTGACAAAGGCAAGCGCAGCTACGCTGCCCGAGGATACTTCCAGCCCAACGAACACCGTCCGAACCTCAAAGTCATAACGGAGGCGCTGGTTGCTCGAGTCCTCCTCGAAAGCAAGAAAGCCACCGGGGTGGAGTTCATGCACAACGGCCAGAAGCATACTGTCAAGGCCAAACGAGAGGTGATCGTTTGTGGCGGAACCATCAACTCTCCCCAGATCCTCGAGATGTCTGGCATTGGCAACCCGGAAATTCTCAGGGCAGCTGGCGTCGAATGTCTGGTCGACCTGCCCTCTGTCGGAGAAAACTATCAAGACCACGTCGCCACGGCTGGAGTCTATCAACTCGCCGATGGCCAGATGTCCGCCGACTCGATCTACAAGCCCGAGGTCATGGCAGCCGCGCAAAAAGCTCTGGCGGAAGAACAGGGCGGACCCTTGACGGCCATCCAATCTGTCCAAGGTTTCTTCCCCTGCACCTTGTTCCTGGAGGAAGGCGAATTGGACCAGGTCATCCAGTCGATCGAAAGCGCCAAGGCGAAGACGCCGTTCCAGCGGAAACAATGGAACCAAGTCATCTCCCACCTCAAGAGCAACAAGTCGGCGAACCTGCAGCTCGTCTTCATCGCTGCAACGGCGAACCTCGACGCCGGCTCTGGCGACCAGAGCCAACTGTTTGCTCCACCGGCCGAGGGAGCGAAAGACGGCATCACGCTCGCTGTGTGCCTGCAGTACCCCGTGGCTCGGGGCCACATCCACATCAAATCCAGCGATCCCACGGTCGCCCCGGAAGTGCACCCCAACCTGCTGGGCCAGGAGGCCGACGTGGCGGTGCTTGCGGCGGGGATGAAATTTGTCGAGAAGACGGTCTCCTCGCCGCCGCTCAAGGACAAGATCTCGCACCGCATCGCGCCCGAGCCGGCAACGTTCCCGCTCGACTCGGCGCAGTCCCGCCGCGCCGCCGTCCAGGAGTACGTGATCGGCGAGTACCACAGCTGCGGCTCGTGCGCGATGGGCGACACGGTCGACTCGCGCCTCCGTGTCAAGGGCGTGCAGAACCTGCGCGTCGCCGACGCCAGCGTGTTCCCCAACAACGTCAGCGGCAATATCCAGAGCAGCGTCTACATGATCGCCGAGAAGGCCGCGGACATGATCAAAGCCGACTGGGATTATGCCGCCTTGAATAAAGTCTCCAAGTAGAACGGTAAGTTTTTCTTGGAGTTATGTCCTCAAAACAGACAAACGGAAAGGTGAATATGTTCGGATAGGATATGGGCAAGCCTTTATCGCCATTTCTGTCCCTGTTTGTGTTTCTATCCACATCCCCGCGGTCAAATATATCCGTAAGATTTAATGAAGATGCAATTCTCCTTCGTGCGCAACTTATATATAACTTCCACCTGCTCCCTAGCCGTGTTGTGGTATATAAAGCACATGTTTGTTTGGTGGTTGAGTTGATCGAGAAAGTGAAAGAGGAAAGAAGCGCGTCATTGCCAACTTCCACATTATTTAACATTACGCGAGGTACGCTTGGACTCGATAAAGGGACATCTCAAAACACGCCACGAACTGAAGCAAGCCCTATGTCGATGTCATATCCATCTCGCGCACGCATTTTCCAAGGCGTAATCACGATACCTGGCCAGCAAGTCCGTCGTTTCGACTGTTCCCTGTGTCCCAAATGTGAAGTGCGCTGCCAGAGCGTCCATGTTGACAGCGACTTGCCGCTGGAGTCTTTTAGGCAAGTTAATCGTGAGCCACTGCTCGTCAACATCGTTCATCGGCAAATTGTCCAGAACGTCATCTGCCCAGACGGTAATCAGGTTGATGCTGAGTCGTTGATCTACCGGGAACCAGACTCTATTGCTGCTTCCGCCATCAGCACCTTTGCCCATCCGATAGGCATCGAGACGGCCATCAGCGAGGTTTTCAAGAAACGAATAGTGTTCTTGAGCGGCGATTGCCCAAGACTTGAGGCCTGTGCCCCAGGTCTTATACTCAATGTCTGTAACGGGGGTGCGGTGGATGTCTGCATCGTTCGGGAGCCGCAGCCAGCGGTGTCCGGTGTAGGGCGGACCTTGGAACGGCCCAAAGAAATAGTCCTCTGGACCTGTCCAGTTGGGATACGACCAGTATGTCCACGGCTTGCGCGATGGTTGGTGCAGGTTGAATATACTTGGTTCATAGTCGGCCAGTTCAGGCATATAAGGATGCAGAGCACCCATATGGTAATGAACCCAGCCCATGAGGGGGGAATTGACAACATTGGCGCTCACGAGCAGGTAGTCGGGATGTGCAAGCTTCATGCTTACAATTCGAGGTATCGTGTCGTCAGCGAACCACACCACGTCGTCGTCGATCTTGACATACAAATTTCCCGGCTCCAGTTGAGACCAGGCATGTCCATAGCCAACAAATCCGATGCCTTCAACGTCGACCTTCTTGTGCCGCTGTGACGAGGATAGTATCTCGTCAAGGTAGGCTAGATCTTGGCGGTTATCGGTGTTCTTCACCCAGTGGATCTCGTCGAGCCAGCCACCATTGTCGACCAAGTTGCGTTCGAGGAAGCATCGTAATATCTCAACTCGATTCCTCCGACCAAAGAACACCAGACCAATGATCTTGAGCCCGTCAGGCTTGTCGTATCCTGTCACATCAAGGCCGTCGGATAAAGCGGTGACGGGCCTTTGAACGGGGAAAATAAGCTTGCCATGCGTACTCTGTCGCTGCAGGCGGTAATGTGCGGCTGTCATAATCAGGATGGCGAAACACAGAACTAGGGCTAATATATGACGCCTCTGTGTGTTGCCCATCCCGGAGTGATATGAGAATGTCATTAACCCTCAATAAAGAGCGGTTCTTCTCGGATGCTTGCAGCAGGCACGTGAGGTCGCACTGAAGGAAGCTGTATCAACATTCTCACCACTGACACCAACACGATCGCTGAGCTCCACGCTTGCGGTTATGAATCATTCACCACCACCTCGTCCAACTACTTGGATTTATGTGCCGCTCGTGTTCTCCAAATCCATTTCAGACAAGTGGCGGAAGCCTCCATCTTGTCCAAAGCCAGAAATACGCTATTAACGTTCAAGAGGGAAGGACCCTTGGGAGACAGATGGAAGGATCAGTCGTCATCGTCGCTTGCAGCACGCAGCAGAAGAGGGGCGCATACGGCGACGATAAAGGCTGAGGTCGTTGCTTATCGGGCGCCCATGGCCTCCAACTACAGACATAGCTGTAGATCGGCATCATTGGCGTTGGCAGATTGGGAGAAGATGTGCAACGGGCGTTTGGGGCCAGAGACTCCGGGATGGGAAAGTAGGAGCAAACATGCAAGATTGTGATGCGTTGACGTCATTTGCCCAGTCCTTCTAGTCCGCTTCCGGAACACTAAATTACTTGGCATATTTGTACTGTTGGGACCAGCCCGCCTCAACCTCAACCTCTATCTCTACCACTGCCATATTCTTTCTTAATTTCCTGTTATCCGTTCGTAACTCGTCTGCAAGCAAACACAGACCCGTCCTTGGCCCTATCAGCGACGTACAATGCCTTCTTGGCCGGAGCCCGAGCTTTTTGCCCAGCCATTGATCATTCTTTGTCCTGATCTTGCGCCGTGCCCCATTCATTTCTGCATCAGCCTCAGCTTTCAGACGATTGATCGATTGCATATGGAAATCCATGTCTACACTTGACCTTGACATGGCACAGTATCAGGAGATCTCCTGAATGGTCAACTCATCCGATATGTTCTCGGACCTCCTTGCAAAATGGTCTGCACGTCGGAGATTGACAAGGCACATTGGTTTGATTCTCCAGTCTATTCTTTGTTTGTACTACCATGCGATCTGGAACCGGCTTCTATGGTTCACCTTGTAATGATGCTTTATTCGGTTGCCATTTCTGGAACAAAGACGTTCCTTTCCCATTTCTGCAAGCTCCTTAAGATGTCCAGTCCCTCCACAATATTTCTGTTTTCTCTCCACATACTGAGCGGGAGCTTGAAACATTCGTCTTTACGTCTGTTCTTGACAGTTTTCGCTACTTGAGACACTTTCCTACCATTCCCTGATTCCAAGTGACTTGGCGGTGCGAAGAGACGGAACATGCGCTCACATATTCCTTTCATTCTCGGTGCCTTCTTGGCTACTGCTGTTCAAGGCTCTGCCAACCACGCTGGAGATTATGCAGTTCTTCCTCGTCATATCACCTGCATGCCCTCAAATGCTGGCGGATGCACTAGTTGTGGAGCCAATTACGTTCAATGCGGTCCTGACACTTGCTATAACCCATCTGCGGGTGAAGTCTGTTGTTCAAACCAATGTGGGTCAACAACCCATGACATGAGATATGACAGATGCTAATGGAAGATAGATCCTTGTCCCGTAAGCGCCAACTGCTCTTCTACTGGCACAGGGTGCGATACGAAGCATGGTTCCCACCGTGATGCCGATTGCGATGACGACGATAAAAATTACGGAACAAGCATGAATATTGTGTCAACTTCATCGACCACGACTACGATTGCTGAAACCCTCGCAAGTTCCTCTGTGTCTACCACCACCGACTCGACGACCAGCTTCACCACCACCATCACGTCGACAACCACAAGTACCGTCACTGTGAGCATGACGTCTTCTTCGGCCGATGCTTGTGCTCTCAATGCTGCAACCACAGGTCTTCCCATGACCACATCGACGGCGCCATTTGGCAACTCTACCACGGTCGCTTTGAACACTACCACCTCGACCTTGTCCGTGACAAATGTGTCCACAACGAACCCTGCTTCTGTCTCTGTTCCGATCAATGCGACAGTGCCTACGAAGAGCATTGTCCCTCCTATCAATGGGTTCACCGGTGATGCCACGGATCTGAAAGGTCAATCTTCAATATCTCTATTCGCTCTTGGTTCCTTGGTATTTATGGCTGCGCTGTTGACTTAGACAAGTAGAACTCTATTTGGTGGGTGGGATGGCGTCAGGGTCCTTGTAGGAGATAGAACAAGATAGAGATAGAGGAATTGGGTTTCCGGTTAGCATGTGTGTGTCTTGTCGTCGTACCACTTGTTTTGTTTTGTGGGTGCTTCCTGCATTCGGTATCGCAGGCCGGTTGCTTAATCATCGGTCAGATGCTGACAAGGCCATTGGTGGTGGGCACATTGGGCTGCTCTGCTCGATATTACGGAGCAGCAGATGGCAGCACGGCGGGGCAGCAACTGCTCAGCTCATCCTCATCCAGCCACTGGAGCACACTTGCATCATAGTTGGTCCTCGAAACATTTTGCACGCAGCTGCCCCTCCATCAAAACATTCTCCAAGTTACAAAATTCAATTTAACATTCATTCCCTTTTCCACCATCCTACGTCTCCATCACTGCACGATACAGCTAGGTCATTGATTTTTCTTTGACCGCTTTCCGCCCCAAGCTCAAGTGTCCTTCATATCGAGTAAGTCTTCTCGAAGGAAGCACCTTTCCCCCTCTCATCGTAGCTCCCGTTCCGCTCCGCTGTTTCATTTTTGCGACCACTGCATTCTGCCACTCCCCCTCAAGCATACCTCTATCTGACCTACCCTCACAGCATCCTTCTGCCAAATAACCGCGAGTCGCCTTCCTCATAGACCGCCAAAATGCCTGGCTTTGCACAGGCCAACGACCTCTCCGCATGGCAAGCTCTGGTTGACCACCACAATGCGGTGGGCCGCAATATTATCCTGAAGGAATATTTTGAAAAGGATCCTCAACGCTTTGAGAAGTTCAAGCGAGTCTTCAAGAACTCTGCAGACAACTCTGAGATTCTCTTCGACTTCTCCAAGAACTTCTTGACCGAAGAGACTCTTGACCTCCTCGTGAACCTTGCAAAGGAGGCTAAGGTCGAAGAACTGCGCGACCAGATGTTCGCTGGGGAGCAGATCAACTTCACCGAGAAGCGAGCTGTCTACCACGTCGCTCTCCGGAATGTCACCAACCAGCCCATGGCGGTGGACGGAAAGAGCGTTGTCGAAGAGACCAATTCCGTCTTGGACCATATGAAGGAGTTCTCTGAGCAAATCCGCAGCGGTTCATGGACTGGGTACACCGGCAAGAAGCTCACTACCATCATCAATATCGGTATTGGTGGTTCCGATCTGTAAGTCTGACCTCCTCTTGTCTTAGCTCTGGGCGTTGAAACTGACAGTCTCCTAGTGGCCCTGTTATGGTCTCAGAGGCCTTGAAACCGTACGGAGACAGGAACATGAAGCTCCACTTCGTTTCCAACATCGACGGAACCCACATCGCCGAAGCTCTCAGGGACTCTGATCCCGAGACCACCCTCTTCCTGATCGCCTCCAAGACCTTCACGACTGCCGAGACCACCACCAATGCCAACACAGCCAAGAAATGGTTCCTGCAACATGCAAAGGAGTCGGACATCGCAAAACATTTCGTGGCCTTGTCCACCAATGCTGAAGAGGTCAGCAAATTCGGCATTGACACCAAGAACATGTTCGGCTTTGAAAGCTGGGTTGGTGGCAGATACTCCGTGTGGTCTGCTATTGGTTTGTCGGTCTGCATCTACATTGGCTACGACAACTTCCACCAATTCCTCGCGGGCGCCCATGCCATGGACCAGCATTTCAGGACCGCACCCCTGCACGAAAACATTCCTGTCATTGCAGGTCTCTTGAGCGTGTGGTACTCAGACTTCTTCGGCTCTCAGACTCATCTGGTCGCGCCTTTTGACCAGTACATGCATCGCTTCCCGGCGTACTTGCAACAATTGACCATGGAATCAAACGGCAAGGCTGTGACCCGAACTGGCGACTATGTCAAGTACACTACTGGATCCATCTTCTTCGGTGAACCAGCCACCAATGCCCAGCACTCTTTCTTCCAGCTTTTGCACCAGGGTACCAAGCTCATCCCCACCGATTTCATCATTGCTGCCCGGTCCCACAACCCGGTGGAAGGTGGTCTCCACCAGAGAATGTTGGCATCCAACTTCCTGGCGCAAGCCGAGGCTTTGATGATTGGCAAGACGCCCGATCAAGTCAGGGCCGAAGGTGCCCCTGACGAGTTGGTGGCGCACAAGACTTTCCTCGGGAACCGGCCAACTACCAATATCCTTGCAGACATGATCACACCCGGCACCCTGGGCGCGTTGATTGCTTATTACGAGCACATGGTGTTCACTGAAGGCGCGATCTGGAACATCAATAGCTTCGACCAGTGGGGTGTTGAGTTGGGCAAGGTATTGGCCAAGACGATCCAAAAGGAACTTGAGACGCCAGGCGCTGGATCTGGCCACGACTCGTCGACGGCTGGCTTGCTTGCTGCTTTCAAGGCTAAGAACGATCTGAAATGAGCCTCGGAACGGAGCATCACGAGTGGGACGCTGTTGACGGATTAGCGGAAGAAAGCCCGAAGTTATAACACTTTCCTGGTTCTGTGTTGGGACATTATCGAGGTGACAGAGTAATGGCCGTCCTTTGCTGACAGCAGTCGACACTGACGACCAAGGACACGAATTTCGCGGTATCATTACGAGGCTGTATGACACGATATGAGAAAAGCATTTAAAGTACAGTTCACGACAAGAGCCACCATTCCAATAGGAGACGTGTCTGCATCTTCTTGGTAGACAAGTTTAACAGCTCCCTATCAGCCCCTTTCAGCCTCCTGTGCTTCTTAACTTGCCCTCAAGAACAGAAGCAGCCGAGAAGGTCTGCTAATCTCAACAACAAGGTCTTTGTCTCGGGCCCTAGCACGGAAGTAGGTGTAATACTGACCATGTTGTGTCACTTTTCTTCCAAACCGCCGTTGGAAGTGTGTTGAGCGGACCCCAGTACACGCTTGACAATGCTCGCACATTGGACAATGGACCATGTCATAGCAGCATCCCGCAACTGATTCGTGTGGCCACATATGATGAGGAAGTCCTTGTCAGTCAAAATGATGCCTTGACCAGTCTCCAATGTGTGTAGCAATAGACCAGGCCCCTGATTCGTTTTATCATTGACTCGAGCAGAATAGCCGCCGAGGCACTCGAACACGTCTAACCTGCCACTTCACACTTCGTACCTTACACTCGTCTATGTTTGAGCGTTCGGCTGGGACTTTCACACTCACTTTTTGTACTGGGTGACATGTCGCACCTTGTCTCATCCCAAGCCGCAATCTTTTGTCCTTAACTTCGCCAGCATGTACTGTACCGCGGCACACAGAACCCAGCTTTGATACACAGGTACGCATCTTTGTGCTTCAGCTTACCGTAACACAGCCTTATCATCGACGGCAGCAGCTGGTAAAGTCAGTTACCGCCCCCATGGCTCATCCAACACCTCCTCCATTGTCCTCGCATGGAGTTACCGAACCCAACACTACTCAAATCACTTGGTCCTGCATCCCAATCTCGTTAGCCTACTGGGAGAAGCTCCAGCTCCTGTGCCACAGTGAGAAGGAGTTGAAAAGAGAGGGCTATGTCATCAAACCTCTCGATGCGGCTCAGATCAGATCCAAGGCCAGATGTATGCGGTGTGGAAGTAAGTTTGATGGCGCAAGCGAGTAGCTTGGTGCTTGGGAAGCCTGAACTTTGGCTGACCTCGAGAAACAGAACGAACAAAAGGTCGAGCGAATTTATACTCAAAACCAGTCTCGGTCTCTGCTGCCGACGCCGTCAACGAGCATGAGAGGCCACAACATCTGACCGGCGACGTCAACACTGAAGACGCAATTGATGAGGAATCGTTGAGCCTATCCCATGGGGTACCCAACAAGAAGCAGGCTTCTGGCAAATGCTCATACCATACAAGTTTCGTCCAAAACAAGGTAATGTACCAAGACATATGGGCTCGAACCATCCTCCCCGTGCGTGTTTTTAATCAGCACACATAACAGGTTTTCACATGCTGCGGCCAACATATGTCGACGGCGGGCTGCACCGTGGCCCCTGAGCACACCATGCCTCGACCGGATGATCCAGTGCTGCAAGAATACTGGCAATACCATCCCACGCCGCCCATTATTCCTCCATCATCTGGTACCCCAGATCCCGGCAGGAACTCTGTCCCTTCCACTCGCGGATCTCGAAAACGGGGCTCCAGCTGGGATGGTCGACAACAACAGAGACAGCCTCCGTCGACAGGGCGCCAAAACAACAACCACCGCCAACACCATGAAGTATACCACAACCCGCACCGGTTTCACGCCATCGCCCTCGACTGCGAAATGGGCGTCGCCGCCAACGGGGACATGGAGCTTATCCGGCTGACGGTGGTGGACTTCTTCAGCGGGGCGGTGCTACTGGACAGCCTGGTGGCGCCGTCGGTGGCCATGGCGCACTACAACACGCGGTTCTCGGGGGTGACGGCGCGCGACATGCGCGAGGCCATGAAGGCACGCACGGCCATCTTCGGCCGCGACCGCGCCCGCGAGCTGCTCTTCCGCCTGGTCGGGCCCGACACCGTCGTCGTCGTGCACGGCGGCAGCGGCGACTTCTCGGCCCTGCGCTGGATTCACCCCCGCATCGTCGACACCTACATCCTCGACGCCTACACGGGCGTCAAGGTCAACGGCGGCCGGAGTCTGCAGAACCTGTGCAAGGTCAGGTTGGGGATTGCCGTGCAGGTCAGCGGTCCTCAAACCCGTGGTGGTGTTGTCGCGGCAGGGGCAGGAAGAGTGCAGAGTCAGGCCCACCAAACCCATACCCACCCCAAGGGCAAGGGCACGGGCCACGATAGCTACGAGGACGCCATGGCCGCGAGAGAGTTGCTCGCATACTGGGCCAGTCACATTCCGGATGATTGAGCCGAGTGAGGTGCCTATCCGTCCGTCTGCCCGTCTCGCAAGCCCATTCCCTGGTCCGTCCGTTGCAGCCACGGGGATCTGGTGGAATGGAACGGAACGGAATGGATGAACTCCATAAGAAACCAACATACTCGGCACAACGACGAGGCGACGATAATCAAATTGATGGGCGGATTCGAGCTTGAAGTGGAGGGAATGACCGGGGGAGGCAGCATACGACATCCTGAATCCACTAATGTTCCTCACCAGCGGGAGACATGGTTTGGGATTCTCGAGCAAGTGGTATCCGGTCGGGAAATGGGCTTCCAAGAATGACCCACACAGTCTAGGAGTATGTTTCCACTGAGGCTTGATACGGTCGAATATTGATTCTCCAATGGACTCTAGCACCAAGAGGTGCTCTAGGTCTAGCATCTATTAGGCTCATATCCTTATCCTTGTTCTGAGGGTCGTGTCATTAACCGACCGTGACAACGCCTCAACGTATCTGATCTGTGCCTTCCCGCCGTGTGATATCTCTCGCCCCTGATGACGGCGGAGTCGTACCGTTTTCCAGTGTCCTGAGTTTGTTCCCATTGAAAATTGGCTGTTCTGTAAGCCGTAACATTTAAATCACCACCCACAAGGTTCTTTCCTTTTCCCAAGAAACGCATCTATATCGACCTTGTCTTGTCCTCTGAAGTCAAGAATTGTGCAGGCACTGTTTGTCGCTCTCTGGGCTTAGATTCCAGAGATAGTTCTTTGCCTTGAGCGTTCGCATTTTCGAATCGATGCCCGCCCTCGGCGTCCGCATCTTTCGCCACTGCATCGTCCTCTCCTTCTTTTCGACCATGTTTCTCCTTCGCAGCCTCGCTCTGCAACAGACTGGCCCGTCGTTGTGCCTCCTCTTCGTGCTTCTCACTCACATTTACCGCCAAGAAGCTCTTCGGCAGTTGCACTGTATTGAACTTCGCTTTCAGGGTGGAAATGACTTCTTTCCAATCTTGATGGTTCGTCAATGATCGCCGCGGCGCGCTTCCAATCGCGTGCTTAGAATCCAGGGAAACGTCCAATGGATCGATCGTGTGGCAACCAGGGGAGATGGTGATGCGTATCGAGTACGTCGATTCCGCGGTCTCGGCGTCCTTGGCTTCATAGAGTTCAAAACAGATCTGAGAGAGATAGTCAAGTTCCGGAATTGTGGAGCGTTTGATTTTGGTGTGGATGCCGCCTTCCATGATGCAATTGAGTAGAGTGTATATGTGTGATTCCTTGGTGAAGTAGATGAATGACTTCGCATCGCCCGACGCCTGCAATTCTTCTAGATCATCCACAATCTCACGAAGCAAGGGCAATGATGTCAAGAGGCCGATCTCGAGTTTTTCTTCGTCACTGATACCGTATTCCTGCGGGCCGATATAATCAAACAAGATCTTGCTGTATCGGTACAGCTCTCTTAAGCGGCCGAGCTTTTGATCTTGCTTCGGTCGACCATCGCCAGATCCGCTGAATAACTTGAAATAGGAAGCACCTTGTTCCCACGACATCAGAGGAGCGGCAGGCAAGGGCTGTCTGAGGACCGACTGTCTTCTCAATCCAATCTTCTGGGCGAGACTATGCCGAGCCTCAGACGTCCCACCAGTAAATGAGACAGCGCTCTCGTGACGTGTACCATTGGGGGGCGGTGAAATCTCGTCTGGTCTTTCAGTCTCAGAAGACACATTGGACGATAGGCCCTCTTCTTTCGCCAATTCATCTAAGAGTGCTTGACTGGGGGTGAACACCCACTCGAGAAATTGCTTGTTATGCAGGGCGTCGTATTTCATCGTGTCATACAACTCAGAGATCTTGCTAGGGTCTGCCTTTTCGGTGTCGCAAAATTCCGAGAAGAGCTTCTCCCATCTTTCTCGGAAGAGCTCTGCGTCCTCGCCGGTGCACCATCGTGACTGAATGGAGGCGACGCTGATTGTTTCTTTATTTTGCCCATTCCCGTCTCTGCCCTCTCCGGCACCATTGAGGGCGCTGAGGGAAGCCACGGCGCCGGTCGAGAGCTTTTTGAAGTTGTGCCGCATAACCCGTCGATGAAACTTGAGCAGGTCAACCACATTTTGCATGACCACATATGGTTCTGCAACATCTTTCGGCCAAGCAAATGAGTCTGGGACGGTTCCCTCGCGAAGGAGATGCTTAAGCTTCTTCTTGACCTTATCCATCACATCTTTGGCCGCATTGGAATCGTCCAGGAGATCTTTCCTGACCCGAATGAAATCTTCAGGCAGATCTTGGCGGTCCAGGAATGCTGCCGTCCATATTTGTGCACTTGTCTTGACACGCTTTTCGGAACTCGTGAAGATCCGGACATCGTCGAGCACTTCCTTGTTGAGTAATTTGAAATCGTCCCTCATATTGGTACCGAGATCCTGTGCCTGGTATCTAGCCGAATGCGTAGGCTCTCCTCCCCATTTCATGACCAATTGTAGCTTGTCCAGAACGAGATCATTTTCCGCCGCCGAGAAACGGGAGAAGGTGGCACCAGATATGGAGTCACTCCTTGTTTGTACTCGGCGTATTTCCTTGGTGCTAGACACAGATCCATGTCTCTCATCATTGCTCACTGCTTCAAGCAGTTGCTGCTCGGATTCTATGTTCGAGAGCGCGTCTGTACTGGTCAAAGCATCCGCAGATGGGGGCATCTCTTCCGGCTTCCTCTTGCGAAACATTGGCTTGATTTGCACCTTGGTACCTGGCTGATGTATTTTCTTCGACAATGCATTCTGCAAGTTGCGTAATTTGTCTGGATCTTCGAGTTTGTCTCTCAGCGCAACCTTGATAGCCGCCTGCACACTTGCCAAGGCAGCTTCGCCTTTCAGTAGCACCTCTTCGTGATGGCCCTTGAGCAGGTCGGCAAACACTTGTGAGTGAGCAGTGAACTTTAGCTTTTGCTTTGGAGTCCGGTCAGCATGTCTGATGACCGAGACAACGCCCTTGAGCTTCCATGAATGCTTTGAACTTGGCATAGGAGCTGCAGGGCCTTCATGCTTGGCAGGCGCTGCAGGACCCGTCGCCACATCCGCAGCCTCGGGGACTAATATTGGTGTTGAAAGAATGCTGTCCTTCTCAGCCGCGGTCGGAACCATCAAGGCGTGAGTGGTCTTCTCCGTGCTTGGCGGCGAACTCATCGGAGTGGTCAGAGAAGAAATCTTGGGAGAGCCAGAAAGGCTGCCGTGATGGTGTCTGGACGAATGCGGCAGATGCTGAGACAATTTCGACATACTGGGGGACTTGAGGATGGTCTTGAGTGCCGATCGAGCTGAATGGCTTGTGCCTTGGCGGCTCTGAGAACCGTCACCCCCGTTGTCAACCTGCGTCTCTTCCACCAGAGCATTTTCCCGTTTCCACTTTTCGGCGAGGAAGATGTTTCTCAGTATCTTTGCGCAGTCGTTGTAATAGTCCTCGTTGTCTTTGACAAAACTCCACCCATTGACGTCGATGATATAGCTCGCCGTACCGGTCCGTAGGAGATCGAAGCCGCAGATTCGTTGCCCAAAGGCGCGCGATACCTTTGCAGCCATCTCCTTTTCCGCCTCGCTCAGCTTCGTGACATATCTCAGCTCCTTGCCGTGTGTATTGCGTCGGACCAAACCGTCCACGACTGGCGATTTTCTCGTCTCAGCGTGGCAATAATGCGGACCAACAGTATAGGCTTTGACATCCTCTGCATTCTCTGTCTTCAAGAACTGCTCGTAGATATAACTGCTGTTCGGTTCTGTTATGCACCTCGGAACGACCAGGTCAGGATCATACTCTGACGATTTATTGCCGATCTTGCGGAAAAGTCGACGAGCGCCACCGCCTTGGCTTTTGGGGAAATAGATGATGACATTGTGGTCTTCCCCATTGACAGGCTTCTCGACAAAAGGTTTCTTGAAAGGTTTCCCGTCAACCACCAAAGTGTCTCCATCGTCCATCAGCTCAACGGATTTTGTAGTTGGAGTGCCACCTCCAGTACCATCCTCCGGCCCATCGAGAACCACACCCGACATGGATTTCACGTGCTGGGCAAGCTCTGGTGACTCTAACCTCGGGCCACCATCTCGGTTGACTTCTATCCTCTTGGGGGTAGGGATCTGCATTTGGTCGAGGATTTTGAGACATAAACGTCGGTCCCAGAGAACCTTTTGCATGGCCAAGTCGTTGACCACGAACGGTTTTCGTAACTTGACATATGCGATTGCCTTGTCGAGAGGAAAGCCGTCTGAGAAAAAAGAAATAAGATAGTCGCTTGGATGGGTTAGAAGAATGGTATTTAGATGCGAGTGATCACAAATCGGATTTCCACTTACCATATGGGCCGTTCTCGACATCTATCCAAGTTAGCTACTTGCGGAAAGGAGCAAAGAAGGGAGGAAGACTTGCCTTCATCGAGAATTGCTTTGTCGCCGAAAACAATGACTTCAAATTCCCCTTCTCCCTGAAGGCGGGTCAAGATTTGGCGACTAGGTCGACTTCTGGCCTTGATATCAAGAGCACAAACGCCGATTCTGCCTACAGGTGTTTTATCCGAATTAATGCTCTCATTCCTGGAAGATCCAGCGGTACTCAAGCGTCGACCAGAAGATGAACGAGGGTGAGATATCCGAGGCGGACGAACAGGGAACGCGGTCTCTGCGCCATCGGACTTCCCAGCGATTCCTGATGGTTGGCCAGCAGTAGCAGACGGCAAAGACATGTCGCTTTTCGGAGCATTTGTCGTTGGAGATGAAACTTGAGACGATATATTTGACACTAGATCCGAGAGATTAGGAACGCTTGGATTGAAGGCAGGAGGCGAAAGCACTGGCAGACCTGGAGCAATGGATGTAGACGTGGTTGTCACCACCGTGGGATCATGTGCTATTGTTGAGTTCTGGGTTGTAGGAGAGCTGCTGTATGGTATCCTATCCTCTTCAATGCTTTTCACGGACGACGGTGGGCTCCTGGCGCACTCCTCGGACTTCCTCAGAGAGCGAATTGAAGAAAGAGAGGTCGATAGACGTCTATCGGCGCTAGGTTTGGTGTTCGGCGGCGGCATGCTTATACTAGAGCGGCCAGCGTTGGTCCTGGTAGTTTCAACATGGGTACCTCTGCGGACATCAGGATTCTTGTGAGCGGCCAACAAAGAATGGGTTGAAAGGGTCCGGCCAGTTAGTTTTTGAGAAGGACGAGTGGTGGAAGTCGTAGAGGAACTGGTCGATTGGACAGCAGTGAGAGCGGCGTTGTCGTCAGCGTCGTTTTCAGAGGTGCTGGTAGGGGTACGGCGGAGGGGAGAGTAAATCTCCATGATGATCGATGATGTAGGAGGAGAAAAAAATAGCCGAGAAGTTCTTACTGAAGATGGAATGGGAAAGATGCCCCGACTTATCCGAGCTGAAGCTGTGGGGAAGAAAGATTTGAGACTTTGAGGCGAGCTACGATCTGTTGAGCAAAGACCGAGTCGTTCTCTAAGAATGGAGTTTCAAACATTGACGATGTGAAGAAAAGATGACGGGGTGAAATTGGGGCCACCAAGGGATTTCTAGATCAGTGCGTGTCTGGGAGAAATGGACAAAGAGAACAAGTCGATCTCGACGCTCCCTGGGAAGATGAGATCTCGTAAACTGTGGCATCATGCTACAAGACTGGCAAGTGCCAGCGTCCATATCGACGATATGGTTGGATGGATTGCCACAGAGAGCCAATATTTTGTGTGCGAGAGGATGAGTAAGTGGGGGTTTGCTGAGTTGCGGTGGGCTTCAGTGGTGCCAGAGCCTGAAATAAGCAGGGTTTAGCCAGATAGGCGCACCTAAATGGGGTTATTAGCGGCACTGCGCTGCCCGGAAAGGGGAGGAAGCCTAACCACGGGGCACATGGCAGCTAAGGCCCACGTCAGTGGCACTTTCTGCCGGGCGGTGAGCCTCTCGTGCAAAAAAAATTATTGAGAATTGGCCATCAACATTATGACCTAGAGACGGAGTATTGTATGGTCTTCATGTCATAGTCCACACGACAAGCGACATACACCTGCAGGCGAGGCAGGTCAAAAGAGGTCTCGTTCTCGTTATATCCATGGACGAAACAATTGAGCTGCCCCTCGCCAAAAGGCAGCGCAAGGAAGTGGTCACCACCAAAGAAAAGCCTCTTACTAGTTCCAGACTGTTTGCGCCCTTTAGAGTATGTCAGATTCCTGGCCTTCTACCTGACTACCACGGTTTGTTACATCTTGCTCACTCTTCTTACAGACTTTGGGACTGGTATCACCGACCGCTGTTCCTTTCACTTCCGTTCCGCTGGGCAAGACAACCTTCCAGATCACCACCTCCATCGGCGAGACCTTGCACACTTATGACCTACGGCGAGGCCTCAATCTCGTGTTCTTAACTCGCCCCCAGTGTCCTGGCACAATAACGGCCACCTATGCCTACCGTGATCGAGTGTTTGTAGCTTGGGGTGGATTCCAGGCCAACGACCCTCGAGGAGTCTGGATTTTCAAGAGAGGGCAGTTGATCGGAGAATTGGCTATCGACGAAACCTACGCACAAGAGATTCGGCAGCTACTCGTCTTTGGGTCATGGATCGTGGGTTGCGGAACAGAAAGCATCGAAGTCTGGAAGGCTGATTCGTGCGAACACTATACTTCTATCCTTTCTTCTTCATACTCAAGCGATAAACGATCAAGGGGGTCATTTACAGGCCAGGCCTGTACTCTGCCAACCCTGTTGAACAAGGTATTTGTCGGCACGACACATGGCTCGGTGGAGGTTTACAATGTCAGTACGGGAAGACTGGTCCACGCAACTCTCGCCCCCTCCGCACGCTCCGGCGCTGTTACGGCCCTAGCTCCTGCTCCCGCCGTCTGCTTGTTGGCAATTGCATATGCCGACGGCTCCCTCAATATCACGGATGTCGAAGCGGACGAACAAGTGCTGGAACTGCGCCAGGGAAACAATAAGAAACCGATTACTTCAATTACATTTCGGACAGACGGAATGGGCGCGGGCGATGATGGCCGGAAGGAGGGTATGATGGCAACATCTAGCATTGAAAGTGGCGACATCACACTGTGGGATCTCAATCGTGGTGGAAAGGTTGTTGGAGTGGTGCGAGGCGCTCATGAAACTTCTTCTCTGGGGCAGGGTACCGGTGTGAACAAAGTCGAATTCCTCGCGGGACAATCAGTCTTGGTCTCTTCCGGTTTGGACAACGCCCTCAAATCATGGGTCTTTGACCAGAATCCTTTTTCACCCATCCCACGACTCCTCCACTCTAGGAGTGGTCATGCCGCGTCCATCACTAGACTCATGTTTCTACCTGCGGCTTCAGATGGATCAGACGCCGCTGGGAAGTGGCTCATGTCCGCCGCTCAGGACAGGAGTCTATGGGGATTCAGTCTCCGCAAAGATGGCCAAAGTACGGAGCTCAGTCAAGGCGCCGTGAAGCATAAAGCTCGAAAATCAGGTCTCCTTACCGACGACGCCTCCGCTGTGGAGGACTTTAAAGCGCCCCCAATCATTGACATGGCCTGTTCACTCAATCGAGACGGTGGAATGGGCTCGGTCAGTGGGCCCATTTGGTCCAATACTAAAAGTGTCAATGCGGAAGAAATTAGTACGACTGGTTGGGAAAGTGTTATCACGGCCCATGCTGATGACAAATTTGCAAGAACATGGTCCTGGGGCAGGAAGAAAGCAGGGAGGTGGGCCCTGGAAACGGGAGACCACAAGCCGGTAACCAGCGTTGCCATCACTGCTTGCGGGACATTTGCGATTGTTGGGTCCGCAGGAGGCAGCCTCGACATGTTCAACCTGCAGTCTGGCGCCCATCGTCAACGGTACCCGCCTCGACTCACACCTACACAGTTGAAACAGTTGAAATTACAAAACGCCGACCAAACCCAGATCTTCACTGCTCCTCGTGGACATCGGGATGCGATTACGGGTATTGTGGTCGATAACCTGAACCAGACAATGGTTACTACTAGCTTGGATGGTTCAATTATCTTTTGGGATTTTTCGTCTGGCAGAGTCCTCGAACGAAAGACTCTCGATTCAGCTGTGCCAACTGCAATTCGATACAATCCGGTTTCCGGCCTCCTGGCTCTGTCCTGTGACGACCTATGTATACGCATCGTTGACATCGAAACACACAAAGTTGTGCGAGAGCTATGGGGCTGCATTGGTCAAATATACGACTTCTGCTTCTCACACGACGGGCGGTGGATTACGGCTTGTTCCATGGATTCGGTTATTCGTGTCTTCGATCTTGCTACCGGTCACTTAATCGACGCATTCAAGACGGATGCAACCTGTACCAATGTGGCATTCTCTACCACAGGAGAGTTTCTGGCCACTACGCATGCTGGAAGCCCGGGGATCTTCGTCTGGACAAACAAGAGCCTCTTCAGTCATGTAGCCACGAGGCAAATTGACGAGATCCAGGGAGTCATTGACTTGAGGCAGACAAAGGCGGCGTTCAACGCAGCAACTCAACTTGCCATTGGAGATGTAGACACAGAGGAGACTGCTGTCGTCGACGGGTTTGACGAGTCTTCGGCACTGGAGCAACTGGATAAGCAGCTGCTGACTCTGTCGGTCCAACCTCAATCCCGTTGGCAAACCCTGCTCAACCTGGACAGCATCCGCGCGAGAAACAAACCTATCCAGCCACCAGAGAAGCCCAAAGCCGCACCCTTTTTCCTGGGATCGGCAAGTTTCACCAACGGCAGCAAGGTAGATAACGAGACGTCTCTCGTCCCGGCCAAAGCCACTGAAGACTCCGAACGCTCACGCATCTCCCAACTGGCGTCCACAAACCAGGCTCTCTCCCAGCAGTCTCTACAGCTGTCTTGCCTTCTCGAAACCTTCTCGTTGTCACCATCTCCTGACCCGTCTCCCCTGACAGCCCATCTCTCGTCCCTGCCTCCTTCGGCCGCTGACTTGGAAATCCGCTCCCTGACCCTCGCCGAAATGCCTCTCTTCGTCGAGTTCCTCACCCACCAGCTCCGCCAGCGAAAGTCCTTCGAACTGGTGAACACGTGGATGAGCGTCTTCTTGAGGATTCACGGCGACTTCGTCAGTGAGGTCGACGACCTACGGGCGAAAGTGGTCGAGTGGAGAAACGCGATGGTCGAGGAGGAGACGAGGCTGAGTGAGTTGGTCGGGTATACGAGGGGTGTTGTCGAGTTTTTGAGGAGTACGAGGTGAACAAGTGAAAGGACGTGTGTCCTTTTTTCGAGACGGAAATAAACACTAAGTACATGAATGACAATGTACAAAAACACTGGAAAATATCAGTCGCCAAACGGCTCGGCTCTTTCCTTTCAATTCCATTTCAAGTGTCCCTTTGAAATGTCCATTTTTCTTGTAGTCCATTGATATACAGTATGCCCACTTGGTCCCTCCAGTAGCCAACCCTGTTCACTATCCTCGTACGTCCGTTCATATAATTGGAGTCCATTTGGCTGGTTTGCCCTTCGTCGACAATGCTCGTGGCGGCGGTGAATGTAGGCAAGTCTCTGCAGCCCAGTGAGCTAGGTCTTCCCATTTCTCGATTGAACCAGCAGCCAGAACCATCGGAGGCCAAGTAAAGACAGCTGCTGGGCCTCATCCCGCCCAAATCAACTCCTTATTCTTCATCTGTCCCTGTTGCTGATTCCCAGTCCTTAAAAGGTGTTATGGAAGGACGACAATTCGCCAAAGAGAAGTCACTCGTATTCCGTTCTGGCTAATTGCCCAGCTGTTCCATTTGTCACGCCACGAGACCGATCGAGGGGACCTCAACTGTGGACTCCCACCAGGGTCTACCTATTCTGCCGCGCGCCGTTTGCGTTTTTGGTTGTGAAGTATTATTACAATCGGGAGATGGGATGAGGTTACAACGGCTGCTTGATTTGCTTGAACCACTTCGACGAATTTGGCTCATAAGTTGCTGACCCTTGTAGAATATGTCTCGGAACTCGGATCTGTCACTGTGCTTGTGGCCCCTGATGGAAGTCGTTTGAACCTGTACAACGCGAATGCATGTGTCAGAATTTCAAATGCCCATGCGGTGAGGTTACGAGAATGACGACCACCTCTGTATGCTCGTGAAGAATACAAAAGCAAAAAAAAACCGGACTTACCAAACTGGATCACAATACAAGAAGGTTGTCTGCAAGCGTTTGATTTGCGCTTTGAGCCACTCCAATTGACCTTCTCTGAGTATAATCGGGGCGGCGTCATCCTCGGGCTCTGCAAAGCGGTATAAATCGAGCAGATAAGGAAAGATCATCCATGCGCCGGACGACGAAGCCCTCATCCGGAAGTCACTGCCTTCCAGGTCCGGAATGCTTCTCAACTCGCCAGTGATTGCGTCTCGAATAATTTTGAAAGGGAACGCCACCCCAGAACAATAGATTGGATTTGTTGGAACCACCGTGTCCCCGAGATGGGCGGGAATAGTCTCTAGCACAGCGTCAACAAGGGTTTGGATGGTCGAATTTGCTTTCGCAAGGATTGCGCGGTATCTTGAGTCCGCAAGCAGGCTGGGTTCATCAGCCAGAGATTGCCGGATCATTTGCAGCGTATAAATGCGGCGGGTGGCATACAAATTGAACACGTCTGCGTAAGTCAGGTCCTTCCAGACAGCGCATTTGCTTCCGTAGAAGCCTGCATTGATGATTGAGGAGGCCACATCCTCACGAAACACGAATTGTGGCAACCAGTCGGGGTTAGGAATGGTTCGCTTCCAAGCCATGAGGAGGTCATCAATCCGGATCACATCCGCAATTATCTCTTCAAAAGCTTTGCGGCGTTGTCCCGAGCCTTGTACTGAGCCATCCTGACGTCTCAGACTCCAGAGGCGGTTTTGTGTATCGGCAATCTGGATCCCTAACACGTCAAGCTGTGAACCAAAGCGACCTGACATTGAAGGGTGAGTGAAAAGTTGAACTGATTCCGCGGGTATCCTGGTTCTGAGAGATAATGCATGGTTGATAAGGGCGTGTCTGGTCGCACTGGTGAGGCCCTGACCTACTTCGGTCAAATAATTGACATGACCTCTGTGCTTGAGTAGAGCGACGGCTCCGTTTTTGTGTTTACCATAGGTCAAAGGCCCGGGTACGTAGTGCAGAACCAGTGCATCGTAGAGGTCAAAGACCAATATCGTCATGAGAAGCTCATCCTTGTTACTCTGTGCCGGATCGCCAATCGCCTTTCTCGTCGCTTCCAGGGCTTTGGTGAAAAGCTGTCGTGCTGGCCGTGCGTCGCAACCTCTGAAATTCCACATCATAGCAACATTGACGGTCACTGCTGCCGTTGCAAGTCTCAATGGTGAATTCTCTGAAGACTTTAGGTACATTGGTTGCCATAGGAGTGCAAAAGAATTGTGAAGCTGGGAGTCATAAATCGTTCCTGTATAGTAGCGGAAGAAGAAATTGATGGAGGCATTCTGAGGGTCCGGCTTGATCGACTCGGCTATGGTGAGACGAGTATCATCGCATCTGGAATCGCTGGAGACTGAAGGACTCACCCGCTCGAGGCGCTGGGAGTTGTCTCCGTCTTCAAGGTCCTCTTCACCTGCTGCTGAATATATGACCCATTGAAGGGGACCCTGGGCCTTCACTATCGATGATCTAGCGGTTGTGCCGGTGACGGTCGATGTAAAGTCTGGAGAAGCCTCGCTGCTGGGGGTGCCTTGACAAGTTTCCGCGTCCCTTGCAGCATTCTGCTTTTCCACCCTCCGGACGACAACCTGATTTTGACTTCTGTGTGCCCCGTCAAAGATATCAGCGTAACCCGGACAAGTCTGGCGTCGCCTGGTGCAATTATTGCACGACGGTTTGCCTTGATCACACTGCATCATAAGCATTCGAGATCGGTGAATGTGGTAATCGTGGTAGGGAACAGGGCAAACTCACCTTTACTCGGCGGGTTCGACAGGCCTTGCAGCCAGAGCTAGGGCCGTGATAAACCATCGTCAACAATATAGTGGAGTACAGTAGATCAACATTTAGCGGCGGCGAAGAGTCAAGCCAGGCCCTATCGCAAGCATGTCCTGTTATTTCTCCAATATATAAACATGGTGGTTATTAGGCAACAAAATTCTGGGGATTAGCGAGCCAACCACCGACTGCGGTATCAGCCACAACAACGTCGTTTTCAATTTCAGACGAAGAAGGACCCCAAGCCAATAGCAGATGCTGTCAGCACTGAAGGCAAGACTTGTCTTTATTAGCTTTCAAATGCTGAAAGTTGTTGCTTTAAGCGGTTGAAGGGCCTGATCTGCTTGGCATGGAACGCCGCAAAGGTGCTGGAATGTCATGCACCAGCCAGCAACAAAGCCATGGAGTTGGTTCTGATGAGCGATGCGAAATACGAAGGGTGATTGCAGCTTAGCCCTGTTTAGTGTTCTCAGCTCCACCACCACAGCCAACGTCGCAAGACGCGACTCGTTCAGGTTAATTTGATTGGTGAGAAGCACCTGCGCCACGATCTTGACGGGGCGAATATCAGTCCGAATATCAGTCCGAATGCCACGAATAAACACTGTACCCAGTGTCGCGGTGGGATCGGCGATTAGGCTGATGAATGGAAGAAGACTGCGTTGGAGAAGGTTCGAAGGGAAGCGACCTGCTGGGAGCCTTGAGAAATCGATATCAGCGTAGAGAGCACGAAATAATGGAAGGAATATTCTACGAAATACGGAGTAGGGACCGAGGAGATTCGGTATAAGTGCCGGGGTGCAATAACGATATTCCGAGATCCGGCCGCTGAGTCTGCACTAGAGGAAATATGGAATGCTATCCGCCTGCTCTAGTCCGTTCTTGCTCTAACCGGTCTGCCGCTTTTGAAGGCTATATATATACTTGGTGGTGACATAGTAAAGGAACTCCGTACCCAGGTACTTATTTTATGTCACAAGATGTCCATGAAATAATGACATGAAAGAAGTGGCAGCGCAACCATTAGAAATTTCCAATGCTCTCTTTGGTCGAAAAGTGCACTCACTCCGCCATTGGACTGAGTCGGTGTAGCGGTTCCTTGTGTTGTCGACAACGTGGCTGAAGCAGAAGAGTTGCCCGTTTCAGTGGATTCCTGGGCGATAGGCCCGATCACAGAGAGACCTTGGGACCCTGACGTGTTGAAGGCAGCAGATTGGCCTCCATTCGTTGTTACATAGAGTCTGTCTCTGTCCGATGGAGTTCTTCCCCAAGCCACAGCGGTCGGCCCGAGAAGTGAACTGGCATTGCTGTTGATGGTACCCGCAATAACTTGCTGTGTCCCATTTATGGCTACTCTGCTCACAGAATTTACCTGTTGGCAGATGTAGGCTGTTCCAGCGCCATCCAGGATGAGGTCGTCGCCTTTTGTGACCTGCGCGATGGTCTCGGGCTCCGCGGAAGCCGAACCATTAGCATAGATTGGTAAGCGGTAATACAGGTTGTTCCCCGTGTTTGTGTAATAGAGGTAGCCGTTTTGATACTTCAAGCCATTGATCCCTGCCGCTTTTGAGGGACTGGGGTCCATCGATGCGTCTTTAATTGCTGTCATAACGCTTCCGGTTGCAATATCGACCTTCCAGACCAGACCCGCGTATGAATCAGCTGCCAGGACAAATCCGGCTTGTCCATCGACATGTGTGAGACCATTGAGGACAGTGGCATTCGTGATTGAGGCGATCTTTTGGGGAGTCGGAAGGCTGGTTATTTTGCCGGTGGGGAGTTGGCGAAAGCCAGTCATATCCACTTCAAACAGCGCGAATGATTGGGGGACGGGCTGCCTTGTCTCGATCGAAAAGTTGCCAGTTGTCACATAGAATAAATCTGGTTGAAGCTCGGTTATGCCATAAGAGCCAGAGGCGCCTGGAAAACGTGTAATGAGAGTGGCATTGCCGGATGACTGGGGATCGATTTGCCATAGTGTCGCTGCCGGCGCCGAAGTCGTTACAAGAACCTTGCCATTGCCCCGCACGGCCAGATTCTCGACAAGATAGTTATCCAAGTTCGCAACATGCTGGACAGCGTACTCGTCGGATGGTGTTGATTGAGCTGCGCTGAGCAGTGCAAAGGTGTATAGCAAATACAACCGGCGAAACATCTTCATTACAAAGAAACAAGAAGTGAAGAAAGGAGAAGGGAGGGCAGAGAGTACGTGAGGAGGGATAACATCTTGGGGATTGAGGCTGTCCTTAAATCTTTTTCACGGGATTTGTTACATGGGAATCAGTATCCCTGAGCTCAGTTGAGGGTTTAGGCAATCTTGCATCCTGTCAAGCATCTTGTCTTCGTGCTGAAATACCTTTGGCCCCATTTCGTGGACAGCGCAACAACTACCTCGCCCAATCAGGAATAATGCCTTGGCACTTCGTACACTAAACTATATCTGGTGAGGCGCAAACATCGTCTTTCCACCTCAAGTCCCAAGCTCCCGCCCAGTGAAATTGGCAAGGCCGCCCATCCACCGCCTCGATGATGGCTTCGTCTGGGCCAAAAAGGGGACAAGTTCCATGATACGATGTTCCTCGTAAGACCACTGGAAAGAAGCCTTCTTTCGAACCTGTGAGTGAGGCTGGGACTGAGAGGGGCAAACAATTTGGGTTGTGTCAGGGTTACGCCCCCCTTGATATTCTGTACTTCCTCTGTTGCTCGTTCACTAAACCCTCACGGTCAATCCTGACACCACCTTCACTGAGATCTTACCACTCTCCACGGGATGGTTGGTTCGCGAAGCTATCACACCAAGACTCGCAATGGGTGCAAGAACTGCAAAAGGAGGCGTGTCAGGGTATGCTAAGAACCGGCCCTCTGTCCACAATCTGTGCAATGATCAATTGTGGGCCTGAGATACCCTTGCCTTCTTCCATCCCATTTGTGCAGGAGTGATGCTGATTGACTTATGCCCGATGATAGTGCAACTTACAGGCGCCACGATGCGGACATTGTGAGAGGCGCGGCGAAGATTGCGACTACCAGGAGTACCTGAACAACCCGTTCACCGCGTCAGACGCGCAAGAGCCTCCTGGAAGTCAATCAGATACTGTAACACACTGGCCAAACCCCCTTCCCCCCATAAGTCAAAGTGTGGGACCCATTCAATTATTGTCAAATTTTGTGACAACGACCTCACCTACTTTGGCCTGGTTCAATGATACGCGGTGGACTTGGGAGACCGCGGTCCCCTTACATGCGGAGAACAATCCCTTCCTACGCCACGCACTCCTGGCAACATCCGCTCTGCATATGTGTTTCCTGCAGCCCTCAAATGCCGCTGAGTATCACCTTGCGGCATATCAAAACTGTCGAGAGGCCACCCTTCTATTTCGATCCACAGTAACTAAAATCACCAAAGAGAACTGCATCGCAGTCCTAGCCTTCTCCTTATTGATATCGGTATTTCAGCTTGGTATCATGAGTGGCCCGCCTGCCGATAAAACTCCAGAAGAGGCCGTTGTTCAGCTTGTTCATGCGCTCTCGGCCTTACGTGGCGCATGGTCTTTGGTTGGGCAGCTTCATTCGCACCTGGCTCAAAGCCCAGTCAGTAACCTTTTTTCGCAGCGTCGAGAATTTGAATTTAGGCCGCTAGACGATAGCCACCGGCAAGCACTGGAACGCCTTGAGTCTTTGAACAGTCTCTCGGAGGGTCCTCACGAGCCTCGAAGTTTACGTGCCGAAGCTATCCGCTTCCTTCGTATCTGGTTCTCTATCACATCTGGGTGTCCCACTACATGGCTACATCTAGTGTACTGGCCATCCTCGATTCCGGAAGGATACATCTCGCTCTTGAAGCAGCATGACCCTATCTCCCTGGTGATCTTTTGCCATTGGTCAGCCGGAATCAGCCGCCGATCCCAAAAATGGTTTCTGACGGGATGGTCGCAGCAGACTCTCAATCTCATCGTGCGATCGCTGCCGCCAGAATGGCATGCTGCGCTGGAATGGGCGCCAAAAGGAAAGTAATGTCTATGACAATTGGAATGGCAGCTGTCGAGTGGCTATCAAATGATGGACAGGTTCTGCACCTGTAAACTCTGGGTGGTCTCCTGCTGACCTTCAATCAATGGACGGAAAAGCATTTTTGAAATGTCCGTATGAAGAAAATATCCTCTTTCGGATAGGAACGGCGTGTGAATTTCCTGATTTAGAAATATAGGGCATCCAGTTCGCACGCAGATGGTCAAGGACTATCCATTTGGGCCCCTAGCGACACGAACGCACTATACGAGGGCGCGCACCAAAAGTATTGTATACGCTAATTTTTAGTGTTTTGACTAGTCGCCGCGCTATTCTATCATAAGACTAGACTTCCGTTTCCCAGCCAATATACTACTAGGAATAGAAATATTCCAGTACGTCTGAATGCAACTTGCTTAGTAATCCATGTCTGCGTTATTAGTAACATATCTGCGTTGGCAACAATATCTGCGTTGGCAACAACGGTAGTCCCTCAAGATGGTAGCGATATGAAGGAAGGTCTATCTCTTTGCTAACTACGGTCAATCCTGTACGCTTTTCCATGCCATTAACTAATGAACACGCAGAAAAGGCCCGCGAACGTGAAAAATCGAGGCCGCGGATACCTCACAACCCCAAAGCGCAAAGACCTCTATCTCAGGAGCAAGCCTCTGGCCACACTAGCGTCCGATATTCACACGCTCAACGCGTTCAAACGCTCTCCTTATTATCGATTGGTATCACGCCACAGCAAATTAAGGCGTGGATTCAAGTGCCAGCTCACCAGACCAGGAGGATTTTACACAAGGCACAATAGCGTAGTTATCGTCCGCAGGAAGATCTTCGTATTCTTGATCACTACGTCGAGGATAGCTTTAAGGTAGGAAGGCCTAGAGAGATATCTAAAGACGTTGAATAGCGTGTTCTAGCGATTATTGAAAAGGACAGATCAGGTAGAGAGAAATCTAGCGATATTCTAGCCTATAAATCAGGTGTTAGTATATCCTCTATATTACGAATTCTTAGAAAACATCGTCTCAACAACGTTAAACCAACAAGGAAACCTAGTCTATCGAAGGCACAGCGCTCAGTTCGATTAGCGTTTTATCTTATCTATTAACACTAGACTCTTGAGGATTGGAAAGCCGTTATCTGGAGCGATGAAACCGCCGTTATTCTATCTCGTAGAGGGCGTCAGCGAGTCTAGCGTCGCTTAGATAAGGCTCACGATAAAACAGTTATTCGCAATCGCTGGAAGGGTTACTCTAAGTTCATGTTTTGGGGCTGTTTCACTTACGATTTTAAAGGCCCTTACTATCTCTAGCAACCTGAGACTATAAAGGAACGAAGAGAGGTAGCTGAACATATTGAATCGCTGAATAAAGAGATGGAACAAATCAAGAAAGATAAATAGGAGCTACAATCAGGAACGCGACGACTAGGTCTCAGGAACAAAGGTGGTAAAAAGCCAGTCTGGCGATTTATAGAGAGGACTAGTAAGCTAGTTAGACGTGGCCAGAGTGGAATCGATTGGTATCGATATATCAAGGTGGGCAATTCGATATTTTCTCTCTCTGTTTTCTATACTATTTACTAACAAACTAGAAATCTAGCATATCGTTTAGCCGCTTATGATACCCTTTGCTAAAGAGTGCTAGAAGTCGCGACCTGAGACTATCGTTCAGGAGGATAACGCGCCATCGCATGCCCACTAGTATACGTAAGAAATCTACTTATTTAATAGTATTCCACGCCTTCCATACCCTCCTAATTCACCTGATCTAAACGCCTTAGAGAAGGCCTAGCCCTGACTTAAGAAGATAACAACGTTTCGCGGTTCTCCTCCTTCTGTGGCGGCGTTAAGAAAAGCTTGGAAAGACGCCTGGGAGAGGCTTCCGCAGAGCCAGATTCAACAATGGATCGAGGGCATTCCACGGAATATTTAGTAGGTAATTAGGCTCGAAGGGGGCAACGAATATAAGGAAGGACGAGACACGAGACGTAGCTATCGAGGATAGCGTAGAGTTGGCTATCTAAGTAAGCATAGCTATCTACTGGACGATTAGGAAAGCGCTGGCGAAGGCGAGGGCGATAGCGAGGTCAATCTATCTATAATTGACGTGGTGAAATGGCCAGTGAATAGAAAGTCTGGCGCTTAGAACAGCGATCAGGACAGTGAACAGGATGATGAAAAGGACGATTGGATCGATAGCGATCAGGATAGCGATTAGGAAAAATCATGTTTCTATCGACAGATTCTCTAACAAAATAGCTGGCAAGTTGTCGCCTCGACCATGCCATGGCCCTAATTAATTAGTCAAAACACTAAAAGTTAGCGTATACAATACTTTTGGTGCGCGCCTCGGTACTCTCCGTGTCATCCGCTGTCCATGCCCCGCAAAACTCCGTATTGTCATGGACCTTGATCTCAAACTCAAATTATGGAGGAACCTGTCCCTCCCTCACTTTAATCTAGCCTCCTCGACGACAAGAAAGTCTCCACCAACTCAATAGCTGTCTCTATATTTCGCAGCTTCATGTTCGGTAGACTCTCAAACACAGGTGCGGGGGTGGCAGAGCCTGCCAAGCCTCTCAATGCTCGTATTCTGAAAGCGCCATGTTGGCAGCCTGGAGAGACTCTCCTTTCTCGCTTTCTCTTTGCCAAAACAGGTCCAGGAATTACCCTATCGACCTTGGTAATTCATTGTCCGACGCTACCATCTTTCAATTCCACCACTTTCCCTCAGCTTCGCAGCTACCGGAACTATCCAAGACCGTGTCACGGGTAAGCCTCGAGAAACAGACGAGGCTGACTACCTGGAGTTGTCCCAGCCGCTCTGATCTGTCGTTCACCACCACCACCGTGCGGCCGCCTTCTCCAGATACAAGCGGATTGCCTCGCTCCAATACGAGGCATCCTAGCTTGCTGGCGTCTTTCAGCAGCAACAAGCATTGCGACCCAGCTTTAGCCAACCTCTTTTCTCCGAGGTAAAAAGACTCAATCATCAGGGATATCTCTGGCTCAAATGGAGTTCTTCGAGCCAAACCTTGCATATTGGCAGGCTGAGCACCGACAATTTTCGGATTCGTTTGATTCGCATAGGAATAATCTAAATGAGTTAACTCTAGATAATTGGAATCCCGCCAAGAATGAAGCCGACGATTGGGACGACGAAAGGTGGGATAATGATAGGGACAACTGGATGGAAAGCCGCGATACGCAGTTTTCTGTACGATTTTGGAAAATGAAAATGAGATATGGTCTGGCTGCATCGCACACTTTTTTCGAAATTCTACGCCAATGGCTCGGCGATTGCGATCGTGACCACCGCGAATGCGAGTCTGAACTGCCGTTTTGGCCTACAAGGGTTATTGACGTCGGCAATAAGGACGTACCTGGATTGAGGCTGGTAGAGCACAGCTTGGCTCAGCACCAACGCAGCACATATGTCGCGGTTTCTCATTGTTGGGGCAGCCCTACAGAGGAGGAAAAGAGGAAATTCTGCACGACCAGGGACAACCTCCAAGATCGGTTGAAAGGCTTCAGCATGAGCGAGTTACCGAAGACATTCCAGGATGCCATCCAAGTTACACGAGCGATCGGAAAGAGGTATCTCTGGATCGATGCGATCTGCATTATACAATGCGGCGATCCTGACTGGGACACCGAGTCACGACTAATGGAGCAAGTCTTTAGTTCAGCCTATTGCACCATTGCTGCGGACTCTGCCACTGATTGGAAACAAGGCTTCTTACGACAAAGCTATTCTCACTTCCCGGTAGCCAGGAAAATCGGCCGGAAGATGAGTGCTTACGGTATCAAACATGACTTTGAAAGGGACGTCAACCAGAGTCATCTCAATAAAAGAGCATGGGTGTTACAGGAACGAACTTTGTCTCGCCGAACCCTTCATTTCACTGAAAACCATACCTACTTGGCATGTGGGCGCAGCATCAGGTGTGAGGACCTCACGACTTTGAGAAGGTAAGCTCTGATAATCAACCTGCCAAATGTCAGTTTGTCGTTAACTCATCTCCAGTCCAAACCGAAGGGAATACTTCCTCCTTGACCCTGCTTTTCCCAAGTATCTCACTCGCGCCGGCTACTACCGTACTATCGAATTCATCCAGTCCCTTTTCAGTCAATACGCGTCCGCTGGGCTTACGAACGAATCTGATAGAAGCATTGCCATCATGGGACTGCTAGACCGTATCAAGAAAGTCCTATCGTCGGACTACGAACATGGGACGTTCAGGATATTTCTTGCTCGCCTTCTTCTATGGCGAGTGACCGAGCAACGTGACACTGCGACCGATCATTTGCCCACGTGGTCGTGGTTGACACATAATCAAGTCAAATTCTTCCCAGAAGGAAGTATCGAAGTCCCAACGAGCGACATCCTCCGCTTTGGTGTTTTCAAACACCAATTGCACGCACAGATCAGAGAATTACATGTTCCAGAAGACTTTCGCAGCGAGGGGAGGGAAAAAGGTGAACTGTGGCTGGATTCACAACACGGCACACCGCCCCAATATTGCACTGTTGCTGGGATACTCCGGAGCAATCCACGGAGTCATTGCTGTATTTTGCTCACTTATCACGCTGATGACGATCGGTACCGCAGGGTCGGAGCTTGTGTGGTTCCATCTCAATACATATCCCAAGCGTACAAGGAGGGTATCATTGTATGAGTGAGCTTCAGTCATGATGATTAGATAGACCACGGCGCATCTGGGAATTCTATCAGGAGTCGAAAAGACGGTTTGACCTCTAGCGAGTTGGTTGAGCATGATGACACCGTGCAAGAATACTGAGACATTTCATGACGATTTAATTTCGGCTTTGAGCTCGGACACAGACCACTGGCATTTTGTCGAGAAGGGTATGAAGTTTAGGAAAGGGATCGGTTTCTGTATGGACATAGTGTATTTCCTTAGATAATGGACTTCGGATAGACGCTACAACAAGGTATTTAGAAAGCTGCACGGTGTCGTTAAGAAGTCGCCCCGATCCTCTGCGTGTTTCCGCCACTATGGACCCGGCAGATGGTATCCGCGTCAGTTCCACGGACAAGGAGGTGGTTGAGTTTCTACACGCTTTCCATAACAATGATCCACGATATGAAAAAAGATACGCCCCTGAATGTCAGCGGAATGCATTTTAGCGAACGAGCTCTCGAAATGACGACTACCTAATATCACGAACTAGGCTATCGTCGTAAATGAGCGCCTGGGTAGGTGTCAGCTGTCTGTGATACATACATCACCAACTCCGCAATGCCTTTCGTGGCGAGGCTGGAAGCTTGGGAGCGGCTGCTTCTGCCACTTCTCGACGAAGCCTACTGAATAATCAAGGGCCCCACAGTTCCGATTGCGATGATAGTATTACCTTCAGTCCAGAAACGCATCGACATATGGACGAAGCGTCAATCTCCCTGAACTCGAGAGGGCGCTCGTTCACCCTTTTTAGACCGATCTGGCGAAATTGTCCAGTACAACACTGAAAGGCCTACATCGTCAAAACACGACACAGCGTTCTCGCGATGGACGAGGCTGCAGGGAGTCCGATATCAAGGTCTGCGAGAGCTTTAAACAATTGTAGCACAGTCTCGTCCAAGTTCACCGGAAAAAAAGCAATGACTGGCACGGGGAAGTGTGAGAGTGCGAAGTTGGTGCGGCATTGAGAAGGCTTTGAGTGACACGGAGCTGCCCCCTTTTTACCCTGATGTCTGAAAACTGGCCTCGGAGTACGTTATATGGCTATTCATTTTCCTGGGAAACTTCGATTCTCAAACTTTCAATTTGAGTCGCATCAGTCCGCAAGTTTCCTATTCTTGACTCGTGGCTTTTTAAAGGTCTGGAGGCAGACACTATATTGGACTGCGGCCCAAGGGACTCCCACAATATTGATTATAGAAGCATTCGACCGCCATAGCCTACTTCCACACCAGGTGCCAATGACTCTCCGCCTATTTGCCGACTGTGGATTGAATGTCAGTGGCCTGAAACGCGCAACAAAATGTGCGTACATACCTCCAGCGGCAAATACTGTTGCGGCGCCATCGACTGGCATACATATCCCGCTTACGAATGCTGCATCGTCGGACAAAAGGTATACCGCAGCGTTGGCGACATAGCCGGTCGAAGTGTTGAGCTTCAATGCTTCACCTCGAGGGAACGAAGCCTCGAATTTAGCACGGTTTTCTGGCGTGTCCTCGACTCCCATGAAGGATTGTGCTCTGTGTGGTGGATCAGTCAGTTATTGCTCGACTAAGGGGGGCATATGCAGGGCTTAGCTGACAGGTCGGTATATGCCAGAATTGGGCAGATAGCGTTGACCTTGATCCCAGCATGACCGTATTCTGAGGCAAGCCCCTCTGTGATCTGAACGGGAATTAGCAAGGATGCTCCGTCCTTCAAGAGTTCGGAAGATGATACCTTATTGACAAATGCTTTGGTCCCACCGTACCATACCTGCGGTGCCTGTCAGATTCGGACGCGAGGAAGTGTGTCACGAGGTACTCACCAGCCCGTTCTTGACTCGGATGCCTCCAACCGAGCTGATATTCAGGATGGAGCCTGCCTTCTGTTCTATAAAATACGGCACCACCACCGCGACGCTGAGGAATATGGATTTCATGTTGACGGCGATAACCTTGTCATACTCTTCCTCGGTAACTGTATGTGAAGCCTTCTTAGGATACGTCGTCCCCGCATTGTTGACCACGACGTCGACCTTGCCAAATGCCTTCAGCGAGGCTTCCAACAACTTCGTCCACGAGGCCTGGCTAGTGACATTTGCCTCCTGGAACAATGCGGTCTTCTCGCCATGCGAACCGTTGATCTCAGCCGCGACTTTGGCTCCGGTCTTGGGATTGATGTCTGCGATGACCACCTGGGCGCCCTCTTCGGCGAAGCGCCTCGCCATAGCCTCTCCAAAGCCATGGCCACCGCCTGTGACTATGCACACTTTGCCCTTCAACTTTTGCGACATCTTCGACTATTTAGTATGAGCAGTTCGGTCGTTCAGTGAAAGAGGCCAAAAGTTGTTTTCGAGGGTTCTGTACAAGTGTAGGTCTCCAAAGTCTCAAGTTTTGAAGATCTCCAAAATTTTGGGGATGATGATTCCATTCCTCCTGGATTTCCTCATGGAGAGAAGCTTTCTGAGGTCGCTCTTGGGTTCCAATGGCTTTACAGCACTGAGGGGTATTTCCAACTCTCCAGATGTCAAACCGAGCGCCCGAGGCTGATATGCATGCGGAGAAGACGAGGCTAGGAAGGAGTTGGAGGCCCCGGGCCAGCACCGCGATTGTTTTTCCTGAACTCTATCCACGTGCGAGTAGCAAGGTGAATGTTGGTGCTGCTTAGGACGATTGCCTGTAAACGGATCCTCCTTGCCACTTGGGGAACTTGGGGAAATCAGTGTCAGTCGAGCCCCTTTGCCGAAACCACAGTATCAGATCCACCGGATCGAGCCTCCAGCTTTCAGAATGTGATCCGAGGCAGTCTTGGGAGTGATGGCATTTGTACTTGGACAGACCTTGTTCCTTTCTAGCTTCGTTGGACTTCATCTTATGGCTTCAACAGTACTATCATGGACTTTGTCATCGGCCTGCTGGTGCCCCTTAGATTCTTCCAAGTCAGCATCGGCGAGACCCAGAGCAGGAACATCGCCATAGCTACCAACAGACTCCACTCTTGAGGTGGCATCACTGGCTTTGGTGCCGTCGCTACTCGACCACCCTGGCTGTCGCCAGACGATCCAGACTGCAGCGGCCGTGGCAGTTGTCTCAACAGCAATGCATGGAGATAGTGTCCACATAGTCATGTTCCCCGTCGCCCGCTTGTTCTGCGAATCCGTGCCGGGTAGTGCTGGAAACGTCCACCCCAGTCTTTCAGTCCGAGATTTCTCTGAGTGATCAACTTGACCGCATTGTTGGTGCCCACTACGTGCTGATCGTCATTGGATACAGCTATGTCTGGCTCGACACGTTTGACACGTACTTCGCCACGTGTACCGTCAGCTAGAGTCCGTGTCTGCGGCTGCAACTCGTGGCTCCCCTTCTGCTCTTCATGGCAACGCACAAGGAATTCGAGCTCCAGCGTGCGGAAATTGTAAGGAAGAGCCGGGGCGCGCTGTTCAAGAAGCCCAGGCTGCATAGGAGACTGGCCTTGAAAAGGTCATTCGACAAAGAAAGGCGTTAACAGGTAAGTTGTCCATTCGGCATCGAAATACATGTCTACGCGTCAACGGTCCACCCTTGTATAGGTGCTTCAGTGAAAAAGGATGTAAATACTCACCTGCAACTCTCGGTTCATGCTCTACAAGTCTCTTGGGCATCATCGGAGTCTGCATTGTCACATTCATGAACCTTGTTATGCTGATGTTCCTGGATCGACGTGGTCAGACTAGTATCATCCTTTTTGAGCCATGATCGGTTCCGCGTGTTCGTCGATCTGATCCCCTGCCAGTGTTTCGATATTCAGGAGCATGAGGGAGAACGGGTCGGATTGTTCTTGTTCCTATTCGCATTGTCCTATGGCGGAACTACGGACGCTACCAGACCGCACCAGCCACGTTTGCACAATTCGCTGGAAATTCTTCCAGGAGACGATTCTCCATTCGCTCGGACAGATATCGAGACTGTTCGATCGTGGGGAACGAGAACAAATCATTAGATGGTCACATCACCGGGTTCAAAAATCGCAGGGGACCCCAGTCACACACCACAGCACCGAGTGATCGAAGCTCGTGTTGTGTCAGCCTCTTGGAACGCTGTTCAATTATACATAGATATTGCCAGAAGCAGTCGTACAAACCCTAGACCTACCAAATCCATCCCCATCATGAGCAATACGATATTGCGTAGAGTTCGCAACTAATGCGAACAACTGGTCGGAGACAATTTGCAGAGCCTACAAGGAACGGCCCGGTGAGGCTAGACGGGCCGGGGTTCGATCTCCGTCGCCGCTGAACTGCGAAAAGTCGATGAGAGAAGTGTACTGCCGCCAACACCCACTATCTCCAAGAGGTTCCTCTGCGGCATCTTGGGAAGTTGATCACTCAAGGTGTCTAGCATACGCCGAGCGTTGACTTGCTGGTATTAGGAGAGCATCATTGTTAGCTAAATTTTAGAGCCCAGACAAACGTTCTCAACAAATGTCGGCATCTTTTGGAGGCTGGTTGCAAACCAGGCTGAATGGCGACCCATGGACCAGGGCACAGCATGGGCTTGCATACATTGTAGTTGAATCATTCCGGAGCGAGTGATTCTCATTCGATGCTTTCGATGTCTCTTGCTGTGATCATCGACAACTTGGGGCATTCGCTGCAAGATATTATTGTCATTCCTGGTGGCTGATTCTCTCGGCATGACGAGAGAACTGGCGGAGACGGTAGAGTAGCAGCTGGGGACGGGGCAAAAATGCTGCAAATTTGATGTCTGTCCCGCTAGCGTTCAGATTTGGCCCTCACCGCACTTTTTGTTTCATGGGCGTAGACTCCACATATGGCACCAGAGCATCCTGAGATAGTATCTCCATAGGAGGATGGTCTCGGAATCAGCTGGAGGGCCGGGTGTTCAACGGTCAGGTAAGTCGTTCCTTCGTTATGCTCCCCCTGGATCCTCTAGGAGTGTACAGTATTCGGGGAGGCCTTCGAGTGTCGATAACCGGAGGAAACAGGGCAGAAGTTGGACCATGAAAGACCCAGGGCCGGGATCAAGTGCTGGTTAGTTCGGAGGAGTGAAACGACAGCGCAACAAAGCGACCCGATTTCTCGAGCCTGCGGCGTGGCACATGGCGGGGCAGCTGAGTAGTTGTCAGGCAGCCAGGAATTTTCCGACGATTGTCATTTGAAATTACGAGATCCAACCCCCACCAACCAGCCATGACAGTCAACTTATTGACTGCCTCACGCATCGTCCTTCTCCTACTTATTGCATCGCACCCAGACTGCTCGGTCTCATCCTTCGCAGGTCTGATTTATCTCATCCTAAGTCCTCGTCCTATACTTACTCTACCTCTGCCACACAAACGCCGCAACCGACCCGTGTTCCGACCTGCCCTCACGCACACCTGGTTGATTTCTCCAGCAACCATATCTTCCGCTTCTCCTGTCTTCTCTGTCTATCACTACACCACCCACAGAGATGTCTTGGCAAGGTGAGCTGAATTGGAGGGCTGTGCTGGGATGCAGCACACAGGAGTGGTTGCTAACTCGAGTGAATCAATCCTACAGCATACGTCGATTCGAGGTATTCACCACCCGGATGCCCGCGAGGCCCCAATTTCGTGTCCCTCCACATGTACCAAACTGACACGGGTTTATCTGATTCACAGTCTCGTCGGCACCGGCCACGTTGACAAAGCCGCCATCTTCAACGCCGAAGGCAACTCCGTATGGGCGTCGTCGCCGAACTTCAATGTGAGCCCGCAAGAAATGCAAGAGGTCGTTGGCGCGTACAAGGATACCTCAGTGCCCAAGAAGGTGCAGTCTACGGGATTACACATTGCGGGCCAAAAGTACATTGTCATCAAAGCGGACGAAACAAGTCTGTACGGGAAGAAGGTGGGTTCTGAATTTCCCTTCTCACTACGCCCCAACGCGACGCCGACTGGAGGATGGTGGCCGCCCAGAAGAAGGAGGAGAAGGCAAGATCAAAGTGTTGAACATGGGCTAATTGTTCGGCTCCGGCGATACACAGGGTCGAGAAGGCGTCGTCATCGTCAAGACGAAACAGGCTCTGCTTATCACACATTACCCGGAGACAGTACAGCCTGGCACGGCGGCCAACACAGTCGAGAAACTTGGCGCCTATCTTGTAGGCGTGGGGTATTAATGCTTAGAACCAAACGAAAAGAATGAACGAACGGTGAGGCAAGGAAAGAGATGTTGCATTCAGTGCCACCTACTTTCACGCTGCATGCCGATCGGTGGCTTGCACGCGGCAAAGATGGCGGACACGAAGACAAGGACGGACCGACCTTGAATCGGCCGACGATGAATGAGCCTTCATGGCGGGGCATGCGCACTTCAAAGAGCATAACATGGAGTATTGAAATATTATCCCTTGGAATTTTTCTATTACCTTTCGTGTCATCCTCCTTCTCAATGTATTCTACCCAGTTGATCACTCACTCACACTGTCCGTCGCATGCCGTTCAACGCTCAACGCGATAGGGTTATATAGAGACCTAGGGTCAACAGCCCGAGTCCTGGTCAGCCACGAGAGACAAAGAGGCGTGAGAGACATGTCAAACCACGTCACCCGCTGCTGCTCGAGAACCAAAAGCAAAGTCTCATTTGCATGACACAGTTCTACATGGGTTTGTAATGAGTCAAGGACTGTATAAACGTTTCGTTCTCGACTCCCTCGGTAAAACTCCTTTTTTACCTGATCCCCAAAGACCTTTCCAAACGCCGCAAGTTGACTGACCCTGTCCTGAGGTGAGCTGGAACACATGGCATGAGTAGCGCTCAGCAAGGGCAACAAAAGCACCAATAGAGTATGAATAGCTCCAAGCAAGGATTAGCTCCAACGTCCTGATGATCGCGGCACCTCTCATATAGGCACAATACTGCGGCCATTTGATATGTTGCCGAGAGCAGGGCTCGTCCACTTGGTGAGAGATAGAAGGTCATTAGAGATGGATATTGTCGAGTCGGAGGGTGTTGCTGGATTGCTTCGGCCGTGCATTCAAAGGTGGTTCTCCCCATCCTGCCCTCCATGCTGACTCGCTTTTCACATCGTCCTAGGGCCTAATCTGAACGAACATCCTTTTGGTGTTCTCGCTCTGTCTATTTCCATTAACAACACTTTCCACCCATACCGCTGTTCTGATTTTGGGCGACATTAACGCCTCCAACGCCTTGACCGCCAGCTCCAGCTCCACCGGCGTCTTTCGAACTGTCGATCAATCGCTTCTTGATGTCTGAGGCTAACGAGTAAAAGGCCTTTTCGATGTTGATGTTTGATTTGGCGCTGACTTCTAGAAAGGGGATACCCAGTTCGTCCGCGAGCGCCTGGCCTTGTTCCGTGGAGACAGCACGTTTCTCCTCCCAATCGCACTTGTTGCCGATGAGGATTTTGTTTACACCTTCGCTGGCATGTTGTTCGACGTTGGAGAACCAGGTTCTTATGTCTGTTATCAATAAAAGATTAGACGTGTGATACGAAATCATTCTGTGTCGGTTGGGGCCATACTGTTGAAGCTCTTTTCATCCGTCACATCATACACCAACAGGATTCCCATTGCGCCTCGATAGTATGCAGTGGTGATCGTCCTGAAGCGCTCTTGGCCTGCTGTGTCCCATATTTGGAGTTTCACCCTCTTGCCGTCCAGATCGATTGTCCGGATCTTGAAGTCTATGCCGATGGTTGTGATGAAGCTGGGAGTGAAGCTGTCTTCGCTGAAGCGTAATAGGCAGCATGATTTCCCAACGCCAGAATCGCCGATCAAGAGGAGTTTTATCTGGAAGGAGGAATCGGTTAGCATGGGGATTTGTAGAGCGGTGACGGATCGGGCCAAACACCCCGTCCACGATGCTCGTGGGACGTACTAGGAAGTCATAATTCCGTTGACCGGCCATTGCGAATGCGTGAGTATTGAATGGAGGGGGTCAAGACTTGACTGCGTATGCGTTCCGTATATGACCAAGAGAGATCAATCAGTCGCCTTTGGAGGTGGCGGCTTTGTTCGCCAGGTGTCTCGCCGAAACTCGGTGCGCCTAACTCACAGCGGCGCCGTGGAGGGTATCGACTGAGTGTTGAAGGAAATTCGAAGAATGATCGTGAAAAACAAACCGGAATAGCAGGAATAGGCAGCTCTAAGTCGACGATGTCCGTCTGTCAAGAGGGAGGAGGAATATGTGGGAAATGGAAAGATGCGACAGATGATGTCGCTCGGATGCGGATGTTGGAGGGTGGAAGTCAAGTCACAGTGGCTCGTGGGAGGAGGAGCGCAGGCAATTTGCAAGGCCGCCGAGTTCTCGTAGGGTCAAAGCCTCAACAAGATGCAAAAACCCCGAAATGCAACGGGTGGCTTTTGGCGGTTGAAGGGTTGCAACGGTTGGAAGCGAGGTAACGAGAGGCCGCCTAATCAATGGGGTGGTAGGCGCCCGGGACAATCAGGCTGAGGCAAGACCATGAATTGATGGCGCCTCTTAGGGGGAATCTCAGATGACCTCTAGGCTGCTCCCCGGAGTTCCCAGAGGGCCCTAAAGGTGCCTAGAATCACCACGACGGGGGGAAACCATTGGCACACAATTGAGTCAAAAATGCATATACTTCATGATCTTCCGGATGGTGTAGCCTGACCAACGGCCCATCCCACCCTTGCTTTTGTATATTTGGAGCCTTGCTACGAGATCTAACGGTGTTGAGTACTGGCTTTGCTGGTCAGCGATGCCCGAAGACGCATGGAAAGTAATAGTGGCAAGACTGCCTACTGTCTGCCTTCCCAGTCTGGTCCCATATGTCACGAAGACGGCATCATGTTTTCGCGTGACGTCATTTCAAGCAAGGCTTGACCTTTTGGCTTTCTTGGGATGGACACACCAGCTCCATGATCTCTGAGCTTTGTGGCGTCCCTGGCAATTGTCAATATCTCACAATCTCTCAGAAGATCATCACATCACATCATCTCGGCTGAGTTAACATCTCCTGTTACATCAGACTGCGATGGAGCCCTCAATATGATCGCAGCAGGGACTAAGATTCTCTCACACTGAATATGCCACTGTTATGTTAGACGAAGACTCGGTCCAGATCTGCCTGCAAATATGTCGTTCATTGACGAGTAAGCTCTCTTTTGACACCTCGCCGGGATAGTCTTGTCTAACCCTTCCACAGCGACCTGCGGCGAATCGATGCTGCCCTCGACCGGTTCCAATTGAAGGAGGCGGAGGAAAGGGTGTCCGCTGCGACGACCGAAGGAGAACAAGTCGCTGCTACCCCTGTCGAGGATGCTCGAACTGCAGAACTCAAAGCAGTAGTCAGAGCATTATCGACAACTTCAAGCTCGAGGCCCCTCCTACGTCGTTCTAGATTGCGCAGTCTGCTACGTCAACTTGGCAGAAAAGAGGGCGAGCAGGTGGCCGTTGAGACAATTTCACCAGACATTTCAAACCTGGAGTGGATTGCAATAGGCAAGGCAACAGCCCAAGTCTACGGGCTGATCCTCAATTCTCTTCTGGATCGAACAATTCCCCTAAGCGAGTCCATCTGGTACTGGGATGACATCTTGAGTTCCTACGGAAATATTCTCCTCTACACAATTCAGACATCTCCCTTGAGGTTCTGGGAGCAGGCGAAGGACGTGTATACCGATGCACGACAGAAATTTCTGCAAGGCCATAATCTCACGGTCTCCGCGAGACAAGCTACAACAACAGTAACCGAGGGTTGGCGTGAGTTCTATGGCCTGGTTCAAAACAGCATTCGAGAGCGCTCTTTGACCCAAGCCCAAACGAAGATCCTGTCGCCGTTCTCAATAGCCCGCATGCAAGCACGGAAGAATTTAGAGCGCATACAACATCTCAGAAAGTCCAGTGCTGGAACAATCGGCAGACTTGTTAGGGAGTGTCTTGTCTTTGGTGGGTCGATGGAAGACCGCAGGCATGGTGCCTTGTTACAAGTGCTGGACGCCGAAGAAGATGACTGGCAGACCACGATAGCTCGAGCGGCGTATCTGCTAGATAGCTCTTCAAGGAATCAAGATGATATGGAAGAGTTCAGTTTTGACCCACAAACGGCCTCCTCAACAGAAGTTGCCAATCTCTTGGTCAAAATTCTCGATGAGCGTCTTCCAAAGCAGGAAAAAGAAGCATATGACTTGCGGCTACAATACGGCAAACCATCGAGATTGGTTCGCTATTGGATTCCTGCCGTTGGCCTCCTCCTCTCAGGAAGCACGCTGCTTCGGATCCTAGTCAACAGAAAAGCCGAGATTGCCCAATGGTTCCGAGATCTTGGCCAGACGAGCATCGACTTCTGGACCAACTGGGTCATCGAGCCGACGAAGAAACTCGTGGGCACAATCCGCCACGACGAGCAGAGCGAAATAGCGATCCAAAGCCGCGACAGTCTTCGAGCCGACAGGGAAAGTCTGGAGCGGATGGTGGTTGATTTCGCCATTCAACATCCCGACGAGAAGGGGGCCAATTTCACAGAAGCAGAGATCGCGGAACTCAGGGCGAAAGTGAAGGAAGGGGACCTCACCCCGGTTCTAAGGGCATATGAAAGAGAGATGCAAAGCCCCATCAAGAACGCCATCATGGGCGACCTGGTCCGCACCTTACTCATCCAAGTCCAGAAGACCAAAGTCGACGTGGAGGTGGCGATCGGTGGAATAGATTCTCTGCTCAAGAGCCAAGAATTGCTGTTCGGCTTTGTTGGCATCGCCCCGGGGGTGCTCATCTCCTATTTCCTCTTCCAATGGCTGAGAGGTGTTCTTGGTGGCCGCAAGGGTCTGCGCCAGGGCATCAGAAAGGGCGAGACGATTCGTCTGATCAGGTAAGTCCGAATCATTGGCCTTCCCTCCTTGCTTTCATTACACCCACACACCCACCCACACACCTACCCATACACCCACCCATACACCCAGTCCTCTTCTTCTCCGTTCACGTCCAAAGCACACAACGCTCTCAGACTCAATGCTGACCTCCACAGAAACATCGACCGCACACTGACATCCTCGGACCTCGATATCGATCAAGGCATCATCTCCGAGGAAAACCACGGCTTTCTCCTCTGCGAGACTCACCTGCTGCGTCAACGCGCCGCCCAAGTGCTGCCCCGGAGCGTGTGGCGAGAATTTCTCGAGGACCTGGACGATCTCCTCGACGTCAAGCAGGGCGTCAATCGGCAGATGCAGGTGGTGAGGAGGATCGAATGGGCCTATGCGAAATGGTTGGGCTAGATAGGCGTGTTGTGTATGCACGAATCTCATGACTCAACTCGGAACAAACGGGCCAGCCAGCCTTATAGAGACCGAACAGACTTTTAGTCTCGGTGTTGTATATGTGTGCAAGATATAACTCTCTGTTGCATAAAACTGCATGATGTTTACCGTGATCATCGCAGGAGCGAAGAAGTCCTCCCACGAGCACAGCCCACCATTCTCTTCCCAGCCAGCTGCTCGCTTCACCTCAACAAAAGGGCCAGAGAAAAGAAGACGGCCGTCAAATAATTGCCTGAGATCCGAGAAGAATAAAAAGCTAGCTAGCGACAACATATGTTCATCATATCGTGATATGGAAACAGCTCTCTCGCTGGCAAGTGGCCGTTTTCCGGGTATCCAAACTTTTCCTCCCTGTCCTCATTCTCGCTGCCGATTTTCCCTGCTGCTGTCCCTCCTTCCTGTGCTCCTTTGCCCCTTTCCTTATTCCTGTTCGGGTTTCCTTCCCTCATTTTGACCGCGCTCTCCAGTATTGATCGAGCGTAGCATGCTGATGTGTATAATGCGGCTGGCAGGCAGGCCGGCCAGCGTGCCGACACACCCTGCCACAGTGGGCGACTCAGGCAGGATTTCGTCGTACCGCACGCAGCAAGTTTTTCTGCTTTGCAGATTGCGGCTAAGCCTTGTCATGCTACCACAATTCACTTTCCCCCTCTCTTTTGCCCCTGGTATCCTGCTCTTACCTGAATCTCTTGATCTTGTCCGCCATGGCCTGGACTCTTTTTACTGACCCCAGATAGCTGCGTAATCGTTGTTTCCAGTGCCATCAAACTTATGTGTCAAAGTAAATGAGTAATAAACTCAGCACACACAATGGGGATACATGAAAAATAAATGTTTTCTGTCCCCTGACGTCTCGTGTTTTCTTTTCACCTTTGCTCTCGCTGAAGACATCCTAACCTTGCAGGAGCCACAGCACGGTCACTAGTTGCCGAGTCGTCTTCAGTCGCGGCCCTTCCGCTTCTGATCGGAGCCTGCTTGTATTCAATTCCCCTTCGGAGGGTTGTTTCCGCCATGTGCATATACAACGTGATAGGAAGGAGTTCGGACAAGGAGTTCGGACATGGAGTCCGTTTTCCAGAAGCCATTGTCGTGGGGACTTGTATATTCACCAATATCATCCTCTTTATAGCTGCATGTTCGAAAATGACGGGCTTTTTCCGCCATTAGTCTTGAAACAGCTCTGCTGAAGGGCGCCGGCTCGAGCACACCTGGCTTAATCTCGTCCAGAACATTTGCGCTGTATAATTTGCCGCGTCAGATTTCCGACCTAGCAGCGTCATTCCTTGGACACAAGCCTCTGCTTGGTTATACAGATCCTGGTACTTCGTGTGCGTGTGGACCCATGCGTGATTCGGATCGTCAGGATTGTCCCAGCTCGATAACCAGGTGATAAAGACCTTGCATGCACTCCCCATAGCCCGGACAAGAATATCTGTCCAAGGTTCGGTGAGGATGGCGCTGCCGTTGCAGACGAAATGGAACTCCGAGTTATCAGGCACAGACGGTTTGTGCTCCGATAGGGACGCCTGCGCAATCTTAGCGATGGCGCAAGCGTTGTCGTGTCGTAGCTCTTTTATCAAGTGGCAGGTTGTTCGCAGCGTCCGTTGAGGCTGCATCGTCTTCTCTTCCCGGTCAATCTGAGATATTGTATCTGCCAGCAACAAGCAACCGTAGTGCCAGTGACCATCCAGAATGACATACCATGACTGCACGTGCGGCTCGAGGAAGTTGTGCTGACTGACGCAGTCGTTCATAAACGGCCCGTACGTTGTATTCCACTGTTCGTAGACCTTGAGTGCCTCGTGAATACACCTCTCAAGCTCCTGTGGTGGCGTCCTGCGGAAGGCGAGGGTCTGCAGCTGTGCCACTTTGCGGAACATGAGAACTTTAACCGGGATTGCTTCTTGAAGCACCAACGCCGCCTCGTCGAATTTGCAGGGCCACCGGGGCTGTGTTTTCCGGGGCCCTGCCCACTTGAAGCTCAATAGATAGTCTCCCCACAGAGAGCGCTTGTCGCGGTCATGTGTTTCCTGGAAGGATAAATACTGCTCGTGATCGCTGGAACAGACGGCGTCGAAATCGTCCATCTCTTCTCGAATCATGGCACAATCTTCATCTGGAATGACTAGCGGACGCTTACTGATAGCTGACGAAGTTGTATCGCACATGACGCCCAGCCAGAACAGGAGGTTGAACGTCTGATGGTCCTTGAGAGCAAGCGCGCCCATAGAGCCATGTCCGTAGTCGCCCTTTCCTTTCGATCGCAACCGGCGGTAACGTTCGATCTTGCGCCTCCACGAGAACAAGTTTCGAACTGCTGTCTCAAGGTAGATGGGCGGGGACGCCAATGCCTCGAGATCGCTGGCGTAAAACGGATTCCACTCTTCGTTGACTATGGTGTTCATGGCGGGGTCTGCACATTGCGAAGGAGGTTCGCAAACGTAGGAGTTGTCAGAACCTCGACGGCTGCTCGTCGAAGAGTCTATCGGCGATGTCTGCGCCTCTGGGGTCGATTTGGTTTTCGCATCGATCGGTCTCTGCGTTAGGGCGAAGATCATGTACGCAAGGATCACCTTGAAAGAGTCGATCTCAGAGCTCGACTGAATGGCGGTCTTCGCCTCATGCCAGAGCGTCTTTTGGATTATCCGTTCACATTCACTAGACAGCATCGGCTCGTTGGGTCGCCCGGATCGTGAAAACAAGCCCGACATGTGTGTTTGACATGCCTTCATTTGCGACATGCCTTCCTTGCTTTTCCAGAAGGAGTTGTGGGAGCCATGGGACCATTGGCTGGCAAATGCCATGATCGCGGCGTTAAGTGCTTTAGTCGCCGTACGGTTTTCCATGGCGGACAATTCGCGGCCCCTCAATAGGGAAAACGCCGAATCCAAGCGGGAGACGCGCGAGAAGATTCGATTGTCGCCCAGACGGAGCGCAGCTTCTTCTGCTGTCGAAGCAGGGTTTGCATGCGGAATGAGGTTCCGAAGCTCGGTTTCGTACGGACAATTCTTCTCCGTTACCCAACACGACAAGGAGTTCTCAAAGCTATCGTGGTAGATGCGTAACAGGCCACTGGCAATCATCGCTTTCATTGCCGCGTCGGCGAAATGGAGCTGGCGAGTTGACAGCGGAGCCGTGCTTTGCCCTCTGCCATTTGTTGAAAGGGCTGAACCGTGTGATGGCGCCTTTGACCGCGTGCTTTCCGGCGAATCTCGATCGGTCGAGGCTGAGTAGTGATAATGGTGTGGGTTTTTCGCACGTTTAATGCGTGATGGTGTGGAATCAGTCGGGGGGGTTTCATCCTCGCAACTCGTTTCGGAACTCATTGAAGTCAGACTTGGAGATGACTCGTTCTTGGAGGTTGCATTGCTGGAATCATTGGAATTGGAGTCGGGTGACGTAGAAGACGAGTCCCGGTTGACAAGCCCAATGCCATTCCATCGATTGTGGCCCGCGCATTCTCCAGAGGGCAAATGATTCGGGAGAGTGACGTTGCCGCCGACAGTCCGGACAGACGCTGATGCGCCATTTGGCATTGAGGCGGTCGAAGGTGTGGTCTGGCTGCCGTTCCCGTCTCCACAATAAAGCGTCTCAGACTCCGAGGAGCCCTCCGCGAAGGCGCCGCTCCTGAGATAGGTTGACTCGTAGGACTCAGTGATTCCATGCCGTCCCGTGTTCTGGAAGGCCTGGGTGGTAGGTGCGAGTTGTGGATAACTAATCCGATTTGCAAATGATGAATAGCCATGGGAATATGGAGTCTGAGGTTTTGTGTCTGGTGCGGCTGCTGAGTTAGTGACATATTCAGGTAAACCGGTCGATTCCAACTTCCTCTTCACGCCTTTCGGTAGGCCTTGGAGAGGAAGCGTGCGAAGCCAGTCGAATGTACAGGTCTTGCTAGTCCTTGCACAATTTGAGCAGGCTTCACATGTCGAGGCAGACCAGTCAGGCTGATCGTTCTCACGAAATGGGAAGTTGACAACCCTCAAGGCGCCTGCGTCGCATGCCCTTCTGGCCTTGCGGCACTGGTCGCAGGCTTGGTACTGTCGGCGTGAAGTTTTCGAATATCCGGAACTGGTTGAGCTGCCTGCGTGGACTGCGCACTCGGAAGCGACGGTAGCCATTGGTAATGACGATCACCACGATGATGAGGAAGGGACATGCTCTGTGCCGCTGGAGGGAAATGGAGAGAAGATTAAACGGCGAGGTTCAAGTTGTCGCATCGCAAGAAGCGGAGTTGTACAGATCGGGAGCAAGGCCAGACCAACTCTTTCTCCACCAACAGCCCACGGCTCGACGACCACGGCTGCTCAGCAGACGCAAGGATGCAGAAGTTGTTGCGTTGTAGGTGGACACGGTGCAACCTGGGGAAGGACGGCAGAGCGAATGACCAGCCGCAATCCACACCTGACCGCCACTAACTCTTGGAATTACGGAAGGTGGAACACTCCGAGGGTCTCAGAGCAGGGCGGGTTTTCTCGATGAGGATTTGTGCTTTTCTGGCTGTGTGATCCTGGACAGGGATTTGATGGGATGAGGCAAGGGGGGGAGGTTGCCAGATGGGCACAGGATGGCTGATCTTCTAAAAAGCGGGGGCGTGGGCGTGGTAGGAGGGTAGGAGGTCGAAGGGTCGGTTTGAGCAATCGAGGAATTGAGGAGTGAGGGTTTCTGGTGGTCATGGGTGTGGTGGATGAGACCGTCTTCTGATGGGCTGCGATGGATGCAGCATGGTGGTGCTGGGCCAGCTGGTTATGGTATAGCGAAATGCAATAATCAGCAAGGTTATTGCCCATTAGCTGGGCGACTAATGAGCGGAATGGGAGCCTGTTCAGCCTGCGACGGGCTCCAGAGCTCCTGAGCCCCAAGCACCAAGCCCCAAGCCCCGAGCCCCCAGGCGTCCCCCAGGGATCCGCATCACTCCAAGTGATTTTTCTTGGGCCTTGAGCCCTTGACAACTGCCACTCAACAGCCACAAACCCATGTCTCGGTAAGCTTCTCCATAATTAATCTGCCTCTTAGCCCTCACTCGTATACGGTAAGTGGTTTAGTCTCTCTCCTTGCTCCATTCAAGGAGTATTGCCTGGCCTTTGACAGATTGTTTGCAGGTATTCAGAAAGCTCAATCCACCTCCTTCCCCTCAAGCGTTGCCATAGACTGCAACAGTCAAACAAAATCCACCATCCACGCACTTCCTAGCTGAGATGCCCGTAACTAGCTCAAGGGAGTTACCGAGTTGTGGGGGAGGGTCTCGGAAACACTATTAGTTGTCCCCTTCTTCCTCTTACGGAGCACAAATGAGCCTCTCCTTTAGCTAGGCTTCCTCCCCCTGTCCTTTTCCCGTCCGTCTATTCCAGAACAAGAGAAGAGTGAGCATCGCCACGGCGCAGTCAACATCTGGCAGTCCGACACGGCATCAATTGGCCCCCGGAAAAGGCCCCTAGGCCATGGGGAAATGCTGTCAACGTGTGCCCCGTCATGCACAATGCCGTAAGGAGATGGATTGGCCGAGGTGGGAACAGGTACCAGATACTCCCTGCCATTGTTGACAGTGCCGTCAGGGGAACAATTGCCCCAGAAAAGGGTGAAAGAGCCACGTCGACAGGTCAGATAGCCACACACTTTCCAGCTCAAAGGATGGGGATTGCGATCGAGACTGCCAATACCACCCTACCGTGGCAATCCAGTCCATTTTCAAAGGAGGTGAGGCCTGGAGGAGTCATGCCTGCGCAAATGCAATTCCTGCCTTGCGGTAAGCCTCTCGGGCTTCTCCTGTTGGTTGCCACCGAAAGCAGCCTGCCACGGCTGCCAATAAGCAGACCAGACTGGTCAAAGTCTTGAACATGTCTTGCGTGCTCCGCCAATCCCAGCAGGTGATGGTCATAATGGCGAGTGATTGTCACGCGCAATGATTCTAATGGGGCAAACCTCCATATTGGCAAATGGCACCAACGGTACGGGCGTTTGATGGACTTTATCGACCTTTAGCGTCTAACGCCTAACGGACCCCATTCCTGAAAATCTGTCTAGCCTCGCAATTATTATTTTTCGAGGATGCAGCCCTTTTGGCAAGAGTGACTGTCGGGCAACGCGCTGGACAAGGGCTTCATTGGCTTCGGACCTCCCGGATATCACTTCCCACTGTATGAAGCTTAGCAACCACCTAGTTATACCTGCAAGCAGCCAGCAGACTACCACATGCAGAAACATTTACCTTCTCTCGAAAGACAAGGCGTACATGCTAGAAGCAGGATCGGTCCTGCAGTCGTCCTGGGCAGATGTTTTGGATGCTGGACATGTTGCTTCTTTATTTTTCCGAACAGGACTTTGGATTCAGACTGATCGTGGACGCTAGCTGGTGTGCCTTACTCCACTTACAATCTTCACTGCGCATAGGGCTTCATTTCCAAGCCTGCTCGTTGCTTGATGGCACCATAGGGGCCAAGCACAGGATGAGCGTGTATACGAGCTGACCGGATATTCGACCCTGTTTCAGCTTTTCTTCAGATAACCACGCCTTCGCCCGCGGGCAAACAGTATGTGGGTGCATGGAGTCTCTGTCAGGAGTGACCAAGCCTGCAATTCCAGATTTCCGGGTTCTTGGGCTTTTTTCTCCTAAAGACGTCACCTCCAAGGAGGTTTACTGGAAGCAGACTGTTGTTGCCGTCCCAGCCATCTTGCTAAAAGGTCTTTGTAATAACGTCACCAGCCATATCTTGCGTGGAGATCTAGGAAACAAGAAACGACTTCACATTGATTCCTTGTCAATGATTTCAACATGACGAAAGCTCTTCATCTTGTCTTCTTGGGGGTGCGCGTCGGTACAGATGATGCCCGCAGAGAGACAGTTCGCCATGGAAGGGCTCGGAATGAAGCGTTCCCGGTTCTGCAGATGATTTTGACCACTGTTGGGAATGCGCAACGGCTGAAGCTGCCTTACTTCGATGCATAATCGACGGAATGATTTCCGAATGGTCTGTCTCCGACCTGCGTCGTACTTTGTTGTTCGGACGCAAGGCCATCAGGCTATCCCATCTTTCCAACTTGAATCACTTGCTGATGTCACCCTAGCAGAGACGGGTATCTACGTGGAGTAAGTCAGGCCTGAGGAGGTCGAGATATAACGTGTCAATCTCATTGGAGGAATACGCGTCGGCAATTCATCTCCTTGGTGAAGGACGTAAGTTCGCACGAGCAAGGTCGAGACATGTTGGTTATTGATCGGGAAGCCGCATGATACATCTTGTCACTGATGGAGACATCCTGCTGCTGTTTAGAAGTAGCCCACCCTTATTGAAGTTGGTGCCAGGGCTGCTTTTCCTCGCGTCGTCTGCAGCCTGTTGACGGAAACTCCCCATTCACATGACCAAACGGACAAGAGATGCCAGCGTCAGTTGGAATACACTCATGCACTACCCTGACCACCGATCGACTGCACTACCAACTCATTTAGGTATAATAAGTGCTCAGGAAGCCGTGAAGTGGTGAACCGAAGAGGGCTCGTTGTTACTCGTCGTTGTTACTAGCAGTATCGAGCAGCGAGAAGCGTAGAGACCTGTGCCTTCGAGAGGAGACATGGTATATATCCCCGATAGTAGATCAAGTCAGCTTCTTAGGGAGAAAAGCTAATTATCAGGTACATTCTTGATATTGGACCTGTCGACATTGCCTTCGCGCAACTGTCGTTCAGTCTTCCTTTGTGAAAGACTTCCTCGTTGCATATAGTTCTCTCCGGATTAACAGTATTTCCGAACTCCGAAAGAGTTCGCCGCAGGCTTTGAATTGCTGCAAGGCGCAGGTGAACAAATAAACATCCCATCCTAGACTCACATATTCTCTAGAGTTCTGCTTTGCGCCCCTAAGTGTTCCGATGCAAGTATCCTCCACAGACGTCGCCCAACTCAAGGGTTAGCTGAATCAACTGCAAGCACTTCTCTACCGTCCGAAAACAGCCTTGGTCTCCCACAGAAAAATGTACAACCCGCCTTACCAAGGTCGGTCCGCGCAATTGCCCCCTCCTGCAAATAGAATCTGACATATGAACAGCATCAGCGCAGTATGGCGCACCGCCGGGCGACTATGCAAATTTCCCTGGCGCACCGCCTGGAATGGGTAAATTGCACCTCGAGTCCAAGGAACACTCCCGGCTCCAGTACTGACATGTTCTTGCCAGGACCTCCTCCTGGTATGGCAGTTCCCGGCATGGGGGTTCCTCCTGGAATCCAGCAGCAAGAGGCTCACCAACCAGTCAGACCTGGCTCCTTTCCTCCCAATTTCCAGCCACCGCCGAGCATGCCAAATATCAACTTCTCCGCACCCGTCATTCGTTTAGGGACCTCTGGACCCTCCAAATCCGACGGTCCTGGTGGTCGCGAGGATCGAGAAAGAGGTGGACGAAGACCTGGCCTTGGGGCCGGAGCAGGCTCAGACTTCCGTGGAGACAGAGACCGGATTGCACAGATTCAGCCACCCACGAAGGAAGAAATCATCAAGACAATCTACGTCGGCGGGATCACCGAGGGCGCGGGGGGTGACGAAGGCATCGAAAGGCTGTTGAACGCAGCAGGAAGTTTACGGAGATGGGTCCGTGCCATGGACGCCGAGGGCAAGCCTTGCAAGTTTGGTTTTGCAGAGTACGAAGACCCCGAAAGCCTCAGTACTGCCATAGAAGTACTAAGGGATATTGAGGTTCCTGTCAAGCGACAGACTCCAGCAGAGGTGAAGGATGACGAGGACGTCGAGATCGAGATGTCAAAATTACTGGTACGTGAGATCAAAGCAAATATGGACGTTGCGATACTGACATACGCGCAGATTGTAGCCGATGACAACTCACGAAGCTACATTGAACAATGGCAAGAATCTCAGGGTAACAGGGATCCAGATGAGGTAGAAATGCGACTTGACCATGCGCGAAGTGCAGTCGATGCCGTCCTCAAAGATCTTCGCAACCCAGCAGTTCCAGCACAGAAAGACGAAATGTCCAATATTGATCGAGATGGTGATGTCGGTATGGCGGAGGGAGCACATACAGATGGCGCGACCGGAGAAGTGGTCACAATTCCCATCGCCATTGATGATGAGCTGTCAGACATTCCTGCAGACATGCGCGAGACCGTGGCGAAAGAAATCGCCGCGTTCCGGGATCGGAGCAATCGTCGCGACCTGGAGCGAATGAAACGTGAAGAGGAGATGGAACTACAAGAACGGAATCGCATGACGAATGGTGATCGTTTCAGCCGTCTGGCTTCTCCGCCTCCTTCAGCACCTGCAGGACCAGCCGGCACGAACGGCATCCCGGTCGGCCCAAGAGGGGCACCCGCCGGTCCCAAAGGCTTTGGCGTACAAATACCACGAGAATACCAGAAAGGTGTTGTACTGGTCAACGGAACGGCAATCAACGGAGCCTCTGCCTTTGAAGACGAAGACACGGACGCCAGCGATGAGGAGCTCGAACGACGCCGCAAAGAAAAGAGAGATGCCGAACTTGAGAAGCAGTTCCTGGATCAGGAACGCCGATGGCTAAATCGGGAAAGATCACGCACAGAAGCTGTTGAGCGGGTCAAGAAGCGCGAGAAGGACGATGCCGGCCGTCTGGACGAGGAGAAGGAAGCGATGCGCAAACGATTGCATGACTGGAACGACGACATCGAGGCTTCCCGTAAGACGGAGGAGTACTACGCTGATCGGAGTATGTGGATCCGGAACCGGGCGAGCTTTCGACAGCGTGAAATGGCAAATGACGATGCAGATCGAGCAGCCGAACAGCGAGAGCGAGCCCGAGAAGTCCACCAGCGTGAACGGGTGGACGCCATGGCCGACGATTTCCTCAGTCGGCAAGAACGAGAAATGTTCAACAGGGAACAAGAGAGGGAAGAGGAAGAGCGCGCACAGGTTTCGCGGCGTGAACCTGCCCGCTTCAAGCTGTCCTTGGGGGCGGCGGCACAGAAGGCCGCCGCACAAAGCGCCTCCCAAGTTTCGAAGCGCACTGTTGCAGACGTGGAAGGTCTTCTGGAGGACGAAGAGGAAGAATCCAAGGCCGGTACGCGCAGAACGCTCATACCGATTGAGTACGACGCCTCGACAACGGCAGGGATGTCAGAAGAAGAGCGGGCCCAAGCCGCTCGCCAGCTCGCTGCTGATATCCCCAACGATAAAGAAGGCCTTTGGGAATGGGATGTCAAGTGGGAGTTTGTGGATGAGAGTATCATTGAAGAGCGGTTGAAGCCCTTTGTGGAGAAAAAGATCGTCGAGTACCTGGGTGTGCAGGAGCAGATGCTCGTGGATGTCGTCGTCAATGCTCTCCAATCCCGGGGTAAACCGCAAGACTTGGTGGGAGAACTGGAAGGGGTAAGTTATATCGCGCGGCTTATTACTCTGCAGAGATGATGACTAACTCGTTCGACAGGCGCTCGATGAAGAAGCCGAAGTTCTCGTCCGCAAACTCTGGAGGATGCTCATTTTCTTCTCCGAGTCCGAGAAGAGAGGTCTTGCGACGTAATTCGGCGCAGACACGGACGACGAATGAACAACAATACATATCACGGCAAATGCGATTATTCAAGACCGGGCTGGCCCCCAATACGGACGGGGCCGGCAAGCCTCCGCGAAACGCAGATGTGAGTCAATATCCAAGGACCCCGGCCCGCAAGAGCACTTGAGCAGTTCAATACTGCAGGAGGGGGCAGCCAATCTTCCTCCAGACCGTTACCAACCAATCTATCTTGTACTTTTACGTCAGCGCCATTATCATGCATGCCTGACGCAGGAGGGTGTGGGAAGACAAAGCGGTCAAACCCCTCAAGCGGCCTCAGTCCCAATCTTGAGGCAGACAGGCAGACAGCAAGGAAGGGAGGAAGGAAGGAAGAGCAGCGTCGTCTAGATGAAAATGACGACGGGAATACTCCAGAGTGTTCAGTCCTAGACACACACAGGAGCCTTGTGGATCATGACCACCACCACCACCCCTTGGACTCTGAAAATCACTATTATTCTTGCCAATGTCAAGCTGTACTACTATATCCAGTATGATCGATCACACACACGTACGTGTTTGTTTGTTTGTTTGTGTGTGTGTGTGTGTGTATGTCGACGATGCCTCGGTGATTTCTAAGAAAATGGGGAACTCGAGATTCTCATTTTTTTTTATCAAAACACATCTTGAGAAACTTGGCCCCCCTTAATGGCCGAGTTGGACAACCTCACCTCACAGCGCCAGCCTGTTTCGTAGTTGTCTGCATGTCTCTGCCCTGTCCTCTCCCCATCCCAACTCATCCCATCGTGCCGTTCATTCCCTCCCCTTTTCCTTCGGCCTTCATATCTGTCTGTCTGCTCCCCTTCTCTCCCTCTCTGCCCGCATCTGTCTCACTCAACTCAACTCAACCGTCGTCGCCCCACCCACCCAACTCCCTCACCACGTCCCCGACATTCGGCCACCCGAGCCCACCATTGCTGCCGTCCAAGCCACTGCGCGCGACCATCTCGGGCCCACAAAACTCCACGGCCCGGGCGACGGCGACCTTGACGCCGCGCACGACGTCCTTGACGCGGCGCATGTGGGGGTTCTCGTCGTCGGCACCGCGCGCCCCCAGCACCCGCCCCAGGCCGCGGACGTGCCACAAGCTGGGCCCGCGTAGGCCCTGGCATGTGATGGCGGTGAAGGCGACCAGCTCCGTCTCCAGGGCGGTCAGGCGCGAGAAGTCGCCCAGGTACAGGCCGTAGACGATGGCGATCTCGTGCAGGCCCACCTGCGCCCGGTGCGGGCCGAAGGTCGCGAAGATGCGCGGCCACAGCGTCCCGTAGACGGACGTGATGGCCTCGATGCCCCGTGCGTGCAGCGACGGGAGGGTGATGTCAGACCTGGACGTACAATGAATGAGAGGGTTGAGTGTCAGCCAGCAGTCAGTGGTTTGGACATCACGCAACGCAAGGGGGGACTTGAATCAAAGAAAGAGAGAAATCCGATTCGTGAAGGGTGGCGGAAAGGAGCAGCACATCCTGCTCGTAGGTGGGTAGGGGGGGAGGGAGGGAGGCAACGCACCACTGCTGCAGATCCAGCTCGCCGCGCTCCTGCTCCCCCTTGCCGTCGGTCTGGCGCTGCGCGAGGGGGATCATCGCCGAGAGAACTTGCGGCGCACCGATCAGGACGATCAGCTTGAGGAGCATGTCGCGCAGCCGGTCTGAGAGGCGGGTTTGCGATTCTGGCGTCGACGAGAAGGTTGCGTCGTGCGTGGTGACGTACGTCCAGAAGTCGGCGAGGAGGTGCGGCTGGGGCGAGACGGTGATGACCGTGGCCTAGATGGTGGAAGAGGACGCACATGTTAGGAGAGAGTCGCAGGGAGAAAATATGAAGAGCGCTCTGCGACCTGTTCAACACACTCCCTAATGTCATCATCCCCTGCAGAGTGTCCATACAGCAGTGACATGGCCGACTCCTAGGACGGATGAGATCCATAGACTTTCTTTCTTTGCCCGAAAAGCTGGCAATATATATATATATGTGTGTGTGTGTGTGTGTGTGTGCGTGTATACTCTCTAAAACGGGCATTGAAAACGCGACAAGACAGGGCCGAACCAAGAAAGGCAGCCAAAGAACGGGTTAGACTCACGATGATGATATACCAGCTCTCCTCGCCCATCTCCTCCAGCAACGACTCCTTCACGTCCTTGTACAATTCATCCCACTGCTCCTTCGTCGGCGATGCCGGAGTTGAGTCACCGTTGGTCGCCGACATGATTCTCACTTTTGTTTTCTTCCCCTCCTTGATATGGGCCTTCGAATCTGCCGAGAAGTCTGGCCTGCGAAGGGCGAGGGAGATGAGTGTCTCTACAAGATTCGGCCAATGGGTTATTGTCAGAGGAACTTTCTTTGAGAGAAGGAAAATCACAACTCCCTGTCACTGGTCACTTAAACTTTTGCGCAAAGCTTGACTCGCCCGTCTGTGGCCGGCCGGTTTGAATCTAGGTATGTACCGCAAGTGTCACCCTCCCGCAAGAGAGGGAATGGATGGATTTCGATGAATCAGCCCAAGCTCTCGCCAAAGATAGAAGTGGTTCCTACTCCTTCTCTTCGAGGTACCACAGGTCAGAAATGCTGTCGTGATGTTGCGTCGTCCAATAGTTCAGCTGGCGGGGGTTTACGGCTTTAGGATCGCAACGCCCGAATGAGGCCGAGGATGACGCCAATCCCAGCATCTTCTCGCCGCTTTGCCTCGATTTCTTGGACCGGCGAATAGAATAGCGAAGATCTTCGACGCTAGGCTCGTCCCGCAGTTGGTGCTCACTAGCGCATTCCCATATGACGGAATGCTGCAAGAGTAGTCAGCAGCGTGACCGAAGAGGGTCACCCAAGGGCAGCCCCGAACTCCCGTGGGATATTCAGCGGTAAGCATTCCTCCAAGACAGCGGAAGGGACAGGAAGTCTTCGCTTTCCTGGTCAGCGAGCGGCGAACTGCATACCTGAAAAGAGAAAAGGAGTCTCAAAGCATCCGAATTTGATGTACCCAAATGTGCAAACCACAGCACTATGTGAGAGGCAGCCAGCCGCCACAGCTGGGAAGCAATGGGGATGTTAGGCGCGTAGCAAAATAAGCTACATTCCCCCAGCTGAGAAAGCTGGCAGTTTAATGCTCCTTCGAGTAAATATTGCCTCAATAGGTAGGTAATTGACCAGATGCCGACTGTTGGAACATAGTTCCTAAAGGAACAACTGCCGGTTGAGCACAGTTGGTACTTCCTCGAGACTCATCCCATCTTCTACCGACCGTGCACAACGGAGTCCCTCCGAATCATTTGAATCGCCGTTGAACATGGCTCGATTAGCTCCAGACGCCTGGCCCCTTGTGACGGCGACCATGTCACCGTCATTGATCCCTCGACCTGGTGGCTCTGTCCAAGAGCTGCGGCCGATCGCAGATCTCAACGCAGTGCGACAGCCCGGAATCACCATTTGACCCAGGGTCGCATCTTAAGCCCGGGCTGATGATGGCAGGCAGCTGGTGGAATGCGCACAGTTCCCTGGCGACGATGGATTTCCGATCAAGGGTCGAAATCCTGCGTCTTATTGAGAAAAGACCATGACCCAACTGACAGTAAGACAGGGACCCTGTCTGCTGGCTAGCGGTTGACGGCTGATTTCTGACGGCAACACACTTCATCGTCAGGACCCGAAAATCCTTCCGAGAAGCCCTCCACCACCACCACCTCCTCCGCCGCTTTGATTGTTAGAGCTCGGGAACGGGTCCCCTTTCTTCATCTCCTGGTCGATCCACTGGGCCATCGCCTTCTGATCGCCCATCATCCTCGTGTCAACCAGCCGGTCCGTGACTCTTTCGGCCCTGCGCCCGCCGAACCCTATCAGCGTGGGCATGCTCCTGACACCGTATTCCACGCCCAAGTCCATCATGTTGCCGTTGCTCGTGTCCGGAGAGTCCAGTTCGACCTCTGCGAACGCGAGCGCGGAGTACCTGTCTTCCGGCGAGAGCGGGCGGGTTTCGACCAGCGACGTCAACAGGGGCGTGATGGTGCGACAGGGCGTGCAGGTGGAGGTGGTAAAGAGGGCCAGTAGGAGCGTGTTGTTCGCGGAGATGAGGCGCAGAGCGTCGTGGAATTGCGGCGGCGTCCGAAAGGGGGTGAATATGCGGTTGTTCTTTTGTGCACAAGAGGAAGTTGTGCTGAAGGGTTGAGCTCGACATGCCCGTGGTCTGCTATGACAACATTGGACCTGCAGGAGCGAGAGCGCTTGGACGTTTCGAGGGAGGGATGTCCAGAGGCGAGCAGAGGAGGAGGCAACATGCTTCATGTTACTCTGGCTCGGGTATAATATGGGTTGGGTGGGAAGAAGGATGTGGAATGTACCAAGTAGTGGAAAGGAAATGTCAATGGTCAATGTACTGTAAATACTCGGAGAGCAGCTAATGACATCAGTTGGGGAAGGAAACACAAATCCCTTTTCAGACACAAGAACCCGCCATTTTACCGACATCGACACTAAGCGAAAGTCTTTACGAGTGCTGCTTTTAAGCCCGATAAGCTCGACGGCTCGTCTCCCTTTTCACACAGACTTATGGCAGTAATAATGATTGCGAAATTGCCTATAAAGGCATAGAAGAGCTGTCATATGTGTCGATGTAGATGTTTATATCTCGATTCTGTCTGCTGCGTACACATGTTGCTGCAGTGGTAGCAGACGCAATCCACACACCTGGACGGCATCTGAGTTATAGAATCTCCTCCCCAAACAGGCTCCTATCGTTACGGGCGTGCCCGGCACGTTTCCTATGCCTTGCTGGCGGCACTGATCTCCTCGACGTGGACACTCGTGTCGACCACCTTCTCTCCAGCCAGATTCTCGTTTGTCTTTGCAACCACATCCTCACCGTCAAAGATCTTGGTGATCTCCTCGAGCGGCAGGTACTTAGTCTCGGGGTAGAACCAGTAGATGACAACAACCTCGAAAGCCAAGAACACGCAGTAAACAATGTAGTATTTCCACTCAATCGCGTTCAAGGCGATCGGGTTGACGTATTGGTTAAAGAAGAGCGCACCGTAGAGCGCGTATTCCATGATGGTGAAGCCCTTGGCACGTAGATTGTAGGGGAGGATCTCGGTGGTGTAGGAGGCAATCAGTCCGGACCTGCAGATACGAGTTAGCTGTGGCCATAAAACAGAGTGATATGGGGGTAACGTACTTGAAATTGTAGAAGAGAGTATAGATAAAGATAAACGCCAGATTTCCCTTGCCGTACGCGAGTACTTTAGTGGCGGTGTATCGCTCGGCTAGGATGGTCCAGATGACCCAAGAGAGAAGGCTGCCCACGGTCGAGATCAGGTAGATTGGTCGACGACCCCACTTGTCAACGAAGAACGAGAAACCCACGTTGGTGACCAAGCTGAAGGTGGTGATTCCGCCGTTGATGAGGAGTTGTTGGTTGGGATCCGTGATGCCAATGTTGTCGAGGATCAGATTGAGGTAGTAGCTGATCAAGCCATTGCCAGACCACTGCGAAAAGAGACCCACGGAAACGAGGATGATAAATCTCTGACGGTTCCCCTTGGTCTTGAAGAAGTCCAAGAAAGAGGAAGACTTCTTCTGTTGCTTTTCCAGTGCGAGGGCTGTGGCAATCTCGGTGTACTCGATCTGAACCACTTCATCGTGCTCGTTGCCGTCTGCATGGTATTTGGCCAGCACCTGCATAGCCTTCTCGGATTTATCCTTGTTGATGTAGTAACGAGGGGATTCTGGCATGAACCAAACGACTGCCAACATCCACACGGTAAAGACACCTTGGATCAAGCTGGGAGCTCGCCAGGCCCAATTGCTCTTGATCTTGAGGGTACCATAGGTGACCCAGGCAGCGATGAAGGCTCCAGATTGGTAGTTGGCCGCCTGGATGGTGACCAGCAGGGCACGATCTTGTGCGGGAGCAATCTCAGCAATCAAAAGAGGTGCGGCGCAGTTGACGATAATGTCGCCAAAGCCAAGGATGAATCGTGCACCGACAAACATGCCGAAGCTCTGTGCAGCCGTCTGAAGGGCAACCCCGACAAGCATGATCGACGCACCAATGGTCAGGGTTGTCCGTCTGCCGATGCCATCGAGCATGTATGGAATGAACAAAAGACCAGCTAGTGCACCTGCACTCATGACACAGTTGAACAGGCCCAAGATGGAGCCTCTGGGGTGGTGGAAATAATCCTGCCATATCGGAAGCGACTGCAGGCCGTTCATCATCGAGTTATCGTAGCCATTGGCGGTGTTGGTACAAATCAATGCAAAGATGTAGAAGTAGAGCCATCTCATCGTCGACGACTTCCACCATTTGACTCGAGGGAAGACTCTGCCTGCGAGGACAAAGTGGCCCTTGGGAGGGACAAAGAGCTGAGGATCCCCCTGCGCCATGTTGATGTTGTCTGAAGAACGATCACAGGAAGCAAGGAATGATAGACGAAGGTTGTTGGATACACCGACAGATTGAAGATGTCAAGGGGCATCGAGCCTTCTTACAATGTTATAGCAACGCCCATGAGGGACGGGAAGGGCTCCGCAATCTGCCTGAATTGGACTCCATTCTCGCGTGCCGTCGTGAAGATGAAGTCGACAACCGAGGTCCTGCATTGCCTGGATGAGGTCCCGTCTCTAGAGGATTTTGGGTCTGACTATGGCCAAAAGTCAAAGTTATTCCCAGCACTAGCTAGGTGGCGGCAGTAAGCCTGGGACTGATAACCCAGTATCAGACGGTGTATTCAATAAAGGCACGGGATGAGCTAGCTGGTGGATTGGGGAGCCACCGGAAAGCCACCACCAGCGAGCCACCGGCTTCTTGCCCCATGCATCGTGTTCGGTGTGGCCAGCTGAGGGACTACCATCGTGGACAGATTTGGTTATTAGCCTGAAAACGCGGCAAAAGATAGACAGGTGATCACGACGCTTTGTTTGCGGGATGCCACGCTCGTGGCTCCCCATGGGGCTCAAGCCGGAGGAGGGAGGCTCTCGCTTCCATTCCGGTAAGCAGCCAAGCTCCGACATCGCGCCATTCACGGGAAAGAGTTCCCTCAATATCATTCAGCCTGAATTACTGACGCTGTCGAACCTTAAACAGTCCGTCAAGATATGCAAAACCCAGGGCAGTGGTCGTGGTTGCGGCATGTGGGTTGCCGAGTACGACGCATTCGGTATAGAGGTCTATACTCGCTTCTTCAGGATCAGGGCCAATCAGGAACGGTATCCCGTTAAGCTCAAGGTATTTACACGCACTGAGGTCAACTGATAGACTTGGATATGGTTGCGAGACGGGAGTGAATTGGTAGGGGTCTTGCTTCCTCGACGGCCGTGAACATTGCACATGATGAATCCCATCATCCCAGGCTTCGCGCCTGACCCTTCCATTGTCCTCGTCGACGACACATACTACGTGGTGAATTCCAGCTTCCACATCTTCCCCGGTCTGCCGATATATGCATCCAAAGACCTGGTCTCATGGCGACACATAAGTAAGCTTCGTCGAGGTCCCGCTGCGGTGGTCGTGCCCGTGTGAGTTCTAACGTCGATATCAACAGCCAACGCATTCAATCGCCGCGAACAGTTGAGCCTCAAGGCCTCCGACACCACGCACAGCCCTCCGGGGGAATGGGGAGAGGTCATGTCTGCCACAGGCGGTCTATACGCGCCGACCATCCGCTATCGCGACGGGACATTCTATGTCATCTGCACCAATGTGATCCGTGCAGAGGGCGAGGAGAAAGACGGTCAAAGGATGCAGAACTTCATCATCACCACCACTGACATCCACTCTCACCGATGGAGTGATCCTATCTTCTTCGACTTTGACGGAATCGACACCAGTCTTGTCTGGGATGAGCGAGGAAAGGCATATCTGCACGGTTCTGCCGCCCCTGGTCCGATGACAACGATCAAGATGTTCGAAATCGATGTTAAGACCGGGGCCAAACTCAGCGGCGAGCGGTTGCTCTGGACCGGCACCGGAGGCATCTGGCCAGAAGGGCCACACATCTATCGCAAAGACGGGTGGTGGTACTTGGTTATTTCCGAAGGCGGCACCTTTGAGGATCATATGATCACCGTCGCCCGGAGCAAAGAGCTCTTCGGCCCATACGAACCAAACCCCAAAAATCCCATCCTCACCGCATGTGGGACCGGGGAGTACATCCAGCACACCGGGCACTGTGACGTCTTTTGCGACAAGCAAGGCCAGTGGTGGTGCGTCTGTCTTGGAGTACGACAAGATCCAAAAAAGAGATATGTCATGGGGCGTGAAACGTTCATCACCCCAGGATCATGGCCCGAGGGTGACTGGCCAACCTTGCAACCTGTCAAGATGGATCCGGCGGCCGCATACGGACGGCAGGTGGGCAAGCCCAGTGCTCTGAGTTCAGAGCCCCTGGTGGACCTCTGCTACATCCGCGACGTGGATCTCAGCAAGCACAAGATTTCAGACGACGGCAAGACCATCGAGCTGATATCCAGCACGGCTGACCTCTCGAACGCGCGAGACCCAGTCTCGTTTATTGGGAAACGACAGAGGGTGCTTGATGGTCGATCTTCGGTGGTCCTCCTGACGCCGCCTCACGGAGTGTCTGGCAAAGCGGGCCTCGCTGTATACAAAGACGAGTTCCGCTACGCCCGGATCTACACCGACATGAAGACCGGCGAAGTGGTCCTTGAAGTCGTCAACAAGCCCAAGGGGATCAATCGTCTGACGCGAAAGGCGTGTCCGGCCGCAGGCAAAGATATCGAGCTGCAGCTGGCGTACACGGAGGACTCGTACACGTTCTCGTTCAGCACGGCGGGCGAGAATGTCAAGTTCGACTCCTTTGACACGCTGGACTTGGTGGGCCCAGATTTCACGGGCCCAGTCGTTGGAGTCTTCTTCACATCGTCCCAGGATGGTTCGAGCGTCACCTTTCGTAACCTAAGAGTAGACTGAGTGCGTCCTGGCAATGTCTCGCCGAGTTCAGCGAGCTCAGGTACTGTACTTTGGGGGGGTTGTCATGGCATCAGCTAGACCTGTTGCTCCAAAAATCTGTCAGAGGATCGGCCAACGGAATCCCTGGCAATACCGCGTGTGGTGTTCGTCCTAGTATCGGGAACAGGGCTCTGACGATCTTTCTCAATGCTGGTAACACTTTCAAAGCGCTCTGAGTTCTGGACCTTTGAGCCAGAGGAGCCGATGCTCGCATCAGCGATGGGGAGGACTGGGATGAAAGTACAGACTACGGAAAGGACCTGTCTGGATTTCCCGAATGCTGCCCATGGACGATAGGGGAACTTCAAAAGTCACCTTGGGCGGAATGTAACACGGAGCTCGACCCATTGCGGGACCTTTTCCTGCGAGATTTGAGCTCATCTATTGGGTAAAGTTGACGGTAGCTCCGGAGTCAGAGCCTGTTCAGTGATCTAGCTGTCTAGCTGTCTAGCTGTCTAGCTGTTTAAGTCTATCAACAGTCTCGATCTGCCGGCACAGCCGCTGAGAAGCTGAGAGGGATGCATTGCCTGATCGTAGCTAAAAATGTCATGTCCCTGGGCAGTACCGTCAAAGATGGGGAACACCTTTCGCTCTGCCGGAATCCCGAGTCGTGATCATGTGCCATTCATGCCTGCAGGCGGTTTCCGGGGGCCGAATGTCGCCTCCCAGGCGCTCTGGACTTTGATCAACAGGGCTTCCTGATTCGCACGCGCAATTACCGAAAGCCCAAAGGGTCGGCCATTGTAGTCGAGATATGATAGTGGCAATGTAGCGATTGGGTACCCTGGACAGAGAATTTTAGCTTGGTCAGGTGGGACCGTTTCGTGACAGAGCAACGTACCGCTGCAGGCCGCGTAGGAAATTAACAGGCTGTCCGCTGGTGCCATGATCACATCGACTCCATACGTGTCGAGAACGAAATCGATCCCCTGGTCTCGGGCCACATGTCGGAGGTGTTCAAAGTGCTCGTTGTATTCGTCTGCGGTGAGTGATTGCTGGTACGCTCGTCTGAGCCGGTCTTGGTTCGGGGAATCTGCTCTCGAATGTTATTATTGTGGAGGGGGAGAAAGAGGAGAAACTGGCTAGCGCTCGAAAGAACGAATCTTACAGGGAGGAAGTTCCAGCTCGGCGTGTCGTTCGTTGAAGTCTATCAGCTCTTGGAGATTTCGGACCGTGGAGTTGACTCGAGTTGCGAGGTAGGCATTGATATCTCGGACAAAGTCGGCAGCTGTAGGCTTTGTCAGTCTGGGATGCCGGCCGAAAAATATGCATGTCAGACTTCACCTGCAACCACATGCTCGCTGTTTTTGCCGTTCAGGATCAAGGCGTCGTGGCGAATTAAAGGCACGTTGCCAGCGTACGATTTGGCCAATACCTCGATTTTGGCATATGCTTGACGGATCTCTCGGTTCTGTCTCATCGTTTTAGCTGATCGGAACATCAAAGTTCGACGGGAGAGAATGTTGGATGAACCATTTGCTGCGTGGCACTTTCGACTGGCCGCATCCAGTTGCTCGACAAGTTCCAAACTTCGGGATCCAGCGTTGCAACAGAGATGTCACTCCAGCTTCCCGTCAATACAGACGTGTAGCTCTGTTCAGGCCTCTGCTCTGGGTCGATGATCATATCGAGGAGTACCGCCATATCATAGGGCGTCTTGGCCATGGGACCGGCCGAGTCGAAAGTGGCCGAAATAGGGACAATCCCAGCTTGCGGGACGAGGCCAATGGTTGGCTTGATGGTGTACAGGGCAGCTCTGCCTGCCGGCACGATGAGCGAGCCGTCGGTCTCGGTGCCGATAGAGAAAGGACTGTAGCCTGCCGAGACTGCAACGGCTGAGCCAGAAGACGATCCAGAAGGGTTCTGATGAGCTGTCAACGACAGCCTCTTGGCCCCCTTCCCGTGGACAAACTCACGCTGTGGCCGTCTGAGCCGTCGTCTGGGTCAACATTGCCGCGTGTGTACGCAGACTGGACTTGGCCGCCGACCGCAGAGTAACCACTTGTTATATTTTCCCCTCTGTACCTAGGTTAGTGTCACAAAGACCACAAGCACTCATGGCTGTACGGACTTGTAGTTTGACAGTTCCTAGATAGCGTCAATGACTGAGAATATGACTGGGCAGGGTTCAGGTACACTCAGGTTCGTCTTGCCGAGGATGATCACCCCGGCAGCAATCAGCTAGAGGCTGTCAGCAGGGACTGGTCTCCCATGTATGACATTGAAACAGAACCGTACCAGGTCGACTATCTTGGCATTTTTCCGTGGCCAAGAGTCCACGAGCGCGTAACTCCCGGCAGTGGTCTGGAAACCAAGGTCAGGGTGAGTATCAATGTTGTCCTAGAGCCGCGAGCACAGTTAGATGAGGGTGATCATTTAAGAGCGGCACGACAGCCATACCTTGATGACAATGGGGATGCCATGCAGAGGCCCTCGGACTTTCCCTTCTGACCGTTCCTTGTCGAGCTTCTCCGCAGTTTTGATGACACTCTGCAACGGTTTGAATCTGATCATGGCCTTCAGATAGCTGTCATGTTTCTGGATCTGGTCGGTGTACAACCGTACCAGGTCAACGCTTTGCAAGGTTCCATTGTCCAGTGCGCCCCGCAACTCACGCAAATCTGCCGTCAAGGGGTTGATGAGGACGGCATTTGTCTTCACCGCCACTGGAGATTGTGAGTTGGTGGGTGTATACCACCGTGTGGCAGCAAAAAAAGCCACAAAGAGGACGATGGAGCTGAAGATGATGGATCGGTAAGAGTGTTTGGCGTGGGAATCCATGACGCGAAGTTCCATCAGGCTGTGGACGGAGGCACTTCGGTTGTGGCTTCTCGGCTGTAGAGATTCCAAGTTTCAAGGGCTGCAAATGTTTTGGGCGATGGTCACTTTGTCACGGGTATAAGATAGACTTCACTAAATCCCCGCCGCCCACTTGCCGGTGACAATTCATGTAATCGACGGAGTACTCCATACAAAGATAAAGAAAGGACTACAGACCTACGAGAAGCTGACCTCAGACCTGCATAACATCACATTCCTACGATGCGCAATATAACGTGGACCTTCCTACAATAGTATGTACATGCTTCCTATAACTCACCCCGAACGCCACTCCTCCACCGCTGTATTTAATCCCACGCAGTTTGTACACCAGCCAAGCCTTCACTCCAAACGACACCACCAAGTCACCTCCCCCATCCTGACATGTCTTGTCCCAACTGCGACTGGGGTCACAGTTTGACGTCTCGAACATGGCCAGGCAGCACGAGTCGATGTTGGTGCTCGTCCCGGCACTTGTGTCGAAGGAGATTTCCGTATCTACGGGGATGGTGCTCGGATGGCCTACAAGAATGAATGTGCGCTTTCTTCCGGCGTTCACCCACTCAAACGGTGCCTGGGCAGCTTTGAACATCTGCTGTGTCGAGAACTGGAACTGAAATGCTCAGAGCAGTCCGCTGCCACAAGTGCGGATGAAAACTTCTCCATGTCAATGATTCTCTGTCCCGCAGCTGGAACCACGTTGAAGAGCACGGTGATCATCTGAGTGTCTATATAGCTCGTCTTAGTGAGACGACCACCCAACATGACTGCTTGTTCTTGGACGCACTGTTTGGGGAAGTCCATATCAAATCCTCGTCGTGACCCAGCGTCACATCGTATGGCGTTGAGTTCGTCGGGTTACTGGGAGAACATGGACAACAATCTTCCGTGGCACGTTTGAGTTTCAGACGCCACCCATCCCAGAGATGGCGCTCAAGCGGAACCAGTTGATTCGTGGCTGAGACGACTGCTGCGTACCAAGACGCGATGAGAACGACCGTGATGGTAATACGGTCGGGCATTTTGGCGAAATCAGGACCAAGACCAATGCTTCACATGGACAATACGAAGCAAAGGGAGAACAGAGGGCACTTTTCTGGGGGTCTTACCAGTAGCATTTATTGCTACCTGGAGCCCGAACGCTAGACCATACGTGTTCGCAGATACCAACGCTCGTATTCGATGCAACAGCCTTACCATGTTGGCCTGGCATGCCTGGCCTGGCCCCGTCATTCCATTCGTGCGAGTGTACTTCTTCAAGTACTTGGACCACACACACACACAGAGAGAGAGAGAGAGGTCGAGGCCAAGAGTGCCGCGGTATGATGCCAAGAGCGGAAGGCGGAGGTTGGTTCCATGGGTGGGACTCCTCCCTGGGCCATCCCCGTTATTGGACAAATTTCAAGTTTGTGTCGTCTTCCATTTGGTGCCGGAGGGGGAAAACTAGCTTATGCTCTGGGCCATGGTTGCTGTCTGGGGAGCTGATATTCTCGTGTATTGCCGTCGTCGTGGACAAGAGCATTATACCGAGCTTGGAGAGGCAATGCTGGCATTCAACCATCACTTTGCCCCATCTCCCAGGAAGACCGTCCATCAGGAAGGAATCTTATCATCGGGGCAAGTTCACATCAACTGCCAAAGAGAGAGGTAAGAGACGGGAGTGCGCTGCTGGATGTGGTCTGACCATCGCACACTTCGCCTCCGTGTCTTGCGATGTGCTCTGCACTGGCGGCCATGAAGACCTCGGAAAGGCCTCGTAAAGACTCAAGAGCAACATTGTAGGAGGGGCACGGAGAATAGCTGTCAGTCGGAGGAGTGGGTGGCAACACCACTCGCCATGTCTCGCGATCACCAAGGCATTGTCTGGATGCCCTTCTGACTGAATACGAGAAACCTCATTCCCCAACCGGGATGACGAAGTCCATTTTGGGATGGCCATGACGGAGCTGTGGCCTATAGCAGCCCCCATCAAGCCAGCAAGCTGGAGTCAATACGCCATGGATGCATTGACCTGGAGTGCCTGGCTAGAGCTACACTACAGGAGACATCTCTCTTTCTCTCTTCCCCTCTCCTTTCTCTCCTCTCCTGGGCGCATAAATCAAGGGCACCAGCGCCCTGACATCGTGGTCAACCAGCAGCGACGAAATAGTCGATACAACACGAAACTTCCACACGGTATATTGGTATATACAGTCGCTGATAATGAGTTCGACACAATCTCTTGTCACATATCATCGCGCTTGCCAAGGGGTCTCTCTTTTCTTCTCTTCATCTATTGATTCCCGGGACACCTCGCCATGCCCGTACCTGCAACTACTATACCAATCCCTCTCCAGGACAGACGGCTGGTTGAAAGAAAAGGGGTATCATGACCCTCAGGCCAAACAGAACCATACATACAAGCAGCTGATATCACCGCCATGGAAATGCTACCCACATAGCCAATCAAGTTTATCACCTTCGTTCATGATAAAAGCAGACGTAATGCATAGCCGATGAAAAGAAAAACATGCACAACGTCACGGCTACCGTCGTAGAGCCCATAACGAAAGGGCTGGTCATGAGACAATACAGGAGGATGGTTGATGTCTGTCCAAATGAAAAGAAGTTAGTTTTCAGAATCTCTCCGGCCATGAGTGAGCGCATTAGCGAGTGCCCAAACGCTAAATAGCGCCCAACAGCTGATGAACCATATTGGTGTCCTTCAAGCACTCGTGCCGGCGCGAAGACACGACTCATTCATGGCAAGTCTGCATCCGGGGTTTGACTGCGACGAGGTTCAGCTGTTATTGTTCCATGCGCTTCAGCCTCGGTAACCTTCGCCTCCCGTTGAAGCCACGCAGTTGGTTCAGCGATGAACTTCAGCAATTCGACGCGGGCCAAATCGCAAAAGTTCGTCTGGCTGATTCTCGTACCAGCTTCAAGCATACCATGTCAGGCAAGGTGGGCTCAGCACAAGGGGAATAAGAAATGCAAGACTTACCGGTTTGCATACTCCAGTCGGTAGATCCAACTGGCCGTGATCTTCAACCGTTCCCTCACACTCGAAGCCGGCAGCAAGTCATACTTCTCCACGTCGCTCACCGGCATGACACTCGCGAGCCAGTAGGGGAACGTTGCCGCATCCTCTGGTGGTTGTCCGTAGGTAGAAAGCACCCGTCGATGCACCCACCCTGCCGAGCGCGCTTGAGCTCGGCGAACAAACTGCAGTCCGTATTGCAGTAGTTGTTGTGTGGACGAGCGGCAGAGTCGGACAAGCTCATCATCCTCGGGTTGAAGCGGCAGACTCGTTTCCCGGGCCTCTATTGCCTCCTCCTCGTGTAAACTGATGTCATCAAAGCGTTCTATTCGACCGGTGAGATAGCCATCAACCATCCCAGTCTCAATGACTCGAAATTTGTACAGACCCCTCGTTTCCAAAAGGCTCCGACCATCGGACAACATCTCTACTCGTTCGATAAACAAGACTGTCCCGTATTCCTGCCAATGAGGGCCATCTGGCTGTACTTCGCTGTGTGGCTTGTATGCCAACATGCCGAATTTCCGTGTGCCGTTTTCCAGCACTCGCCGAATCATCAACCGATATCTGGGTTCGAAAATATGCAAAAATGTCGGCATCTGCGGATACACCAAGGTGCATGGGAAGAGCGGCAATTGCGTCTCTTCATCAGTCATATCTTCTTGGGCGGCGAGGGCTTTCCTCGCCACCAAAAGATCGGGCAGGAGGTGTTGTATCAAAAGCTCTATTCTCTTGTTGTTAGGTGTCATCTGCTGTGTATGAACCAGGGGCACTAGACGGCGACACGTTGGACATTGAGTGCTATGATCCATGGCCCGGCGAAAGCACCTTGCACAGAACGTGTGACCGCACGAGGTAGTCAAGGGGTCCAGCAAGATCTGATAGCAGACTTGACATTCTAATTCGACACGGATCGCTTCCTTCAGAGTTTCCAGGACGGTAGCGTCGGCCGCTCGCACAGAATCAGCGGTGTTGGCATCGACAGACGTATACAAGACATCGGAGTGGTAATTTAGCTCGCCATTCTCTGCCAAAACAAACGTCGCTGCGATTCGACCCCCGGACAGGACGCGCGAGTGAGGTACACCTCCTGTGGAACTAGCGCTCGGGCTATGGGGATTCAACTTTTCTTCCAGCTTCAGCGGAATTTGGGGTGCTTCCGCCATGTATTTTGAGATGAAGGCTTGCACAGTGTGCCCAATCTTGTTGAGGGTCACGTCGACGCCACAATCACCGAGTGAATGTTCCGAGCTACAGCCATCAAATGGGCACAAGAAACCCTCGGACCGGCCCTCGTCAACAGGGTATGTGATATTCTCCCGTTTGTAAACAGGTGGAAGACATTGGCCGCAAAGAGTATTGCCGCACGGCAAAGTCATAGGCTCGGAGAAGGGTAAGGAGCACTGTGAACACTGGAACAGCTTGACGATATCCCGGGCATTGCTGTACGCATCGAATCCGTCCTGGGGTGTCGTCCCCAACTGTGATCCATCACTCATCTGCGCAGCGAGTCCAATGTCGTCTTGGGTATCCCTGCTCTTGGGTGGGCTTGTTAACCAGTCAAAGCGGCCTACAGGTGTAGTCCATAGATAAAGCCTTGTCGCATCCGCATGCGCGCGTCTTGACTGAGCATGCGTTTTATCTGCTAGGCTGCCGGCGCAGTTTGCGAAGGAGAGTGACACGTAGTTTGAGTATCTGTCGATAAAGTAATACTGGGAAGATAGACGTGATGGAACTGGGAGTTGGGTTCGAAGGGAGGTTCGCAAGGTCGTACCGATAAGTGTGAGTTCCCCCGCGCAAGAGGTTGTCGGATATAGATCGAGATTCGACCAAACGAGCGAGTCGAGGAGTCAACGACGTCTTTGACTTGAGCAGATTTCAAACATGAGTGTATGGTAGGACAGGATGCCATGCACTCCTATTCGAGATCCAGAGTGATGACCCGCACAGTTGTCAAGAACCGAAGGGACATGTCGGCGGCGGCGAAAGAGGGGACGAAAGAACATCGAGGCTTTGCGGGAACCGGGCTTGTGGGAAGAGGAGACCGTGGGCCTGGGGCAGAGGAATAGCGAGCGAGTGAAAGCGAAGGACCGTCCCCATCTTCCTGAGGGAACGAATTAGAGAGGATGATTGGTGGTGGGAGAGAAACTGGCCAAACAGCAAGAGTTTTGTTTCGCCACAGTAGCGTGCATGGAGTAAGCGTGTGAAGGATGTCAAGGGATATCGAGATCTGGATTTGGTTACGGGATCGAGAAAACGGCCAGCACGCATCGAGACGCCACGCGCCACGGAGACCAGCGGACTGGATTGTTTACGACGCAGGAATATGTTGTGTGTGTGTGTGGGTGAGAACTGAGCAGTAAGAAGGTGGGCAGCCGGTGGACGCCGACCAGTGGCGGGGCCTTCAAGCGACGTGCGCTGATTGGCAGCCTGTGTTTTTCAGCCCCAACATTAAGTCGTCATCATTGATCCCTGCTTGGCTAAGCACGTGATATCGAAAACACTCGGGCACGATGGAACAAGAGCTTCGTATTTAATACATGTAATGGACTTCCTATTGAGATCATGTCGTCCATGTCCTCGTGGCTTTTCTCCATCATCGCACAGTCTATAAGAAATCCACGCGAGATTCCTCTCGCTGGAAAGCATGCAAACAGCGAGGCGAGATTGACCCGCTTGGAAGCATATCAAACCCACTACCAAATGCAATCCATCCGTTCTGTTCCTGAAAGTATCTTGCCGAAAACTATACCCAATATGTCCGTTGACATCTGTTGGCGACATAATAACCGCACAACGCCACGCTATTTCGCCGAATAGGCCCTACCGCACACATGTCCTGTTCTAGGCCCCCTCCTGAACCCTATACCTTAAACAAGATCCGATCCATGAATTTCGCTTCCCAGAGATCCCAAGTCTCGGAAAGTTACAAGTGAGGCAACGCTGTCGTGCATCCCGAATCAATCATCAAGTCACTGTTCCATATGTCGGCGTGGCGCGGCTATCCCGTCTCCGACCCCGTCGAGTCCCCCATCTCCTCGTCAAAAATAATTTTTCGCATCAGACCTTTATTGAAAAGGTTGAGTATGTAGTGTCGCGCCTGCAACCGGTAATGATGACTCTCCAATATCACCAGCGTTTTCCGAAACATTTCCGTGTCGCCGAAGTGGCTAGGTTGTCTCGTTTTGAGCGCATGAAGGTCCGCTGCAGCCTTCTTGTACATGACTGAATTGCCCATTTCAACAATGGACTTGAGTATCTTGGCTCGAACCGGGTTTTCGTCAGTCGTGGCAGCTTTGTACTTGGCATCGTTCTCCGGGAATGGTGATTGAGGAACCGTGGCCGAACCAACCGATTTCTGCATTGTTAGCATGGTGTGTTAGGATCTCGGACCAAAACTTACCAGGCACAAGACCTCCAAATTACGCGGCAGACAGAGGCCAAGCGAGCGTCCTCGGGGATCCACCGTCGTGTCCCATCCATTTTCGGCGAGCAACTCAAAACCATGGAGAGTCCGTGATATCAAGCCTAGAACAAAACATGCGGTGCCACGCATCGAGAGAACTTTGGCGCCTTCTGCGATCCTGACGATGGTGGTAACGACATCTGCTTCTTCCAGGAACGGTGCGCCGAGATCCATCGACCCAATGTTGCCTACGGCCCACATGCACCCCTTCACTTTGGTCAGGATTTCGGGGTCTTCTTCATCAAGGTTAAAATCTCGGATCGTGGATGAAAACTCGTAGAAGTGTCCCGACTGCTTCAACAATTTACAACCTTCATGCGTCCGGGCGAGTTCTCGGTAGAAGTGGGGAGGTGCAATTCCAACCTCGTGCAGGTCGACGGTAGCATCTTCGTTGAAATGCACCTTGCTGGCACTGCCGTCCATGTAAGCTCGAAGAATCGACGCCTCCACTAGAGCCACATATGCATCATTGCGCCCGAGGAACCAATCGTCCATTTCCTGCGTGATATAGTCCAGCCCGCTGAGATATCGGTAGCCGACAGAGGTCGAGAGGAAGCGCAACAGAAGAGGAGCACCGATCTCGCCGAGGTGATCCAGGGACGGTCTGCATTTGACGACGTATTCCAAGTGGCTTCTTTGATTACAGGCTTCTTCGAGAATTTTGACCGCGACCTCGCCGACTTCAACGTCTGGGTCATATAACTGCGTAAGAACCAGTCGAAGGGCCCAATGCGAGCTAGAGCGATCTTGTAGCCCCGATGAATACCGCACGCGACCTACCGCGTATCGCCGCAGCAGCTTGGTCGCGAAGAGTCGGATGTCTTTGACGCCAGAGGTTAGTGCTTTTGACAGGATCACGCGAAGATGGGTGTCCAATGTATAATCCATATTACCAAGGAGTGCCCGGACTAAGTCATCTCGATCTTTGAGTTCAACAAGGTGGTAGAAAATGTCCATCATATGCCACTGTTCCATCAGACGCATTCCCTCAGCAGAATGGCTCAAGGCACCGAGCATGGCAAAATAACCCCCGCTGAGCGTCTCGGCCATGTTGTGACGTTCAAATAATGGGTTAGACGAAGTGATGCCACTGTGCGGATCGACCTGGGCGAGGCATTCACCGATTTGGCGCAGCAGTTTGTTCTCTGCAAGGTACTGTACACCTAGCCCGGTCTGGGTCAGGGTGCGCATCAAAGCACAGCCGGTCCGAATATATCGCTGGTTGGGTCTCGTGTTTCTGATGGTAGAAAATCGGTACTTGAATGGCCGAAAGAATCCTACAAGTCTTTTCATGAATTTGGGCGACCTGATGGCTTCCTCGAGCCTTCTCGGATTGGTCAGCGGCCCTTCAACCAAGCCTTGGATGAGTTCCCATTTCCATTTGATGTATTGTGAATGACTTGTGACCTGGCTGTCAGCCATGGCCTGTCGGAATTGATCCCCATCCATCATGGCCGTATATTTCGTTCTTTCAATGGTCTGGGGGCCCACAGCTAATTCGTCGACCTGTCCGATTCGTCCAAATGTGGAAGCAGAGGCCCTGTTGAGAGCTCGATTGATGCTTTCGATCTGGTATATCATACTCATATTGATGGCAGTGTTTTCGGAGCTATAGTCGAGGCCGCTGGGCACAAGATCCCCAAGTACCTGAATGCTTGAACTAATGGTTTCGGGTAGGGAGTGGTGAGCAAGTTTCAGAACCTCGGTCAGCAAAAGAGTCGCCTTTCTTCTCAGAGCTAGATCCTCTTCGATTTTAATCAGATCCACCAGGGCGGGAATCAGACCAGCCTTTACTAGTGAGGCCAGTACGAACGCCGAGAAGTGATATGTCAGGTCAAACCTCCCCTCTGCATTGTATTCAGCCAGCTGTCTCTGAGACGGTTGCTCCGCCTGCGACGTGTTGACTCTCCCGTAAGTTGTCAATCTTCTGCCAGCCAGAAACGAGGTGGACCAGGAAGGTGGTTTGATGCGTAGAATGTCGAAAAAGAGCTCCAACACAATATCTCGAGATTGTGTTATGGGGTATACCAGCGAATCAATCAAAGATCGAAGAGGGGAGGCGCCATTCATAGACAGAAGGAGGAAGCCAGGCCACGTCTTAAGCATTGCCGCAATGGCCTGGGCACATGTCTTCAATTTCTCCTCGTTGCCGCTGAGCAGCAGGGGGTCCGTGAATGGGGCAAACATTGCCTCAAACTCTCGGCCGGTGTGTAAATATTTCCGTTGCTGGGGATGGTCAAGGATGTGAAGAAAGCTCGCAACGAGGCCTTCAGGAGCGGGAAAAGAGCCATCAGCAAGTGCCTCCGTAAGGGTGCTCATGCCGTTTGCTGCGACGACGAGTTCCGTATGTTTCATAAGGAGCTCGGCTAGCGTCACCAAGCAGATATCTCTGAGTCGGTCATCATATGTTTCAGCGACCGCTACCAGACTGCGCACAACGGCACGCGAAATCTCGTAAACGCCGTCTTTGACGTCCAAGAATGCGCGTACAAGCTTAATGGCTTGCTCACGTTCCAGCACAGCGTTGGCCTTTTTGACCAGAGATAGGATGACCAATTCGTCCGTGTGGAGAGTCCGGATGGTCTGCAGCGATTTCCGATCGGCGATAGCGTGTCGAGTCAGTCTGTAGCCTGCCGCCACAACATCAGAGCTGTCGCTGAGCAGCATCAACTGGACCCTCTCGCTGAAGACTTGCCAAGCTAGGTCATACTTCAGACCAGGGTTGCGTTTCAAAAGGTCGACGAGGGTATTTGCTCGTTCGATGTAATAGTCCGGAGGCATCCCGTCCGCTTCGAGCTGTTGAAGAGTCTCTGTAAGCACCACCGTGGGTGACTCACTATCAATCGACTCGGTGAGATCAGGGCCCTGGTTTTGTCCCAGTGGCGGAGATTTAAGGGGGCTACCGCGAAAGTAACTGGTGAGCCGGTTGTTCGGGGGCGTGGTTGGGGTCTGAGAGCGCATGATCTCCTGGTCAAGTTCTTGCTTCAGTTCGGCCAGTTTTCTGTTGGAAGAGCCCAATTCCATTTCGACTTTCTGCCGCTGTTCCTTGGTTTGTTTGTTGTTCTTGCTCAGCAACGCTTCGAGCATGTTCTCCGTGCCCAATTTGATTTTCATCTCCTTCGCAATTTTATCGCGAACCGCAGCCTGCCGCTGCTCCGAGGTAGTAAGGGCGTCCGCATCTTTGTATTGCGGTGGCAGGCGGGCGAAGGTGACGCCTGCCACTTCCGTCTGTGGAGTAGTCCTCCCCGACTGCGTGGTGTTTCTCATATCCGTGCTGAAACTTCCTGGAGGGTTGGCAGGAGTGAAGGCCGGGGTGAAAGCCTTTTGGCCATACTGAGCGCTTCCGCCGGATAGCGAGCGGCCATCTTTCACGAAGGGTCGTTGAGAGGCGGAGAGGTCATCACTTTTCCGGGATGCATGGCGGATATTGAAGCGGCCTTGAGTAGGTGTCACCGAGTAGCCCGACGCTTGGTCTGACGAGGCCATCGAGCCATGGAGGGTATCAACCCTCTACTAGGCGGTTGGATGGTACGAGCTGGCGCAGGAGAAACCCATAGGTATATGTGCTCGGTTTAGACGGAACACAATGAGGGAGTGTCGCGGATACCAGGGATATATGTTTCGAAGAGGGATCGGTCTATCTGTGGCTCGGATTCGGGGTAGATTGTTCATGGGACTTTCGTCAGTGGTCTGTATCCGATGGCCTTAGCAGCGTTTGCGTTGGGAAGCCTGGCACAGCGACGAAGACGCGATTGCTGCGAGACGATCTGGTCTGGGGAAAAGCAAGGGAGGCTATCAGCGCTGTATGATGTCTTGTTGATATTCGATACACAAAAGAGCGATGTTCATACCAGTTTGTCGACAAGGTGACATGTAGCGAGTCGTGGGATGTGCGGTAGTCGTTGGGGTCTAGGTCCAATCGCCAGGCGACAGCGCGATCGGATTCCAAGACTCGCACCTTGTAATCAGGAAGCGTCTCTCCCTCCAAAAAGTCGACCCCGCAATGCTTGGACGCACCAGGGGTGCCAGGGGTACTTTACTTGTCCAGGCGAGTCGTTCGGCGTGGACGGAGGCCCTAGAGCTTAGGTACCTAGCAGCGCTAGTTACTTACAACTACTTGTACCAGGTATCTTGTACTGCGTGCTTACTGGTAAGCTACGGCGAGCCCCTCTCCTCACCCATCCTACCCGTCCTACCCATCCAGTGTGGCCTTGCTAGCCCATGTAGACAGAATATCTAGACAGGACAACGTCACCTTCGCCAGTTCCTTTCTTCTGTTGCGAGCCCCTCGCAGCTCTTCAAGCCTGCTGAAGCCAGCTCGCGCCAAACCTCTGCCTGGTCAGCCAGAAACAATAACAACAACTGAGACAACTTCAAATTGAGATCATATCATCGGCTTCTCAACGGTTGCCAGATCCATCCTGCATTGGCCCAGCCACCTGGCTAGCCAGTAGTAGCGCTCCCGCAACGGACATGGCGGCTTCGGATCTCCAGAAAGAACAAGGCATTGACATTCATATGCAGATCTATCAGGTGAGGATGTCACCCCGGTGCAGATACTAGCCGCAGATAAAGCATTTCCTACTGCTATTCTGCGGGTGCGCGACTCGGCGAGCTCCGTCATCTACGAGTTCGTACAACAGCCCAATCCCGATCAAATTGCTTGCTGAAGACACCAATCGCCTATGCTCAATGAATCTATGATCAGCAGTTTTACAAGATCTTTGCTCATCGCCGTGCCTGCAATTGGTGACCCTGGTCGTGGAATTTTACTCTACCTTGTTTGCCCCTCCGATAAGAGGTCCGTCGAAGTGCTGTTATAAAGAATTTGATTCCCATTCTTCTCCTTCTCTCGTACATAACCCGTTGAACTCACAGCAGACGGACAAGCTTAGTTAGCAGCTCGAAATCCTTTAGACGTACTAAGTCGACCATTCCAATACAGCTACTCGTGATGGCTAAACTTGCTGCGGCCCGCTATGGCAAAGACAACATCCGCCTGTACAAGGTGGAGAGGGACGAAGCCACCAAGACGCACACCGTTTACGAGATGACTGTCTGCGTCTTGCTCGAAGGAGAGATCGACGTATCGTCAGTGTTTTCCTCCCAGCCTTTTTAGAACGTGTTCCATACTGACAGAGCCCTAGATACACCAAAGCCGACAACAGTGTTGTCGTCGCAACCGACTCAATGAAGAACACTACATACATCATGGCAAAGCAGAATCCAGTACATCCTCCTGAACAGTTCGCATCCATTCTGGGCACTCACTTCGTCAACACCTACAAGCACATCCACGCCGCTCACATTACCATCGTCCAGCACAGGTGGACCCGGATGACCATTGATGGAAAGCCCCATCCTCACTCCTTCTTTCGTGACGGAAATGAGAAGAGACTGGTACAAGCGGACATCATTGAAGGCAAAGGCATTGAAATCAAATCGGGCATCTCCGACCTCCTGGTGCTCAAGAGCACTGGCTCCGAGTTCCATCACTTTGTCCGCGACGAATTCACCACCCTTCCTGAGGTCTGGGATCGTATTCTCAGCACATCGGTCGACGCCAACTGGAAATGGTCAACCTTTGCTGGCCTTGACGTAGTCAAGAAGCACGTCGCTAAGTTTGACGAGACATGGGCAAAGGCCCGAGAGATCACTTTCCGCCTCTTCGCCCTCGAGGAGAGCCCGAGTGTGCAAAACACCATGTACAAGATGTGCGAGGAGATCCTGGCCGCCCAGCCATTGGTTCAAGCTGTCGACTATTCGCTTCCAAACAAACACTATTTTGAGATCGATCTGAGCTGGCATCATGGCTTGAAGAATACCGGAAAGGATGCCGAAGTCTACGCGCCTCAATCAGATCCAAACGGCCTCATCAAATGCACTGTGACCCGGGACGACACTGCGTTGTCTCCCAAGCTGTAGACAAGTGTGCTCGTGCATTTTTCGGGAACGGAGTTCTGGTGTGAGAGTCATTGGAGCGGTATCGCTGGATAACAATAAATAGTTTGTACATATACCCCCAATGATACACGTATACATTGATGCCCTGCAAATCTGGCCATACCTTTCCTGAGAACACTTTCAAAAATAGGTATTTCAGACGAGCTTCTAGGGGCTCACTTGAGTATCATTGCTCGCCTCAATGGCTTGCATGACAGGCCCAGGCTTGTCGCCTGTGAACGGCTTCCCTGCGAATCTCACAATGTTGGCCTTGTATGGGTGGCTAGTGCCTTCGAAAACTTTTAATCTTGCCAATCGCTTGTCCCTCAACCTGTTCTTGGGCAACATTCCTCTTACAGCTTTCTTCAGGACCTCTCCACCACCCCACTTCTCGATCATCCTCTCCATGCTCATCTGTTTTAACGAACCGGGGCGCGTGTTGTGAGTGTAGTATTGCTTTTGTTGGCGTTTCTTGCCGGTAACGTGGATGTCGTGACAGCCGCAAGCCACCACGTAGTCGCCGCAATCAGTAGACGGGTCGTAAATGGGCTTGTGCTTGCCCATCAGGAAGACAGCAATAGAGGAGGCTATCCGGCCGAGGGAGCGAGAATCTGAGCCCACATCGATGTAGTGCCATGTTCGGGAGTAGGCAAGACGGGTCTAGTGTCGCGACGGAGAGGTTAAGATGAGATCCAGGGCATGTGATGGTACCGGGAAGAGAGCTGTGAGAAACACACCTTGCCTATTGTTTGCGACATGGCTGGCTTAACGCTATCTTGACATGGAGGAATAGAAGGGGTCGAGTAGAGGTTGTTGAGAATTCTCGCGACGACGCAAGGAAAACCTTCGGAGTACTGAAAGTTGATAGGTAATATCTTTCACAACCCGGAGATGTGGAAAAGAGTCCGCATTGAGCTTCGAGGCTGGAAAACTGCGCTAGTGCCGTAATGAAGTTAGTGTCAGAATTCTTGGCACATGCCCGCACTTTCCCTGCGAAAATCAAGCCAGCAGCGACAACTGCAACGAACATTTCACAATCGAGTAATCTACCCAACTGTATCAGCTCTGTGCAATCGCCGCCAGTCCTCAAGATGTCGGCCCCTCAGAGTGTGCAGTGCTTCGGCAAGAAGAAGACGGCTACCGCTGTCGCCCATTGCAAGGTCAGAAAATTCCGTTGTACGACGATAACTTCGAGATTGAGAACTGACGGATCATTTTGGCGATTAACAGAAAGGCAAGGGCCTCATTAAAGTCAACGGCCGACCTCTTTCTCTCGTCCAACCGGAAATCCTTCGTTACAAGGTATGATTCAAGTCTCCCAAGTCCCTGGTTTCCCTTCAAAATTCCGTCCGAAACCCTCGAGACGTCAAGAATGTAAACAGTGGCTCATATTGTTTGTTTCAACCCACAGGTCTACGAGCCACTCTTGATTGTTGGCCTCGACAAATTCGCCGATGTCGACATTCGTGTCCGCGTCACCGGCGGTGGTCACACCTCCCAGATCTACGCTATCCGCCAAGCTATCTCGAAATCAATCGTCGCCTACTACCAGAAATTCGTCGACGAGTACACGAAAAACCAGTTGAAGCAGGCCTTGGTGCAATACGATCGTACACTCCTGGTTGCCGATAACAGACGGTGTGAGCCGAAGAAGTTTGGCGGTCCAGGCGCAAGAGCGCGGTACCAAAAGTCGTATCGTTGAGCGGAAAAGGACTTTGGCTTGGGGGCGAGATTGGCTGGTGGTGGTCATGGTGGTTGCAGTTGCGATGTTGTACGGGCCACTTGTGGAATGCTTTGCGGTCGTGCTGCTTGCCTAATCGTGAAAAGAAAACTGCGCCACTTGCCAGGGAAAAAGAGTGGTGAGAAGATGAAAGGCATTGAACCCGCTCCGACATTACATTGGCAAGGAGTGTCATACGGCTGGCCAATCTGATGAGATTCGATCCCGCCTATTACGGGACACTCATCGGGACGCAAAGGGTTGTGGTCGGGAAATGCAGCCAAAGTGCAAACCAAGAAATAAATTTCTCGTTCAAAACATCCCACTTTGCTATGGAATATTTGCTCAAGAGGTCAACTTCAACTACTCTCCTTTCATTCCTGTCTGACATTTAAGTCTCGACGATTACAGGGGCATACTCGCCGGTCTCTTCATCTTCGTCAACTCCATGCATGGTGACCTCGACTCGCTCGCCGTCTTCTAGCTCCAACATCCCTCTCCTCAATATGTCCCTCTCGCTCTGCCAACCATACTTTTCTTCGAACAGCTTCTCCAAGGCACCAACTTCTCTCTTCAGTGACTCCCTCTGCCCCTCCTCCCCGTCGTCCACCACGCTCCTAAACCGAGCCCACAGCGTCCTCAGCCACGCACTTCCAGACTCGTCCCTCATCTCGAAAAGCCCGCCTTCGACGTCGTCCACGTGCTGGATCTGCAGACGCAGCACCTTGACCATCTCCACGAAATAGCCCTCCACTTCGTCCAGGGCGGTGCGGCAGGTCAGGAAGACAGAAAGCAGCCGCTTCCATTGCTCCAAACAGCTGTAGTTCGCGAGCGTGAGGACCATCAGGAAGCAGAATTGTAGCTCGCCGAGGACCTCTCGCGCACCCGCCGCCTTATCTCTGCCCGGTGGGCGTGCGGCTTGCTCGATCAACTGGCTGAGATACCAGCTCCGGTCTCGTGCCCTGTCGGTTCTGGCCCGGCCGATGTCGCCGCCCGCCCAGGTCTGCTTCAGATTCACCGGCAGCAGGTCGAGGGGCAGTTGATGGAGCGCATTCGACGCCTCGAGGTGGGAGAGGCCCGGGATGGTCTCGGTGTCATTGGGAGCAGAGGAGATGGAGGAGACGATCCAGTCCGGAGAGAGGATGCGCGTGAGCATCGAGGGGGAGATGTGCGCCGTCAGGCCGGGCCAGTCGGTGCTTTCTGCGCCGTCCTCATCATTATCAGCGGCGAGTGAGGCGTTGTCGCTCTTCGATCCTCGTAGAGATAGTTCCGATGTCGCATTCTGCAGCGCGGCATAGTCGACTAGTCCCCGCCCCTTTGGGACCGCGGCGATCGCATTTCGTGCAATCTGATCATTCTGTTCCACTAGCTGCAGGGTCTCTCCGTCGCTGTTCCATCGTAATACTAGGATCGGGCTGGCGGAAGTCAGGTTCAGCCATCGCCCATGGCGGATCGATAATGAGGCGTCAGTACCAGTGTACAGAAAATGGATGCCAAAGGGAATGGTGGCGATACCCTGAAAGTAGGGCGAGGAATTGAACGACACTAGGTCCAAGCCGACAAAAGTCTTGGGTGGGAGTCCGAGGATGATCAACGTCGAGGAATCTCGTGATGAATCCATACCTGGTTAATTTTGGGGGGTTGTGAAAAAAATAAAATGAAACGGAGTGCTACGAGGAGGCAGGTCTATACAAATTCGAAAAGGTTCTGAGCGGGTTTTTAAGTCTTGAATTGATTGATTGATTGATTTCATCATGTGTACGATTTTCTCGTCACAGCTTGGAAGACCAGGCATATAAAGCCGTTCTTCGCGTATTTGAGTCCATCACCTCCTTCATTTCATCCAGCAGCATTTTGGTGGTAACCACCTTAGTGGCAAGCTACCGGAAGCAGCAGAAGCAAATGCCACGCACCAACGCCCAGAGTAGACGCTCAGAGACGACGACCACGACGACCGCCCTTGCGTCTCGTGCTGTCGGACGGCGTAGGCGTGACGTCCTCGATTCTTCCAATTCTCATTCCCGAGCGAGCCAATGCACGGAGAGCAGATTGAGCACCGGGACCTGGGGTCTTTGTGCCGTTTCCACCGGTAGCCCGAATCTTGATATGCAGAGCGGTGATGCCGAGTTCTTTGCAGCGTTGAGCAACGTCTTGTGCCGCCAACATGGCAGCGTAGGGAGAGGACTCGTCACGGTCGGCCTTGACTTTCATGCCGCCGGTGACACGGCAAATGGTTTCGCGGCCACTGGAATCACCCAGAATGTTAGCCTTCTTGAACCATCTGCACCTGCCCATTCCACGGCATTGCTTCATTGTGGTCTTTTACACTTACGAGAGATCGGTGACATGGACGAAGGTATCGTTGAAGGAAGCGAAGATACGGGCGACACCGAAGACGAGTTCACCTGCGCGCACTCGTTAGCACAATGTACACCATCCGCAACTTGGCTCATTTCACGAACCTTCTCGGACCTGGGGACCAAGGGAGATGTTCTCGGTGGCGGCGCGCTCGACCTTCTTCTTGGGAGGCATTTTGAACTTCGTTGTCGTTGACTGTAGGAGTGGACTGGCAACAGGCAAGGAAAGAATATTTTCGATGATTTTGCGATTTGCAAGGAGAAACTGCTTGGTGCGTGGGGAGCGGGCCTCCTCCGACGAGCTTTCCACTAGTCCAAATTCAGTGATAATTCCTTGGCACCAGTGGGAGAGAGGTGCCAGTGCCAAGAGTTAAGCCCATGCTTAGCTTAGTGGCTTGGCAATTTGAGAAAACTTTCTCCGAGTCTGATCTCCAACGCGACTTTCTGTTCAACAGCTCATCTTGTATGCCGTCTTCCTGTTGACAAAAAGATGATTGCCTCGTCCATGGCCGGCTGTGGTGATCTTTCTACCGATACCCTGGTGTTTCATCGAGCAGAGACGGCCTGAAATAGAAAGGCGAATAATCACCTGATTTGTGTATCTGACCTCCTTACCGTGAGTCATGGAGCACATCGCTGTGGGAATCATTGGCATGGGTGACATGGGCCGTATGTACGCAAGGAGGTTCAGTCAAGCTGGATGGAGGTATGAGATTGCAGTGCGTGCTTTTCGAAAAGAAAACGTTGTTTGAATGTCTGTTGCTAAGGTATGTCGACCTGCTCTTCTCTTCTCCATCATCAAAGGATGACTCTGAGTGCATTTGGCTCGAGCATGGTCTTTGTGATATTGCTTTCATCATTCTGATGATGCATCTCATCCCAATGGCTGTCACTGATGTAAAACCCTCGCTACCTTAATTTTTTCTTGTCTGATGGTTCTGCTATTCAAACGATTATCCACTTCACCGTCCCGATGCGACTCCTGGCTGACCTTTCCTTTCGATAGATATGAACAATTACCGCTGTCCGCCGTGATGATAGAACTGATGGTTATTCATGCAGAGTCAACGCTTGCGATCGACCAGACAAGTTCCAAACTCTACACGATGAGTACGAGAATGAGGTTTGTGTCATCAGCAGAGTTGATGAGCACGATTGACCAAGATTAGAAAGGAATAAATATCTTGCCTAATGGTCATCTTGTTTCTCGAGCAAGCGACTGGATCATATACAGTGTGGAGGCTGAACTCATCGACAAGATCGTTGCTGAGTATGGCCCGTCCACCAAAGTCGGTGCCATCGTTGGTGGACAGACCTCCTGCAAAGCTCCTGAGCTGGCAGCCTTTGATAGGTATCTGCCCGCCGACGTTGAGATCGTTTCTTGCCATTCCCTGCATGGCCCCGCTGTAGACCCGACAGGCCAGCCCCTCGTCGTCATCCAACACCGAGCTTCTCAGAAAAGTGTTGATCTTTGTGTCCGAATCCTCTCTTGCCTGAATTCGAAATTTGTCTTCTTGTCGGGAGAAAAGCATGACCGTATCACCGCAGACACGCAGGCTGTCACACACGCGGCTTTTTTGAGCATGGGAACTGCGTGGGCGGCAAATAAACAGTTTCCGTGGGAAATCGATCGATACATCGGTGGCATCGAGAATGTCAAGATCAACATCACATTGCGCATCTATGCCAACAAGTGGCATGTCTATGCTGGACTTGCCATCCTCAACCCGGCGGCGAAAGAGCAGATTCGACAATACGCCGAATCAGTCACGGAACTTTTCAAACTCATGCTGGGTGGCCATCGCGAAGAGCTGTCCCACCGGATCAAGACGGCGGGTGCGGCCGTCTTTTCCAAGGATGCTGTTGACCAGGATCTGTTGCTGGGGGACGATGTGCTGGACAAGTTCTCGCTCTCGAGAAGACCGAAAGAGAGAATGCCGAACAACCACCTGAGCCTGTTGGGGATTGTTGATTGTTGGTGGAAACTCGGCATCGTCCCGTATGACCATATGATTTGTTCCACGCCTGTGAGTTTGTTCCTTGGCCTCATTTTGTTACTATTTCTGACCGACCAACCCTAGCTCTTCCGAATATGGTTGGGCGTCACTGAGTATCTCTTTCGCAACGAAACTTTGCTGGATGAGGTCATTAACACGGCAATCGACGATAACACTTTTCGTTCAGACGATCTTGAGTTCACTTTCGCAGCCAGAGTAAGTCTCACCCCAATCTGGCATCAGCCAACTCATGCATCTGCATGTCCAGCATATGCAACCAACGTTTCGGCACACCCCTATTCCAAATCATTTGTCCGCACTTGATCAGATGTAGAAGCTGGCAGAATATCATGAATCAAACCATTGGCTGACGAGATTGCACTCTTCTGTAGGCATGGTCTGAATGCGTCTCCTTCGGTGCTTTCGAAGCATATCGAAACCGATTCGAGAGGATCCAGCAATACTTTGCTCCGAGATTTCCGGATGCTGTGAGACTGGGAAACGAAATGATCAAGGAGATCATGGTCAAGACCAAGAACTGACCAAAGGGGGAACGGGTCGGCGGCGAATGAGAGAGTGGTGTGGGGGTTTGTGAGGCCGCCAGAATTGATGAAGCGATCAGTGCTCCATCCAGTGAAGGCCCTGCAATACCAGGCGAACAATGACGCCAATACTAAAGGCGAATTGCTTGCTGTTGCCCGGGCAAGGGCCGGCAAGGGAATCGTGGTCAGGGACGACCAAAACTCGCCTTGATCCGAAGGGAAAGAACTTTCATGCAGATGCCAAGCTGGTCGAGCCACAAAAGACTTGATCCTTGATGCCAAAAATAATGGACTTGACATTCAGACGCGGGTTGAAGGAGGGGATATATCCTCTTTAGCTGGCCACACCAACTGCATGAATTGCATTAGTTTCTCTGGTCTTCCGAACAGCGATTGGTTGAGGAAGATTTTACGAAGTTCCAGAAGAGGTCAGACCAACACTGCACTGATATCGTCCAGTCCAATAGAGCGGTGCTTCTCGTGTATCTTCTTCATAGCGTCATTGAGGTACATGGTAAGATGCTGTGCAGACTTCCAATCACCAGTCATAAGAGTATCGCGGTGGTTGGCAGCATTGGGGATCGAGACTGGAGATCTGCCGTGGAGCGTACAATCCCGACGAAAATGGGGGACCGTCACACAATCCTTCCTGACTTCATACCTGTTTCTCGGCCGCCGTATATAGGAACTGGGCCTCATTGCGTATCTATACATGCTGCGCCCCTTGCTTTATCCTGTACGACACAAGAGACGGGAAACGTTCAGCCGGCGCAAGACTGGGACAGATGCTGTAGAATTGTTGTCGATCAGGCTTAATGGCCCGAATCCAACAGAGTGATACTCCGTATGATGCAAGATACTCGGGCCAGTGCCACCCAACGATTCTCCAGTCCCAAGACGGGAATAACCAAGCTAAATCCTTTGACGGGTTTGGTATGCTCCTCTGGGTGCCTCCCCGTCACAAATATATACCACGACCGGCCCAGCCAATCGGTCCATATCAGATTACCATTACCCTGGACCTTCCTTGTGGAGGAGGCGGACGCCAAGCCTCACGCCAATCATATAAGCAGCGGGCTAGCGGACACTAAGTCTGCCCTAGGACTATATACGGTTAGTCTTGTGGATGGTAGATCACTTTTCCCGACCGACTCCGTCCTTCGACCCCTGTTGGCGATTTCTATTATTGTCTGTCATCCAGCCTTGTGCGTTTGCCTCCGGCGTCACTCCGTCCAGACCTCTGGGGTCGTTGGGGACCTCCGGTCCACATTGAGGTGATGCAGATGCGGTGTTTGCATTGTCGACAGCCAATTCTTTGTGACGTGAAAGATAAGGTCTGTTGCGCCGCGCCGCGTAATTGCCATGGCGGGCCGAATGGAGAATCCTTTTCAAACAGGGGCTGGTGTTTTAGGCAGGCGTTGTGGCTCTCTCCTGAAGCCCCTTGGCAAGCCACTTGACACGCAATCCAGCGGTGCACTATCTGACGTGCAATCTGCCCAAGGTTTGAACATGCCTCAGACCTCCTGTACGCGGGCCCAGGCGGGAAAAATCAATTAAAACCCCCCTCCACCTCTGTCGCGCGGTTCATCCCCAAAAATTTGCAAACAACGCGTCGAGAGCAGGTGGAAAAAGGCTTATATCTACCCTGACCCTACGACATACTACAACCACTACCACTCTCCAGCAGGCATCGACAAGGCTCGTGTTTGTCTCCATCACCACATCCTTCAATCGACTTTTGGTCTTATCGGCCTTGTGGGAGCACGATGGTGCAGAGAAGCGTCTTGGCTACCGCCGCCTTCGGTGCGTCTTTGGCTCTTGTTCTGTCACAATCGTTCAGGTTACTGACCTATGTACAGTGGCTGGCTCGGCAGCACAGTTTGCACAGTTTTCATCCAGCAATTACGCATTAGCGGTCAATGTCCCCTCAGACACGGCCTCGTCCGGGAGCGGCTCACTATTTTTGCAAATCAGTGCACCTAGCGGCACCGAATGGGTCGGGTTTGGCCAGGGCTCTGGGATGGCGGGCGCCAACATGCTCGTTGTGTACGCGGCTGACAGCAACAATGTGACTGTGTCGCCCAGATTGGGCACCGGCCATGTTCAACCACAGTTTAACTCAGATGCTTCGGTCTCACTGTTGGAGGGAAGTGGCATTGCATCAGACGGTTCACTGGTTGCCAATATCCGCTGCGACACTTGCCTGAGCTGGAGCGGCGGGAGCATGAGCCCCACGGATTCCTCAAGCAGTTGGATCCTTGCCTACAAAACAGGAGACCCTCTTGACTCGACCGACACCTCTGCCAACATTAAGCAGCACGATACCACCGGCCAATTCACCCTGGACTTGACTCAAGGTGTTGGCGGCAGCTCATCGAACCCATTCGTGGCAGCATCCAGCGACAGCTCCTCGTCCTCCGCATCCGGCTCAGCCACGCCATCCGCCTCTGCCCCTGCCTCTGGTTCTCCATCTGCAAGCCAAACGCCTGCCGCCACGACGGAGTCGGGGACGGCCACCGTGAGCACCGTGGTGACACCTACTGGTGGCGTGTCAAACCCTATTGTCAGCTCCAACCCATCCTCGTCGAGCTCAACGGTGGTTAGCCACGGGTCGGATGACAACATCCGAACCGCCCACGCCGTCATCATGCCGTTGGTCTTTGTGGTCATGTTCCCCTTGGCGGCTTTGACGCTCTATCTCCCCTACAGCAACAAGGTCCGACATATCCATGCCCCGTTGCAAGTCCTCAGCTTGGTATTGATGCTTGTGGGTCTGGGTCTGGGTGTCCAGCTCGGCAAACAGGTTGACAACCTGGACGGTTACCATATGGTCATTGGGTATATCCTGGTCGCCTGGATGGGTGTCTTCCAACCTACTCTTGGTCTTCTCCAGCACATCCATTTCCGCAAATACGGCTCCCGGAGCGCATACGGCCAAACCCATCGTTGGCTCGGTCGTGCGATGATCTTGCTCGGTGTCGTAAACGGTGGACTGGGATTCAAGACTGCAGGAATGATCGGCAGCGATGACGTTCCTACCTATTCAGTCGTCGTCTACAGCGTCTTTGCTGCCGTCGTCTTCATCGTCTATCTCGTGGTGCTCTTGTTCCCAAGCTACACGCAAAACGCCGAGTCAGCCAACAACCTCGCAGGTGAAAAGCCCCGACCAAGATCCGAAGGCTACGAGATGCACGGTCGTTCTTCCGACGGCGGTCGACCACGCCGTGGTTGAATACGACGACAACTTCCGACTCGTGAGAGAAAAGTCTAGATAGAGAAAATTTGTCCTTGCGAATTCTTCAGAACGCGTCGCGGACGAGGGCGAAGGGAACGAATTGGAGTATAACATCTGTTTTATGGGACGGAATTTTTATGGGATGGAATGGGACGGTTGGGGGCTCACGATTGAAATGCCACGGAAATGTACGACCTCATCGTCTATGGCGGGCTTGGTGTCTATCCCCTGTTCGGGGCTATGGGGGAGTTGCTGAGAATTTATTTTACAGCCACGAGAGTAGGCAATAGAATGAAGTAGGCTACTTCAACGTGTTCAGTGGTTCAGAACAATTCTCTGTGTTGGTACTCGATACACAATTTTCCCTGAGACAAATCCGTTTCCAATGTGGCAATCGAATCCGGTCAGTCACAACTCCGGCAGCCATGGTGAGACGATGGTTTAGCTTTGCACCCCCGTGTAGTGTCGCGTGCCGTTTCAGAAGCGAGCATGGCACGTCCAAACCAGATCTACAGCAGAAAGTAGCGATGGCTATCTCTCAAAGTCAGCACCACTGGAAATCAATCAACCTCAGTTCTCTGGAAAAGGCACTCCTCACACCTCAGAATTCTCTCTTAAGCCAATGATCAGAAGCGGCCGTCATTGTTCGCCCATGTCCCAACGTGACCCGATGACGCTATTGTACAGGGGCAAATCGCAACTCCTCCACGCATATCTGCGAAACCCCCGCAAGTTCCCCCATGGCACTTTGCGGAGAGTCTCCGTTGATTTGGCCGCTACGGCATGGGGTCGTCCTCCCTTGGCGAGGAGATCATCGACATCTGTAGCATGGCATCGGGTTTTCCAGCGCCACCAAGAAATCCCCGTCCTACAAACCCTGCCCTTAGATCGTCTTCTACTGGACGAGAGCCAAATTTGGCTTTTCTCTTCTCAAAAGCTTTGGACTCTTGAATCAATGGGCGTCAATGGCAATGACGTCGCAAGCATTCTGTGGATGGAGTGACCGCCGACCACAGCACGATGATCAACTCATATATGACCCGTGCTCGATGGCGGCGCGACTTACAACACTCAAACGGCTGCCTGGTAGCTTCCTCAGGTGTCGACTGAAGAAGAAAAAAAATGGGTTTCCTAAGTCCTAAGCAGCCATACTTTGGCTTGAGGGGAGGATGGTTGACCTTCTGGATCTCCGTTGCTTGCGCAACGGACATGACGCTGTGAGTTGATCTAAACGTGCAGTTCCTATCTCCATCGCTGCTGATCTGTTTCTTGCGGAAAGGTTTGGCTACGATCAGGGTGTCTTTGGCGGCGTCGTCGTTACCCAGGACTTTCTCCAGGTGCATAACCTCGCCGGTCCCTCGAAGACATCGCTTCTGGGCACCGTCACTGCAATATATGATGTTGGCTGTTTCTTCGGCGCCATCACCGCTGTCTGGCTGGGTGAAAAGCTGGGCCGACGGAGGTCAGTCCTGGTGGGGACCACCATCATGAGCGTCGGCGCTATTTTGCAGATTTGCTCCTATAGCACTGCCCAAATGATCGTTGGGCGCATCATCGCCGGCATTGGCAATGGAATCAACACGGCTACGGCACCGGTCTGGCAGACGGAAACCTCAGCCATCAAGTGGCGAGGCAAGCTGGTCGTCATCGAGCTCATCCTGAATATCGCCGGTTTCTCGTTGTCGAACTGGGTCACCTTTGGCTTTTCTTTTGTCGGGGGTCCTGTTTCCTGGCGATTGCCTCTTGCATTCCAATTCCTCTTCATCGTGATCCTCTATTGTACCGTTCCATGGCTACCGGAATCGCCAAGGTAAGGAATTTGTGATGCTGCTCCTCTCCGTTCGCTGACATTGTATCAGATGGCTCATCGCCCACGACTACGAAGACGAGGCATTCAAAATCTTGGCCGACCTCGAGAATAAATCGGAAGACGATCCCTTCATCCTGGCGCAGCACAAGGAAATCGTCTACACCGTCCAGTATGAGCGCGAGAACGCCGTGAGATGGGTCGACCTCCTCCGCGGCCGAACTGGCAACCAAGCCGGCACCAAGACTATTCGACGCCTCATACTTGGTGCTGGGACGCAGGCTTTTCAGCAATTATCGGGAATTAATGTTACCTCATACTATCTGCCCACGGTGCTGATCAAGTCTGTCGGACTGACCGAGAAAATGGCGAGGTTGCTGGCGGCCTGCAACAGTGTCTCGTATCTTCTATTTTCGCTGATCGGGATCCCAAATGTCGAACGATGGGGCCGAAGGAACATGATGATCTTTGCAGCAGCCGGCCAATCGTTCTGCTACCTTATTATCACCGTTCTGATTCGGTATAATGAGAAGCCCGGGTTTGCTCACGCGCACGAAGTGGCGTCGGCTTCGGTGGCATTCTTTTTCCTTTACTACGTGTTCTTCGGGATTGGGATGCAAGGCGTGCCTTGGCGTAAGTCAGCTTTGGATCTTGTGTTTCAGAGAGCGGTGCTAACCTGTCTTCTCAAGTGTATCCGACAGAAATCAACTCGCTGCCGATGCGGACCAAGGGCGCCGCGCTCGGAACTGCCACGAACTGGATCTTCAATTTCATGGTGGTGGAAATTACGCCAGTATGTATCGTGCTACCCGTCTAGGTCAAAAGCAACTGCTTATCATCACTACAGATTGGCATCCAAAACCTGCAGTGGAAGTTCTACATTATTTGGACCATTCTCAACGCGTCGTTTGTTCCACTGATGTACTTGTTCTTTCCCGAGACGGCCGACCGGTCTCTAGAAGACATAGATGACTACTACCGGACCAATCCGCCGCTGCTGGTGTTTAGAGACAAAGACGTCATCTCGAGCAAGCGACCTGACAAATACAAGATCAAGGAACAGGAGGAAATCAGAAGAGCCTCGTCAGCAGATCCCTCAGCCTTCCGACGAGGAAGCCGTCTCAGTTACAGACAGGCTCAACTGGCTGCCGCGAGAGAAGCCCAGCGCGAAGAAGAATATGAGGGCAAGACTGAGCACGGAGATTACGAGCAGGAGAAGGTCTATCACAAAGAGGATGTGTGATTGGGCATAGGCAGTCAAAGAATCGGCCACTGGCGACTGCTTGTAATAGGAATCAGTTGCCACACTGTGTTACTACGATTATGGGTGAAAGAAGAGAATCGTGGGCAGTTTGCAAGTTGCTTGGTGACATTCTGAGTACTATGTACTTGCGGAGGTGTGATAATTGTCATAGACTTGACACACCGTGTACTTGTACAGCGATGTCTGGATTGAACCAGGCAAAACTTTTCCCTAATAAATATCAGATATTCGAATCGTCCATGATCCTGCGCTCTCATCGTCGACTCTACTCCTGGACAAGCTGATCAGCAATGCTCCAGACGAGGACTCCCACAACCCCAGGGAGGCTGATCGGATTAATGTTTTTACGGTCCCTACACCTTTTTCAAACTCCCAATTTCAACCTTTTCATTTTCTTGCTATGTAGTATTTCTTCCATTGTCCCCCGTAGCATCGCTCGGGATGCGGAGGCATCTGACCGATCCAATGCAGTTAAAATAACGAACGAGCATGGGTGGCAGCCCAACAATGCGGCCGGCTATTTGCGATTTCTCAATGACGATCATTGCCCTCTGGAAGTTCATGCGAAGTCCCACGACATGGAGCCGAGTGGCGTCTCTCAAGCCCGTTGTGGCAGGTCTGAAGGGACGGCCAACTGGAACAGAGCGTATACTTCCGTTGAGCCCTGCAAGGTAAAACAGGGCATTCAACTATCTACGTCGCCATAGACGAATTTTAGCCTAAAACTCGCCCCCAGACGAAGATCACACCCCGGATTTTCCATACGGAGGTCGATCGAACAAACGGAAATGGGGCATCCAAAAAGCTATATTAAACAGATGTAGTCGCTCAAGCTTTCGGAAGCTCTTTGCAATTCACGTACCAAGAAGGAAATACGGTAGGTCGGGACAGTCACAATTACAGCCTCACCAGCAGCTATTATGGGCAGACGAAGCCTTTGCATTTCCATTCTTTTGCTCGTTGTCTTGCACCTGGCTGCAATATGCAATGCTTTGGCCTTGCCCAAGCGGCAAACTCTTGTCACTGCTCCCAGCATTGCAAATGGCCACTGGATCGACACCTGGGCGGCAATGCCTCAATTGACCGAGTACACAAACCTGCCTCCGCCTCCATATGTAAGGAAATCCACCCTTCCCTAAGCCGTGTGGGAAGAAATCCAATCAACCACAAAGTCGAGTTACATAATTGCTCAAGTTAAAGTATGGCTGCATTAGAATACCACGTCGGTGATCTTCAACGACACCACGATCCGCCAGACCGTGCACATGTCGACTGGCGCGTCCCAGATCCGCATCCGCATCTCCAACGCCTTCGGGCTCACCGACCTGCCCATCACGGCCATGACGGTGGCACTGCCCTTCAACGGCTCGTCGGGGGCCAGTGCGATCCAGCCGTCGACCCTGCAGAAGGTGACGTTCAGTGGCGGCGAGGCGAACATCACCATCCCCGACGGCGCCCTCGCGGTCTCAGACCCCCTCGACTTCCCCGTCCAGCCTCTCTCGACCATCACCATCACCATGTACCTCGCCACGGGCCAGAACGGGACGTACATCACCAGCCACCCCGGCAGTCGGGCGACGTCGTGGTTTACCCTGGGCAACCAGGTGGGCGCGACGAACTTGACTGGGCCGTCTTTGAATAGCACGCAGCATTGGTGGGTGTGGCCCCAACCTCCATGCTGGGGGGGTTTTCCCTTCCATACAAAATTCTGGACACATCACTGAACTCAGCCATGAGATATAGGTACTTCCTGTCGGCGGTCGAGGCGTGGTCACCTCCCAATTACCGCACATGGGCAATTATCGGAGACAGTATCACGGACGGCAGAGGGAGCGACACGGACAAGAATGACAGGTGTGTATTGCCCTTTGCTCTAGCATACTATATATACATTGTTCTCTTCAGTCCCCTCTACCCACCTCTACCCTTTTCTCCTATCAATCTGGCCCATCCCTCTCCTTTGATACTAGAGTACACCAAATCTCACCATGGGAAACACGAACAAAAGATGGCCCGACCTCGTCTACGCACGCATGCAATCGAGCAACTCGACTCTCCTCACGTCCATCTCGATGATCAACCAAGCCGCGGGGGGCAACCGGATTCTGGAGGACGGACTGGGCCCGAGCGCACTGTCGCGGATCGAGCGCGACGTGCTCTCGCACGCCGGAGTCCGCTACGCCATGATCTGGGAGGGGGTGAACGACATCGGCGACGCGGCGACGACACAGGCGAACCAGACGGTCACATACGACCGGCTGGTGGCCGCGTACCGACAGATCTCGACGCGCATCCACGCGTTCGGCATCCCGCTGTTCGCGGCGACCATTACGCCCTTCTCGGCCCCCGACGGCAACGTCACCTTGCAGCCCTACACCAGCCCTCTGCGCGAGCAGACCCGCCAGAAGGTCAACGCCTTCATCCGCGCCGCCGCGGGATCCACCTTCGACGCCGTCTTCGACTTCGACGCCATCCTCCGCAACCAGTCCGTGCCCAGCCAGCTCGCCGACGATCTGCAGTCTGGAGATTACTTGCACCCCAACGACGCCGGGTACCAGCTCCTGGCCCAGAGCTTCGATCTCAGTGTCTTCCAGAAGTTCGACGCTGGCGTGACTGGGTTCGTGTAGCGTGGCGAGTTAGCGGGTGAGTTACATGGTTGGCTGGCTGGCTGGTCAGCAAGAATACCCCAGCAGGGCCGCGTAGATGGGAAGAGACTTGAGGGGGATTGTTCAGTTAGCTCACTAGAGCGGGAAAATGAGGACGAAGGAGGCGACGACGACGACGCAGGAGCTGCTTCGGCTCGGCTCGGCTCAAATCTTGACGGAGGGTCAATCATGAAAATCGAATTGAAAAGAGAAAAGTCCGATGTGACTAGAGGCCAGTTCCATCATAGAAGTCTGCTGATCATAGCGCACAAGGTAATGAGGGATAAAAGGGAACAATCTAGGACGACGGAACTGATTTCGGAATTGGGGACAAGAAGTAAACAAATAGGTAGTGCTCTATTGTTGATGAACGCTCCTTCTTCGCTCTGCCGATAAAGTGGAAGGGAAACCTGGACTGATAATGTCGGCAAATGGTCGAAGAAATATCAATCATTAGCCATAACTACTTAATGAGGTGCATTAGGAAAAAGTTGGACGCCCTGGCTTCTCGTCGTAGCCCCTGCAGTAGCATAACAATACGCTCCCTGGCGAGGTCCTCTGTACTCCATATCACCCATGTTACCGTATTCCGAAGTTTCTTGCACCCTCTTGGCCGCCATTGCATCCGTTTTGTGTCGTTCCACGCTGCTGGTGTATAACCTCACCTGGAGCTGGTACTCGTGTGTTCTCATCCCGCAGCTCACCCCCTTAATTCTCAATTGTCCGGGCTGCGCCCATTCCGATAAGCCCATAGACGGCTGAGATCTTTGACCTGTGTGGCCACCGCGCTTGGTCTGCCATTAGCTGGACGTGCGGCTGTGCGTCGCCCAAGAGCTTGCACAGTATCCCACTGCCGAAAGACATCCATGTCGGCCTCGGCATCCATAAAGGCGTTGCCATCTCGCACACGTCCCCGAGAGAGGTCTCTGGTGTCGACGCCCTCCATCTCAAAGAAGTTATCGAAATAATGCTGGTTCAGCTGGTGGCCTGAGCCGACGCGCTTGAAGAGACGGCCGAAGAACAAGTTTGTCTCTTCCTCTCGGAGATCCATCATTTCGATGGGCGTTCTGGGTGAAAGCAACGGCCTCGACGATGCTTGGACTACCTTCTCCCCAGTGTCCACCTTTGGAGGGGTAGGTCGTGTAATGCGTCCGTTGTCTGATGCATTGGGTTTGTCCGGATGTGAACTGTTGGAGCTGGGAGCAAAGGGGGCGTTATTGGGGACAGACACTGGCGGTAATGACTGATCAGGGCGAAAATGTAATATACCGAACCTCGAGACGTAATCGCCCTCGTTGGCATAGTGCTCGATATGTGGCACAATTCTCTGCTCCGTCACCCCGTCTCCATTCATACCAGAAGAGGTAGCCGTCGATATGACAGGCGCATTCCAGTGGTTCGCGGCATTTCCGAACGTGTATACCTCCAGCTTGCCAAGCTGGTCCGCTGGTACGGTATCGTAGAGCCAGTCAAGGACTAAGCCACCTTCAATAGCACCTTGGCTATGGAGGATCAAGACCACCTTGTGAATGTTGTCATCCGCTAGGATTTCAATCAAAGCCGCATATGCAATCCGAATATCCAGGGTGGCGAAGTTCAGGTCACGTTGGATGATACATTCAAGAACATCAAAGATAATACCCCGGCTGGAAAAATAGCAAACACTGTCAGCCGAGGCACGTGGATATATTGAGAGCAAGGCTTTTGGTTGTAATGTCCTGAGTAAAAAACATTGGTATACTTACGTCTGATTGTGTATTCCGTACACCGGCCTCCTAAAAGTCATTGCAATACGGTCGAGATTTGCCTGCAACCAATGGCGTCTGGGAGTCTGTCAGCTTTTGCAAACGGAATAATGGGGTGAATAATCGACTTTACTCCAGAGGAAGACAGATCGAGGAGAGTTGACATACCCTACAGCCACACCGTTGATGAAGACCCATTTCTCATGATCGTGGACCGGCTTCCCTCGAACGCACGCTGGATTTGACTCGAAAAGCCCTCGTTGCCTTGGACCGTTCAACAGAACCGAAAACCATTGATTGCCCATGACAAACCCAACAATGTACAAGAGATAGAAGGATGGCAAGCCAATGAATGCCAACGGCACCAACGATCCCAGGAAGAATATTTGAGCGATGATGAGAACGACGTGTAAGAAAGCAGCCCACAGGTTGGGGCCAGTGACTGCCAATTCATCAAGAGAGCCTGATCTGGTTGGAAGCAACGGCAGGATGATACTCGGCAGTCCAGCTGTGATAGGCCATGTGAATGTAATCTCGGCAAAGAGCATCAAGTCATTGAGCATAAGAAGAAGAGGATTGGCGGTGTAGGGCACTGGCTTTGCTGCCGGTGTCGCCATGGTTGCTGTCGATATTGTTTGGAGGGAGACGGCGAGAGGGGGAGGTTGAACCTGCTCTTTTTTTGAAGATGTCCCAAGGCGATGTTGGCCTATTTCAGATCCGGGAGCCTAAGACGCCTGAGACGGTAAGGCTGACAGGAGGTAAGTCGAGTGTTTTGCACATGCAAACGATTCAAATCCAAGGCATCCGTCTCTGGGTTTTTCACATGTCGGACAATGTGCAGGGGGCTCTGAGGTCTTGAGGTACACAACAGCAAGAGTTCTGGCAGGGTTTCAGCTGCTGCCCGAGCGAGAGTGTGGCGCTGTTGGATACGAGGCTGGGTGACGTGAAGCGCTCTTTTCAGGCGACCAGTGTAACATGCTCATCGAATCACGAAAGCGCGGTCCGTGCCCTGAAAAGAGCAAATTTGCTTGTGGCTTGTGACAAGTAGCCTTAACAGCAAGTCATCCCAAACGGAAGACTTCCTCTCAATAACATATGCAAGAGTGATGGGACAAAGGGCAGAGTATGAAGACGTGCAGAAAGCACGCTAGTCTAGATTGGGACGGCAACCGTGTATAATGTCAGCGACCCGACAGATGCTTTGTCGACGATGAGATCCTGCCAGGAGAGGATGCCGAAGACGTTAATTTTGGAGGCTGGCTGAGCGTGATTGTGTTCATAATCCTCGCAGATACGAGCGAATGCAGGAGCAGCTGGGCGGCCATAGTTGCATTGCACATGCCGTCGGGAGAATGCGCCTGCCTATCACTAGCACTGAACTGTTCAGGAAGAGAGGATGGAAGATCGTGATCGTGCTTCGCATTGATCACAGAGTATGAGACTTTTGCATTGAGATAGACCCTTGCTTTCAGAACCCACGAACAGCCAACGCATCCGGGCTTGAGCCGGAAAGCTAACTAGTTATCCAAATCACCATTATAGATCTTTTCGGCGTGGGCAAGGACGGTAGGGTAGACGTCTTTTACAGCATCCGCGCCCATCCAACAGTCCAGGTGCCCATAGCCTGGAAACACTTCTCGTTCATAGCCTCTTTGTCCGAAAGTCGTCGTCATCGTGGTGTAGGACTTGTCGGTGGTCTCCGGAGTATAGACCACATTGTCAGTACCCGAGATGAACAGAATGGGGAGACCTCTCAGTCGCTGGAGGTTTGCCGGGGTGACGAGCGATTCCAGAATGTTGTTGGTCACAAATCCGTGCGTGCCCTGGTACATGAGCTGGTTGAGTGCGTTCATACTGGTGCCACCCAGGAATTTGGAGAGATTGTCGTGGGTTGCGGCGTTCAAACGCTTGTGAGACCACAGCCTGGTCTTTTTCAGTACACGATAAAATTTTGACGAGTGCGTTCAACATACCTCCCGAAAACAAGCTCGGATCTGTGGCAGACAACGCTATTACACAATTCTCGAGGGGACCCAACTGGATAAAGTCGGACCACTTGGTTCAACAGTCGTTGCACCAGAGAATCATGCTCTGTGGAGATGCAGGAAAACCAACTGCCTGCCAGCAATTTGTAGATCCGAGTTAACGAGATGGGCAGAGATGCTTTGACCTTGTTGACAGTTCCAAAGATCGGGTTGAAGAAAACCTGTGAAGCCGTTAAACCTCGAATCCAACTTGCCTTAATTGTACCGTCGAGCAGCCCGGCCGACAGTGCGACGGAGCCAGCACAGTGGGCAACGGTATAGATGGGGTCGTCGGAGCCTTGGATGCGGTGTATCTCTTCAAAAGCTGCTTGAATGTCAAGTCTCGCGTCGTACGTCGTATATCCTCTCTGGGCGTTGGGCGTCTTGCCGGTACGATGAGTGACACAAAATACTTCGTAGCCTGCTGCTTGAAAGTACTCTACGGCATTGATATCGATCGTGGGGAGAGCAAAGATCTGGTGGTCCACAGAAGCACCTGGGATAAAGAGCACTTTTCGACCACCAGATGATGGAATTTTGGGACCCCATCGCTGAAGAGTCGACACGACCTTGTCCGCCGATACGATTTTCCTGGTCTCCATTGGAGGCTTCTTGTTCACTTCGTAGCCGTGGTAGGTTGTTGTGGGAAATTGCATAATGCCTAGGGGTCCTAAGAAATTGGCCAAAACCTGTTTCGTAAAGAAGGTCAGGAACTTGCCGGTGGAAAATGCCTTTGATAGCATCGACGGGCCATGCGGTGTAAATGTCGAGAGCTCAGACACAAAATCTTGCGGCTCGATATGCAATGTCCCTCTGCCTATGATTTGACCTTCTTTGGTGAGTGTGACGTAGAGGGTAGAAGTGGCCTTCCATGTCTGCCACGGTCGAAAGGCAATGGATCGATCCACGACCTTGTAGCCGTGGAAGTGGATTATTTCGCCCCTCGTTGAAATCATGTCAAAGTCGTACGTCAGATTGGTGGTGTCTGGCGTTCGCTTATCCTCATTGAAAAGATTGAATTCGCCGCGTAGGACCATGAAAGGTGATCCTGGAAGACCAGCACAAGTGAAAGTGCCTGTAAGCATTGCAGGATGGTCAGATCGCCCGATCACTGGTGAGGTCAGTCATTGTCACATAAAACGAGGAGAAGCCTTACTCTCGTCCGTGTCCCAGGCGTGGCAGCTAAGGAAGAATCTTGCAGTGCTACCGGCTGCTCGAGCTGCATCTGTAGCCACCACGAAATCGGATGCCGTATCTCCAGTGTCCACATGATCTTCGGTGTTGATATAGCCAGACATGACTTCTGTGAACTCGATGCCCTCGGCTTCTGATTCCACGGCCATCCGAATCATTCTTTCTGCCTTGTAAAGCTCTTTGCTCATGGGCTTCCAATGTGCTGGTCTGTCAAACAAGTCCAAAGTGCCTAGGTGGGTGTCAGCTCACTCAAGCCTTCTGGTAGGGCGGGTCATTACCATTCTGGGTCACAAGGTCGATGGTCAGATTCTCGCGTTTGGCCGCTGCCTCAACAGATCTTTCTGCAAGGGCACTGATGGTTGCAAATGGATTGACGCCGAGGGCAGTGGGGAGAATGGCTGCGTCCATAACAACAATGCCATTGTGGACGTCTTTCCCTGGGCCTTTGAATAGCTGTCCAACTTGGTCTACGGCGCCATTGACACCTGTCCCGTCACTAGACATTGTTGCTCCACCCATAATATGAACAGTGATCTTCGGACGCGTCAGTGTGAGCTTGGCAGATGTTGGAAAATGCCTTACCTCTTGTTGCCCCAGCGCTGCGAAGAAAGGGGAGTTGACATAAGTTCCGCCTACAGCGTTGGTTGCTTTTGCGAGAATTCCATTGAGATACTGTACGTGGTCACTTCTTCCCACTCCAAGGAAAGTCAACGTTGGCCTGTCATTGTCTCCCAGTTTCATTACTGCTTGGTTACTGTCATGGGACATGATGAGATAGGTTTGTGTCTTCTCCAGACTTCCCATTGGGGCATATGGGTAGATGCGGCTCTGCTGACGGGCGAGAAAGTGCATCAGGCGGTCTTTCAATGGGTACGGGTTGGGAATGATCTTTCCAGGCAGCGACTCCAGCATTGCTTGGAGCACAGGGACAAGTGGCTGTGTAATGGCACCTTCTTCGATAACAAAGCCATCCAGAGGATTCGGCTGCTCACGACAATCGATCACTCCGGTAATTGTAGGACCAATAGGTTTGTCAGGCCTGGGGCATACTCTCCCCATACCGTTTGCCTCGTCATTGGTGTTGTATCTGGCACTGTCAGTGTCTCCGCAACGTCACATTTGTGCGAGGCAGCAAACCCAAAAGCGAGTATATCTCCGTTCCCACTCATATCTTTGCCGACCCGTGGGCTCATCTTCAGGCCAAGGGCTTTGCTTCGAAGAAGGATCTCAGTTGTCCCCAGGGCTCCGGCACCCATGAAAACAAACTTCTTCGCATGCACCCACATAAGATCATCATAGATGTTTTTCTTGAAGAGGCCTCGCTTACTGCCGTGCCAGGCGAAGAAGACAAGGTAACCCTCCTCGGTGGGATGCTTCTTGATATATCGAGCTTCGCACTCACAAAAGCTTTTCTAGGTCAGCACAGGCAATGGTAAATGTGGGAATAGACTACATCTCAGCGCCCCAGTTCCAGGCGTCGCTCAAATATGTGACTAGGGTGGATGACTTGCTACCATCGTTGACACCGGTACTATCCATTCCAGTGAGTGCGCTGGCCTGCATTTGCTGCATTCGCGTTAGTTGGATACGCTCAAAAATACTGAAACGTGGTGCAGCTTACAACGCCGGCGTTATTTGGGCCATTCTCAAATCTTGTTGTTTGTGGAACTCGATCGAAATGCTTTGATAGTCCGAGGAGCTCTGCTTGTTTCTTCAAGAGCTCAAGCTTCAACAAAGGAGGAAAGTCCTCTGGATATCGCTCGGGCTGCAGCATGTGCGCCGCACGCTCGTAGTCTGCCGGGTGCAGTCAGTGCTGATATCTCCAATCGTCCGAACCACAAGACGAACACTCATCCAAAGCACCAGGCTGTCTGAGATCTTTTGGCCATTCTGGAAGGCTCATCGTCCCTGGGTCAGCTTTTAGAAAGACGTTTGCATTCAAAAGGCTCGTTCCTCCGAGCCCTTGGCAGAGAAGTCAGCAACCGCAAAACCGAGGTTGCTAGAGAAAACAGACCGCTCGCGACGAATGCATTTTGGCCGGCACCCATGACTAGCTGGTAAAGCTTCGTCGGATCCCCTATCTGCACTGGAGTCCCTGGGTTGTCTCCTGGCGCGAAAAGCCCGGAGACACTGATTTCTGGTGCAGCTTCGGCGAGATTCGAAGGATATTCTCCGGCTGCAAGATGGTCAGAAGGTGTCTGAAGCACAGCCAGATGCCCAAACTCACGCCATCTTTCTTTCCCACGCTCGAGAACGCAGACAGACTGGCCGGCACGCGTCATTCGCGACGCCGCAACACCACCTCCATACCCTGATCCGATCACGACGACATCATAAGTATGGCGGAGGAGCTCTACAGGGCGCGAGATCCTAGGAAATCGGTTGCTTTCACTGTAGTCTCTCGCCTCGAGTTTAGACTGCGATCTTGACAATGGCCCACCGGGCTCAGTGACACCAACACGGTATGGAGGTACCTGATAAGAAGGAGAATGAGGCAGAGTGGACGAAGAAGCACTTGCACTTGAATCATGCGTGGTCTTGTGTTCAATGCCAGTCTCGGAGACCTTCTGAAGTTCCTGATCCATGGCGACGAGGCACGGTGCAAGCAAGAATGCCTACTTGTGAGGGAGAGGAGTTGGAGGGAAGCCTTACCGACAGCCTCAACGACGAAGATACTCAGTATATATACCACGTAGGACTAGGAATAAGTCTTGCATGTGAAGCCCAGACCTCTGAGCGATCAGTGAGGAGATAGAGAGCCAAGTGAGGTATCACAACGGTTACCCATAGTGCCAAAGTCAGTCCGACAATGCATCAGACCAGGGACCCCGCGACATGTGAAAATCATGTAACAAAAGCTCTGTGCCTCACGAGCACGGAGAGGCGCAGCTGAGACACCACCAAAGAAGGATGCAATACGAGGAATCAGGCACGAAGTCTCACAATCTCACTGAGCTGAAGCGTCAGCGTTGGTACGGAACGGAAAAATGTCCCGCCGCACGCCGCATCATGTCCCTCAATACGACACAACCAACTTTCACCAATTGCATCTGTGGCATGCTGTGTCACACTCCAATACGAACTGTGGCTGATCTGCTTCAGCTGAGTCGAGACCGTGCTCTGGTGCTCATGATGCTTTGCTAATTGACATGTGAAATTCCCCCCCAGAAGCTTCTTGTTGTTTACTCAAGGTCCAGACCGTTTCTCATCTTTTCTGTCTTCTGAAATCCTTGCTTGCACATTATAACCCCGCGGACACTGGACTGCAAGACTTACCGTGAGGTGCAGCAGTCAGCCATGGCACCCAAGGTCATATTCCTAATGGCTGATGACGGCCATGACCCCACCGGTACGGTCTGCCTTCCGCACAAGCACAGTCGTTCCCGTTGCTCACTAACATCTAGAAACTGCTATTCCTTGGAAGGTCTTCAAGGATGCCGGGTTTGATATCTTCTTTGTTACTGAGGATGGCAACACACCGAAGTGTGATGAGAAAATGCTCTCTGGCTGGACCGGAACCTTGCTCGGGGCGAACAAGGCCGCAAAACGGGCGTATCAAGAGCTGTCCAGCACGAGTGAAGCATTCAAAAAGCCGCTGGCCTGGAAGGACCCCGCTTTCAGCCTGGATGACTACGATCTGGTCTTCCTTCCCGGCGGCCACGAGAAGAACGTGAGGCAGATCATGGACTCGGCACGTGTCCATGAGCTGCTTGCCAGTTATTTCCCCAAGACCAAAAAGCCGTCTTCAAAGTCCCTGGCTGCGATCTGCCACGGCGTCCAAGTATTAGCCATGGCTTCAACGAGTGATGGTAAAAGCGTGCTGCATGATGTCATCACCACCGCCTTACCAGCCTATATGGAGGAGGGTATTTATCATGTCACCAAACTGTTCCTCGGCGCCTACTACAAAACCTATGGGGCTGGCACCGACTCCGTGGAGGAAGTTGTGAAGAAGAGGCTGGACAATAGGGCGCAGTTCAAGAACAGCAAGAGCCCTAGTCCGTAAGTTGAGACTCATGGCTTCTCGCTGCTTGATACTGACTGTTCAGTTTTGTCGTCGAGGATCCCAATTACAATTACTTGTCAGCGAGGTTTCCGCCCGATTCAGAAGCACTTGCGAAGCGGGCCGTGAGTCTGGTCAGAGAGGCTGCAGGATCCACTTGATCCTGTCAACACGACGAGACGTTGTTTCGTGCTCTCTTGTTCTCAGCCTCGAGCCATGTCCAACCCCTGGTGATCCTGCGCCGCTAACCTCTCGGCTGCGAATTGGGCTCTCTGCGCCTCTCTCCTTTCCTTGACGGAGTTTATGTTGACTTTGCCGACCTGGATGGATTTCCACAAGTCACTTGCACTGACGAGCCCTTGTCCCCCAAACAAGCCAAAGTCGACAGGGTGCTTTGACGAGTGGCGGAGCGCAAAAACAACGCTGTTCCTGCCGTTGGGGTTTTGGACGACGCGATGGATACCGGGGCTCAGGACTCCGTTCGACAACGCCTTGAGGGTCTGTCCCACCAGGATCGTCGCCGTACGTGGTTTGGCCCCGCTGTCGACCCATACAAGATTCTCATCCGTGGATTTGAGCCGATCCAAGACTTCAAGACCGCCACTGTCACCTATGCAGATAGTCAACAACCCCAGGTCGGTGTGCTTTTCAGCGAATCCTGTGGCCGGCAGATATCGGAACACGCGCAGTAGCGTGAATGTCATTTCCTCCTCCGACGCTGGCATTGTCAGGGTGCCGTCAAGCAAATCATTCCATATCGATAGATCTAGATCAGACCACCGTGTTATATCACATAGAATGCGCCATAACAGCAGTGCTCCTTCTTGCCACGCTCTGGCAGCCTTATCCTCGAGAGCCTGTACGATAGGCAGCTGCGGGGATGATAATGATGACCCGTGAGCCGAGTGAATGCGACAGCGAAAGGTGATGTAGTCCTTCTCGTTGGGGACGGTGTAGAAGCCAAACTCCGTGCCCGATTTGGAGGGATACAGCTCGGTCTTTTCCTGGTCCGGCAGATCAAAGAACCGCGCAGAGGTTTGGAACAGGTCTGCAGTGGTCTGTGCCAGAGTCTCTGGCAATGGGAGAGACAGCCAGCCTTGCCGTATGAGGTGAAGCAGTTGCTCTTTCGATAACAGCGGAGGGGGTCCTGGGGGTGGAGAATATATGAAGTCGCCGTTGTCGCCCATGGCGGACGCGGCGCACAGGAAAGGTCTGATGCACACCACCAAGAAAATGAGAGCAACAAGATGGGTTTGTGCGTCCTCGATCGCTACGGGTGTTGTGTTTCTCTTTGCCCCGTGTGCCGATATTCGTGTTTGATGGTGGTGATAAAAAAGTACAGAGTAGGAGGCAAGTATGTAAGGTTAGCTCGTGAAATACACCAGTGGTTTGGTGGTCTTTAGAAAGGTGATTGGCTGTACGTGGCATTACGAAGGCAACAATTATTACTTCCATCTCTACAAGTACCTTCGGCACGATTGATTCACTGATATCAAGAAGCAAGACCACCCAGCTGTATCTATCTATCTATCTATCTATCTATTTGCATGAGTGCCACTCTCGCTCAATCAGACCTGCAGGATCCAGTCCCCCAAAATGCACTGGCAATGATGGAGGTTGCTTCAAGGTGGTCGTCGCCAAGGACATTTAGAATGAGCGAAGCTTCGTGGGAATATGGTTATCAATAGTCGAACAGCTCATTAATCGGCGTGTCAGCATACACAGGTTGTTTGAGAGTGGTGTGCATCACAGAAGGTGCAGACAATCAGAGACGATCCGACTACTTGTTGTCGTTGCTGCAAGCTTCACGAATCAGTGTGATTAAAAAAATGTAGTCGGTGAACACCTCTAGAAATCTACATTTCCCCCATGCCGCACGTAAATGGTCCCTTGTCCCACAAACACAATGTAACCCCTGAGTTCATAAACACATTTGCCATCACTCGCCCGGTTTTTATTCGCCATACATGTGCTGGATCTTTCACCCCTGAATGCCCTTTTCCTCCACTTTGACCACTGTGTGTCTTGCTCCCAGCTTTCCGCCCTTCTCTAAGGCGCCTCTGGCTCCACTGCTCCATGCAAAAGCCTCTCTTGCTGAGCCACATCTATTCGAACTTCTTACGGCCCAGATTCAAGCCGACACCGTGGTTGAACACGAGAGTGCCGCCAATCTTGGCCGACGCGATCAGGGCTGGCAGCAAGGCCATGCTGATCATGAGGTTCGTCTGGGTCGGGGTCTTGCCCAAATTGATCGCCCCTTCCTTGTCCTTCCTCAGATACCAGCTGTACAGGTTGACCACAAACACCAAGTCGTTGATGACGGCGTGGGTGATGCAGGCCTTGATCCGCGGCACCATCGTGCTCTTCTGCTTTCCCTGGGCGTCCTTTTCCCATGGACCGCCGTTCTTCTTGATCATGCCGACCAGTTGGATGTTGCCGGACATGATTGCAGGCACTGTGGTGATCAGGCCTGCGCACAGGAGGAAATAGGACAGCCGGGTGATATCCAAGAGGGTCGAGGCGGAGCCGAAACGGCTGGTGAGGAAGTCCGGCTTGACATAGACGGTGGTCAGAGCATACAGGATGTCAAGGCCCCAGGCGAGGATGTTGAAGGCGATGGGGAAGTGGACAAGGCCGGGGTGGGCGGGGAATCTGAGGAAAAGACGGTCAGTGCTGAAGAGACACAATGGAGGCGGTGGATGGTCCGAGCCAGCAATCACCGTCAACACTCTCTACACTCCAAGCATCCAGACAAGCAACAGAAGAGAACATACTCGGTGTTGAATTCAGGGACAGGCTCGCCGACCTTGTGGGCAAATTTGCCCTGGAGGTTGGTATAGTAACTCATGTTGTCGATGAAACTCGCTGCGAAAACAGACACAAAGATGCCAAAGTCTTGTTGCGTTCCGGAAAGGGAAAAAATCGACCACAGCACCGTTTAAATGAACAGATTAGAAGGGAGAAGGAGAACGAAAACGAGTGTCTGTCGTGTGCGGTCAGGGGAGTATTGGACAAAAATAGGGAGTGGGCGTCAGAAAATACAAGAGGCCGCATTGGGCAAAGGAGCAACACAACGCGCGCAGGACATTGCGGGCAGAGTGCCAACCTTGCGCTCCACCAAACTAATGGCGGAGTCCGGTTAAGGCACGCTCGCCCAACGGGTGCCCAATGGATCGTATCTCTAGGCCCGGGCCCCCCTAATGGCCCCGGTCGTCCAGGGCCAAAGCTGCAAGCCATAGCGGCCTAGCGCCCCTGAATCCGCGTGCCGCCAATAGGAGGTCGCCAAGATGTAAGCAGTGAACACCTGGCATCATCGAAAGCACATGGGGGCTGATCCTGGACTCGGTTCATCATCGACTGTGTTACTCGGTCCTCCGGCCAGCAAATCACAAGAACAAGACTGGCAGTACTGACGTACCGAGTCACAGCTGCCCATCATCGCACAGAGGACGACGAGAAAAAAACCTCAAACATTGGAGAAAGAGAGTGAGTGCTTCGGCAGAGTTGGCACTGCCTTTACAAGAGCTCCAGCGAGGAGAGCAGCAAGAGAGTTTGAGGGCTGTCAATCAATACGAGCAAGAGGATGACATCTCCGTCTCCCGGCCTCGCTCACAGCTTCGCTCTTCTCAAAGCCTCAATCACCTCCTTTGCTCCTCTTTCTCCCGATCGCAGTGCACCATCCATGTACCCCTTCCACTCATAGGCAGTCTCGGTGCCCACAAAGTGCACCTTTCCGTGAGTCGTCCTCAAGGCGTGGTTGTACTTGGTCATGATGCCCGGTGGTGCTGCAGGACACGGACAGCCTTGCGCCCACTGGTCGCTTGCCCATTCATGTTCCGTGACGGCCAGTGGCTCTGGCACATCAACATATGGTCCGAACACGCGCTTGATGTGGGCCAGGATCGTACTGAATCTGTCCTGTTGCGAGAGCAGAGATCCCTTCCGGCCGAAATCGCCGTTGGTGAAGCACGTCAGGGAGAATTGGCCTTTCTCGTCGTTGCTGGAGTCGCGGCACGTGGTGATGGGACCCAAGAAGGACATGATGGCCCCGGACAACCCTTTTTTGCGCCACCAGGGCTCAGAGTAGAGGACCAGGACCTTCAATGTGTACCCGTGGACGTTGTTCTTCCCAAGCTCAGACTTCGCAGCAGGCAAGGGTGGGTCGAAAGCGATCTCTTTATACAGGACAGTGGGCACAGAGACGATGACTCGCTGGCACTTGAAGTCTCCCCTACCTGCCGAGACATAGATTCCGTCAGGGGTTTGTGATATGTGCCGAACAGGTGAGTTGAGGACGATTGAACCTGGCTTCATCAGACTCGCTAGCCCGAGTGACAATGACTGGGTCCCTGTCCCCCCTAAATGTAAGTACATGGGTCAACTGATTTGCTCACATCTGCTTTGCTCACCTCTGACGAATCTGAGATGCTGCCCGCCGTCCTTGAAATCGGATCTTAACTGGAGCAGACCTCCACCACTCTTGCAGTAATCCAGGAAATAGAGTGCACTGATCTCGGACGGCTCGAGGCCGAGCAACGCTCTCGTCCACAATGTGACAGTCGCAAGCGCGGTCGTGGATTGAGTCTCCGACTTGCACCATTCTTCCAAGGTCATTTTGTCAAAGCGTCCGCTTGAGCCCACCGGGTCACGAATGTCCACCTGTTGGCACAGTTTCTCGAACAGTTCGCGGATGTACACCATGTGTTCGATCCCGTTGGGCTCGGGGGCGTTGGAGGGCGTTCCGCCGTAGGGAAACAATCCTGTAGTGCCGCCGAGATCCTCTTGGATGATATGGCCCACGGTGCTTTGAACCACGAGATCCAGACCGAGGAACTTGGCCAGGGCATACGCCTTTGCCTGGTTCGTGTCGTTGATCCAGGCGGCACCGACGTCGACGAATTTCTCCTGGCCCAACGGATCCACGGACCATGTCTTTCCACCTACGCGGTCGCGAGCCTCGACAACCGCGCACGACACGCCGGCCTTTTGCAGGTCATAGGCCGCCTGCAGACCGCTCAGACCGGCTCCCACCACGACCACTTCCACGGTGGTCAGCGGCTCCTGCCTGACCGCGGCATAGGCCTCGATCTCGAACTTGAAGTCCGGATCCGCCAGGGCAGGCACGGGAACCAGCGTGGTCGCCGGCCGGTGGCCGTTCAGGAATGCCCGGAGGTGCTTGGTGTGCCGGCGGTGCGCGGGGTCGTAGTCGACGATGTAGTAGACCAGCTTGAAGACGTCGGTGACCTTGGCGCCGGCGGCCTCGAGACAGCGGCCCAGGTTCGTCATGGCGAGCGCGATCTGCTGGTCAATGTCCTGCGGCACCACGCGATTGTGGTCGGCGCCCACCTGCCCGGCCGTCGCGACGATGCGGCATGGCCCGCTGGATGTGGCGACGTGCGAGAAGATCGGGCGCGAGTCGAACGTCTTGTGAGGGTCGAGTGTGTGCACGCTGGGGGACGTCGTCTTGGGATCAGGCGACATGATGTTTCCGGTCTCACCGTTCTTAACCTGGGCCTTTTTCTTTTTGTCCTGTTCTTTTCCTCGCCTCAATATATATCTCGGCTCCTGATGCGCAGAAGACCGTTAGGTATATATATACACCGTCGATCCTGGAATTTCAGCGGCCGTCCTGGATTCTTCCCACTCCCTTATTTGAAAACTGGCCTGTATGCAGCAACAACAACGATGCACACATGTATGCGTGTGTTGTGTGTATGTTATGTTGTGCCACGCCCTACGGCAGGCCTTTCACCGATCAGTCAATCAGTCTGGTCCCCTCGCCGCCATACGAGGTACGGGGTACGACGGACGTGCCGTGCGGAGATGTGCATTGAACCTGCCAGACCTTCTCCGGTGGAAAGAGCATGACTGATACTGATAACCTAACCGCGGTGTTTCCCCTGATCGGGCAAGAGAGTTGAGCAGAGATGGCGGGGGTGGGAGGAGCAGGATTTCCCATTGGCAACCCCGACCTTCCGGATTCAGATGGCGCCGGTACGTAAGCGCGGTGTGTTGTTGGAATCAAAGAAGCATATGTAGCTGGTTGAAGACAAACGACAAGCTTGCTTGCTTGCGCGTTAACAAGATTGCATATGAATGTGGCGGTGAGAGAAGTACTGAGGACGTCGAGTCTCTCCCAGATTCTTCAGGAATTGGTACACGATCCGCTGAGGTTGAGAGGCGTGCTCTAGGTCTAACAACCGTAGACACATCTTTACATCTATACATAGAATGGCTGCCATTTGCAGGGGTTCTATTACCCCCCTCCTTTGCCTCTCTCTATCGAGGCGCGAAATCCTGTCGAAAGGACAGATCATAGGGCAGTATAAGCAACCAGACACAACACTCTATTCGCGTCACTGGTTGCAGACATTATCTATCGTCTCCGCGACTGAAATGAGTTCCTCGTCGCTGAACTGCGGCCGCACAAGTTGTATCGTGATGGGTTGGTTCTTCCAGCGTTCGGGGTCATCTGTTTGATTTTTCGCAAGGACAGTCAGTCATTCAATCAGGTGAAGAGGTGGTGGCTGGATGTTTCCATTTTCCGTTCCTGTCGTCATCACTCGAACTCGTTCTTCTAGCCTTGATAGATAGACCTGCAGGCGTAGATAGGTGTCTAGATGGAAATACTTACAAATTTCCCAGTTCATCTTGTCAAACACGTTATCCTTGGGGACGTAAGCGGCGGCAGCATCCTTCGCGTCCTTGACGGGGTCGACGCGCATCTTTTTCAACGGCAGCACGATGCTCGGGTAGTCGAGCAGATTCCACAGGCTGAAGTACCCCCACCAGACCGGGAAGCCGTGCGGGAAGCTCGCCGACGGCGCGCACGGGCAGATCAGGCAGTCGATAGGGCGTCCGGAACTCGTTTGGGTGTGCGTGTTGTGCCATGCCTCGGCGAACTGGTAGCGATATTCGGCTTGCTTGGTGTTGAGCTGGAGAAGCGCAGAGGTAGAGGCAGTGTCAGCTCCGGTAGTATTCTCCCAAGGGGTTTGGTGTAGAAGAGATTGGAGTAGGAAGAATAGGAGGGGAATCAGAAGACGTTACCTTGAACAGTTCTGGCACGCTCAAGGGCTTGATGGCAAATGTCTCGAGATACCACTTGAAGGTGGGATAGAGCGGCTCGCCCGACGACGCGACCAGGTCTATAGTCTCCTTTGCCCCGGTCTGGAACCATAAGCGCCACTGTTGGCCGGTTAGTGAAGTGTCTGGGTTGACCAAAGGATGACACCTACAGTGTCCTGTGCGACCTCCCAACAGTCAAACGGGGGTTTAAATTCGATGACTACTCCAGAATTAGAAGCCTGGTCTGTCATATGTGTACCAGGGGGTTCATACCTTCGTGTCCAGCCTCTCGCAGGCGTGCTGCAGTCTCCTGCAGCGCTCTTGCAATGGGTGGTTGTGGGGTCACACACCCGTCTGTGGCGAGCAACCCAGTGCACAGTTTCCCCGTTTTTGCAGGGAGTTGCTTCCAGGGCATCCGCACAGCGGTGGGCTCAAATGGCAAGCCGTGGTGAGTGAGAAGGATCTCGGCCACGAGCTTGACATCCGCGATGCTGTGACAATTCGGGCCGGAAGAGACCTTGATGGAGATCTGGCCCGGGGCAGCCGTTCCCATGCCCCTCTTCGCGGTTCTTTCAGCGGTAGGTCTCATGGCGTAGAGCCCATTGAAGGTCCCCGGGGCACGAATGCTGCCACCGATATCGGTTGAGGGGCAGAACGGTGCGCCTCTCATGGCCACGAGGCTTCCATCCCCGCCGGAGGAGCCACCAGCAGAGAACTCTCTGTTGAAAGGGTTCATGGTACGGCCCCAGAGATTGCTCCAGGTTTCGAGGAACATGCCCGTCTGCGGCATCGTTGTGCGAACGAAGAAGACAGCTAAGGAAAAGGATTAGCAGTAGCTCGACAAGCTTTCTAGGGAGGTAGGAATGCTGACCGCCAGCATTTCTCAATATCTGCACAATGGACGCATCAGACGTGCATCGGTTGTTATACCAGGCCACATAGCCCATGGTCAGATTCTTGTCCTTCATGTGGAAGATATCCTTGATGCCGACGGGCAATCCATGTAAAGGGCCAACTGGAGTGCCCGTTCTGGCCAGGATGTCATCAAGTTCTTTTGCTCGTGCTAAAGCCTCGTCGGGAAAGAAGGCTGTCAGGCAATTTACCTGGATTGCTCGTCAACAACGGACTTCAATCCACGCCTTCAATATCAGGCTGGACGGTTTGCAGACGGCGGGTGAAGCAAGAATCATAGTACTCACGCACTGATGTGCAATCGCGGCTCTTGCACAGAAGGCCTCGGTTACTTCGACGGAGGACAGCTTGCCAGTTCTCAGCTGGGCTACGAGCTCGCTGGCCGTCTGCTCTGTGATCAAGAGCTGTCTTTCCGTAAGCAGTCCACAGGTCCTCGGAATAGCACGAACGTCTGTCACAGAAGGGTCGACTGGCTCGGGCAACCGCCACTTTGGGGGTATGGAATTCAAAAGCTCTGCTTGTGCCTTCGAGGCGACCACCTGCCAGTCTTCAGCCATTATGGGCCGAGAAGGGGGAACGAAGTTGTTTGCTCTTTGGTGAATTGAGTTCAGACTTTTCGGGAAAACGCTGCTGTGTTGGTCTTGTACTACAGCCCATCTTTTAAGGACCGTCTGCCCGTGCAAATGAGTAGCCGATAACGACAAACAAAGAGTAGTTCAGTTTCATGCGGGGGATTCCCTCTAATCAAAGCCGCCGGATGTCGACGACCGTGGATGTCCGCCTTTGCAAGCGCGTCTGCAGGAATGATATGCAAGCGCGAATGACCTTCAGGGTGTATGTGACCCGTCATCTTGTGGAAACACCATGAACCGCAGGATCATAAGAAGGCAGACAGAGGCCCGAGGAGGATGGAGGAAACACTCCCAGACGCCTTTGCCTCGGGGTCGGAATCGGATCAATGCTTCTCCGCACTCGTGATATCAGTCTCAAATGGCTTTAGATATATGTAACCACAATGCCACATCGTTAAGTCCATGCATTTGTCTCTTGGCCAAGCTCTATTGGCATCCGTTGTGCCTGTCAGATGCTGGATGTCTACCGCCTTTTGACGTTGGGAATGAACAACAATACAACATGGACCCGGAAAAGGGGCATCAGACAGCCGTTGCTTGAAGTGAGCTGGGAGGCCATCGACATCTCGTATCTCGTATCTCGGTTCTTCGTCGTGGTGTGGAAAACACTCATACAGTGCCTTCATATTCCTCGCTACAGGCATGGAAGCCGTTGGCAGCTAATCAGGAAGTGGAAGAGAGCTCCAAGAGCTGCAGGAGATATGTTGGCGCGAGGCACTGAAGGGGATGTGTGGCTCTACGGAGTCATTGAAGACACGGGGTCCATGCAGTGACACTTCTCGCATTGGGCCGATGCAGAAAGACAAAAGCTGGTTCACCTGTCTCGATCCCTCTTTAGGTAACGCTGTAGACAGAGATTGAAGATATCTGCCACAGGAAGCATACCTCCACCAAGCATCTGCTTTCGTGGAAGACTTCATGCTTGGTTGTTTGGGTCCATTTCTGAGCCCATTCCTGGACTTACACTTCTTTTATCCACTCGCAATTTCATCAGTGCCCGGCGGAATTTCTCATCATGCCATCATATTGACCTCTCGTGATACTTGTGCTGTGAGATCAGACCATCTTGTTGGCCAGTAACTGATAGAACAAATGCTTTATACCTCATTATTGCTGACATGGCGGCAAAGTCTGGCCATCTTGAGAAGTCTCGGTGAACTCTCAGACAGCCTGCCCCCTCTATGACCGAGTACTCGACGGCTGGAACAATTCCACTCCGCACTGCACAAGATAAATTCGAGTTTCCAAACGTTTCGGCCATGGAAGTATTAAAACTATCCAATAAACTCTGTCCAGTTGTGACTTGACGAGCTTTCCGAGAGGAGCATGGCAGAGCCCTCCGGAAGGCTTTCATAAACTGGTGCGGTGACGGCCCGAATGTCAGGATCCGGCTGGCAATATCGCATGTGATTTTTGAGGAGAACATTGGGTGTACGAGTCTGGCCCTTGTGGTTTCACTGTGAGAGGACCCCCTGATAGCCTGTAGGTAGAAGCCTGCTCCGGGACTAAGTGGCGTAAGTCTTGATTTCTTCGAGACAGGCTCCAGAGCCAACGGCTTCGCTGAGGAAGTGAATGCCGTTCTCTGACCGGCCTCGCACAATCATTCGAGATAGATACACGCCCATTTACAGGTGTATATCATCAAGCGCTTCCAATAATGTTTGAAATCGATTTCGTCTCCAAGCTGCAGTCACACAACCCGCCGCATTGATCTACTTCGTAACAACGACCGCAGGCTTTGGCGACCCGGCGGCGATAATCTCTCGGTTTCAGTGAGAGGCGACGGGATCTCGATATTTATATTGTCATGCTCTCCTATCCTCCTGGTCCTTGACGGCGCTATCGATGTGGTGTGGTCAGCAATGCTAGGACGAATAGTCGAACTGGTACTGGTCGTACCAGTGGAAGAGGTTCGTCCGAGACCTGGCCCCGAGTCCGAATCGAAGGGTTCTTCCTCCAAAGTCGGCTCGGTAATCGAGCCGTAAGAGCTGAGCCGTGAGTGACTCGCGGTCTTCTGAGGTGACTTCAAGCTGCCTGTTCCTTGAGACGTCGTTACTGTGATATTAGGATCAAGTTCGCGACGAAGCGACCACCTTGACTCTATGCTGAATATACTGCGTAGACTGTGACGGCGCGAGACTCCCTCGTCTGATTCTTGCTGTGGGGAATGTGCTGACCCGGGAGGTATTTTTGTTTCTGCGAAGGTGTCTTGAGAGTCGAGTCCTTGTCTATCGGCCTCTGTGGTAGAGGACGAACCCTGTTCTCGAAATTTGCGGTCGATGTATTCACCAAAACCATTTACCTGATGTTTATGCCGCAGAGGAGGTCCGCGTGGTGATGTTGCCGCTGTTTGACTTGCAGTCTCCGTGTCGCGTATCTGGGCACGTTTCTTTTCTTCTCGTTTTCGATCAGCCAATATGTCGAAATCAACCTCCCACTGCTTCTTTGGAGGAGTCTGGGATTGTTTGAGAGGTGACGCTGACGGTGGGGGCAGAGATTTGAGTCTTGCTTGATTTGATAGTGCAGACCAGGGGTCAGGAGAGCTATTAGGGTTCGACGGTGTCGAGGCGTTTCCTGCAGCGCGATCGTCGATGTTCTTTGCATTATCTGGGTTAGATTCGGGGATCGAGCTATCGCAGCGGTTGAGCAGCATCATTGCCAGCACTTCATCAAACTCTCGAGATGATTCCACGTCACCCCCAGACTTCGCATTCCACGACAGGCGCCCTGTTTTGAGAGCCTCTTCAGCAACTTTACCAAGTTCGGTCCTTCGACCCGGCGTCCCGTTCTCGACGGGAACACCTTTGACGCCAGGTTCGGTCTTTTTCTGCACGGACCCGGGTACAAGCTGGCGGAAGGATACTTGCGTAGCACCGATTTCCTTTCCCGCCATTTTCATAACGAACCTGACTCTGGCTGCTAGCATGTGTATTTCTAGCGATATAATGACTTTCCATGAGGCGCCAGTGTTTGTGCCTTTCCCAGCCAGCGATCGGTGTCGGGCTGCAAGAAGGAGGTCATGAGTGACGCGACACGCGATATCGGCACATTCCTTGACGGCTGGTGTGAAGTGGGGAGGAGCGTCTTTTTCGTCGCTCTGAACGATCGTGAAATCGACCTCCATGAAGCCACCGAGAGGAGGACTGTGGGGAACGATCTGGGTGAAATTATGGGATTCCGGAGGCATCGAAGACTTGATTTCTTGACCTTTGCGTACGAGCCATTCGATCTGTTTCGCTTTGGCACATCTTTCCTCCTCACAGAAGAATCTGTCTTCGTACCGGTGTGTGGTGCGGTCAAAGCGTACGTTGTAGGGGATGCCATAGTTCCAGCGAGAGAGTCGCGTGTTGATGGTTTGGATATTTCCCAGGGACATGAACAGGCAGCGTACGGCACCCTCGACCACCGATGTCCAGCTGGACCGTCCACGCCAGACTTTGACTCCCTCACTACGGGGATAGCTTTGCTCAATGCGCGACTGGACAAACCGGCTGCTCCCAAGACCCCCTACAAGCAGAATCCCCTTGAGATGACCTTTCAAGCGTTTGTCTTCCAGGGCCATGTCTTGTTCATCAATGAGGGCAAGTATTTCAGGCAGAATGCTTTCGAATGAAATACGGACAAGTTCCGGCTCGATAAGAACAGTGCCTTCCTTGGCATGCTCGAGGTTGAGATGGGCGACACCACCAAGATGCACTGCTTTGGGGCCGGTTGAAGCTCCCCCTTCGTACGATGGCTTGATGATGAAAGTAAAACGGTCAATGATCTCATTCCTCGCAGCCGCAGGTAGTCGGTCCCAGTCGTCCTGTAAAACCCCTTTGATCTGGTTTGTGAATGCTTGGTCGATGTACACGGATCCGCAGAGACCTCCGTCTGCCACCGCGACCTGATTCAGCTCCATCGGAAGCACCTTGGCCACTTGGTAGCTCACGACATCGACCGTACCACCTCCAGCATCACAAACTATCACGCAATCTCCTTCCCTAACTTGGCCAGTGCTCAACCGTTGTTGTAGCTCGGAGATAGCAGCCGCTTCCGGCTCCGTGATAAACCTGATTTCCCGACCATTGTCTGCCAGGCCGGCAAGTTCAGCTGCGTGCAGGGTATTCTCTTTCGCAGCATCCGACCATATGGCAGGCACGGTCATCACGATTGTGACATCACTGTTCTTGATAAGATCGGGATCGTTCTGTTCGTCGCAGATACAATCGACAATTCTCGCCCACAGCCATTTGAGATAATCACCAACCACGGTCGTAGCAGATTTCCCCAGCTCTTGGATGGTTCGGCGCGTTGCTCGTACCTCCTCGGAGTCCAGAAGGTATGACTTGCGCGGATCGGGGTCGGTTTCGAGGAGTAACTTCACCCATCGTAACCTGGTAGTGTCTTCTGGACACTCGAAACCACAGTGGACTTCGCCATTGGGGCCGTATGCGATGTCTGAGGGGACTTTCTGCGTGTAGCGGTGATGATGATGAGCGCTCGGCCAGTCGGAAATGGTATCGATGCGTGGGTCAACCGGTCGCTGGAGGAAAAGAGTATATGCGGCGCCAGAGAAGCTGGGACGGTCAGGATACTGCTCATTTGAACGCATTCGCACAAACCTGGTGCCATAGTCGATGCCAATGATCAGTTTCACCTGCGCCTGATTACCTCGATTGTCTGGGCTCAAGAGACTGCGGCTCATTAGAGAAATAGACGCTGAATCCATCTTGTTTTCAATGCGCCCCAAAGATATGATCAGGCTGGGTATATCAGCAATTCAGCCGCCGAGCGGGCAGCGTCAACAATGGCCTCTCGCTATGAAATCATCAACGCTGGGGAGGCTGAAGACGAACATGTCGAGGAAGGTTGGCAGTCCATATTGTTGAACACAACTCCAAAGGTATGAAAAGACCTCACCAGATAGAGGAAGGACGAGGATTGCGAGGGTCCAGAGTCCAGAGTCCTGTGAGCTTTGCACAGCCTGGACAGCCGCATCATTCGGCGGGTTGACCTGCAGTAGTTTGTGTGGCTGTCCTCTTGAGCCGCAGTTAGGACTCTAGGCGCCAGAGCCTGACTGCGGCCACAACGAGGGGGGTTGCCCCCGTGATTTTTCTCCTTGCTTACCGTTATATGCATCGATTCTGTCGCTCCCTTGAGCATATCGGCGAGAGACCTAAGAAGGCCCTGCAGCGGGAGAAGGATTGCAACAAGAAACACGTCCCCATCGACCATGTCACGGAACCCACTTCGAACTAAGCTCGTTTTGATCTCCGGCCACAAACACCGCGCCGAGAGCGCGACCACAGAAACCTCCACTGCATCAGTCGAAGAATCCTCGCAAACTGATCTCGACAATGAAACACACGAGACGCCGCTGACGGGACAAGACGGTCGTGAGCTGATAGGATCAATCAGCAGATCAGCACGGCCGGCACGGGCTCGCCTGTCGCGAGAAACCCCGGTACCAGGCTCAGACGACGGCTCGAAAGATGTCGTGGGGCTGCAAAGTCGAATAAAGCGCTTGGAGGCGACTGTGCAGCAGTACCAGGAAGAGGATGAACAATTTCGATACCTGTATGATGGCATGGTCAAGGAGAATGTTGCGCTGGAAGAGCGTTGTGCTGCCCTGACCGTCGAGCGCGACTTCTTCGCAGCAAAATACAGCGAGCTTCTGTCGGAGCGCTTCAATGCACAATTCCCGGGTCTCTGGGTCACTCAAGCCAAATTGAAGAGTGCTTTCACGGATATCTGCCACCATGTCTCTGCCTGGTGCGATGATGCAGCCTACCAAGCGGTCAAGATGCAAATTGGGCGTGACCAAGGAGAAAATCTGGCGGAGCTGCTCGCTCTGTCTCGCGCCTTCAAAGTACCATTGTCAAGGAAAGGGCTTGCTGCGGTCCTGATGACTAGGATACACCGCGAGATCATGCTCAACGTGCTTCCAATTCCGGATGACTCGGGATCGAAAAGTCCGAACGATCTCTGGGCGTCCCAACAAGATGCCGAGTGGCTTCGTTTTATATTGCGGGACCTCGTGGATCAAGGTGAGTTCGGCTTGGTCTAGTCTCGTTTGTAGTTTTTAGCTGCAACTAACCCGCCAGCAGGGATTCCACCTGACGAGATACGCCGCTGGAAATGCTTGACCACCACGGCTCTCGCTCCGCACAGCTTTGAGACCAGTAAGAGGTCAAGACACTTTGCTCGGTCGCTTTGGAGGCATGTGATATCCATGGTGAAGGGAGACACCAGTGCTCTGGATTCACAGCTATGTAAACGGCTCGAAAATGAAATTGTCGTCAAAGCCGTCGAGTTCTCAAGACTGATGCGAAAATGTCAAAGCTCAGTCCAGGTTCGGTGGCCACTCAAGCTCAAAAGCACATCATGTCGGGAAGCCGAGGATGGCACACTGATATGCGATGTTCTGACAAGCCCAGAGTTGGTGACGATTTCGTCCGGGGGATCGACGGCAGGCGCAGAGGAGAGCATCCTGGTACCGCACACCATGTTCAGGATTGAAGGGATCACTGCGAATGACAATCATGGAGATGGCAAGACTTGAACGATGGAGCACACGATAAAGGCTGTGAAACCCTGGAAGAATGTTTGGAGGTCTGATCCATCCCCCATATACATCGATCCTGACCATTGTCCTCCCCAGATGAGATCGCTTCCACTCATGCTAAGGCTGTTATCAAGTTGATGGCAAACGAACTCAACCCTATCAGTAGGCTGAGGATCGTCGCCACCGAGGGCTTCTTGCCGCCCTTCAAGAAGTCCTTCATTTTCGTCTTCAAGTCCTTTTCTACCTCTTCATTGACGTCCTCCTCCAACACATTCTCGGCTCGTCTACGGCTTTCGATATGCTCGTACAGTTTGTCCACGTCGTCGTCGTCATCATCAGCGACCGCAGCAGCTCTGGTGGAAGAACCCGGCGTTGCTGCCGCGGCGGTGGCTGGTTGCCCTTCCTTCAGCGCGCGAATCCGCCTCTCATCCCGTTCCCTCGTGTCGACGACAAACTTGCCGGCCGTCGTCTCCGCCAGCGTCTTCCCACTGTCCATTTCCTCCTGTAGTGCAAACTTGACCGGGGCTTGGGACATCAGGGAGCGCAGGATCGTCTCGGCCGAGGCGCGGGTGTTCTCGAAACGGAACATCTTCGCTTTCTTGCGCAGCATCGGGCGCCAGAAGTCCCGTCGGAGGTCGCTTTCCTTGGTCCCCAGCTCGAACACCTGCTGGATGGCTTCCTCGGGCCACTTCGAGGTCACGAACGTGACGTGGTCCCAGCAGGTTTCCCCGCAGATATGTTGCAGCAGCTCGAGCTGCCGGACTCCTTCCGCGGTCATCTTGGCGGAGAAGATGTCGTGCAGGTATATGATCCCTTTCTGAGCCGGTCGGACTAGTTAGCGATGATATGAAGTCAACGTTGGATATAGACCATCCATCCATCCGCCTCACCATTTGCACCCCCATTGCAGACTGGAGTGCGATCAACCGGGCAATCTCGCTCAGGATGATGGCGTCCGACCGTCCATGCCGGTTTCTTGTGTCCCCAAAACCGGGCGTATCAATCAGGATCAGGGGTTTGCCGTCGAAACTCGTGTAAATCGCGGCGGGCTCCTGTGTGCCTATCGTTGATCGATCGATGTTCGTCAGCCCACCACCACTCTCCTGTGTTCGTCCAAGATCCGTGACCTGGTTTGTAGTAGGGTAGTGCTTGACATACATGAACCCAGTCTCGCCGAGGTCACACATGCCCCCGGGACAATCGAGTTGATGAAGTGACTCTTGCCAGCTCCCGTCGCGCCGACCACGAGGATCATGGACGTCTCCTCGGCCTCGCGCTGGATGGCGTCCCCGATCTCCGCGCCCAGCTCTTCGGCAAATCTGTGTCTCATGGCGGCAGTCTTGGACTGACACACCTCAGAATCAGAGAATGGATAGAGAATGACAAGTCGCCCAAGGATTGATCTGGTTGAGATAGTCTTCTCTTGGCTCAGCCTCATTTTCCCTCCTCCACCCCTGTCTCTAGGCCGCCTAGGCATCCTGAGCTTCCAATAATTGGATGATTGTCGCTAGCGTTGGTGAAAAGGCAGCCACTAATGCTGTGGGTTCGAAGCGAGGCAAACGACTAGGCTGCATATTCTCGTTTCTCAATTCCTGGATGAACGACTTACTAGTCTCGGGATGTATCATCTTTCAGCGGGAGCAGGGTGAGTGGCAAGACAGTTAGTTTAGTGTACGTATTAGCATCCTGGAGAGCATTTCGCCAAACGGCGAGACCGTCGAGCAGCATTGTTTAAGGGATTCAAAGGCTTCATTCAAACTTGAACTTCTGCTCTTTTTATCCACAGGCGACCTTGGATAGTGTGGAAACACACTATCAGCTGTCCAATCCCTCAACCTGGGAACTTGTCAGGAGAACAAGATCTGTCGTGTAAGATCTCTATCATCTCGCAGCATGTACCGCCATTATCAAGCGAGTGACTTTGTTGTCGAAAGGTCCCATTCGCAGCAGTCAGGAAGATCAAGGGTCTCTCGGCTGGCAAGTCTCAGAGGCTCCAGTGAGATATGGGGATCTAATGACCCTATTACAATTTGGGACGGTCATGGGAGCCGACAATATCGAGACGTGATGTTTGGATCATGGACAGACCAAGGATACCAGTGGTGCCTGTCGACCCCGTTTAGCAGTTGGTTATATCGGTCTTGTCTCCATTTGCTCCAGGATGTTCGATGGCCCTCGCATCCTCCTCAGAGAAAACCCTCCTCGATGCCTCCATTCAATCTACGACGTTCAGAAGTAACCTGCAGATCAAGCTCACAGGCCATCAGGTCAGGTCCAGGAACTCCATCATTCCTTCTCTAAGACGGGACACGGTCCGAACGTGTTCCGCGGAATTGTCCTGGTTGACCTGACGGGCACGTCTTTACGTCTCCGGACTTCCTCGGAAGTATATGGACGACAAGATGAAAACCTTTTCCTTTTAGCAAATCGTTTCTCGAAGTCCGCGGGCGCGAGATAATTCGTCTTAGGCCGTTGTGAAACGAGGCCCGCGTGAAGCTGGGCGTTGAGTCTGATTTACGTATCGAATTGTGTCTCATTTCCGCGGCAGGTCTACCCTGACTTTCATAAGTACGAATTAGGAGCTAGGACAAGCTCCGACTTGGCCTGGTCTCTTCGCGTTCGGTCGTGGAATTTGTATTGGAGAATGGAACGGCATCGTCCAACGAGCCCGCAAATACCTGGCTCCGGACTGGTGGAAAGGAACTAGCTATTATGGCGAACTGGATGACAGAGAGGAGATATGGAACCCCGTATAACCCTGTGCAAGCCCTTTGATAGAGAGTGCAGCCGTTCCGGTATCAAGCACAGACGCAAATTCCCCCATCTCCAATACCGCACATCGCATCAATGTGTAACGCCCACCTATGCGATGTACGGAGGACACTCGCTCTCAGGAACCCTTCCGGGGTTCTGACAATTATCTGCACGGTAGAGGATCTGCACCGGCAAAGCCAGCCGGAACTTGCAGCGATACGGCGCGGCGATTCGGATGCGCAAGTCGACCTTGTATCGGCGAGAAACCAAGGACGACTCGAAACTGGGCACCGGATGCTTCAGTTTCCCAAAGTTGAGCGTCACATGCGCTTCTGATTTCCACTGCTGTACCGTTCCCAACGTAGCATCACCATCTTCGACTAGAAAACACATTTATTAGCCAGCGACCTTTGGTCCAAACCAAGCCAAAGCTGTGCTGTGGTGCGGGATACTCACCACGTAGAGGAGCGGGGACTTTGACCCATTGCGAGAACTCCGCAGGGACCTCGACTTTGGCGTAGACACCGCATTCACGGCACAGCGTACGAGAGGACGAGAGGTCTTTCAGCGTCGGAGCACTCTCACGCGGATCGCCGGATATGAATGTAGAGAACATCAACGACGCCGTACACCGACTGTTGGCCGGGGTTCTCGGCCCCTCGTTTCGACAATTTACCTTGGAAGAAGTCATTTGCGTCAGGCTTAAAGAAGCTGAGCAGACTGTATCGTCCGTGAGCTGGTTGAGAATCACCGGAGCGGGCTGAGTGGCTTCGATGCGCAAATCTCCCGTGCGACACACGCCCAGGCTCCAGCGTCTCGGCTCTCTGGACCTTGCCAGACAGTACTCGTCAGGAAAGTCAGCGACACAGAACGGCGGCGCGATGGCCAAGGTCGGTATGATCCTGATCGATCGGGCGCAGGTGGCCACCACCTTGTCGTGCTTAAGGGCTTTCACACACAGCGCGTACGTGACAATACACTGCCCCTGACGCCGCGGCTGGAACACGGGATGTCTCTCTCCGATCTCGAAGGGGGGCAGATAAGGGGGAAGATCCCCCAGGTGTCCGTGGTTCTGCCCCAGCAGCTCGGACTGCAGGCTCTTGGGGATGTCGAAGTGGAAGAAGCACTTCGGAGTGCTTCTACTCTTCGTTGGATCTTCCGCGTCAACACCGATGAAATCTGCCGCTGTCTTGATTGCATCGAGTTGTAGGAGCTAGCACAGGGCGGAGGGTTACCACGGATAGTCTGACGCCGCAGGCTCTGTTTCGTGAGTGGGTAGGTAAAGGAGACAGGTCATACCTGCTGTGTCCGCTGGATCAGAGTGTCCGCGTACCAGTCGAGGCATCGGATGGTATTGACCAAGAGCCCTGGTTCTGTAAGCAGCTCACAGCACGAGCGAAAGGGTTGACCGACCCTCCAGAGTGATCTTGAACATGTCGAACTCCATGTCCGTGGAGCCGGTCACAGAGATGTAGCCATCAATGCCCGAGTCGCCAAGGAAGTAGGGTTCTTTGCTCGGAGCAAGGGTATGTCCATCGAGAAATGTGACCTCCATATCTAGGGAAATAAGAGACCGTTCCTCAGGAGGTTATGCTGACACTGTAGGACTCCACTGGGCAGGCCATCAACAAATATCCCTTCCTTTGCTGGCGGTGATGGACATTCCTGGTCAATCTCGGAAAGCATGGCATGGGCTTGTGATATAGTTCTGTGCTGGCAGACTAGATCATGGTCGGGAATCATAGTCCTCCGCGGAACGTGCTAGGAAACGGCATTCCCCGCGTCTTTTGATTCAAAAGCCCAGTTCTTCCCCACGCGATGAACAACAAGAACTAAACAAATACCTCGTAGATCGTCATCAGCTTGTCCGGGGTTTCTGCCTTGGGTTAGATCTGGAGAACTTCGTTCCAGCCGTGGAGAAACAGACCCCTGCGCCAGGCCTCTGCAGGACACCTTCGAACGGAACAAACGGAAACCTGTATCTGCACTTTGAAGCTGTCTGGATAGATCCCGTGCCCTCCTCGCCCTCGCCCTCGCACTCGTACATATTCGGAAACGGCTTACACCCCCCTTCTCTTGCGATATTGCACCGTGACAAACTATGCTTCTCTCAGCTGGGCTTTGGAGCCCTGATCTGAGTGTCAATGCACCCAGTAGAATTCGTCCCAGAGCCAATGACATGTCTCCTTTCACGCAAACCGAACCGTTGAAGTCCCAGCTAGGATCACCAAGCCGTGAGAGTGGTTAAGGAGTGGAACTATGAAGCAGCAAAAGAGTTTGACTTGCAGAGATGCTTAATCTCGCCTTGACTTCACTAGGCTTGACAGATCCTGCCGCCATCCTCGCCAATGCCGTCCTGGTATACAGAACTGCCCGTAACGTTCCACAATTCATTGCCAACGCAGGGTTTACACCAGAAGATGCCTTTCGGGTCGTATTTCTTTTTGAGAGACAAAAGCCGCGGGTAGTTGGTGCCCCAGAAGGTTTTTTGCCAATCAGGCTCTGTTGGATCAGCCTCATTAACGTACGCACCCGTGTGCGGATCGAGGACACGCAGGGCTTCAATGGCGCTGTTGCGCAACTCATCCGTCACCGCCGTCTTCTCGGTCTGGTTCAAGGGTGTCCACGTTCGGTAGGTAACTTGAGAGGGGAAAATGATGTCAATACTCTGCGCGGTCGAAGGCTGTTATGAACTTACCGAAGTGAATGTAGGTGTCGTTTCGCCATGCAGGACACACTGAATTGTTCCCACCAGGTATTTTAGCATCTCGCACCCCCTTTCCGGCAACAAGGTGATTGAGGAGTGTCCAGGTGCCGTTGGAGGCTGTACGTAGTGCATTTTGCAGTGCTGTCTGGTTCCCAGTAAGCGCACTACGGGTCAGGAGGCGTGAGCCTAGACGCTCTGATGGTCCAACAGCCTCGGGTTGGTTCGTCATCCAAAACTTATTGAAATCCTGGATGGGGATGGTTTCGTTTGCAATAAAGACCTTGTCACCCCAGTTCGTCGTGTTGATCTTGGTCAACACCGGATCCATGACCTCGTTGACCTGGGCAGGAGTTTTATTAGGGAAGAAAAAGCCACCAATGATAATACCTAGTTGGTCGGGGGGGGTTCCCGGTGCATAGGGGATAAAATAATGGTAGCCGTTCGCTCCCTTGTCCGAGAGGCTGGGCACTTGTGATGTGAAATACGAAGAAATTGACCAAAACGTGTCGCTGTTCGAAGTGGTGTTGACAGAAAAGATCGTCAGGCTGCCGGGAAGGGTTGGATAGACCTTCATGGTCACGCTGATGAGAACGCCGAAGGTGGAGCCTCCTCCCTGCAAATCTAGTCAACAGTTGTTCTCCGTAGATTTATTGACGTTTTACTCACCCCTCGCATTGCCCAGAACAGATCGGGATACGAGTTCTCGTTGATGGTGAGAAACCTGCCGTCTGGAGTGACCACTTCCATCTCGAGGACTTGGTCGGCTCCAAGTCCGTATGTCGAGCTGATGGGAGAATGGCCACCTCCCAGGACCCATCCACCAATGCCGACTGACATGTCACCGCCTGCGATAACCGTTAAGTTGTATTCTGCGACCGCCTGGTAGACCTCCATCATCCTTGATCCAGCGGCAATTTTGACGGAGCCAACTCCACCATACGGCAGTGCCCGAGCGTCACTAGAGTTCACTGAGATTCCCACAATGTTGTGTGTCCAAATAGACAAAGATTGTCCACCAGATGATCTAATCTAGTTAATATCATGACGGTTGAGAGGATATTCTTCTCTTACCTGGATAGGAGATCATGGCCAGTTCCTTTCACTATTAACCTGATACCTGTCTTCCTGGCAAATTGGACCGCCGCCTGTACATCAGACACTTTGGTGGCATGGACCACATACGACGGGTAAGCAGCCGCTGAGCAAGGGGCCAGAGAAGACGGCAGACATCCATCATCGTTGTAGTCAACAGAGATGGGATTGTTGGCGTGGAAGCTCGAGTTCGCCCATTGGGAAAGAACAAATGTGCATGTGGCGTTGTTGAACAAAGCATTTCCCGGGTGACAGACAGATCCAGGGGGGACGTCTGCAAAAAGCTTGCCAGAAACCGTTGTATTCAACTCTTGCCACGCCGACTGAGCAGGCCAGCTTGATGAGGACGGGATTGGTTTGCAATATATAGCAGGTCCAGCAAGGGCATATTGTAGGGAGGCGAGAAAGAACACAAAGCTCGTCCAAGACTCCCAGGGCAGAAAGTTATTCATGGTGAAGAGGCGCCTGTCAGGAATGGAAGCAACTGATCGGACCATTGCTCTCAGAGAACACCATGGCTGCAGTAGAGTAAGGAAGCTTGTCTGCATGACCTCTTATATAGTCAACAGAAGCTGGCTTCGTCCTCCTGGGGAGTTTACTTTCAACATCTTCCAGGATTAGCCAATCGTATTTGTTCTCCCATCGCAAATCCGAATACGCGACCCAATTCTGCCTCGCGAGGCGAGTTGCCATGGGTGTCCAGAGGCAGGCCAGGGGGATGGTTTTGGACGAATGCGCCCCTGCTAGAATTATGTGTCTCGCAAGACCCTGCTGGACTGCTTTAGGTTGTAGGATGCTCCCAAGATAATACTTGTGGAAATATAGTTCACCGTCAACGTTCGCAGAATGAGCCTAAAAGTGCAAAGCTTCGTTTAGTCACTGAAACTTTGGCCCACTCAGCTTCATGGATGGGCTCAGTCAGACATCCCCTTGACCATCTTCCATGCTATTTTACCACGCCCGTTGCCTTCCATTGAGAAGATCCGACAGCCTACCGATCAGAAGCCGGAGTCGTCACAGGTGCTACATCTTGAGTCGGAATGTATCCGGAACGGGTTGACCAATCGAGTTTCCTAGGACGTTCGACGTCGTGCCCAACTATCACCCTGTGGATATTTACCATTAACAGTTGACTTTGGTCAGGCATCACACTTACCAAACATCTATTCCCGCGCCTGTTGCGGTAGCGCCATCGCCAGCTGCGGGGAAAGCCCGTCCCATCCAATGCTTGAAAGATTTAAGCGAAGTCTGGACAGCATTCTCGATACATCACAGAGAAGCCCAGGCTGACTTTGATTCTGCCTCTTGCCACGTGGTGAGCAAATACGGTCGAAACCCAACTCGGCCCAGCCCAGTCACTCGCGAACGTGCCGTGCCGCTGTTGGCATTGACACATTCCACCAACTTTGAATCTAATGGAAGTCATACAGAAGTCGAGGATGTTGCCGGCTTCCTCCCCGACCAGGGAATCGGACGTTAATCGCAGGTGAAAACTCGGACATCACCCTCTGAAATGCTTGTATACATCTATATAAAGACGGATGACTATCGGCTACGTTGGGTATGGCGGCACTGAGCACTAGATACTGACTACTCTAGAATTACGCCTTGTCAAAATCAGTCTTCAACAGACACTAATCAGACTTGGAGACTATTGCCACGAGCCAGAATACGCAATTTATCGTTCTCCCCCCTGTGAGGTTAGGATTAGAGCGTTGTCGTCTCCGCCTACGCGAACGTTTGCTGCCAAATCACGAAGAAATATGGCAACACGTGCGAATTTCAATGTGATATGATTTGCTCGAACACGTTGACGGCAAAAGGATAGAATAGGATGCAGAGCTCGGTCCTGAATAGTCAACATTCGGCTTATTGCCAAACAGGGAATGCATGCCCTCACTTGTGCATGTCGATAAAGTACGGCGTCCATGCTGGCGGCAATATCAACTTTATCCCCCTTCGTTCCAACTGATTCCGGATCTCTTTCATTTCCAAAGAAAGCTATGTCTGTTGACAAGATCAAGCCCTTCCACGACTCTCGGGTGCAACTGCGTTCAGCAGTACTCAATGGCCTGACGTACGGCTACCTGTACTCTGAGCCTCCTCCGTCCGTCGCTCGGCGAGGAACAGTGGTTCTCGTTCATGGATTCCCGGACCTTTCGTTCGGATGGAGATATCAGATTCCGTTCTTGACGTCGCTCGGTCTCACGGTCATTGCACCAGATTGCGTGGGATATGGGCGGACGGACTCCCCTCCCCATAAGTTGAGGGACTATGGATACAAGCGCGCTGCCGACGACCTGGCCACGCTGTGCGGACAACTTGGTCTGGCACAAATCGCGCTGGGCGGCCACGACTGGGGCTCAGCCGTTGCGTGGCGCATGACCCAGTACTATCCCAAGCTTGTCAAAGCCCTCTTCATCTTCGGCGCTCCTTATTTTCCACCATTTTCCCGCTTCGAACCCCTAGCAAACATCATCCGGAATCACATGCCGCACCTAGCGTACCAAGCACAGCTTGCTTCCGGCGAAGTCGAAGACAGGGTGCAATCTCGCTCCGAGATCCGCTTGTTTCTCAACGCCGTCTTCGGAGCACTCGACACCGCCAGACCCGAGCGTCTCGCCGGATTCGACGTCCATTCAGGCGCCGATCTCGACCTGATTCTGTCTGGCGCCATCCCTACTAACGACCTGCTCAGCAGTGACGAACTCGACTTCTACGCCTCAGAATTCTCCCGCAACGGCCTCACCGGTCCTGTGAACTGGTACCGCACGCGCCAAGTCAACTGGGAGGACGAATACGCCCACTTTTTCGACAACGGTAACGATCTCAAACCATTAAATCTGCGCTTCGGTCCTGATCATGAGGTTTTGTTCGTCCAAGCCACGCGTGACCCGGCCATCACTGACGATATGGTCGGCCGTATGCTTCCCAAGGTCGAGAAGTTGACACACCGCGAGATTGAGGCCGGGCATTGGGTTCTCTGGCAGAAGCCGGCGGAAGCCAATCACATGCTGGGGCAGTGGTTGGAGGACAAGGTCTTCAAACAGGGTCGTCTCTCTAGCAGACTGTAGTTGGTGGCAATATCTTCAAGTCTGGGTGAAGGGAGCTATACATTCATTATTTCTCCTCAACCAGAACATATATCACCAGGTGCCGGCAGCGAATAGTGTGGATCTCAAAGAAATGTCTGGGATCAAACCTTCTCAGTAGTGAATGTGCGATGAACCCCCCGTCCCCACAACAGAAAGGGGTAACTAACCTTGTCATATGGGAGTACGAATCATTTGCACGTGGAGTCACGGCTTTCTGATTTGGGGGAAAGCATAGGGGATCTTCGGAACAAGCTTAGTTATCAGGAGCAGAACAGGAAGCCAGTCCTATGCGCATGAAAAGAATGCTACCAAGTACCCGTCTCTAGCCCCCTCAGATCCTTGTCCATTCAGCCGACCCCCAACTGTAGCCGAAAATCTTCACAGAGCTGCTTTATTGCAGTTCAGGGTCTCCTCATATTTGATTCACATCCTTCTGAAGACCGAGAATATTTGTCCACCGAAGTGCCCTCCATCTGAGGAACTCCCGATAGTAGGAAATCTCACGGTGGTGGATTGGGTCGCCTGCATAACCATGTCGGCTGGTCAATGGAGGTTGCTGCGAACAGAAACGTGCTGATTATCCAAACATAAACTATCTGTGGCTCTTCCAGCTTTACCAGGTACAAGTGTATGGCTTAAGTCCAACCGTGTGGTGGTGGTGGTGGTTGAATACAGAGGAAAAGCTGTGGTCGACGATCCTTATAGCCGGGCCTGTGAGGCTCCCGGTTACTAGCCGTCCAACGCCGCCCTGAAACTGGGATTGAGGGAACCGATTGTAAGCTGTTATACTCGTAAAGGAATCCAATTCCCGTACCCCAAGTATCCCCCGGGACCCCCCTGTCGGTGTTAATACTCCCTTGTAAGGGGCTGTTAAACCGTTGTCTCTTGCGAACCCAAGCCCCAGCCACCTTTGCTGGTAATGTTCGGAACCGCTTATGCAAGAAGATGTTCTTTTGAGAATACCACCATTACGAGGCACACGAGGATTTTGAAGCTGGCGGGAGGAGAGATCAGGGGCTATAGCTTGCCTATCCGATTCTCCCGTTGTTTGCTTCTCCCTGTCTTTTCGTACGGGTTGGTCCTCTCGACCTTGTTGATCACAGGTGCATGTGTTGCGATACAGCTATGGTGAATTGTATTGGGAGGTATACTTATTTACCTTCTGGCTTCGGCTAATTCGATCACGCTGTGTTGCGATTGGATTCTTTGGGCGTCTACGAATCATGTTCATGTGTCTTCAAAGGTAGACGATGACGCTCAGCATCCTGTCATTAGTCAAGAGGGTTGGAGCAGCTGTGATGCGTGGCCTCGGCTTTGACCCCTAAGACTTCCAAGACTTCCAAGCTTCGAGGAGATCACTGAGTTGGAATCCACCACCTGAGTATCCATCCATCTACACCAAGTCATCAGAACAACGGAGTCTCGCAACGAAATCGTTTCTCTGCCTCAATAACCAAACATCATGACGGTCAAAGTGTTCATGTATGCAGCCAACGTGGCTCATAATCACGAGGTTAGCATGCTGACTACGATCCAGTACGGGCGTCACCGGCTACATAGGCGGCGACGCTCTATATGCACTGAACCAGAAACACCCAGATTGGGAATACTGTGAGTTTCCAGATCTCTCATGGCCTTTCTTCCTCCGTCAACACTCAGCTCCCTCCATGCTTGCCTGCCACGGTCAAGAGGTGCTGGTCTCTTCTCTCTGTTCTCGTGGATACGAGGAAGCAAAGCTGCTGACAAATTGCCATAGGCGCCCTGATCCGGACGCAGGCAAAGGCCGACCAAGTCCAACAGCAATATCCCAAGCTGCGCGTCGTCCTGGGAGATCTGGACGACTCGGCCGTGCTGCAGGAGGAGAGTGCCAAAGCTGACATCGTCCTGCGTGAGTTTCCAGCGTCGGGATTCCAGGTCGAACAGGCTCGCTGATCCCCTCGTCACGCCTATCAGACACGGCAGATGCGTCGGACCACGAAGGCGCGGCAAAAGCCATCGCGGCCGGGCTCGCCGAGGGCCATACGCCGTCCAACCCGGGATTCTGGCTGCATACCGGCGGCACGGGTATCCTGACCTACGAAGACTCCAAGAACAATCGCCTGGGCGAGTGGTCGACCAAGGAGTACAACGACCTCGACGGCGTGGATGAGCTGACTCACCTGCCTGACGATGCGTTCCATCGGAACGTCGACATGATTGTCCTCGAAGCGGGGACCAAATACGCCGACAGGGTCAAGACGGCGCTGGTCTGCCCACCCACCATTTACGGTACGTATAGAGACCAGTGGAAGTGCGTGATGGTCACTGTCCCTACCGCGCACATCTGATTGCCAACTGGAACAGAGATAAACTAACTCGCAAGCTGTCTTCCACCCATAGGCGATGGCCGAGGCCCCATCTCCGGCCGCTCTCGCCAGGCGTACGAGCTGAGCAGGCTCATTCTGCAAAAGGGGTACACGCCGATCGTGGGCGCGGGCAAAGCGCGGTGGAACCACGTGCACATCTACGACCTCTCCGCCGCCTTCGTCCTGCTGGCCGAAGCCGCGGTGGCGAGGAACCTGTCCGACGAGATCTGGGGCGCCCGGGGCTATCACCTGTGCGAGAGCGGCGAACACCTCTGGGCCGACCTGGCCCGGAAGATCGCCGCCATCGCGGCCGAGAAGGGATACATCTCCCCCAACCCGCCGGAGAAGCAGCTCAGTAAGGACGAGGCGTTCGAGGTAGCGGGCTTCGAGGCCGTGAGTTGGGGCTGGAACTCGCGCGGCAAGGCGGGGAGGTTACACAAGTTTCTGGGCTGGGAGCCGAAGGAGAAGGGGATCCTGGACGCAGCTGGCGGTATCCTGGAGGCGGAGAGGGCGAGGTTGTAGGAGGGAGAGCATGCAGGCTAAGAAGGCGTAGAGAAAGTGGCAGATGGGATTTCTCGATGCGAGACACTACTACTATATATATATATATATATACCTCCCATCTATCCCATCTCTAGGATACGGCAAGCGCCCAACATGTCCGTCTTTGGCCTTTCATCTCTCACTCCACCGCTCATTCTCAGGACCTCTGGTGTTCGTGATACCGATTGACGTTTCATAGTCCTCTAATCCATGGAACCAAGTCAGATGTGCTGCTCGTTGGGCAACCGTCAAAAAGTCCACTTTCCCGTCTGGCCATCCCGTTCCGGTGCATCGTCCCTGGGACGTGAATAGCGCAATAGCCATCCATTATCCGTGTGATGAAGCACTGTTGACCACGACCATTCTGGAGAGTCGCTCCCATACGAGGGAGGGAAGACGGAAGTGAAAAGGAACTCCGCCTGAAGACCCGTCCCCCCCTTGGCGACTCATAAATCATTCACATCCTCACTCATAATGCGTCGACGCGCCGCCGTCCACCAACAAATACTGGCCCGTGACATAGGCACTGAGATCGCTGGCGAAAAACACGGCCGCGCCGGCAATGTCCTCGGGTGTCCCCAGCCTCCCGAGGGCGGTCTTGCCGGCCATGACGGCGCGCAGTCCGTCGCGGTCGAGGTGGGCCTTGTTCATGTCCGTCTCGATCGTGCCGGGACAGATGCTGTTGAAGCGGATGCCGTGGCGTCCGAGGGCGCTGGCGCACGCGACCGTCATGCCCAACACGGCGGCCTTCGAGGGCGCGTAGTGCGTCAGCGCCGACGAGCCCTGCACCGCGGTGATGGATGCGATGCTCACCACGCTGCCTCCCGTGTTGTTGATGGTGTTGTTGTTGTTGTTGCCCTGCGCCACCATCTGCCGCGTCGCCGCCTGCGTCAGCATGTACGCCGCCGTGAAGTTGACGGCCATGTGTCGCTCCAACAGCGCGGGCGTGACCTCGTGGAAGTCGGCGAAGGTGCAGATCCCGGCGTTGTTGATCAGCACGTCGAGCCGGCCGAAGCGCCGCACCGCCTCCGACACCAGGTTGGTGGGCGTCTCCGGCTGCACCACGTCGCCGCCGAACGACGTGTGGCGTAGCGACGGGTCGATGGCGCGCAGTTCCGTCTGCAGCGCGTCCATGTCCGACCGCGTCTGCTCCGTCCCCAGGTGGTGCAGCACCAGCCCCGCGCCTTGTTGGGCACAGGCCAGCGCCGTGGCACGGCCGATGCCCTGCGATGCCCCGGTGATGGCGACGACTTTGTTGCGTAGGAGTCCGGCCATTTTGTCCCTGGTTGTGGGTTGTACGGCGAGACGGTGATAGTATGGAGAAAAGAGTTAAAGGGACCGTGCCTGGGGAAGGCTTAGGTCAATATCGGGAGACTTGGGGCTCCCAAGGTCCTGTCGGGGTGGGATTGAAGTATCCTCAACTGGCCCTAGATATTGTCCATCTGTACTTGGAAGAGAGAGCCCAAAGTCACTTGTCGTAACTCACGACCCCCAAAAAGACCGTTGCTCCACCCGAAGTGGCGGGAAGACGCGGGCGCGAAGCATAAAGCGAAAAGCCATAAAGGCGAGAAGAGAGGCTTTCGGTTATGACAAGGCTGTGTCTGTCTAGCCCAACTATGTACCCTCAACCATACCCATCTGCCGACAACTGGTCATTAGGAGAGAGGGAGGAGCATCTTAACGCATTGTTAGGTCTCGGAATTCGGACCATCCCTCCATCTTAGATGAGACGCTACTCCGTCTTGGTAACTTCGCGATAATTGACTCGACCAGCAGCTTGGGAAAGGAAAAATATACAGCGCCCCCAAAGACGTGCGTGCGTGCGATATACTCTAGACACGAAAGAATCTTCCCAACCACGAACGTAGCCTAATCATGCCCTCATCATCTCGCTGTCTACTGACTACTTCAACAACCTCCACCTCCCTCTACCCTTGGCCGGTGTACTTGTTTCCAGCATCGTCTTCACCTTCTTGACAATCCCCGCCTCGTCGATACCAAACCTTCTAAAGTTCTCAATGCCCGCGCCAGAATACCCAAAGCTGTCCATGGCCACGCTCGCGGTGCAGAATCTCGCCCACATGCTGCTGACGTAGGCTTCGACGCTGACCACGTGCTCTGTCGTGCCGAGCACCTCGTTCTGGTATGTCTCGGGCTGGGCCTCGAACAGGCTGATGCACGGCATGCTGACCACCCGCGTCGAGATGCCGTGCTGCTCGGTCAGCTGCTCGGCCGCCGCCACGGCGAATGGCAGTTCCGAGCCGCAGGAAACAAGCGTGACGGTGGCGTCGGGCTGCTCGACGACCACGTAGCCGCCCCGGGCGACTTTGGTTCGATCGGTATTGGGTACCCTGGTGATTGCAGGGTCTCTGGCCAGCGAGATGATGACCGACATGTCCTTGGTCGCGGGTCCTAACGCGGCCATCCAGGCACCAACGACTTCCTCAGCATCCGACGGTCGGATATATGCGAGATGTGGCATTGCTCGGTACAATGAGTCAAGTTCGACAGGCTGATGGGTTGGGCCGTTTTGACCTTCGCCGATCGAGTCGTGGGTCGCCACATGGATGACTTTGAGGTGGCTTAGCGCACCCATGCGCACACCCGGCGCCGCGTACAGGTAGAACATAAAGAAGGTCGCGGTGATGGGGATGATGGTGCCAGGATTGTAAGCGGCCAGCCCGTTGGAGATGGATGCCATGGCGTGTTCGCGAATACCGTATCGAATGACGCGGCCCTCTTGGTGCCCGGCCGAGAAGATCCGTGGAGTCTGATCGCCCATTTGGTTGCTGTTCCAGAGGTCGGCGCCGCCAGCGACGAAATGGGGAACATGTGACATGAGGGCATTAAACACGGTGCCGTTGAATTGGCGGGTAGCCTGAATTTCCTTGGGAACTTGGAGGGAGGACAGGATAGTCTCATGGTCGACCTTGCCATTGATCCGGTCGGCGAGAAGCTGGGCTTCGGCGGGGTACGCCTTGTTGTAGGCCGCAAGAAGAGCATTCCAGTCGTCCTCAAGAGTTTGGCCTCGGGCCACACACCAGGCGAGATACGCCTTCGTCTGTTCTGAGAGAGTATGAGTGGTTGAAATGTCGCGAGACGCGTAGCGAGCAGCATCCTCATCGGAATAGGTTCCGTGATGCGATTTGAAAGTGCCTGCAGTGGATGTTCCGTAACCAATTGTTGTGCGAATGTTGATGAAAGTAGGTTTGCCCCTGGTCGACCGTGCAAGCTTCAACGCTGAGACAATATCGTCCACTGAGGTATCGCCCGTGAAAACATCGATGACATTCCAGCCGATTGATCTCATTTTGGCATTGGTGTCTTCGGATACAATCCAGTCCAGAGGGCCGTCACAGGTGACTTGATTGTTGTCGTAGCACAGCACAAGATTATCGAGCTGGAGATGACCCGCAAGGGCCATGGCCTCTTGGGCGACTCCCTCCTGAAGACATCCATCGCCGGTGGTGCAGTAGATCCGAGAACGAACGATCTCGTAGCCGGGCTTGTTGAAGGTCGCTGCCAGGTGTTTCGAGGCAATGGCGAGGCCCACTGCGTTAGCCACCCCTTGACCGAGGGGCCCTGTCGTGACTTCGATGCCTGGGACGTCGAGTTCGGGGTGGCCATGGCAGAGGGTGGCCTTCCATTTGCCTGTGTTCGGATCAACTGCTTTCGCAGAGCCGTACAACTTCACTTCGTCCAAGGTCATATGCGGATATCCGGTCACATGCAACATGGTGTAAATGAACATGGCAGCGTGGCCGTTGGACAGCACAAATCGATCCCGATCAAACCAGTCGGCGTTGGCTGGGTTGTACCTCATGGTATGGCGCCACAACGCCACTCCCAGCGGTGCCATGCCAATGGCCGAACCGCCATGACCACCGCCGTTCTGTCGACAGACATCGATGATGAACTTCCTCAGGTCTCGCACTGCTTGCTCATCGTCGCTCAAGATGGGGGAGGCAGTGACGCCGTTGACGCCGTTGACAGCGGCGGAATGTGCGTTGGTGAGGCTTGGCATGTTTGACATCAATGTCTGCGCAGACGACGACGCACTCACCAACCGCCCGGACCTTGCACGCCATTATATCTGTTGTGTATCGAAATGCTCCTCCGAGTGATCCAGAGAAACAACATCCCTGACTGTAGGCAAGTCGGGATTTGGTTTCCTCCCCGAAGACAACATGGACCCCTTTCCGAAGGGTGGCCCACAGCATGCCGCCGGAGAGTTGTGGCCCGGGAATCTCAAGCCACCGTCATATAACCGGAATCGCCTTGGGTCGAGTTGTCGGCCGGGAGCATGCACTAGAGGCTACATGGATGAGTGGGTAGTCCGCCGCAGATGGATTTCGATATATTGTGCGAACAAAAAGTCTGGAGAAGTCACTCTGGAGTCGTGAACTTGTCGAGACAATTCGAGCGGTGTTCCCGGTCTACACACACACAGACACACACATACACACCATGCCTTCACGACGCACAGCAGAGCCACGCCTCATCGTCATCGGTTGCGGGGTCGCTGGTATTGCCCTCGCCGCACGGCTCAGATCACAGCTGAGATATGACAATTTTGTGGTTTACGAGAGGGAGAGATCTATCGGCGGGACATGGTACCTCAACACATATCCTGGCGTTGGCTGTGATGTCGACTCCCACCTCTACTCCTTCTCCTTCAACTTGAACCCCAACTGGTCGAAGCGGTTCGCCGAGCAAGCCGAGATCCTTCAATATCTGCAAGACACGGTCGACAAGTTTGGCATCAGACCCCATGTACGGCTTGGGGTAGAGGTGGTCGAGGCAGCGTGGATCGAAGAGAAGTCGGTTTGGCGCGTGACTCTGCGCGACCTCGACGACAACCATGTCTTCCACAGAGAAGCAGAGATGCTGGTATCCTGCGTGGGCACAATATCCATACCCAAAGACTGCAACATCCCTGGCCACGAGAACTTCAGAGGTGACATGTGGCACTCGGCGCGCTGGAACCACAATGTCTCTCTTACGGGCAAGCGCGTCGCTGTCGTCGGCAACGGCTGCTCCGCCGCTCAACTGGTCCCGTACGTGGTCAAGGAAGCCGCACAGGTCTACCAGTTCCAACGGTCACCCCAATGGATCAACGAAAGACCCAATCGCAGCTTCACCGATTTTCAGAAGTGGTGTTTCCGATATATACCTCTCTGGAACCGCATTTACCGCTTCTACCTGTGGAAGAACACCGATGCCCTTCACAATCTGTACCAATCCGAGACGGCCCGGTCGGTGCGTAACCGCGCAGCAGCCACTGAACATGCGAAGGCATACATGATGGCGACGGCGCCCAAGAAGTACCACGACCTGCTCATTCCCCAGTTCCCGCTTGGCTGTAAACGACGGATCTTCGACCCCGGCTACCTGGAGAGCCTCCACAGCCCGAACATCGAACTGACAGCGGAGCCCATTCTGGAAATCACCGAGACAGGTATCCGCACGCCGCGACGAAGCATCGAGGTCGACGCCATCATTCTCAGCACGGGCTTCAAGATTCAAGAATTCCTGTCGCCCATCACGGTCAAGGGCGTCGACGGCATCAGTCTAAACGAGCACTGGAAAGACACACGCGGCGCACAGGCCTACAAAGCTACATTCGTGACGGGTTTCCCCAACTTCGGGATCGTGTTCGGGCCCAACGCCTTCCCCGCGCACAACTCGGTCATCTACACCAACGAGGTGCAGGTCGAGTACATCCTCAAAACTATGGTGAAACCGATGCTGCACGGCGACTTCCAGGTCATCGACGTCAAGGAGGCCGCCGAGCACCGCGACGCCAACGTGGTCCAGGCCCGCCTGCGCTCCATGGTCTGGAACGCCGGCTGTAGCAACTGGAACCTCGACGCCGCGGGCCGCAACACCACCAACTACCCCGACGAGACCTGGAAGTTCTGGTACCAGCTGTACTGGCCCGTCTGGAAGGACTTTAACCTCTACGGCGGGAAGGGGACGCACCCGTTGCACCCGGCGTGGAAGGTGGCCGCGGCGCTGGCGAGCATGGGCATTTTGGGAACGGTGCTGCTCAAGCGGAGTTTCCACATCCTGGCCCCCATGATGGACGTGTTGAAGCATAAAGTCCGGTAAAGAAGTGTGGAGCTAGCTGGTGGTGCAAAGGGTTATTAGTCTGGACTTGATTTCTGCACCTATACCCATAGATCAATCAGTACGGAAAGTCAAGCTACAGTATATTGAGATTGGGTCAAGCAAGCACGCCTGAACTCCAGGTTCTCTCATCCCACCCATGCAAGCAAGATGCATTCAAGAGAACACAGGCCGGTCTGCAAAGTCGCTGCTATACATGGCTAGCTAGATCGCTCCCTGAACCGGAACATAATGCCTACTCCTCGCCCGCTTCCTGACTAGACTTACGAGACTTGCCCTCTTTCATCCCATCCCATACGCAGGGTAGACCCCTCACGTGGCCATCATCCACCATCGAGTACCTACGAGGCTATGAATAGATTAATAGAACCTTTGGTATTCGGCTATACGGGCATCCTACCTGCTTCCTTGTCTGGACCCGGCCTCTGTCTCTGACCCTCCCTTTCAGATCTCCTCCCGGCTATACTCGGCGTTCGGGCCAGAGTCTATACCACCGGGTCCCTTCCTAGTCGGTCCAAGTATCCCGAAGGCTGGAAGTATGAGCGGTTGATACCCGTGCGTACGTGTGTGTGTGTGTGTGTGTGTGTGTGTGTGTGTGTGGCAGTGTGACTGGGTTTGTATACGGCATTACGGTACAGCACCTACCCTACCCGTCTCCTCATCTGGTTAGATAGTTCGTCCGCCACCCGTCCAGTCACCGTCATTCATACCCGTAATTGCCCTTTCCAGCACTTGAATTCCGCAACATTCGGGCGCGGACAAACCGTGTCGTGTCCAGACGGACCCCGGGGGTGGGGAGGGGGAAGGGGGGGGGCTCTTCGTGCGTGTTTCTGTCGTGGTTCCGTTTCTTCTCACTCATTCAAGTGATCGAATACATGACCACAAGGCTGTTTATTTTCAGTTGCAAGTAGAGCCTAAGAAAAGAGAAGAGAAGGGAAGGCAAGAGAGTCCGAATAATCCCCCTCCCTCCTTGCTGTATATCAGAAGACTGGAGGCACGCAGCGGTTTCTTTCTCAGCTGGAGCCTCGCATTTTCTACAGCGCTATTCTCGATATTTCGAGGAAGAACGGCTTGATATCACCAATTTCATAGCCCTCACTTCTAACCTCTCAACTGCGACTCTCGAGTTCAGACTTCCAGCATGTCGACGAGCGCGACCCATGTCGCCGCCCTCCTGCACGGGCCGCGTGACCTCCGACTGACACAAGTCGCGACGCCCACGCCCTTGCCACACGAAGTCCTCATCGCTCCACGCGCCACAGGTATTTGCGGGACGGACATGCACTACTACTCGGCGGGGCGCAACGGCATGTTCGTCGTCGCCACGCCGCTGGTGCTGGGACACGAGGCTGCAGGGACAGTTGTCGCGCTAGGCAGCGCCGTGGAGTCACTGGGTTTGGGATTGAAAGTCGGAGACCGTGTGGCGATCGAGCCTCAACGGCCGTGCGAGCGGTGCGACGTCTGTCGCGGCGGCAAATACAACCTGTGTCCCCGGCTGAAGTTCAGTGGGAGCGCCAGTGCGAACCCGCCTGTTCAGGGAACATTGCAGGCGAGATATACGCATCCAGCATCGTGGGTATATGCGTTGCCCGAGAACATGAGCTGGGAGGAGGCTGCAATGGTCGAGCCCTTGAGTGTGGCCGTCCACGCGGTCCGGAGGGCCGAGGTGAGAGGCGGCATGAGAGTGGTCGTCCTCGGAGCCGGTGCGATTGGGCTGTTTTGTGCCGCGGTCGCACGGGTGAACGGCGCCAGATGGATTGGCATGGTGGACGTCGACGGTGCGAGGCTGGACTTCGCGAGGAAACATGGATATGCCGATGCCGTGTTTGAGATTCCTATGCGTGGCAACGAGGGCGAATCAAAGCCTGACATGGCCAAGAGGGTGGCCGGGGAGATGCTCGAGAAGACGGTGGACGGATGGGGGTTGGCAGAGGTGGTGTTCGAGTGTACAGGTGTCGACACCTGTGTGAACGTCGGGATCCATTGTGCTGCACCCGGCGGCAAGGTGGTGATTGTGGGAATGGGACAGCCGGTTCAGAACATCAACGTGGGCGCGGCTGCGGTGAGAGAGGTCGACCTCTTGTCGCTATGGCGGTATGCCAACACATTCCGCACCGCCATCAATCTGATCGCGTCCGGACAGCTGGATGTCAAGCCCCTGATCACGCACACATTCAACTTGGAGCGAGCCGCCGAGGCACTGCAGCTCGTTGTGGACAAACCCAAGGATCTGATCAAGTGTATCATTACCTCGAATCATTGAACCTTGCGTCGGATCAAAAAATCTGCTTCTGTACTCCATATGGGTCCATAAAGCGAGGAAACGCACTTCTTGATACGTGGCAGTCCGTTCATGCAGCTCTCAGCCTTGCAGCTACGGAGGGACACTTGCAAAGCACGGCTATAAGCTGTCTCGGCAGAACACCGCTCGCCTTTATGATTTTGACCTTCGGTTATATGACTTGGTTGTGTTACAGTGGCCTGGAGCACCCCGGTCAGTCTGTGGGTATTTCCCCAAAAGAGCGGGACTCGTGAATCACATGGTTGTCATATTGTGTGCGAGATAAGCTAACGGGGCGACTCTGAACACTGAATATTTGTGTCATTGGTATTGATTGTGGCAATATTAGTCCTGTTCGGGCTGGATTAAGATCTTGACGTGCTTGGCTTTATTTCGGATAAGCTCCATGAATCCGCCCTCGATAGCGTTCGTCAGAGGTACGACCGAAGTAATCATTTGCTCAAAGGGGATCTTCCCGGATGCCATGGCCTTGATTACCTGTTCATAGTCTTCCTTGGTGTAACAGATTCCGCCCAGGAGGCGTTTCTCGAGGAATCCAATATCGTTTAGGTTCAAGGACAGTGGTTTCTCGTGGATGGCGACGTTGAAAATAGTTCCTCCGGGTCGTGTGGCCGCCAGAGCCGTGTCCAAGGTCGATTGAAGCCCCGTGGCGTCAAAGGCAACGTCAACACCGTCTTCAGAGAGAGTCCTAATAGCCTCCACCACTGGATCTGTAGATTCCCCGCCTGCAGGCTTTTGTAGAGGGTTGATAACCAAGTCGGCACCAAACTTTTGTGCTTGTTGCTGTCTGGCCTCCGTGACTTCGGTTACGACCACCTTACTCGCGTCCCACGCTTTGAGCAAGAGCAGAATGGCAAGTCCAATGGGACCAGCGCCAAGGATGAGAGCGGTCTGGCCTTTCTGGAACCCAGACGTCCGAATGCTGTGCCAGGCTACTGCAAGAGGTTCAGTCAGGGCTCCCACTTTCAGGGACACTGAGCTTGGGAGAGGGAAGCAATTGAAGTCCTTGACCACGATCTCAGTCGAGAACCCTCCTCCCCAGGCACTCAGTCCGTAGGTGGCAAAGCGCTTGCAGATATTGACTTTGCCCTGGCGACATGTTGAACACGGTGGCTCGTTGTAAGAGCGATCGTCCAGCGAGGGGCAGACTGCCACGTTTTGGCCGACCTCCAGATCTTTGACTGCTGACCCAACCTCGGTCACAGTGCCCGACATTTCATGGCCCATGACCACCGGCAGCTCAACTCCTGTAGCATGATGCTTGCCGCCCGGGGGAGGAGCAAAGATAGGGAGTGCCTGGTATTCATGAATATCTGAGCCACAAATGCCGCAGTAGGCAATCTTGAGTCGAACTTCGTTGGGCCCGCAAGGTCTGGCTAGACATTAGATCGAGGCAATATTGAGTTTCCTTAGGAGGAGTGTAACGGGTGGCTTACAAAGGAGGGATCTGGTCGAGCTGGAGCTTCTCGCGGGCATGTATCCGCAGCGCAGGATGAGTTTTGGTGATGGTAGTCATGGTGGCGGTCGTCGTGAGTGATCTGAAGGCCTTCCAGACAGGCCGTAGAACAAGATATACTGGCAAGAAAGAGTATCGACCGTGACCATTGTAGAGGAGCGACCAAAGCCGGTAGAAGGCTGCTCTAATCGGGATTCAATTCCCCAGGCCGGCTATTACATAGGAAGGGGAAGCAGAGGCGGCACAGGGACACCAATTTGGGGGCTAGAGAAAATATAGGCACGTGGTCAGTGGGCGAGTGGGTAGTATGGAGCCTAGAGCCCACCAGACCCAACTGCCCCCCAATTGCCCCCCCAGGACTTCCAATGAACCCTCTCCCCATCCCCGCAGTAGCTTTGCCAGGCATTGCGAAGTCGCTGGAAAAACATGCCCAGTAGCGCCCACAGACAAAGCTAGCGAGAGACTCCAGGCGGAGGCCCCCCGGAGAGCGGCGAAAAAGACTCGGGCCCTCGTTCTTCCAGCCTACTCGCAAAATCCCTTCCACCAAGCTGTCCACTTCCACTTATCGCGCCTCAGATACTGAGAAGCAGACACCATCACCGTCGCCTTTTCATGCCTTCATCCTCATCCCTGGCGCGACTGGAAGGCCTCAAAGTCATCAAACTGAGTCACGATCTGAAAATGCGTCCCGGCAGCTCAGAGCATGCTTCAATCAGGACACGTGCGGTCAAAGCCTGCAAACGCTGTAACCAGAAAAGAATCAAGTGTGATGCCTTTGAGTGTGGAACTCCCTGCACCAAGTGTCGACAGAGCAACAGCGAGGGATGCGTTCTGATACAGTCTAGGCGAGGCACCCATCCTCGCAAAAGGTCCAAGCCCAATCCCGCCGTACCAGAGCCCACGCAAGCCCCTGCTGGAATCGATGTTGTCGTGGCTGCCGACGCCATCTCGACGCGCGCAGTGTCAGAACCGACGGCACATGGTCCCCTCCGTGACCAGACACCTGCAAATGGATCGCCACTCCACCATGAAGCAAGTCAGGGCGCTCGTGTCGGCAGCCAAGCATCTCCCTGCGCTGCCCCAAGTAGTTACCCGGTGTCGGCGACGACGGGTTCCAGTACAGATCTGGCATCTCCAGAGGCAGCGTTCTCCGAGACCAGCGCAAAATCTTATCGCGAAATCTCTTGGGCAGCCATGTTTGATCATTTCCTGGACGGGCGGCGACGGGACCAGAAGGATACGATAGATAAATGCTCCATCACCTATCTGGGAGAATCATTTCCACTGGCCATGGTGCTGGAAGAATTCAAAGAAGGCGAAAGACCGCGACTGCACCACGCTGGGCCACCGCTGACAGAGGATCAGGCGAGGGATGAACCTACGAGTGAAAGCCATCCGTCGCATATGCTTCCGGAGGATATCGCCTTTCTTCAAGCAAAAGATGCTTTTGTCTCACCCTCGCAGGAAATCCTCGACGCATTGATTGCAAATTTCCTGGACCGCGTATGGCCTGTCTATCCTGTGGTTAATCGACAAGAATTCCTTCAACAGTACAAGGCCAAGAAAGTACCGTGGATTCTTCTGCATGCCTTGTGTTTCATCTCGGCTACTTTCTGTCCCCTCGCTATCTTGCACCGGGCCGGATTTACTGGACGGAAGCAAGCTAGGGTGTCATATTATCGAAAGGCCAAGGCACTGTTTGATACTGGCTACGAATCCAACAAGATCACCATCCTGCAGAGCGTTATCGTCTTGACGTGCTGGGGAGGAGGTCCCAACAACTACTGGAACTTTTACAGTTGGATCTCTACTGGCGTCACAATTGCGGAGGCCCTGGGGATTCACCGTTCGACCGCGGGGGCAAACATGCATCCTCACGACCGCAGTCTGCTGAAAAGACTCTGGTGGATTTTAGTGATCAGGGATGCTTCGTGTGGCACACTCGTAGGCCGCCCCTTTCGCATCAACACCAACCACTCCGACACTGAGATGTTGACGGTCGAAGACTTCGAGTATGACATTCAAAGCCCGGATTTTGTCAACCATCCTCTCCGTGATGTCTGCGTTCAGTATCAGATCCACATGTCCAAGCTATCTCTACTCCTGCGAGAGATCATTTCGACGAGATTCGATCCCAACCGCGCCCAGGCTCGAATGGCCAATCTACACGAGACATTACAAGAATGGCGCAATGCACTTCCGCCCAGTTTACGCTGCTCCGAGTATGACAAGAATTCGAATCCATTTGCTACATGCCTCGCCATTCTCTACGACCACCATCTCATCTTGAGTCACCTGGGCCGGTCCACAACGGGAGTGACGCCCACGGCTGGCGACACTGGATCCCTCAGCGGAACTTCGTCCTCGCGTCCTATCACCGAGGTTGCCGCACAGCGTATCTCGTCTCTGGCTTGCTCATTCACACGTAAAAATGAAGCTCTTGTCATGCCGCACGAAGTCTTCCAAGGTCTGTTCCTCGCGCAAGCCGTCTTCTACACCCAGATGAAGAGCCCGCTTCCATTGGTGTCTCAACTCGGGTTTCAAGCCCTGAACAGCTGTCAAATGGTCTGGCACGACATTTATGAGGCATGGGATCCCGCGCCCTGGATCTCCAAGCTCTTTGACAACTTGATTGGAAACTGGAATCGAGATATGGAGTCGAACGAAGTCGACCTCCGGAATAATAACGTGAGTGGCAACCCAGGCGCTTCCATGGGCAACGGAATGGACCTGGACGGGATCAACGGCTATGTGAACTGGCAAAACCACCCGACCCTCGGTTTCTTTGACATGTCGCAGGGTGAAGAGACGTTCCCATCGACCACAGACTATGCCATGTTTCCCAACTATTTTGGGACCGGAGAACCCATTTCGTTTCTATCATGATAAGCCAACAACCGGCAACATTAAACGTACCTTGGCAGTCTTCATGCTTTGTTAGCAACAGCCAGGATGCCAAGGATTCGAGGAAAACAGTCCTGTCAATCCATCCTTTCAATTTCCTTTCCTCCCATGGGCAAACATTTTTGCCTCAGCACAACCACTCGCCCTTCTCATCCTCCCATCCAAACTCTGCTTTTGTCCATCCCAGGATAGTGTCCCGCCCATCCGGCATCTTGTACTGAATCCCTGGAATTGTATCACTCAGCCTCATGCGGCCCACCGTTTTCTCTGCGCCATTGATCTCTTCCATTTCTTCCTCGCTCAGCTCTACGAGCTTGATGTTGTCCTCGATGCGTTTGAGCGATGACGATTTCGGGATGACAATGACACCCCGCTGTACGGCCCAGGACAGGGAGACCACGCCGACGGAGCATGAGTGTTTGGCAGCAATGTTTGTGAAGAGCGGATGGGTTAGGATCTGATTCCGTTCATTGAGTCGTTCGGATCCGAGTGTACTGTGGGGAAATAGTCGTCTGGTCAGTCCCTTGCTTTCTTTGCATCATTTAGGGGGCGAAACAAAAAGGGAGAATCAGGAGCTCCGGTGTTGACTTGTGGAATGCTCGACGTTGGCAGGGTCATCCAGAGAGCTGAGAACGTGAGCACCTCCGTGGGAGAAGATTCCATCCCTGCCCACTGGAAGCCACAAACCAACATCCGACCAGCCCGGGACAGAACTCACCTCCAACTGATGACTTGGATTCCGTGCTCTTGACACCACGGCACCAGCTTGAGATTCGGATTCATAGCATGCAGCTCGACCTCATTGACTAGGGGTTTAAGCCTACATCGTTCCAACAGCGGCTCGAGCAGCTTCCGGGTGAAATTGCTGACCCCCAAGCCCCTGACCTTGTCCTTCAGGCCCAGTGACTCATCCAAGACAAGGTCTTCCATCATGGTCCACGTGTCGATGAAATCGGGCTTCGCGCCCCACGGCTCCGGGACGCCCTCCTTGCGCATGAGGGTCGGCCAGTGCATCATGAAGATGTCGATGTAATCGATGTCCAGGTCGGCGAGGGACTGGCGCAGCGCTGCGGCCGGGTCGTGGTGCCAGTGCGACCAGAACTTGGTGATGACGATGATGGACGACCGCGGCACCCCCGACTTGCGGATCGCCGCGCCCACGACCTTTTCCACGCCGTAGTATTGCGCCGTATCGATCAGTCGGTACCCGTGGTGCAGTGCATGGATGATGCTCTCTTCAAGTTGCTGCGCGGCCTCGGTGCCGTACTGGCCTGCATAGAGAGCAAAGAGCAGCTAAGTCAGACTCTCACATAGTTACTGAAGGGAAAGGAGTCAACTCACTCACCCTGCCATGTGCCCAAGCCGACCAATGGACATTCCATTCCTGGAGCACAGCCCTCGAGGTCAGCAAAGACGTTTCTTACTCAGTCTCAGCGGCTGAAAGGAACCCCAGTGTGTCCCATCACTGAGATATTGCGCTCGTACGCAACTTGGACAGAAGTTGGCAGGTGGTGACTGTACCATTGTTCAACTTGACGGTCTTCTTGCATACTGGGCGGTCGACAGGCACAGAGGTCTCTCCATTTTGCGTTATCATCTCGTCACAGCCGTCTTCTTTGTATAGATCGAGTTCTCAGTCCAACCACTGGCTGTCTCATAGACTAACTAGACAAGATAGACAGTCTTTTGATAGAGAAAGAAACAATCTCCTTTCCCTTGAACTTCCTGGCAAGGTTTACCTTCTCGAAAGGAAAAAAAAAAGAGCTGTGGAAGGTTTAGGACCTGCTTCGGAAACTTTACCACTAAGCGACACCAGAAGCTGACGACGAAAAGGAACTCGGGGAGAGTACTGCCAAGGCTGAGGTGTCAGAAGGTTTATTGACCAGTAGCCGAGCCGCATCTAGCGATTGTGTATGTAGGTAGTATATATGGCTTTGCTACTGGGGAAAACAGATCACCCTACCTACGAGACAACTATTCCGTCTACAGCCGGCGGAAGCTTGAGTAACGTACGTCAGTGACTTGGCCAGCCGATACATAGCTAGCCTGATATAGACGAGACCCAGATGCATCTACGGTACATACAAATTGAATTGTATACAGAATAAAATGCAGCCTAATCGGCTACAGCACAGCAGACCTATCGAGCAGCCACGTCTCTCTGGAGAAGAATATCGTAGCAATGTGCCTTTCAGCCGTCGGCCTTACAGAGACAGTGACACATAGAACTCCTCTCGGGCCAGCCACTCCCCCCCAGGCTTTCCATCCCGGCTCCCTCTTTCCCCTTCTCTCCCTCCTCCCTTCCTTAATACGCCGTCCGGCAGGCCAACCACTCAAAGCTCACCGAAAGAACCTCGACGACATTCCCCCACGGATCCGCCAAGTAGAGACACTTGACACCGACATTGCCGGGGTCGACCGTCTGCCCGATCCTCCTCCCGCCGGCCTTGACGACCCTGTCCGCCAGAGCATCGGGGTCCGGATCCGTGACACAGACGTGGAAGAAGCCACCGCGCTGGTATTGGAACTCTTGCTCGGGCGCCACCGGTTTGGGATCCACAAACTCAAACACCTCGAACCCGACGCCGTTCCCGGTCGCCAAGTACGCGAGCTTGACCTCGTTGAGGGTGGCCGGGTAGATGGCGAAGATGGCGGCGCCCGGGTCCGACGACCGCTTGATGTGCGCGATCTTCCCCAACAGCCGGAAACCCAGGTGCGTGCTGTACCAGGACACCACGGCTTCAATGTCGGAGACCGAGACGGCCACGTGGTTCAAGGGACGGTTCCAGGTCGTCGGCTACACGGGAATGTCGTTAGATAGGGAGATAGACGAAAAAGGCTGTATACGAGGTAGGCCCATGTATGATACCGAGAACAAGGTGTTAAAGGCCAGTGAAGCCGGTTCGAGGACAAAGCATACAGGGGACGGATGTGTTGGGGGGGTTCGGGAACTCAACTTACAGCGTCTGACATGTTTGGTGGGCTCAGGGACGAGTGGTGGAATATTCTATTCTGATCTGTTTACCTGTAACTGTTTCTCCGTGCGGCCTTGTTGCGGCTGTACTAGAATCTAGACTTTTAAATAACAGGGAGCCGCTACCAATGCGGAACGTCACCATTGGTTTTGTCTTTTCGGGTTGTTCGTACTCGGCTATACATCCATCGGTCTTGTCTGGTGGACTACACAGCGTCTCTGAACCTTGAGATGTATCTACCCGAGGCTGAATCCGCTCCCCAGCTCCCGGCTATACTCGGTTTTGCAAGAGCCTTTGAGATGTGGGAAAGTGCCACTCACACGGGTTAATGAGAGACCTTCTGGGGAATCAGGGGTTACCCCTAACGTTCAGCCTTGTCTTGCTTCTGGCAGAGAATGAGGGCTCGGTGAGCTCTGTCAAACAAGACCAGAAGTCTGTCCTCGAGAGCATTAGAAGGACAGTGAACGTTAAGCTAACGTGTATTCTGTGGGTGTTGTGCTTTGTTAAAAGATAGCTATCGCGCCCGGCGGACTCCCCACGCCGCCCTTGACGTGCAACGGCGCACTGGTGACGAAGAACGTCCAACGCTGCTGCCTCTCACACTCGGCGGCCAGACCCTCCAGATTCCACATCTCGCCGAGCGGCGCCCCCCACCAGACCAGGGACCACTCATGGATGATCCAATCGCCCCCGTGCGGCGGTGGCCAGGCCTCGAAGGCCACCGTGTCGCCGATGTGCGCGGCAAAGTGCTGGCTGTACAGCCACCGCACCATCTCCTCGTTGCTGGCGACTCCGATTGCCGTGGTGTCCGTGCCCGACGTGCCCAGCTTGCGCTCCTCTGCGGATGCACGGTCGTGTCGGCGCACGTAGCCCGAGCGGATCATGAGCAGATCCCCCTGTCGCGGTGTCGTGCCTTGGTCGGCCAGAGCGGCTTGGAGGTCGGCCACGGGAATCTCAAACCGCGTCCATGGATCGGGGGCCGTGCCGTCTCGTTTTTCGTAGAATCGAACCTGCACAGATCAGGCCAGAGCGACAGGGTGGATGGCGTTGAGGAGCAATTTCACTTACCATATCGATCAGTATGCCTCGACCGACGATACCGCCTCGTTCGCACCAGTCTGTGACGACTGTCAGAGATCCAGGGCTATAGTTCCCCAATAATCAATCACCTACTATGAATGCCATTGGTAGTGGACACAAGGGCTTGTTCGAAGGTCAACCCATTGTAAAAGACTTTCCCCGGTTGATAAGCGTGCTGGGGGTAGAGATCAGTCACTCTATCCATTTCTCATCCTCTCCCGCTCCTCACGCTCTTACATGTTTCAAGCTGTCCCACTGCGAGCCGCTCTGTGTGTTGATGTGAATTTCATCGTCAAAGCCGTACGCGCCCAAAGTTTTGGACAGATCGATGACCTTCTGCTCAAACGGTTTGCGGAAGAAGCCCGGAAACTCCAAGTTGTGCAAGGCCCAGTCCAGCTGGACGTGGCGGCCGGTCTTGATCTCCTGGCTCGCGGCACGCACCACGGCTGGCGTCAGCAGATTGATTGCTGTGATCTTGTCAACTCGAGCTTCTCTCCACCGCTAGTAGAGTGTCGGATCTGCTCACCGCCGACCTCGTCTTTCTGACCGTCTCGGTCATATATGCCCCAGACGCATCCTTGTGGAGTTCCGGGGACTCTGGGTAGATCTTCAAACGCAGGGAATGTGTATATTGGTTCCGAAGTCATGGCTGTTGCTGATAGGAATTGGCAGAATCACGACACGCTTACCGTCGTCGTCGACATGGTAGTCGTTGAAAGACCACCATATCTAGATATTCGGCCACGCCATCAGCATTGCGGGGTTAGCTTGAATTAGCAACTACCGAAGACGTGCTTGTCTCTCCAGCTGCTAAGAATCTTTCTGCTGCAAGGCACATAGCCGGATGAACCCACTAATTCACAATCTTCGGGTGGAGTTCGCTGAGACGGCCCTGTGACAGACTCGGGAATCGGTTTCCGTCAGCGACTTCAACTTCAGTCAGACCGTGGCTCACATCTCGGCCTGGCAATGCATTCGTCGTCTTGGGCTCAAATTTACGGCGGGAATACCGTTGCCCTTACCCTTGCAAGAGGACCGTCGAGTACGACACCGCTAACAACGGCGGCTGGTCCTGATGAGAGGCTGGATCCCACCTGGGCTTGGTCGGAATCCCCTTCCCTACCGCCATGGCTCCCGGCCTCTCGAACGGTGGATATGGGGCTCTATAAAGAAAAATGGGACCCTCTGAGAAGGGAGATCGGAGATCGGGGATTCCAGCAGGCACTTGCTCTCAGGCTATTTTTATAAGCCGGGAATCAGGACGCGACGACTGCTCATGACCTTGAAGCGATATCAATTGCTGAAGTGGTAGAGTGGCAGACAACAATATTCCCCTTCCAGAACCTGTGTCTGAAACACCCCTAGCACAGCACATCCACGATGGGCGACTACAAGCCCCCTTTCTCGCACCCGGCGACCATCAAGGAAGCCATCTCCGACCACTCCCTCATCCACGAACAGGGCTTCATCGGTGGCCAATGGGTCAGCGGCACGAAGACGTTTCCCGTCTTCGACCCGGCGACCGACCAGGTGATCGCCAACATCGCCGACTTGGGCGCGGCAGACTTCAAGGCCGCCATCGACCACGCTGAAGCCGCGTTCAAGGAATTCCGACTCACCGGCGAACATGCCCGCTCCAAGATGCTGCACCGATGGGCCGCCCTGATCCGCCGCCACGCCGACGACCTCGCCGTGATTTTGACCATGGAGAACGGCAAGACCCTGCCCGAGGCCGCCGGGGAAGTCGAATACGGCGCCTCCTTCATCAGTTGGTTCGCCGAGGAGGCGATCCGCTCTTACGGCGACGTGATCCCTTCTCAGCACGCCCAGAGCACCAACTTAGTGGTCCGCCAGCCCATCGGCGTCTGCGGCATCATCGCCCCCTGGAACTTCCCCATCGCCATGATCACGCGCAAATTGGGGCCTGCCATCGCCGCGGGCTGCACGGTGGTTATCAAGCCTCCGTCGGAAACCCCTCTGTGCACTCTGGCCTTGACATATCTCGCCCAACAAGCCGGCATCCCGCCCAACGTGATCCAGGTGGTGCCGACCCGAGACCGCTCTGCCACCGCGGAGCTGTACACCAACCCGATTGTTAAGAAGGTGTCGTTCACGGGCTCGACTCCTGTGGGTAAGCTGATCACGGCGGCCGCGGCGGGGACGATGAAGAAGGTGTCGATGGAGCTGGGTGGGAACGCGCCGTACATCGTCTTTGACGACGCCGACCTGACCCAAGCCGTCGACGGCGTGCTGGTGTGCAAATTCCGCTGCTCGGGGCAGACGTGCGTGTGCGCCAATCGGATCTACGTACAGCGGGGGATCCACGACCGGTTTGTCGAGGCATTACTGGAGCGCATGCGCAGCTTCAAGATAGGTTCTGGCCTCGACCCGTCGGTCACGCACGGGCCCCTGGTCAACCGGGCGGGAGTGGCCAAGGTGCGCGCCCACATCGACGACGCGGTCAGCAAGGGTGCCAAACTGGTAGTAGGGGGCCGCGTTCCCGACGCGGGCGACAGTAACGGCAAGGGCTACTTCATCGAACCCGCCCTGTTGACCGGGGTGACGCAGTCGATGCTGGTGGCCAAGGACGAGACGTTCGGACCCCTTGCGCCGGTGATCGCGTTCGACACGGTGGACGAGGTGATCGCCATGGCCAACGACACCGAGTTCGGGCTGGCGGGCTACTTCTTCGCCAACGACCTGCGCAAGGTGTGGAAGGTCGCGCTGGCCCTCGAGGTCGGCATGGTGGGCGTGAACACGGGCAAGATCAGCGCGGCCGAAGCGCCCTTTGGCGGCATTAAAGAAAGTGGGTTGGGCAAGGAAGGTAGCATGTATGGTCTGGCCGAGTTTCAGGTCATGAAGAATATCACGCTGGGGAATTTGGGCGTGTAGAGCTTGGATAGATAGATGGATACATAGAGTTATGGTGGATAAAGAGGGACGAATGGACGGAGCGAGGGCTAGAATCCTTCATTCAACAAATACCATTGCATTCTCATTTTTCTGTTGCATGTGCCCAAGAAGAACATGCATTTGCATTCCCACCAGCTAACAGAAATGGTTCTATACCTAGCACCTATCTGCCATGCTTTCCACCAAATATCAACCACGTCAAATCCACCCAGAACCAGCCATATGACCACCTTAAGATCAATTCCTCCCCGCGTGCATACCGCCGGTAATCAACAACTCCCCCCCAGTCATATAACTACTGGCCTCACTTAGGAGGTAGACGGCGGCGCCCATGAGTTCCGAGCGGTCGGCCATGCGCTTCATGGGCGGTTCGGAGACGAATACCTCGGCCAGCCCCGGCCTGGTGGCGCTGATGTCCAGGATCATGTCGGTCATGACATAGCCGGGCGAGATGCAGTTGACCCGCACGCCGAGATTGGCCAGCTCGACGCTGAGCTGTCGGCACAGAGCCAGTACGGCGCCCTTCGATGCGCAGTAGTCCGACGTGTATTGCTGCTTGGACGCTTGGTGGGCGGCGATGCTGGCGATTAGGACGACGGAGCCGGCTGCAACAGGAGCATGCAAGGTGGAAGAGGTGGGAGAGATCGAGGCCAGAGGTGTTTGCGAGGTCATTTGTCGCACGGCGAGTTGTACCGCGTAGTACGTCCCCAGCACGTTGATGTCGAATGTTCGCCTCACGCTGCTCGGGTGGCGGTCGAGGAAGGGCTCATCGGGGCAGATGCCCGCCGCGGTGATGCTGGCCAGCAAGAAGTCGAGTAAGTGAGTGATTTGAGGTAGGTTCTCTTTGTCAGAAGAAGGGACAGCATGGGAGTCCGCCTGGAGAATTAAAGGGGCCCAGGAGGTATCTTACATTCCATCGATGCGGTGGAAGTCTTGGACGATCAAGTCGAAGGTCTTCTTGAGACGCTCGTAGTCGGTGACATCTGATCTGGAGAAGGGAGAGCTACGTGAGTAAGTCTTCTTTTTCCATGCATCTTAGTCTTTCCCTTAGGCATATGCCCGTTCGCAACGACGAGATCCAGATCTGATAGATCCGCGAATCTTCCACATATTCGGATCTGACAACCAATGTCTATCCTATACTGTATGAAACATCGTAAAGGAGCCGGGGAGAACTCACTGATAATACCTCGCCCTGCTGTCCCTCTGCTTCAAGATCTCAAAATGCTCATGCGGCGCCGGCGCGGCGTCGATCACCGCGACCAAACCCCCGGCCTCTGCGACGGCAAAAGCCAGCGTCAAACCAATACCCCTGGCACCGCCCGTGATGACCACAACGTGGTCCTTGAGGCTGAAGAGGCTGGTTACGTCACAGTTCAGGTAGGCGTTTGTTGCGGTCCTGTCCTGAGCTCTAGTGCCAGCAGCAGCCGATGCCATGATGTGTTCGGAATAGAGACGGGTGGACGGATTGTCAAGGTTAGTCAGTCAGTTAGGTAGACCGGGACGAGGCGAGGCGAGGCGAGGCGTACTACCGTGAGCTGAGAACAAACAAACAGACATCACTTCGAGGAAGGATCAACGGCAGTAGTAGCAGAGACGGGACGTGTGACGGGTTGTCCATGTTAGCACTCGATATGTATGGTCCGAGTCTGTGAGTGACTGGGATCACCCGACTCGACACTGACGCGGTGTCTGTCTCGTTCGGTTATGAGCTGTGCTTTGCATGAAGGTCGTTGCCAATGTTGCTTTTTTCCCTAACCTTGTTGCTCCTGGTTCAGTGGCCAGTCTGGCCGAGAAAGGCTGAAGCAGGTATGTTGAAGTCCGCTCATAGCTTGATCCCGGTTGTCCCGCTGGCTCTGCCGCCCTGACCGGGCACGGGAGGTCTCCAGGGGCTGACATCAGAACAGGACCACTATCGCCCTTACAGGAGGTCTATACTTGACGTTCCTTGAAAATAGTGTAGAATACAATAATAGCCCCCGGCTACTTCGCTGCTCACATGAACCACCACATTGGGTGGTCAGCGGGTCCGCACACCCGGCTCTGAGGTATATGTCTCGCTAGCTATAAAGCCGATACAGGGGGTGTTAAAAAAGGGGGTACTCCGCAAACACTCATGCAAGTTTCTCCGCATATGCAAGCAAGTTCTAACTATCTATCAAACTGATCGGCGAAGCGGAGATTTCCCCGTCCCACGTCCTGGTCCTTGAAAGCTCAGCTGGACGTGCAACTTGCATCCGGATGTCACGGCAGCTCCCATCTCGCACGCAATCTTCCCGCGTCGTCTTTCTTTCCGCTTTTCTTTAGACTAGACGGTGGTCTTCTCCCTCGTTTCAATCTCGGTCGAGTGCGACTTGCCGTCCAACTCGGCGCCCACGACCGGGGCCCCAACCTGTCCTCGCTGGTCCTCGGGCAGGCGGTCAGACTTCAAGAAGATGTAGTCGATCTCCTCGAGACCCAGGCCTTTGGTCTCGGGGAACCAGAAGTAGATCATAGGCACAAAGGCAAAGTTCTGGGTTCGGTTATCAGTCATGGACCTCGTAGACGTGCTTGGCTGGGAAGTAAAACTTACGAATGCCATGAAGACCAGGTAGGTCTTCCAGGTGATGTTGTGGACCAGTGTAGGCGTGATTTGGACAATAACGAAAACCTGGACTCGATCAGTATATTCTCTCGAACAGGTGTAATTTTGAAGAAAAGATACGCACCCAGACCCAGTTGTTGAATACAGCCAGCGCAGTTCCTTGGGCACGAAGGCGCAGTGGGAGAATCTCCGTGCTGTAACACCACGGAATCGCATTTAAGCTGGCACCGAAGCAGAGCATATACTGTAAAGTAATAGTTAGCTTGGTGGTAGAGATAGAGAAGATGTCGCCGAGGCTGTAACTCACGGTAATGAAGAACGCAATGGAAGCATTGGCCGTCGCCTTCCCTATGTCCGTTCCACTGTAAGACAGTAGAATGGCCACCACCATCATCGAAAGACCCATTCCGATGGCTCCAAACATCATGGGCTTCTTTCGACCCAGGCGATCAGCTCCCAGCGCTGGAACCAGTGATCCGACCGCGAACGCCAGGTTTAGACAGCCACCCACAACAATGGCGGTATTGCGATTGAGGCCAACGTTGACTTCGAGTACAGTCGCTGAGTAGAAGACGATGACGTTGATGCCCGCCCACTGCGTTCGATTAGCGTTATCCTGTTCACACGAACATTATCTCTCCGAAAAGATACTGACCTGATTCATGAACAATACTAGGCATGCCAAAAACACGCGCCAGCCGGTCTGCACGGGATCCCGCTTGAATATGCGGACCCATTTGAACGGCTCGGCCTCTTCCAAAGCAATGGCCTGCAGAATGTCTCTCTTCTCGGTCTGGATCACGGGGTCCTCAGGTGTGGTGTTCCAGACTTTACACAAGACCGCCACGCCCTCGTCCGTGCGGCCTTGCTGGATCAACCAACGAGGCGTTTCTGGCAGTCCCACCACCAAAAGCGCAACACTGGCTGCCATCGGTATCTGAAGAGCAATCGGGAGCCGCCACGCGATGGGACCCTTGGTGAAGCTCATGCCGTAGTCGAAGAAGTAGGCCATCGACACGCCGACGGCCGTGAACAGCACCTCCGAAGTGACGAGTCTGCCGCGGTGTTCTCTTTTGCACAGCTCGGACTGATACATGGGGACGGTCGAGGTGTCGATGCCGACGCCAAATCCGGTGATGATGCGGCCGACCATCAGCTGGGGGACTGAGTAGGCAGAGTCTTGGATGACAGCTCCGAGAGCGATGCAGAACATGGCCGCCCAAATCGCATGTCGTCGGCCGAAGCGCGCCCCGATGAAGAAGTTGATGGCACACCCGATGAAGCAGCCCACATTGTAGATGGAGACAATAATACCCAGAAATCCAGGGCCTGGGTGGTGAAAGATGTCGAGGAAGTCGGGGTTGGTGATCAAGCCGCCGAAGACGCCTTGGTCCCAGCCAAAACTGTGCCCATAGTGGTCAGCATTTGTTTTTTGTTCGACAGAGGACCAGTCAAACCACTCCGTGGCCTGACAATGGTGATGACGATACATACAGAACAAAAGCCGACAGGCAAGTGTAAGTGATGGCAAGCTGGACGGACCGCCCTGGCTTGAACCACTCCCTCGCCATGGTTGGTATCGTGTTTTGGAAGTCAAACAGAAAAGTCAAACAAAAACCTCGTATGAGCCGTATCTGACCGCAACACGAACACGAGACTCTATCTTTCTGGAATCAGGTCGTCAACGGTACATAAACCTGGAGTACACGCCAACAAAAACGCGGGGTCCCGCCCAGAGTATTTGTACCTGAATTGCCCCAGAGCTCGTGGCCATGCTGACCGGTGGATTGGTCGCTTGCGTGCGTGTGTGCGTGGGCAGAAAAGATCAACATTGGAGTTGCAGCATGTGGATCATGACTGGGTCTGGAAAGGCTCTGCAACCGCAACGCAGAGCAATATTGCTGGGGCTGTGGCAAGCAGAAGTCGAGTCGGCTGTCGACGAGGAAGAAGGCTATAAGGCTTCTTTCCTCGTTCGGCACAGAAATTCCCGGGCCATTCATGCGAACTGTGGAGCGCAATTAAATGTTCTTCCGCGGCTGTACAACCCTGAAAAATAGGATTTAATACGATTTTCTTCTTCTTTTCCCCTGGAGAACCAGTGACTCGGGCCTTTGGCAAGTTGGCGTTCGAATGGCCACATGGTGGTTGAAAACATGGAATGTGGAAAGAGTGGACGAGGTAGAAATACGAAGTGTGCTGGTTGCATATGACGAATAAGGGGCAACGGTGTTGTCGGCTACTGACCTCAAACCACACATCCATGTTAACACCATGATTTACCAGGCATGAGGAACAATAAGTCAAGCCCGCGCCCTTCCCCGGACTGCGGGTTACCGAGACCACCATCTCCATCAATACCTTCGTAGAGAGCTTCGGGTATTCGTGATGTGCCACCAGGCTAGATAGCCGACACTACGATGAAGCAAGGGGGGCAAGTAGCCACCAGCCACACGGGGGAAAGCCGTGGTGCTCGGCGTTGCCACCAAACTGTTCTTGATCGGCTACTTGGACTTTCGCTCTGGGGCGAGCTCGGCTGAGATAGAGATGCATATTCCGCCTTGAGAAAAGTAACCTTCCCTCACTAGCTTCATTTGCAGCATACACAGGTATCGAATATGTATGTGCACCTTTTTAATACCTCCTGTGAGGAATCCCCTGGGACCTATGTGAATTTAATCTGGGGTAGTAGACTATTTGATGTCTGTATGAGTGATTGATAAAGGCAATGTCACGAAGTCTCAACAGCTGGAGAGTCTTCCAACTTCATATCACAAGGAGCTGCATCATGATGAATGCTAAAGAGCCTTTCCTTATGAGATTACTCACCAGACTGAGACTAGTGACGAGTGAAACTAAGCATCCATGAGGCGCCAGTACTCCTACTTATATGAGAAGCATAAACTTGGCTGGAGCCGGCACATCCTTATACGAGGTTTCCATCTACTAATTCATTTTGCCAGCTTGTCGTTCTCCAGACGCTGTAACTCCTTGTGCACTTCGCTTATGGTATCGTAGTCGTAACAAAATAGCTGTGTGGCCGGGTCACTCCACTGGTTGGGCGACCTGATAAAGTGCTTCCCCTCGACCTCTGGCTTCATCGCCGTGTCACGAGCTTCCTGCAGCGGCCCATCCGGGTAATGTAGCGTGTAACCGTGTAAGATACTGGCTTCTTGGATTGCCTTGGCACGGGGGATGCGTATCTTCTCGTAAAGACTCACAGCCTTCCTCAGAGTTTCTCTACGAGGAAACTCTTTGAGGATCTCGGCGAGGGTTGCGGCGTCTTCGACTGCCATTGCAGCGCCTGAAAAAAGTCCTCGTTAGTATCGAGATTGACATGTAACCCAGAAACCAGGGACTCACCAAGCGCCATATTCGGAAGCATTGCATGAGCTGCATCTCCGAGGAGGACCAGTTGACCGGACGACGACGTCCAGGTGTCTGGTATCTTCACCTGCTGGATCGGCCACTTCTGAGTCTCCCCGACCATATCCAGGAGCTTTCTTAACCTGAGAAGTGGTAAGTCAGGTATCGCCAGAGCTACGACGTTGTAGGATACGCACGAAGGATCCCAGCCAGTATATACTGATTTCATCTCTGCCAGTGCATTTGCTTGATTCCACTTCTCAGGCTCGTTTGGCTCAGGATGCGTGAGGACCATATTGTACAGTCGACCCCCTGCAATCGAATATGTCATGGCATGAGTTTGATGCCCGACCCTGGAACATCACATCAGATATGCGGTCGGTGCTCTGTTTGAGCTTCCAAGAACACTCACCATAGGTTGAGGCTGTTGCTTTCGGCGATCCACGCCGTGTCCGGGTCGGCCTTCATCTCGTCGATTTTAACCGTTGCTCTGAAGGCGGCCAACCCACCCGAGAAAGGCTCGGTGTAACGCTCACCCAGCAAGGTTCGTCGTGCAATGGACTTCAGACCTATCGTGGCTGGGTCAATATACGTCTTGGGAGATGTCAGAGGCACCCACCGTCCGCGCCAATGATGAGGTCCGCCGTCAGGGTCGTCCCGTCCTCCTTGGTGAAGGACGGTGTATCGGGGTCGTACTGAACGACTCTATGATTCAATACCACCTCAACCCCGAGTTCTTTCGCCCGCTGGTGGAGAATGTCGTGCAGGTGAGCTCTATGGATCACATAATACGGCGCGTCGAACCATTCCGAGAACTCAGGGTTCAGACGGGTATGGGCGATTTTCTGGCCATTCTGCCATCGTCGCCAGATCAGGCCCTCGGGCTTGACTGAGTTCTTGCTCAACGCGGATTCCAGGCCCCAGGAATGGAGCAGCCGTGCTGAGTTGGGCGGCACCTGGATCCCAGCTCCGATCTGCCACGGGACGTCCAGTCGGTCAACGCGCCACTAAACAGTTTGAATGGAAATCCCTTTACCTCACCCAATGCAGGAGCGTTCTCGTACACGGTCACTCTAAAACCAACTCTCTTCAACGCAATCGCTGCTGAGAGCCCACCGACCCCAGCCCCGATTATGGCGATGTCAAGGTCCTTTGACTGCGAATCTCCATTTACTGTGTACTTGAGATCAGAATCCTGAAATTGTTTTAGCCAGTGGTGAGAGCCGGCCGGATAGCTGGGAAGCTTGTCAAGCACCTCCATTAGCATTCACGCTGGAACAATGGGACAACAAGCGTACTGGAACAGCCGATGCCATGGCGAGTGAGTTGCCTCGAGATCACGGTGGTGCGTGAGTGCCAATGCACGATATCCTCTGACGCCTCAGGAGCTTTGAAGACACGATATATGATATCTCAAAACCCCGCGACGGTCTGCTCGAGACGTGTCATGGCATATACTGAGCGGAATGGCACACCCACTCCGAACTATCAGCCAGTCAATATTTTCTTCACTGTATTGCCCGGAAACAACCTCGGGCCCGCTCGCAATAGAGCATCAACTTTGCTGTCGTTTGTCTCCATTGTCATGAAGCGTTACATTTCGTAGGCCAGGCGGTCTCGAACAAGCCCCGCAAGCTGTCTGGAGCCCTGGCATGTTGTTCGGAACCCATCATTCCGATCCGCGGATCGTCCTGCATCCTGAAACGGAACGCCATGGTCGAGCCGACAGCAAAGCACGCCTACAACCACGACATCTGACATCTTGCGATATCGCCGTTTGCAAGGAGGGAGAAAGCACTGTGTGGCAATGTGGTAAAGATTTAACGACTCACAGAAAGCTTTGCGTGGATTTTTCCACCCCAGATTTTGATTGCCATCCAGACTTCAACGACGCTGACTATTACGAACTAATACGCTATGGCGACTAAGGAGGTAAACGGCGACACCAGCGGTTTCTTCAATGACCTTTCGGCACACCATGTCGAGCCCCTGTGGACTGCGATGAAGGCGATGGTGACGCCCCAACCTTCACCTAAAGCACAGGTCGCACTATGGAAGTATGACGAATTGCGGCCTCTTCTGTTGGAAGCTGGCCGGGTGGTCACGAGCGAAAAGGCTGAGCGCCGTGTATTGATGTTGACCAACCCTGCATTAAGTAGGTGCATCACCATACACCGGTGTTCTTTATACCTGGTCGAGAAACCAGTGGGATGGAATAAGAAGTCGGCTAACTGTTGAGAAGAGCCTCCATTCACCACGGACACGGTCTACGCTGGCTTACAACTGATCAACCCCGGAGAGACGGCCCCGGCTCATCGTCACCGGTCTTTTGCCCTCCGCTTCATTATCGAGGGTAGTCGCGGTTTCACTGCCGTCGAAGGAGAGCGAATGTACATGGAGCCAGGGGATGTAATACTCACGCCGCAATGGCAGTGGCACGACCATGGACACGAAGGCACGGAGCCAATGATCTGGCTGGATGGACTGGATCTTCCACTCTACCACCACCTCCCGACCCATTTTGCAGAGCCTTATACTGAAAGCCGCTATCCGAGCAAGTAAGGACGTCAACTTTCTTCTCTTCTCTGCGCAGACTTGACTAACTCGTCTCCAGGCCTGTCGTCGACACGCCTCTCCGCTTTCCATGGGTCAACATGAAAGAAAAGCTCGACAGCCAGAAGACCGACTGGGCACTTGAACACTATCGCGACGCCTCAGGAGAGTACATCTCCGGTACGCTGGGCGCCCACGCTGAGCGGGTCGCGGCTGGGACCAAATCTCCCGTGCGGCGAGACACTTGTGCTTATATTTACCATGTGCACGCGGGGAGCGGAAAGTCTGAGATCGTAACTGCGAATGGAGAGACCACCACCGTTTCCTGGAAGAAGAACGACACGTTTGCTGTCCCGGCGTGGAGCAAGATCATCCACGAAGCTGACGCACAGGAGGATGCATACTTCTTTGTGCTGTCTGATAGACCATTGCTTGAGAAGCTGAAGATGTATGCTTCCAAGCTATGATCCCGGGCTGGAGTCACTAGTTATGAGAAGGAAGCTGTGGTGAGGAACTGTACAGCTGACACGACATTCGCGGTGACATAGCTACCCAAAATAACATTTCAGCTCAAATGTGGCAGATAAGAACTCTATCAGAGCACTTCTCCCTTGCTTTGATACTTCTAAGCTTTTGACCGCCTGCGAATGCCATATCCGAAACTTTGTGTTAGTACCTTGGCAAGAATGACCTCAAGCCGAGGAAGGAAGAATTGCATAGCCTCCGCGGAAGAGATAGTCAACCGTTCAGGAGCTTGCGGGTCGGTTGAGAGTCCTGACTCTGCCACTTTTGTCACCGCGCGTGGGATCCGGGGTACATACGGAGACGAATCATGAACGTGGAGATAGCCTCACGCTCTAATACATTTCAACAATAACGGGAGACATCATCTCGTCCGCGCTCGATGGGACGCATACACAGATCTGAATAGCGCACTTTCCCGTACGATCTTACAGCACTCAATCCAGTTTCTTTTATTCTTCCTTTTCTTAGTTTCCTCCCTCCCAAATGGCGCCCACAGTCCTCGGGCTCGAGGAGCATTTCATAGGGAAGGCGGTCGTCGACTCCAGCCCCGACGCCATGTTCCTCGACGATGTCATGGAGAACCTCGCCGACCTAGGGCCGCGACGGTTAGAGGCCATGGATCGAGGAAACATGCACATACAGATCGTGTCGCACATCCCAGACGTTCAACCACCAGAATTGTGCCGGGCGGTCAACGACCAGCTATTCGCAGCGACCCAGCAAGGCCACGGGCGACTGAGAGGCTTCGCCTTCCTGCCCATGGCGACACCAGACTCCGTTGCCGCGGAGCTAGAGCGGTGTGTCAAGACTCTGGGCTTCCTGGGCGCACTGATTCCCAACCACGCGAACGGGCGGTACTACGACGACGCCGCGTACTGGCCCATGTTCGAAAAGGCACAGGAGCTCGATGTGCCCATATACCTCCACCCGACGGTCGCCGACGACTTGCAACGCTATGCGGGAAATTACGACCGCACGGCCCAGGACCTCATCGCGGGCCCGGGCCTATGCTGGCACACGGACGTCGCTACGCATGTGCTCCGCCTGTACGCGAGCGGGGTGTTTGACGCGTATCCGCGTCTCAAGCTCGTGCTGGGGCACAACGGGGAGTCACTCCCCTTCATGCTCGAGAGAGTGGACCGGATGTTTTCGAGGCGGTGGGGAAAGGAGGAGAAGAGAAAGAGAGGCTTCATGGCCGTGTGGAACGAAAATATCTGGATAACCACCAGTGGAATGTACCATTTGGGACCTCTCAGGTGTTGTCTGACCATGTGTAAGCCCGAAAGAGTCCTTTTTAGTAAGTGTGCCATCTTCCAAGCGCAAGCACTGTCTGTGCTTTTTGCTGCGCCTTTCATTTCCATTGTTTTTGGCTAATCGGAGGGCCTCCCCAGGTGTCGACTACCCGTTTGAAGACCCTAAGGACGGCTTGAAGTTCATGGAAGAGCTCCAAAGGAGCGGCTTGGTGACAGAGGAGCAACTTGACATGATCTGTCAGGAAAACGCCAAAGCATTGCTTCGAATCTAGCCCCAATATCCGGCTTGAGACTATATAAGCCTGTAAGCTCTCCCGGAAGAGGATTTCAAATAAAATAGCCTCTTCACAGGTTGATTCTTCCCAAATTACTGAGAGATTTTCGTTCGACTACGTGCCTCGGAATTAACGCCAGGGGACTTTTGGGGCTCTTCTACAGTCGCCGCCAGGGGTTGGCATTGAAAAAGATCAGTGGGCCAAGCTCTGGATCTTCTGCCGAAGAATCTTGTTCCAGAGAAGCTAGAGTCATGGCGAGGAATATGTGCATATTTACCAGCCGCACACAAGGCTGGATAGTGTAGGCGTACTCAATCGCCCGAAACGATGCAAGAAACCCTCAAAGATCAATACTATAATCCTCTCGCTCGCTCGCTTGCTTACTGCCGCGTCAGCGGCTCGACCAAATCCGCCCATCCGTCAAGGAAGTTCGAGTCATCGTTGATCAAGAACTGCCCGAAGTCCGCGTCCCAGGGAGACTGGATGCTTCCCTCCGACACGGAAAGCATGTTATCGTACTGCGGGAAGGGAAGATCGAGAGGCGCATCCGGACGCGGGGATTGGTTCCACGCGCGGTTCTGGACTTTTTGTTCGCTGCGTGTTAGATAATGCTGCCAAAAGTTACTTGCAATCGTGTGGTCTAGGGCCACTCACCAAGCGACGAAGAGATCTGGATCATTTTCCGGAGATACTTCGAGCACCGTCGCACGATCCGTGTGTCTCTGCCGATGACATCGAGATCCTCGAGGGCGATTTGCATGCAGTGAATCAATTCAGACGGTGGCCGTGTGCCGAGCGACACGTTTCCCAATGTCTGCAGACACACGACGCCGAAGAGCATCAAGGCGGCATTGAACACTATTTAGTGCGTGCGTAGTCAGTTTCCCATAGGTACCTTATCGTCATCCAGAAATTATTCGAACATACCATGATAAACCGTGAACCACCACGCGGGCAGCATATCATTTCTGGCTCCCAGAGCGCGTATGATCTGTATAATGGCGGTGGCGGCGTCGATACACGCCTGCACTAGCGCCTGCGTGATGGGCAACGAGTACTCCGAGGGGGCGGTGCCACCCATGGCGACGGTATCGAGCAGCGTCTCGACAACGCGGCGGTAGAGCAGCACACGCACGGAGAGATAGCGGATGGTCAGCACGGTCTGCGGCCGCGTGTATTTCCACTGTTCTTCATGATGTGTGGCGCTGAGTTTGTCCACGGGCACCAGGCTCATGGCCGGGTTCAGTTCGCGCTGCCACTCACTCAGACACTGGTCAAACTTCATGATCGGACTGAAGAGCTGGTTCGGCGGCATGTCGGCGACCGGCGCGAGGTTCTGGTTGTATAGCTCTTCGATCACGTCGCCTTGGATGCAGTATAGTTTTCTACAACATGATGAGAACAGTTGTGGAGGAAGATAGGATTGTGGGGCAGGAGCACGAGACGTACATGGTCGCAAGGAAGAGGGAACATGATGAGGAATCGGTTCGTGTCGGGATCGATAGTGCATCCGATCCCTCATGGTCGGGTGTGTCGTCAAGGTCGATGTCCAAGGGCAGGTTACCCTGGATATATCTGTTGTGGATCAGTGGAGGGCGGCCATACGCTACACTCATCATTCTAAAGAAACGCCATCGGGGTTAGTGTGTGGCTCTGGTCGGACCAGGGTTCTCTTTAGTGACAACACACCTGTCCAGCACGAAGCAGATGTACCACGTGCGTGTCCTGATCTCTTGCTCGAATGGAGACATCTTGGGAGATTTGACGTTGGCGTGGATACCCAGCTGGTAGGCTGCCTGCACCAGGAGACCATGAAGCTTCCACGTCTGGGACGATCGGGAGGCCCCTTGGAGGTAGATGGTCATGACGACCAGAGCTTGTACTATTTCGACACTATCAGTCTTGAATGCAGATATAGATCCTGTTCGACCATTCCAAGGCACGACTTACCGGTTTCCAGGTTGGTTGTATTCGTCAAAGTCCACGGCGAGAGGATTAGTGCCCGTTGGAAATACACATCTGATTCCATCTCTCGATATTTCCTCGAGACACCTTGCCCGTCACCCAGGCTGATGCCTATGGCCATGATTGCATTTAACAGGCAGAGCCACGACTTGCGTACGCCGCGGAAGTTGGTGATGTCCAGCTCCTCCACCATGTTGATGACCGATCTCTTGTGGATAAACGGGAAGAACATCCCCGTGACGGAGAAGTAGGTCTCGACCATCCTGAGAATGTCTTCGCGGGCCGGCAGGACGTACGGGTTTGGTGGCTTTTCCACCCGTCGTCTCGGCGGCGCTGGTGGAGACGCCGGTCGAGAAAGGTTCGCTGTCAGGGCCTGTGCAGGTGTGTCCCGCTGCGCCGACGTGGTCATCGTTAATTCGAGCAGTCGGGTGATGTGCCCGAAAAAAGCAGAGTTGGACGAAACGCCGAAGTGGCCCGAGTCCGACTCGTCGGCGAAGGTGATGACGCCCATCCCATCCACCGTATCCTCCCCCACGGCGACACCATATTCTGTGCTGCTCTGCTGGCTGAACTCCCCAACCCGGGCTTCCGTCATGGACGGGGATGGTGCGACATCGGGCGAGATTGGTTGATTCTGGTCAGACTGGGGATCAACGCCGACGCCGCGGTGATTCGCTTGGAATCCGATGGTGTGTAGAAGCTCCTCCAGCGCCTGAAGCCGCGTCTTCACGTCGTGGAGCTCCCGGACTTGTGGGTTCGGTGCCCTGGCTGGAGCGCGATAGACGCATTCGAAACCCAGCTCGATGCAGGTGCCACATGTCGGTCGTTCCCCATTGCAACGCGACTTGCGACTCTTGCATGAATTGCACGCGATGGCGGTTCGTTGTCGTTTATAGGCCAATGCGCTGTCGTCCTCGTCACTGAAATCCCTTCGCCTCCGTTGCTGTGTGAGAGGAGCTCGATGCGCTGAGTAGTGGTCTCCACGGTTGTTCATCTTGGAGGATGTTCAACGATCTCGTCCGGTGTATCTAATATCCACTGACCAAGTGTAAGAACGGAGGTCGAGCATAGGTCTCGAACAGGTGCTTTGGATATCAAATTTAGTAATTCGTCCGTTCTTCCCATCGACGTCGTTGCGCGGGGCCCCATGGCAGAGAGTTCTGACTGCCCGAGGTCCACGGTGTCAATGGCGTAGAGACCAAGACGAACCAGGCCGTAGCGAGGTGTTTTGAGCCTAGTAAGCATTATGAAACCCGGTTATTGGCCCGGAAGCAGCATTTGATTCCGCGGATGTTATTTGAACTTCCGGATGAATGGATTGGTACACTTCAGAACGTAACACTCCACCAAGAAAGAGGAAAGGGCTAGCATCCTTGAACATACCAAGCAACCTAGGTTCTTTATGTCGCCAGGAGCATCGATCCGCTCCCCAGATGAATCACAAAGTCCAGCTAAAACCCACAAGCACAATCAAATATTCACAATTTCTCCGCAGATAGTGCCCTCGGTTTCGCGTCGGCCGCTATCATGTCGGCGCCCTTTTCAGCCACCACGTAAACACCAGCTTGGATATGTGTGGCAATCGGACCCGGGAAAATGCTTGCATCGACGACCCTCAACCCTCGCACGCCTTTGACGCGGAGGCGAGAGTCCACCACTTTGCCCATGGCGCAGGAACCCGATGGATGTGAACCTGTCTCGCCAAAGGCGCCCACTCGTCTGTCGATTTCTCTGTCGGACGAGTCCAGAGTGAGTTGAGGGTAGCCCGGGGGAGGAGCCTCTTCCACAACGAATGATTTACCGCTTGGTGTGTCTAGAAGTACCCGCATCTGCTTTCGGAGAGCATCGCGCCAGATCACGCGGTCTGTCTCGGTGGCATAGTAGTTGGGATCAATCACCGGCGGCGCCAGGGGATCCGCGGACGAGAGCGTGATGGAGCCCACGGAGGTAGGGTGTAGGTTATACGTGCTCGTGCACATGAACTTCCCGTCGTTGGAAAGACCGAGCTTTGCGAGCAACGCGTCCGAGCGGCCCGCCATCCACATGATATAATTCTCCTGATGAACTACCTTCGGGTGGAGGAGCTCATGTTCTTGGTCCACGATTCCATCCTTCTCCAGTGCCTTGCGTACCTCATCCATAGGACACTGCGTCCAGACGAAGAAGTCGAGCGGCAGATTATTGACCAAGTCGGGGTCCGTGAGCGCTGGAGAACCCAGCGATAGACCACGCTCTGGGTGACGCAGTCTCCAAGCCACGCGCATGACAATGTCGTCACGGAACCCTTTTCCAACCTCAGGGAGGTCGACCTCGACTGGGATGCCATGCTGGTGGATTTCTAACGCTGGCCCGATGCCGGACAGTAATAGAATCTTAGGTGAGTTGAAGGCGCCGGCGCAAATAATGACTTCCTTGTTGGCGTGAATCTTTTGACCATCGACGAGCTCAACGCCAACAGCAACTGGGAGAGGACTTGACGGATCCCGTCGGAGAAGGACTCGGGCCACGATACTTTTGGTGAAGATTTTCACGCCATCGAGCGGAAATTTCTGATGAGGGAACTGTCTCTCACCCCCGATCAGAGTTGAAGCGCAGTCGCCCATGCCGAGAGGATACCCATTGTTGATATCCTCGTTCCAGGGCAAAGAGGGATCGACTTCAAGCCACGCTTGCTTGAGTGGCTCAGCCAAAGGGTAGCACTTGCCCCGGCGGATGTCTTTCATCAGCTGCACGTCCATGGGACCTTGAGTGCCGTGGAGGACCGGATCAGGGTTGTCCTTCAAAAAAGTCTCAGACTTGCGGAAGAAGGGGAGCAGCTTGTCAAAGGTCCACGAGTCATCATCAGCAAGCTTGGCCCATCGCTCATAGTCGACTGCTGGGCCACGCATCCAAGCGCCAACGTTGATTGCTCCACCTCCTGAAAGCGCACGTCCTGCCCATGCCTTTTTACGTGTGCCATCCATATGCAACTGAGGGACTGTGTCATAGCTGTAGTCGATGCTCGACCCTCGCACCGCGGCAATGTATTTGGTGTACTTGGCCAGCTCGAACTCGGACTCGTCTTTTCCTGCTTCAATCAAGGCAATCGACGCTGAAGGCAACGATTCGTGGAGGCGTGAGGCTACCACCACGCCCGAAATGCCGCCCCCGACTACCACGTAGTCGTAAGTATGTAGCTCTTGGACCATGGCTGATTCGTTGGAGTCTAAGTTGTAGAGCTACGATCCTGTTAGGCCCAGACATGTCACTCGACAAAAGACCGATACTCACTCACTACCTGGTTGGAATTTCCTGGCGAAATAAACAAGTTTAATTAGAGAAGGTCTTTGTAAAAGTATCCCTCTTGGACTGCAGCAAGTCTGCTTCACATAAATCATCTGTATCTCAAGGAAGAGCAATTTGACAGCTTGAACATAATCTATCTCAAGGAGCATTCCCTTGATTGAGACCAGGAGTGGTGCTGGCCGAGGAAGACCGGATGGCGTTCCGGCCCGGCCACTGTCACGCCCTTGGGACGTTCGACTGGACCACCTCTATATCACACCACAGTACCTGAGCCGTCGGAGAAAGTCTTCCCGGGACGGCCATGGATCTCATGAGCCGCGCCGAGGAGTGTGCGTTGCATTGTTTTTGAGAAGAACAAAAGAAATCAAGAACGTGGCGTAACGATTGAAAGGAATGCTGGTAGTACTCGTCCTCCGGCGACAAGAACCACCGAATTTTGGCGAAAATGGTGATCAAACTGACATTTGCCTGCTCGGACTACGACCGTATGAAGGCGATCGAAGACGGGCGAGTCAGGCCAGAAGGAATTGACCTCACTTTCCTCAATTATCGAGTAGAAGAGACGTGTGTATTCTCCAAAGATTCAAAATGGCAGAGGGAATGATAAGGCGCAAGAGTGCTGACAGCCAGAAACAGGTTCTTCCGTCAATTGAAGTTTCGAGAATTCGATGTCTCAGAGCTTTCTTTGTCTTCGTACGTGTTGACGTTGAACCAGGAGCATCCGCCCTTCATCGCAATACCCGTATTTCCCAGTCGCTACTTCCGGCACCAATCGATTTATATCAACACGAAATCGGGAATCAAGACACCTCAGGATCTCAGAGGGAAGAGAATCGGTATTCCAGAGTACCAGAGTATGTATGCCCCTAGCCCATGGCAGCTCGACTCAGTGAGTCTGAAACAAGATGAAGCTCACAATACCTCAGTGACTGCTGCGGTGTGGCAGCGCGGGATGCTGGAAGAAGAGTTTGGCGTCCCTATCAGCAGTGTCCAATTCTATGTCGGAAATATCGAACCGTCGCAAGAACAGCGGACGAACAAGGTCGCCCATTCCGTACCAGCTAATACATCGATAACGCCGATCCAGCCTGGCCAGAACCTCTCGCAGATGCTGGAGGACGGCGAGGTGGATGTTCTCTTCACGGCGACTAAGCCGTCGTCATTCGACAGATGCGAGCACGTCACCTATCTCTTCCAGGACTTCGAACAAGTCGAAGCCGAGTATTTCCAACGAACCAATATCTTCCCCATCATGCACGTCGTTGTGTTGAAGCGCGAGGTTCACGAGAAAAACCCCTGGATCGCCAAGACTTTGCAGAAGGCGTTTGCGAAATCGCTGGATGTCGCCTACGAAGCCATCCATGAGCGTGGCGCATTGCGTTATATTCTTCCCTGGCTGGAGTACCATGTCGAAAGAACCAAGAAGCTGATGGGTCGGGAGTGGTGGTGGCAGGATGGGTTCGAAGGAAACAAGCAAGTTCTGGACAAGTTTCTAGAGTATTCCTTCAAGCAAGGGTTGGCGAAACGGCGTTTCAAGCCAGAGGAGCTATTTGCTCCAAACACTTTGGAAAGCTTTGTTGTGTAGTGGAAATACTTATGTCGCGGAACAGCTGGGATTACGGCTAGAGAGGCAAACATCAGTAAACCCGTTACTCTTCTTTCCGGTACCAAAGTAGATGAGACGCAGGCGCGGACATAGGGGAAGGTTGAGGTGTCATAATACCCAGATATTAATGACCGAACAGAGGGAGAAATCTCTCGCGTGGCAGGAACAAGTCTATTTTATGGCCTTTGAGGCGGCGGACGAGAAGTTCTCCCAAACCAGGTTTCTCCTCCATATTTTCAGGGGTTAATCTCTTCAGGCGGCGTGTCTTCTTGATGCCTCCAGTCAGCAGCCTTGAATTCTTCCAACACACTGATTCTGTCAAAGATCCTCTTTACAGTCGGCAGCTTCTCCAGGTCCACGCCGTACCGGACAGCATTCTCCACTGCTGGAGCCAGGACCAAGTCTGCCAGCGTCAGAGTGTCTCCGTAGCTATATTTCCCCGCGAATGGTTTTGCTATCTCGTCAAACGCCTTCAGGCCGTCACCCATGATCTTGAATGCCCATTCCTCTGCGGTGATCCCTGCCTCCTTTACACGCAGGAGAATCCGGCGATTGGTGGGTGGTTGGATGTCGGCTGCGACCAGGTTGACCAAGTCCCGCACATAGGCGCGTCCGACAAGGTCGCTCATTGGCGGGAGCAGCGGCGTTCTCCCGGGAAATGCTTCCTCGAAGAACTCCAGAATAGCTACCGACTGCTTGATGGAGAAGCTGGACTCCTTTGGCGGACTCCCAGATTTGGTGGTCACGGTAAGCACTGGGACGGTGGCATTGGGGTTCAACCGCAGGAACTCCTCTCGAAACTGCTCGTCCTTTCTGACATTGACATAGCAGAAGCGTACAGGGATATTCTTCAATCTCGCCGCAGTCCGGACACGAGCAGTGCTCGTGGACCGGAAGAACGTGTACAGCGCGAAATCGGCTTGGTCGAAGGTCATTTTGAGGGATTGGAACGTCAAACTGTGACGGGAGAGACTTGATACTGCTCGGCGGAGGCGGTAGGAAATGACAAAAACAACTAGATTACAGCTAGGGCTGAGATCTATGGAATTCTAGGTCACATCCACCATTCGACAGGCTTTTAATAGAGCCACGGATCTGGATTGTTCATCCGACGCCTGCTTCGGCTGCTCGACTTGCTTCCGCGGTGCCAAGGCTCCGGTCAGTTTACAACTCCTCTCACAGCTTTGTTTGACCGAGAGGCCTCTCAGCAGGCCAATAGGCAAATACCGCATCGAGAGAGGGGGCCTTTATTACTAGGCTTGAGGCGTCTTCATTCTTGGAGTTGGCAAACGCCCTCTGACGAATCCTCCCACTCTCTGAGCTACAGCAAAAGAACCTTGGAGCACACTCCCTTAACCAGCAATGGCATTGATTGACAGAATCCAAGCATCCGGCTTGGAGTGGTCAACTCTTCGCACTTACCCTGGGATCTGGGTTAAGCCAACAGCGCTAATTGCTGTTGTCTTGAGTCTTGCCTGTTGCTCTTACATTGTCTATCACCTCTTTCTATCCCCCTTGGCAAGCATTCCGGGGCCTTTCCTCGCCCGCTTCACGAATCTGTGGTGGCTTCGTGTGGTTCTGAGAAGAAACGTTCATCTGGAAACCATTGAATTACACAAGAAATACGGCCCACTTGTTCGTATTGGTCCGAACGAAGTGTTAGTGCTCCTCGACGACTAGTGACTCCAAGAAATACTCAAAAAGATTCCAGGTCGGTTGCGGATTTAGAGGCATTTAAAATTATCTACGGTATTTCTACACCCTGAATTGCCAAAAATCAGCGAGGAGACTCTGACGGAAGCGGAATAGGAGCTGGCAAGAGTTATAACAAGTCCGAATTCTACAGGCCCTTCAAGGCGAAATTGAAGTGGAACCTTACAGCCGAGCAAGATGAAAAGACGCATGCTTTCAATCGGCGACAAGTCAGTCAGACGTACTCGATGGCTTCGACCAAGACCCTTGAGGTCTACGTGGACCATGTCGTCGAGTTCTTCCTGAACCACCTAGATCACAAGGTGGGCCAGACTATTGACCTCGGTCGCTTAATGCAGGCTTTTGCTATAGGTATGATTTCCGGCACCTCCACCTGCAACGGAAAAAGCGTAACAGTACTGACTGGCTCTCATACAGACAGCATTACTGAGATCAGCTTCTCCAAAAGCTGGGGCTTTATCGAACACGGAGATGTTGGCGGCGTCCTCGCCCTGTCGAAAGCGGTCCTTGCCAGTGGTGCCTGGGTAGGAGTTATTCCCTGGGTCTATGACATCCACCAGTTCCTTGCTCCAGTAATTGGCAACTGGCTCGGCGCCACCAGGCGTAGCACAGAGTTTGGCGGTATGGCCAGGAGGACGATCGCCGAGCACAAGGAACAAGAACACAACCACAGAGATATCTGCTCCTACTTGCAGGAGATCCGACGCAAGAAGCCCGATACGTTTTCCGAGGACGGTTTGGTCGATGTGCTCACGAGCAATATTTTCGCAGGCTCGGACACGACGGCCATCGCCCTGCGAGCCATGATCTACTATCTCTTGACGTCGCCGCACGCGCACAAGCGATTCCTGGACGAACTCCACGAACGGCACAAGGCTGGTTTGATTAGCGAATTGGCTCGCTTTGACGAGGCTGAAGCGTGGCCGTACCTTCAAGCGGTCATGTATGAAGCTCTCCGTCTTCATCCTCCTTTTGCAATCAATCTTCCACGTGTTGTTCCGAGCGGTGGTCTCGTGGTGGGTGAGACTTTTCTACCACCAGGCGTAAGTATGGGTTGATATCGATCGGGTGAATTCTTCTAATTCTTTGTCCAGACGGTGGTGGGGTCTAATGCTTGGGTCATTCACCGCCAACAGGGAGCTTTTGGGGATGAAGCCGACAAATTTCTCCCAGAGAGGTGGCTCGATCCGGTCAAAAAAGCCGAAATGCGTATGTCGCGATTCTTCCTTTGACACCAGCGGGAGATTACTGATCCCTGTACAGAACGATATTTCTTTTCTTTCGGAGGTGGATCGAGAACATGTCTGGGTAGAAGTAAGTCAAACCCTTGGACTAATGCGGTATGGAGACGATGCTAACTTGAATGATCTATTATAGATATCGTCTGGCTAGAAATGTCCAAGGTAAGGAAGCGCACTATCTGCTGTCACCTATTGCTGAAGACTAACTCTTGGGCTTCGCAGCTTCTACCCTCCCTGTTTTTACGATTTGACATCCGACTTACAAACCCAACGAAGCCTATGCCGGTTAAGAATTAGTATGTACCCCCTCTGCGAAGGACTAGCGATGTTCTGAGTCTGATTCTGATTTTCCTAGTTTCCTGGCATTCCAGGAAGGGCCTGAAGTCATCTTGTCGTCCAAAAGGAAGGATTAGCAGCACGGGGTTGGATACGTGCAGAGCTCATATCACGTATTTAACCTAAATAATTAGTACGTTCAGAGGGTATATTAGGCATTTAGTCTATAGATCATGTGCAATCAACTTCTTCAAAAACAGCTTACATTGGTTCTTCCTTAGATTAAGTTGTGAACGCTTATTGTCGGTGGCGGTTCTTGAAGAACGCGGCTGGCTAGAAAGCGACACTGGAAGAGATACTTCCATAATAGTGGTTTTGCTTGGGGATATCTAACCACTAGAGTAGCAAGTCTTGCCAAAAGCCGTGCAACATACCATTAAGAGTTTGTGGTCTAAAAAGCTCGTTCATGCGGCGGGGAGTGGTACCAACAAGCAAAGTCAGTTCGAGAGAGTGGACACATGGACGTGTACGTCCCGGTCGACCTCCTCGGGGCCCTGAAAGACCCAGCCTCAGTTCAAGTCGTCCAGGGTCAGTTCGCATACCCAAGGAAAGCTGGGTTCCGCGGCGGGATCGAATATATATCCTGCTTCCATAGCTGCTTACGCCATGTCACTCCGGAACCCCAGAGCCGATCCATCCTCGGCGGAGACCCCGCAGATTGGCCACATCCGGCCCAGCTGGATTGATATCTTGGGGTTTGATTCCGGGGTCAGGGGTATACATCTGTTCAAGGACTCCCGTCTATTTGAAAATCTGGCCGACAAAATCACTACAGACCGTGTCAGCAGATTCTCTCTTTCCAGGTAGAGCTTTTTTAGTCTTTCAACATCCGCGGAGGGCGAAAGAAGAAGGGAAAATGCCTGATCACCCCATCAGCCTGTCAAGCCTCGATGTCAAGGTCCCCGGCGTCGAGGACGCCGCCCAGATAGAATCTATCTCGGTCCTGCAGGACTATGATGTCGAGGAAGAAATCAATGTCCGCAAGAAGACCGACTATGTCCTGCTCCCGGTCCTCTGCCTTATGCTCAACGTCGCATACTTGGACCGAACGAACATTGGCAACGCCAGAATCCAAGGAATGGAAAAAGACCTCAACATGAAGGGAACTGACTACAACATCGCGCTGTTCATGTTTTTCATCCCTTATCTGCTCCTGGACGTGCCCGCCAACATCCTCATGAGAAGGTTTCGGCCCTCGAGGTATCTCGGCACGTTGATGTTCTTCTGGGGTGAGTGAATGGGATTCATTTCCAGTTCAGATACATGGCAGGACGCCTAATCTCATAGTGCTTCAGGAATTGTTACGATTGGGGAGGGTGTCACTCAGAGCTATGCCGGACTAGTTGTCTGCCGCGTGATTCTCGGAGCGCTAGAAGCTGGCTACTTTCCAGGTACGGAGGAGAACCAAGATTGGAAACCGGAGAGGCTGATTTGAGATATGTGACAGGCGCCATCTACCTTCTCGCAATGTACTACACCAGATACGAGCTCCATGCAAGGATGAACATCTATTACTCTGCAGCTCTGCTTTCTACGGCTTTCGGAGGGGTATGTGCCACCTAAACAAAAATCTCGTGGATACACTCGTGATGCACTTTCTAACAATTTTCTCATATCCAGTTGCTTGCTTATGCTATCGGCCACATGGAGAATGTCGGTGGATACGGAGCGTGGAGATGGATCTTCATTCTTGAAGGTCTTTTGACTGTCATCGTCGCTATCTTCTCTTTCTTCGCCCTGCCTGATTGGCCTGAGCAAGCAAAACATCTCAACGAGAAAGAAAAGGCAGTCCTTCTGGCAAAGTTGGCAAGAGACACTAAGGACTATGTTGAAAACAAATCGACAATGCAAGTCTTGAAAGAGTGCCTCCTTGATCCCAAGGTCTACTTCAGGTGAGCTGACGCGAGAGAATAGAAAATGGTTCTCACTAACTTCGGGGCAATAGTGCATTCATGTATTTCGGTACCGCCGTCACCGGCAGCTCATCTTCCTACTTTTTGCCCACGATTCTCAAAGAGCTAGGATGGACATCGCTCAAGGCTCAGTACATGAGTATCCCCGTCTGGATGACGGCTTGGGTTGCATCCGTAATCGTGGGCTTCGGTTCTGACTGGATGAACCATCGCTGGGCCTTTTCAGTTGGGCCGCTTACGGTCGCGGTCATCGGGTACATCTTACTGCTTTGCCAGGACCATATTTCAGTGGGTGTTAAGTACTTTGCTCTGTTCCTCATCATCACTGGGGTCTGGAGTGCCATCACCCTGTCGCTCACCTGGCTCAACAACAACATCATGGGTAAGAGGAGGAGAGGCGTTGCAACGGCGATTTTGCTTGCCGTGGGCAACTGCGGCAGTATCTTGGGCAGTAACGTTTACCTTTCGTCAGAAGCGCCAAAGTACCCAACTGGCTACGCCGTCTCTCTGAGCTCGACGATCCTTTGTCAGCTCGCTGCAACGGGATTCCTGATCTATGCATGGTATGAGAACAAACAGAAGGCTTCTGGAGCACGGGACCACCTATTGGCTCTTCCCATGGAGGAACAGGCTGCCTTGGGAGACAAACATCCTGAGTATCGCTACACTTATTGAGTGGCGAAGCGTGGTGCTGATGGCCGAGCTTTTGATGGAAGTTCCAGGTAAAACGCAACAGAGAGAGTAGGAGATACTGGAATCAGTGCACTGCCTGCGTATGTACAGCTAAATGAGTGGCGAAAGTGAATGAATCGTTCCTCCATACGGACATCTATCTACAATTATCCTGCAAGTCATGAGACCACCCGAGCTGTCTTGCTAGGATATAATTTTCTACACAACATTCTTGTTGTGTACTATTTCAAAGCCCCTCTTGAGCGTTAGAGGGTATGGAATACGATGGGTTATTGCAACTCCTGCAACTGAGCGACCGCGCTGAATGCAAATAAGTTCCCCGGCTTCCCAATTCAGCCGGTATATGCAAAGCCGGCGGAAACTTTGACTGATCCTCGGATCCATGCCCCGGAGTTGCCAGAAACCTTTGTAGTCATAATCCGCCTTTAGAGACACTGCGGGGTCAAAACATATCAAGGGCTCCATTCTTACACGTTAGTACCAATTTATGCGGCTCCTTTAATCCCTCGAGCCATCACAAGCATTTTACCTGAGTCTCAGCAAGAGAACAAGAAATCGAAAAAAGAGAAACATGGCGCTGGGCCCTCACTCGACAGTTCGCGTCGCTCTCGTTCCTACAGGTAGTCTCTATCTGCCCGACAAATGGATATTGGCTGGTGCGTCTCTGGAGACCAAGACACTGTACCCCGACTATAGTTTCTATGTCTATCACGAACAATCTGGTCGCTCTTTGATGTTTGACCTCGGGATTAGAAAGGTATTCGACGTCACTACAAAAATACAATAAAAATTTTGACATATTGTGCACTTAGGACCTCGACGCCTATCCGAAAGTCATACGTGGCGAGTTCCCTGTGGTCACGCCACAAGTACCATTCAGTGCCGCTGAGTTACTTGCACAGGGAGGCGTCGACGCGGGGAGCATAGATTTTGTGGTGCTAAGGTAAGGCTATATCTCCTTGAGGATCAGGCAACACTACCGCACCGGCAACTAACTCAACACCTGGAAGCCATCTCCATTTCGACCATATCGGAGATCCATACGAGTTTCCTCACTGCCAAGTTGTGGTTGGCCCCGGGTCCACTGAAGCCTCATCGCCGGGCTACCCTACGGATCCGAACTCGCCTTATCTCGGATCTATAATCCAGCACCCTGAACTACGGGAGCTCTCGCGGTCCAAGGATCCATGGATCCCGTTTGGCCCTTTCGAACGGGCCTTCGACTTCTTCAACGACGGCAGCTTCTTGCTCCTCGATGCGCCCGGTCACATGCCCGGCCACCTGATCGGGGTGGCGCGGACGGGCGAAGACGAGTACGTTCTAATGGGCGGGGATTGTTGCCACCATCGAAAAATCTTTACCGGTGAGGCGCAGGTCGCAGAGGGATATGGCCCGGGAGGTGCCTCGTCGATGCATAAGGACTTGGGGGAGGCAAAATCTACGATTACCAAAGTGCATGAACTGAGCCAAAGAGAGGATGTCATGGTTTGTTTGGCGCATGACAGCTACCTCGAACCGGCGTTGAAGGTGTTCCCCGCTTTCCTGAATGGCTGGAGGAAAAGCCAGGCAAAGCAGAGTATTGAAGAATATCTGTCCAAAGCAGTCCTTGATGTTCGGAGGATGTAGATGCAACGAAGAAAGTGTTAGGGGCCGACACAAAATGAGCCAGCAGGTAGGGTGAATCAAATGTGCTTCGCCGAAATGAATTGAATACAAAGCTAGTGCTGTTCTGGCTTACTAGCCTGAATAACTTAGCCTGTATTGGGTTAGTCTGGCTGCTTGTATACCTCCGAGTGGAGTTTAAAGAGTGGGCACCCTTACCAAATTGCGCCACCAATATCCTATAGAGCTATCGTGTTCTTGTAACATTGAAACATTACTTTTTTTCTTCATGGGACACTACTCTCCAGCAAGCGCTTCAGCCTAGCTCTCACTGCTGGGTTTACCAAAGCTGGCACGGCTTCTCTGGCTTGTGCCAAATACTCTGCTTCCGGAATGTCTTTGTAGTTTTATGCCTGGCGTAACAACACCCACTCTTGTCAAGTGCTCGATGTAGACGGATTCGGACGGACTGCTTCTCCATAGTCAGCTTGACATCGTAATCGAGTCCCCTCCAGGGTGGCTACTGTACTATATGAGATGCAATTCGACATTCTCCGACTATGGCGTGTTATCAGAAGGTAACGGCAGTGCCCTGTCGTATGCTGCAGAGAGACTGAACCTAGCGGTAAGCAATGCGGTCTTGACATATCCAATACCTATAGATGAGATACCAGTTGACGGACTCGATCTCATATCAAAGGCTGGAATGACGGGTTACCTCATGCTTAGCATACCCTTCCATGATATTGTCTCCATATCTTCTATACAGTATTTTGATTATCGCAGCCGGAGGGAGAAAGGGTAAAAGTCCAAATGACGTCAAAAATCCAACCAAGGTCAAAGTTCGTGCATGAAAGCGGGTTCCAGGTGACATATCCTTTTATCCTTTGATCCGACATAGCCCTTAGCAGGAGAATGTCAGCCAGCACTCTGCAGCGCGCATTTAGCACCTTAGGCGACTATCCTCCGGACCATACGCTACATCTGATGCTTTCCGCCACATTAGTATAGAGTACTGCCTGACGCAAGAGGAGCACAAGGCCGTCAGGAAAGGAGCCTCCTTAAACCAGCTGAGATTGGCTCCGTGGTCACGTGATTCAGAAGACGATAACAGAATCCCCAAAATTGTTTCTCCGCATCCTGCACCGTGAAATTTATGTGACAGTCATACGCACAATAATCTCTGGAGAACAAGTCGCTCTATTGATGCCCGAGTCCTGCGATCCTGCGGAAGACAAGGAAAATGTCTTCTGCTCGAGCCGTGTCGTTGTCAGCTGCTCTGCAGACGTCCATCATTCTGTGCCAGCGATTCGCCGCATCGCTGGCTCTCAATTCCCCATTCGAGACGCCTCAACATGACTCAAAGGCACCCTCTCCCCTGGTCCTTTTGCATGCTGCCGCAACTAGCCTCAGGGCACAAGTGACCAAGTTGTCGCTGTTAGCGATCACGACTCCCTTCACCCCGACCGCTGTGACCACATGTCTGCTCCCGTTAAACGAATCAATCCTTACCTCGTTAGTAACGGCCGCGTTGCTCACAACTCCAGAAACGACTATACCGTCCTTCTCTGCTGAATGCCGCAACCTGGCTGCAACTGCGCTGCGTGATATGCAAGCTCTCCTGCGACTCCTAGAGGCACGAAGCCAAACTAAAAATCCTACAGCAGAACTTGGGGAAAGGGAAAAGACGGGATTCACAGAGGCTACTGGCAGGGTGTGGGACGACTGCGATAAACTGATTCCCTTGGCTTCTGAGGGTGTCACCGGCTATGTCGTCCGGAAGTCGAACCAGTGGTTGGATCTCATGAAAGACGCGGTGAAAGAGCTGGAAGACTGGGATCCTGAGGACGATATCGATGAGGATGACCCGTTTGGAATCATCCACAGCGATCACGATGACTCTGACGACCCTCATGACAATAAACACAACAATGATCGAGCTGCCATATCTGCCGGGGTCAAGGAACAAGCACTCAAGGTCTTGAACCGCATCCCACAAAGCATTCACGTCGTCATCAAGCAAAGGCTAGAGAAAATCCCCAAGGATAGAGCCAACACGGCTAGTCAAACGTCTCAAATGGATACGCTCCTCAAACGAGTCCGCCACGTGTCCGAGTTGATTGACGAATCCGCCGAGGGCATGTATCTTGGGGATCTGGAATTATGTCTCAAGAAGGCAGGCGAAGCTCGGGCCCTCACTATTGAGGTGGTGGAGTCTGTGCTTCGACCGATCTCCTGGCTGAATGCAACAACAGCAGCAGTCGAGACCAAAGAAGACCGATACGTCCAACGAGCACTTGAATGGATTCGACAGGTCGATCCTGGTGGGTCTTCACGAAAATCTACATGAGGCGTCACGACCTGTGTGTCGACCAGACCCTACACTCGAGTCGTAATGCACTTGTCACCCGTGCGACCGCGACCGCCACCCGTATTCAATGAACTCAAATAGCGGGTCATCCAATACCATAGCCAATGTTATCTGCAGCAAGGCATGTCACCCTATCGAGCGCTACGCCAACAACAACTCCGCAGATGTTTCAGAACCATAGTAGATACATCTCGTGAGCACGGAGAAGCATGGTATCTCACTAGGCCAGCCATGCAAAGTTTCTTTCCCTCTTTGCCGTCCACAGCGCAACTATTCTCAGACAAGCAGAACGTGAGCAGCGGACAGACGGAGTACTTCAAATGTGAGCTGGGTCTGAAATGCCTTGATATACGATCATGATGAGCAGCCCAGCAACAGGAGCATAACTTTCCCCCTATTACTATTATCCCGACCAGCAGGGAAGTGTTAGAGCATGGACCGAAGAATGTCGAAGGGATGCCGAAGATGATCAGAATGGACCGCCATGGCAGTAAAGCGCTATCAGAAACAATTGAGTTATCCGCCGAATCCGCGCGATATTGGCGTCACTGTTAGCTGCAGACGAAATGGACAATCCCTGCACTGGGCCCTCAGATGACATAGCAGTCGCGTGGCAGGGTCGATTCGTCCAGGAAGTCTTTGATGAGATATCTTCCAGCCAGGCTACAGACCAGCGGCTAAGAGGCTTGTCCTGGAAATCTAAATAGCCCTCCAGTGAGCCACGATGGAGTGAAAGGCGCCTGAGTCGTTGTTTTGATGGCGATGAGTTCCTTTTAATCTCAAGAATTTGACGGCCGTCCTCGCGAATCCACATCCGCATATTATTCCTCATAAGTCAAGAAGAAGCAGAAGAAGCATGACGCTTCGTAAACAACATGTCCCTGGAAATTTCTGGACTCGGGTGTACTCTCACCTCGCAAACTATTCAACTCATCCTTGAACCCATCCTCATTTCCATAACTTTGTGGCCTTACTTGTCTCTCACGCCCGACATCAGACAACCCTAACAGTCTTGCCAGTCTCTACCTGATATATCCAACCACTAATAGTGACGTTGTCTGGCACCAGTTTGCTATCTTTGAGGTACTGCACGTCCTTCTTGACTGCCTCTTCCAGATCTGGAAAGGCGAGAAAGTCCAGCTGGCGGGCTTTGAGCTCAGCCACGGCGTCAGACCTGCATCCTGTAAGTGAGGGTTCATTATCCAGCCTAGCGGTCTCCCTACCCCAGGTTCTTTTCGACCAACCCATAGGCAACCTCATTCGTGAAAGTCAGCATACCGCATCCCGTGTGCTTGACGAGGACAATCTCTTGAGTGCCTAGGAGCTGCTCAGATATGACGATACTGCGCAAGGCATCGTACGCGGACGCTCCTGCCTGTCAGGCGCATTAGTTTTCGTTTTCACATCTACCACGTCTATCTTGCACCTATCGATTTTGCATTTCATATCATCTCGATGAAGCGGGATGTCTCACATTCCGAATCACATGAGCATCTCCAAGATCGATACCGAAGGCTCGCGCCGGGTCGATTCGAGCATCCATGCAAGTCAACACAAGATACTTCTTGGCCGGGGGAAGTGCGAGATGCCCCTGCGTGAACGAGGAAGAATAGGATTCCGAGGCGGACTCAACGTTCTTCTGGATCGCAGACATGTTGACTGTGGCTCCTATGGTAGTCTCTATTCAAACAGTGCCTTGGGATCGGATTCACTGCCAGCGCGTTTTCCGCCAAACAAACAACTACACTCAAGGTCTCGGACATGCGGAATCCCACAAAATATATGAAGGATAAGGCTAAGGTATGGTGAGGGAGGGGTAAGGTGCTTCTTCCTGTCGTCCTTGATGCCACAATCCTAATATAGCGATGACGTGCTCGTTGGAGACCAATGATGAGTCGCCTGTGCGTTCTTCGACCAGGACGAATCGGAGACCGGACGCACTCGCTACCGGCCTTAGTCGGGGGCTTTCCTCGGACTATCATTTGTGGCACAGATGTTTCTTCTCAAGAAGGGTTTGGATGCTTAACCATTTCACAACGGCTTGCGTATGAAATCAGAGACACTCCCAGATGCCGTGTTGGCCGCCAATACTACCCTGCCTCCTTCTCTCTCTTTCGTTTGCTCTATCTTTCCTTTTGCTGAGCCACCCAGCCAAGCAGACACCTGGTGAGACTACTCCAACTGCGTCATTTCTCAAAGGTGCTGGTTCAGGCTCCAGATATTGGACTTCGCCTCGTCCCCATTTCCAACACAAGTCAGGACCTCTTGTCATCTGATCTCCGTATACAGAGGATGCCAGGACGTGGGATTTCGATTGGTTTAATCGATCCATCCCACCAATGGGTCCTCGGACCGCTTCTTCAGTTTTCGTCTACTCTCTTTGGACGTAGTAGAGCCTTGTCAAACTAGTTAGCCCCGGTCCAAATGTTCATCGATCCCGGTGAACCCAATTCTGTGAGACTCTACTCCTGCCTGACGAAGATCTGTCTCATCTCTTAAAAACCGCTCGCACCGGGCCAGACCAATGGAAATTGCAGAGCACCCTGCCTGTCGATTTCGCCGTAAGAGTTCCCGTTGAAAGTCTATGCTAGGGCTGGTGATGGTCGGTCGGGTTGGTCAACCCTGTGTCCAATCTTCATCACAAAATATGCCGCGGTAGAGAGGTCGCCGAGCCTCAAACGCTAATTGAGGTCCAGATGTCCGGGAGGAATGAAATGTCCCCCTGCCCCTGATAGCATTGCTTTGAGCACGTCGTGAGTGACCTGTCGACGCTGTGTAACAGAGAGTGAGTGCCACCAGAGAGCTAAGCTCATGGGACTTACCCAACCGACCTGTGGGCTATGCATCGGGCGAGGTTGTGGACGGCTTCATGCGCTGACGACGGTTGCGATCTGGCCACGGAGACCATTTTTCTCCTCTCAGCTCAGCAGGTAATGCATTGTTTGACCTTACTGCCTGTCCCTGGATCCCACTCGCTGACATTGAGCTGGGCGAGCAGGGTAGTGCTATAGTCATTTAAAAATGATAGGATATCCCAGATGTGCCATGATAGACAGACAGCCCTCTAGGAAGATAGAACATAATCAATAGGGTGCTCGCCTAAACGAAGTTCCTGTCCTTCATGACAGAAAACAGTGCATAGCTCATAGAGAAGGAAGCATGAAGCTGGTGTCTCCGCGTCCATCTATCAGCGGTATTTTTGACGCTTATTATATCGGCGATAAATCTATCTGGAGCGCCAGGCTGTCTGTATGCAGAAACTAGAAAAGAGAAAGAGAAAGCAATTGACCGCTCCTGGACGCCTGCGCTTGTTCGATATCATACATTCCTTCATACATTCCTCGACGCCGCGTCCCCAGGCCAAGGACGTCTGTGGTCACGGCGGCTACGAGTTTCGTTCGCCGCAGGTGGCATCTCTTTGTTCAACAGCGCCGTGGCGCTGTCGGCTGACTCGTCCATGCGGGCCTTGAACCCACCTTCGGATTTATCCTCGCCGCGCTCGGGCCACAGGATCTGCTTGTTCACGATGGCGCGGATCATGAAGCCGACGACGACGAACCACACGATGATCAGCAGAACGGTCATGATGCAGCCAATGATGCGGATGGCGCCGACGTCGAAGGCCTCGGCGACCGCAAAGGTGGCCGTCGTGAGCGCCGTCTGCGGGAAGATGAAGCTGAACCACGTCATGGCGAAGGGCATGCGGTGCTTTTCGTGAAGACACGCTATGTTAGAGAGCAGGCTGACGAAGAAGAACCACCACGCCAGACCCCACAGCCACAGACACATCCACGTGCCGACCAGTTTCAGGATCTGGGCGGCCAGCACGCCGGGCACGCCCATGAAGGTGGACGTCGGCGAGGCGGCGATGACCCGGTGCAGGTCGTCGGCCATGCCGATAGTACCACTGACCGTAAAGGCCGAGGGGCCGACGGAGACGAACATTCCCGGTCGCAGCGGTTCGGCGGGCAGTTTCTGCGTCATCAGGCGGTACACGAAGGCCGAGTAGATGGCGAGCGAGACAAGGAAGCCAATCCCTTGAATCGTGAAGCCGCCGACCAGAATGCGGATCGCCTCGTTCGAACTGAGTGCCTTGGTGGCGATATTTGCAGCGTGCGGACCGATGATCAGCAGAGGATATGCTGGGAAAATCCATATCGGAGTCATCCGGGCGATGGTGAAGGTCTGCGTCGACCACAGCACGAGGTAGATGCCAATGCTCAACGTGATGGCCAGGCCGCAGTCGAACCAGTAGAGGATCAGAACAGTGCGGTTGAGCCAAAATCCGACATAGCCCGATCCGTATTGGACAATGTTGATGAGGATGGTGCCAAACGAGACGGCGAAGGCCGGCACGAAGAGTGACTCGGTGGGATGGGTAAAGCTCGCCCGAAAAGTCCACGGGTACAACGTGAATCGGGTTATGATCATGGCCCAGATGAGGATGTACAGGACGATATTGAACAGGAAGATGACAACACCGATAGTATAGAGTCCACGAAAGCGGTACGGCACTGTTGCGCAGCGGTCAGCAATCAGAGACCACTTTGTCAAGCCCAGCATTGGAAAGCTGTACAAAACAGGTGACAGTACCATTGTTTAAAACATTGGCGATGCCCCCCGTGGCCATGGTGAGCGTGAACCAAGCCCAGGTGACATGTTTCATTCGCTGCGACCAGGACAGGACTTTGGGGTGGTCATCTGGAACATCTTCGGGTTTGTCCGCCTGCTGGTCCTCTTGTTCTGGTATTGCCGTCTGCGAATCCCTCTGCAGGTCAGTCAAGGTCTGGCTTGTCGACGCAGGATTGAAGTATCTCGACCGATTGGCGCGGTGCTCTGGGTCTTCCACGATCGGCGTCCGCCAGCCATCTTGATGGTAAGGCGACCTCGTCTCAGTACCCTGGTTGAAGTCATAATCGCCGTGATAACGCTGATTGACAGGGCGAGCCCGCGGCATCATGTAGCCATAGCGTTGGGGTGGTGGTAGAGGTGGTATAGCGATCGAGGAGGGACGTGAAAATGGAGCTGCATGTGACATGTCGACTTTTTTTGATTCTAATTTAGCTGGGTTGTTCTTTTTCCGTCTTTCCAATCGAGCCCACCAACCAGGGCGCAGAAGAGTGAACGAGCATCAAGTTTCCGAACGGTGGTCCCATGAGATTTGCGGGGAAAGATCTGGCGTCACCGGTGACGGCTGCTGGTGTCCATGGCTGAGATGGAGGAGGCAGCACTGCGGCCGCAGCTTCACGCACAGATTTGCGAGATATAAATCGAACGGAAGGAGGGCATCGAATGTTCGCCATCTGAGGGAAGAACCGGCTTTATTGAATGCTTCTCACTGAAAAACAAAAGATGCCATTTGCCGTGTTTCCGTGGTTAGTGAGCCTGTTTTTGGGCGATGCGGAGGCGGGTGTGTCGTGTAAGCTTGGTGCTGCAGTGTAGATCGGCCACAGAGGGTCATATCTCGGACAGAGCGGGTCGGAAGCTCGCCGATTACGCTATCACCGCGGAATGACTTATGGGTCACAACATATTTGATATATCATATACCATGGAGACAAATTTTGTGTAGGAAATTGGCGGTGAATGAATCGTCTTCCAATGCGCGGGAAACTCCTGCTGAAGGCGGGCATATGGTCTAGGGGTATGATTTTCGCTTCGCATTATTGTCCGCAAGGGCTACACATGTGGGTGTGAAAGGTCCGGGGTTCAAATCCCCGTGTGTCTCGAAGACCCTTGGGAACTCGTCCCGGGACAACTGGACAACAGGTGGGGTCACTCCAGCAAATACTTCGGAATAAAGAAATGTCTGATTGGGGGCTGTGGCCCTTGGATGCATTTCTTTTTGGTGTCAAGACCAAGTACGGGCGAGACGCTACCGCCCTTCCCGTATCACGTAGAGGGAGTGCGGAACTACGTCGGGCAGAGATCTCATCACTGCAGGTTACATGTATGACCACATCCGCACCACATTTCGGGTTGGGCCTGGATGGGCCACGGTCATCATCAAATTCTTTTTTTTTTTTCCATGTGAACTGTGGACCAACCGGTCAATAGATCGCTCGCTGAACAGATACAACTGGCCCTGTTGCTGCTTTTCGGGACCGCAATCAGATTCTCACCGTATCTTAATTACGGGATTCGCAGGGTCGAAAAGGTCGTTTCGCGCCACCAGCCGGGCTCCTTTTCCGCCTGCCCCGGAACCTCGTGGACGATGTTGATGACCTCTCGCCGTGGAACATGCTGACAGCCATCGACGCCCCAGGTCTCGGGAAAACGCAGCTGGTTGGACGTGCGTGCGGTGTTGTCGATGCAGCGGTTGGATCCGTGACTGAAAGCAAGAGGGTCGTGGAATTCGACGACCTCTGTCATGCCCATGTCTTTTCCCCCGTGTACCCGGTAACCATCCGTATGTAGGGACCTGACGACGCGTCCGCACGTCGGTGCCCATCCCCTCGGCTCTCACGCACACGTCGCCGCCGTCCCCTCCCTCGCGAACCCGGTCTCGAGCAGCGTACACAGCCGATGCAGGAGCGGGGCAAAGATGAAGACGCCCTGCGCCCACATGATCCGCGACTGGGTCTTGTGCCGCCACTCCCGATACTCTTCTGGCTCGAGCGCCCGCAGCTTCTCGTCCCCATAGCCCGCCAGCGCCTGTTTCGCCACTCCTACAAACACATACACCGTGAGGCCGCGGACCAGCACGTCGAGGAGACAGCGGCGTAGATTCGTGTCGTGGCCGTGTGCCCCACCCGTCGACGGCGCCGGGGAGGAGAGGACCTGCCGCGCCCGTCTCGGTCAGTTATGCCACACCTTTCGCGAGTTCCGAGTCTGGATGGTGCAACGCACGCTCGGCCGCCCCCCCGACCGCCGGTGGCGGCGGCGTTCCCGTCCCCCCCGTAGAGCCAGGTCCGCTTCGTCGTCGACCAGGTACCACGCCTGCAGTCGGCGGTTCAGGAGTCTCTTGTCGCCCGACGTGTTGAGCTTCCGCAGTGCACAGTGACGGAGCAGCGACTCGTGATCCAGAGCGTGTATGTCGCCGAGAGCCTGTGGGATCAGCGGCAGGGTCGGCGGTTTCTGCTCGACGTCGGCCATCGTCGATGCCACGATGGTCGTGATGGTGAGAATGGCGGTGTTCCCGGTCGCTCCTCTGACATTGAGGCGGGTTTGTGCGGGTTGGATGTCGCTACCCGGGGATGGCACGGGGCCACACTTGACCGTGGGCAGAAGCGCTTTTACAGGACGGGCCAGCGCTGGTGCACGGCGATCAGTGGTGGATTATCGAGAGCAGGAGAACCGAGGAGCCCAGCGGCACGTCCGCCAGCACGAAGCAGTTTGGGGGAAACAATCAAATACAATCACAGCGCCACCTGCTTCCCCAGCTCGTTGTAAGCACCTTGCCCGGTCAGCTAGATGAGGGGCACCTCGTCCTCGTCCTCGTCCTCGTCGTCGTGCCCACTCTCCTGGTCCGTGGCGTCGCCACCGCTGCTGGTCCAGCCTCGGGCGCGGAGGTGGGCCGGCACTTGTCGTGCCACCGAGCTGCAGAGAACCTCTCGCATGGCCGCGGCCAGTTCCTGGATGTGGGGGTGGTCATCCAGCACCTGCTTGAGCCCGATACTGTCGAGATGCTCCATGGCGGCCTGAAACCCCCGACCGCCGACGTGCATCCGTTTGCCGGTGATGCTGTGAACTGTTAACCATCGTCCACGCGGGGCACTCGCCGTGCTCCGAGGGGAGAGACTCACAAGGAATAGGTGAGTTGCGGCAAGAGGATCAAGATACATCCTTCGCCGAAGATATCGCACATGGCCTGTAGCCGCATGCCGTAGCGACACCAGCTCGAGATGTTCGCCACGATGACCTCGACCTGGTCCTCGTCCGACTCCACGGTGGCGACGAAGGCCCGGACGTCTTCCTTAACCTTGCGCCCTAGCCGGCGCCCCGACACGTCCGGCCGCACGGCCTTGACAATGTCGTACCACATGAGCCAGGTAAAGCGCTGCCGAAGCCGCCAGACGTCCGTCTCTTCGTTGACCTGCAAGGTGTAGTCGATGCGTCTCTGAAATCCCCGGACCATGTCCTCGTTCCTCAAATCGTCGAGCAGCTGCGAGGCGGCGGCGTTGTCGACCACCCGCGGACTCAGCAGCACCTCGGCGTCCGTCGCCGTCGCGGACGGGTGCTCTTTCACGTACTCCAGGAAATCCTCCGCGGTCGACAGATCCACCTCGGTCATGCTGAGAAAGCGGAACCACGTGTTGTTGCCGTGGGCGGCGGCGGCGACTGGGAGCTCCTCTTCGGTCGGCTCGACCCTAGAAGCCGTCCCGTCGACCCCCTCTTTCCGCCCGGACGGGTTGAGGTGCCGATTCAGTCGTTTCATGTTCTTCCTGGCGAGCTGCGAGAAGGGGACCGTGTCCTGCGCGAGGACCTGCTCGACAGCCTGTGCGGGTTAGTGGCCGAGCTGGGAGAGCGGGAGAAGGGACTTGCGAGGTTGTGGCTGAGAAATCTGTTCAGTAGGTCGGGCCAATCCTGCTCGCCCTGGATCTGAAGGTCGCTCGCCATGTCGGTGCTCAACAGGCACGATCAACCTGGATCGGGTCCGGCGGTTTGCAAAGGTCGGAATCCCTTGCCACGAAGAGGAACAGAGATCTGGGAGGGGTGAGGCGGTGTGCAGACTCTGCAATTTCCCTCTGCCCAGCACCGCGTGGTGGGCGCAGGGTAAACAAAGAAAAGTAGTCGACCGCCCCGGGCCAGCTGGCGCCACCTTCCTGCCGGCTCCCTTGACCGCCCCAACAAAGCAAGACAGCCCAGATCCTGCCCACAGCCTAGTAGATTTGGCCCAGGCGGGACGACTCTTCAAGAAGGCCGTGTGGCCTCGTCGACCTGTTTTCTCCATCGACGAACATCCTTTCCTTCATCACCGTGCTCGCCGGCGAATTTCCTCTCGTGCCAATCACCCCGACCCGACCCGTCATCGCTGTCCCAGGCAGATCCGCGCGCAGCCAAACACGATGGAGTCCGTCACAGAAGTGTCCGCCGCCCCCTGGACCAACTGCTACCTCTTCCTGAGAACGTCGACCGTAAGTGATCCCCCAGTCTCTCCATTAGGCCGCAAAGCGGCTGCCGGGGCGACAGTGCATGCATGCTCACGTCGTGGTTGAACAGGAGGTCGCCCTGGCCGTGGCCTGGACCTGGGGAAAGCTGGCCGGGACCAAGGCGGTGGAGTACTATGTCATCCTTGCACAGTCCCTGGTGCTGTGGCTGGACGACAACGTCGGATTCAACACCCTCGCGTTGCTTGGCCCGATCGTCGTCACAGTCCTGGCTATGAACATGGTCTGGGCGGTCAAGCAATTGAGGAAGTCGGGCAGACGACCGAAGAGAGGCATGTGAGTGCTGGACCATCTGTTGCCCGCCCCAGTGACTGACATCAGACTCCAGGACCCGTGACCAGGCCGTCATGAGCGGATTTCAGAAGCGACAGGGCTAGCCGGCGCCGGCGTAAGGCTACGATTCCGAGAAGCTAAGGCAGGTGGTAGAAAAAGGCGGCAGTTCTGCGCTCGCGGCGGAGGGACAAGGTTAGGCCAGTGGTAATGATATGGTGGGCTTCGTAGGACACAGGGACGCGATGGAGGGTGTGGCGCCGTCGAGAACAAGGGCAGCATGACTTGTCTTCGAGGCGACATGTTGGGGGAATTGAATCGAAACATTTTGCATGGTGCTCAACGCGGCTCTGGTGCGTGGCCGTAGTCCCCAAATTCGCCATGCCACAACTAATGCAACTTGCCCATCATTCCCGTGGCTTGATCGATCGCCCCATCCGCCAGTCCTGGTATACTAGGTCGCGGAGGGGCGCGATCTCAATGTGCAGATGTCGGAGGAAGGAAAGACGGACGTGGTGGTGGTGTGGACGAAGATGGAAAGGATTTCTGAACCAGACAGATGGAGAAGGTCTCGATGACCAAGTTTACTGACGAAGTGATGGCATGATGCCCGGGGGTGTTGGTTCTTTGTGGACTCGCACGCCTGACCGCGTGGTAAACATACACATGAAAGAATACAAGAGGCTGTGGAATATCTCTGCTCCTGGGGCATCAGCCTCGCAGCCTGTTTCCTCCTGGCCAACCACGACGCCCATTGCCTTTCCCTCCTGCGTACCCCGGCACACCAGCCAAAAATGTGGCCCACCAGGTCGAAGCTGGTATGAGCCATGACTCTCGCACGAGCCGCACAGCCCGTCCTGCCCATGGCGGGCTTTCATCCGTCCTATGGACACCGCCGTACCCCTTCCCAAATTCCGGTTCGTCGTCGGCGTCGGTATTGATCCGCTTCGCCCTTGTTTGGAGAGGTGTTGAAGCCATCTGGCGGTATCCCTGCCACCTCGCGAGGTTGCTGTCTTGGGATCCCGGCTGGTCGGACTCAGTATGAGGGTGTCAACGCACGGGTCAACAAGGCCACGTCCACAAAGGAAGGACCTCGCGTCGAGACAGGGAGTGTGGTCACGGCGATGTCTAGGACGGGGGACAAAGATGGCTCGCATAGCTGTGCCATAGGGCTGGCCACCAAGGCGTGAGTGACAAAAGAGTCCGAGCGGGTCGGTGACGTGTGTGTTTTGTGTCCTGAGGAATGTCTCGGGCGGGGCAGCGGCGAAAGACAACGTCCTTGTCACCGCCGCACCGTGATCCTGAACTGGTCTCGGCTGGTTTCACCGCGAATCTGTCCCTGGATTGCCAACACCCGTCACTGTGAGGCGGTCGGTATAAAGGGATGTGGAACTCTCCCGCCTCGATTCTTCCGTCACGGCGGCAGGTCGTTTCTTCCGGACCAGCGAACGCACGATGAGCTCGCGAGCACAGGTAAGTGCCAGCCGCCGCATCTTCTCCCTGGATCTGACCGAGTGGCAGTTGGACCTCAAGCTTCGTGCTCTTCAAGGCTGTGGCATCCACGTGGACAGCATGGACGGCATGATCGTCGATGGCACGGGCAGGCTTCCCGTGACACGGACCGTGCAGGGCGGGGCCCTAGGGAAGACCAAGGAGCGCGCGACGTTCCGCGAGGATGAGTTACATCGACTCCTCCGACTCCATGTGGCGGCCATGCAGCAGAACGTGCAGGCAGAGCGCGCCGCGGAAGCGCTGGCAAACTTGGTCAGTCCCTCGAACCGGCCACGGGTGGGACGAGATTGCTGACCACGGTATTCAGGACCCCAAACACACTCAGTCATCGTATACTGCAAAGTGGCAGCGAACCAAGAAGGCGGACCGGACGGCCGACCTGCAATTCGACCAGCCTTTCCCAGGCATCACCCACCGTTCCCCCTGCCACCCCCTCGGACTCCATGAGGCAGATTCTCAGGTCGACTCGCCGCTCGCCTCTACCCAGCACGAGACCCGTACGCAATTCTGCACGGCGGGAGCACGCGATGGAAAATGAACGGCACGGGTAAGGTCGACTCGCCGGTCACAGGGTGTTTGGGAAGGTGGAATTCACTGGACAGATGGTGCCGATGGTGGAATCAGGCCGCGTTGGAGGTGAAACGCGTGCGCGTATGCTTGAAGATGTCCCGGGAATGTATCTCGACATGGTTTTAGACTGAGATTTGGCCCAGTTAGGCAAGCTTCGACGACATTTAATGGGAGATCGGTGACGACGAAAAGAGTGGGCCAAATCCCAACAACGACAACGCCTACTGCAACGTCACTCGGATAGGTGTTTCCAGCTGAGGAGAGCTGAGCAATGATGTAGAGATGTACCGAGTCAGCGAGTCAGCGAGTCCACGAATTTGGGAAAAACACAGAACCGACACGGACAAGAAGGCTTGAGCCAGTTCCTCGTCTTTTATATTTCCGACTTCTTCAGTGCGCCCGGCGCGCCCTGGCGGCCAGGTACCACGCACAATCAACTCTTTCACCCAACAACCCCTTGTGTAGGCAAGGGGCCGGAGCGGCAGCTGGCAGCACAAAAGGACCATGGCCGTTCTAGCAAACAACCTGCACCACTGCCCACAGTCATCACAAAAAAGTCCCCTTCTTTCCCCCCTCTTTCCTCCTCCTCTACATAACCTTCCCGCCACAGAGACCGATCGTTGACCAACCTTAACCCCTCCACCGCTCCCGCTCTACGATGACATCGCACGGCGACACCCGCAAGAGACTCAAGCCTGTAGCACCTTCCACGGCGAGGCGGGCCGGCCAAGCTCAATCGGCATCTCAACCACTGGTGTCCTTCTCGGCCTCTAACGGCGTCCTCCGAGCCCGGGAGTCCATCGCCAGAATTGAGGCCCTTGTTCGTGCCGTCCCCGCGACGTCGCCCACCCTATCTGCATTTAGTCTCATGGGCAGAGGAAAGAGCCTCAAAGTCCGCAACAAACACCTAGATGAACTCGATGAGCGCGTCCGGGTCGTGTGGCGAAAGCTGGAAATTAGCCCTGTGGCGAAGTCAATGATGAGACACTTTGTTTACGCCACTGAAGTCATGCGAGAACAGGCGGCCGCCTATACGCGGCGCATCAAGGAATTGAAGGCACATGCCAACTATGACCCCGACGACGAACAACAGGACGAGATCGATGCCCTGCGCAACTTACTGACCCACGTCCAGTGTCTGGAGATTCCCGGCGCGCCAGATTGCTTAACCTACTTGACCACTGAACACCTGGTCGACAAGAAGTTCACGACGGTAGACCTCCTCGAGCTCGCCGACGAACTCGTCTCTTATCTCAAGGGGCCGGAGCTAGGGTCTGCTGAGAGTCTTGACCACGAAACGTCAGACGAAGACACAGAGATCAAGAATGCTGACATCGGACTGTCCCGCGGGTGCGCGACTCTTGGGAAGCGGAAGGTAACGGTGGATGACGAGATACACCTGGGCGACGACGGCGTCCGACGACCGACGAAGCAGAGCAAGTCCGTGTCGTGGGCCATCGGGGAGGAACCGCGAGAGCGGAATGCAGAGGCGGGGAGAAAGAAGCAAGCAGGTTTCACCCAGGCTGACCCGCCTTCCACGTATTTCGACCGAGCAGGCCCTGCCTACCACAACACTCCCTGGACACCGCCGCCGTCGGAGTCTGGACCGCGCGACCGACGTCAAACGACGGAGCCGGCCGTGGCTGGCAAGTCACGGGCATCCAACACTAATCTGTCGCCGCTCACCCGACATATCCTATGGGACTCATGGAACGATGAAGATGCGCCCGACCAGACAGACATCGACGCCAGACGGGAGGCTGGAGCTGACGCCCTGGCGCTGGTCAGATATTCCGCTCTACTTGCACGAGAAGACGCCCTGCCGGGAGGCTCTGCTCGTCATCGACCTCAGCCGGGCTTCATCGTCGAGGTCTCCAGTCCTGACGAGGAACCCCCCGCCGACTCGGAGGATCGTGACGAGCATGACGTCGACGGCGTGTACAGCAACGGTGGTTCTGAAGATATGGAGATGATGGACAGTCAGGCGGAGGGTGACGAGGAGTTCCATCCGGATCAGACGGAGGAACTGTGATCATTGCAGCGAGGCACAGTGAAAACGTCCAGACGACATGCTGTTGAAGGTCGAAGGGGGGGACGGGGGGAGGGGGTTGGCGAAGAGTGGTGGCCGAAGCTACGTGGATGAATTGCCGATGACGGGTGGTTTCTTTAGTCCGGGCTGCCGATGCAGAGGGTTGGGGTGGGAAATGCATGAAGGGCCAGAGCAAGGAGACCGTCGGTCCACTTTTGACCCTTTGTCTGATAGGTGGCGCCCAGCGCTTGGTACTGGTGATAAGACCGTCGACCGCCTCCTGGCACAGACCAGCTAATACATTGTTTCTGACATGGTCAACGCTAGAGCGCAACATTGATCCAACTACCGTATTCGTCCGCGGGGCGCCAGAGTGATCGTCATCCTGTGCCTTGCCCAGCAGTGCAGTGCGTTGACGGGCGTTTGGCGCCTGCACACCTCTTCACGGACGCTTTGAGCTCGTCCGATACCCACGTGGTGTCATGGAGCAACCTGCCACAGGAGGAACTTCCACTGTTCGGGTGCAGTTATGACATGGATTCCAAGACGAATCGAACCAGCGGAGAGAGGTGGTGGAGCGGCAGAAGTGTGCGACACCCGCCTCGTGTGAGATTCTCAGCCTTGTGTGAGGTAACACATGGTGCGCCGCAGGGAGCGAGGTGGCTTGCTTGGTAGGTACCTATGCATTTGTGTCAGCTGTGTGCACGCATGCGTCGACAACCACACAATCCCAAGCCCCGGATTGTGACGTTGAAAGGTGTTTGGAGGAAATGAGGTGGCCCTTCCAGGTGAGTGACAGGCGCCGACATCCGTGGCAGGATTCACGAGAGGCCTTCTGTTACCACTGCTATTTGTATACGAGGTACATGCGATCAGACTAGGTCTGAGGCGCCGTGGACGGATCGACGAATCCACGACGCGGGTTCACCCAACTGCTAATTCTACAAAATGTGACCCTGTGATGGTCACCAGGTACACCCTTATGGACTCATGCCACCTCTTCCAGCCGGCCAATGTTTTCTTCCCCCCCTGCTCCGTATCTCCACCTAGTGCTCCCGCCAAGTGCGACCTGGTGGGCCGTTCTTGTCGCTGAACCCCACGTTCACGCACCGTATCCGACCGTCAGAGTCGATGCTCTTGGATGTACTCGAGAGCCAGCGCCGCTAAGCGAAAGGTGCAAGGGTTTTCTTCGCCGATGGCTCGCAGACGTCGTGCGTCGATGATCGGATGTGTGGCCCTCGAGAACCCGTGCGCCGCCAAGTCCTGCGCCGCGAACCATTGGTGATATGACGGTGTGGCCCAGGAAGGGGACGCCAGTTGCGTTTCTTCGAACTGCGGTAATTGCGAGAGGTAGAGCAGGTGGAGCACTACGAAGGCGTCGATGTCGTGGACGTGGATGCGGTACCCCCAGTTGAGAAGGGCGCAAAGGTAGCCACAGAGCATTTTGAAGTCCCCCGGGTCCATCTCCAGGCCGAACTGGTCGGAGAGCGCTTCGCGAGCTTGGGTTGATGTTGGTGTCGGGAGGCGCGCTTGCTTTGCGGGTTCGGGTGAGTGGGCATTGAATGACTCGGGACGTTTGCGCTTCGTCGCTCGCACGGTCTGCGGGTCGTTGGTCATGACGCCGTCGTTGCAGCTGAGAATGGATCGGTGCCGGTGTGCTGGTCCGTGGTTGACTGCTGGTCAGAGCCTGGCCCAGAAGTGACTTCGTGGTGGGCAACGGCACGGTTTTAAGAAAGTTGGAGGACCCTGAGCGGGCGGCGTAGGAGGGGCCGCGAAGATGTGGTTGCGGTTCATGTCGACCGGTCTGGAACTTGACGCAGTCATGCTTCGCGGGTAGTTTGGACGACGCCCGAAACCACAGCAGATGTCTGTCAGATGGTCAGCCGCAGAGTGCGTCGGGTGGATTGAAACAGCACGGAGCTGAACAATACATGTTAGACGGTCTCGGATCCGACTTTGTTCTCACCATTGAGAGGGCCGAGACATCTTTGACCGTTGAGGCGGAAGGATGTCTCGGTGGTCCACTCTCCAGGTCGCCGTCGTATGGTCCAGGCAGTCACGGTTCCAGCCTCGTCTCTGTCCGAGCATGGCCGTCTTTGTTTTCCAGGCTGTGCAAGTTGTCGACGGCGAGGCTTGTCCCCATCCAGGACAACAAGATGTCCAGCGGGGCCAGGTCGGCCGTCTATAGATACTTGACCACCACTCACAGCCGCCCATCAGAGCAATAAGCCCATACCAAGTCCCGGAACACCATCATCATAGCACAGTATCGACACCTCAGCCTCTTTTGCAGTCACGATGTCGGGAACGGGCTCGACGTCGTCCTTATCGCCGAACACTTCCGCGGGGCTTACCGGCGGAGTCGAGGGGGTCAGACCCTGTTGCGTCCGATGTGCCCAGCTCTATGTCGCCTTCCCGTGAGTGCATGTCATGTCAAGCCCAACGTGAAAAGGGTTGCTGGCTAACCGACAGGTTCACAGAACGCTCCGGTGCGATCCGTGGCACGAAGACCTGAAACCGAGGAAGGGTGTCATGCGTGCAGTCACCTATGGCTGCCACAACTGCCGGACTTTCCGCCACAAGTGTGTGCCGGTCTGTCTATCTGAACCTCGCCCCGTGTACCATGCTAACACCCTCCAGGTTCCGCAGACGCACCACGACAGACTTCGACAAGTCCAAACTGAGGCTGACAAGTACGCAACCGCTAAGCGACGGACGCTGGGATTCAAAGAGTTTTGTGACTTGAGGCGGGCCCAACAGCTTTTCAGCGCCGCTTGTCGACCGGGCGGCGAGTGAAGGAAAGATCGACCATTGTGGGGCGAGCTTGGGGGGGGTTCAAACACGGTCGTGTGTGCTGGGGAGACTTCTGCGACGGAGCATTTGCCTATAAGCACCGAATAGGCTGGGAGGAGTTCTGTCTACCTGCCCTTGGTGACGTGAGGTATAACTACGAACGAGAGTCTGTACCGGGTGCCTCATACATCTATGTATATCTACTGAACGCCAAGGCGCCCTATGCCTAACATCGCATGGTGTCGCACGAAGGCTGTCTGGAAATTCCTTGGCGTCGAGCCGAGTCCAGAGTAACCGTCACACAAAAAAGGTCAAAACCATGGAAGAGAAAAAAAAACTTGCGCTGGACATACTGGGCTAGTTACATGGTTAGCATTGAACGACATGCCCAAGATACGTCAGGACTTCACAACTTACACTTGAACCCAGGGCCTCTCACATACACATAGTAGAATTATGCGAAGCGAGAATCATACCTCTAGACCATATGCCCGTGTGGCTGAATGGGTTGGTGGGATTTGGCCCACTTTGCGACCCAATTTTACAGCAAAATTATGCTATTGTAATTTATATTCATCTCAGAGAATCTATGATGCTGTCCGCCCTATCTCGTACATCTCTGTGATTCGCTTAGCTTTTCCATCATCATCATCAGATGACTTCGCATTGCTTAGAACAGTTGAGATGCTGACACGATACCCATCCTCCATATGTGTCCAGACACCGTCGCATCGTCCGCCAGCTGGGCCAACTCTTTCTCGTCTCGCTCGCCCGAATCAGAATCAGTATGCTGGCCAGCAAGAGTTGCCGCCAATTTGAAGGTTGATAAAGCTTCATCAACTCTGTCTCGGCTCCCAGGCAAATCAGCAGCCAACGATTCTGAAGTGGCTGGAACAACTCTCGAACACAACTCCTCTTCGAGATTGGCAAGCACGTCGTCGCCCTTGTGCGCGTTGCAGGCTTCGCTTTCAACCCTAATTTTGGTTTTGCGCGTGAACGTCGTTGGCTGATGCTTGGGGTGTTTGATGTCATCAATATGCTTGACCCCCGTCTCGTTTTGCCGGCGCTCATGTGCCCATCCGCTGGCTCACTGGGGCTGGAGTAAAAGCCTATGCGGTCTTGACACCACGCGAAACCCGCGCTGATCGCGGACCGTGTCAGGAACCTCGTGCCCCTCTTGTGCGCCCGATCTACACCTGTGCTCCCCTGTTTGCAGAACGGTGTAGCTTTTGGACCCAGCCTCTCAGAAAACACCGTTGCTTCGGCCACGGCAGTGGGCGTTCTCTGAGAGGGTGAGGTCCATTCGTGGTGCCCCTTCACTCCCTTACCCGTGGCACCAAGATCACTGGATGAATTCGCCAGGACAGCGCCAACGACGTGGGACGGAGGTAGCGATTCTATAGGCCCGCCTTCGACACTACTGATCCGGTCGGAGGGCGAACCTCTCTGACGGCCTCGAAACCACGGGCACCGGACGACATCTTCGCAAGTCGAGGATCCCGACACACGACCATCGTACGGGAATTTCAGGATCCCCCGCGCACTTTCTGATTCACCCGCTCTGATCGCGGTCAGAGGCTACCTACGACCATCGCATGAGACGAAATCGAACCGGGTCATGTATAGTGGGAAGGGCGTCCGAGGCTGCATCGCGCACCTACGCACCTGGAACGACGACTACCATCCCGATAGGTAATGACCATCCCTTCCATCCACACTCAATCAGTGTCTCTCAGCCCTATGACCTCTCAGATGTTCGCCCTAAGACCACGCGCACAGAAGTCCTTCCGGCACTTGGCCGCCCAGGTTGAGAGGGTGATAACTCTCGGCCAAAAAGGGACCCAGAGCAGTCGCTCGCGGACCAATTTCGTTCCCGTAATGATACATACGTGGCGTTTCGGGCACAGGATACGCTGGGAAGAGCTTAGGAGTACTTGGATTCGCTTTTTGTTCTGCCCCTGTCGCAGAGTCGGGGGGGGGGGCTGTCGGCCGTGTCTCGATCCTGAGTGGAGCATCCCTATGTACGACCATCCGAATTCGAAAACACACAGACTCGCATTATTAAGATCTAGGCCTACACGGGGTACGAAGCCTTACGGAGTACCGTCCGCCGGCAGAAGGGGGGAGGGGGATCTCGCGGAGAATGGTCAGCCAGAGCTTCCCATATCGAACCGGTCCGGGATCTCGACTGGGCTTACCCTCTTCCAATCTCTGAGAGGCAGGACGTGGCGCATTGCAATCCCACTATGTTGTATCGCCTTTCGAGCCTCCAATCAAGTATGTCCTCATCTTGCCTACCTTCATTGTTCGCGTCGTGGATCCCACTGAACTCCCACCCGGGAAACTGAGACATAGAAGTGGCGAAGCTTGCGCAGCGGACCTTTGATAATCTCCTATCTCGACGGCACCGGCTGGTCTTAGGTTCTTCAGACTTCGTACTTGTCGGTAGCCGCTGCTCCAGCGACTCCCAAAATCGTACTGCCACGTAAACCTCCTACTCCTGCCAGCTGAATGCCATGGCCTCTTCCACAAGACGACTTCCTAGAATCAAAGCCTACAATCTCGACAGATGTAAGGCGGCTCCTGTGCCCGACACCTCGCAGCATACACGTGCCACCGGTGTGACAACAGGGTCCTGCCAACTGGCCGTCCCAGCCCGTTCGATCCTGGACACCCAATGCGGACCACAGTCTCTCACATACCTACGATCCTCGGCAGCGCCCACAGCTCCCCCACCGCTCTCCCTCCCTCTGCGACCCAAAGATCCCGGTCCCAACCCTCCTGACATAGTCACTGTAAATCGGCGTCCTTCGTTGTGGGCGTGGGTCGCTGACCACTTCTCCAGCGCAGCGCAAGTGGCCGAAGGCTTCCGGACCGCCTTTGTCGCTTGGCTCGTACTCTACATGGCACTCACGTGGTCTCCGCTCGGCAGCCGGGGCACACCAGGCGTCCGTGGGATCCTGGATGGTGCCGAATCGGAACTCTCTGTCCATTTAGCCCCGTTTACCCAATCTCTGCAAGTGGCCTCGGGCCACCTCGTGGGATGGGTGGAGTTGGAAGGCGAGCGAGCACGGGTTGAGGGTCTTCGCCATCGCGTCCATTCCTACCAAGGGCAACAGCGTGACTTGATGAATCACTACCGGCAGCTTTATTCCACCACGCTGCAGAAGGCTCGAAGCGCCGGAGACTGTCGACCCCTCATCTACCAGCTGCGAGATATCAACAGCACGACAAGCCTCCTGACGTCTCAACATGTGAGTATCAACTTGACCCTCAAAGGTGTCGTCGAGGATTTTCGCATGAGATCGAACGCGGCGTACGATGCCAAGAAAGTGTGGCAGGAGCTCATCTACGAAGCTTATGCCAGCATCAGGAGCACGAGGGCGGCCTTCCACACCGAGCCGTATACAGCCTCTCAACAGCTAGTCCTGGGCATCATCGAGCAGCTAGAGACGCAATGCACATCGACGCGCCCCAAATACTTTGTGGCATGGAGTCCGGAGCAAATGTTGAACAAGCGGGTCATCGACGGGCTGTTACCCCGGCTTGACGGCAACGTCAGACGGCTCCTGGAGAGGTAGTGACCGCGCCCGGCGAACCCCGACCGACGGTCTCGACGTCGAACCGCACGGCCCCTTGGCTCGACCGAGAGAATCGAGTGTCGCCGGTCGACCTTGGTTCTCCCCATCGATGTCCACCAGCGCAAGAGTCCGTTCAGACATGGACCAAAATCGACCGGGCACGTCGAGAAGGAAGGGAAATCTTGAGGCAAACTCATGGTTCTGGCTAGCGTACCGCATTTGACGACCCGGTGCTCGGCCATGGCAGCGGGGGCGGAATATCCAGGAGGGCAAAGGCTGTCAGGACGCCAGTGGCAGGGGTGGGGAAGAGCCGAGCCAGCCCGGCCCAGATATCTATCGAATAACATTGGCATCGCCTGAGTTAGAATATCAACCAACCGCAAGTAAGGATGCTCACTGCAGGGTCGCCGTCCCTGCTCAGCAGACGTGTTGGTGCTCGATGGATATCCACGGCGCCCTCAAGAGCGGAGCTCAGCTGTAGTATTGGGTCGACAAGGATGACCGAATTGCTGGTGAATCGGAGTCGGTTGGTCACTTGGGAAATTACTGTCCCTGACGTTGGTGGCGAGAGCCAACATTGTCCCGACCTGTCAGGTCGCTTGTCTGGACTCGAGAGACTACTAGACTGGGTCACGCTAGAGAGTAGACAGGCACGAAAGAGTCTTGAGAGGGACATCCTAATATCATCGACGGGAGAGCGCTGATTCGCAAGATCGGATATTCCTCTGCTAGGATGCTCACTACATTATGGTCAAACACTTTGCACAAAAACAAATTTCCCGACTTTCCAATGCCCAAACCGTCACCACCGGAACCGTGGCCGATCCCGGATGATTGCATGCTTTCCTGGAGTTGACGTCGAGCAAAGCACAAAGTACTTCGTCGGGATAAACCTCGCTCGCGGGATGCCGTTTTGGCGATGGCGGGGTCTACGGCATTTGTACTGAACAGATGTACGGCAATTGAGGCTGCCCGTGTTCAACGAGGCTCGTCCCCGTCCTGTCTTATCGTCCGTGTTCTTTCCCGCTTCCTTCTCGGGATGCCTCCGTACCCAGTTTGGACAGTTGCCTCATCTTTCCCCACAAGACTTCTATGCCAGAATCAACGACCGTCTTGGCCTGTCGGGGACCCGGGGGATCGGTCGGCAGAGGTGACAAGGCTTGGCGCTAGATGGACACCGGGCGTCGACTCTGGTGTGACGGAGAGGTCGATGGCGGGATCGGCAGCGGCAGTTGGTAACTTCTCTGTTGCCTGCTCATCTAGCTGCAGGGCCACGGGTGAGGGTGAGGTACTGGCGGCTGCGTCGTGGACTGGCTGCATCGATTCGAGCACTGGGTGCAAGGCTCCGGGGCCTGGCAGGTCGAGGGCGGGGGCAAAGGCAGCTTCCGACTCGTCTCGATTGATTGAACGTTGCAAGTCCACCCATGCCGTAATGAAGAGTAGAAGATGGCTCTCCAGGACGTGACGACGTCCGTGGAGGTCACAAGTGCAGCATGCCTCGTTCTGCCAGAGAGATTGTCTCACCCACGCAATGATGAGCCGAACCAAAGCAGCCAGGGAGGCCTCGATCTCAACCCCCACCTGTCTCTGCATCGAAGCTCGAATGTATTCGGCCACCGTGAGATCGTCGCTCGCCACCTGGCTCTCCTGTGAGGCACCGAGATCGCCGTTTACGGCCAATTCCAACACATGCCGCACCCTCGACACCATATCCACGATTTCGACCTCTTCGTGACTGACTCTCGTCTCACGGGGACGCCCAAGCAGCATCACCAGGAGCTCTGTGAGGTCTTCGAGATGTTCGAGATAGGCTAGTGGCCTGTTCTCTATTGTCTGCTCGAATGAAGTCAGCCAATGGTGTATGGCATCGAGGCACCCTGCCACGCTGATGGATGGTTCTGGCGACGCCATCGTGCCGAGGACGTACAGCGCCGGAGGCAGAAGAAGATGGCAGCAGGTGTGGTAGGAGCGGTGGTGCGGAAAGAGGGAGCAAACTCGGCGTGGGCGAGAAAAGGGCCGTATGGTCTGGTCCGAGACAGGGGTCGATAGTCTTGGGAGAGAGCCTCTTCATCGTGGCATGGTCCTCTCTGCTTGGAGAAGGAGGGTAGACAGTCCTTGGGCCGCGGCGCCGCTGAGCCCCGTCAAGCGCGAATCGTCAGTCGCGGCGAAACCCATCGCCCGGGTACCCGAGACATGGTTGAGAAAGATTGCCGCGATGGGTGGCACATCCTTTCGATTTCGAGACGAGGCTCCCTGCTTCAGCTGGCGGCGAGGCCGACTCTCCTGGGTGGAAAGGAACAAAGAAGACGGCGTTGAAAGTTTGGGCAGTGAAGCCAAACTCGAAACCGTATCCTTGCTGATCACGGTAGCCTCGGCCGCCCTGACGTGCGCGAGCCTCGCGACTGAGAGGCATGGAGACGGGGTGTTGCCTTACGGCCAGTCCGTCGCCAGGTGCTGATACATTCATTTGCCAGGCTCCCCTGTCCCCAGAGTGCTGTTGCAATCATCCTCGACCCCACCCTGTATGGAGCTATTGCGGTACACAGCGGCTCCGGACTACTGGTGGTATGGGTGCGGTTGACGAACAAACGTGGTGAAGGACGTGAAAGGCCCATGTGGACCAACAGACTATCGCGTCCCGACGCCAGAGAGGAGCGGCGGGAACGTCTTCGCTATATGTGTCCCATTAGTCATAGAGCGTCACGTAGAGGATAATGAAGTTGGCGAAGGAGACGCATCAGATCAACTCTCGTCCTTCCTCATTGAGACTGTCAAGTAGTTGGCTCAATGAGACTGTCGTCATAATCGATGGCGATCATACTTATGGACCAAGCTTAGAGGCGTAATGGATAAGAAACGAGTAGTCCCTTGAAGGCGAAATTCTCGCTTGGACGTAGAGCGAGGTCTTTCTAGAGTGCATTGGCCGACGATTCATAGGAGAGACAAGCAAGGAACGCAATGATTGGCCAGGAGGAGCAAGGCTACGGGGCTGAGGCCTCAGGAGGAGAGGGAGTTTTCTGTGTGCAGAGCTGTTCAACAACCTCTGGCAGTTTTTCATGGGTTCGTGATGGAACTCACAGTTGAAGGCACCACAGCACCCAGGTTCGGCATAGAGTCAATCCATCAAGCTACGCGAATTCCACTGTTACGGTTTTCGGTTCGTCAGTAATTCGGTTCTTGCGACCTTCCGTGCCTGTTCTTCTCAGCATAACCCATGGCACGATATCTTTGAAAACCTTTCTATGCCTCGAGTGCACACTGTTCCCTTGTCCTTTCTTCCTTCCTGCGACTGCAACACCTCTTTGCGGCGTCTTCTCGAACCATTTTACTAGATACCTGTAGCTTACACCCTCTCATGGCCTTGAACATCCATCAGGCACCTAAGTCCATGGTCTTGACGTCATTCTAGTCACACGGCTTGTCCCGTGACAATTTCCTGAAATCTGCCACTTAGGAGATGGCCTCTATTTTACCTACTGCCTTTGAGATCGATCGACTACTTCCACAGGCGAGCAAAGCACATTCGCAGGCTGTGGCGTACACGACCTTGCAGTACCGCCCCTGGGACACCGGAGATCTGCTTTGAAGCCGGGGTTGCTGACTGATGCCGGTGTTCAAACGTCCGAAAGGAGGATGCGGGAACGCGGTCGCGTATGTGAAATCGGGCTCGCTTGACGGTAGCGGATCGGTTAGGCGCACAAGCAGGCTCACATCCCTCAAGGCCACAGTTTTCAATGTACTCAGACGACTTCTTAAAGCTTCAACAGAGAGGGCAGTCACACTATCCTGCGCGCGCCCGCAGGGCCCGGACGCTCTCGACTGCATGGTTTGCTTTCAAAAATCCCTGCAATGGCGGTGTCAATTGCGACCGCAATTGCATGCTCGGTCGGCATGATGCATATATCGAACGAGTAGTCTCATGCACAACTCCATTCTCGAATCTGGTTTTGGACAAACAAGAAACTGACGAGCCTTCCATGAGGCGCGCTGCCCAGACGGAGAGGACGCTGCAGCTGTTGTCGCTGTTGGCGAGATCCCGCAGCTCATCTCTGCCGGCTGGGATCGTGCTCGTGGCGCCCTATAATACAATTTTCGCATGGTCACTGGAGTTGTCAACACAGTCATTCTTTGCCGGTCCACCTTTTTCTCATGGCCTCCCGAAAGCTACCACCTCGTCCCACGATTGGATCCTCCTCGCAGAGCTCCGGCCACGCTCGACGGCAAGGCCGCAGCAGCGTATCCGATGTTGGACGGCACCTTCTCTCTAACCTACGAGAACTACCCAAGCCGCTGACAACTCTTCAAGTCGACCAGATCGCACAGTACCTGGACGAGGCGGCAGACTCCGGTCCGTCCTCATCCGTGAATTTCAAGTCCAAGGATCTGATGATCGGTCAGAGGCGCCAGGTTCCAGCACAACCCTCCCTAGACGAGTCCGCATGGGATCCGCGGGAAGGGTCCTCACTTGAGAGGTTCGACCTGGAGATTCAGCAAGCGGCCTTTGAATTTGTCAGGTCTGACGTGCGGATTGAGACCCGGATCAAGCGACCTCAAGCCTGGATCCAGGTTGCCGGTGTGCAACGGAGACTCCATCATTATCAACTCTATGCAGCTTTTGTGGCCATCAAGGACGGCACCGGTCACCGTCGGGGGCTGATCGAGGCTGATCGCATGGGCCTTGGCAAGGTGAGTCGACCTTGGAGCAGATCGATTTGCTTCGGAGGCTAATCAAATTGCAAGACGACGATCATGTACGTCGTTGCCTACCTCAATTATTTACTCGTCGCTCTAGAGATAGACCGGCAACAACATCCTGAACGCCACTGCACAGAGAATGGGGGACCGTGCCGGTCACCTTACAGCAGAGCAATCGTCTGCCCTTGCGATCCCGACGGTGTTACGGCGCGGTTTGGGCTGAAGGGCCGGATGGGGGCGACACTCGTCCTCGCACCGAAGCGACTCCTGATAACCTGGAAACAAGAATGGCGTTCTACGGGCATCGACGGCATGTCTCTGTATATCCAACACGGGGAGTTTCCGGGGGATGCCGTGCCTCATTATCGACGCCGATGCCTGACGCTCGAAAAGGTAGAAGGGCACAACGGGTCGGCGGTGATGGAAATCCGACCTGACTCGCGAGCCCACGAGATGATCGTCCTAACAACCACAGGGTCGTATTGGCGAAGAGTGCAGCACCACTTCCGACTTTGGAGGCCACTCGTCCCGGCTGCCGCCGTGGCGGACGTTCTTCCTTTGGGGATGCGCACGGACGGAATTTGTTGGTCGACAATCGTCATGGACGAGGCGCACACGCACATAAAAAAGGCGGTCTACGTGCACCAGTTGGTGGCGTCGCTTGCGTCGAATGGCTGGATCAAGCCCAACTTCATCGCGGTGACCGCAACACCCATGCTGCGCAACGGGCCGATCGACATGCGCTTTATGATCAAGGCGATCAACATGATGTCTCCGGACATATCTCAGCATCCAGAGTGTCGTGCATTCGCCGACGAAAGCAGCCTCGATCTCCTCTGCCGCGACTACCAGCGAATGAGACGATTGCAAGCCCGCGGAAACGCCGACCCTCATCTCGAGGAGAATGTGAGGGCGTGCGTCAGTGCGTTATATGCGGCTTACGCCATCCAACGCAGGGCGAGCTCCATCCAGAACGGCAAAATGCTCGTCCAGCTTCCTCCCCTGGCAATGTACGACGTCGAATGCCCCTCCGGCGCCCAAGATCGCTACCGCATCTGGCAAGTTGAGGAGTTTCTCAAAACGTCCTTCAGGCAGTCTCGCGACGAGGAAATGGAAGCAAGCCTTGCCGAACTGTTGACCCATTCCGTCAAAGCCCGTATTCTCGCCGACGCGCCCTATCTGGCGCTCTATGGCAGTACAGAGCTGCTCACCTGGTCGCACATCCGCGGAGAAGGCTGGCATCTTCGACCCGAGGAGAGTCCGTTCTGTAGAGACCTCCGCGAGATCGAGGAGAGCAGTGGCAAGCTCCAAATGCTCCGGTACATCCTGACCAATCTTGGCCGGAACGCCGCAGGGGATGACGAGGCTCTGGTGGTGGTGTCCGAATTCCCCGTCATCTGTCTCATAGTGCTGATAGTAAGTGTCGTGCCACAAATTAAGGGTCTGTACTGACGTTGTGCCAGCTGTGCCGCGATCTTGGGATAGTGTCCGAGTGGATACACTCCGGCCTCGATCCCGCCAAGCGCGAGTGGTTGGCGAGCAACTTCCAAGGGACGCGTCGCTTGGAGTACGTGAATCGCTTAAAGCGCCACGAGTCTCGCATCCGCGTGCTGATTGGGACCGTCGCCATCATTGGTTCGGGGTTGACGCTCCACCGAGCAATCAGGCTGGTCCTTATGGAACCGCAACACTCTGTGGAGGTTGAGATGCAGACAGCGGCCCGCATACACCGCTTGGGCGTCGCCACCGACCAGTGTTGGTTCTACCGCCTACACAACCCCGCCTCCTCGATTGAAGAGATGATCATGCAGGACCACGCGGCGCAACTGGAAAATTCCAAAGTGGTTGATTGGTTCACCAAATGCCGCGGGCCAACTAGCGTTGGCCTGACCAAGCGGGAAAAGGCACAACTTCAGGCTTATTCTGTCATGGACGAGGGCGACGAGGATGCACGAGAGACGATATCCGCCGAAGACATGGAGTGCTGGACTTGAGACGGAGAATTAAAAGGACTTACTACCTAGATGGGTGGGTGTGGGCCAGCAAGCTTTTTGACTGTGCGATTCTGCTGACACGGACACACACAGTCGTCGCTAGCGGTTAGAGGTCTATTCAAATTGCCTATCCACAGTTGCCATAGATAACGACTCAACGCTTAGAAGAGGAGAAGAGACAGACCTCTCCAGATTGATGAGGGATTTATATCCTGTACCTTCCCCGTTTCGCCAGGGCATGGAGTCGACGTATGGTATTGTGTGCCGACAGCCTGGCAGGCTAGCAGCCCTGCACGTCCAGCCTTATCCGTGGCAGCCTCGTGTCCATCGTCCATAACGAAGAGTCCGTCCTTCCCTACACAGGCCTCTAGAATCAGGAGCGGCGTTGTACCCGTGCTGTGTGGTGGTGCTCTGCGGACTGCCTCCACCCCGTAGGTAAGTCTGTAAACTCCAAACGGTTTCCATGTCTTCATAGCATGCGTGCTCGGATCACGACACCAGGGTGCCGGCCCACTTTTGTCACTCCTCTGCAACCTCGTCTTCGCCCACAGGCGGATGACCGAGTCCAGCCCCTTGGTCGAATAGCACTACCTCCTCATCCTCGTCCTCGTCCTCGTCTTCGTCATCGGATCGTGGGATCTTCGTTGCATAGTGCTCCGAACTGTCCACCCGGTACACTTGGTCGACCACCTCCATCATACGCTCAAACCCGTCCCTCGCTTCCCGCAACCTCTTCTGGTCGTCTTCGGACTCCTTGTTCCAGGCGAACGTCAGATACTCAAGATTGAGCAGAATGCGATTCCAAAATTTCTCTCGCTGCCACTGCCAGAAGTTGTCCACAGGAAGCAGCATTTCAGGCTCAGTGACTCGTCCACGAACTTTGATGAGGACCTCCTCGAGAAGCCAGGGTTTGCCTTCTGGCTCACTGCGGCGTGTCAGATCACGCGAGGGTTCGAGACCCGGAGATACGACTCACATGGGCCAGCGGAATTCGGGAGCGATCTGCTGTGCGAGCGGTAGGACACGCTCGTCCACGATCAGCTCCACGAAGCGTTGGGCCGCTCTGTACTCTTCTATGAGTCCGGCCCGGGTCTGTGGGGGCGTGACTGTCCTCAGGTGTACCGTGTAATCCAAGATTACAGACAGGAAGGCGGCCACTTGGGACGGCGAGGCGGGAGTGGGCAAATTGGCCGCGCGAATGCGGGAGTGAACTGAAAGGCTCGGGGCAGCCATCGAGGTTGTCTCAAGGGAGCGAAATCCTCTACAGTTTGAGCTCGCTCGGGAGGTCCCAACAGTGAGAGGTCGGGCTCGCGGGGTGCTTAAATCACCGTCGCGGTGCTTCAGGCACTGCCAGGATAGTCAATCCCGTGCCCAGCAGCGAGAGCACTTTCTACAAAAACAAGGACGGCTCCTAGTCCTGGCGGAAGCAGCGCGGTCTCTGTATCCTAGTTTGGACCGTTCCGCCGCCCACTTCATTTGACGTTACACAAATCAGTGGTCGAACGTCTCCGTCCGATCCCCCTACACCATGCTCTTGGACACCGCATTCTGAACCTGCCGCCGCCCAGACAAGTTGTCACCGAAGCTGGGCCCCAGGCATCACGGTCGCGATCGGCAGAGAGCCAGCTAACGAGAAATGATATCCGTATTCAGATCATCCCAGACGTCTTTCACATATAGCTAGTTCTATGCAATAGGCGACCTCCGTCGTAGTACAATTTGCCCGTTATACGTAGTTCATCTAAAGGAGCGACTATCCTAGTGTCCTGGAGATTAGCTGGCCCGTCAGAAATCAGGTGGGACAAGGCAGTTGCGCGTCACGTCCTGAAAAGGTCCAGGCCTAGAAGGCATTTTCGGAGAGCCCGAAATGTCTCGGGAGTACGTCGATACCCAGAGTCGTCCACGGCCGCTGACCGTCCTTACGAATCGACCCCTTCTACTCGTGTGTAAGATGGGCTGCAGCCCCAATCGAGACCTTGGAGACCAGGCTCCCGCCCACCTGCTGCCCGCAGTCAGAGTCAGGGCCGACGACATCAGATCAGCCGCGCCTGACAGATTTATCGACCTGGCGAGGTGATGTATCCATGCGAGATACAGGCTGCAGGCTGCCGACAAGGCTGCACATCCAGGGCGAGGTGGCGTGGTCTCCACACCGTGGCCCCGCATTTCCCAGGTGGGAAGCAGGCACGCGGGATACATCAGAAAGAGACAACGGCATCCCCAATCTCTTCATCTGAGCACCGATACCTGCCTTAAGAAGGTCTTCGTGGCCGTCGTTAGCTCCTCGCGGGGACGTCCATAACCTGCGTCAATGGCAGCACTTAAAGCCACCCCGGGGCAGCTGAACAACATGCCTGCGGGCACAGCTTGGTATCATCATGACCAGCCGTCTTCCGCCGTGACGATCCGCGAAGCGTATTTCGATCACCGTGGGGCCCGCCACGGTACGCGCAAACTCTCGAAGTCCTCGCGCATGGCGTTGGCCTTGACAGCCGCCTGTTGTGAACTTGGCAAGGGAAAGGTACAAGATCCACTTCCCCGGTCGCTGACCGCGGGCAACTATAATCTGTTCAAGGACTGTTCTGATTCGCACACCAGGTGTTCGTTCTGCAGCCCGACGTATCCGACCTATCATCCCGAAGACAGAGGTTGGTTGAGGCCCGTGCGGCGTTTCTGGCCGTTCCAAGCCTTTTCTTCGTACCGTCGACCTGGTCGGCGGACGAGCAAGCGCGATGGACGACCATGAGGCCTCTGAGTCAGCTGGAGGAGCTCACTAGCCGCAGTGGCGTCGTCCCCTTGTCTCAAAGCGTCCTGCCTATCGACGTGGAGCTTTCTTCTGAACCTGAGGCCTGTCCGACCCTGAACGGGCTCAAGACTGCCACTGCGACGATCATCATCGCACCCACTCCATACGCTGGTTTGACACAAGATATGAGGGCGGCGTGTGGACCCGTGGACGTGGAATCCCTCGAATTTCGATGCTCGTCGGGCTGGGGCCCTTTTCAGCGCTGGCGGCGAAACGATGGGCTGATCGGCGTCGTGGAGGAACTGGCTTCAATGTATCACAGTGGGCGGGCGGCACTAGCGTTTTTCGGATCACTCCGGGGCAGACTCATTCAGGCCAACATGGCCGCCGCCCAAGCAGGGCAAGCTTATCTTTTATGGCACGCGACAGAGGAGGAATAACAAGATTGCAGGCGAGGGAAATTGAGCATACGGACCAATCTTCTGGAGTCTGTACGGTTAGCGGTCACACGAGCGGCCGCGTCCACCGTAGAAGATGGACAAATGCTCTAACACGAGACCCATTTTTCCGTACATGGACACCGTGCATGTATCGGGGTCGTGTGGCAGCCTTGGCCCATGCCCTGAAGTCTGCCGGCACACTGCAGTCATCGTCGCCTCGGCGCCGGTTACCCTGCGTTTCTGTGTAGCACATGCGACGGCCGGGCCAGGTCGATTTGAAAGTCGTGCGCGCACGACGTAGACCGCCTCCTGACTCTGCCGAGCTATGGCCGACAAGGCCGACGCCGCCCACCACCGGATACTTAGGACCAGCAGGAAGGGATAAAGTACTTCTGTAGAGCTTTTCTCGGCAATGGTGCGGCGTTATGCCCACCTGTCACCTCTCCTGTGTATTTTCTCGTTACGACTTCCTACGGCGCTCACCGCCGCTCGACCATGGAGCCCCGTGTAACGACGCTCACGGAGCGCATCTTGTCGGAAACCATTTCTTTCATCAACTGGGCTGTAGGGGCGATCGCGGAGTGTTCGGTGCTTCCGATGATCGAGGGGGATACCAGGCATCTGCTCAAAGGAAACGAATTTGCCCCCGTGGATTATGGCCTGGTAGAGACACCGCCGGCCCTGGAGGGTTGTCCAGCCGCGGATCGAGCCTTTGAACTCTGGAGGAGGTACCCGGACCTCCGGAACGAAGTACGCGGTGTCGAGTTCAAATGCTTCGGCGATAGCGTGACGAGGGTCGCGCAGGAGCGCCCTCGCCACACGATAGCCCTGACGCCCTCCCAGCAACAGCACGCGGCGGCGGTGCTCGTGTATTCCTGTACGACTCCTCGTCTGATCAGGGTGATTCCGGCTTGGTTTTTCGACTACGCCTTTACCTACTCGCGTGTCTGTACAGTCGCGGAGCCGATCGGCGCCGCCTACCATTGCCGCATAGCCACCCGAGCGCCGGTGGTGTGGGATGCATTCGCCATGCCCATCGCCTGCCTGGGGAAGGACTTGAACGACATTCTGGCGTTCTGTCAAGGGAAATCAGCGCACTGGTAAGTTTCGCCGGCTCGTCGCTCGTCGCGACAGCCGGCGTCAGAGTTCCCGAGCTGTGCTCTTCCCGACCGAGAGGCTGATATCTCAAACTTCGCCTCCTCCAGGTCGAACTCGTTCCGAGGATGGTCGTACGAGCACTGCCCGCGGCCTCGGCCCTGTGGGATCGAGGAGCAGCTGATAGGGTCGGGCGTCGGCATTGACCCGGACGCCTGGTGGATCGACGACATCTGTACTCATTTCGCCACTTATGGGCGATACCACGACGCCAGGAAGTTGGACCTTCGGCCGGGAGTGGGCGACTTCGCGTTCGTTCGACGAGCCACGGGAGAAATGTACTCGGCAGAGCTCAAGAGGGCCGTAACCAGTCTTGGCGCCGAGGGTGAGATATGCTGCGTGTCGCGTTTTCGCGACGACATTGAAGCGACCGTTCGTGGAAGATACTTCTCGGCCTTGAATCCGGTCGACATATACTTACTTGAGTTGCGGCGGCCTCAGTGGGGCTGGCTCCTTTTGCCGCAGAACATTTTACCAGATTCGTGGTTTGACGGAAGCGCCGAAAGTCAGGCCGGTCGCGGACGGCTCTTAAGGTGGAAGCCAGACAGTGCGGACTTCTTCGCGAGGCATCGAATCCACGCCAACCCATCAGACGGGGAGGTGTTTGTTGCCCAGGCGGACCGTATTCTGAACCGGTACTCCAATCTGCACGCTCGACCCCGACCATACTGCCTACCCCTCGGCGTCCTAAATCTTGAAGCAGGAGAGGGTTCTCTCGACGACGGTGCGAGCAGGGGCTCGGGCAGCGCCGCTGGCAGCGAGGGACCCCGGGCAGCTGCGCCGCGGGCAGGATGGACGCCGAAGACACGCCCGAGCTGGTCACAACTGACCTTCGACTCCACGGAGGCGGGGAGGTATAATCGACAATGCGAAAAATTGTGAGTCCCTGACGACCGTTGTGATGTGAGCTGACGACCACCGACAGGGGGTGGGGTTCGTTCTATCCGTTGCAAGCACATCCCGCTGAGTCGTATGTGTTCACGCCTTTTCTCAACCAGGAATTCGCGCTGGGGCATCCAGACACCCCGTTCATCAAAGTTCGCTTTGCCTGTATTTCTTTGGTGGACTCCCTAGCTGCGATCTCCCTGCACGGCCGCCGGGCGTTTGAAAGGGCGACGCGACAAGGTGAACGATCCATCGTTGTGCTCGCGCCATCTCTTGCGACCGGCGGTCGACAAGCCGGGACACTGAGGGAGCAGGCCAGCATCCGGTACGTCATACCATCGGAGCAGCTGGCGTCGCCCGACCTGGCCGCACGGTTCGAGGCGGCGGCGCGGAGAGGAGCCACCATCACCAACCCGGTCCCGCTGCCCCTGCGGGATGGAGAGCTCATTGACGTGTACGCCGTCCCGCTAGAGATGGTGGTCTTCAAACTCTTCGACTTGTTTCAACAACTTGGAGGCGCAGGGACCCAATTTTTTGGCATCGACCAGTCTTTCGGGACTGAACGACTCCGTTGCGGCTGCACCATCAACGTACAGGAGTACATCACCAATCAGTCCTCGCTACTTCGAGCCTGGGTGGAGGCCGCCCAGACGATGGCCAGAACCGGGGGCACCCAAGCCCGGCCAAGAGGCATGACACAACGCAGGAGTGCACGCACTTGTGAGCACTGTCGCTCTCTGAAGCTCGGGTGCAGTTTGTGAGTCCACGACTCCTCTTAGGATCGTCGTGCCTAGCACGAGTCCATCACCGCAGGAATTCAGAATCTGACTTGCAGTAGAGACGCCTCCGGCGAACAGGAGCGGTGCGACCGCTGCAAGGGAGAAGACCGGCTCTGCGTGGTTGAAAAGCATCTTGAGAAATGAGGCCGCGTGGGATGGGTCACTTAATACGGATTTCGCATTGTTCCCGCACTTTCTCTGACAAAATCTTCTCACAAAACGCTTCCCCCTTCCTTTTCCTTTTCGTCCTCGGTGCGGTGTCCGACTTTCGAGGCGCATGTTCCGACTGTTCACGTCGATGGCCTGCCCGCGCCGAGTATTCTGTGGCCACCTTCACCTCACGTCGCTTCCCCGGCGGAGGCTGTGACTGGTGGCATGGATGGAGACGGTAGTGCAGCACTGAAAGACCAGTCACAGAGCAAGTCCACCAAGTGATCAGGCACCATGACTGCCTCCATCCACGACTGGTTCGACCACTGCCTTGCCGCTGCCTCGCTGATGGTGGTTGCAGTCAATTTCCGGCGACACGGAGTTCTGGAGATTTTTTCCTCTCTCTCTTTTCACCTTCCTCGACGGCCTTTTGCTTTGCGACGCATCGGACGCCACAGCGGCGTACCGAGCGGCTGACACCAATCCCATTTAGCAACATCCAGGACGGGCCGTGGTCCAGTTCGCCTCATGTCTCGAAAAAAGATCTCCACGCGCCCCAAAAATGGGGCTGCGCAGAGGAGCACCAAGCAACGCCCAAGCCCCTCAGTTGCAAGTTCGGACCGCACGCTCAAGAGAAATGTGGCCTCGGTGGAAAGCGAGGATCATGGCGAGCAGAAACGTCGGAAGATTACACAGTCGCACTATTTGCTCAAACCGAGCCCCATGATCCGACGCATCCGCCGCCTGGAAGAAGAAACCGCCTCTGAAACCCTCGGCGAGTCACAAGCCCGTACGTCACAAACCGAACACAACGGCGCGCAAACACCGATCGTCCCGCCAGACGAGGACTTGCATTTCGACCTTTCTCCGCCGCCTGGTCTTGGCCTGCCGGCAGAGCTTATCGAGGGGTGGAAGGCGCGCCAGAAGCGGTGGACGCAACCGCAGCAAGATGACCGCAAGTACACCATGCATAAATGGACACAGCCGGCTATCGACATCAGCTCGATGACCCAGGAGGAGCTGTCAAGGCTCTTCGTACCTGAGGCAAGTAGCAGAGATCGTTCCTCTCGCCCCCCTCGAACTCATCATCTGTCCACTAACGCAAAACTCCCGCCGCCGCAGGATGACGGACTAACGTGTACTTATGTGCACTGCCTTTCCAGAAGAGTTCAGCTACAGCGACACTATGTCAGGGGCCATGCCGTTTGCAAGCCCTGCTACGAGTACTGGCTCCGCCGCAAGCGCAGTTACTTGCGTAGCGCAGGACTGTGTGCAAGGGAGAGACTGGCGTTGGAGGTCAAGGGCCAAGCCACGTTCTTCTGTGGAAACAAACTTTGCGGCCGTGAGAGCGAAACCAGCAAATCATACCTAGTGGAAGCCGAGACGGGCGAGCTAGTACGCGTCTGCAGTGCTTGCAACACATGGTGGAGGAGATACCGGGGCGAGTGGCGTCCGGAGCACGTCTGCTGGCCGAAAGATCCCACGAAAAAGCGCTTCTATCAGCGCAAGCCACGTTCCAAGAAGGACTAAATCGGTGGAAGTAGTACACAGAGCACCGAACCATCCAAGCTCACCAGTCACGGTTAGAGATGCCGACCAGTGACTCGCAGAGCCCTAGAGGCTGGTGAAGGCACGACTAACAGACGTCGAGGATACGACCGCAGCCTCCACGGCGACGGACACCGTGCCTGGCTGCCAGCCACACTGACCCCAAGCCGACCATATTGTTGTTTGTTTTTGAGACCGCACAGCCAGGGTGCCATACCTTGCCCCGCCGATGTCAGCGTGCGAACGCCGAGGAGATTCGCAACCTGACGGCGTGTCTTACGCCCAGGGCTCTTCTCCGTCTGAAACGGTCGCCAGCACAAGTCGAGTGGCCCACTACGGAACCCGACCAGGGTCTTCGTGGCACTTGGGAACATGTGAGGAGGTGGCTACTAGAGTCATGCGAGTGATGGGCGGCGTGTGGAGGACGGAACCTACAGATGTACGGCCGACTACTAGTCACAGTATCTCCTGAGTTCTCTCTTCTAACAAGTCATCGTGGCCTCCACTCCCTGAGACCCCCGCTTTGTCAAAGCTCAAAGACTTCCAAGTACATTCACAGTCCTCCGGCCATATGTGCCGTCTTCCCTTCCCACCGTCTATGGAGAATAAACAAGTAATCCGTCGCAGCGGAAATCGGGGATAGTCTTTCCTCGGACAAAAGATGATCTCCCTATGCTATAAGGGGATGTCTTTGGCATTTGCGATTGCGTCGTCTCACTGAAAGGCGAGGTGAAGAAACTGCGTAAAAATGATGGATGGTGCAATACATGGCCTCCTTTATAATAACCTGATCCACCGAACCGAGTGAGAATTGCGGAGCCCTTCCCCCTGCGTCCCCGTGCCCCGGAGAGGAACCCTGGCGCCACTCCATGGCCGGAATCCGCTCTTCCAACTGTGCTTCAACTCGCTCCAAAACTTTCCTCCCAGTCGACCTACAACCACTACGATGATGACATGTCGCCGAGCACGCAACAGATACCGTGTCGGGGGACGGGTAACTCGACGACACAGCGCTGACGCGCGGCCAGACCAGAGCAGGTTTTCTCGCAGCAGGTCTCAGACCCGTCTCGCGAACGTTCGTCTGCCCCACAAACAAGTGGGCCCTGCCCCGTCAAGCAAGTGAGCCAATAGGTCAGGAGAACTGTACTTTTCTTATTCTGGACTGTTGGAGCTTCACGAGTATCAATTAGGAATTACACTAACTTGACCTCACTTGCCTGCCGTTGGCACCGTCCGTACCTACGAGTACTGTTCCTTCCCACGGCCCGCCACTCCCTTCGACATGGCGCTCTGGAGTGGGAGGTTCACGGTGCACTCGCGGCTGTTCATGACGGTTTGGCGCCTGCTGCGGCACACCACCATCCTCGTCCTCTTCGTCTTCATCCTCACGTGCGGTGCCGCTGCCGTCGACCTCCTTCTCGACTGGCGGCCATTCTCTCTTGGCACAAGACGTGCAGCTCCTGGGGTTGGGTTCTCGCCCTCTCCCTGCCCCTGCATCGAAGGGCTCGCTCCTTTCGGGGGGCGGTACGACATCGCCTCGACGGATTTGTGCCCTTCTGTTCTCGACATCACGGGCCAATACTGCGAGCTGCTCCCTACCTTGCAAGGGCTCTACCGCCAGTTTTCAGAGCCTCCGCCGCACGAAGTCGCGGACTCCTCAATATGGACCACGCAGAGTGACCTCAATCGGCACCTCGCAGCTTGTAGCAACGGTAGGGACAGCTTGTCACGAATAGTTCGACTCTCGGATCTTGGTGGACAGCCTCCAGAAGCCGGTGACGGAGGAAACGAAGCATGCGGCCTCGTCCGGTCCCGCGCCGTACAAAAACTGCACCATGGACTCGGGGCTGCGCTTCTGGGACACTTGACGACCTTCCAGGACGGACTGCCGTCGATGGCCGCAATGGCTACGCGGCATCAGCTGCACATGAGCGTGCTTCGTTGTGTACGGCGAAGAGCTGACGTTCTCCTCAACATGTACGGTCAAATGGCGGACATACTAGAGTTTGAATTGGGAGCCATGTCGCACGACTGCCGCGATGGCCTGCAGTCGCCACTTTGCCGCAACAGTACCGTGGACACAGCGAAGGCCGTCCACGCCAGGATCGGTCGGGAAATTTTCCATCGGCCTGAACATCGCCAGACCATCGAAGCGTACCTGGGGCCGCCGTTTCCTCTACCAGGGCGCAACGGTTCGCATGACGCTGTGAGGCTACCATAATGTATGACGAGATGGGACTGCCGGGTCACCACGGAACCACAACCGTGCGGAGAATCGGCGAAGACGTGGCACTACCGGACATACCAAAGTGTCATTGATCGCCATCCTCGGGCGGTGTTGGTACCCCCAGGTCCTGCCGTCGTCCGAACCTGATGTCCCACATCCCGGGGCCACACTACCCTACCTCGCATACATTATCTGGCAACCGTGATTGCCTTTTTCTGCCTCTCCACAAACGAGCCGTGCCACTGGACAGGATCCGACATACCGCAAACGCGAGCGCGCTCTGCGGCGGGTCGCGGCTGGGCCCGCCCACTACGCCCGCAGCTACTACGTCGGGGTGCACTGCGACTGATCTTCGAGCTATGCTGACTGTCTCGACGTGGCGCACACGGAGTCCAGGCTCACCAGGCCCCTGCAGCGAGCGAGGGGCAACATGGGGCCGTTCCGGAGTCTCTTGTACGCATCGATTGCAGCAAACACGGGTGGCATTCGAGGAGCTACCAAAACAGGTGCGATTGTGGGAGAGCCACTGAGGTTGATAAACTCTGGTGGTTCGAAACTATCTGCAAGTCGGGAGTAGGCAGGATGGTAAATGTGTCCCTGAGATTTACCACCTCATTCGTGACGTGGGTCCAGGGTACACCACACAGGAATGCCCTCGCCGCCAACACTCTTCTCCATTTGACCCTCTACCTTGGAGATGAATACTATCAAATCCCGCCAGATTGACACGAGTCGAAGTTCTGATAACAAGTGAGTAGAGAAACTAGGGTACGAAAAGAGTAATGAAAGGAAATGCAATCAATATCGGTACAAGAGTAGCAGTAGCCTCTCTCTATCTCTTTCCCTCCTTCGTTTTCTTCCAAATCCGAGCAAAATAACCATAATTACAGAGTAACGCCCCCCGAAAGATCGTGCGTCAAGCGGCTCGCAAGCCCCTGGTCGACACCCGCTTCCTTGTCTGAGTCGAGTCCATGGCGGGCAGGGCGGCCAATGCGGCATTCCATTCCCGGGCCAACGTAACACCCGTGTTGGCTTCTGCGATATATTCTAGTCTCATTTCCGCATACACGAAGTCGAACGGATTCTCCTTGGCGACACTGCGAAGACGGTGTTCGGACAGAATGGTACGTGGAGGGTTTTCGATCGCCTCCAGACCCTGTTCAGAGAACCACTCGTGGTAGGAAGGCACTCCACGTCCGGTGTCGCCCGTAGCCTCGGTGTCAAATTGCTCGACAAAGACCCGATAGGCAGAGCAGGCGAGGATGAAGGCGTCAAGCCGCTCTGCCGAGATAGTGTAGCCCCAGCTGAGGATGGTGTAGAGATAGGCGCAAAGCCCGATGAAGTGGTCCCGTGAGAGATCTGAGACGGCGAGTGAGAGGAAGTCGTTGTAGACGGTATCGGTGAGCGAAGGAGCTGTGGTATGATTGTGCCGACGTGGTCGCTTGGCCACGGGTTGTGTGGAGTCAGGCGCTTGTGCGCCACGTTTGCAGGCGGGCATCGTGTTGTGTGGGGGTCGCGACCGGTGGTCACGGCGAGCGAGAAAGCGCTGGCGGATGCTCTGGAGGTCAACGGTCAATGGGCCCGGCACAGAGTACGCGGTCGTCGTGGTCGATGGTCGGAGGAAGGACTTGAAAGGGCTCTCGTAGACGCGGGAAAATAGCGAACTTAAATCACGCTGGACGACGAGGCTGTCCCTGTGTAGATGGACCCTCCGACCAGATCATGTCTGACACCGTACAATGATAGAGTGAACATACACGAAAGGCACAATGCTTGGCGCCCCTTGTCCGCGTAGCAGGTCGGAACCTGAATGCCCAAACACCGAACTCCAGACAAAGCGGTCTTCCACCGCGGGGAGTCTAGGCCGGTCGCATACAATCTCGACCGACACAGAACCGCAGAACGGTCGCTGCGAGGTCCGATCGCCGCGCATGAGGGTGTGGAATGCGAGCGTCCCCATTGCCCGTGTAGTACTCAGGAGCTATGCCTGGGGCTTCGTCGATACGTAGATCGGATTCACGGATCCGTCAATGCTATAAGCATCTCATCAGTGTAGCACAAGCCCATAGAGCTTACGATGCGCCTCGTTGCAACGGTAGGTCGAAACGCATCATTTGCACCTGCTTCAACTCTCTGTGTCCCTCCCCTCCCTCTCCTCATAGACCCTCCCCTCGAATTCTGCCCGCCCAGCCGCCGCGGCCCAGATGTCGAGCCTGGCGTATCCCTGATCGCGGTGCTTGTCACAGTAGTAGCCCTCGACGGTGGCGGATTGACGCTTGACGGTGCGTTTGCAACGCAGGTCGCCAGAAGCGGCAGAGGCAACAATCCCCAGGCAGGTGAACTTGTGAGGTGTAGGCGTCGGACGGGACACACTCGGTGCAGGACCATCGTCAAGTCTGTCCGCGGTGGCGTGTTCGGCTGTGTCGCCAGGCTTGAGGATGTTGTCGTACAGCGCAAGTACGTCGATGGCGGAGAGGAGAGCAAACAGAAAGGTCAGGAGACGTAGAGATTGCAGCGCGATCAAGCAGGTGGCGCGGCGCACTTGTGCCCGCTTGATGGCACCCCATACACTCTCGTCCGTTCCCGAGAGGCAAGTCAAGAGGACCAGCCAGCCAACGATTGTGGTGAACCAGACATTGGCGAGGATATGGTCCCAGATACACTCCAGAACTTTGATGGAGATGCGGACCGCGAGTTCGATCGCGTAGTGCCTGATCGTGTCCATTACAGACGAGCCGGAGGAAGAAACTCAAGGGCACAGAAGCAACAACGTCCGGCGCACTCATAATATGAAGATCTGTTTGCTCGTTGCAAATGCGGCTGCAGCCTTGCACGTGCGGCATGATCATGGATCCCATTTCGGCGCCAACCAGTAGTAGTTAGCGCGCTGTAATGTATGCCTCCGTTCGGCAACAGCCTTGATTACCACAACGTGAATTTTCGCTCCAGGAACGGTATCCACTGGTGCACCAACATTTGGACGACGCCTTACACTAGCATCATGACTTAGAAGTCAACAAGTGAGCGTTAGGTTGTCTCCGTCGAGAGCATGGCGCGCTTCTCTCGGGAGGGTCACGGGCTTCGACAATCGGCTGAAATACTTCGACGTATAGAATGTTATTTATGATCCAAGGGTTGAGTCACGGTCCTCTCTCGATCTCCACCAAGCCATCCTACCCCCTCGACGGGCTCCTGCACCGGTGGCCCTCATCCATAAGCCGTCTGCACCCTGGGGGGATCAATTGCTTTGGTGCATACTGCCATCTCTCTTGAGTTGTCCGTGCTGCTGCGCACTCTCCGCGGAATGCGAAGTCTCCCGGCATCGCGACGGACTTCTTGATGACCATGCTGCCGGCGACGTCTGTGGGCATCAGCTGAGGCTACTGTCCTGTGCGCCACATCTTTGCACGAGAGGTGGCTATCTCTCTCCGGTGCTCTGGGCATCGCACTTCCGACTGTGGTGTCTTCGAACGGCAGAACACCGCCGACCGCCAAACAAAGGTCTTTTCGGACAGACTGAAGGCCCTTCAACGGCACTCTTTCATGAAGACACCGGATCCCGAGGGGGTCTCGGTGGAGCGTGTCCGCCTGCTCCGACACGTCGGCGGGTCTAGCAGGTCCCTAAGAACGACCTCAGTTGTGCCGTACGCCGCACCACCCCCGAGACGACCTCATTCAGACAAAGGATATGTCTCACCACGGCGACGATGGCCTAGCAAACATGTAATAAGAGAACATTATAGGTCTAGGCCGGCCTCCTGAGACAACCTCATGCAAACAAAGGAAATGTCTCATCACGGCGACGATGGCATAGCAAACATATGACAAGCGACTTCAGCCTGGTGTCGACCGCGCCGCCTCTATTATGCTTGGTCACCATAGCTACACAGCATAAAGGGCGCGATCCCTGCCGGAGAACCCTCCATCGTCCCCTTCCACCATATTCACGATTTGGCAGGTCCCAATTTCTCGCATAAAGCTTCCAATTCCCGAACCCCTTTCCAGCACCTCAACGTGCCGCCGCGGGCAAAACTTGAGACCTAATAAACTAGAAACCTCGCCGACGGCCTCCACGAACGCCCCCGCACTGTCCAAGGCCGATTCACCTGCGTCAACATGGGCAACGCGCTTTCCGGAATCTCGCCGACCACAGCTGCCGAGGGAAGCCGCGTATCCGCCGCCACGCTGCTCTCACGCATGCAGCGCGAACGACACACCTTGACTGACATGGAGGTCGACATCATCGCAGCACACCTGGACGCCGGGGAGCCAGAAACATTACAGGACGACAGCACTGCCGGCGAGTATGTCTCCGCTGAGTTTGCCTTCGGCGAGGAGCGTAGCATGGCCCCGGTGACCGGAGTGGGGGAGCACGCGGCGCTCGAGCAATTCGACCCGACTCTACAGGAACAGGCCTTTCGATTCGTCAAGTCAGATCACCGGATCGAGCGACGCCTTCGCCGCTCACGCGCGTGGGTATCCGTCGCGGGCGTGGCCCTTCGATTCTTCCCGCACCAGCTGTACGCCGCATTCTGGCTCTTGGTGTACGAACGAGGGCCGCGAAGGGGAGCTATTCTGGCCGACAGTATGGGACTGGGCAAGGTGAGTGACTCCGAGGCGGATCCAGCCCGGGGATGACTGACGTGGAACGCCATACCAGACGACGACCGCCTACCTGTACATCATCCTCAACTATCTCCTCGCGCACAATCTAGATCATATTCGACAACACCCGCGTATGCATTGTCAGCCTTCCGCTCCGGGTCGTCCACAAGCGGTCGATGCCCGCTGTCCTGTCTCGCATTTTTTCGGCGTCGAGTGTGCTTGTCAAGAGTATTCGGTGGCCTCCCGCTTGGGCCTCTCAGCTCGCAATGGCGCGTCCCTGATTCTACTACCGGCCGGCCTCATTGGCGTCTGGGTATCCGAGTTCGTCAAGCTGGGTCTGTCCCCGCGCGTGAATCTCCGACTCTATGTCCAGCACCGCAGCTTTGCCTCCAGTGGAATTCCGACCTCGCAAACTCATCTTCTACACCGTGACCCTGGCTCGACCCAGGACGTTCGCGCCAATCATTTTGTCGTGTTGACCAGCGTCGAATCTTACCATGACTGGGTCCAAGAGTACTGTCGTCGCGGCCGCCCAAGTGGGCTCGATCAGGACGCCGGGGGAACGAGCGTTGCGGTCCGCTCGCGCGGTCTCCGATGGGCTCGAGTTTTGCGCGACGAGGCACACCTCACGCCGAATCTCAACACGAGGCTGTACTCAATCCTCGAGGTGCTGGCCCGGGACGCCGACATACCCCCGAATTTTGTGGCGCTGACGGGGACACCCATGCTCCGGGGAGGTGTCCGGGACATGCTGGCGTTGGTCCACGTCATCAACCAAGTCTCCCCTGAGCTCAAGAACAGCACCGAGCACGCGGGCTTTGTTCAGCTATCCCAGCTGTCCCGGATCGCAGACGACTTCCTCAATGCCCAAGTCCGCGTGGACAGCGGCTCGGAGGCCGTGGTCGGCACCGTGCGGCGCCTGCTCGTCGCCTACTGCATTCGACGGCATGCACACTCCTTGCAAAACGGCAAGACCATCGCACGCATTCCCCCACTCATCTGCTACGACGTTTCCTGTCCGTCTGACGAACACGCCGACGCGCACTACCTGTGCCGGGCAGAATCCATGCTCCGGAAGCACCTGTCACGGGCGCTCGAAACGCAACGCGACCGTTGGCTCGCCGAAGGAGGTTCTCCGTCTCAATTTCGCGTCGACGTTGACCTCCTGCTCGAGAACGTACGCATGGCACGGATCCTCGCGACCATGCCGGCCCTGGCCCACTACGGACCTCGAGGCGAGCTCACGTGGAATGCCGTCAAGAGAAATGGCTGGCACGTCCGGTGCCAGTCAAGTAAGTTCTACCACGTCCTGCCCGAGCTCGAGGCCACCAGCGGCAAGCTGCAGGCGTTGCGGCGGTTTGTGGCCTTGTGGGAGCCGACGCGGAGCTCCGACGGGCATCCCGAGAGCCTCGTCGTCATCAGCGAATTCGCGTTTGTGTGTCATGTGATCGAATGCGTGAGTACCCCCACGGTCTCGGACGTGCGTGCCGACGCATTGCTGACGGTCGTTTTAGTTTCTCACAAAGATGGGTATTTCTTGCGTCTGGCTGCATGCCGATGTGAATAGCAAGACCAGGCAGGAGCTGGTCGACGCATTCCAGGATCCCCAGGCCAATCCTCGCATCCCCCCCTTCCGCGTCATGATAGGCACGTCCCAAGTCCTCGGCCAGGGTCTCACCTTGACTCGGGCTCACCGCGGAATCCTCGTGGAACCTAGCCACCACGCTGCGGTCGAGGCACAGAATGCGGATCGAACACATCGACTGGGCAGTCGGACCGACAAGTGTCGCTTCTACCGCCTTGTCAATCCCGCATCCCGGATCGAGCGGTTTCTCATCGAGTCCCAAGTTTTGCAGCGCGACTTGCAGAACAGCGTCGAATGGATGGAGGCTCTGTCCGCTTCCCCTCTCGAGCCAGATGACCAGGGGTCCGGGACTGTTATGGAGCTCATCTAGTCTCGCCTGTCGAAGTCGACGGTTCGTGGACGTAAGCTAAAATGTAACCAGAGGTAACGAGGAGTGCCCTGGAGTTTTCAGGTCATGGTCGATGTTTCATTGTGCTCAGAGGAAACATGCTGGTGTACATCGCCGCGATGCTGGATGCAGGAACCTTAAATGCGTGCTGGGGCATCGGTGTGGTGCTATGGCTGAAAGAGTTCCTCTGTACCATCTCACGAAGCAATCAAGACCACTCGGCGCTCTGCGTGTGCATGACGCTGTTCCGCGAAGTAAAAGAGGATGTCTAGGATAAAAGTTTCCAAAATTCGTGGATTTGATTGGCTGGGCAGACCCGGCGCATATAACTGGTCAATTTCCCTCTCTAGGTACTTGATAGTTTCCGCCCTCACTCAACAAGCGACCGGTCGTTTCTATATCATCGACCGTTTGCTCTGGACGCGGGTCCACAACACTGGTAGGCGATGTCCCTGTCGGTCGCCGCCAGCTCTACCTTGGCCACCCGCGGTGCGGATAATATACTGTTTCGCCTCGCTCAACTGATGACCGTCGCTTCCACCACTTATCATGCTTCCATATTACACGCCGACGTCTATGGACCGCTATCCCATCTGTGGAGATGCGGGCGAAAAGCCGTCGACACTGGTAAAGGCCCCTGTTTCGGATGGGTTCGCTGCCCCCTTGGATTATATCCTCATCACGCGCGAGCCACCCGAGACATCTGATCTCAAGGGCGTCACCGTCAGGGGCAGGTGTTCCGCTGGGACTTGAAGTCTCATCTAGACATGCCCTCACCCACCAGCAGCACTTCTTGCCGTCCTCAGCGAAGACTTCTTCCCACACACCGATCGATCATCCAAGCTCTTCTCGGAGGGGGGCACGGACGACCACGCCGCAACGCCTCACAACGCACTTACGCGATCTTGCGCCACCGACAGATCCTTCATGGTGCCTTTGCGATGCGCTTAGAACCATTCCCACCCACCTGCCGGATGATGGCTATCGACTTCCTGCTGTTACACTACACAACACGCTTGATCGTATTCCTCCTCGATTGGTGTCTGGCGATCCTGGTGCTGCGCATTGAACAACCTTATCTTCTGTCTGCCCTGCGTGCTTGGCTGGCGTACCGAGATATAGTGGTTGGTTATCTCCTCAGTCCGGTGGGGATGCTCGTCCCTGTGTGGTTCACCCATCTCACGGGCAGTGATCGTGTCAGAGAGTCAGAGACTGCGGTGGCGGCCCCGGGCGCACACCAAGTGACCTCGACACCTGGCGCTCCACGGGGGACGCCTACAGAAGACTTGCCGACGCACGGCAAATCTCAGCTGGCGGGAGCTGACCGTGGGTGCGTACCGTCCGTCGTGGGACCCCAGACCCCCCTCCATTGTGCACAGATAGAGCAGCTCGAGGCGGCTTCCGGAGCGGCACAGGCGGAGAACGATCGGCTGTCCGCCGAAAATGAGCTCCTACAGTCAACCATAGCCAGCCTACACAACGACCTCTCTGAGATCCGGACCCTCAGGGCAGAGCCGGATCAGGACCTCAAAGTCCTCGAGCAGCAGTCTGCGGAGAGGCTTCGCCAGTGCGACCACCTCAGCAGCCCATGTGCCGATCTCACACAGGATGCCCAACGACTCGAACGACGAGTGGGTGAGCTCGAGCAAGGACTGCTCGGCTCACGGAACTTGGTGCGGCTCTACCGGAGAAAGACGGCCCTGCTGGAAGCGACGTCTCGCGTGCGACGGTATGTCGCCGCTTCCCTTGACCGCAAAAATCGACACAACGAAGACCGCATCCGTCGGCTGACGGCAGAACGAAACGACGTCCTCGCCGCCACGGACATGTGGATCAGTCAACCGTGGTTCCGGGACTCCCTCCCCAGAATTGTGTTCACTGCGCAAGTCGTCGACGCTCGCGCGTCGCTCCAGGATGCCCCCGCCGTGGCCAGAACCATTGACGTCTTGGGTGACGGCATCCTCCATCCAGTGTCGGGCGCGTCGGCCTCTCCCCGCCGGTTGCACACGTTTGACCACGTCTCTGCCGACACAGAAGAAACCCAGCGAGGTCGACAGGCCTTTGCGGACGCCCTGCTCTCGTTTCATGGCTACCACGGTCGGGCAATCTGCTTCATCGCGGACGGTGAAAGCGGCACGGGAAAGACGTACAACATGTTCACGAGGCCCGACTCCCTCGCCCGTCGGGCGCTGTACTGGGCCAGGGGGGCCGCGGTCCGCAGTGCCTGCGCAAAATTTAATCCGGCGAACTTCAACACCAGTAGTGACGCGACCGCGACCTGTTCTTTTGAGATCGCGATCACGGAGTGGCTCCCCTCGTCCTCCTCGAAAGGGCGGGTCGTCGCTTACGACCACCTACGAAATCTGCCTCCCCGGGTGGAGTTTGACTGCTGCTCTCGCCAACCGCTCGAGGGGATCGGCAACCCCACCGAGCGGGAGCGGTGGTACGGTGTCGAGTTCCCCCGTCGCCGTGCCGACGAGGATATAGGACCAGCCCTCGACCGAATGCTTGACGATGCGCTGCAGGAGCGCAGGGCCGCGCCAACGCCACTGAATGCGTGTTCGTCGCGCAGTCACCTCGTCCTGTCCGTCAGGGTGGACGGTGCCGGCCCCGCGGGTGTCCACGTGATCGACCTGGCCGGGAGCGAGGTCGCCATGGCCAAGTCGGCCGACGACCGCCTGGCGGCGGAGAATGCGTTTATCCACTCCAGTCGATATGCGATCCTACAACAGCAGCGAGCCTACGTCAGCGGCGACGTCGTCACTCGGGACCCCAAGGTAACGGACCCTATTAACTCCCCGCGCGCGAAACTGCCCTGACCATCCTCAGTCCATCCCTCAATGGGAGTCCATGCTGAAGCATGACAATCCCACCATCGTCTACATGGCGCACCTGCACCCGGGACTGGGACGCGAGGGCGCCACCGTGCAAATGCTCCAAGACGTGCGAGACCTGCAGGAGCGACAGGCCAAGCGGACGACGAAGGCCAAGCTGCCGGCGGGCAACCGATGAACCGGGCGCGGGAGATGTCCACGAGCCACAGGGCGGACTCGGAGGGCACGGCGGCGACCCTCGTGCGCCACGTCGCGCCGGACCGTCGAGGCTGTCGACAAGAGTCGAGTGCGTCGGTAAGTCGGGGCACATCAGGGCCTTGTGTTTCACCTGTGCAATGCCGACGTGGAAACACGAGATTCTCGTTGCCGGCGATGCGCAGCCGACAAAGAGTACACAACAATGACTGACGACCGAACCGGGACGAGCTACGGGGCCTCCAGACAGGGGCCGTCCCATGCAGAGATGTCAGTCGCGAGAAAAGGACAATCGGTACCGCCGGGAAGGCTGCTAGGCTTCTAAACCAAGATATTGTAGAATCACGTTGGTTATGCTATAGAGGAAGTTTGGTCTGGTGGAGGCGCAGGGCTACGGCGACATACAAAAATACGCCGTGAGATATCTATGTGCGATATAGTGAACTCTCCAGACTGCTGTAGATGACGGCTCAGCGCTAGAAAAAGGGAAAGGAACCGGTTCCCGCCCGAGTTGGTAGGGACAAAGGCCGGTGTCGTCCCACGGTTGGTGCAGCTACTGGGAAGGACAGAGATTCAGGTGGTGCCCCAACCACAGGGTCGAGATGTCGTGATCTTTGCTGCTCGCCCGGAACGACAACACTTTCCCAGCCAAGTCTATGGATAGAAGGGCGCGCCCGATAGGACTTCTGATACACCCATCATTCGAGTTCTTGTCTTGCCGTGTCCACGTCGCCAGGGGTGGCTTTGATGATGGGGGGAATTGCAATCTCGACCGCAGGCCAGCTCCCGTCAAAATCTGCATCTGGCCCGGTTGCCTGCGCCAAGCACGTGGATCGTGGTCGTGGCCCCTTCTGTCAATGTTCGAAGAGGGACACTGTCAGGGCAGACTTCCCTGCAGTGGTGCCGTTCTAAAGATGGAAGGTTCGGCCTCCTCCAAGGTGAGTGTCGGGCCACACCCTTTTGCTTCGCCCGGCGGCCTGTTGATGCCGATGCAGTATGCTCGATCCGACGAAGAAAAGCTCGCGAGACTCAACGACACAGGCGTCCGGGTTGCGGCCGGGCGACTGGTGAACATCTTCGAAGAGCCGACCGACGTGGGGCGACCGATAGAGCCAGGCCCCCGGCGAAAGACACACCGCGACTTCACGCCCGAGGACGATGCGACGCTCTTTGCGCTCCTTGGCGCGGCGGAAAAGGAAGACTTGCAACGTGGCAACAAGATATTCCAGCAGCTGGAAGCGTTGGTGAGATGACCTCTTGGGGGCCACCCGCCCCCACGGTGGCAGCGGGGGCGTCACTGACGGGCGTGGCAGCGGCCCAACCACAGCTGGCAAGCATACGAGAACCGCTTTCGAAAGAACAAGACGATGTCCGGCGAGCAGATCGACGAGCAGCAGCCCTGGTCAGGCCCGTGGCCCGGGCTGTACGACGACGCGGGCGGCGACCAGACGCACAGCCCACCGCCCCGCCCGACCGGCCGTAGCACCACTGCCCCCACCGACCGCACCGATTCGACCCGAGGCTACAGCTCGCTGCGGGCAGACACCATGCGCAACATCTATGCCCGGCTCGCGGTCGAGAACGAGGAGGCGCTGAGGGATCTCTTGCGTGACGACGACATAGCGGGGCACGTGCACGAGTATCGCCGGGACCACCTCCTCCACGCACAGGCGCACGACGCGTCGAGGGTCGCCGGCGACGTGGCCGTGGGGAAAAGTGTCGCGGGTCGATCCCAACACGAGTGGAAAACCAGCTACGTCCGGGCGGAGTTGCGGAAGCCGCAGTCCCGGTTTGCGACGGCGGCGGTGGACAAGTCGAGCTGGACCGCAGACGACCACGACGCTCGCTTCATGGTCCAGGTGTGCCGGGGCGCCATGGCCGGGAAGGGACCCTGGGGCTTCCTGGGGGGGCGGATCACCGCCACCAGTTGTGCGAACGAGCGTTCTGGCTGATGACCTGGCTGCGGTGGCTTCACAAGCCGTTAGGGGGGGCGGGAACGAGTCCAAGAGACTGGAGCGGGTGAAAGCACGGTGGCTGGACGAGCTCAGGGGGTCTCCCGGCATCGAGCGAGAGATGGCAGACTCGGCGACGGGGTCGGCTGCGACCGCACCAGGCGAGTTACGTCCTGCCCGCCCGGCCGAGGAGGAAGAGGCAGTCGATCCCCCCAGCGAGAGGTCCGCGCGCCCGGGAGCGACCCCCAGCGACGCCACGGCCCACGATCCACCAGGGCCCCGGGAGGGGCCAATGGGGCACCGAGGACCGGGTCCACGTCCACGCGACACCTCGCCGAGGGGAGAGCTGGATCAAGTCCGTGGTTTCTCCTGGCTCACCTCGGACGCCTGCAGGGCCTTTCTCAACCAGCAGAAGAGAAGGCTCGACAGCTGGGGCGTGTCGAAGGAACACGCGGGCACGTGCGTGCTCGTGCCGGAGGCGTGGGCGAACGCAGACCCGCGGGACTTGTCGGCGTCCCTCGACCAGGATCTATTCCCTCGGTGGGAGACGATGGAACAGCGGCTGCACTTCTCCCTCAACGACGTCACCACCGCGTGGGCGCGCGCCGCCGTGTGGTTCAACGACTGGCCGCGGACGGGCACCGACTTGGACGCCTTCAATGCCGGCAGGGAAAGTGCCATCCCGCCCATGCATGCCTCCCATCTGTGCCACCACGGGTTCTGCATCAACCCCAATCACCTGGTGTGGGAACGGGCCAGCACCAACCTCTCGCGCAACTGGTGCATGACCGCGGCGCGGGTGTTGCGAGAGTTTGGCCATCCGGTGCCGGAGCGCTGTCGGCGGCATGAGAATCCGCCCTGCATGATGCAACACGCCGCCCTCACCACGACCGAGGCCTTCTGTCTCCAATTTCACGTCCTCGGTGTCGCCGCCGGCGACGACGGTCTCGCCCGCTGGTGCCTGCCGCGCCCGTCGGACCATCCCCGGTCCTATACCACGTTCGAGGGCCGTCTGCCGGTGCAGATGCCCGCGACGGCCGTGCGGGCGGACGCGTCACTCCTCGTCGTCCCACCGGCCGAAAACGCCACGGCCACCGACATCAGGGCGGACTTGAGGCTAAGGTGTCGTCTGTGTGAGGACACGGGCCGCCGCTGGACGAAACCCACCACGGCCTGGGCTCACATCGTCGTCCACCACGCGGGCCACCCGCGGGAAGAACGCACGCGCGAGATCCGGCGGATCGCGGAGGAGTATGCAGCCTGGGCGGAGGAGCGGTTCTACCATCTCCCGAGCCACAACCCGCAGACGTGGGCGAAAATTGTGCAGGCGCGCTCGCCAGACTTCGACTGGGAGGTCGTCGAGTCGTGGCGCCTGCACGAGGCTCGTTTCTACCAGCGCCAGAAAGGGGCGACGGGCGAGGGGTCGACGGTGTTCGCGCCCAGAAATCCGACCGGAGGCGTGCCCTGAGCGAATGGGTCGCTGGGATCCGTGGCGCACGACGTGACCCCGTGTTTTCCCTGGCCTAGACTGCGGTGTTCGAGGGCTATCGTGCCGGTGGGGAACCCCTGACCTTTCAGCCGTGCCGTTGTGACGAAACGTGCGTGCCGCCGCGCGAGAAGATGGAATGTCATTGCCCTCGAGGACGTGGGCGGCCACGGGACTACGTCTCGGCGACGCCTGCCATGCTCGGGAAGCCAGTCAGGTTGTATGTGCGATGATGGGGAACGACTTTCGTGGCACAGACGTGTACCATAGCGACCGAGTTGTATGAGCATTGCACGACATCCGGCGGCTGGGTCGTCGCCGTGGTTTGGCCTCGCGGGCAGGTCAGCAGGCTCACGAACGAATGAAAGGCGGCGGGTGGGGCCCCACCTGAGACACCTATACTGGGTTGTGTCGGGACAGGTTCAGAGGGGTCTTGGAGTCCAACTGGTTTTTTTTGCACATGGTACCATTGGTCGGTGCGAGGTAGCCCAATTGTATAGGGGGGGTGGGGGGACTTCCGAGATGTGGGCTCCGGCGTTTTGAAAAAGGAAAGGACGCTGATTGGCAATTTTCTGACTCCTTGAGCAGATGCCGACGGGAAGGCCGGATTGGGGCGCGGAGCGATTCGCGCTGGGACGTGGGATATTTGATAGACCTGAGACAGAAAAGCAAGCAAGGTTGGATGGGTGACAATGGAAATGGTCCAGACCAATGCATATCATAATTGAACATGACCATCTACTTTACTGGGGTGTGAATGTCCCAGGAGATCCCATAACTCGGGGCAGACGGTAGAATAGAAACCCAGCTTGGACAAAACGGATAGATAATAATACTCGTACAGGTAGGTCGTTTGTTGCACAATGGATATATCGTTGTTTGGCGCACCCAAGGAGTTCCAAGACATGTACCTCCTCCTACGTGCGAGACCCTGAGTGATTATCAACCATTTCAACCGTAAAGCCAGCTATTGGGGGCTCAGATACCGAGGGTAAACTCCACGCCCACGTCAATGTCCCGTGCCATTTTGACAATCTTGGAGAGGTCGACGACCTTCTCCGCTGCGGCCTGAAGGTCGATGATGGAGAAGATCTTGAGACCAGAGTTGTTGACCTGTGTCATGGCGGGTTAGCTCTGATGCCACAGGCTCAGGCGTCACGAAGAGGACTCACCAACTCAGCGGCTTCTTTCATGTTGGTTCCCTGCAAACGACACACAATGGGTAATCTCAAATTCATTTGTTGTACAACATGGATCAAGCCCGACGCAATAGCATCGCACCGGACGATGCCACCAAAAATGTTGACAAAGATTGCTGTCACCTTCGGGTCGTTGGTGATCAGCTCAAAGGCAGATCTAATAGCTTCCGGGGTAGCACCACCACCGACGTCCAAGAAGTTCGCCGGGGAGCCACCGTTGATTTTGATAATATCCATGGTAGCCATGGCCAAACCAGCGCCATTGACTAGACAGCCAATATCACCGTCCAACTTGATGAAGTTCAGTCCGTGCCTGTGACTGTGTAAGTAAGATGCTTCTCTCTCAGCTGAGGTGACGTACTCTGCAGCCTTCACCTCATCGGGATCCTCTTGTGAAGTGTCTCTCCAGCTGAAGACCTCCTTCTGCCTGAACTCGGCGTTGTCATCAAAGCCCAACTTAGCGTCCATGGCCAGTACTTGATGATCACTGGTCTCGCTGAGCGGGTTGATTTCAATCTGGGTGGCATCCTTCTCCATAAACACCTTGTACAATCTTTGGATTGTGTTCTTTGCATCTTCGATGCATTGTTCACTAAACCCGAGCTCGGTCGCAATGTTCCGTGCAATCTCGTCTGTCACGCCCTTGTTGATATCTATAGGCGTCGTGATGATGGCATCAGGGGTCTCCTTGGCCACGGTCTCGATATCCATACCACCTTGGGACGACGCAACGATGACCGGTGACTGGGTTGAGCGGTCCATGAGGATGGCAAGGTAGAATTCCCGGCGGGCAAACTTGCGTTCGCAAATGTAGACTGAGTTGCAGATGCGGCCTCGGGCACCTGTCTGCTTCGTGATGAGCTTGTGCCCGATCATTTGACTTGCAAACATCTTTGCTTCTGTGGGTCTGGTTCTCGGTCAGTAAGCTCCAGTCTTGTCTCAACGGTGGTGGGAGAGAGCATACGAATAGATCACCCTCACACCGCCTTTCAGACCATTGTCAAAGGTGCCTTTGCCTCGGCCTCCAGCGAGGACTTGGGCTTTGATCACCATATCATCTCCCTCTGTATTGGCTACGTCAGTGTTGTTGTGCACGCTTCCGAATCTTCTATTGCCTGCGCATACCGATCTTTTTTGCAATAGCTTCCGCCTCTTCTGGTGTTCGGGCAACCTCTCCTTGAGGGACTCCGACGCCATAGGATCTGAGAAGGTCGGCGGCTCGATATTCGTGGATGCTGAGATGTCTCAATTGCTGCTGTTGGACTGAGCTCCGCACCGGGGTATCCTACCGATTCCTGTTAGAGCACACAGCGAGAAGCCGAATTGAGGCATTGCAACACTTACTCTGAAGGCCTTCAAGGCCAGGCCCAAGTTGCGGCGACCCAATCTGTACATGTTGCCCACAAGACTAGAAAAAGAGTGACTTGGGGATGAGGGACGTAGCGAGACTTGGACCAGATACAGCGCAACAGATCTCCGGCAGCTTCGCAATCAGGGTTTCGCAGCTGATTGGTGGCTTGAGAGTAGCTTTTGCCGAGCACCGCCACAGATGCGCCACGCAGCAATTCTATCCGACGACCTCTTGGCATGCCAAACACTGCAAATCCTTGAAACTGATAATGTCAGGTCATGAATGCTACATGTCTATCCCGCAGTTCGGGGCCATGATTGTCCGAGTAGATTATGTCTCGATGCCTACTGACTGACTTCATTGCAGGCATATTGACGCCTTCCGTGTGCAACAGTTGCAGGAGACCTCATATACTCGAAATATGTCGCACAACGAATGCCCCCACGGCTATGAACGCCCATATATGCCATGTCTTCTGCTGGGCTACCTGATGGAAAGTTGCAATTCCCGTCAGCGGCCACTTTGCATACAGCGAATCCACTCGACGTCGTCACGTGTGAGGCTTTGGGAGCCCCGTCATAGCATAGCTGTTTAGGAGAGCCTCGCAGAGGTGACCCGAAGAACACCAATGCCTCGATTCCCTGGAGAACATAAGGCATTCGAAAATGTCTTTTGCAGCCCTGGGCCTTCCGTGCAATCGCAAATTACGAACCGAATTCAGGGGCACCATTCGGAATGTTCCGAACCGCTTTCAAATGGTGCGGAAATCTGGTTGAATTAGCCTTCGACGAACAGTCACTTTATCACCAGCTAAATGCATTCTTGCAGCCGATGCTCATCGTACCCCGGGATACATATTTGGGTCTGCACTTCCCTACTTTTCTCTACGCCTGGGAGACAATATGCTTGCGTATATTCTCGAGATAGACCAATGGATAGTGTACGGGACTAGACTTCCCAATGACTTCATGCGACGGCTTTATCCTACAGCCACCACCTCTGCTTCAGACAGCACTCCCCAAGGCTCTCTTGGTATTACCCAAGATCTACCTGTTCCTCGGAATTTAAAGCTAAGCGAACAGCGTCTTCTTACTTCATTTTCCCGCTTTAGCCTCTACGTCGAACATCGGTGTAGAACAGCATGGAAGCACGAATGACCGAGCTACTTAACAGATCATACTATACCATGTATATTCCAGACAGGTAGCATCTATATGCTTTTACGTCTTTACGAGCCCCACCAAGGAGCGAACTTCTGGATAACATTGTCTCCTTGGACTTGCATCACATCACAACCCTCCCCGTTCCATCAGACAGTCTATCTATTGTAGTCCTCAAGCCCCATTTCCGGCCAACTCCTGCTCCACCGCGTCTGCCATGTCTCCCAGCGTGACGAACTTCCAGTCATAGATCTCCTGATTGCGATTGCCCATGGTTCCCCTTCGCTGGATCCAGGCCGACTTGATGCCCATCTTCCGGGCGGGATGGTGGTCGTGGAACTGGCTCTGAGCGGTCTGGAGGACCTGGTGTTTCTCGACGCCAAAGTCCCGCTTCACCGCGGCGAGCATGTACTCGAAGTTGCGGAGGTCGGGCTTGTAGGACCCGACGTCCTGGGCCGTGATGATCTTGTCAAAGCGCACCCCGCCCAGCGGACCGGCGTTGCTGGCGCTGAAGCTCTCTCGGTCCACGTTCGAGAGCACCACGAGCTTGTAGTGCCTGGAGAGCCGCTGGAGCGCGTCGACCGTGTCTGGAAACGCCGGCCATGTGCCGATGGACTGCCCGAACGCCTTGCTCTCTTGCACGGATGGTTCTTTGAGACAAAGTCGTGCGGCGAATTGCGGGTAGACCGTGGTCAGCAGTTGCGAATACGGCATGTCGGGAGTCTTGTTCTGCTGTTCCACCTCTAGCTCATGGTACAGCTCAAGGATCTGGCTCCGCGTAAGCTCTTTCGTCTCAGTCAGGGGCTTCAAGCCGTCAAGAATGCCGGTCTCCCAGTCGATCAAGGTCCCGTACACGTCGAAGCTGAGGAGGCGGAAATCCGTGAGCTTGGCCATGGCGATAAAATTTTCTGTCCGGTATTCACTCCCGTGTACGATGTCGAGAAAAGATGTTTTGCTGTCGCTGGAGGTTGCAGGCTCATTCTTAGAGGTTCCGTTCCCAGTGTCGCACTCTTTATCAACAGAAAGCGAAGAGCCAAAGGCTAAGCGTCCGCGCCCTTCGACGATCTGCGAGCGATCGGATAATGCCACCGGATCCCGAACCACACTTCTTCGCCCACCCGGCCCCTGACATCTCGAGCCTCGAATTTCGGGCAGAGAGCCCTACGCCCTTGATCGACGTTGCCGACCATGCGGTTAGACGCGGCTGACTCAGAAAACATCACTTCTATACGCGCGAAAATGTGCGGCTACCCATGGCTCCAGCAAAAGACCCACCGATCGAACTCGAGCAAGCTACGCAGTGACCAGCGAGAGATCTAATGGGTTTTGCCCACTTTTGCGCCCTTTACTAATAATATAGAATCAAGGACTTCCATTTTGATCCTTTCTCTCCCCGAGTCAGACTACCGTGACGCTATTTCCCCATGCGGCATCAGCAAGCACGTCAACTATACACCTCTCACGTCTACTCTTCTAGTTACGTAGCTCCCATGACATCTCTCCACGATATCTTCTTGAGAAGCTTGCAAGCTTCAGTCTCAGTGGACGAGTGGTGCATCCCTCAGATAACACTCCGCATGACAAGTGGCCGGCATATGGAACCAGGGAGCGTCCGTCTCGAATGCAGGGAGAAATGGAATAATGAGACTGACAAATCCCCCATAAGAGTCCCGCAGATGAATGCTCATCGCCAGGTCAAACTTGGTCGCGGGCTTCAACTGCTCGATGATAACTTTTTGCTGGACTTCATTGCCGGTTCGGTTCAAGTAGAAGTAATCCAAACCTGTTTCCCTAAAGGCGGCAAAAGGTCCGTCGTCCCTGTTTTGCTCTGTAAGCAATCTACTCAATCTTTTAAGATCGGTCTGAGCAGCTTGGTCCTTCAAGTAACGCCCAGGTGTAGCAGAGACAGATCCCAAGAGTCACGTAACATGTCCTCGGTGAACTTTGAGATCTTAAGATTGTGCTGGGCATCCTTCAAATTCATGCCAGTAAAGCATGGCAAGTGGAGTTGTTATACTGATATGGTTGGCGCGAGAAGTGTTGAGAACATGGTCGTGACAGACCATTCCAGGCAGTCGAGTTTCGCAGTGGCAACACGCCAATCTAGTCGCCTCACCCGTAAAATCATTCGTTCGGTATTCAGGCGCTCATTTCAAAGCAACAACGGTGCGCATTCATTGCGCCAGTGTCACTTCGTTGCTGTCTCCTCCCTCCCAGCCATCATACAAGAATTCGTCGAAGATCGGCCATTGAAAGTCTTGGAACACAGTGTCTGGAGACCACCCGATTCCCATCATCATGTTAACAGAGTCTGTGCTGGGGGAGGTCCAGGGAACAGGTTTCACGGCGGAAGGTGCTTTTTCATCTTTCGCTTTGGTCAGCTTTGTGGCCTCAAAGAGCAGCGAGGGTCACGCAATATACCTTCGACTCCCTCGTATGGATTTGGCTGACCCCCAAATTCTTGTCGCCACAACCAGAAACAATCGAACGTCAAGCTAACTCCAAGCCTGTTTCGACAACGGAGCCAAAGGCTGTCAGGGGTGCCATCGGGTTGTTTGATCACCACCCTACTAGTCCACAGTTGTGACAAGATCATCGTCGCTCTGGACGATATGTCGTCCGACCTAACACTTTGTCTCTTGTTCAGATTGATGGCAGAGAAATAACACCTTTGTCCACGCTTCAGGTCCAGCACCTCGAAAGCGCGTGATTTCCCAACGCGAAGGATTATGAAAGCCGCGAGATTCCAGTTCATGTTGACGCTTGTTGAGCCATACTCTGCCATTCCTTGCTCCTGATCCAACTCTGAAGCCAGCTCGATCATGGCACACGCATCGTCGTACATTTTGACGAGGCTGGTTTGCCCAATTGTTGACGACGGAGCCAATAAGTGGCAGGCCGAGACTTGCAACTCGGCAATTCGGAGTGTGAGCTGATCTAGAGTACCTTAGCAGCAGCCACAAGTGTAGTCAAAATGTCACAAACCCTGTTTGGTAGGACACTCTGCGCTCAAAGTAGCTAGCCTTGAGAGGCAAGCATTGATTGTAGGCCCGAGGATCGTGTTACGTTCATCTGGTTTTTTGGACAAAGCATCCCGGTCGATTTGGACGATGGCCTCGCTTAGCATATGATTCAATCTCCTTTGGAACCGTATCGTGGGAGGCAATGTAGCTAATGGATCTTCTCTGTAGCCCTCGTGGCTATAAGCGTCCGTGAATATTAGGGGTGGAAGACCTCGTGAGTTGTTGACTCTTGGAACACGCCATTAGTTTTCGCTCCAGGACGCCATTTCTCTCCCTTTATCTCTCATCTCACCTTTGAGAGGTATATAAACACATCGACCACAATCTGGTTCTGAACCTTCTTTGTTGACCGTCATATTTGAGCGGCACTCGTGTAAAGTCCTGAACAGAACCATATACATGAAGGCCGACGTTTGTGGCGAGCTGTATCATTGCTCCCGCTAGTTGTGGGGTTACGTCTTTCTGTAACGTGTCGATTGGCATCTGCCAGGTGCAGAGAAGTACGAGAGCTTGAATCGTTGGCAAAACTCTGTCACACGAGAAGATTGCGGTTTTTGCCAGCTCCAAAACCTTAGGAGCAAGAAGAAGGATCAAGGTAGGATCCTTCGAGTACCTTCGTGAGCCAATAGCGACTATGGTCCAAAATAGAAAGGGGGATGCCCCGTGACAGTCATTCGGATTCAGTTTCTGATCGAAAATTGGGAGGTAGGGCAGGTTCCTTTCAAAAAACCTACATGTTCTGTCAGTCCGTGACAGGTCTCCTGACAAAATTGAGTCAAGTACTCACAGCTCGAAGCATCCGTCAATGTCTTGCGCATCGACAACAACATCTTGAATAGTTTGCGGGCGCGTGGTCGAGGGTTGACTGTTGTTGTGTAGAATATTTCCATGGCTTGAATCGGGCACTGGATGAGCCGAAGGATTTGTCGAAGCGTCCAGCGAACGAGGGCTGAAACCCGCGAGCTGGGGCGTCGCATATGCTCCTGTCAACGTTGGCGCGGCCTGCAGACCTAGAAGATTCCTCGGAGTAGCTGGATTGTTTACGGATGGGAACTGGTTCTTCTGGTCAGACATGCCATTACCGACTTGTTTCTTCAACTGATCCAGCTCGGCTTGCAGTTCAGTCTTTCTGTTCAACAAGATCAGTGCCATTTCCTTGGCCCAAGATTAGAGAAACACACGTGCGCCGTTTCACTCGTTTGAAATCCTTGGATACGACACAGTTCAATTCGAACCGTTTGCACCGCGAGCATGGCTGAGAATAGTCCTTAGACGCATCGCATCGAAGCTAGCTGCAGGTTACCTTGAGACTGTACATGGAATAGCTATTGATCAAGTCTGCAAACCTTTTGCTGGCGGCATTCTGTACAGGCTGTGACTCTTGTGCCTTTTACTTCCAGTGAAGCATTGCTCATGATGTGAAGATGATTGTCATATAGGATGGCACCTGAAAGCGCTGACCGCGAGCCAAAACCTCTCCCGCTCCGCGTATCGAGGAGACACGCAAGGTCTAAATCCCCGGCATAGATAGGATATTCAGCAACTACAAGGGGCTTAGAGATGGTCCATAACATCAAAATGTTCCACCAAAGATCCGACCGAGTCCACCAAATGCCACTCAGGTTCGTCGAAGTTTCTCAGGTATTTATTGTAGGTCGAAGGGTCGATTTGCGGAAGCGGGATCGGATATAATTTGCTCCGAGCCAAGGCATACACGTGATTGGCTACCGCATTGAGCAAGCTATATCCGCAGTCGATCCCGCGTTCACTTGCACCTCATTTGCTCAATTTCTGGTTGAACTGACTACCTCGTCGACGGTGGTGGTCACATCCAAGCAGAGCGGCCTCCCTCCCTTCAAGCCGACTTCTGATGCGTATTGGTCGGGGCCACCGTGACTATAGGGACATCGCCCTCAAAGCGCAAGTCCGGGCTATTCTACGGCGCACCCAGAACTCGAGCCATTACGGCAACCCATATATTTCGGTTCACGATCAAATCCAGGTGCAAGATGCTGTCTTCAAGCAGGCGTCGCGGCTGGATAGCCTGCACAGAAGCACCAAAGCCTGGCGGAACTTCTGTGAGTTAGATTTGGACCGGGCGTAATCGGAGAACTAATGCCTGGAAAGACAGGTTGAAATCTGCCAACCACGGCTTCACCGTAGCTGTCAAAGATAACATCGTCACTGCAACTTTACCGACGACATGTGCCTCCAGGATTCTCAAAGGATTCTGCCCTCCGGAAGATGCCACCGTCACGAGACTACTTGAAAAAGCGGGAATGGTCATGGTCGCGAAGACGAATATGGACGAGTTTGGGATGGGTTCGCACTCCACCGACTCCGCATACGGCCCCGTGGTCAACGGCGGTGCAGTGAAGAGTGACCATTTGTCGGTAGGTGGAAGCTCTGGCGGGAGTGCTCTCGCTGTGGCCAAGGACCTGACTCATATCGGGATCGGGACCGACACGGGAGGCTCCGTCAGACTGCCGGCAGCATATATGAGCCTGGTGGGCTTCAAGCCTTCCTATGGAATGATATCTCGCACGGGGGTGATACCTTATGCAAACTCTCTGGATACCGTCGGCATTCTCGCCAAATCTGTCGTTGACGTTAGGTTGACTTTCGGTTAGTAGATCTCTGCGGCTCGCGTTTCTTGTACTTACATGGGGCAGACATGCTGCAGCGACCAGACGTCTCGGATCCCACATGTCTGGATCAGTCGTCTCGAGAGCGAGTCAGAGCCGCAAAGCATAAGAGAAGACGAGCCATTCTTACGTCTAAGTTGTTCGTTACCAGGGTTCCTTCTTCAAAGAGCTTGCTTGAAGCACAAGGTCTCGCGTCTCTGGCTTCCAGAAGAAGAAATCTTGCTGTCACAGCGGCGCAAAAACACCACACTCGACGAATAGGAGTACCTTTGGAATACAACATCGAAGAGATGCACCCCCTTGTCCGCTGGGCGTGGACAGCAACCCTGAGTCATCTGCAGAATGTCTACAAGTTCGAAATTGTGCCCATTTCTCTCCCGGCTACAAAGCATGCACTTTCAGCTTACTACGTTTTGGCCCCGGCCGAAGCTTCTTCGAATCTTGCGAAATACGATGGTGTTCGGTATGGCCGACGGCGAACGGCGCCCGCAGATGGAGATGGCAACCAGCTCTATTCAACCTACAGGTACGAAAACTTTGGACCTGAGGTGCGCAGGCGTATTCTCATGGGAACTTATTCCTTGAGCGCTGGGGCAATGGACAACTACTTCATCCAGGCCCAGAAGATCCGTCGACTGGTGCAGCAGGACTTTGACGCGGTGTTCAGAATGCCAAATCCCCTCCGCGATGGTACCGCGGAAAACCCCAACGGCGTGGACATGATCATTGTCCCTACCGCGCCAAGTCCACCGCCATATATTGAAAGCTTGAAAACCTCTCGACCCGTGGAACGATATATGAATGATGTGTTCACGGTGCCGGCAAGCCTAGCGGGTCTTCCTGCGATATCGGTCCCTGCACCAGCACACCCTGATCATCCTTGGGATCCCGAAGTGGCCGTTGGCATGCAGGTCATTGGGCAATACGGTGACGACTTCTCCGTCATCTACTTTGCACAGAATTTTCTGTCAAATTTTCACCGAAGAGACATGAGACGGATAGTCGAGACCAAGATATTGACCTAGGGAACCATGCGTGGCTGTTACGATTATCAGTCTATGATACAGTCTTGTCTTCGTGTGAAGCAGCCCGGTCGAGGGTATGGAGCATATCTCGGTAATGCGCAGCAGCAGCAGCAGCAGAAGATCCCGATTGCCGCTTTGATCGTGTCAGCCTATAAGCCGTTTGGGCTTACTACCGACCATACCGACTCCTACCCAGCTATGTCTACCGGTCGATCGATCTATGGCCGATACCTTGCTGGCGCCTTCGTATATACTTATCTTGGCAAGTCAATCCACATACGATGCTGACTGTGTGTCTCCTCCATACACTGGTCATTCTCACCGGCTTCGTTGTAACTTGACACGAGCTTAGGCCGCCCTAGAAATGACAATCACTTGCCCGGCCACAGATGCATCGTTATCCAAGGTCAAATGAAGTCTCCGACTATATGGACCAGGACTTTGCACTTGTTATGGACCGCGATTGAGGTCGAATTGTTTTGCTCTGCTATCTAGGTTTCCATCACGCTTGACTGATGCTTCAGGCGGAAATGAAGCACAGCTCGGATCGACTGCAACCATCATGTCGACATAGACCTGGTACACATACATCACATCGATATGGATACATTGCTCACCTGGCGGGGTCTTGAGCGAATGAAACACTAGTGCAAGCGAAGGCAAGGGCGTCGCCCTCGGGGTAGGAATACTCAGACACAGCATCCTCCAGGAGACGGCGCCGTGTACATATGGCTGGTATGAAGAGAACCATTTGTAATACCAATGTACATGTTTGACCAATGACTTTTTCCCATCTAACTACATCTTAAGACCTCCCAGAGGCCAATGGGATCGACCATGATCGCCCAACCGTCCGGGTTGCCCACCGACACCACATGATGCTTCCCCTCCTGCAATGATACACCCGCCGTGACCGTGACCGTGACCACGCCAGACCATCTCCCCTGGTCGCCGCCACTACCCGCTTTGCCCGCCGCCGCCGCTGCGGGATGCACACCCGTCTCCCGCAGCCCCTGGTGCGTGCACATCTTGGCCAAGCCCACGAGCGCAAGCTGATGCCCGGACCCTCGCCGCCGCGCGATCAGCGCCACATCCAGCCCCGCGAACTGGCACAGCAGGTCACCCGGCCGGGCGTCGGTACAGGCGAAGCCGATGCGCGCGGGCGCAACGCCCCGTGCAGGGTTGGATTCGATGATCACGCACGGCTTGCTTAGCGACGGGTTGTTGTGCAGGCGTTTGTCGTGTGGGTGCTGGAGCATGTGTTGTATCGGAATAGGGATAGGGAGAGGTGTTGGAGGAGGTGAGGGCGTTGCGACGTCGACGGATCCGTTTACAGGAACAGCAGCAGGATCAGTAGTGTTTGACGATGGTAGAGATGAAGAAGAAGCAGCTGCGGAAGAGGGGCCGGCGGAAGGCAGAGAAGAAGATGGTGGTGAGTAGTTGTACAGATGCGAAATCTCGTCGCTGTGCGATGCGGTATGAAGAACATTCTCAATCATATCCGCGGGCAGAGGGGCACGGACGTACGCGGTCCCCGTGCCCGCTCCCGTCGTGGTGCTTATTCCTGCTGTCGTCAGCGATGACGAGGACGCGGTAGTCGCGATCGACGTTGCCGAGCCCGAGCTTTTCTGCGTCCCGCCGGCCGGCGGCCTCGACGACTTCCTCCGCACTTCGTGCCCGACGTACTTGGCCCAGTCGACCTGCTCGAGCCGCTGGCGCAGGTCGCGGATGCTGGTCCACCCGGGGAGGACCTCGTCGATGAAGTTCACATAGTCCGGGACCAGCGGGCACGTGAAATCGCGGAGTCTGCGAGTCAGCAGGCTGACGCCCTGGCCCTGGCCGGTACCGGGCTTCTGAATGGCCTGGAGCGCCATGTAGCTCTCCACATCAGCCTGGGTGATGCCCAGAGCCCGCTGCGCCAGGAAGATAGCCTGCATGGGCGACCGGGACCGCGGGGACGGTACCGACGACGGCGGCGGCTGCATCAGATATCTGAAGACCTCGAAGTAGACCTCGAGGATGTGCTTGGAATAATCGGGCTGCGGCCCGCGATAGGATCCCGCCGCGTCGGGGTCTTCGCCGCAGTCGTCTGCGATGCCCAGAATGCCGTAGACCTTGTCGCGCCGTTCCGCGCATTTTGAGTCGTAGAACTCCAAGAGCAAATCTTCCAGCGTCGACGCCGTATGTGAGATGCGACGCGAAGTGAGGCGGAAGGGGATCGTTTGTGCGAACTGTTGCACGAATGCCGGCATGGGGGGCGAAGACGTGAGCGAGCTTGCCGTTACAGTGGACTGCAAGGTGATAGAACGCACAGTGCGGACGATGTCCTCAAAGTCGACCCAATCGAGACTGGCTGTGCCACAGAGGACCTGGACCCGGCTCGCTTTGACAAACTCCTGGATGATCCAGGTGCGTGTCCAATAGTTGCCCTTGCAGAGTTCGAGCAGATTTGCCCAGCGCTGGGCGTATGCCTCGACCAAGTATTTTGCCCGGAAAGCCGAGGACGATTCCGGCGGATATTGATGATGGTGATGGTGATGGTTATGATGATGTTGTTTCCGGCAAAACACGGCCATCTCGTGGATGAACTCGAGGGCCCTGGCCTGCCTCCTGTCCTCTGACGGCAGGCCCAGCCACACAAAGGTCAGGACAGCCTTCTCGTAGATCTCGGACATGCGTTGGACGTGGAAGTTCCGCTCCTCCAGATTCTCCTGGTCGATGCACAGGGCGTCAACCCAAAGGAACCTCCACTCCCCGCGCTGGCGTAGATGGTACAGCAGGTTCCACAGGTTCAGCCGCACCCGGAACGGGCGCCCGTTGACGCGGATCTGCCGCGTATACGTTTCCATCACCGCCGGGGCATTAACACCACCGCCGCGTTGGTGGTGCCTCGTGTTGATGGCATGGGGGTTGGGACCCCAGGTATATGAGATGGCAGCGTAAGGCGGGCGACGATGGATGGCGTACTGGGTGATCCGCAGACTGATCACGTCCTTCTTCGTGCCGCCTTGGATCTGGAGGAGGCGCATGAAATTGCCGTAGAGCTTGAGGCGCTCGTGGCGGAACTCGTCGGTCGGATTCATGTTCCTTAAGCCCGTCTTTCTTCTTCCGTCGCCGCCTCCTTCTATTACCGATATATATAACGCTAGATCAAGGACATATTAACCTATTGCAGCCTATAGTCGCTGGAAGGACAATTGGTGCAAATAAGCCAATCGGACTGAAGCCACGGCCTCGAGGCTGCACTGAAGCCGGCAAGGAATCACAACGGGCAGTCCATGGCGGGCGAGTCTTTTCATGGATATATATGTGAATGAAGGAACGGGCAGAGAGACTGTGTAATCACTTATGTCGGCCAGGATAATATTTCAGGGGTGTTACATGGAACCGTCCACGAAGTGTTACCAGAACGTTTCAAGTTGAAGGAAGAAATACGCACCAGCCGCTTCACGTGATCGAAACGGCCACCACAAGACGATATCAAAACTGGCTTCAGGGGATTGGACGATTTCATTCATCTATGCTCGTATCTCGTGCAAAGAGCCTCTGCTGTTGATCATGCCTTCAAAGTCTCACATCCATTAGCCGGTCATATCCATAGTATCATCCCCATCATCCCTCTTTTCCAGTGCATCAACCTGCATCTCGCCACCACCTTGTCCATCGGCAGCCGCCCGGTTTCTGCCAGCCAGCAATTCGCGTCTGACCTCCGGCCCAATATCCTTATGACCCCTGACCAGCAGCAGGTCCAGTAGCGCTTCTCGTTGATCCTCGGTGATTTCATTCCGGTATGTCTGCGCAAAGATGAGGAGGCTTTGATGCCACAGCACGGGCAATTTGGCTTCTTTGGACCCCAACGCCTCTTGATCCTGTTCTTTTGAGGCTCTGAACCGCAGAAAATGAAACACGAGACCGTCCACAACTTTGTATGGCAGGGCATATTTCTTCGCTAGCAAGACGCGGATAAAGATGTTCGCGGCACCAGCGGCTTCGCTGTTCACGTTGGCTGTCTGCTCTGCCGAAATCTCGCAGAGCCGCAACAGGGCGGCTGCAGAATGGAGGACGGGGATCTTGATCTTGGCCAGCACAGAGGAGATGATGTGCGCCTCCCGCAGCGTACAGCTCGATTGCACGAGCGGAAACAAAAACCCTTTGAAAAATGCAGAGGGTCGGTAGAAAGCAGCCTTCAGGGCATTGTAGAGGTGAACGTTGAGTTTCTTGGTCTCCTGGATATCGTCCCTTACACGGTCGAGAAGGACGGTTTCGCAAAAGTGCTGACCTGTGGCCGCCGGGGCAGAGATAAAAATCTTGGTTGCGCGGTAGACAGCGTGTGGAGTCCAGTTCTCAGGTCTTGTGATAGAGAGAAGATCGGGCCATTGTGGCAGCGTTGGAAGAACTTTGAAAGGCTTGGGGAGTGGACCGGACTTGTAGCGTGTCAGGAGCTGGCCAACCTTTGTAAATGTCTCAACGACTCTCATGGGAATCTCCACAGCGTCTTCCATCGGGCCGCCCCCTATGAATGGTTGTGGTTGATCAGCAGCTCGAGACGCTTCTAATGCCTCCTTTTCAGCAATACGTTGCAGGATCAAGTCTGCAAGATTTGTGGTTTGACTTTCACCTTCCTCTTGTTCATCCTCTTCCGCCACCTCATTGGTTCTTGCTTGCTGGTGCCGATGCCTGCCGTCCGTCGAGAACGGGTCGCTTGTGGTCAAATTTGCGAGTGATGGTGCAAAGTCAGCCAGCTCTTCACCGTCTTGGAGAAACCTTTTGTAAACCGCCATCTCTTCGGGATCCATGTCATTCTCGGGAGCCACTGCGTCGTCGTCTTCCGGTATCCATTCCTCCTCGTCATCGAACCGACTCTCGCCTTCTACGCCGCCGTCCTCACCTTCGTCGTCTACCGCAAACCTCGAGTCGAAGTTAAACGCTCCATTCTTGGAAGATGTGATATTTGCGCTAGAGGCCCGTCGTTCTGCTGCGTCTTCGTCCACGAGGTCTTGAGCTATAGCCAAGATCTTTCGCGAGGATCGAGAGTCAATGTACCCGTCTCCCTGTGCATTTTCGTCCGATCGCGACTTTCTCTTGCCGGTTATCGATTTGGTTCGGAGTCGGCCTCCAGAGGCAGTGATATCGTCTTCGAGAGGGACATGTCGGCGAACTGTCGCCGCCTTAGACATTATGAAGTACTCGGCTGTCGAAGCCTTCGAAATCGAGGACGGACTGGGCTGTGGTGGGAATGGGGAGGTAGTGCAGACAATGTGGTCGGGCACAAATACAAAACAAAAATTATTTCGATGCCACCAAATTTAAGAGTGCGGAGGGGAAATTTTACGCGAGAGTCAGATTAGTCATTGTCGTTAAAACTTGCCGCCTGGAGGAACTCCATGCAAGTACCGAGTACCTCGTACGCTCTCACGTATTGAACAACATCAGAAATACACACCTCTACACTCAAGAACAGTTCTCCTCATCGTGAAGTTGGCTCCTGCAGATGCCTCCATGTCGCGCTCGATCAAATGTATATTACATCTGTCGTTGAAGATACGATCGAAATAGGCTAGGTACAACGGACGTGATAAGCGTTTTATCCACGCGACAGTGCGTCGTGACCTTCACCTTGTAGATCGACCAATTCGTCTAAACGCATTGTTCATAGATCTGGCGATAGCAGAAATAGTGGGTCACCAGCGGATGTAACTGAGCTTGAGACATCAGAAGCTTGGGGATATGACAACACAGCTCCCTAACAGGGTCGATGAGGCGGTGATGAACCATGCGTTGAAGGGAGTGGGGCGGGGACGAAGGCTCGTCTTGCCCTGCATCCTGAGATCTCAGGTTCTTGATCTCTCGACGGAGAAGCCACAGTCCAAGAGCAACCTTTTGTGTCCATTCCTCGGGCCAGAAACACTATTTGGATGCCTAGCTAGGGAAGCGTAAGCGGATATGACAAAGTGGGAGCATGACCAAGTCGTGGTAGCAGTCTTGACAGTCGCAGCGACCTGATGCTCCACGCAGCGGTGAAGCCTTCTGTCCTGGAACGTCATCGGCGGCATATCAAGCACCATCCCCTTAGGGAAGTCATGTCCGAGCTTCCAATAAGAACAATATTCCACTGAAATGTGTAAATGAGTATTGGATTATACGAAATGTCAGTCACCAAAAGAGCCACGACGTCAGGCAGACAATTTCCAAAGGGCCTCGACAGTGATAGCCGGGGATTGAAATAGGCCTTGGTAATAGAAGATACTGGCTCACCGCCAGCCCGCACTCAGACCGTTGGGGCATGCCTTAAGCGAGGATTCAGGAGTCACCGTGGTACAAGATTCGAGGAGACACGGCCGAATTCACAATGGGACCAAGCCGAAGGTATAGCCACGGACCAAGTGGGATAGACATCGGTCAGAAGACGGGGAGGAGAGGGTGCTCTCAATGACGACGGTGGAGAGGGAAGTGGGTTTAGCGCACCAGTTCGTATCGGTTCGTGGTTGACGTGCAGGTAGATGGAGATCAGAACAAAGAGAGACAATAGCGTCCAGACCACACGCCAAATCGCTGAAGATGAATGGAGAACGATGGGCCAAACTGATGCCGGCGTCCGCTGTCAAAAGTTCGGCGACTGTCAATCAAACCATGCCAAAGACCTGGATCGACCACGCTCATGGATCTCTTTGTGTGGCCTTTCTCAGTTTGATTCTTCCAGTCCGGCAAGACGCAAGATGCAAGATGCAAGATGCCGTGCCTCGCTCGGTTTCAGGTTCTTCTCCGTTCTAGGGGACCGAGAGATGATTGGTGATATACAAGAACCGGAGGAGAAGAGAATGTGCAGAAAGTCTTGATTAATTACTTAGGACCGAGTCCCTTTTTATCTAGGGGCTGCAGGCACCTACAAGCACGAGTTTTGGGGGGCTGGAAGCCACGTAACCTTAACTAAAAAAATCTCCAGGGGTGCTAGCGTTGACTGGCTATCCCCGAGAGTCGCTAGGGGGTGTTTAGAGGTGCCACTCGCCACGTCCTGTAACTAATCCGGCAAACTCCGGGTGATGATGGGGCTCCGACTGGGCTGCCAGACACACTCCTCCAGTTGGTGGCCAGCGCGTCTTATGGGCCTTAATAATTTGTTAGTTATCAAGTCGTGCATTTCTTTTCCTCCAACCAGCTCCCTCCATTTGCGGTTTGCCTGCGCCCTTTTATCCTTTTTGCTCTTTGCATCCCATTCTCGCGCCTGCGCTTGTAACCCTGGTTAATGTTTGATGATCCATGAAATTGCTACTGGGTTTGCCCCCTTCTTTTGCTGATCTGGAAAACAGATCCTTACGTGTACTCGGTACTCTCTCCTCGGTCCTCCAGAGCCCCCGTCCAGGTGCTCCGTATAGAAGTCGTATTCATTGAACGTTGGGGTGATGTGAAGAGGAGGGACAAGGATCATAAACCACTATCATCTGATAGCTCCATTTCAACTCTCCCACGAGGTTACTCTATCTCGGTCTCTACGGTTCTCCTTCTCCTTTTCCCTCTTTAAGCGCCATTACTCGCACCCATCGTTCGCCTATCACCATACCGCGTCCTTCTTCTACCCGTCATTACTGTCGCCGCCACGGTGGCCACCGTAGTCGTCCTTCTCTCATCCGCCGTCCATCTCACCCCTTGTCACCTGCAGTCCCCTAGTTGACACAAATCCGGCCCCTCCGTAGCCATCAAGGAAAAGCAAACCCTCATCAAATCCACATTATTCATCCCTCGTCAGTTACCGTCCCGTGCCCTGCAATCGATCCTTCTCCTCTGTCACCCTCCACCATCTCTCGCCAATCCAATCCCGATCTCTGTGTAAATCCTTTTGCGAGTGTGCGGCCGCTGTCACTTTTACCGGCACTCCCGCCTCGCCGTCATCGTCCGGGCTCCCACAAGCGAATTCGCAATCATCCCAAAAACCATATCTCACTAATTTCCAAACCTCGCTTCTTTTTCCAGCAATTCTTCTCACGTTTCCACTCTCCCTCTTCTCTCCGCAAAACGATCTCAGCGTTTCGAATTCAACTGTACAATAAGCCCCCCTGGCTCTATTATGATATCGCACCCACGCGCCTCGACCGAGTCCACCCTCTCACAGCTTAAAGCGCATTAGCGACGGTTAACTCGACAAACCTTGCACCCCCCCGCGATCGCATTTTCTGCTGCCGGCAGTCCGCGATACCCCCTAAGCAGCGTTTTTAACCTCCTCCCTTTTTCAGAACGTCCCTTCTAGAAAGCGCATCCTCCAGTTCCCGAGAGCCGCAAATCATCTTCCCGCCCATCTCCAACTTTGAAAACTTCCCACCTCCAACTCTTCGTCCACCCTCCACCCTCCACCCCCTTTGACAGCCAGACATTCCGATCCGACATCGACCAGGTCACGTCAACAACTCTTCATCGGCTGGGCAACTCTTCGTGAGACGTCCTCCTTCTCCCGGAATCCACCTGCGCCCAAGTACTAGATCGCAAGCCTCGAGACCATCGACCACCACCACCACCACCACCACCAGACTCAGGGCCCTCCCACCTCCTTCTGCCATTCCTACCTCCTCCAATGTGTGGACCACTCCACCCTCGGTGCAAGATATTGATGCCTTGCATGACTTGAAAATAGGACCTCCGTCACCTTCTACGCGCACCGCCTTTTCCCATCGGCCTCACAACGCCACGAAAGACTGGTGCTTAAAGGAGCATCATGAGTACCCTTTTTCAACCCGCTCTCAGAAATCCTTTCGGCTCTCCTATCGAACCTTCACCGAGACCTCGATCAATGGCTATCCTACCTCAAAGCGCCACTAATAATCATCCGTCGCCGAAGTCGATCCAGGAGGACTCGATCATGACCTCTCCCGCTCCCCCGAACATGGGACCTCCAGGGCCCGGAGCAGGAGGAAGTCCCGAGGTGGAACAAGGACCGGGCAGCAACCTCCCAAATGGGTCTCGGGAACAGATGTCTCTTGGTGCAAATAATAGTACCGCTGCAGGGGCCGTGGGAGCTTCTCAGGGACCCAAGGTGGTGCAAACAGCTTTCATTCACAAGTTATACAGTATGCTGGAGGACAAGAGCATCCAGCATCTCATTTCGTGGTCAAATACCAACGAGAGCTTTGTCATGTCCCCTTCCAACGAGTTTTCAAAAGTTCTGGCACAATATTTTAAACACACCAACATCTCCTCCTTTGTTCGCCAGTTGAACATGTATGGATTTCACAAGGTCAGCGATGTTTTCCATACCGGATCTCCCGAATCCGCGCTGTGGGAGTTCAAGCACGGAAACGGCAATTTCAAGAAAGGTGATCTGATGGGCCTGCGGGAAATCAAAAGGCGCGCTTCCCGCCACACTTTGATACATCGAGACTCCTTCTCGAATGCCAAACCGGGCGTCTCTCAACCAGGCACGCCCGCTGAGGTCATGCCGGACACGGACCAGCGTCTTGCAGGCCTCGAGCAAGCTTTCTACGACGTGCATACAAGGTTACAAAGGACCGAAGACAGCTATGCATTGATGAGCTCGAGGTGTCAAGCATTGACCGAGGGACTCGTCCGATGCCATCAATGGATCCACAATCTCACCAGCGCCGTCCAGACAATCTCCTCCCCGGAATCAGCATTGTACGCGGATATCGCCGTCATGCAAAAAGAGATTGCGCGACAGCTTGAATATGTCCGCGCCCTGGAGGCTCCCCAAGAGTCTTTGCAAAATGGCAGACAGTCATTCTACCCCGGCGGTTCCACCTTAGAGCCGCCGCTTTCTCCACGGGGATTCAATTATCCAGACAGCCGAAGATCCTCCATTCAGATCGAGCCGCAGCATGTTGGATTACGTCCTCCTATCCCGCCGATACCCCCTCAGTTCGCTTCCTCCTCGCCGCGTCGCTTTGGGTCGATCAGCATCCCACATGTATCTCCCGGGTTTAGTCGTCCGGCTCTCCCGCAGCCGCCAGCCAGCGTGCATCCGTTGGCCTCGGTGGCAACACCGCCACCCATGAACTTGGCGAGGAGGCACACCTCAGCTGATATTCGAGAGCACGGGTGGCCACCTGCCAATGGGAACGGCTCACCCTATGCTTCGGGGCAGTCGTCAGTGCAGTGGCAGCCGTCTTCGCCACAGCAGCCACCTCAGGCTGCTGGAGACCAACAAATCCGTGATCAACTGGCTCAATACGAGATTAACGGCCCGAAGAGAACAGCTGCGACACACCAAACGAGCCAACCTACACCACCGCTCACCTCGAGCTCCGAGGCACCGCCCGCTGGCCTCGGGGTCGAGAACGTGCCGTGGCCGTTGGGAAATAACAAATTCCCGCGAACAAATTTCGAGCTCCACTCCGCTCCAGCGACGCGGAGAGGAAGTATGGCGACCTTGCATTCGTTGCTGAACCCCGCTGAGACAGCGGAGCAAGAGAACGAGGATGAAGGACCTGGCTATGGCCGAGATGACGACCGGAAACGGAAACGACTGACATGATTGAAGAAAAATTTTGCCATTTGCTTTCACTGGATTGGGTCCATCTCTAACGGGGGCCCAGGGCGGGGTTTCGTCCGGGACAACGGCGTGAAAGACGATGTGTTCACACCACGGTTTTATGTTGTACATACCGACAGGGAAAATGGATGGTAATCTGTTGGTGTCCATCTTCGATTGTGATTTTGCCAAGAAATCTGGCTCTGGCGAGTGGCTTGTGGTGTATATTTTCTGGCGGGTTTTTCATCAGCACTGCACATTTGTCCAACGGTAGAGATATGGAGCTTGCACCTGATTTTGCAACCACAGACGACCGAAAGGTGACATGAAGGTTTGGGGCACAGAGTCATCATTTCCAGGTGACTGAAAACGTCAGGGTTTGGGGGTCGATTCCCCTGCGGAGTTTGGAATGATGCTTGGACGCGCTCCAGGCCTGAACTTGCGGCATGAAACTGCCCCAAATATCTGTTTGCATTTTCACGGCACAATGGTTGAGGCAGAGGTGATATATAGAAGCTCCCGTCCGGGGCTTCACAATGCAGATATGATCTCTTTGGTTGTTACACCAGTTGTCTTTTCAGGTGCTCCTATCCCGGTTCGGACTCGGCGAGGCCCTTGCCTTTATTCTTGTTTTTCTTCTTCTGTTTCTTCGCGGCGCGGGAGGCGAGGAGCTCGTCTAGATAACTACCAGCCCCGCGCTTCTTGCTTGGTTTAGGCTGCGACAGATCGGGTATGCTGGATTCGGGCGCATGGACAGCGCGGTCAGATTCTCCATGCGACTGGGTTGGAGCAGAGATGGCGCCAGACCCTTCAGGCAAAGGTCCCGTCTCCGCCTGGTCTTTCAACGGCGCCGATGTGGCAGCTGAAATTCCGACCGCTGGCCGCCGAATGTTATTGGCTTTCCGTTTACTCTTTCCCACGCCGGAGCGGGACTCTTCCTCGTCCGAATCCTCCTCACCACCCTTTGTACGCCTTGACACCTGTATCTGCGGCCTCGGTCCTGTGGTGGCGCTGTGGGTATTTGCAGTGCCGTTGGTGGCTCGTCCACGCTGTTGGTGGCCGCGCAGTAATTGCTTTCTCAAGAACGTTGTCGTCGCGGAGTCAGAAAGGCCTGGCGTCGTCGAAGTCGACGGGGTGGACTCGGTGGGAGGGTGATATCCTATGCCCCCGGTCTCGGAGTACGAGTCTTTGTTCCGCAAGAATTCCTTTTCGAACTCTTCGTCGGCTTTGTCTTGGTCGCCATCGTCGTCGTCGTCCGCTGCATCTCGCTCGTCACCGATGTTTGGGCCGCGGAGCCATGATTTCGCCAGCCGCGCGGCCTCGGCGTGGAAGAGGAGGGCTTGGTTTGTGGCGATGTCGGCTGCCGATGCGCCTGTGGCAGTATTCGCCATTGACGAAGCACCGGCGCCTTTCGCAGGAGCCATCGGGCAAATTACAAGTGTTTGGGCGGATGTTTCTGTCGTGGTGACTTTGGTTCCGTTTCACTTTTTTTTGATTGCGGTGTTGGAGAAACCTAGGATAAGGGAAGGTTTTCCGAGGGATTTTGCGGGGAGACGAACTAGTACATATTCAGTTAGTGCTGTTGACTTCCAACTGCCCACTGTGACTATCCGTATCTCAGTTGCTTGTTCGTAATTGCAGTATTATCTCCAACGCGTTCCGCAAGCATATCTGGTTACAACGATAATATATCAGGGGCGTGCGTCAGAAATCCAAAAATCGCCACAGGCAGCCTCCGACATGGACGCCCTGGGCACGTTCTGGCGTGCCCTCTTCTGCTGGAGAGGAACCAGAGACGCAACTCGAAGACCGCAAATCTTGGAAAGCTTTGCGCCGTTGCTGAGCATGATGTCGAAATAGCCAGAGTAAGGGATGCCCACAGTTCCTGGGAAGGATTGCTGAGTGCCGGTGGACTAGGTAGGCAGAGCGATCCCTACCTGGCATGAGGTCTCTTGAGCCCAAGACTGTCGAGAGCAACGGGTATGGGGCCACCTGGTCCTAGACCATTTCGAGCCCCGGCTCATTTTTTCGACTCCATCTTCACTCAATAGTTTCGAGTCACCAGCCTGAACTTCGGTGTTTCTCAGGGTGGCTTCCACCAGCTGCGCAAGGCCACTGCTCAGAGGATGTTCACTCCCAACACTCTTGCTGGAAGTGTCAACACTATCGAGCTGTTCCTCGGGGAACTCGGAGGCACTGGTGAACTTATTCTCGAGGTATTTGGCCATGGCCTGGATCGCAGCGTCTATCAAGCCGTCAGCTGGCTGAAAACTGCCTGACCACCCTTGGTAAGGGAGATCCTATCTGGCTTAGAGACAGCGCTCTCCTCTCCTTGATCTATGCTAAAGGTGATGTCTAACACAGGGGATCTCCTTGTCGTCATCAAGGTCACCTTCAGCGGTGGCAGGCGGAACCATGGCGCGGTGCAATTCCTGCGTCCACCGCCCTCGACAGCCCCATCTTCCACCATTCCTTTGCCAATCCACCGAGGCTGTCGAACGGCTGGTACCACAGCGCAGAGCAAACGCTCTCCGACAGAGTGTTTGTGTTACTGGATGTCGGGAAGATCTGGCAGATTATTTGGCCGGGGTTGGCGGGCACTTGAATCTTAGTACAGAGAGAGGCGGTTTGGATCTCAGGAGTCCATCTTCTCATTGCCTCCTTATCGCCTGCCTTACCCGACCACCGTCCGCCATTCACACCACATCCTTCAATATCCTCAGTCTCAGGTTCAACATCGCCCATAGCGGTCAACCACGGTACACCATGTGAGCTTGCTGGGGACCGCTGGCAACACTATGCTTGCCTGGTTATGACGCAGGCTGTAAAGCTAGATGATTTCCAAGTTCTAGCGAGACGCTTGGGTTCCCTCGTTCACAAAATCTTCAGCCGCGGTGCAAAGTTCTTGAGGTCAATAAAACTCTCAGATTGGTCACAGCAGGCTAAGGCCAAGCGTGGCGATGGTAATCAATCAACCACGATACACCGCGCGAACGGGCTGAGGTCCGTCGAATAAATTGCCTCTATCTAGCTAGTCACGACGCATGGCGTGAATTGATCGTTAAAGCAACTTGATCGATGAAAGGTGGACGCGTTTCCAGACTTCGGAGCGAAGGCTTGTGAAGACGTTTGAGAATTGTTTGAAGTTGAATTGAGCGACTGCAGTCTGTGGAGCGAAGAGTGAAGACGTTGTTGATAGTGGTACTACAAGATATCAATTCAAGCTTAAAGCGTGATAGTCACTGTCGCTTCAACTATCTCACTGTTCCGCAGCCGGGCTGGTTTGTCTCTCTCCAATGGATTCAATTGAGTACAACACAAGCCGCTCCATCGTGGTAGATGGAGGTTCGAGTGTACACACTTCATCAGTGCCAGAGACACCCGAGTGTGGGAGTAGAGGCTATTGTGTGGTCGTTGAAGCAAGTAACATATGAGGAAATTTTGTGTCAAGTCGAACTCGACAGAATATTTGACCGATTCCAATGTTGTCTTTGCGGATTGACTTTGTTGGAGCCTGATCTCTCAACAAGGACTCAATGGCCTGTGAGCACACTGTTGTTTGCAAGATCCTCTACCTCGGCCCACACCCATGTCGTCTATATAAAGTTGATGGTTTGAAGAACCCGATCAAGATATTGTATCTCGAGATTCACTCATAAGCCAGGGTATTCGACTGCGTGCATGCATTTTGACGATGACGACAAAGGTGACCAAGATCGGACTCGATCGTTCCAAGAAGGTATATTGTTTCTACTCAAATCACTATATCTGATGCCAGGGTGAACAGCATTTCATCTTTTATGCCTCAAGCAAAGATTGTCCACTTTCACCCACCCGTCGTTCCATCGTCTAGTTGGTGGCCTTGGAACATTACACAGACAGAAAAAGAGGCAAGTACGCGAACATGGCGTTCTCCGATCTCGACAGACCTGCCACAACGAGCGCTGGACACTGGATCAAGAGGCCCAATTTGGATTGGAGACGCAGGCTTCAGGCACGCCCGTTGAAGCTGCAATCTGATTGGCGCACACTGGACTCACATGGTTGACCATTTTGCTCCTGACGCCGCTCCTTGCACCTCAACCATCGGAAGCATAGCAACCTTGAGGTTACATTGGCTAATGTACAAGATGACTTGTTTATCAACGACCCTATGAGAGTCCTGGGAATGCTTCCTACAGCCCGGGCACGATGGGCACCGAACTGCGAGAAGCGTCACTACTCGACAATATAAAGGGCTGACGGGGAAGCTCGTCACAGAAACAACAGAGCCAAGGAAACGACACTCTTGAAGGTTCGTGCATCTTGCCCTACAATCTCCTCTGTAGTCTTTCACTATGGTCCGTCTTTCAACATCCTTGCTGCTCAGCAGCGCTTTCACTGCGGTCTCGGGCTACATTCAATACTCGACCGTGACAGGCTTCTTCCTGCAAGACGACAATTCGACCAATGCTACCACGTTTGACTATGTAAGTGAGGAGCAAACTCGGTCCGAAAAGGAGAACTGAAAAGAAAACACCTCCTTCTGATACCTCCAATCTAGACCGCCACCAACTTTGGCCTCATCAACCAAAGTTACCCAACCGACCCCTCCGACGCTGCCTCATTAAGCCAATGGCAGAGGTTTGCCCTGGTCATTGCCAATCTGACCAAGTCAGCCCCTTCCAATGTGCAATACAAGCTGCTCTTCATGGGCCGACATGGCGAGGGCTGGCACAACGCCGCCGAGTCTTACTACGGCACTCCGGCTTGGAACTGCTACTGGTCCCTGCTCGACGGCAATGCCACCGCAACATGGTCCGACGCCCACCTGACGAACAACGGAATTGCTCAAGCCCTGGTCGCCAACAAATTCTGGCTGTCTCGCATCCAAGAACAAAAGATCCCCACGCCGCAAAAGTACTACGTCTCGCCCTTGTCCCGATGCCTGTCGACCGCCAATCTGACATTCTCTGGCCTCCCTCTGCCACCAAACGAACCGTTCATCCCGACCATCAAAGCCCTGCTTAGAGAGTCCATCTCGGAGCACACGTGCGACCGCCGCTCCAACAAGACCTTCATCCACTCCCAGTTTCCCACCTACAAATTCGAGCCAGGCTTTCCGGAGACCGACCAACTCTGGACGGGCGTCACAGCAGAGACCGATTCGGCCCAGGACGCCAGATCCAAGACACTGCTCGACAACATCTTCTCGACGGACAATTCTACTTACCTGTCATTCACTTCCCACTCGGGAGAGCTCGGCTCGATTTTGAGGGTCGTCGGGCATCGGTCTTTTTCGCTCAACACTGGTGCCGTCATTCCCGTGCTGGTCAAGGCCGAGACGATCGCCGGTGTGAGCACGATCTCTACGCAGGCTTGGACGCCCAGTCCGCACTGCACGGTACCGCCCGTCACCAGTATCAGTACGGGCGCGAATGGCGGTTGCGTCTGCCCGAACAGTGCGATGCCGGTGACGACGACGCTGCCGCCATTTCCTGCCAACACCTGAATCGGCTGCCCGGAGGTGTCCTGAGCAAGATGGAGCTGGTTGGTTGAACACTCAGCGATTGAGTTATTATCAGCGGTGAACTCGGAGCGAGAATGAGAAACGAAACACGTCCGGGTGGATATATCAATGGGGCTCAATTATATACTAGTCCATAGATGAGGCGATCAGAAGTGCTCTGACATCCGCACTCGGCTTCTTTCCTGAGATCATTTCACTCATCACCAGCCCCGTCCCGAGACTCAGACTGATCCCCCACGGCCCGTGTCCCGACGCGATCCAGACCTTGGCACCACCCCCGGCTTGCGGGAGACCGAGGGAGTTTTCCGGGATCCTGCCCAGGACCGGAGTCCCCTTCTGACCGACGGGGCGGAAGCACAACCCTTCCCGGACGGTCTCGAGATCGTCCTGGTTGACGTGATTGTCGTCGGCGCCGTCCTCGGTCAGCAGACGACCCGTCAGCTGCACAGTCGTCTTGTGCAGCGACGCGATGCTCTCCGGGTCGATCAGGGCTTTGACGTCGCTGGCCTGCGCGGGCAGCGGGAGCGACGCGTCGTTGAGCCCGCCGACCCAGATCTCTGGCTGGCCGTTGCGCGCGAGCCGCGCGAACGCTTCCGGCGCGTACGACCAGTGCCGGCCCGGGGCGCCGTAGATTGCGTAGCAGAGCCAGTTGCCGCTGCCATTGTCGACGAATGGCGTCCGGTACCGTGGTGACTTGACCACGAGACTGTGTCCGGCCAGCGGCTCCACGGGGATGTGCAGCTTACTGGACGGGAACAGTGTCTGGAAGACCCGGGGCGTCCACGCGCCCGCCGAGATGAGGATGTCGTTACATTCCAGCTCGGTGTTACTGCTGCTGCTTGTAGATTGCAATTCGAGCCCCCTTAGCGCTCCATTGGCGTCGGTGAGGATGCCAATCGCCGTGGTCGAGAGGTGCACCTGCACGCCACGCTTCTGGCACTCGTCGAGCAGGAACTCGCACAGCTCGCGGGGTTCGATCTGTGCACAGCTTTCTGGGCCGGAGATCGTCTCCAGCGTCCCTCCCGGCTGGGGAGTCCATACGGCCGGCGACCCGTCCGGATTGAGCGTTTCACCGTCGCCACCACTACCTCCGTTCGCACGAGGAGTCGACGACGAGGACCCCGCCGCCCCGGCCCGACTCGTCCCCTCCCGCAACCAATCCACATTCCTCCCCGTCCTGATCGCCGCCGCCGCGCGCTCGTCGACGCTCAGGTTGAACGTCTGGCTTCTGGCGTACCCCCACCGGCGCGGGCCGTCGTGCGTCCGGGCCAGCTCGCGGTGCAGGCGGAACGAGAGCGCGCCCAGCGATGCCACGGGCGGACTGAACCAATCTTCGGCCAGGAAGCCGCCAGCGAAACCGCTGGCCGAGGCGAGCAGGGCGGGCGAGGAGTCGATGATGTGGATTGCTGCCGATGGGGGGAATGAGGCCCGGGCCAGCGAAAGGTAGTACGCGGTCGAGAGGCCGATGATGCCTCCGCCGAGAATTACCGTGGACATCCTTTTTCGTCTTTATTTGTTTGGTCTATGTATTGATTGCGTGGCGTAGCGTGGTGTAGTGCTTCTGTATCTATATCGAGTCGAGGATGTGGTTAGGAAACAAGGGAGAACCAGCTGGGTCCTCTATGCAGTGATGATATAACCGATATAATATAATGTAATATCGTTTTCCCTTATCATGCTTGACATATATATGTAACAGATTGACGCCCTTCATTCAATCGCCATCCGATCTAGTCGCCGCATCGTCGTCGTTCTCCTCAACATCGGCACTAGGCCACTTTGGGACTAGCCCCATATAACTTGCGGACTTTTCCACTCCGACACTTTGATACTCATGATAAACAACTTATACCCGAACCAATACGGCCAGACTGTCCTCCTGCTAGCCAGCTGGATGTCCGGGTCTGGTAGCAGTGGTAAAAGGACCAGGTAGGTGCCTGAACATGCTGCAAGATTCCCTTGTGACCTCAGCCGTGTCTCCAATCTAGGATGAGGGTCGGCTGGATCAATGCTTCAAGACTGCGCCTTTATCTGCACACACCCGGAAGAAGTATTGGTTTCGGTTCGACCATATGCTATCGACACGTTCGACGTTTAGTCTGAATGTCACACAGACAGGTGATAAGGGAAAATTGAAGCCGAAGGCATGGAAGGCCATGACCAATGGTGGTTGTGATCGAATTTCAACACGGCACTTCAAAAATCCACGTAAATCCACGAACACTGCAAGCGGCTTACATTGGCTCTGCATGGTTGCGCATCACGGAGCAAGACTTGAACTGCATGGATGACATGGACGGTGATGGTGAACGACACTGCAGCTGAAGACAGCTACATTCATTCCAGGGAGGAGACAGGGCGTCAATACCCGCGTTATTGCCACAAGGCGGGTTTGGGACTGGCTCATGGCAAGCGGTCCTGTTACTTCGTCTGATGCTCGAGCCATGAATTATTCTCCCTCCTTGTTCACACCGAGACAGAGCGAGAGACAGAGAGAGAGAGAGAGAGAGAGACAGAGAGAGAGAGAGAAACCTGCAGAATCAAATCACTATGGATAACGTGGAGCGGAGGCAGCTCGCTCAATTCGAGGTTATATACAGACAGAACATTTTAGATGCCCTATCAATCAAGACAAGAGGACCTACCTACACAACTTCCCTATTTCCACCCTGCCTGCCTGTTACTTCCACATTCAGGTTTCATTCCCATCACCAATCCCATTCCTCCCCCTCTCCAATCTACCCCGTCACAGCAATGCCATACGTGGCCCTTAGCCTCCCAAGTAAATGCTCTCCCGCCGTGGTCCGGCCCAGCGTCTCGGCCGTGACGGTGCCGCCCCCGCGACCAATCTGGGCCTTTTGGAACGCCGCGGCACGCTCCGCCACGGCCGGCGACGGCACGGGCACCAGCACGGTGTCGTCGGCCGGCTGGATGAACACGGCGATGGAGTACCGGTTGCTTCCGAGGGTCGGGGAGTGCGTCGTCGTCGTCGTCGTCGTCGTCGCATGATCGGGGGGTTCTGTATCCTCTTCTGGATCTGGCTCAACCAGCACGACGCGGTGCACCGTCGACTTGAGCAGCCCATTGGTCCAGAACTGGAGCAGGTCGCCGATGTTGACCACGATGGGCGGAAAGGCCGGGTCGTGGTATCCCGGCGGCGACACGGGGACGCGGGCCCAGGACCCGTCGTCCTGGAGGATCTCCAGTCCCGGTTGGCCCGGCCGCGTGAAGAGCAGCGTGATACTGCCGTAGTCGCTGTGGGCGCCGGCGCGGATGTCCGCTTCGGCGCGGTAGTCGGTGTCGGGCGGTAGTTGGGGGTAGTACAGCAGGCGGACCGTGTAGGGCGCGTTGTGGTTGTGCGAGCGCACGAACCAGTCCGGGTCACTCTCGATGCCCAGGCCCAGGGCGATCAGGCGCAGGATCCGGGCGGCCATGGCGCGACAGCGGGTGTGGAAGTCGCGCAGCGCGGCGTCGGCGTCCGGCGTCGAGAACTGCGGCGGCATGGGCTGGCGCCAGTGACCCTGCACCGGGTCCGGCTCGGCCAGGTTGAAGCACTGCTTGAAGTCGCCGCGCGCGTGGCTCGTCGGGTCGAGGTTCTCGACCTTCATGTCGACAAACCCGCGGTTCTTGGTGATTTTGCACGCGGACTTTTCCGCCGTGCTGGCCTCCCTGAAGAAGCGGCTGCTGATGTCGAAGACGTTCTGGACGGTCGGGGCGTCGAGGTCGTACTGTTCGTGGAGAGAGTCATTGGCGCCATCTTGTGTCGATGAGGATGTTGTTGATGGCGACCCGGAAATCCACAGGAATCCGTGCTTCGCCGCCGCCTGCACGATCTCCTGCCCCAGCTCTGCCGACTCGTGCGAGATGTCGAACAGAGGTAGATCGATTGAGGTTTCGGCCGCGGGCGCTGCGCCGTTGGGCACCGAGACGGCGGGCATGGTGTCTACACACACACTCTCTCTCGCGAGGTAGGTAGGGTCTCTATTGTAGAGGAGTCTCGAAGTCTGAGGTTATGTTGTAGCGCCGGTGAGTATGTAGGTGCCCAAGGTTGGTAAATAGGGTATATACGTATGTATCTCGTATCAATATAAGCACATTGAATGCTTGATTGATTGATTGATTTACTGGTGCAACGAATCATATAATGTGGTTCATAATATGCTTTTTCCCGCCACGCTCGGTGCCGACCGATGGATGGAGCCAGTCAGTCTTTCAGGGAATTGCGGTTGGTGCATTGTGAAATGTGCTCAGAGTTCAGTCGCTTATCACTGGACATTCTCGCTGTGTATTGGTTCCGAGCAGACGGTAGTTAGTGCAGTAATATGGGTTAAGAGACTTACTACTTTCTCCGTTGCAGTCCTATTCTCCTGGGGGAGCTGATAAGACACACATACACACACACACACACACACTCATTCATTCATTCATTTCATTAGGCCTGTAATAATTTGTCCAATTTGTACGTGTGTCTGAATCCACAAGTATACATGGAGACTAGGTAATAAAACAAACAAACAAACAGGGCAGTTTAGCTGTCCTATCAGATTTGATCAGTGTGATGAAGAAGAAGTCCAAGAACGACAAATTTCGCAGATGGTGTTTGTGTGGGCAGACAACTAGATCTAGCCAGGTATTCATCGCCGAGGACAAACCACCAGAGGATAGATATCTACAACACACCAACCTTGCGACATGTGCCACCTCACACCGGCGCCTGGAAACACTGTCCACCCGTGAAGTCAATGTTGTCGATGGCAAAGTCAATCTCATCCCCGGCCAACAACTGCGAACAGTCCCAGATCAACGTGAGCAGCACCTCCGAACAGTCGACTGTGTACGCCAGTCCCGGAGCGCTGCCCCACGACGACGGTTGGGAGCCGTAGTAGTCGATTTGGTCCGGGTAGGAGGAATCGCCGATTTGGTACTGCAGAGCACACTGGGAGAAGTCGTTCCCGCTCCCCAGGTTGGGGTTGCTCGCGACGGGGACGGCGTAGTCGAAGGTCAACGTGTAGTCGGAATTGGGGACGAGCTCGGTCAGGTTCTGTGACACGGTGGAGATCGAGCCCGGCGTGCCGGTGAAGTAGCTGTGCGAAACAGGCAGTGGTTAGTTATTCCCCTCTGGGGGCCAAGGTGCGAGAGAGAGAAGGGATAGGATCAAAGGAAGGCGAGATTCATGAGGGATACATACACGTATTTCGATCCGTCGGGCGTGTCGTACGGCGAACCGGTGTTCTGGGTGAAAACTGCCGCCCCAGAGACAGACCATTCGCCGCTGGTGGCGTCCGCGACCCCGATCGAGCCGGCATCGACGTCTTCGAAGCTGCCGTCATTTATGACATCCTGTTACAGTGGGTGGTCAGCTTTCACTCGGGATGGAAGACTGTTAAAGAACGTACTGTCGTTCGCGTGGATGGACAAACAGTGGTGGGACACGTGGATGTCGTCGTCGTCGTCGTCATGGTAGTGGTGGTTGTAGTCGTAGTCGTTGTCGTGGTTGTCTAGAACGGATTTTAGCTTGAAGGCCGAAAGGAGATTGAGTACTAATGGAGTAACTTACCGTTGGGGCAGTGGTGGTAGTTGTGATTGTGGTTGTAGAGGTCGTTGTCGTAGTAGGAATAGTTGTTGCGGTGGTCGTCGTCGTCGTCGTTGTCGTGGTTGATGTGGTGCTCGAAGTTGTTGTGGTTGTAGCTGGGAATGAGGTCGAGGTCGAGGTAGTGGAAGTGGATGGACCGGTACTGCTGGTGGTTGACGAGGTCGTCGAGGTTGTGGAGGCTGTGGATGTCGTTGTCAAAGAGCTGGTGGTACTTGTCGTAGAGACACTTGTTGAGCTCGTAGGATGGGAGTGTGAGTATGTTGTGCCGTAACCTCCTCCAGTGGTTGTTGCCACACTCGTTGTCGAAGGCGTGGAAGTGGTCGGCCATATCGCACTGGGAGAGCTAGGCAGGGTCGACGAGCTCCTCGAGTGATGGCCCGAGTGTGACGTCGGAGAATGTGTAGATGTACTTTTCAGAGGTCTCGTCGACCGAGAATGTGTCCACGAAGCCGCCGCAGGAGTGCTCTGTGCTTCTGTCGTACTCCAATCCTCCCACCCAGAAAGGCTTGTCCCACTGGCCCCCGGAGCAGTATGCCATGGATGCTCGCCGTGTAGTGAAGAATGCGAGGTCGGGAACGAGAGATGAATTGCCGTGTAATGCCCAGAAGTACAAGGACACACGTAGTGGGTGTTGGTGATAGTCGTTGTGATTACAACGTTCGAACCGTCCCAGTCGTCCTGCTTCTGGCCGTAGCAGACGCTAACCGCGACAGCAAGGGCCACAGACAACGACGAGATCCTCATCCCCGCAAACACGATGCCCAATTTCAAGTCAAGTCAATCAACCAAAAGAATGGACGGCGACGTAATGTCACCACACAACGAGTGGACGGCCCTGGAACGAACCAAACAACAAAAATCAAGAAAAGCAGTAATTAGTATTCAACGACAGAGCAGCAGCAGCATCGTGGGCGAAAAGACATAGGGCCCAAGGTAAATAATAAGAGTAAACCAAGCACCGGCAAGCCTTGAAACGCGGAGAGCGATAGGGGGGTTCGCTTCGCTTACCCTCTAGCGGAGGTTTATTCTCGCTAGACAGCCACCGATTCGGAAGGCGATGGGCGGCGATCTGGTTGTCAATTTCTTTTTATGGCTAAACGGCCATGGCATTCCCAACTTTTGCACTGTCGCAGATCGCGTGGCGTACAGAGGAGGCAAGGCGTTTCGCGCTGACGAGCGTTCTAACGGTGTGTTTTACCGCATTAGGAAGGCGTTCTTAGCGGCTACCGAACCACTACATTGTATATGTCGTGCACGTATATACAGCGCGATCCTCTGCTTCTGAGGCTGGATAAGTTCGGGTGTTGATTTTTTTCGACTCAAGGGACATCCCAATATCAAAATCAGAGCCAGAGACGAGGCCTCCCACAGGGTAGAATGGAGAAAGGCGGTGAACAGATCGGCGATTACAAAAAAAGAGGGTAAATGGCAGACATCCGTATCCTTTGAGGCGAAGCACGCAACTGCTCGAGCTCCATTTCCCTTGAGACAACCGAAACCCGTTTCGGATGCTCCGCGTTGGTAGTACCACGGTGAGCCTTTGACGTTCCGGAAGGGTGGGCGAGAATGGCCAGGGCTGAACTCAAAGGCGGTCGCAAGGGTCGCAATGGGGGAACGGACATTGAGCAATTGAGCAATTCCGAACCAAGACATTGGAGTTGCCGGGCAAGATCGTCTCGTTCAAGGGCGTGTGCTGGCCTGGTCAGAGGTCTGTTGTTCTGGCCAGAAGTGTGATTGTTCATGATTACCTACCATTCCTTGAGCAGGCTCGTAGGGTCGAACGAACTCCCATATCAAGGAGCAGCGTGCACCATTGATATACCCCTAGGGGCGGGAAATGCTGGGCCATTGTGTGGCAGCTGAGTTATTCGCAGCCAGCGTACCAACCTTAGGCGTGGGTCTTGCAGAGGCACGGTGGGTTACATAGCGGAAGTTTGAAAGATGTCTTGACCATGGCTTAGGTTCCTCTCCCTTCTTGGCAATTCCTTGCCCAGAGACCCATGTCCGTGTATCAAGAAGGCTCTTGCCGAGCACCAGTTCCGGGGGTTCTTTGATGGGAGACGGGGAGAAAGGATGGTATTCTGGGGCAGCGTGAAATGTCACACTCAGGTACCTCTTTATGCTGGTGCCCCGTGTCAGGGAACCTATTTCATGGCCGTACAGATGTTGGGCAAGAATGCAGGAATTGGTGGACCTCGTGGAAGGAGCAACATTGCAGGGCGGCAGACGAGTGCCAAGCAAAATAGTGAGGTAGCGGGAACGAGGGTATCGATTATATGGAGCGGGAATGCAAGCCAAGAGTCTTGGGTGAAGAACTTCCACTCCGCTCCGCCGTCAAAGGCGGAGCTCTTGGGATCGAGACTCATACTGTATTGCGTCTTGTCGGGGTGGATGCGAATTCTCTCGCGAGAAATAGACTCCATAAGGTAACGATCATACCAGACTGTACTTGACTTACGCCAGATACTTTGTGGCCATGACAAGACTGTCAAGAATGCCAACCAATCGTGCCTGGGAATGGGAAGCTCAGTGGCCCGTGGTTGTCGCATCGGGAAACATGTGTCTTTGCGCCTTCGAGGTGGGTCGAGCCGTAGGAATGGTAAAACCAGGGAGCGAACAAGGACATGAATTAGTAAACTTAGATTCTGATCAAGAATGGATCGAAGTATCGAAGCTGCAGGTTAATTGCTACGGCTGATTATTGCCGTCCACTCCGTCATTCTGGGGCCCTAGCGAATCGCTCCAAATAATCGTTGGCTATCAACTGGCATCCCGGCAATAGAGCCAAGAATTCCTAGACTTGAGCAACTGGATCTGAGGGCGAACTGAAGTATCGCGGCAACGTCATTATGTCAATGTCAACGAACATTCCCACATCGCGAGAATTGATTGGCCAATCCACGAGGGATCCATTGTGTCGTCAAGATATGGCGTAGCAGGAACAGGGAGGGTTTTGCGGTCAATGGCCCCCTGGGAAGAACTGGGATTTGATGGATGTGATGTCGCCTTAGACCGTCCCATGAATTTTGCCCTGAAACTCCAGAGACTGGTTATCGTCAGCCAGCGAAGGCTTCAGTGCCAGATAACCAGGTACGTTTATGACTCGTCTGGCGCCTCTCGGGAAGGATGCTCTCCTCTGCGCTATCATCCCTTCCCGAACTTCTCCGATCGCAACGTAGCCAGGCTGGACAGTCGCGGTACCTGGGCGTCGTCTGAGGTCGAATTGGTGGCCATCTTGTGAGTGGGTGACTTGAGACGTTGCAGTCTCCTCGAACAAAGATCCAGGATCTCCTGCATCGTTGCCTGACCGATTTGGCCGCTGGCGATTGAGAGTCAATGGGAGCTCGTCGTGGCTGTGGGCGTCAAATCGGAGTATCTCCGCATATCGAGAGCCTAGGAGAATAGCGCAGCTGCCCAATGCGAAGAGCAAGACGACAAAGGCTAAAGTTGTGTGCCATGACCCAAACGGATCCTCCAGAAGCCGCGTTATGGTATCCGAGGTGACTGGTGGCTGCACGGAGGTGGAGTTGGACAGAGAGTCCCTTTTGGCGAGACGAAACACCATCATGCTGGAGGGATGTCGCTGGACGTTGCCAGCAGGACAGTCAAGGGTATTGGAAGTTCCATCAGTTCAATATGCAACTGTCACGGTGACGGTTTGCAGAGGCGCGAGGGGTGTGTGGGGTGTGGCACAATTGCTCAAATTGTTTCATTTGAGACCGAGACCACCAAAAGCTCGATCTAGCTCTTCGCCTTCCCGGCTGGGTGACATGGCAGGTGCGGATATGACATTTACAGGCTGCCCATCTAGGAGGCTCTGATCTGCGCCGGTCTTCGAGGGCGCCTTTGTGGGCTCCAGGATCTTTTCCTCCCGGTCCAGCCATCCAGGCGCCACTCTTCGTTTCTCTGCGAGATCTCGCTCCTTGATATCTCGCTCCCAGTCTTTAATAGCTTTGTCTGCAGCATCTAAGGTCTTCTTGAGGTGGTCTTGAAGGGTTTTACAGGAGTTGATAATATCATCTGGGTGGGCAGAGTGTCCGGACGAGGATGTGACATATTTAGGCTTCCCAGGGCCATTTTCAGCGATGATGGAAGGAGGGAGCGACGTGGGCACGGATCGAAATGTGTAGGGCAGCGTCACAGCCGTTGGCAACGACAGAAAAGGTGAGACAGTCAAGGGAACCTGCGCCAGCAGCGGATGGGGCTCTGAGGCTGTGGTCAGTCTCTGGAAGCATCTGGTTCTGGGGGTCAATGCCCAGGCACATACTCTGAGTGTCAAACATGTCTGTGTCGAACTTCTACCTGCATTAGAGTATTTCCTCGGAAGAGCAGTGAGGTTGTCTCGAAGGTGGAATGCGCAATGCGTACTGCGTAATGACGAGGGAAACTCAGGCCGGTAAAGATGATGTCGGGAAACCTGCCCTCCCCGCGCACGGAATCAATCGTAGCCTCACTAGCCTGGGTTCGCCGCCGCTTTAGACGTCTCCCTCCTCTCCTCTCCCTAACCCAGCTATCATCTACGCCTCGAGCAGAATACTGAGCATGTGGCAGTCAACCTCAGCAAATCTCCTTGTGCCAACTCATGAAGGTGAGCCCGCATGATTCTGAAGTAAAGATGACAGGTGGGAAAGGAAAGGGTGTGCCTATACCGGAGCACAAAGAAAGTTATGTTCTCAGATCCCGAGCCCTGACGTTTGGACCTTTAAAAACGCCGTCCAATTCTTGACAGTCATCATTTCCACATAATGGCGGCACCTATAAGGGCACGTGTCTATCATAGAATTGCCAGGACGTTGGGGGGCGATCCCACACCTCCAAACACATTTAACGGCGCGCTGGTCAATAGAAACGACCACTGCCTCCTCTCCCGACACACTTCTGACAGCGTCTCCAGATCCCATAGTTCGCCAATAGGCGTACCCCAATGACCCAGCAACCACTCGTGCAGGTTCATCTTCCCCTCGACCCCAAAGCTGATGGGCTGGCTCTCGAAGGCAATGGTATCCCCTGCAACGGCGGAGAAGTGGTGATTCCACAACCACTTGACAGACTGTAGGGAAGCCTCAACGCCGATAAAGGTAGATCGTTGTATCGCCGCCTGACGCTCTTCTGGGCTAGCACGTGCGTGCCACGCCGTGAAGCCGGATCGAATGATGAGGATGTCGCCATCGTGGAATAGCACGTTCTGGTGCTGGGCGACTTGATCCAACTCCTCGGTGGTGATGGAGAAGGTGGAATTGGCCACGACGGCCGGCTTGCCTGTCTGCTCACGCCACGCGTGGTAATCGAGCAGGACGCCTCGCCCCACGATTCCACCTCTCTCGGCCCAACCTGTTCGACAGGACGGGTCAATGAGCGATTTCACACGTGCTCGATCAAGGCTCATACTCACGGTGAATACCCAGCCGCCCGTCTTCGAGCTTCTCGTCAATATCCCGGTGCTTCATCCCATTGTAATACAGCCCACAATGCTGGACCGCGATGTGTCGCAAGCCGTCCCATTGCGAGCTGCTCTGCGTGTTGAGTGTGATCACGTCATCGTGCCCAAAGACTTCGTCGGGTGTGCCTTTCAGCCGCTCTTTGAAGTCAATGATCTGGTGTCCAAACGGCTCCCTGCCCACGAGGCGTTCCTGAAAATAGTCTAAGCGGAGGTCTAGCTGGATTGAGATGCCGCCCTTGACCTCCTGGACTGCACGCTTTACCACGTCGGGCGTGAGGTAGTTTAGGGCTGTCCTCTGGTGAGGTCCTCGTCAATCGAAAGATATGCTTCACACTTACTGCCTAATTCATCGTTTTGTCCCCACAACCCCCAAGTGTTGCCGTGTGGCTGCCCTTGGACCTGGGGCAAGGAGTCGAAATCTACATATGGTGATGACATGATTGTGGCCGTGTGTCCCGAACGGCGAAGGTCCGCTGCCACAATATTAAATAGAATTTATCCGTCGCCTGCTGAAGACGACCGGCTAGGACTTGTGAAGAAGATCTTGGCCTGAGGGAGGGGCTTTATGAAGATGCCATCTTGTCCTTGGACAAACTTTGAAGTGGGACGTTGCATTCCGGACGCTGTTTCTTCTCTTACTTCTCGCCGAGGGCAGGACACTTGTACCATGTGGCTTCGGCAGCCTTGCACGGCTTGCACCGTCAAGTACATACCTCGATATCATGCTCACCAAATCGATGCGCCCGGGAGCTACGACCGGCGCCATGCATGTGCCGAATATAAATATCAAATACCTGAACAGCCGCATGCGACAGAATTCCGAGCCTCGCGTGAAGCTTCACGTGACCGGCGCCGGTTTTGGTGGATCTTGATAAAGCATCCCGTCTTTTTCACAGGTGTGCACGGGATGTATGGTGGAGATCCCCGGTTGCCACAGCCGAGATGCCACGAGGCACAGGATCAAACTACTTCTGCCCACCTCGCAGGGTCCATGCAGAACGGGGACCCCGTGGAGAAGACGACAACCGTGGGATTTGGGCCAACCCCCGGCGCCGGTGCCATTCTCTCTCTCTTCATGAAGTCGACTTGCAGCGAAAACTCCAACTGATCCATCAGGGATACAAAAAACGAGATTCCCCTCTGGAATTGAATCGCAAGATCCAACAATATCACCCTTTGGATAGAAACACCTGTCTCTGATTCTCAACCGGGGAGGTGCTCTTCAACACTTCTTGTTCATCTCTCCAATATGGGTTTGTTCTTCAAGAAGCCTGCCGATGCGGCGGGATCTACCACTGTCGCCTTCCTCGTCGGCTTGTTTGTCGCATTTGGTGGTGTTCTCTTTGGCTATGATATCGGCTACATCAGTGGCATTCTCGCCATGGAGTAGGTGTTCCATTCCTTTCTCCGTCGCAACCTGGATGGAATCTCTCTAACGCCTGCCAGTTACTGGAAGTCTCACTTCTCCACGGGATATCGAGATGAGACCGGCGAGCTCAATGTCACTGCAGGCCAGCAATCTCTGATTGTGTCCATTCTATCCGCGGGGACTTTTGCAGGGGCTCTGCTCAGTTCTCCCATTGCCGATTTCATTGGCCGCCGCAAGGCTCTGATGGTCAACAGCTGTGTCTTTATGTTTGGGAATGCTATGCAAACGGCAGCCACACACATTCCGCTGTTCCTCGCGGGGCGGTTCTTTGCAGGTAAGGCAGTTCCCAAAGGACAAGAGAAAGCGATACAACCCGTCCGTCTGCTCACACAAACATCTACCAGGTCTGGGAGTCGGTTTGCTCAGTGCGACTATCCCTCTGTACCAAGCCGAGACGTCACCCAAATGGCTTCGAGGCGCCGTCATTGGATCCTACCAACTTTTCATCACCGTGGGCATGTTCATGGCCGGCATTGTCGACAACGCCACCAAAGACAGGAACGACACAGGATCCTACCGCATCCCGATCGGCGTCCAGTTCATCTACGCCCTCATTATCTTCTTCGGCTCCGCCCTACTCCCCGAGACGCCCCGGCAACTAGTCCGCCAGTCCGACTTCGAAGGGGCGGCCAAGAGTCTTGGGCGTCTAAGGCGGCTCGCGGTCGATCACCCGGCTATCGTAGACGAACTGGCGGAGATCAGGGGCAACCACGAATACGAAATGTCATTAGGCTCCGCGTCGTACCTGACCTGTTTCCGCAAACCTCTCCGCAAGAGACTCATCTCGGGAATCTGCCTGCAGGCTCTACAGCAGCTAACGGGCGTAGGTCCCCCTATCACTCTCCCAACCCCACCTTCTCATATAAGTCTGAGAAATCTGACCGTGGACTGACAGATCAACTTCATCTTCTACTACGGCACCACTTACTTCCAACGCACCGGCATCTCGAACCCCTTCCTTGTGACCGTCATCTGCGATGTGTGCAACATTGTCGGCGTCTTCCCAGGTCTGTACCTCGTGGAGAAATGGGGCCGTCGGCCTCTACTGATTATGGGCGCCCTGGGCATGGCGGCCTGCGAATTCATTGTGGCCGCCATCGGCGTGACCATGCCCGACAGCACCACCGCGAACTCAGTGGTCATCGCCTTTGTATGCTTCTACATTGTGTTCTTCGAGTTAAGGTACGTGACAACATTAAAGGAGAATCAGGGCTCTGTTTGGCCTGAGATTCTCTACGACAAAAAAGAACTCCTAACTGACCTCAACCGTGATTTATAACAGCTGGGGTCCCTGCGCCTGGGTTGTCACCGGCGAAATCTTCCCGCTCAAAACCCGCGCCAAAGCCCTGGGCATGACTTCGTCGAGCAACTGGTTGCTCAACTGGGCGCTCGCCTACGCGACTCCCTACATGGTCAATCCCGGCAAGGGCAACGCCAACTTGGGATCCAAGGTGTTTTTCATCTGGGGCGCTCTGTGTGTGCTCTGTGCCGTTTTCGTGCAATTCTGCATCTACGAGACTAAAGGTATGACTAGGCTCTCCTCTTGTCCCAACCTGATCCTTCCCGTACTATTGGCTTTTTGTTCTGGGAAACCCATGATTCTAACGTGATGCACATTTTAGGTCTCTCGCTCGAACAAGTCGACGAACTCTACGAGAAGGTGCCGCACGCGTGGCAGTCCGCCGGCTTCGTGCCCACTGTCAGCTTCGCCGATGTGCACCAGCGCAGTCTCTCCCTCGCCGGAGACGAGAAGCCCGGAAAGGTCGAAAACGAGGTCGCCGTCTCAGAAGTGTCCTCGTCGTGATCATTGGTCAAGGAAGAATATCGATGTCAGACGAGAGAACGATTGAAAGAGAGACAGAGGGTATGAAAAGAAGCCAGTATGGGTGGGCCGCTTAGTTCTTTGCGTTTTGCTTCCAGCGGACTCAAAAAGTCACGGCAGTGCAAGGCCAGCAGCTCTGGAATTTCGGCGGCACCGCTGACTGATCGCATCCGACAGCACGTTATCATACATGTGTTTGTGTATAGAGTAGAGTATACATATCGGGACGAGGGAAGTGGAGGGGGAGAGAGGCATTCTCAGCATCAGCATCAGTGTCAGTCTACATCGCCTCCATTGGAAAAATATCCATGTGGTCCAACCGGCTGCCTACGTTCAATTCCAGCTTCCAATACCTTGATGTAGACATACTAGCACCACGACACATGTATTCATTCATTCCCGTTCATCCACCTGGGCATTCATGCATGCTCACATAGATCAAGATGTGTGAATAGATAAATAGATACGTTCTCCGGAAGACAAGAGAGATAGAATTTACGTGATCAAGTGGCGCGTGCCGGCGCCGAAACCGGCGACAGGGAAGGTCGACTATCAGGAGAAGATGCTGCTGGGATCGAGCACCGGAGCAGCATGTATGTCATACAAACACACACACATATAGATCTTCGCGTTTATGTTCCTCAATTGTTCTTCTACCTTTCCTCCGATATCTACAATATCTAGAATACAAGGGTATGTTCCGAGTTCGAAAAATCTAAAGCGATTCCGGTGGGGGAAAGGGGAAAGCCAAAACCTCCTTAGACCTCGAGATTGAATGTACTGTCAGAGAGAGCGAGGTCGAAGACGCGGTAAACTCCCTGCTGCAGCCATTGCCATCGCTCAGAGGAAATCCTAGCCGCATCTAGATACCGCCGAAGGTCATGCTCTTGACCGTCAGGTACTCCTCGATGCCGAGTGCGCTGCCTTCCCGTCCGAATCCGCTCTGCTTGACGCCCCCGAAAGGGGATGCAGGGTCGCTGATGATGCCTACACCAAGGGCGTTCACGAGGTTAGGTGGGTGTAGTAATACATAGATTTGGAACTATCCAAAAAAAAGAAAGGGTTGTCGTGGGAATTCAAATACAGAAGAAGCACTTACCCGTGTTGATGCCCACCATGCCCACCTCCAAGGCCTCGGCCACGCGCCAGCAGCGCTGGACGTCCTGGCTGAAGAAGTAGCCCGCCAGGCCGACGTCGCTGGCGTTGGCCATGGCGAGGACCTCTTCTTCGGTTTCGAAAGGGAAAAGTGCCGCTACGGGGCCGAAGGTCTCTTCCCTCGCGATCCGCATCTCGGGCGTCGCGTTCAACAGCACGGTGAGCGGGTAAAAGTGGCCACGCTCCTCGAGGCCGGGAATCCTCTGCCCGCCGAGTGCGATCTGCGCGCCCTTGGCTTCCGCATCCCGCACGTGGCTGTCCACCTTGTCCACGGCGCGGGCGTGGATCAGCGGACCGTGCGTGACTGACGGATCAAATCCGGCGCCAAGCTTGTACTGCTTGACACGCTCGACGAACTTCTCGCTGAAGGCCGGCAGGATCCCCTTCTGCACGTAGATGCGATTCGCGCAGACGCATGTCTGGCCCGACGAGCGGAACTTGCTCGTCAACGCACCGTCGACGGCGGCATCGAGATTGGCGTCGTTAAACACGATGAATGGCGAGTTGCCGCCGAGTTCCATCGACAGCTTCTTCAGCGTGTCGGACGATTGCTTCATCAGAAGCTTCCCGACGGCCGTAGACCCCGTGAAGGAGACCTTCTTGACCTTCGGGTGCGTACAGAGCGCGTTGCCGACGGCCGGGGTGTTTTCGAGCGTCGTGATGATATTGAACACGCCTGCTGGGAAGCCCGCCCGCTTGGATAGTTCTGCGAGAGCGAGCGACGTCAAGGGGGTCTCGCCTGGTGCCTTGACGACCACGGTACACCCCGCTGCGATGGCAGGGGCAGCCTTGCGCGTGACCATCGCCGCAGGGAAATTCCATGGCGTGATCAGCCCACAAACCCCAATGGGTTCCTTGACGGTCAAAATCCGCTTACCACCTACACTGGCCGGGATGGTACTGCCGTTGATCCGAGGCGCTTCTTCCGCGAACCAGAGGAGAAAGTCGGACGCATACTTGACCTCCCCACGAGCATCTGCCAGGGGCTTCCCGTTCTCCATCGTTATCAGAATGGCAAGGTCTTCTGCATTGTCGAGCATGAGCTGGTGCCACTTTCTTAGCAAATCTGACCGCTGCCGGGCGGTTGTGGCTCGGAATGCTTTGAAAGCAACGGCTGCAGCGTCGATAGCAGCCTCTGTATCTGAAACGCCACATTCTGGACATGTGCCGACCAGAGCACCGGTACTCGGATCTGGGGTCGGGTCAGTTGACTTCGTTGAACCCAGTCACAAGCCGTTGTTGCGTACCTGTGACCTCAAATGTCTTTCCCGAGCCGCTGGCCACCCATTGACCGTTCACAAAGGCACGGTCAATAAGAAGACTTGGGTCTTTCAGCTGTGACAGATATCAGGGCCAGCCCATCACATAGCCTGGTGGTCTTGGCAGTTATACGTACCGGCGGTATTGCTGGAGCCATCTTCCCCCAACACTTTGGTAGCTGAGCGGTACTGAACACAGATATTAGACCTTCAGCACGCCTGCATATGTATTCGGCTTGCCTGTCAGATGCCGCAGAAGTCGTTCACAACCGCGAGCGACCATTCGTCGCTGATTGGAACTGATAATGGCATCAACACAGGCTGTGGGGATTCCGGTTCCGAGTTGTCCAGTGCCCCGAGTCATGCGCCGGTGCCGGCTGAAATTAAAGTGGACACTGGTCAGGTGTGTGAGAAAACAAGCCCGGGAAAGCTTCTGGGCTCTTGCCACTTTCCCGGATAGCTGTTTCCCTTCACTCATATCGATATTCCTGGAATCCCATGGGAAGGTCAAAATCAAAGACACTGGCATTGCCATTGTTCGGCAGGCCGAAAGATCCAATTGAGGTACCGTCCAACAGCCAGCTCGAGTCAAGATTGCTCCAGTTACCTAGCCAGTCGAGATGGTTGTTGGCGGTTGAATCCTGGCTGGTATGAGTATCGAGGCGTATGTGGTCGCCGCCGGTCTGAGAATATATGTTATCGTAGCCAGCCGGCTTTTGGGCGGGTTGGGATCCTTGGTCACCATGAGAAGGTCGGGTAAAGAATTGAGGGACACGCCCGTCATGATATGCCGAATGCACCTCTATTCCTGTGGCTTTCTCTGAGCTTCTCATCTGGTTGTTGGGTGGCACGGAATGGCTACTCTGAGGGACTGCCATCAACAAGCGGATCACATGATGGAAGTTCTGATGAGGGTGTGTCTGCAGGGAGTTTGCAACCTCCTTAGCCAAGGGCTCCAAGCGAGATTTCTCAATAAGTTCGGGCCTGAGTTTTGACATTTTCAATGCAAGGACACCTGCTGCCGGTTAGTTCTCTAACTCGTCACTTCTCATCACACCAGGCGGTTGATACGCACAAGTAAAAGCGAGGGTTAACGCAGTGTACGTCGGGGCCCATTTCAGGTGCCATTTGTATGCCGGGCTTTGTACAAAGAATGACAGCTGGCTGAACATAACACCCATCACGTAAGAGAGTATCTCAGAAGCGACAGAGTCCAGATTGGTTTCACCCAATGTGGCCGAACTCTCAGGAGATGAAGTCGGCTGAATCTTTCGCAAGGCAGCACAGCAAGTAAATGTTTTCGCATATTCTCTTGACATGTACAGGCTTGTGCGTTGGAAAGACGGTTGAGGATAGCCAACATCTGTGCGCGGTAGTGAGTTTGTGTGTCAAGCTTCGAGGGTTTCGGCGACACATCGTACCTGCAAAATTCTTGTCCCAAAATGAACACCATGAATCGAATTGATGGCAGGTCGAACGGATCTTGGTCATCACAGCGGATAAGGATTTCTCGGAATCCTCGATTTCCTTTTGCATTTGGGCTGATATCGTTAGCCAACAACCATTATTTTTCAAATAGGGACAAACCTCGCAGGATAACCAGCTCCACAAGAGACACAATTCGGGAATCTGATGCATTGGCAGCTGGATGAGTTGCAAATGCCCGCAGAGTCTCAACATCAATTGGCTCGGTTCGTGGACGGCGCGCCGTGCCAGCGGCAATCTCCCATTCAATGAACGACGCCATCAACCATGTCCTTGCTTGGCGTGCGAGCAACCTCTCCGTCTTCTGGGTGTCGGAGGAATGGGAACGGGGACTACGTAAGAGCTGCTGCAGGGCAGTTTGGAGCTCCAAAACGAGGGCCATTTGTATCGCATGGCCAATGGTAAACCACGTGCGTTCCGAAAAGGCTGCGATCAGGGTCATGGCTTGGACATCTTCCAGAAAGGGCACACCAATGAACAAGGTTTCAGCGGCCAGACGACGAGCCTCATTCTGGGTGACCTGTCTCACGTGGTCTGTGATGTTCGCCGCCTCCTTGACCCGAGCTGCGGTGGCCAGAACAACGGCGAAGCAGAATGGCGAGCGAACGCGCAGAGAATCAAAGGTATCTAGCACGGGATCCAACATCGGCAGAAAGGTATTACTTCCGGTCATGAAACTTTGGCGACGCTTAGCAAAGGCACTCAAACTGGCCGGGGTTAAGTCTCACCTGTTGAACAACTCCCGAGCCAAAGACTCATCTAACTCTCCCTCAGACACAAAGTCGCGGGGCTGCGCGATAGATGGAAGCAAGGTCGTTTGCTCCGGGTCCCAGCTTCGGCCGCCGGAAGGCCGAGGGGTTTCTGGAGTCATGGCATGAATGGCGGTCACCGGGGCATCCAGATCATGCGGCGCCAGTGCATAGGGATTCTGGGGCTTTCCCACGGCCGCAGAGCCACTTGTGGGCGGATCGCTGGCGGCCTGGTTGTTTATGGGCGTTTGCACTTGTTCGCTTGAAGGCGGCTCCGTCGGAGCTCCAGGGCCAGATGTCTCTGGGGCACTCTGTCTGCGGAGTCTCAGAATTTCGGCTTCCAATTCTTGAATCCTGCCAGAAGGAGTCAGCGGCCGATGAAGACATCGTTGGTGAATAGATCAGGCGGCCAACCTCTTCTGCTCGGCACTCTTGTCGAGGGGTGGTTTTTTGGGACCAACGACATCGAAGACGCATGCAGTCCCGGCGGTCTGGCACCGCAGGCACGGAGCCTTCCCTTCGCAACGCATCTTCTGCCGCCGACATGTCCGACAGGCCTTGAATGTCTTCTTAGGCTGAGTACGGATTGGGCCTGGAGCCGGCGATTGAGAATGTCCTTCCATCACAATTCATGACATGTCCGGATCAGCCTGGCAGCGACATACGGGGTGTCAAACGTTTAGGAAAAGATGAGGCTTTGCATGTAAACACTCCAAGTATTCGCGATTCATTCATCCCCACGTGGCAAATCGATCCTTGACTCTGGGGACAAGACCAGAACATGGCACGATGGATCACAGGGTCCGCCATGTTTGCGCCAAGACATGCCAAGATCATAAAGAGCGGAGACTCGCTTAACCGGCGCCGGGTGGGGCCCTCTCGTAGAATCTCTGCGCCGATTGGCCAACGATGTACAACACCACCATACTCCGTGCTTTCGAGTTGACAATTCGGAGCCTACCTTGTCTGGATACCAGGTACTGTTGTGGCCATTGGGAGTGTTGCGGGAGCAGTTCAGAGCACACTGAGACGCGTGATCTTTCAAACAACATTGGTTCAATAACCGACGTCCTCCCAGAAAAAGATGGCGACGCCGTCCTCAGCACTTCAATATTCTATCGCTCTTCCTCGACGGTCGCACGAAAAAGAGCTCGCGATCGACCTCTACATTCCGTCCTTGAACCTTGATTCGTACATCAGATCTATCCATCATGGCCCCCGATAGCTTGGAGCAGCTGAGACAGCACACCACCATCGTCGTGGACAGTGCTGACTTCGACATCCTGCCCAAGTACAGCCCGCAAGATGTGACGACCAACCCGCTGCACATCATGACGGCGACAAAACTGCCCAAGTTCAACTGGATCCTCGAGAAGGCGGCCAAGTACGGCCTCGAGAAGTCCACGGACCCCGCGGAACAGGAGGCCGCCGCTCTGCTGCAGCTGCTGGTCACCTTTGGCGCGGAGATCCTCAAGCGCATCCCCGGGCGGACGTCCACCGAAGTCGACGCGATCCACTCGTTCGACAAGGACACAACGATCCGCGTCGCGCGCGAGATCGTTGCCATGTACGAGGACCTCGGAATCTCCAAGGAGCGCGTGCTCATCAAGATTGTCTCGACCTGGGAAGGGCTGCAGGCCGCGCGGGTCCTGGAGCGGGAATATGGCATCCACTGCAACATGACGGCTATTTTCTCAGTGCACCAGGCCACCTTGGCCGCCGAGGCCGGGTGTACGTTGATCTCACCGTTCGTCGCGCGCACCACGGACTGGTACTATAAGAACCGGCCGCAGAAGGACTACACAGGCTGGAAGGGACCCGGGGTCAAGCTCGTCGATGAGATCTTCAAGGATTACCGGAGCAAAGGGGTCAAGACAGAGATCATGGCCGCCAGCCTGCGTACCATGGACGAAATCTCCAAGCTGTCGGGACTGGAGTTCATGACTTTGAACGCTGGGACGCTCGCGGAGCTGAGGAGCGAGACGATGCCCATGACCAAGAGCCTCGACGCCGACAAAGGTAAGTTCAGTATCTAGGACTCATATCATCCCCCGTTTCTCTTCACCGGTGGTTGGATATGCTGCTAACGTGTCCTCCAGTATCCGCCATGGCCAATGGACACACCAAGGACCTCAAGCCCGTCTTCCTCGACAACGAGCCGAAGTTCCGTCTCGCCATGTTCTTGGACCAGCCGGCAACAGACAAGCTCGATGAGGCCATTCGAATCTTCTTGGACGCTGGAAAGGAAACGAACGCTCTGCTGAGGGCGAAAATGGACTCGTTGGCGGGCACAAGCACGTAAGATAACACATCGCAAGTCGGGCATGGGTATTAGGGTGGATCCGGCGCTTTTGGATAGATATCGTTCTAGACGGGTTTGATCATAGCGACCAAATCATGCTATCTTGAATCCAGAATCTCAAATCCTCGATCCTATAGTCTGGATGCTGTCAAGTTGGCGAATTCGAATTTTGATACTCAACATCTGTACCGCCACCGTTGGAGGATTACTACCACATCTGTCAGCGTAGCACCGGTCACTGTACCGAGTAGATAATTGATGCTCTCAAAAAGTCGGAGTCCAGAAACGCTATGGCAGGGCCTCAGGTTAAGTCTCGGCCGCCTGATTCTCTTAACACCTGTGAATCTTCCAAGGTTCATCGCCTGTGAACTCGAGCAATTTTTCGGACGATGTCATAATACGAGCATTTGTTGAACTGATCGGCTGCATAATATATGAGATTCATCAAACATGAACTGGCGTTGTGTTTGGCTGGACATCGACAGACTATATCACATGATTATTCCACGTTGGAAAAACCTGGCAGATACTCATGAGGCCATGCAACACCCTCCAATTCTTATGCTGATAGTCGCGGTGTGACTTTGACCCACAGCTCTCCTGGACTGCTATTGAACCATTCGAGAGTGTCCAGCTCGGCCTTCGGGTCTACCAGCTCGACGTGGAACCGGTGAAATATCGATGCGACAGCGACCTGAAGTTCAAGATACGCGAGGTTTCGACCTACACAGGCTCGACTGTGATAACGAAGTCAGCGTTTGGCGATTTCGGTCCATGTCCAGGAAGCCACTCACCCTCCCGTGCTAAAGGGGAGACAGAATTTCCTCAAAGCCGGCAATTGCTTCTCATCTGTCCAGCGCTCGGGCTTGAACTCGAACGGATCGGGGAACAGCTCAGGGTTATGGTGAACCGTCCACGTTGGGACCGAGACGGTCGTGTTGCCTGGAATCTTCCGGCCAGCGATCACACAACCCTCGGGAGGCGTGATCCGAGGCAGGCCAATGCCGACAGGAGGACGTTCTCGGAGCGCTTCATCGATGCAATTGCGGAGGTATTGTATATCCTTCACGGCATCATTGTTGCAGACCTGAACATCTGCAGGGAACACTGGATCAATCTCCTCTTGGAGCTTTTTCTGGGCTGCTTGGTTGCGGGCTAGGTGATACATGAGGCTTGTGAGTGCGCTGCCAATGGTGTCGTTGCCGGCATTGAGCTGATACGTTGATTAGTGTCGGTCACGATGATATTGGCCGTTTCGACTCAGAACGGAACATACCAGTGAATTTGACTCAGCAATAAGCTCACCGAAAGGCATCACGTAGCCGTCAGGCTTCCGATTCGCAGCTATAATCCGAGACCAGATGTCGTGAGGAGCTTCCTCCTCGGGAATCTCCTGACGTCGCCGGATGCGGTAGATGCTCATATTCGAGAAGTTGGCACCCATTTTCGCGCCGTATGTGCAGTACAGGACATTCTTCTTCAACCATTTTGCAAGATCCGTGCCGAGGTAGCCGAGATTGTTAGCAAACTTGACCCCCCCAAGGAAGGATGCAATGGCTTCAACCTGATACTGCTTGCCTTCAGGCGTCTCGGCGGTGCATGTGTCATTTCCATTCTCGAGGAAGTGAAATGAGTTCCCAAAGACGATATCGCCGATGGCGTCAAACGTGAACATGTGAATCCACGGCGTCGCATTGAAGCCGTTGTCACCACATTGCGCGTGGAGTTTGTCTAGCCTGGTAAGGAGACTCTGGACTGCCTTGAGAACACATTCTTCGTACTCGGCAACGCCCTTGGGCGAGAAACTGCTTGCAATTGTCCGCCGCTTTCGCGTGTGTTCTTCGCGAGATCTCGTGTTCCCTGAGCTTCGGAAGGGACCAGCGATAGCATCGTAGAAAACGTCCTTGAGAATGTTGCTAGCGCTGTGCGAATAGATGTCGGCAAATGCTTCTGGGGAACTGAAAGATACTGGGATCTATGTTAGCATTAGAGCACAACTGAGGAAACCCATCACGTCGAAGGACGAGACCTACAGTGATTGGGCTCGACTCTGACAATGGGGCCGAGGCGTTCATGAGCTTTATGAATGGCCATGAACCGCTTCATCTTCCGGTTGTGCCACATCGACCATAGTGACGTGAGGCCTGAGATTCCGGTGGAGGGATACTTTCGAAGCCCTTTGGGATCTAAGAGATACCTTACAAGGGGGATCCCGACAGTACATAACACTGCGAAAGCAAATAGTGTTACTGATAACGGTCAGCATCTGATCAGAAGATAGAAATGTTTCGTAGAATAAACATACAAATGGACAGCATGTTGTGAATTTGCGAGCAGAAATGCAACAAACAACGAGTATGATTTGGGGTAGCCCGTGTGGCCTGTCCTCAGTCCAACGACTTTGGCGGTCTCATAGATGAAATAGCCCTTACTGATAACTTTGTCTCTGAGAGTAGACTCCAGTGGCGCCCAGCGAAACCATCCTTCGTAAGGAAATCTCAACAGATTCGGAGCAATCCATGGGGATTGTTGTCGCCGGAGAACTCACGTGCGTCACAGGAAGCCCGGCGCCGGGTGCCCTCCTGGGATCAGTCAACGCCCACCCAGCCAGTGTCACCAGGGCCTCGCAATGGAAACCACCATGACTGCGACGTGAACCAGCGCCTCATTGGACATATTGTGATATGTTGTTGTGTCAGTTCGTCCGGCTGCGGTCACGTGGAAGTCGGCACCGGATCGGGGCCGCAGGGCTTCGATTGAGCGAATGTCGCCTCTCGCCCAAGTCAACACGACAAATCAGTGAGTCAGTGACATTCTTTCCCTCCTTTCCGACGGTCTTTTCAGACAAGAGAAAATCTTGTCGTGAAGCTCCGGCCGGGGAAAAATGAAAGCATTTGTTTGGAGTCGGCGAGCCATCAGTACTTGTCTGGATGGCCAGCTGCATGACGGAGATGCCTTAGTGTAGGCATTCTGTACAGCAGGCTCGAACGCGGAACTTCGATAGAGTCAGTTGAGCACATAAAAGGAAGTAAGGGATAGGACGCTGTCAAGTCAACAGGACTCCTCTTCCTCAATCCCTGTGCGTCCTTGAGGCGCCCATGACTGGGGCAGTGCGACTGAAGGCACCCATTCTTCCAAGGGATGGATGACGCTCTTGTGCTTCTAAAGGAGACTCATTCTGGTGTGTAAAGTGTGGGATACGCCAGGTGAGCCCCCCTTGGGATTGAGGGTAAACTATCTCCAAAAGCGGCGGCCGCAGGGGCCAAATTCGATGGGAGATTTTCCCTGCAACATGTGTTGAATTGTACGAGGCACAGGCACGAAGGTAACACGGCGAATGGAGCTGAGGCGCGTGCCTCGCTTCCATGTCGGACCCCGTGTTGTGATGAAAGCCCCGTCTATCTGGTCTGATCCCTCCTTGGCCCTCCCACTATGTATTATTGCCCCTCCTTGAACAGCACTCGATGTCCTCCACCGCCTGATGTTGCCATTGATATCCTCGGAGGCTCACTTAGGTCCCATTCATCGTCCAAGCTTTCCTTTAGGCTCAACTGACTTGCATCCGTCACTCAGCAGTTGGCTGTTCGCAGACGCAAACCGTTGGTGCAGTTGGACGGGTGTGTTTTAGTTTCTTGGAGAATTTCAGCCCTGGCCTGAACTCATCATCCTCCTGAAACTGGTCGACAATCCGACTCTTATTACAGCTTCAGCCGCCCCCAATATTCAAACTGCTGCCCACTTTTATTTTTCAGCTCTTGCCCCATTGTCGGCGTCCAAGATCTCTCCTCACCGCATCCTTGCCCCCTGCGCGATAACTTCTGGGAAGCCCGTCGCGCCTCTCGATCATCTGCTCGTTGGTCTCCTCGACAAAGCCGATTCAACCCCCTCCTCCTTACCAGCACCACCACTACCGACCGACCATTATTCCTCCGGCGCTAACATTGCCACAACCAAGTTTGCTGACTGTTTCCTTCCACGAACTAGCTGGTATCTTCATCTTCTTCATCAAGTTCCAGCGCAGCTACAGTTCAATCGTCTCAAAGACCGCTCGCGCCCGGAGCGCACCTCACAATCAAGATGGATGGCCCGTTACACAGAGCAGTGGTGGATAAGAAGCCCGTGCCGGAGATCGACTTCACGTTGCATATCATGGAAGATGGCTCCCAGGTGAGCACTCAAGAACGAGTATGCAAGGGTAGGTGGTGAAAAAGGATTTCTTCTCCAGGCAATATCTGATGCAATGACAGATGTCCAGGCTCCCGCCATGCAACCTCCCACGAACGAACAGTTTTGGTCATCAGCCGATCGATCGAAGCCGAATTTGTCCTTCCTGAAGCAACACTTTTACCGAGAAGGTCGGTTGACCGAAGAGCAGGCATTGTGGATCATAAGTGAAGGGACCAAGTTGCTAAAAGCCGAACCCAATCTGCTGGAAATGGATGCTCCCATCACCGTGTGCGGCGATGTGCATGGACAATATTTTGACCTCATGAAGCTATTTGAAGTAGGCGGGGATCCTGCTGAAACCAGGTATCTCTTCTTGGGGGACTATGTTGACCGCGGATACTTCAGCATTGAGGTGTGATCCCTTCAGTTCTCCCCCAAGTCTCGCGAACTGACGGCCGATTTAGTGTGTTCTTTACCTGTGGTCCCTCAAGATCTGGTACCCGAACACCTTGTGGCTTCTCCGGGGAAACCACGAGTGCAGGCATCTGACAGACTATTTCACCTTCAAACTCGAATGCAAGCACAAATACTCGGAAAGGGTCTATGACGCATGCATGGAGTCCTTCTGTGCCTTGCCCTTGGCGGCTGTCATGAACAAGCAGTTTCTATGTATACATGGTGGCCTAAGCCCAGAACTCCACACCCTGGAGGACATCAAGACCGTATGCCATGTAACCTCTTCAATTTGGCCATTATCACTTGCTAATGTTTTCAGATCGACCGGTTCCGCGAGCCTCCTACGCACGGCCTCATGTGTGACATACTCTGGGCTGATCCTCTGGAAGAATTCGGTCAAGAAAAGACGGGAGAATACTACGTCCATAACCACGTCAGGGGCTGCTCCTATTTTTTCTCCTACCCGGCCGCCTGCAATTTCCTCGAGAAGAACAACCTGCTCTCCATCATCCGTGCACATGAGGCGCAAGATGCAGGATATCGCATGTACCGCAAGACACGGACCACGGGTTTTCCCAGTGTCATGACCATCTTCAGTGCCCCGAATTACCTTGACGTCTATAACAACAAAGCTGCAGTGCTCAAATACGAAAACAATGTTATGAACATCAGACAATTCAACTGCACCCCCCACCCATACTGGCTTCCGAATTTCATGGATGTCTTCACGTGGTCTCTACCCTTTGTCGGTGAAAAGATTACAGATATGCTCATTGCTATCCTCAATACCTGCTCAAAGGAAGAATTGGAGGAAGATACGCAGAGCTCGAGCATGGAACCAGAGACGCCACCATTTGGTGCCGATCCGGAATCCACAGAAGCCAAGCGCCGAGCCATCAAGAACAAGATCCTGGCCATTGGGCGACTTTCCAGGGTCTTCCAGGTCTTGCGTGAAGAATCCGAACGCGTGACTGAGCTGAAGACTCAGTCCGGAGGTCGCCTGCCGGCAGGGACCCTGATGTTGGGTGCTGAAGGCATCAAGCAAGCCATCCACAACTTTGAGGACGCCCGTAAAGTCGATCTCCAGAATGAGCGCCTTCCCCCGTCGCCTGAGGAAATTGAGAAGCGCAGTGCCGAGGACAGGCGAGCTGCTCTAGAGAGAGCCGCCGCTGAAGCAGAGAATGACACCAACCTGCAGGGCGTGGCAAGGCGAATCAGCTTGTAAGTCACATGTTGTAACTCTAGCCATGTTCTTTTTGCTGACGTGATCCAGTGGCTCTTCCAACCCACGCGGCCATCGTCGAAAGGACTGAGAGTCTGGACAAGACGAGATTGAAGAATTGCAAATGATGCCCGCTTGATGATGATTACACGAGTGCACGACTCCGGCCCACTCTCTCAAAGTCGACGAGTGGATAGGCATATGCTTGAGCACTTACGAGTGGAGGAACAGGTTGGGCGATAGGAGGTGGTTGGGGCCTGGTGTGGGATAGAACGGCAGGAAGCGGCTACATCGCGAAACACGGGACAGGTGGTAGCAAGCAATGGGTGGCTAGCAGAGCGCGATGGACGCCTCTGGTTCCTAATCCTACACACCCGCCACGCTGTCAAGGCGAGTAACTCGGAACCTCGATTAGGTTGGTGCCTAAAGTCTATACACACAGCAGAAAATAAAAGACCCATGCCCTGCCCTGAACCTTTGTTCTCTTCTTCTTCTCCTTCTTCCTCCTCTGTTTCCTTAGTACCATATATGCAGTTCTTCTCTCCTTCGTGGCCCCTTGATGCCTCTGCCACTGCGGAGAATCGCCGATGCCACCAGCCGAAATACAAGTCGTTCGGGCCAAGCTCTGGCGAATGAGGCTGATAAGGAGGAATCTGACTGGCCTGGGCGGGAAGCGGTTGAAACACTTCACACGTGCACGCGCTCGGTCGAGATACAGATGCACGAACTGATTTCGCGCCAGGGCAATGGCGCCCGAGAGGAACGCCTAATTAATAGTGCCACTGCTATCACCACCAGCACCAGGATCGTGCCGCACCTCTCGACGGACCCCTGTTTTCACTGGCTGCACTAGGACGACTACAACCAATCTCCTCCTCTTAATTGTGTCCTTGTTCCTCAGGCACCGGTACATTCTTCCTTGGGCTCATACGGAGAGCCTTGTGAACATTTGAGCTTTGTCGTAACTCGCATTCATGGACTCGAAATCGACCCTTCTTTGGCAAGCCTTGCCCTTCGCCCAGTAAGCAGCTGGTAACGAACCGAGAGTCCGTTGACAGCACTTCGCGGCTCGACCACAAAACCATAGGTTGTTAGCGCATGTTTTAACCAATGTGGGCGTCGACATGCCGCCCACAGAGGTGGAGAGCAGCAATGACATTGATCAGGCACTTGACCGTCTCAATTCACGCTGGGACTTGAGGCTTCCAAAGCTTCCCAGTGGACAAGCTGATGCAGCCTATGACTCCGAAGGCGTGGCTGGCAAATGCTCCAACCTGATTAGATCCCTCTGTTCCAAGACGGAGACGTTTCATGCGATTCTGTGTGACTTTGAGGAGAGAGCACGGCAGATTCACTCTCAATGGGTCTTCAAACCCTCGCAAGAACCGGGCACTTTGCCAGTGTTACCTGTGACTAAGAGCCTCCTGGCGCGCAAGGTTGGCCTCGTCCCTCTCAGCGACTCTCAGCGAAATGCGCTTCTAGAAATCCTGCACGAGATATTGAATGAGAACCAAGAGCTAGCACAACTGTCGCCTTGGTTCTTGGTCGAGTCAGCTTCTACATCTGCTGCGTCCTTTACGACGGCTCCTATAACCCTTGTAAGCGAAGCAGTGTGCAGAGGGCAAGATTGCTTGTCGACTGCGGCACCCGAAGCCTCGAAGAAACCTTGGGGCAAGAAGAACGCGCAAGATGGGTCGCATTTGAAGCAGCTTATAGCACAGTCTTCCAGGCGCTCAATTGGCTCTCCATTTGACCTTAGTCGTCGACCTGAATCTGAGTTTCTGTCGGCTCACATTCTGCCACAGCAAAACGAGGAACAGCGAAAGCCCTCTGAGATCCGTCAATTCAAACCCATATCATCACCTCGTCCAGGAACTCGCAACCTCCAAGTGCCTGACCCCATCAGCTTTGACACTGCAGTATCCTCTGCTGTATGCTCTGTCTTCTCAACCGCCGTCGAAGATTATGAAGGGGGGGTGTCAAATGATACGTCCCTGATCACCTCGCAGGCTGAAGGCTCGCCTGACTTGTTCCCAATGGAAGATTACAACGAGCTCTTTGAAGATGAGCAATTCTCCACCTCTTTCAATGAATTGAGTCAGGCTCTAACTCAGTCTGATCCAACCGATCTCAGGTCTAACGGGCCTTTTACGAAACAAGCAATCCTGCCCTTAACAGTACCATTCTGGTACTGTTGGGAAATGTATCGGCTTGCACCTTGGTTTGGCCTGAAACCAATTGAGCTGTACAAGGAATTCGAACAGATCCACAAGAAGCTTCCTGCTTCTTCGGAGGAATTTTGGCTCAGGATCAAGGAGTTGTGTCGTGCAAAGGCTTTGCCAGCGCTCCCTCACAAGTCGGAGCTCCCCAGTTGGATTGTGCAAAACAATAGCTACACAGATGAAAAAACAAACAGGGTTGCCCATTTCACTGCTGCCTTGGACTGGAACGAGGATTCTTCACGGAGCGTACTCCAACTCCGCCTCAATGCCATACAGTTGGTTAAGTCCAGCCGCTTCCACCGAAAGTTTGGTGCTGACAGATTCATCGCGCTCGACGGACCTCCATTCGGACTACCAGACAAATTACGACGACTGAGCCCCAAATCGGCTCCCTTGTATGACAAGGTGATCGATTTTCTGGCATCCAATTCCCATTTCATTGCAGGACGTAGCTGGCGAGCATGCTTCGTTGATGAGGTGAAAAGTAAAGCACGGCGCAACAAGGCGCAACCACGGCGTTCAAGAATCATCCTCTTTGCGGAGACTGGATTTGACATGGTTCCTCGACCTCACTTCAACCTCGGCGCACCAGATGTCAGGCCTGAAGCCCACCACCGGAATATCATGCGACAAGAACTGATGCAGTGGCATATGCCTCTGAATGCCAACGCGGACTCGATGGACCTCAAACTATTCTCCAGATGGAGTATTGGCTTTTCGAGGACGACTCCGACGGTAGAGCTTAAGCGACATGAGTTCTTGTACAGACCCGATGAACTTGGTGATTTGCCTGATGACGGTTCAAAACGTAAAGTGATGAATGACGGCTGTGCGTTAATGTCGTATCCCCTCGCCAAAGCCATTTGGGCAGCGTACGGCGGCGAAGGTGAGCCACCGTCTGCTGTCCAAGGACGTATCTCAGGCAGCAAAGGTTTGTGGTTGGTGGATTACGATAACATGTACGCCACCGTCAGTGACAGAGGTTATTGGATTGAAGTTTCCGAATCTCAGCTCAAGATTAAGCCACATCCGCGCGAACGTGAGGAAGCGGATGATGATGCTATTTTGCGAACGTTTGAGGTGCTGAAATACGCCGCCGAGTGCAAGCCGGCACATTTGAACATTCAACTTATCAATATCCTGGAAGACAGGGGAGTTCCACGTTCAATCCTCCAAGAGGCGTTGCAATCAGATGTGCAATCGTTCTCAATCACCCTCACAGAAGCGATGAAGGATCCCAGATGTCTCCGGCTCTGGATGCAAGACCATGCTCCTTCATCACGACTTGAAACCAAGAAAGCCTTGGGCTCATTTCCCTCTGCGAGCAAAGAGCAAATAAAAGTCCTGCTGGAGTCTGGCTTTCATCCGCAATCATGCAGGAAACTCATCACTAATGCTTATCGTCTGCTGAATGACTACCTGACAAACTACATGGACAAAATGTGGATTCAGATTCCACATTCTACTGCCGCCTTCTGTGCGCCGGACCCTTTAGGTGTGCTTGCTCCGGGTGAAGTTTATCTTGGTTCTTCAATTCCAATTACACATCCCGTTTCAGGGCTGAAAGAAAACACGCTTGAAGGTATGGAACTGCTCGTGGCTAGAAATCCTGCGCATCTGGGGTCCGACATGCAGAAATGCACAGCTGTGTACAAACACGAGCTGCGTCACTACAAGAATGTTATTCTGTTTTCGCGGCGAGGTGTCCTTCCTCTCGCATCATTGTTATCAGGCGGCGACTATGATGGTAGGTCTTTGTTTAGACCCTGATATTGCTGCAACTTCGCCCTTCCCTTGCAGCTCAAGAACCAGAAGTGCTGACATACTCTCTTGTGGGAATCTAGGTGACGTTGTGACGTGTATTTGGGACCCAGAAATTGTTCGCCATTTCTGTAACGTTGATATGCCACCAATGCCCAACGAGGTTGAATGTGGTATGGTTCAGCGCTCTGAAGCAATTTCCAAGACGTTCAACGTTGAATGTCCAGAAGATCAGTCTTTCGAGGACTATTTCCGGAAGTGTATTGCTTTCAATGCTCGTCCGAGCCTCCTTGGCTCGTGTGCCTCGGAGCATGAAAAGTTGGTCTATGCCCTAAGCCAAAAACTAGAACACAATAAACTACAGCATTCTGGGGCCGTGAAACTGGCCGCGCTGGCAGGTTTTCTGGTTGATAGCAACAAGCAGGGTTGGGACCTGACCGAGAAAGAGTGGCATGGAGTCCGTGTAAGTGCGAGTGGGCCCAGGAGTTTGCCAGAACCTGCCTATAAAGCCGGAATTGCTCTCAGAAAACCAGTCGCTCACGCAAACGTGATCGACTATCTCAGATTCGATGTTGCCGAGAAGTTAAAAGAGCAGGTGCTTCAAGAGTTCACGGCGCTAGAAAAGGACACAAAGGTTCTTAACTACGACAGGGATCTAAGTCAACGTTGGCTTTACTGGTGGTCTGCTATAGAAGAGGACAAAGCGGAGAAGAGGCGAGCAGGCCGGTCTCAAATTAAACAAGACACATCTCACACAGCAGGGTCTTCACGCCAGCCGATCAAAGCGCCAAGTGCGGCACATTTGGACATACTGACCGACCTATTGGAGGGCGAGCAAGGTCTGCTTCCGCAGATCCAGGCTATAGAAGCCCAATGGTCGAGACTGGTCCCCAGATTTGGCATTGAGCCGACCCCGAACGACACTAAGGACTGGGGAGAATACAGCCTTGCCGTTGCAACTGTTTATGAGAAGTTCCGAGCCATCCAGCCGAAGCGACTTGATCATGAGTTGGGGCGTCGCTACGAAGAAGAAAAGGACCGCCCCATCTCTGAATGGGCCCTCCTCAGGGCATCATGCCTGCATAGAGTGGTGTGCTCGAAAGGAAAAAGCCCGAGCTGGGTGTGGTACATTGCCGGACGAGAACTCTGTTATTTGAAGGCGTTGCAACACACAGGCGATGTCAGAATGGTCATTTCCGAGATACATGACCTTTACAAGGTGGATACGAAGTACGCGAGAGCCTTAATGGAAGGCTGCCCTGATGAAGGAGGCGATCAGGAGAACGCCGTTGACGAAGAGAACCTATCGGATGACGATGTCGACTTGGAGATCGACTGATATTTGGATGGCGGCGAAACCCATGGATTGCATTCTACGATACCCCCTTTGTTTCTGTTCTTGGTTGGCAATAGGAAAGGATAGGTAGGGATAGGCAAATTCCCAGCCGAAACTTGGATTCAGCGAGGACCCCTGCTGTCAAGGACGCCCCTTTTTCCTCTCTTTCTTTGTCCCGACCCGCTCAACTCCTCCTGCAAGAATTCTTCCAGCCACACATTCGTCCCGCCCTTACCTGTCTTTCTATGCAAGCATTCTTACAAATGGCAGTCGTGAATTTTTCGCGATTTCTCTGGAGCGTCGCGTCAAGATTTCAAGATGGCTACTATTCTCTTTTGCAGGTCAACAGCAGAGCATCATGTTTTCTTTCCACAGGCGCACCAACATGGCCGGCCAGGGAAACAAGACTGTGACGGTGTACAGGGTCATCAACATCTGCATCATCCTGACACTTGCCTACAGCATCCTATGCATGGCTGTGTTCCTCAGAACGAAAAGAGCCGTGTGCTCAACAACATCTTCGGGAGTTAACCTCTCGATTGCATTTGTGAGTCTTCCGTGGAGGAATCAATGCTGCTCATATCCAGATTTCCTGACCCTCACCAGTCCTTGCCTACCATCATCACCATGGGCGTCCGGAGTTACCTCATGTTCCAACAGAGAAGCAAAGCTTTGCAGACAATCTCACCCGCGACCGTATCACCAAGGCTGGCAGCAGCCTGCGCCACTTGCGTCCAAGTCTTAGTGTTTTTGTGGATGATCCTGGGTTGTGTCAATCTTCTGGTCGCGCTGCGAGCGCCTACGTGCCTGCGAGAGCCGTTGGAGGAATGGCAGAATGATTTGCAAGGGCAGAACTGGAGATACGGGCTCTCCTGCCGGCTGCACCGTGCCCTGGTGGCATTGTCGGTTCTTATGGCGTAAGTATCCCTCCAGCTGATCCACAGAACCATCATGGGTGACGTTTACTGACTCTCTCTGTGTCGTCTCAGCATCTTCATTGCCTGTCTCTCCTTTCTGGACCACCATCACCCATATCGTCGCGGAACAGGCGCCTTGAACTGTTACTGCTCCTGCGTATCTCGCAAAGCCCCCAAGGTTCCTGCTCCGGCGCTGTCGGTATCCAGTAGCCTTTCTGCCTGGTCGGTTGAGAAGAACGACCCTCATCTCTTCCTCGTCCCCGAAAGCCGCCAGAGCCGACTCGAGCACGAACAATGGCTGCAGCGCCGCAACAGCTTGTCGTCGCAAAAGGCCATCTATCCCCACAAATACTACTACTACGACCACCGCCACAGGTACCAACCGTACGCCTTGTCGCAGAGCAGCCGGTACTCGAGTACCCTGCGCTCGGTCTCTGAGGGCCGGTCCTTGGACCTGGGTGACTGGAATTCGTCCCTGTGCTCCTCGCAGTCCTCGACCTCGGGCGGTACGCGGCCATCGACTCGTCCGTCGACCGTTTCCTCACGGAGCCGAGCTAATAGCAACCCAGAAAGGGGAGACCTGCGCCGAGATGCTGCGATGATATCAGCACATGGCAACACTGCTGTCCTCCCCGATGTTCCACCTCTTCCTGCCGTCCCGGCACCAACTTGGTCTCCGGCTCTGCACCATACGCCACTGAGCGCAGATCCTACGATTCGGGCTTTGAGCACCGGGTCGGGCTTGACACTGTCGCTGTTGCATGCAAAGGTGGCGCAAGATGTGCTTGCTGCTCAGGCTGGAAATGCCAATACATCATCCACCGTGGCCGGTGCTCCCTCAGCAAAGCGTGAGGACGCTGACGCATCACCGGCCTCGACGAAGAATGTCCAGAAGATAACCCCGAAACCCATATCACCGAGAAAGACTACGCCGCCGCCGATGCCTTCCGTCCCTCCACCACCTGTCCCCTCTCATCCTCCAGCACTGCGAACGGTGCCTGCCATCCCAGCCCGCGCACCGGGCCACCACCTCACAACACTTCCCACGGCGCCAACACAGGCCATTGTTGCCGGCAGCAGGCCCACCACTCGTTCAAGATCAGCCTCCACATCAGCCACTCGGTCGTCGCGCGCGAACCTCCGTAGGCCCAGTCCCATCCGGTACAGGCACTACCACCAGCAGCACCATCCGCACCTCCAGTACCACTCGCACGGCGGCACGGGCGTGAGTCAGACCCAGCTGCTGCCGCTGCAGCAGTACCAGCACCAACGCGTCTGGCGGCGCGAGAACAGCACGAACCCCTCCAGCGTCTACTCGGCCAGTAGCTACGGGACCGAGCGGACCACCTCGATCATGACGAGGGGGAGCACCAGCACCAACTCCACCACTTCTGCCCTCACGGGACATGTGCTGGCGGCGAACCGGAGACCTGGCGGTGTCGTGGCTACCGCTGCAATGCGGCAGTAGGGTCGTTGACGGGCTGCAGATATCATTCCACAAAGGCGCGGGAGAAATGAAAGGGGATGGATGGAATGGATAGAAGGGGTGAAAGGGAAGTAACATGGTTCCCGTCCTGCAAGGGGCTACAATTCATTCATTCTCGCCCGAAGTGATCATTGATATCCGTGAACCTATCTATCTATCTATCTATGCTTCCTTCCATGCATCCATGCATCCATCTACCCGTCTATCAAAATAGCCAACCGATTATCTACGCAAACAGTCGGTTATTTTATTTCTTCATCTCCTCCACATCCATGCATCCGTTCATCAATTTCCTCGTTCACAATTGAGGAACCCGAGCTCGAGTGGGACGAGTGAGACCGCGAACCCCCATACAATGCATTCACTCGACCCACAATGCGTATGTATGTATGTCTGCATGCGTGAAGAACATCCAGACCTAAGCCGATCGGGGGATGGCGCGGAAGGGGGGCGGACAAGGCAAGGCAAGGCAAGGCAAGGGGGGCTATGCGCAGAAGGGCTCTACCAGGGGAAAGGAGAGGAATAATTTTTACGAAGCTCGAGGATGATGATAAGTAAAAACCAGGGGGAAGGAAGAAGCGATGGCCCTCAATGCATGAAGTGCGAGCAGATTATCTCCGTACCCTATTTTACTCCACTGTCACACCGCCCTTCCCGTCACCGTCAGATGCATCATGTCCATTGGCGACGCAAAGTCCTGCTGCTCGTCGGTCGAAGCCATCTTCATCTGCTTCCGTCACTCATACACATCCTTGTTCCGCTTCCACAGCTGATTTTGTTGTCGCTTGTGTTGGTACAGGTACGTTTCGTTCAGTCGTTCAGTGGCCCGCAGGTCCGTGTCCAGAAACTCCTGTGCATGCTAGAAATCCTTTTGACCCAGTCATTCATACATCGCCTCATCGCCAGACTCTGTGAATCTCTCATTCGTGGGAGCTCTTAACTTCCTCAACTTTCTTCGATCCCACTTCCTTCCAATTCGTGCTCAACGCGGTCCCATTACTCTCATAGAAGCTCTTCATCATGGCTCTACGCGTGTCCTCGTCCGCAGAGGCATAGAGCTTCTTAAAAAATCCATCGACGGCGTCGCCGGTGTCGAAATCCGAGTCGTAGTCAGCGTCTTCGCCAACGTCGGAGGTGGGAGGGCTGGATTGGGTGTCTTTGGAGGAGTCATCTGGCTTCGATTTGGCCTTCCCTTTGGATTCTGCTTTGGCTTTGGCTTTAGTCTGTGCGTGGAGCTCGTCCGCGAGTTTATCCCAGTTCTTGGGTCCAGTGCGAGATGAGGTTGGGTAGGAAGGAGCGTTCTCCTTCACCACAGCTGGTTGCGTAGCAGACGAGGAAGGATCCGTCAACATGGACGTCGAAGTTTTTACACTGCCAGTATTTGATGACGGTGCCTTCAAAGGTGCAACACCCGCCAGGTTATGCCACTTCCCTGCCTGCGCCTTCTTCAGCGTCAACTCGACCTTTGTGGACAGAACGGCAGATCTGCTTTGGGATGGATCGATGAGAGCGAAGAGCGGGTCGAGGGTAAATGTGAATGTGGAGTGCGGGTCGGAGGGGTGAGGGAAGGAAATGGATACAGAATCTTCTTGGATATCAATTTCACAGGCGTCTTTGGGGACATTCTTTGCGTAGAGTGTCAGAGTGACTGTTTGAGGAGATTGGTACCATTCGTGTCGGATATTGGTTGGAACAGAAGGGGGCGCAGCGGTGGATGGACTTGCGTCTGTCAGGGTCCCATCTCCGTTCGGCTTGGTGGTCCTAGTTGCTGCGTCAGGAGCAGTCATCTCGACAGCTTCCTTTTCCTCGAATTTGTAAGACCCATCTGGCTTCAATTGTGCTTTGAGCAACTGCTGCATTTGTGTCTGGTTTGGGAGGTCGATCTCCGGATATTCCTTCTCCGACGACACTCTCTCCGACTCTGGAAGATCTTTCAACTTCCCTTCCACCTTTGCCATCCACATATTACCCTCCATCTGTGCAGGTTTGGTAGTTCTCCATTTCGCTATTAGCTGCAAAACAGCTTTGGCGTCTGCATAACGTCCGAGTCCGTGAAGGGCCACGACTCGTCGATGTTGTGCGGCCTCGATCTTCTCTCTCTTTGCACGTATCTGCGCGAGGAGAACGGCATATTCTGCGTCATTAAGAGCCAGGTCATGGCGGGGTGGAGAGAGACGTGCGAATGCGAGCGATCGCTGGATGAAGTAGTCTGGGGAGTGAGGGTGTTCGATGAGGGCTCTGGTATAGAGCGACACAGCCAGGCGAAAGTCTTTGGACTCAATGGCAGCAGCACCTCGAGCAGCTTGGTCCATCCTGTGAGTATTATTGAGATTTACCGAGAGAGATATGTCGTGTGGAATTGTCGTTGGAGACACCTGCGAGGCTGAGAGAGAGAAAGCCCGAGAACATTTAATGAATGCTTCGACTCTTCGTCACTGCAGCGGCGCGTTAACCCCGAATAATCTTACTTAGCTCCGATGCAGGTGTGACTCCCTTCCACAAATCCCACCTCTTGCACGTGTGTGTTTCATACTCGACGGCGACTGTCATGTGTGCAAGCAACCGACCAAAAGACAAGCTTCGTCTGTGAGAGCGAATCCTATACGACAGGCTCACAGTCCACGAGTCCCTCTGTACTCGGGAGTTCACACAGCATGAGGGGAACCAATTGAAGAATGGCAAGTACGACTTGGAACCGGATCCTGCTGAGCATCCTGAGACAATCAGAATGAGCAATCGCTTCTATGTGTGTTACTTGAACACCCAAATGTGGATGAGAACTGACAAGGTCATCAGTTTAGTGGCTCTGACTCTGGCTCAGATGCTGATGACAACGATGCCTCACTTCCCTTCCCCAAGCCATTAGAGCGCTCGGCCTTCCTAGCCCCAGACTTTGATGCCGCTGCCTTTCTGTCCAGTCTGTCAAACCGATTTCAGACGCTTGAAGATCTGCAGACAGAATTGCGCGAATTGAGCCAAACCCTCAACACAGAGCTCGTCGATCTTGTCAATGACAACTATCAGGATTTCCTGTCATTAGGAAGCACGCTGTATGGCGGCGAAGAGAAGATTGAGGATATCCGACTGGGCTTATTGGGGTTCGAAAGAGATGTGAAGGCAGTCAAAGACAAAGTTGACACAAGAAGGAACGAGGTAGCAGAACTATTGAGACAGAAGAAGGCCCTGAGACAAGAGACGAGCATCGGGCAAGCGTTGCTCGAAATCGCGGAGCGTTTAGATCTTTTGGAAGAACGGCTCGATATCTCAACGCCGTCGGCTACTCAGCCCACGACCAAGGTCAAGGGCCAACCTCAAGACGGTGTCGGTGAGAAGTGGAGTAACGGATGGATCGAAGAGCCGACCAACGACGTTGACGAGGAATTCAACTCGGATGAGCTCGATGGCATCCCTTCTAAATTAAAGCGAAGGACGGAAGAATTCCTCATCTTGAAACACCTGGCAAGAAAACACAGTCCACAGCACCCTTTCCTCTTGGCCCAGGAAGGGCGGATTCGCAGAATCCAAGAGCTCTTACTGACCGACCTCGAACTGGCCATCAAGCAGGAAACAGAGGTCAAAAACAAACAACAATTGATACAGCTAAGGGGCGCAATTGAAGAGTGACTGTGACAGAATTCTTGCTTTCAGAGGGACAACTCTATTTCCATTTTGATACCTGTACGCCGAGGCCGAGCGACATATACCCCCAGTGAAGAACCGAAAGGGCTCTTTCAGACCACTGCCAGCTGCTGGGGAGTAGCAGCTCCCGGCGCCGGCTTATAGAATTCCCCATTCAAAGAGAAGCCAGGAGAATTGGTGGAGCTCAAGACCACCTCGTAAATCTCCTTGACAATCTGGTCACTCAGCGCAGCCGCATCTTTCTTTACTGCGTTGACATATGCCTTCACGTTATCCCTCAGTTGCTCTGGTGTGAAGCTCAATCTCCCAACTGCCATTCTTACCACGCCCTGCCTTTCTCTATAGGTACTGCCACCCATCATATCCCTCACAGCGGGCCCGGGGTTCGACACCACTGAGCCCATCTTGACATTCGGCATTAGACCTCTCGGTCCCAAGATCCTTGGTATTCCCTCTTTGTTCATCTTCTGCAGGGATTCGGGCACAGCAATGCACCTATCAAAGTCGATTTTGCCGGCCTTGATCCGTTCAAACACTTCCTCTTCACCGATTAAATGGGCGCCGGCTTCACGCGCTCGTTGCGCTGCTGTGGAATCAGGCGGACAGATCACCGCGATTTTTACGTCCGTCTTGACGGGGTAGGGGAGGCGGATCGCGTTGCGGACCACGGGGCCGTCTTTCTTGGTGCGCAGTTTGATGTGAATATCATATTTTGGCGAGTCCGGCTCGCGGCCGACCTCAAATGCTTTGATATATCTACATCGTATTAGCCATACCGAGATCATTCTGACTAGATTGTTTCTGGCCTACCTCATTGCTTCACACAAAGTGAACTGCTCCATATCTTTGAGGTTGTATTGCTTATAGGCTCTATGCTTCTTCCTGCGCCGCTTGATCTTCTCCCTTGCAGCCTTTTCCTTGTCTGATAGAGGCCGGGAACCACCTGCTGCAGAGAGGGCTGGTGCAGAAGAAAAGGCCCGGGCAGCTGTTGCTAGGCATGGTGTCGATGCGCGTGTTAAAAATGGGGCAAGGAACGAGGACGTTGTGAATCGACAGAGCTGTTTCGTAGCCATCGAAATGCCTCGAGAAACGACCATGGTCAAACAAGGAGCATGCCAAATATCAATAGGTAATTGCGTCGAATGCGGAAGATGTACAAACAAGTCTTTGCAGCTCCGTCCCCTATGGGGGAGCAGGCCAGCGAATAGAAAGTTGGCTTGGTAAATTTGTCAGGTTTGTGCAAGGCTGACGCTGCCCGCATTCCCCGCCCAAAGCCTTCGCAGAAATATTCCAGCACCGCAGTCGAAATGACTCAACAATTGCCATAAAACAGCCACTACTTCCTTTTCTACCTCTCCCAATAGCTCCCCTTCCCTTCAACCAAGCAACTTCTCACTATGGCGACAAAGAATCCGCCCAAGGCCAAAAAGGCCCCAAAAGTCAAGCAAATGGAACTGCCCAATGCCGCCGCTGGTGTGGTCACACGTTTTCCTCCAGAACCCTCGGGGTACCTCCACATAGGGCACTCGAAAGCTGCTCTTCTCAATGACTACTTTGCTCACATTCAATATCCTGGTGGCAAGTTGATCTTGAGGTTCGATGACACAAACACCGAGAAGGAGAATGTCGAGTTTCAGGACGCAATTCGCGAGGATGTTGCTCTTCTGGGAATTCAACCAGACATGATCTCTTACACGAGTGACTACTTCGACCTAATCGATGAATATTGTGTCAAGATCATCAAGGCTGGGAAGGCCTACGCAGACGACACTCCGGGCGATGTCATGAGCGCACAAAGAATGGCGCGCGAGCCTAGTGTTCACAGAGATGACACTGTTGAAGATAACCTGGCAAGATACGAGGAGATGAAGAAGGGTACCGAAGAGGGAAAGCGGTGGTGTATCCGAGCAAAGATTTCCTATGCCAACGACAATGCTTCCCTTCGAGATCCAGTGATCTTTCGATGCCCCAAGAACCAGACGCACCACCATCGGACAGGAGATAAATACAAGGCGTATCCTACGTATCAGTTCGCCTGCCCGATTGTCGATTCTATTGAGGGTGTGACTCACGCTCTGAGGACGACTGAGTACAATGACCAAGATGCGCAATACAAGTGGATTCTTAAGGCTATTGATTTGCGGAGTCCTTACATCTGGACTTTCTCCAAGATTCAGTTTGTGCGTACGCTGATGTCAAAGCGAAAATTGACAAAGCTGGTCAATGCGGGTATTGTGTCGGGCTGGGACGATCCCCGATTCCCAACCGTGAGAGGGATCCGGCGGCGCGGCATGACGGTTGAAGGGTTGCGGGATTTCATGGTCAGTCAGGGTCCGAGCAAGAATGTGGTCAATATGGACTGGCATACTATCTGGACCATGAACAAAAAAGTGATTGACCTGACAAGTGCGCGATACACCGCGATTGACGACAACCATGTCGTTTGCAAAATCAAAGGCCTCCCGCAGGAAGCGCCTTATTCGGAGATCAAACCCAAACATGCCAAATACGACCTCGGAGAGAAAAAGGTTTGGTACAGCTCTAACGTCATCATCGAGCAGGAGGATGCGCGGACTTTCGCCAAAGACGAAGAAATCACCTTGATGAACTGGGGAAATGCCTATGTCCGTGACATCCAGTACGAGAAAACTACCGACAAACCAGATATCACCGACAGCGTCAACGCACTAGGCAACGTTGCTTCCCTCGAGCTCGAACTCCACCTCGACGGCGACTTCAAGGCCACCAAAAAGAAGATCACGTGGCTTTCCAAAGATCAGGACCTCTGTCCCGTCCAATTGAAAGATTTTGATCATTTACTCTCCAAGGATAAGCTTACAGAGGAGGAAGAAACCCACTGGGAAGACTTTCTGACGCCCAAGAGCGAGTTCAGCTCTACTGCACTAGCTGACTGCAACGTATGGGACATCAAGGCGGATGATATCATCCAATTCGATCGCAAGGGTTACTATAGATGTGACAAGGCTCCCACCAAGGAGTCACGGGGCGTCTTTTTCAAAGTACCGTCGGGCAAAGAATAAAATGAATGGGAAGGCGGGGGGAGAACAGGTTACGCAAGAAAAATGAGCACGAGTGACGACTACGAGGCTGGAAAACGGCCAAGGTCATGATACGGCCAGGAGCTTCACAGTGGCCCGCTACTTACGACGCTCTGGCGTCCTGTTGTGCTTTTATCATGCTACATAGACATTGATCTCATGTTTCCATGAACAGTCACAAGAGACTGAATGCTACCGTTGAGAATGAGATGATGATGAAGAAGAAAATAAAGAATCCTCTCGAGCTCTGTGTTCTACACTTGACGTCCCGAGTTTCTGCTCCAGAAGCCGCGAGAAGCATTGGCAAAGAGTCTGCGAACCTGGCTGTCTATATCTATATCTCGTCCATTTTGCTGATGGCTGGACGACGTTCTCTCAGCCTCCTCCTCGCCTTGGTGATCTGTAATATCTCGATACGAATCTGTGCCTGTTTTTGACGCGCTCCTCGATAAAAGTAGTTAGTTCTACATCCAAGCGCTTCTCTCCCCTGCCCTCATCCCGTCGGGATCTCTGCCCAATCCGCTCCGTCCGACAAGCACCTCTCCCTGGCCTCTCTTCAAGAACCTGCCGTCGCCAGGCGATCCCAGGATACCCGCGCCGGGTCCCTGGCTGACTTCGATATCGCGGTTCCACTTGAGCTCGCCCCTTAAAAGGACGTACCTGGGCCAATTGCACACCCGAAAGCCTTCGAAGGGAGTATAATCGATACTGTGGTGCAACATTTCGTTGGTGATCTTTATTTTCTCGTCTGACGAGGCGGCATTGGGGTGGTGTGGAGGGTACCAGATGACCAAGTCGGCGTCATAGCCTGGGGCGATGCTGCCCTTTTTCCCGGAGAGGCCGTACATCTTGGCAGGATTCGTCGAGGTGAGTTCCACAAATTTTGGCAATGTCAGTCTCCTTGTAGGTGAAATTGACTGGTCCGGGTCGGTCGCGGCGGAGAAGAGGATGGGTAGCCGTGTTTCGATGCCCGGCAGGCCGTTGGGAATCTGGGAGAATGTCGGGGTCGAGTTCGTCTTTTGTGCTTCGACGAGTGGCTTCCGTTTACCCTGGGGGTCGTGGTACAGGGTCGGGGCGTGGTCGGAGGAGATCACGTTGATGGTTCCGTTGTTCACACTGTCCCAGACGCTCTGCAGATCGGACTCGGCGTGGCGGAGAGGCGGTGCGCAGACGTGTCGTGCCCCGGCCCATTCGTCATCCTCTCCATCCCCATGATCGTGACTATGAACACCATTGGCTTCGTCGACGACCGGGAATCGGGTCACGGCCAGCCTGTCGGACAACAAGTACATGTAATGCGGACACGTCTCTGCGTGGATCGGGAGCATGGACTTTGATTGTGCTTTCCTAGCGTGGGAAAGGGCCACGGGGCTAGACATGTGAACGATGAGAATTGGCGTGGATGTGAGGGTAGAAAGCGAGATGGCGCGATGGGTGGCTTCCGCCTCAGCGATCTGAGGGCGGGCGAGGGCGTGGAACTTCGGGAGTGTATGAGAATTTTGCAGGAGTCGAGTCGTGATCCTGTCACCGTTGTCAGTTGTGCATGTTCAACATTTACCGCCAGTTTCTGACGGGAACCAAGGGAGGCGTACATATCAATCATATCCGCATTCTCAGCATGCACCATGACCGTCATACCCACCTCTCTGCACCTCATCATCACCTCTAGCATCTCTTTGTCGCCTAACCTGAACGCCGGATAGGTCATGTACAGCTTGACGCTCGTGATGCCTTCCTCCTCGACCATTCTTTTCAACTCTCCTTCATTTCCGGGATCAGGCTCCCCGTCGACCTTGGCCTTGACCACTCGACCCAAGATCTCCGGACTGGGCCTCGTGAGGATCAAATGGAATCCATAGTCCACATAACTCTGGCCCCTCGCGCGGGAATGGTACTCTTCCAGCACGGGAAACAAGCTCTCATCAGTCCGCTTTTGCGTGGCAAATGCGAGAATCGTAGTATTGCCGCCACAGAGCGCGGAGCGGGAGCCGGGGAGCCATTTGTCGCCTGTGGGAGCGTTGTCCTGGTGCAGATGTACGTGGGAGTCGACGCCGCCAGGGGTTACATATGCACCTTCGGCGTCGATGATCTGTGTGTCCGCATTGGCTGGAAGAGAAAAAGCAATGGCGACGATTTGGCCAGATTTGATACCAATGCTGAGACCTGGTTGGAGGATTTCGGTTGCTGTGACCTTTGGTTTCGGGAAAAGGGGGACTCAGGCTCGTATAAACTTCAGGATGGTGATAGACTTACGATTGTAGCATTCTTGATGATGAGGTCAAGATCCATGGTCTCTCAGGTCACTAAGCTCGTTTTCACATGTATGACAGTCTTTCTCTTTTTGGGATCAAGACAAAGGCTACCATCCCATTCACAGGATCATAGATCAGAGTCGAAGTATGGATATATGGCGGATAAGTCCGATATGGAGTGGTGTTTTCCGGTTCAAACAAAAGACTGCCGACAGAGACCATGTTGGGCTTTCGGATGTGGGAGATATCTTCATTTCACAAACTGTAGATGAAAATCACGTTGTATATGGAGGGGGAAGAGCGGGCGTGGAGGGAAGCTATAACCCATGGCTGAGTGCATGCCCTCCTGAGGGTCTTCTCGGTCTCGCACTGTTTGAGAATCTGGAGGGTGGGACAATAGACATCATTGCTTTGATTGCAAGAGGCTTGACTCCATCAGCTTGACGCAGACAGTCTGCTATCGCTAAGGTCGCTGTGGTGTCAGGTTTGTTAGCCTTCTTAACAGTTCCTACAGGGTGGGAGCATCTGATAAAGTCGACGCACTTATGTCAGCAGCCTCGGACCATTGAATGATGCAATTGGAGATTTTTTCCTTCTTGCAGCTCTCCGACCTCCGATCATCCCACTGCTCTTCAATCGTCCTGAAGAGAAAAAGAGAGAGAGAGACACTCCCCTGGAAAGCCTGGGTCATTCTGTTGCATTCTCGTCTCATCCAGCAGTACTTTGCTTTCAGTCATGGCCAACGCTTTGAGGACGTCAGTTCGACGCTTTGCGACCACTGCCGTTCGTGCAGCGACTGCAGAGTCGGTCAATGCATATGGGATTCGTGTCTCCAAAGCTCAAGGAGTGGTCGACACCCTTACGGGAGGTATGTTCCCGTCGCCCTCTTCCCAGTTATAGATTCCAATGCTGACCAAATCTAGCCATCGGCAACACCCCTCTGATAAGACTCCATAAGCTCTCCGCCGAAACCGGTTGTAACGTCCTGGGCAAGGCCGAATTCCAAAACCCCGGTGGTAGCGTCAAGGACCGTGCGGCTCTATATGTTGTCAAAGATGCAGAAGAACGGGGTCTGCTGAAGCCTGGAGGCACAGTTGTGGAAGGGACCGCAGGCAATACCGGCATTGGCCTGGCGCACGTCTGCCGAGCGAGGGGATATAAACTGGTCATCTATATGCCAAACACCCAATCACAAGGCAAGATCGATCTCCTGCGACTTCTAGGCGCCGAGGTATATCCTGTTCCGGCTGTCGCGTGGGAGAATCCAGAAAATTATAACTGGCAGGCCAAAAGACATGCAGAGAGACTGCAGAAGGAAGATCCCGAACACGGTGCTGTATGGACAAATCAGTTCGATAACACCGCCAATCGCCTAGCCCATATTGTAACGACAGGCCCAGAAATCTGGGCCCAGACCGACGGCAAAATTGACGCCTTCACTTGCTCGACTGGAACTGGTGGAACGCTTGCAGGCGTGACTCGATTCCTCAAAGACGTCAGCAATAATTCCGTCAAGTGCTTCCTGGCAGATCCTCCTGGATCGGTCCTCTATTCCTACATCACCTCCGGCGGCCAGCTCAAAGAGAGAACGGGTAGCAGTATTACCGAGGGCATCGGTCAAGGTCGCGTCACGGACAACCTGAAGCAAGAAGTCAATGAGCTCGACGGCGCACTGAATATCTCCGACGAGAAGACTATTGCCATGGTGTACCGCTGCTTGGACGAAGAAGGGTTATATCTTGGAGCCAGCAGCGCACTAAATGTGGTTGCCGCGAAAGAGGTCGCGGAGAAGTTGGGTCCCAACCATACAGTTGTTACCGTCCTGTGCGACGGAGCCTACAGATATGCGGATCGGCTCTTCAGCGACACATGGCTCAAGAGCAAGAACCTGAGAGAAGCGATACCCGAACATTTACAGAAATACATTGTGCTGCCGTAGAACAGCCGGACTCGACTCGGAGCCAAGGTCCAAATCAGTCAGCGATGAGCGTTCCTTCAGTTTCACGTGCTCGATAAACGGTATTTGCAGAAGGATTCTGAAAGTTTTCTATGGACGGTTGCTATGTTCATCGAGCCACCGAGAGATAAGTCCTGAACTCGAACTATCCTGAGGACGTCCGGGTTCTATCATCTCAGCCAAGAAGAGCTCCTCCCAGACTTTCGATCCCTGTTCTCTGCCATTCCTGAAAGATGGCGCCAGTGGTTTCACTCCGGACCAAAAGCATCGCTGACAAATCGGGTCGCGAACGTCGCCCAAGTCACGATCACCGAAGTCGCCCCTCTCTATGCACGATCTCTTGCTCGAGACGCATCTATGGCCAGCTGCTTCTTCTCGTCACTTTGATAGCACTGAATTGCCCCGATCCAATACTGCGTATGATGACAGACGTCCTGTGTGTTGTCGATTGACCAGCTATCTTCACCGGTACAGTCTGAATTCTTCCAAAGCATGCACTCGGCAAAGACACCGGTACACTCGGAAATCCAGACGTTGTTCATGTCGATCCAGAGCGGGTGACAGTCGAAGTCGTTGATGCCGATCTCTTCGACGGAATGCTGACCGCAGCCGGCGTCGTTGAATTCGAAGATGCAGCACTCGGTGCAGGTGGAGCTGTCCGAGTACAGATTAGCGAAAAGAAATCACTTTGACTTAAGGAAGGACGGGTTTTCCGTGTGGGATATGGCAAGAACAGTGAAATGGTGAAATGGTGTCCTACCAGCCAGCTTGAGTCTCGGGTTGAGTTGACGGGCAGGAACCTTGTTGGGTGAGGTTGCGCGGCGCCAGCAATCGAACAGCATTCGCAATGGACAAGTCTGGTGCTGGGGGCGGCAGGGCGGCGGCGAGGTTCGCGTTGACAAGCACCGAGACAGCCAGCGCGGCAAGGAAAAGAATGATGTTCTTGATAGTGACAGTCATGATGAGCTCCTTTGTCTTGTCGATGTCTGTTGAGCAGCACAATGTGGACGAGAGCAACGAGCTGTGGTGAGGAATAAGCACAGAGAGAGAGGGAGAAAACAAAGAGACGCCGCGGTGACAGGAATTCGATCCTGCCTCTTATACACTACGGCACGGTGAAAAATTCACGCTTCTTGTCACCATTGTCACTTGTCGTCGTTACTACTGCCGCTACCGTCCACGGATGAGCCCAGAGACACGTGAAACGCGCCAAGTTGAAGACAAGCGTCCTGAGCCTCGCCAGCCTCACCTCACCCGTGCCGAAGGAACATGCTCGAGGACATACATCTACATAGGGTTTTACGGGGAGTTTCCTTGAAATGCTCTAATGTGCGGTCAGAGACGGGTGCGGGTACGGACACGGATACGGACAGTCGAAAAAAAGATGGTAGGTAAAGCACTCGTGAGTCGAGTCGAGTCGTGACGGCGGCGGACAGAGGCTGAGTGGAGTCCAGCTCATGATGAGGAGGATCTGATGCTGCAGAATGGACAGAACCACAGGTGGATTCGACGAGGATAAAGGCTGTACAGTACAAGGGTGAGGTGGCAGTGAGTGAGTGAGTGAGTGAGCTTACGCCCTTCGGCTCATACTCTTCATCCACTAATCAAGACCCTGCTTTCTGTTGTTGAATGCCACATCAAACACACCACATACGAGGCTCCAAGCGGAAGATCGAGGCGTGAAACTAAGAATGGGCGGATACAGGGGCGGGACGAAACGTAAAAGAGAGGGCAACATCCTTCCTTCAGTGCGTAGTTCGCGGATAGGATAATAATAGAGACCTGCCAAAGCGAACGTGGCCGCATTCGTCGTGTTTTATGCAAGGAACTCCCCTGCGAAAGGCTCATTCGGTGATGGTGGTGGTAGTGGCACCAGTGATAGTAAAGTATAGAATAAGCGACATCGAGCAGCCCACAGGAGCTCGATCCCCAGCTGCCCAAGAACCTCATGATGACCGCACCCGGCTATCCCCCCCGTCCCTTGGAATGGCATTCCACAGGCAAGCTGATGCTGTGTGTGTGGCGTGTCCAGGCAAACCAAAAAGCAAATCAAACAATAAAGAAGAAGCGAAACCAAAAACCGGCTCAGATTTTTATGTCGTTCAGGGCAGAAGGGAAACGCCAGTACACGCCATAGTCCGAACCTTCTATCAATCATCTTCTGCCTCCCACGTAGAAGGATGAAACACGCTGCTTGAGACGGGCGTCCTTGTCTGTCAAAGACATGGCTAACCCAAGCCCATCCCCGGCCGACTCAATGGAATCCACTCAAGCACTTTCAAGTGGACCCCGGAATCCAGAGCACTTCGTGTCATCTAGTGCTTCGCCGTGACAGCCTCGCCAGTGAGTTTCTCGACGGCTTCTTTGGCACTAATTAAGGGTTAGCGTTTGCTCTTGGATAGAAGAAAGGCAACGAAAAGAACATACATGTCGCCCAAAGCAACCATGCAGATTGTCTGCCAGATACCCAGACCGATGCGGGGAGTGACACCACGGTAGAGGCCTTTGAGGCCGTTGGTGCTGTAGATGTAGTTCAAGGTCTTCCCGACCGTCAAGTTCTTCGGTCGGTTAGGATCGTTGGACTTGCTTTGCATCTCAACTCGAATGACTTCAATGGGCTGGTTCCAGGCAGAGAGACCACCGCCGAGACCGCTAGCAAGAATCTTCTCTCCCGCGTTCAACTTCTCGCCTTGCTCCTTGCCAGTGACTCTCCGGATACCAGTCTCGGCGAGTCTGGACAGACCGAAACGGGAGCCCCAGTTGGTGACTTGGCGGATGGCGACTGCGTTGACACCCTTGTTGATACCCCTGATACCCTCTTGCTTGTAGATGTTTGCGAAGGTCGCGAATGTGGAGGGAGGTTTCACACCCTGCGCGGCGAGTTTATGCTGGGTGATTTCCACAGTTTTCATACATGTGCAGAAACCCATGGTTGCATATGCTTGGGCCATACCGCCGACCATGCCACCTGTGATGCCGGCGAGAAAGTTATTGGCACCAAAGGTCTTTGCGTAGTACTCGGCCTCTGAGGCGACGAAGAGCAATACGGCACCCTTGGTGGAGGCCTCGATCCAGGCCCACGGTATGAGACCTTGGTAGACTGTACATTGCAAGAAATCAATCAGCCGAGGTTTCTCACGAGTAAACTGGTGTGCTGTTTTGCCTTACATCCAAAAACACCACCGCGTCCCCATATCCTTGTCATGGCCCCAGCGAACGTGTCGGTCCGGTGGGCAGCCATAGTGGTCTTGACAACCTCCAGCGGTTGTCCCAGGGTAGTGACCTCGAACATGTTGAGACCGGCGCCGAGTAGTAGGTTGCTGAACTTGACGGGCTTCTTCTCAATTGTCGGCGCCGGAGGCGCAGGTGTGAGGACTGCTTGAGCGGACATTTTTGGCAGATCGGCGAGATTGTCTACCCTGACCAAGGGAGGAGGTCGGCTTCGTCGCCTTGAGGATTAGAGAGGACGAAAGAGGAGAGAGGAACCGTTGGGTCACAGGGGGCTGCGTTGGTACGGGATGCTGCAATGATACAGCAGACACGAAATGGATACCGTGGTATTTATCTTGCTTGTATAGAGTAAGTATATGAGGCAGAAAAAGAGGAGTAGAGATTAAGAACAAACAAGAGCAGCGATCAATCTGACGGTGATGGCAGGCACAAAGTGTCGGAGATCGATTTGTTCAGCTCCCCGGCGAAGAAGGACGAGATGGCCATCGTAGAATATCGGCGCAGGCTGTCTCGACGTAACCCCCATTCGGGCCAGAAGCAGATTAGTGGCTTTGACTTCGGCGTGTTGAGCGGACTTGACTCCAGCAGTAGAGGTGCCCAGGGTCCCATTTCACCCCCCAAGCTTCATAACTATCCATGCATCCCCCTAGGCTTCGGACGCCGCCTCCCTTAAATGTGGGTCGATAGCCTCTTTTTAGCTTGCTAGGGCCACCCAACGCCGCCAACGCGCTTCTCAACATCCGAAAATAAAAAATGTCAAGAAATTTTACGGTCGCACGGTCCATGTCTCGCAAAGCCACCGCAGCCCCCAATGTCTCCCGAACACGGGGGTTACGCGAGAAGGGTGTAAAGCACGGAGAGAACTTGTTGCATAAAGTAAATGATGGGAACAAAGTAAAATGTGGTATTCGCATCCAACGACGCTCGTCAATTAAATAATGGCGTAATTGAATGGGGACACTGCTTCACCCCCGACCAGAACTGACCTCGTATTGCCCTGTCTCCTTCCTTTTAGACGTACAAGTATGTTGTTGCATTGTACAGTTCCTGCTCTTTTCAATGCAATCACAATGAAGCACCAACGAGTTTGGCGTACGCTTCGGTGCTGAAGGACTTGGGTCGCTCGATGGGCGCACCCAGGGCGCGGTCGATGATGAGTTGCGGCAGGACACCAAGGGCACGCGAGACACCGAAGAGGACGGTGTAGTAGTTGGCTTCGGTCAATCCGTAGTATTGCAAAAGAACACCAGAGTGCTAGTTCACCAGTCAGCGTAATCATGATACGGTTCCAACAGTTAAACTTACAGCATCAACGTTGGGGTATGGGTTCTTGGTCTTGCCGTGCTTGGTCAAGACACCAGGGGCAATCTTGTAGACCTGGCTAACCAGCTTGAACATGGGGTCATTGGGAAGCTTGCGAAGAGCGAACTCGCGCTGAGACACGTAGCGGGGATCGGTCTTGCGGAGGACCGCATGGCCATAGCCAGGAACGACCCGACCACCGTTGAGGGTCTCCCAGAGGTAGTCGGTAATCTTCTGATCGCTGAGGTCATCACCGATGCTCTCCTTCATCTTGGTGAGCCAGTTCAAGACTTCCTGGTTGGCCAGACCGTGGAGGGGACCAGCCAGACCGTTGAGACCGGCAGCAAGGGATAGCATAGGAGAACTCAAAGCACTTCCAACCAGGTGAGTAGTGTGTGCGCTGACGTTGCCACCCTCGTGGTCGGAGTGGATGGTGAGGTAGAGACGCATGAGCTCAACAAAGTCGGCGTTGTCGCCATAGCCAAGCTGATTGGCCAAGTTGAAGCCGTAGTCCTTGTCTTTCTGGATAGGAGCAACCTTGCCATCCTTGTATGCATTGCGGTAAATCTTTGCCGCAATTGTGGGTAGCTTGGCAATGAGGTTCATCGAGTCCTCGAAGGTGTATGACCAGTAGTCCTTCTTGTTGATACCCTTGGCATAGGCTTTGGCGAATTCGGAGGTGTGTTCGAGCGCGACCACGGCGATCGAGAACTGGGCCATAGGGTGCATATCGCTAGGGCAACGGTCGATGAGCTCTTCGACGAACTTGGGAAGGTCTGATCGAGCGGCCCAGTCGGCGGAGAGGTCACGGACCTGCTGCTCACTGGGGACCTCGCCGGTGAGAAGAAGCCAGAACAGGCCCTCAGGCAGAGGCTCTTCGCCGCCAGGAGCCTTAGGGAGGACTTCCTGGCATTCCGGGATAGTCCTTCCACGGAATCTGATACCTTCTTCTGAATCAAGGACGGAGCCCTCCCAGACTAGCGACTTGATGCCTCGAGCACCGCCGTAGACCTGGTCCAGGGTGACCTCGCCAATGACTTTGGAGCCGTAATCTTTTCTCAGCTTCTTGACCTTCTCGATCTCGCCAGGGACCTTGGCAGCGAAGACCTCTTTCAGGGACTACGAAAGATGGGCATGGTTAGCGGATGAGCTCTCAACAAATCCGCTCGGATAGCTCACCTGGGTGCTTGCGCAACGGACGCCATTGTAGGCGGCTTTTTGGACCAAAGGACGGGTCGAGGAACGGAGCAGGGAGCTCCCTAGGCGAAGAGAAGAGGCCATGATAGTAAAACACGAGGAAGTCGAAGCAAAGAAAGTCAAGAAGAACGTTACGTCAAGGGAGGTTTTTGAGGGAGTGCGGGAATAAAAAGGTGCAGATAGGAAAGTCAGGGAGGAGAAAGCTGTCCCTGCTTGGATTGATGAACGATGAAAATGGTCCAATTGGGGTCCCCCGGGGAGGCTTCGGGCGGTCGGATCACCCTTCCCTTCAATAAAGCCATGTTTTGCCCATTGGGGTTCGATGGCCAGCCAACAGCGGCACGGGCGGACCCCCAGCATGCCCTCCAGCCCCATAAGGCCCCAATTCGCAGTCCGAAGAAAATTGCATGACGCCCCAAGCTTAAGCTCAAGCTCAAGCGTGCTCAGACAGTCATCACGTGCACAGCTGCGTAACAATGTTAATCCGGCCAGCTGAGTTCGCCTATTTTCTCGCTTTTCTTCAGCGACTCTTTTCAACTCCTTCGTTCACAATCTTGTCTTCACTCCACCACCACCATTTCATCACTCCTCATCACCCCTCATCACCGATCGACGCACTATCCATCGCCTTTGATTTCCTTCTCTTCGCTTCTATCACGCACATAGTGTCATCAGCTCGTAAAGTGCCTCTACCAGTATTCTTCTCTGCACACGGCTGCTAGTTCCTCAGAACTGCCACTGCCAGGCCGCAGTTGCCACCTCGCTGTAGAAGTCTTGTGGGCGCAACCTACACTTTAGCAGGAAAAGGAAGAAATCAAGGGGAGAAGGACTACACATTTGCACACCGCGCATCACCTTTCACCTGTGCCTCGAGTCTGTAAGACGTCTTTGTCGTTCGAAGACTGCGTATGCGTTGAAACGGCTCAAACTTCGCCCGCCTCGCCGTTTTTCTCCAGCCGGGCCCAGGTTCCTACCTCAACATCTTGTTGTCATCGCCAGCTGTAGGAAAGCTCGCTGGGCCATCATGTCTTCTGCAGTAGCGGAGCTGGACGCCATCCTGCAGTCCATGCTCAATCTCAAACCGCCAGGAGTTTCGGGCTCAAAGATCACCGCCATCACCTCACTCTGTACGGCAAACATCCAAGTATGTTGATCTCTCGTCTCTACCGCCACGCGCCTCCGTAACTGACGTGACCTCTAGTCTGAATCAGTCCTCATCCAAAAGATCTATACCCATTTCAAGAAGACACCAGGAACACACAAATTGGGGGTACTCTACGTTATAGATTCTGTTACGAGACAATGGGTAGACCAAGCCAGAAAATCAGGTCAACAGCTGGGTAGCGGAGCTCCTGATGGAACCTTTGCCGCTGGTGTGACTCGAGTGACTGAACTGCTGCCCGTACTCATGAACGACATCATTGCTACCGCGCCAGAAGACCAGAAGGTATGCCATTCTATGTCCGTCGTATCTCCTAAACTTTTGAAGTACCACACGCACTGCACGCGTCAGGACAGTCTGCCTGTACACATTAACCAAAGTCTTATTGTTTGTTCGACCGGCTACATTGATTGAGACTCACGTGTAACCGCTTTTGTTTAGGTCAAGATCAGAAAGCTCTTAGAAATCTGGGAGCGGTCGAACACGTTTCCGGCCCCGTTGCTTGCTTCACTGAAAGACAAGCTTGACGCGCCCAAAGGTATATTCAGATTTGGTCTTTCCTTTGCCTGCAAACCAGGTCATCCTAATTCTTATGCAGTTTCCACCACACCTGAAGGATCGCCAGCACCCGGATTCGTGCCACTCGGTCAAACAGCTCCCACTGACAGCATGGCGGCAAAGCCTCCACCGCAACAAGACACCTCAGCTATCCTGGAAGCTCTCAAGAACATGGCAAAGCAGAATTCTGCAGCACCTCCTGCCATTTCAGCACCCGCTCAAACTAGTTTGAATAATCTTTTAGGCGCACAGAATGGGATCCCTCTTGCGAACAGTACCGTAAATCCCGGCCTTGCTCCCGCCGTCACCAATGGGCCGGCTGTAAATCAGCTTGGAGCTCTGTTCGCTGGATTGAGTAATGGTGCGCAAAGTCAGAGTCCTGCCAATGTACCTGCAAACCCGCTTGCTGCTTTTCTTCCGCAACAGGCTCCTGCTCCAGCAGTGCCGCAAAACCCTGCTCTCCTAAGTCAAGATCCTCAGGCTCAAGCTCAGGTTCAGTTGCAGCTATTGCAACTGTTGGCTAGTCAAGGCGTCCCTCCAGACCAATGGGCGACTGCTCTACAGTTGTTGAACATGCAGGGCGCAGGAGGCGGTGTTGGTGTTGGTAGCGGTGGTGCCAGTGCGAGTGCCAGTGGCCTTGCATTTCCGCCTCCTGTTCCAGCAAACAATTGGGCAGGCCAGGCTCCAACGCCCGGGCCATCACGTGATGCCCAAACCCGTTCCCCTCCAGGTCAATATCGACGCCGCTCACGCTCTCCCGGTTATGATAGACGCAGAGACCTGTCTCCCAGACGTCGCCGAGATAGTCCGGGGGCAGATGGATATCGTAATGATCGCGATGGCAGGCGAGGTGCTGAATACCGCCAGCGGAGCCCGATGGGTAGAAGACGACGAAGCCCTACCCCTCCCAGTGACTACCAGCTTCCACCGCCAGGCCCGAAGAACGTGCAGTGGGATCCGACCCTTCCCAAAGGCCACATCAAGGTTTTCAGTCGAACTCTCTTCGTGGGCGGCGTCACATCGTCCGAACCACATTTGAGAGGCTTGTTCAGTAAATTCGGGGTGGTCCAAACCTGCATTGTCAACATCGATAAACGCCACGCTTTCATCAAGATGATTAATCGCCGCGACGCAGAAAGTGCCCGTGACGGCATGGAAGAATACAAGGTGGGCGACATGCAGCTCCGCGTAAGTCAATGCACGCTGGCCGCGAATTGGAATGTGACAAAACTGACCGGCATTGTCGTACAGACCAAATGGGGTGTGGGCTTTGGACCACGTGACTGCAGCGACTATCAAACCGGAATTAGCGTCATTCCCATTGAACGTCTCACGGATGCCGACCGCAAGTGGCTCTTGACCGCCGAATACGGGGGCACTGGCGGTGCGCCGATCCAAGAAGGCATGGTGGTCGAAGAGCCTGACATTGAAATTGGTGCTGGGGTGTCCTCGAAAGGTACGCCATATTTCCCGTCCTCACCACTGTAAACCACTGCTGACTTTGATGTAGCCATGAGTCGACGCATTGCTACTGACCAGGGCGGACGCCGCGGTCCTCAATCTTCCCGCCTGCCTCCAGGACGTGACGACAACAGACACAGAGACAGTAATCGCCGAATGGACCGAGATGACCGGCAAGGCGCGGGCAACCCAAACAACATTGGTCTGATGCCGTCAATGGCTTTCCCCATGAATTTCGGCAACATGTCCAACGGAATACCCGGCTTCCCACCTGGATTCCAGATGCCTGCATTCCAGCCACAAGGCAAGCAGGACTAACGGCAGATACGCAAGGCGGGAGAGGCGTTGTGTCATTACCGGTTCACAGAGGTCATGGCTGAGGAATGATACCCAATCTACATGTACGATTCACAAGCATATTCGGGAGTCGATCACCAAGACAGGACAGCCGCTGATTGGAGGCGATTGTGATCAAAATGGTTTTCTTATTTATTCGACCTTCGCCCTGCATTGGACATGCAGGCTCTCTCGTCAGGCCTTGTTGGTGCCGCGAGCGTTGATGCTTTTGTCAGCGTGCTCGAGTCACCCCATGGGATTTATAGGACGAACACGTATTTATGGATAATGGAAGGACACTTTTGACAAGAAGATGGGCTCTTTCCACGAGGATTGATCCCAACGTGTTCTTCTTCCACGTGCTGTGACACGTGGATCGGTTTCAAGATGACCTGTTTCTGTCGAGAGATCCATCTGACGTTGCCACCAATCGCTCCTCGCAGTGTTTTCTTGTCTGGTTAGGCGATGGATCCCTTGTTTTCTTGTCCATCTTATCATCAGACACCCCAGCCCCACAGGCAAGGCTTTCCACGCCCGACACCGCCTCAGTCACCCGACATTTCTACGTCTTGGAAGGAGCACTGCCAAGGGGAGAGAGTAGAACTCCGACTACGGATGCCACGGACAATTGGTTCTGGGGCTCACATAGGGCATGGGTGTCGCCCGATCAGCGTATGAAAGTCCCCTTGTTGTTGAAGGGATTGGCGCAAGATTGCGGGGGTGAAGGTCGGGAACCCTGATCGCTTCCCACTCCCGGACTTTCTCTTACGACTTGTTTCTTTCTGATCGCTCTTTGGCTCATGGCACTTTCCCACCAATATCCTCGCAACCTGCGCCGAGTAAATCATTGTATCCTTCCTCTCGGGCTCGTGCGACCTGACACACATTGAGGGCAGCGACCCAGTGTGACGCCTGCCTTTCCTGAACCATCTCCCCGATCCATCGCCATTCCGCAACTATTTCTCCCGCGCCCGTATCCTTACAATGGAGTCGAGATAGCACACACCGTTAACCTCTCCTTATCTTATTCAACATGGTAGACCTCCCGTCCGACGTCAGCACCTCGGGTTCGACCCATTCCGCCGCCGACAAACCTCACCCTCACCTCCATGTCAGTGTCAGCGATGTCGTTCCCGACGAGAAACCCGACGTCATGTTCACGCCGCGGAAGGCGTCCAGAATAGACAAGGACGATGACGACGAGGAGGAAGATTTAGACGCGCTCATTGAAGAGTTGGAGTCACTCGATCCCGATGCTGAGATTGAGGCCGAGATCGAGACGGCGGCGGGCGCTCGAAATGTGCCCGAGGAAATGCTCCAGACCGACACGCGTGTCGGCTTGATAGAGCCCGAAGTTGTGGCGAGACGAAAGAAGTACGGACTCAATCAGATGAAGGAAGAGAAAGAGAACCTGTTGTTGAAGTTCTTGGGATACTTTGTTGGTCCCATTCAATTTGTCATGGAGGTCTGGCTGCTCCCTGCGACACACGCCGATACCCATCTCGGCGATGCTTATACTGATATTTTGTCCTACAGGCTGCTGCAATCCTTGCCGCCGGGCTGGAAGACTGGGTCGACTTCGGCGTCATTTGTGCGTTGCTCTTGCTGAATGCCAGTGTCGGTTTCATCCAGGAATTTCAAGCTGGCTCGATTGTGGAAGAGTTGAAGAAGACCTTGGCCTTGAAAGCTGTCGTCCTGCGAGAAGGACACCTTATCGAGATTGAAGCACCTATGGTGGTTCCGGGCGACATTCTCCAACTCGAAGAAGGCACAATCATCCCTGCTGACGGCCGGCTGGTCACCGAAGACGCATTTCTCCAGGTCGACCAGTCCTCCATCACGGGCGAGTCCCTCGCAGCGGACAAACATGTGGGTGACACCTGCTACGCTTCGTCGGCTGTCAAGCGAGGCACCGCCTTCATGATCGTCACAGCAACAGGAGATAACTCTTTTGTCGGACGGGCGGCTGCCTTGGTCAATGCCGCGTCAGGCGGCGCGGGTCATTTCACTGAAGTTCTCAACGGAATTGGCACAGTTCTACTGGCGCTTGTGGTTTTCACCTTGCTCGTGGTCTGGATATCATCTTTCTATCGATCTAATGACATTGTGACCATCCTTAGGTTTACACTGGCGATCACCATTATAGGAGTGCCTGTCGGTTTGCCCGCCGTGGTCACCACCACCATGGCTGTCGGCGCCGCATATCTAGCCAAAAAGAAGGCCATTGTCCAGAAATTATCTGCCATCGAATCGCTCGCCGGGGTCGAGATCCTGTGCTCGGACAAGACCGGTACGCTGACCAAGAACAAACTTTCTCTCCACGAGCCATACACGGTGCATGGTGTCGATCCCGAGGACATGATGCTCACCGCGTGTCTGGCCGCGTCCCGGAAGAAAAAGGGCATGGATGCCATCGACAAGGCCTTCCTCAAAGCCTTACGGTACTATCCTCGAGCCAAGCAAGCGCTGTCCAAGTACAAGGTCGTCCAGTTCCATCCCTTCGACCCCGTTTCCAAGAAGGTCAGCACCGTTGTCGAGTCACCTCAGGGGGAGCGTATAATTTGCGTCAAGGGTTCGCCTTTATTTGTCCTCCGCACAGTGGAAGATGACCATCCGATCCCCGAGGAGATTGACATCGCATACAAGAACAAGGTCGCAGAGTTTGCAGCTAGAGGCTTCCGCTCTCTGGGCGTTGCGAGGAAGCGAGGGGACAATTCGTGGGAAATTCTGGGAATCATGCCTTGTGCAGACCCGCCTCGACACGACACCGCCAAAACCATCAACGAAGCCAAATCTCTGGGGTTATCCATCAAGATGTTGACTGGTGATGCCGTCGGCATTGCCCGAGAAATGTCTCGACAGCTAGGACTTGGAACCAATGTCTTCAACGCCGAGCGTCTTGGCCTTGCTGGCGGAGGGACGATGCCGGGTTCAGAAGTTTACGACTTTGTGGAGGCTGCCGATGGGTTCGCTGAGGTGTTTCCACAACACAAGTACAACGTGGTGGAGATCCTGCAGCAACGAGGCTACCTCGTGGCCATGACTGGCGACGGGGTCAATGATGCGCCCTCGCTGAAGAAGGCAGACACTGGCATCGCGGTACAAGGCGCCACTGATGCCGCACGGTCGGCGGCAGACATAGTATTCCTGGCGCCCGGGCTGTCCGCCATTATCGACGCCCTGAAGACGTCCCGTCAAATCTTCCACCGCATGTACGCATACGTCGTCTATCGCATCGCCCTGTCACTGCACTTGGAGATATTCCTCGGCCTGTGGATCGCCATCCTGAACAAATCCCTCAACCTTAAGTTGGTTGTTTTCATTGCCATATTTGCCGACATCGCCACACTGGCCATTGCCTACGACAACGCCCCCTACTCGAAAACGCCGGTCAAATGGAACCTGCCTAAACTATGGGGCATGTCCATTTTGTTGGGGATCGTCCTGGCGGCAGGCACGTGGATTGCTCTAACGACGATGATTGTTGGAGGCCACGATGGAGGCATCGTCCAGAATTTTGGACACACGGATGCCGTCTTGTTCCTTCAGATCTGCCTCTCGGAAAACTGGCTGATTTTCATCACCCGTGCTAATGGCCCTTTCTGGTCCAGCATTCCCTCCTGGCAGCTGGTAGGAGCGATCTTACTCGTGGATATTCTCGCCACATTCTTTTGTCTCTTCGGCTGGTTTGTTGGCGGCGAGCAGACCAGCATCGTCGGGGTGGTACGGATTTGGCTATATTCGTTCGGGGTTTTTTGCGTCATGGCAGGCGTATATTACCTGTTGCAAGACAGTGTCACGTTTGATGATATTGTTCATGGGAGGAAGACCAGGAGCAGTAAGGTGCTCAAGAAGAGGGACATGGAGGATTTCCGTGAGTGTGGCCCGTGTGAGCGTCTCCACGCTTCGACTGACTTATTCGCAGTTGTCTCGTTGAATCGCGTGTCCACCCAGCACGAGAAGGTGGCGTAATAAGCGCGAACCGGTATGCTACAGGTTGGCTACGCGCGGTCACCGTCAGAAGGAAGACCTCAGAGTTGGCCACAGCCGCAGCTCAACCATGATCTCCTCTTCAAGAATAATTTTTGCACCGATTCAATCAGGTCCGGGGCTCGATTGATGGAACAGGTGCTGAACGCTCCCGGGCAACAGAAAGAAGCTCCCAGGCCGCTACTACCCAAGCTGCACTTTCCCCCGGCATCGTCACTGGAGCAAGAAGTCACGTCGAGGTTCTCTGAGAATTCTCCACCCGAGAGCAGCCAACACGGGAGCATTGTGCCGCCGCAGAGCACATAAGAACTGTGAACACTTCGTAACGGGAGAACAACTGCTGCGACGCAAGACACGATCATTGATACCCTTTTTACTTGTTATAATCAGCATTCCGCAAAGGACGAGGGATACCCGAGACGACATTTTGAACTTGAGCGATGGCGCTGTTTTGTTGGTGTTGTTTTATGGATTTCCACCGTCGGTGGACTATTCTGTTGAGAATCCAGCATTCTCGGGCGGGATTGTGGTGAAGATGGAGGACCCGACGGGAAGACGCCGACCCGTGTGGTCGCAGGGAGGGATATTCATGACTTCACCGTCACCATCAAGCCAGGAAGTATTGTATCATGGAGGGACAGGACCAGCGTTTTTATCATGGGTCACCAGGGCTATAGAGGTTATGTGCTTTTCCAGCACTGGCTATACATTTCCCTCGCGGTAAATAATGCCACTACTACGTTGACGTCCTTTCGACAAAGATGTCTCCGTTCTTTGCCTGGTCGACGATCTGTGATGGCACCCCCGATAGACGAATACTACTATAACAGAATACGTTGTCGGAAAATGGGCAGCGAACCGAGGTCACCACTCAAGACACAAAGACAACCAAACAGTTGAACCAATGCACGCTCTTCATTCACTATGCCGAATGCCAGTGAAGGTTTACACTCTCAATCCTGCCTCCTCTGCACGCTCAGCTCTCCATCAGGCGGGGAGCACCCGAGGTATGTCGGGATGGTGTCTGCGGAGAGGGAGAGAGAAGTTGCCATATAATAATAATAATGCTCGAGCCTGGCGTCTCCGCATTTGGAAGAAGCGCGTCTCTCGACATCCCAAAACCACGACAACCTCTTGTTCGTGCTTCACATCTCCTGATCGACTGTACAACAAGTCAAGTCACCTTTTCTTCCTTCTGGGAGGGGCATCAATGGACGTGCCTGGCTTCGCGTTGATCACGGGTGGCGGATCCGGCATCGGTCGGGCGTGCGCGAGGACATTCGCCCGCGAAGGCGCCGCCGGGGTGGCGTTGCTGGACGTGAACCACGAGGGGCTCCTCGCTGTTAAGGCGGAGGTGGAGCAGGAAAAGAGACCGGCGGGCGCCCCAGCTTGCCGGGTCGAGGTGTACGTGGTGGACGTGCGGAACGAGACCGAAGTCACGCAGACAGTGGGCGAGGTGGCCCGGACGTTCGGGCGCCTCGACTATGTGGTGAATGCGGCCGGGGTGGCCAAGAAGCACGAAGGCGGCGCGGCGTTCGTGCCGACGGCCGACTGGCAGCGGGTGCTGGACATCAACCTGACGGGGACGTTCTTCGTGCTGCGGGCGGCGGCGGCGATCATGCTGACGCAGGAGCCGATCCTGTCGGCGCTGGACGGCCGCGCCTTGCAGCGCGGGTCGATTGTCAACTTCGGCTCGATCCTCGGCGCGGTCGGCGTGCCCACGTCGACCGCATACACGGCGTCCAAGCACGGCGTGCTGGGCCTGACGCGCACGGCGTCCGAGGACTACGCGGGCCGCGGCCTGCGCATCAACGCCATCTGTCCCGGCTACATCGACACCCCGATGACGCGCGGGGACGCCGTCGTGCGCGACGTCATGGCCGAGCGCGTCGCCAACGCCGTCCCCATGCAGCGGGCCGGTCTGCCGCAGGAGATCGCCGACGGCGTGGTGTACCTCTCCGGCGGGCGCAGCTCGTTCGTCACCGGCACCGCACTGTTTGTCGATGGCGGGTATACTGAGAGGTAGAAAGGGAGGGTGGAGATGGAGATGGAAGGGAGACGGACGGACGGGGGATATGGGATGTCGATGCCCCGTTTGATGTCTGTCAAGCCAGACAGACGCAAGTTGTTCTGGTCCACGAAGGCAGGGAGGCTTAGCTGGGAGAGGATATAGGATCTACTATCTGCGGTGACTGACCCCGGGGGGGCAAAAACAGAGTCCGAATATATACAGTACATTCTACAAAAGAAGCCCATCTACATACAACATGCCATGACCAGACCAGACCAGACCACGACCAAATTCCGATAGATAAACAGAGCCTACTAGGTACTTCGACAGACATTCATGGCTGTATCTGGCTGGCTGGCTGGCATTGTCATGTTATATAGTATATAGTATATATATATATATAAGGTATTTACAGTGTGGACTCCACCACTCCTTCGTGTTCTAACCGTCAGTATGTATGTATGTACACGGGAAATTCAGGCTTCCTCCGGGTCGAATGCCTGACGCACGAGCGACGTCTGTCTCCAAAATAACTCCTGCGAGTCTAGACAGACTTGAGAAGCGAGGGAAAGGACTGTCCCATACTTGTATATATATATGTACAAAAGAATGGGCCACTGGTATGTATGTACCTACGTATGTATGTATATTGCTAACCCTATAAATTCGGTTCAGTTCCTGTCTAGCGAGGTAATTGTACCCAGTCGAAGCGAGTTGCACTCGTTTCATTAAGAAAGCGCCGTAAAAAGCTATCCCCTGTCTAACACCCTGTCTCTCCCCCTCACATTCCTCTGCTCATATCCACGATAGCTTCAGTCGTTCAGTCGTTTATTCATTCATTCATTCAGTCATGCTCGCAAATGATCAACATCGAGCGCGAGGCGGATTGCAGCCAGGCAGGCCTGAGCGACTCGGTCGGTCGGTCGGTCGGTCGGTCGGTCGGATGCTCTAGCCCATATATGCCATTTTATGCTAGCGCAACGAGTACACGCTGACCGTCGGAGTCAAATCCTTGATAGGTCCCCTGGCAGGCGGGGCGGCGTTGGCGACCAGCTCGCTGTGCGAGATCGACACCTCCAGGTCCTTCAGCGCATACTGCTGCTGCGGGTACTGGAGCGGATACTGGAAGCCCTTCCGCGGTGAAGACCGCCGGGCCCCCAGCTCGCTATTCGCCGCGCGGTATCGTCTCTCGCGGACGAAGAAGAACGCCCCGATCAGAATCGCGGCCGCCGCCGCCACGGCCACACCGATGCCGGCTTTTGCCCCGTTCGACAGGCCGCCTGAAGAATGTGTTGATCCCCCGGTCGAACTCGCGGGCGGCGTGGGCGACTCTGGCGACGGGAATGTGAAGTCCAAGGTGAACGAGGCGTCGGCGAATGCGATCTCGGCGTCGTTGATGTTCGGGTCGACCGTGGTGTTGTCTGGGTTGAGGACTCTACATAACAGATATTAGCATTTTGCTCAGCACGTCAGGCCCATAGATGAGTGGGTGTGGTATAAATCAGGAGCGTAATTTTTTAACGTAGTGATGCTGCTGCTGCTGCTGCTGCTGGAGTTTGGTCATTTATTTACCCGTAGATTGTGTAGATCATGCCGCCGCTAAACACCCAGTCGGCCGACCCGACGACGCGGGCGTTGTTGATAAACACGAAGCCGTTCTGGCTGAAGATGGTCACCTCGGAACCCTCGTACGTCGAGTACTGTCCGCTCGGTGGCGAGTCCGGGTTGATGTCCAGGACCTGGTCGATGATGTGGTACGACACCAGCCGCTCGAGCTCGGCCCAGGTCATGTTCTCAATCACGTTGCCGATCTCCTGCAGAGAATAGTTCATGGGCAGAAACACCGTCACATCCGACAGCTGGTCAATGGTCAGATTCTGCCCCGTCGTGGGCACCGTCACCACCGCCTCGGCGAACGATGGTCCCCCAAGCATGTCCTGCTCGTCGACGGTCTCCGTAAAGGTCAGGGGCAGTGTCAGGAACGAGTCGATGATAATGATGATACCACCGGTGAAGGTCAAGACGGTCCCGTCGGCCTCGGACGTCTGAAGGTTGCCGGACGTGAAGGTGATGGCGTCCGACCACGGCGACCCCTTGGCCGCGACGATCTGGCCGCCCGAGACGTTGGCGTACTGCGACGCCGACAGGGCCGTCGTGACCAGCTGGTATTCGTCGGATCGGAAGTGATAATACGTTCCGTTCAGTACGTGGTAGCTCATCAGGGCCTCGGCGTCGGCCTCGTCGAGCGGGATACTCGGGATGGTCGACGAGTCGGCCAGGGCGGCAAATGCATCGTTGTTTGGCGCAAGGAAGGTCACATCCGACAGGCCTTGCAGCCACACGGTCAGGTCAGGGAAGCTGTCCAGGTAAGCCACCAGGTCGGACAGCTCGTCGGCGCCGCTGAGCGTCTCGATGATGCCGCCAGATTGCGCGGTGACGAGGCCAAGACATATGACAGCAGCAGGAAGCAGGTGCCGAAGCATCATGAGATCTGATGTTATGTTAGGTTGTGTTATCCGGGTTCTCCCAAGTTACAAAAAGGATAGATTCCCCTAGCAGACTTAAGGTGGGAAAACCCAAGGTAGCACTGCAGCTGCAGCAGAGCGAGGGAGCGGATTAAAAGGAACATGGCCGCGTGCCATCATGCTGCTGGGGACCATGGTTTATCGTGAAGACGCTTTGGATCGAGTTTCCCTGTCCTGCCGTGAATGTCCGTCTCTCCCAAAGGTTCCTGGTCACACTGGTCATCACGTCTTGGTCCTAGCGGCAGACGAAGGGTGGTGCGAATACTGGCAAATCCTTCTGAGAAGCAAAGTCTGCTGCCATTCGCCGAGCTGGGAAACGGCGTGAGTTGCAAAAACTGTAATGTCCAATGGCAGGCACTCGAAAATGGAGGAGTGATAGGTCGACGAAGCTTGCGACAGATAGCATGAGGGCATGAGATAGGATGCCCATGTCTCCCCTGCAGCAAGAGAACAAGCTTCCCCGTCGATGCCGAGCATCGACGAATCAGTGCCGGAGGAATCCCTTCAATCGCTTGGAAACCTGGCAAGTCGGCAGCTTGGGCTCCAATCCCGCGGCACAGGATTTTGTCGGCGGGGTCGTTTGTTCAGGGTCGAGGAGGTTCAGAGCTGCTGCTCCTCTTCAAACCCAAGGCTGAAACACAGCTGATCATCTGCATGTCCTGTCTGGTCTGCGGCAGGCCTGAATAGCCTGAAGAGGCGCTTGTGGAGAGTTGTAGAGAGTCGTACCACTACCCCCAAGGAAGGCATCGTCACCCAAGAACCGGATCGAGCTCCAATTCTCTTTTATCGGGGCTAACACGTCTGGCTGGCTGGCCTTTCCAAAACAAGATGATGAGCATGATTGGTAATTAATAAGAGGAGACAAACGTATACACCCCTCCAAACCACCGAGCTTCCTGATTCGACATCTCGGGAGAAACTGGACAGTGCGAAAACCCGAGCAGGTTTTTGGTCTTGGGTGGTTGCGTGATCACACACTCTCCCTTCTTATCTTAATTCGTGCATTGGCTAGAAAAGAAGTGGTGCGAGAAGGCCTTCGTTGTCAGGCATCCTTATAGTTGGCGAGAATGAAGAATGGCTCGGAGGTCTGCCCTGGTCGGTCAAGCTCGAGGAGTTCTCCTCTTATATGACAGACTACCCAGTCTACGACAAGTATAGTATATTGACGAAACACTGAATCGGAACAGTTAAACCCATTCATTCTTGCTGGTCCTCGTACTGCCGAAGAAACTCCTCCGCTTCACAATACTCCCGTTCCAGAACGTCTCGATGCCTCTGGGACCTGATGGTGAAGATGGCGGGAAACGGCAGTGGCCCTCCCACAAAGGTATCAGAATACGTCTCACGTTCGTCGAGATTCGGGGGGCAGTTGGGATCTGCCCTGATGTCAAAGGCCCACGCCATCTTCGCCATGTTTATCATCTTGCATGTGCCAGCCATGTCAGCTTCATAGAGACAGACACGAACGGTTGAACAGTAGGTCACGCCGAACTTACCAAGGAATTCTCTCCCATGTCTTGACCGAGACAGACTCTCCTGCCCGCACCGAAAGTATAGGTGGTCCTTCTGTTGTCGCCCGATTCAGTGTCATTGTTGACCCTCGTTCCGAATTTGTTGTTTAGCCATCTCTCTGGGATGAATTCCGCGGGCTTGTCGTACTCTGTCTCGTCATGGTGGATCGACCAGCTATTTGCAAAGACGATTGTCCCCTTCGGCAGGAAGTACTTGTCGTACCAGTCATCCTGGGTCAACAGGTGAGGCGTTCCTTCTGGAGCGAGCGGTCTCCATCTGAAAATCTGTCGGGTCCCATCAACCCTAGTCTCCAGGCAACAACTCATCAACGACTTACTTCGGTCATGATAGCTCGCATATAAGGAAGGTCTTTGATATGCTTTGCCGAAGGTGAGGCGGATACGCCGCAGACGTCGTCCACCTCGATTTGAGCCTTCTTGAACACTTCAGGGTGGGATATCATGGCGAGAACAAAGATGTGCAGGTTGGACGCCGAGGTTTCTGCGCCAGCTTCCAGCTGAGTCACAATAGTCAATACATTTGGATCATTCGAATACGAGCGAGAAGGCCTCACCAGATTTCCCCCGACATAGACGAGCTGGTCGTAGCTCAACCCACTATTGTCACTTCCTTTCAAAAGCTTTTGCATGAAACAGGGAGCTGCGGCCTGTCGGTCTATCCTGGCCTTTGTTGTGTGAAGCAGATCAACGTAAAATCCTTTTTGCTGCTGGCCAAGTGCCACTGCTCGAGACTTGTATGGCGCGAGGAACCCCGGAATGTGCTTGAGAAAAGGAAAAGCGTCGATGGGCGGGGTTGCTCCAGCAGCCATTGTTCCCGCAAAATTTGTTTGTATCTCATAGAATCCCTGGACTCTCGGGTCGTCGTAAGTAGCACCTCTTTGGCCGTATACAGCTTCTAGGATTACGGCGGCTGCGTAGCGGCGAACATGTTCGTACCATTTCTCCGGCGACTGCATTATGTCGTACATGACTTGAGATGCTTCGGCTTCCTGAAGCGGTAGTAGGGCCTCGAAACCTTTGACGTTCAAAAAGCCCGCGGCGGCTTTTCGAAGCATCCTCCACGCTGGGCCGTACGGCTGAAAGAGAATGTGAACCTCATTGGGGCAGATGAGTTCGTTGCCAACATAGCTGTCAGGTCGGCTGGAGTAGATATTGCCTCTCTTGTCGTAAAGCCTGTTTGGCATCAGTAATGACTCGGTCCACCCTGATTCCACCACCCACTCTCTGACAGGCTTGTAGTTGCTTAGGACGACGACGTTCAGAGGACCGAACTTCAACCCTACAACAGGGCCATATTGTCCTTGCCACTCATGAAATCTGGCTTCCTTCAGCTCTGTGACTCATCAAACTTGTCGAATAGGGCCGACTTACTTGAGGAATAGTTTCTTCAAAGGAAGTTGGTGAAGATTCCCAAGTACTGGGAGCCCAGGAGGACCTGGAGGGAAATTCCGAGGGCGACAGCTCGCGGGAACATAGTACACAAGGAACGATGCAAATGCGAAAGCAGCTGCTGCCACCACCAACCTCCACAAGTAGGTAGCTATGGTTGCCAACATGTCGGTTGGAGAGGAGATGTGTAGAGTCCTTGCCTGCTCGGTCGCATTGCTTTTGTACACCTGGGGAGGGTCAGATTCCTGCAGCCACGTAACATTGACGAAGCTGTTGCCGTTCGGACTCTCTGACAATCGTCCACTCCAAATAACCCTGCCTTTACTCAAATAGTGTAGCGCACACTGAGACGTAAGGCTGTCACCCAGAAAATGGAGATCGGCTAGCAAGAACACCTCTCGTTGGTGGATTCATACGAGTCAATCCTAATCGGTCAATATTCCAACATGTAAGAAATGATACACGAGATGACGTGATATCCCTACCTGGAAAAGGGGCAAAAGGTCTCAGTCGAACTGTGGTACAGAGCCTACCTTAGTCAAGGATCGGACATGGGAAACGTCAGTTTCGTTTACGTGAACCTTCAGAGTCAGCAGTTTGGTAACTGCCAAAGCCTTTATAGTCATTTTGAGCTGGTGTAAAAGCCAGGCAAGCCGTGGAGATATAGTATATGCCAGTTCCGAAGTTAACAAGAGTGAAATCCCTATGAGACTTCGGATGCCTTCGTCCGAGCTGAGTCTTTTGGATCAGCTTTCGAAGACCATTTTGTTCGAGATTTTCCCGATGCGCTCGATTTCTATAGTCACCGTATCGCCACTACCCAGCCATGCCGCTGGCTTCATGAAAGCGGCCACGCCACTGGCAATTGTCAGTCGAGAGATGTCCCAGAGCGTTCCTGCTTCAAGCACTTACCTAGGAGTACCTGTCATTATAACCGTCCCCTTTCGGAGAGTCATACCTCTGGAAACATGTCGAAGGATTGCACTGATGCCAAAAATCAAATCATCTGTCTTCCCATCTTGCCTCAGTTCGCCATTGACCCAGGTGCGTAGTTTGAGGGCCTCCGGATTCACGACGGCCTCGGGTGAAGCAATGACGGGGCCGATTGGCGCGAACTTGTCGAAGGATTTGGCAGGGCCGTGCTGGCCTCCTGATCTTGGTGCGACTTGCCAATAACGGGACGAAACATCATTACCCACGGTATATCCTAGGACATAATCCAGAGGATCTTCGTTCTCGGCGATGTTCTTTGCATCCTTGCCGATGACCACCGAGAGCTCGCCTTCATAGTCTAGCTCTTTTGCTTCCGGATGAATAGGGATATCTTCGAAGGGTCCTGCTAAGGTATCTGCAGACCATTTAGCCGGTATCAACAATATGACAGACAAACGTGCTTACCTGGATATTTGGTGAAAACAACTGGGAAGGTCGGGATCGGAAACTGAAACGATGAGATGAGACGGAATCCCTGAAGTGCTCTTGCCTACTTACCCCTGCTTCCTCGGCATGTTTCCTGTAATTCAGCCCAATACCTAGAACGATCGGGACCTTTTCCAAAGGACACAGAACCTGGAAAGCGTCAGTAAGCAATTCGCGTCGTGCGGAGGAGGCCTTATCTCCGAACCTCAGAAATGACAGCCTTCTTGTCTGAGACTTGGAAACTATTGTCGAACGGATCAGCGCCCGAAAAGATCTGGACTTCTTTGCCCTTGAGGTCAGACTCCCAGTCTTGACCGGCTTCGCCATAATAGATTTGACCGTCCGAGGCTTTGAACCTCACAAGCCTTTGGAATTTCGGGGCCATAGCGACGAGCTCTTTCTCGGAATCTGTGATGATGTTTTCCACTGCTCAATAAGCCAGCACACTGTTACGGGAATAGGACCTCGGTGCCTTGGGCCAGATACAGCGTATTCTGGGTGGTTTATATAGAAGACACAGACCCGAGCCAATGCTGACAAGTTACTTCTACGGCCGAAAAAGCACCTGGGATAAAGTAGAAGGTCTCACAGGGGAGTCTCACACCCACGGGACTGCGGGACTCACAATGCACCCCAGAAAACCGCGTTGTCCCGTCCCCGCTTCTCGGACTCCCGGATCTGTTCAATTTGCCGGGGTCGTGGGACACGGACTTACCTGGGGCAAGCGGCTCGGAGTTTCTATAGACGTTTGGACATTTGGAGTCCACGCCTCGTTCTATGGCTGCTGGCTGGCACGTGTAGATGGTGAAGAGGTCAAGGACGGAAACCAGCAGATTATTATATACAGGGAAGAAATCCTCAGTGGGAAATTGACGTCATACGGCGGATAGACTATGGACATATCCGGCACAAATCTTAGCGATTTACCAGCTTCTATATCTCTACTAGATAATAGCTGATGTCGCCATATCTAGGGCGCTGTTTGACCAACTATAGATTCTTCCCATCTCAGCTGCTCTTGTCTAGGCAGCACACTGTCGGAGCCTGGAACTTGCAGTGGCCGGCCCAGAGACCAGCATCGACTTGCAAAATGTCGACCGAAAAGAATTATTTTGGAAGTTCTCCAGAGTACATATCAAAGCACCGTGTATGTGCTCGACCCAGTCCCTCCTATAGCCTGTACTACCTGTCGATATAATATACCACTTTGGTGCAGCAATATCCTTCTAACCGACCTCGCCTGTGCAGACTCAATACCCTTCCTCGCGCACCATTTTCGTGTCAGGAGCGACGGCAGGGATCGGGCTCGCCATCGCCAACCACCTCCTGGCTTCAAGCGAGCAGCATCTCCTCATCCTGGCAGGTCGCAAGGTCGATGTGCTGAACAAGTTCCAGTCTACCAACCCGGATCGAGTCATCACGAGGGCTGGAGAAATGGCTGACCTTGAATTTGTGCAAGGGATGTTGCAAGGTTTGCAGTGTGACGAGCGACTGGATGCGCTCGTGCTGAACCATGGTACCTTGGGGAAATGTTTGAGGATAGGGCAGATGGACAGTGATGAGTGGGAGCACACTTTTAGAATCAACGTAACCAGTTGCGTTGTCTTGGTAAGCTCAATCTATCAGGTTTGCCCGAAAAGTCTTTCTACATTCGCATACAATCAACGGCCGTAGGCACAGTCTAACCCTGCGCCGCCAAAATGACCAGATCAAACAAACACTTCCACTCCTCCGCAGCACCAAGGGCCGCATCATCTTCACTTCCTCGGGCGCTGCCACGAACGCATATCCCTCTTGGGGGGTTTACGGCGCCACTAAAGCTGCCGTCAATCACTTGACTATGACTTTGAAGAATGAGGAGCCTGATGTAACCACGGTCTCAATCCGTCCCGGTGTCGTTGACACAGCCATGCAGGTAGATATCAGAGAGAAGTACCTCCACAACATGGACGATAAGGACCAACAGAAATTTCTGAGCGCCAAGAAGGACGGGAAACTCCTGCCGCCGGAGAAGCCTGGAAGCGTGATTGCAGGACTGGCCGTGAGGGCACCAAAAGAGTTATCGGGATTGTTTCTGAGGTAAGTACCGATCCAGAAATCTGACAATCTACACGCAATCTTTGTTGACACACCTCGAGTTGGGATGATCCACTATTAGCCGAGTATCAGGTCGAGTAGTGCATGAGGGAAACCGGCGTCGGAATCGACCAGTGCTTGAGTTAGGTCCATGCACAATGATGAGCGTAGCAGTATCGAGAGCGCCTGTTCTCACGTGATCAGCCAACGTTGAGGAAGATAGAAACAAGACAAATCGTGGAAAGAAGTTCCGGGTCAGGCGAAAGATGAAAAATGAATACACAAGCTTAAGCATTAGAATCCAGCGGACCTTCATACTTAGCATGGAAGAGTGGTGAGTTCATCACGTAGGAGTGTTCGGGGGAACAAGTGGTCAGACTTACCATCACGAAGTTGAAATAGTTCAGCTACGATGAATTTCCTAAACTTCTGAATCCACAGTCAGGCAACGTCCCAGAAACAAAACAAGCGTCAGGTGATGATATGCCATTGATTCTCGTTCAGGTAATCGAACCAGTGTATTCGTCAATTGCATTTCCGAATTTGATAGTACATCGTGTTTGATCATCATTTGGAAATGGTGAAGGAACCGAAAGAGAGGAAGGCAGACATACACCATGGAGGATTTTTGGAGCTGCCGGGCGATAACGGAGACTACAATGAGTCTGTAATATGTCAGTGTCCACATACACTTCAGAGTGGTGAAAGGTCGAGGTGAGATGGGAGATGGGAGATGTTCAGAACGTCCTGTTTGGTTTGGACAGGTAATCACCATAAATTGGTAAGATAGGGGCGACACGAATGTTCATCATGTGTGACGTTGAAGGGAAAGACAGGGAGAGAGACCACTTACCAGGCATGCTCCAGCACATTCGAACAATCAGGGGCACTTCTGGTGAACTCGAGATGCATCAGGCTTGTCCGTCAGTACAACGCACCATCCCATGCCAAGGCCTGCCACCTCGTCGGTGACAGATGTCGATGCTGATGCTGATAGCCAGCCACATGTGGACGTGGCATCACCGTATCCATCCTGAACATGTTGTGACGAAGAGAATCAAAGAGAAAAACAAAAAGAAACTTCGGAAAAGAATTTAGTTTGCGCCAAGCCATGATCGGCGCGATGCCTGTTTCGGAAGCAAGGCCACTAGCCCGTCAGCCTGGTCGCGCATCATGTCGCAACATCTATTTAACACCCTCGTCCCTCCCCGCGCTCACCTGGGCTGGACCCGTGAGACTTCAAGATCCTGGAACCCATACACCTACCGCCTCAAGTCGACACACGCTGTCATCATGTCGGACAAAGAGTTTGGCAGTACGTTGCAACCCTTCAAGACCTAAGAACCCCATCCATCGCCGCCGCTGCTGATAATCTGTTTTGCAGACAACGACGACCTGTCTCTCCCCAAGGCTACCGTCCAAAAGATCATCTCCGAGGTTCTACCTCAACTGCCTCATGAGGATGCTAACTCCAGCAAGGAAGGCGAGATGACCTTCACCCGCCCTGCCCGCGACCTTCTCATTTCGTGTTCGCTCGAGTTCCTGCGCATGCTCTCCTCCGAATCTAACGACATCTCCGAGCGCGAGTCCAAGAAGACGATCAGTGTCGAACATGTCGAACAGGCACTAACAGACTTGGGATTTGGAAGCTACATCGAAAGCTGCCGCGGTGTCGTGGGCGAGTGGCAGGAGGTGCAGAAGAAAAGGATCGGAAGAGGCGAGAAAATGCGCAACTTCGGCGGATTTGATAAGATGGGGGAAGAGGAGCTGAGGAAGATGCAAGAAGCACTGCTGGGGGAGGCAAGGGGAAGGATGGAGGGCGGTGGCGCCGGCCAGAACGATGGGCAGTAGCCCAACGCCCTAACGTCCCCAAACGAACCGCAACCCGGGATGGCTCCGCCGTGTTGATCGCCTCGCCTCCCGGAAAGAGGACGAAGATACTCCCTTCGAGAGAATTTGCTGATGGTGCTGTGGCATCTACTCAATTTATGCCTTCAGAGAAACAGCAATATCCCCCGACATAGCTTGCTGAGAAAAGCAACAGCGCAAGGTACATCCACACCACCAAGCTCAACAGGTGATGGCATTGTACTGTCTTGAGCAAGAAAACATTACATGACTTGTATAAACATTTGCACCATTCTGCTGTTTCGAGCTCTCGAAAATCACGACATGAAGACTCGCATACCAAGACGACCTACGCACAAGGCTCAAGGCGACGAACCCGCGTAGCCGTTTCTTCTTTCGTGCGAGGCGAGAGACCACGACGCCCGACCACGACGAAGCACTTCAAACCATCTAACCGCATAGAAGAAGAGATGAGAAAGCGAGATCTGAGCTTTTGAGCACACGCTATGATATCGACACCTTTTCAATGCTGCAATCCAGAGCTAGAATGGCCGGCATTTATGACCTGTTCCTTCGACCATCAATTGAGAGACTCCCATGCATATTGCTCCTGGAAAGGCGACACTCGATTTCGGATCTATTCTTCCCGAGTTATTTCTTGTGGCCGCCAGACGAAGCGATCACTTGAAGCCGCTTCAATCCTTCTACGGGAGCAGGACATGATAAATAACGCATGACGCCCAATACAGAAATTGAGGTCACGAATATCCGAGCATGATCACCTGAATACAGATCGGCGACGGGGACTGAAGAATATGGCAACAGCTCATAGCACCAGGGTATGGAAGACATGCAGGGAACATCATAATTGGGCCGAGTCACAAGTCCAGAAAGCATCGTTCAAATGTAACATAACGACACCACATAGTTTTGCGTGAATAGAGCATTCAATACTCTGCATACTGAGACTTTTTCCCTTGAATATCCGCTTTTCGTGCTCATTAAAACAGACTGTCTTCTTCGTAACTATTCCTCTCCCCCGCCCCCCCTGTTTCCAAACCCGTGACTTTTTTCTCCTCGGTTCACCTCTTTCCATGTATGTGACACACACATCCCTCATCGTCCGGGCATCTTTCGTCCGTCCATATTCATATATCTCGCGACGTGGCCCAGCTTCACCAGCAAGTCATTGTCGAGACGACCAAAGTCCCCTCTCCGCTGGAGATTGCCGCCCAAATCCCTCCTGACCGGTCCGCTGCTGTTGGCACTCTGCAGCCCCTCGACGAGGATGCTCCATTCAGCAACGGTGGCGCCGTCGCCGGACATGTTGGTCGCGTTGACGCTGGCGTTGTACAGCGAGCCCCAGATCTGCAGGGTGGCGAAGCGCGCGGTGTAGACGGGCGCCGCGGTGGCGGGGATGTCGAACGTGGTGATGTTGTCCTGCACGGCCTCGATCGAGTTCAGCGCCGTTAAGTTGTACGCGTCGGAGATGCGGACGCGCTGGTTCGACGCGACGTGGAGGACGCCGTTGGAGTTGATGGTTGCGGCGGAGGGGTTCGCGAGGGTCTGGTTGTGGAAGAGCACCGAGTAGTTGTACGGCGGGATTTGGCCCCAGTTCATCACCATCCCGGTCACCTTGTAGCCCTCAGGGATGGCCACGGTGATGGAACTCGTCTTGTTGGCGGACACCGGCTGCCATTTCGTGCTCGATGCGCCGTCGACCGCCGCGAGTGGGAATTGGCCTGGCAGGTAGTCGTCGGGGGACGAGACAGGGAGACACTGCGCGACGTTGTTCTCGGTTGTAGGAATGAGGCCAATTTGCCTGTTGGGGATTGTTATGCTGGAGTTTGGCATCAGGGAGTAAGTGGCAAGGGGTGCTGAGCCGATGGGGCCAACGACGACGGGAATGGCGGAGGAAGCATAGGTGGCGTTGGGAATGGCGCCCTCACCAGGGGCAAGGCTGCCGTCCCTCGTCAAGACAGTATGGGTCTGGTTCGAGAAAGCTGAGATCGGCCAGCCGTACCAATGGAAGGTGCGGTATTTGATCTGCGGGATCTGAGGTGGCAGACTGGGATCGACGTGCAGGTTGAAATCGGGAATAAAACGATATCCCAGATATCCGAACAGCACGACTTGCAGTGCTCCTCCATGGCCTGTCAGGAAAGGATATGCAGGATGCGTGCCGCCATTCTCGTTCCAGTTGTCCACCAGCTGTTCCGAAAACTGGAACCACGGGCCTCTGATATAGGGCTGCGTGCTGTATTGCTGATAGGTATAGGACGAACATCCCGAAGGCGAGATCTGGTTGGCGATGATGGAGAAGATCGCGTATGTCATGGCGGGACCGTCCACGGATTGCTGGGCAGCATAATAATCGAGATCGCTGAGCGAGTCACTGGACGTATAATTCTGCCCAGTGAAGGAGAGCGGATAAGTATTGAGAATAACATCGGCCTGTTTTACCACTGTTGTACCGTTCATGCCGGTGTATTCTAGTGTGACGTCCGCGTCTTCATCACGGCCTATCAACACGTTTTGGGCCATAGTTGTCCATGTTGCGTTCGGCGTGGAGTTGAACATGGAGCGAAATTGATTGGCATAGTCGAGATGTGTGGAGATCAAGGCCATGGTGAAGCCGCCGTTGTCGACGTGGTTGGCGTACTCGTCTGGATCAGTCATGTTCAGGAGGACCCAGTGAGAGCCGTTTCGCTCAAGGATTTCCGAGTACATCGTGGCAAGGGAGTCGTAGATCGGCCAGAGAGTCTCCTGAAACAATCCCGTGTCGCCCGAAGAAATCCATAGGTTGATGAACTCTAAGCCAATATCGCCGTTCAGATGATACTCGTAATCCCAGCATGGACCAGTGGCCGTACAGTTACCAAAACGGCCGCTCGTCCAGGGAAAGATTGCAGCAGCCGAACTAAACGTGGTGTTTTTCTTGGAGGAGGCAAACGCAGTGCCAATATTCTCCTTCGCTTGCTGGAACCTCTCGACTCGATAGTTGGCAATGCCCTTGGCAGCTGATGGAAACGCCGCTACAAGGCCAGGTTGCATCCATACCTCAGCATCCCAGAAGACCTGGCCAGCGTATGAATCCGAACCCAATCCCCCCACCGAGATGCTGTGGCTGTTGATTGAACTGCCGGCATTGGCAGTGGCGTTGATTGCGTTCTGCGAAATGGTGTTCTGGAGAAGATGGTACGGGTTTGTCACCGCTGTAATTGCTGCCTCGAGAATGAATTGATCGTCTGGTAGTGTGCCATTTTCCGGGAACGAGAAATCGTCTACGGATGTTATGGGAAACTGTTGAGCCCATTCTGCGGCGTGGGTCTGAAGTGAAGCGGCGTAGCCAGCTTGTGATGCGTTGAGTGCGGCATTTCTTGCAACAGAACGGGGGCTCAGGAATCCATCCGACGAGGCGATCCCGACGAATTTGGTGAAGGTAGCAACCTGTCCAGCCTGGAGGGTGACGTTCAACGCAGATGCCACTGAGGATGCATTGTTTCCCACATACGGCCTCTGCCACGTGGCTTGCTGAACAGAACGAACTGTAGCTCCGGAGCTGGTCATACCAGCATAAACGAACGCCGTTACATTCTGAATGCCGTTTGGCTGGACCGAGGTGAAAATGAGCCCGGAATCAACGCCATTCTGCCCTGGAGTTGTACGGACAGCGCAGTCTCCGTTGAGTACATTTGCTATTGTAATGTTGGTGGCTTTGGCTGCCGTGATGTTCATGGTAACAAAGCCCTGATTGATATTGAGCTTATGTGCGAACATCTGGTAGGAGACGTTGAAAGACCCATGGCCGCTTGGGGACCAAGTAAAAGCCCAATTCATCAGACCACGCTTCATATCAAGGCTGGACTTGAAATTGCTGATCGTCGAATCGTTGGTTGAAGCAGCCAAGTAGTTGCTCCCCCCGAGGTCTGCGACAATACCGCTCCAATGAGGGATGCCGCTGATGGCAGTATCCCAGCCATACTGGTACAGCCAGGGAAAGTTGGAGCCATTGGTCGTAGGTTGAGAGTCCCAGAAACCCCCAACCGTGGCAAAGGTTTGTCGTCGACCAAAGAGAGGCCATCCGTTGATGTTGTCACCATCGACAGGAGTGTCAATCTCGAAGAACGGACCGAGAGATGCTACGTTGATACCATGATAGCCGTTCGCGACCACCATTCGCGATTGATAATGTCCTTGGTCTAGGTTGGTGGTGGTGAGGACCCAGTTGGCAGCATCCCAAGTGACACCCTCAAATCGAGTTTTGTATATCGTTGACGCATTTCCAGATTGAGCTGAGGTGAAGGAGGATATTAGGATGAGTCCACAGAGCGTCAAGAGACTTGATCCAGCCATCTGTCGCAGTTAGTTTGAGCCAAGTTCTCCCGTGGCTCTCGCTATTGCCGTCACATACCTTGGGTTCTCCGTTAGCTGTTCTGCTGTTTTTATACGAGGAGAGGAGATAGACGATTTCACGACGGACTTGCGTTTATTTTGACTAAAGCTATGACCAAGCCAAGCTCCCAGGCTGGATTCCTTCAGCTTTGGGAGTTTTCAAGCCAGGCCGACCATGTGACAGCAGGAGGAACCTGACTGACAAGTACGGGAAGTTCCTGCTGTAGCAGTGAGTTGTCCCCAGCTACATCTAAGGCAGGCAAGGCGCGGAAGACCGGTATAACGCCCTGCTTGCAGACGGTTACATTCAACCAAGCAGTACCTTGCTTGATTTGCCTGTCCCTGTGGTCACATCGACCAGGATCATCAGTGGCTACTGCCATCATAGGACAAGTCGTGAGCGGTTCAACGGACCGAATACGACGTCATTTGTGGGATAGACGGAAAAGGATGCGGAGGTCAGACCGGGGGGTGAATTCCTTGCCGCAAAGGATCGAGTGGCTTTGAAGCTCTTAGAACTGCTAGATTGAGTTTCGGTGCAGCTCGCTTTCATGTGTGGGGAAGTGGGAATGGCGGTGGTGCCGGAATTTTGTGCCTGGGGAAGCTTTATTGGAGAGCTCGGCGCATTTCCTAGGCTGCGGTAGAGCGCCACCTTTGTCATGACGTCGCGGTGCCCCCATTGCCACCCCGACTTCCAAGCTTGGGCTTTTGTCCACTGTGGTGGGGTGTTACTGCAGGTGGCCGTGCCCAGTAGTCTGTCAAAGGTTGGACTTGCTTGTAACGTCAAGGAATTTGTTGCTCATCAAAGTCATCATCACCTGGAATCGGTACCCGACAAATCCTCCCTCGGTGGTGGAGGTGGCATGGGTTTCGACGATGCAGAATCGTCGACCGCCGACTTGTCAGTCTTCTCCTTCGTCACTCTCGCTGTCGGCATCGGTGTTCTGCCCTGCCCTTCCTCTGTAGTTTGCACCACCCTGTCTCCTGCTCCTCTGATAGCTTTCTGATTCCGTGATCGACTTTTCTCCCACATAACTTTCGCCATCCCAGTAAGTTTTGCACAGTGGACACCTTTGGTCTGGGTATATTAGGTGGAAATTCGCAATACAAATATCGTGGACTCGGCAAAGGCATTCAGGTCGAGGGCATCGTTGACCCTGGAAATAGAGAAGTCCGTCAGCTCTGTGCTCACAGCTGGAGGGTGAGATTAATATGTGGGATAGAGGCTTACCACCGTGATAATCTCTTTGCAGGCATGACAGAACTTGATCCTCTTCTTATTGCCGTCTTCGTCTTCATCATTGTAGGTGTCCACCAACCAGCCCCTGAGCTCCATCAGTGCACGGGGAGTCAAGCTGTAAAACCCAGACTCGCTTCTTTCAAACCACCCTTCATCCTGCAACCTTTTGAGCAGACTCTCGGCCTCCTTAGCGGAGAGCATGCCAGCAGAAGCCGGTGTCTCGTTCTCATTCCCATCGGGTACCTGCGCACGAGGGGCTTTCCCGAGCTGGATGGCTTTCATCCCGTTTATACACATGGCCTCTCTTTTGCCCCTGTTGTTCCGGTCAAACATTGCGTCTAGAAGCTTCTTGACATAGACGATTTCGTCGGCGGAGTAAGTGGTGGCGAGTTGAGTGAAAGAATCACTCGTAATATTCACCAGAGCATACACCCTTTCTCGGGTCTGCTGGTGGAGGGAACTCCTGATCTCCAGGTCAAGTGGGGAGAGTCTGCGGGTCGCTTCAGCGAGGTAGTTGTTCAAATCTTCGACCGTGATATCTTGCGCCGAAATTTCGCGTTTTTCTTTGTATGTTGAACATGCCGCAAGGATGGGTTTGGCCGTTTCAAGAGTGAGGACGCCACGGGCGAGAAAGGCCTGTAGAAATGCTCTGTTGGCATCATCGTATTCAGTGTCGGATGCAGGACTCTCCATTTGGGTTACATTGGTCGCCAATAAATCGAGGCAAAGGTTCGGGATGTGGTGAGGTTCGAAATCGCTGATTTCAGTGGGGGGATGTCATGACTTTACGCGGGGCTGGGCAGGCGCTGTATGACTGTAACTGGTGTCCTGGTATCATGCTTCAGTGATAGGTAAAAGATATCGGTGTTTGAAAGTGGCAGATATGGCGAACCGAGACGCGCGCCAAAAGTATTGTTCACGCTAGTAGTAAGAATGACAACTATTAAATGAATGACCTAATTTTCGTTGCCCTTCGCAACAGCTCCCGGGGATATCGGAGCTATGTAGCACCTCTGACACGTAGAGCCTCTTAACGCTGATTATTACAGTATAGCCTAGATAAATACCTATCAGCCAACACCTTTAGGGAATCGGCCTGGACAATCCTTTTGATGTGCCCCCTCGTACAGAGTACCATGTCGTAGGTGGGTCGTGACTGCCCAGAGCCTGACAGGGCGTCCAGCACCGAGCCGTCGGGCCTCACCATCTGCAATTCAGTCACACATTGAACAACTTCCCCTAACAAACACACGGGCATTGGTCGTTCACAGTCTCGTATGATATAATGAGCACAGGATACTGTGGATTTAGTGTCAATAAAAGCTGTGGACAGTATCATCACCCTTTTCATCGTGGACTTGGAGCGCAGTTTCCCAGAATTGTCATCTACACCATTTCGGATGGTTATCCTAAGGCAACTTGTTGTGAGAGCTGCGAAAACGAAAGTAATCCTAACTGTCGTAGGTGCCCGCAGTGGTAGACTCTAGGTGTCCGTAGTGGAGAACGATAGGCGCTCTACTGATGGAGTCTAGGTGCCGCTGGTGGCAGACTCTAGGTACTCTGGTGATGAACTCTGGGTGTCCGTAGTGGAGAACGATAGGCGCTCTACTGATGGAGTCTAGGTGCCGCTGATGGCAGACTCTAGGTACTCTGGTGATGAACTCTGGGTGTCCGTAGTGGAAAACTCTAGGCACTTTAGTGATGAACTTTAGGTGCCCGCAGTAGTAGGCTACTTTATAGGCGTGGGTAAGTCTCACTCTGTCACGTGACTGGCTGCCACGTCGCAGCACGCGACGCTGATATGAAGTGGCCAATCAGATTTGGAGGTACTGTTTACTTCGCTCGAGACGACAAACAACACTTCCACCATCACCAGCACCAGCCCGAGGGTGGTGCAGATTCAGCGAGCCTGAAGACTCAGATTACACATCGGCTTGAGAGAGATTGCCATCCTAGGACCTCCATAAGAGACAAGATTCTACGAAACGATTTGACGGCCATTGAGTTGTCGTTATTATGATATGTATTCTACCAGCAGTACTCATGCTATGTATTCTATCAGCAGAACTGGGTTCTGACTGCCTCTTTTGAGAGACTCCAAAGCTCTCCGGGGAGACAAAGGGTCCCTCCCTCCAGAACGGGAGGTCTATATGCAGGAGACAGCCTTGTCCGGTCAATTCATCTCATTCACCGACTTCCTCGAAGCGATGACCTCCTCCGTCGTTTTCGTGATAATGTCAAACGCCGCTCTGACATATTTCTCTGCCCCCTGCGGATTGCCACTAACAATGCGCATGAAAGATTTGCCCGCCGTGCTGCTGCAGGTCATGAAAATCTGGCCTCGCTCGTTGATCAGGTCCCCAATATGCTTTGTGACCTCATTCGCGTCCTGTTCTCGTTGCTGCATCGCTGCGGTCTGGGGTACAAAGTCTCCATTCGTCTCCGCCGTCCTTACTTGCCCTGCTGCCAAAGCGGATGGTTTGACTCGGAAACACGTCAATCCGAACCGCGGGTCTGCGACAAGTTCAAACAGATCGCTTCGCCCACGGACAAGATCAGCAAAGATCTCGCCTCTCTCCACCGATTTCCTGATGTGTTGCCTCATCCCTTCGAGGCCATAACTCCGCATCACAAACCAGATTTTCAGTGCCCGAAATCGTCTTCCCAGAGGGATCTGCCAGTCCCGATAATCCGTGACCAGGCCACTGTCCGAATGTTTGTTGGTATAGTAGGCTGCCGAGATGGACAACGCACGCGTCAAATGGTTCCTGTTCTGGACGAACAGACAGGACGCGTCAAAGTTGACGAGCAGCCATTTGTGCATGTTCATGTTGAACGAGTCGGCAATGATCATTTGTGGAGAGTATTTCGACGAGTATTCGGGACAGACCAGAGCGGCTCCGGCATAAGCGGCGTCGATGTGGACCCAGAGATCTGGATGGGCTTCAAGAACCGGCGCGAGGCCAGCAAAGTCGTCCACGGCACATGTCGACGTCGTGCCCAGCGTCAGGGTGATGTAGTAGGGTTCGAGACCTTCGGCCTTGCATTGCTCCAGGGCAGCTTCCAGCTCTTCCCTCTGCAAAGACAGCTCATTTGCGAGCTTTGTCGGAATAGATCGGTATCGAGTTCCGGCGATCAACGCTCCCTTCTGCGTCGAGGAGTGTGCTTGATCACTGGACAAGGCAACTAGCCGTCCCCGCAGGAAAGCAATGCGATCCTCTCGCTCTGAAGAACCCGGTTTCAAGCCCTCCGCGTCACACTTGGTGTGCAAATACCTCTCCCTCGCAGCGACCATACAGGTCACGATCGCCTCACTCGCACTGCCCTGAATGGTCCCTCCGCCGCCACTGGCACTCGTGCTCAGAAACTCCTTGGGCAGTTCAAACGCCTGGGCCAGCCAGTCCATGACCACGGTTTCCAGTTCCGTGCACGCGGGACTGCACAGCCAGTTGAACGCTGGAGCGGTGAATGCGGCAGAATACATCTCCCCGAGCATGGACGGATAAGTGACGCCAGCGGGGAAAAAGGCCATGAAGTTGGGCGACTGCCAGTGAGTGATACCAGGCACAATCTTCGACGCGATGTCCGACTGGATCTCGGTCCATGCTTCTGGCTTCTCTGGTGCGGATGCCGGCAGCTGTGGCGCCAGGAACCCCGGTTTGATGGTCGGCAGCACCGGGTAATTGGGGAGCTCTTGGTTGTAGGCAATAACTGAGGGCAGATTGTGTGTTAGTTAGCTGGCTGCTTCTTTCCAGATAGACCGGCCGGTCGGTTACAAAAACTGCCTGCCGAACATACTTTCTTCGATGGCCGCATGGGCCGCTTTCCTGAACTGATCGGCGTCCATGTCGAGTCTTCTCGAGGAACTGAGATTTTTGGACCTTCGGCTCCACAAAGCAAGTGTCGAAGCTGGGGAGTTCTGTAATTTCAGGTTCCCCTTCAAGGAGATCTTGTACATATATAATAAAAAAGTCTCAAATAAAGGTACCTAGGTAGATCGAACCAGAAAGCGACGGCAAGACACAAAAGTCCACTCGTGGCCCCTCCCCCAAAATAGATGACACTGGAAGACAGCAGAATACCACCAAAGCCGCGACGCGGGAAGTCTTATGCGCACGCCCTTGGGTGTCAACAGGGCTGATATGTTAGAGCCTGTCTGTGGCAATGCCTTTTGCTACAAATTAGGAATTTTTGCCTTTTTCAATGGAGCGGAATTCATTGCGCATTTGGCAAAAACGCGAAAGTGATTGGCGGAAGCGCGGAGCATTGTCGCTGACGCTTCCGCCTCCTGTGTGTTCGAGCTTTGGATGTGTATATCTGCCTTGACATGTAAAGTCGTGCTGAGGACCTGAGAGGGTAGTAACCAAGAGTCTGAGTCATTTTCATCCATACTACCTCGTACAGCAATCGCCACCGCTGTCGAATAACTGTGTATAAGTTTATACTGTAATTTGGGTACTGCTATACAGACATTGAACATTACATCTCCAGGCCCACGGGTCGCTGAAGGGCGTAGCTTACGAAGAGATTGCACGGCCGAGAACCCAATCTGCTGAGCCATCGGTAACACGACGCCGAGCATTGTCGTCGTGCGCAAGCTCGAATGCGTCCTCCAGATGAAAAGGCGCGCATATCAAGCCTATCACGTCTCTTCAAAGACAAAAACGCCCTTACCAGGGCGAAATCCACCAAGAGTACCTTGTACAGCTTGCTTCAGAAGATCGATCTCCGTCTTCCACCCCCATTTGCATTCTTGCACCGGTATATCCTTGAACCGCCCTTCTCTCGTAAGCCGAAGGACATCTTCCACCGTTTGTTTCTTCTGGTCGGGATGTCGATCACTCCACTTGCTCACCCAGAACCCATTAAAGCTGATTTCCTTGAAGATCAGGAGCGAGGCAGGTAGCATCAGAGGCTGCTTGCTCATCGCTCCGTATGTCACCATGGTCGCTCCGGGGCTCAAGAATTTGGCCATTGCGGTGGCGGGCTTCCCACCCACGCAGTTGAGGCCGACCTTGATTTGCTCTCGTCCACCATTTGTCCACTCTTTGATCTGGTCTCTGATCTCGCGACTCTGTAGCTCTTCTTCCGTAATAACTTTTGTGGCTCCAATATCCAGGAGTTCCTGACGTAGTTTCTGTTCCTCCTCCTTGTTCTCCCGGCCCCGGATCACATTGATACTCTTGAATCCCCACTCGCGGCCAAGCTGGATGGCCGCTCTTCCCACTCCGCTGTTGGCACCGTTTTGAATGAACCATTCGTCTCCCCGAAAGCCCCATTTTGCCGAGTCAAGCAGCATGCGGTATGCCGTGCAGGGGTTGACTGACACTGTCCCGACCTGAAGTGGAGTCAGCCCCTCCTTATTGTCAATCTTGATCAATTTGCTCTCGTCTATTGCCATGTGTGTACGCCACGTGCCCAAGCTGGTGCTCTTCATAATGACCCAATCTCCCTTGCTGAGGCCCTTCACCGCAGAACCGACGCCAATGACCTCTGCCGCACCTTCATTCCCAGCGACTGCGGAGGGTTCTGAGGTACCTAGAGCGGTTGTCATCTCCGGCCTCGCAGGATACACACCCTGGATCTGATTGACGTCGGCAGGGTTGATAGGAGCCACGAGCATGCGAAGGACGACGTTGGACCCGGATGCGGGCGAAATGGAGTGGCTGTGTAGGGAAAGGACATCTTGTGGCTCGCCATACTTGGAGTATACGAGGGCTTTGGCCTGGGTGTAGCCATAGCTGCTAATCTTTCGTCTCTGGTCGAGGTGAGCTCGAGTGGGTTGCTGATAGTCGCGACATATTGATCGACTGGCTGAAAACAGGGTCCGTGAGGTCTCTCTGACACATTTTCGCACACAGGAAGGAGATGCCATGACGGCGGCGGACTCGACGCAGAAAACAATAGAGAAGGAACTGTAGCGCAGGCATTGAAGCAAGAATTAGATCATAATTAGTCGTGGTGTTCCCCGCATTCCCGGAGACTGCGTCTGACCGCCGACGCAGGTGACAACACGTTGCGCCAAATTCTTGTGACGCAGGCTTTCATCGTTTTTCTATTGTCGATGGTCGTTGCATACATTTGCGCTGAGCTCGGCGCATGATGCTGTTTTCAAGGGCCATGACCGTTCGATGGCACGCAACTGTTCATAAATAAAACCCTCTTTCTTGATACCGATTCTCAGCTTCAATAATGAGGCGAGCCAGCATGTCGTGGCTGTGGAAGGTGAGCACGCGCCCACTAAAACAACACCTTGACTCTTACTGATCTGCATTGTAAGGGAGACGATACCTCTCCTGCGTCTTTCGAGAAAGCCCTCTCCAAGCTATCCTCACAAATCACTGCCGCGAATCTCGCACTTGACACAAGTCGCAGTCGAGATCGCCGAATCAAGGCCCTGTGGACTCTTTACACAACCCTCACCTACCTCCTTTACACGTTGATCATCGTTCTCGTCCTTGGACCACGGAACTGGTCTATCTATCACTATGCCGGCCTCATCGGAGCACCAATTCTCATTTACTTGGTCCGAAGGTTGGTCGCGGCCTTTTTCGGATGGAGGATAAGCCGTCAGCAAGCATACTTGGAGCATTTGCAGAAGCAACGGGAACAAAAGATTGCAGATCTCAAGAAAGCGACAAAGTATGACAGTACGCAGGAGCTACTACAGAAATACGGGGGTGCTCCGTCGACAAAGTCCCCCTCGAAGCAACCGCAACAGGGTCCGAAAAGAAAGGCGAATCCTCCCACAGACCAACGTCCCGTACAGAGGACTGGGATTGCACCTCCACCGACGGCAAATATTCCAGGAAGATATGGCTCCAACCCGCTCCCCGGACCACCGAATGTACACACGGGCTCTGCACCTACGTCGCCAACCCACGGCCCATCACCACTCGCAGGCCCGATGATGGCACACAGTCCGGTGGAGATTACGCCAGACTCTCCCGGTTTCGCTCCAAATGCCTTCTCTAGCATGCCGCCTCCTTCCAGCACCACGTATGATCAACCTCCTCACTGGTATGACCGCATATTGGATGTCCTTCTTGGTGAGGATGAAACCGCCGCCAAGAATCGATTGGTGTTGTTATGTTCCAGCTGTCGCTTGGTCAACGGTCAAGCTCCTCCGGGTATTAGGACACCAGAAGAACTAGGGCGCTGGAGATGCAGTGGTTGCGGCGCTTGGAACGGCGTCGAAAGCGAGGGGGCAAAAGTTGTCAAAGAAGTAACTGCTGCTTCAAAGACTGAAGATGGAGACGGTTGGGAGAGCGTCCCGCGGGCTGCGGACATTCGAGAAGAGAGTCCTGAAGACTCCAAGTCCGAAGAGATGGCTGATACCAGCAATCAAGGAACCACTGGACGAGATGGGGATGACGCTGCTGGACTCACCAAGAGAGTCACCCGTAGCACAGGCAAAAAAGATTCCCTTGAGTCTTTGCAATGATTTATGCCTTGTTCAATTTCCAGGATGTTTTAGGTGCCCTGATCATGTCCTTCTCTTAGTTGATTGAGCCACGGAAGCGCGGGCACATGTACAAGGGCATATCACGTGGACAGCTCCGCCAAGACGTGAAGAGACTGAAATGCTCCATCTTCAACCTCAGAATTCTCTTCTTCGTCGCATTATACTTGTAATCATGTCGATCGGTAGGCTCCCAGAAAGATGTCCACCTTCATTGTACGTCCGGCCGGTGCGGACAAGGATCCTTTTAGAATCGGGTTGACCGCCGTATCTATGCTTTCGTTGAAGCTGAAGTCTGGAGACATCTGTGAACTTCGAGGCACCGATGGCAACAACGCCAAAAGAAAACTCGCGGTAGCTTGGCCGGGGCTGGGTCCTGGAATGAAAGACTCCATTGTCCAGACGTCAAGACTGCTGCAAGAAGCCTACGGGTTCAAATTAGGCGACAAAGTCACCATTTCACGCTGGTCGCATCCTCTCCAGAACTCCCTGTCGGTGACACTTCAGAAGGTGGGGGATCCGCCAGATCTCGACACTGACTTGAAGTCCTGGTCGAAACAGATTGCCTCGGCCATATCACCTGCGGGAGAATATATGGTTGTGTCGCAGAAGCTACACTATCCGTTGAAGGCAGACGGGGCCGAAGCCGTCGAGTTTGTTGTGAAGGACGTGGGTGTGCCCGATTCCCTGTTTGCACGCGTCACAAAAGACACAGCGTTTCGCATTGTCACCTCGGAGACACTCGACCAACCTGTGGCCATTGATTTCCGACTGAAGCACCTCGGCGGGATACAAGAGCAAATTGCTGATGTACAAGACATCGTACGCGATCTCTGCTTCCCCATAGCCAAACAGCATTTTCAAGCATACGAACCGGTGCAAGGGCTTCTTCTGTATGGCGCTAAAGGCACCGGCAAATCTGCATTCATTGCTGCTTTGGCCGAGTGTGAGTGGCCAACGGTCCTATATTGGAAACCAGGGACGGAGATCTACGCTTCGTCGGAGCCGTGTTTGGTTATTGTGAGGCCAGAACATCTCATTAAAAGCCCCAATAACTCTTCAACCTTGATCAGCGAATTGGACTCTTTGTTTCAGCGAATTCGGGGCAGTCCAACCCTTGTAGTCGCCGAAGCAAGGCATCCCAATGATATTGATGAAAGGCTACGGACAGAGGGCCGGTTCGCCGCCGAGATCGAGTTGCCGATTCCCTCGGCGCTTCAAAGGAAAGAGATTCTGTTTGCTCTCAGAGGCAAGGACAGGGTCCCCACGGACGACCTTCTACAGGAAATTTCTGAGAGGACTCATGGATATGTGGGTGTCGACCTGAAAGCTCTTCTTCGGGTGACAATTCGTCTGGCATCTAAAAACTCGCCACCTTGCGGGGCCGAAGATAATGAAAATCCTCAATTGGTGGTACAATCCGCAGACTTTGAGAGCGCCCTGCAACAGGTTCGACCGTCTGCCTTGCAGGAGATCTTCCTCGAGACGCCAAATGTCCGATGGTCAGATATCGGAGGGCAGCACGAAGTCAAACGTCAACTCCACAACGCTGTGGAGCGGCCGCTGAAATTTGCGGATCGCATGAAGAAGCTGCGCCTGCAGCCCAAGAAAGGAGTCCTCCTCTACGGTCCTCCGGGGTGCTCCAAAACACTGCTGGTCCGAGCTCTCGCCACGGAAGCTGGTCTCAATTTTCTGGCGGTCAAAGGCGCCGAGCTGATTTCCATGTATGTCGGCGAGAGCGAAAGAGCCACACGTGAGGTATTCCGGAAAGCCCGGGCGGCCAGCCCGAGCATCATCTTCTTTGACGAAATCGACGCCATCGCGTCTCGCGGGAAGAGTGGCAGCGATCTCAATGTATTGACCACGCTCCTCAACGAGATGGACGGCTTTGAAGAGCTCCGGAACGTGTTCGTGGTGGCGGCGACCAACAAACCGCAAAATATCGATCCCGCGCTGATGCGTCCGGGCAGATTCGACAACGTGGTGTACATCGGCCCGCCGGATGTCGAAGCAAGAAAGGAGATTTTCCACAAGCGCCTCGACGGGGTGTATGAGAGCCCACGCAGCCTCGACGACGACGTGCGAGAATTTGCCAGTTTGACGGAAGGATTTTCAGGGGCCGAAATCGTCGCCATTTGCCAGACTGCTGGGGAGAATGCCTTTGACGCGGACCGCGAGGTCATCGTGTCGGATGACATCAGGAGAGCGATCGAGACCACGCCGAAGAGCATCACGCGGGAGATGTTGCTCGAATTCGAGACGTGGAATGCCGCGCGGATGCGGTAGGAGTGAAGGGAGATGAGTGTGAAGAGCCAGAGATCGACCCTGCGACGACTGTGTCTCTGGGGGATCAATCAGGCATTGCGATTTGGCCTCCCGTTCGTCTCGATCGCCAAATCATCCATCCTCTTCCACACAAAATATGACTGGTCCGGGTTGACGAGATGGTTATCATTGCCCAGCCCCCTTCATCTTTGGGTCTGTAATCTGCTCTCCCGTCGCCCATGATGAACCTCAGGCACACGATGGGACCGCGGTCCTCGTACTGACGCATCAAGGCCCTTTTCCTGAAGCTGTCCAGGTCGACACTCCTCAACTCGACATGCCCGGCGCCGGCCGCGGTCATGCACTGGGCGATTTGGCGGAAACTGGCGTGTGTGCCGGCGATTCTGAGCTGCTCGGGCACCTGCGTCTGGTCCCGCATCGCCTGTTCGGCGAGTCGACACAGGACGCGTGCAATGTCGCCAATGTCGGTGTAACTGGTGACCCGGTCCAGGCTACCGACGGCCTGGTACACGTCCTTGGCGGTGTGGAAGCCGTACCAGGGCCCGACGCCGCTGTGGAGGAAGAGGCCGTTGAAGACGCGGCAGACGCGGATGTCGGGGGTGTCTCTGAGGATGGCCTTGGTGAGCTCGTAGTGTCGCTTTTTCCCGTCCCACTCCGGCACGCCGAAGTCGTGCAGCCTGTGGTCGACCCCGAACTCGGACGGGAAGTACAGCTTTACCCGGGTCTTGGGCAGCGAGCGGGCGATCTTGTCACGCAGGCGGGCGCCAGACGATGAGATCCTAAGATGGGGGAGCAGTGAGTTCGGGACTTCAGATCTACTTCCTATCAACGGGGGATAGGTAGACCACATGCAAGCCATAGACGGGAGGAGAACGTCTCCTGTGTGTGCAGGGGTAGTAAGTATATCACTCACGCGTTGATGAGGACGTCGACCCCCTCCAGCGCCATGACCAGATCACTTTCGCCGCACACGTCGCCGTCGTTGTCGTCGCCCTCGTCGCCTTCATCACCAACGACGCGGACCTCGGCGCCCAATCTGTGCCTCCACCTCTCCGTCCTGGCCGTGTGGCGACGAGCAAGCAGGACGAACCCGGACAACCGATGGCGGAGCTCGTTGGAGAGGAACGTCTCGGTCAGGCGTGTGCCCAGGTCACCCGTCCCGCCAGCCACGGCGACGACTGGTTTGTCCGGGGACGGCGAGAATGGCGAAGCTATTACGTCCATCGACATGTGCAGGCGAATTGAGAAGGTGGGTGGGTGAATGGGTTGGTCTTCGACTTGGCAGAGAGGTACAGTAGATACAAATACAAACAAAGACTGGCTGAGTGACTGAATATGCATGCATGTACTCGGGGTCTATGGATGTATGTATGTATATGTGTACACGAAGCCTGGCTGGCTGGCTGGCTGGCTGGCGGGGCAAAGGGCGCGAGATTGATTACTGTGAGAGGGGCTAGAACTAGACTCGGCTAGAATAGACGATGCGAAGACGGGATGACATGACACACACAGTGCCTACCTACCGAGTACCTACATGGATGTGTAAAGAGAAAGGCGTGCTGGATGGATGATGGGTGGCTTGCACACTGCTCTTCCATACATGCATAACGGAGATGATGATGATGATGAGACGAGACGGAACGAGACAAGACAAGAGAGAGACCATTATTCTCTGATGTATTATTACATACCTCGTGTGTCATACGTTCTAACGAGATGAGACTGCTCCACGCAGCTTTTCGTGCAGTAGAGTATGTGTCCTTGTGTGCTTTTGATAACGACGAAGATCAACAGATATAGTAGACAGATAGGCAGATAGGCAGGCAGCAAAGAAGATGATTGAGGATTTACGATGAACAGACCAACTATTTTGTTTAATATGTCCTGTCCTATTTCATTGTTTTTGTCCTGACCATCCTCCCTCCCTTTCTTCCTTCCAAGAAGACTTCTCCGTCCTTACAGTTTGGCACTCGGCCTCAAATACCCTGCGGCACTGCTGAGCACCTTGACGGCGCCGTCCATCATCTCGGCCACGATCTCGGCCGCCGTCTGGTTCGGCGTGTTGACGAGGCCGGCGACCTGGCCCATGGGTCTGTGGTCACGAGCCCTCGTCAGTAATGAATCACTCACGGCGGGTAGGTTCCTTTTGCTTTCCGCGGATCCACATACCTCAGCGTCGACTGGTCCTCAATCTCCTCGGTGATGCCGCCGACCTTCTCCAGCTTCTCCATCTCGTGGTGCAGCGCGATGATGCCCCGACTCTGCAGCTCCAGGATCTCGTCGCGCCGGTTCGCCTCCCAGTTGCGCACGTAGGGCGTGGCCAGGGCGCGCAGCGGCCGCCCCGTCCAGATGGTCGACTTGATGGTGCTGTCGAAGTCTGCGGCGATGATGGCGCGCTTGGCCGCCTCGGGCGCGCCGGACTCCTGCGCCGTCACGAACCGCGTGCCCACCCACACGGCCGACGCGCCCAGCATCAGCGCCGCCGCGATGCCGCGGCCGTCGTAGATCCCGCCGGCCGCCACGAGGTGCACGGGTTGGCCCGTCAGGGGGGAGGTGTAGTTCTTGACGATGTCGGCGCAGGCGGGGATCAGGACACTTTGTTGTCATCGAGATTAGCGAGTCCGTTCGCGGACAAGAGATGCTGATACATAGTCATCATGTACAGCAAAAACGGACAATCCTTACCTCGTCGCCGTGTCGCCCGTGTGTCCGCCAGCTTCGCCGCCCTGGGCACAGATGATGTCGGCGCCCGCCTGACACGCCTTATGGACGTGCTTGGGGTGTCCGATCATGTTCATGTACAGCACGCCGTGCTTGTGGAGTTTGTCGACGACGTGTCTGGGCGCGACGCCCACAGCGGAGACGAAGAGTTTGGCGCCGCCCGCGATGATGATGTCGACGAGTTCGTCGAGGTTGCCTTTGGTGTAGTCCAGCTGTGTGTGTGGCATGGGTGTCAGACGGCCATCGGCAGCAAGCAAGGGAAATAAATCCACTCACGTTGGTCTTTCGCGCATTGCCGCCGACCTGGGGGATCAACAGGTCGACGCCGAAGGGGAGGGACGGGTCCTTGAGTTCGGCCTGCTCGAGCACAGTTCACCACGTTTCAGCCACTCGCCATTCCTCTGCACGTTCTCCCAGACGTCTCCCCTGGGTCTGGTCTGAGCGTCAGCCACTCACTTTCAGTTCATCAATCATCTCCCTGAGCATCTTGGGCGTGTATCCGACGCCGCCGATCACGCCGAGGCCGCCTCTCATCGGATTTAGCAAGTGACGCACACACATAGGATCAGTTGTCTATCTCTCACTCACCGGCATTCGACACGGCGGCCGCGAGAGGCGCGCCGGACGTCTGGCCCATGCCAGCCAGGAGGATCGGGTGCTGGATGCCCAGCAGCTGGGTGACGGGGGTGGTGATGAGGGACATGGCAACGTGGAGGCGGGTATATGATATGTATTGTGTTTTGCCCGTTGAATAGAATAACAGATAGCTAGAAGACTAGAAGTGGTTCGTCCGGTCTCCACGAGTCAGACTTTTATATATATATATGGATAGTTATATGTGTGTGTGTTGTGTGTGCTTGTTTCCGAGGCCCCGGTTGTCAGCAATTAGGCGGCCAGGGTGGTATGTCAGGTATGTACTGTAAGCGAAACAATCAGGGTGTTCAGTGTTCAGTGTGTATTCGATCGATGTTCCTTCATCTATCTCCACAGATCCAGCAGTGATTATTATATGTATGGATGGATGGATGTCTGGATGGATAGAAATATTGGTGCTACCGAAGCTTTGAGCCGAGTCCAAGATGCGGGATGCCGAGGTCGTTGACACTCCATGTTTTCTCTCTTTTCTCTTTCCCCGACGGCTTCCTTCAGTGAGTTTGGTGCTAACTATTAACTGGCTCGGTGACAGTCTGGTTGCTGCTTGCTCCTCCCCCTTTTTCCGCCGTGCTCATTGTCTGGTGTTGGTGTTGAGTGTGGCTGACACGAGAAAGCCACTTACCCTTCCTGAACAACTCCCCCTCCCCCCCCCCCCCCCCGGTTGAACCATCCATCTCTCCCACAAAACATCTCTCCTTACTCGGCTCTGCTTCCAGAAGATCCCCTTCGAATGCGCCTGACCGCGCCCATCCTCCTCTCCCCCGCCGACCTCGACACCGTCACCCCAGACATCGCCAGCATCCGGCACTCGTCCCTGACGACCACCCGGCTGGGCCAGCTGCGGTACGGCGCCGTGCCCCACGCCGAGGCCCGCGCATGGCTGGAGTCGAGTACCCGGGCTGAGCTCGAGAGCGAGTTGACGAGATATCCCCGCATCGTCGACAGCCTTGGGGGGCGTGATGGATTGGGCGGCGGGCGTGTGATGACGACGAGCATGGAACACCTGGTCGTCCGCGATCTGGATCTCGAATCGTTGTCTCCGGGATCGCCGAGCGAGGGTGTCTCCGTTGATGTTGTTGATGCTGCTGCTGCTGCTGGACGTGTCGTCGCCTTTACAGAGTTCATGTACCATCCACCTCCGCCACTGCCAGGACAGGAACCGTCATCATGTGCAGAGACACAAATCGACCATCCCTTTCCAGCACCACCACCACCACCCCCCTCCGTCCACCGCTCCCTGCACGAGCACTGGGACCAGACCGTCGAAGCCGCCCTGTCCGCATGGTTTGGGGGCATGCACTGCTTCGAGGTGCGCGGTCTGGGCACGCTGGCGCCGTCGCACCTGCGGAAGGGGATCGCCAGCACGCTCCTGGCCTGGCTATTGCCCCGGGCGGACCGGATGGGCATTCCTGTCGTCCTGGCCGCCACACCCATAGGATACCCGTTCTACCTGCGGCACGGGTTCGTGGAGGTGGACGGCGGCAGCCGGCGGTGTCATATCGAGTGTGACATGGCGTCGTGGGGTGGGAGCGGTGTCCATCGACATGTCCTGATGATCCGGCGGCCGAAGCAGAAGCAGCCCGAAACTGGAATCGTGTGAGGTGTGGTGCCACCGTTCATACTGATCGCTACATTCACACTTGTGCTTCCTTCCTTCCAATAGTGCTAAAGCCGGGAGATGTTGGGACATGAGTTGATATATCCTGCCCCCTAACACCCCCCTGTCTGGACGACTCCAGGAAGACATTCCCAAGTGGTTGGTCAGGACACGCACACACACAGACTGGATCGAGGCATGTCAACGCTAGGGGCTTATTGTTACGATTCCAAATTGTGCTGATGTCTTTTACAGAACACTTTTCATTCATCGCTATAAGAAATGTGTCATTAAACCATCACATGTACAATCAAACCACCACATCGTTGTCAGACAAAAGAAATATCCAGGCAGAATCCCTCATACCCAAACCCTGAGAAAAGGTAGTGTTACAAATCCACTGTCAAAGCTCATACTCATCTTTTCCCGCCACCAATTGGCGACGGCAAGTCAAGACCGCCCAGCGCCTATTTCTTCTTCTTTCCACCGCCGAGGCCCATGGCTTCCGCCAGGCTGCCCAGACCCAGACCGCCCAGCAGCTTGTCGACACCCAAGCCGCCCAAGAGACCACTCACCAAACCACCCAGACCCAGGCCGTTGAGCAGTTTGCCCACCAGCCCGAGGACACCGCTCAGCAGCAGGCCGACGGCGGCGATGATCTGGAACAACGGCTCGGTCAATAGCGCCCACAGGGGGTTTAACTTCTTTTTCGCGTGCGGCATGTCCGCGATCTTCTTCTTAGCGTTGTCGATGGTCTTGACAACCTGCGTGGTGAGCTCCTTCAGTCCTTCCGCGACGCGGTATTCTTCGGGGGAAGCTTCGCCGCTGGCGGCCTTGGCTTTCGCGTTGGCCGCGATGTGACCGTCGGGATCGAGGCCACGGATCGCACCGTTGCATTCGCCCAAGATGCGAGAGCCTTCTTCAATAAGAGGCTTGACATCTTGCACGAGTTTTTCTTCGTCGAGCTCGTCCTTGGGAGTGCGGTCGGCCCTCTCCACCAGCTGTGATGACATGTTAGCATATTTTCTACAAAAGCGAACATGAATGTGGGTAGCTTACCTCTGTAATCTGCTTGCAGATAGGCTCCATCTTCTCCAGAGTCTGGTTGATGATGTTGGAAATCTTCTTTGCAACTTCACGCTCCTCTTCCTCCTTCATTTGTTCGGGCGTTGGACCCTCTTCGACTTCCTCCTCGTCGGGGATGTTTTCGAGCAATGTACATTCTCCAATCTTGTTACCGTCCTGATCGACCACATAGCCGTTGTCGTTGATTTCCTTGCCAATGCAAGCGAGCAGATTGCCGTCGGTCAGTCTGCCGATAACGTCGCCATTGCGATCACGCACTTCACCCTCCTTGTTAACGCGGAGACCAGACATAGGCGAGACTTCTCGTTCCTTCTTTTCTGGTTCCCACCGTTCGGCGTGGCCGATGACGTTACCGTTCTTGTCGGTGATATCTCCATCGTCGTCCACCTTGCGGCCAACCAGTTTCTTGATATCACCCTCGGTGACGCGACCGATAATCTCTCCGCTCGCGTCCTTGACCAAGCCGTCCTTGTCGACGGTGGTAGATTCAAAGTTGGAGAAAGGTCCTTCAGCACGACCGTCATCACCGCCGGCAATGAGTCTGGCACGGCCGATGACTCTGCCATCATTGGACCAGATTTGGCCTTTGCCATCCACCTTGCATCCGACGAGACGCTTGACATCACCCTCGGCGACCTCACCAAAGATAGTGCCGTGCTCGTCCACAACTTTGCCTTGCTTGTTGACGGTCTTGCCAGCGAGGCTGGAAAGATCTTCCTCGACGACTTCTTCTTCGGGCACTTCGTAGGGCTCGACGTGGCCCTTGACATTTCCGTACTTGTCAATGATATCGCCATCCTCGTCGACGGCACGGCCAAGGAGTTTCTTCCAGTCTCCCTCAACGACCTGGCCGACAATGTTCCCTTCATGATCCTCGACGAATCCGTCCTTGACAACGACAAGACCTTCAAGACCAGCAAAAGGTCCTTCGGGTTTGGCCTCACGTTCGTTGGGAGGAATGAGCTCGCAGCGGCCAACAACTTGGCCTTGGTCATTCCAGATCTGGCCATTCTCGTCAATCTTGCGGCCGGCCAGTTCCTTAGGATTGCCTTCGACCAGGCGAGCGACAGGAACACCATCGGGTCCGATGACATTGCCTTGCTTGTTGCATGTCAGACCCTTCAGCTCTGAGAGGTCGACAGTCTGAGCTTCTGGCTCCGGCTCCGGCTCCGGCTCCTCGTACCTCTCGGCGTGTCCGACAACGTTTCCTCGTTTGTCAATAATGTCGCCATCTTCGTCAACTGCACGGCCAACGAGTTTCTTCGGGTCTCCTTCGACAATGCGGCCGACCCTGTTGCCATTTTCGTCTTCAACCCATCCGTCGGCCACAACAGTCAAGCCTTCAAGACCCGCAAATTGGGATTCCTCTTCCTTGTCCTCTTGAGGAAGTGTCTTAGCACGGCCAATAACATGGCCTTTATTGTCCCAGAATTGTCCTTGGTCGTCGCAGCTCAAGCCAGCCTTCCAGAGTTTCTTGGCATCACCTTCAACTAGTTCGCCGATAATGTTGCCGTTGTTGTCGACGATCTTGCCAGACTTGTTGACCTTGAGGCCTTCAAGGATGGATAGAGGAGGTAAGTCGTCATCAACCTCTTCGCCAACGTCCTCGACTTCTTCCTCAGCTTCTTGGGGAATCATCTCAACTTTGCCAATGACATTGCCGTCCTTGTCCAAAACCTCGCCCTTGTCGTTGAGCTTCTTGCCAGCAACGGCGGCAAGGTCACCCTCAACAAGTTTAGCGATCTCATCACCGTCCTCGTTGAGCACTAGACCCTTTTTGTTGACTTTGAGGCCTTCGAGGATCGAAGTATCAGGGCCATCAGGAGCAGCTTCTTCAACAGTTTCGACGATGCCTTCTTCGACGGCTTCAGGGATGAACTCAACCCGGCCAATGACTTTGCCATCTTTGTCCAAGATTTCTCCCTTCTCGTTAATCTTCTTGCCACGAACAGCTTCCAGGTCGAAACCGTCAGCCAGCTGCGCAATGGCATCGCCGTCTTCGTTGACGACTTGACCCTTCTTGTTGACCTTGAGGCCCTCGAGTTGAGTGAAGTCCGGCTTAACAATCGTATCAGCCGCTTCTTTGGCTTCGTCGGCCGCTCCTTCGGCGGTGTCAGCAGCGCCTTCAGCGGCGTCCGCGGCTTTGCCGGCAACATCAGCCTGGTCGCCAGCTTCCCCGGCCTGCTTCTCGGCCTCCTTTTCGGCCTCTTCTGCGGCTTGCTGCGCCTCTTCGAGCTGATCAACCAACTCGGGATGAAGTTCTTTCATGGCTTCTTCGGCAGCCTCTCCCTCGACGACCTCAACGCGACCGATAACTTTTCCGTCTTTATCGACAATCTCGCCATTCTCGTTGGGGATTTTTCCGGCGCAGGCCTTTGCATCGCCTTCCACAAGTTTGGCCAGGACCTCTCCTTCGTCGTCGAGGATGGTGCCCTTCTTGTTGAGTTTGCGGCCTTCAACAATCGTGAGATTGGGCTTCAGTTGATCTTGGAGACCTTCAACCTTTTCGATTGCCTCTTGGACAAATTCTGGTGTGGCTTCCTCCTGGGCGCCATCGACCTTTTCTTCCAGGGCTCCGGCGGCCTCAGGAACGACCTCGGCGCGGCCAATGACATCGCCGTCTTCGTCCAAAACTTCCCCTTCAGCGTTGACGGTTCTCCCAACCAAGTCAGCCGGATCGCCTTCGGTGATCTTACCCAAGGTCTTGCCAGATTGATCCTTGATCGCTCCGTCTTCTTGGACCTCCAGACCTTCTAGTGCGTCGAGGCCAGGGAGTTCGCCGGCAGCTTCTTCAGCGGCTTGCTTGACTGGTTGAGGAAGAGTCTCTGCACGACCCACCGCGTCGCCGTCCTCGTCCAGGATTTCACCCTCGGCGTTGACTGTCATGCCGACCAGGTCTGCAGGATCGCCCTCGGTGATTCTGCCCAGGACGTTGCCTTCTTTGTCCAGAATGTCTCCATTCTCTTGGACCTCCAGGCCGTCGAGCACGTTGAGGTCAGGAAGATACGTCTCCACGGCGTCTTCTGCGGTGTCTTTGACGCCGTTGACACCTTCTTCCGCTTGGTCCTGGACATCCTCTGCGGTTTCGTGGACGCCGTTGACTGCACCTTCGGCATCGGCCCCTTCTGTGGCTTCGCCGGCGAGTTCTTGGGCTTTCTCCGGGATGACGCTTGCACGACCGACGACGTCGCCGTCCTCGTCGAGAATTTCACCGTCGTCGGCAATCTCGTAACCCTCGAGATCGGCTGGGTCGCCCTCGTCTAGCTTGCCGACCACATTGCCGGCCTTGTCCTTGATGTCTCCATTCTCGCTGACCTTGAGACCCTTCAGGATGGACAAGTCGACAGGCAGGCCCTCGGTCGCACCATCGACTCCTTCCTCTGCAGTCTCCTCGACGTCGTCGGCCACCTCCTCGGCATGACCCTTGACGCCGTTTGTGGTCTCTTTGACATCAGGCACGTCTCCAGCATCCTCGGCTGCACCCTCGGCGGTCTCCTTCGCACCTTCCGCCGTGTCTTCAGCTGTGTCTTTGACGTCCCCAGCAGTCTCTTCGGCTGTGTCTTGGGCATCACCAGCTGTATCCTCTGCGGCGCCTTTCACGTCGCCCTGGGATGCTTTGCCGGCGGCGCCCGTGGCAGTGTCTTTGGCTCCACCCACGCGGCCTGCCACTTTCTTGCCGGAACCGACCACACCACTGGTGGCCTTTCCGAGACCGCCAAGAGCGCCCTTTCCTTTGCCTTCGGCTTCGTCTTCGGCCTCTTCGGCAGCGTCACCCTCTTCTCCGACTTCCTCCTCCTCTTCCTCTCCCTCTCCTTCAGTGCCCTCGTCTTTGGCGGCATCTCTGCCACCGCGGACTGTGTCACCTTCTTCCTCTCCCTCCTCCTGCTCCTCCTCGTCATCGTCTTCAGGGATGGGCTCGGGGTTGGCTTCGGAGAGCTCGCTGGTCTCGGCGCCAGTGTCGTCGCCAGGTTGGCTGACCTTTCCGCCAGGCTCTTCCGTGTCTTTCATGCTGATTGCTTCTTCGCCTTCATCCTTGACCTCCTCGCCCTTGTCTTCTACGGGCTTGGTGGTCTCCTCGGCGGGCTTCACTTTCGGCGACTCCGACTCGGAGAGTTTCTTGGGTGTCGCCCTCGAGGCGCCTAGCTTGGGCGGTTTTCGACCGGGAGTGCCTTCACCAGTAAGCTTGGAAGTAGATGATGACGCAGGGCTCTTGCCGGTCTTTGTGGGTGTCTCTGGGACATTGGAGGTTCTGCCTGCCGCGGGAGAAGGCATTGTGCTTTTGTAGCTTCTGACTGTGTCTGGAGTCGACCGTTTAGACGGCGGGGAGTCTCTGTTGGGGGTGGGTGGGAAGCTGTAGTAGGCGTATGAGGACGACGATAGTCGATTACTGGTCATCAGCTGTTTTCAAACTATTTGGTACATTGATCCTGCGCCGCTGTCAGGGTTCAGCCAGCGCACGGTTTTCTTGTTTCAGTTGTTCTGGGGGTATTAGATGTAATGATGGGATGATAATAGTACAAGAGCTATGAGCTAGGTCAGCATTGGAGATTTCTTGAGAAACAAAAACAACGCGATGGACGAAGGAGGAGAAACAGGCTATCAAGTACACGGGCAAGGCCGCTACGTCACCGGCCATCATGACTTGGTGAGCAGAGCTCAGAGCTGGGCTCCCTGGTCGTTTTCTGGCGGTGCCTGAACTTGAGGGCCTGTCGACCAGGGAGGATGTGCTCAGGTGGAGACTTGGGGAGTTCTCAAAAACCGGGTTTGTTGTTTCTTGTTCCAACTGCGGCGGTGCGTTACGAGTGAGTTAGCATTGACTTGACCACCGTTTTTCGAAGCAGCCACACCCGACATACAAACTACATAGGCGACGACTCGCTTCTCCACTTACTTGACCTCACTAGCCTCCACCAGAACAGCCTAAACCCTATTCACTAATAATAAATCCCTGCAGCTGGCCGAGCGCATTTCGTCAAATCCCATGTTCACGATGACCACACTATGGGGGGGCAGTAGTGCCTCCCCCAAAAAGAGGCTGGAGGCGTCGTTCCTCGACGGGAACAACGGCCACAAGGGCAATAATATCATTCATACAAGTCTCGGATAATACTTTCAAGCTGTTCTCTCTCTCTCTCTCTCTCTCTCTCTCTCTCTCTCTCTCTCACACACACGTCTCTCTCTCTCTCTCTCTCTCTCTCTCACACACACACACACACACACAACTCCCGATAATACCAGGCTGAAAGAGCCTTTGGGAGCGATTGTTTGCTCAAGCCGAACTGACATCAGCGTCTCCATCCGCCTACAGCTATCACCCTGGCATGTGCTGGGATGGACCCTTGTCAAACTGCATATGAACCACACTCCCGCCTCCCCTTCCCCTTCTCATTCGTGATTGTCTCCCTCACCAGCCTCGATCGCCCATTTCAATGCTGGCCTGGGTTTCCCTGCAACCTCTTGTCCATCTCCTCGTCTCCGTACTTTCTATTCGATGGAGGTGGCATCTGTGCCACACACTCCTGCCCCATGCAGAGAGCAGCAACCGCTCTGACGCAATGGGATGGACCGAACAAGTCAGGGTCAGCCACAGTTCAGTCCAAAAAATCGTCCTTTGTGTCGTCATCGAGAGGTACGAGGGGTGCGATACTGATGGGAAAAGACCCTGAGGACGCGTTAGTTGGCCGACTTATTCACAAAAGGTGTTTCGGATAGCAGCATTTGACATTGTTTAGGGAGTATCGAAATCGGTCTCGATGGACCCAGGTGTGACCTCCTGGGGCGGCCTTCGGTCAGATGGTTAAGACTGCAGCTGCACTGCATGTGTAGCTGCTCTGCTGGTACCTAACCAAGTCTCACTCAATACTTCCTGTGTCCCATCATGACAGAATGCAGAATGCACAATTTCGGAACAGCGTACCCATGGTGTACCCAGTCAGTCTATCATGCTTTTCGATCATCGATCGATGTGTTTGGGGCGGGTTGGGGTCACCAGCCACAGCATTGCCTCGAGAGCGATGGCAGAGATGGCAGCCGATTTGCGAGGATAAACTTCTGGCACGGCCTGGGGTCTCGCGATCGGCAGCACGCTTTGGCCCCAAACAAACTCCAAGGACGGTGGCCAAGTTTTTTGCGTGGCCCTCCCCACACGCAGGTGGCGTCAAGCGTTGAGATTGGTGACATCTTGACATCTTGACATGCTTGACCCTGGCTCCGACATCAAGTGACATCACAAACCCTCGAAGGGTCTTTGTTCCTGTGCGAAGCTGCAACTGTGGCTACTTGGCCGTCCTCTTCACCTGGTCATATTACATATTTTCTTGGATGCCGATCAAAGCAAATCCTCTTCCCGCCAGTGGGAAGCCGATGTCACAGTATGATCGATGCTGGAGCCTTGTCGGCAGCCACCTACGTTTTAAGGAGAGGGCGACTCCTGTAAGTATGGGGGGTTCGGGTTCTCTTCTTCCGTCAGCCTGATGATGATGTTGTTGATGTCTACGAGCTATCTATGTATCTACATGTGAATCTTCGGTATGGAATATTTTTTTGACTCCCGCCAGCGAGAGCCTAGCTAGCCCCAATCATGGGCTTGGAGTGGGCAGGTTGAAAAAAAACGTGGGCTGCCCACAGCCGCCCCCCCTCCCCCCCCCAAAAACGTGGGTTGCGCCACAGCAAGCTTGGGAGCGCGCAGCTGGGAAAGAATTAAGCATGCTCCTCCCACTAACACCGGAACCTAGCCGGAGCCCGCTCAGCGCGAAAGGCTGGCACGTTTACCTGTTGTCATCAGTATTATTTGCGTAAAGTACCCTCCCCATTGGCCCTAATAGTGATCCTGACGTCCCCTATCATTCCTGGTTTCATTCCCTTGTCCGGGCCCGACCTCTATGTCTGGTCTGCTCTTCACGTTGATTTCTTATTTCTTTTTGTGTACAGGTGTCCGTGCAGCCAGCAGATGTGTTTGTTCGCCAGAGGGATCGAACAAGTCCTCTAAGGAAGGGAATAAATCATACTGGGTCGATAATTAATAAGTCATGACATGATGGCAGAACGTGGCCTCTCCTGTTGGATAACAGACGACAAGACGCTGCTGTGGTCGATGAAGACAGGGATGGTCTGAACCACACCCCAGGAGTCCTCACACACTCGAGGAAGCTCACGTCCACCACGAGGCAGAGAAGTTGGACGATAAGTGCGAAGAAGGGGAATTGGTCTTTTACTAGATCCACAAGTCATAGAGGAAGCGAGTGAGTGAGTGAATGGATGGAGCCGGCGTCGGCTTGGAAGGCTGAAGGGCGTAGAGGCAGGTCGCATCCAAATCGGGAATGTGAGCGACCGACCAACGTCTCCAAGGGGGGAGGGAGACCACTCAACATGACCAGAATTGATTGATTCTCGTCTGGTACATGGCTCCTCTCTTAGGGCGCTGGATCAAGAGTTCGTAGAGTAGAATGCATAGGGGAATCGACTGTCTATATAAAGCCACCCTCCTCACCTACCTACCTACCTACTGATGTCCGTCTTTGAGCTTTATAAGCATGACCTACGCCCCCAATGATAAATACCCTAAGCACGCCCGAGGACAAAGGGGGCCCAATCTGGCCCCCAGCGACCGGTTAGACCTGCCTCTCAGCCAGGCACTTGTTCCAGATAATCTTTAGTGACCCTGATGGTCCTTTCTTGCTGCCTACAGTAACATTTCTTGTGATGGCACTCTTCTTTCCATTCCTGCCAACAACGATGCCTGGAATTATTGGCTTCGGACAGCTCTATGGTACCTGTCTTATCCTTCTATGTGGAGTACGGCTCTGAATGCTTAGACGCGGCATATAAGGCCCAGAAGACAGACCTGAATACATATGCCCAAAATAACAGTTTGAATGCCTCAAGGAGCGAGATTGGACGCTACGACAAAACGTAAGCTATCTCTAACGATGTATTTGTTACTCCTGGCCATGCACCCACTGCCTTTGACAATGCGCCGAAAGTCTCGAATGCAAACCAGCAAATCTAATCATGGATGAACAGGAAAGGGGGAGCGTTGAAACCCTCCAACCCACTCAGCTACTGCAGCCCGTCCGAGACTTACACTGCTGTCATATCTAACATCAAAGGGAGAAGGAAAGAAGCTCGTAATAGCTCTCAAACTGGGCTGCAGTGCCTTACATCATTGTATGAAGAGTTATTGTTATCTAGCTAATGCTATCTGAGTGACTGAAGGACTGAAGGTCATCAGTGCAGTGCACTAGCTTATTCGAGGTTAGTGTAGTAGGTCATGCACCCATGGTCACATAACAACTGCTGTAAGTCGAAAACTTACCGAACACCGACCGAACCTGGTAATTCTTCTAATAGCAAGTTTCAACTGTTCACCATCCATTTTAATTCAGACTCGTCGTTTTCTTTCCTCTTCAATTCTCCTTTCCTCTCAAGTTCCATGTGATGCTGGTCAACACCGTCTTGTCCAAATCATTGCTGTTTCCGTAGCTCGTCAATGGAGAGGGTGACAATCAAATCTTCCCCGAGCTTCAATTCCACCCCAGTTTGGGTGGAGAATACGACTGTCTTTTCGTTCTTCGCTTGTGCAGCTAGACACCTTTTCCTCGCTTCCAAGGAACCAAAATCTTGAGCGCACGCCTCTCTTCCGACAAATGTAGTGAGATATACCCTTTTGCCGTGAGTGTGACCTCCTCTGCATCCCAAAGCTCTTTGAATTCGAACCCACATCGGGCAGCATTTCGGCGGCGATTAGCTGCAGCGAATTTCTGCGACTCCAGCAACCCTTTGGAAATGCTGTTATTGATTTTTGGTCCGAAGAGCTCTGGCCACTGACTGCCCTTCATCCAGCATTTTGAAAACATCCTCCTGCAGCGTCATACTAGCCCAGTTCAGAAAGGCAGAATCATGTTCAAGCACTGTGAGGTTCTGTTGAGGTTGGTTTCCATTTTCACGTACTCGTGCACTTCTTTAAGTGGAGCACTGTCTGGTATACCCTTTTGAAATTTGGCTCCTGTCTCGGTGAAGGATCTCTCGTCGTGCGGGAGTCCTAACAGCCACATCATGAAGTTCAGGCCAGCGTCCAATCGTAGAGAGTATTGTGCAGTTGCATTCGGGTTGAACATTGATGCCACCGGGTGGTCGACAAAGGCTGTTATGCGCCGCACACTCTGGTCTTCGAAAAGGATTTCGAAGCCGATTGAAGTGTTACCACTGAGTTTGACATTGAGAACTTTAGCTAAATGCTTTCTGCCTTCTTGATAATGCTTCTTTGCACAACGGCCGCCCACAACCAGGAAAGGGAGTGGCAAGATCTCTAGAAGACGGTGAGACATTTGGTTGTGCATCTGGAGCTTTTCTTTCGTCCAACGTGAGGCAGGACAGGTCGATTTGCGTCCTCGCGCACTCCCCTCCCCTCTCCAATGCCAATCGTATGCAAAGACGACGTCCGGGCCCAAGCCTTTTTTGGAAAGCAGTTGAATGGTCTGGCTGCCCTTGTCCCAGAACTCGGTAACGCCACCTTCTCTGGATTGACAGTGTAGTATTAGTCCAAGGTCGCAATCCGGATTGCCCGCAGGCTGTCCAATCCCATGCGCGTCTTCTTTGGTGGAGCCTGCCTCTTGTGTACGGAAGTATTCGATTTCATTGGTCAGAAGTTGTTGCAAATTCGTTGTAACACCATGCGTGTCTTGTGGAGAAAACTAATGAACGAATCCAGCTCTTTCTCATGAAGCTTAGAGACCACTTCCATGGCGAATCGTAGTGCGAGATCTGATCCCTGGAGACTTGTCTCTTCCGAGAGAACTTCCGAGCCCACGGCATTTTCAAGGACTGAATTGGATCGCTGGTCAGGATTGAAATTGTTCGACGGACGGATTTGTTTTGCGTCAGCTGTCGAAGACTTGTATCACTTACTTTTTCGAGGTGTCGCCTCATCGGCCTCAATGGTGGAGTCATGAGAAGCACTTGGGCTTCCATCAGATTCCGGAGTTCTCTGTTGTCTCTGTTCTATCTTCGAAGCGCGGAAGGTGCAAAGATTTTCATACACAAGACCCACGATATCGCGGCTGTTTTCGGGCATAAGGCATTCAGGCGGAGGTACGACAGGTAGAGAGGTCTGCATGATGTCAACTGCACATAGAGGAGAGCGGTCGTAAGGATAACGAAAATGGGAATGGAAGAGTTGCTGGCGTAGAGCCACACCATGAGCGCAACGTAGGCGAAATATTCAGACTGAATAGTGACACATTGTAGGCAGTGCTGCCAGAGCTCCAGACGAGACCTTTGTTGATATTTGGCAGTGAATACACCACTTCACTGAGGAAACGGCAACGTTGATTTATCCCGGTTTTCATGGCGTATTTGAGGGTACTGAGTGCACTGGACGACGCCTCATTAGTTTTAACCCGATGCCAAGACATTGTGGTGAGATGGGAATTGAAGAGTAACGATGGTGCCATGGTATTTGTGGGATGGAGGATGTCCCTATGTACTTTGTATACACGGTATACGAGAAATGTCTACCTAGTAATGGACACTGCCGATGGATGCCTGGTACGGAGTAGTGGTGAGTAATTCAATATACTCTATGAGCTGATTTCTAAGCATATCCTACTTCTTCGATATTACCATTAGGGCGACAGTTGAGTTTCAGTGTAAGAAAAGTGAATTTAATACAGGATTCACGTGGCGGTGAATCGATCCGAATACAGAGCAAAGAGAAAAAAAAGATTGCGGCCACTGTGGATCGAACACAGGACCTTGAGATATACTGAACCGAAGTTATCTTCAGTCTCACGCTCTCCCAGCTGTTGGTGAGTTAGCAGATTATAATTTGATTGCAGAACGAAGCAATTTACCTGAGCTATAGCCGCACCACATTTGTTGGTAGGAGTTCAGCTATAATCATATATAAATAGCAATATCATCATATTACTCACGTGACTTTCGGGCGCAGGAAAGTTGCCCGCGGGGTGTTGTATTGTTCTGCATCGCCACCATAATCACCACCTATGACTTTTGATGCGCTTTGCCCCTATAGCTGCGGCCTTCTATTAGTGCTAACGTAATTAACCCCCAAGGCCGCGCAAAGGGTCCTGAACGAGCTCACGAGTACGAATAGGATCCGCAAATATATATTGAATTAAGTCCCTTGGAAACAGAGCGTTCAATCCGCAAGTTTCTACAGTATTTAAGGTGGGATTGATCAGAATAGGCGCATAGTAAGCGAACCCGACAAGTGACTATGCTAAGTCGAATTGATAGGAGGCATCCAATCTGCCTACTTTTGACCTTCCGGGACCAGAGAGCGAGGGAGCCTATTCTGGCTCCTTTCACCTAACTACCACAGTACATATGATATATACACATGTCCTCAGTGCCCCGATCCGACTCCGCGATTTGAAGCATTTCATTGGCGGAACGACAACGCGAGATGATTGTTCGTATGTACAATACGGAGCACCAAACCAAAGAGAAAGAAGACGGCCTGGGAGTCGGGACAGATATAAACATGCTCCTATTGTTGAATACTTCTCTTGCGTATAGCGTGCTGAGTTGATGATCGTAGCATTATTCATTCAGTAGTTACCGCCAGTCTCTAGTTCAAAGCGCTCGAAAGGCCATATTCTTCTGCCAGCATTGTGCAGTTTGGACAATTAACCAACCCCTCATTTCTCCATCCGCGACAAGCTCAATATCCCACATGTCAGTACCCCCGTCTCGCAAATCGGCCTGGGATGACTGGACCTTCCGGCACTAACGAAGCCGCCGTGGATCCGGAAGAAGTCGAGGTCGGCAGCGGCACGAAGCTCTCCGTATGGGTGGCACTTGGGTTGCCCTTGGTTCCTCCTTGTGTCCCGTTTACGTGCATTGTGCCCGTGGCGATGTCCAAGCCGTTGATGGCGCGCGAGAAGAAGCCCAGCGCGGCAATTGGCTGGTAGTAGGGAACCTCATGGCCGGATTCGTAAATGCGGGTGAAGGAGAAGTTGCCGTACTCGCGCGTCTCGCCATACTCGACGCCATTGACCACGAAGGGTACATATCCCGAAGCCTTGAACTCAGCGGCGTGAGGCCACTTGGCGGCCAGTGACACGGCCTGTCCGCCATACCAGTTGCAGATGTAATCGGCATCTCCATAGACAAGAGTCACGCGGACAGAGGACGAATTCAGGAGCTCCTCGAGATCGTCGATGAAGTTAAAGTAGATGAAGTCGCCCGTCTGCTGGAATGCGTAATAGACCTCATCGTTGGCATCCGAGGTGTAGTTCGTATCAACACCCAGGGCTTGTTGTGTCGAGGCCAAGTTGAGGTAGTCGATGAAGTAGGTGGGCGGGGTAGGGTCGTCGTACGGGTGGCGAATATCATAGACGCCACGGCCTCCATAGTAGTAGTACGGCGACTCAACGTTATCACGGCACATGTCCTCGGCTTCGGTGCACACGGCTTGACCGGTGAGGGTGGAAGTGTCGGCAATGGCGCACAGGGAGATCTGGTCCAGGCAGCCGTCGTTCATGTAGCAGGCAAAGGTCATATAGTCATACACGGTGTCGTTCACTGCTTTGATCCCGTAAGTGTTGTTGTTGGCGAAAATCGGATAGTACGGCGCTTGAACATATTCGTCCACGATCCCATTCATGATGCCCAGGTTCACAAACTCAAAGTATTTGCCGGTTTGGGTGCCGTTGGCGATGGCTTGGTTTTGTTGATAGAAGTAGTTGAAGAAGGCAGGGCCATAATGTCCTATCCTGGTTTGTCAGATGGATTTTCCTTGTGATGTAATTGATCATCCATTACCTCCGTAAGACTCGGTCCACAGGTTGAACTTGGTTGATTGGACCTTTGAATCAAGCTGGGGCAGCGCCGAGTAGAATCCTTGGAGCACCTCCCAGGCAGCGATCGCGGCAAGATCAGTGGTATCTGCAACAGTCATGAGCACGTGCGTATGCTCCAATTTCTGGTGGACTCACCAATGGCAGTCGCATTGATGATGGGGTATCGGCCGGTCACGTTGGCCTCTGATGGAGGGACGAACTGTCCGAAGTTGGGGTCGAGCGAACCGGGGCCCTACATTCCACACGTCAGTTTCCATCTCTTGTAGTGATCGCGCCTCCGTGCCGTTACCTTTGAGCCGTATGAAAAACCCACACCCAGTGGCTGGCTGAGGAAGATCATGTTCGAAGCCTCATTCCAGGCGTGCGGGTTGAGCTGCGTGGTCAAATTTTCCGTGACATTACACGGGCCAAGCTCTGTAATAAGACGTGGTCAGCCAGACTCGGGAGTGGTTCAAGGTGAAAAACACCCTCACCTTGAAACATTCCAATCAAGGAATCACTTCCAGGCCCTCCGTTGAGCCAAAGCGTGATTGGATCGTTGGCGGGGTCATTTCGAGACTCAAAGAACCAGAAGAAGCTATGGACATCCGGAGCAAGGTTGATAAAGCCTGCGTACGAGTTGACGCCTGGGGTCGTCTCACAGACGCCCTCTTTGCCCGGTTCCTTGTAGGTGATGTTAAGGCCATTTGGGGTGATGATGGTCTGGACGCCAGTGGGCTCTGCTGGTAGTTGTCGAGGCAAGACCTGAAGCTTTGGCCCAGGAGCCCTTCTGTTGTGAACAGTAGGTCCTTTGACTGCCGAAACGCCGACGGCGAGCGCGCCGACGAGGGAGAGCTTTGCAACGTGCATTGTGAGACGTACTCAAGTCACCAGGCAGAGAAGGATTGGAAATGGGGAGCGAGAGGAAGTGAAGAATTCTCTTGAATTTGGGTCTCAAACAAAGCAGCTGCGGTGTAACTCTGCAACCACCTGAGAGCCACGGAGAGCTGCGCACGGGAAAGAGAGGTAGGATGCGTCAGACGAGAAGTCGCGCGACATGATTAAGTAGAAGATGACTTTCCTACCTTGGATCACGATCTGGGTGGTATCTGCACGAACTCCACGCTCGTCATGAGTACCATTCATTCTAGTGTCCTCATTAGCTCGACCACGGCCTGGATCGATGGCTCAGTTATCGATCGAGGTATGATCTCCTCGAATGAGGTTTGCAGTAATGCATTGACCAGCAACAGGGTGAGCATATTCGATGACGATGGGCAGGACAAGAAGTAGTATTCAGACAGGGATCTTAGCTATAGCCACCCTTGACCAGTGGAGCCCCGGGTTCGGTAAGAGAAGCTTGAGCTCCCAGCGGTCCAGTCATGGGATCCGGCCCCCCCGGGCAAGTGCCCATTTGCATATAATTCCTAGTCCACACGAGGCAGGTGCAGAAGGGGAATTGTGACGGCAAGTGCATGAATAGAAGCTTCTTTTCCCAGTCAATGGCGAAATTGTGCCAGGTTGCGATAAGATTGGCGCCTCGTCGGAGGATTCAGCTTGATCAGGATAGTTCGTCGATCCTCAGCCTGTGACTTGGTGTTTGTGGCCAGCGAGCCAGGTACGACGAGGAAAGTAGCCAGTGGTGTCAGTGTGGCTTCATGCAGGCAATCTTCGCCGCCAAAGCTTCAACACATCCGACCCCAATCACAGGCTCACACCCCGCCTTGGTTGTTTGTCCACCAATTTCCAGAAACAATTGGAAGAACACCACGGCGCTGCCGAACGGCGTCTCACCCAATAGGCAGCTTCTGGCAACGCGTCTGCCCGAGGATGCGGTCTTGGTAGACGTCTTGTGTGATGGTGCAAACAGCAAGCAACAAGCAATGGTGTGGCAAGATTTCTGTTGCAACGGATAGTGACGGACATCGGAGGGCCGGAGAGCTATGTATGTGCGAGGAGGCTGGTCGTGTGCAGCTCATTGACCACCAGAAAACCCGTTGATGTGTGGAGTGTGATTCGAGCGTATTTGCGGTAGATGGCCGGCTGGCTGCGGAAGAGGCCGAACTCGAAGGATGCTGCAAGACGAGTTGCCTTATCTCTATTGCCACTGGTCATATTTTCAAGGTGACATTGCAGGGTAGAGTTGACCGGTCCACCGCCGATCAACAGGCGGGGTTGAATCCTGTGAGCTCGAAGTGGGGGGACTGAGGGCCAGAATGGCTGCTCATGTCTGCACAGAGAGTACAAGAGGCCACCAGAGGCTGACAGGACAATCCGGTCTGCTTTTTGGATGAGGAGATTGTGACAAAGGAGGGAAGGGCAAAGGCAAAAAGTGAGAGAGTGTGAGATAGATGTTGAGAGAAATGAAAAAGTGCAGTGAAGACGCGTCACGTGGCCCGCCACCAACGAGCTGCCAAGTCGCAAGCCACAACTGCATCTTCTACGCTGTGAAGCTCTGGCAATATCAACGCCATCTCCAGCCTCGTATTGTTATTATCATCTTGCGAATATCGGTTCCAAGCAACGGCTCGATTTGGACTCAGAAAAGAGAGCAAGGCTCAAAGGTAAAAGTTCATTGTATATCATTTTACTCGTCTCAATACCTCAGGCTTCGCCTTGAAGAGCCAACCCTAGTACAAGCTCATCGGCCGTGTCAAGTTCCTGTTCTGCGTAACCACATTGCTCTCGCTGCTCATCAACCTCTTCGATCGTCTCCAATGGGAACTCTCCCGAGTTAGGCGTGTTGTTGTCCGCGTCAAATCCCTGCAACCATTGCATGTTCAAATCCAGACCATCCTCCACGGTCGAAAATAAATCCGTGCCCCCTTCCAGGTCAACGAGAGTTTCAAAATCAGCGTGCGGGTGCTCCTCCGGCCCACAGTTGATCCCCACGTGGTGTTTGGCATTCCCTTCTGATGCTGTGATCACGGTTTCTTCCGCAGTTTGACAGCTGAAGCTCATATCCGACTCTGGTGGAGTGTAAGCGGCAATGAGATTTCGCTCTTCCGGCGCCAGCGTCGAGTTCATGAGCAGCAAGCTTGCGGTTTGCATAGCCTCCGGAGGGGGTGTGAGCAACAACGGTCCGGGCGGGAATTTCTTCTTGTCCATCCCAGTCAAACCGGGCGAGAATGGTGTCTTCATTCCAGTGGCCGTGGCAGCATAGACCTGAGCATTGGTCTTGCGAACAGCGGCGTCGAGGAATGAAAAGGCAAAATCCGCAGAAGCATACATCTCCCGCAGTCTCTGCAGGGCCTGCATGCAGAACTGGAACTTGCGAATGCTCGCCTGTCGCGTGTTGGAGTCGCTTGATTTGATATCCAGGAGGTGAATGATGATGGCCGGAAGCAGGCACGTAACTCCGGTATTGGGGAGGTATCGGATCAAATCATGCGCAAACAGTTCTTTGTACATTTCGGTGATATCATTGGCAGCCTCGCGGACCTTCCTCCGGGACAGTTCTCGCAGTTCCGGGGCGACAACGACGTTGGGTGCTGATGGGAGGATTTGTGGTCGGTGCAATGCACTGATCGCCGTAAGGTAGATTCCGGTCAGTAGAGCTCGGTGTAGATTGATCACCTCTCCATCGTTGGTGCTTGTCCGCTCGCGAGAATCAGGCGCGAAATAATGGAGCTCATGGGGAAGGTCTTTGTGCCACTGATCGAGCGCACGATCACACCGAATCACGTCACAGGGGTCTGCCGCCGATTTCTTCGGGACGAGTCTCATCGTGGTCTCCTGGGTGGCTCCAATCTTGTGGCCGAGTGTCGAGTACTGGACGGCGAGGACTTGGGTGATGCGGACACAAAGGTCGGCGAGACCGATACACATTTTGGCCAGGGTGACGCGCTTTGACGTGTCTCGCACGGCAGGACAGCCCCCGAGCATCCTACTGAGCTCGGCCGGAAGGGCCTCAGTCTCGAAATCGGACACCTCGAGCATCGGAACGTCAAAATCTCCACTGTTGATCCGCATCGGGCGCCGCATTCCGATAGCGATCAGGCGGTCTCGCATGTAGCAAGACCACCAGATGCGCTTCCAGAGACGACGTTGTTGCAAGCTCATAAGCGAAGCGTTGGACGTGTCACAGTTGAGACCAATGGTCCGAGCAACCGAAATGGCCACGCCCAACCAGTGCCACACGTCCTTTGGGTCGTCAGGATTCTCGTACCAGTAGGTCATCAGCAAGACAGCCTGCACGACCGTCACTCGGTCGACTTCGTAATCGAAATCATACAGGAGCTTGACTCGTTGGAAGAAGGATTTCCTGGCTGCCTTGCGGGTCATATATCCCTGTGCGATGAGATATCGCATATCGATGTATGCAGTTGCCGCGAACATGATGGCCTGGAAGAGCAAGAGGCTCACCGTATTGGTGGGCTGGTTCTTTTCGACGGTCGTCAAAAAGTCGCGCAGGTCGATGATGGGCAGGAAAGGATGCACGTATTGAACGTAGCACCGGAGCAGCTCGTTGCGGAAGCCCGTCTCCGGGATCAAGAACGCCCCCTTTTTCTGCAGGTACTCCAGATCTTCGGTCATGATCCTGGGAGAAATGGGCTGCATGTAGGGTGGAAGGACGATGTTCAGCCGGCTCGAGTGCTGAAGGAAATACGACATTGCCGGAGAGAGGAGTGGTGGAGAGAGCTGGTTGCTGCCAGCGGTCGACAATCGTCGAAACCGTTCCTCCTGACTGAGGCGGTGACCTTGTGTCTGGTCTGAGAGAGGCCGTGTCATGAGCAGGGGTTCGACAAATCCAGAGCAAGGAGCAGACTCACAAAGCATATGGGGCTTGTGGTGAACCATCTCGTCCTCCAAGCCGTGCTGGGGATGAATTGGCTCTGCCGTAGGCAAAGAAGGGACAAAGTTGTTGAGCTCGTCAATGTCATCGAAGATGGGAAACTGAGGAATTTCCTTCTCCTCTTCTACAGAATTGCAGGGCGATTGGTGGAACAGCTCGCCCTCGGCGTAGGATTTCCTCCGGCGTTTTCCTTCGGTGACTACGCACTCGACCTCGTCGAGCCGGCAATTCGTGCATGGGATTCCACTTTCGACCACGTCACAACGCACTTTCCTGCCACGGCAACAGTGGCAGGCTTTGGAAGCCCTCCGCTTGACCGTCCTCCCACCAGTGGGAAGTCCGGCGGCGGAGGACTTCCTCTTGGGTTGGGTATGGGTGGTTGTCGCCATGATGACAAGCAGGGACGGTCGAGGTGAGGGTGGACAAGAGAGCACAGGAGGTCTTTGGGGCGGGCTGGTTTCAGAGCGCTGGGGAGGGCACTGCAGCGATTTCAGAGAGGACAGAGAAGAAAAAGAGGACAAAGGGTCGGGCGAGAGAAAAGATAGCGAGGGGCAACGAGTACATAGGAGGGTCCTAGGAACTGATATGGGGAAATCTCAACGGATCCGACATGACCCTAGGTCCACCAGACTGGGCTCCAATAACGGGGCAATAATAGACTGAGTCAATTGAACCCTCAAAGCCAATGTCCGCACCCCTACCCCGGACTACCCCGGTTCGATGGCAGCAAGTGTTCTGACGATCAGCGATTGGACCAGCAAGCGATCTCGACCGCCCCCCCGGTCGAGGCCTTGGGGTAACTTGGTCGACTTGGCTAGTTACGCCTGCCGTGGGCACTGGGCCCTGGGCCCCGAGTCCTGGAAGACCAAGGGCGAGAGGTGGCTTTGACGAGAGGCGGCTGGAGGTTGCCGCTGGTGAGAAGATTTTCTCCGTAGCGTCTAGGTCCATAGGCTAGGTGATCCAGACTTGTCGAGCACAATCCTTCGCTAAACCACACGTGGAGAGCAGAGCAGGAATTTCCCCACTGGCGAGAGAGCCCAGCTCGGACGAAAAGGGTTGGCAGATTCAAAGAAGCGTGGGCCAGAGAGGAGCACGAGGAGCTAGGGAGGGCCCCGTCTGATGGTTAGAGGTCCGATTCTCATCCGTGCCGATTTATCCTGGCCAGGACCGTTACAAGAGACTTACATAGTATGGGCGGATTTGTGCCGGTGGAATATGCAGGTTCGGCTATTTCCAACTGGTTATGTCCTCGAGTTGCCGATGCACAATCCTGGCCGAGTCGATGGCATCGACGGCCAGTTCGAGACAGTCAGGGCGCCAAGGGGGGGAAGGCCTTAGACGAGGGATCAGAACCAGTCAGGGCGTCTGATAGAGAAAATTTTCTATCGTGGTTGGAGAGCTGTGGAGTATGTAGTAGGCTGTGGTGCCCCGGGGGGCGAGAGGAGAGAGGGAGGGGGGTTATTGTGGGTGAGCATGAGGACAAGGCAAAAGGCGTGAGGCCGGTTCTCGAGATGCACTAGCGTGTAGAGGCAGTCCCGAGAAATGGTCTCGAGAAGCAACTAGGCAATAGTTGTCTCGAAGGTTGACCAACATGGGGCTGGCGTGGACCACTGAGACGGCGAGATGGGAAACGAATTCCATGGCGATACGAAGGTTTAAAGTCAGGTGAGCGGGATTGAGTTGGTGTTTTGACTCGGTGGCGGGAAGGGGGAGATTGTGTGGTGAACAGTGAGGAGTGAGGAGAAGCGGGGGAGGAGCGGGACACACAAGGGGGAGAAGAGAACAAGTCAGGAAGGCATGACTCGGATCATTCTGACTTCTGACTGACTCTCCTCGATTACGTCGGCCATCATTCTCCGGCTGGCACGGCGTTCCTTTGAGTCGCTCCTGGCGAGTCACGCTCCACTTGGCGCCATTATGCCTACGGAAACTCGTGATGGGCACATGATGAGACGATCGTCTCTTCACAAAACAAATGCTGGGCTCCAACTCTAATGGATAATGTGTTCGTAGGCACGCAGTAGTGCCCACTCACCCACCCGCCAGCTGAGAGAGAGCCTGCCTCTCCTCCCTTTGTGAGACACTTTCAGGGACACCATCGACGACAGCAGCTGGTCGATCTCCGGTATAGTATTGCTCGTCGACTGGCATCGTGTGCTGATCGACGCTGCCCCCCTGATAGGAGAATCTTTCTGGCGAAGCAATGATGGGCATCGACATGTCCTGGGCTGGCTGTGGGTATGTACACATACAGTACCTCGCACGGGAAACCACACCGTCATTCTGTCAGCGTTTGGTTAGTAGTACGAGGGTAGTCCCTCCATCGCCAACAACGGAATGACGGCGGATATGGCGTGACATGTCCCAACTCTGGACTTCCACGAACTCCAGGCCATGAGAGCTCTGCAGCTTTCTGAAGGATTATCGGATTGTCTATCGTCTCTTCACATGTCAAGTGGTCCCGATGATTTGCTGCAGGTGCAGTGAGGTAGTGATGGCTCTTTTGGATCGAGGATGTCGAAGCTGCAGGCGTCCCTGCTCCTCTCAACAACGATTCCATTTCCTTCGTAGCAGGCAGGCCGAAAGGATATTCTCGTTAAATTTCGGAATGTACAGGTCCATCAATAGACTGGCCACCTGGACATTGCCGTCGACGCTCTTCGTGCTCGCTTCACAAGACGTGGCTTCTGCAAAGTTGACCCTGTGGACACAATCCAGCTTGGACGCACCCTAGGGTCTTGCATCTCGGCTGCCAGTAACGAGGACGTTGTGGATTAGTGGGAGAGCCACGCACACACAAACCTTGCTTCTAGGAAAACCCCCCGACAATGCACGAGGATACACGCGGGGTTCTTATCAAGTAGAGCTTTCGAACTGAAGACATTTGCCATCTGTCCGAGAGATGCTATTGAGCTGATCCCTTCGCTTTGAACATTTCTATCCTTTACCCCAACACCTTCCCCTGTCTTGCTCCATCCCTCCCCTCACCGGCGTTCATTCACCGGCCACACCTTTGGAGACTTCCGGTGGAACATGAAGCGAAAGACGACATATCGACATCTTCCTTGCATACGTGATCTGTTCTGTTGCTCCGACGAGACAGATCGCACGAGGCTTGGGGAACCCTGCACAAAACGAAAAGTTTATCGAAGCTGCCACTCAGTGGGGAATCCCCCCGGAACCGGTGTTCTGGAACCACCCTCTCGTGGTTGTGAGACACACGTGAAGGTGGTGTGTGCGAGCCTGGACATTGGTAGATTGCTATAAGTCTTGGAAGAGATGACAACAAGCAAGAGATGATTCAATTGACCTACGTGCAGATGGATGAAGAGAGTGAAGATGGCCAGATGGTTGTTATCGACCTCTGTGTGGGTTGGCATAGACAGCCTCGCCGCCTCCAGTCTCAGCCTTGCGATGACGTAGCGTAGTGCCGCCGCGTAACCGGTGACTCTCCGAACACATCGATCATTGCACAGTGACACTCTAGAAACCACTATTCTCAACATGTAAACTTCATCTCATGGATGCTGAGTCGTCAGAGGGTTCTGCCAAGCCCTTAGAGTCATCCAGGACAGACCTCAATGCCCAGGAGAGTAAGAAGGCGGCGGTGCTAATTCAGGTCGGAATCTCGTCCTCGCTTGTCCCGATGGCCAAAGGTTGACCTCGTCCCCCAGAAAACTTACAGAGGACATCGTACGCGCCGTCAACTGAACGGCTTTGGTCTGGATGCCTCGACTCGGTGGTATGAGGTCAGGCGTGACACATTGGTCGTGCTGCGGCCCTGACTGAGACAAGTGTAACAGGCAGTACGGGATGCTCAATTCAAAGCGCACACATCGCCCCAACCTCCCGCCTCTTCCCTGGACGACGCAAACCCGAACGAGAGCACTAAATCTCCTGCGAGGCTGAAATGGAGTCGAGCGGCGGAAGTTGCACGCAGGGCTGGCGCCGACGATCGATCTCCGTCTATCTCTGACTTCTCCTCAGATGACAATATCGAGAATGTGGAGGGCTCACCCAGTGGTATGACCCAAGAAGACAGGGAAAAGATGGAAGCAGCAAGGATAAGGCGAGCCGAGGCCACCGCCATGAGGAAGAAGACTGCCAAGATGATGGACTTGCAATATTTCCTGGAGATGGTTGACCACAAACATCGCTACGGGAGTAACTTGCGCAAGTGAGTGCAGGCTCCCAACCGAACCAATGGATCCATGTGTTCGAATGGTCGAGCGTTGTCGATACCGGCTGACAATGATACACTAGATACCATGCTTATTGGAAAACACAAGACACCGATCAGAACTTCTTTTACTGGCTGGACCAAGGGGGTGGAAAGGATCTGGACCTCCCAGAGTGTAGCCGAGCGCGGCTGGACAAGGAGCAAGTGCGATACCTGTCACGCGAAGAACGCCTGAACTATCTCGTCAAGGTCAACGAAAATGGCTTGCTTATCTGGGCCAAGAATGGCGAACTTGTTTGGACCAAGGACGAGCTCTTCAAAGACAGCGTCAACGGAATAGTCCCCATAGATGACTCTGCGCCAAAATGGAAGTACAACGTACCACCCCCAGGAGCGAGTGAATCTGACAGCAGCTCATCGGACGAGTCAGAGGATGAAGATGACAACACGGTGGGCGATGAAGGAGAAAGATATGTCAACGAAGAAGTATGTCTTGCCCTCGATCCCGCTGTCTGGTAAAAGGCCACTGACCAGAAACAGTTCCATCGAGCCAGAGGAGTGTCCAAGATCAAACATGTCAGTGCGGCAGTATTGTTCAACCACATGATCAGAACGAGCTTGAAGAAAGGGCACAAGTGGATATTTGTGTGTGATACCTCATTTCGATTGTACATCGGATACAAACAGTCAGGGGCATTCCAACATTCGTCATTCCTGTACGGCGGGCGGATCCTATCGGCAGGGTTGATTAAGGTGAAGCACGGTCAACTGAGACGGTTATCGCCCTTGAGCGGACACTATCGGCCACCAGCCGCAAATTTTCGAGCCTTTGTGCACAGTCTTCGGGATGAAGGTGTCGACATGTCACGCGTGTCGATATCCCGCAGCTATGCGGTGTTGGTTGGTCTGGAAACTTACACCAAAACCCGCAAGCGCGTCAAAGCTGCCGGTGAGACCGTCGTGCACGAGAAGGACAAGTTACTCAATCCAGAGAAGGTCAAGATGGAGGAAGAGGCGAAGCGAGACAAATCCCAGAGCGCGGAGAAGGAAAGGCAATACCTGGAACAGCAACGCGAGGCTCAGGAACGGGAAGCCCGCGAGCGACGCAAGGCGAAGCGAAGCGTGACGGGGATGGTTTCCAGTGCATTTGGCAAACTCAAGCTACGGAAGGACAGTAGCGACGACGCTCCGGCGGCCGGGGAACAGGTCAAACGAATCTTGGGGACGGGGCCGGAGGATGGCGTGCCTCCGCCAGAAGGCCGTCGCTGATGCAGGCATCAGCATATGGTCAACTATCACAGGCAATTACCTGCTCGAAGTCTGATTGGAGAGTCAAGGAGGGCAGTTGTTCTCTCCTCTCTCTCACCCTCTCTCTCACCCTCTCTCTATCTTCCTGGCCCACGCTCGTCGAAGCAGTCATTTCTCAACCCTACCTTGCCGTGTCTTTCACGCCGTCGCCTGCCTCTTTGCGGCACCAAGAAGTCACAATGAGCATACCATGTGGCTTTTGAGTGACTACTACTTGTCCAGTAGGTTCGTCGTGTAAGTGCACACGAGGTAATAGAGGGCACGCTGCCATTGCTCCTTCCGGGCCGATGTTTTTCCGGGATCTCCACCTCAACCACCAATCAGCGTTGCCCATCCCCTTCCAGTCACATTAATTCTCCGAATCCGACGTATCGCTTTTCTCCACGCCTTCGTCCCCAGCCAATCACAGATAACGTCTCCAGCCACCCGACCAGGCATCAACATTTGCATTTGATCTTTCTGCCATTCAGTACTTCATCATGGCTTGCTGCTAATGATTCGAGATACCATATCCGGTACTGTGCAGTAGACCGGGGATATTGTGGCGATGGCGCTAAGATTTTCCCTGGCGACACAGGCACCGATCGTTCCAAATGTCTCGATCCCAATGCGAGACCCAGCAGGCGCAGAAATGTCTATATAAATGAGTTTATGGCTTCTCTGATCACCACAGCATTGATGGAAAGGTAGGCAGGGTCTCTTCTAGATCATCTTTGCCTTCTTCTCACCCCTCCCACTATGGCCAAGATCATCATCATCGGCGCCGGCATCTCAGGTCTCAGCACCTACCTTTTCCTGCGCAAGCACCTGGTTCTCTGCGACTCCTCAACTCCCTCTTCCCAAGCAGAGCAGCAACAATATGACATCAGAATCTACGAAGCCTACGACATCCATCAATCCCACTTCAACGCCTCCTTGGTGAATCCGGCCCTCGACGACGCCAACTTGCGGGAAGAATCACCGACCGTCGCACTCGCTGCAAGCGAGACAGACCCGATCTTCACCGCGCAGGCGATCGGGGCGGCAATCGGCATCGCGCGCAACGGATTGAACGTCCTCGCTCGCCTGGACAAGACCGGTGACCAGCAAAGCGGGGCTCATGGCGTGTCGTCGAGCAGCTTGATCGAGGAAATGGCTGTGTACGGCCATCCGATTGAGCGGTGGCAGCTCAGTACGGCAAGGGGCTTCACACTCGGCCAAGTCGATCTCGCTCGGCCGCGAGCTGCCGCCGCCGCCACGATGAAACCTTCTCTGAGCAAGCCCGGACAGTCCCCATCCCCGTCGTCTACGCTGCGAAATCCATGCCCATACCACGGGATCATGATCGCGCGGCAATCGTGCTGGGAGATCCTCCGCGACCGGGTCACGAGGGAGTCTCCGAGCGTGATCATGCGCAGAAAAGTCGTCGACGTAATCATCGGCGATGAAAGGACACGCAACGTCGTCAAGTTCGACGACGGCTCCCAAGAGGAAGCCGACCTAGTCATTGGTGCGGATGGAATAAGAAGTATTGTGCGGCGGGCTATGTTTCGCCAGCACGGGATTGATCATGCGACGACGACAACGACGACAACGACGACGACTGGTGGTGGTGGAGCAGCACAGACTCACCACGACGGCCAACCTCATAGCCCGACCAGAAAGGCACCACTCCCCTCGAGCTGGTTGCGGAGTATCCTCTCGTACCTCCCTAGCTCACTCTTCCCCTTCGGACACCCCAAAGCCATCCAGACGGACTACGTCTCACCACGCTACGAAGGCCTCGTCGGCGTGGGCGGCTTCGTGCCTTCGTCCGTGCTGCAAGCCACGGGGCACAAACCAGGCACCATGACGATCGTGTTCGGACCGAATGGGTTCTTCGGGTACGGGTACCTGACGTCGTCCCGACCATCACCCAAAGATGCCACAGCAGCGACGAAAGACACGGATACCGCTCCTGCGACAGCTCACGTCTTGCCAATCCCCGCCCCAGGACCGCTGGCCGGATGGTGGTCGACGTGTTCCAGCCCGAACCCATTTCCATACTCGACTCCCGCGGAGTCTCCATCGCCAGCTCCAGCGCCAGCTCCAGCTCCAGCTCCAGGAAGTATCCCACACACAGAGCCTGCGAGCACAGACCGCGGAAAGGCCGCTGAATTCAACAAACAACTCGCCCTGGCGGCACTGCTCCAGCGCCACCGGAACTGGCGCAACCCAGCGATCCAGGCGATTTTGGCGTGTGTAGAGAACGACACCAACACCAACACCGAGCATCAGCAGCAGCAACAACAACAGACTCAAAGCAGCCACCGCACAGATTCCAAGACCAACAACGAGAACAATAGCCTCCTCTTCCTCCTGCCCGGAAAGGCCCTGGACACGGCGTACCCGACCTGGACGACGCCGGAACTCCCGCACTGGACCCTGCGCGGCCGCGCCGTGCTGGTCGGCGACGCAGCACACGCGCTGCAGCCGTCGAGCGGGCAGGGGGCGAGCCAGGCGCTGGAGGACGCCGAGGCGCTGGCTGTGTTTCTGAGCCGGTCCTTAGCTGCCGCCGCGGGACATGGAGCCAACACCAACAGCAGCAGCAGCAACAGCACTACCGATACTGCTGGCACTCCATCTCCTTCTCCTTCTCCCGCCCTCCTGCACCGCGCCCTCACCCAGGCTCTGCGCGCCTACGAAACCCTCCGCATGCCGCGCGTCCATGCAATCCACGTGCGTGCGCAGCGCATGTCGCGCATGAAGGCCGACATGGGCCTGCTGGCCGAGTGGGCCATGTACCTCGCCATCTACGTGGGGACGTGGTTCGGTGGCGGCAACGGGAACGGCCCAGGCAGTGATGAGGATGGTGAGCGGTACTACGACGCCTTGTTCGGACATGATGGGTTGCTTCGTGGCGGCGAGGCGGAGGAGTAGTCGAAGCGGCCAGGTAAAGGGACAATTACAGTAGCCGTGACGTCTGGTAGTTCGCTGCAGGAAAGGAGAATAAAGCATGCTGCAGGGCTGCAGGCACAGGTCGCGGTACAGACTGTCAGAATGCATGTATTTCTATCACTCTCCATCCTCAATAGCAAGATAGTTTCGACATCGCAGGAGAACGAACTTCACCTACCGAACCTACCGCACGACAGCCTCCATTCAATGCAACCTAGGAATCGCAGTCTGAGAATTCTTGATTGTATGCCATGTGTACGAAGAGTCTCTGGCCGCCACCAGTTCGAGAACATGCATTCTAACCGCCATCTTGTCCTTAGACCTCCCATCTGTAGGATGCTTCAATCACCGTAAATGTCCCACACACCCTGGCCATTCTCATTCCACCCAGTTATGCCATATCTTTCTTACCCTGCTGCTTCCCAGTCGGTGGCAAACAGTCCAATCCTTTCAAACACATCATCTGGCTCAAAATCCCAATCCCAATTGGCCCACTCATCGTCACTCACAAGATCGTCGACCAGGTCGATCTCCGAGTCGTGTTCGCTGCCGGTGAATAATCTTTCTTCACGTCGACCTGAAATTGATTCATCGTCCGATTGTGAGTTGTTGCAGTGAACGCGAACAGAGGAGGATGAACTCAGAGTAGGCTCAGAGGCTAAAATCTCTTTGCTAAAGTTGGAGTTGCTCTCGTCAGGTCGACGTGCGAGATCACGTAGACTCAATTGGCCATCGTCAGCATAAAGGTCCAGCGTATTTAGTTTTTCCAGCCAATCTACCAGGTGGATAACACCCCATCTGTCCCTGACACGCTTCTTTTTGGCATCGATAATCGAGTTTGACAGAGGCCAGACAATAACTTGGTGCTGGTATAGACGCGCTGGAACTAGATCCATGCATGGTGGAAGCACGACGTTGGCTGCCGCGCCAGGCTGGGCTTCGTCAGTAACCCCTCCATCATCTTTGCGTTCTGAGGACAAATGAGTAGACAGCGCGTCACGATCCCTGCGGACTGCACGCATTGCTGCCTCCACCGTGTCAAAAGTAGATGGCGGAGTGTTGTCGATCAGATCGGGACCGGACGACAAGCCTTCCTCAGCTCGCTCCCAACTGTTGGCGGCTTGATTTCCTTCAGGCTGAACGGTATTGCTGGGGCTGCAGTAGGCCGACAAGCTTCGTTGAAGACAGACCGGGGTCGGTAGTGTAGGAAAGACCAAATCGTCTCCAGTGGATTTGACATTGCGAGGCATGTTGATCTTTGTATCGTGCGAGCTCGTTCGCATGAAAGAATCAGTGTACCACGGAGTCTCATGGCCATGGAGAGCGACGGCCGGGCTTCTGCCAACATCCGCAGCACACGAATACTCTTGGTTACGCCCACCCATTTCTGGGGAGCCGCGAGGATCATCTCCTGGCGAGGGGACAAAACGATGAGTTGAAGAATCATGACTCTCGTCCGAGATGTGGCTGGCTTCTGCTCTGTGCTTCGATGACGAAGCCGTGCAGATAGCAAATCCCAGGCTTCCATGACGTTGGAGATCCGTACGCTCATCCTGGGTTACACTATCCTCGACGGGGCGCCAGCTGGTAAAGTCAGGTTCTGGCTTTTGCTGTCCATGGATGTATTCAGAGAATGAAGAACTCCAGGCCAATGGAGGAGCATCAGAGGGACGAACGTAGTCGAATTGTGCGTTGTGATACAGCAGCGGACTTGGAATCCTGATATCATTGAGGTAGTTCGAGTGATAATCCGGCGGACGTCCATTCATCGAATCCTCCAGGCGACAGTCTGGGAATTGGACTCTGGGAGGCGCGGCGGCATGAATGGAGACAGAAAGCGGCGAAGGTAAGGCAGACCTAGTGAGGAAGTCCGTCTGAGGAGGGCACTGTGTTTCCTTTCTCTTGAAGACGACCTTCGCGGCCCTTGCTTCCGGAAACATTGCAGGGGAAAGGGTTTCAGATCTGTCAGCGGCAGAGAATTCGGACGGTGGGCATGGCTCCTCGAAGACTACGGTGGGATCGGTGGTTTCGCCCTCGGGGATCCAGTAAGGGTTCGCTGACATGAAGAATTAGCCAGGAGTCAGCATCTCAGAGGAAGCAGCTATACCATCACATCTGGTTTGAAGACCGACACGAATATCGGGATCGAGGTGGAATCCTCGGTCCTCACTTGTATAGTAGCAGTTGTTGAGATCCAATGAGTCCTGTTCACGAAGCTTTCTTCGCTTTGGGCCACGTCGACGGGGTGTCTTTGACGGTGGCATGTTTGGCTCAGAGCGGCGAGCCCGATGTCTTGCTCGACGAGCGGCCCGGCGGATGGTCGACTTCGCAGAAGAAGAAGAAGCTGTGGGTGCCATTAGGTGCGATGTGGGTAATGATAAGAGTAGGCTGCGTGATAGTTCTAGGGGCGTGTATGAGACGGAAAAAAGATGGGTTAGGGAGTGAGGAAGTATGAGTTGAGTTAGAGATGAGGGTGATAAATTGAAACAAAAGGCGAGATGCTCTCTTCCACCGCTCCTGCCTGTCAACGACAAGCGTCAAAACATGGTAAGACTGTGATATTTCGTTCCGGCAGCAGCGAGCGGAATCAGTAAGAGCATCAGATGGTTGAGACAGCATTAGAATCCAAGGAAATAGTCCGACTTCAGACCACGCTGCCGGGCTGCAATGGAGGTTCATGAGCCTTCCGTTTCACCTTCTCGACCAGGGTCTCGTCCTCGTGATGAACATTGAGGCCCATTTCTCGCTCATGCACTTTCTGCACCCTGCGCAATATCCAGAAATTATAGCACCCGAAAAGGAGCCCAGCAACCCCGACGCAAGATCCTGTCACGATAGCAGTGATCTTTGCCGTCACGCTCCACACGCCGTGCTGGGCTGTATAGACGTTGACGAGAGTTGTTAGCAAGCCGGCGACGGAGTTCATCGTAACTGGTCTATTATCAGCCGGTAAGCGTGTGCCCCTGTCACCGGGGGCGACGATCTCACAAAAAGATGCGGTTTATCAGCCAGACGTAGTTCTTGCGCCAGCGAAACCACAACCAAAGGCATCCTAGAGCTCCAATGGCACAGAAAGCCCCAGAAAGCCACAGCAGGCCAATATTGGCAATTGAATGCACGATTGCGTGGGCCACCTCGTTGTTGTCATTATCGTTGTCGGCGTCTTGGAACGCCTTTGACTGTTTGAAAGTGGTAAAGGTGCCGGGAACGACGAGAAAGCCAGCCAGGAGAATCCAGGTGAAAAGGCCAGCCAAGATGTTGTATAGACGGGGGATTTGATCTAGATGCAGCAGCATCTCCATATATCGTGTTTGGATAGAAGGTACACGGGCTAGGGCAGGTCTGGATGATAACGTGTCGGAGCGGGCGACAGCTGCAGGTTTGGTTGAATTCTTGCGTCCAAGGGAACTTGAACCTCTCATTTTGGTAGCCACCGATTCTGTTCGCGTAATTGCTACTGTATCACGCTGCCCTTGGCTTTCATCGGAACGGATAGTTGAGAGCGATGGACGGGCAGGATGCTCCCCCTTTTTCCTTCTAGTACCGAACATGCTTGCTTGAATACAAGGTATAGATTATCGCAGACAGAGAAAAGTTTTTGCGGTCCAAAGTGGTGATATCAAATCAAGATAACAAAGCGACAAGGAAAAGCATTCCACAGTAAGAAAAAGCAATAGCATTTACGAAGAGGATTGAGAACGCCTATAAAGTCGATACTTGCCTGATAAGACATCTCTTTTATCAAGTTATTAGGCGATGCGATGTCAAGGAAGCAGCTCGCATGGCAAACCAGTCGCAGCGGAGGTAGACGAGGTACCATGATAAAACTGCGGGGGTGACGCATTGTTGCAGAATGAATACCAACGAGAGGTTCGATTGAAGGAGGAACGCGCGTTGCTTTTCAGCAGATCGGCAGGCCTTGAAGCGAGCGAGTCGCTAGCATGACATATATGCGATGGTTGGCTGATGTTTCCTGAAGCTGAAGCAGGACACAAAAACTTGAAACTGGACGCATCGGATCCTGGAAAATGGGCGCCAACAAGAGACTAAATTTGGAAATCGCAGGCGAGGGCACGAATAAGAGAATGGAATGCGTCTGACACACTCTCGTCGGAGTATTCTGGGGCTGGTACAGTAGGAAATTGCCCTTGTCAGACAGAAAGTATAAAATAAGGCCTCAATTGTTGCTTAGCACCCTTGATGAGCTACAAGTATTACATCAATCTAATAACCGCCCGATATGGCCATGACCAGGCTGAAATCCATAAATACAGCCCTACCGTACTGTACTGAAGCATCTGCACAGCATCAACCTCAGCCTCTGCTCTCCGAGGTCGGTACAAAGCAGCCTGAATCGTTCCGGCCCTCATCGGATTGATCATCACATCAAGCCCGGCAGTGCGGAATCATCTAATAACGACTATTCCCAGATCGACTCTGTCTACCATTGTTGCCGGTCATCTTCCTAGAGCATGGTCCTCCTTCTTTTGCACTCCATCTCACCACAGACCATGTCAAGCACGGTTTTATTGATGGTGCCATGACCGTGCACCTCCGATTCTAGGGTTACCTTCGCAATCCTTCTTCCCATCTACTATGCCGAGTACGTACAGGTCGAGGGCAGCTCTGCATGAGCTCCCCACCCACGTGCCGGCTCGAGCGCTGGGGTCGATCCAGCCACCGGCATCACCGCCCTGAGGCTTTCGATTTGCGGAACCTTGGGGAGCTCGCCTGCCGGGGACTAAAGGCACATGTTGACGTCCTCGAATATAGTTGGATGGTGCTATATTTGCTCTTGGTCTTTGGTGGAAGCTTGCCGTGCTTGTACCACCTCTCTCTCGAGCTTGCCATAGCTTGCCATAGCTTGTCTTACAGTACATAAAGCAGCTGCTCGAACATGCAAAAAGACACGGCCTCAGAACAAGTCATCCACCTGGGTTCCTCAGAGTCGAAAGAAACTCTGACTCGGATTGCCCGTTTCGTGCGTGAGAGGCCCATTTGACCAGTAAGAAAGATGAAGGTCAGCCCACTCGCCTCTGTGCTACTGGCAACGGCCGTTCAGGCCGCGCCTCAGCCTATCAGCGCCTCCTCCGGTGTGGGAGCTACCACATCAGACGTCTACCCACCAGCATCCAGTAAGTCATTGATATATCTACCGCTATCACTCACAAAGTTATTGAAACTAACGCCTCTCAAGCATCGGTCGACTCGTCCCAGTTCCCACCCGAGTCAGTGGTGCAATTCCCCGGCCCAACGCTGACGGGCTTGGAGCCAGCCGTCGCCCAGACAGCTCCCCTCTACCCATACAACACTCAAGGCGCCGCCGCTTTTCCTCTGGTTGCTGCTCAGCCTCAGGGCTCTAACTCGAGCTCCAAGGTCGACATCACCCGTTACTGGGGTAACCTGGCACCATGGTATTCGCTTTCGTCTGCCGACTATGGATTGCCTAATGCCAGCCCACTCATCCCTAAGGGCTGCTCCATCAATCAGGTTCACCTCCTGTATCGCCACGGTGCTCGGTACCCTACCAGTGGCGCTGCTCCTGCATCGTTTGCTGCGAAGCTTGCCAATGCCACCAAGGGTGCCGGCTTCCAGGTGACCGGAGAGCTCTCTTTCCTGTCCGACTGGACTTACAAGCTGGGTGCTGAGCTTTTGACGCCTTTTGGACGGAGCCAGAACTTCCAGCTCGGTGTGGCATACCGGCATTTGTACGGTGAATTGCTCAACAACTTCACCGCTCAGGGTGCACTCCCCGTCTTCCGCACCGAATCCCAGGATCGCATGGTCAAGACCGCCCAGAACTTTGTCGCTGGTTTCTTCGGGGTACCTGAGTACATGGACCAAGTCAGCCTCGAGATCCTTGTCGAAAACCCCGGTGTCAACAACTCGGGTGCCCCCTACGAGATCTGCAACAACTCCAACATCGCCAGTAAAGGAAGCATCGGCACCACCGTCGCAAACCAATTTGCCGTCAATGCTTTCAATGCTACCCTCGCGCGCTTGAACTCCCAGGTAAGCTTCTCTATGTGACCTAATAAGCCTACATGTCGCTAATCAGGACGTAGATCTCCGGCAATCTCACCTTGACGCCCACCGACGCCATCGCTATGCTTCAGCTCTGCTCGTACGAGACTGATGCGCTCGGTTATTCCGCCTTCTGTGACCTTTTCACCCAGCAAGACTTCGAGAACTACGAATACTACTATGACTTGGTAAGCTCATCCTCTCCACTGCGCTTGATATGGATCCAGCGGTTTTTCTGACGTTGCCCAGTCCTTCTACTACAACAACGGCCCCGGTTCCCCCGTCGCTGCTGCCCAAGGCAAGGGATTTCTCGAGGAGTTCGTCGCTCGATTCACGCATACCTATCCTGAGGCGCTCTCGGCTCTGAACGAGACCTTCGACGATACGCCAACGTACTTCCCCCTCAACCAGTCCATCTACGCCGATGCAACTCATGAGGTGGTCATCCTCGACACCCTCACCGCCTTCAACTTCACTGCCCTGTTCAAGGGCCCTGCTCTGGACACGAGCAGCAACACAGGGAGCAACAACTTCGTTGCCAGCAAGCTGGTCCCTTTCGCAACGCACTTCACGGCTCAAGTCCTCGAGTGCCCGGCCATGACGCCGAGCAAGCAGATCCGGTTCATCGTGTAAGTTTTTTTTTTGCCTCTTCCGTTTCTTTCCCACCAATTCTATCACGGTCATATTCTGAACTTGAATCCCACAGCAACGACGCCGTCATTCCCGTCTCGGACTCACACCCCGGCTGCCCCGTGGACCCCAACGGCCTGTGCCCCTTCGACAACATGGTCAAAGTGCTGCAGCAGCGGATCAACGAGATCAACTTCAACTACGACTGTTTCGCCAACTACACGGCCACGGCGGGCGTCAACTACAACGGCCGTGCGCCCCAGAACGCCCCGTCATGAAAAGTGTAATAGCTCCCACAAATATGTGAAGGGAACCCCCCCCCACCCCTTTTCTTGCGAACTTTTGGGCGTGTTTTTCTCCGACAATGCAACCGGGTAGAGGATAATTCGGGAGAAATGTGCTACAGGAGGGCAAGGGGCATGGGAGAGGGGTTATTATGTATCACGCAAACACAGCAGCAAAAAAAGAAAATCGACGGAGAATGGTGGTACGATCCAGTATTGTACATAGATACAGACCTCCATGTGATGTATGTAATGAGAAAATCCATGAATGGCCCCAGAGGTGTTGCGATATTACCACCACCACGGCAAGGCACCAACATCGATGAAGAACTAAACTCTATATACAGTAACGCGCATTCGAACTTCAATGAGATAGATAGATCGCTTCGGACGAAAAGGTCGAGTCCCATGTGCCACACTTTTCTCTCTCTCTCTCTCTCTCTATCTCTCTCTCACAGAGTATGATGTACTGTATGTACATTTGATTGAGCATCTGACCAGGAGACAGGGTGAATGATAATATCATCTAATCATATCAGATCGGATCAGATCGGATCAGATCAACTTGGATCAAATCAAGTTGTATGTAGATGAACGGAAATGCCTACATACAGGATGAACTGCCCGTCCGTCCTTTCGAGCCGTGTCTTACCTTGCCTCACCTCGCTGAACACGAGTACGAGGTCCTGTCCCGTCTAGGAGTGAAAACGTCAAGTTCACTTCAATCTTTGAATCTATGATAGTGTTTTGCACATTAGGTACTGTATGATGCCCACTCGACCAGCTAGACTTTGACGGAAAATCATGCTCATACTGTGGGATGATTCCGGCTCGGAGAAGGACATTGATACAGGCGCAGCAGTGAGTAGCCTGGGATGGATTACGAATTGTGTAGACTTTTCATTCTTTTCATTATTATCTGGTCGCTCTGTCTCTTTCCTTAGTTGTCTCTTAGGGCCTGACCTGTCTCCTGTTTCCTCATAATATGTAATCATTTGTCCCCAGGGCTCATATGAGAAAAACATAACAAAACCCCCTCTAGTTGAATCGGTACCAAAAATCCGTCAGTTCTGTTCTCCGTGCGCCGCATCTCTTCGTAACTATTCTCGTAACCCGCACAAGCCGGGGGACTGAGGCTGAGTATTGTCCCCGCCAGCTTCCGCCCGCAAAATGCCGTGATCAAGTTCCCGCACGGTTGCAATAATCCCAGGTCTCGACCACCCTGAAATTCCTGACCAGAAGCATCGTAGAGTCCCCGAGGTCCATAATGCCCGTAACTCCATTTCCAGCCTCCAATGACAGCGGTATCTTCTGTAATAACAACAATGCCCTCAAATTCAGGCATATTCTTCGTCACAAACCACCGTAACATCAACCACGTCCGATACCCTTTCCGCCGCCGAGTTTTCCAGACAGGGAACAATTGACTTGACCACAGTCGATTCGTTCCTCTCCCTGGGGACGAACCACAGCTGGAATACGCCAATGATAGCAACGAACCCGGCAAACCACCACGCCAGACCCGTAAAACCAATACTGGAACCCCATTCATACAGAAGTCCCGCCACGGGCGGTGCCACGGTCCTGCAAGCCGCACCAGCTGAGGCAGCCAGCCCATTGATGCGTCCCAGGTAGGCCGGAGACGTACTCGCCTGCTTCAGTAAGATCAAAATCACTGGATAATCGAGGATCGAGAGCAAGTTCCGGATCGTCAGGCAGGTATAGATGCCAGGGTAGAGCAGGTGAGAGGGCAGCAGGGCTAGGTACGGAACGATGAAAAACGCCACTGGATGCAAGATGGTGACAAGAACAAATACTCGCCAAACGCCGAGACGCTCAGCGGTGAAGGGGAAAATAACAGCTTGAATAAACAAAGCGATAACCCCGTTGACAGACATGATCACTCCAACATCTCGGGTGGCCAGCCCAAGGCCGCCAGGGATGTCCACCAGGCCGCTAGCCGCGATGGAGACCTGGTCGACGGTCTTGTCCTGGTAGAATATGGGGAGGAGATGATCATAACACATCGAATGGTACGTGTAGATCGAGAGGGCCAGTGTCAGCATCACAACTTTCTTGGTAAGCCATTTTGGAGAGGTCTTCTCGCTTATGGAGGGTTCGCGGGAGGTTCCATCGGCGTTGAGCTGCCACTGATCATTCTTTTGGACGTCAATCTCATTGAACGTCCCGTACGATTCTTGCCTTAGGTCAACGGCATTGTCAGCAGTAGCGCCTGCGGCGGTGATCATGCGAGTTTGTTCGGCAAGGTTCTGGTAGACGCTGGAGTCGCGGGCACCAGCGAGATCGGGATGGGTCTCTCTCAAATACAAGTAGCCATTGAGGATGCTAACGAGCATGAGTGAAGCGCAGATGAGGTTCGGGAGAAGCCAAGGAAATTGACCAAAAAGCCCCTGTTTGGAAAAGGCATCTGGGTACGAGGCTGCAGGGTTGGCGAAAATACCGCCAACTGCAGGTCCAATAATGGTACCAATGGCCCACACGAACGGCATGATGGCGTACGCCTTGGGCTCCCACTCCGGCTTGGTTGTGAGTTCGCCGACCATGGTTTGTATAACGCCTAGCAGCCTGTCAGCTCCCGACTTGGGCGAAGGGGATATTCTTGTGCATACCGATATTCCCATTCAGCGCACCTCCGAGGATTCTTCCCGCAAGAGCCATGGTGAAGTTTGTGGAGAAGCCGACGACCAAAAGTGAAATCATTGTTCCAAAGCAACCAAAGAGGAGAACTGGCCTTCTTCCTATCCGATCCGAGAGTCCTCCCCATAGCAAAGAGCACAGAGCTTCGGTGAGAGAGAAGGAGGCTATGAGGACGCCTGCCCAGAAGGAGGGGTCAGCCATCCCGAACTGCTTGACCATAAGCCAGGCATATGGGAAGATAGATGTGATGGCGACGGGCTCCGCGAGACGACATATTGCTGTCATGAGTGGTTAGCCAAGACGTCGCGGACCAGATGGCAGGTGTCAGAAACAAGAAACGAGGCCACGAACTCACCGAGAACGAGGAATTGACCTGTGGGGAAGGAGGCGTCCGAGGGAGATTGGTTCTTTGATCGTGTAAGTCCCAACATCCTTGAAAATGCCCGCTGTCTTACGACCTGTCCTCTCCTCTGCGACTTTCAAGTCACAGCACCAGTCAGTCAATGGAGAAGGGTGTCTAATGCAATGGCGAGTCCGCACAGACGCTGCTGTCGAAACAGGGCGGTAAAGGCACGGTACAGCAGTTTAAGTGGCAGGTGAAGAGACCAGAACGAGTTGAGGGAAGAGCAGGAAGAAAGATCAAGAAGATCAAGAATGAAAATGTAGGGAGAAGGTAACAGCAAAGACGGTGAGGTGGAGGCGTGACAAGTTTGGCAGCCACCGCAGTTGTCTCGCACTTCTTGGGGCGGAGATGCCTTCCGTGAAAAAAGGTAGGGAAGGAGCGGGAAGAGACAATACTCAATGTGGAACAAACAATCGAGATGCAACAACACTTTTTGCCTCGTCGTACGACAAGCAGCAGTACCCTTCCTCACACGGAAGAATGGGCATGAATCCCTGGTGAACGTTCAGGCTCGTGGCGAGACCTGGCGGTTGGTTTTGGTTTCGCTGTAAGTAACCATCTGGTGGGGAAAATCAATAACAAGGCACTGTGAGTGAGAGGCGGATCTCAGTAGGTGCCAGGGGGCGAATGGGCTGCAACCGTCGACTCACCGCCCGGCATAGAGCAGGCGGTGAGAAGCAAGAGCCCATTTAATTGGTGCGAAGGCAGAAGATCGGCCGGGTTAGCGCCGTCCTCGAGAGGAATCCCGTATCGTGATTTGCCCGGAGATCGATAATTTGTTGCACCGGTAGAATCCGCTAGCGAGAGAAAAATGCGCGGCCCCTAAAGAGGTGCTAGGAACTCAGTCCAGATATCAGTCCATCCAGCGACAATCGTCCACCACACACCACCAGCACCCAGTATTCTAAAGCAGGTACGAAAAGCCAAATGGGATTCATTGGGCAAGGCAATGGGCGGTGATGGTGGACAGATGTTATATCAGGTGAGGCATGTCTGTGCACCAGGGTCAGCTGGGACGGAGCAGATGCAGTCCTGGCAGGGCCATCGATCTGAACACATGCTACCAAGGAGACGGGCCCAGGCCGTATCCATGACTAAGAGAAAGTGTGGACAGGGTCGACGTGTGATGGATCACGATTTCGTCTGCTGGGAAGGTCGGTGTACAACAACGCAAATCATGGAATGTCCCAGAGCCGCCGAGCACCCCTCCTCTTATCCTCGTACCTTGATTTTCATGCTGTGCTTGTCCAACCCGGGAAATGGGCCTCGACTTAGATGGCGGGGGTGATCAAAAATGCCCACCACACACGACTGCCGGCAGTATTTTGCTGCATCACAGATTGTGGTGGGGGGGTTGACGCAAAGACCCACGCCGACTTCCGAGACTAACTCGGGTTAAAGCAGTCAAAAAACACCGAAGCACGACCGGACAATGGTTATGTCAGACGGACTTTCCCCAGTACAGTATAGACCAAACGTACCTGAGAGCCTTGCTATGCTCTTCCAGCCTCGTCCTCCTGCGTGCTACTTGGATCCTATTTCATCATTACTTCCTCCCTCCGTCATTGGGGCCTTCTTTGTTTTGCGTTGCAGTCCCAGCTCTGCCTCTCCTCTGAGAATCTTGATCAACATCATCGCCCGGTCTTGTCCCGCTGCCGTCTCCTTGCCCAGATCATATACGACATTGACTAGTGCCAGAGCAGCCACAAACACACACACGTCGCCTCCCCGGATGCCTCTCCACCATCGACGCTTGACGCCCACTTTCCACAACGAGTCAACACTTGTTCGTGCGGCATACAAGGAGTTTGCATGGCCGGCTGTCGTTTGGTCAAACACCTGGAACATGCCGCCCAGAGATCCGCCCAAAAAGAATCGGAATTTGGGCAGAAATGAGCGAGGGAAGAGTGCCTGGAACAAACAGATGCTTCCCCAAGCTGCACCAATCGATCCAGACACAGCTATCGTAGACCTCAACACGGCTTCAGACAGCCCGTTGAGCGACGCTAGTGGTGCTTTTATGATCTTCCTGAGCCGCAGAAGTGCCAACGCTCCGTAGTACTTCGTAAAGAACTTAGCCAATTGAGGGAAAGAAATCAACATGTGCCGTATATATGCCATGAAACATGACGGGTCCGAAGGATGTATGAGTGCACACGACAAATGCTGGATGCCTGGGTGTGCCCGTGACGTGATGGGTGAAATGATGGGATCGATCCCTGCAGGCAGCGTCTGTGGTTCATTTGGATGCAAGATGGGCGAAACGAAGTTCGGCCACCTCAACTGTGCCATCTGCGCGAGAGCATCCAGAATGTTACTCGGTGTCGGCCACACAACCTTCGATGAGAGGCTGGTTGGTCGAGGCTGAATATACTCGGGGGTATATCCAAGGATGAACGACCCATACGCCTCAGGGAAGCAGTCGCGGTCGAACACAAACGCGTGGAACAATTGGCCCTGCGCCAGAGCAAACAACACCCAACTCCCCAGCCACGACGGCTTGTTCTTGACCAATGGCGTGTGCTCGATGGCGGCATATCCCAGTTCGAGGGCTCGACAGCCGACGTAGATTGCTAGTGTGATCCGTAGCTGATCTGCGGGACAGATGCCCAAAGCAAAGCCCGAGAGACTGGCTCCAAGTGCCGGCGCGACACGAGAGGTAAGCGTTGCGTAGATCCGTGGATACCGTTCTCGGATATCTCGCACCTGCTCATGAAGCAGTTGGAGCCTCAGTCGGGAGAAAATTCGGTAGAGCGTGGCATGAAAGAACAGGAGCGACGACAGTGACAGGGCCATCCTCGAGTGCGATGCTACGAGGGGCTTTCTCGACCCGGTTGCGGTTGGAGACTTGCGTGCTGAAAGGCGGTCCAGGAGCGCCCCGATGAGTTTAAGAGAGCCATATGTGACCATAAATACCCGCGACGCAGAGCGGAAAGCAGCTGCTCTATGATCATCGTGGAAAGTGACTGATCTTGAGCTGTTCACCTGCTTTTCGCCTTCTCGGACGCCCTGTGCTCCCGACGATTGTCTCGACAGCAATTTGCGCAGCAGCTCATACTCTCGCTCGTTCACCACAAGGCGAATTGGAAGTTGTTCGATCGCCATTCTGTACGGTCTTATCAGTACCTTGGTGTTTGAAGGTGCTGATCAACGCTGACGCGACCAGTGTCCCAATTGTGGTGGATAGAGCTTCGAGCCGCCTGAGCGTCAACTTCCCATTCTTTTTGGGATTTCGTACCACTCGTGATGCGATGGGATACGAGGCAATTCTAGAGTTGACCGCTGATGAGAGCAGAATGATGAGGACGAAGGATGAGGTAGGGGATGATGCGATTGACGCGCGAGGGAGGTAGTTCAATTCAGATGCCTCGGTTCAATATCGACAATATCGACAACACGTGGATAAGTGCGTGAGTGTGTCTCTTGGTCCACACAACATCTACGGTTGACCATGGCTTGCGTAAGATGCAACCTCGAACGACACCTCTATCGTCCACAACATCCACCTTCGAGATATCCCCACGGCGAAGGAATGCCCGCAACCTCCTGGGGCTTCCTGAACTATGCACCTCTTCAGCCTCCTTCTGTCCATCATTATCCACTCTCTCATCCTGGTTGATCCGGCCCTCGGCGCGAAATCCACCGCAACGTCCTTCTGTAAATGCATCTGCTTCAACAACAGCACGATCATTGCGCTGAACCCGCCGCCTTCGACGACGAGCGCCTCAGCAGTGCATAACCTCGCGCTTCGATCTTCTCACGCACTGGCAGCGGACGGCATATCCGGCGCTACCACCGACGACGAGCCCTCAGGAGCAACGCCTTCGCGGCGCCCGCACCACAAACTCACTTGCGCCGACTGCACGCGGGCGTTTTGTCTCGACTATAACCTGCCAATCTGCAAGAATGCGCGGGACGAGGATGTCTTTACTACATGTTTCCGTGCGTTCCCCACTCTCTCCCTCTCCCTCCTAGTTCCATTCTCCGCTCCACAGCCCACCATATTACTGATTTCGATGGAAATGTATCCCCCAACTAACCAGCGATTCAACAGAGCGGGACTCCCTCAAAGACGAAACTGTTGTGGTCATCTTCGTCTTCGCCACAGCGGGGCTGCTGGGCTGGGCCATCGTGAAGCCTTGGATTGATCGACTGCGGGAGAGAAATACTTTTGCGCCACTACTGCAGCACGACCGCGGCGGGCGGCAACCATACGCTTCCCACGGACGGAGACCGAATGGGCAAGGAGGCAACTCGAGAGGGGCCCCTGGCGCCCGCTTTGGGAACGGCAGCAGAAGAGGAGGAGGAGATGAGGATGATATGGGACGTGGGAGCAGCAGCCGGAGTGGAAACCGCAACGGCAATAGCGAGGGTCCACGGAGAGGGGGAGGAGACGGCGGATACGCTTCTACTCACCTTCCGTACGACGAGGATGTGCACGCAGATCAAGATGCGATGGACATCGTCTCAAGCATGCCGTCAGGGCCCAGCTCTCGCCCCTGACATTCAAGAGTCAGCGTTTTGGAAGTTAAACACAAAAGTGTTCTGTTTTGGCTCTCTCTTTGACACATTAGTAGCTAACAATCGCCCGTGCTTCCATTGATACCATCGCTGTAGACATGAACGCCCTACCATGTTGTACATCACCGATCTTCCCATCTGGTCATATTCTTGCCTCGCAAGCATCCAAAAGCCCGCCCAAGCATCGGCTTATACTCTCGTCCCAACTATCCTACTTAATGGTACTCGTACAGGTAGCAAATCATTATGTATTCGAGGCTCTATCTGCTTCGTCGCGTAGGTACATGCTGTTGCGTGCCATTCACTGCTCCATCGCAATAGTAGTGAGATCTCACTCGCATTTCATGAAGCATTCCCACAGCCCGGCAAGCAACGTGGGAGAGTATTAGCCATCGACTCAAGATCACGCTGTGTTAACATCGAATAACAGCTCACATCTCTTTTCCTTTTTCTTTTCCGTGATGTCATCCAAGACACGCCCAGTTCAAGATCGATCTCGAGAGACACCGCTGTGCCGTACATATTTTCTAACCCGTCCATTATGCCCATCCCAGGCCCGCCTTTTTGAAGATCCCCTGTGCAATGCTGTAAGAAGAACAACGCACATACACACACATGAAAGAATTCCCGCCTGCTGTAACGCTGTCATAGCCATGTCTGTGCAAGTTTCATTATTTTGGTGCCGCTTCGCATGTTTTCTCCTCATTTGGAAGAAATCAAGAAACCGACACGTTCTCGAGAGAGGACATTTCCCGCCGTGATCGACTCCTTTAATCCCACAGCTTCCCACGCAGCAGAGTTCGCCATACGGTCTTTGTTTGGAATGCGGGACGTGTACATCTTTTGACGACGGGCTTCGCGTTCGTTGACAACATCGGCCATGAGTTTCGCAGCGCCAGCATCCCGGATCGTGGATGCTTGGATGAAGTTGTTGAAGACATTGAGGTTCTCAAAATCCACATTCAAAAGTATGTTGGACGCAACGGTGTCCTTGAAAGTCGATGCAGATGGTAAGATCTCAGATTGCGGAGACGATGGAGACATATCTGCCGACGAAGGCATGGAACCAAACACCATAGAAGCCAGTGCTGGATTGTGTTTCGGGCGGCCATCATCCAGTTGAGGCAGGCGAGACGGGATCATGGTGCCGGCAGTCGAGGTGGTGTCGAGTTTGAAGCTCTTGACGTCAATGTGGGTGGCCAGGAATTGAAGGATGAGCTTGATGATGGAGCTACTGGAGTCGAGATAGTCGGATCCGACCATGTTCTTTCCATGTGATGACATGGGTGAGTTGGCAAGCTCCACGGCAGCTCTGTAGGTGAGTTCCAGGATATCCCAGTCAAGGTAATTGACCAGAAGCCTCTCTGCACAGATGGAGACTGGTTCAAGACCGAGTTCTATCCCAGATACCCAATAGGACAAGAGATACTCAAGGTTGTGCACTCTCACAGCCTGAAAGTCAGCCCCGGGATGTGGTTGAACAAAAAAGTCCTTTCCCAAGACCGTGTCGGAGTAAAGGAAGCGCAGCGCAGCTTCAAAGGCGTGAGCCATGATTGGACGAGCAGGATACAGACTGATGACATTTCCGGGGTAATTGTTGTTAGTCTGTTGTTGGCGAGTCGCGAGTCTTTGCATGCGTAGGCTGCGGAAGAGAATGACGGAGTGACAGTATGTCACAAATGGCTGTCCATTAGCTGGATTTACCTGGAGGAGAATATCAACACCTTCTTTTGTCGCATTGAGAAGAAGCAGATGTTCCTGAAGTGAAGGGAGAGTGTTGAATGACCTTGGCGGAGGCCCAGGGAGGGCATAGGGTGTGTTGGATGACTGATGGTAGCCATTAACTGCCGGATCGCGAAATCCATCATTGAATGTGACAGGTGGTTGTGCATTTTGATACCCAGAGTTAATCTCTCCGAGTTGCGACGTAAAGGCACCACTCTCGTCCAGTGCCGGCAGTGATGAATCAGTCCCATTCGCATGAATGGACGTGGCGGTGGGTTCAGTTCTCCCTGCGGACAGTGGACCTGGCACATCGGTCTCCAGTTGACTATTGTCGTCCTCTTCGGCTGGGCCCGGTAGAGTTTCAGACAAGTTGTCATCGGCACCAGCAACAGCCTTGTGGCCATAATCGGTGTCGATTACTGGCAGTTCCCTGGCGCTCACCACATCTCCGATATTTGATGTCTCCACCACACCAGCATCCTCTCTAATGTGTTTATCGATGTCGCCAGTTTCCACCTCTTCCTCATTGCCTTCATTTTCTGCGTGTGCTTCTGTGAGGAGTTCTTCATGCGCTGTAGATTGAGAGAGCTGGGGAGTTACAGGTTCTGAACCTGGGGGAGTAAGTCAGTGGAGGTCGCATGGAGCTTATGAGGATTCACTGACCTGTGGACAGAGTCGTTACTTTCTCGTCGAAGACTCCATTATGAGACACATCGGAATCAGCCACGTCTGCCCCAGAATCTGTGTCCCTGGGAGACTTTGCATCGTCGGTAACCAACTGAGGTGCTGGTCCTAAGCCCACCTTCTCTTGTTCGCGTTCCACCGTGATCGGCTTTGGTTTCCGGCGTTTCAAGCCTGGGATCAAAGGTAATGCCGGCTGCACTATGCGAGCGTGTGGCTTCCTGACTGATTTGTTAGTCGCGGAATCAGAGACCATCTTGACTGAGAAGCAACGGTCCAAGTGACGGCCCCCAAGATGCGACCATGGAGATTGACCGAATGAGTAGGGAGAACAAGCAAGAATGGCGTAGCAATCAATACTGGAGAGGAAGAGGAATTTGCACAGCTGCAAGAGCGACAGCAGACAAGAGTGATGATGTCGGCTGTCTTTCCAAAACCAAAGCCTCGGAGGGGCAGCCACAGGCGAACTTTGGATTTTTAGCGACGACTTTCCCTTGTTGGGGTGCATCAACTCCGCACTTTCTGGCCAAGACCATCGGAAGCGGATTATCTATATCGCCGAAGGGCCGACAGCGACGGAAATGCTCCGTACTTCAACCAAGCAGGTCCTCAGACACCAGAGAACGTCTCCTTGAGGAGTCATGAATTTGACCACAAGATCTCTATTAGGTGTCTATCGCTTAATCCATTAACAATGTCAGCGACTGATATCTGTGTGCTCCTACCGATAAGAGCAGGAGGATCGACAAGTCTTCGCTTGCAAAGACTCAAGCGATCTCCAAAGACATATGCGCAAAGGTGGTCTTCGAAAGACTTGTCCAGAGTTCAAGGATTCACTACAACAGCGATGACGATTGTGACAGCTCCTCGTCGTGGATCCAGTCCATCAGATATGCTACTTAGACTGCGTCCCCCACGATATGGTGGCGGAACTTATGTACACATTTCTTCGAGTAGCTATGGGGTCCATCGTAAGGCTTAACCACGTTGCTGAACAATCATGTGGATATGCCGTTTCTGGTTCCTGACGAAGGCACTTGCGTTATAATAATGGGCAGATGGCAAGTTCACAAAAGCAGAAGGTATAAAATACCCAGTGCGTGAACGTAGCACCCGTGTGGAGAATGGAAGAGATGGTATTTCCGGTTACTGTAAGTATGCCTAGAAGAGTTGCCGTGAACTGTTCAGCACTTTGTCTGAAAGAGGGTATTACTCGTACAAGAGGATGAGGCCATCAGCAGCGGGTGGAGAAGACCGTCCGTTGGGAAATTGGACGAGATCTAAAGTCCTTTCTTCAGACACGCTTTTATTCATCAAAGAGCCATCCTTGGACATTCCGGAGCGACCATCCGAAGTTCAGTGCCGCAAACTGCAGGGAAATCTTCCCCGCATCGTGCCAGCAAAAAATGAATTGAATCGGTGGAAGAGGCACAAGGTACCGAGTATGGTAGATGAACTCAAGCGACTACCAGGCGTCGAATCGCTTGAACCATGTGGCAGAGGCACGAAATTACCGGTGGGACAGACGGTGGATGCTGCGTGTCGTCGCGCCCTGGAGTCCTGAGGTTTAACAAATCATCGCGATACGGGTTGCAGGGTTACAACTCCGAGGTAGACATTCCTTGCACCTTGTACAATAATATGTAGCGGTGCGCAATAATAGAGGCTTTTTCCATTGTTGAAAGTGGATGGCAGTGGCTATGACGTGGCGGTGTAATTTGCCGGCAGATTGGCGGCGTCAGGCCAGAAGCTGGAGGCGGGACTCTCGAAGAAAATCCAACGCACTAAACTCACCTAACTAACTTGACGGTGGAGAGAATGCCCAGTGCTAGAGACGGGCGACGATTTCCAGACACGCGAGAACGCGTCCTTGGGAAATGATTGTTGACATCTCACCGTGTTCGTGGTGAGCCAGGCTTCAAAGTCAAAAGCAGATTTGGAGATGGCGACTAGGGTTCCCCAAGTGCATCGAGTGACAATACTCCGAGATAAGGCCTATGGTATTATATCTACAAAGTAGGACAGAAAGGGGAGCTCTTTACCTCCCTATCTGAAGAGAAGAATTGATCATGTTTCAGACACTGCCATTGGTCCTATTGAGGCGTTGAGAAAACCAAAAATATCACACAAATCTAAAGCAACGGGCCATTGGTTTTCTTGAAAGTCAAGAAGCACTCCCCAAAGCCACGGCATCATTGGTCTGAACGGGAAAAACATGGCACAGGAACGGTAAGAGCTGGCGGAGTCAGACAATCTCGCATTCAGGGGCAAGGCCCATGTATTGTCTTCTCATTGAGCCTCAGAACAAATGACGCTAGGCCCTAGAGCAGCCATAAGGTTGTTCCCGAGCATTCCCCCCATGTGGCTTATAGTTGGAGGCACCAACGGCGCCCGCTAGCAGGGGACGTTCAGCAGGGGACCAAGCACAACTCTCTGATCCTCGTCAATTCTCACGCCAGCCCCAAAGCCACGGAGAAAATGGTGCCTGAAGACCCCGACGAACCAACCACATTACGGGACCATATGTGATCCGAAGAAAGAACCCGAAGCCACGGTGAGATCAGAGTTAAGTCGCAATGGAGCATATATTGAAGACGGACAAGTAGACAGGTACCAGGCCATGCTGGAGTTCAGGAGACGGCACGCGACCGGAGGAATCGAGGGGGCTCGACATGTTTGCTTCGTTGCTTCCTTGCGTGATCCTGCTACAGTTCTCCTTTCTCCTTTTCTCCTCCCTGACGACGAAATCCCATGCTCGATGAAGGGTGACGCCGAATGCACAACGCTCAACCTGTCGTCTTGCTTGCTTCCTGTTCTCTGTCGCATGTGGTTAACCGCCCGGAGCTTCCCAGGCTCCCGTTGGGCGGTGCATGTTCCCGAGATGGCCGCGAAAGTCAAAGGACTCAGGGAAGGCACGAGGGACAACGGACAACGGGCGCACGGGAGATGGACCTGCGTCTACTGGAACCTTACCGAGGGAGACTCGGCCCAATCGGGCCCACGATCAGATTCATCACATCAATCTGCGACACGCTAGACAAGTCTAGTTGCTCTGGACTCTTTGTCTTCTCTTTCTCCGTTTCCCCTTTCGAATTTGCATCTGCATCGTCGTCATCTTTCTGCTCTGGCTCTGGCTCTGCCGCTTCCGCTTCCGCTGGTTTGGTGTTCAGCCACAATTTCACCTGCGACATCCTACTGTCCACGCTCACCGGGCAATCCTGAGATCGTCGCTTTCTGCTCCTTGATTGCTCTGCCAACCGTGTAACTACTAACCAGCCCTGGTGATCGTCACTCGTTCTTCTCCTGTATTCCGTGTCACCCATCGCCTCCAGCACTCCTTTGGGCGGCTCGATATTAATGTCGATGTCTTTCTCTGCTCGCCGCCCAAGGTTTGGCATCTGTCAAGATCGTGAGGAAAAAACTCTCTTTCGACACGCATTGTTTGATTAGCTCTAGCCTCGTCGCCTCACCTGGTTAGCTTGCTACAAAACACCCACTTTTTTTTATCTTCCGCTTGCTTTAAAACGTCCAACGCAGTGGGACCTAACGCCGCCGTGCTGGGTACTAGGTTCAACGAGTATATGTACGGGTACCCATAGTCAGTCTCATATGCAGATCCTGGAGGGGTCTCTTCTGCTTTGCCCAACTTCGACGTCTCTGTCAGCCCTCTGAAATCTCCGTCAAATCTTGTTGAGCGTGTCAACCCTGCTTCTTGACCGCTGCACGCGTCGACCCTGCTTCGACCCTGGACCTGGACGTGCTCCACTGCCGAGAGCGAACGTCACACTCTCTCTCACGCATGTACACTCGGAACCTTCTTTTTTCCCACATTGGCTGACGTTCAGCCTTCTCAGTGTTCACTGCGACTGCGACTGCTGGCAAGGGGTCCATTTCCCCGTGCCTCTGCTCTTTTTCACAAGTCACGCTCGCTGTTCTTCTCGGCTGGTCCAGCAATCCCTTCCTTGTACGGAGTATCGATCGTCGGGTCACGACGCAGCTTGCTACCCGTATCAGCCTCTCGGGTCAACATCATTCTTTGAACTGGGGGTTTGTCTCTGCCCTGCAGGTGCTTGTGCCAGGAAAAGCCTCCTCCCTCAAACTGCAGCCCAGCCTGCCGCCTTTCGTTTCCCCATTTACCCTGGTTCCTCAACCTAGTCGACCTGGCTGTCAAAAAGTCTTGTCCATGCTGACTTCGACTCTTGATCTGCGACGCGCTCTTCGCCTCGACCTCTTCCAGCATTGATGGACTGTTGAACACGTTCATTTCTCAACACACCTCGGCCACTCTTTCCACCCTTGACAAACTAGAACCACGTTCGTTTTCAGCCTCAGCACCATACATATCGTCCTGGACACCTTCTGTGCCATCACTGCCTTGGATACATTTACCTTGGCAGATCGCCACGGCCCGTGAGAACTGCAGGGAGCCTACTTCCAAGAGAAGGGTACATACAGACATCCCAAGACGCCTTTTCGAGCCGCTCACACTGGCTGTCTTCCAGTCCCGCACGCCACTGGCCCTCATTTCGACTTCTCGCCCTCGAAGGGACTCACCGACTTGCGGTTGACAGGCTCAATCGCCTCACCTGGGACTCTCGCCCTTCCCCAGGAATACCTTCGTCTCACCTGGTGTTATTACTCACTCACTTTCTACATGGAACGATCATAGTTGGTCCTTTTGCAAAGTCACTCATTTGTATTGTGTAGGAACCCAGTGTCAGACTCTTCGAAGTGGATATCGGCTGACCAAGTGTCTAGTTCACTCACCCAATACGCTCTTTTACACCTAACCATTTCCTAGACATTCGAGATGGCGGTCTTCAAAAAGAAGCCGAAGGCCAAGGATGATACCTATATCCTACCTCCTGCCGCATCGTCAGATCCAGCTCTGCAGACCAAACTATCCCGGAGTTTGAAGCGCAAACAGAAGAATGTGGTGGAACCAAAGCCTGAGATTGACCTTACCATGGCGCTTCCAGATACAAATGACTTTCGGACCAGTCTGTTGATGCCTGGCCTGTCCGCCCGCTTCAGCATGCTTCGGGAGCAGGACGACCCAAATACCAAAGTCGGCAAAGCTAGCGACGACAGTGTTCTATTCCCAAAAAGAGCCTCTCGGCTAAACTTGTTCTCCCACAATCCCTTGACAGATATTGCCGAGACCGAATCAATCAAGACCGCATTCAGGGCACCATTCTCCGAAGAAGATCGTTCCTACTCGTTTTCTGAAGCAGCTGGATATGCCAGCGACGAGGCCGGGTCCGTGCTGGCAAGGTCGAGGCCTGTGGACGGCAACAATCTTTTTGGCGGTCGGCAGAAGATGTACCGGATCCCGACCGCCAATGGATCTGGTTCGTCCAAGGATTTGACTGAAGGCCCGTTACCATTGACATCTGGAAGGCATGTTTACCAGAGTGATGTCATCTTATCCCCGTATCAACAGATGCGTCAGAAGGCTCGGGAGGAGCAGGAGCGCGAAGAATCTCGCGAGAGGCCTGCTAGTGCAGGAGCCGAAGAGCCTGATCGTAGCAGTGTTATCAACACTCCTTCGACGGGATTTAGCAAGAGCAGGGGAACGACATCATCCACAGCCTCAGGGCCTTCGAATCGACGCACCTCAACAGCTGCCACGTCGGTCGTGTCGGATACGCCACATCCCAGGCAAAGCAACACGAGCGCCAGCTCGAACAACCGTATGCAGGGTTCGGAATATGGCAGCGAAGAAAACCTGCTCAAGCGTAACTTTTCTTCCGACTCTCGAAAAGGATTTCCAGGGCTGGACAACCAGGTCCAACCTCCGCTCCCCACGTCTCCATCGAACAGTCGCCAACTCTTTCAGTCAAGCAGTGTCACCAATCTTGCGGACAAGTATGCTCATGGTGCTTCTCCATTCTCTGCAACCGCCTTCCGTGCTGCAAGTCCACCTCCCGTTGCCCAATCGCAGGCACTAGCTTCACTCGACTTCGGACTCAAAAGTTCCAACAATCATCCTCGGAGATATCAGACAGCCTCTCCAACGCACGAGGAAGATGAGGGATTGATTTACAAACAAAGCCTTCAACCGAACGATCGTGGCAAGGCCACTGCGATGGGATTGTTTAACCGACCGCAGCAACAATTTGACGAGGCAAAATTTCAGGAGCGACAACTACAAATGCACGGAGGCAGGATTTCACCACCCACCTCTGACGGTCCCGACTATGGCGGGATTACAGTGCGGCAGAATGTGCCTGGTCGAGTTGTCCTTCCCTCCATTCCGACTTCTCCTTTCAAAACCTTTCGCGGCCGAGAGTCCGGTAGTACTTCGGCCACTTCTCGTTCAAGAGCACAATCAACTGCATCCTCAATCAATCCTGCACAAGTCCAAGCCCAAGTTGAAGCACTTATCAGGCGCCAGAACGAGGAATATTCAACACTTCAGACGCATAAGTCCACAACGGCTGAGCCCAATGGCGTGTCCCTGCCACCACAACCTCCAAAATCACTCAGAGAGCAGCCTGCGGCATCCCGAGGAACATTTTTCGATGCCTCTGATGGCAGTGATGAAGATGATGCCGACAGTCCCATGTTGGGCAGGTACGAGCCAGCACCGAGACTTGCTCCATTGGACGTCCACCCAGCCCTCCGGGACGCGTCACAAGCTTTTGACTTCGGCGAACATGTCACGGCTGTCGTCAAGTCTGGTCGACCTCAATCGAATATCTCAGCGGATACTTCTTCTCCTTCGGTGACACATGATACCCCGGATACTTCAGATTCGCTACATCGTGCCTCTGACACGAGGACCAAAGATTCCCCTACTTTTGGCCCTACAACGGGGCTGGGCTTGAGTGGATTGATCAGGACTCATCTGCGACATGACAGCGACCGATCCTCTGTGCTGCCACCACCCTCGCCGGGACAGCCTCCGCATCACTCGAACTTCCCATTCGGCACCCTCCGTGAGCGCGAGCCCTCTGTTGTCTCTATACCCACAGGTAACTATCGAACCTCTGTACGTGAAAGGGAGCCCTCTGTTGCTTCTACCCAGCCAGGCATATATCCGTCGCCTCTCCACGGTAGGGAGCCGTCAGTTGCTTCCACCGCGCGGACCACGAACCCTCCGGAGAGCACCCACAGTGATCCTTGGGAATTTGATAATGCTCACCGCACTGTACGGAGTCCTCTGGAGCCAGCGCAGAGCGATCACATACCTGCCATGTCTCAAAAAGCACAACAGATTCTCGGCCAGGCAATGTCTCATAGGGACCAAGCCTCGAGCAAGACACAACAGGCCCTTGGCGATGAAGTCCTGGGATCAAGCGAATCACAACACCCTGCAAACCGGCCATGGCCACCATACGAGGCGGTCTCCCACCACCAACGAGGAGAGAGCACGGAAACACAGAAGGAATTCGGCAATGAGCTAGCTGAGCGCGCAAGAAGAATTCAAGAGGGTCTCACAGAGAAACGGTCTCGAAGCCAAGATCGCTACAATCCTGCAACACAGGCATTACATGCTCTCCGACACAAGACAAGCAAAACGTCTCTCGCGCCTCGGGCCAACGAGCCACAACCCAAGGCTATGAAGATGCTCGGAATAGGGGTCAGCCAGAGATCAGAGCCTATGGGACGATTACCAAATATGGGAGCAAGAGGCGACCACGACTTTGAGCAAGGGTATGACGAGGCTGACAACAGACCCACCCCGAGGCAAAGGCCTGCAGAGTTTGAGCACCCGAGTGGCAGACGAACTCCAGGGTTCTCGCGACCTGGACCTGGACCTGGACCTGGACCTTATACCATGAACCCGAACGAGGATCCTGAACGGCGCTACCAACGCTCTGCGACACCGACCTCTGGGAGGCCAAGGCGTGATCGTGCCGAGTCTGAGGCGGCCGAGAGGTCAAGAAGTCGGAACGGCCGGTACAGAGACGAGCCGCCATTTTCGCCAGGGCAATATGGTAGACCAGGTCCACCTCATCTACCGTTACAACGAGAACAGCGACAACGTCCCTATGGTCCTCCAGATGGGCCCAATGGCTTTCCTGGGCCGCATCCTGGGCCGCATCCAGTCCGGGTCCCCATGCGTGGTCCTCCCCCTGTTGATCTGCGAACCTACGAGAGGTCTGCGTCGGCAATGTCAAATCGTCAAGCAAGTGCAAATCGCCCCGGGCCGACCGGCTTTTACGATGGGCGCTCGGCTACGCCAACCATGGGTGGGACTCCTCAACTTGGACCTGGCCCGATGCAGATGGGAGCACCAAGGCCTTCTCCTCGACCCCCTTTCCCACATTCACCCATCAGTCCTTTTACATCTCCACCTGGAATGTCACCCGGTCTCCCTGGTCAGGCTTCCGGCGGACTCTCTGCGCTGCCATCTCCATCAGGCCCTCTGCCGCAGCAGCCACCTTCAGGACGTTTCACTCCGGTCGAAGGGCGATCTACCCCAATAGGCAGCCGCAAGAAATCCGTCACCAAGGGCATGATCTCGGAACCAACATTCATTTCCAGCACTTCTTCCGTCCCCCTGGTGGGCTTACCAAATGGGCCAAGGCCAACTCAAATTGCCAGCCCTCCCATTCCGTCTATGAACCCACGCCGTCGTGGGAATACCATGACTGAGCGACCTGATGGATACCCTAGCCCACGGATGCCGGCATCCCAGATGCCAGCGATGCCGGATTCCCCGGGTCGCGGAGCAGGCCTGCCAATGTCAAGCTCGCAGCGTGCTTATCTCGATCAGCAACAGCAGGCACAGCACAAGCCTCCACCACGCCAGCGCAATCGCCTCCGAAAGATCAGCAGCGAAGGTGGAAGCATGGCTGCCCGTGCCCGGAACCAGGCCATGATGGCTGAATTTGGCCACGAAAGGCTTCGAAGCCCTGCCATGCCTGTGTTTCCCAACCGAAGCGCCACCTCTCTCAGCATTCACCAAGATGGCGGCATGTTTTGATGCTGAATATCAATAACAGCCGAGCTTTTTATTTTCGACCTCCAAACCACTCTACAACATACCCGTCCCTCCTGTTTACCGTTTTCTCCAAGTCATCTCCATCTTCTACTGCCGAATACAACGCTATTGTGCGCATGTACTTCGAGTACGCGCATTGGGTCTCGAAAAGTCAAAAATATCTGAATCCTTCACGATTAAATTATTTGACGGGAATTGGAAATGTAAGTTGTGATGGCTGAAATGGGAATTGCGATATCTTTTTTAGTGTGTTATTCGACGACTTGGAACGTTTTCTTTGTTCGATCACCTTTCCGGATTTGACGGAATACGACTATGGGCGGCTATACTCTGTTTTGATTTTGTGTTACAAGGAAAAGAAACATTTCTGCTTTGTTGGAAGCGTGTGTGCTTGCAAGCCACCGCAAAGGTTCTAGGGTCAAAGTGTCTGGGTTGGCATCCCAAGCAGAAGCCGGGCGCCTGTTTTTCCATCTGTGTCTGAATATATACGGCCAAGCAATACAAAAATCCCACGCACATACATATATACCATATATACAGCTGAAAGAGTCTCGCGACTCGGTGTGTGCGCTGTTGGGGTGGTATGGGGGAGGAAGGGAGGGAGGGAAGGAGGAGGGATGTACGGATATATCCATAGGAGAATGAAATACTCGTTAGTTGCAAAGTCAGTCGCCTTCTGAAGATCATGCTTGTTTGCCTGACTCTTGCAGTCAGCTATCATGGGGCCACACGACGCTATACACCCTACACTGACTCGATGCCCCAGCTCGGTCTTCCTCGTTCGTATCTTACTTAATTCAGCTATCCAATCGACATATAAAAAGTGAGACGTTCTATGCAATTACATACGTGGTTCAATTGCTCATACATACCATGATGTCGATAGATCGATTGGATTTAATTGGATTGAAGAAACCATTCTGAACATTGATTCATTCATTCAATTGGTTTCACAGGCCATGCATGGACAGACAGACAGACAGATAGACAGACTTGACTGACTGACTGATTTTCTTGCTTGTTCTTGCTTGGTTTGTGAGGGAGAGAGACTATTTCAATCTTCTGGGCACTGCAGTCAGTCAATCCACCCACACAACCCATCCCACTCACGGCACGGCACGCATATGTGATTTCTTTGCCAGTCTGACCAATCCCTCCCCGTGTCTCTCTGTCTCTCTTAGATCGTATACCGGTACCCCTTCTGCAGGCGTCTCGCAGCAGCGAGATCGATGCCCTCGATCTCGGCCGTCCGCCTCAATTTCTGCAGATCACGCTCCGTCAACGGGGTGTCCTCGTTCTCCATCCGCTCCAAACGCCGGTTCTGTAGGGTCAGCTTGATGCGCAAGCAGATGCCCATGATCGCGGCGACGGCCTGCAGACCGATGTTGATGCCGAGGGCGAGGCGGTAGTAGGGCTTGTCCTGATCGCGGTAGGTGTAGGGGGTCCAGATGGAGGCCGAGTTGCCGATCGAGTTGATGAAGGCGAACGCGGCGGCGCGCTTGGCCGGCGGGCGCGGAATGGCCGAGGCGATCCACGCGTAGCAGGTGCCGTTCATGGCGAAGACAAAAATCATCAGGAACAGGCTGAAGTAGCGCGGGCCGAACGACTCGGTCGTCATGAAAATGACCCAACCAACGATGGTGATCGGGATCGGGTACATGAAGAACCAGAAGCGGTTGCCGAGGCGGTCCGACGCGACCGAGTGCGCGAAGGAGTAGAAAACCATGAACATGTACGGAGGCGCGCAGAGGAGCAGCGAGACGATGTGGTTGTAGCCGAGGGTGGCAGTGAGCGTGGGGAAGAAGTTCTGGAATCCGGCCGCGCCAGTAATGCACATGTAGGCGATGGCGAGCATGTAGGTCTTGGAGTCGGTCATGGCGAGTTTGAAGCCCTTCCACTGCGACATCCCTCCTGCTTCGTCAATGTCGGCTTCGGCGGCTTCGATGGCGAGGCGACGATTGGCCACGTGTTTCATCTCAGCGGGAAGACGCTTCCAGGTGCTGGGGAAGTCTGGGAGGACAAAGACAATGACCAAGCCGATGAAACATGTGATGGAACCTTCGATGACATAGAGCCATTGCCTGGAGGGACGTTAATTGGCTGATATACAAGACAATAAGGGCGCACTTTGAGTAACGCTCGACTAACCATGCTGACATGCCCATTTCGCCGGCCAACCCGCTGAGAATACCAGCAGCGATGAGGTTTCCAAATGCACCGCTGATCAGGGAACCGGAGTAGAAGATAGACATTCGAAGGTTCAATTCCCTCTTGGTGTACCACTTGGAGAGGTAGAAGAGGACACCTGCCGCAGTTAGTCTTCTTTCTGCTTGAAGAATTGTGGAGGGAGAGAGTGTCGTTGTACCTGGGAAGAAAGGTGCCTCCACCAGGCCAAGGACAAAACGACAGGCGACAATTCCACCATAGCTCTTGACTTGAGAAGTCAACGCCGACACAAGGCCCCAGGCGATTACAAAGAAGCCCAGATATAGAGAAGGACGACCGAGGTGGTTAAGCAAGAGGTTGGACGGCACTTGAGCCAGGATGTAGCTGACGAAGAGGATGGAAAGACCTGGCACCAGCTGTCAGGAATTATAGACAAAAATAACGAGAGAGTCAACTCTACCAGTCTGGTATTCATCACCGTGCAACCCCAAATCAGCCTCGAGACCCTGCAACCGAGCAGCGGCATAGTTGTTCCTGGATTTTCCGTCAGCTCCACCCTGGTTCGACAGCTTTCAATGAATGGGATGATGTACCGATCGATGTAGTTCATCAAGTAGACCAGCACAATCAAGGGCATGATCCGGAGATCGATCTTGCGGACAAGTTTCTTCTGGACGGCAAGCTCCTCCTCGGTGAGGGCGCCAAAATGCATCGCCTCCTCGTGCGAGAGATCAGCCTTCTCGCCGAGGACATCGTGGTCGAGGATCACGCCGCCGCCTCCTGATTTGATATCACCCATCTTGTACGACTGGACCAATGCGACAACCTGGGATACACAGGGTGCTGGGAGGAAGAGGAGAAACGAAGCTGTGGAAATGCAGGGATCGTCATGCTTTTTAAGGGAGCGGAACTGACTTCATCACTTGCACGCGGCCATCCTCCCCAGGCTCGTGGAAGCGAAGTGCCGTTGTGTTGCCACGCCGAGATGGAGAAATCCTGGGGACGATCATGCCATGGGGCAGCGAGTCGTCCACTTGTGACCCCGGTGCCTCATGGTAGTTCCAGGGTACTGAAATCAGGGCTGGTGATGCAGACGTCCGTCTGGGCTGACGGTGTGGAGGCTGTCAAGGCGAGGCCACTGCTGGGCAAAAAGAGCTTGAACGGTAGGTCACCGGTGGGATTCCGACGGAAGCAAGCTTTTCTAATGGATGGCTGGTTGAGGGTGCTCGTGTTCATCTGATGCAACAGAAGAAGGGTGGCTGCATGGAACGATCTTCTTGGAAGGTCACAGTTGTGGCATGGTTGGGTGGCCATGGTAGAGATCTCCGCCCAAGCCCAAGCCACCTGGTCAACAAAGTACCGGGAAGCAGGAGGGGGAAGCACCCGTCTGGCCATGCCATTCGCAGTCAAATGGAAGCGCAAGACTAACTTATTTCGACTCCCAGGTGATAGCCTCCTTCGGGTTATTGCTGAGCTTGGGGCACGACGGTCTAGGGTCCGTCACCGATCCGTGTCCGGGGCCGGTTGACTCTGGCCCTCTTCCCCCACAAAGGGTGTAGACTCCATGGGGGAGAGTCTTTTGCCCCCATACTATCCCCCGGGAGAAATCCAGAACGGCCTTATTGTAATGCCCGTGCGTGAGTAGAATCACCTGTCTTCCGACGGCGTCCAAGCTTCTTGGGACACCCCTCTAACGTGATTGTAAATATGCTGGTTTGTATTAATACAGAATCGACATGAACAATTACCGAAGCGTTGTCGCGGAGGGTGACCCTCGCGCATCGCCATCGCACCTGAAGGCCATGTAAAGTGGGCGGGAGGTGAGTAATCTTATGAAGACAGCTGTTGGAGCGAACAATCTCTTTCCGTCGGGTCGCTTGTATATAGATAGCTCGGCCCGAGCGAGGAACCCTGATGCAGGTGCGACAAGCCCCTAGTCAGTCGAGACAACCCCCAGACGACAAAAACACTGCGAACTTATCGAGCGAGCGATCTCCTTCCGCCATATGCAAAGCCTATGATTCTGGCTCACGGACAGCATGCATTTATGAGCTGCTTCAGGAATACATTAGGCTAATCGTTAGTGCGGCTCCTAGACGGCAGTGCCATGTACGAAGGGGTCGAATAGTTCTGTCCGACCGCCTCGAAATGATGATGGCTGGAATGCCATCGTCGGTAGTTTCTAGGCCGATTAATCAGCCCACTTCGGTGCAGATCAGAGCGGCCAAGAACCAGAGTTAGACGGGTTGTGAGTCGGTATAAACTGAGTAGAGACTGGGTTGATTTTTGTATCGAGAAGCCCCCAGCTCGGACAAGATGATACCCTTCAAGGGGTAGACGTCCAGGCTCTGACTCGCGTGATCACCTTCTATGACCACCACCCCCCTTTTACCTGGGCAATTCCTTCTTCGATATCGGGGTGTCCATTGAGAATGCGAACTAGAGCAAGCGGCCGAGGTCAGTCCGCGAGAGATTACTGCGTCCAGTGCAAGAATGGGTTGTCTCGTGGTCTGCATCTCCGACATCCGATTGCCGAACGAGACTTGCCTCCTCCCTGACAACTGACTCGATCTGCATTGCTCAGAGCATATTCAGAGAGGAGACCATCGGTGTTGCAGTTCGGCATCAGATGCCAGCTGGATCGTCAAGTGATTGTCTGAATAACTGCCGTACAGCGCGGCTTGAGTTAGAGTTTTGGTGGTCTGGGTGTGAGCAGATGCAGTGCCGGGCGTGGACATCCTGGCTCGAGTTCCGCTTGGTGCTTTCTGCTCACACATTGGGACTAAGCAAGTCGTACTTGACACACATCTCGACACTTTCTGCGCTCGCTTGGAAGAATCTTCGCGCTTCGAGTCCAACCCAGATCTTCAGCAAAGAGAAGTCTCCCTCTTTGAAGCTCTTAAGGACGGCTCCGGGGTCTGAAGATCCAAGTTGTCGCAGTATTGGCAGGGCACTCTGGAAGAGATCAAGATCAGGATCCAGTGCTCTTCCAATACCCTCCAAAAGCAGAATTGAGATGACCACGTTGACGAAATCACCCTCCATTCTGACATGATGGGCCCTGACCATGCCGAGGACGGACGAAAGAACATCACCGATCTTGATGTTGCCCAAAGCAAAGGTTTGGCCTTTGACGGCCAGAACGAGATGCTGCATTTTGAGGGCAAACACTTCGCCATCGATAACAGCATCAGGCTGGCGACATCGTTCGATCATCAGATGCCCAGCTTTGTAGCCATCGAACTCGGCAACGGCACGGAAGAGATCCAGGAAGTTGGCTCTGTTCTTTGCATTTAGTTCCGTGACCAGGCCTGTGTCGATGAAGATCAGCTGTGGTATGTAACCCTCCTTATCAAGCTGGTCCAAGGCGGCTAGCCATTCCTTCTTTTTCCCCATGTGCGGACGTAACCGCGATAGAACTGCCTCAGACTCGTCGATTTCGGACGCCGTCGCTGGCTGAGATGCGTCTTGTCGAGACATATAAGCAGGCAACTTGACCTCCAGCCCCATGCCCGGATTGACCGGCTTGTAGAAGTTGACCATTATATTGCCCGGATGAAGGTCGGCATGAACAAAATTGTCTATCAGAAGCATGTGTAAGAACGCATCTAATCCCTCGTTTGCAATGTCTTTTTGAAAAGCGCCACCTCCAGATTCTAGAAAAGCTGCGAGCGGAAGCCCTTGAGCGAACTCCTCCACAAGGACAGTGCGAGTCGTGAAGTCTGTGTATGGATAAGGGAACCATGCCGTAGTTCGATGCTGAAAATGTTTTCGAAGAATGGTCAGATTGGCGGCCTCAATCCGGAGATCGAGCTGCAGCCTCATCATCTCGCCGAAGTTGTGGACTTCGTTCGGGAGATCGAGCCACTCCAGGGTTGGGATGGCATTGATGATGGCGGCAAAGATGGCCATAATTTTGAGATCTCGGCGGACATTGCGTTCCACCTTTGGATGTAGAACCTTGATGGCAACATACGCTGAAGGGACTCGTTGCGGGCTTGACTTGACGAGGGCGTCAACATTCCTCCTGATCCTATCCCTGAGTCTGTGTTTGTCTTGCGCCTCGAGGTCGCTGTCATCTGGCTTCGCGAGGTCCGGCTTGAGCCTTGCCTTGTAGACTTGTGCGATGGCGCCGACGCCCAGGGGTTTCTCATCGAACTCCTCAAAGATTTCATTGAAAGACCTCCCCCCAAACGCCTCTGAGATGGTCTTGATGGTATGGCGGAGAGAATGGGCCGGTGCATTGGAATGGAGTTCGGACATCTGTCTGCACATCTCGGCGGGGAAGATGTCGCTCCTGGACGCAGCCCATTGACCGAGTTTGATGAAAGCAGGCCCTGCTCTCTCCATCGAGCTCACCAGAAACCCATACCACCAGATTGTCCCGGCTCTTTCGTTATCGTGATCTTTTCTCCTCGGACCCAGGAACGCGGCGGGGATGGTGACAATGACGGGCACGAATATGACGAGCAAATGACAGAAACGCAGACTGGTGGCAAGAGGTTCGTATAGCCACCGGTCAAGGACGTAGACGACGGTCTTGTAGAGTCGACGCAGGCCGTAGGCGTCGTCGGGGACTTTCTTGCTGATCTCCTCCCTCGACACCTCCAACATCTTGATCTCTCGGGTCTTGTCCCCTTCATTTTCTTCCCCGAGTTGGATAAAGGCTGCAGGAGAAAGAGCGGCTGCCGCAGTTAGGAGAGATGGAGTACGCCGCTGACGGGGGTCTTTGAGGCTGTATTTCCTGGTCCATTGGGCGAAGGACTGTTGGCGTCGCGGAATGCGGACGCGGCTCGTGAATCGATAGATGTGCCAGTCTCTTCGGCCACAGAAGCGGCCAAAGAGGAAAAAGGAACGCATCAAAGATGGGAAAAAAGGGGGTACTATTGTCTACACCGAACTTGAAGAGGGAACTAATATGAGGCAGGCTGCAGGCAACCTGTTGAACCCGTTGAACCTGTTTTGTTGCTCAACATGATAATTTTGGTGTCGCAACTTGCAATGACGTCGCGTTTCCGCTGCGCCCGTCAACCACACCGAGCAACCATTTAATTAATTAATTAATTAATGACAATCTTTCATTTTCTCTTAATCAGACATGACAGATCCATACGCAGATCCAGAGCAGACTGATTGAATGCCGGTACCAAGACTGTCTGGTCTCCCCCTTTACAATCTCCTTGACAGGGTAAAGTAAAGCAAAGATCACAGTTTTGTCACTCGCCTTTGCCCCCCCTCTATATTGCAATATCTCTAGACGAGCTATCACGATACACGTCTCGGTCCGGCGCCCTCTCCTCATGAGCATTTCGTTGTTAGGCCACTCCATCGCACTCCGAAGCCCGATTGTCGTTGGCCTTCGCTAGTGAGCTGAGCACTGCCCGCCCCAGCCTTGTGGGCATCTAATTTGGGCATCCCAGGCCCGACCTGAGTCAGATGAATAGCCCAGATGTGACTCAATCACTCAATCCCTCATATTGTTGTTATGGTCGAGAACTTGTTCGGTATTTTCAAGTTCTCCACCTGAAATACAATCGCTGCTCAAAGCATTGCAATTCCCTCTCGGTCACACAGAGTTTACAAGGACTACATCCTCGATCGATCGGGGGCCAAAGATGCCCTCGAGAATCATAAGTTGTTGTCTCATTTCCTTCCTCTCTCCTTCCCTCCTCCTTGCCCTCGTCAGCGCCCAGTCATTCGGCCAGTGCGTCGACAACTGCATCAGCACCTACCCGACCGTCAACCACTGCAACGGCACCGAGACGGGCGCCGCCCTCGACCAGTGCCAATGCGCGAGCTACTCGCCTTCCAACGACCCGTTGATCGACTGCGTTCTGGGCTGCCCGACGGACCAACAACTCGCGTTTGCCGACAGTCTGCCCAAGCTCTGCGCGCAGACGTTATTCCTGGGCCTCGATCTGTCGGACCAGCCGAAGCCCTCGGCGGAGAATACAGCGGCGAGCGCCACCGTCGACGCCGCAAAGGCCACACTCACGACCAGCGGCAACGGTGCAGCGAGCTATGGAGCCAGTGTCAATGTGCTGGGTTACCTCGCCCTGGTCTTGGGCGTCGCAGTGTTGTTATGACGAGACCTCGACCAGGTTCGCTGTTCTGGATAGATCGTGGCGGAGGTGTTACGTTTCGCCATTTCAAAGAGAAGGCGCAGAGGCATAGGCATGTTCGAGAAATGAGGAAGGTGTAAAATTTTCTCCAAAGCGTTGGCCATTGGACCGGTGGAGGAGGGTGACATGACCATGATCTACGAAGGGGCCTCTCGGAGTAGTTAGGTCGAGACTTCTTTCGCATGGGGACGGGATGGCATTGGCAGGACATCTGAAAGGGTACATTTTGTGGACATTACGAGGAGGTACGTTGTGGACACACAGGACACGCGCACAACTATACATATACATATCTACCTCACCATTCAGAATGCGGCACTCGTGGAGTCATGGGCAAATCGCAGGCTCGATTCTTGGGCCTTTTTCTCGTTCAGGTACACAACATACACATACACACGTCGTACCAAATGTATCCTGGATATGCCATGTAGATGAAACAAACACCCAGCGCCGGGACCATGCACGCCAGCTCTCTCCAGCATACCATGTATGCCATCTATCCATCAGCAGGCGTCTCCCTTCCACACACAGGCACGGCATGTATCCACGAAGCAACCTCTAACCCAAACGATCCCATGTCCCAGGCTCCTTCTATTTATTAGGACTACTTATTAGGACCACCTGCATTCAACGCCTCCGCCCCGCCAACCGCAACGCCGTCAATCCAGACGATGTTGTCGTCGAGGACGGAGTTGCCCTCGCGGATGTACCGGAAGCGGGCGCGCCAGACCCAGTAGATGCCGGGGAAGAGGAGGGTGGCGCCGACGATCAGGCACGACCAGTTCATGTAGTCGATGTTGGGGATCGTCACCGGCACGTACAGCGGGCACAGGTACATGACGATGACGATCAGCGACCAGCACACAGACACGATATTGATCGGGTATCCCCACCGGCCCAGGTCGAAGTGTGGTCGGGGCGGGAGGATTTTGCGGCCGCGGAGGAGGACCTATATTCACGCCAGAGGAAAAGGGAAAAATTAGGAACAAATAGGCGGATGGACGGATGGCCAAGAGGATGGTGGTAGCATAGGGAGGATGGGATGGAGGAGGAATAAGGGAAAGTAAAAGAGAGGAGCAGAACATACCACAATCACCGGCGTCACATAGCCGATCTGCAACGTCACGCCTCCACCAGAAATAATCGATTCGAAAGCAAGGTCACTGCCGAGCACGATGAGGCCTGTATCTCGGCAAGGAAGATGCCCTCGTCAGCGTCACTACATCCACAGATATACACCCAACCAGAGTGGTAGCACACACCACCACAGTGGCTTGCTATTCCACGGGCCCACGGCAAGAGGAGGAGGAAGACAGCACGTACCAATGACCAAGTCCACGACCAAGATGGCAATCATCGCTCTCAAGGGGATGTGGAACCTCTTGCTGACGTGCGCAAAGTAGTCGGAGTAAGGGAAGGCCTTGTCGCGGGCCATGCTCCAGGCGAGGCGCGAGCCGGCGTTGTTGGTGCCGACGATGATGAAGAAGTTGAGCCCGATCATGATCAGCGCGCAGAAGATGCCGCCGCCGTACACGCTGTGGCAGATATCCATCCACCAGTTCATGTAGGGTTGAGAGGCTGTTGAGTGTCAGTCTGGGACATGACGAGCGTCGATAGGGACAACGGGGGAAGATCCAAGACAGAACTAAAAAACTTACCGAGCATGTACTCTTGCCAATTTCCAGCCGTCCACAGCATCAGGATCGCGGCGAGCCAGCTGGTGATGCTACAGAAGACCATTGACCAGACCATCACACGCTAGACCGTGTCAGCAATCAGCAATACTTCGGCAAGGGTACATGAGAAAGACAAAGCAACTCACCGGGGCATCCCTGGAGGCATTCCTCATCTCCTCAACCTGTGTGTATCCCCGTATTAGCATCCCTCTCTATCTTCCTCTCTCGGTCCCATCGTGGGAGTGAGTGACACGTACAAGATGCATCATGCCATCGGTGCCGTAGAGGCCGTACATGGGCGAGTAAAAGGACATGATAAAGACCCAGCCGGCGCTCGTGTAGCCCGAGTTGTTGATGAACTTGGTGAAGATGAATTTGGCGTCGTGTTTGGGGGCCATGACGCCGAAGACGACGGCCCACGCGATGCCGCCCGCGATGGTCCAGACGGCGCCAATCATGTTCATTCCCGGAAGCCATCTGCGTGAGAGATATCAGTCATACATGATTCCGTAGACGAACCAGTTGTTACCTACGACTGCTTCAAGTTCATGACGATGGGACCGATGAGGAAGGCGGTATAGATGATCCATGTCATCCAGGCCTGCACGGTGTACTGTCAGTATATCATTCACTTCTGGAGAAAGCTGTGAGGAAAAGGGGAAGAAGGGGAAGAAGATGAAGAAGAGGAAGAAGAGGAAGAAGCCGACCTTCCAGGCAAAATCCGGGTGTGTGACCTCCACAAACGACGCAATGATTTGAGCACTGTTCAACGCACAGCTCGAGCCTGTGCTGATCTCGCCGACAATGACGGCCCAGCCGACGAGATAAGACAAAAAGGGCCTAAATCTGCCGGTCGCCACGGCCTGGACGTAGTACTGTTGGCCGCCTGCCGTTGGCCAGATGGTGCAGTATTCGGCCAGGGACATCATCAGGAGCGTCTGTCCCACGGCGACGAAGAGACTATACATCGACTCGGTTAACAAAGAAGGCCATCACGGTAGAGGAGAAGACTCAACAGCCACTCACGTGCCCCAGACGAGAGCGAACGGGCCGCCCACGTCGAAGATGGTCGAGTACAGGACCACCAGACACGACCAACTGCACGATATCATGATCTGGTACGCGCATACTGTGATGGATTGAGGTATCAGCAAATACAACCGCCACACGACACATGCAATCGATGACACTCACATGTCCAGAAGTTGTAGACCCGCCGCAGCTCGGGCTTCTTGCCCATCGACATGAGCAGGGCATCATCACTGCCAACCGATTTGGCATCCTCCAACGTGGTCGTTGTGTCCAGGTCCTCCGCGATATACTCGACTTTCTGGTCCTTCATCTTGAATGGTGGCGAAAAGGGAGAGGAGCTAAGAAGCCAACCACTCTCTGGGACACGGGTGGAGACAGAGAGACTGCTGCTGGGAACACAGAACTCACCGTCGTGAAATAAAAGAAATCATTGAAACCCCGAAAAGCAGGAGGAGCAGGTGAAGGGTTGATGTTAAGTTAAACAAGCTTCGCTCCCTGCGGAGGAGCGAAGCCCAAGTTACTACCAAAGTACTAGGTACTAGGTAGCTCGGGATGTTCTCACCCCCCTTCGCCAGCCTTAGTCGAGGCGCAAAGTGCCAGTGAGTGTGACCCATGTCAAAAGCAAAAGCCATGTGGCTGGAGGGATTCGCTGTCCCAGATCCTAACACCCATTCGGGGCACTCGGGGGATATGTCGCACGCTTATCATGCACACTATCGCAACCCGAGGCCGACATATCAGTCTCTCTGCATGGGCTGGATGGGGGGCGCGGTTTGATTTTGGCGACCAGCAGGTTCCAGCACGCAGTAGTGTTCCCTGAGCGAGATCGAGGCGCAATGACAATATGATAGACACCAAACTAACTCGGTAGGAAGAATCGTTGCCGCATATGCCTACCTTTTCCTTATCGCAGGACACTAGGTTTGGGTACCGAACGTGTCGGGAAACTTTGATTGTGGCTTCTCATTCTCCGTATGCGAAAAGGGACGAGCCGCATTGGCTGGCCTAGGGCGAGATGGCTTGCGAGCTGGACTGGCACCGACGGGGGCCGATGCTGCGGACGGTTAAGGTCTTTTGGTCTTGCATATGTATGTAGATCGGCAGCCCTGGGGTAGTGGAACAGGGTCATTTTCCCCAGTGGCTATGGCGACTGTATGTTTTCCTGGTGGTGTGTGTCGCTCTTCGATACTCTGAGCATCTGGGAGCTGCGACCACTTTGCCGCTGTCGGTCACCCTTTACTGCTTCAGGTACAGGCGTGGTATGTATCCGAGTCAGTCCCGGGCTTACCTTGGGGCATGGGAGCCACCCCGTCGGCGATACGTCCTTTGCCCGATGGGGCTGGTGGATGGAGAAGTCCCTCCCACTGCCGAAGTTTCCCTGAAGCCGTACAATTGATTGATCGAATGAATGAATGGATGATTTTGACAAGGACGGCCGACAACGACAATAGGTGCCCCTTCTTTCTGCCGGTGAGATCTTCTCTCAGTCCCAGAGAGATCATAGCCACCCGATGTCCTGGAGATGTGCCCCCGGGGTTCTCCATCATGTCTCTCCATCTACCAGCCCGTTGAGGTATCGGATTCCCAAGCATCGGCCTTGTTTCTCTCTCTCTGCTTACTTACCTGGCGAAGGTTTCCCCAGCTCCCGGGCCCAGAACCCTCTTGGAGAGCCTTTGATTCCGGTTCTCAAGTCACCTGCTATCTTTGGACATTGGAATCATACGTCCTGCTGGACGAGACGTGGAGTCCGCACGGAGGACCCTCGACTTGAGCCTAGCCTCGTCGCTGTTCCAACCTGGGCAGGAGAGAGGAGAAGTTGAACCTTTTCTCAACGTCATGAGATCAGACTATATATGAATGTCGGCGGACGCGCACTGTACGAAACGAAACCCCGTCTTCTGTCGATGCTATCAGTCCTACGTCCTGCAGCTGGAAAGACGTTGTCAACGCTGTCGACACTCTCTGCTGGATCAAAGGCCTGTTACTCTGCTGCACCGTTCATCAAGTCTCCTGTTCTATCACGACATCTCCGTATAAATACCATGGCGCCCATTGCCGTCGAGGACGTGGTGCAGACGGCCGTGGTGTCCAAGAGGGCCAACGGGGCGTCGAATGGCGAGATGACAAAACCAACACTTGCACGTTGTGATGCTAACGATCCAGCCACGACGACCGAGCTCCTCGTCTCGATTATTGAACGAGATGGCGGTGTGATCGTGCAGAACCTCATCTCTAAGGAACTGGCCACACGGATCAAGACCGAGCTGAAGCCTTATTTCGACACAGACAAAGTTGATCCGTCAGGCTTCTTCCCCCATACCACGCAGCGTGCCACCGGCCTCCTGGCGCGGTCGGATGGCTGCGTCGAACTGGCAATGAATCCTACATATATCGACGTAGCCAACAAGATGATTTCTTCCACGTATACGTACTGGAACGGACAACAGCAAGAGACGGTCTATGCGAAACCGATTATATCCTCGACGGTCGGCTTCCGAGTAAACCCGGGTGGACGGCAACAGGCCCTGCACCGCGACGACGGGTGAGCCACGTCTGCTCCAGCGTCTCCGAGACCATTGCTGACCCTGACGCAGTGATTACCACACTCGTAACTGCGACATGCCCATGATGCTGGGTTGTGTGACGGCGTTGACCAAGACCACGGCGGAAAATGGTGCCACGATTGCTATCCCCGGTTCGCATCTCTGGGGTCCAGACCGCTGCCCCTATGATCACGAGGCGATTCCAGCTGAATTGGAACCCGGGGATGCCTTCATCTTCGTTGGTAATCTTTATCACGCCGGAGGAGCTAATATCACCAAGTAAGTCCTGGCCCATGCAAATTGACATTCGCCCCCTGCTGACGACAGAATAGGGATCAAGCACGCGAGACGGTGGGAATCTTCCTGTGCAAGCCGTATTACCGCCCGGCGGAAAATCAATTCTTGATGGTGCCCCCTGAAAAGGCGAAGCGACTGCCTCCCCAAGCGCAGAGGTTATTGGGATACGGAATCAGTCGTCCTGCCGTCGGATTCATGGAATACCAGGACCCAATGCGAGTCCTTTTTGGCGTCGAGGACGAGGAGACGGTCGATATGTGATTGAGCACCCCTGCAGCTTCCACGTTCGCCAGACATCCCACCTGCTTGGAGGTCTGGTGGTCTTGCCAAAGTCTAGCAGCGTCGAGGCTCAGATCACCAGGAAACTCAGACCGCGACTTGACTCCTGTCGGGCGAACTGCATCCAGTCTCCTGCGATGCTGGGGTCGCACTTCCAAAAGCGCCGCAGAAACTCGAGCGCTGGGTAACAATTGGAGAAGCCGGTCGACTTCATCACCTCGAGGAGCTTAGCATCGGCGAACGCTTGTGTGTTCTTGTTCAGCCTGCTTTGGGTTCCGACGACGAACAGAGGCCACACTAGGTCGTGCTGGTACGCCTCCTTGTTCTGGATCTCGGCGATCTTGGTGATGACGCCGCTGATGCAGGTGTCGATGGCGGGAGCAAATTCCTGAGGGTCAAGGAGTGCCTGGAAGCTATATGCCAGTCCAGCGTAGTGAAAAATATCAACCAGCACTGCAAAGTCGCTGTGAAATCCCGGGGTGCCAAAGTCCAGACTCTTGCTGAACTCCAGAGACCGATTTCGCGCGTAGTCGAACCTCCTCTGCAGGGCCTGCATGTTGGCTAAGTCGGGCTGGGCCTGGATGTGCGGTGCCTCGCGATGGCGACGTCTTTCGGCGTAGGTCACTTCCTGGACCAGCTGCAGCCAATCCGTAAAGACGTGGGCGTCCTGTTCCACCAGGACGGACCCCGGGATTTGGTCATCGTCGTCAAATGTGGTGGACGAGCCAAAGACGTCGTAGACGAAGGCTTCTTTGACCAGAAATCGACAGGTATCATCGAGGACGGTGGATGCGAGGTGAGGGGATGTCCAGCGCCGCGTAATCGTCCTCGCCGCTTTCCAATGGACGCGCCAGGTGGCCGAGTCGCACCGAATCATCTCCAGATTGCAGAGAACGAGGATGGTGGCCAAGATGCCGCTGGCGCGAGCGTGACGTGCAACGCTCGCATGTTCCGTCACCTCTTTTCCCAGATCCTTCGCCAGGAGCTCCAGGCTCTTATCTCGATAGTCTCTGGACACGAATCCCTCGATCCCGGGCCACGACGACCCGGATCTGGTGCTGTAATGCTCGGCCGCAAGTGCGAGGACCGCGAGAAGCAGCGAGGGCGAATGCATAGCAAGAGGAAGCATCAGGGTCCGCCACGGGTTCTCGGGTCCGTCGACCCAGGGCATGACGGTGGCCACCACATGGTCGTAGTAGTGGATGAGCTGTCTGACAGGCCTGTCCTGCAGATACTGGGGCAGAGCATAGGACGACGGATCGAGATTTAGCGCAAAGGGGTTGTGGAGAGTGGTCTCGTCGAAGCTGGGTTGGAAAGCGTTGCGTAGGGCGGGTGGCACGGCGATTGGCTGCTCGCCCCCTCCCAGCAGCGATGTGTCGAGGCCATCATCGCGTGAATCTGAGGACTCTCCGGGAGTCAGGCTTTTGGGGCTGTCCTTGATGTAGACAGCCGCCGGCGGGGGTGCTGGTTCGAGGACGGGCAGCGTTTTGCCCGTCAGCTTGCCTCGACTTGCCACTCCCTGCCCGAATTGAATTCGCAAGCCGTATCCCGGGCAGGTCAATTCCTTGAGGGCACACTTCTTGCATGTGGGCAAGGTACGATCGCAGCGTATCCGTCGGCGATTACATGTTCGACAATCTGCAAAGGCTGTTGCTTAGCATGTACATTGTCCTCCACCAGCATCAGCACCATCACCACCACACATCCACATGGGAACCTCGGCATCCAGGAAGAACTGACCTTTGAGTGCCCGGGGCTCGTTCGGATCGAGCGAAGACAGACGTAGACTCATGTTGTACAGGTGCCATCCAAGAAGATCCAAGGGGAAGGGGGGAACCAAGCACACGGAAGATTGTTCACGAGCAATCCAGGTACACATACACATAGATACATAAACACACTTCACACTCACCTTTTGGGATGCGACGAGGCAATCCCAACCCCGCGGAGGGCATATGCGGGCTTTACGAGGTCTTCCCTTGGCGGCCCACGGACACCACCGCCACTTTCTTTGTGCTTGGGCCATGCGTGTGCGGCGTAGGTTGCATCGAGCGAACGCCTCCAGGGTGTTTTTTTGGTTGGATGAGGAGCTTGCTTGCTTGCTGCAGGTGCTCCATTTGGGATTTGGTTGCTTCTTTTCAAACATCGACACTTCCGGATGGTCCAACCTTGAGGCACGCCTCTGCCTGTTTGGACGAAAGGGACAAGGCAGCCAGGCGTCGATTGGGGAAGGCAAGAAGAACCATGTTAAGCCCGAGCAGGATGGCTGATGCGAAGCCTCTCTGTGGCTACTGGGCTAGTGAGTGCCCCAGGTGCCCCCTTGTTCCGTGGGTGATCCAGATAAGGCCTCCATAATAGTCCAAAGGGGATCTGTACTCCTGTTGAGGCAGCTGGATGGAGAAAGCACGCTGCTCATGTGCCTGGACGGGCAACATCCTGTAGATACACACACATCCATCTGGAGCCCGAATGGATGGGACAGTCCATGCATCTTTCCACCATTCATCGTAAGCTGTCTCTCTTAAGGTCTTTATAACACCATGTAGGTTCGTGTCAGGTACGGGAGGTAGGTCGGGGAGCAGAGATAAGGGCCTTGCCAGCATAGCAACTCACCTCACTCGGCTCCAAAGCATGCCGGCTCCCACGATCGAGGTCGAGGATGGCGAAGATGGTGCACGACCACCCGCAGCGGTGGACGTCGTGCATCAACTCCATCTCCAGGGGCTGTCACAGAAGACCATCTCGACGGACGTAGGCTGTTCGTTGCCCGATGGATTCTACCACTTGCCGGCCATCTACCAGCTCGAACGGCGGGCCATCTTCTCGAAGCGTTGGTTCCTGGTCTCACACAAGGCGCGATATCGCCATGTCGGCGACTACGTGCAGTATGAAATGGCCGGCTTCAACTTCGTCGTCGTCCAGGACAAAGAAGGCGACATTGTGGGATTCCATAACATCTGCAGGTGGGTGTCTCCCCCTAGAACTCTGGGCTCTCAGGACAAAGTTCTTCCCCTTCTCTGTGGTTGAGTGAGACACACCGGGTGACGGGCCAAATGCCTGCAGACATCGTGCCTTTCCCATTGTGCACGAAACCAGCGGCACGGTGAAGATCTTTGCGTGCAAATACCACGGATGGACGTACAACTTGAACGGCAAATTGACCAAAGCGCCTCGATTCACGTCCGAGTCGGTGCCTGACTTCGACCCGGCGGACATTCGTCTCTTCCCCATCCACACCCACGTCGACCGGAACGGGTTCGTCTACGTCAACCTGGACGCCCGTCCAGTGCCTGAGATCAAATGGGAAGAGCAGTTTGGGGATCTTGATCGCCAGGCCGTCGTGCAGAATTCCGGCGTCAACTGGGACGCGGTCGAGTACGACTTCACGTGGGTCAAGGAAGGGAAGTTCAACTGGAAGATCATGCAGGACAATTACAACGAGGTAAATGGAGCCAGCTAGCAGCTCTTTGGACGTCCCATCTGCCCCCTTGTGTGTCCCAAGTGCTGACCCACGAGATCGCAGTGCTACCATTGTCTCACGGCCCATCCAGACGTCGCCCGCACGACCGCACTCGACACCTACTACGTCTCCCCGGGCACGCCACACAACTACATCGCACATTTCAGCGAGCCCAAGGCGTCCGTCCTGGCCGCATCACCCTTTGACACGACGCGGTTTGCCGGCAGATCAGCCACGCACGTGTGGCCGGGCGGGCACTTCAGTCCCAACCCGGGGACGGGGTTCATGCACCTGATGCGCAGCCTGCCGACGGGGCCCACCACCACGCGGCAGGAATACGATGTGTACAAGCTGAACACGGCGCACGCGACGCCCGAGGCGCACGAGCGGATGGTGCGGTTCTATCAGAAGGTCGTGGACGAGGACTTTGGGCTGTGCGAGAAGGTGCAGAAGAATCTCGCGCGAGGCGTTTTCGAACGCGGGCCCCTGCACCCCTTCCACGAAGAAGGCGTCATGGCGTTCCAGACCATGGTGCTCACGGTTCTCCAGGAGCAGGTCCAGCTGGAGCAGGCTGCGGGCCGGGAGATCTGGGCTGCAAGGCCTCCCACCACCGGGGGCCCTGGAAAGAAGACGACGGGGACGAAGAATGGCCATGGCAACGGCGACGACGAATCGGATGGTCAGGGTATCTGCGCGACGATGCTGGGTTGCAACCCGACGAGGCTGAAGGGGCTGGAATGGTAGCCAGGTCGATGGGCCATGTGCATGCCCATCCATTTACACTCACGCACTCGCCCAGGTACTCTCGTGCATGCATGTGTACTACATACTACAGTCTGGCTGCCTATCTTCGCTTCGAGAACGCCCTGCACACGATCCGAATCAGGCAACTCGATCCTGGTCTGTCGCCTCCCTGCTGACTTTTTTGTTCCTTCTGGCTCCTTTGCCCCTTTGGCAAGTCGACCCGTGCCTCGAACTTGTCATCTCATTTGGTCGTTGAGAGGGGGGGGACAGACGTGTCTGGCCCAGTGATAGACATGGGGGATAGATGTCCCCCACGGAGATACGTGGAAGAAATTCCGCAGCAAACCTTACAGTATCATTCACGAATAAGAAACCAGTGTTACTCGAAGTAGTGAACAGCCCAAAGATCTTCAGACCTCCCTTTCCCCTTGGCACGGTGAGTTGAAATTCAAGGCTACCACCAGATGATCAGTGGGCAACCGGAAACATGCCCGCCGGTGCATCATCGTGAATGCCCCATCTAGCCCTGTCATCAAGGTCCATTCTGCATGTGGACGAGATGGGTAAGATAACACAAAATATCATATTAAGTTGGAGTGTACGTACTATTCGGCACAAGGAAGTATTGTAAGGTCAAAACACGAACTGGTGGTGGACTGGAATTCCTAGATGAAGAAGATATGGACAGTCGAGGTTATCAACCCTCCCTGCAGACATAGCTATCACATCTTCCATATCACCTTCTGCTACCGCCTCTTGCTCGCCTCGCTAGCCGAGAACACTCCCACCTCGACACAACTCGGCTCTCTGCTCGAACAACCCTTCCACGAAACGATCCAGCACATGCCCATCTCCATAGACAAATCTCTTGAGAATCCTCTGCGCTTCTTTCCACGTTCTGAGGCCCAGAATCCGGGACATCTCGCAAAATCGAGTAGAATGCCATTTCCGGTCCATCAGTAACTGCGGCCTCTTGCCCGCTTCGTCCGAGACCTGTTCAGCGCAGGCGCCGACGAAGAAGAGGAAGAGGAGAGACTCGTGGTGAGACATGGCAAATGGAGGTGGAGGCGTCTTCGAGAAAGAAGACCTTGAGGATGAGGCTGCTCTTGTTGAAGGCAGGGTCCCCCGCTTTGCCATGTAGCTCAGTAAGATTTCGATCTGAGGCCGCAAATGCTGGACGGGGATATACAGCAGCCATTTCTGGAGTGGGAGCGTGAACCCATAAACAAAGGACATGGCATAGGACACAGCAAGACAAATGCAGGCTTGCAACTGCCGACGAACCGCCCGGGACATGCGTGTTCGCGGAGTGATGGTCTCGACGATGTCGCAATATAGACCCATCGTCCATGAACTCAAAGCTGCACGGCGACGGTGAAGCCAGCCGATGATGGCGTCTACTGCAGATTCACCCTTTCTCTCGCAAAGGAGCCTGCCGATGAGGGCATGTGCTGCCATCAATTCTCGGTGCATATTGACGTAGTTCTCCAGGCTGTCGGATATCTCGTCTTCGGGTAGCAGGAATGTTTCATCCCAGCGTTGAAAGTCTGCGTCAGACAGCAAAAAGCCGTATTGCTCGAATCCAGGTTGCTGTTGAAATGATCCAGGATCGAACCTGGCGTAATCAAGGCGTGGCCTTGTGAGTGTGAATCTTGAATGCCCATTGTCTGCCAGAATAACTTGCGCTCGAGTATCAGGACTGAGCTTATCGACTCCGCCGAGGCCGTCTACTATCTCCCACAAGGCTGACGCGTGAGCCACGTTTGATTCTAGGTCGCCAGAATAGAATGCCATGTTCGCAATGTTCCAAATGCACATAATCAAACTCTCCGAAGGCTGCGGGTCTAGGCGGATATGCTCTCGCAGCAACATCAGGCTTCTGTTTTGATGCTTTAGAGCCATTGGGTAGAGGAAGTTGTAGCATTCGGGCTGCATGAAATATGCCTTCAGCGTCAGGACACTTGCGTACCAGCCGTGCAAACATTTTTTATCAGTCACGAGGTTGTTTGCTTTTCGCCGCCAACTCAGATCCATAGACTGACGAGAAACGTTGCCCGGTGTGTTGATGCTGCTGAACGAAAGACAGAAGCCACGAAAGATGTCCAAGGCCTCTTTTTGAAAACGAGGACATGCAGCCCAGTCAGGGGCATCCCAATCAGGTTGCTTTGGCAGCACCGGGGACTCTTCTCGCATCATCCCGGCGGGCCAAAGTTCAGGCCTGAAATATTGGTCGTCCTGCTCATCGTCTGAGCATATCTGAGGGATAGGTTCAGGGGAGCCACGAGGACTAGCAGAGCCGCCTCCGGAAGGATTTGTGCCCGATCCGAGCTGCCAACATATCATTCGTATTGTGGCTTCATCGTTGGAAGAACCGACATAGCTGTCATTGTCTGTATCACTTGAATCCGGCTGTGCCTCGCGGAAACCAAGTCCATGGGGATTGCGGCTCAACAAAACATCACGACTTCCTCCAATATGTCGATTGTTCTTGGCCCAACGATAGTATTTGTTCGTGACGTGGGAACTAATGGAAAAGGCTTCTTCTGCATCCCTTTTATTTAGATTAGATGCGTCCTTATTGACGAAATGAAAGGTGCCTTGATAAGCCGCGACAGGCATTTGGGAGGTGAAGCTGGACGAGTACTCTGTATCTCTGCCGTTGTGGTAATCTTTGCAGAGGGCCTTGGTGCCTTTCCATGACCATTATATATTTCCCCAGGCCGCTTCAGCCTCCGTTGCCTCGGCCTATCTGCCGACAAGAAAGTGAATTACCAACCTTAACAGACACTATACCCTTCACCGCTTGAGAAGAGGTATAGACATTGGATGTCTCGACCCACGAACTTGGCATTCACGAGGCGGCCATGTCGTAGTGGAGCACCGAATGCAGCCTTATATCACTAGACCGGCTGACATAAAAACTGGCCCAACATCCGCCATATTTAGGGGTTCAAATGAATTGGGAAATCATAACACTTCCTGAGTAGCGATGGGTTGCCTCAGCCAAGACACGGGACCTACCTGGTTGGCGCGCGGTCCAGAGCACGGCGTTGGGTATAGCCAATAGCGCCTACCGACTTTGGGATAGCCCTGGTGGTAGGCGGTACCGTCAGCCGTGGTTTAGGCGGTGTTCAACGTTCAAGGCCGCTTCGTTGGCTTCCAGGGTTACAATTCCGCTTCTCTTGGCTGCTGAGTTGCGTGAACCAAGACAGGCTGTGTCCAGAAGTCTTGGGTGGCACCGATACGTCGTTCTTACAAACGCAAAAGTACAATGAGTGGGCTTCACCTCTGAAGATGCTTGACCAATGATCACTCTCTGCGAAGCATTTCGCTCAACGTAGAAACGGTTTCCACTCAGACCAGTGGAGGAGATCATCAATTGACTTTTTCGAGCAACAGTACAGAGTTCTTGTCATGGCGGAATTCTCGATGGCTGAATAACGTCTCGGCATGGTTGTCGTCAATATCATGTCAGCGTCTTGGCCTCAAGAGAGCACCTCACCAATCTGCGGAGCTCGGCTCCTAAGCCACTCTCTCGCTCGGTCAACGTCTCCCTTCTCGTCCTCCAGTGCTTTGGCACACCATTCCAGCTCGTACTTGCCCTCGCCGGACAACATGGCTGCGAGGTTCCTCCGGGACTGGCTGGCTTCGTCAACGCAAAAGACCATAGACGATGTAATGCCATGAGAGATATCGTCGATGATAGGTTTCACCATGGGTAGGCCGTCCTTGGCGGACACAATTCTGTCTTCGCCTTTCAAGTGCTTATATCCTGTCTTGCAATCCAGATTCGCACACCAAGACTTGCCACAGCCTCCCATTAGCTGCTGCAACAGTCTTCGCTCGATTCTCCTCCTGAGCATCTTCCCTTCGGGGTCGTAGCTCGTAATGTATAACGGGCCAAAACACTCGTTGCACAGGCCCAGCTGCTCATTCTGGACCCTGAACTCCTCATCGGGTTTAATAGTCCGACCACATATCCGGTTCGAGCAAATCCTCGGCTTCCGTCTCGTGAATCGTTCCCGATCATGGAGCAGGAGATGCGTCTTCATGTCTCGCAGTCGAATGATCCTGTTACAGATATGACACTCAGTTGTACGTCCACCGTCAGCGAGCTCGTGAGGGGTAAGACCGGACATGAGCACCTCAGGATCGGTGAAGGAAGCATCATCAGGGCCTTGTTGAGGGACGACGAGGTGACAAAATTGGCAGAGAATCTCTTTCCCTGGGCAAGTCGTTGTACGATGATGTGCCAATATTGGAAGGTTGAAGGCCTGAAAGTCGCAGCTTGGACATTGCAACGGAGATTGTGGATGGAAAATGGTGTCGTGTTTCTGACGCGTCAACGCATCGTTGCCATGTTCTTCGTCATGAGGACAGTGCCAGTGGTTCTTCCATGCATCGGAGCTTTTGAGAAACACGCCAGAACATTGCGGACAAAGAACATTATTTCTGTAGCAGAACGCTTCGTGCAGTGGAAGTGTTCGTTTGGGAATTATCTGGTGGCAGTTTTTGCACACAACCTCATCCGGAGAGAGATCTGCGGTCGAATCCTCCACAATTTTAATTTGCTCAACGTCTGCATTGACCTTGAGGCTGTATGCAATAGGGTGATATGTATTTTGAGCTTCGTCGGGCGGGTTCCAAGCGTGAACAGCGATACTCAGGTATTCCGCGCCCTCAAGGTCGACGCTGGTGCGGGAGAGCTTTAGTCGCTTTGTCGGCCGAGTGCTCAAGTCGCCGAAGACGTACTCGTCCTCTCGAGGCTTGGAACGTTGACGCGACGAAAAGGGACTGACAAGAAGGTCGAGGAGGGCATTGTCGTCCGCCGCCTGCAACGTCACCTCCAGGTCTTGCTTTCGATCCCAATCTTTCAGTTCGTAATCCACGTAGTGTCCTGGTAGCACTTTCCCGTCTCTTTCCGCTCCTAGGCCCAGCAGTCCCCCGACGGAGCTGCCTTCTTGTGATCCTTGCGCTGTTTTCTTCTTTGCGAGCCTTTTATTCAACGTTTCGCGGGCTTGCTCTTCGTTCAGTGCTTCAATATCCACCTCAAGGTCTGTGTCGACAATGCATACCCCGTCCTCGTCTGGTTCCAATTTATCCACGAGAAAACGGAATTTCTCGTGGCGTGGCCCCGGGATAACCAGCAGTTCCCCACGAGTCAAGGTGGTGAAGTTGTCCCGTAGATAACGCTCGAGCAGCGACTTCCAATCCTCAGGGTCATATCCTGCTTCTAGCGGTCTCAGTTTCACATAGGTTCCTTTTTCTAATTGCTTTGCCTGCACTGTGACCGTCGGACCCCCAAGTGCGTTTATGCCATTGGTCATGGCCACATCCTCGCTCGGGGTGTTCTCGCGAGTTGTAGAAGCTGACGACGCCGTGCTTTGCAAACCAAGGGCTTCTTGCAAGCCGCTGCTCAGCCCAATGGTGCCTTCGGGGGCAGAGAATTCCCGGATGCCCGCGAACACAGATCTTCCATTGCGCGGATTGGCAATGCGGAAAGTGAGGGGATGAGGAAGTTGCGGTTGTTGTTCTCCAAGGGCTTCGCGAGCACGGCGCTCAGCGGCAAAAGAATAGGGGTTGAAGGGATTGAAGGAGGAGGTGAGGTTCGTGTGCGCATCGCTCGAGACTGACACGACAGGTGCGGCGGCCAGCAAGGCTTCGAGGGCAGATGGTGGCAAGGTGATTTTGTCACCCGCCAGACTGCGTTTCGGAGGGGCAACAACGAGTTGAGTTGCCCATTTCAGGGGCTCTGTATGTGAAGACATAGTTTTAGATGGATGGCATGTAAAGTTGACCTCGTGGAAGAGAGTCGTGCACGAAACGAAGCCATAATGAAGTTGGGCATCGAAGAACGCAGAGCGGCAGGCAGGCGCAAGGCGTAAAAGTGACGCGCGGTGACTTCGAGAAGAGTCGACGCCGTCGATGTTTACAAATTGACCGGATGGCGACAAAATGATTTACCTTTCAGCCTCCTGATCTCTAGCCAAACGATGGCCTCTATTTTCTCATCGTCTTACTCCCCTACTTGTATGGGCTACAGCTAACTGTTCTGCGTCTCTATTGTGATGGTCTATCCAGGGGAAAATGTGTGTGGTCATTTCGTGCGCCACATCTGGCATCTGAGTTTGTTTTTGCCCATCCTAATGATCCGCTTGGATGGCCTGATCGCTTGTCCGGGCCATTGCGGCCTCCTGCATCAAGCTCCGGCATCAAGTCCGACTACTGGAATGTTTGAGGCTCGTTTATTTGATGGTTCTTCCATTATTACACTTCATTTCGTAGGTGGAACGAGACCGCGGATTATGTAATCCGACACCAGCTGCTGACTGGACAGCTTCCAACGGCGGCGGCTCTCGACGGGACATGGACGACAGCTGCAATCTTCCACTCTCGCTTTCTCCTCCCTCGATTGGATCGACATACATGCCATTCAAGTAGTCAGCTTCCGCTGCCCTCCTCCTTTCTTGACCATTCCCGCAAATGGAAATGGGAATAGCCATACAAAAAGCCCATATAGCCCTTCGTTGGTGGAAACACACGCCTGGCACTGTGCTCTACTCACACCCCGACACGCCAACCTGGTTGCTGTCGCTGCTCCTCAGCTTGCCTGTCGTGAATATCCCCGCCTTGACGCCCAGGTTTGCCCTTACTTCGTCACTCAGACCACCAAGGTCCGATCGGGGATTTGGCTCCCGCCAAAATGACTGAGGCGGTCCCTAGAAAGGGCTCCCTAAGCTTCTTCAACCCTTTCAAGTCAAGGTCGGGTAGCCAGTCGAGCTCAAGAGAGCCTTCCGTTTCCAACCTGAGCTTTGACCAGGTCAAACTCGACTCCAAGTCCCCTATCTTCACCGCGCGTCTCAGAAAGACCTCGAGTCCTGCCAGTTCTGTCAGGAGCTCCAGGGCAGCTTCCAAGAAGAACAGTTTCGATCAGTCCCGAGCGTTCCGACAAGCCTCGTTCCCTGCCATTAACGTTGCAGATGAGTGGGAAAGAGACGCGCAGACCGGTGAACGGAAAGATCATACGGAACTGCTGCACAGCCTGGCACATCGTGAATCAGAGGAATCTCTCGCTGAAAAGGTCCAACTCTTGTTTGTTGGAATCCCACCCCAACCCGCAACTAGTTTCCTGGCCAGACTGCCGGACAGCGTCTGGAAGAGAGTAGTAGAACTCCTGAATCCGGCGGATAGAGCAAGTCTCGCTCTTTCTTGCAAGCCCTTCCGAGACCTACTTGGAGCGGAAGTGTGGACAGTCCTGAATGTACCAGAGAATCGTGACGCAAAAGCCGAGTTTCTCGCACACATGGATCAGCTATTACCAGATCACTTACTGTGCTTCCCGTGTGGGATATATCATATCCGGACCCAAAAAGGACAGGAGGTTTTACGTCCTACCAACATTTCCAATCCTATTTTCAATTGTCCCAACGCCTTCAATGCTGAGAACAAAGTGTCGCGACAGAGGATCACAGTTGGTCGCTCATTGCCCTTCCCATTTGTCCAGCTCCTCTTACGGGCGCACAAATACTCCAAGGAACATGGTATTCACATCGATTCCATGTCGCGTCGATATAAAGACCGAGACGGAGAGTGGTCTCATCAGACTCGCTATGCTATTGTCAATGGCCACCTGCTTGTTCGAGTGATCAGCTCAGCATTTGCGACCCCGGCTCTTCCCCCGGCTGGCCTTCGGAGGCTTCTCTATTCCCATGGCGACAATTACAACCCGTTTTTCTCCGTCTGTGCGCATTGGCGAGACGGCAATCTCATGCCTTCTGTCAAGTGTGCTCTGAGTCACATCCCCAAACCGCCCGATGGGAGTGGCATAGCAGGGGCGGCAGCAAAGGTGCAATATCATATGCACAGGCCTAGTCCTCTCATTACCTTGTGTTCCGACTGCCGTCCCATGCGGCGGTGTCCAGAATGCCCGACGGAATACCTCATAGAAATGAGGATGCAGGAGGATAAAAGCGATCCGATGAAACTATTCAAGCATGCCATTGTGATAACTCGGTGGAGCGACCTCGGAGATGGATCTTCACCCAAGAGTCTGGAATGGGCGGCCTGCAATGGAGAGGTAGAATTCGATTCATTTGCCGCGCTCGGAAAGCGTGCGATCTCCGGAGTATTTGAATCACAGTTCACAGTGGACCAAATACCCGGTCAGAAGATCGTCTCGATGAACCCAAACAAAGAAAAGCGCGGCGAGGCCGGGCATAATTGGTATTGAGCAACCGCTGGACTTGCTGTTGGCAGGAAGCATGTCCTATAATGGCATTCTGGGTTTGTGGATCCTGTGTACTTGTTTACGAACAACTTGTCGCTCTACACGAGCTCAATCAAGAGAACTCTCGTTATCGTCACCACCACGTCGAATCCAGAAAGGACACTCCCACAACTGGTTATCTTGCCCCGAGTTCGGGAGAAACGGCAGATCCGGGATTTGATCGGCGCGGCCACGTTGATGTGGTCGGAAATGAACGAATAATGGATCCTTTCGCTGCAAGCCAAGACCTCCGTTCAAGGAATATTTCGAACTTGTTCCCGTGCGGACCCATAGCCTTGCGATAGCCGGACTCAGTACCCAGGCACGCGACGTCTTTACAACCGACGTTGGAAGTACTTGCGAGCCACCCACTGGCCCTGTCGCCACCATACCGTCGCTGCTATGCAAGCGTGGCCGCTAAACGCCTTGGATATCCTTGGAAGAACCTCCATCACAATGCACAGCCTCAATCGTTCAGGTTGTGGTAGGGTCCACATCCATATAGGGCAGTTGAGGTCGACCGTGGAACATGACGTAAAGGGCCAGTCTTGGGAAAGGCAATGATGCTTGACAGCTGTTTGGAGATGGGACCAACGATGAAGCTCACCAGGTGTGTTTTGACCTGTGGTGATTCACGACATTTCATTCTGTCGAAGACAAGCGGCACCACTGTATCCAGCTATTGCAGAGTGGAAGATACCGTGCGTAGTTGGTTGCCTTTCGGAATTGAATATCCTCTGCAATACAAAATATGATTTCATGAAGCTTCAAACAATATCCGGTGTTTGCGTCCTACTATCTTGGCGGAGCACTCGTCGTCGCCAGTTGTCAGTATCAATTTGCTCGAGCAGACAAAATGGTGGATATTTCATTCCTCTATCAGACTGTTCTCTTCCTCATCCCTTGCCTGCTGCCGGTTAACGCGCAATCGCTGTCCTCGGATCATGGAGTATATTCGTCTCTCCTGTACGACTGGGGTCTATTGGGCCTTTATCCGCAGCAGTCATACAAATCCTGGTCGGGAACGGCGCCCCTCTTGAATTTCAAACGTTGGGACGAACGCTGCGCCGACTCCGGGTTGACCTTCACGTCGCCACGCGGGCACATGGTATCCGCGCCCGGGCCTCTGATCATGGACTCGCGCGGTGAATTGGTGTGGGCGGAGGACAAGTACGGCCAAGCCATGGATTTCAAGGTCCAACAATATCGCGGACACAACTATTTGACATTCTGGACGGGGTCGGATACGGGCACCTTCGGTTCGGGCTCGTATGTGATGCTGGATTCGGCGTACCGGGTGTACAAGACGGTGAGCCCGGCCAATGGCCTGACCGGCGACTTGCATGAATTCGAAATCACACGCAATCGCACGGCGTTGATGACGGTGTACGACCCCACCCCGGCAAACCTGTCGGCCTTCGGCGTTGTCGGGCAAGGCTGGATTTACGACAGCGTCTTCCAGGAAGTCGACATCGAGACCGATGAGCTGATTTTCGAATGGCGTGCGTCAGAGCACCATGAGATCCAAGACACGTTCCACACCATTGAGGCCGAAGCGCAGCGTCCAGACACCTCAGGTCGCAGGATCTCGCATATCGGCGAAAGCCCTCAGACGGCGTGGGATTTCTTCCACATCAACAGCATCCAAAAGGACGAGGAAACGGGGAATTACTACGTCTCCTCGCGGTATATGCACGCGGTTACATGCATCAGCCCGCGTGGCGACGTCCTCTGGATCTTGGGCGGGAAAAGAAACCATTTCACAGACCTGTCCCAGGGCCGGGCGACGAATTTCTCATTTCAACATCATATGAGGATGCATGAGAATAACACCGTCACTCTCTTCGACAATGGGAAATATGACCACCTGTTCGAGAACGCCGAGTATAGTCGAGGATTGGTGATTTCGCTGGATCTGGAGAAGATGACAGCCACCCTGGTCCAAGAATACGTGCATCCCGACCACCGGCTCGTGGGGAGTCAGGGGTCGATCCAGCTCCTCCCTGAGTCGGGCCGTGCGCTCGTCGGCTGGGGCTATGTGCCTGCATATACAGAATTCGACACGCAGGGTGAAGTCTTGTGTGACGTGCACATTGCCCCGTCAATCTTCTGGGGGCTCGGATGGGTGAAATCGTACCGCACGTTTCGTACTTCTTCGTGGGTTGGGAAACCCACGACACCGCCAGACTTGTACCTCCGACCGCGAGACGAGAGAGCATACGTGAGTTGGAATGGTGCGACCGAGGTGCACACCTGGGTCCTCCAGGGCCGTGCAGAAACAGAAACTGAGATACGAAGAGGTCTAAATGGCACCGAAGACGACTCATACCACGACCTGGCGCATATCAGGAAAGAAAAGTTTGAGACGTCGTTTCAACTCCAGGCGGACATGGCACGGTACCTGCGCGTGGCAGCATTGGATCGACAAGGCCACGTTCTGGGTTATACCAATGTTGTTGACCGAACGATCGGAAATGCACCCTCGGAGGGAGACTTTCGTTTTGTCGTCGCCACCTGTGCCTTATTCGTCGGGTTCTGCTTGGGCTGGTATTTGTGGAATCGGCGAAAGCCTCTGTCCGGTGTGAAGGAGAGGTGGAAGAACCCGGTTTCGTATCTCTGGCATCGAAAGTCAAGCATCATCACGAGGAGAAACCGCAATCCCGAAAAGGAGACAATGCCCCTGCAGACGGGCTGGGACGAGGAAGGGGACGACGACGATGTTGAAGATGGCACAGAAGATATTGAACAAGCACTTTCCTCGTGTGCACGACCGGGGCTATGACCACCTACCTAGCGAGCTACCTACTTGCACATAAGGAGTCCATAGGTCGTCAGACGGGCGTATCTATTCTGGCTTATGACGACGAATGACGAAACAAAACAATTACGAACAGCTTCAAGAGGGAAAAGAGTTACCATAACAGCGTCTGTCACCTGCAGCTATCAATATCAGCTGAAGGCGAGAGCATACCAACAAAACACCTCGCAATTTGCTAGCTTTACGCCGATTCCCCTGGATCACCAGCAATCAGATCTTCCTCGTAACCGGCCATAGGTAGCCAAGACGTTGAACTTCGTACGGGTTATTATACCGAGTAAGCAGAGAGGCTTGGATACCTTTGAATCCACATGATAATACACGTATTAAGAGCCTACAAGGCCTAACCAGATAGCAGGGGCGATGATTGCATCCCCATCCAAAAAGATTCTTGGAGCTAATTATTGACACCTTTGGACCAACCAGGACGAGGTACTGGTGCATTGGAAGTGAAGTGGGTGAACTGGGGGCTTTACGAGTATGAAGTACAAGCCGTTAGTTCCCTACGTCGTCGGAAGTACCGGTTCAGACTTATCGATCTCTGTATCCGTCCTCATTACGCAGTATTAAGTCACGTCTGAAGGAAGTCCCGCTCGTATGTACTCGTATGATGAACGAGTTTTGTTATAGACATCTCGAGCTCTGTGAGAGAGTGAGAGAGAATCAAGGTGGAAATCCAACCGAAACCGTTTCTGGGAGCGTGCACGCTGCCCCCAGCGGAGGCATCACGAGCAAGCACTAGCGAAACGCCACCAACCAATAAATAATTCACGGGCGAAACAGAGTTTTTGTCTCGGGCGGAAGGGAGGCTCTTCAGAACAATGACAATCAATCACACGCTTATTCCCAATCACAGGCCATGGCAAATCTCCTCCCCTAGTATGTATGAGTACCGAGTACCTGGGTACTCGCTTCCCATCGTTCTTCAGCCAATATGCAAGCCCCAAGACGCGCAAGCCTATACGAGCTTTTTAGGGGACTGGTGAACGGGATCAGGCTGAGCTGGAGGTCTCCTTGGGCTGGCCCAGACCAGTCCAGTCCAGCCCGGTCCAGTCCACCACAGCCTAAACAACCAGGAATCCCCCCACCATCGCGAGGACTCGCCATACACTTGCACCGTCCAATTTCATTGCTGCATTGGAGGTAGACTGCGACGTAGCCGCCGATGAGGTCGCCGATGAGGTCGCCGAGCCGGTCTGGGAGGGGCTCGGCCCGAAAGAGCTTAACGAGCTTGATGAGGGAGTCCCCGTGCTCGAAAGAGCCGTCGTGCTTGTTGTAGTTGTCGAGTCCGTCCCATTGCAGCCCTAATATGACAAACGGGGTGTGAGCTTCTGAGAACTGGACGGAACCTTTCAAATTCCTCTGCAACACTTACCACCGGATAGAACGTCGTGCCGTTGGCAGCCGTCACGGCCACACAGTTGAATGTGCACTGCGCGTCGCCAGCGGTCGGGGACGACTCCCAGCAATAGGCGTACTTGAGCCCGACGGGCGGGACGTCGGCGAGGCTGTAGACAAGACCAACAGGTAAGCTCTCTGTATTTCTGGACTCTGGATTGCCGGGGGGCAGATGTCCAGGCCCAGGGAAGCCTCTCCTCTGCTTTGCAATCCCCCACTTACTCGTCGTTGCAATTGCCCGGGGACGCGCTGCCCGTGTCGTAGAAGCACCGGAAAATGATATTGTCGTTGGTCACGCCGGACACCGGGGTGGCACAGAATGCCGTGTTGGCTTGTGTGCAGTTGAACTGTCCGACGACCAGCGAGGCGCCGGCGAGCAAGAACAAGAGCAAGTCGAGGAACAACACCATTGCTGAATAGGATTATTATGTCGAAGAAGAGAGAGAGGGGAAGAGAGAGTTGGGTTTGTGCTGTTGGTTGATTGAGTGGCCCAAGGAGTAAAAACGTCCAGATAATATAATATAATTAGTATATCATGAACGAACTCTCGATGCTGTGGCCCGTGCTACCACTGATCGAGGGAGCCAGATGTGTGTGTGAGAGTGTGTGGGAAACACAGCAGCCGTATCCTCATTCCAAATGGAGCAGTGGACACACTGTCTCGGTAACACGCTCCTCCTAAACAGGTTCTTCAATGTGAGACCTTCTCGTATTCTAGAACCTCTTCTCCCCCTAACGCCATCACCATGCCCAATAACGTCTCGCGTGCTGGTGGTGGTCGTGTGCAAGTCGACGCCACAAATTTCAGCTCCTCCTCCTTCTTGCATGGAGCCGAACTCGTCTTTCTTTGCGATTTGTGGTGCTGTGTGTTGTCTGTGCCTCTGCTGTCCCTGCCTCATGGCTTCCAGACATTTGGAAACGGCTCTCAACATACAGCTACGCTCCTTCGCGGCCGTCCATGATTGTCGCTGCTGCTCTTGAGGATGGCGTCTTTTTCATCATCAAAGTCGAGCTCGGCGCCAGCAGTCAAAGAGCAGCCGTCCGGTCCGTCTGAGCAACCGACACCACCCAAGACGTATTTCTCGTTTTATGACAAGATCGGCCTGCTGGCGACATGCACCCTCAGCATCGGACTGGCCCTCATCATCTTGAGCCTGGGATTCCTCTGGTTCTTGTGGCTGGGAAACGATGGGATCTCGTTTTGGCGAACCGTCATCGACCGGAACTGGACCTCCCGGGCGGTCGCGTTGTCGTCGCTGGCTATCCGACAGTCGGTGTCGTTCCATGCGTCGGCCGCCACGGCCATGCTGGCCAGTCTCGCCCTGGAGCACACGGCCGTGCTCCTGCTCAACCTGGCGTCGGTGTCAACAACCCGCAACGCGAATGGAGGGCCGTACATGCTTTCGTGGTGGCTCTGGAAAGCCTTCCGCTTCAATCCTCGGCGTTGGAAGACCGTGTCATTGCCACTCCTGATCGCGGTTCTGGCCTCGACAACGGCACTGGTTCAGTTTACTTCCTTTGCCCTGCTTTCCGACGTCGCCGTCGTGGTCGCGCGGGCCTCGAGCCAAACCAAGCAGTCGCCCACACACTTTGCATACGGCCAAGACGGCGCCATTCCCGTCGTCACCCATGGCAGCACGTGGTCGCAGCAGCTCCAGTCGTACCCCAGTTTTGCCGAATACCATGAACCCCCCGCTCAAGATCTGCCTGACGGAGTCGACGATACCGGTCTGACGTTGAGGGCGTTCCTCCCCGTGGTCAACCAGCAGACGCGGTCGATGGTGGCATCGTGGGACGGTGTGGCCACGGTCCTCGACGCCAGAACTGTTTGCATCCGGCCCACACTCGTCAATCCTCGTGTGCACTATGCAGACGAGTCGCTGGGCTTTGAAACCGGCTTCACCGTCGATCTCGGCACCTACGACCCCCAGAAACTCGGCCTGCAACCGGTGTCCTCTCCCGAATTCGAATGTGCGTCGGGAAACTGCCCTGGGGACATTGCCTGCATGGTCCCCCTGTCCGCGTTGGCGGGCAACGGACACACCCAGCTCTCCTCGACCCAGGCCCAGTTCCCCCAGTGGCGGCTAGTGGCGTGTCAGCCTGCCGGGTCTGTGGAAGAAACGCCCTTCCTGTTACAGAGCCAGTTCCAAGTGCCCGGGCAGGAGACGCGCGAGAACCCCCCAGCGGGCGGCGACCCGAACTATTCCTTCGGCAACGCGTACCTGGTGCTCAACGTCTCGTCCGGCTCCGAGGCCGACTGGGCACAAGCTCTCCCCGGCGAGGACCCTAACCAGGGGATCTTCCGGGGCGCGGGCACGCCGCCCGTGGGCTACAGCGTGCACGGGCAGAAGAACGAGTGGTACGACCTGATCTATTCGGACGATGCCACCCTCAATCTGAGCGTCAGCCTGTGCTACACGGCCTTTGACACGGCCGATCTCCACGTCCAGATCGATTCGTCCGGCAACCACTCGGACCTCACGCCGTCGTGGAACACGGCGAGGCAAGCCTATGAATACGACGCCATCAGAGGACAGCTGGGACAGGACCGCGACACGGGGGCGGCTACGTACTCGCGCGACTGGCGCGGCCGCAACATCATGAATCTCCAGAAGCGAGACTCCTGGATTCCTGAGCCCGATTTTGGCGACTACTTGGTCCCGCAAGACCGCGTCACGCAGACGAGTTGGATCACCGACTACGCCAACATGGCCGGCTCGCTCCAGAGCAATGCCTTCAACTACCTCCCCGGCGGCAACTGCACCCGCATGTTATGGCAGAGCTATCAGCTCGCGGGGATGTGGTCTAGTCAGATGTCGTACGACTACGCCGACGCGTCCCTGACGGGTCTCGTGCAGGAGATTCTCCAGGCCGGGGGCTCTCTGTCGTTCGCCATGCAGAGCATCGTCACCGTCCTGAGCGAGCTGGCCTACTACCAGCAGGTGCAGCAGCTCAACGGCGTCTCGAACGTGACGGCGGCGCCGTACGTGCAGGCCTCGGCTCCGGTCCGAAAACGCGGGTTGATCGCCGTCACCATCGTGCTGGGCGTGCATCTGCTCGTCGTTCTCGGCTTGATCCTGCCCGCATTCCTGCGGCGAACGAACATCTCGAGTCTCGGCAACGCCTGGCAGGCCGTCGCGCAGCTCATCGACTCGACGACGGAGCCGATCCTGCGCAAGGCCCCGCTGGCCACCGAGTCGGAAGCAGAGCAAGAAGTCAAAGTGCCTGTGGGAAAGAAGAACAAGCTGAAGAACCATGACATTGTGGGCCTCTACACCCCGGACGGACACTCCGTCAAGATCAAGAGCGCCGTGGTCGAAAACAACGACGTTGAGGATGCACAGCATCCCCGTGGGCCTGCGTCCGTAAATGCTCCTGCGGCGGCGGCGGCCAATGACGGAAATGGCCATGGCGACGAACCGCAAGAGCAGAATGCCTTACTTCGGGACGACGAACAGTAGGGTGACCGTGAAGACCAGGATCGCGCCGCGACAACACGGCAGCGACACGGATGTGCGAGAACACCAGGTCGGGTATTGAGGCCTCGCCCAACATCCAAGCTATTTCCCCACGTACATACTGTACATACTATCTTCCCCCCCACCGGCTCTCGCAGGCAATTGACCGGAGCACCTAGACTTCCCCGTCCAAGATGGTGTCATTAGAGGGCTTCCATCCATCTGGCTAGCAGTATATATCATCAGGATTCGAACCTCACGTACATATTCCATGTCGATCGAAGTATGTATGTATGTATGTATGTATGTATGTATGTAGGGTGGGTGAGTAGAATTCAAGGGCCAATAGCCTCTCTATCTGTCTCAATCCTGCCTCGCATGTGATGGGAAAACACAGCCACCGATCCACCAACCCCCGACCGAGCTTGGGGGCGGCATGCATGGAACAAGAGTGTTCGAACGGTGACTGTGACCCTGTCAGTCCTTCCTGTAGGATCCAGGGTTCCCCTCCTCGGTAGGAGCACCAGGGGGGAACAGGGATGGGATTAATGGAATACAAGCCACTCACTCAGATAAACAAGTGGGACACAGAGAGGGAGGGAAAGAAGGTATGACATCATCGTCTCCCGCGCCTCGTATATACTACGTATATGTACGCGCAACAGGCGACAGACTGGCAGACGATATAGAGACCCATGCTATCGTTCGCACAAGAGCGTTCTAGTCTATTACAAAACAAAACCAACCAGTCGAATACAGTGTCGCTCTTAATCAATACCTGAAAAAGAAAGCAGGAAGGAACACAGACGAACACAACCGCGAAAGAAAAGGCCACACATATATAGTTAAACATAATGCCTATCAACACCTCGTCGTCCGATGAAGGCGTCACGGGCGCCGCAAAGTTCGTCACCTCTGCCGTGGGTGTAAGTTGCTCCTCCCATCTTGTATTGCCTTCTACATTCCACATTTCCATTGTTAGTCGTTGCACCAATCCGCTGACCATTGCCCGTCTCAATATATAGAACACCGTCGGCGGCCTGACTCGTACCGTGGGCGGCGTCACCGGCGCTGCAGGCCGTGGCATCGGCGACACCATCACTGGCGCCACGGGCAGTTTGGGAAAACCCGTGGGAGATGGCCTTGCGAACACCTTGACCGGCATCGAGAACGGGGCACGAAAAGTTGCCCGCGGCGTCGAGGATGCAGGGCAGTGGAAGAGTGGCGCCCCGCGGTTTTGAGCCCTCGCAGAAAGGAGCTGAAGGGAACAAGAAGGAAACAACAATGGCCACCGGCGGATTGAAAAGGAGAGGAAGATCAGGGCACTCTATACCGATCCACGCCGTCGTAAAATGGAACGATCTGATCACAAACCCACAGAAGAGAGAAAGAGAAGGAAAAGAGACGCATTTCTGTAACGAGATTTCATACGCCGTAACCTATCACCGGCTCGATTAGTCCTTCACCTTTTTCAGAAGAAAAGAATCCTCCGTCGTTAGGGGGTGCACCTCAAAGACAAACAATCGATGTCGTTCCTCTTTCCTGTAGCGAGTTGCTTTCAGCCTCAGCAGCATGTGTCGAAAGCTGTCCGTACATTGAATCGCCTCAATCGACGGTTCGACTGTAAATAGACGAGCCCGTGGACGAAAAGGAAAGAAAAAGTGCTTGTATGCATATGAGATTCAAGAACTCCTCAACATAAAGAGGACGAAAGACATTGGAAATATTTTTGGTGCAGGTTGAATCATTTGCTTGCGCCGAACTCTTGTAGCGTACCTGTGTGGGAATCCCTATACAACCCTCATGTTTGCGCCACGCTAGACCAGAATGTTGAACCCCGATCAAGCTTTTTTCCAAAAGGCTGAGGATAATACTTTCCAACCGCCTAATTCCGTAAATGGATGCACAATATTTGCAGCATCACAGATCATGTAGGCATCGGTGCTTGGTGCCCAGTGATACCCTCCTTCTCGAAGCCTTCGACAGGTGTACAGGTACAGAAAAGGTTGGTGTCTCCGTAGGCGTCATCGACCCGGGCGACGGTAGGCCAGAATTTCTTCTCTCGCAGCCACGGCAGTGGATATGCCGCTTGCTCTCGAGAGTAAGGTCGATCCCAATCATTTCGCATCAGATCCTGTTGCGGATGTGGCGACATCTTTAGGACATTACCCTCTCGGGGCATGTCCCCGTCTTCGATAGCTTTGATCTCCTTTCGGATCTCAATCAAAGCATCGCAGAATCGGTCAAGTTCCTCCTTCGACTCCGATTCGGTAGGTTCAATCATGAGAGTGTTCGCCACGGGCCAGCTCATGGTCGGGGCGTGGAAGCCGTAGTCTTGCAGTCGCTTCGCAATGTCGATTGCCTCAATGCCTGAGGTCTCTTTGAAACCTCTGGCGTCCAGGATGAATTCATGTGCACATCGCCCGTTTGCGTTGGTATAGACGATGGGATAATGCGGTCTGAGGCGGGACATGATGTAGTTCGCATTCAGCAGCGCAACTTCCGTGCCATGTTTCAGCCCTTCACTCCCCATAAGTTGGATGTAGGCATAGCTGATGGGTAGAATGAGAGCACTGCCCCAAGGTGCAGAGCTTACTGGGGAGATCGCTGTCCTAGCTCGATCTGGACCAGGATGGGGATCCACGAGAGGATGAGTGGGTAAGAATGGTTGAAGATGATCCTTGACGGCGATAGGTCCCACGCCGGGCCCACCGCCACCATGCGGAATGCAGAAAGTCTTGTGCAGGTTGAGATGGCAGACATCGGCTCCAATTTCACCGGGGTTGCAAAGGCCAATTTGAGCGTTGAGGTTGGCGCCGTCCATGTACACTTGACCGCCGTGATCGTGCACAATCTGACAAACCTCCTTGATGGCTGGTTCAAAGACACCAAACGTGCTCGGGTAGGTAATCATGATGGCAGCCAAGTCATCCTTGTGCTTTTCACACTTTTCCTTGAGGTCTTTGATATCCAGGTTGCCAGTCTTTGTGTCGCACTTCAACGGAACAACTTTCATTCCGGCCATGGCGGCAGATGCAGGATTTGTGCCGTGGGCGGAGACAGGGATCAAGCATACCTTTCGTTTGCTCTGGCCTCTGTTGGCGTGATATCTCTCAATCACCCGAAGCCCAGCAAACTCTCCCTGCGCGCCGGAATTTGGCTGTAAGCTGACCGCAGCCATCCCAGTGATCGTCGCCAGGTTTTTGGACAGCCGCTCAATGAGAGCCTTATAGCCATCTGCACCGGAAGCAAAAGGGTGAAGTGCGGACCACCCAACATTCGACACGGGTAGCATCTCCGTAGTGCCGTTGAGTTTCATGGTGCACGAGCCTAATGGGATCATCGAGTGTACAAGCGAGAGGTCTTTCGATTGGAGATGGTGCATATATCGAAGGAGCTCGGTTTCTGAGTGATGGTCATTGAAGACAGGATGGGTCAAAAATGGCGTCGATCTCTGTAGTGTGTTTGCGGCGTCCCGTTTGTTGACTTTGGAAAGAATTTGCGAGTCTCGCAAGGCAGCTTCGACGTCGCTATCCTTTATCCCAAGAGCACTCACCAGCTTGACCAGATTCTTGCTGCCGGTCGACTCGTCAATAGAGAAGCCGAGTCTTGGCTTTCCGGGGCTACTTCCGGGAACATTCGTTCGCAGACTGACGCCTAGTTTGGAAGCTCGTGCCAATACCTTCTCGTAGACGTCGGTGTCCTGCGCTTCTAGAGTAACAGTGTCAAAGAGCACGGCGCCATCATCACCAAGACCTCTTGTGACCACATTGAGCGTCGAGCTGTGTTTTTCTACCAACATTTGAACGAATTTAGCCATGGCCCATATCCGATGAGCAATGTCTTTCAAGCCTTCTGGTCCATGGTAAATGGCATAAAAGGCGCTCATGTTAGCGAGCAGCGCTTGGGCGGTACAGATGTTGCTAGTGGCCTTTTCCCTCCGAATATGTTGCTCCCGAGTTTGGAGGGCGAGGCGGAGAGCACGATTGCCAAGTCGATCCTTGGACACTCCGACGAGTCGACCAGGGATCTTCCGTTTGTGTTTCTCATTGCAGGCAAAGAAGGCAGCATGCGGCCCGCCGAAACCCATAGGGACGCCAAATCGTTGCGCACTTCCAAAGGCAACGTCGGCGCCAAATTCACCGGGCGCTTTCAATAGAGTCAGTGCAAGCAGGTCTGTTGCAACACAAAATGTGGCATCCGCAGCATGTATCACATCCGAGAGGTTCTGGAAATCGAAGACGCCTCCAGTGGTGTCGGGATATTGCGCGAGAACGCCGACCAAGTTCCTTCCCTGGTCCTTGACCAGTTGACAGTCGTTGTCCAGGATATCACCCACCACGATGTTGATGCCAAAGCCCGCCGCCCTCGCCTCCAGAACTGCAATTGTCTGAGGGTGGCAAAGGCTCGAGACAACAAACGTCTTACCAGGTGCCCTGAGTCGAGAGGTGGAAAGAGCGTTCATGGACAGAGTCATCGCCTCAGCAGCAGCAGTGCCCTCATCAAGGACAGATGCATTAGCTATGGCAAGGCCCGTCAGATCGGTCACAAGGGTCTGGAAATTCAGAAGTGACTCCAGGCGACCCTGACTGATCTCCGCCTGATAAGGGGTGTAACTGGTGTACCAGGCAGGATTTTCCAGAATGTTTCTCGTGATAACCGGTGGGGTGGTTGTCCCATAGTAACCCGCGCCTATGAAATTGCGCGAGAGGGTGTTCAATTTGGCCAGTTTGTTCAGCTCGCTCTGCACTTGCTTCTCACTGCGCCCCTTGATGTTGTGTCTTCCTTGTGCATCCATGAGGGTGGTGGCAGCTTTCTGTCGGATCCCTTGCGGTAGAGACTGCTGTATGAAGTCCTCGAGATCCTTGACAGGGGGGTCCAGCGCCTTGAGCATCTCCGTCTCGTCCTCGTGGGAAGGACCGATATGGCGTCGACTGAATAGCTCATTCTGAGCCATGAACGGCGCCCGCTCGGAGAAGGTCAACGAATCAGGACCATCCTGCTCATTGCGCTGCTGTCCCGTGGCAATACATCTCTTACATATCCGAGCGTTGTTGCCTCGCAGGAGATGAGGACGAAGGAGTCGGGTGACAGAGTGGGCGGCGCGGGGCAGGACGACAGTCTGGTTGGCCATCTTGTAAGGCCTGGGGCAAGGTAGTGGGCTACAACAACCACATTGAAACTGTCGACGAAGCAAGAAGCCGGCGACTGGGACAAGAAGAAGGAGATAAAAGAGACGGGGACTCGCAGTTATTGAGTGTGGCCAGCGGTAACCCCAACATACTCTGTGGAAAATAATCCATCGGAGGAAAGGCACGCGGACTGGTGACCGCACCACGCACGACGGCACCAACCACAGCTGCAGGGGTCCATAGCTGCGGGTGCTACGAAAGCAAAGCTTTAAAAGCTGCCTCTAATTTGCCAAGCCACGTCCCGATAACCAGATATCGTTTAGCACAGGGCCAATCAATCTAATCGTTGCATGGGCAGCCTCGGCCGTTACCAATGGTGTGATGTTCCTTGGGCAAGGTCGCGAAAATGATATGAATAAGTTAGTGGTTTATATAAATTCGTAATTGTCCAGGTGAACTCTCCCACATCGCTTTAAAATGGTTCATCATGATGGTACACAGGGGATATCTAGGAAAGTATTGTTACACTCGCTCAATAGCAACTGCCCGCAACATGTTCGGCCTAAATCGCACCCTTTCTAAAAACATATTACCGCTCGGGGGTGGCTATGATGTGACGCTCAATAATGGTCGTGGCCTTCAAAACAGAGATAGTCAGCATTTGTACTTCAAGCAGCCCAGTCACAGGCAGTGGTACTCACGTCCAAGAGGCTTGGCTCTCTTCGAAATGTCCTTGGCTTGGGTCTGCTTGATCTTCGCCAGACGAGCCCTGTAACATCCACGTCAGTGTCGAGGTTGGCAGATTCCTACAAGGAATACTCACTCCTCCTCAGCCTCACGTTCAAGCATCTTGACACGGTCTCTAGCCTCCCTCACCGCTGCTCTTGCCTGAACGAGGGCGCGGTCCGCCTCCCTCTCGGCTGTTTCGGCCTGGAGCACTCGCTCGCGGGCGCCAACAATGGATGGGTCTTCGTGGTTACGGTGGAACAACCCGCCAGAGCCTCGGGTGGTCGAAGAACGAGAGACTTTGGAACCCTGGCGGCGGTTATTATGTGAGTCGTAGTTATCTGCTGATGAGGCAGAGGATGAACGATGGCGGTTGAAAAAGCCCCTTCGGGGGCTGCCATCGGCCGACGAGTTCGAGTATCTGGGTGCTGTTGTCTGCGCAGGGGTTGGCTCTGTGTTCTTGTGTCCGAAGAGAGGCATCTTGATGGGCAGATCGAAGTTGGTAGAATGACGTCCAGATGTTCAGCAAGAGACGAGGAATATCGATATTGGTTTGAGTGAAAGAATCGTGGGATTTCTGTTCAAGATGTGCTATATAACACATTTTAAATGCATGTCTCGACGCCCATTTGTCGACGGTGGTGGTGTCCTAGAATCAGGTTTTGCGTGCTGGTGTGACGTAGGAATGCGGACAAGGCTCAGAAACAGGGAGTGATCGCCAGCCTTGTCAGCTCAAACCAATCCAAATGACGCCACGTCGGCAACTAGAGCCACCAAAGTCACAGATCGGGGTGTTGGTCTCACTTGAAGGGGCAAGACACCTGGACCCTGGCAACTTCAGATAACTTGCTTCGTCGTATCAGGCCGCGCCCAGGGAATGCTGTGACGACGACACTGGCAATTTGGGAGATTTAGTGAGAGGCTAGCATGCTCGAAGGGCCCAAACATACGGCGATCTGGTGATCCTGTGGCTTGAGGCGGTGTCTGCATGGTCTGAAGAATTGGTCGTATCGAACAGCTTTGCAATCAAGAAACTTTCGAGGAAGTTATATGGATCGAGAGGAATATCTCGATGGAGACTTGGGTTGCCCTTGTCTACAAAGCCTCATAGGTAGAATCTGACATCCGCAACGTTCACCTCAATTTCCAAGCTTTCGACCCTTCTAGCCTTGCCGCTTGCAGGTTAACAACAGCAATTTTGCAACTATTCAGAAGTCTCCTTCAAGCTCCCAAGAAGTGGCATGTTTGTCAGACTTGACTAAAGTAGCACCAGTGTTGTGGTGACGTCAACACCGCAAATATTTGTGGGTTCTGGGGCGGGGGTCTTGACTCACACGTGACAAGATCACGTGCTCGATATCTGGCCCCAGTGAGCCCGATCTTGCTCTTGTATGATGGCACATCGGTGCACCCTGGATACGCAGTTGTGTAGCACAAAGAACAGCGCCCGAGTGATTCTTCCCAAGAGGATCGATTGCCTTTTCCTTCCAAGTTCCAGCTCGACAAAGTGTGTCAATCCTAGTGGAACAAGTCTCAACTCATGGAGCTGCGGAAAGGGGGGGAATACAGTGATTGACACGCTTCCTCCCATCACGCCTTTGCAATCCACCCAGAGTGTATCATAAAGTCGAATATGCGATTAGCCTTATTGACATCGATCTATATCATAGGTCAGTGGCAGCACCCATGGCGAGAAGTCGGTCCACTTACCCGGCAGACTCCTCGAGCCTCCTTCTTCTTCATCTGCCCGCCTTGTTTCATGGCTTCTTTCAACAAGCCTTCTTTGAGGGCAAGATATGGCTTCGGTCGGATATGGAGCGTATTGCAGAGTTGGATTTCTTCCTCACTCAAAAGTTGCAGATCAGGAGCATAGGCTTTATCCTCTTCTAGTTTCCAAGGAGTTGTCCCATTTAACGGCTGCACAACGTAGCGAACTTTCGGTTTGGGTCCTGCAGAGCTATCTGGACCGCTGGCCTCAGCAAAAAGTTTGTCAAAATCGTTCTGGACGGCCGGCTGACTGTCAGTGAATTGAGGCACGGTTTTCTGCTTGCGCTGGAACCGAAGAGGCAGTTCAGGTGTGGTCAACTTGGATGCCTCTGTTGGCAGGTCGGGTTGCTGAATTTGACTGCCCTTCTTCGGTATCTGAGGCATCCTATCGAATTGTCCCTGAGGTTGATTCCTTATAGCGCGCGCTTGTTTGTCAGCTTCGTACTTCTCGCCGCCTCTCAAGTCGCTAATGCCCATCTGCTTCCACTCTTGTAGCTGCGCGATGGCAATGCGCAAGTTGTGTTCAAGGAGGAGATCCCGGTTCAACGCCTCGAAATCTTCATGATTCATCATTCGGGCAAACGGCTTGGCTCTGTGAAGCAGATCTTTCTCCTCCTTTGTTCTCTTCTTATCAATCAGCTGATTCTTTTTGTATTCCAACAGATTATGCTCGAATATTATTCGTTTCCGGTCCGTTCTGGCCTTTAGTCTGGAATTGTAGATGTCGAAGACTGTCATTTTCAAGGTGGTCTCTTCGTCCATCTGACCAGTGACAGGATCAAGACCATCACCAGGCTCGAAAGACATGTGCTGAACGGCTTCCTCGGCATCATTGGCAAACTCAGTCTCAAATTCTAGACGACCAGGCATAAAGCCCTGCACCTCGTGACAGGCAGGGACGGATGCGGTAGGCTTCTGCTTGGGCGTTGCCGGGGGCGCTGACTTCGCCGCCTCCTTGCGTTCCTCAATGCGCCGCTTTTTGCGCGCCTGAAATTCATCTTTGGGTATACGTTCAAATAATCGTGTGTCTGCTGGATCGGCTAGTTCGGGGAGTGGGAACAATGAACTATTGATATAGGTGTTGATGTAGTGGTCGCGGACTTCATCTTTCTCTCGGTAGCCTCCAATGTGCTCCGCGACATCGGCCCACGAACCAAGTCCATACCTCTCGGAGCCTTCAAGCAGGAGCAGTTCCTCATCGGCACCCCAGTCTTCAGTATAGATGGGGATCGAGTTCTGTTCCACTACATGGTATTCGTGGGTGCGCGGGTCGTGGTTTTTGGAGTGTTCTCCGCGGGCGAAACATGGGACACAAAGATCGTATTCGCGACATGCGGGATTTGCGCAAGATATGCGGACAGTCGAGGTGATGTCGATGGAGCAAACGTCGCAGTGATATTTTGTGCCACCATCGCCGCCGCGCGAGGCTGCATTTTTCCTTATGACGCCCATGCTTCTCTCAATGCGAGCATCTTCCTCGCAGTCAGAGTCGGAGGAGAAATATTGCGCGTACTCGGCAGGGACTGTCGCGTCCTCGTAGGCAGCGTCAGCCGGTGGGTCGCGACGCTGTCGGGGCGCAGTCGGTGACGCAGAGCCCTCGGAATCGGATTCAAGAGAGTGGACGATATAGTTCACGGGTTTGCGGCTGCTTCGGACTGGCCTGGAACGGGTTCCAAGTGTTGACGGTGGTGATAATGGTGTTGCAGGCAGGGATAGCAGAGTGGTGGTTGTACGACTGACGTTCAAAGTTGGGGGCTCATATCCGCCACCAACACCAGCAGCCGCAGCTTGCCAAGGAGCCATTCCGCTTTTGATAGCACGTGATCTCAAACTCGCTCTGCACAGCCCAACTTTCGGCCGATATTCTGGCCGGGGTCTCGTTCCCGCCCTGGTGGCCACCCTGGTGGCCCTGAGACTTTGGCTGAATAAGTGAGCTGGTGCCCACTCAGCAGCCTGCCGCCCCCCGACTCCCACCCAATGCGACACTTTCGTTGGCGTGGAGGCTTCTGGCGGTAGCATCACCACCCACACTTCACCCCGAAACTTGAAACTCAGGCCCCGGTGGTGTCGACCTGGTGTGCTGTTGTGCAACTCGGATTCACCAGACACAGCAAGTCCACTCTTGCGGTCTTCTGTTATTCATCAACTTCCATCTCTTTGCCTTCCTTCCTCCTGACTGCAGAACACTTACCCTCTTCTCAACGCTCCTTAAACGCCTTCACCTCGTCCTCGCCTCGATCGCCTCCAAGTTCTCGTTCTGCCGCACTCGCAGCCCCTCCTTTCACCGTTTGTCAACCCGCACTTAAGATTCAAACCCGCGCTCCTTGAACATTGTCGGTCAACAACCCTGTCTAAGGCTGTGCCTGCAGTACCCATCAACACTTTGCCTTTCGGTTGTCAGGCTGTTTGTCTGCCTCGTCTGGCATTGATCCTCAACCTGTCGTCTTTATCTATTGAGGTCTCAGCGGACGTATAGCACTTCAAGATGTCGTGGAGATTGACAAAGAGTACGTTGATTGAATAATTGCCGTCATAAGATGGACTCAAACTGACAGAAAGATAGAATTGAAGGACACTCACCTGGCTCCTCTGACGAGTGGCTTTGGTCGATCCACGTCCACATCCACTGTCAAGGCAGAAGACGCTTCACCTGCTCAAGACTCGCCGGAGCTGTCAACAACGCAAAGTAACACGAGCACCTCTTCAGCAAATGGGATCGGTAAGTGAATCAGATTCTATGCACAAGGTCTTACTGGGCGTGATTTACTGACGGTTACCAGCCGCTTCCGAGCAGCTCACTTCCCCCCCTGTTCAGACCACCAAGCCTGGTATCCTGATAGTTACACTGCACGAGGGAAAGGGATTCTCCTTGCCACAACAATATCAATCAGTATTTAACAATTACTATGGCTCGGGAACCTCGGGGTCAGTTAGACCAAGCTCGTCATATGCCGCCGGCTCTGTCGCAGGATCATACGCACCCACAAACAGGCCCGTCTCGACTCATGCTGGAATCAATGCCGCCCCCACCATTCACGGAAGATACAGCAGCAAGTACTTGCCTTATGCCCTCCTCGATTTTGATAAGCTGCAAGTGTTCGTCGATGCAGTCTCTGGCACACCAGAAAATCCCCTGTGGGCAGGTGACAACACCTCATTCAAGTTCGATGTATCAAGAGTGTGCGAACTCAGCGTTCAGCTATATCTACGCAATCCAGCCGCCAGACCAGGCGTTGGGAGGAGTGAAGATATATTCCTTGGCGGCGCCAGGGTCACTCCGAGGTTCGAAGAAACCCGGCAATACGTCCCAGACCCGAAGAAGAGCAAGAAGGAGAATGAAAAAGCAGAAGCTGCCTTTATGTCACAAGAAAAGCAGGCCGGGCAGCTTGGGACTGAGTGGCTGGATATTCAATTTGGAACTGGCTCAATCAAGGTTGGTGTGAACTATGTCGAAAATCGACAAGGCAGCCTCAAGATCGATGACTTCGAGCTCTTGAAGGTTGTGGGAAGAGGAAGTTTCGGCAAAGTCATGCAAGTCATGAAGAAGGATACCGGGCGGATCTATGCCCTGAAGACCATCCGGAAGGCTCACATCATCTCTCGGTCCGAAGTCGCTCACACTCTTGCGGAAAGATCAGTGCTGGCACAGATCAACAACCCCTTCATCACTCCGCTCAAATTCTCCTTCCAGTCACCTGACAAACTTTACTTCGTCCTGGCCTTTGTCAACGGAGGCGAGCTGTTCCATCACCTCCAAAAGGAACAGCGCTTCGATATCAACCGCTCTCGATTTTACACTGCAGAGTTATTGTGTGCCTTAGAGTGTCTCCACGGCTTCAAAGTCATTTATAGAGATCTCAAGCCAGAGAACATCCTGCTGGATTACACTGGCCACATTGCCTTGTGTGACTTTGGATTGTGCAAGCTGGACATGAAGGATGAAGACAGAACTAACACATTCTGTGGTACCCCGGAGTATCTGGCTCCAGAGCTCCTTCTTGGGCACGGCTACACGAAGACTGTCGATTGGTGGACTTTGGGCGTCCTCTTGTACGAGATGCTTACGGGACTCCCACCTTTCTACGACGAGAACACCAACGAGATGTACCGCAAGATTCTTCAAGAACCATTGCACTTCCCTGGTCCTGAAATCGTACCCGCCGCAGCAAAGGATCTGCTTCAGAAGCTACTTGACCGCAATCCTGAGCGTCGATTGGGAGCTGGAGGAGCGGCGGAGATCAAAGCCCACCACTTCTTTGCCGGCATTGACTGGAGGAAGCTTCTCCAGAGAAAATATGAACCAAGCTTCAAGCCCAATGTGGTATGTGTGACAACCTAACCGCAGTCAAGACTATCGCTAACATGTGTTGAAGGTTGATGCTCGTGATACTGAAAACTTTGACAAGGAATTCACGTCTGAAGTACCCAAAGATTCGTACGTCGAAGGACCGGTGCTATCTCAGACTATGCAGCAGCAATTTGCCGGGTGGTCCTACAACCGACCAGTTGCTGGACTGGGTGATGCAGGTGGCAGCGTCCGGGATCCTGCGTTTGATCGCATTCAATAGAGGCCTGTGCATGTGCTTGTTTCTCATGTAACGAGCAATGAAATGGTCCACGAACCAAACTTACAGGCCGCGCATCGGCGACCGTCTTGGGATGTGCCGGCAGAAATCCGTTCAGGGATGGGAACGACAAAATCTTGGTCAGAGGTGGCTTCTGCTTTTGCTTGATGCGTGCTCTGCCGTCTCCTCATTGATCAAACTTGGAGGTGGACATCGGAATGGGACTTTTCAAATTGCTCTGAAAACGGACATACTAGATCTCATCCTAAACAGCGGCACATGGTTCGTTCCTTCTTGTGAAGAATTCCGATCTGGTATCGTCATGAAACCCGCATTCGACACATCCAATCAGCCCCGAGCACATCACGAGTCGGTTATCAAATAGAGTGTTACCTCTCCTGTCCTTTTGTATTGGAACTGGGTCCTCACACAGACAATCCAATTAATGTTGCTGGCGAGATGTCCCACTGCGTGGGTAGAATTTAGCCGTGAGGGTCTGTTGCTGCGGAACGCACCGCTCCGACATAGTATCCAGCGGAGCATGGTGTCTCTTGCTTTACGAGTATCCCTGGTCATTTTCACCTCGACCGAGAGAAATCAGGGCTAGACCCTCAAACGCCGTCCATACTGCGCTGGAGAGTCCATGTTGGCAAGGATACCCCTCCGCGGACCAGAAAATTCCAACAATGAGGTACATGTTAATTTGATGACAGCCTCCACGAAAGACATTTGGAAGTCAGATATTGATACTTGGACAGCTTCGTTCTACAAAGGGAGACCCTTGCAAACCTAGTGAGAATATCCCCTTTCCATTCTATGTCCCAAGCTTCTGTCGTAGCTTTAGTTCGACATGAGCACAGAAGTCTTTAGCCCTGACTTGTCTTGTGATGCGAACCATAGGCTTTATTCAAGTTGGTGGAACCCCTTGGCAGACGGATTACCACTTCCGTAACTCACCAGCAGATCTGTCAACTGTCGTTTGTGTGTCGGTGGTCGAAGTCGTCCTGGGTATTGCCCTTGATCCCCTGATAAGCACGAGAGCAAACTCGCCAGGGACGTCGTCTTTCAGCTGTAAATCCTCTTGGCCTTGTTGCGAATAGAGACCGAGTATTCAGCGACAAGAAACCCCTGGCGCAGATATACACTCAGCCGGGAAGATTGAAATTGCGTCTAAATTACGAACTGCAATAACAACGGAGAGGGAGGCCCAGACCTATTCCTCTTCCACCAGGTTTGTGATCCCTTTAAATCTACAATATAATGGAGCAATTAGGAGGATTCCGGACCGGGCTGGCTCCTTTCATGATCCCGATCTCCAAACCCGGCCGATAACGGAGTCCCTGCCGGGAGGTTTCCCCGCAAATGTCCCCGTCGCGGATGATTGTGTTGGAGTACATGCAGTACTTGGTACTTAGGTCGATCTCCATTGAAATATGACAACTCGCCGTGTTTTGTGTTTTGTGACACCAACTATCTAGCCTGTTATTCGTGCGTGCTACTTGTACATTGACCTCTTTCGGCTGGACCGGACCTTACATTGCGGGGAGCTTCCGAGAGACTTGCAGGAAGAGAAGCCGGCCAACCAGCCAACTAGCTAGCAAGGAATCACACAAGCAAGCAAGTTATACAGCTCTCACCATGGCTGCGAAGAACGTCCTTCGCAGAGGAGTCCTCTATGGTAACTCTACACACCCTGAACAGAGCTGAGTTCCTTTCACTTGCTAACGTCCCCCTCACCACAGTCCCCGGATCCTCACAGCGCTTCCTGGACAAATCCCGCACCCTCACGGCCGATTGCATCGCCTACGACCTCGAAGACAGCGTCACGCCGGCGAAGAAGGCCGAAGCCCGCACACTCGTCCGCAAGGCCCTGGACCAGGAGTCGCCTCCCAACATAAAAGAGCGGGCGGTGCGCATAAACAGCGTCGGTAGCGGCCTGGCGCTGGGCGACCTGGAGGAAGTGGTCAAGTCGCCGAACCTGACGACGCTGGTCGTGCCCAAGGTGGAGAGCGCGAGCGACCTGACCTTCATCAGCGACGTGCTCGCGCACGCCCGCTCGCGGGACCACCTGCAGGCCAAGGGCGAGATCAGCGTGCTGGCGCTGATCGAGTCGGCCAAGTCGCTGCTCAACCTGCCCGAGATCTGCCGCGCCGCGCCGCACCTGCTGCAGGGCCTCGTTTTCGCAGCCGAGGACTTCGCGCTGGACATGAGCATCACGCGCACGCCCTCGCTCTCCGAGTTCCTCTACGCCCGCCAGCTGATCGCCACCGCCGCGCGCGCCCACAACCTGCCCTCCACCATCGACCTGGTCGCCACGGCCTTCCGGGGCGAGGGCGACGAGGAGGCGCTCGTGCGCGAGTGCGAGGAGGGCAAGCGCATGGGCTATAACGGCAAACAGTGCATCCATCCGTCGCAGGTGGCCACCGTGCAGCGGATCTTCTCCCCGAGCGACAAGGAGGTCGAGTGGGCGGTCCGGATCGTCATTGCCCAGAAGCGGGCCGAGGAGATGGGCAAGGGTGCCTGGAGTCTGGACGGTAAGATGATCGACAAGCCCGTCGAGGGCAAGGCGGAACGGATCGTCGAGAAGGCCGCTTTGTGCGGCATGGATGTCGAAGGGTTGAAGGAGAAGTGGAAGGATCAGATGCCCGAGTGATTTTGGTGCCGTTTAGCAGAATGTCAAATGCAGGGGAGTGAGGGAAAATGAGATCTATTGCTTTTTATAATTGGATAAAAATACTTTTGGCCGGGGGGTTGTGCCTGTACTGATCCTCCTCCGCCGCGCTCCGTCTCCGTATTTCCCTTTGGCTCTCTCCAAGACATCGATGCCACTCTTCAGATGCAAAGGCACACTTTCCCGGGCGGGCCTCAAGTGTCGGTCCACATCCCTTCTATCAGAGCAACAACCTGCTAGGTCGTGATAGCACAACGCTTCGAGAACCGAAGCCACTTCCTTCCCTACTCCTTCTTCGTCGGTTTTAGCTCCCCATTCTCATACGCCTCGGCCTTGAGTTCCTTGGTCATAAACCCCATTTGCTCCCTCGGCTCAACGTTCTTTTTCTTGATCGTCAAACAGTTGATGTCCAGAACCTCGCAGATGCGGTTGATCACCCGGACCGCCCACACGAAATACTGCACCATGGCAAACACACAGCAGCCGTAGAGGTACCATCGTTCGTACTGGGCTGGGATCGGGTCCAGTCCGAAAAGCGGTAGCCAGGCCAGTATCGCGCCAATGGCCAGGGGGACCAATGCGACTGTGAAATACGGGAAGGACCGTCGTGTCAGATGATGGAGGATAACTTTTGTGGTGAGTCGACCGAACACAAAGGACAGCGTAATGCAGAATATGATGAGATGGTTTTCTCGGAGGAGAATCGAGTAGGGAGACCCGCACCATGCACAAACTGAGGCGGTATAGATGAGCATAGGGATCCACTCGAGAAAGACGGGCCATAGCGGAAGGCCTTGTCGTCTGCGTGCTAGATAGACGTTGTATATGCACGAAGGCAGGTGGGCTGTAAAGAAGGCGAAAAGTACGACGGGGACCCAAAGGTCGATCAAAACCAGGTCGCCAAGTAGGTGTGGGTAGCCGACATAGTCGGCGATGCGGTGCTGCCAAATTTGAGGGCCGAAGAAGCCTGAGACCACCATAAAGGAGCACGCGAGGATAAGACCCTCGGTGGGACCGTTGAAGGCTCCTAGGAAGAGGGTGTGCGTGTGGTATGTCTCCCAGGTGGAGAAGAACATCGGCAGACATGGGACGAGTGCTGTGAAGGCACCGATTCTGGTGGGTCCCAAGCCCATGGCGGCCGTCTCGAGAAGGCTGCCCAGGGTACAGTTGAGCGAGTCAATGCCGTGGTCAAACAGTTCTCCGAGACCGCTGGAAGTGCCGGTTCGGCGGGCTTGTTTGCCGTCGATGTTGTCCATGGTCGAGTACATCCATAGACCGAATGCAAAACTGTAGCAGAGCCACGGTGGCGCCGGGCCCACAAGATCCGGAACAAAGACGGACAGCAAGAGGATATTGATCAAGATGCAACAGAAACCCAGCAGAGTCACCATATTGGGCGCAAGCCACATTGGGAGGAACTCGACGGCGGCATTCCACTGTAAATCCATAAGCGAGTGTGGACGCGTGACCAAACCAGTTCATCGACGTACATAGTGGCGCAGGATATGGTTCGATATCCAGGACTTGTCTACACTTTGGTACTTATAGGTCTTCAGGTGGGCCATGGCCTCGTCTGAGAGAGGGTCCGCTGTTGAATCATCATGAGTTTTGTGGACCGAGGACGAGATGAAAGGTCGAAGGATAGCCGAGTGCTGAAAGACCTACCTGATTCTACCATGATTCAAGTTGCTGCTGTCGGCTCTAACCTTGGCAACGCGCTCAAGGTCTAAAAGACAAAAAGGCAACGAAAGGTAAACAAAGAAACAATCACAATGGAAGCGTACTACCGGTCTATTCTCATGCCCAACATGGTTGTCAAACGCTCACACGACTGGAAAAGACCTCCAAAAGAGAAATTCCCTGGATTGAATTGATGGAGAAAACGGGAAAATGTTGAAGTCGGCAAACGAGGCGCGATGGACCTGATGCCAAGCCTTTGGCATTGGCGCCGCTTTAACGGCCTGACACGTGCACTCACGTGTTGCCGCCTTCGCATTCGCGTCTCTGGACTCCAGATTCTCCCATTCTTGGATCAGCCATCTCTCACAATTCCATCCATGGTCCATCTCCATCTATTGACTCGGAGATCGGCCCAAAGAGGCTCTTCACGACCGGCGACTGGCACAGAGGTGGAAGTGTAGGTGATGATGCGCCACGACGTCCTCGTCCTCTCATCCTCGCCTCTCTCCACAACATGGAGCCTCAAGAGGATCAAAAGCCCATAACCCCAGAGCCATCATTTGCTGTCGCACACCAAAAGGTTGAGCTCGACATCAACTTCAGCCAATACATCAGCGGTAGGACCGAGATCACCATCTATCCTGATTCGGCGGACCTCAAAGAGATAAGCCTGCATGGCCGACAATGCACTATCAAAAAGGTCCTGGTCAACGGCATTCCGCCATCGTCGGTACGGCATGAAGATCCCTGCGACCAGCTTACGCTGCATTCCCATGGCTCGGTCTATCAGCACCACTTCCTGGCGGAGAAGGTGGCGAGATCGATTGGGCCTGAGCGGTTGCCGGATATCGTTATTAGCCTCCCCAACAGATTGAAGATTGTGCCGGTCGCGGTGGCGGAAGTGCACACTCAAGCTGCTGGTTCCATCAAAATCACGGATCCGCAGGCCCAAGGTCCTTCCGCTGCCGAGATCACACAGGCGCTGTCAGATACCACTGCTGCGAAATTTACCCCTCTGACTCTAGTCATCGAATTCGAGTCTTGTCATGTACGAGAGACTCTGCACTTTGTCTCCGGCAGGGGTGGAGGCGGTCGATGGCCTCACGCATATACTCGGACCAAGTCGGGCCCTGGCGGTGCCTCGCCATTGTTTCCCTGTGTGGACGAAATCAACAGTCGATGCACCTGGGACATTTCTATCAAATGCCCGAGGACCGTTGGCGATGCTATTGACCAAGCAACGACTGCAGACGGCGTGCGGCGCGATCGAGGTGCGGCTGCCAAGGACTCTTCTCGCCAGAGCTTTGAAGCCAAAGAGATGATCGTGGTCTGCACGGGTGAGATCACCGACGAGATACCGGACAAGCACGATCCTACGGTGAAGACCATATCGTTCTCCTGCTCGCAACAACTGGCACCGCAGCAGATCGGATTTGCCATCGGACCTTTTGAGCAGGTAGATTTGAGCGAGCTCCGAGACGCACAAGAGGTTGCGGACATCGGTCGCAATGCCGTTGAGATGCTGGCATACTGCTTGCCTGGACGATCGGAGGACACCAAAAACACCTGCTTGCCCACGACCAAGGCCATGGATTATGTTGTCCAGAAGTACATATCCTGTCCGGTGAGGTCATATGCCATGTGTTTTGTCGAGGACGCTCCGTCGGACTTGTGCATTTTTGCCGGTGTAACAGTCTGCAGCACTCGAATTCTTTACCCGGAACAAGTTATCGACCCTGCGCAGGAAGTTACGAGGAAGCTGGTGCACGCCATTGTCTCGCAGTGGATCGGCGTCAATATTGTAGCCGAAACCCCTCGAGACAATTGGGTTATTGTAGGGAGTGCCTACTTTATCACCAATCTTTTCATGAGAGAGCTCTGTGGGAACAACGAATACCGTGCTTACATCAAGCAACAAGCAGACCGCATCGTGGAACTCGACTACGACCGACCTTCAATCTACGAACTGGGCGCCGTCACCTACGTCGACCCGGCAGAGGCTGAGTTCCTGGCCACCAAAGCCCCAGTCGTCCTGTTCATTTTGGATCGCCGTATCGCGAAAAGAGAAGGCACCTCCAAGATGCCCGGTATCCTGGCAAAGCTGCTTACCAAGGCACGGACGGGAGACCTAGAAAACAACGCGCTCTCGACGGAATTATTCCAAAAAACCACTGAACGGATGGGCCACGACAAGATTGATGATTTCCTGGCTCAATGGGTGAAAGGATCAGGGTGCCCTCGGTTTTTCGCCCAACAGAGATTCAACAAGAAAAAGCTGGTCGTGGAGATGAGCATCCGACAAGAACAGGTTTCGCGCGAAACTGTGCGGGACTTGGATCCCGACTACTTCATGCGAGACGCTCGAGACGACTTCTATGGAGTGTGGCCCGCAACCGCCCAACAAGTATTTACCGGGCCGATGACGATCCGAATCCATGAAGCGGATGGCACTCCTTACGAACACATTGTGCAAATCAAGGATGCGAACACTGTCATGGAAGTGCCCTACAACACCAAATATAAGCGGCTCAAAAGAAGCAAAAAGGCGAGGGCTCGAGCTACCGCGAAAGCCACCGCGGAGCAGGGAGAGGAAGAAAACGACTCTCTCGTCTATTGCCTCGGCGACGTACTGCAGACGGAAGAGGAAATGGCCAACTGGCGGATAAAAGAATGGACTTCTGATCAGGAAGACAAGATGAACGCCGAGTCCTACGAGTGGATTCGACTGGACGCCGACTTTGAGTGGATTTGCACCATGAGCCTTGCCATGCCAGGATACATGTTCGCGTCCCAGCTACAGCAAGACCGAGATGTTGTGGCACAGCTCGAGTCGATCCGCACGATTTCAAGATATCCACCTGATGCGACTACCTCGTCCATTTTTGTCCGCACGCTGATGGACCGTCGATATTTTCATGGTGTTCGGGCCCTCGCCGCAAAGTCGCTAGTTAGGCACGCTGCAGAAGAAGTCGATAATATCGGCTTGTTTCATTTGATGAAGGCCTATGAAGCACTGTATTGCGATGCAGACCAAAGCTCAGCCTTGACAAGACCGAACGACTTCTCAGACCAACTCTCATACAGGCTGCAGTGTGAGGTGGTGGAAACCATCGCGATGGTCCGCAATAGCCAGGGCCATGCCCCCAAAAAAGTAAGAGATTTCTTGCTGGACAAGTTGAAGTACAACGATAACTCGGTGAATGACTATTCGGACGCGTTCTATGTCGCCCGGTTGATGAAGGCGTTGGGGCGTGCCGCCATCGCTCGTCCCCGCTACAGCGAGTGGGATATTGCCGAAAACTTTGAGATCGAAGACGAAATTCATGATCTAAAGGAGTTTGAGCGTCAGTTTCTGGACGAGATCGACCGATACCGCCGCATGGACGAGTGGACGAGTTCATACCAGAACCTATACTGCCGGACCGCCTTGGAATGCCAGGCCATGCTTGCCTCGGCGGGGATCGGCAAATTCTCCCCCTTGCATTTCCTGCAATATACGAGGCCCGGCAACTATGACATGCTGCGGCAGACAGCCTATGAAGTCTTGGTCACACCCAAGGTGTTCGACAACCCGTCCATCTTGCGGTACGTGTTGTATTGCATGGTGGCTGATCCTTCACCTTTCATCCGGCAGAGTCTCCAGCGCGCGTTTGGCAAGGTTCTGGGGAGGCGAGCAATTGGCGAAAGAACCGAGACGGCACAACCTGTGGCCGATTCTCTGATTGTCGAAGGCGCCGCCGCCGACACCGACGAGCCCTCCAAGCGGCAAGAGGAGCTTGCCAGACGACAGACATTGAGCGGCGCGGTGAAAGCACTGAGGGAGGATCTGGGCAAGAATGACGCTCTGAAATCAGCGTTGTGGAACGCCATCTGTTACGACCAGATCACACTCGAGGACATGCAGACTTTACTTGACTTCTGCCGCTTGTTGTACGAGCCGGTCAACGAGGTCAAGGTCACCCTATATTTACCCCGGTACTGGAAGGTTCAAAATCTAGGAAAGGTGAGTTCATTCCCCATCGGCATATGCTTTGATTGTTTGGATTGCCGAGCTAACGCGACTCTTTGCTATGGCAGGGCAAAATCAAGTTCTCCCGGACGAGCAAAGTCCGCAAAAAGCCCATGCAAAAATGGCAGCCTGCACCACCTCCCACTGCGAGCTTTGGCCCTCGTCCTGAAATTCCACAATCGCGACCGAGTATCGGGGGAGGAAGCGGTCTGAAGCTGAAGTTCAAGGTTGGGGGCAGTATTAACGACAATCAATCTGCAGGCCCAAATCGGCAACCTTCGATCTCGTTGCCCAAACCGACTCCGACCCCGACCCCGACACCGCCCCCAATTGCCCATCACACCAAGCCAGCGCAACAAAAACCTGCTCCGAAGCCGCTAACACCTATTGGAGGAACAGGTCGTATTACCCTGAAGATTGGCAAAAGACCGGCTGAAAATGGAAGCTCGTCCCAATCATAAGCAGCTTGTGTGGCGGTGGCTGCATCTTTGATGCTAGTCAGAGTAGTGAGGTGCAAGGAGGCTTGGATGCTTTTGGGGCCAGTGCAGCCAATCGGTAAACCATTGTCGACGCAGGAGACTGGGCACCCTTGCGTATGATGCGCATCCCCCATAGATCGACGTGTAACAATAATAACGAAGCGGCGCATTGCTTCGACGAAATTGCCGCCAGAAGCGTACCCGACCAGGGCGGGAATCAAGTTTTGAACAATCCTTTCCAGACCTCAATCATTCTTCCGTTTTGTGGTTCTCGCATAGGTCCTCTTATATAACGCGTAGCGACTTTTCACCGTCGGTCATCACCCATGCGTTCCAGCGCCTCGAGCATCACAACCGAGTTGCCACGGATGACCACCATGCCCAATCTCTCGCGCTCGCCGCCGGCTTTTTCTTCGACGGCCTCGTCGAGGACAATATTCAGGAAGACCTGTATTCACATACCAGTGACGTTAGCTATGATCTATCTCTCTTGCCGCTTTTTGTTCCGTGAGTGATCTCCCCTTCAGCGTGTGTGTGTGTGTGTGTGTGTGTTGTTGGAGGGAGTGTAATCCTCGTCTCGCGCTTTGGGGGAGGATACAGCGTGGAGGATGAAACGAGAGGAAGAAGGTCAACATACATCGTAGCCGCGCAGGACGCCAATGACTTTGCGGTTGCCGTTCAATTGGACGAACAGCCGCTTTTCCATATACTGTGAGTGTTGCAAAAGTGACACCAGGATGTTAGCCACGGTCAATTCTCCGAAAAGGGATACCTCAATATCAAGTGTGTGGGTTTGTGTGTGAAATGCAGGAAGGAGGCTTACCTTTTTGAGCTCGGGTTGCGCTTGAGGCATGGTTGCGGTGGTGGTGGTGGTGGTGGTGGGGTGGGAGGTGTCGAGCTGCTGTTTTTGGCGGATTGAGTGTGAGAGCGAAAGCAGAAAGAGGGGCTATACAAGTAAGGGGGCAAACTAGAAGATTTTGGGTCGTCTGCTTCTCAATTCACTGACAAGCTGAGGTAGGGGAAGGATAACTCCGCGACTGCACAATATACAACTTCGGTCGTTCAGGCGCATGCGGGTTGGAGAAATCTCAAGGCCAAGAAATTGGTCGAGCTTAGCCGTTTCGGCAATTGAATGATGCCGCCTTAAAGTGCATCCAGTAACGAGTTTGTGTCCGCTATAATATTAATACCAGATCTACCGAGTACACGTCGACTGTTCCAACCTCTCAAGTGGAACGAGATCCCATCACTGCCCCGTCTCCAACGCAATCCCAATACCTAGCTATCCCACTCCGTGTTCCTTGCGCGGAACTGCAGCACAGGACCATCCTTAGCCACGGTGACAAAATGCGAATATAGCTGGAACTCCTCTTCTCGTTCTCTACCCACGCCCATCCCTACACCCCCTTGGCCGATTTTCCCATCCGCGCCATCAGCCGGCTTGAAGTCCAACGTATACAGCACCTGGGCCGTTGCGATCAACAGCTCGGCCATGGCGAGGTTCTTGGCCGCGCACATTCGGGAGCCGCTCAGGAACGGCACGAAAGCTCTCCGCTGAATTTCGATGTTCGCCGCAGGATTGTTCTCCGTCTCGATCCAGCGGTCCGGGTTGAACTTGAAGGGCTCGGCAAAGTATGCGGGGTTGTGCATGAGCGAGTATAGACCCGTGCCAACTTCGACACCCTCCGGAATCTCGTGACCATCGATGCGTTGACCGCCCCGGAGGACGACCCGCCACGGAGCCGCAGAGACCGGCGGACACATGCGAAGGCACTCGTCGACAACGGCGTGAAGGTAGATGCAGGAACGGAGCTCGGGACCTTGGCCAATGGCTTCCACGGAGGGAAACGTCGTACGGATTTCTTGAGCGAGTCTGGCGTAGACCGTCGGGTTCTGGGCCAGGTAGAAGAATATGCCGGCGAGGCCAGATGAGGTGGTGTCGGAGCCTGGGCAAGTTAGAGCATGTCGAGGGCTTGCTTGTCTTGGTGGTTAGAAACGGGGGCCAAGCTGCGTACCTGCCACGATCAATAGTGACGCCTCTGCCATCAGCTCCGGAAGTGGCATGTCCTCTCCAGTCTCGGCGTCTTTCGCGTTCAGTAAGTTTTGGAAGACGTCTTTCTTCCCTTCTGATTGCTTCTGCTGCATTCGTGTTGTGGCGATGTCCTTGGCCACCTCTTGGAACTGCAATGTTGCGCGGACGCCGTCTCGCACAATGAGCCAGTGCAGTCCCAGACCCCACCATTTTGTCCAGGGCACCATTGAGATGACGCCAACGCGGTGCATCATCCTCTCGATGCAAGTGGTGATCCAACGATGGTCTGGATTCTCGATCAGATGACGTTTAACACTGAATATCACGTCGGTCATGATGTCGAAAGAAAGGTAATTGGCTGCTTAATGTCAGCACCGTCGGCGTCGAGACATTAGCAAGCCTCCTCCTCACCGAATTTGGACATATCCAGCGGAAGACTCCAAGCACCTGGTGCTTGGGGGACGGGGTGTTGCCCGTCGTTTGCCAGCAATCTCCTGCATAGAATACTGACATGGTCCTTGATGACAGGTTCATACCCTCGGATCGCAGCCTCACTGAAACCTTGGCTGATCACTCGTCGTTTCCGCCCGTGCACTCTTTTGTCCGAGGCCGTCAAAACCGAGGGCGAGTTCGCTCGACGCACGAGCGCCGTGTAAGCGTTGGACTTCGCGATGTTTTTGCCATGATCATAGATGTCTGACGGGTGTTCAGATGAGCTCGTGGAGTGGGAAATTCAGAAAGACATACCGTGATATCCGTTTGCACTGTTGACCACGAGCCTGTCCGGTCCATACCGCACGAAATCTCCTACACAACTATTTCAGTCATGCTTGTGACCAAAAGTGCTGGAAGTCAGACAGCGAACGTACCATACAATTCGTGGCACCTCAGGATATCAATGTGAACATCATTGAGATAGTTGTGGTAGGCAGAATACCATGTGGTAAGCTTTGCCAAAAACGGCCCCGGATACTTTGCAAGTGGATGAAAGAACAGTCGATATACTACAACGTACACAACCTGGACAAAGCAGTCTCGGGGTCAATACTCCAATTCCAACAAGGCGAGTCGAACGAGGACCTACAAAGGCAAATGGCGTAGCCAACAAAAGGACAGCAGCATGGCGAGAAGCCAGGTAGTCTAGGAACGCCATTGTTTTTCTTGCATAGGAAGGCCACCGTCTCTTTCCCGCCAGACCTTGTTCTTATACTCTGGATTTAAATTTACGCCTTCCCCTGTTTTGCCCAAAGTGGCAGATCTCCACAAGAGAAAGAGTCGGTCGGCCTCAATAATAGCAACCAGGCTGATCCTCCTGCTTACGACAGACAAGAGGAGAAGAAGTCCCGCAAGGATAGTAATCTCCCTTCTACTGACGACGCGTCAATTCCCAATTCCGTCTGTAGTATTCTAGGGACAGGGATAAGCAGAGGGAAGTGCGACGTTTGTTCTGCACACTGGGGATGAGATGAGTCGAGAGTCCGAGTCCCAGAAAGCCAGGATCTCATATTTAGGACCTGAGGGGCACGGACGTGCTCTACTGCCGCCGGAGAGTTGGATGCCACCGTTGACCGCTGCGATACATGACGAAGTCCTCAAGACATCCCCCGCAAAGGCCATCTCGGAAGGCCAAGACGGAGAGCCAAAGGTATCCAAAAGGGGCGGCTTATTAAAGCTGTTTGGGTGCGAAGCTGCCTCGGCTTATAGCTCAGTCTCACCTGGCGCATACAATAAATATATTAGTGATGATATTAGTAAACATTAACGACTGCCTTCGCACAATCCCATGTTGTTTCATGAAGGGGGCGGTTTGAGGGTTAGTCGGCTAAAGTACGCAGAGACATGGACACCAATAGGAGACCAGTGGATTGGGAGCCAGCGAGGAACTAAGCCTAAATCGTTGCGGCATGCTATTTGTGGGCACTTTCACTAGCGCCTTGGCGTTGACTTTCTTGTGGTATGCTATCTGAACCTACACGATGTACCGAGTACAGAGTAGTATGTCCCTAGGGAGCACAGGTATGCTGTGTCCAAAACCCCCTTGGTCTATCTGTATAATCTGTATCCTGATCTAGGACCTATTCAATGGCCCAAATGTGGGACATGCACCTCAACTTATGAAGCACCGGGACGCCTCGCCGGGCAACTCTCACCCACCACCAACTCCTCCCGCACCACGGTGCTCACTCTATCAGATGCATCCCAAAAATATGGAGACTGTGTCGGTCTCGCCATTCCCCTGCCAGGAAAACGGTCCGCCCGGTCAGAACGTAGACACCACGCTCCGTCATCCCAGACTTGTCCATCACTCGCAGGCTAGCGGGATTGCCCTCGTTCACGATGGCCCTCACATACAGCTTCGAGAACGGTGTCCAGAACGATCGCGCTCTCTTGCACGACGTAAACACGGCCTCTAGCGACTCGGTTGCGTATCCCTGGCCCCATGCTCTGGGCAGAAACATGTACGCCAGTTCGACGGTCAATGTTGTGGTTGCAGCCGCAAATGGTAGGGTGAGATTCTCTGGCAACGCCAAGTTGCTGGAATCCAACGACTTCAATGTTATGAGACCAATGAATTCTGTTGCATTTTCTCCACACTCTGCGGCTGGTAGTTTGCTGTCGACAGAGCTGGCGTTCGTCTCAAGGATCCTGTGCACGGTGTAGGCGACCCGGTAAGTCTTTGGCTGTCCTGCTTCTACTTCTTGGGTGGGCAGATAGCCCCGGGAGATCTTTTCCGTGTCCTCGATCGACTTGGCTTGGCCATGAATGCTGTTTCGTCCACACAGAGTCAATTCGAGAGCCAGCAAACTTGGACGAGAGCGAAAAAGGCGAAAGGCTCACACTGACAGGAAGACTCGGAAAATAACCTTACCTCCACCACGTAGTTTTCTCGTTACTGTGGAGCTGGTGCAGCCACTCGAACTCCGGACTTCCTCGTTCGGCCTTGGCCACCAGAATCAGTTTCAGCCGTGGAGTGAATATCACAGGGTCCATCGTTGCGGCTCTGTGGCTTTGTGGTGATCGAGGAGATATCGTTTGGAGGGTTTCTGGTTTGTGACGGGCCTTCAACCATGGAGAGCAGAATGTGTCTTGCGTAGTACCACAGGAAATCAATGTATCATCCGACAACGACTGAGGCGCTTCTGGAAGAGGACAAGGCTTGTAATGACATCCCCGCCTTGATTGGACGCCCTTCCTCTGAGGACTGCGGGTACTGATGATACGTGCATAAATACACACATACCTAAGTGCCCTTATATATGAAGTGCCATCGTAGAAGATGCATACCTAGCAGCATACGGGCAACGACGGAGGGAGGTAGGTCCTTCGCGTTGAACGGTGAAGAGAGTGTCAGACAGAAAGATGCCCATACTGTCGTGCAGCATTGCCCACTAAATTTGGTTCGTCAGACACCGAGACACCCCAAAGCGTTATTTCTCTTTTCCCCCGCAAACTCAACCTCCAAACTTGTAGCCTGCGCAGCAAAAGGATCCCAGGATTGTAGAACATTACTCCCTCCACACCAAGTCTCCATCAGATTTACCTGTAAGCCTCCTCCCACAATGGCGTCGCTCTTTACAGCACGGCGGAAACCGAAGCGCATTGCACGGGACGAGGCAGACCACGAGCCAGATGATGGCGAGGAAGGTACGTTGACGTCCTCCACCACAATGTGCCCTCAGATGTCCTACCGCATGTTTACTATATCTGACACTTCTGTCTTGTCGATTTAGTTCATATGTGATCGTTCCCCACTGACGGCGAGTATGTAGACTCCGGCCCCGTGGTCCGACGACCGACGCACAACGCACCGCGCACGAAGTCCAAATTACGAGTCTCGTTCAACCCGGGTGAGGAGGATGGGTCAGGGACAGGAGAAGGTTCAATTACCACTGGCGCAACACCACAAAGCAAATCGGCAACCAGACTGGGTCTCTCGAGCGCCGCACAGGACATCCTCAGCCGAAGAGAGCACGAGGACAGCAGAGACGGCGAAGGCGGTCAGAACCACGACAGACCGAAATACAACAAAGCCTACCTGGATGAACTGCGCAACTCGACGCCCTCGACGCCGCGCGACCTGTCGTCTCGGGACAGTCCGTCATTGGACCTGATCGAGCCGTCGACGAATCTCGAACTCGATCTGGAAAGCAAATTCGGCAAGTCCGCAGCTCTGTCCGCTACGAGATCCCCCCACATCCCCAGCGCCGCCGAGATCAGGGAGAAGAAAGAAAGGCGAGCGCGGTTGGCCAAGGAGCAGGCGGCGGAAAAGTCGGAAGATTTCATCGCGCTCGACGACTACGACTCAGATGGAGAATTCAAACCGCGGCGCATGCAGGTCTCGTCCTACCTGGCGCCGCCGCGGGAGAAGGACACACGCCTGGTCCGCGAAGACGAGGACATCGCCGAGGGCTTCGACGACTTCGTCGAGGACGGCGGGCGCGTCACGCTGTCCAAGAAGGGCCTCCGGGAACAGAGCCGCCGGGAGAAGGAAGCGATCCGGCACCTTATCGATGCCGCCGAGGGTGCCAGCCCCGACAATCACTCGGTCGACGACGGTGGGGGCGGTGGCTCTGCGTCCGACGACGACTCGGACTACGAACGGCGCCACGAGTACGAGCTGGCGCAGACACACCACGGCATGGACGGACTGTCCTCGCACGCCGTGCACACACGGCACCTCAACCGCCCCCGCCAGCCGCGCGAGACCACGCCCATCCCCAAACTCAGCGTCGGGCTGAGCCGTCTGCGCGACATGGTCTCAGCCCTGGAGTACGAGCGGGCCAAGATCGCGAAGCGCCGGGCCGACATCGCGCGCGAGAAGGCCGAGATCACGCAGAGCCAGGAGCACATCCAGCGCAGCCTCGAAGAGGCGGGCCGGGAGCTGGAGCGGGTCACGAGGGAACACGCCGAGAAGGTCAACAACATCAACAACAACGGGGGCAGAGCCGGGACGCTGCCCATGGACACGACCGAGGGCCAACCGCCTGACTCCTCGAATGCAGCGCCCTCGGGGCTGGTGGTCGAGAGAGGGTTGGAGTCGTTCGGCGACCACCGGTCTGGATGATCGATATCTACGTGATCTGCTGCAGATCTCGAGCAGAGGACATCAGTCGGTAGTGCCTCCCTCCCCTTGACAATAGCTGTGGCCCCAAACTGCATGGGCAGACAATAGATACTACCTTTCGACCATGACCATGGCATCGAAGAAGTGTGTGGAGAGAGAATCCCGACTTGCACTACTATTCATACCCCGTTCGCTGATGGTATTCAACTTTTCTCATTTTTCTTTTCTGCTACTTTGATTCTGAGCTCGGTCCGTCTCGCTCCTCCCGATGAATTAGTCTTTTCTGGAGGAGTTCATGCAGCTCTCATAGAATGCGCGATGTGACCAGCGGGGAGTGGCACAGGATGTTGTCTCGTCGCCGGACAATCGCTTCTCCACCACCTCGCAGAGAAGAGCGATCCTGAGAGCCAGAGCTCAACGTATCCATCCTCCCGAACCTGCATTGCCATCCTTCGCTTCTCCTGTCCCAGCTCAGTGCATTGCAAAAGTCGATTTGTGGAATCCAAGAAGCCCAGCCTCGGGCCGCATATGTGTGACCGCCCGGAGACAAGAAAGACACGTGTGCAGAATCAGCCATTTCCTCCCTCGCTCACTTCCAGTGCTCCTTTTCACAGCCCGCCGTCGTCTCCGCAGTCGTTGCTGGTCGACTGCAGCCTTGCCGACCTGCATAATGTCGTATCAATGCCACATCGTCCTCTCGGCCAATCACGCGCCTTCCGACATGTGCAAAACCAGGCGCCCACAACCTTGCGAGCGCGAAGGAGGCGCCTCGTTCAACCCCAGCACATTACGCGAGGCGGCTTCCAGGACAAAAGCTGGTAAACAGTCGCGCACAGGTCCATCAGGGACGAATCAGAGAGCAGAGAAGACAAAGAGCTACAAAGAGAACGGTCAGTTGTTGACAGGAACGGCCACCACAGGCACAGGAGACTTACGTTGTTCGTCGCAGCAATCGCAATGCTGTCCTCGAACGGATGCCAGCTCATGTGCAGAATCTTCTTGTTAAAATCGATCTGGTCGGCGTCGGTCTCCTTTCTCATCCTGCTTCCTTGACCTGAAGCGGCAGGGCTGCCTGCTCTCGAACCACCTTTCTTGGCCCCGTTAGGGCTGGCCGAATTGATGGGAGTCGGCACTCCAACCTTCTTAGCCTTGAAGGCCGATTTATCTGCCTGCAAGACCACTTCCGTCTCTTGTTCCGGGTCCGAGGGGTAAATCATGAAGTTGTTGTTGTAGCTCCCGGTCATGACATTGCTTCCATCGCCACTGAAGACCACCTCGAATTTGTCGAAAATGCTATCGTTTTCATAGGTGTCGCACAGGCGCGGCCTCAGATGCTCGTGGATGGGGATGGTCTTGATGGGTTGTCTCTCCATGTTCACGTCCCAGATCTTGACCGTCAGATAGTCTCTCGATAGAATGTACCTGCCATCATGTGAGAAGCGCACATCGGAAATGGAAGAGATGATCTCGGAAAAGAAGGATCGCGAGGAAGGGTCTTCTTCTTGCTCGAATTCTGGCAGAGAGTTAGCATGTGACTACAAGGGGGACGGAATCATTTTTACGTTTAGCATGGCGGTCACACAAGGCACTCTCGCGCATATCGGCTAACTTTATGGTCCCCTTGGAGCTGGCATACATGAACCAATTGCAACTGTGTGGGTGAAATTCGGCCGCCGTGATGACTTCGGTGAGTTCCTCCATGTTGGCTGGCTTGATGTCGACAATGTTGAAGCTCTGATCTTGGATGTTGAGATTCCACAAATTGATGCGCAGATCATCGCTACTGATGAAGGTCTCGCCATCGCTGTTGACGGAGATGCTGTTGATGTGATAAGCGTGTGCATTCGCGTAGGTGCGGCGTGGCACCGCGGCCACAACAGTATCATGGTGAGTCATTCGAGGCAGCTTCAGTTGGGAGGCATCCTTGAAATGGATCTGATTAGGACGAGCTGCCCCTCCACCACCGGCACCGGCAGGTGTGAGGTCTTGGGAGAGGTTATTCTCGGCGACGACTTTGAGGGACTTCTCAAAGACCTTCCAGAGCTTGATGGTCTTATCGTTTGTCGAAAGAAGATAGTGTGAGGCATTCTGACGGCGGCACCATTTGATTTTGTTGATCTTCTCTTCTATCTCGAGGGATTTGAGGTAATCAAATTCGGGTTCGTGGGATTGGAACTCTGTATGGAATTTGTACTCGCATGTCTTTTTCTGTTCAAACATTGTCAGTAGCGGCCACGGTGACCCGGAGGCGGTGGGGGGTGAAATGACTGACGGTCTCATTTCGCTCAAACAGGACGACGCGACCACCTTTGTCTCCGGTTGCCAGATAGTTGCCAGTGTGGTCGAACTCGACGGTGGAGATGATATCTGCCTCCGTTATATCTTCGACATCTCCTTTATCGCCAAAACATTGGGTGAACTTCCATGTGGGAGTTCCGGGTTCGGTTTCGACCATCTTTCATCACAGGGTGCGCTGCAGGTCCAGGACAGTCCCGGCAGCACGCACACAGCAGTAGCACCCTAGATCGACCTCAAGATTTTACCGCTGGCGGTGCATGGAGCAGTCGCGCTCGACTCGGAGGTTGGTAAAAGGGGTGAATGTATGTGTATGTGTGTGGGCGCGGGTGACAGGCGCGGGTCGTCTACGAAGTTGGGAAAGTGACGTGACTGACTGAGGTTGGGCTGGGTTTTGACAGTTTTGTAAGCGATGCGGCTCAGGCAACAAAGCGGTGATGATTCAAGTGACAGGAGGATAGGAATGAGACGGAGAATGTCTCGTGACGAACAGACGGGGGAAGAGGCAGGAAAGAATCAAGGGATATCGGATGTCAGCAGGCGGATGGTTACGACTGCGGTTGTATGTCAGTCAGTCCTTTGATCGTGGGGGAATGAAGGGCAGTGATGCAGTTGCGAGCATCCCAGGCAAAGGTCACAGATACCAAGATAGCAGGTTAGCCGCGTGGGCGCGGATGGCTGGGCCAACTAATAGTCATGATCCAGATGATGATGTCGAGGGGCACAGGCTCCCAAGCACCACAGGGGCACCCGGGAGGGAAGTATGAAGTACCCGGGAGATGCCTAGTCAGCCTGAGGGGGAGCGCCTACGCCCCTCACTAGGTACTCGACAGCAGTAGTAGCTTCCACATGCACACGCCACCAACGCCCCGTTTCCTTTCTTCCTTGCTTTGTTCTTGGCGGTAATTAATTGCTCTCCTTACAGCCTGGCGAACCTCGGATCAATCATAATCCACATGGCTGATTTCTTGGATCCGGTTCATGTTATATCCTCGTCGATGCTCTTTATGATCGGCCAAACGTTTACCTCGTGTTACAACCCCCCAGCATCCTCCCGCCCGTCTGGGTATTAATCATCATGCGAATCCGCTTACAGGGCGCCGGGAAGGGACTGGCAAGGCTTGGCAGTCGAGCTCGCCAGCCGACTGAGAGACTGAAGAGTATCCTGCCAGGACGGGCTGCAATCGGCACAGGGGCGCTGTCTGCACCCGAGGTGAGAGCAAGAAACTCGCGGCTGAGAAGTCTGGTCAATGATCTGGAGGAATCTTCGGCGCCCGACGCCAAGGGGTTAAATGAAGTATTCGACCATGTTGGAGCTCCACGACCGGGCTCCCTGCCGTCTAAAAGCTGGTCCAGGGGTGAGAAGCTGAGGGAGGGCATCCTGGCCGACAATGGCATCCCTCTGGTGTCTCCCATCCTAGCCCGGGACGCGTGCAAGTGCCCCGAATGCATCGACCCCTCTGACCGACAACGCAATTTCTCATACGCAGACATTCCCACGGACATTGGCTTCAGCAGGATCACCCCCGTCGAGAGCTCCGGCGAGACCATCGTCAGCTGGCGGAACGACGCCCCACCTCACTCGGCCGGGAAATCGACCATCTTCGACAAGGAAGCCATCTCGTCCCTGAGGAAGCCGTTCCGCAATCCCCGCTGGTATCTGTACAGCCTGGCGCAGAAACTGTGGGATGCCGAGTCGTTCACTCGCGACTCCAACCGGTTCGACTTCAACGAGTACATGAGTAACGACGACGCATTGGCGGAAGCCCTCCACCTGCTGTGGCGGGACGGCCTGGTCTTCGTCGACGGCGTGCCCGAGTCGGGGGGATCGGTGTCACAGATCGTCACCCGCATCGGCCCGCTCATGAACACCTTCTACGGGCCGACCTGGGACGTGCGGTCGGTGCCCAACGCCAAGAACGTCGCCTACACGGCCAAGTATCTGGGCTTCCACATGGACTGCTGTACATGCGGGAGCCGCCGGCGTTTCAGTTTCTGCACTGCATCCACAACGAGAGCACGGGCGGCGAGTCGCGGTTCGCCGACACGTTCAAGGCCGTCGACATGCTCTACTCGCAAGATCCGGGCAAGGTGCGCGATCTGATGACATACCCGGTGCGGTACGAGTACGACAACGACGGCTACTTCTACTCGGACCTGAAGCCCACGATCCTCAAGCGGCAGGAGCTCAACGTACCCAACCGGCCAACGCACAACGCCCAGCACCCGCACGTCATGTCGGATGTCGGCCGCGTGTACTGGTCGCCACCATTCGTGGGCAACATCCACCCGAAGCTGGAGCACCACGAGCTGGTGCGGTTCGTGTCGGCGAGCCAAGCCTTCGCCTCGATCCTCGAGCGGCCCGAGATGGTGGTCGAGGAGAAGATGGACAGCGGCACCTGCGTCATCTTTGACAACCTGCGCGTCGTCCACGCCCGCAACGCCTTCGACCTCAACTCCGGCCGCCGCTGGCTGAGAGGCGCCTACCTCGCCCGGCAGGACTTTGTGAGCAAGGCTTCGTCCATGATCGACCGCATGCCCGCCAACATCCGGTTCTACACGCTAGACGAGTAAGAGCTGTGAGAAAGAAAATCGGGCGTGAAGTTTGGCTACTCGTGATTCTTGCTGCGGTAGTGACGGACTTCCCCCTCCCTCCGGAAGATGAATATCCGCAAAGGGCTTTCTGGTGGACGTAGAGAACCCCCCTGAGATCAAGAGGAGCCGGTAAAAGAAAGAGGCTCCCTTGAGAAGGGGCAAACGTATCATCGTACGGGGGCGATAGATGCGAGAATACATATGTTCCGGGTCCCCTTTGTTGTCACCACGTATAATCAATCATCTACCCTCGCGTCACATAGACAGACTTTGGCCTCATCTCGTCTCGTCCCGTCTCACCTCCTTTCCCTAGCAGCCGTCTGACCGGAAGGAATGTCAGAAGGACCAACTTGGGCATGGACGGACGGACGACGGACAGACGAACGAACGAAGGGGGAGATTCATATGAATATGTAGACTTGGATGATTCTCAGGGTTATTAACATAGGATAAGATAGGACAGGATAGGATATAACATCCCTCCCCCGGGCTGAAGGCCATTTATTTGATCCGACTTGATTTGCATGTATCGTTCTTACCTACCGTTGACTCAGGCCGATCGAAGTCGGGTCGATTCGAGTCGAGCCCAGTCGTCGGGTCCCGGGGTTTACTGTATTGTATCTGTTTCCTTCCTGCCTCCCCAGCCCTTGTTTGCGCTATGGAACAACAACAAGCCAACCAAGTAGCAAGCAAGCAAGCAGAAAAACGGCACCTCCAAACAGGCTCCATACAAGCTGAGAAAAAAAACACCACAGGACTCAACTACCTACCTCGCTACCTAGCTAGGGAGGTCGTCCTTCCAAATTATCTCCTTCCTATAACACATGTGAACCAAAGAAAGGCTTGTTGGTCTGTCGGTCTTTGTTTAAAGTTTCTTATTTTTTTTTTTTATTCAGGGTATTATTCTCCTTGTTTTTTGTTGGTCATTCCTCATTGTTCGTTCGTCTTGTCGTACGGACGCTCCGAGCGGCTCGTCGGCTCCAATAACTCTCGCAGCACCATTGCCAATCAAGTCCCTGGCTTGCTTGCCTGCTTCTTGTCAGGCAATTGGGCCGTGGTCCTTTGTCATTGCAACTCCGAAACCGTGCAAATAATGAATGGCCCCGCTTTCACGCCGTGGTTGTCGCCCTGTAAGGCTGGAAGAAGTCCGGGTCGGCTTCGAGCTCTTCGCGGACCTATACGAACACACACACACACACACACATTGGTCAACACCGTTTCAAATAGAGATCCGAGGACAAATCTCCGGGATTCGACACCGACAGAGGAGGAGGAACAGCAGGGGGGAAATGAAACATACAATATCGAGACCACCGACAAGTTCGCCGTTCGTATATAGTTGCGGGAACGTCGGCCAGTCGGAGAAGGCCTTGAGGCCCTCGCGAACGTCGTTGTCGGCAAGGATGTTGAAAAACCTAGTCGTGCACGGAGCATTTAGTATCCGCCGCCTTTGTTCGAAGTCGGGTAATAGGTCTGGAACAGTAGCGATCGAACGAATGAAACATACCCATATTTCACCTGATTCTCGCGCAGGATGCTGACCAGCTGTCGGCTGAATCCGCACTGCGGCGCACTGGGGGTGCCTTTCATGAACAGCATCACCGGTCTAGATTGTCCCATAAGAGAACCTTTGTCAGTTTTGAACATTTTCGCTGAGACCAGCACGGGACATCTTTTCTCTTCTGACGTCGCAAGTGCCTGCCGGTTTGCATCTTCAAGACGGCGTGTAACTTACGCAGCTTTCACCAACTTCGCCAACCGTTCATTCAACTCCTCTTTCGCCTCCAGCCCTGACGAGTAGGCCGGGGCGGTCTGCGGATCCGACGGCTTGGGCGCATAGGAGCTCAGATCCTTGGTCGCGGTCGGTGGGTGTGAGTTGCCATTCGTGTGTGCGTGGCTCTGCGGTTCGGCTTTCAGCGGCGGCGGAACGTGTGCACTGCCGTTGCCGTTGGCACTGGCACCGCCAGTCCCAGCATGTTTCTCCACGGCGGCTCTAAGTTTGCCGGCGTCGCTCCCACTCACCGTCTCCAGCGTCTTGCCATCGCGCTGGATGACCACGTATGGCACCGCGGTCACGTCGTACAGTTCCGAGACGTCGGGCAGTTCTTCGGCGTTTATGGAGAGGAAGGACACATCGGAGCTGCGGGATGACGGATAGGTCGAGGCGAGGGCAGAAAGGATGGTGTTCGTCTGTGCGCAGGGTGCCGCCCAGGGCGTGTGGAAGTAGATTACGTGCAGGTGTGAAGAGGGGTGGGAGGATATGTGTTGGTTGAAAGCGGCTTCGGAGGGGATTTCTTGGAGGGACAAGGTCGTCGTCGCCATGGTGTAGGGGTTTTTTCTCCCGAAGTCAGAACTCCAGGTGTGAGTGAGTGCGTGCGCGTGAAGATGCAGGAGGTGACAGAACAGTAGACAGCTGGAAATACAAGCAGAGAGATAGAAAAAGATAATGGGTTTGCGACAAATCCGACGTTGAGTAATTGTAAAAAAAGGCGTGATGGTGTTCTGTATTTTACTGTATCGATGACGCCACATCTATAGCGTTATCGGAGCCGAGCCTCCCACGTGCCTCCCCCATTCTGTCTATATACACATGTATTCGACAAGGCATCAATGTATTCGGTAGATGATATGCTACCTACACCAGTAGCCGGTTAGATTACAGGATGCAACTAGTTGTACACAGGCCCTTTTTCCTCACCAGCGAGCGATATGCGTTTTGTGGTCGCATGCCCTGAGCTACGGCGTTCCAATGCCCATCTCCCTCAGCCACGACACCGCTGAAACGCTCGCCGCAGATTGCATGAAGAAATGATCTATTGCCTCAGCGTCGCCCTCGTCGACCGCATAGTCATACATGTGCCAGAACAACGGCAATTCCATCATGTTGACTTGTTTGCACCTCTTCAAAATATACTTCGTAGCAGCGTTGACGTCGTTGCCCCCATTGTAGTCCTCAAAGTGGGACTTCATGGGCGAGATGGCAATGTGTTTTCTGAAAGCTGCGGCGTTGGTAAAAATAAGCAAGATGATGCTTTTGGAGAAGTACGCGGATCGACAGATGATCTTGAGGTCTGACAGCCTCTCCACAAGTTCGTTCGACCTCAACGCGTCATCAAGATATCGATCATAGCATGTGAGATCGATGGCGAAGAGACAGAACTGGACGTCTGCAAATTGCGAGATGATCTTCATGGCATATTGTTCCTTGAGTTCGACAATGCGCAGTGTGGACGAGTTCATGACGATTTCCGTCTCCTTCATGGTGTCAATGGCTTCAGGAGCTCGGATGATGTCCATGTTGCTGGGCGTATAGTCGGCCTGACAGATTCTTTCAATCGAGTTGAGATAGCTGTACAAACATCAGTAACAATCAGGTTTCCCAAGGACGAGGCAACCTACTAAGCAGTTTGCCCATGTTGCCGCATCACCGAGAACGCTTGTTGAACGTGCCAATTGTTCCATATGTGTTTGACAGACGGTGTGAAGCCCACGGGGACTTTCCAATCGGGTGCCCCTGAATCCGCAAAGTCTCGGATGATGTCCGCATGATCCCTGCTGACCTGACTGACGAGGCCATTTCCAGTGTCCTTGACGTAGTCCAAAATAGCCACGAGGGCCTTGATGGCAAGAGATGTGATTGATTGCCGATATTGTTCGACTTCTGAGTCTGAGTAGGGCCGACCGTACCGTTGTCTCATGTGCTTGACAATTGCGGATCTTCCGTGTTTGTCCCCAACGGCAAGGATCTTGACTTCTTTGCTCAACTTTCGGGCATCTTGCTTGAGCTTCAGATCAATCATGGCCGAGTCACGCGCAGTGCTCTTGAGCTGAAGGAGGGGGGTGTCAGAGAGTGCCCGCCGTTGGCCTTTTTCCCCGGTGCGCTCTTCCGTGGGACTGTTGGCACGCCGGAGCATAGACCGAAAGGAGTTCTGGTAGATCTTGTGTCGCAGAAGCAGACCGTCAAAGTCAAACGTCTTTGACAACTTCGAGGCTGTAGACAGACTGGTCCTGAACGTGGCGAATGAGGCAGAATCGCGGAAACCCCCGAGAGACGTGGCATCGTCTTTGGCTTGATTGAAGACTTCTCTGCTGTCATCTCTCTCGAGCAAACGTTTCTGATCAGTCGGTGTCCGACTATTTCGGTCAATAGTGGCCGCGCAGACGGAACCGGAACATCTTACCATTGAAACGCGGTCAAGCACAGATTGAGAGCATTGATCTGATGGTCTAGCCGGGTGAGACAGTCTTTGGTGGCCTGGTCATCGAGAAGATAGAGGACTTTGCTGCCAATTCTCAAAAGCTCCTCGTCATTCCACTGGAATTTCGAGATCTGATTATCGATGTGTTCGACGAGCAACTTGCAATGAGTGATGGCGTCCCCCAGGTCCAGCATCAACTGGTAATGCTGAGAGTCCTCCGATAGACATTCTGCCCAACGTTGAACTTGGAGCAGGGCAGTCCGAACGGTTCGAAGATGGCCTGTCAAAAGACTAATATTGAGCTCTGCATCCCGATACCTCTGGCGTAGTTGTGTCAGGGTCGCTACCGATTTGCCAATGACGGAGACTATGCTGGCAACGCCAGCAACGACGCTCAAGGTGCCACACAAAGGCTCCATCACTGAATCGCCAACTGATGTTTCCTCGCGTGTTGAAGGAGAATCTTTATGCAACTCTCTCGAGGTGACTGAAACCCTCTCAAGAGGAAACCAGGACGGATACCATAGATATTCCAATGTGCTTTGTGACATCCAGCTAATGGTCCGGTGTCACATGGCACCCCGGTTGAGCCCATGCATGGCTTCGGCAAGGGCATGTACCAGAAAGCAGGACGGTTGAGGGCAAGCCATGCACAGGCCGGCTGGAATGCATAGCCACCGGCTGAAATTGGGCAATGTGCATCCCCTAAGCGCGCGTTATCTTGCGTCAAGCCCCGGACTTTTGCAGCTGTTCAACGTGCTCGGCCCCAGATAAGAGTGGGTTGTCCGTGAGGGACGGAGGCTGCGAGCTTGTCGTCTGGCTCTTCTCGCGTGGAGTCGGAGCATGGAGCCGACATGGGCGACCAAACATTCTACGCGGCAAAGGAATCTTCCTTGACAAACTTCGGCACCTTTCCCCTGACTGACCTTGCAGGCTCTTGTAAGCCACGGTCAGGTCTGATGGTCGTTTCTGTGGCATCCATACCGCAGGGCCGTCTTCCTCCCAGAGATGCTCATCATCCAGACGATGACTGACCGTCTTGTGAAGCCACATACGTCGGGCGCAGCAAACGGGACGGGGATTCAGGGGCTCTCTGAGGCCAAGACAAAGATTGCATACGAAGGCACACACCAGTCGTGCAGACAGTGATGGTCATAGAAGGTGTGTGATCCAAAATCCTAGTGGACGCCAACACCGGCGTGCTACACTTCAAGGGGTGATGGCGTTCTTCGATCCTTTCCATGCAGAGTAAGGTCGTCGCCCCGGGCCAGGTACGAGACCACGTTGCAATTTCTGAAACACTTGCAGATGTCTGTCCCTGTAAGGGTACCTGAGGGATCTTGATTGATTCGTGGGATCGTTGAAGCGAAAAGAGCTCGTGGCATATACCCCTCCCACACCTCGAGCCCTCGGAAGCTGAGGTGCATGGCATGGCATGGACAAGGCAGGATCCGTCAGCCAGCGAGCAGGGAAATGAACCTTAGCCTAGGCAAGGATTCTCAGCCTACTATCTGTGGGACGGTCTCTTCGCTTTCGCCGACTCTTCCATGCTAACTATGCTGGGCCAGTGCCCGCTGTACAGAGGTATGCATCATGGCCTCACTAGCCTTAAGGGAGGGTCCGCTGAACGTTCAGTCGCGTGGTTACTCGGAGTTCTCGGGAGGTGACTGCAGGGTGCGGTTTGGGCTTTGAAGGTTAGGTCAGGATTTCAATTGGAACAGGTTGAATGGTTTGGTGTCCTTGAGCTTCGTTACACAGCAGAACATACGGACTAGATCCTTCTTCTTGGTAGGGAATGGACAGAGCAACATTACGAGGTGCTATTACTAGCAAACATGAACGAAGTCCAAACACAGGCCAATGGCCCGGACGAACAAGCCGGCTCCTCCTGCCTTATCTTCACCTCTAATCACGAGAAGCTTTGCGTCGCCTAAATAAACTGACTACCCCGATCGCGGAAGTGGTCCGGGGCGCAAAGGGGCGCCTAGTGGGCTCTTAGCGGGCTCCTAGGGGACCCCGGGTGCCCGTCCGTCTAGGGAGTGCAAAGTCTAACTCAGCTATCTGTCATCCTTCGACCAGCACACTGACAGCCCGCCATATCCTCAGACATTGTGAGACCTTCTATCAACTTATGCACGCTGCGCTCTATGAGGTAGCTGCAGGGGGATCAGCGTGGCCGGGGCAATGTCACCAAGCCGCTATGAAGTGCCCGAAGAAAAAGTAGCCAGGCAGAATGCAAGGGCTTGCTCCTCGTTAGAGGGATGTTAATCTCGTGCGCAGACTGTGTGCCATCGAGCATGCGGTTCCGCCCTAACTAACACTCATGAAGCGGCTAGACGAGCCAGGAGGATCACCAACTTTGGGCCGTGTTTGTACCTCGTGCCTTCTGATTATCTTTCAGAACCTTGTCGCTGTCTCTGTCCCGAGAGATCCAACTATATGCGATAGAAAGATCACAGGTCCATAGTCTTAGAGCCTAACAGTTCCGAGCCCCGGGATTCGAGATTAAATTAGCAGAATACTACCCTGTCTAAGCGAGAGGTTCTCCCTGATAACATCAAAAGGACAGAGTCTGTCTGCAACATCAAACAATCACACACGCGTCTGATCATGTGGTTCGTGGACATCGCTGAAAGGCCTTGAACCCCTGCTGTCCCAGAGCCTCCAAATCGTTACTGTCCTATCTGAATATGGGACAATATACACCATTCCAAAGTTTGAAATGCTGAGATGGGTTGACTTGGACCTGTGTATGAGACTGTATCCAACTTCTGTTCGTGCAACATTGGATAAAGATCAAAAAATCAGAATAGAACTCCGATATGCAGCCCCCGTTACCATGACGCTCAATGATAGATAAACAAACAAAATCAACTTTTGGCTTTGCGGTCGTGCCTCTCAATTGCGATCAATGCTGGGATCAAACAAACGGCACCCGATGCCATGACGGCACCGACAAATATTTGTGCATGAAGAAAGTTTCCGGAAGCGACGTTTGCGAGGGCTCCCGCAATGGGCGACCCGATGATAGACCCGATGGCGGCGGCACTCTAGCAATCAATGTCAGTCAGGGAACTCGGAGAAGGGCTCATCCAAGCACGCTATATCTGCGTAACAGATAAGGAGAGGAAAGTGACTTACCCAGCTCATTCCCATCCTGGTGCCTATCACGCCCATATTGGGTGATATCACAGGATGTGGCATCGTGGAGGTTGGGGCGGTGACCAAGACCCCTGCAACGAATCCCCAGAGGATGCACCAGACAATAAACGCCGCTGAGCTGTGAATGGCGATCCAGGAGAACGTCAGGATCGTGCCGAGGACGGCGGAGAAGATGAGGGTGTAGACGGGCTTCACCCGCCGGCCCAGAAGGTAGGGAAACGTGCGACCGAGGAACGAGCCACCGTTCAAGATGGCGAGCATGTAGAAGGCCATGTCTTCCGACGTATGCAACACCCAGCGTGCCCAAGAGACGATGAAGAACAGAGGGATGTAGTATGCCAAAAAGAGGAAGAACAATGAGGCGGTCCAGGACAGGAAGATCGGCTCCCGGAGTGCGGTCAGGTCCCAGAGAGATCTTCGTTGGGCGCCTCCCTCTTTCCTATGTCTGCCCAGGATGACGCAGATGAGCACTGCAAATGCCAGGTTGATGAAGCCAATACAGCGAACCGTCCAGCCATATCCAATCTGTGGTTGTAGTCGACGAAACATAATGGGGAAGATGACGCCGCCCGCACTCGAGCCGACCGCCGCAATCCCGATCGCGATGGGCCGTTTGGTGGTGAAATAGGTCGAAATGAGCGCCAGGGTCGGGACGTAGGAGAGCCCGGCTCCCATGCCGACACAGATCCCTTGGGCCAGAAAGACTTGGTAGTACGACTTGGCCAGGCTGGTCATCATCATGCCGAACACAGTAAGGAAACAACCGCTAAGACGAGCGATCTGAGATAGCCGCGATCGAAGAGGGGTCCGCCAAACACGCCCGTGAAGACGACCAGAAAGGCCTGGACGCTGCCGATCCATGATATGGCGGATGCCGACTCGTTGGAGAGGAGGTCTCTGATGAAGAATGCTTGGAATGCACCAAACGTGCTCACGATGCCCCAGACATTGGCAAACACCAGGAATCCTGCAAAGACCAGCAGCCATGCCTCGAACCCTCCGTTGGGAGGTACAAAGCCAAGATGCTGGGGAGGCACTTGCTGTGCACTGTGTTCGTGTTCGTCGACATCTGCAATGGGAGTCGGTGGTGTCTTTTCGGAGATATCCCACGTATTCTGTGGAGGAGTGCCTGGCTGGTCCTCTTCGTCATTTCTGTCAACGAGGGGAACGCGCATAGTGAAGATTGTGTAGCAGGTTGAGCTGCATCCAGTTCGTATCTTAGGCGTCGTCGCCAAGGTCAATCACTCGACCTGCTTTCCAGTAGTGAAGACATAACGTTGAAGATGGAAAAAGGCATCATCGTAAAAGCTAGAGGCTCCAACTTTTTACCCCGTACAATAGTCTGGCGCTGAGCGTGCCGGGATCCCGGTGGCGTCGTTTAAGGAATACTTCCCTGGGGATGTGGCCGAGGTCGCGGGGAATTGCTCCGCACGGCAGATTGGATGCTGTAATAATAATAGAATACTGGGTAGGTAAATAGAATGGAAGAGGGAATACCGAGTAGATGTCGCCATCGTGCCGTGCTGGGTGCCGTACCTAATGCCGTTCTCTTACCTAATACCTTCGCTGTTCGCCGGTCTCAGTGCCGGCTATACGCGAACCTCGTAGGTGGCGTACTTCGTACGAAGGGACAAGGTGCTTGATCGACTATGTACTTGCCAGAGAAGACAATGTCATCAATTTGAAGGGAGGTGATTCATGCTTTTCTGTCATTGGATGTTCGAATTGGGGAAGAAGCTTAAAGACTCGTTCGATATACATACATATGTACATACATACATAAACCATTGACCCCGTAATCCCCCGAAGAGCCACCAGACTGGGTCACTCTAATAGACTCAACCATCTCACCTGTCAGGAAGGAATATCATAGTAGGGTGGTGATGGCTACCCCCAGGACAACCTGCTGTGAGAGCGCGAAAACAAAAGTTAACCTAAGTACCTAGGCCCTAGGTGCTCTAGTGATGGACTCTAGGTGCCCGTAGTGGTAGACACTAGGTGGTAGTTTAGGCGTCAGCAGGCTAGGCGTGAACATAACGAAACGAAAAGCCCTTTAGCACGTGACGTTGCAAAAAGACAGCCAGTCGGATGCGAGTATTCCTCCAGACCAATCATATCCGTGGCTTTTTTGACAAAGTTACCTGTCATGTACTGTTTCGTTTCGCTCAACAGGAAAAGGAAACGGCATGATCTCGCTGCTTTTGTTCTCCCTGGCCAACCCTCGTGTTCAAGCACTTTCAAACTATATTGCTTGGTCAGTCTCATCACTCTTCTAAGATACTGTACTCCGTACAATCTCAGCCTTGCCTCTTCATCAGCTAAGTGGAGCCATCATTATCTCGCCATTCGCTTGGAAAATGGCGCCATAGTATAGGACATGAAATCTTCGGCGAGCAGCGATACGGGAATGTTTCGGTCACAACGAAGAATGCCCCATATAAGCTATGCATGGTAGTTGTTATTCTAGCGGAATTCTCCTCCAGTTTGGTGGTTGTTCTGTAGAACGGATGCTTGCGGAGAATATCAACCTCTGGCTTCCCTGACCTTTACTGGGCCTCTTTTTGTTCTCCATCGAAGTCGTACCTTGCAGGCTGGAAATCCAAGCCGGAAAGATTGGACAACCAACTTCAACTTTGTCAGCCATGTTTCGAACTCGTGTTGCTATAGCGGCCAGCCGCTCCCTCCGTGTCCGACAGACAAAATCATCTCTTCTCCAACCGACAGTCAGCTTCCGTCAATTTTCTGGTTCGGCAACTGCCTCCCAGAGCCTCCCAGTGCGAATTCGCGGGCGAGGCACTGGCACTCTGCAAACCATCGACGTGGAGGGGAAGCCGTATAAGATTCAGACGGACACGTACCAGGTTCTGGGCGGAAACGACTCGGCACCGTCACCGGTGTCCTACTCCATGGCCAGCCTAGGTTCTTGCACGCAGGTGACGGGATCTGTGGTTGCCAAGGACCACGGTATTAAGCTTGGGCAATGGGACGTGGCGGTCGAGGGCATCCTGCCCACCGCGGTGCTGGTCAAAGGCGAGCAAGGGAACCCGAACTGGGAGAAGGTCACGGTCAAAGTGAAAGTTCAAACCGATGTCAAGGGCGGCAGCCTCGATCCGAAGTTCAAGCATTTTGCCACTGAGGTAGAACGGCGGTGTCCCATCACGCAGCTCTTCGTCCGCAGCGGAGTTGCATTCAGCAGTGAGTGGATAAACGAGCCTCTTTAAGACATGCACGCTCGGGTAGAGGCCGTGCCGACAGAAGTGTACAAATGATTGTTCCAGAAGAGTGAGTACAAAGAGGGACGGTTCCGTAAGATATTTGAATGACGAAGCAACCTCCGGATGGATTAGGGCAGGAGGATTGCTCTCTGCAAGCCAGTTGGACGGTGTCGTGTCGGTGAAGACTCCTTCCAAGCTGATAGTCAATGACATTTGTGGTGAAAAATTCTCTTCGTTGACTTCTTTCAGCTACCATGGGACATGAACTGCATTCAAGCTGGAGATGCTACTGCAACTGAGAGTCTATGTCGCCGCAGATGCGTAGCAAGGTTGTGGAGGATGGTAGCTTTGCGCTTGAGGGTCTGCAAGAGGTCTTCTCCTGGTCCACGCCACGTTCTTGCGCACATACAAATAGCCAGTTACCTCCAGTGGAAGGACAACATTCGCATCGAGCTCAAGCTACCTGAAGTGGGATCTCCCTTTATGAACAATCGCGTACAAAGTTGCGTCTAGCTTTAATACCTCATGGGGTCCTCAGCCAGACACATCTTGCACCAACGCAATGCGACCATCTCAGATGCCCAGTCAAGAGCTCGACTTCGAACGTGCGTTCCTGGGCGAGGTGGAACATCGCTCCATCCGCACAATAACCTAATACTCTCTTGGATACAGCTGCTGTTTGAGCGTAGTGAGGCGCATAGAGCCTACGTGGACGGAGCCTGTTCACACCGAGTTCAAGAGCGACAGGAGTCCAAACACAGGCTGCTGAACAGCTTCTTGCAATCGGTTGACGGTGGAGGTTCGGAAACAATTGCGCTATTACCTGGGCGCTTTAGAGTGGGCGGATTTGCTTTCCTCGCTAATGGGTCTCAATGGCCGCTGGAGAAGTCTGGAGCTGTGGACGACCAGGAGGAGGGAGAGGGCGATCTCAAGCCGATCAGTACAACCCCAACTGGACTCAAGAAGCCCGACCTTGCCGGAGGTGAAAGGTGCAGAGTGGGATCCACGCGCGACGAAGTTCCCTCCAGCTTTATGCTTGACCCGCTCCAGACCTTTTTCGACCTTCTGGAGAATCGTGGCTATGAAGTTCCTCCTACGCTTACTCTCCAGCTCGCCTTATCGCTGCTAAAGCATGGCCACGCCCAGGGTGGGGACGCAGCGCGCCGTAAGTGCTTCGAGGACTTTGCCCTTTTCATGACTTGTGTCGGGCTGGATCGAATGAGTGAGCGATTCGATTTTGGGGCGAGCAATCAGAACTTTTTCGGATGACGACGAACCAACGCCAGAATGGCCCATCGATGCCGTGAGTAATCTCGAGACTCCCCGAGCGAAGAGGGTATGTTTGCTTCGGTGCCAGTGCTCTAACCTCACAAAATGAAGCATTATTCAGAATTTTCCCGAGGAGGCTGAAGCTCATCAGCCAGGCTGAGCACCAGCAGTTGGGAGAGATGGACTAGGGTGGGTTCTGTTATATACTCCGCCTCATCTTCGACGCCTGTGCGAGGGAGAGCAAGATGAGTTGACGTGTTCGATCTCGACGACAAGGCGTCGAGCACGGGCACCTGAGGTGTGGACGAGTTCCGGTTCCGGGCATGGTCCAAGAGCTTTAACGGGATAAAGACAGTCTTCCGCAAAGTGCTTCACACACTGGCAGAGAAAAGGCGTCGACGTCTTCGAGAAGAAAGAAAAAAGGCCCAGTCTTGCAGCTTGACGTACAGAGGAGGTAACGAGGATGGCAAAGAGAGGAGCTCAGATCAAGCAAATGGAAAAGAACGGTCGTGGTTGATCAGAGGCAACGGTGTTAAAAAGAAATAGTAGACCACTATGATGGTGGCCATGATGAAGACGAACACCACGCCTCCCTCCGTCTGCGAAATTTTGGCGTCAATTTCGTACTGTTTCCCCAATAAAACACATGTGCTTGCGCTGTAAATGTCCCCCGTGCCTCATAGCTGCATTAGGGGACCATTTCATTCCACCGACCCATGCACTACGGTTCATGGAGTCAGTCTATCATGAAACAACCTCCTCGACTTTCTAAGCGACCCTCCTGGTCACAACCACGAGGGCGCTGTAGGGCGTGAGACACGGTTGTTCGATCCAAGACGTGCTTGATCCTCGAATGATCCAAAGACGGCTCGCAGAACGAGCGCCGGAAAGGCGGAAAAGAAAACGACCCCCGAGAACGTCCAGGCATTTTCTTGATTGAATGGCCATTAATTTCCCCCCACTGAGGCAGGCATTAGAAGGGACCCTCCGTCTGGGTCCGGCCCCAATCGGTCCATTGTTTCCGCTCAGTTGTAGAGTGTGTGTGGTGGTGGTAGTGGTTTCATCAGCTGCACTCCCCGTGCGCGAACAGAAACCATTACCACCAAGGATGGATCGTCTGGTCAAATACGCATGGCCGAAATCGTCGTAAAGCAGGTGTTTTTGCGTGAGCCGAGTAGCTGAAAGCGCTCTTCGATAGATTGTCAATCGATCATCGAAGTCCTCCAGAGAGCACTTCTTCGCAAATCACCGCTTCCACTCTCCCCTGCCTCTCATGTGCCCCTCGATAGACCTCCACACCTCCTCGACAGTCTCCCTATCTCTCCACCGTCTGGACATCCTTGTCTCTTGCTCGACATTTTGCCCGTGCGCTCGTTCGTCCCACCTCTCAACAGCAAAGGTCTTGACGCTAGATCCCCACCCTTTGACCTCGGCCGGGATGGGAAGTCCTTTCTCCCCGACATAAATACCGAGGACGTGGCCAAACAACTCCTGCGGCTCTCGCCATTTGTAGCCTCGAAACTGCCAAATCTGGCCGGTCGTGAAGACAGCAACGACCCGGGACCAGTAATCTGGCTTGAAGTGTTCGGGGGAATCGACCAGGATGAAGCGGTACGGTTTCTCACTCAGAGAATGCATTGTACGAGTAATGTGCAGGAGGTTGGCTGTAGTTTGCGTGGACAGAGTGGGATGATCAGGCGGGACGTACAGGCCAGTGTCCAGAAAAGTTTTGATGTTGGACATGCGAAGCAAGGATGATGCTGACGGAGACAAGAGAATGATTGGATCGGACCGTTTCGAGGACACGGCTGAGGCGAGAGGTTTGGATGAGTTTGCGGCAGGTCGAGCGGCAAGTTGAGCTGATTTTGCCGGGAGGCCACCTGGGCGTCCGGATGAAGGGACGCCTTTTCGTCGTCCGAGGAAGGTTTCTGCGTGTTTGCGGACATGTGAAAAGTCCTGTCAAAGAGTTAGCGGGCGGGATAGAGACGCTGACGAGAGATTTCTCACCGTAGGCTTGATCCCTCGTAACACGGTATTGTGGTCGCCCATCCTTCGTTCACCATTGTAAATTGCCTGCAGCCGGGCATCGATCACCTTAACAGGCCTTCCACCAGCAGATTGTGTAACGCCGACTCCCGAGCCACTGACTGTAGGGACGGCCGCACCGCCAGCGACATCCGCAGCCCTGTTGACCGCATCTCCCAGAGCAGTGGCACCCTCAAGCGGCTTGATATATTCAGACTCTTCCGACGCGCCTTCAAGCCAAGTGATCAAGTCCAGACGCTCGACAAAGATGAGATTTCGCACTTTGTGGCCCTCAGGCAATTCCTTGTCGAGCTCCGCGGCGCGGGCAATGTACTCGGGCACGGGGACATCCTTCTGTTGCCAGGCGAAGAAGATGCTGCGTAGGTCAACTTGCGTAGTGTCTGGATTCTGCGATGTAAACCGCGTCTTCGTATCTAGAGGGAGACATTGTGGGACAGGATGTGTGAAGTAGAGATGTGTCGCCTCGACCAGGGAATCGGTTTGCGCTGTTTCGGCGTTGGCAGGATCTGATGTTTTCGTGAGCACCGGGGGCTTGGAGACCGCAATCGAGGATCGCAGCAGCTGCAGCGCATCTGCGGACGCCATCTCTTAGGTCGACAGGGGTAAGTGTTTTGTCTGGGTCGTTACGGCATCGCCGTGCGCGACTGATGTTGTAGAGGGTTGCATGCAGGAGAAGCCGTTTCATTCACCTTGCAGTATTTCCGAGAGTGGAACGGAGGAACAGATAGTCCGGTGAGTCACGGATTATGATTGTTCCGGCGCCCCCTTTTTCTACGCATGGCCTTCAGCCTCAGAGGGCCACGCATGAACGGCGCAAGCCACTTTCCACGGGGCCTAGCAAACATCTGCTGCATTTGTGCTCAAGTCGTTGCTAACAATGCCATTCAATGCATTCTCCGACTCATGTTACATGCGCCATGCACCGTGCCCGGTCAGCGTGCCATTAACTGAAGGATGGACTGCAGGAATACGGGGATCTTCGAACTCGGTCATCTCGCTTCCCCATTCGAATCTCCCTTCTGGAAGATTGCCCTTCTAGGGGGATATCCAGCAGAGGGGCCACGAAATTAAGGTGTTGGCATCGGGTGTGGGCTCTTCTTGTACGAGTACTTCGTTCAGAAACGTTGTACGGTATGTATTCACGGGGTGGGTAGGGTACTGCTGGTGCGAGGCGCAGTCACTCTTCACCATATCGCTGTTCCCACGAGAATGTCAACCTGGGGGCAGTTGCAGCTTCTAATTATTCACGGGAGGAATTCCAGAGGTACTTGGACAGACTGTCATATTCTGCAATATCTTGGAAGACTAGTCGATCTCGTTGTGGTTTCCAACACAGCTATCCATTGCCACGCCGTACAGCGACCAACACGTCGAGCCTTCTCCTAATGCTCAGCCAATGTCTTCAATGATCTCGATCCCACACCCTATTTTTCGTCCCTTCTCCCTATCCACACTTTATTTGCGTCCTCCACAGGGGTATCTTTCCAATGCAAATGCAGAATGGAGTGCTCGCGCTCCTAAAGCTATGCCCGGTTGTAGGAAAACAACACCCAGCCACCCCTCCGACCACGCTATGCAGAACCTGTACATGATTGTATGCAACAGATGTGGCAGTACACTGCCGAAAGATGAATCATTCTATTCTCGCAAGAAGACAAATCGCGAGAGTCATGGACATGCTCGTGCAAGGGCACCCAGCTTCGCCCGCAATGAGGTCATGTCGTTTTGTACAGCGAATCCGTACCACAGATTCTGAACTCGTATACTCATCACATTGAAATGTGGTGTTGTAAAATGATATCGCTGAAATCAGCGTGGACCACTTGGTGGGGTTTGTTTTCAAGTCGTCTTTGGCAAAGATTCAGAGCCGGAGAAAGGTTATGATCGTGTGTTCGACCGACTGACAGTCCGGTCGGGTGCGGGTGACATTGCGCGGTTCGAGCCGATCAAATCGATTTCGTGGTCTCGAAGGACTGCGGCATGCCGGGGATCTCGAAGGAATTTGGGCACGGAATCCTGCGACCTCCGGTCAATGTAAATCCAAAAGATGGGTGTGGCCAACGTACGCTAGCCATCAGTTTGAAGACAGCACTTTGGGCAAGCTCAAATAAGTCCACCACTTCCTCGAGACTCTCACGCATTGATTCATCATCAGTATTGGTACGAATCATTCGGGAGTCGAGACGGTTTCGTAGGGAATGGTCGATGTTGAGCTCCGAAGGTGCTCCAGACGCAAGAAATGAGTTGTAGAGACCTAAACCGATCAGCCACGATGGTTTGGGAAGCAGGCAGCGTCAATTCACTTACCATATGCAGCAGCGAGTGTGTCCTTAACAGCTTCAGGACGTTCCAGCTTTCCAGACTTCTCCAGGTTCCGATAATTGCTGGTGAAATCCGATACGTCGAAATAGAATTGCAAATTCTCTTCGCAGAGTGACTGCCTAAGAAACTCTCTGAAGAGCAGCCGCAGTGCAGCATCTTGCAGGATCACGTTCAATCGGCTGACATTGGAGTCCCTAGCAAGTCGGCTCTTGTGATCTTTTGTATCCCGACTGTCTTCACTGTCAATGCTCGCGGGCCGTGCAAGCCAGCCACACACCCGTTGTCCCCTCTCGGTGAATGTGTAAATGGCATGCTTGGTGGGTTGGAAGTACGTGGCCATGGGGTTCAGTCGGATGTATGCTCGATCTTCCACGACCGGAGCCATCAGTTGCCACTTCACAAACAGTTCTGCCATCTCGTAGGTTTCTCTGCGATCGATAGTTGTGCAGCAATCGAGCAACCAGTCGGACGCTGCTTTACCAGTGAAACTATTGTTCACCAGTTTGTCCAACACTCTGCGTTCCTTGGCCATCTTGACACCAACAAGTCCCGACGCATACTCGGACACGGAGTCAGAGTCAGACAAGGACGTAGAACTCTTCAGGTTAGGGCCTTCTGAACCCATGAATCGGCGGAAGATGATCTCAATCGTCGGCCTGTCCTGCACAAGTTTGTCGGTGGACGAGTCCCTTTCCAAGGATACCATCTGCATCTGGTTTCGCCGTAGTATGGGTTCGATATGCCGTGCATTGATTCCATTCCGACTACAGAACCGGTGTAGGGTGGCAGATCCTTTAGGTGTCAGTTGCCACACACCACCCTTGGCCACAAAGACGTTGTTCCCTTTGGACTCGGCAGATTCAATCAGCCGGGCGTCCACAAACCGTTGGCACACTGAGCGGGCCATTTCCTTGGCCATAGAAAAGGTGGTCGTTGTGGTGGTGACGACCCATCGTGACGGGTTCTTCGGGTCGGGTATGCGGTTGGACTGAGAGAATTTGAGAGAACCAAGATTGGTGATGGCCTCTTCTGACAGAAACGTCTCCTCGACCCTCGAGAATCGAACCCGATGAGGGGTGAGTGGGAGGCTGGTAATAAGAGTGGCGAACAAGTCTTGAAAGTCCCTGGTAAAAGGCCTCTCATCGTCGGTCATGCGTAAAATCTTGGAAGACGTCTGGTGCATTTTCCCATCTTTCCGGTCTGGGTTCGGCATTGATGGGATGGTGGTACTGCTTCTCGATTCTTGGACTGGAAGGCGGATCCCGCTGATTCTCCGCGCATGAGCTGCCGCCTGCACTTCTGGCGAGGTTGGCGAGCGCGGAAGACTTGGTCGTGGGATATTGGGAGAGGCGGAGTGTTTAGACAGACTTCCCGACGAGGTTGCCGAGCGCAGACTTGGTGTGGAACTCGTGCCCAGGGAGGCGAGATTGGCGAAGGCGTTGGAAGTCTTCTCGCGCGCCAGAGATGCCAGCGACCGTCTACTTTTGCTTTGGGTGAGACTGGTTGAACTGGAGTGGTGGTGATGAAGTGGGCGAGTAGAGTCGGTACGAGGCGAATTCGAGGCGGAAGAGGAATCGTGGGCGATATCAGGCGAACCGACTTGGGCAGGTAAATTTGGAACAGGCGCCGAAGTCATAGAGTCGTCCACTGACACATCCGTTGGCTCGGACATGGAGAAGACTGGAAATCATGCGGGTAAAGATGCTCAGGACTTGGACAGGTTCCGCACAGCATCGCACTCGTACTGGGCGATTTCAGAGGGCCAGAGGAGCAGGACTGGCGGTCGACGATAGTGTGGCAGAAACACCAACGGGGCGCAACCCACGACCCACGAAGAGCCGGGATTGCTCACCACGAGACCACGAGGATAGTGGAGCCACTTAAGCCGCAAGCTAGCAAGGTCCTGGGCTCGGTGGCCCTGGCAGGGGGGGTGGGAGTAAGGTCACCAGGGTTGAAAGTGGGTAAAGATGTAATAATTATTCGAGAAGAGTTCGCTCCGGGCCACTTACGACCCCGTCGCCCACTACCGAGTGTGTCTTCTGTCCTCCGGAAGTGTGTGCTGAGCCAGGCCCGCCAGGAGCGTGCTGACAGGGCGAGAGGAGGCAGATCGAGTTAGGCGCACGATTTGGCGAAGACGCCGGACACTTTGGGAGGACGTTGAACTGGAAGTGATCTTCAACAGCCTGTTGGTCTGAAGGGTTTTGTTCAAAGGGCCTCCCAAGGAGGAAAGTTAGTGCTCGACTCCTCTCGTAACGAGCGACGATGGAGCCACGATCGAAACAAGTAACCGCTGGTAGGGCAGCTTGTCTGAGTATTGTCTGAACCAGGGCTGAATCAAATCTGAGATGGAAGATTGGAAGATGTACAATAGGAGTCTGGTTTTGATGAGGTGGCGATGATGGAGGCGCGGGCAGGGTTCTTTTTTTTTTCCTTCACTCCTTTTGTTCTCTTCCTGTTTGCGTTTGGTAAAAGGTTCGACGAGGGCGATCTGCCGGAGATCTTTTTTGCTGGACGATGATACAATGGATGTGGCCTATGGTAAGACTGAATTCTTATTCAAGAAGGTAGATTGATGCCCAGGAGGGGGAACAAAGGAGATGATTGAGAATGAGATGTACGAGGAAATAAGAACTGAGATTTGTGACAACAGTGATTGACAAGACTGTGATTATTTGGATATGCCTTTGACTACCTACAGTACTGCTAAGCATATTCTGCATCCCAACAACGTGGCCCCGGACAAGTACCAGTAAGAATCAGCATAATCCTCAGGCGGGCGTCACCCAGACGGGAAGGGGGCCAGGCAAGCACACAACCGAGGAGCTCCACGGGAGGGCGGCGGGCGTTACTGACAGCGGGCACCGGGCTTGCCCTGACAGCACCCACAAATACCTAACCTAGCACGCTACCTACCTGAAGAAAAAGACTGACTGTTCGGGTGGGTGGCAGTCCCCTCCATTTCCAAAGGCGTCTTGTCCTCCGGTGTCTGGATGCCTAACCGCCTGCCTATTCTGAATCTTTTGGCGCCTCTGCCAAACTTGTCACCACCAACTTTTTCTTACTGGGCTTTTCAACGTCACCCACCCTAATTGCTAACAGTACGGAGTAAAAATGGACCCAACTACAGGATACCATGTCAGAGCCTCACCACTCTATTCCCCATACAGCCCACCCACCGTCACTCGAGACGGATGCTTTGGGAAATGTTTCCAGAACCATCACCCCCCTAAGTGGTGCACACGAGTAATCATACCGCCCATGGTCCTCTCCGCCTGCTGCCTAACCCATTCACAGGCTTGCACTCATTCCGGGCGCTTTTCCAGTTGCGGGCAGAGCCACAACCACGATACAAAACGCCATGATGGCGCAAATGCGTCCCATCCCATCAGCAGGTTAGACAAGTACGAGTCGCTTTTTACCCGTGTTCTTAAAGGACATCAACTCCGCACATTGTCACGTCCAACACACCATGCAACTCGAGACTGGGTGTGACCCGGATCAAAACAAATTGCGGATTTCTATGACCGATGGAATGGTACGGTGTGCGCCTACCACAACTAGGACGCTTGAGGCACTCGGAAAGATACGGCAGTAGTTAACTAGAGGTCCACCACAATTCCATGTTCTGTGGTAATCTCTTATGCAACCTATTCGCAGGCCAAGAAGCCCGCTTCGAGGTAGCAACATACAGAGTTTGTCGTATATCATATCGTCAAGAGTGTCTTGGTGACATTGGGGATCCTTCATGCTATTCCCTGTGGACTGGCAGCCCACCAACTGATACTTGGCCCAAAATTTAGAAGCGGATCCTCGTCATTAAACAGCAGACGATCTTCGTCGGAACTGGAACTGACACCACGGAGGATCCCCACAGGTTGTAAGGGAAACAAGTGCGTGCGTGTGTGCGTGCGTGCGTCCTTGGGATTATCACGTTTTCCGGAGATTAACAGAGGCTCGACGCATCATTGGTTCGAGTCATGGCAAAGGACTCGGCATGACATCCTTCGCATCCCGACCAGCAGGCTGACTTCCTCGGAGTTTCGCAGCGCTGCTCAGATATCGATGTCTGGGCGGCTTGGGTGCGAGACCAGGTCTCTGACCTTCCCAGCCAAGCGAGTGTCGCCCGAGCAGATGTTATCTCCAGCCGATGGCTTCAGGGTAGGAAACATTGGTGGTTTCGGATGCTCGGAGGAGTTTGGAGATTCAAGGCCTCCAGAACGTCGAACACCCTTAGTCAGGACGCAAGGAGCCGTGGACGGGTACTCTCGATGGGGGAGTACCTCGTACACCACCCTCAAAATTAATGGCGATACATATCACACCATCTTGTGGCTATGACTTGGTCCGACAAAGCTTCAGTGCCGGGGCGCCGTGCGAATTCCCCTCTCTCCAATATCAAGCTTTCGAGAACAGGGAATGCAGGGGGTAGCAAGAGAACAAGGGCACCGCAAAGGGCATAGGCGGAGAAGGTTGAGATTCGAGAAGGCTGTCGGCCACTTTCCGGTGCCCAGGCTTCTAATATAGAGGGACTGCCGCTTGATTCGCTCGGGCCGATCATTGGAAGGACTAACCACGGTTCATTCATCTCAAACGAACAGTTCCCCAAAGTCCTCGACACTGTACGTACAACCTGATGTGCCAAGAGGAGATGGTTCTGCAACCTCAATCACGGTTGTCGTGCCGCAGACTTTGCGTCGAGGTCTGACCTTGACCAATGGTCATTGGCTACGCCAGTTTTAGGGGCGCCGATGGAGTAGGGTAGAAGACGTGGCATGGCCAGTTCTCTGCCTCAAGGTTCAAACTTCAACCGTCATGTTCGAGGTTGGTGATCGTCAGGATTGAGATGAAACGAACTAAGGGAGGGGATTTTGCATCAAACCAATGACACCCTGGCAATGTCACAGTTAAGGTCTAGTCGTAAGGAGTTTAGGACCTAGGCGAGCAACAAGCTTCAGGTGTTTTGGCGTGGTGAAAAAAGCCCTGGGGCTACGTCAGGAGCGTACTAGGCTGTGCAGCTGAGGGAAGCACCGGCACTGGTGGGTGGTCCAGCTGCTTAGCCCTGGCGCCTGGTCCAGGGAGGCCACGTGGAAAAATGTCCAGGCCACTTCTTCAGGTGTGGGCGCCAGGGGTGGGGGTGCCTGACTTGGGGACCACAAATCACAGCCTTGGTCCTTGGAACAATCAAACCCATGTCCATAGAAGTCGGGGCTGACAGCCAGCTGTCTCCCAGGCTTCGAGAAACGTTCCAGGTTCCACAATGGAAGCAGTTTAATTTGAAATCGATCCACCTGTTAGGTGCCAGGCGTCGCACTTGACGGAGCAACTTATCCAACATCCATGCCTGGTGGGCACCTTGGGAACACCATGTCAATCAGCAGGGCTGAAGATAGCTCAGCTGCTCCTAGTCGTTCAAAAAAGGGGGGGTGGAGGGGAAGGGGGGCCGACATTTATCATGGGCGTTGAAAGAGGGTGCAGATTCTGTCATCCCCTCTCATCCATCTCCATCTATCTCCGTCCATCAACCCACCGACACCTTTAACTCACAGTGGCTAGCGAGGGCGAGTTTCTCCACGCCGCCTCCTGCGCCTGGTTTCGATTTTTCGTTCCCCAATTTTTCCCTTTCCCTCGACCACTCTTTGGAGGCAGAAATGAGCTGGGCCTTCAAACCACGCCGGTCGCCAGCCTAGCGGTCAAATCCGCCTCGCACCTTGCTTGATGAAGACTCCTCTTTGGGCATGAAGTGACCGCCTATTGCGATCCAACTCCCATTCGTCCCTGTGCCAGCAGTCCATTTTCCCTTTCCAGGTGTTTGACGAGGCAATCCAGAAGCAGTCATGGAAACATTTCATCACTCTGTCAATCCTTCCAACCCCCACCCCGGTTTGAAGGGCCTGAACCTGTGGCGGCTTTTCGGCACGTCATAACTGGTGAGACTTCTAATTGTGCAAACGTCAACCATCTCAAACTACATGGACCAGTTCCCTTCTTTCAATTCTGGTTGCAACGTGTCACAAGCTTCAACACCAGACGTCCAAACTCCGCAGCCGCTAAGGATCCGTCCCCATCCGGTGGACTGGAGTGACTGGCAATAAGAACTGGCGGACTGGGGCAGAAAAACAAGGAAACAAGAGAAAAAGCATCGCTATTAGCCACAGAGGACCATTTGCCATCCTCTAACTGGCATCGGAACTTCCCTGCACGATCTCTGCACGCGTGGTGCAACAGGGCCCTGCAGCTCGTATTGACGGTCAACCCGCTTCATCCTCGCGCAAGTGTTGGCATGCAACCACGGCACAAAAGGGAACGCTTCCCGCAAAAGTCCTGGGCCAAGAGGCTCTATTCATGAAATGGTATCGGAAACCTTGTCCTTCCTGCCTGACGCTGGATGGACTCCTTGTACGAGTCATGGAGGCCACGCTGGACCGAGGGAACATGACCATGAACGTTGGGCAGTAGAAAAAACCTACCGTGCAGGTGTTCCGTGTCTCAGATCTCGACTTCTGCGCTGACTCGGCACATCCGCAGGCTCTGGACTCATGCTCAGCCAGTCCAAGCCTCTCAGCTCCCGAGGAGGTGAAAACTCCGATTCGACCTCGTGTCGCTGTGCTACCACCCCATTCAAAGCGTCCAATGTTAGTCCAATAATCAACCCAGGGCTAGACTCGCATCCACCTTGCATCGACGCAGTCTAGCATCTTCCCTGTTCCACGTGGCCGACGCCTCTGAACCCAGATTTTGTGGCGGCCACGAGGTTTTCTGCGGGACACTGCGTTCCACAGCATTAAGTTGGAGGCACTGCAGCCCAGCTGTAGAGGCCTGGGGGTGGCATGAACATGACATGGCACAATTGGCCACGACTCTCATTCGAACTGCCTTTTTGGTTGCCTCCCAAACCACCCAGGCGCTTTCACGTTGCACGGGACAAGCGACGGTCGCTGGCAGGAATATTCCTATGTATTCATCCACAGATCCCCAGCTGATCTTCATATTCATAAGCACGACCCTCTATCAACATTGTGAGCCTCTCGAGCGGAACCCAGCAGGTTTGCGCTCAAGCTTTCGAATCAATAATGTGCGATAGCCAAGTCTGATGCACAGAAGATGCGCAGAGCATGCTGCTCAGGAACCACAGATTTTTCTTATTGGGCTAAGAGTACGTCTAGATTACATATCATTCTACAATTGGAATGCCTGGAGCTTTGGGCCTATGCTAGCGTGTGCGCCTTACCGTTGACTATACAAAGGTATGCCATCGAATTACTGTACGCCTTGCTCAGGCGCAGAAATTGGCTGAATCCATGGGAAGCCGAAGCACTTGGCAAAGAGTTGAGCCGACCATTCACGCATTCTTCTGCAGAAGCTCATGAAGGTCCTGGGCAACCTGCCGCGATCACGCACGTTTCATCCTTGGCCCAGAAGTCATACTGCTTCCACTGCCTTTGCACGTTGCACGTCGAAGCTGTCGTAGAAAACAACTACAAACGCCGGCCGGAGTGTTATTACCCTCCGGAGAAAAGAGCTGTTGAAGAGCAAGCAGCTGGTGGTCGGCTGTGTCATATTCGACCATCAACTGGACGTTATAGATCGACCGATCTGTTCTGCTCTCGTTTACGCGAGCATTCAACATATGTACATGCTATCAGGCCAATTAGACGGCAGATCCTCACCGACTATTGAGAGGCCGTTCAATCACGTTCACTTCTGCCTTTGGTCTCAAATCTACTTGACGAGGTCACCGTACAAGCAACCGAGCGCTTGCAAGTGGCTGGGTGGATCGCACAACCGTACGGTGAAAACTTGTCCGCCGACGTGGCCAAGCCAGATCAACAGGATTCGCAGCGCTTCGTTGCATTGGCTGACCTCGAACACGAGTGATATGGCACACTTGACGCCAAAGGAGCCAGCCAGCCCGGCTTCTAGGTCTGTGGCTCGTAGCTTCACTCTTCAGGCCCACCCCGGTTCTACGAGAAAAGAATGGATGGGTCACTTTAGTCATTCTACATGAATCCCGAAGTGACCCGGAGATGAGGCGAGGACAACTTACCTCGCTGGGGCCGCCACGCTGTGCGAGTATTGCGTGTTTCATCAAAAGTCTGCACGTTAACGGCGAGCTAGGATGCCGTGGGAGGAGCAACCCAAGACTGCCTGCACATACTACCCTACCTTTTCGACCTGATTGACAATCAATGTCAGAGTGACAGTTCAACCAGAAAGTTGATGCCCTGTTGAAGGTCGAGCCCTCCGGTACGCCCACTCCTTCGAACTGGGTAGGAGGACGATCAGACGTTGCTAACTGCACCTTTTCAGGTAGCTATGAGACTGCTCGCTGAGACGATGTTTCCAATCGGTGCTACGGTCAGCTACCCCCTGACACTTCTTCCAGTCGTCTTGGGAGCTTAACATTTGTCTACCCTTGGAAGCAGAACTTTCTCGGGCTGACTTCTACGGATCTGATGGCGAAGGGCCCCAGAGTCGCGCCATTGAAAAACAAGGGAGAAATTTCCACAACACGCTGCTACACCCGCCGTCAACGTCCGCGTGCTTTGCCTATGCTACCTCTCAAAGACGTACCACCTTCCCCTCTAACATCGAGCTCTCCTGACTGCGATTCAAGCGCGAGAGCAAAATTCAAGAACACGCCGTTGGTTCCTTGTCTGTCTTTGTTCCAACTTATTTTAGCAGCAGATGCCCTCTTATTAAGGCGGTCAAGAACTTAGTAATGGTTGGGGACTCATGACCGAGGACAGGGTCTTCTCACGCGGCGAGAAGAGACAACTCAATGCTCGTCACCGACCAGTACAGACATGAACGCCGTCTTTCTTTCCTCGTCCCCGCCAGGAATCGAACTTTGGCTGAAGCCATTGGACCACAAGCAGAATAGAGACATAAAACATACCAGAGTGCCTTCCGAGAGGTGCGGGTTGCCCTTCCCGATAAAAAGAAATGGGGAAAATGAACTCTTCATGGCAGCGATCTTAGTTGAGTACTTCCCTCCTCTCGTTTTCTCACATATGCACTTTTGACTTGATCGCCCTGGAACGGCTGTGTCTCTATCTTATTCCCCTTCCTGACGAAGAAGGCTACGTCATCTGGCAGTTCAGTCTCCATGTCCCTTGCGCTGCCTCAGCACTGGTTCCTTCTCGGAAGCTAGATGGGTAAGTAAATAGGTGGGTAGGAAGGTGCGCGCCTCGCCGAATCGATATAAGAGAGAAGGCTGCGACCAAAATCACAATCAAAATGTATGCTTGTGGATAGATGCGTCCGTCGCCGCAATCTCCTCAGTCGGTGCGACGCTCCCTCCCTCCCTTCCACCCTCCATCACGCCAACTAAGTACATGTACTAGCGAGCGCGTGGCAGGATGCGGTGTGGCGGCGTCAAGGCATAATACTACTAGGACAAGCAAGTAAGAGAGACACAGGGCTGGAAAGAAGACAAAAGTCGCAGGCAGGCAGGCAGGAGGCAGACAGACAGATCAATCAATCATCCATTCATTCATTCATGTGATTTCGATGGCTATGACTATAACATCAACAAACTAGGGTTGAGTTGATGATATCCTGTCCGCCAAACCTTTTCGTAGAATAGTCCTTTACAAAGCTTCGGATTAAATTCATTCAAATCGAGTTTTTCTCTGTCTTTTCGTTCTCGCCGCTCCCCGAGAAATGACGGCATTCCACGGGCTTACTTGAAGTTCCTATTCCCACCAAACCTCATCCAAGTTCATCTCTACCATTCGACTGGGTCGGTCTTGACATCGCCCCTATTTGTCTTGGGCACGGGTGCCGCCTCGATCTTGACGGGGCCCTTGCGCCATTTCTTCAAATAGCCACTGCCGTCCAACCACGGGGTGTCCAAGGTCCTCTTGGCCTCAAATTGCGCAATCTTGTCCTCCATTTGCATGGTCAAGCCAATGTCGTCGAGACCCTCGACGAGACAGTGCTTGCGGAACTCCTCCACCTCGAACCGGGCAAGCTCGTTGCCCTTCTCGTCGCGGATGACCTGGTTCGGCAAGTCCACTTCGATCTCATGACCGGCGCGAGCCTCGTCGGCGATCTTGTTGAGCTTCTCCTGGTCGGGAAGGACTAGTGGCAGCATGCCGTTCTTGAATGTGTTGTTGAAGAAGATGTCTGCATAGCTGGGCGCGATGACGCATTTGATCCCAAAGTCCAGCAGTGCCCAAGGGGCATGTTCTCGCGAAGATCCACACCCAAAGTTGGGGCCGGTAACCACGAGGATCTTGGCCTGGCGATATGGTTCTTGGTTCAGGATGAAAGACGGGTTCTCGCTGCCGTCTTCATTGTAGCGCAAGGGGTGGAAGAGCGCGGAGCCGAGGCCTGTGCGCTTGATGGTCTTGAGGAATTGCTTAGGAATGATGGCGTCCGTGTCCACGTTGGCTTTCTCGAGAGGTGCCGCGATACCTTTGAGCACGGTAAATTTGGGGAGACCCCCTGCTGCACCGGCTCCCTGAACGTGATTCGTGGCGGTGCTTGTTGCGTCAGTAGGGATGTCGAGGATACGGTCAAGTTCTTCTTCAGAGTCCACTTCAGCATATTCAGGCATCACGTCAAGCTTAGGGTCTGCTTTGGCTGGGGAGGGGCTGTCGCTGTGTTTGCGCACATCGGCCAGTTTGCCCACAATCGCCGCTGCCGCCGCCATGACAGGAGATACAAGATGCGTGCGACCCAGAGCACCTTGTCGGCCTTCGAAGTTGCGATTGGAGGTGCTGGCACAGCGTTCTCTCGGTGACAGGATATCAGGGTTCATGCCCAAGCACATTGAGCAGCCCGCCTCCCGCCATTCGAAGCCGGCATCCAGGAAGATCTTGTCCAAGCCTTCGCTCTCCGCCTGCGCCTTGATGTTGCCAGAACCTGGCACAACCATGGCCCGCTTGATATTTGGTGCGACCTTTTTACCCTGGACGATCTTCGCGGCAGCACGCATATCCTCAATGCGGGAATTCGTGCATGAGCCAATGAAGACCTTGTCCACCTCGATGTCTTCCATCTTGGTGCCTGGGGTGAGTCCCATGTATTCGAGGGCCCGTTTGCAGCTGGCCTTCCTGTTCGGGTCCTCAAAGTCGTCGGGGCTAGGGACGACGCCGGTAATGGGCACGACATCCTGCGGCGATGTGCCCCAGGTGACTGTTGGGGCAATGTCCTTGGCGTCGATGAAGACCTCAATGTCGTATTTGGCTCCTTCGTCGGACCTTAAGCTGGCCCAGTAGTTGGTTGCCTTCTTCCACTCATTGCTGTCGACCTTGGGAGCCAGAGGACGTCCCTTGAGGTAGTCAAAGGTAGTCTGATCGGGGGCGATCATTCCTGCCCTTGCTCCGGCTTCGATAGACATGTTGCAGATCGACATGCGAGCTTCCATGCTGAGACTTCGGATTGCAGAACCACAGAACTCGATGACGGCACCAGTGCCACCGGCGGTGCCGATGACACCAATGACATGCAGAATTATGTCTTTGCTGCTAACTCCGGGTGCCAGCTGGCCATCGACCTGTACCCGCATGTTCTTGCTCTTCTTCGTGATCAAGCACTGTGTGGCCAGGACATGTTCGACCTCGCTAGTGCCAATGCCAAACGCCAGGGCGCCGAACGCGCCATGAGTCGAGGTATGGCTGTCGCCACAGACGACGGTTGTGCCGGGCAGAGTGAAGCCTTGTTCGGGCCCGATGATGTGGACGATGCCTTGGTTCTTGTCTCCCAGGCCAAAGTATGTGAGTCCAAACTCTTTGACATTGTCTTCGAGGGTTGTACACTGCAATCTGCTGTCCTCTTCCTTGACAAAATCTGCCACATTCTTGAAATTCTTCCGCGAGGTGGTGGGGACGTTGTGGTCGGTTGTAGCAAGGGTGCAGTCCGGTCGGCGAACTTTCCGCTTGGCGTTCTTCAGACCCTCGAATGCTTGGGGAGATGTGACCTCGTGGACAAGATGTCTGTCTGTACAAGATGTTAATGCATTCTGAGTCACGCAGATTCCAGGGCAGAGGAATGCAACATACCGATATAAAGGAGGACGGTGCCATCTTGCTGCGCGTTGACGATATGGTCTTGGAAGACTTTGTCGTACAGAGTCCTGGGGCTTGACTCGATGGATGGCATCTTGACAGACTCAACAGCGGTCACGGACTTGAGTGAAATTTGAGATTTAGGAATAAGATGTCCCGACTGAATCTTCGAATAGCAGAGCACAAGATATAAGCAAAAATGGTTTGGAAACGCCGTGGCTGCGGTGTATGGCGGGGAAGACCGACATCGGAGCTTGACTGATGACTTCGCATGTCTGCTGATTGGCTCGGCAAATGACCCGGTGGTGGTGGTGATTATTGTGATGGTTACCACGGCCAAACATCCTGATTTTGTCGATGTAGACTCAGCATCGTTCACGTCGATTTGAAGGCAATGATCGTCCAGTCGAGAGGGTACACCACCACCACCAACAACGCCTACTGCGACATCGACGGATCATTTGTGGTGTTGCTGTAAGCTCGGGAGGAGTTGGTGGGTAAAGACTGGCAAGAGCCTCATCCAATTTTCTGGGGCCGGACCTCAATGACTGCTGGGCGCTGCAGGGCACCGGATGTCTGCCGCGGGTTAGTGAGTAGCTTGAGGGCGGCCATGGTGTGGAGAACCCTCGTGGTACTCACGACCAGAAAAGTTATATGCCAAACTTCTATCATCCTGCATGTGGCTGTGAGGCTGTCGACTCGTCAACTGTGTGATACACATACCCAACCCTTTCGAGACCGGGGTGAACCAACGTCAGCTGACTTGGACGGCCTCGAAAGAAATGGTGGAATGCGAGAAGTCTTCCTGTTCAGTCACGGGACTTGGTTGCCCTTCACAATCACCATGGCGCACGGGAGCCCTCTGGTGATATGTTGGGAACTTCGCGAAAAACAACCCTATCTTTCCAGTTTCAGTATTCCCCATACCTTCATCTCTAGGAGCCAAAAAATTCCAACCGGGACCAGCAAGTTCTACTTAATCTTTCCCTCCCCTTTCCCTTGTAGCTGTGGGAGTACGCTCTCGAGCAACTCACAATATCTACAGAGGACCTGCGAGACATGCTGAGACCCCGTTCCAGTAAACCATGTCAGAAAGGCCCCGCCTTCCGACCCTGTCGGAACTTTCCCAAAGCTCTATAGCCCATACTCGACGTCGTGGGGTCTCACTGCTGTCCGACTTCTTTCAAATGGGGCTATGTAGAGGAGAAATGCGAGAATACAGATAATATCTCTGTAATTACTTGTGTAGTGATCCAGTAATACATCTTGGCGAGTGGTGAGGTCCTATTCACATACAAAGGAGGGAGGGCACTTGGTATAGCGCCGGAACGGGCAAGTGTGTCGAGCTTCGGAGTACAACACGCCAGAGGCAAGCTGGATGCATTCCTATCTCACACAGAACCAAGGGATATCCATTCAGAGATAATTCCGTCCGTCTAGTATCTATGTACAACCTTTTACTCCCTCTCACTCATACAAACAGATCATGTCGCTAGAACAAGCAAGCAAATCTCCCTCCAATGCGGACCCCAGTCTCGAATCGAAGCCCCGATCGCTCGCTGACAGTTGCCCCCACCGAAGGACTCGAGAATCTCCCCAGTCGGCAAGCCTAAGGGGCGGCATATCTCACTAAATGCGCCACCGTCGTAACCGTTGAGCTCTGGACCGCGCAGAGAGGGTTGCAGTCACAAAAGGTGGGCGTTATTTGACAGACTGGACAAGATCTCGAAATTCCAACAAACTGTTCTCTATGCCAATCCTTTTTCCTCGCCCATGGTTTTCGGCAAAGAACGAGACACTTCTGCTGCAGTCCCGTAGCGAACCTGCATCCGCCGACCCGGATGCCTGGATTTGGGCTTCGCGAGCTGAGAAGGGCCCAGATAATCCTCAGATCGACATCACCTGCTTCCAACAACCATGTTCTCCTGCTGACCCCAGCCACAAAACGAATACCGTCAACGCTCGCCCCCAGCATTCAAGGGGGGCATCCCGGGCGTCAAAGCGGAAATCGTGTTCGCATTCGTTGTTTTTCCACAACTATTCCATCGCTTGACAGCAGCGATGCAGCCAGAAGTCCGGCCATGGTCAGTAGAGAAACTCCCGCCAGAGGTACCCCTCCACCTCTGGGAAGCATCGGTATAGTCTTCACCGACATTGTCAAATCGACAAACATTTGGGAGAAAGACGCCGGTGCCATGATCGAGGCCATGAAACTGCACGATGACATGATCAGGGGCCTCACGGTCGCAAACGAAGGCTACGAAGTCAAGCAAAATGGCGATGGCTTCATGATCGCCTTCCCGACCGCCACGTCGGCGGTGCAATTCTGCCTCGACGTGCAGGAACAGCTCTTGGACGAGCGTTGGCCGAAGGAAATCCTCAAGCTGCCACCTGGCCAGGAAACCAAGGACCCCGAAGGCCACGTCCTGTTCCGCGGCTTGCAACTGAGGATGAGTGCCCACTGGGGAGAGCCTGTGAGCAAGTGGAACGAAGTGATCCAACGCATGGATTATCTCGGCCCTGTGGTCAACCGGGCCGCCCGGTTCATTCAAGTCACGGAGGGTGGCCAGATCGTGGTGTCAGAGGACTTTCTCCGCCAGCTGCAGAGCGAGTTGGAAACAGCCAAGCAGCAGAACGAGGCCCGGAAGCCGGACCAGGCAACTGATGGAGAAGGCGAGCACCTCTCCCACAAAACAAACTCTCTGCCAGCGACTTTGGACCTGCGCAGCTTACGTAGCCATCGAGACCAGAAGAACCTTACACACCAGCAATTCGAGATTCGGCCACTGGGAGACTACGAATTTCAGGGCCTGGAAGACCCTCACAAGCTGTATTTCATTGTCCCCTGCTCACTTGGGGGGCGGGTCGACCACTGGCACCAGGTCGCGCATGTGACGGGGGTGAAGGGCAATGTTCGCTCACCGTAAGTTCGACACCGGCCGACTGCAGGGAACATTACGGCCACGAACCCTGAAAGCGGAAATCAGCATTTTCCCACAATCTAAGAGGGCACAAAGGAGACCTTTGTCTCATGATCTCCTGTTGAGGAAGTTGACGGTGTAGGAGAGAGCACGAATGCACTATAGCTGTCCAACGGCCGGGCAGCCTTGTACAAACAGGGGCAGGACGGGAGAGAGAACATATACGCAATTGGTTCTGTTTGGTTCGCTTCACGGTGTACAATATGGATTTCGCAAAGTCATGCGAGGGAATTCAAAGGGTAGCCTCGGGGTAGTGCAACTGCAACTGCAACTCCAATGCAATACAATGGAATGGACAGAACCAGCGGAGACAAGGGCTCTTGATAATCGGTATTGCACCCAAGGACTTCGCGCCGAATCCCTGACAAGCTCTTCGAACACACCCCATGGTGGAAGCATAAGGGACTTGCTCAAATTCTTTTCCAGCTTCAATTGGTACACATTGGTATCTATCACTGCACCGTCTGTGTGCCGAATGGCTCAAAAACTCCATACGCTCGTAGTTGCCCGGTGAATCAAGCGGGGGCGTCACCGTCTTCGTCCGTGTCGGCGGCTCCATTCGTTTCCAAAGCTTCGTCGGGCTCGTGCTGCTTCTCAGCATCGCCATTCACGTCAAGAAGGTCGGAGTGCGCCTTGGTCGGTGCTGCTGGTCCATCCCCGCTTTCAATCTCCTCTTCGAGCTTGATATATTCTTCCCACTCGGGAAACAGCTCCTCGTCCTGACCCTTTCCGGGAACGCCCAAGAGCCTCGCGACCTTGCCCTTTCCTTGCTTTTCGAGACCCTCTTTCCACTCCACCGCCAGACCCTGCGTCAAACTCGGTTTATACGTCTGGCTGAACAGCACCGCCTCGCTGATTCTTCCTGTTCGTTTGAGAAGGTCGATGCAACCTACCACATCACCTGTTGACCACAGGGCGGCAAATGCGACGTTGTTGGCGCCCGATTCTTCCGCTTGCTGGGCGAGTTTAAGTAGTCCTTCCTTGTTGCCCGAGCTAGTGTACAAGAGCAGCAGCGAACCCAGGTCTTTTGCGTGAGCAAAGCACTCTTCTGCAAGTTTCACGTCCCATGCTTCAAGGGCTTTGTCAGCGACAGCCGCCCACCGTGCTTGGGTATCGGATTCTCTTGCAATCTCCAGCGCGATCGCGAGGTTGTTCAATCCCAGCGCCAATTCGAAGCGGTGCTCAGGATCAGTGGCGACTTCTAGTGCGAGGTCCTTGTGGCCCTGGGCCTCGAGGAAGCGTGCGATTTTGTTCATTTGATCTTGCGGTATATCAGGGAGGAGTTCTTGCGCGGCTTCGAGTTCGTCTCGTAAGACAAGCGTCTGGTATGAGAGGAGGGCAGTGGAAAGTCTGTAAGAGACCACGTTGACGTCCTTGTCGCAGAGATAGACGCGTTCATCACGTTGAAGATACCGCAATAGGTACATCGGTTGGTCGAATTGAGCGATATTCACGACTTGTTCGCCCAGTAGGTAGCTGAGACGAGTGCTGGTGGTGAATAAGAAAGCATCGCCGACCCATTCGCCCGACTTTACGGATTCTTGTAAATCGGTCACAACGGAGAAGGCAGCCTCGACACCGTCTTCGTCTGCTTGGCCCGAGTTGAGGCCCTCAAGGTAGGCTTCGCGGTCAAAACGGAGGACGTAGGTGGTGTCGGAGCAGGCAAGGGCCACGAGTTCACCCGACTCGCTCCAATAGACCTATCCGAATCTGTCAGTCCTAGTCACTTCCAACAGTTGAAAATATGGACGGATTGTTACCTCTGTAGGTTCGACTTCAATTCTCCGCACTAGAGTGCCAGTTTCCCAGTCAAACATGCCGATACCTCCTTGACCCTTGACGCCGAGAAGAGCACCGCCGCAGAGACCTTCTGCTTGGAAACCCACATCGAGACTTCCGCTTTCTTTCAGTTTCTTGAAGATTTTAACGCTGGTGCTAGATTCTCGAATGGCATAGTCCGTTGGATTCTGATGTGATGCCCTTCAACCTGTGTTAGTGGATCATTATATCACAAGGCGAGGGTGGCTTACCATGCAAAATCAAGTGCTGAGCCAAAGGCCTGATTTCTCCATGCCAATGCCGTGTACTGGAGGGTTGTCAGCAAGTTGTCGTGCAGGAAAACGCCGCAATACTCACAATGATGAACTCTCCATCACCACAGACGCTGACAAACCTGCCATTAGGTGAATGAGATAATGTGGTTGGATAGCTGCATTTCCATGTCAGTAGTTTCGTCACCCTGTTTGAGGGTGCATCTCACATTTCGGTGGTGCCCATTTCTTTGCTGGGAAGAGCAATAGGTGCACCATCTTTGAGGGTTGCATCTCCTCCCTTGATGATAGCAGATACTACCTCATTGTGTCGTGCCCAGACGAGTTTCCCAGTTCCATCCATGGAAACGGCTGGTTCTTCTCTGCCCATTTTCACAACAACGGCGCCATCGTCAAAGCCCATTGCGACACCCTGTTTTCCTCTCTGGTATGAAACACACCATGCCCTCTCCAGACCATAGCTCAATGATTGCTCCAACCGGTATGTATTGGCATGCCATATTTTGATGGTCCCGTCTTCGGAACCGGATATGATGACGGGTAATTCAGGATGGTAGCAGGCGAAGCTGACATTGCTGGTGTGTCCTTCGAGTGTTGCAATGAGGGCTTTAGTGGTGTAGTCCCATACTTTGACTGTCTTGTCGTCGGAAGTGCTGAGTAAGTAAGGCTTGTCACTGTGTGGGTAGTAGTCGACGTGATTCACACCCTTTTCATGTGCTTCAATCGTCTGCTTGGCGGAGGCATTGTCGATACTCCAGATCTTGATAGTGCGATCTAAGCATGCCGATGCAAAGACGTTGGTATCCTTAGGGTTGATCGAGAGGCCCATGACATAGTGTTGATGTCCAACGAATTCGCGCACACATCGCCAGTCCTTTTCCCAATCAAACATGCGGATTGTCATGTCATCCGAGGCTGTCAGGACCACGCTGAGGACAGGATGCACGACAATTGCGCGGATATAGTCTGGGTGTCTGCAACCATCACTGTAAGTCCACCAATGCCATATGCTCAGACCACAAGCTGCTTACGCCTCAAATGATTTGACCCTTTCGCTCGTATTCCAGTTGACCACTCTAAGTTGGAAATCATCGCTGCCGCACACTATCCAGTTCTTTCTTTCAATGAATCTTCCCGCCCTCACGGGCACATCGGTGAGCTCGAACGTTTTGATGATGGATTGTGTTTCGTAGGACCAGATGTGGGCATGGCCATTGTATAAGGTCGTGAGGATCTTTTGAACCGTCAGCGCCGAGAGCGGACGAGGAGGAAGTCAGGAAAGTTATACCCATGGTTCGGTACTATGCAGATGTTAGAGATCCTGACTTCTCACGGGGATTTTAGTATTTACCTGTGGAAATCAATGCCCTTTACCCGCTCCGAGCCTTGACCGGGTTAGTCTCAGTACATATGAATTGAGAGAATCAGACGAACGAGCAAAGAGTTGTCTCTTGACGTCCAGGCGCATTGCGGCATCAAATAGTCAAGAATATGTCGGGGTAATCGGCGACGCACACAAGGGTGTTTGGCTCGAACAATTAGGGTGTGGTCAGAAGTCGAACCGGGCAGGAGAGAAGCCGAACACGATATTCCATATCATCAATTCATCGTCGTCATAAGCACCGTGGTTCGATTCATCCAAAGGAGTCGTACAATTGTCCAGAGACGCGGGCACGTTGATTCTGTGGTTTTGACAGAATGTCCCCAAATCCAAGCGTCGCAGGCACATACACTGAAAGTTTATATGTGTCCCGCCGCTTTAACCACAACCCTGTCCACCTCTCCCAAGTACCTCGCACCTCCTATCTTATCCTGTCCCTTTCGCTCTACCTCGCCCGAACAGAGAATCCGGTTGACTCCTTGGAAGTCCTGTTCGTCCTTGTTTTCAAATCTGCATCCCATCGAATGCGTGAGGATTGAACCCGCTCGACATGTGCAAACTAGCCCTCTTCTGCCGCGCACCGGATTGATGACTGCCTGTCACACTCGCACAAGGTGCTGGCATAAAGACAGCAAATCATCACATTCGTCCCAACGTGCATCTCTCAGAACCGACCGTTGGCATAAATGATCTACGGTGGAAGTGCCAGAAGGGAATTTGAGGGTGCATGCCCTTCACTACCGTATTGAAAGGTGCACGCCACAATAATTCCCCAGACGAGGCTGAGAGCCCAGAAGGGATGACAACATGACAGAATTGATACGGGCTTAGTCGGCCTCAAGTGACGGCGGCGTAGGTCCATTTTCCTTTGTAATGCAGTGTCTCCTTGGTAAGCACTTGAGTGCAAGACGAGACATAGGGATGCATTTGAACTACATCTTCCGGCGTCCGTTAAGGTGCGGAACGGAACCATGTTCAACCGGCCACATCACAAGTCTCAAATCGATACGGGTATCGATCTGCATCTCAGAGGCGAATGATACTTGGAATGAATGCTAACTTTCATGGCGGATGAGCAGTCTTTGTGGCCGGAATGGGGCAGCCCATTGCCCGTATTGCTGACGACCAGAGCGAGCACGTCAGGGGCTGGTACTCGACACGGGCTGTGCAGATATTCGGTCGCCTCATCTCGCTGCTGACTATAGAGCATTCCTTCGCGATGAATCGAAGTCAGCGGACGGCGCGCAACACGCACTCCGGCCGCTCAATGTGTTCCTCCCGAGTCATCAATGTTACCTAAATAGGTAATATCAAAACGTAGGTGTTCCACATTTCTCACGACCGATATCACTGAAAGGCAAGTTGCGGAAAGGACCTTGGAAGGGAATACATCGTACGTGGCTGTTTCTCAGGTGCCTTGCAGCTTCAGGAACATTTTGCCACTGGTACCAGCTTCTCAATGCTTGTGTTGCCCGCCCCGTCAAAGGCTTTAGCTGGGCCTTTCGGGGATCTTTTGCCCCAGATGGATGATTAACAAGCCGCTCCCTGGGGACTCTGGGGAATCAAGTGCCATCTTCGTTATGTCCATTCGGGCTTCATGTTTCAGGTCATCACAGTGTAGGTACCCGCGAAGCGGCGCCGTTCCCCACTTCAACTCCCTCCGTATGTTGGGCTGCTGGCAAGGCGCAGATGTCAGCGTTGACGTCTTCCACCACTCCTACGAGTCAAAACCACACGTTCGCTTCCTTGCCGTCACTGTCACACTAGGACGATGACACTCGAGAAGCTCGCCTCCATCAATCCCAGACTGTCAAGTGCGATCTCTGCTTTTACCGTGGACGATGCAGTCCACCCCTCCCCCAGCGAAAAGGCGAACGCGGATAGCGGTAGCATGTACTTCGTGTAGAAGTCGGAAGTCTCGATGCAATGGCGGTGAGCCGTCTTGCCGTCCATGCAGCGAACTGGGCGTGCAATGTGTCTACGAACGCTTGCCTCGAAAACAGATTCTGTCTTCCAAAAAGCAGGCAAGCTACAGCAGGAGACTGCGCGCCCTCGAAGATGTGCTGCAGGATCTCGTGCAAAATCAGCATCCTGTGCACATGGACTTGGGCAAACCCGACCTGATACCAGACGAGTCTAGCCACATGCACCTCGATGGGCTGCAAGAACCCAGATCAAGCGATCCAGAAAAAGTCTACAGAACAACCAATTATCTAGAGGAGAACGGAGACGAGGACACGGTCGACGGTATGGCTACAGTCACCAGTCCGAAGACCATGTCTTCTATGGTCTTCGGGCCCTCCTCGAACATAGCCTTTCTTCGTCAGGTAATCGATGCTACTTCGGCCGCATCGCAAGGCTTGGGAAAGACATCACTATCAGGAAACACCGCCAGCCGGACATACATCTCTTCAGATGCCTCTCCAGATAACCCGAGGGCAAGGTTTAGTTCAACAGCTCGGCAACCTTTCGATCCCATCCTCTTGCCCTCCGATTCTCACGCACGACATCTGATCAGACTCTTCTTCTCCAACATTGGAATGCTGTTTCCCGTCGTCCATGAAAGTGTGTGCATCAGAGTCTACTGTACCGCCAAATTGGACGGCCCGGGTGCAGTCAGTCAATCGTGGCTATGTCTCCTCAATGTCATCTTCGCTCTGGCCACATGTGCCAGCACAACACCCAACCAGTCAGCAGAGAGGGACGAAGAGACGGCTGAAGAATTCATCGAGAGGGCAGAAGCTCTCGCGGTCCACATTGCGATGAAATCAGCAGACTTGGAAATCGGTGAGTTGCATTGGTGATGCTACCCATCTGGCACTCAGTTCTCTTCGTTGCACCGAATGAAGTTAACCTCTCGACGTCCACTGACTGTGTCCCAGTCCAATGTCTCCTGCTGATTGCACAATACTGCCAGGGGACTCAAAGGCCTGACGAGGCTTGGCATTTGCATGGTCTTGCAGTTCGTGCTGCCATACAATTGGGATTGCACTCGTCACATGCATACACGGAGTTGAAGCCGCTCGAATGCGAATTACGGAAAAGGACGTGGTTCGGTTGTGTAATTCTGGACAGGTAAGTTTGAACACTATCAGAGGACAGTCTCACTTACTTAGGACGTCTCACCTACTAGGATGCTGAGCATGACTTTGGGTCGCCCGTGCACGATATCCGACGAGCTCCTCCAATTAGATCTGCCTTCTGATATTGGTCTCGATGCGGTGAGTAGGGGATCTACCCGAACGACGTCGGACGAGCAGCCTGCTGCTCCTTATACGGTCTGCCTTTTCATTGCAACAATGTAGAGATTGGCCCACTAACACGTCTTCAAACCTCACATCCGCTAATGTTTGCCTGCAGCCAACTGTACGACGTGCTAGCCGACATCATCAAGAAGCTTTACGGTTCTAACGTGGACGCCGATGCTCAACAAACCGTTCCCGCATTGCTTGCAACAATCAGCCAGCTCGAACACAAGCTTGAGGTATGGAAGCAAAACCTGCCTCCCCAGTTGCAGCAGGTACCCTCGGAAATCAAACTAACAGGTTGGAACTTGTCGTCCTCACCGGGGTTTGCACCGGTGTTCGACCGTCTCAGCGTCATTCTTGCTCTTCGGTACCTGAACACCCGCATTCTCCTCCATCGACCGATCCTTTCCGCGTGTTTGCGACAAAGATACCCATTTGGCACCCTGAATGAGCCTGCGTCCGACGTTCATGACAAATTCCCCCACGAGTTTGCCAGCATCAGCGTAGAAATCTGCGAACGATCGGCGGTAGAAGTGATTGACATCGTCTGCAAGGCAAGTCGGCATCCTCGCATGCTGGGCACCTGGTGGTTTTCCGCCTATTACAGTAAGCCACAACACTTCAATTGTATCTGTATTGTGTCTGTGTGGTAACAGAGTTATGCTCTAGCTTACAACGCGGCTCTGGTTATATTCTGCTGCATTCTTCTGCATGCTACTACCACACCCGGAAGGAGTAAATCCACTGAGACGGCCGAGCATCAGCGTGCGAATCTGGGAAAGATCGTCCACCTCCAACGGGCCATCGAAGCCACGGGAAGACTGGGGCCGGGCTCGATCACAGCAAGAAAAATCCAACAGGCGCTGTTGACGCACAGACAAACCTGTATGGCCTTGGTCCAAAGCGACATGGGAGATAGCGGCAAAGCATTTGCATCTGAGTCATCCACTACTGCTGCTGGTGGCACGTTGCCGCCGCCCCCTCCAAAGGTCGATGCCGTTCAAGTCTCAAATGCGATCGGCATGGGCAGCAGCGAAGCTTCCAGTGTTCCTTTCCTGGACCTCGGTCAGGATGATCCTTTTGTGACGTTGGACGAGGGTATAGACCAGTCCTGGAGTGATATCGACTGGTTCTCCGACGTGTTCGGACCGGACACCCAGCTGGGCAGTTATCCAAGGCCGTCCAGTGCTATCGAGGACTTACTGCCCAATGGCAGGTTTGTGGGCATGTCGCTTGACTGACGGATCGAGGGGATGATACAGTAGCGTTTGTTGTGACGGTGAAAGAGATGCAGGAGTTGGACACGGAAGGAAATTGACTGAATCAAAAGTTCATGAGACACACGAGTGTTGCCGTGTTGTGTAACAATACCCTCACACCGATTCCTCACCAGTTCCACTCGAATAGTGATCGCGTCGTTGTGAACTGAGTTTCACCGCCCCCCAACCCAAAGTCTTTCCGTAGCCATCACCACTTCATGGATGAAGCAATGGTCTTACCAGCGTAGTTGTCCCTATCCTTCCATGTCACGATCTGGGAGTAGACCCACTCCTCGAGGCCCTGCAGGCCGTTGAATTGACCCCAGCCGCTGGCCTTGACCCCCCCATGAGGCAAGGCTGGTTCATCGTGGATTGTCATCGAATTGATATGTACCGCTCCGGTTTCGATCCTCTTGGCGATGCTCAACCCCCTTAGCAAGTCTTCTGTGAAGACGGCGCTCGAGAGGCCATATTGCGTGTCGTTTGCGAGTTGGATCGCTTCCTCGTCTGAATCGACGACATAGAGAGCTACGGTTGGCCCGAAGGACTCCGTGTAGTAGATGTCCATCCCCGGCGCCACGTCCTGAAGCACAGTGGGCGCCAGTCTGGTGTCGGCACGGTCGGGGGCGTTGTCCGTTCCCCCGGGGCCACAGAGAGCGATGGCTCCCTTTGAGAGAGCATCAGCGACCAGGCTATTGGTTTTTTGGACGGCGGGCAGGGAGATCAGTCGAGGAGCCCCGATGCCCTTGTCAGTGAAGATCTCGTCGATCGTGTGTTTGAGCGCCGCCCGGAATTGGTCGACGATTCGGGCGTGGACAATGATTCTCTCGGTGGACATACAGATCTGTCCGGCGTGGAGCAAGGCGCCCAGTGCACATTGTTGGGCCGCGTATGGGACATCGGCGTCTTCGCATACGATCGAGGGGGCTTTCCCTCCCAACTCCATCACGGTCGGCTTCAAATGCTTGCCGGCTTGTGCGGCGATAATGGCGCCCACGGCGGTCGAACCCGTGAAGTTGATCTTCTTGATCGCAGGATGGGCGATGAGTGCGGCGGTTATCTTGCCAGCGTCTGCCGGACGGTGGTAGATAGTGTTCAGACATCCTGCTGGGAGACCAGCCTCATGGAGAACGGAGACAACACCCCAGTGAGTGGCAGGAGCCAGTTCGGGACCTTTATGCACCACCGTGTTACCCCTGTTCCGTCTGTCAGCACAAGGAAGATGGTGGGTAGCCAGCTAAATTCGTGGAGTCACATACATGGCCAACGGCTGCAAACAAGCTCTGAGGCCGAGCACGTTCGGGACGTTCCAAGGCGATATGGCCAAAACCACCCCATATGGCTGTTTCACTGTTATAGCATTGCTTCCATGCTCGGCGGGGGTGAGAACCGTGGAAGCAATAGCGACTTGAATGAGACCTGCGATACTCCGGCATGCATCTGCCGCGAGACTATGCTCAAGCGAGAACATGGACGGCAGCGCTCCCGTCTCGGTCTGGCTGTAGTGGCCCAATTCCTGTTTTCGTTTCTCAAAGATGTCGGCTGCACGCAAGAAAATGTCTCTCCTGAAGTTGGGTTTCGTTTGGGACCAGTATTTGAACGCCTCCTGTGCTGAAGCGACGGCTCTCTCGACATCTGCCTCGCTAGCCGAGGAGCACTTGTACAAAACTTTCTGGTTTTGGGAAGATATCACATCGAAGGTTTCAGGCAGTGCGACTTGCTGGCCATTGAGCCAGAGAGGAATGGTGGAGTCAACATTGAAGGCCGAAGGAGTGGGAAGAGCACCGTCGCTGCTGCTCGAGAGGGTGCCTTCAGACTTGTAGGAACCGGTAGACGTGGTGTGAACCAAACTAGGTGCCATCTTTGCAATCCTTGTATGGAGATCTCAACTGGGGCAACGAAGGATTATAAAAAGTACGGGGAGGCCCTTTTTATATCCGTTTCATTCATTCTTCCTCCCTTGCTGTGGTGTTACAGACTCGGGGGAAGGTCGTTGTTGGCATCTGCACTCCTTCTGTTCTGGCTCCCACCACAGATAGAATGACAGCCGCGGAAAGGCTAGAGGCCTAGCACAACCCGCGGCCGGTACGATGCTGGCAATCATGATGACATTGGTTCGTGGATAGTATCCTGCGAAGATATCCCCCGCGGAAAAAATTGTTTCCCGGTTGCCCGATGCAGCAACCTGGTTGGTTCTGCACTGCCGCGTATAGGGTGTATCTTTGCCTCATTTTGAATGAGAAGACATTTTCGAGTAAGGGTACATCGCTGCTGAGATCTTCCGGAGGAGTGATGCCGCGGGACGACTGTCGTGCCACTCGCCCCTTGTGGCTGGCCATGGAACCCCCTATAACAGGAGACACTTCATCTGCCCAGTCCGTCACGACAGCATCGTTCAAGCTTTTCATCTCGGTCAAAGAAGATTCAAATTGATCACCACGAAAGACATCAAGGCTTCTAGCACGATCTCGCCTGCTGTGACAATGCCCACGACCTTCACACCTCACGATAAACTCGTGGCAAATGCACTCAAGGTGAACACAAAGCCGCTTTGGACACAGATGGCCAAGATGAATCCGCGCGAGCCAAATCCGAAGTGTGTGCCAACTGTCTGGCGGTACGAGGAAGTCAGGCCTCTCCTGGTGGAAGCTGGTGTGCTCGTCACCGACAAGGATGCAGAACGTCGGGCGTTGATGTTCGTCAACCCCGGGAGAGGTATCCTCAACATCGTCCTCAATCGTAATCGCATGTGACTGACAAGAGACCAAGATGCCCCGTATACTACCGACACCATAGCCTCTGGGCTCCAACTTGTTATGCCCAATGAGACGGCCCCTGCCCACAGGCACCTTGCTTTCGCCATGCGGTTCGTGATTGAAGGCCAGGGTGGATTCACAGCGATCCAGGGCAAAAGGGTCTGGATGCAGCGTGGTGATGTGATCCTGAACCCGACATGGAACTGGCACGACCAGGGCAAAGACGGCTCGGGGCCCATGATATGGCTGGATGGCCTCGATATTCCAAACTTTATCCATTTTCCCGTGCACTTTGTTGAGCACTATAAAGACCAGAGATACCCTGCCGAGGACGTCGATTCCAACATTTCTCCTCTGGTCTTCCCCTGGAAAGTCATGCAGCAAAAGCTAGATAGCAAGCCTGGCGAGTGGACCTCGGAGGACTATTTGCGATCGGATGGCGCGCCAGGTAAGTACCCCTGCAACACGTCCGTGGCAGACTTTGTTTCGGTTCTTTGTGCTGATTCCACATGCCCGAAGTATCGAAATCTCTTGGTGGTTGTGCCGAACGTCTGAACCCAGGTGCTTCCTCTCCTGCTGTGCGTGAGACAGCTTCGTCGATATACCATGTCATCACAGGGGCAGGATACAGTGACATCAACGGACAGCGACTCGCCTGGAAGGAAGGGGATTCTTTCTGCGTCCCAGCTTGGAATAAATACCAGCATACCAACACGGGATCGGAGACGGTCTACCTCTACCGGATCCATGACAAGCCCATGCTGAACAACCTCGGGTACTACCGTCTCGATGGTTGCGACGTGGAGAGCTTGGTGTCGGTATATTGACCTTGTGACATTGGCTGTCAACCAAACTCACCACTCTTGGGATAGGCATGACCTGGAAGTGTGTCACAGACTGTGCATAGTGTTTCGAAGCCGCCCTCAGTACCTTGTTCCTGTCTCCTGCTATAATGGGATGCCTGATCATGTTTCGTCGGGACTTCCTTGTGTATCCATCCTGGTAAAGGATAATTCAGCAGGAATATCTCCTGTAGCTTTCATTCTCTGCGAGTGAGCACTGCATACACCGTCGATGGGGATGGGTCTGTCTTTCCGACAAGCCAGGACCAGTGGGTGTTCTTGGGAGGCATTGAGCAATTACCCTTCTTCGCTTGGTAAAAGCCTCAAAGACTGATATCACACTGTGAATTTAGCAACAAACAGTACATGGGCGTTTCCACCTCCCTAAACCATGTTCCTCCTAGGGTGGGCACTGGTGGTCCTTTGCGTGCCACCTGATCCCCGACTGCGGAGCTGCGCCAATGTTCCTCTTACAAAGCCCAGCCTTTTGCACCCTTCGCTCTAATAATTGTCGCAATACCTTCGCCAGCTCTATGATTATCAATAACAGCCCTTTTGCAACGACTCGAGGTAAGTTCCCGTGCCACATAAACGGTGTATGGCCAATCGATAGCTCGACCCGTGGTCCCGGCTATATACCCTGGTTGTGGGCCGAGGCAGCTCCTGATACAACCACGATGTATTTAAAACCCTTCCTGGCAAGATCACTCAATACCTCGTCAACGTCCACGTCTGATTGCTCCCTTTACCACTGAGTGTCCAGAGTTGTATTCCATCCTCGGTCACAACTATGGCCGAACTCCGGCCAACGCTCCACCATCTGAATGTCAGGTTCTCCGCCTTGTGCTCTTTACTGCTGCTCACAGGTTGCAGGACTCACAATCGCAACGAATCCTATGGCTGCTCGAAGAGCTCGAAATCCCCTATAACCTCCAGCTTCACACACGCGTTAAGGGAAGGGCTCCTCCCGAGATGAAAAAAACGCACCCCCTGGGCAAGGCACCACAATTGGAGACGGGCGACGGGAGAGTCATCGTGGAGTCGCTCGTGATCGCGAAGTATCTGATTGAGACATATGACAAGACGGGCAAGTTCAAGGGCGACGGCGTCAAGAACGACTGGATACGCGATGACCAGTTGAGTAATCTGGCTGCCGCCAGCATCGGGCCTCCGATGATCTTGGAAGTCATCATGACGGTCGCGGTCAGGTTGACGCCATTTTTCGTCCGCCCATTGGTGTCCGTGGTCCACAAACAACTGCGCGGGGGCTATTCTGGGCCCGAACTGGACGCCTTCTTCAAGTACTTGGACGATCAACTGGGTGACCAGGACTATTTCATGGGCACCACGCCCGGTCGCGCAGACTTCATCCTCTCGTTCCCCGTCGACACGTGCACGGCAGCTGGCTTCATTGACATCAAGAAATACCCGAAGGTGGAGAAATGGCACGCTCGATGCCGTGAACGGCCAGCGTGGAAGAGGTGCATCGAGAAAGGCAATGGGTACGATCTCACCTTTAAAGACTAGCTCCAATGATGGCGAATCGAGGGCAAAACTGCTATGTACTGTACACAAGATATCTAGGGCGTCCGACAGGGTCTGTACCTCTCCGGAGAGCGAGCGGGATCATGACACGGAAGGCCATCGCCGCTCAACAATTTTGTCGATAATATTCCCCCCATCGTATTGAGTATACGTAGATAACTGGATTGGGACAAAGAACTTCTGTTCATAACATGCTTCTCTGGTCAGCTTTTTGACAATTCCCGAATACGCTGTACGCCCAGCGGAGATCAATCCAGATAGAGATAAAGTGCCATTCCACCCACCACGAGGGCCCCCCCAAAAGTCCGCGCAGGGGCCCGGAACAATCGTCATCCGGGGCGTATACCTTGCCTAATTGCGCCTAGAAAGGCACCCATCAGAGCACCCGTGACCTCGTAACTCGGAGGGGGACAGATAACTTTGGCGCTATAGATCCCTCGCACCTCGCTTACAGGCAGGTTTTCCACAGAGCTCAATCTTCTGCTCCTTCGCGAGCTCCACCGCCCACCGAAACACCACGTTCAAAATGCAACATTTGTCGCTTTCATTGGGCCGCGGGGCCCGTGGGAGGAGCTGTTCCAAGCCCAGGGATAATAAATGCAATCCATCCACGGACGGGGTGGCCAGCGCTTAAACAGGTGGTATGTACCTCTTATTATACGGTACTCGGTACCTCTGATGCATTTCGGCTGCTGATCTCCTGCTTCTTTTTTTGCCCCCTTCTCTCACAAGATAAGGCAGATTTTCTCTTTCTTGCTCTTTGGGTATTTGGAACTGTTGGAGCTTTCGTGGTTGTATCCTTTTCTTTTCTTCTTTGCTCTTTGGTGCGCCCCCTCAAGCCCGACCGAAACGATGCCTTCGAACGCGACAACGCACCAGCAACGTCGCTTTTGCACCGAAATCACCCCCGACTGCCCTCTCGAGCTCACCACATATGGCTATTACCCCAATCTCAGCGTGAACTCGTTCTTCATTGCTCTTTTCGCCCTCTGCTTGCTGCTGCAGCTGGGTCTCGGCACGTGGCGGCGGACATGGACATACCTTGTTGCACTCTCCATTGGTTGCTTCGGCGAGGCGGTGGGATATATCGGGCGGCTGATCATGCACCACAACCCGTGGAGCGGTGCTGGCTTCAAGACACAGATCTGCTGCCTGGTCCTGGCGCCCAGTTTCCTCGCCGCGGGCATCTATGTCACTTTGAAGCATCTGGTCATATACTGCGGTGCAGAGAACTCGAGGTTGAAACCCCGGCTCTATCCCTGGATCTTCATCGGCTGTGACTTTGGGTCAATTGTGCTCCAAGCCATTGGTGGAGGCGTGGCAGCCGGGGCCGGCGACCGTGATGCGAACCCGAAGTTGCTGCACGCGGGAAATGGATTGATCGTGGCGGGCATTGCGTTCCAAGTGGCAACCATGGGTGTCTGTGGGCTTCTCATGATCGACTACTATATCCGATTCCAACGTGCAAAGAAGATGAAGTCATCAGCGACGATGGAGAGCGAGTACGAGAAGAATCTGTCTTCGCCTATCTTGTCACGCAACTTTCGGATTTTCTGCTTTGCGCTTGGGCTGGCCTTCACTACCATATTCATCCGTTGCATCTACCGGTACGTACCTCGAGTTACTGTCTGAGCGAAGTCATGTCCTGACAGATGTTGATGACCAGTCTGCCCGAGATGGCAGGAGGATGGGGAGGCCCGCTGATGAGAATCGAGACCGAGTTCCTCATCCTCGATGGAATGTGAGTTCGGACCGCGACACCGGGCAGTAGTGAACCCCCGACTGACATGTGTTTCGTTCTAGGATGGTGGGCATTGCGTGTGTCCTCCTGACCGTTTTCCACCCCGGCTTCTTTTTCGAGCCGATGAGGAAATTCAAGAGACCAGCCTCTGTTGCGGAGCCCGTGGAGCAGCCCGAAACAGTGGAGAGCAAATCATGAAACGATTGAGACTCGACAACTTCCAGGATCTGCTCTCACATATACATATATCGACATAGACATAGAATGATCAATGTACACGTGACGTGAACGGGAACCCCAGGCCAGCAGCATCTCTCTTTTCTGAAACGTACTGGGAGCCTGTCACAGGTAATATAATAGGCAGACAGCGATCCTTTTCGGCCGCAGAGGATGACGCCTCGACGCCTCTTCCCGCTTGGGCCTCGGCCTGTTATTGATGCCGAGCTTATGGATATCCCTCACCACAAAGGACTGGACCTAGCCATGCAAATCCGGCCATGCGTATCTTATACGGTCATTTATAGCGGCCATCGTTAAGGAGGTGACGATGAGGCTGGCCCCGTGTCCGCGACTTTCCGAACACGAGGCAGAAAAAGGCATGCGGCGTGCCAAGCTCATACGCCAGCGGATACGAGGTGTCGGTTTTGTGACCAGACTAAAAGAAAGGCACTGAAAGTCAGCTTCCCTCTCCTTGTTCCGTCCTCAACACCGACCTGGGATTATGCGACAGCATCGTCTCACAGCGCCTTCCCCCCGACGGTAGCCTCTACAATGCCTTCTCGACGGTCGCATACCAAATCCCACCACGGGTGTCGGCAGTGCAAGGCAAGGAGAGTCAAGGTCAGTCTGTTTCCCCGGGGATTGACGTTTCAACGGGCCTTGTGCCTTTTCCCGAGGCTCCATAATTGGTGTGCAGTAGTGGTGGGAGCGTGGCAGCGGTCTTTTCTCGCTTAGTCGTCGCTGTGCCTGCCTTCACGAGATTTGTTGCTGTCTACTGTTGTTGGTCCTGACCAAAGTGCCTCCAGTGCGACGAGTCGAGTCCGCAATGCCAGCGTTGTTTGAAGCGACAAATCCCCTGTTCGTTCCTCGAGAATGGCTCGGAAGGGTTCGCGACACCCCCAGGAAACACTTCCGTCCATGACACCTCGACTCCCAAGAGCTATGACCATCAGCATTCGGACCCCGAGAAGGGACGCAATGCGCCACTGTCAACTCCAAAGGCCTCCTCGTCGCCGCTGGCAACAGAGGGAGAACCGGTCGATGTTGACAAGCGGTTTGATCTCCTGGACTTGGAACTCATCCAGCATTACTCTACTCGGACCTACATGACCATGTCCTCGAGGCTTGCCACCCACGCTGTCTGGCGCGACACGGTCTTTGCAGAGGCCTTGCGCCATGACTATCTCTTACATGGCTTGATGGCCACCTCGGCCCTGCACAAAGCAACGCTACTCCTCAAGTCATCGGATGCGTATGCTGAATACTCCAAAGTGGCACTGGCTCACCAGAATGCCGCCTTGGCTGGATTCATTCCGGCGGTCAGCAAACCCAATCAAGACAATGGGATTGCCCTGTTCTCGGTGTCGCTTCTTCTCACTATCTGGGCTTTTGCATCCAAAAAACTGCCAGAGGGTCTGAACAGTGTGAAGCTTGACTTCGGCACTGGCGATTCCTCCCCAGGCATCACCCTGCCACTTAATTCACCAACAGCCGACTTCATCGAAATCATCATGATCCTCAGGGGAATTTATGCTGTGATTAGAGAGACCGATACGTGGCTCCAAGGTGAGATTGAGGAGCTGCTGCGATATCCCCGTTCAGAAGATCTGCCACCGCATCCACAAGAGGTCGAGGAAGCCTTTGCCACGCTCCGTACATCCCTGGATGACCCTCAACTGTCGTCGCTATGGGAGGGGGAAGACCCTCAGCGAATGAGGAATCTCTTCCTGGATCAAATGGAACAGTTGCGCGACATCTCAAGATGTCGTTCAGTTGTCGAGTGGGATGGCCACATTTTCTCCTGGCTGATCATGGCGCCGCTGCCCTTCATCCATTGTCTTAAGCAGAGCAACCCCATGGCCTTGGCGGTCTTCGCTCACTGGGCTGCCATGTTCCGCTGCATGGATCATCACTGGTGGGCAAATGGTTGGGGTTACAGCCTGGTTGTGGACGTGTCTAGCCTGCTGGATCCCGGGTGGGCGAGATACTTGGACTGGCCTAGAAGGCAAGTCGGTCTCGTGTTTCAAGGCGGCGGGGCTTTCGATGCTCGGCGGATGACTTAACCGTCAGACTGGCTTAAAGTACGTCGCTTGTACAAGTCACTCGAACGACTCTGAAATTCCTGGTATCCAACACCGATAACCGAAATGCGAACACTACTCGGTCCGACGAGGGACAGAGCGAGATGCATCTCTTCACGGCAGCCACAAGTCGATCGCTCTTGCGCCGAAACCGAGATCTGGACGATGGCTTCCGTGAGAGGAGTGCACGCAGAAGGAGCCCTCCACCCCAAGGCTCTTTTCCCACCATGAAGCCCATGTCTCCGCCAGGCCACTGCTTTCTGCCAGAAGCTCTCAGCTGGCTATTATTATCGAGGCGTGATCCTATTTTTACTATTGATGTCCCGATAGTTTGACACAATGCCTGCCACGTTTCACCATCCTCCTTCGCTCAGCAGTGCTCTGAGCAGCCTGCGAAGCCAGGAGTTACTAAGCCCTCCAATCTCCAACAAGAGTGCCGAAGACATTCCATTCAAGGCGGAAACGCCGGATCATCCAAGCTTGAACATGAAGAAGAGAAGGAATCATCGGCATGGACGGCACGATAACGTCTGTCGGCCTACAAAAGCTGGCTACAAAAAGAAGGCTCGCCAGTGCAAAGACCAGGGATCGGGTACCCGACATCGCTCGTATTTCCTGCGCAGAACCCTATCTCTGCCTTCTGTCCAACCTCGATTTGATCTGGGAACGGTCAAGCTTCTTCAGAGTCCTCAACGCAGAGCGCGCCGATGGACAGTCCCTACCAAAGCATTGTCCACTCAAGGGCTTGCCACTCTTGTGCCGGTCGACGCCAATGCATGTACAGCTGATCCGCCCTCCGCAATGAGATTCGATTCAAACCGAAGCCCCGCGATGATAACGCTTCGTCGAGCGACCACTTCAAGGTCGCGGAAACAAGCTACGCTGACATCATTTCCACCTCCCAAATTCAGGCGGCATGGGAGTGGTCTTCTCTCGATGTTCTTGAACTCGATTACTGGATACGACGAAGGTGTTAACCACGACGATACGGACAGAGATCGGACGAGGCCAGTCGCACAAAAGCCTCGAGAAGCGTCCACGGTCGGGAAGGACGACATTCATCCTTCGACGAGCTCCGCTGCTCCACCCGTCCAAACCGAAGTCGTTGCGGTAGAACCACGGGAACCGTCTTCCGGACCAAATCAGGCGGCCGAGCCCGTCCGTCGGTGCTCAACCCGCTACGTTTCGGACAACGTGGTGTACGAGATCATTTGGGATGAGAATTGTTCATTGAGCAGCTCTGATGGAGAGCTTCCTAGCCCGCCTGGGCAAGCGTCACTATTGCAGAGTCGAGATCTCATTGGGCCAGAGACATTGGAGCGACGACTGTCGAAGGCCCTGTCCCAATCAAGACGAGCTTCCCACCAGGAAGATTGGAGAAACAAGTCAAGCTATGTACCTGACAGCACATTGTCTACGCACGGCGTGTGGAACAATCCCAAAATAATTCGACTTCTGCGTGAACCAGCTTCCAGGAATCTACCTCATTCTAGAGCCTTTAAACGCGGCAAGATGCGCCTCTCTTCATCAACAGACGTGGAGGTAGACGAGGGCTCGAAGCGAAGAGCGCTTGAAGAGGCATCCACCAACGGTGTCGAGTTCTTCCCTCCACTCCGAAGTCGGGCGAACACGAACGGAAGCGGGAAGGCAAAAGCTCCGTGGTTCATAAACATTTGGGGAACAGCTGAGCGACTAGGTCCGCTCCCATTCGATCTGTTGGAGGAAGGCTCGGGATTAGAGGTGGCAAGGAGTCGTTATGGAAGTATGATTGGTGTCAGTTCGCACAGCAAACGAAGGACTGCGTCTGCTGAAGGGCACCTCCAGAGTTCCAGGACCAGAAGTACCAAGTCTCATAGTCGGAGAGCGAGTGAGAGCAGGGCGTCGGATGACGAGACGCGGCCTCTACTGGAGACGACTTGACACGACAAATGAATGAGTTGTTGGTGGAACCAGGAGACATGGGGGATGCGCTCGGCGGCGCAGCCTCGCAACTGACCTATCAGTACAGAATAACACCATATTGTCTCTGTATCCATAGGAACAAGTAGAGGAGCTGCCGGACACGATAGCCGTTGTGGCCACGGCGCAGAGTATGAAGGGTGACTCGGGCTATGATCATCTCCTACCACCCTACCCCAGAATTCAAAACTGGCTTCCCCTCCCTGCGACCCGCATCCGGATCACGCTCAACGCGGTGACCCGAGGCCCGAAGCGAGATGGAACAAAGGAGGTCAGCGCACGTCGATAGAGTTTTGTTCGAGTCCGCAGGCCAACTGGATTGCAGAACGGTATCGTGCAAGACGAAGCTGAAGCTCCTAGGTAGGCCATCGCGACGAGTTATCACCTGGTAAAAAAAAGAGAAGATAACTTGATAAGCACGTTTTGGGGGCGTTTGGGCGGGAGACCTGCGCTTGGATCGACTCCCACATTGTCCTATCTCGCAGTATCAGTATCTCAAGCGAACCGGATTGCCACTCCAGAGAACCAAGGTAAGACACTCTAACCATCGCCGTGGTACCCACTGTCGCAATGGAATAACGCCCTCTGGTGCACAAGAGCGGAGCTGTTGACAAAAAGGACGGGGCAAATACTTGTGTGTCAGAGAATGGCAAGAAGGAAAGCCATCAATTCCGAGCTCTTACCGCTGCAAGCTTTTACCCGGACTCGAGATTATTATCTACCATTTGGCTTCCGAGAGACTGGGCCCCTTGTGGAATCTGGATACGAGATAATACTAGTAATTGCGGCGAACAACTCTCCGATGGATAGGTGCCGGGGGGGCGACCACGAGGGCTGGACTTGGACCAGTCAGAAGGGGCTGCGGGTTGCGTCAACGGAGGTGGGATCATAGGAATAATAAGGAATGTGCCCTGTGGTACCTGGGGTGACGATGATTCCGAACGGTACATAATACTGCGTGATGAGGGTGCGGCGTGGACCAGTGCGGGCTGAACAGGAACGAGAGGAGGCATGATGACTAGAGACAGCCAACAACGCAGCAGCATCTCCGCCCTGCCAATCGGGCAGCGTTGCCATTGATCATCCAACACCATGTACGGAATGACTGACCTGAGTATACCACTTATTACCACCACCATCATCTGTCTGGCGCGAGTCCCTTTCCCTTTCGCACCTGTGATCAGTCAGCCAGTCAGCCGCAATAATTGCGCTCGCAATCGACATTCACAGTTACCCAGCTAGGCAGGCCAGTAAGTGATTGCAGCCCGCCACTGGCCGCTTCGCCTTCCGGGTTCCGAACATTATGTGCGCAGATCATGTACAGGGAGAATTGTCTACCGTATCTCCGGGGTATAATAAGGCAGGACCTAGGCCTCCAAGGATACCTGCAGTTGTGTGCAATAATTGTGGTTCCTGGCGCGAAATAACTCTCCCGAGCAGGCCCCGAAGAAGTCACATACGAGAAAGAAGTGGCACCCGGTGGCTGCGAACCCCAGTAGTGGTTAAAGTAGCAAAGGCTCACTAGGCCTAGTGAGCCTCGGGGGACCCTGGCATCGCCCCCCTGGATGCGTGTGGGTGAGCTTGATGTGGCCTCCCGAGCCTGCGAATTCCTTATCCCGTCATCTAACGTGAACTCTCTCACCACTGGGCGACCCAGCGGCCTTGGAGTGCCTGGACTGGCTGTGCTGGCAGCCTCTCAACCTCTAGCGGCCCCAGGGTTTGCCGATAGGCTTCCTCACTCATCAGCCGGCCGCAGTTGCTGCCACCACGAGCTGCTTCTGTGTTGCATCTTCCCAGTCAATCAACTCCAAACCCTGTCTGAACCACACACCCTTCTTCTTCCTTGCTCTTTCACTCTAGGTCTCCCGTCCTCCCTTTCTGAACGCAGCCTTTGGCCTTTTTTATACAACAACTGCCAGTTGCAATTTTCCACCACGATCCGACGGAGGCATATATGCTCATACCCAATCGGCATTTCGCCGCTTGTTCGAATCCGCTCTGTCCCTCCGTGCTTCCCACCCGTCGAGTTTCCGAGGCATTAATCGAGCCTTTCTCCCACGACATCCTTCCTCGCCTTCCTACGTCGTCGAGGACAATCTTGTTAGAAAAAGAGTCGTATATTCGTGGGGCCGCCCTCCCTTAGAGGTTGTTTGGGCTCCAGGCATCGGATATTGGCCTGTCAAGATGACCTGGTCATGACATCTATCTCTCCGGCCGAAGCACGGCCTCCTCCATTGCGACGCCCGATCGATTCGAAGCGACCCGCACCTGGGAGAACATCCAGCCATGTCTTCTCACCGACCGACAAAAAGGTGCCGGCACCGCAAAGAGAGACGATAGATGCTGGGGAGGACAGGCCGGTGAAAAGGCGGAAGATCGAAACCAGCCCCAACTCGAATCAAACTAGCAACCACAGCGTTACCTCGTTTCCTGCCAGAGTTTCCGATTCACATGTCGATACCAAGACCGTCGCGTGGCGCTGGCTGAAACCCTCAGCGGTTCGGGCAACAATCGCGAACTCGCGGAGAGGGGAAGAGGAGGAAAATTCGAGTGAAGACGAGGTACCCGAACTTCCTCCTCGGCCCTGGAGGACTATTCGAGTCGCCAAAGCTTCAGACAAACCCACTCCGACACATCGATTACGGGTGGATGTCCCTGTACCAAATACACCTGACTCGATACAAGTTCCATCTTCAGCGCCTCAGTTTGTGCCGAAGAAACCCGTTGGATTCTTTCCATGGACCGGGAAGCATCCCGAGGACATCTTGAATGATAACAATGTGAAGAACGGCTATTTTGATAAACCCCCAAACCCTACCGAAAAGGAACTCAACACTGCGCGGGTCTCGCTCTACAATGCCTTCAAACATAAATCGGGGGTCGACAGTCTGTCTGCTCTCTTCTCTCTTGTCCTGAACCAGAAGAGCCAGCATGGCTTGATCAGTTCTGCCTCGGCGTTCAAACCACCTCCCCGCGTCACCTTGACCGAAGCGAAACGAAAGTCGTGGATAGCGGACCTGGCCAATGCCGACGTGCCGTTGCGGCGGCTGAGCAGGACCATTCCTCAGGGAATCAAGGGCCAGATTCTGTTGGAGCAATGCTTGCAAAGCTCGGTCCCGTCGAGTCGTGCGATATGGTTCGCCAAGTGCGTTTGTGCTAACGAGATTCGCACCTTGAGAAGGAAAGGAACCGCTCCCGCAGTGGCCGTGGGCGCCGAAAACAAGTGGCTTCGCGAATGGACGCAAAACGTCGAACAATTTTTGGAAACATATCTGGGACAAGCCAATTCACCCGATTGGAAGTCAAACGTTCTATACGCATTGCGGCTCAATACCCGTCTCTATCTCGAGAATCTCCTAGACCGGGGCCACTACTTGGATTGGATTTTGCGCTCTTTCAATGCGGCTGACGTCGGTCACACTCCTTTCTGGCTGATGGTAATCCATATTTACAAGCAAGATTTGAGCCACTACCGCAGGCGAGGTGCTAGACTTGCCAAAGCACTCATTGACAAGTACCGCTCGGTGGACAAGCTCCCCGACCAAACGATAACTCCCTTGAAGCAGAGGCTGCGTGCCGCGATCCGGGAACTATTGTTCGCACGTCCTGCAATCTTCCTGATGCCAGACCGGTGGCCTGAGAGTGTACCCATTGTTCGGACTTGCCTTGACACGACCATTGGAACGGAAGGCCAGATTTTGGAAGAACTCAACCGTATCAATGAGAGAGCAATGGGATTTAACAAGGCAGAATTCCTGTCTGTACGTGCCGCTGACGAGGCCATTGTTGAAACCCTCGATGCGGCCAAGGTCCCATACAATTTCGCTCTGCTGGAAGAAGATCTCGCTGAAGCTTGTTCAGACTTTGATCTTCTCCTGCGATCCTGTCTTGAATGGTCATGTACACGATTTCGACAATCCACTACTCGAGTGTATCTGGTCACTCGTTTAGTCAAGCGCTGGCAACGAGACGGTTGTGACGTTGACACACCTATTCTCAATTTTCTTTCTTCTTTTCGGGAGGGAAAAACGACCGCTGATATTCGGAGCTTGAGACACCTAATTGCGCAGTTCTCCAGATCTGATTGCTTTCCACTGAGCAAATACATCCAATGGCTCATGGTGAGGGGCCTGCCTGAGAAGGGAACAGTCCGTATCGACACAAATTCGATCTTCGGGCGAGCAACAGGAGCCGACTCTCCGAAGGGACCTGAGTCTATTCAGTTTCTGCTCGATCTGTCTTTGCACCGCGCAGAAGACCACGTTATCAATTTACGGAACTCGGTTCTCGAGCGTGCAGGCTTTGATGCCAATTCGGAGGAGGTCATCTTCCGACAATGTGTACGCTTCCTCGAGCAAAAATTGGCGGACTCAAGCTTCTTCACCAAGCCTGAGCCATCAGCTCTGCCTGAGCCTTCTTTCGCGTCGCTTCCATGGACACTTCGGACCAGAATATCTATGTGGCTGCGATCAAGAGCTCTCGAAGCCGCCAAATCTGCACAAAGCACTCCTATGTTGCCTGGATCCAAAGTTCTGAACGACGAACAGTTCTTCGTGATTCGTCATGTTCTGGAGTGCATGGAGGATGAGGCAGTTCTTGCTGATGTGGTCGGCATTCTGTCGGTGTCGCAACGAGATGATCTAGTGGCATCTCTCGTCGCCACCATTCATTTCCACGCCGGGACCTTCTCCGCTATTGGGGCCCTCGAAATCCTGCAAAAGAGGATGTGTCAAGTGTACATGAATTGGCGACCTGCTAAACCGACAATGCCACTACTGACCACGACTCTGCTTGACCTTTGTACCGCTTTCCCGGTCAAGACACCGGCAATCAGGTTGTTGCAACAAGATCTCGTTCGAGGAGACCGGGGGCGGGCGGTCGCAGCTTGCTCGCCATATAGTGACGGTATCGCCGAGTCATTGCAGCAGGCTGGCGCGACGTTTGTGGAGGATTTTGAAGCCATCCTGCAATCGGAAACCAACATGAATGAGCAAACCATGAACGGCCTCTTCTCGGTTTTGGTGGATCGCATTGAAAGACAACAGAAATTTGCAGACGACACGCAGACTCTACATTCATTCTGCCAACTTCTCAGTCGGCTTCGATTGTGTCGTAGGGTCCAAGGAGATCTCCTCATTCAGAAATGGATGTCGCGACTTATCCCCCGCCTCGACTTGAAATCTGGGCCTCTACTGCTTCGGATCCTCATTGCAACGGGATGCATAACCTTTGGTACCATTTTCGAAGCCATGACTAGCTCGAAGTCAGGACCAAGGAAGAATTTAGCCCTCGCGTCCTTGTTGTATCAAATTCTTGCCCCCGCCCATTCTACGTCACTTGATTGGGCTACCTACCAGACTCGGATTCGGTGGTACGAATACTCGCAGAGGAATCCGTCGACTGCCTTGGAGATGCTGTGTGAAGCCGGACTGCAAGGTGTTTCGCCGTCCTTCGACTCACTGCTCCTGGCCGTACTTGTCAACAGTTGGACGTCAGACTCCTCCTTGCCCGACTCTGCCAAACGATGGTTCGTTAAGTCCCTCAGTTGGACACTGAGATGTTCTGATGGTGATCTCAATGTGGCTGGCCTTCAAGCTTTATTAGAATCCATCAGCGTATTTTCGCACCGATTTGTCCAGCTACGATTCCGCTTAACGCCACCGACCTCTTTCGAAAAAGCCTCCGGGCCGGATCAGCCCGACTTGATCCAGGTACTCTCCCAGTCCTTGAAGCAGTCGCTACGGAAGCAGCCTTCTACATATGGGCAACAGCAGCGGTTCTCGCAGCTCTTTCAGATTGTTGGCTCTGATGTCGCTAGCCAAGTCCGCCAGAACATCGAGAACGAGTTCTTGGACGCACTGCCGAAACTGCCGATAGGCAAAGTGACCAGTCCAATCTCTGCGATTTTCCCTGGTGATGCTCAGCAGTTGTCTTCCATTGTCGAGCAGGCGTTCCAGGTGTGCCGGAAAGATATCAGTCCTAGCCCTGGCTTCATGTCACACCTAATTGACAGACTGTCACAGTATGTCAAGTGCTTGGGTGGTGTTCAAATGACTCCTGGCACTCCTGCCGCTTCAGCCACGTCAGCCCCTTCAGGCGTCTCTGGTCATGGAGGCTCTTCTACCAGCATCAATCCTTCTCAGATGTTATCCATGACGTCCAGCCCGATTGCCAGCACATCAGATGTCGGAGGTGGTTCTTTTCCACCAGCATGCTTGAGTTATTTGAGATACATGCTACAAATGGTGTGTTTGCAACGCCCGACACTGGTTTTGTCAGGTTCCAGCGCGCCCAATGCCAAACAGGTCCAGAATGAACAATTTCAACTGCTTGTACGACTGGCGTCCATCGCAACGCACCCAGCAATGACCCTGGCGTCTGGGCATCCAGGCAATCTAGACGAGCAAGTCAAGGCTAAAGAGGTAGTCGATTTTGCGTTCGACGTGATCGCTACCATCATCGATGGTGTCACCGACGAAGTCAAAATGATGTGCGCCAAGTTCCTGAAGGACAAATTACAGGATGCACGGCTCGGCTACTTGTTTGGCAGCATCAATATCTTGGGATCAACTCAAGTGCAAGACGTGGGCCGGGGGTTGCAGATGGCCAAGGAAGGCAAGGGAGTCATCGGGGAGTGGAAGCCGCGAATGTGGGAAGTCCTGGATAACGGAAGCGGTAAAGAGAGCGAAACGTCCCTCGGATTGGGTCTTTTTAGAGCCAGATACGTATAAGATGCCAGCCGGCAGAAGAGTTTGTTGGCCAGGCGATACGCATTGACGACTGCGTCTTGGGACGAGTCTATGATATTGGGAGTTTCTTTATTTCATCTACGGCCGTTTTTACGACGTCACGAGGAAATGGTGTTGGATTTTTTGAAGTATGACGTGGATGTGACTGCGCTTGGATTGGACTTTTTTTCTCTGCTAGACTTTTGGAGCCCTTCAGCATTGCCGGCAGGACTATGGGCGATTTGAAGGACCGATTGTCGTTTCCATCCCAACGGGGCTTCAATGCCTCAGCCACGGATATTGTGTATGTAAAAGGAGGAGACCCTATCTCGCACCACATGTTGTACAGCCAGCCAGTATTAGAGTTTGATCAGATAGGCTCTCCCGCCTCCGGGTATGCTTTAGAAGACGATCCTATGCCCACCCGATGCCTTCACCGCAAGTCGAGCAGTCATATGATGTGAGTTGCTGCAGAGTCGCCAAGGGGGTTCCAGTCTCAAAGGAGCAGTGGTATGCACCAAGGGGTTAATAAGGACGAGAGGGTTACGCAGTGAGTGCGGTCAGCAGGCCATTCTGAAGGCCATCAGGACTTGTCATATCGGGTAGTATGCATATCAGTAAACGACGGGGACCCAGCAGCTGATAGATCAATGGAGGCGCTGAGGGCACTAACTTAGCTGTAAGGGGCACATGCTCAACCCTGAGCGCTGGGCACATGCTCTCATGCAGGGCACCCTTGGGCATTCCCTGGGCATCCCACGCAGCCTAGTGAGCCCTACCAGCCCGCCATGCAGTGTGACGTGATGGCCTGAAGGCCAAAGGAGCACCACACCACATGCCCACGGGAGAGCAGCGTCTTTGAAACCATTCTAGCACCGCTGCTGCCTATGGTTGCTGACTTTGCTGGCTGCGGAAAGAAGATCCCATGGGTCTGTTATGGTCCCAAGATCCCAAGATCCCGGCAGGATGAACGAAAGCGTGTCGGTGGTCGTGTTCCTTCCCTTGCAATATCGCCGAGTTATGTGGCTTCGCTCCGTCTGGGCGGGTGACGGTTCTTCATCCCTTTATCCCTGCAACCCGCCCTCTGCCAACAACACCCTTCGTTATCCTTCCTCGTCCTCGTTCTTCTTCAGTATCACGTTGTCATGGTTATTTTTACACTGCACTGCTTTGTGTTCATTTCATTCCTATAGCCCCCTGTGGCCCTGCAGTGCTCCTATATTGTGCTTGTGGTGGTGGTGGATCAGGTGTCGACTCTCTTCCTAATATTCACGCGTGTCTTCCAAGTCTTGGATTCCTCCTGCTCAAATGGAAGCTGTCTGAAATCCATTGGCACTTCGAGGCCTCACTACTGTTGCGATGCCTACAAACCCCCTCCCCGAACGTGGTCGCTCTACCGTCCGCCCGGATGAGAGAGAAACTGCGTCCCGCTCCTTCGACGATGGTCCTCCGAGAAGACGCTCCACCAAACGTCGGTCGTCTTCCAGTCCTTCTTCCAGCAACGAGAAGTCGAGACCAAGGATAGAAAAATGGACATTGGGAATACTGAACGACAAGGAAACCGAGGAAGTCCCCGGAACCGTCTTACTATTGTCCTCCAACCGCAATGAACCTCTTGGTCTTGAATATCAGCGGAGCAGGCGGAGCAGTTCCTCCATGCCGGCTCAACCCATATCACCCAGGCGTCTCTCAGTGGCATCCAAGAAGAGAACAAAGGACGGTCAAGTCATCCTTGATCCGCAGCCAGACGACTCACTGAATGACCCTCTGAACTGGCCCGCATGGAGACGCGATATGGCACTTCTATCTCTTGGTTTTTACTGTATGTTGGGTGGTGGGATGACTCCCATTCTGGCTGCTGGCTTCACCAATGTTGCCCAGTCATTTCACGTCAGTTATTCCCGGGTCGCCCTGACTACAGGTTTGTATATGATGGGTTTGGGAGTCGGTAGTGTCGTCTTCTCACCTACCGCGATCCTGTTCGGGAAGCGGCCCGTCTATCTGGCTGCAGCAGTGATGTTCATCCTCACTTCGGTCTGGTGTGCTCTGGCCCCCAACTATGCCCAGCTGGCAACCGCAAGGGTCTTTCAGGGAATTTCCGTGAGCCCTGTGGAATGCTTGCCGTCTGCCACCATTGCGGAAATCTTCTTTCTCCACGAGAGAGCGTTTCGTGTCGGGATATACACCCTCCTGCTTCTGGGGGGGAAGAATCTAATACCCCTAGTGAGCGCGGTCATTATCAACGCAAAGGGATGGAGATGGGTATTTTGGTGGGTTTACCGTCCGAGTGTGTGTGTTGATCCTACTAACATTCGTAGGGTCGTCACTATTGTAGCAGGGTTCGGGCTACTTGTTCTTTTCTTTTTTGTTCCTGAAACCTTTTGGGATCGGACTCCGAGACCAAAATCAAGGAGACCGACAGTTCATCGAAGCTGGTCTAACATTCTTCATCCCCTGCAGCATCCCCTGCAGCAGAACAAAGATACTGCATCGGGGCATCGGTCAATTGACAGCACTGCGCTCCAAGCGGCTATCGAGAAAGCCATGACCCCGAGACAACACAAGCTGCACGAGCAAAATGCACACGCCAGGTTTGAGGATGAGATTGCAGAGGACAAGATCGAGCAGCAGGAAGTGGAGGTGAAGGACCACTCTGAACCAAAGACTTCCTCTACCCACGATCATCACAGTGCTCCCGACGAGGAACCTCTCCAAGATCCGGCACCCGCAACGGACGGGGCAGCTGATGTGAAAGACCCAGAAGATTTCAATCAAGGAAACGCCGTAGAAGCGGGATCACTGGCACAACCAGAACCCGTTGCCCTTCCTCGAAAGAAGCTTCGGCCTACAGGGTTATCTATGCCGCCTTCCCCAGATCCTCGCTCCTTCAGTAGACACTGGGACGGGACTCACAGCGGTGGGCCGACGGATGTACCCTCAGGCTCAATGCCTCCTTCAGCCGCTAAGAGTACAAAGGCAAGGTTTTCTAACAACGATCCCGCTATGCCACATCTACATAACCTCAACTCCCCATACTACGTCGAGCTCGAACGGACCGATGACTATCTCGGTCACCATGCGGTCCCTGAATCAAGAAGCGATCAGTCGAGGGATCCAGCCCAAGGCGTGGCGAGATCCGACACGGCTGTCACACTCCCTGGCACCCCCACCTATCTGGAAAAGACACCCTCGAGGAGTATCAACGAAAGCTTGCCTTCCCCTAAACTTGCCCGCTACACAACCAATCTCAAGCATTCGCCTCCCAAATCTTATATTGAAACCCTTCGACCGTGGAATGGAAGGCTGTCCAAAGCAAACTGGTTTCTCGTTGCTCTTCGGCCTTTCATCTTGTTTGCTTATCCGAGCGTCCTATGGTCGACCCTTGTATACTCCTTGTCGATTGGCTGGCTTATTGTGCTGTCTGAGGCGATATCTAACATCTACCGCAGCCGAGATACGTACAACTTTACCGCTCTCCAAGCTGGATTGGTCTATATTTCGCCGTTTGTGGGCGGCATTCTCGGCACGGCAGTCGCGGGACGGGTCTCCGATGTCATCGTTCGTTTCATGGCTCGCAAGAATGGTGGCGTCTACGAGCCCGAATTTCGTCTGGTTATGGCAATCCCGGTAGCCATCAGCACTGCTGTCGGTCTCATGGGCTTTGGGTGGTCTGCCCAAGAGCGAGATGCATGGATTGTTCCCACCATCTTCTTCGGGGTCGTGTCCTTCGGCTGCTCCTTGGGAAGTACCACGTCCATCACCTTTTGTGTTGACAGCTACCGGCAATATGCCGGTGAAGCCCTCGTGACCTTGAACTTCAGCAAGAACATCTTTCACGGACTTGTGTTTAGTCTATTCTTTGCGAACTGGCTGGAGGAGGACGGGCCCAAGACGACCTTTTTGGCGATTGGAGGTATCCAGCTTGCTTGTATGGTTACGGCCATTCCCATGTACATTTATGGGAAGCGGGCCCGGATGTGGACTGTCAGAAGAGCGTTCATGGAAAACTTTTGAGTGAGATCGGCTGCCTGAGACGGTCGAAGCTGTGCTTCTTTGAGGGGGGTCATGACCGCTGAGGAAGATGTTGTGTTTGACGGCGTGAGTTGAGCATCTCTGCGTTTACATTTGCACCGCTTGGATTAAAACTTCTTTGGGATTTCAGCATAGCGGTGGCGTCACAAAGTCCGGTATGTTTCTCGGCGAGACGAACCATGATGAGCGCGCCATGACCAGGGTATCCAGTCCCCTGGACCACAGTGTATGAGCATCACTTGACGGCATAACGACGACAGAATGAGCAGCCCGGGAAAACCAGACGACTAGACGGGTTGGGGAGAGTATTGCATGGCATGGCATGGATGGTATGCGATGGTATGGGATAGGACTATGTACACCGCTCTTCTTCGTATGCAACCTAAACACTCCTGGACCTAGAGTATAATACAATAGTATCTAATCACAAACACGAGAATCTCGGGGATGTGGTTTTGAGTTTAATCAGTGTTTTATGTTCACAAACACAGCCCATGTCTGTCCGGGGCCCGATGTAACAGTGTGTATCTATCCCTTTGCCAGCTTGCCAACGACGGGTGGTGTGAGATCAACATTATTCATTCATGTCTGGTATGTATGGATGTATGGATGGAATGTCTGTCTGTCTGTCTGTCTGTCTGTCTCGATTTTCTTCATGTTCACATACTCTAAATATAGGCTTTACAATAGAAGCGCAACGTACAGTATCTCCCTCCTCGATTGTGCGGTGCATGGCATGGCATAAATAGCATAGCATGGCATGTCCATAATATGTATGTACCCGCCTCGCCCCCTCTTCGCGCCATACACTAACTGGATGGAAGGGTGCTCCAGGACGACAACAATTCCTTTTTTGTTAATCTGCCGAGTAAATGATGACCTTGTTGTGCATTCATACATGCGTGCATGCATAGCTAACTGGATGGATCCCGAGCATGTCTGTCACACGCTCTCGCGAAGCATACATACACAATGATCAAGAACTGCTCGGCTCGGCTCACATGAAGACACTCTCACGCGTGTTACTCTAGAGGAGAACCCATCACGTCTCGGCTCTGTGGGAGGAGGGCGGGGTGCAGGGGGATGAGATGTCGCTCGAGTTAAAGAACGAAGATGACTCGGCCAAGAGGAGACTGTCGGACAGCAGGCTGTTGTTGTTCACCCGCCATGGAATCGGCCGCCTCGGCGTCCTCATCAGGGTCAGTCTCTTCCAAGTCAACCTCCTCGGAGTCGCTCAGCTCGTCCGCGCCGTCCGACCACTCTGCGACTTGTTCCGTGGTTCGTCGCGTCGTCACCAACTGCTGGGCGGTTTTGTAGGCACAGGCCCAGCAACCGTGTTTCCGAAAGACCGCCGTTTTGTACCCCAGTTGCACACTGACGGCGGCAGCAGCCAAACGCGCTTGCCAATTGCCGTGAGCGCGGACGACGCCGCACTTGGTCGGCTTCGCCAACAGCTCCTCCCAGCAATCGATGGATGCCACGTCAAAAGAGGGTGGGTGTCCGGCTGGTCTCTGCGGACATTGAGTCTGCCGGACCACTGATCTCAATGACGCGCTCTCCAAGGATGTCAGGATATCGAGATCCGCGACCCACTTACCCGCGTCGTGCACGGAAATGACGGTTTCGAGGAAGAAGGCCTCGATGAAGCGGCTGCCGTGCTCGCTTGTCATGATCGGGAGCTCGTAGCCGGTGAAATGTAAATGGAGGGAGGTGCTTTGAAAACAATCGCTCAGGTCGCCGTCAAATGGAGCGTGCGTAACCAGATTCCACTGCTCGACTTGATATTTACGAACGCCGGGATTGAGGGGTGGAATCAGCAAGGCGATGCCCGCTCGCCCGATATTTCCCACCACTCTGCGCACTTCGTGGGTTTGCAAGTCGGTCAGAGGGTCGCACAGGAGAGGGGCGGCGACGTAGAGCGAGTTGTCGGTTGAGACCGCCATTACTTGCTGAAGGCCTGCCGGTTCAAGGTTGAATCCTCCCGATTCCAGCATGACGATACAGGCAAATGTGGCAGGTCGGCTCAGGCTCAGGGGCAGAAGATTATGCAATTTTGACCCCTTTGTCTGTGTTTCGAATCCTCGAATGGAATCGGCGGTAGCAACCACCCACTTCGAACCTCCAAGAGAAGTGCTGCCGGTCAACAAGCTGGGCGCGATGGTGGCACCAGGGAGGTTTTTATATACCTCGACGCAGCTGGCTAATGCTCTCAATGATGCTATCATCTGCGACGCGACAGACGACGTGGACGAATACTCGGACAGGTGTCGAACAAATAGGTTGGCGCTGATGACACCGGCTTCGAGGAAGTCTGTGATCGTGCGCATGTCGAGTTTCTTCACTTCCGAGTCATAGTAAGTCTCGTTTCGCGGACTCCAACGGTCGGTTCGCTGGAACAAGGCCACTCCCTCCTTGTCTCCTGCGCAAAAGCTTAGCGAGATACTTTGCTCCACCACATTGGGCTTCTCCGTCGTGGCATTCGAGTCGGCCGGGTCCTTGACTTCGTATGGCTCGGGACTGTCCCTGTGTCGAGACCACTTTTTCCTGATTTCTTCGGGCGACTCTGAAGCTCCCCGTTGCTTGTCACGTGGTTTCATTGATCCTGGCCGTTGAGGTTCTTTTGGATTTCTTTTGCCTCTATGTTTCCCTTTGCTCGCATTGCCAGACACTTGAAGACGTAACACTAGATGTTGCGGGCCCTCTTCTTCTTCTTCCTCTTCTTGTTGGCTGGTTCTGTTGACTGTCGCCCGTTCAGATGGATTTTTGAAGAATTTAGGGGGACTGCGCCATCGGAAATGCTCTGCTGACCCTTGCGCGATGATATCCTTAGCGTCAACCAGGTGAACATCATCTCCTGAGCAATCTAGCATGGGAGCTTCCTGAGGGGTGGAAGAAAGCCCAGGATTCTTGTTGACCACAACCCATCGCATGTGGCCTGCAGTGGGCGGGAGCACAGTTGCATATTGGGAGGCTTTCCATTCATCTTCGGTCCCATCAGCCACTTGGACGGTCCGTCCTTCTTGCTGAAGAATTCGGATGACGAGTGAATCTTGACGCGCTTTCCGCTTCGACATTATCTTGCGAATAAAGCCCACTTGGTCTTCTTGACGAGCTATCAGACGAAGAATTCTGGGGCTTCTGAGGCCGAACATGTCGTTCGGGACAGCAGCGAGGAATTTGTGGTGGCGAAGGCCTAAATTCAATAGTTTCCTGCAGACTTCTCGCTCTTCTCCCGCAGACCGATCAAAGGACCGCGCCGCTTCAACGAGGACGTTTATCCACGACGTATCTTTGAGCGCCGAGTAGAGAGGCGAGGGCTTTTGTTCGTCGAGCCAGGTCTCCAATGTCTTTCCAATCGCGTGAATCAATTTCAGTCCGTCGGATAGTCCCTCGGTAGAGACACCCCACGACCCAAGGACACATCCTAATGCTACTATCGCGAATTGATCGATCGACAGTCGGTGCGATGCAGCGCTTATTGATTTGGAAGAATGCACGGGCTCCCCGTAGTATCGCAGATGGGCAAGTGACAACGACCAGTATACTCCGTCGTGGGCTGTGCCTGGGGCAGTCCGTTTCAGGCCGATCGTGAGGAGGCCACCAAGAGGTATCAGCTCGTCCCCCTGCCTTATCTCGTGGTTCGTTTTGTCCAGAACGACAATGTCTGGATACAGGTGCCATGCTGATAGCGCCACCAAAACAGCTCCAGCTTGGATGCTGTATGGCTCTCCGGCAACAATGCTGTCCATCGTACTGAGCGAAGTCCTCCAGGCCTGGCACGAATTTGAGTCGTACTTGAAGGTTTTCTGAGAACTCAAGTTCTTGAAGCGAGAGTCCGGGAATCGTGAGGCTCAGCTGCGATCGACCTCGGGCTCCAATGGCGAATTGACACGAAGCTCATCCTACTAGGAGTTGGTCAAATTGTCCAGCTGTGGGGAAGTTGGGCACCTCTTATGAGCTCGATGCATGAAGAGGCGCGACGTTGTCTGTCTGACTAGGGCTTTGATTCGCAGACTGATCTTGAGCTAGCCATTCCCACGGCGGACAAGCACAAGTAGAAGCACGTCAATGCATGGACAGGTTGGCTCGAGAGCTGCCTCGTGTGGAGCACATATGGTGTTTCCCCCTTGAATTTTGGTAAACGCCACTCGCTTGGACCGACTCATGTCAGATTTTCATTGAAGAGGCAGTGCAATAGCCTGCCGTGACTCTCTCGATGTTCAACTGGTTGCTCCGCCGTGTGCCCATTTAAGCGGCCGCACTCCCTTTCCTCAACGAAAATGTAGTGGACGAAGTACAGAAGACAAAGCAACTAGTATATATATGTATATACCCATACACATCTTTGGATTTTCTCACGGTTGAAGATGGTAGGCAATAGTCTGATTGTGAGAAAGCGTGTCTGAGAGAGCGAGGAACTGAGTGAGTTAGTCCACGCTTTGACAGCAGCGTTGCAGTGTCGTCCTTTCTTCGCGCCTATTCTCCGCTTTTTCCAGGGCTTCGTTTGAGCGTCATTCAGTCATTCATTCGTGGTAGAAGAGGAGACTGGGAGAGGGTAGGTAGGGAAAGGGCAGCAAGGAGGTTTAACTTTTTTGCAATGGTGGGATGTTGGGAGTGGCGACTATTTTGGGGAAGCTCCCTGTTTCCCTTCTCTCCTTCACATGTTCTTTGTGCGGGATCAGACCTCGATGGATTCAGTCCGTCTGTCAGTGCTGGACGCCGATGTTCCATGTATCTGCCCTCTGCCCTTACCTAAGGTGCAGGCCCCATCCATGGCCAAGAGCTCCGACTTTGTGATCTGATCAAAGTCAAGACAGGAATATCGCGTCCTTGAATGAGCGTGTGGTTTGATTTGCTCCTCGTTGTACCAATTGGTAGCGTGCCCAGCCTGGGAAGGACCAAGATAGTATGGAGCGCTCAACAGTGAATGAAGTTCGCCCGTGTCTGTATGTTACCTCGCCTTCGGTTGTGGGTAGACTTACTTGGACAGTTAGGCGCAAGAACCCTGGAGAGCTCGGAATAGAACAGACAGGCAGAGGTCTGTTGACCGCAGAAAATTCCTCCACCCTTGCCCACAGTGCCACATGAAGTAGTCAACTGGGCCACCATTGCAACCTCGAACACATCCTTCTGGTCGTCACCCCAGTATAGACAGGGCAGTGTCTCGCTTAGACGATTTCGAGGGAATGATCGCAAGGCTTACTGCCAAATTGTATCATCTGATATGTCGAGGACCACCAGCATGTCCAGGGTGGTACAGAGGGTCGAAGAGGGTGGGGATGCGGCTTTCCATTTTCTCCCAAACACATGGACGCAGTATAGACGATAGAGGCAGTCGAATGAGAAGATCAATTTTATCGTCCGTCCTTCCCCTTCATGGTAGAGTCGCAGATAATGGCGAAAGCGTTTCAATGCTCTTGGCTCCCAAAAATAGTCGATGAACATTTCGGGTACACAGAAGAGGCATAGCTTGATGGGAGTCGCAAGGGAATAGACGGGCAGCTGATGGGCTGCGAGCGACACCCCAAAGCCAAAGCCTCTGGAGAAGGCCGTCTTCCCCAAACTCCATAGCCGTCCGAAATCTCCCTTGAGATAAAACGCATTTGCCACCTTTGTATCTGTGACTTTCAAGCCTCCCCCAAAACGGCCAAACTCCGAGAGCGGTGGAAAAGCACACAAGTAGGCGCTCGGGAAGGGCCGAAGTGCCTGTATACATACAGGCACCAGGAGGATAGGCAACAACGCTTTCAGGGTCTGTAGTCACAGCAAGATATCGGCTGTTGCAAGCATCGGAAGTTGGCGAGGGTTGCAAGTTCGTAGCAGTATTTTTGGAAAATTCTTCATTCGCGGTGGAGTCAGGCCTTCGCAGATTGATGGAGAGCCTCGGTTAAGGCTCTGTCTGAATGGATAGAGGGTATCAGCCAGAGTTCAGTGAAGTCGCCACCATCGCCTGTCGGGGAGTTAGTCAGGGTGATACGGGGAAGGTGGATTAGAGTTGGACCAGGGAGTTGTACGGAGTACATCACCATCATCGATACTAGGACTGCGTGGGGTATCACGAGCAGCTAATCTCTCAGCGGTGGGTTTCGCGAAGGATGATCGGTAGTATCCTCTCCCGAGTTCCCCCAATCGTAAAGAGTAGACTTTTGGAGACGAGCGATTTTTGTGACCGGGCAAGGCAGACAGTGCAGGTGCGTAAACAGGTCGGGATGGGTGATGGCACGTGGCTATCTCACATCGTCCCATGCAGGAAACATTCGGATTTGTGGTGCCGGGACCTTGTGTGTCCTTGCAGAGTAGAGAGGGCGTTTCCCGGCTGCAGGGTGTTTATCCACTGGTGCTACCGCTGCAGGTGTCGTCGACAACCTAACTGGAATAGGCCCAAAGACTGCCCTGACTAACCACGGGGAGGACGTTGTAGGCGAACCAGGCAGACACTCGATGCGCAAGTCAAGTCGACGAGCAATCGAAAGACTGGCATCTGGGGTGGTAGGGGTATGTCCTCGTATGTAGATTGGAAATCGACATGACGCCAGTTGTTTTTGCCTGAAGCGATCTGGGCGTCAACCAATATGGAGGGTCTCAGCTCATCTAGGATGCCACTCAGGCATTGCTCATGATTGTGGCTGTGGCATGTCTCTCGACGACAAATGAATGAGCTTTCCTCCGCGTGGGGGTCATCTGACTCAAGGCATCCAGGCACAGGCTCTGTAGGCAGCGACATAAAATATCTCTCGCAATAATGGATGACGGGGTCCTTCGCGAAACACCGGGCCCGCGGGTGTAATTGGAAGCGTCCAGGGCTGCGCGGATTTGCTTTGTCAATCCCATATGGCCGAACAAGGCGGCGCCGTTCAGGGGGCTAAACAGCCTTCCCGACCAGCCTTTTCGGTTGTTATGGATAGACTCTCCAATCCCCATGCGTGGAGATGGGACAGACTCCGACCAAGGGAGCCACAGGGCTTGTCCTAGGAGGTCGGTCATGACGCAGGCCGGGTGTTTATGAGTCGACGTTGTTGATTGAGCCATTGATTGTCCTGATTCTGTCCTATTGAGTTATTCGCCCGCTATTACGATGTAACGCCAGTGCTTCGGCATGACCCAGAGTAAAGGACCCTGCAAGAGGTCCAGAGATTCCAGCATTCAATCTATTGGTCCACGCAGCCTTGATTGGTCCCGGTGTCCAACTCATATGTCCTGGAGCAGCCGAGGCGTACCCTCTTGCGGTAGAGTGCCTCCAGGATACTCTTGACTGTGCTGCAGATTGAGCGCTATATTTATATTTTGATCCCTCTGGGTGCTTGGGCTTGGGACTTTTGGAGAGTGAAGCCACCAGGCGAGTGGAGGCATCTCTTGAAGAGAAAGGAAAGGTGTTCTGATCAACCACCTATCCTCTCCTGATACGCACAGAATACGACGACCGTACTTTTGCTGCATTGAACGAGGCTGTGTCGCTGGCAGTCAGCCAAACACGTCGGATGCTTGCATGACTGGTTTCGAGGCCTTGACACCGAGGGGGGCCATTAGACCTGCATGTCGTAAGGCATCACTATTTTGCTGGCATATATCTTCCCTCGAGATACTGGACCAGAATTCCTCTGGTCATTTCGGAAGTCTCACAGAGGCCTCTCCCGCTTTGCTTGTGTATGAGTATGGACGAAAGGTCACCGACGAGTACCTCTACATCATACGATCAATCCACAATCGAGGAACAACACGCACCAGAGTCACCATCACTCACACACCTTGAGGAACAACTGGCAAAAGACTTTGACGAAGAAGATTCTCGCGCACGAAGCCCTGCAACCCACCGCGCATCCGCTTTGTACGGCTTTACCAGAGAAAAGGAAGAGATAAATCTGGCGTCGAGTAGTGCCTGGGTCGAAGACCAGTCCTCCGACAGTAGCCCCGAGGAATCCGACGAACAAATATCTCAAGACCAAGACAAAGGGAAAGAGCGAGAAATGAGTCATCCGGGAGATTATTACCATTCAAGAGCGACCGTGTCGCCCCCCGATCGGCGCCCTGAGATATCGAGAACGAGCCCCAGCAGCTCTACCAGCACGCCCCGGCAAGGCTCTGAGGAGGCCAGAAGTGACGACAAAAGAGAGGACCGAGCAGGAAGTGGCGGCGGCAGTGGTAGTGGCAGTGGAAGCGGCAGCAGCAGTGGTAGCGCCGGTGCGAGTGGCAGCAGCCGCCCTAGGCTGGTGGCAGGAGTCTTCGTGAGATATTGAGAGAGAGAGAGAGACAGAGAGAGAGAGAGATTGACACGCATGATTGGGATGCGTCTTTTCACCTCAGCACTCTCCCCTTTTTTGGCATTGCGCTGTAAAATGCGCTGTAGGGCGGCGTCTTCACCGCTTGACTCCCTAAGGCGACCTGTTGAGCGTGGCGAAAAGACTGAAGGTGAAAAAAGACTAAGTCAAAAGAGGTTAGTGGGTTTGAAAGTAGACTAGTCTAAGTTAGTCTTAGTCAATATCAGATCAAGATGAGAGATAGAGTAAGGATATGAAGTCGGCGAGGCGGCGAGGTTCTTGTTCTATAGTCGAAAAAGAGAAATCTCAAAAAAAAAGGGAGTGTCCGTTAACAATCGAACTCTAGTTTAATCCCTCTAGGTCTTATCCGCCGGTGGCGCCTCTTATAGATAGTAAGCTAACTAGACGCTCCTAACCTTAGATTTCTATGATAAGGGACTAGAGCCGTTAGGGTCTTAGAACACTTAGTAGCTTAGAGAGTCTATCTTAGAGAGAGTTTTATTAGACTTTATATCTACACCATATAGTATTAGCCAATCAATAGGGGTTAGGGTTATACTTAATCAAGTCCTCTAGAGGGTTTCCTCCATAATCCTTAGCGTTTAACAGTACTATTCAAAAGGTACAAAATCGAATATCTATAAAAAGTAAGTAGTATAATATAGGAATCGAATAGGAGAACACAAAACGTAAGTAAACGAGTTACGATAGGATAGTCAGCGCTAACTACCGGTCCTAGCTAGGATTAAGAGGGAATTTCTAAACCTACAAACTATATATTTAATTAAACTAATATAGTAAGACTAAGAGGTAAGGCTAAGACTCTAGCGGCCTCCCTAGACGTAGTGCATAGGATTTCGACTAAGGGAGCCCATTAGGATCCCGTTTAAGACTCTTGAATATTAAAATAGTAAAGATAACTAAGTCTTTAACCTCCTAGAGATATCTCAAGCGAATTAGCCTTAAACGTGTCAACCGGAGTACAGTATTCGCAGCTAGAGAACCTTATGAAAACGACGAAGTCGTCAAAGATATAGTCTCTTATATAGTTACGTAACTATATAATCGATATCGGTCTAACTAATAAGAGTACGGTATTTACGGAGGGGATATCGAACTAACTAATTATAGCACTATATTTACTACTAATACCGCCTAAATTAACGATAGAACTCTCGCCGATTATATATACTCTCTAGTTAATCTCTAAGACCTAGAGACGTTTATTATCTTAGCGGCCGCGCTCCCAGTCTCGAGTCCGTCCTAATCTATAAGCTAATAGAGAAGATATAGATATAGAAGATAAAGGTACCCCTAGAGATAGCTCGACTATAGTTAGTCCTAGCCGAGAAGTAGTAGTAATATACTCAGGAAGACGACGCTCTCGATCACGCTAACGATACTTAGCGGTCTCTATTAGCTTACTACGTAGCTTTAAGCGCTTAAAGTCGAATAACTATTCGAATAGAATACTACGGAGACTCTTAACTCGAGATATAGCTATATAAGTAAGGCCTTAAATAAAGTCCCTTTCCGAGATATCTATCACTACCTAATTGACCGTAATACCCTAAGCTTTATAGATAATAATAATATAGGTATTAGTAATTAGAAACTATATACGAGAATATATAATAGCGCCACGATAGAACTCTCTCCTAGACCGAAAGATCGGCGTTAAGGTCTCCCTATTATCGCTAACGATAAAGGTAGGGCCACTATAGTGATTAAAATACACGAGAAGAGCGACTAGGGGTTCTCTAGCCTACTAGTCAGCACCGGCTTTCTATATAATATCTCTAATAGTGCCTAGCGCGCTATTAACTAGACTACGCTTAATCTAGATATTCTCCGTAAGTATCACTCGACTCCTAATCGCTAGTGGAAGTGCTATATAAAGATTTCCAGCTTCGTCGGACGTAGCCTCCGCCGGCTTTACTAGTGCTAGACCTTCGTAAGATATATAGGCGACGACTATAGGGGTATAGAGATCCCGTAAACGGTCGTAGTTATATTAAGTAACCCGCGCCTTCTTACTATAGATACGGAGAGTATTTACGAACGCCGGGATCTCTAATAGAACAATAGTCTAGATACGAGTGTAGAGGAGTCTCTAGTCGTTAACAGTAACTATATCCTCTCGGAGAGTATCGAGAGCCTTTCGAAAAGCGATAGATTTATCGTCCTATCCCCTCTAACGCCGAACAATATCAAGTTCAATAGTCTTATTAAAATATCGATAAAGATCTCGACTAGCGATTTCCTCAGGGTTAGTGATCGTACTTATAAAGTAGAGAGATCGAATAGAGACCGCCGATAGTTACTAGAAATCGCCCGCGATAATAATACTAACGCCCCTAAATCTAGTCCTACTATTCTCCTTAAAGATCTCTCTTAATCGCTAGTCGATCCACGTTATCATTTTCAACGAAATTATAAATTTCTTATCAATAATAAGATATCGGACGTACCGTAGCTTACCATTTTAAAGCGCCGTTAAGTTCGAAGTACTTAGGCTTTCGTACCCTTTGACGAACTTTATAAGTAGTTTAAACTGAGTATAGAGTGTCCTACTACTGATAGTATAAGTAGTAACACTAGTAGATACCACGCGAGTAACTAGACTTAGTCTTCTACGACTCCGTACTATCTCTTCTAGCGTTAACGAAATAAGTATAATAATATACGACTTTCCCGTATCCGCCTTACTATTAAGATTAATTAGGAACTGTTTACCCGGCTAGCCTACGAGCTCGTTCTAATAGTAAGTAATAAAATATATATATAGCTATCTCTACTTAAGTTCTAGAGCGTCTAGATTAGTAGATAAGTAGACCGAAAGGTTTACGAGATTACTCAACTTTAAGTCCTTCCAGTACTCGGGAGGAAAGGTATAGCGACTAATATAAGGCGTCTAGTTATACTAGCGATCGAAGTTACGATCTCCTAATCTATCCGGATTCTCTTTACGGACAGTATCGTCTCGATTTAATAGCTATCGGGCGAGCTCTTCCTATAAGCCCTTCACGTTAGTATTATCGTCTATATTAAGATCCTTAAGACTATCGTCTTCGGGTTCCGGAGGTAGTTACTCTATGAAATCCGGAGGAAGAGTATTAGTATAAGTAGAACTCTAGTAGGCCTATACGTCCGTAAACGTTTAAAAGGTAATATTAATATCTAGACTAAGTAGTTCGTCGATATCACGAAAGGAAATATAAAGTATTAGCTTTACGCGGAAATAGTCCTCTTTATCTATCTCCGGCTTATATCGAGAAAAGTAGTTTAGTACTCGAGACTTTACTAGAGGACGGAGCTTAATATCCTTAGGGGCACTACGGAAGTTATATAGGCGTAGGAAGTCGAGATATCGAACGTTCTCGAGTCTCTCTAGTCGGCACTTATACTTCTCAAGCGGCGACTAACCTAAGGTGATAGATTCGCTATCTTCCTCGATCTAATAACGCGTTAATTGATAAGCTTTAGGCCGATAGTTTATATTCTGAACGGTACGACTATCTATTTGAAGTTATAAACTAAGTAGGATATAGTACATCTCCTAAGTAGACTAATCTCTCTCCCCGATAAGACGATTTATAGTCTTCGAGACTAGCGATAGGAGAGACTTTCCGGTATTTAGATAAGGTAGAATCTACCGCATAACCTACTGATAGGTCTAGGATTTCTACTCGGCCTTACTATAGTATTTACCGATATAATCGAGTATAGTACGAGAGCCTATACACGGCCGAATATCCGTATTTGCTCGCTAGAATATACTAATAATACGATTATAGTCATTAAGACGTAGGTCGTTCCGTACGGCCATAAAACGATAGCAGGTGCTCCGCGGAGGCTTCTCGACCGTTAGTATATCCCGAGTCTATACTAGGAAATGAAATCGGTAGATATATTCGCCGATAGCCTTATCCTTACGGAGATAGTAGGTCTCTATATATTAATACTTCTAGATACGGTTAATAATAGTAATAAGCTATCCCAGCTCGTTCCGTTCCTCGCCTAGGAGGAGCGAGAGTGGCGATTCGTTCTGTTATTAACGGTATCGAGAGTCTATATTTATAGCCGAGATATAGCGACTCTAGAAAGTAACGAACTCAGCGAATAGATTAATATCCTTTTCTAGCTTAGGATTAGGACCGTCTTCTATCTAATAGACGCCGTAAGAATAAGTCGAGCTACGAGCCTACTACTTATAGCGATTCCACTTATTCTTAATATTAAACTTCTTATTTAAGATATAGGTCTCAAACGTAGAGTAGCGAGCGTAGAAATAATACGCGATAATTAGTGGATTATTACGAATATTCCGACGCGCTATACGAATCCTATCTAATAGACTAGTACTTCGCTATTATTCGTAGTTATCGAAGTACTTTATAAGCGAATATTAATAATAGTCGGCGGTAGAGAGAGTAATAAAGAGATAGGGAGACCTAAGGTTCTTAACGTAGGTCTCTAGCTACTTCCGACGACTACTCTAGAACGGCTAAGTACTCTAGAGACTACCGGAATAGCGTATAATAGAATTAATTAGAGTCTAGACCTTAGGAGAGTTAGTCTCGAAGACGGCGCGAAGGTTATCGATCGTTATCTAAGCCCGATCTATACCGGATCGCTTAATAAAAAAGCTAGTCCGTATATTAACTTAGGTCCGTATAAGAGTGTTAAAGACTACATACCGGAAGCGAGGATATCTAGCGAATCGACTATCGTAGTATTTCAAGAGATACCTAATTATATTAATATAGCTAATCGAGCGCAACCGGGGCATAATAAACTCGGCCGCGCTACGAGAAAATAGACTTAGAAACGCCTATAAGAGTAATATCTAACTCTTATTGAATTTAGATAGAGAAGTATAGCGAAGCGATAGTATTATAAGATAATCCTACTCGGGGCGAAGCTAATTTCGTAGCCTCTCGAGCTTAGTCTCTATAGTAATAAGATTAGGAACTACGGAGGTATCTACGCTCTCCTCTTTATTTACGATATTAGGGTATTTATCCTAACCTGGCTGCTTAATCTCGTTCTCGAGCTCCTAGATTATTACGCGGTCGACTACGGATATATCGATAGGGAGAGTATATAAGTTAGTATCGCTAATTTCGATATCTCTATATTTAGGATAGTTCTATTAAAGGTAAGCTAGCTATATAGTAATGATAGAACGACGGACGCGGAAGTCTCTCGTAAATTATTTAGCTAGAAATACGTTACTAACTATATTATCTAGACGTAGAAGGACTAGTTCTAGATACTCTAGAAGTAGAGAGAGAGTATTATAGACCTTACTAGTATCTCTCAAGAAGTTAACGATATAGTCCTTATAGCGATATTAGACATTACGAACCTAGCGGATCTTAATAAAGATATAGATACGAGCGATTAATATCTCTTCGATCTACGTAAGTAACGGAAGATTATATTCAATAACTCTAGGATCTATATTATTCTTAATATTATAGAGGAATAGATCCGTATCCTTCTCCCGTCTACGTGGACCGATAGCGTTAATACGAATATAACGAGTATAGATACTCTCGAGATTTAATTTCATATTAAACTACTTCTCTCGATAGCGCCGATACTCCTCTATCCTATCCGACTCGAGAGCCTAATAAAACTTCCGAACGTATTGCCAATCCGCGTCCGTTAAGGTAGGATTATTAGCGTCAAAGAGGTCCAATAGTAGATCTAAGATATAGAGATTCTCAACCTAAGTAGACTTAATACGCTATAAGGGACTCGCTCGGCTAGTAGGACTCGCTCGACTAGTAGAACTTAAGCGCGTATTCTTACGGTGTCCGGAGAGACGTAAAGCACTAAAAGAAAGTCCTTAATTATAGTAGGCGTTATATAACTACCTTTCCTCTCTATCACGAAAGAAGGCATTTCGATCTACCTTATATCTACTAGGAACGCACTACGCTAACTGATCACTAATTATAGTCCTACGTTAACAATAGGAGTAGTAGTCGCCGTCTAGATTCTGTATTCGCCGCGATAGAGCCCGCGTAATATTACAGATAGCGTAGATAAAGTACTGCGCTAATAGCCGTAGCGATTTATCTATAGAAGATTAGGAGCGTTATAACGATAAGATCGATAAATACTAACTAGGAGACTACTCTACTTACGGCTGGGTAAGGAGCTTAGATAGTTCCGGTATCTAAGATAGCTCCTCGCTATCACGCCGGCGGACGCGATACTCCCTTAAGATCGCTAGGTGTTACTTCCTCGCGTTAGCTATCGCGGGAGTATCCGTAGGATATTGCCCACGGCGGTAGAACTTAGGCTGTCGGGCGCGAGTAACGCTAGCAATTGTTAGTAGTGCAAAGCTAGGAGGTCGAGCCTAAGTCTTAGGCTAAACCGGCGCTGGTCGAATAGTATATATTAGACTATTAATAGCAGACCGCTTCTTAGATATATAACCGCGTTTTTCACGGCATATAATACATTATATAGTCTCCCTATTACCTCGCTTAGACCTGAAGTCTTCTCTAGGTTTGAGTTGACCATAGGCGGAGCAGGTCTTGTAGGGGCTTAATTAAGGACTAGACTAAGAGGGGGGTGTGTTAGGAGGCTTGAAGGGATCAGGTAGTATATCGGCTACTATTTTAACAGGAGAGATTTAAGCGAATTAATTAAAGCTAAACGAGAGCTATGGAGAGTAATCTGCGTGGTTAATACCGTTGTTTATTGTGCGCTGTTTGTTATGCGATAGCGTATTAATTATTATTGTTATTAGTTATATAGAATAGGAAAAGCTAAATAAGCAAACTGGCTATATCATTGGTCAAAGGCCAACTGGCACGTGACGTTATAAAAAATAGCCAATCGGATCTCAATATTCTTCCGCACCAATCAAATCCGCGGCTTCTTTGACGAAGTTGCCCTGTAATACTGTTTTCGCTTCGCTCAACAGGATAATCTCCCCTTTTTGGCGTTGGTCTAGATACTAATCCCGTAAAGCTGTTGCAGGAACATCAGCTGCTGCTTCAGTCTATGATATTGGTACTCCCATTGGTCCTCTGCTGTTCGAGGATGTTGTTGTTCCTGCTTCAGTCCATGATATTGGTACTGCCATTGGTCCTCATTAATCCCATTCTATCAACACAGTTTTTGGGTCATGCTCTTCCTGCATTTGTACCTCGTTTAAGCTGATGTGAAGTCCTAAACGATGTGATAGAACAGAATATCGCAGGTAACTTGGTCAAAAATGCTGCGGATTTGATTTGTCGGACGGAGTATCCAAATCCGATTGGCCGACTTATGTTGAAGTCACGTGCTACTAGGGCACCTAGAGTTATTCACCACGGACACCTGGAGCTCATCACTAGAGCGCCTAGAGTTCTTGACCACGGGGCACCCAGAGGCGATCGCTAGAATACCGAGAGTCCACCACCACGGGTACCCTGACTCTCTATCACAGAGTACTTAAGGTCTCCATGGGTATCTGTGATGTCTTGACGAATAGCTCGGAGCTCAACTAGAATTTCTTGACCGTTCGTGATTGTTGGTAAATTCTGTGCCTTTTTGATCTCATCACCAATCAGATTGAAGTCTAGCTGCAGACCGAGAAGGGTTCCGTTGGCTATCGTCGCCGCGGCAGTCGTGATGACAGTGGTGGTGGTGATGACGGCGGTGACAGTGGTGACATTGGTGGTAGTGAGGGAGTCTGTTTACGTGACACGCCTTCACCAACCGAGTAGAAAGCGTGTTGTCGAGGGCAGGGACGCCTCCAAAAGCGGCGGCAGGAATTGGATTCCACTGGCGCCGCCCTCTTGCCAGCATCACTGAGGCGTGCGCTCACCGGTTGGTCAGCCTCACTAGCCTCGTCTTCAACGCCGGGTATCGATGCAGAAGCCTTTGAAGTGTCGCCTCAGAAGTACGGGATAGACAGTTCATTGTGTGCTCAAAGCGTTGGTACTAAATTGAGCGGGAAATCTCCCTGTGACTTGTATTAACAAGTCGACTCATTCTAATGACACATTCAAGTTAGAAGAACTCTAGTCCTTTGATTGAGAGCGCACAGTGCGACTCTTTTCTATGTCTGATGTCGTTACTGCCGAATTGCATAGCACTATCATACAGCTGATTTCCAACCTCCCTAGCTCATTCTATCTACATGCCAGCCGAATCATGGCTCAATACTGCATGCACACGCCCACCTTGCGTTGTATTTCATTAAATAGAGCGTCAAGTCTGGAATCAACTCTTGCTTTTGTTGTATCATCTAGCCACGGTAACTCTCACAAAATCACCTTGGTGGAGAAGAAGGATTGGACGTCTGCAAATTTCTCTTCATTTCAGGCATCCCCGGCACCGGCATTCGCGGCACCTGCGACGTGGCATGAGCTCGCTGCGAGAATGCGTTGCCGGGTACATATCGAGCGGGACTGGCAGAGCTTGACACTTGCGACATCTGAGGTGAGGATGGCTGGAGCGGTGGCGTACCCGTTACATTGTAGTCCATCGCCGTCGCCGTCCAGCCCGGAGGCACGGCCGAATGGACTGGCTCTGGGAGGGGTGCGTCTTCAAAATAGCTAACCCTGGCTGGCGCGGAGAGAGTCGCGGTCATGGGCTCTTGGGGTGATGCGTCGGGGATAGTAGGAATTGTGCGGGACCCTCCTGCATACTCGTTACTGGGGACTGAAAGACCGCTGTGGCGAGCTGCACGCCGCCGACCCCGGGTCGACTCCCGTCTGAGAATGTCTCGTACTTCCTCAACATCGTTCGAGCGTTGCTTGTTCATCCGAAGTTCTCGTTCATGGTCCACAACCTCTTCGGGATCAACAGCCACCTTGCGTTTCACCAAATGGTCAACTGCTGACGCTTCGTTGAGTTCTGTTCCAGATGCCGCGCCGAGGTGGTCAGGGGATTTGTGCTTCGAAAGGTCGAGGTGAGGCTTGTTCTGCTCGAGGAGGGGCACGAGTCTCTTCTTATCTAGGTTCTCAACAAACTCCTCCTTATTCTTCTGCGCGATCTCGTCGCTGATCGCAACCGAGTAGGTCGGGTTAGCCTTGTCACCAGCAGGAGGACCGGCACCACCTGGTCCGTAGAGTGGAACTTTCCGCATTGCGATGACGAGGGCGCACATAAATTTATTTCTTCTCGCCGCTCGTATGGCCTCGTTGGCCCAGTTAGATTTATGCCGAATCTCAATTCTCAGCTCCATCTTGTTCATCTCCGCCACGCCGGTCACCTCGATGTCGATATCCGGTTGGAAGTCGCGTGCATTGTCTTTATCGCGGACGAAGTTGGTCATTTCCTTCTTGAGCAGATCGATGTCTTCGAATGTCGTGTCGAAGCTGACATACAGCTGGATCTGTTCGCGCATGGCTTTGCTACGGGACACGTTGTCAATCCACAAAGAGTTGAGGATGATGTTGGGAACTTGAGTCCGCTTGTGATCCTTCACCCGCCGGAACACGGTATAAAGAAGAGACATGCGCTCCACCACGTATTGGGTATCAGTAATGTCGACCCGGTCACCCACGTCGAACGGATGCTTGACGAACAGGAAGATGCAAGACCCCAGAACTTCCTGCGCAGTAGTCGCGAAAACGAAAGACATCGAGAGAAGGGCAGTGCCTGCTGTAGCAAGTGTGGTGGTGAAGTTGTGGTTCAGCCACGCGACGAAGATGAATATGACGCCAATAAAGACGACTGTGCACAGCAGGTTGTCGAGGACATTGATAGCTTGATCGACATCATGCATGCTGCTGGCGATGGATTGGCGCTCTCGTCCGAACTCGGTGATGCGAAGGACCATTTCATCGAGAGAAATGTCTCCATTGCAATCCATGTCCAAAATCTCAAAGGCTTCGTGAGCTTCTTGCTCTCGATCGTGGCCGAGGACATCAATGATGTCCTCCAAGCTCAGAGCATCCTTCCCTTCCAAGACGAAAGACATCCAAAGACGCCGAGCAAGGGCTTCGGCGGAATGTTTCTTTTCCAAAGCCTGAACCACGATCGAATGCGAGGCCGTGGGATTAAAGACCTTTTTCCCGGTGATTTCCTGGGCAACATTGCCAAATGCTGCTGTGACCTTGTCCCCAACCCGTGCAACATTGTGGATCAATTTCATGGGAGTCGCCGAGCCAGAACGTTTGTGGCCAGGCAACATGCTGTTCCGGTTGCTGTGTCCCCCCAAGTCCAGAACGTCGTTGATGAGGTAATCCTCTTCAGCAAATTCCCGACAGTACTCTGGGAAGAGCTTTCGAGACGCATCGTAGAGCAAGCCTACCAGGTGAACGTTGCGCTTCGACTCTTTGATCTTTTCATCGAACTGCTTACGGTGGTAGCTGATGGAGAGAAGCTGAATAAGGACCTTTTCGCCGAGCAAGAGCAACGTGGAGAAGACGCAGGCAAAGAGAATGTTCTTGACAATGGACTCCCAGGGCTTGAGGCCTGTTTCACCGCGTGATCTTTGATCAGGGTTTAACGTCATGATAGGGACAAACGTGGCCAGGGACGTGACAGCCCAGCCAACCAGCGAGAGGGGGATCTCAAGCGAGCTGAGAACGAGGGCGTATTTTCTTGTGCCAGGACTGGCCACTCCGCAAATGAACTGAAAGAGGAATGGTAAGAAATGAGCCACAAGCTTCGAGGCCCATAGCGACACCCACACCACCTCGATCCAAGTGAAGAACCACAAGATCTTGACGCCGCCAATGCGTGCTCGAGGAGCGACTGTGGCACCAACAACGATGGGGACTGCGATTGCCAACGCGAGCGGTGCGACATAGATGAAATAACGGGTCAACACAGAGAAGTTGTAGAGTCTTTTGTAAAATCTGCCCACAGCGTTCAAAGTGCCGTCTTCCCTGTCCTGGTTCTGCCGCGCCCGATCTTGCAACCGTCTTCTCCTGCCTGCCGGACCTCTGTGGAAGTGGTGGTCTTGTTTCTCGTCCATTTTTTCCGAGAATTCGTCATTGTACCGGGAACGAGAAGGGGAAAGGGCATCGGCCTTGCGGGCACCAGTGGCGCTGCCAGAGGTGCTGACTTTGGTCAAGGGGATATCAATCGTAACGTCGTTAGGGTTCGCCATATCCCCAGATTGCTTATGGGTAAGAGGCTGAAATCCTTCTCTTGAAAACCTCTTGTAGTGGCCTTTCTGTGACATGCCGCCAAGCTATGCCACAACCGAAGGCCCAAATGGGAGTGAAAGAATGTGAGCGGTACCGGCAATCACTCCTCAGATATTTGGTGTGGTGCGGGTAAAAGTGAATTGAAGATCCGAAGCAGCCTTGTACGCGTTACTCTACCAGAGAGGAACGGACGAGGTGTGCTTGAGATGGAAACCCGTTTCAAAACGAAGCGAACCGGGGTAAAAGCGAAGGGTGATCTGAGAAAGGAGAAATAAGATAAAGGACGATGCGTTTGTACCAGATCGCCAAGGGGCGGTTCCAGGGACGACTGGCACCCTCAAATACTAAGTAAACAATAAGAGTCTGGGGAAGTCAAGCGAGTGTGTTGCAACAAGGACATGGAAAGATGGAAAGTGAAGGAATCGAGAATCGACGACTGCAATCGACGTATTGTATGGACTGCATGGATGTGACCTGCACGTTTCCATCACGGGCCCCAGTGTCCACCAGCATGCCACCAATGCGGCAAAAGAATGATTTTTTCTCTCATTCTGGTTTGTGTACACTTTTGCATCGCATGACGAATGCCCTTGTTTCGTAGACACGCTCCCTGGTCGCAAACTGGGGGAAACGGGTAAGATTCCGAGATTTCTGTGGCCCTCATTTGACGGAACTGAAGAGTTTTTTCTCGATCACCTCCATCCTTTCGGCGAAAAACATGCAAGCCCCTTTCAAGCCCCCCTCGTCAATGGCTCACTAGGCCGATCCATCTCGGCGTGTCCCATCGAACATCCCCCCTCAATCGCCCGCCGGCAGCCGAACGCTGACACAAAACAGAGCATGGGAGGCGGTTGTGGCTTGCGCCATGGCTGATTTGGCTTGAGTCTGATACAAGCTCTGAAACAGCTCCATGCGGCCTTTATCCACTGTGGTGCCCCAACGCATCCAGGGCCAGAAATACATGGAATTTTCCAGCTGGATCACTGCAACGACGTTGTATCAACCCCAAAGTACCTGCTCGATATGTGGAGTGCACACGGTACGCCTCTGGAGGTCTCACAAAGCCACGAAGGCTGTGCAGGACGTGTTCAAAAACAGACCAGACCCAAAAAGCATGTGCTGCTCATGGGTAGCTCTCGGGCCAGGTATGAGGCTCATTCCAGAGTCATTGGTTCTTGCGAGATTACATGTCTGGTGGTCCTGTTGATCGCTTGGCGATTTGCAGTCAATCTCTGTCTCCCCGTGAATCTCCTGAAGTCCATCAAGTCACACGAGGATCTTGCTTGGTTTGGTTTGGAGCTACGCGCCTCAGGGCGGAAATGCGCGTACACGGTGAGCATTGTAAAGCCTTCTTCTAATATCACATCAAATTGCTGAGGCAGTGCATCCTACAAGCAGCAACTGGTTCCTCATCAATCTTTATGGTATCAAAGAACCCATGACTTGTGATAAACAAAAGCGATTCTTCTGCCTTTGTTCTGTGGCTTGTGTCTGTTCTTTGAGAGCAGCAAAGCACTTTGTTTGTCGTTTCTTGTGATGGGCGAAGGGCCGTTTGACTATAAATGCTTCATGATTCCTGCTGTCATGGTAGTCACACAGAAACCACGAGAACAACCAGCCAACTTTTGGAGAAGCAAGGTAAGTACACACGAGCTCTATACCGCAACTAGCCACCGTCGCCGAGGACTTCATCTATCACGATGCCGTCGGAAGAAGCCAGAAGACCTCCAGTCAGAAAATTCACGGATGCAAATGGGAGGAAATACTTGGTAAGGGAACCTGCGTACTCAACCCCAAGACGACCAGAAAGAAACCCGCCTAGATATGAGGAACGCGAGCCGCGACATGAATCGGGACGGCGGCAGAGTGTGATGTCTGGGCCCACCCACGAAGAGCGGCGACCTTCAAGGAACGCGTCCCAGCAGCAAGAGGCCTCCCACTCACAGCGTCGCTCACAGCACCAAGAGGGTTCCCGGAGAGCTGAGGGTTCTGGAGGTGCTCGCCGTCCGTACTCCGAGGGAGCAGCCCGGGAGTCTCGATCCGACGGAGGATACCACCACAGTCAGAGACGTTACACTCAAAACACCTACCACGAAGACAGTGGCCGTGCTGCTGCTGAGCGAGAAGCCGAGCGCGCGAAACGACAAGCCAAAAAGCAGAAGTACATCAAGTGGCTGATGTTCTTCATCTCATGATCGTCGTCACAACAGGCGGAGGTAAGTTTTTCGGTCGGAGCGGGCAAAGTTCATTGCTGGTCAATGAGTTAGATATGGTGTGTTATATCTGTAGTCATTGCCTCTGCATTTACATAATCCTAATAGCAGCTTCTTGGTGCCAGATACTATACCTACTTGTGTATGATAATGTGCCAATTAATAGCACGTCCTTTGGCGCTTTCTCTTACTGAGGCCTCCTATTCCATTATTCTTTTACTCTCTACTCCGTAATATTATAATTGTCCTCGTGACATGGTCTCCTCTTCCCCACCAGCCAATGTCATGCATTCTTTTTGTTTTTTGTTTTTGTTTTAAAATAATAATTCCAAGATTCCGCACCCTCCAAACGGCTAGGGACGCCACGACGAATGAACGACTTTCGAGTTTCTCTTACCCCATACGAACCTCTGGATACCAACGTAGCATTTTTTGTTCTTTGCATCATGGTCACAGGGTGGGAACACAAAGCCACTGAGAGGTACTCATCAGGAAGGATCGGATTCCGCTCGCTTAGCATCGGGAATTCCATGTACCACGAACGACACGAACGGGAAGCATTTGATGATTTCCTTGACTCACACCCCGTACGCCCTTCCGCTCTTACCTACACTACAGTCCACAACGTCCTTCACCTCGTGATCCGGTGTAGCAACGCTCACCGCAACAAATTTCCTTGTCCTTGTCTTCCTATTTCTTTGTTCCTCAATAGTCATTCTTTTCTACCTGTATTCTTAGGTGCATTGGGATCGATTTCTCTGGAACAATTAACTTCTCGCGGCTTCAGGGGTCCTCCGAATCCAGCTCGGAATATCAGCACAAGCCAACAGTGTCACGACGACAAGAACTCGAAAACCACAACAAATAGTCCTCGTAACAGCAGATCAGTGGTTCGCGGGTTATCAGCTATGTCTTCTCCAGCATCCACTCCAGCCTGCGTCCCCATCGCCACAGACTCGCAAACCGATGTCTCCAACTTCATCTCGATCATCACGGCGGCATTTTCCACCACAGCCCTGACGACAGCCTTCATAGTAGATACCGACGGCACACCCCCGCCCTACCCGTCTCCGCTGATCGACGATGCTCGACGGGAACGACACTTCTCACGCGGCATACTTGAGAGTGCGGCCTCAGGCGCGGAGCTGGTCCAAGCAGGAGATTGGTCTGCCATCGCACTGTGGGAGACTCCCACGTACCAGGGCAAGGCATTCATCGACTCGAAGGCCAAACCGTGTCCGTTGCTGAGCGAATGGAGAGGCCGAGTCAAAGCCGCCAAGGCAAAGTATCTCGCTGCGCCGACCACCACGGCGGCGACGTCGGAGGCATCAAACTCGAATTCCCCATCGGGTGCCGAGTCAGACTCCGGCTCCGACCGCCAGGACAACCAGCAAGAACCGGCCCTCCGTCCCTTCTACCATCTCTCATTCCTGGCGCGGAACCCGGCCAAGCCTCGCGTCCCAGGCAGCATCAACGCCGTCATGACGCCGTATCTCGAGCGTGCCAAGGCAGAGGGCGTGCCGGCGTGGTTGGAAGCCACCACCCCGCAAGCGGCGCGGATCTACGAGCATTTCGGATTCCGGGTCGTCGAGGAGATTGTGGTAGGCACGGGCCAGGTCGACGCCCGGGGGTGGCCTGCTACCGGAGAAAAGGCCACGGGCGTCACGGCGTGGGCCATGATCTTCGATTCGCATCTGAGTGAGTGATCACCGCGGCGTTTCTGGTTTTCCAAGAAGAAAGGAGAACATGCATGAGTTTATGAGGGAGGGAAGGAAAACACCAGTAGGCGTCAAGGGCAGAGACCAGAGACGCCCAAAAGGGGAGGCGTAGTAATAGTTATTAGTCCTTTCTATCCTTTCCCCACCTTTCTTTTACGAGAGGGCCGAGCACTGGCTAGCTAGCCGCCACCAAATAGTCTAGGAGATGCTGCGTCAACAGTAGTAGTGATATTCCATTGAAAAAAAGCGCCCTCCGGTTAGAAGGGGAGGGTAATGGTATCGTTGAACAATCAATGTGGACAGGACAGGACAAAAAGAGAGTTCCCGTCCTCCCTTCCCCCCTTCTATGTATGTGTGTCGAGTCTCACCATCCATAACCTACAGTATAGTAATCGAAACAGCCCATAGGTCACGCCGTGGCAGGACATAACACAACATCACACAACGCAAAACAAGCGCCAGTCGAAAAATATCGTGTAACGAACGGTGCTGAAATCAGAGCCTCAACCAAACCCAAACCCAAACCCACACTTAATACTATCTATCGATGGAAGGACGGGTTCCACGCCCTTTGTTAATCCTCGGTAGAAGGACATGGTCCAAACAGGGAGGCACAGGCACAGGCACAGGCACAGGAACTCCTAGGAACAGAGAAGGGGACAGAAAGGACAGGATAGGATAAAATGGGATGAGGAACAGGAATCCTGACTCGATTGGTTTGACTTGAGTTTCTTTCCAGTATTAATTATCAAGGCTTTCTTCTACAGTACACACACAGGTGGAGCAAAGATGCAAGTTCTCTCGAGTACGAGTTCGAGTACTTTTGTTTATTCCTACGCCCTCGGTTTTGGCCTGGCGTGACCCGTTTCTCCACATCACATGTAGATATGTCCAGCTCCTGTGCCTGTGCCTTTGCCTGTCCTTGTGTGCTGTTTACGGAAGGAAGAAAACCCCGTTACCAGTTGAACAGGATGATGCATGTATAGACCCCCGTTTCCAAAGTATCCCTCGCGAACCCCCCGGTTCGGGTCCTTGGTGCCTCTGTGCCTCTGTGCAAGCCAGCTCACCTGTGCTTCTCACTCAATGCCATCTCGCATTAACCAAGCGTGAATATTGTCAAAATATTCATTTCCTCCCGTCTCACCTCCTCTCATCCGTCCGCGTCCCCGTCACCCAGGTCCACCCTTATTGTACGTGCCTCACCACATCGTCGAGGGCCTCGGCAAAGTAGTGCACGTTGCCCGTGTTCAGCCCGGCCATGCTGATCCGGCCATTCTTGGTCATGTACACGTGCCACTTTTCCCGGATTGCCAACACCTGCTTCTCGCTGATGCCTGTGAAACTGAACATGCCGATCTGACTCGTGATGTGGTCCCAGTTTCCGGGCGTGCCCAGCCGGTCCAGCTCGGCCTTCAGTGCCTTGCGCATCTCAATGATCCGCCCGGCCATGGTGCGCAGATCGTGTTCCCACTCCTTGAACAGTTGGGGATCGTTCAGGACGATGGAGGCGATGCGGGCACCGTACGCGGGCGGATTAGAGATCTCCGAACGTTGCAGGATGGCGAGTTGGGACGAGACACGTTTCGTCACATCCTGTGCGTGAGGGCCCGGGGCCGCCACGAAATGGAAGGCGCCCGCTCTCTCCCCGTACAGACCGAAATTCTTCGCGAAGGACTGGGCAATGATCAACTCAAAGCCCTGTTCCACGAAATAGCGGATCGAAAAGTTGTCCTGTGCCAGATCCCCGGAGGCGAAACCCTGATATGCGCAGTCGAAGAAGGGGAATAGCTTGCGTTCCCGCATGACTTCGGCAATCTGCTTCCACTGGTCGGGTGTCGGGTCGACACCGGTGGGGTTGTGTGCGCAGGCGTGCAGGAGAATAATGCTTCTTTCAGGTGCCGATTTTAGGGCCGAGAGCAGACCGTCGCAGTCCAGCATCTTCGTCTTCGCAGAGAAGTAGGGGTAGGACTTGATAGGGAGTTGGACATTGGTGAAAATCTGGTTGTGGTTGGCCCATGTTGGGTTGGACAGGTAGATGGCGGGGGTCGGTTTGGGGAGGAATTTGGAAAGGAAGAGACCACCGAGATGGACGGCACCGGTCCCGGAGATGGTTTGGAGGCTGCAGGCCTATCATCGCAGAAATTTACATGTCAGTCCAAGGGTTTCGTGAGAGAGAAAGAGGTGCAACTCGTGTGAATGCATACCCGTCCTTCTCGAATCGCGGGGCTGTCTCCACCGAGAATGAGTTTCTGAGCCGCTGAAGTGAACTCTGGCAGCCCTGCGATAGGGAGGTATTCATGGTTGAGGTTGGGATCATTTCGTAGAATCTCATCGGCCTGACTCGAGGGTTAGCCAAAATTTCTAGCACGTCACAAGACCCCTTCGTCGAGCATCACGGCATGGGATTGCACACACCTTCTTGACGACAGGAAGCACCCAGGGTTTGGCGTTGTTGTCCCTGTATGCACCAATTCCCAGGTCCACCTTCTTCTCAAAGGTATCCTTTCGGTAGGCGGCCATCAACCCAAACAGAGGGTCCTCCGGAGCTTGGGGGACGACATTGGCGTCGAACAGAGTCGGCGGGGTATCGCTTGAGACAGAACCCATGGTGTGATTCCTGATCTGAGTCAGTCGGGCGGCGACGGGGGGTGGTTGCGAAGAGGAAGGGGAAGACGAAGACGAAGACAGGAGAAAAGAAGAGTCGGAATGTTGTGGCGGTGAGGGCATGTCTGGGAATTTATTTTCAAGCGTGGAGAGGCGGAAAGGAAAGCGTTCCTCTCTGCTGCAGGACGCTTGGGGGCAAAGAAGAAAGGCACACAAAAGGGCGAAGGGCGGGCGACATGCTTTAGGACGGGCGGATGCACGACGGGTTTACCTTAGCCAACGTGCTTCCGCTCCCTAATTCGCCTACGGTCTATGATGTCGGTTCCAGGGGACCAGAGAGACACTATCGGAACAGGGGCACCAGGTCATTCGGTGATCGAAGAGGGAAAAAAAAGTGAACAGGGTCAGAAGGACATGGATGATGGATGGCCATCTCCAAACACCGAACATTCGTTCTCCTTCTCCAACTGCATCCAGGCCGAGGAACCAGGCGTTTGGCAGCCACTCAGCCAACCATCCAGCCCTCCTCGGAGCTCCCCCAAAATCCTAGTCGCCGTGTGCTCGATTGCCGCCTGGTTCAGGACGTCATGACCTTCCTGATTCTCAACATGCTCTTGCGTACCTGCAGAAGAGAGCCTGGAAAGCCTCTGATATCACATCCGTGTGACGCATCTAGCCGGCGGCTTCCTTGACCATGCCTACAGTATGTACGTGTGCTGCAAGACTCATACCGAGAACACCGGCACAGACAGCGAGCGAGTGAGGGGGCACCGTACTCAATGCACAAGTAAGTCATGGCTGTTCATGCCGTTCTCTCGTCCATATCCCGTCGTCAGAATATCAAATCCCACACCACGAAGAACGAACAGAAGCCCACGGTCGCGTAAAACACCAACCTCGCCGTGCTCCCCCTCTCACTCGCCCGTTTTAGTTCTCGATTGCCCCTGCGCACGTTTTCATCCGTGTTGGCTGCGTCCTGGACCAGGGTGTCGATCATCTCGCCCTGGACACTCAGATGTCCCACCAGTGTCTGCTGCAGACTGCCAATCTCCATCAGCGACTTTTCCACCTGCGTCACCTTGGCGAGTTGGTCGTTGAAGTGTTCGAAGATGCCGCGGTTTTCTTCCTCGAAAAGTTGCAGTTGTTCGGGCGAGAGTTCCTGTTCGACCACGCCGCCCTGCGCGGCGTCGTTCGCCCAGGGTTTGTATTCGTCGTGACCACGGAGATCTTGGGTCGGAAGCATTGCCGCCTCGAGACTGCCGTTCAGTCCACTCTCTGCGTCGTGACTCGCCCTCACGTCCTTATTTCGTGGGTTGTAGAGTATGCTCATTTGCTTCTGCTGTTCGCGCTCCAGCCGTTTCTCGACCATCTCTTGCTGGGCCGTGATCGCATCCTTGAGGAATTTGTTCAAGTACCACAATACGCCGTCACGAAACATCTTCATTGTTCTCAGTTGCCCTTCCTCGTCCAGTTGCTTCTGTGATTTGCCGGCGTCGGGCGTGTCTCCGTCGCCCGCCGCCCATCGCCAGAGGAACCCGTCAGGTTTGCCATATTTTCTCTCGAGTAGTTTACTCGCCGTCTCGTGTTGTAGGTTGACCGCCGACGTGAGATTGGTTATCTTATTGTTGATGTCGCGCAGCACGGCCGAAGTCTCGGAGTCGATTGCTTCTCGCTGCGTGTCGTTGAGGTGTTCTGGCACATCGCCACCCGGGATGTGAGAGAAGGTAGAATGTTTCTCGACGCCTGTGTGTTTCTGATGGCGAGGCGGAGGGGCCGTCGAAAGATACGGGGAGCGGATGGCGCGCAAGTAGCCCAGCAGTGACGAGATGGATCGGTTGATTTGGTACGCCTCCCGCAGGAACGAGTCTAACTTGCTTACGAGCTCTCGGTTCTGGTGCAGTCTCTTGGAGGAGTGTTTCTGGACCAGGATGTCGGACAAAATGACCGTGAGATCGGTCATTGCAGCTGTGTGTTCGACGTGGATGCATTTTCAAGAAAACACTATCCAGAAATCTGTTGTGAACGGACACATCAACGACTCCGCAGGCTCCAGTTTCCCCAACTATTGCAGCGCAAGGGCTGTCCCGCGACGAATAAAAGGCGTGGGCTCTTCACACGAGTTAATACACCCCCGTTATCAAGTTTACTTTTACACACCACCAACACTTGGAGAAGATCAATCAAATTCATGCGCCCTGTAGGTGCTTTATTGAGTCCTTTTAATTCGTGCGGGTACAGTATCGTTGATTACGCCACCTTTTCTTTTCTCAGTCCCAAAAAGCCATAATATAATAATAGTACATAATCTAGTCCCGTCATCTATTCGTGCACATCACTTGTTGAACCCATAAGTATCACGACTCTTTGCCCAACTCCATCGCCAGGTCCCACCCGGTGTCATCTTCCCACGTTGAGGCTCCCGATATTTGCCTCCCCAAGAAGATTCCGACCCCAGTTGCGACCACGGCGAGCATAAAAAAGCCATCGAACCATCGCTGCACCCAAGCCGGCTCGAGCAGCCCGGCCCCCAATGCGGTGTTGATAACGCTACCGACTTCTTTCGGCATCATGCCCCTCAGCATCAACGCAGAGCTGATGACATACATTCCGCTGATCTGGCTGATCAAGAGTGCGAAATTGGTTTTGGTGGCATGTAGGACCGTCGGCATGAATCGGGCAAACAGATGGAAGGTTTGCGTGACTGCTGTGAATGAAGCAAGTAGCATTGCCCCCGAGAGCAGGAACGAGATCTGCTGAGCCCACGAGGCCTGGTCCAGGGAGGGATAGACGTGTCGAGCAAAGAGAGCAATCGTATAGGTGACAGGGTCTGTGTCTGAAGGAGTGGCGGGCCCGGATGAGAAGATACGGCGACCGATGTTGATGGTGGTGGTACATATTCGGTACACGCAATAACAAGCAAAGACGTAGGAAAACGTCAATGATATTCGCCCCACAACAGTCGTTGCCCGGAGTTGATTTGCCCGCCGTGCCCGAAGTATCGACAGCGAGGTCTCCAACGAAGAGGCCATGGTCTCGAGCCCCGAGGCTTCCATCTCGAGCAGATCTTTTTGTTGATCGAAAGTATTCTTGCGAACGACGCCCACGGTCCGGGTCCAGAAGCTCTTGACCGGACTTTCAGGGGCCATGCCCTCCATCAGCCTCAGCCTCTCTTTCTTCTCGGCAATCATATCCATGGTGGCGTCTAATCCAGCCTGTTTGCGGGTAATGTCTGTATCGGCGACGACTTTGACCTTGGGGCCAAAGCTCTGCCAAATGGCGCTCACCGAGGCAAACCCCGATAGAAGAGCCATCAGAGACACGCCAGTAATGCCCAATCTGTCCAAGCACGCCTGGAAGAGACCATCCGGCCGCGTCATGCTGTCGGGAAAGCTAGGTGGTTCGGGCAGGAGCGCCCCTATCGCCCAGAATCCGAAGAGAAAAGCCGCATATCCAGCGAATTCCAGGACCCATGCCAGATGAGCCCGACTCTTTTTCTCGCCGCGAAACTTGTACCCAGACTTTGCGACCACCGAGGATATCCCCAGCAGCGGAATGGCGACCACCAGAAGACCCAGCAAACTCACAACGGTGATCTGCAGGGCGACACTTCTCGCGGTAGGGTTGAATGAGTTGGATATCTCACAGAGAAGCAACTCCGTCAAGACGGCAGAGAGAGCTATTGTAGATGCAAAGGTGATTGCGGCCACGCGGCGGGCGAGTTGCTGGGCTGCAGACTCGGGGTTTGCAGCGGTGACAGGCCGAGGAAGACCTTTTCCAACGGTCTCGGATGATTTGGAGGGAGGTTGTGACAGAAGAGGGTAGACCTTGCGGTAGGCGACAAAGGTTAGGACTGCAAACGTGGCGATGAAGGGAATCGTTGAGAATGCCGCCTTCGTGGTGAGACGAGGGGAGCGCACATAGTCCGGGGTGCACTCATCGCAGTCACCATCAGCGCTCGTAGGCAGCATTTTGACCAGACTGATATGGAGGCTGGTTGGACTGGGGTACTGAATACATGTTCTCACTCGAAAACACACTCTGCAGATGGCAAGAGGCTAGACAGTCGAAGTCAGCCACGATATACCGAGTTCTCATAGAACTAACTGGAGGGACCAGGACGCAAGGGGGGGGATCGGGGCATGGTTATAAATTTGTTATCGATTGGCCTTCAGGGACAGCCTAGCGAGCCCCGCCGCCGGGCAACGTGGTTGGTTCATTCCCGCCCAAGAATGCGTCGCAGCCACGCCGCGAAGCTGTTTAGGCGTGACAGGGCGTCAATAACAGCCCGACTAGCCCGTAGGGGCCCGCCACAACGCGCCCGCATACGTATGTACGTCCATAGTCTGTGGTGGTCTGAACTACGAGTCCGGAATCTTCTGAACACAAGAAGCGTATGGTTGCAGCAGTTTCATGGTGGTCCCTAGACAATGCACAATTCTATCCAGTCCGGGGTTCTATCGTTGCTGGTGGATCAATGTGTCAAAATGCCGCTCCAGACCTCGTACACTGTATTACTCGTAATAGCACCGAAGTTCCCTGCCAAAAACGATCGTCAGAGTGCTCAGACACGTTCAGGGGCTCCCAGATCAATAGTCCCGGGACGCCGCAACCACGTCAGCTCTTCCCAGAACGGTCGGTTTGTTCAGGTCCCCGCTCGTTCGTCTTCCACCGACATCCGACCTCAGCGAATGCTTCATCATATCTTCGTACCATTACAGAAAGTCGTATCTCGTGTGAATAGGATCATCAGTATTCGATCTCGTTGATCAGCGTCTCCGTCTCCACCGCCATGATGCGGAGGATGAGGAGGCTCTTTGGAGCGCCGCCGGTGCAAGATTTCAGGGGACCGTGAGTGGCGTCTATCCTTCTCAAAGCTGTGGCATCGGCGTCGCGGGTTTGCTTGATCAACCAATCGAAGACCGGATCCCGAGAAATGCGATAAGGATAGTCAAATTTTGGGCGGCAGAGTCCTTGATATCAACCGACCAACTTTTATCTGGAGGGTGACCGACCGTGGCTGTATGATCGTCGTTGTGGTTTCTCGCGGAGAATGTCTGCCAACCACGGCGTCGTCTCCCTGACAGATGGCCGTCGCTCTTCGACAATTCTGGGCACTAGCAGGCGGATGTCTTCTGAATCAGAGATGGCCGCGTCGCTCTCGCGGTGTTCTGAGCGCTTCGAAGGCGGATTGGGTGACCGTGCACGGTCGGTCGGCGTTGTCTCGTTGTCATCCCAGTCTTCCACCAAGGCGGCAATACTTGGACTGTTCATGGCAATATCAGCCCTAGGAGCACTTGCGGTCCTCAAATACCCAATGGGCAAAGCGAAGCTCCGTTCGGGGGAATCATCATCAGATGTCACATCACTTTTGGCCGACGTTACTCGAGCAAGCGGCCCACCGTAAGTGCCTTTCAATATCCCACGCCTTGGAGGGCCGATTGCCTTCGCAACGGCATCGGCCTCTTTTTGGGTAGCTTCCATAGATATCGAACTGTGGCTGGCGTTTTCAAACACATGGCTCCCTCCAGCGTGCTGGGCTTGCTCGAGCATACTGCTGTAGAGGCTGCGGCCGGTTTCCAGTTGTCGTTTCTTTTTCTTTTTCAGTCGTTTGGAGCTCGGTCGCACGACAATTACTGGCACAGGTGATTGTTGCAAGCAATACTTCGAGACCGACCCGGGGAGCAAGCCCTGCATACCGCCCAAGTTTCGTCCTCTCGTCCCCACGACCAACGCTGCAGGTTCGTACAGCTGAATCTAGGTCAAGTTAGCATGCGGACCTTCGTTGGTGCAAATGGGGCTGCCCACCATGCGCTGGAAAATTTCTTGCACTTTGCCCACAGCCAATTCCATGACGATGCTAATGGCCTTCTCCTCGGAGCTGTTTTTCAGCATCACACTGTCCAACAGCTGTTTTGCCTCGGTGCGATATTTGTCCCGGTCGTACGGGGTGTCATGTGCAGTTTTAGAGTCTTTCTCGATGACCCGAAGGCAGACAATTACATCGCCGTCATCGACCAACTCGTCCATCATCCACTCCAACGCATATTCAGAGTAATCCTTGGCATCGGTACCGCACAGAAAAGTTCGGCTTCGTGAAGAGGCAGCGAAGTCGCAGTGCTTGTATTGTAAGGTGAAAGCTTCAGTGGACGCATCTCGATTGTCGATGGTGTCAAAGGAGACGCCGCGTTGGTAGTGCGTAGGCGGAGGGGGTGATGACATTTTCCGCGAGGGCAGCGAGACTCGTGAGCTTTGGACGACGCTCTCTCTTCTTATGGTGTCTTCGGCATCCGCCGTATGGAATTGGACCGACGACTTCCGTCTTCCACCATTGGGCCGATCAGCGAGGTGCGGTCTCTGAGGAGCTTTGGCTGCGCCTTTCCAGGTCTGACCAAATTTCAACTCCTCCTCTTCCTCTGGTGAGATGGCCGAAGCAGAGGATTCATGGGCAGCGGCTGTAGCCATTTTTAAAGCGCGAGGGAGAGACGCGGGGTAGAACTCGAGGGCGCTCGGGACAGCAAAAAAAATGATAGCAAATGAGGAACAGGCGGGCCAACGGTAAGATTGAATCAGCTGAATGTCAAGAACAAGCAGTCACGCTGTGGATGGATCGTGCAAGCAGTGCCACTTTCCTCATCTGGGGGAAGTCTAGACCTCCGGGGTGCACTTATGGGTCAGTGGTGCGTGTGTGTGTGTGTGTGTGCGCACTGCTGCTCGGAGTCTCACGGTCTTGAAAGGATGAGACAGGCTTTTCGCGTGGTTGTCGTTGGGTACAAGAGGGATTTGAGAGCCGTCACCGATCAGCCAGCATGCAGCTGCATCAGGTCTGAAGTCGAAGGAGAGCAGGAGGACTTCATTGCCGACGATGAAGTGTTCGCTGGAAGCGGGCTGTGAACATTCTTGGTATCTTGGCCTTGCCTGTAGAGTTGATGCTACTAAGCTGAAATGTTCAAATCGAGGCGAGGATAAGCGGGGCAGGACGAACAACGGCGAGCCAGCAGCTGGAAGGGTGGAGTAACGTTGAAACTGAGAGGCCGGGGCCTTCTGCTGAGGAAGGATCCGTCACCAATCACTCCCAGCAACTTGATAATCAGATGAGAAGGGACCAAAGGTGTCTGGTGGAGAGCACTACTGCCGATTAAAACAATCATGGATGTATCCCGGAGTAGGGTTTCGGGAGATGAGGGTGTGTTCCCACTGCCAAGTTACCTAGGTCCAATATTTCGCGGGGGGCCCTTACATATGAGGCGTCACCGTCGTCACTGATGACAGGGGGTATCCTTTGCCTGATGAGAAGGAACGACACCCGCGACAGGCAACAAACAGAGATAACAGAAAAAGAGGTGGCTGTGTGACTGTGGCAGTTCCGTCTTGCCGGTGCTGGCTGCTGACTACTACTCACCAACCCCCAGGGTTCTTCGGCACAGGCAAGGCACGCCTGTGCTAATGCGCGTGATGCTGAGAGATCGCCGGCAGAAGGCGAGACCAGTACGAGGTCGGGAGAACAGCTTTAACTAGCCCTGGGCTAGAACACCGGTTAAAACTGCTGCCGAGCAAAGACTTGTCAGGGAGCGGGTGTCGTATGACTTGCCTAATGCCTGTTCTCGAAGGCTTCAAAGCTCCTGACTATCTAGCAAGCACGGAGATGGACAAGGTCAAGGGCCATTCGTTTATTCAACAGAGGTCGATTTTTGTGTCCTTTGTCTTCTTTTCTCTTCACATTCGCTAACCATGGCCTGCCGAGACCACGAGCAGAAACCATGAATGCAACCTATTTTCCCCCCAAAGTCTTTCGTCAATCTACTATACAAACCACTCTAATCCGACGGATCTTAGAGATCCATCAGTCGAAGGATTCTATGGGACCGTTAACTGTGGAGTATTGCCTTGAGGTTCCTTGAGCAACAGACAATTATCTGCTGTAGTTTGATCTGTGCCTGTTCTGACACTGAGATTGTGATGCTGTGAGGTGGATTGGCCAGAAGCCCGGATGGACGCTTTGTCGCAGTGACATGTGTTGGCCATCTTGAGCTCAGCTGGTCGAAATACCTGCCGACACCGCTGGGGTATGGAAGGGTATCGTCAAGACTGCTCCTAAGAGATGAGATACTGATTGGACCCTGGTCATGGAATCTCATCGTCACCCGCTCATTTCTTCAACTCGGCGTAAGGATACGGGACAGGGTCACCCTAAGAGCATGGACATCAGTAAAAAGTCCACGTATTTCAGCAAGGCTAACACCGACCTTGCGCAAGTGAATTTTGGTCTTTCTCTTAGAGACTTGGTGCTCGACGAAGACCTCTCGAGTATACTCTGCCTTAAACTTGCGGATGAAGCGTGGGTCCCAAAGCTCGCTGGCTACGCCCAGGTCTTTACAACACCGCATCATGGCGTTGGATTTGCACCCTTCGACTGCTGTTGGGATGCCCTCTTTTGAGAAGTAATCTTGCTCTCCGCGCGCAATCGAAACCAGTCTGTCTTCGAATTAGCCCATGTGCCATTCTGATTCTTCAGTCTGTCTCACCTTCCATGCGCCAGTAATGCATATTCTCGCGTAACAGACTTCTCGGTGACAATTGTCTCGCCTCTGGGGGCAAGTCCCCAGCCACCAGGTCCAAAAGCCTTGTTGAGGATCCGCCTATATTTGATCTCCGGAAGATAAATAATCCCGTCTGGCTTTATCTCGATGTCTTCGGGAGCTATCGGCGCCTGTAGCGCGTCCGCAGCCTCTTTGGAAAAGGGTTCCACGGAGAGACCGTGGAAAGATCTTGTCCAGTCCACTTGTGAAGGGTCATCTTCTTGCAGAGTCAGCGGCTGATCCTCAAGGTTGTCGAAAGAATGGCGTTTGGGGTCCGTCGCCGTCGCTTGAGGGGGGGATGTGGTCTTTGGTTGTTGGTCTGCAGCGGCCGTTGGCCCGGCGAGTCGAGCTGAAGACTGTGTGAAGATAGTGCGCGGCAAGGGGAACCGCAGTGACCGAGACGTCGACAGCGTTGTCTCGGGGAATGAGCGACAGAGGGCGATCGAGAAGGTCGGAAGCCGTGTAGACGCAGAGGCGCTCAAAACTTTGAAAGGTATTCGGGTTACTGGCGACATTTTCTGTGGCTGCGACGGGAGAGAGCAAATCAATCCAACTCTAAAACGAGCAGTCTGTATAGCCAGCAGATGCTGGGGAGCTGGCACGGGTAGAGAAGACAAATATATATCACAGAAGAGAAAGAGAGAGCGCGTAGATGCAAAGAGTTATTTGCAGTAAAGTGACCTGAAGCTCCAATGCCTTCCGTAATTTTTGGTGAGGCGCGTCTCTGCACATCTCACGCCGACCCTCGTGATCTCAGTCACCACATGCATGTGCCACCGCAGCCTGTCTTCTCTACTTTTCGTTCGACGGAATGTCCTTGCTTTGTGTACGCTCCTCATTTCCCTTACGTTTCCAGCACTGTCTGAAGGCCTCCATCTGATATACCCCGTCAGCCAGCGTTCCGTAGCTCTATGCTGCGTCTGCGTCTGCGTCTGGGTGCCGAGGACCAAGAAACCGAGACCGGAGCAAATCTTTCTCAAAGATCATTGGAGTTGGGGTTCAACACATACTTCGGCCTTGCAAGCTCTCCAGTCCTTTTTCTCATAGTAGCAATCGTTCATGCGCAGTTGCTCCTCTGTGGCCCCCCCATCAGAGATCTGCAGCCTTTTCTGCAGAAGACGTTATACTAACCAGAACAGCCTGTGCTGAAAATTCGTTGATCCCTGTCAGTCGAAAGGACACATCAGCCTGGACGGGTGTCATGTCATGATCGACTACTAAAGACACTTACCATTCGTCAATTTCATCGTCGGCGGCCTCAGCCTGAACTAAGCTGTCCTGTTTCGACATCCTGCCGTTCCTGGAGTCGCTGAAAGGTGGAATCAAGAAAAGACCTGGGTCTCGAGATACTTCGGCGGCGCTGGAAAGTTGTCTGACAATCCCCTCCGTTCCTACTACGCCACCTAAAACCTCTCCACAAGAAATTGTCCCGCCACTACCAACCATGTCCAAGCGCATGAACATCCTCGTTTACTCTGGTGCGCTCACTCAAGATGCGTGGAGGAGTAATCAAAATCTAATGCTCTCTTCAGGAAATGGCAGCACTGTCGAGTCAGTCCGACATTGTCTCTATACCCTTCGGAGACTCCTGGCTCCTCATTATGCTGTCATCCCAGTCACTGGCGACATGCTTATCAAGGAGCCCTGGACAGCAAGCTGTGCTGCTGTGGTCTTCCCAGGCGGGGCTGATCAGGGCTATTGCAAAACACTGAATGGTGAGGGTAACAGGCGTATTCGACAGTTCGTCGAGCGCGGTGGTCTTTACATTGGCTTCTGCGCCGGCGGCTATTATGGCAGTAAGAGATGTGAATTCGAGGTAGGAAACAAGGTCCTGGAGGTTGTTGGGGATAGGGAGCTTGCTTTCTATCCCGGCACGGCTCGAGGATGCGCATTCTCGGGCTTTGTCTACCACAGTGAAAAAGGGGCGCGGGCCGCCGAGTTAAAAGTGGATAAGAGCACGTTGTCTGAAGGGGCCATTCCGGATGTTTTCAAGTCCTACTACAACGGAGGCGGCGTCTTCGTTGACGCGCCCAAGTACAAGGACCAGGGCGTCGAAGTCCTCGCCAGCTATACGGAACCTCTCGCCGTTGACTCTGGCGAAGGCGTAGCTGCCATTGTCTATTGCAAAGTCGGCCAAGGTGCGGCATTACTGACCGGTCCTCATCCAGAGTTTGTCTTCCTAGGAAAACCAGCAGACAACTGGTCACTGACGAAGCCTAGGTTTGCTGCAGCCAACCTTGAGCCAAAACCGAATGCTCCAGGATTCGCCGACGTTATCAAATCTCTGGCCGAAGATGAGAAACACAGAATGGATTTCATCAAAGCGTGTCTGACGAAGCTTGGTCTTACCGTGAGCGGGGAGCAAAATGTACCCTCCCTCTCTTATATGCATCTTTCTTCGTCCGACCCCACAGACACCACTGGTATCATCTCGTCCTTGGACCATGTCATCGAGAAGGATGAACATGGTCACGAGTTTCTCAAGGACGACAATGATACCTTCCAGATTTTGAAACCATCCGTCTGGAAAATGGTTGATTTAAGCAAAGCTTTACCCTCGGATCCAGAGTCGAAGGAACCTGCTGACCAAAACGATGGCAGCTCCGACCGCATAGTCGACTATAACACGGTGACCAAGAAGATCATCGTGCATGAAGATGATCATCCTCAGCCAAGGTCGACTCCGTATTTCAATCACTCCGCTTTCTATTCAAACCTCCACAAATATCAATCTCAAACTCCTGGTGCAGTGAATTTTGGTGCGCATCTGCTATACGGCGAAGTGGTTACGTCGACCAATACATTGCTCGAGAAAAACACACGGCTACTTCGAGTTCTTCCTCAGGGGTTTACGGCGACAGCGACCGTTCAGGTTGCCGGTCGAGGCAGAGGGTCCAATGTCTGGGTATCACCGGCAGGGAGTTTGATGTTCAGTACCGTCATTCGGCATCCGATGGCCCAGATGCAGTCTGCCCCCGTCGTCTTCGTCCAGTACTTGGCAGCAATTGCGATCGTCAACGGCATAAAAACTTACGACGGCTCACTCTACAAGGACATGCCAATCAAGCTCAAGTGGCCAAATGATATTTTTGCCCTCGATCCAACAAAGGCAAAAGAGAACGGTGGTGACAGGAATGAGAATTATACCAAAATCGGTGGTATCCTGGTTAACAGCCACTACAATACCAAGGAATACATTGCTGTCTGTGGGATCGGGTTGAACACCGCAAACGCCGCGCCAACCACGTCGTTAAATCAACTTATTCAATTCCTCCCGCGCAAGGTGGACCCATTTACGTTGGAAAAGCTACTTGCCAGAATATTGACCGTGTTTGACGATTTATATGCTCGGTTTTTGGTGACCGGTTTCGACGAGGTCATGGAGCAGATGTACTACCGACACTGGCTCCACATGGACCAGATCGTTACGCTCGAAGCCGAAGGTGGTCAACGTGCCAGGATCAAGGGTATTACCAGAGATTATGGGCTGTTGATTGCAGAAGAACTGGGATGGGAAGACCGTGAGACCGGCAGGAGATGGACATTGCAAAGCGACGCGAATAGCTTTGACTTTTTCAAAGGTTTAGTCAAGGTGAGTCTTCCACTTCAAATGTGCTGTGTTTCTGACCGGCACGCCTTACTATCAACGCACGGCTCCCTGAGCATACCCATATGCTGACGATTATATGGCCGCAACAGAGAAAGATATAAGGCCTATTTGAACAGCGTGAACATGATAGGAGATGCACTTTGCCGTGTCACTATGTCCCATAGCCCCTGCGATGGGTACTGAAATTTGGCATATCGCTACATTTCCGGTCTCTGCGAGAACGTGAGACACGAGCCATTGCAGTCTTGTACTCGAATCCCCGTCTCATGTTCCCGTACCAAATGAGTCGTTGCTTCGATTTTCCGGCGACCCATCTTGATGGCTGGGCCGAGACAGCCTTCAGCCGGTGTACGCTGAGGTAGTTACTGTTCCCACGCTCCTACCTATTTATGCCTCTTCCCCAGACATTGCCGTACCGTTAGCAAAGACACTATTTCCATCATGACAGACCTAAGTTGCACAGGAGTCCCGGCATTCCTCCCCAGCCTTGTGACGCCGAGACTTTTCAACGATTTCGATCACGCCTTGATTTGGTACTTGACGTCCTCGCCCGCCCAGACGGCGCCGTCCTTGTTGGCCTTGATCCTCAGACGCCGCACGCGCTTGATGTCCTCCTCGTTCTCGTGCGTCAGGTACCAGGTCCACACGTTGGCGATCCAGCTCGCGCCGATGGCGCCCGCGCAGACGCCGAAGGAGGTCTTGTAGCCGTTGTGCGCGAAGCGGGACTGGAATAGCTGCGGGCCCACGACGCCGCCGACCTGCCCGATGCAGGATTGAAACGCCAGCGTGAACGCCGTCCCGGTCGTGCCGACAAGGCTTGCGGAGCGCCCTGGGTTAATGTGTGGTTAGTGAGCGGTTTTCTTTTGAGCAGGTGGAGGTTGACGTAACGTGACGTGACGGAGACAACTTACATGCCCAGAATGGAATAAAGTAGACCGAATAGAACATAGTCCCGAATATGCACGCAATGTACGTTGCATAGCGGCTCACATTGAAACACAGGACAAGGAAAAAAGCCAGCGCCCCTGCACAGATGATCATGATGAATTGCGGCCTCGTCATATACGCTTTACTCAGGAACCATCCGGCGAAGATGATCGACAGGACCGTTGCAGCGGCCGGGGGGATGTTGAGCAGTTGATTCCTGGGCAGACCGGCAAAGCCGAGACTCGTGGTGACGGTGGGCAGTTGCCATTGCAGGCCGTATCCGCCGAGATTCATCAGGATCTGAGACAGGCAGAAGGCATAGGTGCGCGGGTCTCTCAGAGACGCCAACACTTCTTTCTTGCTGAATGCCGCGTCGTGGGTGCGAGGAGCGTTGTCCGTGAGGCGGAGCTCGAGGTATTCTTGCTCTCGAGGGGTGAGCCATTTCGCCGACCGTGGGGACTTGGGATAGTCCGGAAGGACAAGGAACACGACTCCGGCGAAGAGGATGGTGAACAATCCCTCCAGAAGATAGACCCTGGCGGTGGTGGTGATCAGATTTTGAGGAATCGAACGCAAGAAATATCATCACAGGAATGAATGGCCTTACCATCTCCACGCGCTCAAGCCACTGACACCGTTCATATAAGAAATGCCGTAAGCGACCAGCGAGCCCACAATGCCAGCGCAGTTCTGAAACCCAAACATCCACATGATGGGTTTGCCCATTTCGTCGCTGCGGTACCAGCTGCAGAGCTGGGCCGCGAGGCCCGGGAAGAGACCTGCCTCTGCCATTCCCAGGAAGAAACGGGCGGCATAGAGACCTTGTTTGTTTTGCACGGCGGCGTGACATGCCAGTACCTACGCATGAGCCAATCTTATTAATTGAATTCGTGGCCAGATTAGGAGGAGAGATGCAGCGGAATGACATACCAGACCCCAGGATCCAATGATTCGAGACTGCCACTTTCGAGGCGTCATTTTCTTCAGCAGCAGGTTGCTGGGGACTTCGAAGACGATGTAACTGATCTGGTAAAGGTAAGTCAGCGATGTCACCGGCCATACCCGGTAGAATCCTCAAGACTCACAAAGTAGATGGACTGGACCCAGTTATACTCGTCCGCGGTCATGTTCAGCTCCTTCAAAACATTACGCGGTTCGCCGACTTGGAGGACTTTGACAGTGGCGGCGTTGGTGTAGTCGACGTTCTTTAGCATGTACATCAGTCCGATGAGGAGGAGGAACCGCCTGTCCACTTTCCGCATGACCTTGCGGTCCTCCTCAGCGGTGAAGGAAGAGAGCAGAGCCTCCCTGTCATTATCAGGTACTGATCCAGACGGGAATTCCACCACGGTCTGCTGAGCCCTGAAACCGACGTCCGCTTCTTTGGACTCGGGGTACGAGGTTGAGACAGTCATGGTTCGCAACAGCTGTAGACGCACACCGCTGTCAGAGCGTACGGTGAGTCAAGCTCGACGGATGTTTCTGTAGAGAACGGCCTGGGAATGCTTATGGCGAGTGGATGTCTGCCCGGTGGTCGTGGCACGAGAGGAATGTATAAAGGATCGGTGAATGACGGGCCAAGAAGAGCCTTTGACCAGGAGATCCTCTACACGGACACGTTAGGCATTGCGTGATAGCCCAAGGCTCGAATGAGTTCGGCTTCTGACATGGTCCCTGCTTGTACAACCGACTCGGCAATGAAGACGGTGTCCTTGCACTTCCCTTGGCCTGATGCCTGCCTCCGGCATAGGCGATGGCATTTTGCCCCCAGTCTCGTCTAGACTGGCCCGGGACCGTGGATCGACAAGAATGGAGAAGGCCGCCGCAAAACTGCCATAGATTTTTGTCGCGATATGAAAAATTCTGTGCTTGATAGAAGCGCTAGCGTTGAAGGCGACGTGAACGGTGGATGACAGGCTTAAATGAAATGACAAGACAGTGTGTAATTACCTGGTTCTTTCCGCGTATTGGAATATTTGTACCAGCAGGACTAACGCTGCGGATGCAACCAGCTCCTTCGGTCCACTGATCGCTGGAGTAATGGCCATGTGAAGAACATGCTGAGTTTTGCAGTGGATATCACACGCATATGCACACAAAAACGGAAAGGGTGGTGTAACGGATCCTCCAGGCACATACCAGTCGGTGCCTTCTTGGCTGTTGCCGCAAGTATCCTAGACGGCGACATGCCCTTTCGCAATTTCCACGGAGGACATGCCGAGCCCATTGACAAGGCTTTTCTTTTTGAGACGGTCCTGAGCACGCCATTCGGTGGAAACGTGTAGTTGCCTATCTGGGACGGAACCGTTCCATTATCGCAGTGATTGACACTTTTACAGTACCGCGACTCATTGCTCGTGCGTCGAAGCATTTGCATGACATCCTGCCACATGGCCATGCCATGGCCGCTATCGGAAGCAAAACGTGGGTCGCAAGAACCAAGCGAAGCATGTTCTTCGCGGTGCTTCCGCAGAGCGACTTCGACGGGGCTTCAGCCATGAGCATATCGTTGCTGTGACAGTCACTGGAAGATGTGGGGCACCGCTGTCACGCCTATCCCTGAGAATAGGCATGGTGCTGCTTGGTGTGTTTCGGGAGTATACATTCAAAAATGCTGCAGGTACAGCGATTGAGGTTGAAGCTGGTTGTTGAGATGGAAGATGGACGTGCGAATCTATGGAATTGATGCCAAGCCCAATGGTGCGGAAAAGCAATTACTTTTATCCGCTCCTTCATGATGGCCAAGTTGTGAGGAAGAGAGCATCACTTTGCAATTTACTAAAGACCATGTAGTCAAGACCATGTACTGTGTGTGTCTGTCAATGTGGCGGCAGCTTTGATGCATGCCCTTCTTCCGATAGCCAACTGGGGCACTACAGCCCTATCTCAGCGGCAATGTCGAGGCACCATTCTCTCCCCCTTCTTTCTTGTCTTCGGCAAGGGATGTTTCCTCCTTGTACACGTCGTATCGGTATTTCGCTCCCTCGTGATCGTTTCTGAGCCCCTTTTGACCTTCTCCATATACCTTCTCGCGAGCTGTCAAGGGCTCGGCCTCGGCAGACCTGGGCTCTGGATATAAGCCACGCCGTCGCAGTTCGGGAATCAACAGGTCAACCACATCCTCGAAAGTCCCCGGCGTTGTCACATAGGCGAGGTTGAATCCGTCGAGGTCCGCTTCTCTGATCCATCTCTCCATCTCATCTGCGACCTTCTGGGGAGTGCCAACACCTACGGGCCCCAGACCACCAATTGCAGCCTTTTCGGCCACGACCCTCGGCGTCCACCTCGGCACGTCAGGGCTTGTTGTCGTGAAGGCATCCAGCATGCTTCTCACTTTGTGAGCCTCTGTCGAGTCCGCGGCAGTGATGTCCTGGTCGATAGGGATTTTGGAGATGTCGATCCCAGTCCATCCGGAGAACAGCACAAGCCCTCCGATTGTAGAGGCATACTTCTTCGCCTCTGCGAGCTTCTCCTGGGCCTCTTCTTCGGTTCGCCCGATAATTGGCGTGAAGGTCCCAAAGAACTTGATCGATTGTGGATCACGCCCTTTCTCTTGGGCTAGTTGGCGGATCTTGTCGATCTTGGGTCTGAGCACCAGCGGACTATGTGACGAGACAAAGATTGCTTCCGCATGTGTGGCCGCAAAAGCAGATCCTGCGGGCGAAGTGCCAGCCTGGAAGAGAAATGGTGTCCGTTGAGGCGACGGATCGACGATGTGTCGAGAGTCTAGATTGAAATATTTGCCATGATGGTGGATTGTTCGCACTTTGTCAGGGTCGATATACGTGTCGTTTTCGGGATCAGGGGAGAGAGCGTCATTCGCCCACGAACCTTCCCAGAGTCTTGCGGACATCATGTTAGCAGCTGTGCTCGCCGAGGCGATATCCTTCAATGCAGACACTTACTTGTACAGGACTCTGAGGTATTCATCAGCCTGCAGGTATCGCTCATCATGATCGATAGGGTTGTCCAGACCGATGGCCTTGAATGCTGCCTTTTTCCACGACGTCACAATATTCCAGCCGATACGTCCATTGGTAAGGTGGTCGAGGGTCGAGAAGCGCTTCGCAAGAAGGAACGGAGCCTCAAAGGACGTCGAGGCGGTGATGCCGAACGCGAGATTCTTGGTCACTGCCGCCATTGCAGAGATGGGCTAAGGGCTTCGTGGTCAGTCATCTATCGTGGACCGCCTGGATCGGTTACCGGCAACGACTTACGATGGTCGGGTCGGTCATGGGCCATTGCGCAGCACGTCGGATGCAATTATCGAGGCTGTCCTCGTACGTGTCATATCCGCCATAAGTGTCGGCGAGAAACAGCGCGTTGATATCGCCACGCTCCAGAAGCTTTGCGAGCTCGATCCAATAGTCGAGTTTCCTCTTTGTCGCAGACTTGTCTTTGGGGTTCTATACATGTTTTCAGTCCCAGAGGAGCTTTGCGGGACACATCCAGACAACCCCCTGGCTGAGGACATACTGACCTTCCATTGACCAGGTGAAAGATGTCCCACAGTCGACATATCAAACGCATTGAGCAGAATTTGCTTCTTCACTGGCTCGCCAGAGCCATTGGTCTCTTGTACGGAACCCATGACGACGATAATACCGGTTCTACTGTCCACGCAGACAACAACGTCAAGTAAACCCACCAGACCTGAGATTTAGACCTGCTGAAAGGCACGCGTTCGTCGAGGGAATAACTATCTCCAACTATTTTGTTCCACGTCCGGTCTCGCACTGGACCGCAATAGTAAACACTTGCTCCTCCAACGCGAGGTGCACATCATCTTCGCTCTCCACCACCCTCTCTTTCCCACCACCCGCCACAGAGGGTCCTCGGTTCCGCATCGACACGTCTACCTGCAAAGAAGATTACCAGCACGGCCAGTATGTTCAGCAGCATGGGGACCAAGACCTTTCTCCGCCCTGCGACCAGTAAGTCTGAAGAGAGGGCGCCGTGCGTGCGTGCTATGGCGTGATTTTAGGTCCGATGCCATGATCTGCCACCCGTGGACGCTGTGTAGAGCAACGTTGCTGGGACCGCTGGGCCCCCTTGCAAGCCCACTTATTATGGAGAGGTCGTAAGATAAGGGAATGAACAAGAAGTCCCTGTCCCGAGTGAGTGGTCGAGATTTAGTTTAGTTTAGATTACATATTCCAAGATTGATTCCGTTATTTGTACTGGGGTATGGTAATTGCGGTAAAGGCTGTCATGACGGTACGAAACGACGGTACCCCTTGAGGTATGTATTTACACAAAGTATCATGCTCGTATTACCTTGATATACCTAGAATAGTATTATGTGGATCGATAGATACCTCTTTCGTACCAAGAACCATGCATCCTTTCATACGTTCCTACGACGATCAATAATCAACTCTGCCATCAACTTGCGCCCCCTCTAACAGGACAGGAACAAGCAGTGATGGATTTGTTGAACATAAACGCATTGCCAGATATCAGGACCTTGCCAAATACCGAAACATGGTCCCACTCTGTACTTGTTCTATTTCACTTGGTCTCTTACTGTATGAATCAGACGGCGATGACCTTGGGAGTGCATCTAACTTGATGTAACGAGAGTAGAGAGACACCGCGCGTTAAACATCCAGGTCCCCATCACGAAAGGCGGCTCAAAGAGCGTGGGCCTGAAGCACAGGTCCATGTGATGTCGTGGTATGCTCAAACTCCCAGCACCTTCTCAGAGGGCAGCTCTTGGATCAATTGAGGCGTGTTGTCGACCGGAGACGATTCCACAACCTCCGTGGACAGGTTATCGCGCAGATAGTCTTCCTTGATGTCCTCAGCAGGATTTCTAGCAAATAGAATTGTGTCAGCGTACGAAGTGAGGAGGAAAGGGGGAAAGCGGAGTTCAGAGGGGAAGTAAAAGGGGCAAACAGCCTTGTCTCAACATACCTTCGCCGCTTGATGTACCACGAGATCCAGTGCGCAAACAGGATCAAGCATATCGCGTTGCCGAGCACGAAGGGATATCCCTTGATGAAACGGGGCGCCTCGACCGTCTTGAAGACCAGCAGGGGCGTCCACGCCGTGGTGGACTGGGATATGGTGTTGATCAGGACCAGGGTGAAGGCGCGCTCGGCGGGCGAATACCGCAGCTGGGTGTTGACCCAGCCGTAGAGCACGCTGGACATGGCGACGGCCGAGTAGGTGGTCATGAAGGCGAACCACAGGGCGGACTCGGGGACGTGCCACACCACAAGGATGATCAGGCCGATGCTGTTCCAGACGTGGGCGACGGTGATAGCCCAGGCGGGGCCCCAGAGCAGGTCGGACGAGAAGCAGATGAAGAGCACGTAGAAGATACCCAGGGCCGGCGAGATGGCGCCGAGCTGGTTCAGCCGGCCCGCCGAGTACCGCTTCAGGCTCTTGAGCCACAGCAGGTAGCCGCCCGACGACGTGTTGATGCTGCCGTTCCAGAAGAAGATGTCGAGCACCAGGAACGCCCACACCTGCCAGGCGCCGGCGACGCGTTTGAGGGTTGCGAACGTGAATTTCCCCGACGTGGCGTGCCCCGTGCGCAGGAGACGCTTCTTTGCGAGAGCCAGGTCGTGGTCCTTGAGGAACAGCCGGTTCGGGATGTCCGGCGTCCCGGGGAGGAGGAAAAAGCCCAGGAAACCGACGGGAATGGTGATCAGGGCACAGATGATGTACCTGTCAACCCTGAAGTTAGAATCGTCTGTCGAGACCTGCAGAAGATGAATAGTAAAGTGAACGGGGGGACGTACATCCATCGCCAGCCGGCCAGACCATCCACTCCATCCAGCTGGTCTGAGGCTGCGGACTGCAGGAGAGCCGCCGTGAGGGTGCCCAGGGTCAAGCCAACATAGAAGAAGCCGCCTCGACGGGCAATCTCATGACCACGATACCACGAGCCGAAGATGTAATGCACGGCGGGAAAATACGCGGCCTGTCACTCAGAGTTTCAGTAAGGAAGTCAACCAGGATGCAGAGACAGAGCCCTGCCACAGACCTCGAACCAGCCCACCAAGAACCGGTATGCCATCAGCTCCGCATAGCTATTCACCCGATACTGCAGCAACGTGAAGACCCCCCACAGGATATCGAGCAAAGGAACCAGCCAGTGCATGGGGATGCGGGTGAAGAGGAACATGAACGGGATCTGGCCCACGACGGCGCCGACGACGTAGATGGTCTGGACGTGGACCAGTTGGTTTCCGTTGAAGCCCTGCAGACAGAGATAAGAGACTGAAAGGCATGGAGCATGTCACCACCCACCAAGTCTTCCTTGAGGCCGGCGACGTATGCATTGTCTAATGCCCCCTCGTTAGCGACCATAGCTACCACCCGCGACGTCGAACCTCACTGATATTTGCCTGGTCGATGTACTTGACCCAATACGCCAGGAACACATAGGGCACGATCAACAGGTCGAGTTTGGTGATGAGCTTGCGTTCATCCTTGGTATCGTCTGGCGAGAACCAGTGGATTTGGTACCACTTTCGAGAACCTGCTGTCTCCCCCATATTGTCCCGGGTTTTCCGATCATGCAACGCGAGCTCTGGACTTTACCATCAGTTCACATCTCTGGGAGGATTTCTCTCATATAGGAGGGTCCGATCGTAGCCACTCAAGGCAGGATCTGAACGGCCTGGGCATCCTGTCGGCTCCCCCTGACGACATGTCCAGGTGGAATGGCGAATTCTGAACCACGAGGGCTAGCTGCTTCAACGAGGTCTGTGTCGTGCTCGTTGCATTCGCCATCGACGGAGTTCTAGACTGTGGGCAGCTAGTTGGTGCTGCTGTGAATGCCGATATATGGCCTGGATCTTCAATTGATTACATGCCTCGCATCTAGGTAAGGTATTGCTCTCCCATGCCCCCACCCCCTCCCCTGGTAATGTCAGGTAAAATGACAAGGGTTTAAAGGGTACGACCCAGTGCTGTGAGAATGAAAAAATCCAAATGGTTATCACGTCGTCAAAGTCCGTGTTGTTACGCGTTTCCCAACGTCTTTTCGCTGCGGGTTCGGCGATGGTGTCAATTTGTGGGTCGTGTTCGTGATGGTGGGCGGCATCCATGATCCATTTGCCTCGCTCGGTCTGCTCGTACCGTAAGAGAGGAAGGACATGGGGGTTTCCCACACGGCGAAGGGAGGTGGACGTGCACACAGCGTCAGTGCGTGAGAGATTGTAGCATGAGCAGATATATGTGTATGTAACTTTGGCCAAGTTTCGTGTCGTCCCAGGAACGCCGCAGAGACCAGCCAGCCCCGGTATATGTTCAAAATGGCCAATGTCGATGTGATAGATCCATTTCAGGTCAGTGCCGTCAGCAACGGGGAACCGAACGGCCACCAGTATCTGGAACAAACACCATCCACCTCGAAATTGAAAGAGGCTGTAGTGGTCGTCAAGGAGAGTTATCCAGCAGCTTCCCCGAAGGAGGAGCTGAACGGCGATATACATTCAGAGCACCGCGCTGCCAACGTCCTCCATGAAGCATATCCCAAGTCCAATGTGCAGCTTCCGGACCATCACATTGACGACGCCAGAAGCCTGAAAGTCGTCATCATCGGCGCGGGACTCTCTGGCATTCTCGCTGGGATATTGCTGCCGGTCAAGGTGCCAAAGCTGGAACTGACGATCCTCGAGAAGAACGACGACGTGGTATGTGGTGGTAGTGGTGCAAACATCCCTCCTCCTTCTTTCTAGCCTTGCTGACTATCGTTCCTTCTAGGGCGGCACTTGGCTGGAGAATGTGTATCCGGGGGTCAGATGTGACATCCCCGCCCACGTCTATCAGTCGACGTTCACGCCATACACCCAATGGTCGCAGCAATTTGCCGAGGGCCACGAGATCCTGCGATACTGGCAAACCCAGGCCAAGAAGTACGACGTGTACAAGTATGTGAAGTTCGGCCGTCGCGTGCAGGACGTGGACTGGAACGACGACGACGCCCAGTGGACCATCACCGGCGTGAATCCCACGACGGGAGAGTCGTTTGAAGAAAAAGCCGACTTTGTGTTGCCGGCCATTGGTCGATTCAACGACTGGAAACTCCCTTCTTACCCGGGAGTGTCAGATTACCAGGGCCATCTTCGACATACCTCGAATTGGGATCCCTCGTTCGATGCCACCGGGAAGAAGATCGCTATCATCGGCAACGGCGCCAGCGGCATCCAAGTCCTGCCCAATCTACAGCCGATCGCCCAACACATCGACCACTACGCCCGGAGCAGGACGTGGATCGCCGGGTCCTGGGCTGGCGACGAGCGCACCTTCGAGCCGCAGTGGTACTCCGAGGAGCAGAAAAAGGAATTCCTCGACCCGGCCAAATACCTCAAGTTCCGCAAGGCGTTGGAGGACAAGTACTGGCGCCGGTTCCCTTCGACGTTCCGCGGGTCGGAGCAGAACATCAAGATGCGCGAGCGTTTCATCGAGATCATGGCTCAGCGGCTGGCCAGGAAGCCCGAGCTGCTGGACCTTCTCGTCCCGGACTTCAGTCCCAACTGTCGTCGCCTCACCCCGGGGCCGGGCTACCTCGAAGCCCTGACCGCCGACAACGTCACGTTGATCCAGGACCCCATCAGACGCTTCACCGCGACGGGGATCGAGACGGTGACGGGCGAACACCGTGAAGTGGACGCGATCCTCTGCGCGACGGGGGCTGCCATTGACTTTGTGCCCCCCTTCAACGTGCGAGCTCGCGGGGTGAACCTTCGGGAGGCGTGGAAGCCGCTGTCCCAGGGCGAAAAGGCCGACGCGAGCCATTTCGGCTGGCCGTACACGTACCTGGGCCTGGCTGTGCCGAACATACCCAACCTGCTCTTCATCCACGGTCCGCACGGGGCAGGGCCGTCCGGGACGGTGCCGCACAGCGTCGAGGTGCAGGTGACGTACTACGCCAAACTGCTGCGCAAGGTGTCGACGCAGGGCATCAAGGCCATGTGGCCATCCAGGCAGGCAGCCGACGACTTCGTCGCGTACGCCGACGCCTTCTTCCCGACCACCGTGCTCACGGACAACTGCAGCTCGTGGGCCAACGGCGGCAAGCCTGGCGGCCGCGTGCACGGCATCTGGCCCGGCAGCGCGGGACACGTCACCCTGGTACGCAAGGAGCCGCGCTGGGAGGACTGGGAGTACGAGTACCGGCACGAGAGCGGCAATCGGCTCATCGGTTGGTTCGGCAACGGCTGGACCAAGAAGGAGAGGGACGACGGCGAGGACATGACGGCCTATCTGCAGCTCGAGGGCACGGTAGATCTCAGGCTGCTGCACGAGAAATGGTGGGAGTAGTAGAGTAGTAGCTCTGGCTTTGCGGAAGTTGCAGGCAGAGGTGGAAAATGTCAATTCGATGCGTGCGCCTAGCTCTCTCTATCTATATATTTTGGGGGCGATACTATGCGACAATTGGTTTCGTAATATGACAATCCTGGCTTCGGGGCGCGTTTCACTTGACCCTGACCACCAGCCTGCCGCCACTGATTTCGCCCCTCCGCATGGAATCCAAAGCGTCATTGACGGCGTTGAATCCTTCCCTCACCCCCAGGATCGTAGGAGGGACCAACAGACCCTGCGACAGGAGCCGCTCCAGCCAGAGCATCAACGCCTCGCCCAGCTCCGGGATCTCGTGGAACACTTTGATGGGCACGGTGTGGAAGATGGTGTTGGTCGGTGGCGACCCTTTTGGTAATCCAGTCAGACCTACCAAATGTGCGGCAGGACGCACGTCGTTCTTTTCCAGTGTTGGCGTCGGGGTTATTGCTGTGGTGTCGTGAAAGTCCGAGGAATGCTGTTCTAAGCACTGCTTCAAGTGCTGGGCTGTGTCTCGACCAACCGTGTCCACGGCGAACCGGAGGCTGTGGTTCGTTACTGATCTGGTTATCTCGATGGCTCTCTCGGGGTTGTGGTTGTCAACGACGACATCCGGCTTCGTTCTCGGATCTGAGGACACACTCAGGGCATGTTTGCGATAGTCCATGATGCTGATTGTCCGTAGTCCCATCAACCGAGCAATCTGGTTCAACATAAAAGCACTGGTGGAAGAACCACCCCAGATGGCGAGCCAGTCCCCCGGTTTAGCCTTCTCGGCCCTGTTGATCCCATTCAAGCATTCCGATCGGATATCTTCCGGAAGTCGCTGAGGGTCCAATCCTCTCACTATAGAGAGGAGATCCGGTCCGTTCGCTACTTTGGAGAAGTCGAGTCCAATACAAATACCCAGGGAAAGAACTGCGGCGACGAACGCCACACCTAGTGCCGCTCCCGATTCAGGAGTGATGTTCGCTGGCAGACGGCAGGTGTTGAAGTCGGTGGCCACGACGCATTGCTGGTAAGCGGCTTTGCGGAGGTCCCGATAGTCGGTGGAGATGACAATGACCAGGTCACCGGGTTTGAACCGCGACCCCTGCCTGGGACTTATGGCGACCTCTCCCACAAGCTCACGACCTGATATGTAAGGGAGTTGAGGGATGCCGAAGTTGAAATCCCTAAGATAAGTCAGTATATTAGACGGGCCCGTGTCCTCAAACGGGTAAGGGATCTCTTTACGGTGCTTTCCAATCAATCGGGTTGAGGCCGATCACTCTATTCCAGACAAGAAGTTCTCGGTTGTCCAAAAGTGATGGGATGGGGTGATCCAACACTTCTGTGTAGGGCTGCTTGGGGCCATGCAGCAGAAGGGCACGCTGTTGTGTCGAAATGCTCGGCAGTGACGAAGAAGACGACGACGTCTTTGACGAGGGGTTCTCAATCTCTTGGATCTTGAATTCAACAGTGATGTCTTTGGCGGTGCTCGTGGTCCTCAGAGACCGAAAGAGTCGAACGAGACCCATGGCTTCCGCAAGGTGAATCAGTTGGTGTTGTTCGGTGCCAAATACAAGATATTCAGTCCGCCAGATCTTGATGTCGCTCTAGGGCGTGTGACAACTAATCTGAAAAGCGAGATCGGATAACGGGAGCCGCCCCAGGCATATCATTGTAAGCAAATATCGGTACGGACCTTGTAAAGACTCTGGCACAGGATTTTCAACACTAGGTGTATTGGTGGTGCAGCCTGTATCGCGTACTGCTTGGTAAGTAAGGAAGGGGGTTATCCGCATACATGTACAATACTTTGCACATGGTACCTCTTGCTGAGATTGAACGGGACTATGTCGTGCTCAGGACCCATGGTCGCAACATGTCCCGTCTCTCTCATAAACGCCCAATTGCGTTCCCACACGAACATGTCCGCTTGGGATTCCACTAGAGGATCATTTCCACTCCGGCGGGGAGGCAACATTGGCAGGACGATACCTTTTTTTCTTCCTACGCTCGGGTCCTGCTCAAGCAGGTTGGCCACGCAGCAGAGCCGATAGCCAGAGACCACAGTTAGGTCCACTTGCGGGAGCATTTCGAGAGGGTGTTGGAGAAAGTGCGGCAACCGCTCTCGTATTGCGTGCTCCTGAACACAATGACGCGATCCAGTTCTCTGCGAGATAGTCAGCATCGCACAAATGACCGGAATCGAGGGTCAAGGCTGGGGCTGGGCCGAAAAAGATATCTTTATGTCGAGGTTCAGCGCCATAGTAGCGTCTGAGCAGAAAACCAGACACCCAGGTGCTGAGAGGCAAAACACCAGTACATGATATCGAGATGTCGACGGTTGAAGTCGGAAGCACGCGGCTTGGCGGCGGAAACAAGAAGCAACTCATTCTCAATGCCTTCGCCATGAATACGCCTGGCCATCTTTCTCCGGGGCTTTGGCGACATCCCCGAAACAAAACATACAACTATAAGAAGTTGGATTTCTGGACAGACCTTGCAAAACTCCTCGATGACGCTGGTTTTCATGCTCTGTTTCTTGCTGATGTCCTCGGCGCTTATGACGGTAGGTCTTGCAAACCAAAGATTGTCGTCCTTCTCCTGTGCATTAGAGAGGTTCACAACAAAGATATGAAAACCAGCTGAAGGAGAATTAGTCTACAAAGGTCCAGCCAATGCAGGTCCTGCTCTAGAATCTGGCGCCCAGTTTCCTGTCAACGACCCGCTGTACCTGGTTCCCGCTCTGGCCGCGGTGACGAAGAACCTTGCCTTTGGAATCACTGCCAGCACGACTTATGAGCCACCGTATTCTCTAGCCAGGCGGTTTTCGACCGTGGATCATCTGAGCAACGGGCGTGTGGCTTGGAACATCGTGACCTCTTACCTCGACAGTGCCGCACGGAATTTCGGTCTGTCCCAGCAGGTTGAACACGATGCGCGGTACGACTTGGCCGAGGAGTACATGGAAGTCCTGTACAAGCTGTGGGAGGGAAGTTGGCGTGGGGATGCCGTTGTGGCAGATATGGAGACTGGTGTCTACGCGCTAGGCGACCGAGTTCGACAGATCAACCACCAGGGCAAGCATTTCAATGTCCCAGGTCCTCACATTTGCGAACCCTCTCCGCAGCGCACCCCCTTCCTTTTCCAAGCTGGGACGTCCAAGAGTGGGCGGGCATTCGGCGCTAAGCACGCAGAAGTGATATTCGCTGGAGCGCAACTGCCAGAGAAACTCAAACCGTCGGTTGCAGCCATTCGTCAGCTGGCTCGCGAGGCAGGTCGAGATCCATATCATGTTAAAATTATTGCCAGCATGTGTGTGATCGTGGCCGAGACGGATGAGGCTGCCAAACGCCAACACGAGGAATTCCTTTCTTATGGCAATCGAGAGGGAGCCCTCGCCCTATTCGGCGGTTGGACTGGGGTGGATCTTTCGACTTACTCGGACGACGAAGACTTCCGTTTTGTCAAGATGCCTATGATCAACTCTATCGTCAATGGGTGGGCAGACACGGTTCCGGGCAGTGAGAATCTAAAGTGGAACAAGGCGCGTATCGCTGAATACCTGTTGCTGGGAGGGATGAATGCGAAGATCGTGGGGTCCCCGTCTACGGTAGCGGATGAACTCGAACGTTGGGTGGAAGTGGCAGACGTGGATGGGTTCAACCTGTCTCATGTGGTGAATCCTGGCTCTTTCGAAGACATCATCCAGTTTCTACTGCCCGAACTTCGAGCTAGAGGGATTTTCCGAGCTGGGACCGAGCAGGAAGGGCTCACCGCCCGCGAGCAATTTTTCGGCACCCCCTGGTTGTTGAGTGACCACCCTGGCAGCAAGTTCAAATGGGACGTCGGCGACGACATACCTCGATATTTGCAGTCTCAGTAGCAGGGGCTATTGCACTAGAAAAGGTTGACATGGGCCTGTAGTTTCTTCTGATATGCAGCTTAGAGAAAACGGCAGAGATAAGTTCAAGCATACTTCGCACCTGCGTGTACTTTGCTTGTGTTCCATACAGTTGTGGAGGAGGCAGAGATCATTTCTTGCAGGGATGGCAAATGTTTCCCAGATTGACACAGGCAAGGTGTGACAGTCATCGGCGATGCGAGGTTACTTGCTAGGTACCTGGGTGTGATGCAGGAGGAGAGAGGTTCGCCATGGGAGAGCCGCTCTCCTTGGCTGGTGTAACTAGGCTTGAGCGTAGGAGGCAGGTTTCCCGAGGCTCCCCTTGATTGGTGGCATTCCCACCATCCCTGACGTAATAACTCGCTACTACTTACTATTCCAGCCTTCGCTAGGCTCGACCAGCAGGTACCTCGCTTCCGCCTAACTCGCTAGATACATGGCTTAACTGCTTCCGTTATAGGTGGCTATTCCGTGAACTGATCACAACGACATCAACTCTGCCTCCAGCTCCACCTCGTCGCTCGTTCTGTGGGCAGCCAGACAGGTGGCAAGTTGGCAAGTTGGCATTTCTGACAGCGACACCGCCTTTTGGCCCCAGTCCCCCCCCCCCAACAACCGGCCACACACTCGAACTGCTGTTGCTGTGGCTCGCGGGCCATGTGCTTGGGCTCGTCTGTGATATGCGACCAGTCAAGTGTCACACAACCCCCCACGCACAGATCGAATAGGCTGCTGGAGGAGCCTTTTTCCGCACCCAGGATACACAGATACGAACCATGGGAACTAGAACAACCCTGCGCCTGTCAGGGAGCCTCGAGGCCATCTATCAGCAAGGCCACTAGATTTGACGTAAGGGCATATGCAAGCATTGGTGGCAGATGAGCACATCAATCAGTCAGTGGAGCTCTGACCATGTGTTCGGTGGTTGATCCCTTTGGCTCGGTCCCCTGTTGCGGCCCCCTGCCCATGCGGCGCGCCAGTGTGTGGCCACCAGGCTAACTCTCGGTGTCTGCCGCAATGCCCGCAAATCCTCCTCGTTTCTTGTCCCTCTGGGTTCCATGATTCGCAGCCAAGCATATGCAGTGGGTGAGTCTCAGCTGCCGCGCTGGAAGCGTCCTGTGGCAAAGACCTCCCCTGTCTGAATCATCAATCCCATCCATCACCTTGCTCGTTGGGGTTCTTTTCGATTCCTGCCTCAGCCAGCAAACCTCAGGCCGCATCGGGCTTTACATTCCCTCTATATTTGAGAGTTAGGCGCACGTCGTCGTCTGCTGACTACCTGTGAAGCATTGAAAGGGACAGTGGCGACTCTCCAGAGGCAGAAACCGAAGCCAGTCCTCCTTCTCGCTTCCAGCCTTGCCCTTCTAGTGGCAAGGACACAACAATTGGCCCTTCGTATCCTCAGGGTCACTTCAAGCTTGCGTCCGGGCCGACAACCGTCACACCAAGCTAAGACGCCAATCCTCCCATTTGGGCTTCTTGCATTTCGCCTCCATAGGGACGCACAGGCCGGTCCTCCCTTTCGGATCGTTTCCATTCTCGCTCAACTTGGAGCCAACCACTCGCTACGGACTTGCTGCAGCCAGCGTCACCCGTACTATATCCTGATTCCATTGGTCGCAAGGAAATAGACCTATCACCTGGCAGTTCATTGGTTGCGGGTTTGGCATCGAGGAACTATTAAGAGGCCATTGTCTCTCTCAATGCTCAGTGAAGAAGTCCAGCGTCTTTTAGGGCTGCTCGGTGCACATTGGCCTTTTGCCTTTGTGCTTTACTTCTGATCTTGTCCACATGGAGACCGTCTTCATTACCATCCACGGTCAGTAACTTCTGAGGTTCAGTGTGTGCTTTGCTGAGACCGCTCCTAGATCTATCCCAGGATGCCCGAATCCGGTACTGTTCCGATTCGGTCGAGGATATACTGGGCTACTTTCCTCATGAGGTGACCGGGAGATCATGCTGGGACTACTTCCACCCAGACGAGATCCCCTTCGCCAGGGCCATTCACGACCGTGGCATCAGTCTTGACAAGGCGGCTGTGATGAACTATTGCCGCATCAAGCATAAGGATGGCCACTGGGTTGGCTGTGAATGCGTCTTTACCGTGGTCCACGATGTCCTTGTGGCCAGTACTGCCATCTACCGCCGGGGACCAAAAGCAAGACGTACGTCAACTTCCACTTTCTTGGTCTCAAGTGTTGTCACTGACTCAAACAGAGAGGGCACTCGAGGGAGCAGGTATCCGGCGAATCTTCTCGTCTTCTCCTCGAGACCCCAGATACCACATGTTGTCATACTTGTCCAACAAGTTCTACGACGAACCGTCCGCTCATGCGCCAGAGCCGAGGGCAGCACTCTTTCTCAATCGGTTTTCACGCACCTCCACCGTCATGTTCGCCACAAATGGTGTCGCCGCGATCCTGGGTCTGCAACCATCAGACCTGGTTGGAAAGAGCTTCTACCATTGTATTGACCAGGCGTGCCTTCAAGACGCCGTCAAATGTATCGAAAGCGCGAAAGCTAACGACTCTATTGCTTACCTGAGGTTTTGGTACCACGACCCTTTCCAAGGAGACGCTAATGCTGATGGCGAGTCCATTGATGACGAGACCGACGAAGACGACGAAGGTGGCGTGCCTTTGGGGACCGGCACGCGCTCTGGTTCCAGTGTCTCAATGGGAGATGCTTCGACTCCACGTCAGGCCGAAGATAGTGCACATGTCACTGACAATGAGGCGTTGAGGGCTCGTGGACAAGCTTCCACTTCTCAACTTAACGGAGCTCTGCAGCCATCTGAGAATGAGGCACAGAACGTCCAAGTCAACGGTCACGATGATAATCATGCACCGGCCACGAGCACCGACCTCGTTGTCAACGAGCATGAGGCGGTGTCTGACCAAGAGGCTTCCCAGAATCCAGCTCCACAAGAGACTCAGCCAGGAGATGCTAATGGAGAACGACTAGAGCTTGAAGCCGTGGTCTCCTGTACCTCAGATGGACTTGTTGTCATTCTCCGCCGTGCGAGACCGTTGGTCCCGCATACCCTTGGAGCAACGGAAGCTCCATATTATGCCAACGGACTGTTTGCATCGCCCTGGGCGCCGGAGCCGATTATGCCTCCTACAATCCAACAAACAACCGTGGCCCCTGCCACTTCTTTCCCGATGACCGACTCGTCAGAGTCCGGGTTCATGGCTGCCATTCGAGAAGTCGCGGTCTTTGCTTGGTCACTCACTGGCATCAACGGCTCTCTCGCGCAGTATGCACGGGGCAAACCGTCCCCAGAAGCATTGCCACCAGATGGTCTACCTGTCTGGGACCCCAACGCGGACATTGACCCGAAAGCAAATGAGTTATACAACGGCTTCTTGGGCAGTGTACATCGTCCATTTGCGGAATCTGGCGAGTCAAGCGCTGCCAAGAAAGACGACGATTTGGGCAGCAGCGATGATGAAGTGCTCTGGAAGAGGGCGCCAACAATGGCGCCGTGGAGACGACCCAAGAGAAGAGCCCACCATGATGCTTTCGGAGGCGATGGAAATGATGGAGTGGATGGCGCGAATGAGGATGGCAGGAGAAAGAAAACCACAAGATCGCATTCCAGCTCTGGGCCGAGCACAGGTTCTGGGGGAGCCTCTGCTGCAGGCTCTTCTTCTGGCTCGACCTGATCATGATGTAGCCTGCTGTCGGTGATGACAGAGAGAGAGTGTGGAAAAGGCGTCAACAAGCCAGTCGAATATTTCGGCATACATTCATTGACAAGGACGCAACGGCCCCATGAAATTGATATTTCTGATAGCTATGACTTGTTCTTATAAAACATTATCAATGATCTCCGACATGACATGCCTGAAGGAAATGTGATAATACCTCGCCAGGCCCCTCTCAGAGCAAAGTACTTCTCATCGGAGGCACGTGCTTTCGCGTTTCTGACGCGACGGGCCGCGACTGCGATTTTCTGACGCTTCTCATTTCACTATCTGTGGCTAAATCACATCCTGGACTTGACTTCCTGGCAATGCACAATGCCTCTTGTCAATGATAAAATGAATGCTAAGCAATACGTTCAAAATCGTGAATCTGTCACACATCATGGCCGCGCAGAGAATCGATCATTGACACCACAGCCCAATTCCAGCCGCGACAGGTCGCAGCAGCGACAAGATGAGGCCCGCCGCAAATTGCAGCAAGCAAGTCATGGCAAGGGAAATAGTGAAGCCATAAGTCGCCGAGACGCTGCGCAGTTGAAGTTGGACGTTCCGAATACCTTGACGATCTCGAGTTCCAAGCACGCGCAGCCAGCTGATCACGGTGTTCTTCAAGAGCCAGCAGTGGCTCCGCCCAGTATATTCTCTCGTCCTGGTCCCAGTGTTGAACATCGGCACAATGTCTGTATAGCTTGCTGAACCCTCACTACCCCGACATCATCAACTGACCCCGGCTACAGGCGTTTGACGATACCCAAAGCATCCACCTTGATGATACAATGAGCGTGGTCGAAGAGAAGCCTCCTCGGCTCTCGAAACCTTCATTCAGCTTCCATCACGGTAGGGATATGCCACCGATCTGGACCGACGAACCTCCTATCCCTCCTCCTACCCATCATTTTGAAGGCTCAAAATTACTCTTTGGAGAACGTGACAAGACTTCCGGGCTCCCCGCAGATTGGCAAGCTCGGGCAGATGCGGAAAGACTTAGACATGGTTTTGAGGCAAAGCACAGCGCAAGGTTCGGTCACCACATCGGCCAAGCAAAGCATGGCAAAGACGACCACGAGGAAGGGTCCGATCAAGATGGCGATATCGAAGAAGGAACATCCATTGTTGAGAATACACCTTCACGCACGCGAATGGGCCCCGAGGCTAAGGTTACGTCAAAGCATGGCAAGGAGAAGAAGCTGAAAAAGGGCCATAGGCCTGAAGAGCGCGCGAGTCACCCTACATTAAAGCATAGGAAGTCTCTCAGCGACATTGCGCCCGCAGTCGTGGTCGAGCCATCAAGCCGGCAACAGATCAATCGCTTCAACGTCTACAAGTCACTTGAGACAGAGCCTGAGATGGTACTGGCGGACAACCTTCGTCAAACTATCCAAATCCCTCAGCCAAATTCATCACTTGTGCACCCGCCGGCCTTCTCTTCCAAGATGTCTTCGCTTCACGAATCGTCCTCGGACGAAGAGCAACTTCAGGCGGCAAACGCCTCAAACACTGTGCCACTGGCCATCAAACGTCACCGCTCGGAACTTGACCTGGATTTCGACCCCGACGTCCTCAAAACCAAGACCATGGCGGACCTCGACGCCATTCCATTCACCGCCGACCCACGGTGGTCGGCACCGGAGCCCGCCCTCGATGCCAACGGTACGCCACTGAGCCTGTCCGCCAAACTCACGAACCTGACCAAGATCCGGTCCGAGGACCAACGCAACCTGTTTAAGTCCCTCAACGACGCCGAACGCGAGCAGACTGCAGAGTGGTTCGTGGAAAAATTTAAGGCGGACATGCAGAGGCTGATGGCCGTGCGGCTGGAGAGGAGGAAAATCGCCCTCAAGTACGAGCTCGAGGTGCGGAAGAGGGAGAAGGAGGTCGAGCTCAAGACGGGGGATGTGGACCAGGAATTGGCTGGGCTCAAGAAGGGCGGCGGAGAGCTGATTAGAGGGAAATCGCCGGCGAAATGAGGTTGATGTCCTGTGTTAGTGTGTGTTTGTTCTGTTGTTTGAAGAGGAAAAGGGACGAAAAGTTGTACAACAATGAAAGGAAGGCAAGGCATTCACGAGCCGACGGTATATATTTGATCTGGACCTATTCGAGCGAGCGATGAGGTAAACCCGCTCGACGGATCCCATTATGGAGGATATTCCCCCACGACGTTACGACGGAATAGAGAGGGAAAAAGAACTGATGAGGTCGTGCTTCACGCACGCCTCAATGATTTCACGACTTACTTACATGTGGACGTACGGAATGTAATACGTAATTGCACAGCCAGGCACCTAACCTGCCTACCTATAATCCTGCTTGTACATGTACATGGTGAGGAGGCGATTTGCTCCGTGTTCTAACGTAACCCGCCCCCCGAGTCGATGCGACACGCGTCTTTTCGTACGATCAGGAGACACGGAACGAGAGACAAATAACTGATGCATGTTACTACAAGGTGTGAGATTTGGTCTTGTTTTCTCTGGACCCGGCTCCGTCCAGACTGTCTATTTGTGTTCTATGTCTCCGGGTATCAAGGACCCTGTCATAAACTGTGCAGCTCTTAGGTTCGCACGGAGTCATTGCTTCGTCCTCGTCAAGGTCGCTCAAGGCCTGGTCTGCGACCAGCATCGAGATACAAGCAAAAGGAGAGGCTATCACTTGGCAGTGAGTCGACTTGGATCTCTTGTGTGTTCCTCTTCGAGAGCGCCTTGCTGCCTGAATCTACCTCATTGCTTAGGGACATGGAGCTGCAGGTCGCCATAAGCAGTTCCGTCCTCAGAAAGGACTGTTTCATCGTCAATACAACTGCCTCTCAAGATGTTGAGGCTCAGAGGTATGACAGGTGCTGTGCTGCTCACCATGTCAATATCCAGGACCAGCACTCCTTTAGTCGCTAGTGAAAGCTGCGTGGTGGCCTGGTAGAGAAAGCCATGTTTGTTTGGCAAAAGCACCGCGCTGGTTCGGTAGGAAGACTCTGAAATGTACCGCCAACAAAAAGGCCTGGGTAGTGTTGTGAGACTCCGCTCACTGGTCGCTTCATAAAGCCTGTGGCCAGTCAAACAGGGACTCAGGATCAATTGCTCAAGGCCAGCATCCAGACGATCCTGTGGATAAAGAAAGGCTACAACCATTATATCCCTCAAGTCTTACTTTTCTCGCTTGCAGTTGGTATCGGAGTAGCCTCAGCGGTGTCGCTTGCCTCGCCAGCTTCCGTTTCAGCATCGTCTTGAGCCTTCACTACCAGCTTTCCCAGCACCTTCGCAAGCCGCTGGTAATCAGCAAGCAACTCTTGCACCTCGCCCAGCCTTAACTCTTTCGCATCGGCTACCTTCATGAACTTTGTTATGGGCGGCGTGGCCTTGATAGCCACCAATTCACTATGATCCGGTGATCGTAAGAGGGCCTCGTGTATTTGCTTGGGTTTCTCCTCGGGTAAAACTTCTTTGTTCTCCTGGGCCACAACTATTGTTGGCGTAGGGGGAGTCTGTGCGGCCGGCGGAGAGGCTGATGCAGCAGGGGCCCTGCCACCAAACCGTCCAAATGCACCACCGAATGCAGAGCCTATGTGACTCATTGGATTGAGACTGTTGCCAAAGTTCTTTACCGTCTCCAGCGGATTGGTGGCCGTGGGTTGTGTTGCTGGTGGTGTGGGTTTTTGCGGAGGCGGGTTTGCTGGTGTTGTAGCAGGACCATTTGGAGGCGAGTTCGTGTTTCCTGGAAGGAATCCTATTCTTTTCCCAGTGCTGCTTCCATTGCTTTGAATGCTGTCCACACTTCGCTCCCGGACAGCTGCTTTTCGACCTCCTAAGAGACCGAGCAGTTTCTCTTCGGTCTTCGTCAGATTAGAAGGCATAGGGCTGGACTGTCCGTCGTGCATAGAGCTTGACTCGCTGAGAGCATGGTCGTCTTCGTCCGGAGTCAAAGGTCGACTAACAAGCTGCCTTGCTTCGTCCAGCGTTTTAGGAAGGATAATTTCAGTATTGGGGCCTTCAGTGCCTCTTTCCTTCAACTTCCCAAGGAGAAATTTAAAGCTGTTGTCCAGACTGTTGGAGATGTTTTTGAACCCTTCTTCCGCTGTAGAGCGAACGGCCTCATTCGCGTTGGTTATGGGCTGCAGAAGGTCCGAAAATGTGCGTTGATGTCGGGTGGCTGGAATGGGCGAGGGCTTTTCTGGAAATGATTTCGCGATCGAAGAAGTCTGACTTAACTGGATGGACGTGCCCGTAGCGTTGGCCTGTGAAGTGGCCGTTGTAGGAGACATTGACACAGGGACCGATTCCGGCAACAAGGGAAAGGCCTCAAGCTTGTCTGAGACCACCTCTCCGTCCGACTGGGAGGGGACCTTCCTAGGGCCTTCTGGCATTTCATCGGCCCTCAAACTCGCCAGGTCGACATCCTCCAGGAAGGTAATCGCGGCTTCCAGATTCGTAAGGCAATAGGCGGCCTCGCCATCGATCTTTGGTGCCGCTCTGAACCGCTGGATGAAATAAAGGTTGCTAATAATGTTGATGCCTTCAACTGGGGATGTGATCAAGGCGTAAATCAGAGTCGGCAGGATCTCGTCGGCAGAGGACGAGGAAGGGTGTATTGAGTACAGAGTATCAACAACGGCTTTATGGGCGGTGGTGAGGTGCTGTAATTTCCCTAGTGGATAGCGTTCTTCATTCATCTTAGCCAGGCTCTCTCGTGCAGGAGCCAGTGAGGCTTGCACATCTTCGACCGACTTTTCAGTGTCTTCACTCCAATCAATGCCCAGGTCTTTCAAGCCTATTCCTACCAATGCCAGGGCTGCCGTTTTCGATCTCAGCTTCTCGTCTCGGACCTCGTCCAGGGTGCTTTTGTGTCTCCATATTTTGTCATAGACCTTTTCGCATACTCTCTTCTCCACGGCCTCTTCTAGGACAATCCTCTTGTATTCCAGCAGTTTTCTCTGTTTGCGTCTATCAGCGACCTCGGAAGCCGTCAGCATCTGTTGAGAGCCTCCTCTTTGATCCAACGGAGCCAGGGAATCATTTGAGGGCTTGTTCTGCAGAGGTCTGGAGCGCGAGGTAGGTTTGGAGGGGGTCGGCGATTGGTCTCGATGGAGGCGGGACTTGAGGGCAGAAATGTGAATAGCGATTGCCCCAGATGCCCGAGCGTAGAATTCCTGGAATAGTTCCGACAACTGGTCGACCGTTGGTGGTTCGTTATAAATTTTCGCACCAAGGGACTCAATGAACCTGTCGGTCAGGCTTGCCAGTTCTATAGGCAGTTCATCAAACCGATCTGGGAGGCTGCTGACCCGTCCCAGGTCCGAAGATGCGGGCTCATCCTCCTCATTTATCGGCTTTTCAAAGATGTCTTCCGGTGACAAGTCCTGCTTCTTGGGGGATTTCAGAGTGGTGACGGACTGGATGGTGCTGGCTCTACTCCTATTTGCGGAAGAGGAGGTAGCAGGAGGCTCGTAACGAGTAAAGGATTTCGTGGAAAGGGCAGATGGTCTTGACTTCATCGAGCCGGTTGAGATATTCCTCGACATGATGAAACTCGAGACAGGAAGGTCCTGGGTGCGGAAACAGTGAACAGACAAATACTCTGTACTCCGCTGACAGCCTATCTCAGGCAGCCAGGCTGGGAGGTCTTAGAAGAGCATGTTCTTACTTCAAAGAGCAACCATCAACAATCCTGCGCCTAGGAGTCGTAATTGACCCCAGACCCGGCTCATCCGCAGAGGATTCGTGGTGCGTCGTGTCCTTGTTGACTGCTGAAACACGAGTGCAACCGACACATGCGATTGACGGGATTGGTCACACGTAGAATGTAGAATGTGGTCTAGTTGCCCTCCGCAGTCCGCAGCCCGCAGTCTAGGGTTGTCCACTCGACGTCAGCGTCTTCTAGACCCATCTCGCCGTCCAGTAGTCCACGAGACCTGGTGTCCCGAGCCACTTCAGTCAACAGTCATTCAAGCCTCCATCGCTACGATCTGTCACTCCCCATCAGCACACATCCAATATGAAGACCCGGAAACAGAAAGACAGGATTTGCAATTCAGGCAGCAGAATCACAGCAAGCATGCTGTTGTCCTTCCTTGCCCTCGCACCCTCAATCGCTACGGCCAACCTCCCCGCCGCCATCGATCCCTGGTACCCAGTACCGGTACCCAAAGAACCAGACACTCATGACTTTACACTAAGACACATTTTCCATCGAGGCACCTACCGTGATCCCAATCTGCACAAACGATACGATTTCAGGCCGCAGGCGCCCGTCCTCCTCACCTACGAAGAAGACGATGCCCAAACATCTTCACTCGAACCGCCGCCACACTTCACCCTGCGTTCAGACTCTGTCGAGATCGAACGGCTCATCGATCGGGAACCGTTGAGCATTGAGAGACACCTCCAACATGCACGCCTCACGGGCAGTCCGGCAGTCCTCGACACTTCGCTGTGGACACTGGACGAGGTCGAGGGTCCCAACATCGTGCACAAGCCCACCGTGCTCAATCTGGCCATCATGGCCGCCAACGCTTATAACCCAGGCCCAGGCGAGGGAGATTGGGAAGATGTCAGCCAAGGCTATAACCGATCTACGCCATTTGGCTGGGAGGGCGATGGCTTGAGAGGTCATATATTTGCCAACGAAGGCAATGAAACAGTTATCATCAGTCTCAAGGGGACTTCTCCTGCCGTCTTTGACGGAGACGGAACTACGACCAAGGACAAACTGAATGACAATCTGTTCTTCTCCTGCTGTTGTGCCCAAGGTGGTTCATACTTCTGGCATCAAGTCTGTGACTGCCAGACAAGCACATATACTTGCAATCGGACATGCGTGGTGCAGGCCTTGAGACAAGAGAACCGGTACTATCGAGCTGCAATCGACTTATACACCAATGTCACGGAATTATACCCTGATTCCAATGTCTGGCTTGCGGGCCACTCTCTCGGTGGCGCGGTGACGAGTCTCCTCGGTCTCACATTTGGTCTGCCTACCGTAACTTTCGAAGCTCCCGGCGATGACCTCGCAGCCAAACGCCTCGGTCTCCCCACACCTCCATCATCAGATCCGAACAGGCCACGCACGAAATATACAGGGGCATACCACTTTGGAAACACTGCCGACCCTGTATTCATGGGCACCTGCAATGGTGCCACAGCGACCTGTACTTTGGGCGGGTACGCTATGGAGTCTCAATGCCACACAGGAAAACAGTGCATTTACGATACTGTGAGTGACTACGGCTGGCGTGTGGGAATAGGAAACCACAAGATTCACAACGTCATCGACAACGTGATCAAGATATACCAGACTGTTCCCTCCTGTGAGCCAGACAATGAATGCGTGGATTGTTTCAATTGGAAATTCTTTGAAAGCAATGGCTCCGACTCGACGACGTCGACCCGGACCACTACCACAAGCTCCACGACGTACACGAGAACGAGCACATGCAAAACCCCAGGCTGGTGGGGATGCCTAGACGAGACTACGACGGCGAGCACGACATCAACGGTACCGGTGGTAACCACCACCTACACCACGACGAGCTGCGTCACGCCAGGCTGGTTCGGATGCAAGGACAGCGTCAATATCACGGTAACGACAACCACGCCCGCGCCAACGACAACTTCGCCGACCACGTCCGTTCCTGCTTCCGTCACTCACGACCCATCATCTTCTCCTTGCGAACACCCCGGGTGGTGGGGTTGCCGTGACCCTACTTCGGCGACTTCTAACCCATCTCCGTCCTCAACGCTGTCGAATCCAATTGCTACAAGCACCGCTGCCCCGCACAAGAAGCACACGTGCAAGACGCCTGGTTATTTCTGGGGCTGTTATGATACATCCAAATCCCATCATCGCCATGCTACAAGCACCGCTGTAAAGGCTTCGACAACGACGGACAGCATGATCAGCGAAGCGCCAACGTTGAGCACAAGCACTATCAGTGCAACATCAACTCAAACGACTACCGATGATGGTACGAGGAGGGGGAGGAAATGCAAAAAGCCAGTATTCTTTGGCTTGATCTGTTTGGATGGATATGAGGACGAATATGTACCCGAACTATGATAGTCGGGTATATCACAGCACGATTTTCATGATACTTCGATATTTAGACTGTGATTATATTGGATGTATGCATGCGGTTTGGGTGCACGTTGGATGGCGTTGCACGTCGAGGAATAGTCATCAGGTTGGAGCGCTTGTCTGGAGTTTTGAATTTTGAGGGCTTCTCATTTGCTGCACGCCACATGAGATGTTAAGGATGTACCTTGACTGTCTAAGCTCTCCAGCGCAACCAAGGCCAAACAGAAACTTCAAGCTTGGGCGAGTCTATACAAGAACGGGCCCTCGGATGATCGCTGTCTGAAACCAGGACGGAGCTTTCTCCTGGACTTGTACATTTGGTCGGACGTCCCTGTACTATGAAACACATTTCCAGAACCCTCCTTTCCATTCAAGCTGCCGCAAACTGTAGTCCCAACATGACGTAACTACAGTCCCAGCGGGTTGTCTGCGGTCTGCTTCTTGCCGCCGATCGAGTCTGTGGTGGATTTGGTGGTATCGCCGACCGCCTTGGTGGTGTCACCGAGCTACATACAACCACGAACAGAGTCAAACAAGTCAGCCAGTCAGTCAGTCAATCCGAGTTCTTGGAGAGTCATCTTTTGCCGAAAGGGAAAAAAGGGCATTGATAACAAACAGAATGGAGAATGGTGATTTTGGAAAAACACGTACGCCTTGAGTGGCTCCGCCCACGGTCTTGCCGACGCCCTCGCCGACGCCCGAGACGGTGTTGCCCACGGTATCCTACCCCGGTTGGCGCGAGATGTTAGCAGCAGCAGCAGCAGTAGAAAGAGGGGGGAAGGGAAAGGGAGGGAGTGGAATTGTGAGACAACGGGCAAGGAAGGAAAGTAGTAGACAGGAGCTTCAGCTCGAGGAGGAAAAAAAAACGAACGCACCGTCACGCCGCCCACCGTGTTGCCAACTGTGTCGGTCAAGCCGCCGAGGATGCTTCCTACTAAGTGGTTAGTTGGAATAGGATACGCTTCTTCTTCTCCAAGTATGGATTTGATAGAGGGGGGGAACAAGGAGCCTGAGCGGGTTGGGCTGGGGCTCATACCGCCGCCTTGCTTCTTCTGTTGTTGTTCGCCAGACATGATTGATGTGTTCAAGGTATGTTTTGGCAAAGAGGTCACTCTTGCTTGAGAACTGTCGCTGGGGTGACTTTTTTTAGAGATCACGATATACGGCAAAAGACGAGCACGCCTGAGGCTTGTATGTACTTAGGGAGGAGGATATATAGCTTTCATCTCATCAGTGTAGCATCGTGTAACCCCAGGAGTGGTTGACCTTGACGTCAGTCAGCCTCGACCCTTGCGAGAGGAGAAGGATCATGGGCCACAAAAGGGAAGTTAGGTGGCTTGTTTGTTGTGAGAGTGGCTTGGACGATGATGATGAGGAGGGCCGATCCTATCCAACCAGACGGACACTCTTGCTCGAAGGGAAAAGTGTAAGAGGCCAAATGGGCCAGTCGACATGAAATAGACCGGGATGTTGTTGGTGGGGAGAGAAGTTGATCCTGGTAGAGATGACGTCGACACTTCTGGGTCATGCTGGTGTCGAATGCTTGCACGAGATACCCTATGTCTGCCACTATGTACCATAGTCTTGACAGTGACATAAGCTATGAGGCACAGGATCAGGCTTGCATGATATAGATCAATTGACAAAGGGTATCACTTGAAAACTACAGGTTACTCCTGCTGTAACTCGGCATGGAGACAGCGGTATTTGAAAGCCGATGCAATATAGCATTCCCCCCATGCACCATGACAATCCCTATCCAAGACTCATTGCAACGTCCTCCTGAACACTGAATGCCCGGTGGCCAGAACCATCTCGCCATTTATCCAGTACGTCGTCCTCTGGTCCGTCGCGACTCCGATCGCTCCGTGTGCTGAACTGGCCTGTATTCTTCCCGCTAGAACTCTTGCTATCACTGCGGTCTCTTTTCGAGAACCAGCTGCCTGGTTTCTTTGCTGGTAGTGATCTGGCATTGCTGCTGGCATCGTTTGATTTTTGTTCTGGCCTAGATGATTTCTCTGTAGGATGTTTCGAGTCTGCGGTAACGCTGTCCCCCGATCCGCTCACCCCATTGGCAAACTCTTTGGCTTTCCTCACCTTGTCCTCTTCCGTGTCAGATAAAGGGTGTGCTGGAGAGATGCTTGGAGTGTCCTCAATGCTCGGCGTTGCTTCGACGAGTTCGGCATCACGGAACCACTTGCGTCTCCTTGTATACCTGCCCCAACCGTCCTCCCTCCGTCCATCTTCCCACCTATTATCATAGTATATCCAACCCCCACCATCGTCGGCAGTCGCTTTGCCAGATACGCCAGTTGCTCCTATTTTGCCGTCGCTAGTCGCCCGCTTGTGTGACTTGGCATCTCCGTGCTCTATTCGCCATTCAGGGTCGATCCATCTCCACCGGGACAATCCACCCTCCACATCGGGGAGTTCGAATTCCTCTTTGGACGGTGCAGGGTTGAGGTGCTCATCCGTCCAGGGGGCGCGCTCGTATGCAAACAAAGAAGTTGTCCAACCCAGACCCAGCCAGCGCCGTTGATTCTCATACAGGATAAACGTGAACCGAACGCCAGACGAGTCCGGTTTCCCCTTGTTTGCGAATTCTGAAGCGAGGTCGCCCTGAGATTTCGACCTGCTCCCAATTGATGGTCGGTTCGACGCTTCAAGTTTAGCATTCGGCGACGTGTCAAACTCCAACCCGGTGACAAACGCGGCCACCTTGCGCATGAAGACCGAACGCCAGAGGATAACCCGAGACACCCTGGCCGGCTTGGAATGCCAGGTCAATATTATGGTGCCAACAGCAAGGATGACTCTTCGAGGAGTCAAAATATAGAACGGCGGAAGAGTCAGGATTATCCAAAAGGGGCTTACGAAAAGAACACGGATGAAGAGAGTCGTCAAAGCTGGCCGGGTCGTAGCGGCCGTCGGCGTCGTCTGGGTAGAAAGAAAATCGGTTAGCTTGAGGAAGGGATCCAACAGGACATTGCACCGTGCGGTCAATTCCTGTAGTGTCTCGACAATCTCATCGAGAGTCTTGTGGTGCGACTGAGATTCCGAAGGTTCCCTTCTGTGGCCCTTGGCTGTATGTTTCTCTCCGGTTTTGCTGGTGGACGACAGAGGCGAATAGCGTCTGGAGTACATTCCCAGGATGAGACCAACTACCACGATGATCGGGCTGGCAAAGCGGATGATCTCACTCCCATACAGTGTGATTCCCCAGAAAACAGCCACCATCAGATATGATTCCCACGGATCTGGAGTGCTCCATGACAGAAGACCGGCGAGTCTATTCAGCGGTAGGAGGAAGGGATGTGAATGGGCGAGGGCTCGAGTGATCTGAGGTGGCGTCGCTACTAGCAAGGGCGACTTTTTGTGGACGATGATGGTAGACCGCTGCTTCGATGTAGCGGAGTAGCCAGAGGTGGATGTTGGAGAGAAGGCAGCATATGTGGGGGGGTTGGGGTCCCAGGCCTGCTGGGACGAAGATTCAGACTGAGGTGCATATGAGGACGGTCTTGACATTGATGAGAGCCAAGGTGTTTCTGTTCAATCATCAGTACAGTTGCACAGTGATTTGGACAGGCAGTATGTACCAAATGCTGCCATACACCGAGTTATGCAGGGTCATGAGGATGACTACCCAAGAATACCCAAATAGATGACGCCACCAGTGCGGAGACGGAAAGACTTAGGTGAGGATAGCCTGATTGATCTGTAGAGGATGATGGTGGTGGTGGAGCAGAATTGCAACGACAGACAGTGTAGACATGCTTGAGAAAGGTAGATATTGAGTGCTCGGCGATTTTGACATCTGGTCTTGTGGACAACCTTGAGGGCGGCGCAGGCATGTGCAGCACGGCGCAGGCAGAGACGTGATGATGATCAGCGACTCGTTCGGCGATCCATCCATGCAAGTCATAATAATTGCTGTAATGAAAAGGGATGCGACACGTGACTATCACCGAGGGAGCACCGCGGAATTTTAGGCGAAGATTCGCCGGTCGGAGACGGCGACAAGCAAAAAGATTTCGTGCAGCTTCTGTCTGTCGAAGAACAGAACACTCCTCCATCGCCAACGTCGCGGCCATCAGCCATTTTGATCTCGTTGCTTCGCTGACAGAAGTCAATGGTATGTATCCTCCTAGCTTTTCAGGTCTCCCCAGCCAGTTATTCCCGGCAGGACAGGACAGGACAGGACTGACTTCCGCAGGCGCATCGAATCATCGCCCAGATCGTCCTCACCGGCGGACGAGTTTTCGGCAGAGCATTTGCAGAGGCATACAAGCAAGCCCAGGCATCGACACAGTATGCAAGGGCTGCTGCGAAAAGTGACCCGGGTGCCGTCAACACCGCCGCCGCTTCCGGCATGACCCTCGACGAGGCCTGCAAAATTCTGAACGTGAAGCCTCCCCAAGGTGGCGTCACCAACATGGAACAGGTCATGGAGAGGTTCAAAAAACTGTACGATCTCAACGAGCCGAAGAAAGGCGGTGGTGGATCCTTCTACCTCCAGAGCAAGATTCTTCGCGCGAGAGAACGGATAGAGATGGAGGCTCGTGCCGCTGAGCACAAGGCCAAGTTGGAAAAAGAAATCAAAGAAGGTTGGAGACCCAAGATCTACAAAACTTGATCTCTCTTGTGGCTGACCGTCTCCCAAGGACGGTAACGAGACTGGCTGGCCAACACGGCCGGTACCACTTCGTTCTTCGAATCCTCAACTTTCGATGATTGTTTTCTCGTGCATAGCGGACGGCGTTGGACTGGAATTGACTGTAAAATCGGCTGTACTATACCATGGGCGAGGGTCTACGCTAGAACATTTCAGCAAGAGAATGGGATTTTCACGTCTTGGATGGATGCTCTTTCGACTTTTGAGGGCACGGGGACTATATCATGAACGAGGAGACAGCAGACAGGCCGATGTAGTGTCCCTGATATCGTCTCTGGTTGGGGGACACACGCCGCTCCATTCTGATGAGCGACTCTCCACTCAAGAAGGAAATGGGGACGCAGTTGAATGGGCCATATAGTTGGCCTGGGGGGTTGAAGTCGAGGCAGACATGTATAGAACGACAGATGGGGAAAGAAACCCTATACTCGTCTAAAAAGGACGACACACTTCAAAGACACGTTCTTATCCTAGTATTCGCAGAGACAATACTGATGTGTTGGCGGCCAAACATGGAAACACGGGTCAAACGTGAGGATAGAAGTGGGTATCAACGGAGGTTGCGGTGCGATAAAGGTGCGAGATCTGGATGCGAGACTAATGTGAGGGCGTCATGGATATCTTTGCAACGAGTCATCGACGCAGGTGCCCATCTCATCGTTGCCGGCTAGCCTCACTTCACATCCATTTCCTTGTGCTTGGCCATTTTCAGGGCGCATATCGGTCTCCCCCCAGCGAGAGAAGCATCTAGGCCACCGGCAGCTCACCTCCTTCTTGTTCTCTAGCTCGATATCAGCCGTAGGAGCCTTGACTTTCCCTGGCGTGCATTGGACGGCCCCACTGCGCTGTCGCCATCCCTCCAAATCCATTCAAACGCCAACAAGAAAAAGTGTCTGCTGGCATTTATCAGAATCCCCGAGTTCGACCGCCGTTGCCCAGAAAGGTATTACATTGGCACCCTCTCCTACATACCTCCAATTCGTCTCGACTGTTCAACCTTTCCTCCTTTCACCAGAGACCCCATACGTTGTGCTAAGCCATGGCCAGGTCGAAGTCGCCACTTTCCAACTCACTCCCCCCTCTCGTCTTCGGTACCGCCACCTTCAATTATCAGGTAGGTACCCGAATTCTCCTAAGACTGAATCTATGTTGACCTTTATCTCTCAGTATAATGTTGATCCATACGCATTGGGTCCCACATCTCTTGTCCAGAAGGCCCTCGCCCAGGGAGTCCATGCTTTTGACACCTCCCCTTACTATGGACCGGCCGAAGAGATCCTCGGCACTGCTCTGGATACCGACCTAGTCCGACAACACTATCCGCGGAATCAGTACTTCATTCTTACAAAGGTCGGCCGCGTTGCCGGTGATGTCTTCGATTATTCCCCATCTTGGGTACGACAGAGCGTTCAAAGAAGTTGTAAACGTCTGAGGACCAACTACCTCGACGTGGTCTACTGCCACGATTGCGAGTTTGTTTCGCCCGAGGAGGTCCTCTGTGCCGTAAGAGAGCTCCGCCGTATTCGGGACGAAGAAGGCACTGTCCATCATGTCGGTATCTCCGGTTATCCTGTGCTGGTTCTTTGCGAGCTGGCTGAAATGATTCTGCGAGAGACTGGAGAACCGCTGGATATTGTTCAGTCGTACGCGAACTTTACCCTTCAGAATACTCGACTGCTTTCGGAAGGACTGCAGCGTCTCGTGAACGCCGGCGTGGATGTTGTGACAAATGCTAGTCCTCTTGGTATGGGTTTGTTGAGATCGACCGGCCCCCCTGTGGGAGCCATGGGCAACTGGCACCCTGCCCCGGATGGCCTCCGACAAGCTTGCATCAATGCTGCAAAGTGGACGGAGGCCAGAGGAGAAAAGCTCGAAGTCGTTGCAGTCAGATTTGCGCTTGAAAACTGGCTTCGCGAGGGTGCCAAGGTGGGTTCTTTGGGTAGCCCACTAGGAATCGCCGACGCGTCGTACGACCACACTTCCAACCTGCCTCGGGAGAGAGTAGGCGTCAGTGTCATGGGTGTGAGCAGGGTCGAAGAGCTTGACGAGACGATGCGAGTGTGGAGAAGCGTTCTCGATGGGCTCTCCGACGATCTCGATGCCGAACCTGGGACCATTACCCCCTCCAACTCGGTCACTGACCATGAGTGGTCTCTAGCACGCCGGCAGACCATTCGTGAGCTCGCCAAAGGGATTCGAGCGGTCATCGGCTCTCAGTGGGTTGACTATGCGTGGGAGTCCCCTGATGCAGGTTTTATCAATCGAAGGAAAGAGAAGGACGATGTTGTGGCACAGGAGGTAGAAGTGTCAGCTGGCCCCCGTTCAACGATGCTCACACCACCCTCTGAAGCAGACGACAATGGAGTACCAACGGACGTACCCTCTTTGTGCTCTGAAGCATGATTACCGAACGAGCATTGCTCAGGTGTCTGTATTGGATTGATCCTCATTACAGCAGTGGTTTATGCGCGTTCCGCCGCTTACTACCCGTCAGAGGCCGTTGCGATGGCAAGTATCACGGCAAATGCATATCTCGGAACATTCAAATCCAAATGTCCTCTGCTCCCATTTTACCAAACATGACCCTACATTCAAGGACACATTTTCGAGATGCGCCACAGAGCTCTCCAGGTTTTGTACTCACTCTTTGGAAAGCTCTCAACGGCAAGAATAGACTTGAGAGAGGGACGCTGACTTCATAGCAAAACTCACCCTCAACTTGTTCATCAGGAGTCACAACGACAAGCCCCTCCTCGGTTTCCACACCTCTGTTTAGACGGAAAGAGAGAAACTAGGCAGAGACCAAGCCTCGCGCGGGCCTTTTCGGAATGGATATCTGAGGGAGCCCGAAGACGTCTGCCGAAGTCAAGGCTCTTATCGACGTGGCGGCCGAAAGACCCTCAACCAAAGATCTGCCGCTAGTGCGTTTGGCCGGTCGACCAAGGAAGGATCTTAAGGCTGGATACGGATTCAACGGGGTTGGACGCCTCGCTCAATCTCGCGGAGGAACAAGGAGGCTTGATGGCACAGCACTCTGTTTTGAAGGTCACAAAGCTCTGCGGGGAAAAACACACTCTGCTCTGTATCAGGACGGAGGTTAATTCGTCATGGTATCCAGACCCCTAATTCCGACATAATGCTGTTGGTCTGTCTCGCTTGGACTTTCTTTGGGAGTGGTGGGAAAGAAAGACAAAGACCAGCACTGACTGACGAGTAACGAGGAGTCTGAACCACCTTGGCTAGACGTTTGAAACATACCCATGCATAGACAGACGTGCAATCGCAAAACCAAGACCGATCGATCCCTATTTGTAGGCGGCTGATATGTCAACCGCATACGAATGAATACATGAGGAGGGTTATGTATATTTATGCTTCGACATTTTCCCCCTTCATGCAAGAACATCTCTCATCCCCAAGAGCCTAGGCTCAAGTCTCTCAGGGGAAATGGTCTCAGTCCACGCACGCACACCATGGCTGACCTGGGTCGGAAAGTATCCTAGATGCCGCCCTGTACATCTGTGTAATGAATCAGGTCGTACTCATCAGCAGGTAGTTGATTGGGATGCTGAGTGAGGAGGCCGAGATGACTGTGACTATGACTAGCAAGTCGAGTATGGTTTTGGATTGAATCAAAGCCGGCGTCGAGCACATGGGTTTCATTCACCAGAGGATGATGGATGCCGCGGTTAGAGGTCACACATTGAGCCTGGTGGCGGCACTATATAACAACGGAGGAAAGCAGCAGGACACATGCAACGCATGACTTTCCTTCCTACCGTGCATCCGATGGAGATAAATGTATGCAAAGGAAGTGTGATTATCCTCCAAAGAGGCAATTCATTCATTCATTCATTCAACCTCAACGATGACCACCTTCTCCACAACGCAGTCCAGGACGCCCTGCACCGTCCACCTGCCCTCCTTGAACCTCTTCCAGACGGTATCTTCCCCGGCGACATTGCCCACGGCATCCTCCAGGCCCTTGACGCCGACCATGCCTTCCTTCTCTCTCCACACCCTCTCGGCCTCTTCGCCGGCCCTCCGGACCATAAGGTCTTCGTCTTCGGCGCGGTACAAATCGCACTTGTCGCACTCCTGGCACGTTTGGCCTGGGATGGGCCTGAAATGTTCACAAAAATGCCGGTAGCCTTCCCCCCCTTCGTCGTTCGAGCCGGCCTTGCCAATGTTTTTGCGGCAGAGGTAGCACATGCTGTACCCGCACACGCAGGTGAGTTTATTGCAACCAGAAGTTTTCACAAAAGACGTGCCGCAGCGTGGACACGTTCGCTTGATGGCGGCGGTGCGGGCTGCTTCGACAGTGGTGCGGAGTGAAAGTATCAGTGGTTCGTGGCAGACGTGTGGATCGTGCCATGCCTTTTGGCATTTGAGACACGACTTCCGCATGCAAGAGGGATTCCGACATTGAAAGCGGGTGGTACGGGTTTTCATGGCGAGATGTGCCAATGCCGTGTAAAAGAGCGTGATGAAGTAATGCGGGAAAATGAGGAAGAAAGGCAAGAGAAGAATAATGGTCGCCGGGAGAAGTTCGAGAAGGAGGATACATAGGACGGTGTGAATGCCTGTGGTGGGTTTGCGAACATGCCACGTAATAACAGACGTGACCGTGTCCGCATCGTAGATCTGTTCGACTTCGGGGTAAGAACAGTATGGGCAGCGGACAAGAGGGAGGGCCGAATGTTGGAGGTTATGCTCGGCGAGGCGGTCTTCGAATTTTCTCCAGGTTTCGGCGCTGGACTTGCTGTCGGAACGACGGAGGGCACGGAGGAGAAGGTCCTGGTGGATATGGCCGTCACAATCATCTGAGGCCAGACACTTCAAGGTGCCGCGCTCGACGTCGATAGATTTGGCCCAGCCCTGCCCGAAGAGGGCCTCATTGAGGGTACGTCGGACGCAGTCCAGACAGATAGTATGGTCCGAGTGTGTGCAGAATGAGGCGTCCTCGAACGCGACATCGTTATAACAGACCTGACATTCAAAGAGCGCACCCGCTTCTTCGGCTTCCTTCAGATTGAGGGCTTGAGCGAGTTCCAGGTCGGAGGCTTGTTGGTCTCTCGGTCGGCGAGACGCCTGTGCGGGTAAGGAGAACAAGGCTGACAACTCTTGGTCGAGGTCGCGAGACCCTGTGGCAATCAACCGTGGGCCTTCGGGATCCGCCTTTGTTCTATCCAGGAGAATCGACGGAGGGTCGGTGTGAGATCGCTTTTTCTTGAGGAGGTTGGCGAAGGTGGCTTTCCACGATCTGCTGGACAATTGTTGGAGGGTCGGCCTCGCGCTCGTGTACGAGAAGTTGACCTCGGCGAGCACCGCATCGATGGCACTTCTGCCCAAGGCACTGAATTCGCGTCCAACCGTCCGTCGCACCGCATCCTTGTATTCCTTCGTCCTAAATAGTTCGTCCGCCGGGAGTGGCTCGTCCAAACTCCGCGGCGGGACGTTCAATCGACCCTTTGCCCATTCTGTCTTGTATTTGAAGAGTTGCTCTGTGGCGATCGGGAGTCGGCTGTCGCCATCGAACCGGAGGAGCAACTCACGAAGGACTTCGACCTTGACGTCCGGGAAGAAGTCGGCGAGCACCAGCAGGTCCTGGTTCAAGGGCACCGAGGGATCTTCATCTTCGTGATTATCGGTTGGGGACTCCTCCTTCGAGCCTGCTCGGAAAGGATTCTTTCTGAGGACCTCGGCGAGAGCGGAGCTGGGGGACGTTTGTCGGGCGGTGGGAGTCGACGACGAGGCCGACGCACGGTGACGGGATGACGAGGAGGATTTGGAGTTAGCGGAGCGTTTGGATGCGCCCGAGTAAAGCCACATCACACCGACTGCTGCAGGTCGATTTGAACATGGTGCTCAGGGAGACATCGACGGAGGGACGAGCGAGGAGGACACAGCATTATTCTTGCGACCTTTTTGAGGATCTCTCGGCCGCAGTGCCACTCCTTGCGTGCTGCGTAGTCATGAGTAAGTGACAGTCACTGAGAGAATAATAAACCTGCAACTAAGAGTGACATGGGTGGTGTTTCCCCTTATTCCCGTTGTAGGCTGGCCTGGTCACGTTTTGCCACGCCTATCTACTTGCCCAAGCGTATCGCGTATCTTGTAAATATCTTATTAACCCTGCTGCAGGATGTATATAACATTGTTCGAAAGCAGTCCATTACAGGGAGAAAGGCTCAAGTATGGGACGTGGTTGTCAATCCAGACATGTGGGATGAGGCTATATCCTTCGCATAGCTGGAATCTTTGTTGATGGAACTGATTTGTACCAAACGCTGCCATTGCTGTCTCTAGCCATCGTATATCGTATCAGAAGGATTGTGTATTTTGCCACGACCTTGCCTGAGATAGTCTCGTAGGTCTCGAACAAGGCAGACGCGATAAGGAATTTCTGTGCATGATTGCTTGCCATGCTGAACGGGAACTCGTTCATACCTGCGTGATATTTCATTCTACGTTGTACGTACCTACATACCTGTCTCAAATTATCCGCCACTGACCACCCGGCCCAAAAAACAAAGGCCTATTTAGTATTGCTACCACTGGAGAGCCTTTAGGCTCGTCTAGTCATCCCGGTGCAATTCGTTCCATAGACATACAAAGAAGAAAAAAAAGGGCTCAATCGGGATTCGAACCCGAGGCCTGTCACATTTCATGGCTTTTTCAACCAGAGGCCAACCCGCCCGAAGCGACAATCATACCACTAGACCATTGAGCCTTGGAGAGAGAGAGATTCAGAGAGAATCTGTGTGCGATTTGGAGCACACAAACCACTCATATTTTGCAAACTGCAATATATGAACCCTGTTTTCCTTACCGAGGTTCCTTGGGGCTGATTCGACTGCAAACTCCACCCTTACGGGCCTCCTCCAAGAAGGTCCCACAAGCCGGACTTTCTCGGAAATCTAGGCAGTAGCAGTGCATGAAGCATAAATGATGAACCAAAAATGTCTTGTCAAATTCCTCAGACTATGCTACCTGAATCCAGCCAGCCATGTGTTCGCGACATAATCTACAATTTGGGCTTAGGGGCACCCAAGAGCTCGGCTCCAGCACCGGCAATGCAGAGCTTGCCGGTCTCCTTGACCTTGGTCTGGAAGATAATCTTGTTACCCTCCTTCCACATCTCAGTTACCAGAGTCTGTCCTGGAATCACGGTACCAGCAAAGCGGACTTTGATGTTCTTGAACAGGCCGTAGGTCTGGACAATGTGTTTACCGCTGAAACCCATGAAACAGAGACCATGCAGGATGGGTTCCTTAAAGCCACCGATTTTGCTAAATTCAGGATCAATGTGGAGGGGGTTCCGGTCGCCGTTCAGTCTGTACAAAGCAGCTTGGTCTTCAGAGGTTTTCTCCTCAACAACGGCGTCAGGAGCTCGCTTGGGTGGCTGGTAGACAGTGGTTGCGTTGCCGCGGTTGGCTCCCTTCTTAGGTCCTCCAAAGCCACCCGATCCTCGGACGAAGACGGTGGACTCATTGTAAAAGACATCCTCTCCAGTCTTTGCATCCTTGGTGATGGTGCCGGTCACGACAATACCAGCGTTACCCTTGTCGACAACTTCTACCAGTCGCGGGTACGATATCAGTTTGGCGGCCGTGGGGATGGGGAACTTTCGAATCTCCAGGTATTGTTCGCCATGTAGGAGCATCATCGGCGAGAAGTTGGGAAGGACCTCATCCATCGAGAAAGGTGCCACAGCACCGAAGAAGGGGATGACTCCAAAAGTCGGCAGAACCTGGAAGTTGTCGTCGTTTTCGTACACCAAGGGCAGTTGTGTTCTCTTAGCGTTGAGGGACAGGTTGTAAAGGATGACATCCCGGTCGTCGTAGACAAACTCAGTGCCGCTCGCTTGAGCTTTCTTGGCCTTTTCGATTGCTGCCAAGTAGTCTGTACCGGACCCTGACTCCTCTGATTTGTTGGCTTTGTTCTCCATGTTGGCCATGATAGACTTCAGGCCATCCTGGCCAGTCTCAGGGTGATCGGCTCGGCCGTCATCAAAGTTGGTGATGCGGTCCCATTTCTCGAGAACGTGCTCGGGAGTCAGCTTGACGTCGACGGGGAATCCGTGGCCTCCGGTTCTTTGCCATCGTGTCCGTGCTTGCCAGCCACTACCGACTTCAAAGAGAAGGCCTGTGGGCGGCTCTGGAACCTTATCCGAGCATAACGCGAGCACAAGAGGAGCGACATATTCGGGCTTGAAGAGTTGCACCAATTCCTCGGGCAAGATGCTTCGGGTCATCTGTGTTCCTGCGTTAGGGGCAATGGTGTTGACAAAGATGTTGTTCTTCCGGCCTTCCAACGCCAAAGATCGAGAAAATCCAAGGATACCGAGTTTCTGTTCAGATTAGCGAACGTCCAGTTAACAGTCTGAGCTACTTACCGCGGCAGCGTAGTTGGCTTGACCAAAATTGCCATAGATACCACTCGTGCTGGTTGTGTTCACGATTCGGCCATATTTCTGCTTGAGCATGTATGGCCATGCCGCCTTGGTCACTTTGTAGGTGCCACGGAGATGGATGTTGATGATGTCATCCCATTGCTTGTCTTCCATATTGGTAAACGCCTTGTCCCTGAGGATACCAGCGTTGTTGATCAAGATATCGATTCTGCCGAAAGTGTCGATGGCGGTCTTGACAACAGCATCACCGTCCTCAACCGAGGCTTTGTTACCGACAGCCTTGCCGCCAAGTTTTTGAATCTCTTGCACAACAGTATCTGGGTTGACGAGATCGTTGACAACGACGGATGCGCCCCGCTTAGCGAAAGCGAGACAGTAGCCTCGGCCGAGCCTGCACATGTTAGTTAGTATCCAACAGGAGAGAAAATCAGGAGAGCATACCCAGCGCCACCGCCAGTCACCAGGACGACTTTGCCATCGAAGCGAATGTCCTCGCCTTGTTCATTAGGTGGTAGCTTCATCGATTCTTCCGCCTTGCTCACGAAGTCGGCAACACCATTAGGGTATTCCGGCTCGGAGAAATCGTTGACTTGATCCCACTTTTTCAAGATAGCGCCAGGGGTATAGGTGTCGTCAGCTTTGAGCAACAGACCCTTCGCACGCTCCCATCTCAATTTCGCGATGTGGCCTCCACCAACTTCGAAGATCGAGCCACTCGTGTGTGTGTTGGACGGGTGGACCAAAACAGCAACGAGAGGCACAACCCAGTCGGGCTTGAGGTTTTCCAGCACGTCCGGAGGCATGACGGTCGCCGTCATGCGACTGGCGGCAATTGGAGCAATAACATTGCAGATGATGTTATACTTGGCTCCTTCTTTAGCCAGGGTCTCCGTAAACCCGACTTGGGCCAGTTTCGCGGCGGAGTAGTTGCACTGGCCGAAGCTGCCAAACAGGCCGGCGGCAGAAGCGGTGTTGATGACTCGGCCATACTTCTGTTTCCTGAAATATGGCCATGCGGCTCTTGCACATTTGTATGCACCTTTGACGTGGACGGCGTTGATCAGATCCCAGTCCGAATCCTTCATGTTCTTGAAGCTGACATCACGGAGGATACCGGCATTGTTAAGGAGGACGTCGACACGGCCAAAGGTATCGATGGCGGTTTTGATGATTCTGTCGCCGTTCTCGACACTGTCGTAGTTGGCAACTGCTTTGCCGCCGGCAGCTTTGATCTCATCGACAACAACGTCGGCTGCCTAGGGACCAATGTCAGCAAATGGATGGTATGACCCCGGAGCATGTGACAATTGCTGTAGACAGACCTTTGTGCCCGCACCTTCGCCCTTGAAGGAACCGCCCAGGTCGTTGACAACGACATTGGCACCTCTCGAGGCGAAGAAGAGGGCATATGCTTTCCCCAGACCACCGCCAGCACCAGTGACCACCACGGTCTGGTTGTCGAAACGTAATTCTTGCACCATTGTCACCCGTTCAACTGTCTCTCATGCGGATTACGGAAGGGGATTCTGTGTCGACGTCACACAGCAGAGGGAGGGACGAGGTATAAGAAAGGGATGTTGGAGGAAACCTCGACCGATATAAGAACTGCGGCCGTAACAAGGGAAACGCGAACAGAGAAGCCGAAGAATGGTGCCGGCAGAACTAGAAGGTCGTATGGGCAATCAAAACACAACGCAGCTTCATGAGAATGTCATGGACTGGTGGCCTTCTCTGGCTACTACTGGCTACTGAGCGGGCCTCGGTGTCGTCAGTCCTAAAAAGCTGCCGAGGCATCTGGTCACATGATGCGGATGCGGGTACCCAGCCCCACGACAATTTGTGCCTTTGAAGTCTCCCATGGGCCATCGGTGAGCGAAAACATGGTCCGAATCCCGCCCAGTCTTCGCCTCCACATCTGGTCTATCGGCATGTGAAATCAGAGCGCGCGGATGCTGACCTGCTGCTCCCGTCCAGGTGTGGCCAGGCCAACAATAGGTCGACAGCTTGCATGAGCCAAAAGAATAATTCAACACCACACATCCAGTGGCACGCATCTCGAAGCAAACATCCTAAGAGATTTCTCGACGGCCTGTGTCCCCATACGCGGACAATCTCTCTTCGAATTGTCCCTTCAGATCGGAGACGTGTCCGTTGTGTGCAGGAGCGGGTAATCTTCTAGCCGCAGCCCATCTCTCAATGCTGGAGAATGAGCTGACGCCTTCAATGAAAGAAAAACGATGATATATTCCTTCCCTCGTCATTGTTCTGAGATTACTTTCCCAACTTTGTGTGTGTGTGGGTGTGTATGTGTGAGAAGTCTTCTTTCTTAGCAGTCAGGGGGAGACAAGATGCCCGAAATTCACGATGACAAGGCCCAATATGTTGTGCCCTTCATTCTCGCCCTTCTGGCTGAGCACCAAAAGGCATTTTCAACGTCGTCGAATCCACCACCCTTCTTCATCGGCCTGAATGGCGTCCAAGGGGCGGGGAAGACGGTCCTGGTGGACATTCTCAAGACCACCTTGTCGTCTCCACCGCACAATCTCTCCGTAGTGGTCTTCTCCCTCGACGACCTCTACCTGACGCACGCGGATCAAGTGGCACTCGCACAGTCCCATCCAGATAACCCGCTCTTGCAACACCGAGGACAGCCCTCGACGCATGACATCCCCCTCGCGCTCTCGGTGTTCGCCAGTCTCAAGCAGAACAAGCCCACCAAAATCCCGCAGTACAACAAGGCTGCGTTTTCGGGCCAGGGCGATCGCGTCCCCGAGAGCGAGTGGGAAGAGGTCAACACGGACCCGTCGAAGCCGGTGCGGGTGGTCTTGTTTGAGGGGTGGTGCGTTGGGTTTCGCCCACTGGCCCAGGAACTACTGGAATCCAAGCATGCCGCCGCCGTTGCAGCCCTGGGGAACTCGACCGCCGACAACCCGTACCGGGGCCGCTTGGGACACAACACGCTGAAATCAGTCATGACCATCAACGACGCCCTGAAACAGTATGATGAAATAACCATTCAGCTCGACGCATTCGTCCACATCGACGCCCTGGACCCTCAGTACGTGTACAAATGGCGCTTGGAGCAGGAAGCCGGCCTCCGCGCCACGAGAGGGAGTGGGATGACGGACGAACAGGTCAGGCATTTTGTAGACGGCTACTATCCCGCGTACGAGCTGTACACGGACACGTTGAGGCAGGGTGTGTTCAAGGGCATCAAAAGCGATTGGCAGGGCAAGCAGCTGCGATTGGTGGTCGGGGAAGACCGCAAGGTGAGGGAGGTGGTGAAGATATGAAACTTTCATGGGCCATAAAATAGATTCGTCGCTTCAGCAGTCTGGTCCTATGAATGAAAGTCCATCAGCTCTCAAAAGGACAGTGTGAACCATAAGCTATAGCGCGGCTTCGGGGAGGTCCCGACGAGGATGCGGCGAAGAGCCGTCGCCGAGGGGTGGATATTTCCCACCGGCTGTGTGCTTGCTCCCTGGAAGTCCTCTAGCCCTCGACCCAGCGATCCCTTTCCCCGTTGATCCTTTTTGGGTAATTCGATAGACGGTATCGTCAGTTCCGAGAATGACTCAAATTCTCGACACTATTGCTTGTGGGGCAAGCTGCCTGGTCCGGCTATTTCAAAGTGGCCAAGATCATCAATTCTGCAACGGTGCATGCACATCTCTAGGCGATTGTCGATGTGTGATCGCTGGAACGGTCTCCAAGCTGCTGGCTCACGATGAGCCATTGGTGGGGACCAATAAAGACCAACGTCGTGAGACGAGAGTGACGCACAACCTGTTTGTTGGCGGCTAATTTGCTTGAAGAGCTGGATTCGCTGGCAGCTTGCATCCGGGTTCAATGAGAACAAAGAACCAAGAAAAAGCAAAGACTGAAATCACATACCATGCCTTGAAAGTGACTATCTACAAACCCTGCTATCTGTCGCGTTGCGTTGAGGGCGATTCCACCGATCCTTGTGCTGTCCCACAGTTACATGCAAATCGATACACTGGAACGTATCGATTGATCAAACTCGATTAACTCGATTAACTTTCAATGCAACCACCCTCCAAGAATGCGCTAAACCCGAGGGGACGCCGGAAGCCTCAACAACCGCGTCCTCCTCGAGTGTCGAGTTCAAGTTCTTGAGAAAAGCAGCTTATGCCTTCTTGTGGTTAATTCCCAGAAGATGGACGTCACTAGGGCACCCATGTCAGTAATTTGGTCTCCATAATCGATCATTTCTGCAAATCGCGAAAGGACATCGTTATAAACCGCAGGCGTTGGAAAGGCGCAAACATAGACTCACAAGATGAGGGTGGCATTCTTTGGAATGAGACCGGGAAAACCACTATAGACCACATACAACCTAGTCAGCACACGGCAATCGAGAAAGCGTGATTCCCAGGGCGAGTTCTTGCAAGTCCTTGTCGATACAGGCTTGAAGTTCCGCCATGTAGTAAAGAATGGGTTTCGAGCGGATACTGACCGGTCACCGTATGCCATCGGTCTGAATCAAAAGTCAGTTAGTCATTTTGATCTGTAACTCGGATCATCACTCAATCCTAGCCGCCGAGGCTGTCGACTCTGGGTCGGAAGTGATAGCGCCAGCCTGGTCCAAATTGTCTCCCCTGGAGCAGGACATCTCGGGAAGACGAGGATTCCTACGGCCGAGGGGAGACGGGATAAACCGAGAGGGGGAGAAAAAGACCCAAGACTTTGAAGGAACTTACCCTGGAATTGTCAATCTGCTCTTCTCACCCAGCGACATTTGCGGCACGCCGTGATCCCAACCTGCAGGGACCCGTGTTAAGAGAGCTGGCTGGAAGTTTAATTCAAGGTGTAATTCGTACCTTGGATGACTCTGCCAACCCCAATCTGGGTCTTGAAAGCCCCTCGGCCGACCGAGCTGTCAAACCTGGCGAACAGGTGAGCATAAATCCTGGGGAAAGAGAGGGCCACTGCTGGGTGGTACGCCTTACTTGTTGCCCTTGTAATCTTGGTCGGGTTTTGACGCGTCGTACAGCCAGCCGGTGTATTCGATCATGACCTCATCGCCCTTTTTTGGATAGTCGACGCCATTACCCTGCGAAAGGAGCTTCTTGTGAAATTCTGACGCCATGGCTGTGATTGAACTGGAGCGGTATGTTGTTCTATGAGGGCGCCAGTCGTGTAGGGCGCTAGAAGGGAGGGGATCTGTGAGAGACAGGTGCTCGGAAAGTTTGGGAGAAAGTGAAGAGAGGTCAGGCCTCAATATATCGGTAGTGGGAGGCGGTTGAATAGCTAGTAGGTACCATAGACAATCAGGAAACTAGTGGGGAAGAAGGGGCAATGGGGGTGGACCATTGGATGAAGTCACTCTATGATAGCAGGAATTTGAATTACGAGCCTGGGTAAAGGCTGAGGGGCTTGGCAGGAACGCAGCCAGGGCTTATGAATGGAAAGAAAGGGCCACTGGAAAGCGCCGATTACTGCTAGTTTCTGACGAAGGTAGTGGAGGAGGTCAGGGTGCCTGGTCGTAGGGGTAGTAGTGGTGACTAGACATGCCCCAGGTAGCGCAGGCCGCAGGAACAAGGGGGGAGAGATGGCCTTCACAGCACCCAACTATCGGTGAAATCTGCGCGAGTGAACTTGCGGCCGAAGCAGGCCATGGTGAAGGCCATGGCGACGACCAGGAAGCCCAGACAGAGGTATCCTTGTATTTCTTTCGGAGAGTTCGCACGTGTGAGTGGCAGACGCCGGCAAGGAATTAACTTCCCGAATAGACTCAAGCTCTGTCAGATGGACACACACCCGGCTTCGAGGGGGCTGAGCAGTGGCAGGATGGACGGCGAAACGGGAAGGGGAGCCACAAGGGCGAGTGCAGCTTTGGTGAGAGATCCGAAGTTGTAACAAGTCGTCGGGGGATAGGGATGAGGGGCACTAAACGAGCAGGGGTAACTGAACACATGAAGACCGTCCCATGCGAGTCGGGATCCGCGGAGGGGGGAAGAGGGGGGGATCTGTTGTGCTGAAAAATTCGACAGGAGCAGGTACAGAAGAAAGTCTTCGGCTGAGATCGGATGATGAGAAAATTAAGTCAAAATATATAGCGGACCTATAGGATCGAAGATGAGGGATGGACTCTGCACAGACAGGAAAAAAGAACGAGAAGGAAAGGACAAAACAAAATCAAGAGCCGAAAGGAGGGTACAAGAGATCCATCCCGATCTTCTGGAAGAGAGAGGGCGACGAGACAAGAAATTCGAGAGACGCCAAAAAAAAATAGAGTAGCGAACAACAGGCGAAAAGGCGTACCTCAGAGTTTTGGAGGGGCACTGCAGAGGCGGGGTTGGGGGGCCACCGCCCCCCCCTCCGTCCGTAGTGGGTAGTAGGTAGGTACCGAGTTAGCATCAGCTGGGCATGTACCGACAAGTCGGTAGGTAGCGAGTAGGTACCATTGCGCTGGGGCAGGCATGGTGGCACGGCAGGTAGGTCTTTACGCGTACCCTACGTACCCCTCGAGTCGGTACCCGGATTGTGGGCTGATTTTCACTTTTCACCTCACTTTTACCTCGCTTCAGCCTGCGCCTTCCAGCTTCAATGTGCTCGATGACCTGGCCCCTCCACCCCCCCTTTGATTTGGGGGAGAGGACAACAGATGAATGGTCTTCCGTCATCATCACGCACTCAACTGGCACCCATTGGCGCATGGCGTGATCGAAAAGTGCACTACCTGATGCTACCGATACTACGGAATCCGCGTCTTTGCCCATCCCATCTCGACCTCGATTTCTCACAACAAGCGTGTTCCCCTAATCGGGAAAGTACTGAAAGCGACCAGTGACCTCGTGCATAACACTCTCACACTTCGGTGCTTTGCCGCGCTGCTGATCAAGCGGAGATACCGTCGAGGCCGTGCCTGCTCTCTCGATTTCTCCTGGCTGCTGCTTCGTCCCTAGCGCAAGATACTGGCCCGCTAACTGCCTGTCTGCAGCATCTGGTGCTTGCTGATCCTCTTCCCGACCTCTACTGAAAGGCAGGTCGGGACCAGTACCCTTTTCGAGGACGGCACGTACTCTTCCAATGGGCGCCGCTGAAAAAGCATTTGACTCACCGCTTGATAGGACTCTACCAATCGCCAGATTGCTGCCTCATCATCCAACCCAACACCCCTCGAGTTCCTTCCTCCTCACCACTTGACCAGGCGAGTTTGCCCGCCGGCCGTCGATCCCTTCCTCTATCGTAGATTGAGCATCAGCCTTACCGAGATCTTGGGTCACCGCGAGGAGGCCATCCAATGCGAGTTTGACACATCGATCCCGAATACATTTCGAGATTCCGGCCCAATCGACCACCAAAATTCTAGCTAACCCCCTTCAACCTCGTATATGCGCACCCGGACCAGTCATCCCTGCCGTTTGTGATGGTAAAGTCAGACGTTACGAGTAGAATTCGAAGTTTGGTGGGGGGTCATCCCAGTCCGTTGGGCACGCTGCTACCTTATCATTCGACAGGACGATCAATCGATGCAGCTTCTTGCAACCTCCTCAGCTCGAGCCATTCTTTTCTCGGTGGATAGCGGCTCACGGGCAGACCGATGCACCTGGTGACTCGATTCACATGACGGAGACCCTCTAATCGACAGCGCAGGCTTCGGGGACCACGCTCTGATCCACCCCCAAGGTTCCGCTTAGCCCCGTGGGCAGCTACGAGGATGCGTCCACAGTCCATCATTATTGTATCGAGGACAAATCCGCATGTCGCTCCCTGCATAGACGCTGCCCTCTGAACCACTGCTGGGACTTCGGATATCGCGTGGCACCCGGGCATCTTGGGAGATGGTTATGTTTGCACACGCTGACATGCAGAGTCCACATCAAAAATAAGTTTTTGTTTTTCCCCTGATTGTATTTCCGTCAGGATTCAACCCCATGTACCGAGTACCACCACCATTATTGGAGAGCCGTGGTAGTGGCGCCTCAGATGACCCATCGTACCACGGGCCAGAACCTTGTATCGAGTTTGCGTGATTCCCAGTGTGCACTCTGGCTGATCTGGACCGCCAATTCTCACCATCGAACACTTCCTTTTTGAGGGGGTTCGCTATTGTGTTCCGGTGAATTCCCAGGATACCTTCTGGCCAGACCGGCAAACACGGAGGGCGAAACCTCACAACCTCCGCCCATCCGTAACTGACGACAGAATTATGCTAGATATTGCAGGCCAGCATATTCTTGTGCAGTTGTTGTTCTCAGGTGGTCCGTTCATTGACCCCAAAATCTATGTTCTCTAAGCTCCTGCAGGCTCATCTGCTCGGCATGCAGGGTCTGGAAGCGATCGTCGTGCAGGGGGCTTTGTCCCTCGCCGGGTTCCCGATGGCTCAGAAAGGTAACAGCGGGAATGCCAACCTGCTTCAAAAAGTCCAGGACACGTGAGTAACTGTGGGCGATCTGATCCACGCCGTGACTGTCATCCGACAGGCAAAAGCGGATGCCCCTATCCAGCGCAGCCTGACAAATCTCTCCCTGGGGATACGGCTCGTCCATGCCCTTCCTCACTGCCGACGAGTTAATCTCCAGGATGCCCCCGTACCCAGCGATGCAGTCCAGGTTCCTTGATACCCGCGCCCACACGCCCTGCATCTGCTTGAAGCTCTGGTTCGGATCATCGCTCTTCAACCGGATGAGGTCAAAGTGCCCGACCACGGGCGGCCGCAGGGCCTGCAGCATGGCGAACTGCGCGTCGAAGTAGTCCTCAAAGATCCTCTCGTCCGTGCCGCCGGCCTTTGCCCGCGCGTCGTGGTACATGGTGTGGTCGTAGTCGATGGGGATCGTGTGGACGTGGTGCACCGAGCCGACGAAGAAGTCGTACGGGTGGCTGCTCAGACTGCGCGTGATCAGGTCCGCGGACTCGGGTCGGATCCATTCGCCCTCGAACCCCAGAGGAAGGTCTATCTTGTCCTTGTACTTCTGCCGCAGCCGCAGCGCCTCGGCGACGTAGGCCGCTTCGTTGGCGAAGTGCATCTCGATCGTGTTCGTCTCGCCGGGGTACCGGTCCTGCTCGTGCCGGGGCATGTGCTCGGTCAGGGCGAAGACGGACATGTGTTTGGCCATGGCCGTTTGGACCACATCGTCGAGAGAGTCTCGCGCGTGATCGGCGCAGAACTGGCCCGAGTGGGAGTGGTGCGAGAACGGCATCGGAGGAGGAGGAGGGGGGTAGGGCTTCTTTTCCTGTTTCCAGCGTCTCAAGTTTGAAATCTCTCTCCGTGTCGACGAAGACAAGATTTGAAGATGACGCGCGTAGCTCGAGCTGATCGACAGAATCAACCAGCCCCTCCTTTATCTCCTGTTCGTCCTTGACTAGTTCTAGGGACGATCACCGGATCTTGGATATGCTGGAATGAGTGACGAGCCGTCCTGCCGTCTCACCATCGAGTCCAACCACAACCCCGAAGTTCATCCGACCGCCTTTCCATATCCCCCGAGCCCCTACCAAAATAATAGACCCAAAGTACGTCGTATTCCGTACTCCGTATCTTTCCCGCCCTCTCCGTTGTTTCGGCGCCCAAAAATAAGGGTTTCAAGATCCCGAAAAGATAAAAAAAGAACGAGGAACATGGGACTCGAACCCACAACCTTGGCTTTTATTCTTACCTCAAGAACTTCTCCCATGGAATGGGAACTGATCAAGTTCAATGGGGAAAATAGGAGAGCCACGCGCTACCATTGCGCCAATCCCCCTCGTTTCAGAGAAAAAGGACGCTCGCAACGAGCTCTTCCTTGGTTGAAATCTGTGCTCGGATTTCGCAAAATTCCAAGGACTTTTGTAGAAGTCAAATATATCAAATCATAATTTGAGGCACGTGACCAGGGTTGTGCGTACGGGCGTGATAGGGGCAAAAAAGGGGCTTCCAGAGCTGCCCACTCACGGTTCACCTCCAACTAGTGGTGGTGGATCATATAAAAACAACAGCGCAATGAAGGAGCTCCATTCAAGCATATGTACTGGAAGCCGCTTTGCACGCGTCTGAGTTGTAGGGTCGACCAGCTCCGCCAGGCCCAAACCACAGGAAAACCCTTCACTCTCTATCTTGCGACCTGCAGAAACATAGGTGGTCTTACTGACGGTGCAAAGGTAGGCTGTACTTATTATGTACATCCACATCATCAACGTAGCTGCAGGTCTGTTCTCGGCACTCTTGCAGCAATTTGACAACGTGATATCGAGATACTCTCGTCGGAGGAGAAGCCAATGGAGGAAGCCAAGGGGTCCAAGCAGTGTCCAAGGACAAAAACCATACGAGGAGTTGAGAAATAAACAAAAAACATGTTCAGAGACTAGATTCATCATTCGTCAACTTTTCGGTCTCCCTCCTCCAAGAAGCTATATACATCATGTCTACCCGTCCGTCTTTTAGTCATATACGTTTCAATTCGAACAGTCGCCAGGTGTAGGACAACCGGAATAGTACGAGGAAAGTCGCAACGCATTTTTGAGATCTGCCTTTTGGTTGCCCCGTGAGAAGCCCTTCTGTCCCCCTTCCTTTGTGTATTCCTCGCCCCATACGAGCAGGGTTGCTCATGACATTCCCGGGTCGAGCCGACAGTGCTTTCAGGGCACTCACTCCCGCCACGACCTCCAGGAATGATAAAAACCTACTCCCTCGTCAAGGTTCGTTGATTGCCGCAGCTTTTGCTGCCAAATGCTCGCCTTCGTCGGAGTGCTCATCCCCAACCGTGGCATTCTTTGCATAGATTCCATCAAGCGTGACATTCATAGCGCCAGACTGCACTAGTGCACCCCGTAAATCATCCAAAAGATCCTCCCCATCTTCGATGCCTACACACAATCGGATCAAATCTTCAGGCACCCCGCGCTCTTTGCGGGTCTTGGCATCAATGCTGGCGTGGCTCATGCGGCACGGCATGCTGATGAGAGAGTTGACGCAACCGAAACTCACACTGATGGCCCATAGTTTCGCAGATTCGACAATCCGCTCTGACAATTGGATGTCCCCAGTCTCGAATGACAAGACTGCGCCGGGTCCGCGGGCCATGGAGTGGAAGAGATCATACTGAGGATGGCTCTTGAGCCCAGGGTAACGGACTTTAAAGCCTGCGGACTCAAGGAACTGGGCAATCATCATGGCATTTGCCTGCTGTGCGTCCATGCGGACCTTCAACGTCTTGATCCCCCGCATGAGGAGCCAGCAGTCAAACGGAGCGAGGCCACATCCCGAGGCATTAATGGTGAAGTAAAATTTCTCGCCTAACGCTTCGTCGTTGACGGCGAGAACGCCAGCCATCAAGTCGTGATGGCCTGAGAGATACTTCGTGCCAGACTCATAGACAACATCTGCACCGAGTTCCAAAGGATTTTGGAGCAGGGGAGACAGCATTGTATTGTCCACAATCACAAGAGAGGATGGGTTGGCGGCGTGGGCGTAACTCGCAATGGTAGGGATATCCACAATCTTGATCAGAGGGTTGGTAGGTGTCTCAAGCAGTACCATGGCAGTCTTCTCATTCAACACCTCCTTCACCTTCTCAGGTGTAGTGGTATCGACGTGGTGAACGATGATACCGCCGTGTGTGGAGAGGTACTTGAGTAATCTGTTCGTTCCTCCGTATAGATCGTCGCCAGTCACGACTTCGTCGCCCGGCTTCAGCTGTCGAGTAATGACATCAAGTGCACCCATGCCAGAAGAGACGACAAGAGCCCTTTTGGCGCGCATGATCTTTGCCAGGTGTTTTTCCAAGTGGGTGCGGGTTGGATTGCCGCTGCGAGTGTAGTCGTAATCGGAGACGCCGCCGGTGGCAGAGGTCTGTTTAAAGGTGGCGGACTGCACCACGTTAGCGAGTCTTGCTCCTCGACTTCACTGATCACCACTGACCTGGTATATGGGAACACTGCTTGCATTGTACTGGTCGTTCCCTTCGGAATAGACCAATTGCGTCGCAATTGCGTATTGCCGACCACTTCTCGGACTGGACGGAGCAGGTGACGGTGGGAGATCATGTCCGTCCAGGTCTACTTGCGAGAAAGCCTTACTCATCGCGCTGAGCTTCGGATTCTTCAAGGGCGGTGTAGAAGAAGACCCTGACTCAGACATGCTGGCGACGGTCGAAGGGTGGCGGAGGTACAAGCTCGACGACTTGTAGAGTACTGATCAATATGCTCAAGGACATATGAGAGTCAAGCAGGGTGTTTGCTTGTCACAGCTGAAGGCGACTCAATCGAGTTGTCGCCCTGAATAGCAAGACAATGAACGAGAAAGGCGCAGAGAGGTTGTTCGAGGAGTTGTGCTGTGTGCATGTACCGAAGGTGGAGCAATTTTCGCAGTTCGCCGGCAACAAAAGGCGACAAGGGCAAATGACGTGCTCGGAATAATCTGGGGGGTTTTCTTCCCACAAACGAACACTTTTTCCGACCCTTCGGCCGCGGTTCACCTAAGACTCTTCAATTTTACAAAACTAAAGAGCAAACGTCCACTGCTCGGATATGTCGTTGGACGGGCCCAGTTGGACGAGACGAGGCGTATGTGCCCAGCCCTGTGATACTCGAACTCAAGGGATTGCAACCAACGCCATACAGAGCGTACCAAGTATGCGATACTATTGCTCCCCGCACACTGCGTCCGGAGGCACTCGGCTGTATATTTTACCGAGACCTACATGTTGAACTATCCACGAGATTTCCCGATGCACAGAAATAATAGTAACAGGACAGAAGGCTCAACAGACACATCTAGAGTATTTCAATAGACATCAAACTGTCATTGAACTCTAGGGCAGCACCTGATAATTTAGAATCATGCTCATGAGAGAACAGGACTCTGTTTTGGAATATATCTGAGATCTACCCAAATACTTCTGGCAGAGTTCCTGTCAACTTCAGCTCTTTTAGAGATACGTAGATAGGGGACTGAGGCCAAGGACTAGGCCATGATGATGATGTTAATGCGATATCACATCGATCAGGCTCTACAACACTTATAGAATATAGTAATGTAACTACGAGGTACTTGACCACATATCGGAGACCTTCACCTCAATATCTGTGCCCTGCAATCAATAGTAGTCTATAAGCAGTCTGAGCCAAAGTAGTCCCTGAATTGGGTCTACCCACAGATCGCCGCCATCCATTTCTATCAGGTTGACACAGATGAAGTCAAATACTTCGCGGTATCCTGTTTGTTAATTTGTCCCAGCATGCCTGTTGATCAACAGGCTGCATACCATGTGGTTCGATGACGATCATCGGGCCAATGCGATGGAATGTTCCAGGGCATGAAACGCTGATAAGTGACGGGTTATGGAGTCCGCTCTTTGAGCATGAAACTCCGTGGTCAACATCAAGGATGATGAAGAATCTGAGCGCCCCAAACAGCGCAGAAATTTCGCAAAGCTTAAGCAGTCCCTGTGGCTTCTTGGTTTGACCTTGCACTGAAACAAAACTCGGCACATCGGCCAGTGGCACCGATGTACATAGGCATATTTGCATATGGAATGTTGTCGGTATTCTTTGCATGGAAGTAGTACAGCATATCGACAATACATACCGCATCTGTTGTGCCCGAACAACACCCACCCCTTCTTTGTCTGGACCTCCTTGAGCAGGACCAACGATTACCAACGGGGCGGCAGATGGGGAAAATGGTGAAGGAGAATTTTGACCAATCCTCTGATCCACTGGAGCCAAGGGCGTTCGACGGTGTCTGGCTGACACGCGATTGGGCTCCAGCTAGCTCCTGGTTCCTGATGCTAAAATTGCTTGCTTGTGTGCAATGTTGCATGCTCTGTCTCTCACTGGCAGCCGAGTGTTACAGAGCCAACAGCTCGACAAGGACTCACCTTGAAGCAACCTCACCCCTGTGGTTCTGGTCAGAATTTTTTTACGCCGAAAGTCTCAGCGTGGCGAGCACCCCGGAAGCACAGACTGTTTCGATGTGTGTTTCGCCCACAGATCCAGCGGTCAAAATGCCAGACTGCCTCTCGGTGCACCTCGAGGGGCCTCGACAGCACGGGCAGACAGCAGTCTAACTGTGTATTATGATGGCAAGCCACCTTAGAGCCCAAAGCGAGCCATGGCGCGGGAACGAGATTGAGGTGCGAAATTGGCTGCAGCAGAAGCGAGAGAGCCAGGCCCAGCAACGGCAAAGGTGATCAATGGCTAGTGAGGCCCAAGGGAAGGAGGAGGCTGAGTTGTGCGAAAGGCCCTGCAGGTACGGGGTTAGCGCGTTCATCCTTTAGCTGTAGTGGCCCAACAAGGAGCGCCCACGGGTGCCAGAGGCCCGCTGTGCTGGGACGGTGGCTGTTATTTGCAGGTAATCGTACTCGGAGAATAACCGCCTAACCAGGACCGTAAATGTGCCTGAGAGATATCTCCGCCGGGGCCACCTCTCGCTGGGCCCGAGTCCACTAACCCCCCAAGATCTCTCTGTTTGAGTTTGCCCCCCAAAGCCGCCTGCGTGCCTTGTCTCGACCAGCAGCCACCGCGCGGGCTTAGCACCTGCGCTTGTACGGCTTACCTCGTCACTCCTTTCCGATCAGGTACGCATCTCCCTTTCGACACGTCTTCGACCATGCCTTCCCTTTCCCTTGTTCTTCGCACTGAACGTTCACGCCTGCACGACCTCACCACCGAGCCTCGATGATCCGTCAACGTCGCCGTGGTCGCCGTCTCTCGTTCTGCGACCGATAATCGCCCCTTTCGACTTGTCAATTCCGCCTCGACGGCTGCGGCTCTTCATCCCTTTCGTGTCTAAGCAATCTTTGCCAGCACCGACTTCGACGTGCTCGCGTTCATTCCTTCAGACAGTCGACGTCCAGCTTCTTTTGACACGATCGATCACGCTCCTTAGTTCTTATACCTTCTTGCACGCATTTCGCCTATCTGCTGCGAACCATTTCCCCGAAGATCCTCTCGTCGCCCCCTCGCTCCCGAGAAACGAGTCTTCAGATCGCCAACGGCAGCTCTTTGGATACTATCTTTGTCTTCGCGAGCGAAATTGGCTGGCCCAACCATTCGAGGAAGAAGATAACCGACAGCTGTCTCTTTGTTGGAAATACACGGGTAATCGAGGGCTCAAAGAAGAAATCGCCAAAAATACATGTTCTGAGACCTTTGACTGTTCGACTTTGTCCATTTGCACACCTACCGAACAAAGAGATTCCCCTGGTCACAAGTTTCGATAACTGCTGAATCTGCTCTCGGGTTTATCACCAGAAGAAATCAAATTGGCTTGAAACGACCCCGCGAAGACGACGGAAGCCAAAGAAATCGTCTGGGACAGTTCTTTCGAGTCATAGATCAGGATCATTTGATCCTAGCCGCTCTTTTTTAACCCTATCTCACCATATACACTCGTTTCACAGGAAGATTTAAAGTGAGAAAACCAGGACGGAGCCTGCCAGGGGTTTTGCTGACCCATTCTCCAGAAACTCCCCAGACATGAAGATCTCATCAATCACTTTATTTGCAGCAGTGGTGGCAGGGTCCTTTGCCGAAGCTGTCCCGGCACATCGTCGTGGAGCGGATCTGAAGCCCAGGTACTATTTTCCGAGGGTCGTGAAGAGGCAGATCTCCAGTTTCGAAAATATTACCACGACAGACTCGAGCAGTTCCAGTTCCACGGACTCGGGTCTAGGTAGCCTGATATCTTCGGTATCTGATGCTTTGTCCGGCGTTGCATCACAAATCTCGGACGAGTCCTCGACGACAACGACACCAGCAAGCACCGACGCACAGACGACTAGCACTCCTTCAGATGATCCTTCAACCGATACGGCAACAGATTCCTCAACCACTACCTCGGCGACAGATACAAGCACCGCCACGATCACAGACCCTTCGAGTAGTCCATCTGCAACCGATGCCCCTACCCTCTTTAACACCGATACTACTGCGACTGGGACGGACACGGCAACCATTACGGGTGCTCCCACGACAAACTCAACGTCCGACGACAGTGGCATTACGCTTGGGCTTGGCACCTTCTTTAGTTCGTCAACCGACACTGCCACTGTCTCTGCTAGCACAACAGACACGGCGGCTTTGGCATCAAGCTCTGCTGCAGCGGCGTCTGCTCTCTCTTCGGCCAGCGATGCGGCAACTTCAATCCTGTCCGTCGCGAGCTCGTTGCAATCAGTCGCGGCGACTGCGTCCGGTACGGATATTGCCTCCATTTCCTCAGCCTTGTCCTCGGCTGCCTCTGCGGCGTCCTCAATTGCGTCCGATGTGAGCTCAGCAAACTCCGTCATCACCTCCGCAGTTGTCACTACAAGTTCGGGCCTGGACGATACGACGTCAACGCCTCCAAGTACCTCGCCAACCATCACGGATGGCAGTACATCGCCCACAGGTTCTCCGACGGATAACGGGACACCACCTCCCACCAGTCCAACGACGACACCTACGACTTCACCCACGGATGGAATTTCAGACGGCCAGACCGGCAGTCCAACGACTACCACCCCGACAGGTGGTCCGACTGACAACCCTCCGACAACAACTCCTACTACCACTCCGAATACTACGACTGATACTCCGACGACCACGCCTGGGGGTCCAACCGACAGCCCCCCTCCCACAAATACTGGAGGGACTGGCAACAACACCCTGACCACGACTCCTACCAATACGCCAACCGATACAGTCGGTGATACACTAACCACCACGCCTACTAACACGGCCACCGAAACTCCTACAACCCTTCCACCAGTAACCCCAACTGTGACGCCTTTCATTGGAAATACCTCGGTCCCACTGACGACCCCTACCGCGACTGACAAGTCTACAACGTCCGGGCCACCCGTAAACACCGTCAAGCCTACTGGAACGGATTCGGCGACAGTATTCATTCCAGATTCGAGCATCATATCCGCTACGACATCTGCGCCCACCGAAACGTCCAAGTCAGCTTCAACGAGTGCTGCCGTTATTCCGACAACACTACCTCGAGTGATTCAACCACAAGGCGGTGTACCTGACGCGCCAGTAAACTCTACTTTGATCCAGCTCGGGTTTAATTACGGCCTCAACTATGCGTTTGTGGTTTCGTCCCCCACTGCCGTATCTCAGATATTCTCCTACCTTCCAGTCGGTGTTTCTCATGGCTTGGGTATTGACCTGGATCAAGTGGTGATGCAGTACTTGCAGCCATACAACACTCTGGATACCTTGAACTACATTACCACTTTGGCCATGGCATATATCCCTGCAGACAAAGTCGACACTCTTTCTCTTCAGCTCCTGAACCCCAACTCTGATCTCTACAACAATCCAAATCCGTCTGTGGTGACTTTGATGGGCATGATTGACCCTTCAATTCCTGTTCTGCCTGGGTCTCAGATCGCCGGTGGTGGGACACCCGTTAACTCTGCAAATTCTGCCGCCACGACTTCTGACCAGAACGGTACCCCTGATGATGGTACACCTGGTGGATCCGACTCGGGAAGCTCACCAGTCCGGCCGTCTTCGGTTGGTATCGCGGTTGGATGCGTGGCCGGTGCCGCGGTTTACGGAGCTGCCATGTTTCTTGTTGCACGAAGATACAAGAGAAGAAAGGCTGGCCACCAACGGTCAAGCAGCATGCAATCAGGCAATCGTGGCAACCGTCCCGGCGAACAATCCAATCTTATGGTCGGGGCACGAGGCAGTTACGGTACTCGATTCGGCGGAAGGACTTCCCGGACAAGTGACCGCAGCAATTCTCAGCGAAGCGGGCGGACGTACATCAGCCCACCTGTCATGGCTGAGAATAGTTTGGGATGGAACTGATGGACAGGATTTGCCTTGTACAGCAGGAGATGTGCGACCAACTGATTGGAACTCAATGCCCGCTCACGAAAGAAACACCACACTCTGTTTTTCTTTATATAGTCATTCCCCTTTTCTCTATTGCCGGTTTTGGCCTATTTGATACCTTGCGAGGAAGTGGAGAAGAAAAGGGTGGATTGGAGAAATGCCATTTTGATCGAAGAAAGTGACCATGATGTACAAGAACGTGAAGGCCCGAAGGGGGAGGGGGCGGTGGAAGCCTGTGGGAGGAAGCGAGAGCAGCAGAGATACTGTGGACATGGAGAACTGGATCTAGCGTGCTGCCAGGACCTCGATGAGAATTAGAGAAGAGGCATTTCAGGGGTATAAGAACTGATGCTAAGGATGTGTTGTAGCAGTTGGTTTCTGCGAGGAGAGTGAGGTGTGAGAGAGATAGGAAACGCGAGACAAATGGCAATCTACTTTAGTATATCTCGTACACCAGGTGTCCTTTTGTGCCTTTTGTCCCCTTGTAGCACGTGAACATACGAGTATGGGTGTTCACTAATGAATGTAATCAGTCCACAAAAGCGCGTGCGTGCGTGTATCTACTGAACTTAATTGACCAGAATAGAATAGAATAGAATGGAATATTGTAACTCGCCCTGAGTATACAGAGGAAGGATAAGTCAGTGAGTGAGTGAGTGAAACACGACCCTCCTTTCCCCCCAACCCCCCTCCCTACAGCGGAGTTCTGTGAATGAGAGAGCCGGAGACAGTGGGAGTGAATGGAGTGGATGATGGACGGTCAAGACAGGACAGGACAGGTCAGTCTGGACGAGCGAATCAGTCACGCGAGGCTGGCTGGCTAGCTGGGACATGCCAGTGACGGACGGGAAGAAAGGAGGTACTCGGGATCCATGCCATGGTAGGAGTAGTAGTAGTTTATGTGAATGAAGATAGATAGGACAATAGCATCGGCACGCATCCAATACGTAAATGTATCCATCCATTCATCCATCCGTCCGTCGGTCCATCGCGGTTTGTTGTTTCTTTTCCCCCCCCCAAAATTCGAGTCCTGCCCAATGATAGCAAATCATATCGTGTTTCCTTTTCCATTACGAGGAAGGGGTCAATCAGTCAACCAACAAATCAATCAATCGTCCTTGTCCTTTCCGGAGCTGTGAAAGACGTACGCGTTCTTCACTCTGCCTCTCACAGGAAACCTCTCGTTCAGAAGCGCTTCTTCTGTGGCAGATGCCGTCGTGGTTGCCGTCGGTGTGGCCATCTCCTGCCCCTCATCGCCCTGGACCTCCGTCGGAGCGCGCAATTCTTCATGGATTTCCGAGTTCGTTTCCAACTCAATCAGGTCACCCAATTTGTCAACCACAGCATTTCGTTCCCTCTTCCCTGCTGCGCCCGCCATCTTACGCATCCAACCTTCAATCGCGCCGCCCACATCACCAGCCAATCCGGAGCTGTTCGAGTTGGAGCGGAGGCTTCTGACCGACTCAGAACTCGCGCGTGGCGTTGATCGGGATGTTGGTGTTCTTGTGCTGAAACCCGTTCGGGGGATGTCCCCCGGTGGCGGTAGGAAGTCGGGAAAATATTGGTTGAATTTGCGATTCAGCGGGTCGTCGGCTGGGCCTGGACGAGAGACCTCTGTGCGAAGACCGCGCAGGGTGCCGACACCTCCGGGCCCGCGGAGTGCATCGGCGAAGGGATTGCCCCCCGTAGCACTAGAAGATCGTTGACGGCCAGACGAGCTAATCCGGGACGACGGTAAATTAGGTCGGCGGACAGGGGAGACATTCAACGAGGCGGAAAGCTGGGCGGCGTGAGTAGGCGGATGGCGAAGCATATCAAAGGAGGTCTTGGGTGTCGACGCGGGTGAAGCGGTGAGGGTAGCGTTTGATTTCCGACGGGCACGGGGGAAGTAGCCCAACGCACAACGAGGGACGCGTAGGACTTCAGTGGCTTCTTTGAAGTTGGGCAGCATGACCCAGCAGTCATGCTTGAATGTGATTTCTTCAGAGAGAGAGGTGATGAGCGACAGGGGCTCAGAGGTTAGAGCAGAAGACGAGAAGGTCGGGTTTGCTCGAGTAGAGTCGTGAACACCGTTGGATGATAGGAGGTGAATATCTTTCGATGTCGCATGGGGGCCCTCTTGGTTAGCGAGGCCATCGGATTTTGGATCGAAGAGGTCTCTGGAGAGGTACGGACTGTCGACTTTCCTGCCCTTGACCGTGGAACCTTCCAAGGGGACCAAGACATGAGTTCGTGTCTGAATGTTGTCATTGGGCCAGAACCGGTTCACCTTTCGGAAGAGGTCAGGTTGACAGTTGTACTTGATGATGACTCCGGCCAGCGTGTCCCCTTTCTCAACTTTGTGCATGTAGACCAGGGCAGCTTCACTCTGGTCTGCGGGACCCGCGGTGGTGGCATTGTCCACATCTGAGTCTCGTCTCTTAAACTTGCCCAGACGATCGCGGTTCTCTGAGGCGCTGGCCAGGAGCAGTGCCTCCCTCTTCTTGGCCTGTACCATAGCCTGTCGTTCTTCGACGGTCCCCTGGAGGGGATTTGTATTGTGTAGGGCCGACGGACCCCATTGCGGCACGGCGCTTTTCGAGCCATAGTGGGTGTCTTGTTTCATCCAGAGAGGCTTCTTGGACGAGCCTCCAGCCTTGTCCTTCGCCGAGGGACCCGGCACGTCGCTCCCTAGCAATGTGGACGCGAACCCCTGGAGCGAGGTCCATGGTTCCCACAACCCCTGATTTCCTCCTCCAGTTATTGGGGTTGAACTGCCTGAGGACGACCCTGCATGTGCCTTGCTCGTTCGACCACCACTACCATGTCGGGGTCTGTCCGTCGTCGACTTGGATCTCGATACCGCGGCGTCGTTGGGAGAGACGCCTCTGCTGGGAAATAGTGGCGGGGTAGAGGACGTGGAGGTTGAGACGGCGGTGGACGCGGTGCCCTCATCTTCCACGTAGGATATCAGACGGCCGGTGCGAGGGCGGAGGGTGGAGGTGCTACTATTCGCAGATTGGTAGAGGCCGGTAAGGGAACTGTTGCTCATGGCTGGCCTGGCTGCCAACGCGAGACATCGGCGACTGGCGACATGGAGGCTCTCCGACGGGGGGGCCCAAGGAGAAGGATCCCGGGGGTGATAGGATCTCCCCGGCTGTTGTTTGTGCCTTGAACAGAGAAAGGACGGACGGGACGTGGAGGATTTCTGGAACCAAAGTCTGGGGATGGATTGAAAGGAACGGGGGGTCTGTGTGTGAGTGAGTGTGTAGGGGGCGGACTTACTGGAAGTGCCAGTTTGACTTCGGATGATGCGATATCAATGGGCGCATGCAGCCGCCGACGTCGATCCTGATCTCACGTGAGCATCCACAAGCGCCACAGCCGCCGCCCACACCACAAAGAACGAGCCACCCGCTGTAATGTATCTATCTATTCGTCTCACGACATCTACTCTCTCTCTTGAGGCTCGTTGATATTCGGATATATGTCTCAAAGTGAAGCAGATTCCCATTCCATTCTCTATAATCCACTTCGCTACAAAAACAATCACAGGCTGTCCTCTCTCCACCTGCTCCGGACTCGTTGCCATCCTTCTTTCTCTTCCAGTCCCCCTCTCTTCTCAAGACCAAGCCCGCGTTCCACCCACTCCTGACTTCCCATTTCGCTCAGGCGACTGAGCGCCCGTGCAAACGCAAACCTTTCTTCGTCGCCGCTGAAGAGGGAGCTCTGCTTCAGCATGCTCATGTTCATTCCCAGATCGTCCATGAGATTGCGCATCACGTCATCCACATCTGCCCCTTCCTCCTCTCGTCCCGTGGCCTTCTTGACTTCTTGCACAACCGCATGCTCTTCCTTGGAGGCACCAGTTGTGTCGTTCTGAACTTTGTCGGTGACTTTATTCAGGGACTCGTCAAGCTCGGTCTTGGACACAAAAAGCTGGGACAGGGGGACGGCGGTCGTCAGAACGAGCTTGGCATGGGATTCATACACCGCATCGATAAATGTGATAAATCGCCTGGCCCAGTCGCGTTCTCTATGGGTCATGCCGGGCACGTCGGTGACGATAAACGCATCAAAACTCCGCATCATCTCAATGTAATCGGCGGCACCCGTCGCGCGACCAATCAGCTCGTGGAAAGTGAACTTGGCGCAACGACCCGAGGCCAGCGGAATTGGGACTTCGCGACCCCAGACAGTGATGGTCGTGGGGTGTGGTGGATCGTTTTCTGGGTCGCCCAGGAAACGGAACCATTTATTTGCATGAGAGACGGCAGCCCGGTCGAGCGGATGGTGGTATACTCCTGAAGGAGGTCTCGGGAGTTTGCGATAGTCGGTCTGGGAATCAAGATTGATGACCTTGAGTTGTTTCTTCAGGAGGTTAATGCAGGGGATAAAGGACTGGCGCTGAATCCCATTTTTGTAGAGATCGTCTGGGTGCCGATTCGAGGTCGTGACCAGGACGACGCCGTGTGACATGAGGGCTTCGATCAAACGCCGGAGGATCATGGCGTCGGCCACGTCCACCACTTGAAACTCGTCGAAGCAGAGGACCTGGGCAGTCTCGGCGATATCTGCCGCGATGAACGGAACGGCGTCAAAATCGTTGCCATATTGCATTCGGACCTTGTGTAACCGCTTGTGTACATCTTGCATAAAATTGTGGAAATGGATGCGCGTCTTGGAGGTAATGTTCGGAGGTAACGTGTCGAAGAAGAGGTCCATCAGCATGGTTTTACCCGAACCAACATCGCCATACATGTACAGTCCTTTGGGCAGATTCAGTGGTATTTCGCCAATGGCTTTCTTCTTGGTTTTGCCGCCGAACAGGGAGCCAAAGAGCGATTTCTTGGGCGGTTGCAGGTCATTGATGTCCGGATGCACGATCTTGGGAGGGTTGTACTCTTTCAGAGTCTCGTGGAGATCTTGGAGGTGTTCTACCAGGGCTGTTCCCAGTCAGTCTGTGGTTCATGCCAAAGAAAGCTGTGTCGACCCACTTCTCTGATGCTCATCCTCCCTCAGACGCCGTGTATGCACTCTCTCGTCGTACTCCTCCAGGGGTCCGCGAGCGGATACGTCAGTCACGGTGGCGAGCTGTCGCTGATGCAGTCGCGCGACCGATCTCGCTGCGCGGACGGCCTCTCGAAGATGCCTGGAAGTTCGCCCATTGCTGGCCACGTGGATCTGGCGAGACGAGGTTCTCAACCCTTTTCTCTGCCGTCGCAAAGTGTTCAGACAGTCGGTGCATATCGAGCGCCCCGGTGGGCGGGCTGCGGTATCGGAGAGCAGAGCTCTTACGTAGGTCTGGAAGGTGGTGGTGCCAATGGGCCGTACAGAGGCCTTCATTTTGCCCGGTGCAGGATGGACTGAATCACTGAATAGGCCTCACTTGTACACCAGAGACCAGCCGAGTCATGGCGAGGGGGGAATAGCAACTGTTGTAATAATATAATGATAGTAATAAGACATCGCCCGCAGAGGCAGAGAGACCCGTTAGAGCGAACTGGCTCAAGCGCCTTTCGGAATAAAGAGCGCACTTTTGTGATCTCGGCCATCTCGGACGACTGTCGGCGAGAAAACAATTGCCGTCCGTCAAAGCGGCGTCACCCATCGTCAGCTAGAGTCAAATCTTTCAACCGAAATCTCTCTCATTGTTCCCCTACGTTTAAGCAGGTGGCGGTGGAAAGAGGCGAATGGTCTGCACGACTGTCTGACTGACCCAGATTGATATACCGACGGTGGCAGCAATTCATTACAGAAGAGCAGGTTCTATAGACCCCGAGTTGGGCTGGATATCCGCATGATCAGAAGGAAAATATACTTTGTGCATAAGGCTTTCCATCATCCGTGGCTCGTGGCGCCGTGTACCTGTCAAAGATCCGTTCCAAACATGTCCTCGAGAGATTTCAACTCCAAGTACACTTCATATCCAGCACCCCTTCAAGCCCAAGGTCGAAAGTTTGGAAACTTTTTTTTCTCGCGAGAATTGGATTGCTTCCTCCAGTCTGAGGACGCCCCGTTACAAGCGCCGAACATCATCACATTAACCATTTTGTCTCATCAGATCGCTCTGTCGCTCACTCTGTAAAACCGCGTACAAGACAAGGCTGGGGCACCACTGCAAAAATAGCGCTGGGACTCGGGAAGCCGCTCATTGGCAAGATTCAGAAAGCATCATCGGAAGAACGACCCTTTTCATTTAACCTGTCGCATAATTGACATACAATGTGAGTTTCGGATTCCGTTGCAGCGCAACGTCGAGGTTATCATCGTTCTCGAGATCGATGAGAGTGTTCGTCGGCTCGTCCTTGTACTGTATGACGATATCTTCGTTGACCTTCAGCCGGTCCATCAACTTCTCTCTCAGTGCCGCAAATATAATGTCCTGGGGCACTCGGAGAACAATGATGTCGTCCTGAAAGAACACCTTCACCTTCATTGCAGCGCCGGTATTGTTAGCCTTCATGCTTGAAGAGTTGGAGTTTTGAGTCAAATTGCTGGCCTGGGAATGCAAGAAAGGGGGCCCTCCCATGGCCACGCCGGTTCCAGCCCCCATGGGTACAGGACCCCGGTGTTGCTGGGACGCTCTTGTACTGGGAGGTGGCATGCCCCCGTACGCCATACCTGGCGCTTGCTGGTTAGAGGACGTCCGAGAGACTGGCTGCATCGATTGCTGAGATCCCCCAGACAATCGGTAATCCTCTCCCAGTGCGCTGGGGTCGATTTCGAAATCTTGATTGGGTTTGGGCTTGAATAGATTCCTCACAAGCATACTTTTGGAGATGTGAGGTGGCATGGCCACTATCTTCTTGATGTACTCATCCAGATTCTGGCGTCGACCGTTCGAAATGGCATCAGTGACATGTGCCACGGGCCCAGGCATAAACGGCAGGGTGCGAGGCTTGCCCTTGTTACCAGCCTCTTCGGGAAACATTTCCAGTAAGGCGATCTGAAAGTCGTAGAAATCGGCATAGTACCGCGATAGCTCCCACCATCGACCGTCTTCCATTTGACATTCGATAATATACCAGTACATGTCGTTGTCAAAACAGTACCGCGGCACCGACGCACTGACGGGTGCTAGAGGGATATTTGACTGTTGCGATAGTCTCGCGCCGCTCTATTTGAAATCTCGGTCAGCTTCACCTCCCAACATTGGCAGAGAATATCTTCCACTTACATAGTTCGTACTGGGGAGCGATTGCTGCGAGCCGGTATTCTGCTGAAGGCTCATTCGAGCCATGTCGGCCGACATTTGAGCTTGGGAATTATCAAATTTGCCCAGGCTGATGCTGCTGTTCTTGTATTCTGCTGCAAATTTCTTCCACTCTTCCACTCGAGGGACGCCTGCTTTCCGGACTGCTTCCAAAGGGTCGGGCACGGATTGCATCGTCACTGTATCCTTAATATCGACAAATGAAACCGGAATCAATCCTGGTCCTCCTAACCGTCCTATCGGCTTCGCAACGAACCATTCGGGATTGGACTGCGCCACGACGATGATGGCCTCTCCCGCTTTGGCATCCAGTTCATCGGCCCGTTCAGCGTGGAAGTCATACTGCACGACGCCATACACCATGGCGCCTGTGCTTCTGCCGGTCATGCTTGGTCCTCTCTGGTGTGTTCCTATACTGGGTCGTGTGGTTGCTGTGGATTCGGATCGTGTATGTCCCGAGTTGGTCGAGCCTTTCTCTGAAAATCCCGAATCGTGGCCATCCATCCGCTCCCCGGGAGAGGATAGCGAGTTTTCACTCTGTCGCTGTTTTTTACCCACCACTTCAAAGAATGCCACGGGCACCAGCCCTCGAGCAGACGGGATGAGCGGGTTGCAGGCCTCGTACCACTCCGTATCGTCTTCACGGCTCAGGACGTGGAAGAAGTCACCCTTGTGAAATGACAGCTCTTGCGCATTCCCATTTTTGGGTTCGTGGTCGTATAAGGCTTTTATAACTTTCTTCGGGGGGAGCGCTTGGATCGTCTTGGGGGTGATGGTCAGGCTGGGCGGCTGCCTCCCGTCCTTGTCACTCTTGAGAGATCGGCGGATAGCCTAGATAGCAGGATCGATGAGCATGTGCGATATGCGATATGCGATATATGAGGGATGCATAGGAAAGGATGGTGGTGACTGACCTTCATTGTCGCATTTGACGAATGCCCCGCAGTCGTCCTTGGCTGGAGAGAAAATCCTACGAAAACGGGCTTTTGTTGGCTCTAAGTCGACTGCATGTGCATGCGAGGCTTTCAACGGCTTGCACTGCCTTGGACGGTGTTGGACTGTTCCGAGCAGAGCTGAGGCAGAACGTGTTTCAACTTTGGGGGGAGTTGGACAGGCTGGGGATGACAAGGTCGTTGGTGTCGGACAGGCGCAGCGGCGCACGAGGTTCGGGCAAGGGAGAAAGATCTGGTGCGTGCCTCTAGCGTGTCTGCAGGGATCCCTCCGCTCGTGCTGGTTGACTCCGGTTCAAGTCCGCTACGGCCCCCACTGGTCCAAGATTGCGAAGGAAGTCAAGTTTTCCACACGAGATGCCGGAAACGGATTCTCAGAAATTGGGATGACGGTGACGGGAAATGTGCAGGATTCACTACTTGGGAGAGAAGACGTGTGTGTCCCTTGTAGATCTCTGTATAGCTGGCTGTGACGCGAACCTATACACTTCTTGAGCCGAGTACCCAGTAATTAGAGAAGTGAGTTCCCAGGGCAGCGCAGGGGACGCAGCCTAGTAGCCGCAACGTGGCCATGGGGGCGACGCATGGCAGCCATTCAGCCATTCAGCCATTCCCAAAACATCCACCAACTGAAAGATCCGAGAAAACAAAGGAGGCCACAGCTTTGCGGCTAGGACTAGTGGCATGTCCGTGCCATAAACTCACTGGCTTTTTCCTTGCATGGAATATGGAATACGGGGTACCGGTACTCCGTACATGGCCACAGCTTTAGCCGTCGCCGTGCTAGTCTAGATCGCAGCTACCTACAAGTTCCAGAAACCACAGCCTGCCACCATCAATTGGTTGGGAGATGCGGCTGTTCAGGCGTAGAGGGCATCTACTGCGTAGCTGACAGCAGGCCGTGTTCAGCTCAAATGTCTTGTTCAGCTGCAAAACAAAGAGGATCAACAAAGACTGCATTGTACCGAGTAGATCCTAGAAGACATCCACCGTCGAATACCTCAATAAAAGCCATATCATCTAGGAATGATAGCTCAAGATCCATAGCCCACGAAAAAGGACTGTTGTCCGTGTGAGGCTCTGCGCAGCTCTTCTCCATGCGCACTATTGGCTTCAAAAGCATCTCCTCTTGAAATGTGCGGCCAGGAAAACAGAACGCTAAGTACAAGAAACCGTGACCGAAAAGCATCATTAAACTGCCCGTCTCCGCATCTTTTTGTCTTTCTGCAACACCAAACATGCAATGCTAAATTTGTGGCATCCCTCGGCTAAAGGGTCTGAATCCCCACTGGAGAGGATAATCTCCATGATTGCAGAGGCGCCACGGAAACGCGCCCAACGAGATCAATGAACTGACTTGGAAGAGCTGGAAAATATGCGCGTTTCAAGACTGGGTATCTCATATTTGACCCTTAATGTCGACTTGCCCAAAGGCTCTGTTCTTTGCAATCTGGAAGATATTCCCCGCCTTTGCCGTCAAGAAGCGAACATCGCCGTCACGTTCTTCAAGCAAGTTCGACGAATCTTCCGGAGCATGGTCGAGGATGAATTGGCAGGCTTCTTCGTCTGACTCGAAACCGAGTTCTTCGGTTACGAAGCGCAACCGTACATCTTGTTTATACCTGTGCACAAGTCAGCTGCTGAAGTCATGTTGGCCAATTGGAACGGGGGACTCACGCTTTGCACAAGCAGGCTAGTGCAGCTAGTCTCTCACGTTCTACGAACATATCCATCAAATATGCCCCCATGTCGGGCACGGTGAGGTACAACTTGAAGAATTTGTGATAATTTCCGAGAGCAAGAGCAGAGCGCACTTCCAGCGCATGCTTGATCGCAGGTTCCTTCTTGTCTGCTGGGGTTAGATCAGAGAGTACGTCATTCATGTCAGTTTGGTTGCACGTGTGGATAAAATAAAGGATACGATATGCCTTGAACTCCACAGGATGACCGCCGAGGTTCTGTTTGTACAGCGCCCGTAGCTGTGTTTGGCACTGATTATACTCACCCAGGTCACCCTTCTCCAAAGCAATGCGAGCGTGATACTCGTAGACGCTGGTGGTAAACTCGTTCTTGATATGTTGCACAGTCAAATCTTGCCGCAGTGACTTGAACTGATCACAAATGTAAACGTAGTTGCCCTCGGTGCGCCATTTCTTCTTGAGCAGTTCCAGAGTTTTGCGGAGGACATCCAGAGGTCGTACGTCATCAGGGTTGGGTGCCGAAGTCAATCTGAAGTAGTTCTTCTCGAGCTTTTGCGAGCGGCCAATAATGGGTCCAGTCACATTCGGCTCCGGCGAGGCAACCCGAGACGACTCTTGTGCGCGCGGAGAGTCGGATCCCGCCCGTGACTCTTCGAATCGCCGCCTGCGCGATTCCAGGCTTGCGTGGGTTTTACTTACGGATTTATTCAGGTCGAGTTTGGGTCGCTTCTCGGACGGGTTGAAGGAAACACGGTCAGCCAGAGCTCCCGAGGATCGTCCATTCGTTCTCCAAGGCGGTTGTGATGTAGGAAACTCGCCATCAGCTGAAAGCTCCGTGGATTTGCGCTTACGTGGGACATCCGGTTGAGCGTGGTAAGGAGTGGTGGAAGCGGCTGGAACAAGTACAGGAGGAACATAAGATGGAGGGATCATAGGGGCAAGAAGAGCACGATTGCGTTCATCTCGAATCATTTGTTGCGGTAGTGGCAGCTCCTTCCAATTGATAGTATCCAACTTGCCATTCTGAGTTGCATCAGTGATGATTTCTTTGAGTTTTGATTCAATTTGTTCCTTCGAGACATCCCGTACTTCTGCGGCTTTGGCGAAGGAGCGGTTGACATAGTCACGGACCTCTGGAGGCCAGGCTATCTTTTGCCTTGCTGGCTGCTGTGGTTGGGGCGGTGGAGTGTTTGTCGCAGTGCTCGTTGGTGGTGAGGACATGTACTGCTGAGGCGGCAGTGGAGTTGGAGAATATGCCGGTGGCGGAGGAAGAGGAGGTTGAGAACCAAACGCATTTCGAGCAGGAACTGGGATGTAAGCATGATTCTGGTTGTTCAGCGACGGGTATGAAGTCTGCCACGGAGGGTGGCCAGCAGGAGATGAATACATGACAGCGAGTCCAGGATAACGAGACTAAACGAGGCAAATTTCGGCAGGAAGTTTAGAGAGAGTGCTTCAAGAGCCAAGACGGTGCAAAGGTGGGAGGAACCCGTTGACGTCGGAGACTTGGTGAAGGGAACAGAAGACAGTGTGAAGGACAGGGAGAAAGGAAGTGAAGTTGTCTCGAACCTGCGTCGCAGGAAGAAAGGTCTCTTGGCAAGTGGTCTAACCTCATATGGATTAGCGAGATATTCATCGTCCCTTCATCGTCTCTCTGTCGGCGTCTATCTTCGTTGTGTATTCCATTGGAAAGATGTCCCGGACACCAGATTTATAGCGACAAACAATTCCCAAGGCTCTCTTTGTTATCAAAGATGAACTCCAGTCTGCACAAACAGCCGGATGTTCCTCAAAAAGCCAGATTTGACCGCTGGCTCACGCCCAACCTTGTCCCCCGATGAGGTCCTTCTGTTCGTACAGGACGGGGTTGGGCTCTATGAAGGGTAGAATTGTGTTTCTCATGTGAAAGACTCCGGAGCAAAGGCTTACAATCGCCTAGAAAGTACAAGATCGACTCTTGCCAGAAAGGACATGCATATTTGACCTCTCATCGCGCTTGTTACGTCGATGACGCAGACCCTCGTGGCAATTCATGGGCCGTTGATCTCAAAGATGTTGAGAAACATGAGTTCCAGGTAGTAGGTTCTGCTAGACCCTGGATGTGACGTGCTAACCAACGAGTTCAAGGCTGGATTCCTCAAATCTTCGCCGAAAGTCACCCTGTTTCCCAAACCGCTTAAGAGAAGGCTTGGTGCGATAAGCAGAGCTGGACCGTCACAGTCCCCTAGGTTTCAGATCGTAGCGTCTGAGTCAACCCCATCAACACGCGCTTCCAGTCCGTTTCGATCATCGACAATATCTCCGACTCCCACACCGCTTGTCGTCGGCACTTGGGTATGCCCGATCTGCTCTTTCTCTAACCCTGTGCCCTCCAACTTTGATCCTACAATCGCAACTGAATCGTTTCCATTACCGCCTTGCCTGGCCTGCGGCATCAAGCCACCCTTTTCACTCGTGCTCAAGGCTTCTGTCGCAGCGAATGCGAAGCGTCTTCCCGGAAGCAGACCAGAGTCCATCAATCTCACTGCCAACTCCCAAGCTCAGTCTTACGGGGATGGAACCTCGTCAGAAAATATCACTTGTCCCCGCTGTACTTTCCACAATCATCCTTGGATGCGCATCTGCGAACTATGCTCTGCCCCCCTTCCTGTGCCAGACTCTATACAGAGGAGGGCCCTTGAAGATCCGTTGGGTCGGTCTGAGTCACCTGGACCCGCAATCTCTGGCCTTTCGTTGGAGGAAGAGCATGAGTCTCCAAGCGTCAAATTCTCTTTTCGGAATGGCGGTGACCGAGTTTTCTACGAGCGACTTAAAAACGCCATGATACAGAGAAAGTGGTTACTGCAGAATGCGCCACCCATCCCACGTCCTGACGTTGAGCGTGCACCAACACCACTTGGTAGTCCGAGTCCTGTGCCGCCGTCTGAGTCTCGAGCAGTGGCCGTTGGCATCGCCGGGCTTGAGCAGCGTGGACTTCAAACTCGCAGGAACAACGAAGCGGTGTTGGGCAATGCCTTCGAAGATTTAGAGGCCCTGATGGCATCAGCCAAAGATGTGGTTGCCCTGGCAGAGCGATTTGCCTTGGAGTCAGGGCCGCAGACAGGCACCCCTGGCGCCTCGTCTGATCCTCTTCTATCTCAGTCGGCGGCAGCACTTGGTATGGTAGCAACGAAAGACCTGATAGGGGACAATTCTACTGCGCTCTATATCTCCGAATTGGCAAGAAATTTGGCCGAGTATGCTACGGACGACCGACGGGGCATATTACAGCGTCAAGGCGGCACGATGAGCCTGGTTGACCTGTGGGCAATGTTCAACAGAAGTCAGAATGGAGTGGAGCTCGTCAGCCCATCTGATTTTTACAAAGCCGCCGAAGCATGGGACAAGTTGGGCCTGCCTATCAAGCTGCGGCGTTTTAAGAGCGGACTTTTGGTGGTGCAACAGCGCAATGCAAGCGACGAGAAGACAATCGGCCAGATCAAGGCGTGGCTCGGTTCACTACGATTTTCGACGGCTCTCGCATCGTCAGAGCCTTGGGATAGGTCAATGTTTGGCATTGGAGTCACAGCACAGCAGGCAGCTGCCCAGTTTGGCTGGAGTCTTGGGGTGGCAGTCGAAGAACTTGAGATGGCGGAGGAGAAAGGCGCCCTCTGCCGGGAAGAAGGCGTGGAAGGCCTGAAGTTCTGGCTCAACTACCTGATTGAGGAAGACTAGGTAGACGCGTATGAACACAATGCCTTGTCCCCCTGTTACCCCTGAACCGTTGAACTGTCCACTCGAGAGGACTCCTTCTCAGACGCACCGCACCACCCATCCACGAGGCTCTAGGACCCCACGTGGCGCGCTTCTCTAGACTTTCGGCGAACTTGCCTTTTTGGACAATTTCCTCTGCTCCTGAGTTGAGGGACGCGACGACACCGACTGCAAAGAGACCACGATTGTCCTGAATGCTGATGTATGATGGTATCGATATTGTCTCACCCAAGTCGCTCTTTCCCTTAGCTCTGCACAAACATGGCTAGAATCGGTCGCGGGGGCTTCCTGGCTCTCGCCGTGGTCTTCCATCTGGTCTACATTTTCTCCATCTTCGACATTTACTTTGTTAGTCCGATTGTCCATGGCATGAGACCAATTGCTGTTGGGCGAGACCATGCCCCGTCGAAACGACTCGTCCTGTTCGTAGGGGACGGTCTGCGTGCTGACAAGGCGTTTCAATCCTTTCCGGACCCCTCTCCCTCCGACCCAGACAACGTCGACACTACTCCGCGGCCCCTCGCTCCCTTTCTACGATCTCGAGTGCTCGAGCACGGTACCTTCGGCGTCTCTCATACCAGGGTCCCGACAGAGTCGCGGCCTGGACACGTTGCGCTCATAGCGGGTCTATACGAAGATGTGTCTGCGGTGACAACAGGGTGGAAGTTGAATCCGGTTGATTTCGACAGCGTCTTCAATCGAAGTCGGCACACATGGAGTTGGGGGAGTCCGGATATACTTCCGATGTTCAAAGAAGGCGCAGTTCCAGGGCGGGTTGATGCCGATCATTATGCTGCAGAATTCGAGGACTTTTCACAGGACGCTACTTCGCTGGACGTGTGGGTGTTCGACAAGGTGAAAGATCTTTTCAAATCTGCTAGCACAAATGCCACCCTGGATGCGATGCTTCGAGAGGACAAACTTGTCTTTTTCCTGCATCTACTTGGTCTGGATACGACGGGGCACTCTTACCGCCCGTATTCCAAGGAGTATCTCCACAACATCAAGATTGTCGACCAAGGCGTCGAGGCTGTGACGAATCTGATCGAGGAGTTCTATGCTGATGGGGAAACCTCTTATGTCTTCACAGCGGACCACGGGATGAGCGACTGGGGAAGTCATGGAGACGGCCATCCCGACAATACGAGGACGCCCTTGATCGTCTGGGGTGCTGGAGTAGCCCGGCCCCAGCTGTTTCCAGGCGCGCAAGCTCCCGGCCATGAGGACGGCCTCTCTTCTGACTGGGGTCTTGACCATGTCCAACGCCATGATGTTGATCAAGCCGATGTTGCTGCGCTGATGGCCTACCTTGCTGGACTGGAGTTCCCGGTCAATTCTGTTGGCAAGCTTCCTCTATCTTATCTTGCTGCACCGGCGCCGGAGAAAGCTAATGCATTGCTTGTGAACACCAAGCAAGTCCTCGAGATGTACAGAGTCAAAGAGGAACAGAAAAGGGCAACATCGCTGAATTTTCGACCATATCCCCCCTTCTCACAAGCTAACGCCTCTGTGGCCGATCGAATTGCTGCCGTCGAGGCGGCAATCCGCAGCAACCAGTATGAGTCAGCCATTCAGCTGTCCTCGGAGCTCTTCGGCCATGCCTTACAGGGGTTGCGGTACTTACAAACCTATGACTGGCTTTTCCTTCGAGCACTGATCACCGTTGGATATCTTGGGTGGATTACCTACGCAATCACGACCGTCATCGACATCCATGTCCTGCACGGCGCGATCCAAGACGAGCGGACGATTGGGACCACCATGCTGTTTTCGTCTGTCCTGGTTGTATTATATTCGTTCTTCGTCGTGGAACGGTCGCCCATAACATATTACGGCTATGCCTTTTTCCCCGTCTTTTTCTGGGAGGAAGTGTTTGCCCGGAGGAGGGCTCTCTTTTCTGGACTCAGCGTTCTTTTCGGCCACGTTCAGAGCTTTTCTCGATCTCTCTCACTTTTTGTACAAGTGTTGCTATATTTGTTTGTCATTGAAGCTTTGGTAGGTGGCAGGAACCCATCCTCTAACATTGTGATCGCTGACTCACGCAGGTGGAATCGTACTTTCACCGTATCATCTTCACAATGTGTTACGTTCTCGCATCGGTCTTTCCAGCTACGTATGGTGCCGATTTTATCAGAAAGAATAAATTAACTGTGCTGGCGTGGGCAGCGGGCTGCCTCATTCTGAGCACCTTTACGACGCTCCCGGTGGTCAAGATTGAAAGTTCCAGCATGATCACCGCAGGAGGTCTCCTTATGTTCGGGGCCGGTGTCCTCTATCTTGCTTTTGAACACAATATCACGAGACGATCGAAATCGTGGACTCGGGAGACAGAAACCAACGTGGTTTCTCGCGTCCTCATGGGTCTTCAGGTCGGCATCATTGGGCTGACAATCATCGTTACACGCTCCAGTGTCGCTTCACTTCAGGCAAAGAAAGGACTACCACTCGGAAACCAGGTCATCGGTTGGCTTGTCCTCATCGCCTCTGTCATCCTGCCATTCGTGCACCGGATAGCACCAAACAAACACTACCTTCATCGCCTGGTCATTATCTTCCTCACATTTGCGCCATCGTTTGTGCTCCTGACAATCTCATATGAGGGCCTCTTCTACTTTGCCTTCTGCTTCACGTTGCTTACGTGGGTACGTCTCGAGCACGCCATCCAGCTTCATGAATCGACGGACTCAGTGCCCTCGGCAAATGGCATCACCATCACATCGACATCGCAGAAATCCGAGAATCTCCATCCCGACCAGACCTTCCGCACCCTTGCACTCCCGGATCTGCGCCGTGCCCTGTTCGTCCTCTTCTTTTTACAATCCGCCTTCTTCTCCACCGGCAACATTGGCTCCGTTTCGAGTTTCAGTTTGGATGCTGTGTACCGACTCATCCCAATCTTTGATCCTTTCTCTCAGGGTGCCCTTCTTCTCTTCAAGTTGATGGTCCCATTTGCTATCATATCGGCGGCACTGGGAATCCTCAATCGCCGACTTGGGCTGCAGAGTTCGGCGCTGTTCATGACGGTCATGAGTATCAGTGACGTGATGACACTCAACTTTTTCTGGATGGTGAAGGACGAGGGGAGCTGGTTGGACATCGGCACGACGATCAGTCACTTTGTGATTGGGAGCTTGCTTTGTGTCTTTGTGGCGGGATTGGAGGGGGTGAGCCAAGCTCTGATCCAAGGGGTCGAGGTCGACAGCTACGAGGGTAGGACAAAGGAAACAGGAGGGGTTGAGGTGCTCTCAGGGAAGGTTGTGGAAGGTAAGGTGGGTGCCGACGTGCACGTAAATGGGACAGCGAATGGAGTTGTTAAGGTTACTGAAGGAAGAGAAGGCGTGGATGAGAGACCGGTCATTGAATAGTTGTGATCACTACCAAAAGATGTGGCGATTGCGACTGGTGTTGGATGCGTAGAGCGAAACGCCTACGATGCATACATAGGTCGACGGGCCATTGAGCCCGTCTGTACAAAAAGGTTATTGGACACGCGGTGTGACAGCCATGCTTCCTATATCTAATCACCCGGCTCGACTGCAAGCTACTAGTAGTCACAACTTCACATGCTTGGATGAACATCAAGAGCTCAATTCCTTGCATTGAGATTTTCTCTATCTAATGTACAGACCACGCCGTATCAATGCCATCTTTACCCTTTCCTTGTCGCCGGATAATAGTCACACACAATCACATCCCGCTGCTCTGCGGCCTGATGGGATGTGATCGATCAAGGCTGGCCCATCCTCCATGAGGAACTCAAGATGTCCCGTCTCCGCCTGAAAACTCCCAGGGGAAGAAGAAGGCATGATTTCGCCATTCTTTTATCATATGTTATTTTTCTTACTCGCGAGAGTTTCCAGCTCCCCTGTCCGACACTCCCGTGGCATTCTTGGCCGTGGAGTATGCCGCGTGCTGGCCGGCCTTTCCGCCCTCAGCGGCAACGAACTCTGCGCTCATCGGCTCTTTCGCCTCGGCGCCCGTCAAGCTCACGTTGTGTCCCGCGACGGGTCCCCGGGGGTGGTTGCCCTCCTGCTGCAGCCGGCGGAATTCGGTATTCACATCGCTGGGGTCATGTAGGCCTGAACCGCCCGTGGCGCCTGCGCCTTCCGGGCCCGACGTCGCCTTGCTGGCCGTGTGGTGTCCCTCGTGGCGAATCTCCGTCGACGTCTGGCCCTGGCCCGGATGCCCGAGCCCCTGGTGCACATCGGCCGACGTGGCGCCCGGGAGCGTGCTCAGCGGGTCGGTGCGCACGCCTTCCTTGCCGTGTGCGCGGTCGACGTTGTCGTTGAACGCCTGGCCCGGCACCTCGCCCGTAGGGTTGGGTTGGAAAGTCGACTCGGCAGGAGCTGTGCCCGCGGGGAGCGTTCGGGCTGAGAACTCGGGCGCGTGGTCTGCCGGCGACACTTTTTGGCCAACTTGGTGCTGGGAATGGAGTTAGTAATTTGGTCATGGATGTTTCACCCCAGGGATATATATATCTATGTAGGGAACTTACGCCTTTCGTCTCCATAGGTTCATCACGGGGCTTGTGAGGCATGAATTCGCCTTGGGCGTTAGTCATCGAGTCTGCGTTTCTTGCTGCCATTGTGTGCTGATGTATGTGAATGTATATGCTTGGTTGGTTGTTGTTGTTGATGTTGTTCTTCTTATCACAGCTTGGACTTTGGTTCGACTTCTTCGCAGAGAGAATGTGTGGTTCTTCGATCCAATTGAGTCTGAGATATATAACAGTAAACCACAGGTTACGACAGAGGGGGCAAAATGGTCGTGTGTGCCATTGTCGTGTCCTGGATCTTTGACGTCATGCTGGGACGGCTGTGATCTCATACTTCCCACCCTTGATGGGGTGATGTTGTGTTTTCATGTGGCGATGCGGAAATCAATGGAGATTCAATGGGGCCAGAAGAAGGGGCATGGAAAGTGCTCGGACCTTCACGTAGCATCGGTGGTCGAGGCGAGGTGCGAGATGGAATGCTGGTGCTCTGGGTTTACTTTTCCATCATCTTCCCTACGCCTATTCCTGGGACATACCATTTAGACTTTCCAGAATAAAATATATAGATACAGTCCTTCGAGCATCTCTGTCAATATTAGTGTGGGTTGAATGGTTGCCTGCAATTGGTCTGCGAGAATATCAGGTTCATGATTGTGAAAGATAACAAGTCGTTCATTGTCTCTGATGTTGAAGTCTTATTGAAGTTGCCGCCGTGACCGCCAAGCTTTCAAATGACGACGTTTGAATGACAGAACGTCCGTGGTCGCTTCGTCATTTCTGTCTTGGGTCTTGCAACACTGGTCTCAACAATCAGGGCGTCGGTTGCAATTTCCAATCGTCTTGTCTTTTGTCCAGGGATTGAGACAGGCTATACCTCTTTCCACTGTTTCGTTCCTTCGCCAGTAATCTGAATGAGGGTCACTTCTAAAATCCTGGGGTTCGCTTCTGACACCCGGACGAATGAGACTTGTGGGGACTCCCAGCCTTGGAAAATGCCCACCATCTCATCCCTCGACTCTCCTGAAGAGCTTTTTCCAGACAGGAACACGACCAAGATCCTCGGTAAGAAGTCAAACCAACCCATGGACGGGTTCGCTCTCTGCCTCGGGGACGTGACGAGATTGCACCGATTCGAAGCTCTTCCCGGCCTAAATATCGACTTCGAGCTACGAAGATACCCCGAACACCATGGAGTGCTGGGGTTGGAAGCCGGGGAAGACCACGGCAAGATACGAGTTTTATACGACCCCCACCCCGGGTGCGCAGTAACTGACTGAGCCCCTTTTGATATCTTATTAATGCCCTCACTTCTCTGCTACGGGTCAAGAGCGTAGCAGGAAGTGTACCCATCTGCACTCTACGCTACTACAAACAGCTCTACCTCCCCAGAAGGCCACCACCACCTACAAAGAAGAACTTACGTCTGTCCTCGACATAGCACTAAAGATGAACCCGCCACCAATTCCCGAAGATGAATTCGTTCTTTATGCAGATGTGAGTGTCCAGGTGCCTACTGGACCGGCTGCATCCTAATGTGTCTGCAGGTTTACGCAAAGGAAGGCTGCGGCGACGAGCTCGAACGATTGATCCGCATTTTGATCCGAATGGTTGAGTCGGAGCCTGGGACCTTGGAATACGTCATCTCCAGAGATCATAATGAGCCGAACCACTTCTTCGTCTTTGAACGATACACCGGCAGAGAAGCGTTTGAGTCGCACTGTGCGACCCAGGAGTACCAAAACCTCCTCAACGCGGGACTGTTGGTCGATCTCCCACAGCCCAAGATCTTGAAGCAATTGAAGCCCATCTAGAGGCGATGCTGTATAGCTATTTCCGCAGTGTCTATCACGAGATAAAATCGGAGACACACAATACAACTTATTTATCCATAGACCAAAGTTCCAAACTACAGAGTATTTGCACGAACGTTTCTCCCCCAGACGATCTCCAAAACTTGCTGCCACGACAGGAGAGAAAAGCGATACACTTGCAGAAGCAGCTGTGGGCTCCAAATTCTCGTTGTGACTTGGCAACCAGGTTGAGGTGGAAGACCTGGGCCGAACAATGTCTCAGGGATTCAGTCGAAGAACTGAACGAAAAGCACTCAATGAACACGCAGAGATCAAGCAGGATTCTTAATTCTCCATCTGGATTGACTGGTCGACTGCTCAAGGCTATCTATCAATCCTTCCCTTTCCCATACTTTTACGCACCGTTGGCGGTACTTCTCATTCTTCGACGACCTCATGAGTATTTCTACCTCTTATACACCAACTCTCCCTTCCTGCTCACAAGCAGTAAGTCTCTGGACGCGAGCAGCTATTCCTTCCCCATTCCACCAGCTCCTCTCTCTTCCACTCACTCCTCTTTTCAGGTCGAGCCTGGGAACCTGAGCGGACCGCCTTTGACCCGAAGCCTTTCGCCGTAGAAGTAGATGAAGGTGAGGATGCCCCCGGCCGCGACAATCACGGCTGCCTGGGTGCCGAAGCTCGCGCCATAGCCGACGCTCAACCCCCACGGCTGCTGGAAGTAGCCCACAGCGAAGCCGCCCATGACGCGCATGAAGTTGATGAAGGCCGACACCTCGCCCGAGGCCTGCGGATAGCATTCCAGGGCGTAGGCCGTGATGGCCACGCTAGACAGCATGGCCCCGAAGATGTAGATGCCCCAGCCGAACGCCACGCCCAGCCAGTGCAGGCGATGCTCGAACGACTGTCCCAGAAGCACCAGGCCCGGCACCATGATGATGGTCCCCAGGTACGTGACTGGGAGGCGCGCCTCTGCCTTGAAAAGCCCGTCGTGCCGTCTCGTATACCGCGCCGCGTTCCAGTCGTTCAGCCAGTGTCCGAGGGCTTCGCCCAACGTTACACCGATGGCTGGAGCACTGTACCAGAGATATCATCAGTCCACTGAATGTGAGTAGCAATTGCAAAGACGACACGACATACAAATAGATGAACCCAGAAGCCTCGGGACTGAACCCGTATCCTCCCACATCTACGGGCGTTCCCAGGAGGACAGCCGCTGTGATATTGACCCCGGTGGCCCACATGAAATAGAGGCAGCTAACAGACCCACCCGGTCAGCATATACGTTTTGTCGGACATGGTTGTGCCACACTCACAAGTAGACGAGGATCGGCAGCATCAGTGGCTTGACCAACACGGCCCAGAGCCTGCCAAAGGCCGGGACGACACCCATGAAGTAGCCATTGTGGTGCCTAATCTGCCAGATCCCAACCACCCTCTGCCACCGGCCCCCGCGGCGCGGCTGCTCTTCGATGGACACGTCCCGGCGGTACCAGGTCTCATCGAGGAACAGCAGCACGAGGACGAGGTCCAGGCATGTCGACCCGAAGGCGAGCCAGTACAGCGGACGCCAGGCAGAGTCGAGGCCGGAGATCATGAAGTAGCCCAGCATAGGCCCTACGTAGGGCGTGACGTAGAAGAAGAACAGCCAGATGCCGATCTTGCGGGCGTGCTCGTGCAGGAAGAACATATCCTTGATGTAGCACAGCGTCGTGGTCTGGCACACGGTCAGCGTGGCCCCCTGCAGCGCCCGTAGCGCGTAGAAGGCCTCGAAGCTGTCCGTCAAGCAGATGCCCAGCGTGAACAGTGCGCTGGCCAGCACGCTCCAGAACACGACCGGTGCACGTCCCCAGAAGTAGCTCGGCGGGATGGCGAGGACGCCGCCAACGCCCCTGGGATATGTGGTCAGATATATATCTATATACATACATACCAAGGTTGAAGTGGGAACGGAGGGATACAAAAGAGACCAAACTTACACCATAATTACGGCCAGGTTCGTGGTGAAGTTCATCGAGTTGTACGACTTGTTCCAGTGGCCGGCCTGTGGCAGGATGGCCGGAAAGCCCAGGCAGAGACTGAAGTCCCCGTTGCCGGCCAGGATCGACGTGGTGAGGAGGACGGCGTGTTTCTTCCACCACGGCCAGTTAAGCGGATCGTTGGGGTCATCACTCGGTTGCGGAATCAGAACAGTCTATGTTTATAGTCAGTCATTCGGTCTCCTTGAGCCTGTGCCTGACTTACACGACCGTCCGGTGCTAATTTCAGCCCTGCCGTGTCCGTCCCATCCTTGGTGTTGATGGTAAGGAGGATCCCTTCCCCTTCCTGCGTGGCTTCCTCGCTCGTGATGAGATGATGTTCCTGATGAGCTGTGACATGTGGCTTTTCGGCGATGTCTTCGCAGTAGCCGACCTGCTTTTCCTCCTGAGAGGGATCTTTTGAGCCATCCATATTGAACAATCCTGAATCGTCCCCGTATAGGTGTACTGGACGTAGCGACGTAGCTTCAACGCACCGCCGGACTGAGTTGATCAAGGGCACGACTATAAGTCGACTGAGGTATGCGAAGAAGGATGCTCTTTTCACAGGCAGGCAGCAAGCATCTTATGAACACATTCCCTTACCCTTTATCACGCCACAAAGGAGCACATCGTTGACTCGGGCTCCAAGAACGGAATAAGGTGCTCCCCCTAGACCTCTATTGCACGGTCCAATGCTCAAATGCCGTGCTTCTCGGCCTATTTCGCTGTCGGGCTAAGTACCAGGTACTCTGGGGTTTAGTTGAGTAAAGTTCAGCACCCGTTGCAAACCTTGTTGTCATCGTTAAGGGGTAGCGAGGTCGGACCTAGGGCAATTGCTGCCACAAGCTCCAAGGGACGGTGAATACCACGAGATTTACCGATTTATTGTCCCGGAAGCTTAACGAGAGATGAAGAGAACGGGCTCTTGCGAGATGGAAAATATACCAAATCAACCAGTACGGGGGCAGGGGCCATGGAATGACTAGAACATGTTGAGTTTGGGGAGTACTGATCGACAATAGCTGTAGAGGGTGATTGGTGTTATCTGATAGCGCATTACAGTCAGGAGTTCCAGGCAATTTGACAAGCTGACGATGTTCCCATCGCAATTCAAGAGTAATTTATGGACTGTCTAACTATACTATTATCTCGGTTAGCCAAGGCCCTAAGTCCTCTTCCTTACAATGTCTGGAAGTCCTGACGGCTCGCCATGGATTGTCACAAAGTACGGATCGTAGACGGTCGTGGTTCGCTTGCTCACTTCTCCATCCGCGTACTCGGGCCTCTTCAAGATGAAATGCTGGTCCCGAGAGCATTCGATAAACTCCCCATTCAGAGATCGGTCGCTCAGGCATTTCCAGTACGCGCCGACGATGGTCGAGGCCGGTGTCAGGCTGGCAAAACCTGTTAGAAGAATACTTGGTGCGTCCCCGAAAAGGAGGACCTACGAGTCTTCGCCAAACGTGTCCCGCATGTGTTGGCTGATGAATTGAGTCGGCACCACGCCGGGACAGACGGTGTTGATGGTGATGTTTTCTTTCTGTCTGGAGGTCAGAATCTACTCAATCAGAGCTTGGACTAAGCCGTTGTACTCACGAACTGCAGGTACGGCGCACAGGCTCGCACGAATCCATTGACCTGAGGAAATTTCAGCAAGAGAGCTTCCTCCTTCCCCTGTCACCCTCCTCGTAGACTTACTCCAGCTTTGGCTCCAGAATACTCAGGAAACGATGCCACCGGGTGGACCCCCACCATACTAGACGTTGCGACAATGCTCCCGCCCGGGGTGGGATTCTGCCGCATGAAATGGATGGCGAGTTGCACGCCGTAGATGGTCGCCTTCAGGCACACGTCCGTACAGGACAGGTCTGGCTCCGGAGGGATTCTTGGACAAGTCAGTTTAAGCCAAGGTAATAACAGAGAATGACAATGTCGCTGTACTCGGTCTTGCCACGCCACTTGAGGATGTAAATCGAGCTCCGATCGATGATGCCAGCGTTTGCACACAGCGCGTCCAGACGACCCCATTTCTGGAACACCGTGGAGAATGCACTCGCTTGCTCCTGGTACCGGCTGATGTCACCCTGGCAGAACATGAACTTGTCTCCAAGCTCGTCTGAGAGCTTTTGAGCGAGGTGGCTCTGCGAGGGAATGTCCAGTGCAGCGACTCTCCATCCTTCGCTGATCAATTTGCGAGTCAACTCTGCACCGATGCCAGACTAAACAGAGAGCTTTGTCAGTGCCTGTGGGCATAGAAGTGACTAAATTGTATCCGCTCATGACTTACCACTCCGCCGGTGACGATGGCGACCTTCTTGCTTGAGCTGGACATGATGGTTTCAATGTCAGAGAACCTGCAGTGTTCGTTCGTTAGAGGCTTCGTCCACGCTAACACGAACGGTATGTTGTTTATACATCGGCCAGGACGATACTGTCAGAGCCCGAACGTCGTCAATTCCCAAAGAGGGGTCCGATGATCACCCCAGACTTTCGTCCCCGGATATCCCCAGCCGCGGTGAACCACCCCATTACCCCGACCAAAACTCTATATACGAGATCTGAACAGTGCGAAATCGCGCCGACCAGCCGAAACTCCACCGAGGACGTTGAGAGCGTAACTGGAGATGCGAACAGCTTTTGTTACCTCAGAGAGTAGCAATAGCAGGGGAATGGGTTGGGACCAACCCCGAGTTTCTCTCCTCGTGGAGAAAAGCCAGTCTTAAAAGCATCAAGTTGGGGTTTTCTGGAGTATGTGCTTGAGTGTTTACCAACCCGTCCACATATCCTTCATTGACAACCTCTCGAACATCGCCACCATGGCCACTAAACACCGATACTACCGCATAACCATCTTCGTCAATCGCGTTCCCGAGATGAGTGAGGATGAGTTTCACAAGCACTGGTCATCAACGCACCGACAGCTTGCAGAGGACTCCCTTATCAAGTATGGCATTGCCAAATATCGACAGGTCGGTCCCAGCAGGCTGAGAAGGATGTAAGTTGCCGTCGCTAACCAAGAAACGCGCAGTACCATACACCATCAGCTCTCGTGCCAGAAGCTGAAGCCAAATGCCCCGGTTTAGACAAGGTTAACAAGCTGGGCTTTGATGGGGCTGCTGACTTTATCATGGCCGACATTGAGTCGTTCTACAAGTTTCGGCAAGATCCGTATTATGTCTCGCACATCGACGCCGATGCAGCAATTCTGTTTGACTGGGAGAGTGCCCGGTGGACGGTGGGATGGGAGGAAGTGTATGTCAAGGACGGACGGGTGGTTGACATGCCCGACGGAGAAGACTGAGTAGCCTGCGGCCAGAAGCCCAGCTGAAACGGGCGAGTTGGACATGTGCTACCAGAGTGCAGAGTGCAGAGTCTTGATGAGCCCCCGTGCTCTTCAAGAGAATACAATTGCTTCCTTTTGGCAATAGGGTGTTGCCTCCACAAACCCACAAACCCACCTTGGCATCGTCAACTTCCCAATGCGGTGCGTATTCCGTGCCTTTGGCCCGATCGGGACGACTGCTCCACTGTTGCGGCGTGTGTGATTGGGGGAAGCTGACAAGCTGTGCGCTACACGTGCATTTAATTTGGTTACAGACTGCGACGACTCCTTCGACCAGATGGCCGTATTTCGAAGTCGCAGTGCTTTGGTCGCGGGCCACATCGTTCTGTTCCCCTCTCTATATTGAGTTGGTGTTGAAGTCCTCCTTGCGATGCCATCGTGGCGCCGGCAGCGCCCATGTTGGATGAGATGGTGGAAACCCCAACTTGTGAAGGCAGTCCACTTTTTCTCGTGCCTAGCCGTTGAGCCCCGAAGATCTTTGGCTGGTTCATCCACTTCCTCATTACTCGCATTGCCGGATCGGGCGTATAGGCGTCGATCCAGACCCACCCACTAAGGACGACTATCAGTGCCACTGACATGGCAATCTCGGCTCATGAACAGTTGTGTCACTCCTCCCCCCTGGTGGCTTGCTAGTCAATGTCAGCTTCGTTACAGTGTACAGTGCTTGTGGATAGCCCCGAGACATGCAGGATGCAGTCGCAGATGAGGGAAATGTCAGTGCTCCGGTATAAGAGTCTGCGCGTTTTCGTAGGATGAGATTCTCGAGAAAAGGGAGTTGGCTGGCAGCGCCTATTCATCGCTTCGCTTCGGCCAGGGATCTCCTACCCGCGAGCGAGCTGAGAGACTCGGTGTCTCGCCCACCACTGCCACCACTATCACCATTATGAATCACCCGTCACTCGTTTCACTCCTGCTCGCGCTGGTCGCGCTGCACACCAGCGAAGTCATTTCCCTTGCGGTACCCCGGCCACCGACCTTAGAGAGCCGTTCACTCCTTCCAGCTTATTCGTTGCCACAGCATGACCTGCTCGACTTGACGAGAGCAGTCGACATCACGACCAAGCAACTGGGCTATTTGTACGGTCCTCCGGTCGCGGGCGGACCTTTCTTTCCCACGGGCGTCTTAGGTGTGGCCAGAGCCGCCGCCGATCAGGTAGAGATCCAGCTCGACGAGGCACCGATCCTTCTGGCCGCGGCTGCCGATGGCACCGAGAGCACATTATCAGCTCCTGAGTATAATGGCCTGAAGACTCTGGACGACTACACTCTCTTATATGATGGCCACTTAAAGGCCACTCTTCCACATGGCCCCGTTCCGGGAATATTAACCAATTACACCCAAGACCTCCTATTTTCGATGGAACGCCTCTCCTTCAGCCCGTATCAGGTGAGGAGGCTCAATCCTTCCTCGGATACGTTGCAGTTCAGCATCGACGATGATACTTCCACGAGCCTCACAGGTATGACGCTCCAACAACTGTTTGAGGACGGTCGGCTCTTTTACGCCGACTATCGAGACCAGCAAAATCTGACCCCCACCGATCGATTTTCCGCGGCGTGTGACGCATACTTCTACATCAACCAGACATCTGGTGATTTCTTGCCCCTTGCGATCCGCACCAATGTGGGATCCAATCTGATTTACACCCCAAATGACGACCCCTCCGACTGGCTGCTCGCAAAGATCATGTACAACGTCAATGACTTGTGGTTTGCGCAGTGGAATCATCTGGCAAGTACCCACGAGGTGGTCCAAATCACATACTTGGCCGCCATTCGAACTCTCAGCGACAACCATCCCGTTCTTGCTATCCTGAACCGGATCATGTATGAGGTTTACGCCATCCAACCGCTGGCGGCAACCATTCTGTTCCTGCCTGGTGCTGCGGTCGACCAGATCTTCGCTTATACCGGTACTGCGGCACAGGACTACACCACCAACCTCTATATGAACGGTGGCAGTGGTCGCTTTCAAGCCAACTATTTCGAGACCGATCTCGAGTCCCGCGGCTTGATCAATTCCAACTTTGGCCCTGCGTTGAAAAACTTCCCCTTCTACGAAGATGCTTCGACCATCTATAATGCGATCCATGCCTTCATGACCTCGTTTGTGAATTCATACTACTCCAAAGACTCCGACGTCACGGCCGACAATGAAATGCAGGCGTGGGTAAAGGAAGCACAAGGCCCCGCTGAGGCGATTGACTTTCCTTCCATCACGACGAGAAGCGCCCTGATCGATGCTTTGACACATATGGTGAGCACACAGACCCTGTGACTAGTAGCATAAGTCCATCTACTGACAGTAAGTTCTGCTTAGGCTCATCTTGCCTCTACCTCACACCACACGGTCAACACGAACGAGTTGCTCTCTGTCAGCTCGACGTTGCCCTTCCACCCGCCCGCCCTGTACCAGCCACTGCCGTCCTCCAAAGGCTTAACAAACGTGGCGGACTTCCTTCCGCCACTGGACAAGGTGGAAGCGCAGTTCACCGTGAATTCCGTTTTCGTGCGCCCATTTTTCGTGGGCACGAATCGGACTCTGATGCACATGTTTGATGATCCAGACATGCTCAGTCGCATGAACAGTGCGACGCAAGCGGCGGCTACCACCTTCTACAACACGATGAACGCCTTCAGTGGACAGGTTGCTGCCCGCACCTTCGACGCGAATGGCTTGTCACAGGGCATGCCGTTCGTGTGGCAGGCCTTGGACCCCAATGTGGCCCCGTTTTCTATCACTACTTAGGGAGGTTCGTTCGTTTGAGCATCCCCGATTGTGTTATTATATTATAGTATTATGTACTGTCGACGTTCATGTGTAAGGGGGAAGGGCATCATTTTCCTTTAATGATAAGGTGGATTCCAAAGTTGTTCCTTTCCCTCCTATTTCTGAAGGAAACCAGACCCTCGGGGTGCCTCCTGGTCAGCTTTTAGGTAAAGCGGATGTGTAGCAGCAACGCATCCTTGCAGCTTACCAGGCAGCCAGGCAGGGAGTAGATGCTCCCGGAACTTTCTCGTGATCCTCTCTCGAGTGATAATAATGGGTCAATTCACAAGGGGGGTCGACGGTCTTCTGCGCTTTCTAAGATGTACCTTACAAGCTTCTTTCTCCTGCAACGACGACACAAGCTCTGGAAACACGCTAGCTAGCGTTATCTTCCAGGCCCTGCGGCTGTTGGGCGTACGTAAGCTATGTCCGTCGTCGTCGTGGATGAAAAGCGCGATGCGTCGCGATGAAATACCCTGGCTTCCCTATCTAGGTCTACCGCCATTCCGAGTCAGGACTCAGAAGCTTAGGGCATCCAGTCGAGTCGGCACTCTGTATCCGCTTTCTCTGATATTTGGGGGCGAGTGAGTGGGTTGTTGGTTCACAGACCTATTTCCCAACTCCTCGTAGTTGGTCGGACTACTCACGCGTCTCCACGGAATATCCCCATACGGCGTTTGGGGTAGATGTGCCAGAATGTTGGGCTAATAGAGAGTGGATTGTGTTTGCCAGGCTCGAGCTGTCGAGCTGTCAAACTGTCGAGCGAGTCCGGTTTGTTTCAGAGTGGGATCCTTAAGGAACAGAAAGCATGTAATACGGAGTTCCTATGACCCCATTATTCTACCTGCCACCTGCCCAATGGTGCTAAGTCCCCTGACAAGACTGTTAGTCAGTAACTAGTCAGTGATGATCAACGGTGGACTTGCTTGTGCTCTTCCCCCGCATACCCATATCCCTGTCTTCTGTGTCGAAGTGTCCATACACATACAGCCCTAATGCAGGTCCAGGGGAGGGATCCAGGAACCACCCTTGGGGCTGATGAAGCCACACTCCATTCGCTGTTTGGCCTTCCACCACAATTAGCTTCAGGCCTCACCAGCACCACCACGCCGCTCGCGTCTGATCTCCCGGACGCCACCAGCAGCCACCAGAAACTCTGCACTGAACCGGGCCGACCAACTACTCGGTACCGGTGCCTCGTCGCGTTTGCAAGAACAAGACCGTTGTGAAAGGATCTGCCCTCTGGCGCAAGCATGGGAAAACACCAAGAATGGCCTAGGGAAGCAGTAGGTAAGGCAATCCAACTGGGTGGATGGAGCCTCTGCGCAAGCCCTCCCTCGCCCAATCCTGCGCAAATCCTCCATCTCCACGAGCAAGCATCTCTCTCTTTCTCTCTCTGTGTGCGTCTCTTTCTCCTCCATAAGCCCGGTTAAACGCATTTCTTTCATATGTCCTTGTCGTTGTTGCTGGTGTCTCTGTGAGAACATTATTATTTGCTATTTCGCTTCTCTCTCCCTCCCCACCCTTCTTGTACCATTAATTTCTCCTCTGACCCTGCTGGCTTCCTGGTGATCCAGCCTTGAAACCGTGCTGCTCGCTCTCAGCAGTGTCCAGTCAGTCAGTGTACGGGGTACATTGAGGCCTGCGGACCTTCTTCCTCAACGAGTGATGAGCGTCTCATAACACCGCCAATACTACTATTACTACCACTATTTGACCGAGACTCTCTTGCCCACAGTGACTTGCTCCCCTTGCTCTTAGCGTCCGGCGCTCAAGAGTCAAGACTTCTCGCTTGTCCACAGACTAACAGTCGAATCGAGTCGAGTCCCGTCGCGAGGCGGTTCAAGATGGTCGACACGTTGCACCGTAAGTACCTCCCACTCAATCCTCACGAGAACGGGCGCGCATACTGAGCCATCCGTCCTCTCAGCACCTCCATCGGTCATTGCTTCTTGGCCAAAACCGAACTATGTTGATCCAGACACCAGAGGGCCGGGCCTCGTGTACATGTGCATCATCTTCGCGGCCATCGGCATCATCACATGCACGGCCCGGATCTACTCGCGGCTGTTCATCACCAAGGCGCCGGGCCTGGACGACCTCCTGGTGATGATTGCCCTGGGATTTCTCACCGCTCTGAACGTACTGGTCATCATCGGCAACAAAGACTACTACAACGGCCGCCACGTGTGGGACATACCGCCCGGCAGCTTCGTGGGTGCGCGGGCCAACATCTGGGCCAGCCTGTGGTGCTACGTGATCGGGATCACCTTGATCAAGACCTCGGTGCTGCTGTTCTACCGCCGTCTCAGCGTCAAGTTCAGCCGGGCCTTCCTGATCGCGACCTGGATCGGCATCATCTACAACATTCTGTACTTCCTCTCGTTCGGTCTGACGCTGTTGCTGCTCTGCAACCCGATCCACTCGTACTGGGATGGCTTCAACCCGCTCTGGGCCGCCACGCACCACTTCCACTGCGGCTCCGAGAGTGTGGCGCTTCCCGCGTCGTCGGCGTTCAGTGTCGCGGGTGACCTCTACAGTACGCTCCTACCCCTGATCTTGGTCTATCATCTCGAACTGCCGCGGCGACAGAAGATCGCCCTGTACGCTCTGTTTGCCCTGGGGTTCATGGCGGTCGCCGCCGGGCTGGTCCGGACCGTCTTGATGTACAATCTGCTGAACGTCGACTACGACTTCACCTGGAAACTGTGGCTAACGTGGATCTGGGCCGTGCTCGAGCTGTATCTGGCGCTTTTGGCCGCCAGCGCGCCCAGCTTGAAGCCGTTCTTTCGGCATTTCTTCGTGGAATCCATCAGCAGCTTTGCCCGAGGGTCTCGGAGACGAGGCGAATATGGAAACGGCAACAGCCAGCGAGCCGGGGCAGGAAAAGTCTCGGCAGGAGGGACAGGGACATATCCCACTGACGCCAGCAAAGGAGGTGTAAGCGTAGACCTCTCAGCCGACGTCGAACGAGGAGGAGGGAAAGGCCAGTGGGAAGTGTCCCACGACAGCAACAACAACAACGACAACAACGAAAGGATGGAATCACGACAAAGCTGGTTCCTGGCGGACAACGAGGACACAGACACGAAGCATTTCGAGCTGCGCGCCAGCCAGGACGGGAAGAGGATGATCCCCATGCGCGTGTACAAGCGCAGCGACTACCACAACTATAGCGTCCCTGAGGGGTCGTCTTCTGCGGACGACCCCTTTGCCGACACCGAGGATCGCAGTCAACAACACTACATGAAATCGAGCTCGTCGACGACGGCGCTACCGCAGCGGCCAGACTGGCCGCTGGCCCTGCCGACCATAGGCACCGAGCCGTACCACGAACCGCGCGAGTTCCTAGCCAACCCACGGCTGTCGACGTACAAAGAAAATAGATGAAAAGCAGAGCACGTAAAATAAAAAATAAAATGAAATGTAGTTATAGAATTCCAGTGAATGAATGAGAAAAGAAAAGCAAATATGTACCTCGTACCCGTACCATATACGAGATATTTACAGTATGTATCTGTATGAACTCAGGATCAGTTGTCGTGTATTGTCTCGAATAGGTTTAGTGGTAAACCCATCTGTAAAGGGAGTTCGAAGCAAGAATTCAACAACTCAAGAGCTTCATTTCTTTGATTCTGGACGTGCCTCTGACCAATCTGTCTGTTCATTTCGTGGGGACTTGCCAGAGCATTTCGGTCGTTGCTACCGGTTCCAGGTGACTCGGCGACCAGCAATGCACTTACCAGCACCGAGTACTGTACCATGCATCACCACCTCCTTTCCCCAGGGTCCCTCTTCACAAGCACATCCCTCTGTTTCTACAACTACTTCCTTTCATATCTCATGCCGAGTATATCTTGCAGCCACTATGCCCCTCGCTCATCTCCATGATATTGGCGAACTCGTGACGAGAGACGTCCATCCCACGGATCGTTCTGGTCAGCATGCTACTGTCACTGCCCGATGGGGGCGTATATATTGCCAGGCATACACAGTCAGTTGGCTCTGTTTCCTCTTTTTCCGCCACGCTTTTCCTGCCCAAGAGGTGCTGTGGCTTCTCGCACCTGCAGGCTGCATGCATGCTGGGCTGTGCAGTCTGCGCCTCCAACTCGCTAGGCTTGCATTTCTACTGGTCCAACTATCAGCATCCCAGTCGGTGGGAGTGTGTACAACACATAAAGTTGCTCACTCCTTTTTGAACTTCTGCTTGCAGCCTTCTACCAATTTCCTGATAGACTACCGTTGCTTCATCAACACCCTACCCTCTCAGGAACGATGCTCGACCCGGTCTCGGCGATCGGGTTGGTCGCGGCCATCGTGCAATTCGTGGAATTTGGCGCCGAAATCATCCAGGGCGCGCGGGAAGTCCACGGCGCCACGTCGGGCGCGACAGAGCGCAACCGGAGCCTCGAGGTGGTCGTGCGACAAACGAGAGACATGATCTCCAAGCTCAATGACCCGGACTACGCGCAGGACACGGAGGACGGGAAGGCTCTCGGCCGCGTGGCCCACGAATGCACGATTCTGGCCAACCAGATGCTCCACCTTCTCCAAAAGGTCAAAGCCAAAGATCCCAACTCGACCCTTCAGGCTGTCTGGGCAGCACTGAAGAACCAGAGATATAGGGGAGAAATGCTGGAACTGCAAGAACGGCTGGACAGTTGCCGGAATCACGTCGAATTCCAACTGAATTATTTGACCAGGTTTTCCCCTTTCCCCCGTGATCTTGACAGAAGATAACCATCCCCCAGTGCCGAGACAAAGAGCAGATTGGCCGTCCTGGTTGCCTCTACCGAAGGTCTCGCTGATCAATTGGGAATTCTCCAAAAGCATGTCGAGGAACTTCGCTGTGGGACTAAGGTCACGACCCTGAGCCGCAAGGCTCAAGAACAACTCCAAAAGCTTGTGCAGCTCTCAGACGAGACTCTTAGTAAGATCAAACACCAACATGTCCTCGCGGCCCTCGCATATAGTGGCATGGAAACAAGGTTTGAAGAAGTCTCCGAAGAACATCGCAAAACCTTCGAATGGATTTTTGAAGACACCACCGGAAGCCTAGGGCGTGGCGCTTCCAACCAAGAGTCCTTTGTGCATTGGCTGTCTGCTGGAAGAGGCATCTTTCACATATGCGGAAAATTAGGGTCTGGGAAAAGCACATTGATGAAGTTTCTGTGCAACCATCCTCGCACTGAAGCTGAACTACAACACTGGGCGGGTAAGTGTAGGGGAAGTTGCATCGGTTTTTCCACAGCCACAACTAACATGTTCCGAAAGGCGACCGCAAACTCGTATTTGCAAAGTTTTTCTTCTGGAGGGGGGCTACAACAGCGGAACAGAAATCCCTAACTGGTCTTCTTCGGTCGCTCCTCTATGAGACGCTGCGTGCCTGCCCTGAACTCATCCCTGAAGTTTTGCCAGACCTCTGGGCCCAGCTGGACGTGTCGTTGCCCCAGCAGCAGGCAGGGACGAGGCTCGATCTCGGAAAGCTGCGGACTCGACAGGCAGTTTCCAGTCTTATCCACCATCGAAACTTGTACCGGAAACACTGTTTCTGCTTCTTCGTTGACGGACTGGATGAATTTGAGAAAACTGCCCAGGACGGCTATGGAGATCTCATCAGACTGCTTCAAAGTTGGACTGACGCCGCTCCGGAAGCCGTCAAAATCTGTGTCTCCAGCAGAGAGGACCTCGTCTTCATGGATGCTTTTTCTGGGGAGAAAAGATTTCGCCTTCAGGATCTCACAAGAGACGATATCCATCGGTACGTCCAAGATAAACTGCCGGTCATCGAGGCCGACGGAAAAGGTGCAGAGTTGGCCCAAAAGATAACCGAAAGAGCTGATGGAATCTTCCTCTGGGTCGCCTTGGTGGTCAAGTCGATCCGGGACCAGCTGGACGAAAACTACGAGCTCTCCGATGTCCAAGAAGAGCTCGATCGGCTTCCCAGCGAGCTACAGGGACTCTTTGAGTATCTTCTCAAGTCAATTAGCAGGTCGGGCCGCAAGAGAGCTTACCGCACGTTTGCCATGGTGCTGAAATTGCGACATTACGAAATCAACATGCGGTTACTGGCGTATTCTTTTCTCGAAGACTACGAAAGGAGCCCGTGCTTCGCGATGGAAGCATCCTTTCCGTTCTGGGATATGGGTGATTTCAGGCGAACAGGTCGAGAGGAGCTTGCGCGCAAGAAACTGTATCGGAATTGCAGGGGACTTCTCGAAGTGAAAGAAGGCGAGACAGGCATAACAGTCACTCATCGGTCCATCCTGGAATTCCTCGAGAGCCCGACTGTCAAGGCTGAGATGAAGGATGGCATTGATGGCTTCAGTACGGAGGACGCAATTTCTCAACTCTTCCTGGCGGAGTTGCAGTGTCAAAAGAAAACACTTCCAACGTTCCACCTGAGCCATATTGTGTTTGCTGTGGTCGATATGCGAAAGCGAAGCAACATGGATCAAGACCCGTTCCGTTTTCTAGAGACCCTCTGTTCCGCTATGATTTACCACGATGGGGTGCCGACGCTGCCCATCAGGGAATTCATACTCGTGGAGACGGGCCGGGGAGCCGCTGTGGCGACTGGCTTATTCAGAGAAAGCCGTTTTGCTGGCAGTTTCACGACTTCGCCGCTCCATATTTCGGCATTCCATGGAGGATGCGATTACATTGCCTGGAAGTTCCAGCGCGAACCCACCATTGTCGAGAACGCTTTTGAAATCGGTATCATTCTGTGCTGCATTACGCTTCCACCTAAGTTCTATCTCGAATCCTTCGACAAGAAACTGGAGCTGCTCGAGCTCATCCTCAACCGCGGCCTCTCTCCCAACGCCGTCATACACACCTGCAGCCCAAACAGCAACTTTGACGGGGAATTGAGTTTCTGGCAACATTTCATCCTTACTCTTGTGCCCTTGCCGGACAAAGCCAAACGAGGATGTGGGAGGCTGATTCAGATGTTCCTGGAACGCGACGCAGACCCTTATATGTGGATGTCAAAGGGCCAGCCATCTCTAGTGGATCAGCGGGTGCGTTATCCCGTCATAATAACACTTGGGAGAGAGCGATGCCAGACCATCGTGGTGGAGCACGAAAAGTTCTACAAATCGGTTCTACAGCTTCTTGAAGGAGGCAAGGAGATTTCGGTTCGAGAAATGCTTGAGTCTTGGAAACTCGACAATGAGGAGACGATTCTGCGACTGCTCGATAGGAATGTCCGACGACGCGAACTGATGGCGGCGAACGTGGGCATCGTGGCGGACAATCGGGTGCCTGAAGACCAGGAGGAGGGCGCGGACCAGGATCTGGACCTCTCTGACCCTCAGCCGGCGCAGCAACAACTTACACCAGCTTCAACCTTGGAAGAGGCGAAGCATTTAACCACGAAAGACTCTGGGCTATGGGTTAGATTGACGACCGGAATCCATGTCCCTTCATTTGTCTTGGGTAAGTAAGTGCCCGCCTGCTTTTTGGCTGGACCGTGGTGGATGACCATCGCTTCTCTGACGACCGACCTAGGGATCCTTGTGGCTTTCTTCTTATCCCGAATATGGACAATGATGACAACCTTCTCGAGTCTGGGAGAACGGCGTGAGGAGGAGTTTCGCTGCTAGGGGGCTTGCCGAGCGAGCACTTTTCCACGCATTGGGGATTTCTACAATCAAGCCCCAATCGGTGGCTCAATTGGCTCACGAGTCAAGCTGGACGACTAAAAGCTGATAGGACTTTGGGGATCTAGTCTCTTTACTGGATTTTGCCAATGCGGGCGCCATTCACCGGTCACTTGTTTCGATATATCTATGGAGATGCAGAGCGCACGATCTCATACCGTGCCTTGCATCCCCGACGCTATCTCGTATTCCGCCTTACATCCTTGTCCCAAAGCACCTAGGTTGATATCAACATACTTCCGGCATAGAGACGGGATCGACGAACAAATTACCTTCCTCATATCGAGGGGGTGATAATAGTAACAAAAAGGGAAAAAGGACGATGTGACTGAGCGACCTCCCACGGAAATGCTGATCCCGCCAATAACCACGCGATGATCTCGGACCCATTACCGCAGGGTGACGACAACGAGCGCCAACAATATTCGCTGACGGTATAATATTGGATCTCTTCGCAACCCCGGCTGCCTGTCTCCCAGTCTTTACTCTCCGATACGGTTGACAATACTTACTACTTCCCTCCCGAAGGATATACCGTACAAACACGCCCAGAGATATCAAGAGGCATCCGAACCAAGATAATTTGTTGTCCTCGTCCCCGTCGTTACCGTCGTCACACGTCATGTCTGATCTCAAATCGAAAGGAGGAGCGACGATCGAGGAGGGGGATACAGTCAGCACGCCCGTAAGTACCGACTGGACCGTACCTCCCAGTCTACCGTCATGCACCAAGCCAGACAATCGTGCAGAAAAAACACTAACTGACGAACCACACTGTCTTTTGATATACCAGTACCGGGGTGGAAAACATGAAGGACAGGTATGTACTATGTACTACTATGTACTATATAGTTCACAAATCTCCCCTTGGGCGCTCCTCCTCCTCTTCTCCCCTCCCTTCCCGTCACTTTCCCCATTCTTTCTCCCAAACCCATCCCGAGAGGAACTTTCCACAGAAGAACCAGCCAGCCAGAACGTCAATTTAGTCTAGTTACGCAAACCTGGCACTAACCGCTCTCGCGCACACTGCGCACGCGCTTGTGATGCAGGTCGAAAAAATCATCACCAGCAGCGACGCACAGGACGCGCAAAAGGAGCTGCAAACCGCCAAGGGCGCCGGGCACCCACCCGCCGTCGTGTTCACGGACCAGAACGGCAAGAAGGTCGCGCACAAGCCGGGCACGGTGACGGATCTGGATAAGGAGGGTTGAAGGGAAAGTCCAAGCAGGAAACGATGAAAATAGAGCGAGAGCGGGAATCTATTCTGGAATGGAATGGAATGAGAATGTGGATCTTAATGTAGTCGTAGAGTGGTTAAGAGGGAGAGTCAGAGAGGGAGAGGAGGTTGGGGGGGCCAGGGATATAGATTCTCTATGCACGGGAAACATATATACATTATGTAGTGGATATGAATAAGGATATGGTTGATACAGTGAATCAGTATATGTACTGGGACAGGGATGCAGTACAAACGTCGGTCGGTCTCATGATGTCAAGGACGGGCAGCCCGTGTACACTGGAGCCATACCATACTATAATTCAGAAGGGAGGATGAGCGGATGCTACTAGTCCTTCCTTATGTATGATACGGTCAATGAGCTCTCGACATGCTATCCAATCGATCAATCGATCAAGACCCGAATGGAGAAATCATAGTAGACGGCAAGTGCTGGAAACGGACAGACAGGCAGACAGACAGACAGAGCCCCGGCGACTGCTCGCCTCGCATGGCACAACCACATTTCAGATGAGAAAGGCTGGTATGGAAATCTGGACTGGGCCTAGAAGACCGACGATGATCAATGGAGGATGATCGATGAGGACGACTTCGCAAGGGATGTTAAGGGTATCCATTTCTCCCCCCTTTCCCTCCTCCTCAGCCAACATACCTGTCTAACTACTTGACCAAAGCCATCATAAACCCGTCATAGTTCTTCTCCGCGACGGTCTGGAGCACGACCGCGTCGACCCTGTCATCCTTGCCCACGGCCTCGATGAGCCTCCTCGTGCCGGCGATGCGCGGGTCGTCGCGGGCGGCCGGGTCGGCCAGCTGTCCGCGCCGCACCACGTTGTCGACGAAGATGCAGGTCCGCGGCTTGACCATCTGCAGCGCGGCCTCGAAGTAGGCCAGGTTGTTCTCCTTGTCGGCGTCGATGAAGACGAAGTCGAAGGGCGGGCGCGCGCCGGTCCGCACCTCGTCGACCAGCCGGGGGAGAACCTCGAGACCGGGCCCGAGGAGGACGGTGACGCGCTCGCTCAGCCCCGCGTGCGCGATGTTCTCCTCGGCCACCGCCTTCGTGTCCGGGTTCACTTCGACCGTGGTGACCTGCCCGTCCGGCCCCGCCCCCGACGCCATCCAGATCGCCGAGTACCCGCCAGCGTGCCGACCTCGAGGATGTTTTTGGCGCCAGTGACCTGAATCTGCAGCGACAGAAACTTGCCCTGCGCGGCGAAGACGGCGATGTCCGGCAGGCCCTTCGCCTGGGAGTTGGACCGGGCATATTCCAATGCCTCGTGGTACGGGTTTCGCGACGGGCTCAGCAGGTGTGAGTTGGCGTACTCGTCCACGGCCGTCCAGCGGGGGTCGTGCTCGTGGTTCACCGGGTACGACGATGCCATGGTTGCTAGAATCCTGTGCTTGGCCACAGGTGTGTCTTTACACTTCGAGACTAGTATGATCGTAGTTGGATTTTGTAGGTGTCGTATAATACAATAAGAAATGAGTCACCCTGTTCGTCGAGGAGACACTACAGTACAGGCCTTTTAACCTTTGCTTCGGCCTCGGCCTTCCGTCGTCCCAGCTCGGCCGATATGTCTGGATGTAGAGGTGTCGCCAGAACCGTGGCGATGGCGTACTCCCCGTCGTGGCTGATGCTGAGCTGGGCCGTCTGCTCGGTCACGGTGTTGCAGGCAGTGATGGAATGATCCGAACCTGTCAGACGCGTGTCGCAGATGACATGGACGGCGCCGTCGGGATCAATTCCGACCCTCAGATCGCGGAAGCTGAGTAACGGCGCGCCCCAGGCCTTTTTGGCCGCCTCCTTGGACGCCCAGCGCCCGGCGATCCACGCCGTCACCTGTCGCTGTTGCTGTTGTTGCTGCTGCCTCGCGAGCTGGTGATCTGCATCTGTCGTTGCGTCGGAATAATCCCAGTACGGGAAGCGGCGTCTGAGATCCTCCAGCTCCAGGGGCACCAGGAATCGATTGGTGAGGCGCACCAGGCGTCGTACGTCGGATTTCAACAGCGACGAGATGCGGGTCGTGGCCACGATGTCGGTGCCGATGCGCAGCGCCAGCGGGAAGGGGGCTCGCATCCGGGAAGATTATTATTATTGTTCAAGAGGTGGACAGTCGGTCTTCTGTCTCTGTAATTATGTCGAGTAACGAACGAATGAAGAGCATCCATTCTTCACGAGAGAAGTTGGTGGCGGACAAAGACTCATCGCGGCGAATTTCAGCCACAGAAACTCTCCTTCCAGGTTGGGCATCTTGATGAAACGGCACAATAATCATCATAGTCACGCCTGACAAGAGGCCATTCATTGCTCGAATCATCGTGCTGCTATCTACAACCCTCTGGCTACACACCGAGCGCTATCACATCCCCCGGAACACCATGTCCTTCTTTACCTGTTACACCACATAAATATCTCCCGTGCCTTTTTCCACGCGCAACTCCGCATCTGGCGGGGGCCCGAGGCCGAAGAATATGAATGATTAACACGGCATCGATCTCCTCGTTCTGTTCTTGTATCTGTGTCGCAGCAGTCCCCAATCTCCTGTTTCCCCCGTAGAAGATCAAAAACATCGTCAGCCCCCAAGATGAAGCATATCAAGTGTGCAGGAACGCCCTACGAGGTGAGATTACTTTACCAAACTCGTTAGATCCTTCTTTTGACGTCTCCTCCAGATTGGTCGTCAGCATGGCGAGGCAGCCAAACCCGAGGTCCACGGGAGCATGGCCTTCTATGGCGCCTTCTTCAAGGAGAGGGCGAAGCTTTCGTGGCCACAAGTCCAGGATGTCGCTCGCAAGTCCCTGCCCTGGCTGCAGAATGCCTACCCAGATTATGTGGAGGAGATGCAGGGCGTGGCCGATGGCGCTGGACTCGATCTTGAGTCGATTGTCGCACTGAATGTCCGCACCGAGATTGCCTTTGGCATGTTGAGCGATGGCTGCACCGCCCTGGCCTGGAAGACGTCAGATGCGAGTTTCCTGGCGCAGAATTGGGATTGGAATTTTGACCAGACGCCCAACATCATCTGTCTGTCGATCGAGCAGCCGGGCAAGCCCAAAATTCACATGATGAGCGAGGGAGGAATCATTGGCAAAATTGGCATGAACTCGGCGGGCGTCGGGGTCACACTGAACGCCATTCAAGCGCCTGGCGTCTCTTTCGACAAGCTGCCGTGCCATCTGGCGCTGAGGACGGTACTCAATAGCACGTCGAAAGAGGCCGCAGCCGCCGCTCTGCGTAAAGCAGGATTGGCGTCGGCGTGTCACATCACCATCGCTGACGGGGCGACCGGGGGTGTGGGATTTGAATGCACCGCCGTGGACATTGTGGAAATGCCCATGGACACGGATGGCGCATTGCGTGGATCCTGCACTCACTCCAATCACCTGGTCAAGAAACACAAGATTGAGGGGGACATGTTCATCAACGACTCCCCCTTCAGGCTGGACCGGATTCAACAGCTGATGAGGGACATGGGCAAACCGTCCATGCAAAATATCAAGGAGATGTTGAAGGATGAGAGGAACTATCCGGCCGCTATCAACCGAGCTGTCGGCGAGAAAAGCACCAGCCAAACGCTGTTTTCCATTGTCATGGACTTGAAGCAAGGCTTTGCCGAAGTCAAAATGGGCCGACCGACCGAGGATGGAGAAGTGTTCCAACTGAGGCCGTAGGAGAAATTGCGACCAGGGCCTCCCTCTGGTGTGGTGGTTTTTGCGATCCGTCTAGCTTATGTACAATGCGTAAGGTTCGTCTGAACCGTATCTTCTCTAATGCGCCTCCTTGCCCGAGATCTTGTTCCCCTTGTCTTCTTGCTCCACCTGTTGTAAAAACTCTCTGCCAAGCTGTTAGAAACAGTGTGCTGGGAGCGAATGACCGGGCCAGCTCCTTACTGAATGAACTTCTCCTCGTCCTTGCTCGAGGCGTTGATCGGGGGGGTGGATGATTTCTTGGCTCCACCACCTCTCGTCAGCAGGTAGGGAAGACCAAATGCGGTGCTGAGCGTAGCAATAGCCAGCTACAGAAGGTCAGTCAGTCAATCTGCTCAAAACCAGGACATTCTTCCACGCGGATTGGATCGTGACATGAAGAATCAATCACGGGTCACATACCCAGTGTGATCCGACCTGGCGGCCTGCGACGTTGTACATGGCAACCATCTTGAAAACTGAGAAGAGAGAACTGTTCGAGATGTTGGGGAGATGGTTCTGGCTGCAAAAGGACGAGGACGAAGACGAAGACGAAGCAAAGTCGAACTGCGGAGCGAGATTTTGCGTCTGAGCTGCTGGAGCTCTCATTGAATGGCCCGCCGGACACTGACTAATACTCTCTCTACGGCGGGGCATGCGACCGCTGCCCGCTGCCAGCTTCGTGTCTCCGGCGAGAAGCTTGGAGGCCCCGGAAGGTCCAGGCACGCAGGCAAGGAACGGGTCAACTGTCTTGTCCTTTTTCTTTGCCTCCCCGTCGCATGTCCTCCTCCTAAATGTGAGCCAGCTATATTACGCGACAGGCAACCGCAATCGTGCCTGTTGAGTTTGGCCATCCATATTCTTTCCCACCATGTCCGGCCGAGAGGGAGACCGTCCGAACTCTGCCTTTCCCCGCGAGCAGCTCAATAAAGACCTCCAAAAGCTGGTCGACAAGCAAGATGACTGGATGGACAGCTTTTACGAGGGGGAAGGGCCGGACACCACCGACACGAGCGTGCGATATGCCGCATATGCAAACCGGCTGCGGACCATCATGTTGAGTGCCCATCGATACGTTGCGTATACTTCAGACATTGGCGAGTCCTTTCGCCCCGTCGCCCATCCGATCATGGTCAGAAGTGCATACGCCGTCTCGTGGGCATATGTGCTCGGCGATGTTGGGCACGAGGGGTGGAAGGCATACAAGAGGAACCAGAGGCTGCTGCATCCTCAAGCTGAAGAGGGCTCGGACGACAAACCAACGGAACCCATGGGCAAGGTCGACGCCGAGGCACTCCAACATCCCGTTCACATCCCTGCGATTGAAGACTATAGGGCCGTGATGGCTCAACGAGCAATCTTCCAAAGTCTCGCTTCGATGGGACTGCCGGCATTTACCATCCACTCGGTCGTGAAGTATTCGGGGAAGGCGCTCAAGAGTGCGGCAAATCCAGCCATAAGAACATGGGGCCCGATCGGAGTGAGTTGAACTGTCCAAAACTTACGAGCAGACAACTGATATGATGATGACAGCTCGGTCTCGCGGTAGTCCCGGCACTGCCATATCTCTTTGACAAACCGGTGGAAGAGGCTGTCGAGTGGACGTTCTACCAGGCCTTCCGGGCCATCGGCGGAGAGAACGCAGTGGGCAACCGACACAGCACCGGGAGGAAGGAGGCATTGCAGGCCGAAGCAAAGATTGCCCGGGAAAAGAAGGACCTGTAACGGGAAAAGGAGTTCTCTGGGGACATATTTGGTGCACACACTCGACTTTGTCTGGCATATAAAACCATTTCCACTCGATTTGCCTTACTGTCCTGTCCTACATGGCATGAAGCCGGCGGCGGCTGATCTCGGGAGCGCAATGGGTCACCGAGAAGGGGGTATAAAGCTTGGTCCGCATATGCTCCGAGAAGTATACATATATATTCGAATATATCTACGAAGTACTCAATCTCCAGTGGCTCTCAATTCTTCCATTCTCCATATTGCCCGACAATATGGCAAGCCTGATACTTGGTGGAACCGGGCCGATGTCGGGTCGGTGGACAATGACCCGAAGTTCTTCTGTACCTGATAGATTGATTGACTCAAAATGAATTTCCCAGTCGACCATGACCTCGCTCAGCAACACGGTCAGTCAGGCGAAGATGACCTGAAATGATCACACGGCTCTACAGGATCTAGCCGGTCACTATCTCAAACGAGACGCAGCCGACCGAATTCACGACGACGGCTTCAATGCGCGGCGCACAGGAGTCTCCGCCGCGACGACGACGATGCCTCACCCGCACCGACCTCTCCTCGAGTCCAAACCCGATGAGAAACTGTCGGAGAAGCTGCCCGTGTGTCCCACGACAGTCCCTATCCCCAAACCGCAGATGCTCCTCCCTTCGATGAGAGACGTGGCTGTGGAACAGAAGAGACCAATGCAATGGAATACAAAGAATCTGGGGTTGCGACTGGGCGCAGATGTTGTCTCTGCCGCCAGCGCTTCCGCCCTGATCGCGCCCATCATCACTGTTATAGACCGGTACGTACTTCCTGGGAGGTCTCAGATCCATCAATTGTGCCGAAGAACGGGCGAGCCGAGACCGTTGCGACCTGACACGAGCCTCTGTCCGGGGGTGTTTGTCTGCTCAACGTTTCGCTGTGGCGCTGTCGTCCATACCGACGTTGAAGGAGGTGCCACTGACAGTCAAGACCAGATCCATCGTTGAGAAAGCAGCGAATGGTGCCTCCTTCTCATCCTGCCTTCTGCGCTCCCTGCATCCGGCCGTCACCCGTCCACACGCCTTCATCTTCTCCAGGCCGTTCCTGCTCATCTTCAGCCTGTATTTCTCCACCTACACGACGGCCAACGCTGTCGATACGTTCCAGTCGACCGTGGCGTCAACACCGGCCTCGACGGTTTCTTCGGGCGCGACCAAATTCATCGCCACATCCTCAGTCAACATGAGCGTGTGCGTGTACAAGGATTCCCGCTTCGCGAGGATGTTTGGAGCAGCAGCCTCGTCCTCTTCACCGGCAGCCGCCGCCGTCGTGCCCAAGCTCTCCTACGCCCTCTTCGCCGTGCGGGACTGTCTGACCATCTTCGCGTCGTTCAACCTCCCGTCCATCATAGCGCCGCAACTCGCGAACCTGCCCCCGGAGGTGCGGTCGCGGTTCTCGCGCATTCTCTCCACGGAGGCGGGCAGGACGAATACCGCCCAGTTCATGGCGCCGGCCGCCATCCAGTTGATCTCGACCCCGATTCATCTGCTGGGGCTGGATCTGTACAACAGACAGGGCCGATTGGGGTTTGGCGAGCGATACTCTCGGGTTGTCAGGGATTGGGGGATCAGTGCTTTGGCTCGTATGGGGAGGATCATTGTAAGTGCAGCATTTCCTCCCTTTCCGCACACACAACAGGAACCGTGATGAGATCGACAGCTAACTTATTATATCAACCACACAGCCCGCTTTCGGTGTCGGCGGCGTCGTCAATGCGAACATGAGGAGAAATTTCATGACCAACATCGAAAAGCTATGAGACTTTTTGTTTTTCCTCTTCCTAACGCCTGCAATGACTCACTCGTTCATTCACGGCGCTTATGGTTTGTCTGTCATGAAACCCACGACATTTCGGCACCGGTGTGCGGTAGATAAAAGTGTGGGAGGCCAGGTCGTTCTTCAAATTTGCGTGTGAGTGTTTCGGTAGGGCATCTGCAGCCTACAGTGAGGAGGGAGCCCCGGCCCCGGAGGAACTACATCTGTACCTACCTGGTAACCAACTACCCAATGTACAGTGGTATAGTAACCCGTTAATATGTAATGCTTCCATCACGTATGCGTCGGGCACAGGACCGGGCTCGCGCCGTGGATCCAAAATATGTATGTATGTATGTATGTATGTATGTATTTACAGGTCACTGGTATGTATGTATTTGAGCCGCTGGGCCCCATCCACCCATACATACATGTGAGGTCAAACAGATGTGGTGTGTGGTGTGTGCGATCTTCCTCTTTCTTCCGTGGTTGAGAAGACATGATGAAAGCGTATTCCAAAATAGCCTCCCGGGCGAAAAGATAGTTGGTTGACCTGACAAACAATCCAAAAAGAACCGCTTTTTCTCGTTTGTCCTGCATCTCTGAGGATGTCCCTTGTTCTTCTTCTCCTCGTCGTCGCCGCTCACTCACTCCATCATCCCACTCATTCCACTGCATACACACAGAGAGAGAGAGAGACAGAGAGAGAAATTCAAGCTCCATAACTCTGCCTAACCTTCTCCCTTAACAGATCCAATCCCACGGCCCGGCGCCACCACTCGTCCCACCAGCCGACGGGCCAGAACGTGCAGTTGTAGAACCAGGTGCGCCAGGCGCCGGTGCCGCGCCAGATCTCGAGCGGCAGCCCCCGGCCGGCGCGGCGATTCCAGGGCGTGAGCACGTCGCGCACGACGGCGGCGGCCCAGCGGTCCGGGTCCTCGCGGAGGGGGAAGGCGTTGCGCATGGCGCTCTCGGTCTGGTCGCGCACGGGCGCGTAGATGCTGTCCCGCGGCAGGCTGGCCTGGCCGTGCTGGTGGTTGGCGTGGAAGCGCGAGTGCACGCACCCGGTCTTCAGGTCGATGACGTGCACGCCGAACGGCTGCAGCTCCAGCCGCATGTGCGTCGAGAACATGGCCGTCGCGGCCTTGCTGGCGTGGTAGGCGCTGTTGTGCGGCGTGGGCTCGACGGACGAGACGGACGTGTTGTTCAGGATCAGGCTTGGGGGAGGAGGGAGGTGAGATGTAGATCGGGCAGAGGTTGAGGTTGGTGTAGGTGGTTTGGCGGCGTTGATCAGCAACGGGAGAAACGCCTGCGTGACGGCGATGCAGGACCACACGTTCAGGTCGAACAGGGCTTTTGCCTCCGGGATCGATATGTCGGCCACGGGCATGTTGTAGCCTTTTTCCCACCCCGTGGCGAAGAGTGTTTGTTAGTTTAGTCCTTTCCGCAACAGCAGGTGTCTTGGGAGCATCAAAGCTAGAAGAATTCATGCCACATCGAGAACGATGAGGGAGGGTATCGCGTTGGATACTCCCAGTTGGTCATTCCCTCACGACCACCATGAACCCACACCCCCTGCGTTGGACAGCTCATCCCTACATCACCCAAGACAACCGGCAGCCCCAAAAAACACAAAAGACCCAGGCCATACCAGAAAGAAAGAAAGAAACGAAAGAAATGAAAGAAATCAGGGAGAACATACCTCCACCGGCATTGTTGACCAGACAATTCAATCTGCCCTCGGCCTCGGCCTCGCCGTCGCCATCATCTCGCCGGGCAGTCAAGCCCCTGACCGTCTGCACGCAGCGTCTGATGCTCTCCTCATCCAGCACATCCAGCTGCAGACACTCGATGCCCCGCGCCCGCAAGTCGGCCATCCTGTCCGGGTCGCGCGCCGTGGCGAACACGCGCAGGCCGGCGTCGTGGAACGCGATCGCCAGGGCGTGGCCCAGTCCGTGCGCCGAGCACCCCGTGATCAGCACCGTTCGGCGCGTGTCGGGTTGGACTGGGACGGTGGTGGTGGTTGGAGTGGTCTGGGTCGCCGCCATGTCGGGTCCAGTGTCGTGCTTCTTCTAGATCTGAAAATACTGGCTGGATCAATTGAGCATGGGACCGTGGCGGTGGTTCCCTTGCTTGAAGCTGCCGTGGCTCAGAAAGTCTTGTCGAGGCGCGGTGGATCTTTTTCTTCCTCCGTGCTAGATATATGTCAGACGCTGTAGGACCGTCGAGTGTATCATTGAGGTGGAAAGTGTCTTTGCATATCCACATAATAATAATTTAATAAACTTCGCGACGGCCAAAAAAGGAAGGTAGATTCTACAGGGACAGGTTTACACACCGACAAGGCCACAATGTCGAACCACGCGTCAAATCGAGGAGACTGGCGGTCAACCCGTGCTCGTCAAGAACCTCCCGGCCGTGTATAGTCTAATATTGGCATCGTTTCTGGGTACCTAACCTCGACAAGTCGCCCCTTTTCAGCGGCCTTGCCAGCAGCCCCGCATATACAATAGACCTCAACTTGTTCCCGCGACCAACATCATCATCGTCCAGGACTAGGAGAAGCAATCTACAACGCTGCCAAAGCCAGGTGGACAATAAGAAACCGTGCAATGACCACCGAGACAATCGGATTTTGGAGCAGAGGCGCTATAAAGTAACAAACTAAGAGGAAGAGCGGACCGGGTATGTACATCATAATGCTACGCCTCCAACCGCAAAACATGCAATACATCAACTGAGTGCTTCCACGCATCACGTCTCGTATCCGCGGGCATTTTCAATCCGGACAAACCTCACATCCGGTCTCCTTCATCGGGAACTTTCTGTGCTGAAGATCCCCGGTCTCTGACCGGTCATGACAATCCGCTTTCTTGGTCCTTGGACTTCTCCATCCTCGACTCCTCTCTGCTGCTGGGCGTGCGCGCTTAGCCCTTCTGCGACAAATCCGATAGAGTAGGCGCCGAGACCCAGAGCTGCCACAGTCAACAGCGTGTATTTAAAGCCACGCGTTAGTCGCTTCCAGAGCCCTTCGCTCTGTGTTTCATGACTGTCCCTGTCAGTATTCGACCCTGGAGCACCCCCGTCTGTCGCTGGGGATGATGACGAGGACGACGCATTTGGACGGATTGTCCCAGAAAAGACATTCTCTTGCCTTCTCACTCTCGGCGCACTTCCAATCGGACGAGATGGAGGGGCTGTCGGAGCGGCTGGACCCGGGAGAGGGTTCAACTCGGTGGGCAGTCCATCCAACACCGTGGCAGCTTCCTGATCTGGTAGCCGAGGAGAGTCGTGGGCTTCAGAGTTCGATGTTGCCTCGTCTGGCAGTGATTTTGCCTCTGTTACCGCCTGCGACACACTTGAACCACCAGCATGTTCTGATGGCTTCTTTTGAAAAATCAACATGTTCTCGGTTCCATTATACAGCGAATATCCTGCTCTTTGCATTGTTTGGAAATGCTTGAGAAATTCCGGCGCGTTTTTAAGACGTCCTAGAATACCAATCACGTTATTGGATTTGGGCATTTCGGTGGTTGGTTGATTCATCGGAGAAAAGTTGACCTTCTCGGCCAAGGTGTCATAGGTGAGGATGAGATACGGCGAGTCGAACTTTCGGATTTTCATGCTCTCGATTGGTGGTGGTTGCTCATCGTTCCAAACTGGTGATCCCGATGGGGTGTGAACTGGTTCAGGTACCGTTTTCGGCTCCTTCTCGGTCGTTTGCATCTCAGATTCGATATGTGTATCCTTTTCACCAACGGCTTCGGGAGTCTTCTGCACGTTAAGGTCAATCCTCTTCTTACCAAAGTCGGAACCCGACAGCTGAGGAGCACTCCAAGCAATTGCTGGCCTTCCGCTTTCGATCCGTCGAATCGTGTTCTGAGCTTCATGTAGCTCCCGCCTCACCTCTTTGGCCCCCTGCATAACGTCGCTTAACTTGTGGAGAGGTGGTTTCGCTTCCTCGGCTGGGCTTGCTACCTGTCTCAACCCTTCAAGCTCCCGAGCCTTGATGGCAACATCTCGCAGCTCGGCACGGATCTGCTTCATCTCGTCCACGATCCTTGCATAATTGGGCTCAAATTTGCTGATATGATCATCAATCACTGGATTCGTAGACACTCCTGGTCGAACGCTCGCCGTAGATAGCGGGTGAGGTCTGGATAGATTAGGTCCAGAGGCGGAAGACGCAGCTTCGGGCTGAGGAGAGGGTGGTGTAGGCTGCCTATGTTCGGGGTTGATGGGCCCATATTCGCTCTCATAGACCGCTTGTATATCTGCAGCCAATCGCGACACCTGGGCCGTTTCCACTTCGGCAATTCTCTTCGCATTCTCCGTCGCCTCGCGTAGGTCAGCTGTCCGTTGCATGCCTTCTTTATCATCCACGAGGACATCGTGTGAAGGAGTAAAAGGTGCCAATGTTCGGGGTTTGGGATTGGACTTATAAATGGAAGGAGTTTTGCTCAATGATTCGTCTTTAAAGACGAGCTTGTCGGTCAATCCCTTAACCGCGTCGGGCCGAATATACTTCTTGTAGTTCTCGTTGAAATTCGTCATGGACTTCATTGTTTTGGCGACGATTCCATTGGGGTATTCCCGGATGTGCTCCCACACATTGTTGAGGGTTTTAGTCAATTTGTTGGTGGGAGCGTCGAGCTTCAGGGTCTTGGGCGGGACGATGTCTTCGTTTGCGGCGTCTTTTTGACGGGCCTCGAAATCAGTTTCAAGTTGTGCCCTTGAAGTCTTCTTCAAGTCCCCAGTCTCCGATTTCTCCTTTGTTGACGCCGCCACTGCATCACTTGTTCCCGTATCTTTTTCTGTCGAATGAGGGAGCCGGATAGATGCAGAAATTTGCCGATCGAGAGCAGTCTGCAGTCTGGTCACCTTGCCCTTTTGATCGTGAGCAGCTTGTGCTTTCACTCTGTCGAGGGCCGGCTCAAGCCTATCCTTGGTTTCCTTGATAGGTTCATTGATGGAAGAGTCCGCCGCGTCCATGGCATTTTCTGAACCTGGAGTCTCTTGCCGGAAACCTTCTTTGACCAGCCAATCTGACGCATTGACGGCCGCTTCCTTCCGAGCCTTTGCCTCGTAGGTGGTTCCTGAGAATAGCGGCAGAGTATCATCTGGCTCAGGCGACTCTCGAACCTTCTTAGGAGCAGTGGTGTCCATGGCAGCTGTCTCCAACTCAGGCTGTGCGCTGACCTCCGTGAACGGGGCAGTGGTGTCGATGTTGTTACCCTTGGCTCGGGTCATCAGATCCCGGAATTCTTGTTTTCTCGAGCTGTCAAACCCCTCGGTTTTGGTAGATGTGGCTGTTTGTTCATCAGTACTTTTCTTTGCCAAGTCACCATATCCGTAGACTTTGTGAGGCTTATAGGTCTTGACTGGTATATCAACCCCATGTTCTTGGAAGAACAGACTCTTCAAGAATGGCTGCTTTAATGGGTTATTGGGCGATAGTGTTTCTGGTTTGGGTCGCTCGGATTGCTTTTCAGGTTCCGGTACTACAGGTCGGTGTTCTCGCTGAGGCTCTTCCTTTTGTTCAGGCTCGGCCGGTTGCTTCTTTACGAGGATCTTTCTCATAGAGATTGGATCGTATTCATATTCCTCCTCAATACCATCCGTAGCCGACTTCTTGGTGGCTTGCTCCGAGAAACAGGTTTCTCTTTCAGTTGAGCTTTTAGTATCCACATTCGGAGTAGGGTCTGGCTCCTTAACACCTGGGTCCTTCTTGATCTCCTTCGGGTCTGAGAACCACGAGAAGGAGGTCCACGATGAGTTATTGGAAGATGGAGGACTTTGCAACCGCCTTCCGAACAAAGTTCCGTACGGGTCTCGTGCAATAGCACGATCGACAGCCGCCCGAAAAGCATCGAAGTCGTTGTATATAGTCCGAGCCTCATTGGCTTTCTCATGATCAGGCTCCTTTGCTTCCTGGCCTGGGGCTCCCGTGGAAGACAATGGCTTGTAATCGCAATATCGGCTTGCCCAAAGGCGATGATGACGCCACGGCCGGACATACGTATCTTCTGACTCCCACAACGCTCTCCTTCGAAGCACTTTGTAGTATCTTGACTTCATTATCTTGTGGTGTCTTCTCATGCGCTCTTCAAAGTCCTCGGTGGGAGACCAAGGGTTCCCTGTCTGCCGTCCCCACCACCAAAGTGTTCGAGCTTGGACTCTATTGACCGAATAGGTTCGGGGAACTCTGGATCTGGGATGGAGGGTCCTCATGTTGGCGGATAACGGGCCTTTCTGGAAAGACGCCATTGGCATTCTGGGCGAGTCGTCTTGAGGCTTAACCAGCTGCCAGCACCGAGAGAACTGTGCTTATGGTTCAATGGGTCGCAATATTCGAGATCTAGGAGAGCGCGACGAGATGGCGGTGTCGCCAGAGAGCAGCTATGTCGTTGGAGAAGGACCAGCAACGGCAGCCCCCAGACGAACTAGGATCAGGTAGACATGGGCACGCACTCGACGATACTGCGGGTTCACACCCCGAGGCAAGGGATAATCACTGTGCCCTCCAAGGTCAAAGAGGAGATAGGTGACGGTTATAGCACCGCATTGAAAGATGACCAATTGGCCGAGATGAAACTAACGCAGGCGACTGAAGGAGAGCATGGGCGACGTGGAGGATGAGGAGATGGAGGGGTAGCGGACGAGTAAGCGCCGCCTGGCGATAGCGATACGCGATGCGGGATGCGGAGAAACCGCGTTCCGTTGCCATATGTTTCATGGCTGCTGGCAAATGCATTCCGCACTCGATGATTTTCTGCCATCTTACCAGACGATTGCTGTTGTCGATCTGACATTATATTCAGCCCACGGCGCACCTGAACCATTTCTGGAATCAAGATGCGACGCAAAACTACCTCAGACGGGCATAAAAATCGTATCATACAATTCGTTCATTCGTCACCCCTCTTCTTGGTGATGGTATCCACGACCCTGCCATAGAACTTGGCGGCGTTGTGTCGGGCGAAGGTAATGTCCTCGGTCAGATAGCTAGGCATCAATTTCATCATCTCGTGGTCACGGTCGCGATCCAGCAGTGGCGTGTATAGGTATTCTGTTTCCTCAAAACTCATCCCTTTCGCGATTTCCTGATCGATAAACAGTCTGAAATGCAATGCTTTTCAATCGTTAGCTCAGTAGCACAGCAGGATTATAGGTCAAACTCACTCCCGTTACGACCAGTCTGGATACAATCGAATGTATCACCTTCTTCCGTCTTTTTTACGTTGAGAATAACGAGTCCTGTAAGATCGCTATACAGCTCCTCCTTCATTTGTGCAACCTGCACGGCCTGGGCAGCTTCTCCAGACAAATGGCGTGGTCCAGTACTTTTCATGGCGCTGCTAGGAGGTTTTGGGTTGTCAACAGATGAGGCTCGTGCTGCTACCAACTTGGCTTCCAGTCCTTTGATCTCGTTTTGAGCATCAGCTAGAGAGGTTGAGAGCTGCAATGCCGTGCCACGTAGCCGTTCCATCTCCTCTTCCTGGGTCTGCATCTGTTTGCGGAGCTTGCGCGCCTCGTGCGCCAGCGGTGCCTGCGTAGCCAGCTCCTTCTTGAGCGATGCAATCAAGTTATTTGACGCCTGCATGGTGGCATCACATTGCTTCCGGAGCCTCTCCATATTTGCGTTTGCCTCGTTGATGCCCACCTCTTTGAGATTACGGTATTTCAAGTCCACATTCTCGAATTTGCGGGTGATGTCTCCTAACTTGCGCCGAAGATTAGGATTGCTTCGTTCAGTGTCGGACGCGCTTCCAGCTCGTCGTCGGTAAGGCGGATCCTGCCTCGTTCTGGAAGCATCTCTCGCAATTTCTCTGCCATTTGGTACTATAACACCTCCCAACTCTTCACTTGTTGTCTCGTTCTCCTCGTGTTGCAGCTCCGGGTCAGGAGACTGAGGTTGTTGAGCCGCTCTCGACTTTGCGGGAGCTCTCACTTTGGCCGAGACTTTCAGGGCTTCTTTCTTTGTTCGAGATGGGGCGTGCTTTGAACGCACGGCCGCAGGCGACACCTCTATCAACTGATTTTCATTCTCGACCGTCTCTGCAGAATCAGGAGCTGCTTTCGTCTTCGCATTTGTGCGCTTTCCTCTCTTTGCTTTTGGTGGGATTGGTGGCTTCTCCGCCTCGGAGTTTCTCAGCGTGTCATCGAGATTGCCATTGGAATCTTGGTCATTCGCGTGATCCTCGACCGCCTTGCGCTTCACACCCGCCGGTTGTCTTGAAGAGGGCTTTTTCGCCTCAGGTACGGTACTCTTCTGTGATTTCGATTTCGCTTTCGGGGGCATTGTGACGCGTTGTCTTTTCTTGCCTCGTGTTGCCTGCGCTGATTTCGTGGTAGTGGCATCGGTCGTGTCGGAGGCGGATGACAGAATTGAATTCTCATCGATGAAAGGTCCCGCCTCCTCCATGTCAGAATCGATGAGATCTGCAATGCCCTTCATATCAATGCGCAATCAGTGAATGTAAGGCCAGGAGTCAATGCATCGGCGTCATTACAATGACAAGTAGGTGAGTCGAAACAGGAAGGTCATGTAAACAAAGCTATGCCACTTTTGAATTTTGACCTAGCCTCGGAACCTTACCAGCCACAGTAGAAGTGGCAACCCGGCGCAGGCAGGCAAGCCTCATCACAAGACGGCTCGACGGATCACCCCTTCGTCCTCAGGAACGTCGCTTTCTCAGGTTGTCCATTCCAACAATTAATGCATCTCACCGCCATACCCTCCGCCGTCCAGATTTACCTTCGATGATGTCTCCCGATAGAGGCGATGGCGCCTGGTGGCACCGGGTCCTGCAAGAACTCGCCATTACAGTTCCTTTGGTATGCCTATACGATGGTACCGGGTCGGCTGTCTAACAAAACTGCAGATGTTTGGGGGCTACTATGTCATCAAGTATGTCCTCGCACAGATGAACCTCGACCCCGAAGCCGAACAAAAAGAGCAGAATCGCTTGCAGTCCGCCGCAATACTACGACGACTCGACGATCCTCAGCAGAATCAACTTGCAAAACAACTAGGTTCGGATCGACCGCCGAGAGAAAGCCTACGCCTGTCTCAATATGAAGAAGTCATCCTACAAGAGCTGGTGTTTCCAGAGGATATATCTGTGTCCTTTGACGATATTGGTGGTTTATCAGATATCATAGAAGATCTTCGAGAGTCGGTTATATATCCTTTGACCTTGCCAGAACTCTACTCTACGTCTTCCTCTCTCCTGGCGGCGCCTTCGGGTGTCCTCCTATATGGTCCTCCCGGTTGTGGGAAGACCATGCTGGCCAAAGCTCTCGCACATGAAAGCGGTGCATGCTTCATCAACCTGCATATTTCGACCGTTACCAACAAATGGTTTGGCGATTCCAACAAATTGGTCAACGCAGTCTTCTCCCTAGCTCGCAAGCTAGAACCGGTGATTGTCTTCATCGACGAAATCGATGCAGTCTTGGGCACGCGACACAGTGGCGAACATGAAGCAAGTGGAATGGTCAAGGCCGAGTTCATGACGCACTGGGATGGATTGGCTTCTTCCTCCACTTCCGGTCGGCCCCAGCGAATACTGATCCTCGGTGCTACCAATCGTCTACAAGACATTGACGACGCTATCCTACGACGAATGCCGAAGAAGTTCCCTATCTCGCTTCCCAATGCCTCTCAGCGCCTCAAAATCCTGAAAATCATACTCCGAGATACCAAGCTGGACATGGAGAATCTCGACTTGGAGTATCTGTCAAGAGTGATGGCAGGCATGTCGGGAAGCGACATCAAGGAGGCGTGTCGGGAAGCAGCAATGGTGCCTGTCCGTGAGATGATCCAACGACAGAGGGAAAGCGGGCAGCGCATGGAGACCATGAAAGCGGGAGATGTGCGAGGTCTTCGTACTGCCGACTTCTTCCTACGAGCACGTGCCACCAAAGCCGCTCAGGACGCAAAGAGAGACAAAGATGAAAAGGAATGGAGCACCGAGTCATCATCCCCGGTCGCAGACGACGTGGAGGACGCAGTGGAAGAGTTGCACCAACCAGACTAACAGTGTGCAGTCCCGCTCTTGGTCTTTTCTCAGGCCGGTCCGCCTGCCATTTGGTGCTTCTCAACAGAACGTGGGACAATCTCAGGTACGGGCGTAATAGGCAGTTTAGGTCTAAGCTAAATGGTAAACATACAAGAAATACACATCTTGGCCTAGTTTTATGCAGCAGCCACCGAATGCATAGAGGCATGAGCGACGAGAACACGAGGGGAAGCGTGGGCAGCTCGAAAATCAATCGGAAGGCTTTTCCCATTTTGACTGGTGCATGAAAGCAAATCGAATCAAATCAGTCGGCGAGGACAGTATGCTTTTTCAGAGAATCTCGTAGTAGCATGATATTGTAGTGCAAGCCCCGGTACCCCGCAAAGATCAAGCTACGGGCGGGTTTGAAGTGCGCCTAAGGGCACCAGGGAGGGGAGGGGGGAGTCGAAGGCGGGTTTTGCGGGCAGCCTCTTGCCAGGGCTTGTAGCCTGGACAATTACGGAGTACGGAGTACGGCCATGGCACTATGGGCACTGCATGGCCACACTAAAAATTTCCCTTCGGCTGATCAGTGGCCAGCCCTCGCACCCACCATACGCGTAGTGCGGGAGACGGCGAGACGGTACCAGGGCCTGGCACTCTGCTACTCATGTGCTCTCTGTATCCAGAACCACCAGATCGCTTTCTACAAGACCCTGTCCACTCGTATCCGATTTTCCCCAGGCCGACCTTGTCACCGCCTCGTCCACTCTCCTTGTTGTTGGTTGCCTCAGGGCTGTGATGCGCCTTCATTTCTACGGAGCGTAGACCATATTCGCTGTCTTGTGGTCTGAGTCCGCCTGCAGCCATGAATGATCCGAGCCCACAATCCGAGTCGCAGGCACCTTCTGGTGCAGCTCCGTCGCAGACTTCCAACGACCAGCCCGCCACGAACAGTGCGCCTGCTAGTCAAACCCCAGGCCATCCAAGCTTCAGAAGGTACACCGTGGTTGCGAGCCGTCTGTTCCATCGCCGCATTTGCTAACGCACCGTCCAGGCAGCGCGCATCTCGAGCGTGTGGTAAGCTCACCTCCTCTTCCTGAACTTCCTTTTCACCTTGCGACGACACGGGTCATGCGGGAAACTTGGATTTGGCGGCTGGCACGATGGCTGGTCTTGCTTCTCTTGCAAGTCGAAAGAATGTCACAAATGCTGCTGCGGACATGTTCACCTTAATACTTTGGTCCCTCTGGAGATCGCGATAAACCGAGAACCTCGGTCCAAAAGTGGTACTTGTGATCAATCTGTCGCTCGCACTGTGAGACGGCATCAGACATCCGCCGTGATCCAATGAGCATGAACATACACGTGGCGGAAAGCAGTTCTCAATATCGTGGAAAGCATTGCTGACGCATCTACTGTGCAGAAACATGTCACGCCCGCAAAGTACGTTGTTATCCTACCACCGACCTTAAAGAAGACTGTAAAAAGTGGATCGAGATCTAACACGTCCTTTGGATTAGGTGCGATGCGATGCCGCATCTCTAGGGTGAGAGCTGTCTGGGTCCGTCACCTTTGGTTGTTTGCCATTGACTCTCTCCAGGGTCCCGTGCACAAACTGTGTTGCCTTTTCTATTGAATGCCGGATTCCCATTCCCAAGCGGAAAAGAGCCAGCGCCGTCCGAGCCAAAGATGAGGAGAGGTACGACTTTGTGATCTCCTGGACCTCTCATACTCTAGAGCATTTGAGGGACTCCATGCCAGACCTGCAATGCTAACGGACACTTCAGTGAGACTGGCGACTCACAGCAGGCGGGCACGCCTACAGAACCTCGCACCTCGCGGCCGGCACAGCCAAAGCCTACTGTAGGCTACAACTCCCCTGATGGCATTCCCTCGACGCAGATGTCAGAGGCGCAAGCCGCCCAACAAGCTGCGAATAACAGCACCATGGCACAGTTCATGAAGCCTAAATTCGCCCGAGCGCCCATCAAAGAAGCCGGCCGAGTAGCATATCTGGGGGAATCGTCAAACCTATCACTGCTCGTCCATGACCGGCATGGTACAACAGACGTCGTTCACTACCCCTTGCCAGAGAACATCCGAGGCGCCCGCGCTCGCCTAACAGAGCCCGACCAAATGGAAATAGAGATCCTCCAGCAGAGGGGGGCGTTCCTACTTCCACCACGTGCGCTGTGTGACGAGCTCGTGGATGCTTACTTTCGATGGGTCGCTCCTATTGTGCCAGTCATCAATCGAAGCCGGTTCATGAAGAGATACAAGGATACAAAGAACCCGCCGTCTTTGCTGCTCCTGCAGGCTATCTTGCTGGCTGGTTCCCGAGTTTGCACTAACCCGCAACTCATGGACGCCACTGGCTCGACTACGCCCGCTGCAATGACTTTTTACAAACGCGCAAAAGCCCTGTACGATGCAAACTACGAAGATGATCGTATTACCATTGTCCAGGCTTTGATTCTGATGGGCTGGTACTGGGAGGGCCCCGAAGGTAAGGGCTCGGCGGCCACCGAATTCTCCGACAACCCCCGGGTTAACATTGCCGCAGATGTGACAAAGAATGTGTTTTACTGGACCAGAGTGGCCATTGTAGTTGCCCAAGGAGCCGGCATGCATCGAAGGTACTTTGCGACTGTAATTCCAGCCAAGAAGTCAGCTAACGACCATCAATAGTGTGGAAAGCTCTCAGTTAAGCAGACAAGACAAGCGACTGTGGAAGAGAGTATGGTGGTCCCTCTTTACGAGAGATCGATCAGTGGCAGTGGCTCTCGGCCGACCCGTTTCAATCAACACGGACGATTCCGACGTAGAGATGATCACGGAAGAAGACTTTATCGAAGACGAGGGAGACCCGAACAATGACTTCCAGGCCGACCCCGTACACATCCAGTTCTTCTTGCAATATGTCAAACTGTGCGAGATCATGGGCCTGGTGCTTTCTCAGCAATATTCTGTAGCTTCAAAAGCTCGGCGGACCAACGCAATCGATCTCACTCACAGCGACATGGCATTGGCAGACTGGCTACAAAACTGCCCGCGCGAAGTATACTGGGAACGCTCCCGCCATCATTTCTGGTCTGCTCTCTTGCACTCCAACTACTAGTAAGTGCGCTGCGTCTCGACACTTGGGTTAGATGTTAACAACTTCCAGTACTACTCTGTGTTTGCTGCACCGAGCCCATATGCCTCCAGCAACCGCCAAACCCCATGATTATGAGAATGTCGACATGGCTTATCCTTCGAGGACGATTGCTTTCCAGGCTGCAGGAATGATCACCTCAATCATGGAAAACCTCCTCGCCCACGACCAAGTCAAATACACACCTGCATTCATGTAAGTTAGTTAAATTCGACATTGGCCCAGTCACTAAGGCTTGTTGTAGTGTGTACAGTTTGTTCTCTGCCCTCATCATGCACGTCTACCAAATGCGGTCTTCGGTCCCGTCAGTGGTAGCAGCAAGCCAGGAGCGCATAAATGTCTGCATGAACGCCTTGAAAGAGGTTTCGAAAGTCTGGCTGGTTGCCAAAATGGTCCACACCTTGTTCGAGTCCATTCTCGGCAACAAAGTGCTGGAGGAGAGGCTTCAAAAGGCCACTGGGAAGAAGGCTCAAAGGGCCAAAGTCAACCAACGTGATCAAGGGCAAAATCAGGCCAACGGCAATTCGAATGGGATCGGAAGTGCCACACCTCTCCCTGCCCCGCCGCCTATACCGCCCACAAATCCGGCCAAGCGCAAATTCGACGACATCGACCTTGCCTTTAATGTTGGGCCACCAGCGCCTCAAATGTCCTACGAGCGTTCCCGGCCTCAGACACCTGCCGTCACGCCTTCGCGCGAGATACCACAGCAACAGCAACATAACTACCTGGGGTCGCCTCCACTACAGCATGAACAGTATTTGCCCCCATCTCGGTCTCGAGGGGCGTCACGTTTGCCGTCACGAGGGCCGACACGGGCCAACTCCCCATTTAACGGGTATTCAATTCCTGCAACGCCGCCAGACTTGTTCCTCGTTACCCGAGACTCACCGAACATCTCGCAACAACTGTGGGAGAACTTCCAGCCGGATCAGCTATTCCCAGACGGCACGATTGGAGATGTAGTTGGATTCAGCACCAGCCCGATCCTAAACCATGCGGTAGACCCTCAACTACAGCAAATGCAGGGACAACAAACCGCGATGGGCGCAAGCGGGCAACCGATGACTCATATGGACATGTCAGGGCAAGGACAACAGCAACATCAAGTATGGCCGCCTGGAATGCAAGGGATGATGGGTGCAGGCATGGAACTGCATGACAGTGACGGTTGGTCGACGAGTTCGCTCGGAAATGCCCCTGTGGCGCCGACGACACTTAACGTGGAAGACTGGTTCCAGTTCTTTGGGATCAATGGCGAAATGGCAGGCATGAACATGGACGGAACGTAGGCTGATGAATGAGGGTGGCTGAAGGTCGGCTTGAGACGACGAACCAGGCATGCTCGAGCATTGAAAGTGACTTGACAGGTGGGTGGATATCGGTCTATGCTATAACGATGCTATAATCATGTACATTCAAGAAGAGATGGTGGATCTTTGCGAATGTAACAACAAAAGTCTTGCACATGATAACCTATGTACTCCCAGCTAGTAACAATGAATCTAGAGCATGGGAAATGGCGTTCTGGAACATCCAACCTCAGTCCACCTAGCATAATAACAACAATGCTCGTAGCTTCCCTTGCGACGTACAGGAAAGGCGCTAGACTCCTCCATAGTCCGGAGGGACGAGAGTTTCCATCTTTAGAGCTTTACCGTTGTCCGAATTTCTCTCAGCTCGCAAGATGAGGGAGAATGGTGATTTGCTCGCATCGAGCTGCTCTCATCGGGGTTAGTTTAGCTAGAAGGCTCAGCGCGGCTTGTTTCTGGCGACCAGCGAATGACATGCCGGGGCAGACACAGATTGGCTTTCGCTTTTAATGTGCTAAATGTTGAGAAGGGGAAGTTACTTCCTTTCTGTCCAATGGCCTCTCTCTCTCGGCTGGCATTTCGGGAGACTTTGGGTTTAGTGACTCGAGATAAACCTTCTGGTGACATATTGATACCGCTTGTCTGGTACATCTCTGCACACACAGCCACCCGAACAAGCCTTCAACGAGAGAACACTATTTCGTTACACCCGTCCTCTGGATGAAACATGCACTGGCTCTCTGCACGGAAACAGCCGCTGACGTCCCCCATACATCCATGCATGGCCCATTCGCACAGCAGCACAGCCGCAACCGCCCCTCAGCGAGAACTGTATTAGGCTGAATATATGACGGATCAGGCAAGTCTAGGACAGAGAAATGGAGACCCAGAACAGTTCTGGGCCTAGACTCATGCCTCTACCTGTGCCTAGATCCCCTTCCGTCACTGGCGCAAGAGGAAAGAGCATATTTTGCTCACAATGCGATGCTACTGTGACCGCTACTGTGACTGTCACTTGCTCCTAAAACGAGCACAATAATATCCAGCAACGGCAAACCTGGGGAGGGCGGCGGGGCAGCATGATTCTAGTGTTGATAGGATATGGCTGCTCCTGGCTCGATTTTGAGGATGTGTGGCACAGGCGAGGCTGTCTCACGCTCCATTCATCCATCTATCAATCAAGCAATGATATAAAGAACTCCTCCCGCCCCCCTGTTCTACATTGTCTCAGAGCAGCAAGAATCATCAACACGCACGCCACAGGGACATAGAGACATCACATTCATCAGCACCAGGATACCATTACTCAGGAAGTTCGGTGACCACTCACTCACTCACACCGTATAAACACCACACACACTCGTCAGCACCATCTAAGTTGAGATCGAGAACCTCCATCACCACCACCACCATCATCATGCCAGCAGCAGTCCCATCAATGTCCATTGCGCCCTTGATTGTCACGAGCACCACCGGCACCACCATCCAGACCCTCGACTACCTGACAGGCGAGACGTCCGTGATGAGCACCACCATGATGTCCACCGCCAACCAGAGCGACAAGGAGAAGGCCAAGAAGCACAAGAGGCATTGGTGGTCGCGCTTCCGCAAGAGCGACGGCCGCCCGTGCCGCGAGATGCAGACGCTGGAGACCACCGCCGCCCACCGGAGTCGCAGCTCAAGTCGCAGTCCTCGACCGCTTGACGAGAGCATGTTCCCCCGGCGGATCAGCAACAACAGCTCGCAGTCCGTGCCCACGCCGCCCGTCAACATCACCGCCACCCCAGCGAGTCCGAGCTCGGTCGCGAGTTCCATCAGCAGCTGCAGCAACAGCAGCATCTTCGGCTCAGAAACCTCACGAACCACGACCGGTGGAGGCCGCTCGAGCACGTCGTCGATCTACCCCAGCAGAGTCAGCCCCAGCGCGAGCACCAAGGGCGCCGCCGGAGTGAATGAGTCCCTCGGCACCAAGGCCATCATGAAGGAACAGACGAAGAAGTCGCAGGGCTATCGCGAACGACGAAGCCTCATGGGAGATCCCGCCCTTGACGCTTTGATGTTGTCCAGCGCTTTTGTCATCTTCTAGTTCATTTCTATTTCCTTTGGAGGGTTGGAGATTTTGGGGCACGCCCCTGTTCTTGGTGTTTAAGGAAGGAAGCGTGGAAGGGTACTGGGAAACATGCCGCCTCTGGTCCAGACAGGCGGCGTAAGATATTTGGCTACATATATGGAGACGGGGAAATAAAACGTCTTCCACGAAGGTTATCTCTGGAGCCAGCTTTCTCGCAATGTTCTTGTCGTTCCCGTGTTTCGAATCTCCGTATGTTATATCATTATCAGATCCGTTCCTGCAAAGTACTTTTACAACAGGCCAAACATGTGAGACAGTCAGATAGGTCCGCTTTCCCACCTTCCACAGCAGACAAGTCATGTAAACAAAGATGACTTCTCCCTGATATCTTAAAGCATTCAAACGTCTATCTAAGGTCGTAGGTCGTAAATCGCATCCCCATTATGAAGCCTGCCTAGGATGGACTTGAAAGGTTGTCGTTGGGTGTAGTGAACGGCATTCGCTGTATCTCTTCTGATACATGCATTAGTCTCTTCATTCTACGCTCTCAACACCCTCGGTATCGTTTCGGCGCTACATCTCGCAAAGGCGTCCACCATGCCCTCCATACCGGGCCATTGCTCCTTACACCAGGCCAGTAACACGAGGCAATCGTTTGACCGGCTCAGCAAGTCCGAGAAGTCGAGTCTCGTTCCTTCGGTCCCTCCGCTCCCCGAATCTTGGGGGCCTCCAGGCGTGAGAGAAGAAGCGCTTTGGATTTGGATGGCAGGCTCAAGAGAGAGAAGAGCGTAAGATAGAAGCGTCATGCCCGCTTGGAAGATCGAATACGCGGCCAGGAAAGTAACAGGGAAGGTGGATGGAGGTGAATTGGATGTCGTCGAGCGGATGATGAGCGTGTACAACCTGAGAAGCATCTTCGCGGAGTGGTAGGGTTCTGAGGTGATAGTCAGGGAGTGTTTGTGCTGGGAGAGATCCCCCTGTGGTGGATTATGCCCTCGAATGGTGGCAAGGGCTTCGAGAAGAGGGCGTTGAAAGAGGAAGAGAACCGAGGAGTGGTACATAATGTCGCGCATCAATTCACCCACTCTTGCGATACTATTGGTGCCGTCGCCGGAGGGCCTTTGGATGGGATTTTGATACCATTGACGCAACGTAGCGTGTTGGTCGAGAAACCATTTCAGTCGCGGCAGCGGGCTGCTGGCGGAGAGGTAAATTTCGGTGTAGATTTCTGAGCGAAGGAACATCAAGTGAAATACTTGAGCGGCGCACACCTTCTGTCGTGATTCATTGTCCAAGAGTGCCGTGTCCGTGATTACAGTCGGGTATTCTGTGGTAATGATAGAGCTGGGCAGATCTGAAGGTCGGCCGAAACATTGCCCTACCAATCGCTCCATCGAGTACAGACTCCAGAAAGCTGTTCTCCTCCAGGTCTTGTCATCTTCACTCTCCAACAACGAGTGCCCTTGTTCCGTGTGGTAGCCCAATTGGATGCTCAAACGACAGGCGAAGTCTAAGATCTTCCATATATTACCTTTGCGGGGATTGAAGAGACAATAAATTACGAGGAGAAGGAGGGCTTCGAGGGACTGGGGAGATACCTCTGCCGTCACTTCTTCGACGTACCTCACGGCCTGCGCGTAGAATTGGTTGCCGTATGCGGCAAGGCTCGGACTGTGCCGCGATTTTGCGGTGCAGGAGATGGAACACATCATGGCGATGCGGAAGCATTGATACTTTTCGGTTCGCTGCAGCTTGTCCGCATCGAACATTAGAGCTCCGTTCGTCTCCAAAAACCTATCAAGGTCCTTCTGTAAGTGACTTTCGTCAATACACGGATGTATGGCATTGATGGAGGCCATGTAATCAGCGATGAGTGACTGCACAAAATCTCTTCCGGTATCAAAGACTGCCGTCGGGGCTACTGAATCCAAATCTCGGTCATGGCCGTCCTTGGCTGAAAGGACAGGCTCCAATGGACCGGAAGGGTTGAAGAGGTTTCTATCGGAGGCCAGCGCCAGGACCTCCACCGCGAGCGCAAATACGGAACTCGACCCATAGAATCGGGAAGTCGACCCATTGACACTGGGAACAGGGAAGTGGTTGTTGAAGTCTCCCCCATGGTCATTTTCGGGTATTGATTCGGGGAAAGGAGAAAAGTTCATTTGAGCTTGGGGCGTCTTCGCTCCATCTAAGTTGTCCTCTGACAGAGCTTGACGGCCAGCCTCAGTCTCTAGTGTGAGAGCAGCGTGTTTTGCCTTGAGGCTGTCTAGGCGCAAGATGAGAGACTGGATATACCTATCTCGCGTAAGAGACGGTGACTTTCATTCGCTCCGACAGTCAACATACTTTCGAGACAGCGTCTGCTGTAGTGCATGATCAAAAATGGTGCAGTCAGCCTTCGCACTCTGGCACAATCGACAGGCCGGCATTTGAGAATCACATCTCTTTCTCAGTCGCCGACATCGTTGACAAGACGGCAGCGACTGAAGAGCATAATGAAGCTCTTCCATGACTTGTCACAGCAATTGTTTGACGCCTCTGTGCTCATGTCGAAGAACTGTTAATCTGTATCAGTGGACGGCGAAGAAAGCGCCACTGGTTATCGGCGGTAGCATACGATACGAGAGCGTCCCGATAGCGGACTATTTGGGACTAGCGTCTCCTTCCTAAAGAGTCCAAGTCTTGAGAGTCACGTGAAAACCCACTATGCCCCCTTGAGATCAGGCTCGGGGCCATCGCCGACCACGTGCTTCTTGGCGTTTTTCGCTGCTTTGCATCTCAGCATTTCTGCTAAACATTCACTGCCTCGCCAGCGTCGATCGGTTTGCATTCCTCCTGTGGTGATAGTGACAGTATACATTGCTTCCACGCTCCGTCTTCTCAGCTCTCCGTGCCATCTCCATGTCCAGCTCAGCCCCAGGAGAATCCCGTTCGGAACATGGTCCAGGCTTCCCCTTCACTTGCCAAGCTTTCGCGTAACTCCTAGATCTGGCTTATCGCCTTATCCCGCCTTATTACTCCTTTATCTGCCGCGTCCTGGCCACCGACCAGGCTAAACGATAAGTCCAACAGCCCCGTTTTGCATTGGAGGAGTGTGAACCCACCGCGTCTGCGGGAAGTCAAACCCGGGATCCCAAAGTATCTGCTCGACCTTTATGACCATAGCGCTTCCTTTGCCCATGCTGCCGAGATTTTCGATAGGACAAGTATGGGAGTTCGGATTCTCACGAAAGCAGTCTCGGCGGGCGGCCAGATACTAAAGAGTGTAAACGAAGCCTAGAATAACACTACATCCTGCACCTTGACCGTTATTGCTTCGGAGATTCACGACCTATTCCCAGATAAGCCACAACCGACACATTCGCGCGTCCTTCTGGGCATAGTTACAATCTCTATATTACAAAACTCCAGACATGGCCGTCTTACCGCCTGCTTCTCGACAGGGTCTCAACTAACTTATCACTTATTCTCGAAATTCTCTACGTGATAGCTTGGTGACAGCAATGTCCGTGGAGAAAATGGACGCCACGGGGACCTCGACGCCAGTCGTGGACGAAGAGAAATTATCGATGCAGGCCGATCAACGCCCTACTAACCCCTCCTTTGCGGAGCTGGGGACGGTAGAGGCACTTGGAAACAGTGGCCCGAAAACATCGTGGCAGAAGTTCGTGAACTGGATGGAGACTCGGGCCGACCTGGAAGCTCGCGGTATCGAACGCGTGCCAGAGTCTAGTCGCCAACGCAAGGCTTCGGTGAGAGACCTCTTCCAAATCGGCATCGTCTGGTTCTCGGCCAACTGCACTGCCAACAACATGACCGTCGGAGTTCTCGGTCCAATCGAGTTCCACCTAGGCTTGAAGGACGCCATGCTGTAAGATTTTGGCATCCTGGGAAATGATAGAAGTACCTGCTAAACAAGAGACCAGTATCTGCGCATTTGGAAACATATTTGGCGCCATGTGCACGGCATACATTGGTACATTTGGACCCATGTCTGGTAATCGAACTCTGGTATGCTTGTCACCCTTGATCTGCCCGAGAGGCTCGACCTTATTTGACCGGTGGGCTGACATTGGGCCCAGGTGAACGCACGATACACGATGGGATGGTACCCGTCCCGTCTGGCCGCTCTGTTCAACGTCGTTGTGCAAATCGGATGGGGTTTGGTTGATTGTCTCGTTGCTGGCTTGATCCTATCCGCTGTCAATGGCGGAGGCATGACCGTCATTGTGGGAGTTATCATTGCAGCATTGGGTACCTGGCTCATCATCACGTTCGGCATCAAATGGTTTCATATCTATGAAAGGTTCGTTGGCAGCAGTCCCGTGGCATTCCGGAAGTCGTTGCTGAAAGAAACCCCCTCTTAGATATGCCTGGCTTCCCCAAATATGTGTCTTATTCATCATGGTAGGCACAGCCGGACCGCTCTTCGATACCAGCTCAACCAGCTCTGGCGAAGGCGCTGTCCTCGCCGGCCACCGATTGACATACTTCTTCCTCAGTGCCTCCGGGGCTCTCGGCTGGTCCGCCTGCGCCTGTGATTTCTTCGTCTATTTCTCCCCGAAGACTTCACGCTTGCAAATCTTTTTGTGGACGACCGTGGGCCTCGGTCTAGGCAAGATGTTCCCCGAACTCATCGGCATCGGTTTGGGAAGCGGTCTCACCAAGAATCCTGCATGGAAAGCCGCCTTCGCGACGTCCGCGGGGGCCCTGTACGTGGAGGGCCTCGCGCCACTGCAACAATTTGGCAAATTCTGCGCCGTCCTCCTCGCCCTGGGCATCATCGCCAACAACGTCGCCGGAATATATGCGGGCGCTCTGTCTTTCCAGCTGCTCGACCCGCGATTCGCCCGCATTCCCCGTGTCTTCTGGTGCACCGTCGCGACCATCATTTTCACTGTGACCGCGATCGCGGGCCGCGCCCACTTGCTGCAGATCTTCATTAACTTCCTCTCGCTGATCGGCTACTGGACTATCATCTGGATCACCATGACGCTGGAAGAAGAATTCATTTTCCGCAGAAAACGTGGCTGGTACGACTGGAGTGCGTGGAACACGCGCGAACTTCTCCCCATCGGACTCGCGGCCTTCACGACGTTCGTGATCGGATGGGTGGGTGCCATCATGTGCATGGACCAAGACTACTACACGGGCCCGATTGCCTCTCTGATTGGTGACGGTGCGGATGTAAGTCCACTGACCCAGCACACTCTTGCTTGCTTTACTGTTTCTGTCGGATCGAAATGTCCTTACTAACTCTTACCTTTTCAGATCGGCCTCGCTGTCGCTGCATCTTGGACAGCTGGCATCTATCCCGGTCTGAGATACCTGGAATTGAAGTATATCGGACGATAGACCCGTGAGGTGTTGGTTCCGGTTTAGGAAGTCAATTCCTGGGGCAAAAGTGTTTAGAGGGACTGTTATTTGAGACACTTTGCGAGATAGAACAGGGACGTCTCGTGTCTTTTTTGTTTGTTGGATACCGTGTTTTACTAAGAACAGCAATAAAGTCTACATATTCAGAAGTAGAGTATGGGCTCTGGTGCAGGAGAGAGGGAAGAGACTACGACGAACAATAATATCCTGCGAGGTTGAATATTCAAGCTCAATCTCTGCAGTTTCGTTTCCAGCCTGCTTCTCTACAAACACCTGTTGAATGCTGCTCAATCCCAAAAGAACTAATTATATATCCGCCAAATGTATATATAGTTTTGGTGAAGATATCATGCATTCGTACGAAGCCCCCCGGCCAGAGAAATAAAAAGATTCGCTAGATGTCTGGCTGGCCGACCCATCACAATCTTGCTGTCGCCGCCAGACCCAAGGCGAGCTTCTTCGAGTCCAGGCGCGCAGTCAGCCTCACGGCGGCATCCTCCTCCACCTGCAGGAGTGCCCAACATCTCTCGACGTCCAGTTCGCAGTCATACTCGAACAGCCACTTCCCGACGCCGCCGCTCCTCCAGGCGAACGGGTCGTCCCCCTGCTTCAGGCCCTGGGGTATCGATCCATTCCCTTGCGTGCGGTACGCGTGTTCAAAGGCCTTCATCTTGCGGTCCCGCTCCCTCTGCTCCGGCCCGTCCGGGAGGTGATACAGGTACTGGCTCTCGTACGCCTTCTCGACGACGCGCTGGGTGCGCGGTTTGCGGCACATCTCGTACACGCGCAGGGCGTGCAGTTTCTCTTGGCGCGTCGAGGCGGAGGAGATGCGCGCGAGGCAGAGGCCCAGCACGGAGGCGTCTTCGATGGCCATGCCGGCGCCGCTCGCGAGGTAGGGCAGCGTGGCGTGCACCGAGTCGCCGAGCAGCACGAATGTCCCGCTCGGGTGGTACCAGGACGGGGAGCTCGGGGTGGGCGTTCGCGTGCAGAGGCGCCATTTCTTGACTTGTGAGCAGGTCGACAGGATCTTGCGGACTCTGTAAGGTTTGGGTCAGGTCGTTAGTTCAATGTTCCCGCACACTTCTGACTGGAGGCTGTGCAGTGGGATTCATCTTACCTCGGGTCCCAATCTTTGAACAAAGCTTGCATCACTTCGACGTTCCCCTCCTGCGTGACGACGTCCTCTGGAATGTCATCGGGCACCAGGAGGACCATATTGAACTGCTTGCCCCCTCGCAGGACGTACGAGACGACGTGACATTCCGGTCCGATCCAGTAGTTGACCTGCGGATCCAGTACGAAATCTCTCAGTTCGGGATCCTTGAGCATGTCGTCGGTGTTGAGGAGAACTCTGTACGCCATGTCGCCAGACTTGGCCGGGGGGTCATCTCTCCCCACCAGAAGATTCCGACAGTGGCTTCTGACGCCGTCTGCACCGACGACGAGATCCGCGTCCATCGAGATGCCGGCGTCTTGCTCGCCTTGTCGCACCACGACCGTCGCATAGCTTCCGTCCGCTGCGACCTTGACGTCGGTCACTCGCGAATTTGCCCGCACTTCGGCACCCAGTTCCACCGCCCGATCCCAGAGACATTGGTGCAGACTGACGCGATGCAGATCCCAGTACGGACTGCCCCATTCCTCGCGTGTCGACTTGTGGATGTCCCACGTCGAGATGGTCTCGCCTCGCCAGGCGATCATGTTGCAGAGCCGGGGCGTCGTCGCACATCGGCTGAGTTGTTCACCCATCCCCCACGAGGCGAGAACTCGGGACGAGTTCGCCAGCGTCTGGAGACCGGCCCCGATCTCGCCCATTTCGGCCGCGGATTCGAGGACGGTGACTTCGTGGCCAGCAAGCCGGCATGAGATTGCCGTTGCGAGTCCGCCGAGCCCGGCGCCCACAACGATGATCTAGCAGTCTGTTAGGCACCGTACAGCAGCTGGGGGAAGAGTAGTTTACCTTCAGCCTGGTGCCAGCATCTCGTTCAATCTGCATACGCAGGGGAACGGATGAGAAGTCCATCTCTGGCGGTCGCTTCAGCTGTCAGGAACACAAGGAAATCAAAGGAGAGGAGCACGCCAAGTTCGGCGAGACGACGGCTAAGCAACAAGTGTCCCGAGACTCTAACACTAGCCCGAAGTCATGCATGTGAATAATATATGAAAGTGAGGATGTACGACAGGCGACGCGGCTCACAATAAGTGTGTCCCCGACGACATCCTGACCGGAGCAATCCAACCCATCTGGCAGCGCGTCGCATGACGATCGCGCGACGATGGTCGAAACCGATAAACGAAAACTCCACCCGAGCAGGACCTTGTCGGCTTCTGGAAGAATTGCCATTGCCACACTGCTGGACTCATGCCATACAGTGTGTGGTTTGCAGGAGAACCCCGGTCATATTGATTCGAGCGTAGCGGAATAGGAGCGTCGGACTTGCTCGACTCAGCCTGATTATCGTAGCTGATAACCGGGACGATGACTGTCCAATCAGAGATAGGATAGGTGCCTCTATTGCCCGCCTTTCCGAATTGGGAGTGTAACAGACCCACAACGCCAACCTTAATTCGTCCTCAATTCTCCATCGATTCAAGGCCCCAGCCAAGGAGAAGTCGCGAATCTCCGGTGCATTCAGATTGGAGACTGTTCACGGAGCCCACATCGTCACATTCACTGTTGACGGCTTGAAAAGTAATCCCACATCCACCAAGGCGCGAATTTCCAACATGCTGCGTGATCAGACACCACCTAAGTCGCTCAACTGCGGACCACTAACTGTGTGGGCGGACACTGGAAAGGAATCCGATCAAGAAAGCCGCCAGAACGTACGGTCAAGTCGATTCTGGTGGAGAGTTCACCTAGAGAGAGCAAGAAATTTCTGAAGAGGTCGGCTTTCCAGTAAAGCGGGAAGAGTGTGCCGAGTCTAGAACGTACGTGAGACAGTTGTGTGCTTATCACGACTCGGGACCGGAGAACCTCGACCGCTATGCCAGCCTCGCCGAACGCTGCCGCCTGCAGACGCAGCGTGCTGTCGTGTGTCAGGTGTCGAAAGAGGAAATCCAAGGTATACCATACCGATTGCTTGTTACATGGTTGATGGAGCCAGTGAGCCTTTGGAACGATGCATTGTGGCTGACATGAATATGTGCAAAGTGCGACAGACAGTTACCGTCGTGTTCACAATGTGTCGCGGTGGGCGCAGAATGCAGGGGCTTCAACTCAGCCCGCGGCGCTGCCATTCCGCGAAGCATTGTACACCATCTGGAGAACGAGATTGCCAGCCTCGAGTTGAAATTGGCAGCACTGGGCTGCGATGAGGCCGAAATTCAAGGGGAGACCGATCACAAGGAGACACCCAACCTGAACCTGTCTGTCCTTGCTACGGCTACGATGATGGATGAGCCATCGCGAGTCTCCTCCTCGGAGACGGAGATCAGAGAGCAACACGTCGCGGTGGAACATGCAACGAATAGGCCCACTCCGAGTACACCCTCGCACCATCGGAGAACATCGAGTACCCGAGACGCGACCAAGGAGCGTGTCATTGCCAGCGCCGAAATCCAATCGATGATCAATGCAACTTTGCCAGTGGGTCCATCACTGACGGACGTTGTACGGCGAGTCCGGATGGGGCTCACGCCGTCGCTGGTACTCTCGCCGGAGGCAAAGGAGCAGGCCCTCAGCAAGACTCCAGCACAGAATCGCGACAGCGAGCCCGAGACTGATGTGTCGACCTTGGCAAGCCTGCCGTCCCACGTCGTCCACACGTTGGTCAAGAAATACGTGCAACGCATGCTCCCTGTCCACCCGTTTCTCTACGAGCCGACCATATGGGAACAGCTCGACCGGGTGCTCCTGAAGATCCCGCGGGCTGAGGGAATAGAGTCCTGCCCACAGACAGTAAGGCTTGACTACGACTTCCTCGTCATCTACTTGATTCTCTCCGTGTCTGCCACATTGGGCAGTGCAAAGGTAGGCCAAGGGGCGCGGTGCATGGCCTTTTCTGAAGCGCTCTTCAAGGAAGGGATCCGTCACCTCTCGCAGAATGCAGCTTATCCGTCCGACATGGCCTGGATCCAAGTCACGTTGCTGATACTGCAATACGCATCCATCAATCCGAAGCTGGGGAACGTGTGGATCCTCAGTGGGTTTGCCATGCGCAATTGTCTCGAGCTGGGCCTGCATCGCGAAGTTTCCGAGAGCATGGGACTGGACCCCTTGACCATAGATTTACGCCGACGCATCTTCTGGGCTGCATACTGTATGGATCGGTCCATTTGTGCGGCGCTCCAGAGGCCGCTGTCCATTCCGGACCCGGCAATTGACACGAGCGTCATGTCAGTGCTCGAAGATCGGTGCATCACTGCACACGGACTCGATCACCGGGGACAAGCAACAAAGAAATTGGCTATTCGCTGGATCGAATTTCGGCGAGTGCAATCCACAATCATCGAAGTCCATTTCCAAAGTCGGCTGCTGGAGCCCCAACAGACGTGGCAGGAGTGGCTGATGGCCACAGAGCGACGACTGTGGGAGTGGTATCAATCCGATCTCCCACACGACGGGTGGACCGAGTTCGCCTTGATGCACGGCCTAGTAATGTTGCACAGACCATCCTCCCGTGTGCCGTTGCCATCTTCCTCGAGCATGTCCACGGCCTTCGAGGCAGCCTGCTCGGCGGCCAAGAGCTGCCGAGGGCAGATCCTGTCGGGATACTTCCCACGACCATGGCTTGCGGCTCACCACACCTTTGAAATGGCCCTGGTGGTGCTGTTCTGTCTACGGCACAATTTTGAGGCGATCGCGCTGCGGTTCAGTCCCAACGAGATCTTTGAGATGACAAAGCTCTTCACCTCGAACCTGCTGACCATCTCAAGCCAAGGCTGGACGGAAGTCTCCGCCTATGCGGCCATCTACGAGAGACTCCTGAGCCCATTACTTGATGCCATATTCACCCGGTCTAGACCCGTCGAGGCGGCGTATACCCCAGAGCAGGAAGCGGAAATGGCGAGGCTGCTGTACCCCAGTCCTGCACATCCCCAGGAGCTGCGGTTCGCGGACATAAGCGGTTCCAATGGCACAGAGGATCTGTTCTCGTTCGATGCCGGTATTTTCGACTGGGATGACGATCTGCTGGCTCATGACACGGATTCGTTCCCGTTATTGGTATTCTAAGAGGTTATAGCTCCCAATAGCCTGGTCGGCGTTGCCGACACACGAATAGAGCATGTACGATCGTGTGTAGGAATACTCGGGACACGTCTTGTTCGACCCGTAAGTTCGCTTATGCTGTGGGTTAAGTCCAAACACATAGGGACAGTGGATCTGGGCGATTCCCACATGTCGGAGATTGGCGCTCAGACATTGATTGCATCTGTATACACCAGAAGGCTGTAAGCCTGATTGGCTGCCTGGAGCATTGACCCATTGTTGCTGAGGTATGTATATCGGGGTCGACCGCCATGATCTGACTTGCAATCTGTTCGCTCTAGGAAGCAAACGCCTAGCCTTCTTGGTTGCAGCCAGACGAGAGCAATTCCGGGGTCCAATATCGTCTGGTAAACTTGGAGACCACGTGAACTGGATAGCACAGCTGCAGATGGAGCGCATCGACACGCACAGCCATGCCATTCCGGCGCGATGGCGGCAGCATTGTATGGACCTGGGTTATGGCGACACTGACGGAATATCGATGGTACAGGTAAGTAAGCAAGCAAGCCACTGATGCGCACTCCCTGCAGGCGCCTGAGGAATCCCAATCTTAGAGAAACAAGAACGACTGGCCGGACTGACCATGAATCAAATTCCAGGACTGGACTGTTGAAGCCCACCTGGCGACCATGGACAAGGCGAAGATCTCGAAAAGCATATTGAGCATCACGTCGCCTGGCACGCACCTGAAGCCTGGGGATGACGCCTTTGCTCGCAAGCTGACTCGTGAAACCAACGAGGACCTCGCCGAGATCTGTGCGGCGCACCCGGACCGGTTTGCATTCTTCGCAAGCCTGCCCCTTCCAGATGTCGAGGGCTCTCTTGTGGAGATCGACTATGCCTTGGACCACCTCGGTGCCGTGGGCTTCTCGGTCATGACGAATGCACATGCTGTGTACCTGGGCGATCCAGCGCTGGATAGGGTCTTCGAGAAGCTGAACGCGCGGCGAGCCGTGCTCTTTATGCATCCGACCTGCTGTCGAGTGAATCTTCCAGCCGGCAACGGCATTGCTCCTCAAGCGGTCGCTCCTCTGAGCCAGTATCCGCGTCCCATGCTAGAATTCCTCTTTGACACCACCCGCGCCGTCAGCAACCTGATTCTCTCCGGTACTGTCGCACGATACCAGTCCATCACGTTCGTTGTCCCTCACTGCGGCGCCGCCTTGCCACCTGTGATCGAGCGGTGTGTGGGGTACACGCCACGCACAGTCAACCCCAGCATGCCCATCACCAGCGACGACGTCAAACGCCTGTTCAAAACGCGCTTCTTCTTCGACCTCGCGGGCTATCCATTCCCGGACCAGATTCATGGCCTACTGCGCTTCACAGAGCCCTCGAGGCTTTTGTACGGGACGGACTATCCCTTTTACAAGGCCGAGGCTGTGTACCGACTGGGTGGAATTATGGAGCAAAAGGCACCAGAGATATTTGACGAGGAAACGAGAAAAGGGATCTTTGGCGCGAATGCGAGAAGGCTTCTATGGCCCAAATTAAAGAGCCATGCCTAGGGGTAGGCAGGACAAATGATTGAGGCGTTGGTCGATATTCTACCCTCTCGCACAGAGGGGTGCAATGCCGTGTAGCTCCTGCTCATGGACGACCAAAGCGAAGGGAGAACATCCCCATGTTGCGTTTTTGACAATTTTGGCGTCAAGGGACGCGTCCTCGGGGAGCATGAGAGTGTGGTTCTCTGGCCCGGCCGCAGGAGACCTGTGGGATCCCTTAGGATAGGCGATCAGCCGAAGGGAGGGCGTTGTGAGATAAAATAGATTGTCCAAGTCGTGGCGAGCCAGCAATATTGATCAGATCTTTGCCACCGTCAACCGTCACTGCCCGAGAGACAGACGTGTTGCTCGAATTTCTTGAGCCAGAACCGAAATGTGTCCTACGGGCGCCTCAACAGAGAGACCGTCAGCCGTGTCACACCTGCATCTTGCGGTGAATCGCCGGTTTATGCCGACCGGGGATTTGGTTGCTAAGAACGGTATGTAGGTCCTTTGGTCTATAGAGCAGGGGCACCTTGGACATCGGGGACATGCTGGAGCCTCTCCAATAGACAGGTCAATGATTTGCAACCAGGCCATTTTCATGCGACCCTCGAATCACTTGACGCCGACGGCCTTCAAGAAGAGCTGCCTGTGCTCCTCGCTCACGATGGCCTGGACCACTTCCGCCATCGACTCGACTTCGACGACCTTCCCGCTGCCGTGCGAGAACGCCCACTCGTCGCTGGTTTGTCGGTCTGGCTGGCGGGCAGCCTCGTCCGAATCATAACGGACCTGGAACGCCTGCCAATTCAGTGCTTTAAGCTCGCGAACGTGGGAGTCCACGAGGTCGCCGGGTCCGGAAAACACCATGATTCCTGGGTATCCGGGCTTGGTGACGCCGGAGATGGCCTTGCCCGGCGTTGACGCAGGGGTGGAAAGGCTCAGGGCCGGGTTCAATGCGAGTTTTCGCTTTGAGGTTGCCAGGAGGTGGTGGAGCCAGATGATCACGGTCCTTGCTCGTTGATTCCCGAGAGCTTGGGGTTCTTTGCCCTTGGACTCCTGGGCTGACTTCGCTGTCGGGTTTGACGGGGTCTCGGAAATGACATCCTCAAAGATGTTGATGACCTGGTCCAGGACCTCCACACCTGTACCTCCTACACCCAGAGCATCAATGGCCCGTCGTATCCTGTCGCGGATGTCATTTCTGGACTCGTCACAAGCAGAAATCACTTCGGGACATCCGTCTTCGGGATATTGTTCCGGGAGTCGTATGGTCAGGGTGCTCTTGGGCGAGTGGCTCGGCGTGTAGTGGACATCTCGACCTCGAGAATCAAAGGTGATATTTCCTGGATACATTGCCTCGAGGAGGGATAGTTCGGCTTCAAGCCGGGCAGAGGCTTCAGCAGAAGCCATTGTGGGGGGCTCTGTGTCTCCAGTCTGTTACGTCTGCACAGACGAGGTTGATATTATGACCAAAGGTGGGTGCGACAGCCCTTCATATCCACCTAGTTGTCGACGGAGGAGAGAGAAACTAATATAAAACAGGGCCAACTAGAGGAGAGAAAAGGTGCCTCGGCGCTAGTCCTGAAACAGGTCAATCTCGCTCACCCTCCGGCGTACCGTCACACAGGTCATTCCCAGCCTGATCCGGTGTCGTTGCCATGATTCTTCTTTATTTATCTCAACTATCCGGGTACGGGCTCTGGTTTGAGAGCCCCGTTCGACGGTTCGAGTCGGCAAACGCTGGTATTGACTCACGCAACTGCCCCTTCGGCTCCTCTTCTTCGCAAGTATGTCCAACCCTCAAGACTATACCGTCGGCTGGATATGCGCCATCAGCAGCGAGTATGTTGCGGCACAGGCATTCCTTGACGAGCAGCATGATGCCCCATCATTCGTGTCCACCAATGACAACAACGACTACACACTGGGCAGAGTTGGAAAGCACAATGTAGTCATCGCCGTGGCACCCGACGGAGAACATAGTACGAATTCTGCAGCAAATGTCGGCAGAGACATGCTGCACAGCTTCACCAATGTCCGTATTGGCCTGTTGGTTGGCATCGCTGGCGGCGTGCCGAGTCAAAGGCATGATATACGACTCGGCGACATTGTGGTCAGTGCCCCTCGCGATGGGAAAGGCGGGGTATTCCAGTACGACTACGGCAAAGAGGAACAGAATCAAGCATTTCAGACCACCGGATTCCTCAATCAGCCACCACAGATTCTCCGGACAGCCGTCGCGGGCTTGAGGGCGCAATACGAGAGCGAGGGCCATCGTCTTAAGGAAATGATTCATACCATGCTTGACAATAAACCAAGACTACAGGAGAAGTACCGGCGACCGGACCCGAAAACAGACTGTCTATACCGGTCAGACGTGGCTCATCCTCTGAATGATGAGAGAGATTGTTCCGAAAGCTGTGCTCCAGCGAAGATTGTTTTCCGGATCCCTCGAACCGAAGACGAGGATGACCCTGCCATCCACTACGGATTGATTTCTTCGGCGAATCGAGTGATACAGGATGCATCAATTCGGGACACGGCAGCAAAGCTTGGTGTTCTGTGTTTCGAGATGGCCGCAGCAGGTCTCATGAACCACTTTCCTTGCCTGGTGATCCGCGGCATATGCGACTACTCGGACTCCCACAAGAATATACGTTGGCAGGGATATGCTGCCATGGCGGCCGCTGCGTATGCGAAAGACCTCCTCCTTCGAATCTCACCAAACAGAGTGGAAGCTGAGAGGAGAATCATCGACGCATCTTCGGACTCTCTCTTGGGTGAGCAACACTCAAAAGCTTAGATTCAATCGGGCTAACCTCTTGTTATATCGTAGAAATTGAGAAGGACATCAAGACCGTTGTCAGCGTCAAGAGACTGTCATCCATGTACTAGTCGAATTCGGCGCGCATCTCGAATGCCGGAACGAGAGCGGCACGACGCCTCCATCAGCAGCGATTGCAACGAAAGCCAGGCGATGTGTCGGGTATCGGTCAAGTTGGGTGTTTCATGACATTTCCGGCAACCGTGTGAGCCGGGGGGTAGTTTTGGGGACAGCTATGGCTCATTGATGAATGCAAGTGGTGGGGAACTCAGCTAATAAATAACAGTTGTGGATACAGCACGCCATGTCCGGGTGATGGCGCTACGAGATCGAAGTGGCGCCTGGATATAAGATATCACGCCTTGTTTTGTGCGCTATCATCGGGGATTTCAAGCTTCTGATCTAGATAAAAAGAGATCTAGGTGCTACTAAGGCTAGCATATGTTATGTCTCGTAACGATGTGTCATATCCATTGTCGCAGGTCTGTCCACGGCCGCTATGAAGGTGCTGCAAGGTTTCCGGCGAAGAAGCTTAGCGTAGATACAAGGCGGACAAGCTGGCTAGTGAGGCTGAAGTGGGTTGGTGGTGTGAACTTTAATCAATCCTCGTATATGGCCCGTTTCGGCGACTTGCGAGACTCCCGCACAGATTTCCTCGCTGTCCGCATTTGTCCCACCAGACGTTCATATATCCCGGCTACCTCGTCCGCACTCTCTGTTTGCATCCTCAGAAACAGCTTCTGCAGCCTGTTCAATGATAGATGGAGTCGGGCTGCACAAACAATGCAGGAGAGGCGGCCGTGGACAAGACTCGTTGCCAGGGCAACCACTACATTGCCCAAAGTCAACATCCGCCCTGATGAGGCCGTCATTGGTGTTGCTCCTCCTCCCTTTCAGCCATCCCGCATGGCATGGCGGAGGAACCATACCCTGTTGAGCACCGCAGACCGGACAAAATTACTGAGCATCGCATCAGGTACGTTTGGTGCCGGGCTGAGGATGCCCTCCCTCCAGCCCTTGATGCTGGGCCGCCATCGAGGCTTGTTTTTCCGTATCAACCCAACAACCAAAAAGTCTGAATCATCGGAGAAAAAGATGCTTTGTGTTCTCAAAAAGGGCGGCAAACGCCGGACTGGAGGGGAGGTTTCTCACCTCACGTCTTGTCAAGAAAAAAACATTAGAGACGCGGTCGTTTGGCGATCGTCTCTCCAGGCCTACTCCTAATTGCTCACCGCTGCAGACCTTTGATATTGGAAATATAACGGCAGGGCGATAGAGGCATCGTCTCATGCGTGCCCTCACGCTCTTTGCGGGTCTGCTCACCCAGCTACAGAGGAGAGACACATAGTAAGCGCCTACCCACGTCTTCCTCCAGTACTGGATAGTCCTGGGGCGCATGCACAACCCCAGAGCCTATACCAAATCTAACAGACCCTTGAATCACCAGTGACGATGGCCAGTACACTCAAGTGGTCCAGGCCACGAGCTGGAGCTACTCGCCGTCCTACTACACGTCGTACCTGTCAACCGAGATCATCACGATAACGTCGTACATTCCCTGCCCGGTCCTTACCAGCTACACCACTGTGTACAAGTGCTCGAGCTGCGGCGGCGGCTCCACGGCACAGACTACCTGCAAGCCGAAGCTGTGCGCCACATCCATCTACGACGTGGTCGAGGCCACCACCACGCCCTTCGCGCCGGGCGAATACGCCATCGCCTACGTGACGAGCTACGCGGGCGCGCAGGCCCTGACCACCAGCATCCCCGCGTCGTGGTGCACCGCCTACGAGCAGCTCGACTACACCGGCATTGACTGCCAGACTCTCCCGGTCTGCGGCGGGGCCACAGGCGGGCTCACCTGCGAGGCGAAGCCGTGCACGACGTGCATCGACGAGGACGGCGACGGGTCCTACGAGACCCTGACCGAGGGCACGCAGTACTTCTTCACCGAGTTTGCGCGGCTCACCGTCAACGGCCAGGTCACGTCCACGCCCGCCAGCCTGTGCGACCTGCTGACCATCCCGACGCCGTGGTACGTGCAGCCCACGCTCGCCTGTGGCTATGGTGGTGACGACGACGACGACGACAGCGGAGCCGACCAAGGCGGCCAGGTCATCACGTACACCTACACGACCAACGGCGCCACCATCGTCGTCGCCACCAGCATACCCTCGCATGGCGGCGCGCTCCACCTCACCGGCAGCGGCGGCGGAGCTCGCGTCGGCGGCGAGCTGGGCAGGACGGTGGTCTTCTGGCTGTGGGTGGGTAGTGCCCTCGTCGCGGGCGTGGGCATGATTATTCTTTGAAAAAAAAAAAACAACCAAAAGAAAACAATCCAACATCTTTCTATATATGACCACACGAACATATATCATACATACACATATAACGGGCCAGGAGGGAACCACAAGGCCCATTGAGCCTTGCTGTACCGGGTATAACGCATCCGACAGATGATGACGACGGTAGTGGATGATAACAATGACTTATTTTGGGTGCGGTGGGTGAAAACGGCATGGGACTGACCTATGGTACTGCATGTACGGTATGTACGTTAAGGCAATAATTGATGGCGGGCCAGGCATGGGTCTGAAGGGAAGGGAGGGGGAGGAACGCTGGACATATTGTACAAGGGGGCACGGATAAGGGGGGGATTTGCGCGGCTGTCTGAATTACTTATTACCACTATACCGGTTCTCAGGGAGGGACGGAAGGACGAATGACTGAATGGAGGGCAAGGGATAAGGGATAAGGTAACGAAATGGGCAGGAAAGCGGTGGATGGATGGATTGACCTAACAAAGACATTTTGTGCGAGCGGAGGAGGCAATTTGGGCTTCGGAGTATTGTTCAAAAGATTCAAATTCGCATCTCTGCGTACTCGGCCATGTGTATCTTAAGAGATTGAGAGAGGGAGAGGCGAAGATGCCGGTGCTGTGATCTATCCTATCCTAACTGTAGTTGACGGTCTCGCACAAAACATTCCCAAGTCGCATATCGCGTGTCGGGGGAAGCTGGACACCACTCTTCTGTCTCCGTGAGCCCAACCCAGCGACATCCATCACTCCAGAGGCGCCTTTGAGAGCGTTAACCCCCCAGACCCATCAAGACATGTCCCTCTCGGCCAACAAAGTCATTCCAACCCTCCCAAAAGCCTATGCGGTGAATATGGGGAATCGAATGAGCAAATACTGTAAAGTGGTAGGCACGTAGCTGTCCAATAAGGTCGAGGGCCAAACTGTGTGTCGGGAAAGATGAGAGAGGCGGTCTCTCTGCAGGTTGCCATTCCCCGAGGGTTGACTTTGGGAGTGTGCTGATCCTGGAATGGAAAGGAGACTGGATGCTTCCAGCTTGTCGTCAAGTGGCATCACATCTCTTCCTGCAATTCCCGGATTTTGTAATAGATTTCCTTCAGCGTTTCTTCTTTACCCACCTGTTCATAGAGCATTAGCAGGTCAGACAGAATTGAACTCAACTGAAACGCAACCGAACGAATCTTCATAGCGGCATGAACGGAATATCCGTTCGTGGAATATCTCACCTTTATCTGGAATCCCGTCGGCTTCCCTCCCTCCAGACCAGTGAGATGCATCGTCTTGCCACTTGGTTCTTTGCCGTCGTGCGTGCCGACATTCATCTCTTTGAATACCGGCGTGTTGAGAAGGAGACGATGTGTGCCCATGGCGCGCATGATGAGTCGTCCTCTGCGCTCAAGAGTCACAGACGACCCGCGATCGCCCCGCTCAAGGGCAGCTTCAACGTCTTCTTCATTTATTTCACCGGCATCATCCTCAGGCTTGCTCCTTTTGTCTCCTGCATCCTTGTCGTCTGTGGTAGGGGTTTGCACAGTTGATCTTGCTTCGTAACGCATGTTGATCTTGAAGTCTCCCAGCCCGCTCTCCTTCCACTCCCTGTCAAAGTGATACAGCTTCGCTCGACAGCTGAAAATAGTTTTCTCGTCCTCTTCTCCAGTGTTGACTACCAAGACAGTCAGTTAGCGAATCGGCCCCGCCTATAATAGAAACCCACTCACGCTCTTGCTTCTGGAATCTCGGATCTTGCTCGACTTCTTGAGCAGCCGATTGTGCTTCGTCGTTCTCGTCTCCGTCCTCGCTGTCTTCCTCGTCTTCATTCGACTTGACTCCGAACGGCTTAGGCTTTCCGAACGTACCCGCCGTTCCTGCGGCAGTAGCAAATGGCGAGAGACCCGTGCCGAGTGGCTTTGCAGCACTCCCAAACCCGCTCGCGCCTCCAAATCCAGCAGCAGATCCAAAACCGCCCCCTGAACCGAAGCCCGACGTTGGCTTACTTGCGAACGGTGATGCACCCCCGAATCCACCAGAAGTCGACGCGAAAAGGCTCGCTCCGCTGGCCCCGCCAAATCCACCACTAGGTTTCGCGGTCGCCCCTACAGCTCCAAAGGGTGACTTTTCGGACGCAGCGAAAGCTGATAAACCGGAAGAAGCGAAGGCGGAACTCGACGTCGCACCCCCAGGAGACGCGATCGACTCCGTCCCTTTCTCCGGTGATTGGGGAGATTTGAAGCTGCTGAATGGAGAAGCTGTTGACGTGTTGGCAAAGCCTGAGGATGCCGCAACCTGCGGTTGTTTGCCTGCTTGTTCGGCCGATTGAGTGGGTTTGACGAGGGTCTCTGAAGCTGCGGGCTGCTTCTCTGTGCTGATAGTAACATTAGGTGGTTTATCTTCTGCCGTTGGTGCTTGTGAGTCCTGCACGCTGGCAGTTGGTTCCATCTCTTTCTTCAAGGGCACTTGAACTAGGATCCCGGGCCCGCCTGGAGACTGCTGTGCTTCTGAGTCACTCTCTTCCTGGACTGGGCTCGCCATGTCCTCGTATTTATCGAAAGTCTGTATCTCCTCATCATTCCCAGAAATTTCTCGGGACCGCATTCTCTTGTGCTGGCTTCCTTTCTTGGGCAAGGGTGGGCCCCCGTTCTCGACACCGGGGCCGGACTCTTCGTTTTGCAGGTCTTCAAAGGAGCGTTTCTTGGAAGGACGGCCCCGTGCCTGTCCGTTTTCACTCTGTGCTTCAAGCACGGTTTCGGTGCCCGCAACGTCGCCCACAGGGTGGTGCCCAACCACGCCAGGCTTTGCCTTGGAGTATTGTGATAGTCCCGCAATGGACGTTTTCTTCAATTTCTCCCGCGCAGTGCGTTCGCCTCCTTCGCCATCTGAACTCCCATCTTGAGGTGGCAAATCTTCTATGACCGTGTCCTCGGTCAGTTCACGCTGCGGTGGTAGGTTTTCTGCTCGGTCGCTCGCAGCCATTGTGGATGATCAGAGGTGGAGTGAAGGGATCTTGTGGAGGAAAAATCCTGTGGCTCGAGTGGCGCTGTAACAGTCTCCCAGGAAGCGGGTTCTCGCAGATGGGGTTGTCTGTGGTTGTAGACACTTTTCTGTCAGTCGGTGCAGACGGCGAGATTCGCCCCGATGAATGTGTGATGGGTTCCCAATCTTCAGATCCGTGAGGCCACGACCCCTCACATGGACCCAGGCTAGATCTCTTCAAACACCCCAAGTACTTGCCCCGAGTGCGAGCGGGAGGCAGAGAGATTCCTTGCCCCTGGGGTGCTTGGAGGACCGAGAGACGGTGAGAGAACAGCGGTTGACCTCAAGTGGCTTGGTAGTCGGAATCAGGAAACCGATGGCGGTGGTTGTAAAAGCGTGTCCAGCAGGAATTCAGGCGGTTGGATTGCGGCTGACCGTGCAACGTAGTCTTTGGAGGCAACACTGAAGAAGGCGTCGGAAACCAGAGATGAATACTCAGTCAAAGGGATGTGCGGTCGGCACAACGACACTGGTACGATATGATTGAAGCGGCTCAAGGCATGCGCAGGCCTGCTCCGCACAAAACAACTCAATAAACTCCTCTTGTTCCGCCCCCACCCACGGCAATGTCGTCAGGTCTCCAACCAAGCTATGAGACGTTGGCTGTGCTATTCAAGTCCATTCTTTCACATTACAGGGTGGAATACAGTAGTGGCAATGCGAGCAGCGACGCAACAGCCGGCCCATTTTGCCACAATCTAGCTAATAAAACAGAGGCAGCCGAGACTGACATAGAAGACAAAGAGAGGATAGACACTCAGGGCCACCCTATTCTTTACCACCCCTGATCCCCCGAGGATACTAACTCCGGCTGCTAGTGACCAAGCAACAAGGACGATGTAAACGGGAATGCGCGCAATAGTTGGTAGGCCGAGCGCGCTGAGGAGGGCGGCAATGGTCAGAGGGAAGAGGGTATACCCGATAATGGAGACGGATTGCATGAACGATCTAGAAAAGCGTCAGCATCGCTGGAATTGAGCTGGGGGAGTGGAAGTCCTCACATATTCCCCCCAAGCAGTTTGATCTGGAGGGTCACCACGGCCTCGCCAATCCAGATCAAGGAAAAGACACCGGAGAAGACCAGGTCGGTTTGGCCTTTGCTGGCGCGCATAGAAAGGAAGACGCTCAGCAACAAGCAGAAGATGAGAGGGCCCCTGGGTACACCTGTTAAAATGCTGCTCGTCGACGGATGGAGGATAGCGTCTCACCATAGATCCCAATCTCTTAAGCCTTCACTCATCCCTCCCTGCAAGATGCCATCTGCATCGGGCCAACGTCCCAGCAGGCCTCTGAGATCTCTGCCGAGCCCTCCCCTTTGACTCTCGAGATCACCCATGCCAGTGCCTTGTCTCTGGAGCATGCCTCCAAGCAAGTACTTCGGGTAGAGGACTTGTTTCATTTTCTCCCATACCGCGAACAGGTCTCGAGATACTGTGTCCCAGACACTCTCATCGATGGTATTTTGTGTGGCATGCCTGTCCTCACCAGGTATCCTCGAGGTCAAGTAGCTTTGGTTGAGGGGTGCGCTGGAAGAGGACGATTGGATGTTGCCTGTCAAAGGGGTGCGATCAGAGGTGTTGTAGGAGGGTTCGTCCGGTTCGACTTCTGCAGAAAATGAGCCTCGAATCATTTGAGATTGAAGAGGGCTCCCGTACCATCATTGAGGAAGTCATCTTCAAGGACTGCATGATCGTCGTCGTAAGAGTTTCTGGATAGTCCACTGGCCATAGTTGCTAGAGTGTCAACAGGCGCAACTGCAAGAAGGATGCCTGGCTGCGGCCGCTGGGATCAACAGCAACTGGATTGTCGCGCAATCACGATATCATATGGAGTGATAGGGCGGGGTTCGTGGTATGATTGAGCAAATTGGACGTAGTGGTAACAGACTCAAGGAAGAAGATCTTGTGCGATGGAGGCGTCCGCTTCACGAGGTAGACACAGGGCGACCTGGCGAGCTGGATAGGGCTGAACAGGTGCGTTGTCTAAGTCAGAAGTTACGTAAACCCTTGTTCCGCGTTTTTATTGGACTGCTCGTGTTCTGCGTGTCGCGATTTCGTTTGTTTCACGACCATCGCCAATTGCACCTGCATTACATTTCTTGATCACTCAGTTCGGTAGTGTCTTAGCTGGAAGACACTATTATGCTCTGTCATTCCCCAGCTTGATAGCTTGCAGCCCTTGCTCCAAGTTGTCGATGAGCAGCTGATCAAGAGCGTCCTCTCTAAAGCTTACCCTCTCAGTCCACCAGTCCAACCAAGTCATTGCTCGTGAACCCTCCGACGCTCGCAGGAGCCCTACACTCACATCAACCAGATCAGGTCTTTCCAGGCAATGCCAGAAGACCGTGGCACCGCAGCGGCTGCAAAACTCACGGAAACAGCCTTTGGAGCTCTCGATCTGTTTCAAGGTCCCCATGCTATAGTCCAGCGGCTTGCCATCGAGCTGGAGGATGTTGGCCTTCGGGACAAAAGTCCAGGTTTGAATTGGAGAGCCGGAACCTAACCTGCAAGACCTGCACGCACAAGTACCTGCCAAGTATTTCGAGTCATTGGCACGCAACCACCACTTGATGTCTTCCCGATTTTCTGAGCTCGAAGAATGATAGGGGACAAGCAAGTCCGCCCACGGCGAAGAGCATTGCTTTGAGAGGGCATTGGGCCGGGTAATGCGGAAGTTGACCCCTCCACAGTGGCATCCTGCGCGAAGTTCGCTTGAATTTCCAGAAACCACCGTGCCTTCGTGGACTTCCCCTTTCCTGGTGGCAGGGCTGTCAACCCTGGCCCCAGCCAACGACTCTCCAGTTGATGGCCCGACTTGTGGCCCGTCCGGTCCCTGCAAATAAAGAGGTATTGCGCGACCGTCTACTTGCGCCAAGCAGATTGCCAGCCCGCCGTCTTTGGTATCCCCAACGAACTCGTGGTGGATAATTCTTTCCAGGCTCCGAGCTGACGAGGCTTGTAAGCCTTCCACTCTGTCGACCACGCCTGAGCAGACGCTCCACGTGTCGTCTTGACGGATGTGGACAAACATGGGTGATCCACATGTTGGACAGAAATATCTGGTCAACTTGGGGGAAGAGTCATATTGGGTAAGAACGTCCCCTGTGCTAGGCTTCGAGGCAAGGGGAAAGCATGAAAAGTACAGCACACCGGTGGTGTATCGGCAGCTGTCGCATGAGCAAGGAGACACTGGAACAGGCAGCTGGGACGCCAATTGTAGTGTCTCGGAATTCTTCCCACACAAGCATACAACACCGACGGTTGTAGTCATGGCTGAATCAGAGATGCTCAGTGATGGCGGCCGGGTTGCGGGTTTTTGAAGTTGTGTGAGGCTTCTTCTGCGGTAAGTTCCCGAATCGAGGCGGCAGCTTGCGTTACGATGCGACAATCAATTCGAAAGAACAGGCAGCATCGTCTGCCAGAGAATGCTGCCAAACCTACGTGGGGGAGGTGACTTGATATCTTTGGAATAGATGGATGAACTTCGGCAGCCTGAGTCCGGCAATCCGCACGGCATCTGGAGTCAACTTCGCCAAAGAAATACGATGGATACGTCTGTGGGCATAGGACGAGAGCTTATTCAGGGTTAGGATATGTTGACGGTGACGGAAAGAGGTCTTTGGCGAGGGGAGCCCTGGGCGCGCTAAAGACGAGGGGGAAACATTGGGTCTTGGGGAGGGAGACTAAAAGGATCAGGTGGGAGGTCTGGTACTGTACATCAACAGGGATGTTCAATTGTTGTCGTTGTATCCCGATGTTCGGTCCCTCGGAGACCTTGGAGTCGCAACAGGTTTAGTGGCAGCACGAGATCCAGCGCCGTGCCGCCCAGAACATAAAACACAGCTGACCTGGTTTCTTCACTCGCACCCTTCCTCTTCCTTTCCCTCTCAACAGCAACGAGCAATCCCTCTCTGTCTTTAGCATCTCGCACAACCCAGCTTTCAACCTTGAACAAATCGACCCCGATCAAGAAAACAAGCACTCGCTTACTTGCACAAACACAATGGGTATGCCACCTACCAGGGGACTGTTCCATTGACGGTTTAACGGAGCTGACTTGTTGAATCCAGGTCCTTGCAGTTGCAGCTGTGGCTCTACATGTCAGTACCTTGTCCCAGTTGTAGAAACACCCGTTGCTAACAAGGACACTAGGCCAATGCCCTTCTGGTCAATGCACCTGCGTATGATAACCACCATGGCTCTGGTCTTCCCTGACTGGCGACTGACAACCTCGATCATAGAAATAAAGCACCCTCACGAACACTGCCGCTGAAGGCTCACTATTTCATATTCCTTTTGCCAAAATGAATACATATTGCTTTGACGAAGATGACAAGGAAACAAAAGCGGCACGACGACTCTGCCAGGAGGTGGCTGGATGCACACTCTCATTTTGGATGAGCAACGACCGTAACAATCTGTGCTTACCATTGCATTTATTGTCAGGGCAGAGCAGACAAGCACACAGGCACCCACGTAAACTGTTAATGAGAACAATGACTTGAAGCCGACATGGCTGCCATTTTTCCTGTTTCCTTGGAGGGACTGTGCTGTGTCCCTGACTGTAGGATCCCAGTGGGCTGACTGCCATACAGCCAGCGGGCGAGCGGGCGGCGGGGTAGTTTCTCAGCCTAGTGAGCCCTCTTAGTGAGCCCCTTATCGGCTCCCTCTTATCGGCTTCTTATCGATTGTGGCTTGCTTCAGGGTCTGGCGGGGAATTGTTTGTTTGTAGTCAGAAAAAGGGGAAAGAAGTAATAGTTAATAATACCTTTTGGATTCGTTTCTGTCGTCAGGGGCATGAACTGGATATAAATCATTCCGTCGGATCCTGCAACATCTGGCATCATCTCTCTGCTCTTTGTGTGTTGCAAATCTTGCATCTTGCCAGTGCCAAGTTGAGTCATACTGACGCAATGTTTCATCAGGCATGCACTACACTGAACTTCCCCCTGTTTCAAAGGAATGGCTCAATTACTTATTTCGGTCCTCGCGACGAGCTTGTGAATTTTCCGAGATTTAGATCTATTGATTGTGGTTAAGCGACGAGAGTATAGCGTCAACAGGTGACGGGCCTGCATACGCTTCATCAGAGTGGGATATAGATTCTGTTCTTCACCATGCCAGCACCAGTCTCCTTCTCTTCTCGTGTCAGAGGCGCACTCTTTGGCCTTGCTGTGTGCGACGCATTAGGAGGCCCCGTGGAGTTCAAGCCCCGCGGATCCTTTGACCGCTTGACGCAGATGTTGCCAAACGACAACTTTGGTCTCCCTCCAGGCTGTTTCACCGACGACACGTCAATGACACTGTGTCTGGCCCAGTCGCTGCTGGAATGTGGCGGCCAGTCCAACATCGTGGACCAGGTCGAGAAGTACATCTCGTGGTGGCGGAACGGGTACATGTCGTCGGTCGGTCGCTGCTTCGACATCGGAGTCTCGACGAGGAGTGCACTCGAGATGTGGGACAGTTTCCTCCACCTTGGCAACCGCGACGCCTCGCCGCCGGTGGAAGCTACTCATCGTGCGATCCTGAAGAAAATCACCTTTTCCTTCGGCAAAGACGAGTATTGCGGCAACGGGAGCCTGATGAGGGTGCTCCCCGCGGCGCTCGTGGCCTCGAGTGAGCCGGACGCCGTCCTGCTCGCGCACGAGAGCTCGTTACCAACACATCCCCACCCTCGGTGCGTACACGCGTGTATGATATACAGTGCTCTGGTGTTGCAAGCGCTCAGCGGCGCCTCAAAGACCGAGCTCGCCGTCAGTTTGGCCGAGTCGGTGAGAGAGATCCCCAGCAACGTCTCCGACACGCCCATCGAACCCGTGCTCGCGGAGCGTATGGGGAAGTACCGGACGCTGGAGGACTGGGAGAAGACAACAGCCGAGTCGATCCGGAGCACGGGCTACGTGGTCGACACCCTCGAGGCGTCGCTCTGGGCCTTTTTCAACACAGATACTTTCGAGGAGGCAGCCATCCTGTCCGTCAACCTGGGGTACGATGCAGACACCGTGGGTGCGATATGTGGCGGGCTTGCCGGGGCGTATCATGGCTTTGAGGCCATTCCAGAGAGCTGGCTCCGCGAGATGAAGAAGACGGACATCCTTGACGAAGTGGCCCAGAAGATAGTCGATCACAGGAACAGAACAATATAAATTTCGTCGAAACTGTTTCAAACAAAAGATGAATTTTGCTCGGAATCGCAATGCTATTTCCCTCCTTCCTCCATCAACTTCCCTCACTCGTGAACTGATCCCTTGAATCGACACTCTACTATTCAAATTGACAATTATGGTAGAATATACAACCACCAATAGCGTATGAAGTCCCACCCTGTTGTTTGGACCTCATTACAGCCCTCAGGTACGGAGCACAGCCTTGAAATACCTATGTATGTACAGTAGGTACAATACGCTCAACGCAACCACGTGAAATATTTTGGGACACGCTAAGTGGCGGAAATCTCACCAGTTGCATCACCTCAGCGCCCTATGTGATGTCAAACGAGGATCCCAACTTCTTGGACAATCCAAGTTTCCTTGCCGCCGCCTCCTCCCCGCATTCCTTCAGACGAGGGTTGGACATCACACTACCGATGTATGTATGTAGGTCATAAGCCCCTCCCACCTACCAATCACCGAACAGTATGCTGCCTGACCCGGGTCTGCCACTCATGGTTGTTTTGCCACTGCGCAGTGGACAGATGGATATGGATGTACGTACCTAGGCAGACGGATTGGACAACAACAGACAAGGCACCACCCACAGGAATTTTCCAGATCACTGAAAGGGGAGAAGCAACATGACAGACACCATTCTGACTGGTTGAGCAAACGAGCAAAGTGACGTCTGTGGCCAAGGATTATATATAAATCCTTTCTCCTCCTTCCCTTTCCTCTCCCCTCTTCCTGTGGTGTATCCCGAAGTCCCTATCCCATCCCTACTTTGACATACATTCAGATATACACACAAAACCCAGAGATTAAGGATTACGTGACGAGCCTCGTCACACGTAACACACTCTCTTACGGCGCCAGACCACACGACCATCATCCACCATCATCCACCATAATGTCCAACTACGGCTCATCGAACCAGGCGACGACCCGCCAGGGTTCCGGCAGTGGCGGCGGTGGCAGTTCAGTGTTTTACAACGCGTCAGTGTCGTATTCGACTTCCAGCTCCACCTCCAGCTCCGGTTCCAGGTCGACCGGCGGCGACCCACAGACCCGGAGTCACGCGCAGCGCTACACCGAGACCATGACCAGCAACGACCGCGACGGCACCAACATCCGGCGCGTGTCCGAGGAGACGGGCAGGCCACCCCGGAGCGAGGAGACGTACATCCCGCTGCGCGGGGGGAGGGTGGGGGCCAGTGATGATCGCGGGAGGATCGAGGATGTCACCGACGCTGACCCCGATGACGACGACCAGGCGGCGAGGGATCGTGAGTACGAGGAGAGAATGGAGGACGAGTACGCCAAGAGAGAAGGAGGCGCTTGAGAATGGACCCGTTGAGGTTTTGTTTGTGTCTCGAGATTGTCGTCGCGTCGGAATGTGTGAGACAAAGTGGAACGGATGTGTTTGCAGATGCTTGCTGGGTTTCTCTGACATAACTACTGATCCCCCTGTACTTTACATACACCAGGACATGAGATTGGGCGAAGGCGATTTGTACAGAAAAACTCTGCGTGAGACGATCAAGGAAGAAGAACAAGGATCCATAATGCCGGGAGGAGGGAAAGGGGATCGGAGGGACTTGAGTGAGCTGGAGCTCCAATTGTTGGGGTCAGCACAGAGCTTTTCCTTCACGATCGCAGAATGAATTGCAACTCGGATCAGAGAGGTGGAGGTGGTACTTTCTTTCTCTCTATGTTCACTTAATCAATCCACTCATCCATCTATCATCTATCACCTTTCGCACTCTGCGTCGTCATCACCTGTAAAACCGGACGTATAGGGGAGACCGAAAAGGGCGAGTGGCAGGGGAATGAATGTAGTGCCCCCACGCTCGTTCGTATTGAGTGTGCTGCGCCATGTTTCTCTCCATATGGGTTGCCACTGGGACATGAATCGATTGGTGTGCAGGAAAAAGTAGACGAGCGACGAACGACCAGGCAAAACCTAGTTTCGCAGTCACAGTAGGACATGGAACAATACTGTTCGGAGTTGCAGAGGCATGTTTCCTCCTCCTCCTCCTCCTCCTCCTCCTCCTAGATCTTCAACTCCTCTAACGATGTCGCCGCCGCGACGCTCTTTTCCTTGGAAGGGATGAGCGGACTGGTCGAGATGTCGAATTTCTTTGTGCAGATCCATGCGGACGCATACATGTTGACCCTGCAATAGAGGATGAGAGTCCGGTCTCACAAAACGGAGCAGTGGCAAACAGGGATCGAGGTTGCCGAAACTCACCGATCGATACACTTCCCGGAATCCCGTCTGCCGACGCACGTAGCATTAAAGCCATTCTGCTCAAAAATGTCTGTATACCACGGCCGTAATGCCGCAGACCGGAAGAGGACACGGCCCCCGAGCTTGAGGACTTTGTTCAAAGCCACAACCTGCTCCAGTGCAGCTGATTCTGGGTCACTGGGATCGAACCAGTCCATCGAGTCCATGAGCTGCAGATTGTCAATGAGTGACCCTATGGTGGAAATGGGAGGACTCATTGTCCATGGAAAGAAGCACGAAGGACTCACGATGGCAATGGTCAGTGTCGAGGGGCTGATCCTCGCGATTACTTCCATAATTTCATCTGTGTGGATGCGTAGACCATCAAATGCGTCGGGTTTTGACAGCGCCGTGTGCGCTTTGACGCCGAGGTAGCGAGGATGGCACCTGTTTCGTTTGTGCGTTAGAGGAGTAGCCAAAGAAAGATCCAATGTGAAATTGTTGCTTACTTCCTCGAAAACTTTCCTTGCAAGCAGAGATAGTAGAAGTAGTTGTCCCTGCTAATTTGCGTCGTTTCCACCACTGGATCCAAAGTGTCGACGACGTATTGCCAGATAGCTTCCCCGCAGAGTTTCTTCGTTCGTGGCAGCTTCGTCCGCTGTGCGTAGTCGTCGATAATGAGGGCATGCTGGTTTGGAGGAACCCCAGCCGCTTTCCATGCCCACCACTCCGTAGACACCACGGTCTTGTGCAAGGGCCAGCTGAGGAGGAGATTCCGGATCTGAGGCCAGATCTCGCGCTGCTCGTTCAGCGTCTCCACTTTACACATTGTACGCACTTTGGCCGTGAGTCCAAATGTCTTGAACAGCCATCGCACGAGCTTAATGGCGTGTCTGGACCCCCCACTCTCATACAATCCCCCCTTGGAGGAAAAGATGTAGGATTTACTGAGCCAGTACTGGAAAGCCTGGCTGGACATATGCGGACTGAGTCTGGAGAGAAGGAGATTTCGGAAATCCGCGTGCTTGCCTTCGCCGAATAGTTGCCAGACATCGTTGTAGGGAAGGGCGGTGAAGGCCGCAACTTTCAGCTCGAGGAGGTGGTTTTGGTTCGGGTTCAAATCGACTGCGTGGATACGTTTCGGTCTTTCGAGCAGATAGTCAAGGATGTTGTCTCCAGCACTGGTGATGGTGAGGATAACGTCATCCTGGCCGATATTCAGAAGCTGGTGGTCGACCTTGGGATCTTCCCAGTTGAAGGCGTAGATATACTCGTTACCGAATTGTTGATGTTTCTGCAAGAGGTCGTTGTAGTAGATTCTCCAATGGTGCTGTTGGTAGAAAGCCGAAGGCAGTGGCAGGTCGTTACTCAAGTTGACAATGGCCGACTCATACGACTTCGACCGGGGAATGCTCTGCTGAGCGTCCAAGTTCCGCTGCTCCTTGAATTTCATTGGGGATAGGTACGGCGATTCCGTAAGAGTCGCGTCGAGTCTTTCCAGCACTTCCTGGCCTTGTTCGGCGAATGCTTCTGCATCTCGTCTACATCCGATGAAGATATAGTATGGGATGCTACGAGCCACAACGTTAGTTTGCTGAGTTTGCAGGGCAAAAGGAAAAGAGGGCCGCTGGTCGCAGCGAGAGACGCATCACTCAAGCTTGTGACGACGTTCGGATGGGAGGGAAAGCCCGTGGCTCAGAACTCACCCGCCGAGAGGATAGTTGCGCTGGCTTGTTGACAGGACAGTACCGAAGCGATACTCGACGTAGTCTCTACGACCACCGTCGAGGTTGACTCGATCGGCATCGAACCACGTGCGCCAGAACATTCGACCGAACCAATTGACATGGCGATTAAAGGACCCGCCGCAGTAGTTTCTTGACGAGATATCCACGACGCTCTGCACGTAGAAGTCACATATGCCAATCAGCCCTTTTGGGGAGAGAAACCCCGACACCATGTCGACCACGCCATAGAAATCTGGGATCATGGACAAGCTGTAGCTCATAGTGATCAGGTCGGCCGAGGACGGAGTGCACGCGACGGATCTCGCATCCTGGCACAGGACCGTGACATTCTTCCAGCCGTTCTTACGGACTCGCTCTCGAGCGACCTCGCATAAGGAAGTGGAGAGATCGACGAGGAACACATGCTCAAAGAAGCCCTCAATACCCACCAATTTGTCCATGACTTCGATGTTGTAGCCGGTACCACCGCCGATGTCATACCACACGGGCTTGTACCCTTCTCCGGCTGCCATTTTGCCCTGTAACTTCGCGACCAAGATCGCGAGCATATCCTCTCTCCCTCGTAAAAGACGCTTTCGGGTGGAGTCATAGACATTCGCCTGAAGCAAACATGAGTAAGAAGAAAAGGCTAGCGAAGTTGTCTACCCTCCTACCTGAGCAGAGTAGAAGCTCTCAAGAGCTCCTTGCTGGCCAAGATCGAATCGTCTGTCATGAGGTTTGAGCATGCAGGCATAGACAAACTTGACGTAGGGATGGGCAGCCAGTTTGCTGACGGGGGTCTGTGCGCTGAGTCTGTACATAACAACCCCCAGGATGGTCACGAGGACAATGAAACCGACACCGATCAAGCCAAGTTCGAAGTGGAAGTCCCTGAGCCGCTGCCATTCTGCGTAGCTGAATTGTGCCATTTTTGCTGGGCAAATTCAAACAACAACCACACTTTACAGCGAGGAGAGAGAAAAGAGGAAGAGCAAATGCTGAGGGTGCTCGTGATCGTCTTCATATTTTGTGGTGTTTCTGTGTTGACCGCAAGACTTAGGGAAAGGGAAGGGCAACGAATAAACCACGGGCAGCAGAATCCACGAATCGGGTCATTGGAAAAGGGCATATGGCGCACTGAATGGCGAGGACAACCACCGTAGAGCCTCGAGAACAATCTCTTTGGAGGACTGACAGCCAGATTACCCAGAGACGGGGCTGCATGTGAAGCCATCAAAATTTGGTGGGATGAACTCTGTCGGAAAAAGCTCACAGGACATGGTGAGCAAGCTCCCTGATAGCAGTCCTAGGGAGCGAATCAACATCGAGAACTTGGCGCGTGGACCTCATAATCCTATCGAGGGCGAGTCGGAGGAAACAAGCTTGGGCAGCATCATCTCGAACGAAAGGCAAGAATCCGGTGCACGTGTCGCACAGCTAAGTCGGCAACCAATGCAGATGGAAGGGAGAATTCGGCTCTTTGTTACTCGGTATCCTGCTGCAGGGCAACGAGATCGTTTTCTGGCTGGCAAATTGGTGGTGGGGATCGCCAGGTCCTGCGCCCTCGTAATGCAGGTCATCCGCCGTCGCTTCTCGCTTCACCTTCCAACCGTGAGAGGAGGTCATGGGCCTTGTCACGTGCTCGGGCAGCCTCGCGTCTGTGCTCGTCGTGGTCGGCCGGTTGGTCTTCGTGCAGAGGTGCAACCGGGGAACCCGGATCTAAGGACATGTCGACAGCTTTCACGTCCCCAAGGCTAGAGAGATATGCACAGTCTTCGTGGAGATCAGCCACCCAGAGGGCAACCATTGCACGGAGTCTGATAAGCTCTGGTTCATCCATATACGGAACGGTGGCCATACAAGAGTCCATCCTGGAGGCGATTTGGTCAGCCTGTTCAAGCTCCCTCACCTTCTTGTCTGGTTGATTGGCCGACCTGCCCACGCGAGGAGAAGAGGTGACGGACCCGACGTCACTTTCATCGTCCCCGTGCGTTGTTGACTTAGCCGCATATTGGGCCTGCACCACATAAATCCAGAGATTGAACATGGCGAGGTAATAGTCAACGGCGTTGACGGCCTCGGGCCATGACTTGTGATACGGATGCCTAACGATAAGTCGCTCGTAAAAGCGTTTGGCTCTCTCGAAACCCTCAAGGGTGAATGGGATCGCAGAGATCCTTTGGCTAGGATTTGGTTCTCTGGCAGATCCATTACGCAGAAGCACTTCAGCCGCAATGCCCATATAGCCTTGAGTGCGAACGGCAGCATTTTTGCTGACGATATCTTCGCGGAAGAGCAAGCCCAGAGCGCGAGCAGCCCGAGGGAAATCATCGTCGAGGAGCGACCGGTGCACTATTGTACTCAAGGCAGCGAGATGCTGGATATGCAAAGACCGTGAGCTGTCCGATAACCTTGACACCTGTGAGCTATTCCTTTCCTCGTCGAGATCCCCTCGTGCTGCCCAGCTCTTCTGCGAAGGTACCTCGGTGTGCGGGAAGGGGAACGGTGGTGGAGGCTGGTCCAGCGGCTGCCCAGCGACACGGCGTTGAAGCCTCTCGAGTGGAGTTACGACAGCGGTATAGTCGAGATTAGCGACAGTCTCACTTTGACTGTTCATATCATATAGTATCTGGCTGGCTTCTTCCCCGTCTTGTGCATCGTCATCTTTCTTTCTCTTGCGCTTCTTCCTTGCTGAGGATAATTCTCTTGCTGCTGGATGAGCTCGCTGCGTCGCGACAGGAGGCACGAAAATGTGCGGCATGGTTGCCTGGGCTGTTCTTGAGAAAGGCAAGGCTGTTGGGGGAGGTACTCGGGCTCCTGTCCGTCCAGGTGTTGAATCGCGTGCCCATCAAAATGGCCCCAAGTCCGCGTGGTCGGGGTACTCCCCTATTAAGTAACGTCGCACCGAGCTCATGTGCTGCTGTGATGTAATCGTGTTGAGGCGTTCCCAGATACTTGAAGGTCTTAGGATCGCAAAGCAACACGGAGTCGTACGTAGCGGGATACGATATAGAGGGTAATGAAAGACAAGCATGGAGCTCGTCGAGGCATGTACTTAAACAGCCCTTGATGTTAATATTATTGGACCGGGGGTTCTGTTGTTTAAGTGAGAGGGTGACCAAACAAAGTCCGTGCCTTGGTTCTTGGGGCGCTTTTGGCTTGCTGGCTGCCCAGCACTTCAGCCTTTCCTTGACCCAAACCAAACCAAACCAAACCACACCAAACCACACCACCACCACCACTCCCAACCTCGACTGCCGCATCATCAACCAAACCACCATTCTGCAAACTCTTCCATGCCTCTCGGTCTCGGTTGACTTTGTCACGCATCGCCTTCTGTCATCTTCGTCCTCACGTCTCCACTTGTCGTCGAATAAAGACCGATCCCAAGCGTGTTAATGAGCCTGTTCACTTGCTGACAGTGACCACAACCTTGACCACCGACCGAACCCTCTGTCTCGGCCTCCCCTTCTACGACGTGTACATCTTCACAGAGTCAGATATCCCGGCCTAGGATCGACGACGAAGTCACGCAGAGCCATCGCTCTTCTATCATGACACCACAATAGGTTGTCCCTGTTGCGCAGGCCGAACACCTTCCGGCCTCCAAAGATGGGGAACGCCACCTCAGCTCCTCGTGTCCCGGCCGATGATGACCTAATGGAGGAATCAAGGAATACGCTGACTGGCACAGGAGTCGCAGTTGGCGGGACGGGCGCGGAGGGTAGGAGTTCGCGACTGGCGAGACGGAATGCCCAGTCGTTGAGAATCGCAGGCCAGAGGGCTAGCACTATTTACGACAGTTTCCGACGCCACCGATCCGCCGAGTCAGTTACATCACGTCCGAATGCAGGCCATTCGTTGTCCTCTCCTTCCGAGACTGAATACGAACAAGAGAACAGACCGCTTGTAGGTCCGGAGGATGTGGACGTGCCAGATGCAGAGGCTGTCGCGACACCTATACTGTCGCCATCCCCGAGCAGGAGAAGGTCCACAATGTCAAGGTTGGGCTCAAGGCTGCTTCCAGACTCTGTTGCAAGAGGGTTGTTAAACAGTGGAGAGGAGACCCTGGAGGAAGGCCGGGCGTTGCGGCATGGAATCTCAGGGCGGCTACGCCCTTCCGTTTACGAGCGGCCGCCGAATTCAGACTCCAACAGCCGAGTGTCGCTCACGGGCTCTATCAGACGACGAAGCGAGAATCGAACTGAATCCAGACGACGAGCCATCCGAGGACCATTTCCCGCCCTCCAAAGCCTAAATCAACAGCCGGAGCCTACGACTTCATGGCGAGACTCTACGGATGGTGATCTACGCGAGCTGCCCCAGCCTGCCGCTTCCGGCCTGCGACATCGAAACAGGTTCAGCAGAGTTCGGGAGTCCATGTCAATCTCTCAACGCATTTCGAGTCTGTTCCGGCAGTCCACAGAGCACCTGCAGTCCAGCCAGGGAGGCCGGGAGTCTCCTTCGCGGCCTGCGAGGGTGACTTTCGCCGATGAGTCTGATCACCTTCTTCCATCTATCGCTTCCGCTGACCAGCGTCATGAAAATGACGATGCTCCCCACGAGCTAGATGCAGTTGAGCCTGAAGCTCGAACCCTTTTGGCTGGACCCCGAGTCACTTCGGGGATGAGCACAATTCGGCGTTTCCAGCCTGGCCTCAGGTCACGATCAACGAGACTCATACGGAGAGGAGAGCATCCTCCTCTTTCACAAGTGCTCCAGCTTGCTGCCGCTGCCATCGCCGCCCAACTTTCCGGTCATGCCACAGCGGGCTCCACGGGTGCCCGCCACCTTGGTGGTGACACTTTTGATGGTAGTATTCAGAACTTTGTACAAACTCTCCAAGAAGCGGCGACAGCCCAGGCTGGAGAAAACATCGACATGAACTCGTCTGACGGTGATCTGCCGCCTGTGAACTTCATGAGAGTATTCCAATTTCCAAACGACGAAAATGGGTCGCCAATTGCATCGCAGGCAGAATCACGGGATGTTGATCAGATGGATTTAGATTCAATCGCAGGACCGGGTGAAAGCGACAGGTCCGTGACCTTAGTCCTTGTTGGGGTCCGATCCCTTCCCCACGGCCAGGACAGCACTGGCGGTGAGAATGGTACGCTGGGCCCGAGCCTCGACACCCTCTTGAGTCTGCCTTTCTTACCCCCAGCCAATGTTCTCCGCAACGGAAGCTCTGGAGCTTTGTTTAGGCGCTCAGATGGAAGAAATAGATCAAGCACCCGGCGACATTCGATGACCAACTTCAGCTTTCCCGCTCAATATGAGTCGCAGAGACACCAGCGCACTCGGACGCAGACCAGCCGCTTGTCCAGCCACTCAGACCAAACTGTCCCTACCACGCCTGACGCGGGTGCTTCCTCTACCTTGGTCTCAGAAACTCCTCCTGGTCCCATTCCTCCTCCATCCACTCCGGCTGACATCAGGAGTGGCCATGCTACTCCAATCCGACGACCATCCTCAGCATCGGCGACACCCAACCAGCCACTCTCTGAACTTGACGAGGATCGGTCACAAGAACATCTCGACAGCCGCTCTCCAGAGCCTTCATTCAATACCGCTCGTCAACGACGACGAAGTGACTCTGAGTTTGCTCGCCGACCAGAGCTGGGATCGGGTGCAGCAAGGCGCAACGGGATGGTCGAACCGGATCCTCCGCCAGCAGGGGCAGGGCGAAGTTGGCTGATCTACGTTGTGGGCACCAACGTTTCGGCAACCCACCCTGCCTTTGCTATGCCCAGCTTGTTTACTGACAATCCATCCTATGAGGACATGCAGATGTTGTCAACTCTCCTAGGGCCTGTCAAGCCACCTGTTGCAACCCAGGAAGATGTGAGCGCTGCTGGTGGAGTCTTTCGACTCGTCGTTCAAGAATCGGGCTTCCTTGGGGAATCCGTCTCAGATAGCGATGACTCAGCACTCATCATCAATTTGGGAGAACGATGTCTCATTTGTTTATCAGACTACGCAGAGTCTGAAGAAGTCCGCCGCCTGGATAAATGCAAGCACGTCTATCATCGCGAATGTATCGACGAAGTGAGTTACTCCCCTGGATTGTGGGACATACCGATTTATTGACTTGAATACAGTGGCTCACCACCGGTCGGAACAGCTGTCCAATGTGCCGTGGCCAGGGTGTACAGGAACAGGGCCCATCTTCGCCTTCCCCGACGAATGCAGGAACAGCGTCCTCAGCCACCCCATGATCGGCCGGGTTGAGAAGAGCGTCTGAGATCTTGTACGGAAGCTCATGACACTTAACGAATTTTCTTGGAGCATTTTCTGGGACAAGCTATCCGTTTGGCGTACTTTGGGTAGCAATGGCGAAGAGAAGGCTACTGAATGGGAATGTGTGCAGTCTTTACAGATTGGGAACTCTGGAGAAGCGGGAGCTGGTCAGCTTCCAGATTATCGGAAGCTGCTTTCATGGATCTGGGTCGCTCTCGTCGGACACGAAATTTGCTTGCGTTGTTACATAGCCAGGGCTTTGGGGGTTGGTCGGAGAGCTGGGAAGCTTGGAGACGAATCTCAACGGGAACGTGTATGTAAGGATCACCGCAGGGGCTGGCTCCTAATCAGAACTCGCGGACTTTCGTGACGCAGGGAATGAGTATGAGTCTTACGTTTTACAGATGTACCGAGCACCTTGTCACCACTATTGCCTTTGGTTTGTTCCCGCTCTTGTCGTTCCCGTTGACCAAATTTAATCCTTCCTTCAGATGCGTTTTGTCTGCGGTCCGCAAGCAGGCCAGGGATTGTGAAACACGGAACTTTGCATTGGAGCAGCAAGCGAGGATTCGATACGAGCCTTGCCGCGCCTCCGGAATGGGAATCGATTCGTGCTAAGTGCTTGTGGGGGCGACTTGTGTGACTTTGATGACCGCCTGAGACTCAACTTGAAAGTTTGTTCTAAGGAGGCGGGAAGCACATGGGAGGGTGGAAACAAAATGGCAAGAAGTCACTACAAAACTAGTGGCTTTGTTGCAATTCCACATTCGACGTCTTCATTTCTGTATTGGGAACCCACCGGCAGCAGACGAAACAAAGGTTGTTCACTTTACCTTACACTACGCATCCATGGCCCATGGGCCCCCCGACTCACGCTGCGATCCCTGTCCTCTCCTCTCATCCACTTTCCTCGATAGCTGCCGTAGCCAGCCTGGGCCGTCGTCATCGATTTTCGGTCCTCTCCGTCTGTCAGAGAAACACGGGGTCTAGGCAGCAAGAATACGGCTTGATAAGCGTCTCATCGAGATCAGAGATGATCCAAGGTGACCGGAAGTTACCAGCGAGTCATGTTCGCCTTACTCCTGGAGGCCTCCGAATCGCCTTCCCACCCCGTCCTTCCCGGTAGCTTCTGCCTCCATGTGGGTAGACCGACGGAAATACTCGGCTCAATACAACATTGGGTACAAAAAATGCAAAAGGACACAAGCACTGGCGTCCTCAGAAGCCAAGCCGCCGTGTTACTCGTTGACCAGGCCTCTGGACGGCCAATAGACTTTGGTTTGAGGCAAATACGGAGTGCACAACGGCGTTTCGGGACACCCGGTTGAGATGATGAGAATCCATCTCTCTACGAGCGACACCGGCTTGGTCACCAAGGGCCCTGACTGGACAGCGGACGGGCGTCCGTGCCCTCTCACCCTCTCATCCCTTCAACGCCAGAGCTTGCCAAACAGAAAAAAGTGGGCTTTTTGACTACTGGGGTGACAAGCAGGATCTGCAACCAGGGTGAACAGTGACCAGAGCAGAAGCTGTGCGTCCCCGAGAACAATGCTAGGCAAATACTCCGCTCACCATTGGCTGTGAGCAGCTGCGTCCCCGACCAGTTTGACACGCCTATCGACACTAAAAAGCCGTTTCTGATGCTAGTACTTTGGCCACGCTACTATCCTGACAGCTTTTGACTCGGTCCAAGTCTGAGCGAATCAACCCGCTACTACTATTAGGTGGAGTGGGAGAGAAGCCAGAATGGGCACTTCGCAGTCTCTCCCTCGCTCGTTCCCCGGCCCCCAAGAAAACGGCGGTGCAGCTCAAGCCCTATCACCACCTGTCAACCCGACCCTACTCGTGCTTGTGGAAGAGGCTTGCGAACACATGCAAGAGCGTCCCACAGTACGCAATCTCGTCAGCATTGGGACTTCCCTCGTGCCATTCCTAGGTGCAAAGGATACAAAGGAGGCATGGGGGCAATGCTTGCGCACCGGGTTAGAAAATTGCCGGTCAATGCTCCAGAGAGTTGAAAATTACAACGGTATGGGGGTTGTTCAGTACAGTGCGCCCCCGTACAGATCAGGAGATCAGGAGATCGACCAGATAACCCTGGTGACCCCGACCATATGGTCTTTAGGCCCTTGCCGAATCCGCGACCCCTTCGTGGTCCCTGCTGCTTCTAATTCTGCTTCATGGCAGCCTCCTCCTGAGGCCCAGCACAATTTAAGCTAGTCGGGGATATCCCAGGGTCAAGATGGCGACCAACTCCACATCAATTACCGTTTCCATGACCCAGAGAAAGGTGCCAGGACGGCGCCACTGATGCTATGGACGAGCCCTCCGGAGCAACTGTCCAACACCCAACTTGTACGGACCGAGAAACGTGGCTTTAGCTTTGGCCGCTGATGCTTGCTAGGCATGCCCCAATGCCCGCTGAGCCCGTTGGGCCGCTCATTCACTCCCCCCTGACTTCGCACTGATATCAGAAACTGGTCCCGACGATCCTGATCACTACACGTATATCGACAACTTTACAAAGGTATATTTGATGTGTTACATACCCTGATCCACCAAAGTGTACTATTATGTAGAGAGCGCAGTCAAGATCAGTAGAAGAAGTCCCTGGGAACAAACGCCTCAGAAGACTTTGTGGGGTTCTTTATCCCCGTCAACACGATCGCCCCTGGCTGCGATGCATTATCCCAGACGAGGAAAATGATGGGTCGTGTTCCCCGTACGAGGTAAATGCCACACAGGTGCACCGATACTTCCGCCGGCCAGCATGAACAGCCGAATTCGGTACAGGCCAATTTGCCTCTGCCGCCATGATTTGGGTTCCGGCCATGGATATCTTACAAGGCCCTGGTTTACCAGAGCCAGGTCCCCTTCCCACCTGGTCTCCTCCCACGAATTCTGGACAAGAGACAAAAGCTACTGCGACCACACTGTGTCGGATGCTCGCATCCCTGGGGTCAATGCTATGAGAGGCCCACGCTGTCTGTTCCAAAAGTCCGCGATCGTCTGTCTTCAGATCAGATCCTCTAGGCCCAACACACGATGGGTTTCCACTAATGTTCTCTGAATGATACTGTCCTGTACCTACAGCAACATCACCCATATGTGTTGCAGGTGCGGCTCTCCCTTGGGGGCGATTGTGGTTTGTGCCGAATCCAGAAATTTCCGATTCCGCCGTTCATGCCGGGTTCAAGTGCATGGCTTGTGGACTTGTCTTAGGGCTCCTAAGCCCAGAGCCATGGAGCTTGTGGTCGATTCTGGACGCCCGGTGGGCCGCCCATTGATCGACGTTCGGGATCGACCTCAGACAACCCCAGTCAAGTCTCGGGTCTGAGTTCAGGTCTGACGACACTACTACATGACCACCACCTGAAAGTGTGCTTGGAGCAAGCAGCAGGACCCCTGTCGTGCCAAAAATCCACCGTCGCGGTATAGCGCTTGTGCAATCATTCGCTACTTTTTGGCCATGGGGCCTAACAGCAGAGCCAGGAGGGGTCCCCCTTCCAACTTCGAACCTTCGAGTCTTGACCTCTTCATTTCTGGACAACCTTCAAGCTTGTGGTACAATAGCAATCTGTGCCCGTGTCTAGATACACCTTCATCTTCACCTCGTACTGCGCATATCCCTTCCCCATTTCAAGCCCGGATGCAAATCGGCATCAGATTTTCTCCCCTCAATCCCAGAGAAATGCTTTAACGGTCTGGCTGATCCTCTGATAATCGTTGGTCACTCGCGTCATAGCCGGCATTGGCTGGCATCTGCGAACTCCGACAACTTGCCTGGCCACCCCAGGTGTGCGGCATTCTGCGCTGCTCAAATCGCAGCCCAGAGATCCAGTGCAGGCCCAGCGCGATTGCAAGTGCGGCGAGACTCAACGAGACCTGCCTGGATTCCCTTCGGTCCGGCCAGTTCTCGATGTCATATCGCGCCTTTGAAAATTTTGCCGCCGCATCAACGCTAAGCCATTGTCAATTTCTGGCCTGTGCTGAAGCTATCCGTCTCTTACGCGCTTTGCTCTGCGACTGAGACTCTGCGACTGGTTTTTGTTTTCTGGAGATCTGGGGGATTTGGACGGCAAGCGCTGGCAGTTGGGCTGAGACAAGCGTATGGAATATCAGTTGTTGTTACACCGAGCTCGATTGAAGCGATTTCCAGTATCGTCATTCCTTGGTCGTTCGACAAGACGCCTTCGGTCGCAGCGACAAATCCGTCGTACCACAAAGTAGTGGTTTGATTTCTGGAAGTATTGGTGACCAGGAAGTCCATCCAGGGGTACGGCATTCTGCGAGCGAGTGCACGAGGACAAGAACAAGTATTTGTTTCTACCTGTTGGCGAATACCTCTTGACCTGTGTCACAATCAGCGATTTGGAATTGTGCAACTTGCGCATTCAGGCATGAGCGGCCCCTACGACCATGGCATGAATATGCCAATCCCTAATATACTGGATGGAGCCTATTCGATCTACGATGGCACTTTCAACGCGGCATATCCCCGGTTGTCAGGCCCTCAAACTCATTTTGACGGCGTTGGCTTCTGGTACAATCCTACCAACACTGAACAGCTTTATGACAGGCAGGCCAGCCTGCTCACCGGCCGTCGTGCAGCGGCACCTGCAAATAGCATGGACTCTTCCGCTGTCAAACACCGTCGTACTCGCAGTGGTTGCTTTACTTGCCGCAGCAGAAGAGTGAAGGTACGATCATGAATCCTGTCATGTGGACTATTCCCTTGCTGACCCCCTGGTAAAGTGCGACGAGACAAGGCCTGTTTGTGACAGTATGTGATTCTTCCGATCGCCACAGAGTACGTTACTGACCCCTATTCCAGGATGCAAGAAGGGGAATCGTGATTGCGAATTTCCGCAGACGACCGCCACCACGAAGCGATCCAAGCAAAGCGACAGTCGCGGCACCAAGGACCAAGGGGCGAAGCATGATATCAAAGACGAGAGCATGACCGGCTTGCCTACAATAAAAGACGAAAGTGAGGAAGACGAGTCCCCACTGTCTCCGACGACCACACGACCACCACCGCAGCGAAGCGACAGCGGCCAATCAGTGCCACGCAGCACAAAAGCCAAGAATGCATCAGAGACATCATCTGGCGTCAAGGATCAGACCAGTCCGCAATCAAGCGAAGCATCGGATGCTCGCTCAAGAGACGATACGCCCGCATCATCACTGCGCACACTTGGAAATTCTGCAGAAATGCAAGCACGACAAGCAAAGATAAAGTCCTTGAAGCCAGATCTCCAGAAGTATCTGCAATTCCAGCAAGAGTATATGACCTTTTACCACTACTTCTTCAAACTCGACCCGACGGACTTCGTACATGCAGAGTTTATCGACCTTGCCTTGACCTATGAGCCGCTGCTGTATGCTGCCGTGGGGTTTGCTGCGTACCACTACGAGCTGCAGCAGCCTGAGCCCAAGTTGTCGCATTTCTTATGGTATCACAGCAGGTCGCTGTCGATGCTGAGGAAATCGTTGGAGAAGAACACAAAGGTCACCGAGGCCACTCTGCTCACTGTTTTGCAATTGGCGACTTTCGAAGAATATATTGGCGATTGGGTAAATCTGGTTGGCCATCATCGTGCGGCTCTTACCATGGTGCGTGATCTTTACACCCCGGGTACGATGATGGAGACCGACCTGGGAAGACGTATCTTCAGCTGGGTCGCACGCTTGGATATCATGGTGGGTCTGATGGCGGGCAACGAAACGCGACTGGACCGGCAGTGGTTCGAGGCAAACGCTGCATGGTACCACAGTCAAGTCGAGACCGACCCCGAGATGGACGTCGATATCGAAAATACCATGGCATACTTCGTGTCATCGAATCGACTGATCGGCATGGACATTGCTGCTTTGTTTGCCAAGTTTAGTAAAAGGGAAATGAGCGTGGAGACATTTTGCGCAGAAAACAGTGAGATTGTTGAAAGGGTCGAGGCTATGAAACGCCAGATTGAATTGTTCAACGACGAATACTACAGGGTGCAGGAATTCGCCGTCGAGAAGGCTCGACCTTTGACCGAAGAAGACATTGTCAATCCTTATGTCCCGGGAGGCTTGTTTAAAGATGCACTGTGGCCCTTGAACTTTATGTGGATCGACTGGTACAGCATTGAGCTGTTGCAGAGATACCAAACAGCGGTAATGCTTCAGCAGCCGATGCCTCCTGAATTGGAGCAAATCAGCCTGGAACAATGTCGCATTTACGAGGCCATGGAGCGGTGGCCGGATGCTCCGAACGGATCCATCTTGGGCGCACATGCGCCTTTGGGCCTCGCCACAGTCTTCCTGAAGAAAGATCCCAGACACGTCATGTGGGCGCGAAGAAAATTCGCCGCTGTGGAAAGACAGGGCTACATTTTTCCACCGTCCTTTCGACAAAAAATGGCCGAATTGTGGGGTCTGACGCGCGACGAAGTTGGCGAAAATGAAGCTGTGGAAAACTGGTGGCTGCCTAATGACGAAGGCAACATTCCCATGTTGAAGGAGATCCGCAAAGTGGTGAATGAAAGGCATGAGAGCGATACGATTACCAGCGTGGAGTCTCTTGCCAGCGTCAGGGACCTGAAGGCGATTTTTGAAAAGCTGGATCTTCGAACCCAATCGGCTGGAAGATCAGGCGCTAGTGACGGCCAATTCAGTCCAAAGAGCGATACCAGCGGTGGACTGAGTGACCGTGCAAGCAATCCCAGTTTCAGTCCTACCAGCGTGAATTTCGGTGACGTGACAAGAGGCAGCAGCATATCGGGAACTGTGCAAGAAGGAGGCGGCGCTCAGAAACGGAGAGAAAAACGGTCTGGTTCAACTTCGTGAGGAGATAATCAAAGTGACGGCCATTGCTTTCCAGCAGCCTCGTGGGCAACGATACATTTTCATGTGCTAACGATTCAAAGACTACGGATAAACAGAATGACCAAGGAGGCCTGGATTGCTTTCAGACGCCTCATCAAAGGGAACGGACGCTCCGATAATGTGCTCCATGGCTTCACAGAGTGTAACCAAAGGTACGGGTGCCTGGTCCCGGAGGTGTCATGTTGACTCCCTAGGCAGACGATCCTTCGATTGGATTTATGCCTTTCATCGCTGCACCTCTTTTATTCTCTTCTACACATAGGCGCCTGTCGCCTTACAATGTTTCAACACTGCTGGGAGGGAAGTTTTTTTTTGGCGACGGCACAACCTTGGATTTCGACCACGGAAGAATCCTGCCCCGATTCAAGATTTCTGTCTCGACTCTGTCCGCAACCTGCCTCTCGAGGCGACAGTGTTGAATCGCGGGCAGGGACTCAAACATCTGCAAAGGTTCATCACATTATGAACGGAGCTTTCTCGCCCTTTCCACTCTGGAGTGTATATAATATCTGTTCTCATCCACAAAAGAAGTGTCCCGTGCTCTAGGCTGCTCACGCCCGTCGAGCCAATTTTGATAATGAGGAAAAGATGGGGGGAAATGAAACGGAAATGGTCACATCAGACTTTTTTGTCTCTCCTCTTTCCTTGCACATTAGTACAGAGCACTTTGCTTTTGGGTTCACCACTGGGGGCAAACTCACAAAGCCAACCAATCAATCCGCCAGTCCGACCAAATACGTCAAGAGCGTGGTCCCAGGTCAGGTTCACGGATCAGGGGGTTGGTTCTCTGGAACGTGGGACGTGAACGTCTACTAAGCAACGACCGTTAGTTTCTCTCTAGGGCGTTGCCAGCCCAAGACTGTTACATTTAACGTTAGCAAAAATAAAAGACCCAAAGCCCAGAGGCATCCCCGGCACATCTTCGTCCAGAAATCAGACAAGTGGTCGCCCAATATAACCCACCCCTTTACTTGGGCCTCGTCGTCAGAGAACCCAACCACCTCATCTTCCTCACTATGTGCCTACCACCCACTCACTCCACTGCACGAGGAACATGGGATCTCTTGGGATGGGCCTTTGAACAGTGGGCGTCGAACAACAAACGGCGTACCTCGTATTCACGCTTTAGTTCGTGTCCTGCCTGGGTCAGTCGTTGCTCGTGACCAGGATCTTTCTGTGACCCGCGTCGGGACCCCAGGCGCGACTCAAAACCAGGATTCTATACTGAGACAACCTCGACCCATCGGTGAAATCGAATGCTTGCTGAAAGAGAAAAGAGACCAGCGAAAGCATCATCGTCTTGTTTTTTCCTTTTGTTTTTTCGGCAAAGTGGCCCACCTGTGCCAGAACTGGCGGGCGCGCTTTTGCAGGTACTTCCCGCGTGGTGGCTTGCCGGCGTTGTTTTTAGTCCAATAGAAATTGTCTTGTTCTTGTCTGTCTTTTGATGTCCGTCTCAGGTAGTCTTCTTCGAACATGGAGACTCTCCATCGTTGCGTCTCGAGTCTCTGAAACGGTCCACATAGCACGGAGGACTAAGGTGGTTGCGGTTCAGCTTGTTTTAGGCCCACATTAAGTTGGATTCTTCCTTCGAGTTGCCGCTAGGCTCGACGAGCACAAGTTCGCTCCGTCGATGTGAACAAGGCACTGGGGCTCCCCATGACTGTGACCTCGGACTGTGGTGGATATCACACCAAGGCCTAGTCTCACTGGCATTGGGAGGTGCACATTTCGCGCCAACACTCGACCAGAGCGAGAAATGAATACGAGGTTATGCAAAGGCACGGAAAAGCGGACGCCTTTAGCCTTCTGACGCCGTCGCAGAGTGTCCCGTTCCAGGCGAAACTGCCTCTTGAAACTGCAACGTAGTCACACGGGATGCTTCATCCAGTCTAGGCCCGTGGAGTCTTACACCAAAGACATATTTCTCCGAGACCCCTGAAATAACTCCTCAACGTGCCTAACATGTGGGATGTGGGGGGGCCATGTAGGAGATAAAGAGGGAAAGCGTTGAACGGAGTACCCTTCGATAGCATATCATTGGTAAGACTTGGTGGTGTGTTGACTTGGGAGCTCTTGCTCCTTGTGGTGCCGTACCCAGGCTCGCTCACACAGGCCCCCATGAGATACCACTTGGAGGTTGGGTGATTGCACAAAGTACTAATCATCTTGATGCTTTTTCTTCCTAGCGTACCGGCCAGAGCCGTTGATCATGGGCACTTTGCTTGCAATACCGCCGCAAGCCATTCATCAAGTGGGTGGTTGTGTGTGTGTGTGCCGGTACAGCGGACTCACCCGCTGTTGCCGTTGGGTAGACCCAGCTTTTCAAGACCGCCCGAAGCTGGTTTCACATGTCTTGAATGGATAATGTCAGAGGGTCCATCGATGATCCTCCCCGCATGATCACCTCCACGAAGCTGAGGAGACTCTGCTGTGTCGTTTGACGAGTCAGGGACGCCGAGCGAGCCCAAACATTCTCATCAAAGAGGACCTATAAGAAGTGCCGCGAAAAGACCGAGGCCGATGAGGGCGTACGCACTGGAAGCTCCCAGGACATGCCCCTCGCCGCGTTGCAGTCTCACAGGGTGATCACCATCCATCTCCAGTCGGCTGCTGTTCTCACACTGCACCAATGTTGACAACCAGGGAACAAAGAGTTTAGTGTCGAAGTTTGCGAGACCAGCCAAGAAGGCAGACTCCCTAGAGGCCAATACTTTTCCAGCCCGAAGTGGGAGGGGCACGCAAAGAAGCTCTTCTCTCGTACTGTACATACATTTAGTCTTTGTTGAAGGCTGTCCAATGAACAGGCCTCAGCCATGAATGGGTGTCGTGCAGTTGGAATAGTTTTGTTCGTTGGGAGGTGTGCCTACTATAAGTAGAATGGTCAATATTCTTCAAGACACAGAAATCCTTTCCAGGGTGACCTCCGATGCGCGGCATAAATTGGGCGGACCACAGACCACAGCAAGTCCTTGTGGTAAGCGAAAGTATACCGAGTACGAGGTAGAGGGAATGTTTATTGATTTGGCAAGCTCGTGGTGATCGTATGGAGAACCCCTTGGGCGAACGTAAGAAGTGCCCAACCCGCTGCGAAGGGCTCTCTGATGCAAGCAATCCAACTCGCAGGGGTAGTTTAGCCATCCATCCGGACACGGAGGATGCCCGGCCCCGGTTCTTGGAGGGCTGATGCTTCGAGGCAACGTCCCGGATCCAACTCCATCAGTCCCAGGTCCACCAGCCCAGGAGTCACTATCATCCACATAAGCGAGGAGATGGGACAACTGCTCTAATCGAGTGCTATCTCCATGCTCGGCCGATCTCAATCCTTAGGAGAGTGAAAAGGAGTCACACAAGGTCCAACTCGACGGACCGAGGTGACAATCAGGCGACAGGGGCTTGATGCGGCTTCTGAGGGTCGACAACGAACGAGCAACAGGGGGAAGTTCTGTTCCAGGAGGATGTCGCTTCGCTGAATTGATACACGAGAGCTTTCACGCAGAACGATCACCTCTTTTGTCACACCGGCTAGTGCGAGCGGGTAAATATCTTGTATACCTATCCCTCGTGAGTCTTCTCCCCAAAGGCTGCACGTTTCCGCCACTGCGCGTCAACACTTGATTTTAGGCTTTGCCAGCGGAATCGGTCACGATACTCTGATGTTATTCCGTCTGACGGGGAGGCGACCGTGCGAACCTGGCAGAGATGGATTTAGCTGTGTGCTTTAGTACCGCCTAGCATCCAGTCTCGATGGCTCGAACTAAGCTTCGCGTACCCATTTTCGCGATGACAGCCAGTTCATAACCATGGCTTGGAATTATCGTTTCGTGATTGAGCACCGTGAAGGTCCTGAGAATGGAAAGCCCTCGCAGACGACGTGCCTCGACAGTCCGTCATCTGGATAGCATGGCTATGGTATGTCAAAGATGAACCTGAATCTTCTCAGATGTGAGAGCGCTTCACAACTGCTGGGTTTTCGGCCTCCACGCGGTCGCGATGCAAGGGCGACGATCGCAACAGTGGCGAACATAACTGAAGAGTCAAGACCGAGGAGAATCTGTGGCAGGAGTAGACTGACGGCGGCAATGACAAGCCCTGGTTGCCGCCAACGAACAAACGGAAGTCCTCTCCGGTACAAGAGAAACTGGTTTAACAATAGGTTAAGAAACAAGAATCGACTATTTTCTGATTGCTCGAATTACTTCACCTGGTATCCATTGAGGCGCGCATGCCGAGGGGACTGAGGTATCCAGACGATATGTCGCCCCAAGGTGGGCTTGATATCATGGCAAAGAAGCGAAATGGCAAGAGTCGATGAGGATAAAGTCACTGATCCCCATGGAGAGCAGCAAGGATCCGAACCGATGATCTTCAGAAGTGAAGCCCAGTCTTTGGTGGGTATAAGTTACCGCCTTCCGTCGAGTGGCATCCCTTGTTTCCCTATGGCATCTTGGGCTACCCAGCAAAGGTGCATGAGTGCATGCTTCTGTTTCGCAGTCCTCTATCGTGAGAAAAGTTGGTACTTGTAGAAATTCTGTATGCGTCACGGAAAGACCATATAAGCGACGTTGATGTCAGTAGGTCCAGGTGATACGAAAAGGTAAATGGCATAGCACCCACGGTCTGAGAGAGGACCTGAATCGAGGAGGACAAGATGGTCGTCGTGAGCATTGTGTGACACCGAAGAGTGTGAGTGTCTAGCTGCGCCGCTGGAGACGGAACGAGGTCTGGGCTCGGCGCACTTTCCGTATCTGGATGCGCGACAAATAATTTTCCACCGCGTAATGCAACGACGACCATGGATTGGTTTCAAAAACACTACGAACCTGCTTTGAATTCACCGACAGATTTCTCTATTCGCGTATTCCACATAGAACCCCTATTTCCCGGGTCATGGACTCGTATCGCCCTTCTGGCGAAGATCGCCGGCCTCATCGAGACAGCGACTCTTACCGACCCCGCCACTACGAGCCTCCACCCCCGCCTCGCGCTTCATTGCATGACCGCCCTCAGATGTATTACTTCCAAGGCTCGCGCGACAGAGACCCACCAGGACCATCTAGCTATCGACCGCGATCTGATTATCGTAATGGGCGATCTCAGCTTCCACGACGAGACCAGGCTCGTAGGCCTCCGCCACTGTTTCCCAAGACAGCAGCAAATAGGCCTTTGATGAAACTTCGCCACGACGACTCCACTGATTCATCCCTTACCGATGTCAACTCGACCAAGTTTCGCAATGTCGATGAGCTCACTGACAGTGAAGAGGAGGACATGGCGCAATCGGAGGACGAAGAGGTGGACCTGCGAGCCAACAAGCGTGCCAGACTGAATGGACCCGAATCTACTGCAGCACCTGCTCTACCAAAATGGTCAAATCCCGATCCATACACATCGCTTCCTCCCCAAGCAGAGACAGGGGCCAAACGCATTGATGTCGTCAAACTGATTCGGAAAGCGCGTATCGATGGCACCCGCAGTCTCGAAAACGTCAATATTTCCCACGACTTCATCTCCTTTGATAGCGATGAACACAAACCGATTGAGCCTTTTGTGTCTCCCCTACCCCTTTCAAACACTCCGACGGCGCCCAAGGCACTTGCGCCTCAAGCACAGGTCAAAACCACTGTTACAGGCAAGAGAAAGCGAGACACTTCTCTTGGTAGCGAAGTACCACTGCCACATTCTGACAACCAGATTTATGCCGATCGTCATGTGCAAGAACAGTGGAGAGCCGCACCTGGAGTTGATACGACACCGTGGCTTGCCGCCCATCCTCCCCGTAACATTCCTTTAGTTGCGTAAGTTTGCACAAGTATTCTTACACTTCGCAGCTAACCGCCACAGCTTCCACAAAGAGATCATTGACTTCTACGACTGGGTCAAGCCGAAGCCACACGAGGAGGAAGTCCGTGACGAGGTTTTTCGACGCCTCAATACCGTCCTGAAAGGTTTTATGTACGGAGAATTGCGGGCGTTCGGATCTTATGCCGCTGGTCTGTACCTGCCCACCGCAGACATGGACCTGGTCTACCTCACTCGCAATTTTAGACCTGGCCGATTTTCACAGGATGATTCGAGGCGACTTGTCTACGGCTGTGCCAAGTTTCTCAGGCAGAAGAACATTGCTGAAGGAGTCGTGGTACCTATCCCCAAGGCCAAAGTCCCAATCATCAAGTTTGTCGACAGAGTCAGCGGCCTTAAGATTGACCTCTCTTTCGACAATGATACCGGCGTTGTTGCTATTGATACATTCCACAAATGGAAGCAGGAATATCCAGTTATGCCCATCATTGTGTCCGTGGTGAAGCAGTATTTAATGATTCGAGGGCTTAATGATGTTTCAACTGGTGGCTTGGGTGGCTTTTCCACTATCTGTCTGGTCACTAGTCTGCTTCAACATTTGCCAGCTCCTAAGCAGCCAATCAACCTCGGCGACATCCTATTGCAGTTCTTCAACTACTACGGGAATCTCTTTGATAAGGAGTCGGTGGCCATCAGACTTGATCCACCTGGATATTTACACAAGGTATTTGCGTCCATCCTATCTCGTTCCTACTAACCTGTTGCTGCAGGCATCTTATCGTCCTCGACTCGCTGACAAAGAGTCGAAACGGCTTACTATCATTGATCCAAATCGAGCGGACAACAACATCTCAGGAGGGACTAAAGAAATCGATAAGATCTTCAAATGCTTTTCTGAGGCATACAAGGCGCTTATGAGTCGACTGTCTGCTTACGAGAAGCGCAATCCGCAGGCTCCTCAGAGCAGCTTTCTGGAATGTCTCGTCGGTGGCAACTTCACGCTTTACGACTTTCAGCGAAAAAAATTGCTTGATCTTTGCTCCAACCGCCGCGATTCGGCTGTGAAGAACAGAGGATACGTGTCTGAGATGTCTGATCGACCCGCTGTTGTCCAAGCCAGTGGCAAACGGAACGTACGTTAATAGATGCTGTTGCGCAGACCAAGAAGCTTGACGTATTCTAGGATCAACCGGACGAACCTGGAGGCTTCGCAGAGAGAACAGCTGCACAGGCGAAGAAGCTTGGGAAAGGCGAGAGACGAGCAAGACGGCTCAAAGACCTACGACCCGATCTCGCACCGTCAATACGGAACACCATTAGCCTCATTGATGCTATGAAGATTGGAGGTTACAAAACACCAAAAGAGATGGATAATGACCTCCAGATACGAGAAGCGGCGGCGGCGAAGATTGCTGCTGCCAGAGTCGATTGAGACCAGCCCGGAGCATTTGTCAGTTGAATCACTCTTACGAGTTACCATATCACAAGCTGGCATGCGATGGTGTCGACATTACTCAGTGTTCGAGCTGTTTGCCGCATATTGATTACCTGGTAACTGATCAGAGCATCTTGACATCCGAGCGTGTGCTTCCCACATCACACCCTCTTGAAAATGATTCTTTCAACTTTGGCATTTTTCCGTCCAGCCTAACCTCGGCCCTGCCATCCATGTTATAATATGGAGACTGCTGACAAGCTTACAGAACGTTCTCACAACTACACGACTTGTCGTCTGCAACGGTGGTCAGATCACGAAGTCGAGCCCAAAGCACCATGGGCGACCGTCCACAACCTTCGCCATTCTTCTCCCTTCTTTCCCGTCTTTGGGCTCTTGCGTGATCCTTTGCTGTGAAGAGGTAACTATTTTCAAATTTCGAAGCCTATTGAAGATCGTTCAGGCTCACGTCGCCTCCATTGTCGCCGCGGTTGATCCTGAATCGAAATATCTAACAGCACATGATTCCTCGAGCCCCAATGCACCGTCAGGCGCCTAGACGCCAACATGTTCAGGGCTCTCTTGAGCACACAGCGGCCGTCGCCACACCAGTGGTGCCTAGCAGTGCTCCTGAGCTCCATCTTGCTGCCCCTTTTCTCATTGTCAAAGTGCTACATGCACTCTGGCGGAGAGGAAGACTCGGTGGCAGACCAAGTTTGCATCGATCATGGCGTTTCGCCCTGAAGCTGGAGACGACGGCATCTATCAAGCCTGTTCCCAGTAAACGATGTGGACATGTATATTACTGCATCTTAGCCGGAACGTTCGGCCCGTGCGGTTTGATGAATGCGACAATCGTAATGCGCAGTTCAATATTTATTATTGCCATTATATGTCCCTCTTTCAAACAACAGACACAAGTCTTCAATTCCTGTCATTCTGCTGTGGTCGACATCAGGATTGAATTTCGGTGAAGGTGATCTCAACTCTCAATGATCCCTTTGGACGCCAACTGCTTCCGTATTGTCTGCCTTAGTGAAGCCATGGATATGCAACTGACAGCAATAGGGATAGATTCGAAGGTGTGGTCAAGAAGGCATGTTACCTGCGATCACCCATCTACCAAGTTACATCCACACCTGTAGGTGCGTATTGGGAGGTACATAGTTAAAGCATCTTCATGACGTCTGGGGTGTGTCTGGGCTCTTGGAATGAAGTGGCGGACAACTCTAGGCACCCCGAGAACCCAGAGAGTCTCACTAAAGAATGTAAGGGTGCTAGTTGGGGGCCCGCCTCCTTGGTAGGCAGGTCACCCGCTCGCTGCTCCGCCGCCAAGCGCAGGCCACCAGCTCAGGTCACCAGCCTCAGTCTCCGCATGCACTGGCAGCATGGCGTGGACATCGCAATTACTGGCTCCCCTCATGCAGTGCCCAAAAAGTTCACTAGAAACATGGATTAGGCCAATATTTCCTCTTCCCAACACCCTCACAAAGGAGATACGTTGACATCTCCATCCGTCACACCGCGCTTAGAGGTCATCCTGCGGACCATGGTTCTGCAGCATGGCGTCGTCGCAAGGTCCAGGTCCAGACCCCAGCGAGCGCATCTTCGTGGATCTACGAAACAAGAATGAGGAAGTCAAGAACAAGGCCGCAGCAGAGCTGCGTGACTTGATAACGTTGCTCTCAAGAGGTCAGACTCACCCCCATGTATCCTGCTGATCTACTGACTTGACTCCCAAAGAATGGTCCCCCGAACGGTTCAGCGCATTCTACGACAGAGTTACCACCCGCATCAGCAACCTCATCGTACAAGCACCAGACCCAAGTGACAAGGTTGGAGGAGTCCTGGCCTTGGACCGACTCATAGACTGCGAGGCAATTGATCCTGCTCAGAAGGCTTCAAAATATTCCAACTACTTGCGGGCAGCTTTGAAGAGCAATGACTACAGCGTGCTGGATGCCGCCAGCCGAGCGCTGGGCCATCTGGCTCGACCCGGGGGTGCATACACAGCAGAGCTTGTCGAAGCCGAAATGACATCGGCCTTCGAGTGGCTGCAACCAGAAAGCAAGCAGGAAAGCCGTAAACTGGCTGCAGTGCTTCTCATCCGCGAACTGGCCAAGAATTCACCTACCCTCGTGTACGGCTTCATCCCCCAGATTTTCGAGCTGATTTGGAATGCCTTGCGAGACCCGAAAGACCTCATACGCCGAATCGCCGCCCAGTCCGTTAGCGCATGCTTTGGTGTGATGGTTGCAAGAGACACACAGTTCCAGAATCATTGGTTTGCCAAAATATACTCCAAGACGCTCGAGGGTTTCCGACCGAACACCTCGGTCGATGAGACACTGGGCTCTCTTCTGATCCTGAACGAACTGCTGCAGCAGGGAAACATGTTCATGCACGACTTTTACAGAAACGCTTGTGAAACCGTGCTCCGGCTGAAGGACCACCGTGACCCCAGGATTCGTACGCAGGTTGTCCAGATCATTCCAGTCCTGGCCGACTACGCCCCGCTCGAATTCATCAACAACTACTTGCACAAGTTCATGATCTACCTTCAAGCGCAGCTCAAGCGAGAGAAGGAACGTAACCAAGCATTTATCGCCATTGGCCAGATTGCGGATGCAGTTGGTAGTTCCATTGCTCAATATCTCGATGGTATCATTCTCTATATCCGGGAGTCGCTGAGTGCGAAAACCAAGAATCGAGCGGCGGTAGATGAGGGCCCGATGTTCAAGTGCATCAGTATGCTTGCGGGAGCGGTCGGCCAAACACTTAGCAAGTACATGGAGGCTCTCCTTGATCCTATTTTCGCTTGCGGTCTGACCGAGCCCATGGAACAAGCCCTCGAAGACATGGCGCACCACATTCCACCGATCCGAGCAACCATTCAGGACAAGTTACTGGATCTTCTCAGTTTGATACTTGTCCGCACTCCTTACAGGCCATTGGGGTGCCCGCCGAACACTTCACCACCTCTGCCGTCGTTTGCCAAGGACTATGGAGGCATGCCCGCCGAGCACAAGGACTATGAGATCACGCTGGCTCTCAAGACCTTGGGCAAGTTTGATTTTTCAGGTCATATACTTAACGAGTTTGTTAGAGACGTCACACTTCGCTATGCCACCAACGACAACCCGGAAATCCGGCGCGCAGCTGCACTCACCTGCTGCCAGCTTTTCATGCAAGATCCCATCCTGCACCAGACCAGCACCAACGCTATTCAGGTCGTTGGCGAAGTGGTGGACAAACTCTTGACTGTTGCAGTCGGTGATCCCGACGCTGACATACGCGTGACTGTCCTTCGAGCCCTGGATAGGAAATTCGACAAGCATTTGGCTCGGCCAGAGAACATCCGTTGTCTTTTCCTAGCCGTCAATGACGAAGTCTTCGCTGTTCGCGAGGCTGCCATCGAGATTATTGGAAGATTGACGACGGTGAATCCGGCTTATGTATTTCCGCCTTTGCGGAAACTATTGGTTAATCTGCTCACGGGCCTGGGGTACTCTAATACAGCAAAGCAAAAGGAGGAGTGCGCCCGTCTGATCAGCTTATTTGTTTCCAACGCTACTACCCTTGTCAGGACTTACGTGGAAGCCATGGTTTCAGCCCTCCTGCCTAAAGCAACTGACCCCAATCCAGGCGTCGCTTCGACAACCATCAAGGCCCTGGGAGATCTCACTTCTATTGGCGGAGATGAAATGGCTCACCACATTCCGGAGCTCATGCCAATCATCATCGACGCCCTGCAGGATCTCGGTTCGCATGAGAAGCGTGAAGCGGCCATGAAGACTCTGCGTTCCCTGGCCATCAACTCACAATACGTGATTGATCCATATCTGGACCATCCTGAACTTCTTGGAATCTTGATCAATATAATCAAAACAGAGGCTCACGAAGAGCTGAGGACAGATGCTATCAAGCTAGTCGGTGTGCTGGGGGCTCTGGATCCCTACAAGTACCAACAATTAAGTGAATCCGTCGCGGAAAAGCAAAGCAAGACAGAGACTCAAGCGGTGTCGGACGTCGCATTGATCATGCAGGGTGTGACACCGTCCAACGACGACTTTTATCCGACAGTTGTGATCAACACGCTTATGCAAACCATACTCGCCGACCATGGACTCGTCCAGTATCATAGTGCCGTGATCGATGCGGTTGTGACTATTTTCAAGACGATTGGCATGAAGTGTGTCCCATTCCTGGGTCAAATAATCCCTGGATTTCTCGCGGTCATTCGCAGCTCCCCTCCTCCTCGCCTGGAGTCATATTTCAACCAACTTGCAGTGCTGGTCAATATTGTCCGTCAGCATATTCGTGCTTTCTTGCCTGAAATAATCGAGGTCATCCAGGAGTTCTGGAACGTATCGAGACAGGTCCAATCCACGATTTTGTCCTTGATCGAGGCAATCTCCAAGTCCTTGGAAGGCGAATTCCGCAGATATCTGGCAGGACTACTGCCGCTTATGCTGGGTGTGATTGAAAACGACACAGATCTAAGGAGAGAGTCCTCTATCCGCATTCTACACACATTTCTAGTCTTCGGCTATAGCGGAGAAGAGTACATGCACATGATTGTACCGGCAATTGTTGGCATTTTCGAAAATCCAGCGGCACCTCCGAACGCCCGTAAGGCAGCAATGGATACGCTGGGGAAATTGTCTCGCACGGTCAATGTCACAGACTTTGCATCGCTTATGATTCATCCACTAGCAAAGATTCTATCTTCTTCTGAAAAAGTAGTGACGAACTCTTCTGAAAGGTCACTGAAGTCCGCTGCGCTAGATTGCGTCTGCGCACTGATCTATCATCTTGGACAGGATTTTATGCACTATCTTCCCCTTATCGAACGGTCTACAAAGGCAGGTCAGATCAACTCTGAGAGATTCCAGAAATTGATTGAGAATTTCAAGAGCGGCAAGGCTCTTCCTGTGGACTTCTACCCGGAGGAACAATATGGGACGGCAGCGGAAGATACTAGCTACTCCAATATC